CATCACCAAATTGATGTCAACCTCTGGAATGAATATTTCGAGGATCCGTTGATGTTGGCAGTCAAGGGTGGATGGCAAACACCAGACTCCAATCCTTCAGTTTAAAGAGATCGCTTGAGCTAGCAAGAGACGACTGCACCAAGGGTGCTATTCGGAACAGAATGGAATCCAACAACTCTCGTCAAACATCGTTGAGGCGGTCGCCGAGGATGAATTTTGGTGGTCTGTACAGTTAGCGACATATAGACCTGTTACTATGCAATACCAGAAGGTTTTTCTCAGCATCACTTGCCAAAAAGTCTCAGAAACAATATGTGTATCTCCCGCTGAACAAATTATTCCTAGTAACGTCTCGATTAGCCTCAACGAAGTCTAGCTGTTTTATACCATCCAATCCATCAAAATTGCACCCTCAAACTATCATGGAAGGTACAGACGCGCTCGAAATCAGTTTCACTAATTTCCTCTGTTTGATTCTTTCCCGAACTCACTCCTGAAACACGCTAGTCTCTGTTTGATTTAACTAATTTTAAAATCCCGAATCGTACTGTAAACCAAAATCACATGATCAGCTACGTTGTAATATATTGGAAATAACCATACGATTGATACCCTATATCTCGATGCCCTTACTGAGTTACTACTTCATATTGACAGTATTCCTTTTTACAGAAGGTGGATGAAATATTATTGTCCGAAGTTAAGCAAATACCATAATGGAGAAAATTATACATAATGCGTCTTTGATAGAACAAGGAGCCAGATGTTAGAATAACGAGTCTTCCCTTCTTTGTCGTTTGATAGGTCACCTGATAGCGGGGTACTTTGACGACTTAGCTAAAAGCTCGCTACTGTCTTTTCTCAAAATCATAAAGCTATAATAATGTTATATACGATGGCATATGATAGTTCAAACTCTGGGTTCCAAGTTAGGCAAAACCTTGGTCATATTACTAATTAGTTCTATGAGTAGGAGTATAACTATAGATGAATATGACTGATTGGTATGTCTACCTAAGTACAATCGGAAACGTTATTGAATCAGGCATGCCTGCAGGATCTGCGGATAACCGATCCTTTCTATGACAAGAATTATGTTTAGAATACCAACAGAAGGCTACTCAAAGACTCCTATTACTGGATTCTAGACAACAAGGAGTTTTAACAATAGCAAGCTAACTAAAGCAACTATCTCCTTTGGATCAGAGGTGATCCAGACAAAAGAAAGACAATACTATTATATAATATCATCAATAAATTAATACAATTATTTAGGGACACTGTAAATATCTCGTTTTTTTTTTGCTAAGCTACTAATAGGCGAATTAATAATACTACGTTTATTCTCTATAGCTTAATATATTCGCTTATCAAAAAATAGCTGCCTCTTCTCTCCTATATAAAAAGTCTATATAATCACACAAAAAAAGCATTATTCGAGGATATAAATATATAGAACACTCTTTCATAGATTTTCAAAGATATTCTAAAAGACTTAATTTTATAGAGTATCTTTTTGATTATTAATATGCTAGACAAATATATAACAGGACTACCTTCCTTTCTTAACTTGATTACTTAGGTTTTATCTATTAACTAATATATTAAGTAGATTATCTCGAGCTATAACTAGCCTGATATCAAAGAGTATCTTAATATTACCTATACCACTCTAATCTCTTTAGAGCTTAATAATACGTCTATATCTAAAGCTATAAACAAATTCATTTAATATAAGATTCACTATTTAATAAAAATAAAGAAATATAATAATGAAACTTATGATATAATTTACTATTATTTATCATCTAATTTATAAAGAATATTTCTTTAGATAATCTTAGTCTATTAAGATCTTAATAGAATATTATAATAACATACTTATAAAAAGTTAGAAGTATTTCCTTCTAGACTAAATACCTTATACAGTCAGATGATCAATCAGGTTTAGAACTTAAAAGATATCAAGATCTACAAATAGATACTAGATATTATATCTATAATATATCAGTCTATTATATTTGACAAATTAGCTTCTTTTATTAAACTATCTAATAAACTTTTTAATAACTCCAAAGCCCTATTAGAGATTATTACAACTTATAATTCGTTTTTAACTATATATAAAGACACTATCATTTTTATCTATTAATCTATAAAGGAGTTTCTACTCAGAGAATCATAAAATAGGGTTTTCTCTAGAGATATAAAAACTGAATACTATAAAGTTTTCTCTTATTCTCTTTAAATTATATTTAAATTATTTTGACACAATATATTTTAATTTAAGTTTCCAAAATACCCAATTAAGGAAATCAAACCATCTAGTCTAAATCTATTAATAGCTATAAAGTATATATGTGTTTATTAGATTGACTATCTTCACTATAGTGGATGCTATGAAAAAGATAATCTTGGTGTTAATAAGAGAGGATATATGGGTAATTTCTTATAAGAAAAATTCCTTCACTGGATTAAAGCTCTAAATATTCTAGGAAGTATATCACAAGGTATAGTAGCTATGCTAAAGCTTGGTGTCTTATTTCAAGTGAGTCTGTGGTTTTAAGAATATCTACACTTCTGATACAATGACACTACAACAGAAAAAAGGAAAGCCATCTACCCTTTTACATCGAGTTTAGGATACCTTCTAATTCATTCAATACCATAAATAAGTAGTTAAAATTAGCCCCCTTTAGGTATATAGTTCCCCCTTAATATTTAGTCTTATATTGAGCCTTACAAGAATATATTATCAAGGGAAAAGATTATATTAGATATTGAATAAGCTATTGATAAATAAGGATTAGAGTTTATATCTTTAAACCCTTAAGGGATATAGCTATTCAATCATCTTAGTTATCTAGTCGTAAAATAAGAGCCAACTTACATCAATATTATATGATCAGTCTATTAAGATCTAGGATCTAGCTACCAGCCAATATATTTTAACTCTTAAAGAATATAGCAATTTAGTCAATATGATTACCTAGTCACAAGATAGAAGCTAGCTCATATTAGCATTAGATAATAACACTATTAAAATCTAGAATCTAGCTATCAGCTAATACATATTAACCCTTAAGAGACATAGCTATTAGATCAGTTCAATTACCTGGTCATAAGATAAAAGCCAACTTACATCAGCATCATATAATTAGACTAGACCTCGACACAACCCGCGGGTTACCCGTTATGGGTTACCCAAAACCCGCCAAGAAATGGGTTTACAGGTCACCAACCCGACCCGCGGGTTGGGTCACGGTTCCAGTTTTGAAACCCGCCGGGTTATGCGGGTAAAACGGGTTGGTCAAACAAGATAAACAGGAAATATATAAATTATATATAATTTAACTATATTTTTGTATATTTTATTTATATATCGAATAAAAGATATTAGGATCATTTAATAATTGGAAATTTAGAATCAGATTGAGGTTTTAACAAAGCACTACTAATTCTGAATATCAACTAATACTCTATGAAATCATCTCTTCTAATTCGTTTACAGGTTCTCCCTATCTATTATTAGGATTACAGAAGAAGAGGTAATTCAACAATCTCTTCATCTTCTTTCCTGTATATAAAGCTCTGCTCAATAACAACAATTGGGTGTCTCTCTAGAAGCTCTGTAAATTCATTCTCCCCCTCTTCATCCTTATTAATAAGCTCCATCAGCTCTTAGAGAGGTTAATCCTTCTCCTTCTACCTTACCTGTGTATCCTACTCAGTCAAATATATATCATAGAGTGTAAGCTTAGTAGACTTAACCTTAAACTTAGTAGTATGCTTCTAGAGTATAAGATCTTTAATAGTGTTTATATTTAATAAGCCACGTCGATAATAGCAGATATCACGAGCTAAGTTAAATAAACGCTTAATCCTAGCGTCGGTTGCAAAGATTATAAGAATATTATAGACAAGACTTATAAGAGTTAGGAATTTAGTCTCGTGCTCCTTCCACTATTAGCGAATACTTTTTGGTTTTACTAATCTTAGTATATATTAGTAATATTGAATTTCAATAAAAAGAAGATATATATTAAGCTAGATATATTATACAAACTTATTATTCTCTTCTTTAGTTTGACATCTAAGGCCAATCATTAAATCAAGATCTACATCAATATCCTTAATAAGATCAGACTAAATAAGTGTCTTTCCTAGTCTCTTTTGTAGCCGCTACTAATATGGTGTGAAAAGAGTTCAAAGGTTTTTTTGATATCACTTAGAATAATTAATCCTATCCTCTATCTAGTTACTAAAAAACTAGAGTTTATACTATAGAGCAAGGATAGTTACAATTACAAACAGATCACCATAAATCTTCTTAATATCATAATAATAATCTCCAAGTTTCTACTTAAAAGCTTTCAAAGCTTTAAGTATTATTTTCTTCCAAGGAACTTTCTTTCTTTAAAGCTGATTAATTGATTTCTCTAAATAGTTAAAAAGTATATTATAAATACTAAATATAAAGTGAATAGTGATATCTTTTGATTTTAAAAGTGCAGTTATAAATTTGAAAAAGATTGTGTAATCTACAATAGATAATTAATCTAGCGTCAATACTCTTAATTAAGTATAAGATCGATAAGATTCTCTTGAAGATAATATTGATCAAAGATCAGTTAAAGTCTTTTTGCGTGACGTAATATTAGAAATATTAAATTCTATTAAATGCGTACATTCTAAATAGGAATAAGTAGACTTCGGCACAACCCACTCTAACCCGGACCCAACCCAACCCAACCCAACCCAAAATGGGTTTTGGGTCCATTGCTTCGACCCAACGATGGGTTTTGGGTTATAGCTCATAACCCAAAACCCATTGGGTAACCCATTGGGGCCCCAATATAGTGTAAACCAGACAAACAGACTTCTAGCGTATAACTGCATAATTAATGCATTTTTTGCTTGTAATATTGAGTATTTTACTTACAGCGCTCTTCTAGAAAAAATGGAGAATAAATCAAATAATTGAACCAGGATGTATTTCTCTAATATTGCTCAAAATCATCATCTGCCCTGCTCTTACGCTTCCTCCCTGAGGCCCGTCTCTGAGTTGCAGTCTCTGGTAACTCTGGCTCTGTCACCTCTATATCTATATCTATTAAATGAGGAGATGTCTCTCGCAGTCTATTATCTACTCCTTCTTCCTCTTCATTATCACTAATCAGGTCAAGCTCAGCATCCTCTATATATTCATCGTTCTGCTCCTTCGCTGACTCAATCTCAGCTAGTGTAAAGAACTGCTCAAGCTGCTTTGCCTCAGCATCCTTAATATTGAATCTTGTTGCACATAGAAACAACATAAGCTCCTCGATTGTTTCGGACTTCAGACGACCACGGCGGTAGTGACAAACATCCCGAGCAGTATTGAAGAGCCGTTCGACACCAGCACCAGTTGCTGGAATAGAGAGAATATCGCGAGCAAGTAACGCGATCGCAGGGAAACGAGATTGGTTCTCACGCCAGAATTGAAGAGGTTCAATATCAATTAGATCTAGTAGTATAAATATATTAGTATTATCCTATATAGGGAAGAAATAGATCATAAACATACCACTATCGAGATATTGAGTCATCTCATCACCAGCTGGTTTTGCGGATATCTTGTTACTCTTTAGCATCATGTTCAGTCTAGAACTAGATGATGCTATTGTTGGAGTATTAGTCGATCCTTGATTTATTGTAAGGCGCTCTTGATACGGAATCAATAATTCCTGGAATGATTTCCGGTAGGTATCACGCCAGTGAGGCTCCCAATTATCAGATTGAAAGAACTGAAATCTGCTGTCAGGTGCCAGCATTGTCCCAACTGCATAGATATGTCCTTTGAGATTGTCGGTTTGAGAGTAGTACTCATCAAGTTTCAAGCGACCAGCTATGAGTGCTTTGAGCATGTCTGATTTCCATGGAACACGCTTGCGTTTAAGCAGCGCCTCTGCTTCAAAAAAGTGATCAAAGAGGGCATTGTAAATCTTAAAGACAAGATGTGTGGTGACCTCCTTTGTCTTCGAGAGCTCTGTTGTGTAGTCAAAGAATGGCCGAGTGATTTGTAGAAGATAGTCAATTTGACGCCATTCTTGAGTATCAAGCAACATCTCCTCACAGTCATACTCCTCACAGAAGGGCTGGAAGAAACTACGTAGTCTCTTTGCACGACGAAGCATCAAGAAGGTAGAATTCCACCGAGTCCTTACGTCCTGGATTGGAACAAGCTGGGATCCCTTTTCTTGAAGTCGGAGAAAGGCCGCCTGGCGTTGCGGACTTGCATGGATATACACAGCAAGATAACGGACCTTGTTTAAGGTGTATGAGATCCTCTGTGTCTGGTGCTGAGCATTTGCCTTTGCTGCAGATGACTTCTGGTCAGTCCACTTTGTTTCTGCATTCTCATTTAGAGGGATGGCCTTTAAACGATCAAGGAGCTGGTTCAAACAAAGCTGGATAACATGGGCAAGACAGGGTATTCGGATTACTGTCACATCGCTAGAGAGCGCCTGCTGAATAGCCTCAACCATTGTCTTGTTGTTGGTTGCATTATCAGTTGTGACTCCAAATACCCGATCCTGGATCTTGTGCTCAACTAGAGTTTCAAGGAGTACACCACTTAAATTTAAACCGGTATGGGAGCCATAAAGTGGTTTAAATCCAAGTAGAACCTCTTGGTATACCCAGTTACTGTCAACAAAATAGCCAGTGATAGCCATGAACGCCTGGTTATATGGAGAAGTCCAGCAATCTAATGCGATCGAGATTTTTGCGTCGTTGGGTAGTGTTTGGAGGATAGATTTCTGTCGTTCTATGATCATATCACGTAAACGACGACGTATTGTGGTAGCAGAGGGTATCGGAGGGAGAGATGGTGCAGAGCGGGCTAATCGGAATAGCTTGTGAAATGTTGGATGTTCGATGAGGTGGAATGGAAGTCGATTGAGGGTGAGAAATTGGAGAAGATGCTCTTCCCATGCCGATTGTGAAAAAGGAGCCTCTGGTAAGCCGTGATCCTATGTATCCAGGAGTGTTAGGGAAATCGGATAACTAAATAAAGAGGTAAGGAGATACTACTTTTTGAAGGAACTGGGTAATTTCTCCTTTACCTCCCTGTTGAGCTTTGCGACAGCCTGCTGTCTTTAAATGCTTCAACATTGTTGATGTACCATGATAGCCCTTTCCGCTAGGTGATGGAGAATGGGGATGCTCTAGGATCTTTGAGCAGCGCTTACACATCACCTTTGGCGCACCATCTTTGGTATAGGCAACTTGGTCGAAGTTGCTCCATATGTTTGAATTGCGATTTGAATCCCAGGAAATCTTGCTTTTCTGCCCATAGTCGGTTTGTAGCCACCACTCAACCCATTCTTCATATGCCATATTGTCATAAAGCACATATGCCTTTCTCCGATCGGGGCCAACGCGAGTAAGAGAGTGTGGAATTGGTAGAAGGTTGGAGGGCCGAAGGAAGTCAGTATCAATAGCATCAAAAGGCTCAATTGTGAGCTGGCTACCAGATGGGGTTGGAACTCGAGAAGAGGGTATAAGATAGCTAAGGTTATCTGTATCCGCATCGTAAAGAGTAGGTAAAAAGTCAGAATGCTGGCTTTGGGACATTGCGACCGAAAAGGGGAATACTATAGAGGTAAGGGGGAAAGGCAGAGAGAGTATATACTTACAAGAGAAGGGTATATGAACAGTAAACACCTTAGTCCTATAGTAAAGTAGATAGATCAAAAGGTATAAGCTATAATGTTGTTTGATTGGCTATATAAGCTCTATTTAAATGGGTCTAACCCAAGAGAACCCAACAGGACCCAACAGGACCCATCAAAACCCAAGAGAACCCATTCATAACCCATCGAAACCCAAGAGAACCCATTCATAACCCATTAAAACCCAAGAGGACCCATTCATAACCCACTCCCCCAGAAGATCCCTCAAAAATGTTTCATTTACCCTCCCAGAAGAACTTTTCTAACCGCGGTCAGAGATAATAATATATACACCTACACCCCCCTAGAAGGGCTTTTCTGACCGCGGTCAGAAATAATGACATATACACCTACCTCCCAGAAGTGATTTTCTGACCGCGGTCAGAAAATATAATTCGGAGCACATATAATAAGTTAAATATAAGAGAAGAGAAATATAGCTTTAATATAATATCAATTGTATATAAAATCAAATAAGAATAAGATATTTCTATTTACATTCATAGTTATCCTATAATATATACATACTCCCCTCTACCACAAATATATATTTTCAACAGTCCACAGTCAATAAATGCTTAAATTAATAGAACACCACTATACTACGATTAATGTGAATTTTTATCAGTAATCAATATAATACAAAGCCTATTAGCTTCAAATTCAGGGTAATTACATAAATTTTCCAACTTAATATTGTGATAATGTAGCAATATTTGATGAACAAACCAGAACAGCTGTAAAAAACAGTAATTTATTTGAATGACTTAGCATTGTTATGAACGCCAAGACCTATCTTTTATGCAAAAATGGGTTCAAATGGGTTATTATTGGGTTATTGGGTTTAACCCATTGGGTTTTGGGTTGGGTTGGGTTATAGAGGGCGGAACCCAAAACCCAATGGGTTGGGTTTTGGGTCGGAGACTCCGACCCAAAATGGGTTCTGCCGAAGTCTAGGAATAAGCTTTAGCAAATTGGATTATAGTTTAAAGAATTGTTTTTAGCATTGCGGGCTACTATTCACATAAATAGCAAGCTTTTAGATCTAAAAGATATATTAATATATAATTTAGAATCATATTTTAGAATCCAAACCTTTTCAAGTATATCAATAATATCACCTTTTTAACCTTAGGGATAAATAGTGCTACCTTACTCCTAGGCTTTCTCAGTTATATTATTATTAGAGGCAGTCTTTATCTTTTTAAAAAGATTTTTTAGACTTAGTTAGATCATATATACAAGATATAGGATATAAATAATTATAATATTATTATCTAACTTAAGAAGTTTAATATAGTTCTAGAGCTTCTTTAAAAGTATAGTGTTATTAGATACATTATTAATTGTCATCGTAAGTACTCAATCTGTTAACTTATATTTCTAGAAGATATCTATTATCATTATATTTAAATTCATGCCAATATATGATCCAAAGATAGGCTTAAAGCCAAGTAGGATCTTTTGGTACTTCTAGTTCTAATCTAGAAAATAGTAGACCTCGACAAGTCCCATGGGACTAGCAAAATTTTGGTCCCAAATCCTGGTCCCATCACTCCCATGGGACTACGCTAAACCTATTTAGGTAATTCTCTAACCTAGATTGGCAATGATTTTCAAGCTTGGCATGCCAAGAAATTTTCATGGGAGTGGGTCCATGGGACTTGTCGAGGTCTAGAAAATAGATAGTAACAGCTATAAATATATCTATAAATAAACAAGTCTAGTAGTTAAAAATAAGAGATACTTTAACTCCTATTAGAAGAGACTTTAAAACCTCTTTCTAGCAGGAAGTAATCCCTATAGTCACTCGACGTTAAGTGGTTCATAGATGAAGGAGATCTAGCCTCGAGGTTATATATTGAGCTATTAAAATCAGGTTATAGAAGCCGGGATGTTTTAAAAGCTCCTAGGGGAGATTGGAGTCTGTGAGAAATCTAATTTGGGTATCTTCCTAACTTTCTTATGTAACAGCTATAGCTATCTGAGATAAACTTTTGTTCTAGATATAGATTAGCTTTATATAATTAAAAAAAGATATAAGACTAATACTATACTGATTAGATAAATTGCTTAATACCTAGGCCTTTAGGTATCCGCTAACATCTACCCCTTTGAATATGCTTACTTATTGTGGAAGTATTATTGCCTAAACCTAGATGATCAAATAAGGTCTTGCATTTTAAATACTTGATTTTTGGAGCGTTTGTCTTTTTATCTGTTACCTTAGAAAAGTGTTATTAGACTGCTGATAAATAACGTGTATTCTAATAGATCCTTCTTTATTATCTAAATCTAGTCTATAGCTACTATTAAATAAATTCTTCTTATTTATCTGCTATATTGATTAGATAAATAAGATAGAATCTTATTTGATCGGGTATATATTATTCGATTAAAGATAGAGGCTCTAGAGAAAGAAGACGAGGTCGTTAGAAGGTACTCTCACTTAGACTAGATATTATTGATGGTATTGGATAGTATGGATCAAGAGGAATCGAGATATTATCTAAGGGGATAGTCTGTAAGGGGTCAACTCTATTAATATTAAATAACGATAAGGTATATATGTTAGATAATTAGGAGGCTTGGCTTTCTTATTATGATATTATAAGTATGATTAGAAAGAGTATAAGAGTAGATAATATGAGATGAAAGATTGTGTTTATCTTAATAGAAAAAAACTATATATTTATAGTACTAGAGTACTACTACTCTATAGAGAGGGATCGGTTTGACCCTAAATTAATTCTTATTTGAAATAATCTATTATTTCTAGATTCACAATAAATAGATACTATTATTATAATTAGCTTATTAAACGGGTAATCTAGAAAACCTACAGGTAACCCGCGGGTAACCCGTAGGACCTATAGATAACCCGTAGGTTATCTATATAACTATCTTCAAGTCTTGATTCTTCTAAGTCCTTTAATCTAAATCTTTAAATATTGATTTGGGTGTAAAGATTGTGGAAATCTTATTGTTTATAATGATTTTTGATAAATCTAAGTATTATCTACTTTATTAAAGTAATAAAAATGTCCAAATTCAAAGAATTAGACTAAAAGTTTAGGGGAAATCATGATTTATAGTATATAAAGGGAGATTGTAGTATTTAGATATATATTTCCACTATGGATATAGCTGAAATGTACAAATATAGGATTTCTATATTATCATCATCTAATTTTGTAAATTCAATTAGTAAAATAATAGTAACTTCTTATATAGATCCTATAAATATAATCATTTCATAATATTTCAAGTAATTAACTACTCTGAAAGTAAGAATTGTTCAGTTATAACCGAACATGTGTAAAGAACGGTAATTAATTGTAAGTAGTCATCAAGTTGTGCACGCTAAGACCTTCCTTTCTAGGCGATTTATGCTAGCTCTGGGCTAGCACGGGTTTACCAAGAACCCGAAACCCAACCCGCGGGTTACCCGCGGGTTGGGTACGGGTTTGACTTTTGGACCCGCGGGTCGGGTTAGGTTCTGAAAGTTGGACCCAAGTCGGGTTTTGTCGAGGTCTATTAAGGTCTATATTTATAAAGCTGTAACAGCTGGAGAAGGTCTATAATTATTTTTTTTTGTATTCAGCCCTTTGGTATCTTCACTCCCGTATTATAGGATATCTCTTTTAGAGTAATAAGAAGATTAAGCTGTCTATAATATAAATAGGCTATCTATAAATAGACCTGGCAGTGACCCTCCGGGTGGTCCATGACCTTGGACCCTCCACCCGCCCCTCCGAGGTTCAGGGTCGCTCATGAGCGACCCTGACCCTGACCCTAGTTCCATGAGGGTCGCATGCGGGTGACCCTCAATGACCCGCAGCGACCCTCGGATAGACCTCGACAAGTCCCATGGGAGTTATCCCTTGGGACTATCCTGTCATGCTCTGCAAGCATTACATGTTCGTTTGTTTGCTTGCCTGCTGCCCCACGTTTCGTTTGCTCGCTTTGCTATTTAGCTAGCTTCTTCTATAGCTTCTTCCTTCTTCCTTCCTTAGCTTTATTATCTTCGTGTTCATGGAACTACCATCTCCATCATCCTCACACTATAATAAAGCTCCTCTTCGCAAAAGCCCTGCGTACGAGAAACAGGCATCTTCTTTCGCTGCTTCGTTGCAAAGAGATCGTTTCTGATACTCTCGACATTCAGCCCCTCTTTCCTCTTTTGGACAGCCTGGTGGAGCTGCGGACTCCCAAGACCTCGCTGCTTCGCTGCTATCTAGTGGAACCGTGGATTCCTAAGACCATTTAGCCAGCTCCTCCCCAGAACCAGAACCTCTTCCTCCATCTCCCAGGTCATCATAGACCCACTTACCCAGTTACGCGATGAACTAAACACGCAGTTCTCTCAGACTATTCAAGACCTTACCAATGAGATCCAGAACTTGCGTACGCGTGTCAAAACTGCTGAGGCAAAGCCCCCTCATCCTCCCAAACCGTTTACCAAACGACCGAAATCCTCCCTTCCGGACCCGGAGAAGTTCACCGGAACTGCGCACAAGTTTGACACATGGAGCACCGTTATTCGTGCTAAGCTTACTATTGATGGAGCTGCTATTAGAGACCCAATTGCCCAATTCTACTACATCTACATGAACTCAACCAGCCAAGTTTAAGCGATGGTCTTCCCCCAGCTAGTCGCAGCACGCGAATCCGGACAATACAATTTCGAAGCTATTCTAGATCCACTTACTCGCGTTTACGATAATCCTAATAAGGTTCATAAGGCGGAGGATCGTTTATTATCCATTCAACAAGACACCTCTAACTCCGTTATTGCATACATCTCCCGTTTTGATCGATTGCTGTACGAAGTAAAGGGTCAAAACTGGTCTGACGTCACCAAGATCTCCATCCTGCGCAAGAGTTTGGCACTATCTATCAAATATCGCCTTTCTCAGCAATTGAATCTTCCCCAAGTTTACCTAAACTTTCTCAAGGTTGTTTAACAGCTTATAACGCATTTCCAAATAGGAAATAGTGGTTAGTTTGGCAAAAACGGCAAAAACGGCAAAACTGGCAATTCTGGTGGATCCGACGCGATGGATACCTCTCTCGGTGCAACTACTGTCGCTACAGCTTCCTCCCCCATTGTACCTGACCCTGAATTGGTTGATTTGGAAGGGAGCGATTCTGATGATTCATACTATTATTGATCGATTAGTCAATTGGTTAATTTGGCATCAAGGGGCTGATGCCTTTGTTTTGCAGAGGGGTAGTATCATGCTCTATAAGCATTATATATTCGTTTGTTTACTTGCTTGCTGCCCCGCGCCCTGTTTGCTTGCTTTGCTCGCTTTGCTCACTTTGCTTGTTTTGTTTGCCTTGCTGTTTAGCTTACTTCTTTCATAGCTTCTTCTTCTTCTTCCTCCTTCCTCTCCTTATCATTAATATCGTCATTTCTTGGACCTTCAATATCAGAAGCTTTACCAGCCTAACAAACAGACTATGATATACCTTAAATATAATAAGTAGTTTACAGCTACCTATAAAAAGCTGAAATATTACAATATAAATAGTACCTAGTATGTTATCAATCGCTCCGGGGTATGAGAATGTACTCCGTACCCCGTACTGTAGCTGCCCAATTATTGATTCTTTGGGGAGGCTCCGTGGGCAAGGTATATTCGGTAGAGATCTCCATCCCTGCCGGAGGTAAGGGGTGGTTGCCAGTTATGTACTCCGTATCTCCCATATAAATAACCAACGAGACTTCAGGAGTACATGGTAAAGTCTAGCTAATGGTCACTTCCATGATCTCTGACAATCAGGGGATTTCCATCGTTCGCAAGTATCCTTTCCAAATCAAATCCGATCGCTAAACCGTCACCCTGCTCCTCCGCCTCGCGAAATCCTGGCGCATAGTCATCCACCAGATCGACTTCATTTCCTTTGTAGATTTCCACAAGCGGCCGTCGCATATCGACTCTAAGCACCAATTAACATAAACCATCTCGTAAACAAGAATGGATTAGCTCACGGTTCATCCTCCAAAATCTCTCTTGGATCTGCATCTTCGTCGCGGTCTATGTAAATTTCCCGGTCCTCAATGTAATTGAGCGCCTGGTCTATTGGGACTCGATTTCCCGGACCGATTTCCCGATAAAAGTGGGCGAATTCCTCCATCATAATTTGACCCCGACGGGCTATCTCGTAGATACCGTTGGTTGCAAAATCAACCCAGAGACCTAGTCCGGTCTCAAGGGTCCGGTCATCGATAATAAGCTTGGGGGAGCAGTCTCTGAAAAGTACAGTTCCATCAAGCGCCATGTGCATATCGAGGAAGTTGGGTCGCGCGACACTTTGATGGAATTTAAATGTCTCGAGAACATTCCCCTTATTGTCTTCAGGGGGAACAAACACTATCATTTCGTCTGCTAGAAAGTCCCAGCCGTCTTCCCATGGGAATAATCCCAGGATACACTTGGCGAGCAGGGCTTCTTTCTCGGGGGTTAATTCGGTGGTGCAGAAGTAGACCATGCAGGAACTTTGAACGTCATTGGCTCCGAAAGTTCTATCCTATACTTGGATTAGGACAAGTCAGGTAGTAGGATGTATTTAATTGTTTCATACCGCAAGTTCAGGACCTTCAAAAAAACTAGGCTCGTCCTCTGGGGCTCGTGTTTGATAGCTCTGTCATGGTGTCAGTGAAAAATAAAAGTTCTTATCCAAAAGACATACATCGCGGAATTGTTGGTCTGCTGTTGCCCAGCGTTCGATCAACGCTCGTTTCTGTTGATCCGCGCCGTCGCCACCGACCCACTGCTCACGAACAAAATGCCTCCATGCACGAGAGGCGGCATCAAAATTCTTCCGGGCCACGGGTTCCTCATGTCGGCGAATGAAAGAGGGGATGCCTCTAGGCCACTGGCTATGTGATCTTGTTAAGGACATGATCGAATGGTGGTAGTTCCGGGGGTTGAAAAGAAGTTTAGTGAGGAACGTGGGGGGCGGGAATGTATTTAACGGAGTTTGATACATGCCCGCCCCAAGTTTGCACTAAGGCATCAAATCTAGTTATATTTTCAAAAGTTCCTGTACAAACTCATCTCAAACACACTAAACCTGTATTATGCGACCTTGGAATCTTTACGACTAAGCTTTGATAGGGGAGATTAAGTGGTTGCGAGCTCGGATATACACCCCTGGAGTGGGTCTTTGGCTTAAGGGTTTTCGTTGAAGTGGATCGATCACAAACTTGGTGTGCACTAAGTAGCGTCTTTTCCGGCCTAGCCGCTTGCTTTCAAAATTCTGGTTGTAAAGTTGTAAATTTGTGCCAAAATCATTGAAATGTAAGCGAAAGTTTGATATTCATAAATTCCAGGTTTCCATGCACTACTATGTGCCAGTTAACAGCCAGCTGGTAAATCCCAGTTCTATATTCCAGTAATTAAAACTAGAAGAAAATATGGCATATATAAACATTTGACATGCCTTGAAGACCATAGCCGAATTTTGTCCGACAGTGAACTTTAGAACTCTAGGGCATTGAGTGTCCCACCCCCAAACCAAGATCAACCACACGAGCCATACTTAGCATTACAATTGGCGCTGGAACAATACTCCGACGAACTACCACAATAACCGTAGTTACTACAGCAGTCACCAAATTGAGATCCCAAACAAGTCCAGTCCGAATTAGACGGGCCACAGAGACCGTTCTCCGAAATCGTACTCGTAGGAGTCGCAACTGTGGTAGAGGTCGCCGTAGTGACCGTAGATGATGCGTGAGAGCTAACTGTTTGGCTAGAAGTGAATACCGTCGAGCTTCCCATACTTGGATCATCGGTCAATGTAATGCTGAAGTTGAACCCGGTGGTCGGGAAAGAACCGTTCACGGGAGGATAGCACACGCGCTCGTATTCACTTAGCCAGACTTCATCGTGGTACATCTCGTCTGTTAGATCGTCATCGGTGATGTTGTACACTGAGTTGACCTGGTCGCAGAGAGTGTAGGTCGCGAGAGATGCGAGGTATGCTGAATCAGGGGTCCAGGTTGAGGCCGTGGTTAGGTCGGAAGGGAATGACCAGAACAGATTGGTGGTGCTATGGTTTGCTGTTCGGGTTGCGTTGAGATTCATGGTGCTAGCAAGTGATGTGCGTGTTCTTGTGGTGTTGGATATGTAGCTTGTATAGGTGTTGATGTTACCCACTGCTTGAACGCACTGTGGAGTGGATGGGTTAGCCTGAAAAGAACGATATGTCTTGGTTATTTTCTCGTGTAGAGAGACGTACGTAGCTGTTCCCTTTCCAGAGGCTGCCGCAACTGGAGGTTGCATTCAATGCGGCCTGGGGATTTAAGAAATTGAAATTATATTGAGAGATGCTGAATTTGTCGCACACGGATTCACAGGTATCACCATCTTGGATCTGATACCAGTGACCACAGTCGGTGTTGGAGCTAGTGACTGCGTCGGTAGGAAGAGACCTGTATATTTGATTAGCATTTTCACTTTCCGAACATCCGAGCGAAACAAAATAGCAGACAACATACACAGCGGTGCTTGCGGGCCTAAGAGCCAGGGTATCGGGGAGTGTGAGAGTACCCGGAGGACTGACGCAGATGTACTTCCCCGAAACAGCCGTCAGATTCTGCGAGCTTTGCGCTGAGTTGAGATTGGCATTCCATGCAACAAACTGAGGCACAGAGACTTGACGCGATAGGCTCGCAACGATTTTGTCAATGGTATCCGTCTCCTGAACGCGATAGATCTCACAAACATCGGGAAGGCAAATCTCTGCCCCAGCAACTATATGCGTACACCCCGTATCAAGGCTGTTCAAGTTTATCAAGGCTGAGGTTGAGACATTTTGAGCTGCTGAGATAGAAAGACAGGTATCTCCGGATTCAACCTTGTAAACAGTTTGATCGGGGTCAGTCGTGTTGCAGCGACTAGCGGCAACAGTGGCCGAGGCAGAGGCCGTGGAAGAGGCAGTCGAGGTTGGTGTATAAGTCACAGAGTATCCGCTGGTCGAGCAAGAAGATACTTGACTCGTTAAGGCCGACGGACTGAGCAAAATATCCTGACCCCATTTGGAATTCACTAGGGTTGACATATACTCCAAATGGCATGCGCTGCATTTGATGTTTGTTGTGCCATTCGAAATTGCATTTTGGAATAGGGTGTTGCAATAGGTGCCCGAAGCCGAATCAGTCAAGCAGGTTGCATCGTAACGCCATTTCATTTCTTTGCCTCTATCCGAGGCAGTTTGTGAGATACCGGAGATGTTGTACTGCGTACTTGTGCCGCAGGCTTCGTCCACAGAGGAGACATAGCTTGACAAAGCGGAAGAGCAACCGCTGGTACACATTTCTGACAGTGCATTGGCTGACCATGATGTCGCCTGGGTGACTGCCTGGCTCAAGCCGGCATAGCATGAAACATTGCTGGACATGGCATTCACGCATGCTTCTGAAGCTGATATATCAGCCAGAGTATCAGAGTTGTAAATGTAGAGAGTGTCTGAATTTCCCCAAGCAGCGGCATGATGAGACTGTAGCATCAGAACTACTGCCAATGCAGCACTTGCCCTCAAGAGTGCCATAGCTCTATGACTGAAAGAGAATTCAGAGCGCGAATTGATTTTCCTTGAACCTGGGACATGAGCAATCCCAAAGGAGGGGGAGTAATGGCTACTCAAACTACTTGTTCGGCAGGGAAACTTCGGTGTTCCGTATTGACGCTTTCATACCAACCAATTTACCACCTTATCAAATGGAGCTAGAAGTGGGGAGGCCCATTGGAAGTTCAAAGTACCAAGCTAAATCTGAGACATCCGTCGAAATCCACTAAGCGAGGTACAGGAAAAAGTGGTTCGGCTTGAGCACTAGACAGCCCATTCAATCAAGTCCCGAAGCCAGTCCCACTTAGCGGGTAGGGGCCGAGATCCCCTGAACGTGTTAGAGGGCCCCATGTTGGGGGCCAAGGGGGGCCAAAATTTCCACATGGGTCCGCCAAGAATAATGGACTTAGACGATAGAAAAGAATTGTAGACAAACAGATCAATGGCTGAAGCTTACATTCTTGGCTATAGCTTGGCTTGCTAGGATGCACATGCGGCTCTAATGCCAAGTAAAATGTAGGAATTAACAGTATACCTTTCACATCGGATGCATTCTGTAGAGATTGCACAAACCATTGAATGCAGGGTTTGTTCTAAGCGAGCTGCACAGCTGAAACTTCCGGGCCTTGCCCCGCCGATGAAAATTTTTGAAGTGATTGCTTACAAGATTTGAAGCTACGAAGTAGTGTAACAGGAGGCTTGGAACCCGGGGGCCAACTTAAGGCGCCACCAGGTGGTCCGGATGTATTCGGCACCCATAGGAGATACTAGTACAGTACACCGGTGGAGTTATGCAGGGTATACATTGACTATTCCAAACTCTGAAGGGATTCGGTTTCTCACGAGATACGACTAGCCTAGTAAAAATTGCAAGTCTAGTCCACAAATAGTATTGCGTGCGCTGAGGGATTAAATTAGTAGATTAGATTAGTAGATACACTTGTGGGACTTCAAACTGAACTGTATCAGCGTCGGATACTTGAGGCTGCCGGACTGTTGCGAGCTTAGGTAGTCTCGGCTGTTCATTTCGGACCCCGTCTGTTATCTTTATGATCCTAGTTCCTCTTACTTTTCTCATTCATTCTCTTTCTCCTTTGACTTGAATCGTCCTGGGCAAGCTTTTACTGACTTGTTCAGTATTTCGGACGAAAGAGCCGCACCATGAGGATATACAGTTCGCGGGCGGAGTTCTTGTCCTGCCATTCTTTCTTTCTACTTTCTTTTATTATACTTTCACTCTTTATAAATTTCACATCGGCCCAGTTCTATGTCTGCAACTTGACAAGTCCATGTGTCAACGGTGCATGCTGTGGTGTGAACGATGGTGAAACCAATGGCGTTAGTTAAGCCTGTCTATCTTATCCATTAAGCGTCGCTGACCCAAAGTATACAGCTTTGTGGCTATGATCCCGACAAATCTTGTGGCTCTACATGCGTGAGCAACTGCAATGCAACTGCAGAATGCGGCAAATGGGCTGCCACTGCTGGCACGACCTGCCCATTGAATGTTTGCTGCTCCGAGTTCGGTTTCTGCGGTACAACATCCGAGTTTTGCAACGCCGGTACAGACGGCGGCAAGTGCCAAAGCAATTGCTATCAACCAACGCAGCCTTCCTGCAAATCGAACGACGTTCTCAAGAAGGTCATTGGCTATTATGAGAGCTGGTCTGCTGAACGGACATGTGATTCATGGTCTCCAAGCAATCTCCCCGTGCAGAGCCTGACACACATCTATTGGTCGTTTGCTCTTTTCAAACCCTGGAATGATGGCTGGAATGTTTACCTGATGGATGAGGACAAGATATCGAACTTGAATGACATGGTAGCTGATTTCATTGCTTTGAAAGATGACAACCCGTCCTTGAAGTGCTTCTTGTCTGTTGGCGGCTGGTCATTCAATGACGGTGATTCGGCGCACTATTGGTCTGACATGGCATCTACTGAATCTGGCCGAAAGTCATTCGCCAAAGACTTATTGCGGACGTTGCAGCAATACGGCTTTGACGGTGTTGACTTGGACTGGGAGTATCCTGTCGCTTCGGATCGTGGTGGCAGCAAGGATGACATGGAAAACTACGGCAAGTTGATCAAGCAAGTTCGCTCAACCTTTGACGACAGTGGTTCAAGCCTTGGAATCTCATTCACCATTCCATCGAGCTACTGGTATCTCCGCCACTTTGACGTGCCCGCCTATTTGCAAGAAGACGGAGCCGACTGGGCGAACATGATGACCTACGATCTTCACGGTGTCTGGGATGGCACAGACCCATACATTGGGAATATCACTGGAGCGCACACAAACTTGACAGAGATTCAACAATCCATGGACCTTCTTTGGCGAAACAATGTTGATCCATCAAAGATTGTTTTGGGCATTGGTTTCTATGGTCGATCTTTCACACTCAAGGACTCTTCATGCACTGGCGTCGGATGCCCCTTCACTGGAGGAGGGCAGCCTGGTCGATGTACAGATGCTTCTGGAATTCTCTCATATAATGAAATCATGGAGATCGTCGAGAATGTTGATGTCCAGGGTCCCATCTGGGAGGAAACTGCAGCAGTCATGTATGTCACCTGGGACGACAACCAGTGGGTATCGTACGACAACAATGTCACAATGAAGCAGAAGGTCGATTGGGCCAATGATCACTGCCTAGGCGGAGTCATGATCTGGGCCTTGGATCAGGATACATACGACTGGCAAGCTTTAACTGCCCTGTTGAACAAAGATGTCAGCTCCGCTTCCCTGCTAGAAGGAGGATCTGAGAACTCACTGAGTGCCAAGGCATTAGCACATGCATACAATCAATATACTGGTACTGATTGTTATGTCACTGGATGCGTGGACTATAACTCTGGATCATGTAAAGCGGGTTACAGTGTTTTGGATTACGTTCACAGAGCCTCTTACGGAACCATCACTGACCCCGATGATCATCTTTGCAAAACTGGCGATACTACCGAATATGAGGATTCAGACTCAGAATATCGTCTGATCTGTTGCCCAACAGATGCAATGCCGACATGCCAGTGGACTGGCGGCTCATCCGATGGCATGTGTACTGGTGGAAAGGAGAAAACATGTGGCTCAAATGAATTTGAAATTGTCAAGGACTCTTACTCTGACCGGACAGGGTCTACCCCGTGCATGGTCAATAGTCGATCGCTTTGCTGTGCCACCGACCCCAATCTTGACACTATAGTGAACTCGTGTTTCTGGACCGCCTGCAACGGAGAATGCATGAAAACTGATATTGAGTACCCGGAATATGCTCTCAAGCCCGGCACTAGTAAGTCACTTCACACCTCACCATCACACCCCCTTACCTCCCCCCGAGTCCACGTTGAAGAGGAATGTGAACGTCTGACAGAATTTTAGATCTCAACGAAGACTCTGAGTACTGCTCTGGAAGTGAGGTTTCGACCTTTTGCTGCCCATTTGACAGTAAGTTATGGCACCTCATTCGCAGCAACTCCGCTAATGGGACCTCACGAATCAAGATGGTTACGAGAATTGTGAATGGACTACTTGTACCGAGTCTTGCGCTAGTGACAAAGTTCTCCTCACCCAACGCTCAGCTTTACTAAATGGCAGTCTCCCCCAATATTGCCAGGAAGGAGGCATGTACAAGTTTTGCTGTGATGCACCTACTCCAACTGTCAACCCTCCCGTCGACCCCTCCGCCATATTTGAGTACCCAGATGAGAAAAACTACAGCTATTACCTGAAGCACGAGGACACCGACAACAACGAATCATCCGACTTCGAGCAAGAGAACCCTTACGCATTTGTGATGGTGGATGGTGACACGGATGCATACGACGAGTCTCTTGTGGATCAGTGGACATTTTTGGAAGATGGAGGTCTCAACTCCAAGAGAGATGGCGGTCCACGCAAGAAGCGAGACATCTTCACATTCCGCGAGGACACGTTTGACAACGTCGTTGAGACTTACATTATTCGCTGTGCGAGCCTTGATGAAGATACCGGGTGTAAGACCATTTTCTCCGGTGGTGCATCAAACACCATTGTCAAGATGCCTTCTTACCACGGATCTGGACCCTACGCTCGTGTCATCAGCTTGGTTCCACAGCACTCTTCAGAGAAGCGGAGTAATATCCTACCGCGGGACACAAACCAGGCGTATGAACTCACTGTGGATTATGACCTGGCTTCCGCTTCGGAGGAGGAGAAGGGAGACGTCAACTTTCGGGTCGACTATACGAATTTGCTTGACTACTGGTAAGCTATGACTGGTGACTCCCTGTCAAAAAAAATTAGTCGCGACTAACATTATTCATCGTCGTTAGGGAGGATATTACGGAGGATCCACCCCAGAAGAGGAAGAGATGGTTTGGCGCCTTCAAGCAATGGCTGAAGAAAGTCACCACAATTGTCAAAAACAGCTCTGGATACCTACCTCTGAACTACTATGACACGATCAAGTTGTTCCATTGGGATGAGAAGTGCAGCGGCAAACAAATGTCACTGGACATCGATTCTACTCTCGATATAGGTCTCAATGCGCAATACGCGTACTACTTTGAAGGCGCGATTTTGCCCACTCCCAAGTTGATTTCTTCTTATGCATACTTTTCGGTTGCTCCTGCAGCAGAAATTCTTCTGACCATGCGAGGAGAAGCAGCATTCCAGACCAGCAGCGACAAGATCGATATTATCTCCGGTGTGACATTCCCTGGGCTTTCCATCAAGGGACTTATCAGCATCGGCCCAGAGCTCGCCCTTTCCGGTAAAATGGATGCCTCGATGGTGGTTTCAGGTGAACTTAACGCTGGTGTTGTTGTGGAATTCCCTAAAGCAGAAGTGTTCTTCCCACAAGATTCAGATGGTGAGGATGCCAGTGTTCCCCCGTCTTCTCTCAAAAACGAGGATGGCAAGGATGCCCCGAATCAATTCTCCGTCACACCTCAGTTCGAAGCTTCAGCGTCGGCATCGGGCAACTTGGCTTTGACTCTTACCCCTGAGGTCAAATTCGGTATTTCTGTTCTGAATGGAAAGTTAATGGAAGGCTATGTTACCGCGGGAGTCGAGAACACTGTCAGTTTGGGTGTTAGTGCTTCGGCGTCGACAGGTCTATCGAGCGGGTCTTCTGCAGAATTCTGCTACTGGGCAGACTACGATTATTCGGTATTTCTGCAAGCAGATGCCTCGTAAGTTATATCTACTTGAAGGCTTTTGGTTATCCCGGTCAGTGCTAACTGATAAATCCTCAGATTCCTTGGCGACGTGGCATACTGGGGTGATCGATATGAGATCGCCTCTCCAGAAGATCCCATCGCACTTGTTGACAAAAAATGTCTAGCTTACTCGAGTGATCTGGATGAAAAGAGGAAGCGTGATTCAGCAAGCTCGGCTCTGGTCAAAAACACAACTGGCTCACCTTTCTTTAGTGGATGGTGTCAATGTGCCAACAAGAATACTCAACTTACTAACGAAACCTTGAGTTGCTTGGATACAGAAGACACCTCGTCAACTGCTAAGCGTGCTAACACCGCACCAACTTGCTACCTCCCACCGGCGTTGTTTTACAACTGTGACTGGTTCCCAACAACGAGAATCAACAACCTCAACACTGACACAAATGGACAAACTCCTCACGTCGATCTCAGGGGCATTTGCGAAAATGTCAAGAAATACCTGGACCGGAACTCGGGCAAGCAATATGTTTGGCCCAATTGGATGCGCCTGACCTATCAGCCGGATCCAACGCATGCTAACCGGGTCGACGCATGTACTCAGAAATCGAAGGAATGTACGAAGTTGAAGAGGTCCCTTTGGCCCAAGGATGGAAAACAGCCCCAGGCGCTGACCATGTCCTGTGATGAGTTTCCCTGTATGTCAACATTGCACTCTGGATTCACTTGATTCAAGGCCATCTACTGACACGACACTCGTCCAGTCAACTCAGCAGCAGAGGGGGGCACAGGCGCTGTAAGCTGATCTTATTCTCTTTGAAACTTGTTGCGTGAAAACTAATCTGATGTCCTTTAGGAGGTCGCATGTGTTCCGGACGGTCAGCAGAAGTATCAAGCTAAGATCAATGGCCAACTTTCTTACATCAAGTACACCGTGAGTCAAAATTTTTGTACCTGGCAGCATCTATCAAATGTTTACTAATTAATCAGCCAACGGGCCAAACCGCATCGAAATACTGGAAGGACTCGTCATGGACAGGGCCGACAAGATACTACACCATGAACCTTTTCAGCTACACGAACACCCAGAACAACCTCGGGACAGTAGGTGGTATATTTTCGTCAGGTGCCACGAACAATCCTTCCATGAACCCAGGGACAGGACTCCTCCATGTTTTGGGTGGTATCAACCTCCAGGGAAACCCTGAACTTTCACTGACCAACAACGGCATCTGCCTCGTGTACCCTTACAAGAAGAAGGCCCCTGGTGCGCTTAAGGTCGATATGCTGGAAAGCAAGCCCTGCAAGATCCAATTCGAACCCCCGGCTACCATCGCAGCCAGAGGTTTGGACCCTAATGACCCTGACAACTGGGTGGTTACAAGTAAGTTGATCAAAACCAATTGATTGATGAGACATGACTAACAAATACTGTCCTCGACTCAGATGTCACACTTAGCGACGATCCCTTCGAGGAAGATAGTCCGTTCAAGGAGATGGCCGATCAACTCAACGAGATCGGCTTGGCGCATGATGATGATAGTACAGAGCCTGAATTTGTCACTGCGAAGCGGAGTCACAGTCATCACCATGGGTCACACAGACATCATATATAGATACGGAATTTTCCAATATTAAAACTTTAGAACGAAGTCAAGGAATGGATCCAGAAAATTTTCAGCCGGTCACTTATATATTCTTATACGACATTCATGAATTGTTACAGGGCATTTTTGAAAAAATGAGACCAATGTGGATCTATAGATATTCATTGGAATTGGTGTGAAACTTGGTTGTTTAGCTTGAGCCAAATCGACGGATCCTTCATCCCTTCCGGCTGTGTCTACTCGGTCACTTTGGAAGATCCCGGAGAGATTTTAATTAAAAATGTTTCAATTGAGTTTGATCAGGGTCCGCTTAGTCAGAACCCGATGAGTCAGCGGATATGAAGCCCTGAAGGACTCCCGAGCCCGGCATCGTCAAGGATCGCCGGCAGCATGAAGCTGGGCAATATCGGACCGGTATTATATATCTTAACATTCAGTCTGATCCCGAGACTTGATGGGTGTTTTCGTCCGTGATTTTCGCCCGCATGATAGATAAAAGAAGGGATCCCGTTACATTTCTTGCGATATGATCTCCAAAAGCGATCCAACAAACGCATAACACAATAGTCAATCGCTAAGCAGGTCGTCAGCTTGAAAGAACCGTGTCAGCTTTAGACAATCTACTTGAAGATTAAATTGCATCTATGGAGCGAGATGATGACACTGTCTTAGAAGGTCTTACTGGAACGTAATGAGGCTATACAGGAATTAGACCTCGCCAAAAACATTTAGAGGGCGAGCATCGCCCGCCCTCCGCCCGACCCACGAGGGCAGAGGGCAGGTAAGAGCCCGCCCTCGCCCAGCCCTCAGCCCTCGCGAGGGCCGCCGTCATCAGCCCTCATCCGCCCTCATTTATATAAAATTTTGCGACCTTTCCTAACTGAGCTGTATAATTCTGCTGATTCACCCTCATAGATTACCGTTTTTGAACAGTGTTTTTGTTTTAATAGTAGGTTTACTAGATATTTTTATATATGCGCTTAGAAATTCGAGGGAGTTCACTTCTATTTTGATGAACCATAGTAGGTGATAGTATAATTACAGAATTATCATGTGTTGAGATGTAGTGGTAGTTTATTGTTATAGAAATCTATAATTCTATAGTCTCAGTATCAAGAAATATATATTAATCATGTAGATAGGTGATGTATAAACTACATCTAACAACCACCATATTAATTCTTGACGTTCCCCTCTTAGTAGGTTCATTATATTAATACTAGTAGATATTAGGCTTCTTACTATTGTTCTATATAATGAAAGGGCTTTATGGCTTTATAAGAGATGAGTATGACTTTGACGTTTAAAATATGAAAGAATTCTGGTTGATTTCAAACTAGGTTCGGGGGCATTTGATTCAGCGAAAAAATGAGGGCCGATCTCCGATTTGAGGGCGGCCCGCATAATTCGAGATAGGAACTTCCAAGGTTAGCGACTCCACAATGAAACAGCTGACGTTATACGGATATTTAGAAACTGTCATACATGGTCGGCTTTTATTGCTTTGTTCTCAATCTCGTTGAGACATAATGATGGGGAAAGTAACCTTAGAAGTCCTGCGAGTGGGAAGGATTCAGACTTGTCTTAGAATTTGATGGATGGAATTTGAATGATTGGCCCTTAAAGTCCAAAGTTCAAGACTCTGCTTTTAGTGAGCTTACCTGCATGAGTTCTCCCCACAAATGACCCGAGGTTACAATCCTCTTGGAAAGGCCTTAAATCGCCCGCAATTTGAATGTCACTACAAGGTTCTTAATTATACCAATCGCCCAACTTTTGTATCATTCATCGCTTGACTCTATCGCAACATTCTCAAGATGGCAAAGATATACAATTCCCCCGTGATGTCGGGCCTTCTTTCTTTATTGATGGCTGCCGTCTCGGTGCAAGCCGAGATCCAATCCATCGCCCCGCCTGAAGGATGCCCAATGCCAACTTGGACGGTCAGCAATTTTCACTGGTACAATGGATCTCATAGCTTGGACTGTATTCACAACCAAGTGGACATCGACACGAAAGGCTGTCTCTGTGGCAGATCGTGGTGTGAACCTGATCCTGTGACTTGCAATGGTACTATGGTCAATGTGTGCTGGACTGGGATGCCCAACTACGAGCCATGGGGATACGGCCCACTGCAGACGTTGGATATCGGATTCGAGGATGGCCTGACTTGCCATGACCAGTATATTGGGTATCGCATCCACGATATTGGGAATGGTGAGAGCAACTGCGGATATGCGGATCGCGGGGCTGGGCGAATTGTTGCTTTCTACGGAACATCAAACTTGGAAAGTTCGACCGGCCACATTGATTATACCCTTGGAAGTGGACATGCTCTCCAATGCAATAACGGCAGCAGGATCACATATTCCGGAAGCACGGACTTCCCCCTCAGCTGCGCCCACGATTCTTTCTTCAATGCCACTTGCACTGCGCCAGTGTTCCAAGTTCCCATTCTTAGCTATGAATGGGTATCCTAAGGTCATGATGACATGGATCGTGTTTTGCCTTGAGGAATCTAACAAGTTACTCTGGATCTAATGCGACCAGGTGCTTGAAAACTTAAGCCCAAGGACAATAAATCTAGATCCATTTGGGGACCTCTGTCTGTCTGTCTCTCTCTGTCACTCTTGCCCTCTCTCTTTCTTTCACAATACGTCTCTCACGATACGATAATAAAGTCTGGGACACTGACCACGGTTGTGATCCTGATTGTGTCTTTGCGAACTGATAACATGTATTTTGTGAAACAGGAACGTTGGGGAGCTCATCTATTTGCATTGAATGATACTTCAATCCAACTAGTACTTATATTCCTTTTCTTTTAGCGATATCCAGTTTGGTCTAACTTCTTGTGGTCTGACTACCTCACGAAGAATATTAATCAATCGTCTCTGTGAAAGTCCGACTCTCTAGCACAATGATTTCCAGGCTACTCATTTTGATATGGCCAACCATGATAACATTTAGTACCGAGGTTTAAAAATTTTTTACCATAGACTAAGAAAAATTAGGTACATCAACGTCTTTGTTCTCCTTTCCTAATGATACCGCTACCATCATCGTAAATATGACAAACCTTCCTGCCCCTCTCACCTGATATCTCTACACTTATAACCCATTGCTTATTGTTACGGTTGAAATGGGATTGATGAATGGGGTTGTTTTCTCGATGCCTGGGTTTACATAAGAACAACCTTAGAATACAACAAGCCTGCCTATCTCTAACCGAACGTACCAGATTTCGACTCTATTAAGCTTTCCAAGTCTCTACAGGCAGTTTTATTAGTTATTAGAGCTCATTCCAACGCAAAAGGAAATTTGGATGTTGACACACCTCTTCCCCGCCCCTTCCTAGGCCTATGAACTTTTCCACAGCAGCCCACCAATATTCGGGTAATTTGTTTCTATCAAACCCACCCAATAGAGTAGAGCTCGAGCAGATATGCTAAAAAGACGAGACATGCTTTTTTGAATCTTGCAAAAAAGGGACCTCGGGAAATTTATAGGGAGCAAAAATACGAATTTACTATTTTCGACAAACAGACAATACAAGATATGAAAGTGAGATAATCTAGGTGATTGTATCGTTTTTTTTCCCAAGAGGACATTGTTTATATAACTCTTGAGAACTAAACCATGCAGTAGCTCGGTCATGTAGGGATACGCCTGTCACTTTTCAAGAAACAATCGGCCTTTCGGCTATTTTGAGTCAATCACATCCAATGGATTCACAAACCGGTCAGTTGGCGTTGAATGGACGGGTGTAGTAGCTATTTCGGAGGATTAGCAGCGCTCCTGAGTGGTGTGATAAACACGAGGTATGACCTTGTTACATAAATGACGTTCGGCCTCAGCGGCTATTGATAGGCGCTCTGGTTCCCATACTCTTTAGCGCCCCGCGCTCTGATCTTCCCGCTGAAACGAAAATAGCAGCCTATCACGAGCCGGTGAATATTCCCAGCCCGGTTGATGAGTCATCACTCTTATCCGGAGCTAATCAACTTAGTAGACTCCCATTATTTTGATCCTATGTACATTCTTCTGGTCTGACTTCGACAGAATCAGCATCCTTTCCCTCAACGTGTCATATATGGCTAAAATAATGAGATGGGCTTTCAATGCGTTCCGACGGCCTCCCTCGCCTCCCATATGTTTTCCCGCCAGTGGCTTCGAAACCGTTCGTCCCAGAGGTTCTTGACGAAGAGCGTTTTGAACAGTTCAAACTGGGGAAAAACTATCCTGCTAATATTGGCGATGTGCTAAGTTTCCGGTACCAAGTTGTTGGTAAACTTGGTTTTGGGACTACCTCCACTGTGTGGCTCGCCCGTGATCTTGAGTAAGTCAGGGGGTATCTATCTGTATCAATCAAACACTGACGCATGGAAACAAGAAGAGGTCACAAATACGTGACACTCAAGATCTACACCCGTGGCGAAGAGAATGAGGAAGAGTTCCAGATCTACAAGCAACTACGCCAAGGTAGTTCGTGGCACCATGGCCATGGTCATGCGAGGAAAGTCCTCGATCTCTTCAAAATCTCCACTTCGAGTGGTGATCATCCATGTCTCGTTCAGAACCCGACGTGGGAGAGCTTTAAAGACCTTCTTTATCGTAACCCCAATCATCGATATACCAAAGATCTCCTAAAATCTGGGTTCATGCAAATATTTCTTGCACTTGACTACATACACACCGAGTGCAATATTGTCCACACAGGTAACAAGATCCATTCAACCTTCCCAGACCGCATTTCTCTGACGTATAATTTATAGACATCAAAAGCGACAACATTCTACAAAACATAGAAGACAGGTCCATCCTTGAAGGTTTTACCGAAGCTGAGTTGAGAAGTCCTTCACCCCGGAAGATCGTGAACGGTTTGCCGGTATATGCCTCACGACGCTTTGACCTACCAAAGGTATTTGGTCGGGCAGTTTTGAGCGACTTTGGCTCTGCAGTACGAGAAGACGTGAGGAGGAATCACGATGCGCAGCCAATATTTACAGATCGCCAGAGGTAATGCTGAAGACCGATTGGAGCTATCCGATTAACGTATAGAATGTTGGCGTAATGATATGTTTTACCTGTTTGCTGTCAGTATCCGATACTAAAGTCAGGAATAACAGGTCTGGGATTTGTTTGAAGGAAGACACCTTTTCCATGGAAATGATCCTGATGGCGAAGGGTATTCGACCCGGGCGCATCTTGCAGAAGCTATCGGGATTATCGGGCCACCTCCAGTGGATGTGCTCCAGCGTGGAAAGCGAAGCCATGAATTCTTCACTTTCGATGGTAATCATTCTTTTCCAACTCAATGCAGTTTGCAAAAACTTACAAATACAATATTCTAGGGAAATGGAAGGAAGACATACCAATCCCCACAGGGGTCAGTTTGGAGCTGTCTGAAGAGATGCTTCAGGGAACGAACAAGGAGATGTTCATTTCCTTCATGAGAGGGATGCTTCAGTGGCGTCCTGAAGACAAAAAGACCGCAAAAGATTTACTCCAGGATCCGTGGCTAAATTCCTAGCAACAGTAGATTGTATTCTCTTCGATATATTGATATCCTTACACATACGCCGCACTTGGTAAGACCTCGGGATCCGCCAATTGAATAATATTTCAAAAAGGTAGCCTCCTACTAAGATTGCTGTGAATTCTCCGAAACACAACCGGGGAAAAGAAGGAAGAGAGAGAGAGAGAGAGAGAGAGAGAGAGAGAGCTATCTAAGCAAAGGGAGTCATCTGACCTCCCAACATATGTTGATCCTTGTTTACACAGTTCCATAGTTCGTACAAGCTGGGTGGCCATATAAAGGTCGCGGGCGTGCGAGGCTAGCAGTGAAAGCACTTAATCATTTCCAAGGTTTTCCTATTGTAGCCTCGCCCAGCCACAAATTTGACCTATTACAACAACTACTCTATGTGCGGCTGCTAATGGCACATCTGAGTACGTATCGCTGTTCTAATGAAGTACATTTATTCAATTCCAATGTTGAATACGATTGAAAGTGGAAGATACCGCAGGTATTCATTGAAGGCGAATTTAGCATGATATATGTACTTATGTGGGATAGATTCTGCAATTGGTCCTCAAGACAAAAGGTTTCAAAACAGTTCTGCCCATGATGGTTTGCTAATGTGGAGAGTCCTCATTCTGTTCAAAATGTTCCCGGGCCCAAGGACTGCGCAGGCGGATGGCCTTTCCCTTGTAAAAGAAGATAAAGGGAATCGGCACCAGGAGAATGGAGATGAAGCCCAGCAGGCTAGACGCCCATTCGTAATCAAGCTTCTCATACATCTGAGTGGCGAACAGCGGGAAACCAGCTCCCACCACATTACGAACGAGAATCACACCTGCCAAAGCTGACGCAGAGTAAGTTTGGTAGCTATCCACCACATAGTTCAGAATGCTGAGAATCACGATGTATATCCCAGCGCCGAAGAATGACGAGGCGATGATTGGTACGACCCAATGGACTGAGCGATAGCTGGTCCACCCAAACCAAAAAAGGCTGATGGGAATGAGGATTGCTCCTCCGCGGGCCATCCACATCCGTGCCTCAGGAACACCCTTCCCATCATTCTCGGCAACGCGGCGCAGATAATATCGCTCCTGGAGTGGATAGAAACAGAAGGCGATCAGGGGACCGATTGCCATGCCAAGGAATGCTAGTCCCTGTTGGCCGCCGTTGAACGGATGACCTTTCGGGGCGCCGAAAACCAATGGAATTGCTTCATTGAACAAGTAGACCAATCCATATAAGAAGCCGTTGTAGATTGCAGAGAATAAAGTGATGGGTTCAGAGAAGAGGAACCGGAATGGACGTGTGAGGGTGATGCCGAACAGTTCATGCAGACCTTTTCTGCTACTGGCATGCATATCCGCGGTTGACTCGGCAGACGCAAGATGCTCTTTCTTCATTTGCCGACGGACACGCTTGGCTTTGTGCTGGAGAACGGTTGTGTGTCGAGTTTCGGGGATGGTAGTAACCAGCACCAGCCACACGCCGCCGGTCATGGCCATCAGCACCCAGAAAATCCAGCGCCAGCCGAGATTCAACCCAATGTATCCTGTGATCACCAGCGCCATGGGTGGGCCGAATGTACTGCTGAGCCCGTAAACAGCCATAGGACCTCCACTCTCGTTACGTTCCCATAAATCGCTGATGCTGCCTCCGGTATTGGTAAGGGGAGCGCCGCCGGCACAGCCAGCAATGAATCGACAAACTAAAATAGTTCCAATGTTGGGAGCGAGAGCGAGCGGCAGCTGGAAGATAAATAAACAGAACCAAGAGACGACGTAAACTGGCTGGCGCCCAAAGTACTCCGACAACGGGGCCAGAAGGACGGGTCCAATGGCATATCCAAGGACATAGAGAGACAAAGCCAGAGTAGTAATCTCAGCGGAGACACCAAATTCTTCTTGGATCCCAGTAGCGCCCGACGAAATACCTCCTGCGCACCAAGTTCTGGGGGAGAGTTAGCACGTTGGCCGAGCGAAGGAAGGTGATGACATACGTGAACACATTTAACATGCTCACCACGATGGTAATGTACCATTTGCGCCATTTGGGCCAATTGCGAGGGTTGTCCGAGTCATCCGGGCCATATGCGACAAGGATAGGTAGGGCGTCACTAGGGCTGCTCCGTGCCTTGGCGAGTGCTTGTTCCTCTGACAACAACAGGGATGAGTTTTCGCGACGAGAATCGGTCACTTTCTCCACGTCTTGATGTTCCCCAACGGGATCTTTCTCTATCGACATGGTATGAACTCTCAATTTGAGACAGACCAGGAACAGAATCAAATGAGTAGGGAAACAAGAGAGGCCAGGCAAAAAAAAAAAAAAAAAAAAAAAAAAGAACCCCCAGATGGAGCAGCTCTTTAAGCGAGGGGTAAAGACCGGGGATGAGCCGATAGTCCTAGCCCTTGGGGACTCCACACACGACACCCCGATTGAATGCCGAGTTCGCCACATCCAAGTGGTTCGGTCTGCCGAAAAGAAGCATTATTGGCAAATGCTTGGCTGGGGAGAGTCTCCACTAGGGTCTCTCCACCATTTCTCACCCTCTTCGGTGTGGGAATTCGTCATCCAGTGGGGAATACCTCATTTCACACTGTCATTTTCATCCGTTACCGAGAGCACAGGGAACAGACTGAACCGTGGAAATACCTCTCCTTAAGTGGTGAGAAAATTCGTCGCTGAGTTGGGTTGGATCGTCAGGGACGAATGTCGGGTGGGTTTGGGAGGTTTCGACCATCATCAACATGAAGTGCTCAGTGCTCAGTGCAGTCTACTGCCAACCCATCCCAGCTTCCATCGCCCGGAGTTGAGACAAACGAGCCACAACGTTTCTCCGACAATCTCCCCAACGGTGGGCCGCGGATGTCCTCCGCACATGGAGTTTCAAGAATTTCATATGACATCATTGGCACGGACGGGCGATGATAATCACGCAGGCTGTACGGAGTACAGAATAGCTCAAAAGTAAAAGGATTACCTATCACCGCGCATTCTGATGGCTTTTTTTTTTTTTTGCGGGGAAATGGAAAGTTTTAAGACTGAGAGATGGGTACAGGGCCGGGTAAAATCCCTCTAGGGTCTGGGGGCAAAGGGGCCAGGAGAAGGGTGAAAATAGATTGACCCGCCTGCGGGCTGTGATTTTTTCCACCTCCATGCCCACATCTGCTTTGGTATGTTTGCAATCACCTACACAGGCACGATATATGTACTTGAACCACTACCCTCCGTGCACTCAATGTTACATTGGTCTGAAACATGACACATTGACACCATGTCCCAATGGGCGCCCAGGTGCTTGACTTTGAGCGCGGAGTGAATTATTTACCGTTTTTCTATAAGGGGATTCGGGTCGGCACTGCGGTGCACTGGTGGTACGCCATCAATAATCGACTGCCATTTCTCTGGCCAAGACACATCCAAAATGCTCTGCCTTGAACGTCCTCAGAGTCCCAAGGTCTCAGTCATCCGATTTACCTCGGATAGCTCTCTGGCCTTTGTGGTACTTCTCGTCATATCGATCTGAGCTGTCTTTGATTCCCGTTACACGTACCGAATCAGCTCGAGGTACGCGGGTTGATGACCAATGCCTCCCCGTACATGCTCACATCATAGCCATTCTCTGCCAAGTATGTTTTGAATTTGGCGTCTTCTGACTCCAGTTCTCGAGACATATCAGGAATGAGAAACCAGGCAATGAGACCACCAACCACTGTGAATGCTGCGCCTATCAAAAAAACGGCTTGCTGCCCCTGGACGGTTGAATCAAAGGAGTCTTGAATAGGGGTGAAGACTTCGGTCCCAATGGACGCACCGGCTTTCCCAACCGCAGCTGCCAATCCCAGGAAATGTCCCCGCAACGGGGTGGGAATCGACTCGGAAGCGCAGAGGAACGTCGAGACACCAGGTCCCATCTCGCCAAGTGCTTGAAAAACACCGTACATGATTATGAAAAGTGGGAAGACTTGTTGAATTGGCTGCAGTGCACCTCCCAAAATGAAGCCCCATACGGCCCAGAGTATGAAACCGAGGGTCATGGTCTGCTTCCGACCGATCCGATCCATGAGAAGACCCCCAAGCAAGCAGCCTGGAAGATAAAAGCAGTTGATCACTGTCTGCAGATATTACTGTTAGCTACATCGGCCGTCGGTGGATTTGGAGGTGTCATGACCTACCCCATACCCAATATTTTGAACTGTTGAGTTGTTGGGGTTGAGCTGCGCAATGATCGTGGAAGAAAACAGGCCAAATGGGTATGTGACAAAGTCATAGCAGAACCAAGCCAATGCTTCATTGTCACTGTTAGCCAAGTCCATCATCCTCGGATTCTAAGGGCCGTCGCTTACATGTCCCAAGCATTGGTTTCCAATAACGGCGGAGAACTAACCAATATGGATAGTTTAATTTGATGGCATGCTTTCGATATTGAGTGGAGTTGATCATTCGAATCCGAAAGAAACATATTGACAGCGGGAGCTAGGCATCCATATGTTAGGCCGCACCCAAATTGTGGATTCGATCGAGAATTGAAGACTTGCCACTATACCCAGCCCAAACGTGACTCGCCAAACCCCCTCTGAACCTCGTTGGTTATAACAAGCAAGTACAATCAGTGCCACTAAACCAGCAGCGACAAAGCCCTATAGCAGTGTGAGCAGTATCCTTGTTTCGGGTAGCACCTGAACTCACCAGATCCACGGCAAAGTCAGTCGTCACCGCAACCAAGAACCCACGTCGCTTTCGTAGCTGTGCTGTCTCGTCCGCAGCTTCTGTGGCACTGGTGGCACAGACAGGATACTCTCCCCCCGCGCCGAATCCAGCGATTCCTCTTGCCACGATCATCATCCAAAACATGCTGAATGTCGATTTAGCTTTCATTAACCACTGCAACCCAGAACTGGTAGAAACTTACCCTAGCTGGGAATTTCCGTGAGCGGCAGTTGCCAGTGACACTCCAATCACCAGGAAGGCCGTCGCAGCGACAATACCCGTCCGGCGCCCTATGCGATCAATCAAAACACCAAAAAAGACCATGCCAAAAATTTCGCCAATAAGATACGAGTTCGAAAGGCGCGACTTGATGGTTGAAGACATTCCGTCCTTGTAGCTAGTTTTGCAAATCAGTGATGAGTTTTGGTCAGGGCTTGCAGGCACCACGGCGTTCTAGTACTCACAGCATTGAGAACAAAGGTTCCATATACCCAACTACTCCACAGTAAGTTCATCTTCACACGCTGTCCATGTTCGACTTCGACTTCGACTTCACTCACTGATCTGAGCGTTATAACTATTAGGGATTAGGGAAGCCCAGAAACCACTACGTTGAGCACGCCCGAACGTTTCTTCTCAGGCTCCCGTTCTTCGATGTCCCACTCAGCCTGGGGAGGCTCTTTTTCTGACTCTGTGGACTTCATTCTGACATCGCTGGGAGACAGATACATGTCGGCTTCGATTCCGGACCTCGGGAATCCAAGACAAATACGCGGAGCTTGAGATAGGAAGCTTTTGAGGTCTATATACGCAGGTTCTTGGATGGACTGAACTGTGGACTGGTCCCGATCGAACCAATGGCAGAGAGAAGTAGAGACACGGGAAACCTTGCTAGGAAGTGCGAGATCCTGGCGTAGTACTCGACGTTGTACTCGATCGTATCTCTGTGTACCTGCAGCCCCATGTGTCACGCAAATGGTCCAAGCTCAGTGACACAAGCTCCACAATGTGCGCGGTTCCATGGTTGAGATTGCCGACTTCCGCTTCACGGACCTCGGGAGGCTTGGCGGTCCCCATTTCCCCGGCCCAAGCGGGAGTAGCGCAGTGGGCTCAAATTGACCCCCCTATTAGAGCTCACCTTCTTCCCATGTGCCAGCCATTCTATACAACATACCACTACCACGACCACTACCTCTTCTAATGTGGCTCTATCTACTACATGAGCCGTGCAACGTTGATCTCGGCATGAAGCGCGACACCTGAGGTCTTGACCGGCCGTGGGGATGGCTCGGTCTATAAAGCCCATGTCTAGCAGGCCGCAAAACTCGCACCGGCGTTTAATCCTTGTTTTGTTCACTTGAGTTCAGTCCTTGCAAAACGCAAAATGAACGATTCTTACTTTACCCTCTCTGATGACCAACTTCAGAGCTTTCAGGACAATGGGTACCTGCTAGTGCGCGGTTTCTTCACTTCCGATGAATCAAAGTTGTTGCAAAAATGGGCATCTGAAGTCCATGATCTTCCGTGCACCCCTGACGCTCCCTGAATGCCTTATCAAGAGGTGAACTCGGAGGGCAAACACGTCCTCTGTCGCACCGAAAACTTTGCCAATTCGCATGCCGGGTTCAATGGCTTCCTCCGAGGGAAACGTGCCACAAGGCTGCTGAATCAACTAGCAGGAGAAGACATGATCCTTTTCAAGGAGAATATCAACTACAAGTTGTCCGGAAGTGGTACGGAAAATACTCTTTGGCAGGTTCCTGAAACAATTGTTCACATGCATCATAGGTGGTTTCGCCCCTCACATCGACGCCAATGCCTATACACATGTCAAGAACATCAAGCATTTGACTATTCTTGCGGCTGTGGACGAAATGAACGCAGCCAATGGAGGTCTCGAAGTGGTCAGCGGAAGTCACCGCATGGAAGTCCCTCTCGGACAAGACCGATGCATCACCTCGGACTGGGTTGAAAGCAATGTGTGGACGCCAGCGGAACTCGAGTCTGGTAAGCAGAATCCAAAACATTCGCAGATGTTGAAAGGAAGTTTTCTCACAGAAGCAAGGTGATATCCTGATTTTTGGCTCGTATCTGGCACATCGCAGTGGGGCGAACGGTAGTTCGAAAGACCGACGCGCCATCTACGCAACATACAACTGTGCGGTCGAGGGAAACCTACATGATCAGTACTACGCTGATCGTCGAGAGGTCTGGCCTGCAACGCACATGCGCAAGAATGGGCTTTCTTACGAAGAAGGCCGTGCTCGGTATGCCTTCGGGTCACCCATGTTAAGTGTGGACACCGAAGTCAATTCTGCAGTTTGATCAACGAGAGGGCGTCTCATTCCATAGCCTGAATCAGAGGTACCTAGGCAGTGATAATTCTCTGATACAGTGGAAGCAGCGGCCGGCCAATCTAGACGTAGAGATGAGTTTGTTGGCAACAGGTCCGTTCACCCATAGATCATAGAGAGATGTGGGCCCTCGGGACAATGACCAATCGCTTCTCAATCAGGGCACGTGTAATCTTGGAAGATGAACCATATGTCTGCGAAATCGGTATTAATTCGAAGGACGGTAACCCTTCGAGGGGGCTCACATTTGGATCGCTCCGCTCTATAAAAGGCCATCCCCCCGCCCAATGATTTCTTCTCCTTTCTTATATCTTTCGACAATTAAAGGAATTTTGACCTCGGTAGAGTCTTAAATAAAGTTCGAAGAATAATGGAGAAATTATCATCAAGGGAAAAGGCATTGGCGTTGCTTGACGCTTTGGAAAGATATGGCCAGGGCGACTACATCGGAGAGTCAATCAGTCAGTTGGAGCACTGTCTACAAGCAGCACACCATGCCTCCAAGCCAGTGAGTAGAGAATTTTGCACACCAATCACAAGTGCTGACAGCTTCATAGATGCTCGTGATGAATTGGTGATAGCTGCTTTATTGCATGACATTGGCCAGATCGTTCCTTTGGAATCCACCCGAGAGGCACGTATGGAACTGGGTCCAAGCCAAGCCAACGTTGGTCGTGTGGGCCATGAGGCCATTGGTGCTTCTTATCTTCATTCTCTGGAATTTAGTGAGACGGTGTCTCGCTTGGTGAATAGTCACGTTGCAGCGAAACGGTATGTGGCCCGAAAATCAGTTTTGCTTCCACCCTGACCTTCCAGTTACCTAACGGCGAAGAGCCGAGAGTATTACATATCCCTTTCTACCGCCTCCCAAAAGTCTCTCGAGTTCCAAGGTGGCCCTTTTCAGGGCGATGATCTGAAAGCGTTCGAAGCAGACCCTCTCCGAGATGATATGGTTTCACTGCGATTGTGGGACGATGCTTCCAAGGTGGAAGGAATCGAAGCTTTCACTCCCCGCACTCAAGCATATCTGGATATGATCACCGGACATCTGGACCGCCAATGCTAAGCAAAAAAGAGATTCACTAGAGGGCCTTTGTGTGGGCTTTCGTTCGCGCCCTTAGATCCCCTGGTGATGGCCTGATGACTCCATCCATCCATGGATGTTCTCTTTTCATTTGATTTGCGTTGACTCTTTGTTTTTCTTCTCCTCGAGTTTTGCTAGTTAGTTATTTGGGTTTCGACCATTTGCCTCTCAGGTTCATTGGTTGTGTGTGCAATTCTCTCGATGAGAGTTCAGGCCGGAATATTAGGTAGCGATCATATTGGATACTTGATAATTATATATCACAAAATGATGAGAAACATTATTGGGGGATAACCTTGGAAATTCTCAAATATATATGGAACGGTCGCAGGAAAATGGAAGTATATGCAAAATCGAGTACGAGGATTGTCAGATCGGTGCCCAGGTGGGGTTGCGGTATACTCCGTACTCCGTACCAGTTTGGAAGTGTACGGGTAGGGTCCACAAAAGCTTGACGGGAAGATGCACTTGGGAAGTTAACTAGCAATAATAACCTAGCCCCGAGGTCTCCCCGAAGATATGAAGTAATATTAAATTAAAACGGAGTAACACATGTGGCTTTTTGAGGAAATGGAAATTTATCCAATGTACAGAGAATACGTATACAAAGAGCGTGGCAATTGGAACAAAAACATGGGGGCCTTGGGAGGTGGAGACTTGACCACGCAATGCCATCAACCCGATCGACTTTTGTGCTTGACATTGTCAATATTGTCAATATTGTCAACATTGTCTGGCATTTACTCTGAAAGTACTAATCATACAGGGGTACTCTGTACCAGACATTTCTCCAACATTTCTCCAACATTCCTTTCCACGCCAAGACGAGGCTGCAAGTTTCAAAACTTCCGGGGCCTTGGAAGGTCTCAGCCTCACATGAGTTTTTTTCGGCTTGCGACATCAACCCCCGGCCCCCCGGCCGTGATTTTTTCGCTTTAAATCGGACTCCCCGAATACTCCGTACGGATTATTCCATCCCAAGACCCAAGTCCTCCCAAGGCTCACGTCGACTCTCAAGTTGATATTTCCCATTTGTGGGCACTGGTCCTGTTTTCACTTGTCTCTTTCTCCACCCCTCCCCACCTGGGCACGTCCGACAAACCCCCCGCAGCTTCTTCTAATATATGTGACACGATGCGCAAGTGCTTGCAGACCAACCAAACACCATCTTGGATCTTGGCATTAAGTGTACTGGGCATTGTGTCCATCTATGGCCTTTGGTACGGAAACTCATCGAGCAAGAGCGAAAACCATACCCTTGCTCGCAAATCCACGGGCGGCTTTGACACAATTCAACCCGATGTGTCCATCGCGATAGCCACCACGATCCTACATCCCGGGCCTACTCTTCCGACTTGGCTCGAGTATCATTTGCGCTGGGTGGAGCACGTAGTGATATACATGGACGACCCGGATGAGCGTCCCACCTTTGAGCGACTGTGCAAGGACAAACCCGTCACGCTCTTGAATGGATCGCAGGTCGAGCCTCGGATGACGCCGGAAAGTCGCCTCATCAGGCGCCAAATGGCCAATATGAGGCATGCAATCACCTACCTGATAGAGCGTGGCTACACCTGGCTCCTCCACATGGACCTGGATGAATTGCTATATGGGCCTCTACTAGAGTCCTCTGCATGGGCTCGTGACCCCGGGGTAGGCCTCGTTACCTTCACCAATTATGAGGCCCTTCCGGTCGCTTTCGAAACCGTGGATCCATTTAGAGACTGCGTGTTCTTTTGGGTGAACGGGGTGGAGCACAACGCCAACTTCTTAGCCTACGGCAATGGCAAAAGCGCAGTCCGCCTGGGGTCCACCGTTGAGCCAAGAGGGGCTCACTCATTTTCTGGGCACACCGGCAGGGTATTGACCCCTTCCGTGGAGGAGGCAATCGTGTTACACTACCCGTATCCTTCATATGACAGCTGGTTACGCAAGTTTAACCATTACGGTCGCTTTTCTGACAACTGGTTTGGCGACCGCTGGGCACCCAAGATTATGGACTTTATGTTGAACTCACGAGACGTGGTACAGAAAGCCCATCAGAATGGTGACTGGGCTAATGTAAAGGCGTTCTTCTCCGAACGAGTCCTGGATCTCAAGTCCGTGGAGGAGGCCGTTTTGCACGGCAAAATTCGTCGCTATATGCCTCTCGCAGACTTTGCAGAGCACGGATGAAGCCTAGCAGGCGAAACAATTATGAATCAAACGACACATCCATTCATTGCCATCGACACATTGAAGTGAGAATGCGCAGATGCTTATCGGAGATCTTTCCCCCAGAGAACAGCGGCGGTCCTCATTTGATCAAGCTTGGATGTGTGGTCCAGCGTCACCATGATACGAGAAAAAAATGATCAATGACTACCTAGAACTTGGTGGTCATCGGGCCCGGCACATTTACGGCGGCCAATTTCTCACTTGCTTGGGTTGGAGAGGACCACCACCCACATCGTCTTCAACTAACATTTCAGGATTGAGGCATGCACAGTGATGAGTGACGCAGGCCTGGGAAGCGCGATGTAAGGTCCAGTTGGGTCTATCTATCCGGGTACGGCCCATAGAGGTCAAAAGGAGAACAGTTTCGCCAACTCCATATTGCTTTGGACCAGATCAGCTCCTTTAATCCCTTGGTGGAACCCTGGAATCTCAACCGCAGTCACTAAAAATATCATTTCTACTTGAAATTTTGGATTATGGCTGTATACCGCCAGGGCAGACTTTCCCTCAATGTCGCATCACTTGCTTCCATGATCCTCCATCAGTCATCGTTCTAATCGCTGAAATTAAAGGGGGCCTTCGCTCAGAGCAAATATTCTCAACATGTGTCCAGCATTTGGACAAGAGCAGACTTTTCAGCTGAAGTCACAGTGAGTTTGTAGACTGACTTCACCTTGACCCACATCTTGGCATACGTGCAGTAATAAGACGCTGTTTGAGTGTTAATGAGAAATCAATCATTCGTGAACGGGGGTCTAGCCATACCCAAAGGGGGCTTCCAGTCTTCGGGGCCCTTGTCTCCCTTTGATGAGTTCACACTATCTGTGACGGCGAGAAGTTGGGGGTTCGTAAGGTCATTGGCGAAAGCACGGCGATCTTCCGTCGTCCAGCTAGCAGCACCGGACTATGAGACGGTCAATATACCACTGATTGAGATTACAACAGAGATTTATTTTACCTTCCAGGCGTTCGACAACGGAACCATGTGATCAATGTCAACGTCACTTGCAGCTGACCAAGTTGCACCGTCATATGGAGAGTACCAGGATCCACTTGTGGCAGCGCAACTAGAGCTTTGGACCACATTTGTTCCGTCTCGAGCCAATACGACCTCACGTGTGTTGCATGTGCTATCTTGATTTAGATATCAGTTCATGGGGAAGCCCTGTTCTTTCAACTCACCCGCTTTGGGTGATCCAGTGCGGAAACAAAGTCCGGCTGTACCCGTCCTGTGATCCCTGGGCAGCTACCGTCAGTCCCGCAAGTTCACTGACGGCAGTGGAGGCAGATGGTATTCCAGGTGGCGACGGAGTCGGCAGTGCTCCACTCAGCAAGGGCTGGCAGACCACCAAGAGCCACGCGACTCCAGAGATGCCCATTGTGATGATCCTTCGAGACAAAGTCAAATTGGAATGCGAGAGGAACTTGGCCCGAGGAATCCAAAAAAGGCTTTACGGCAAATGTAGAGCTCGAGGCAGCAGGCTTTATATCGCATCTTATCTTTGTCTCACCTTGACTGCCGTGCACAAAGATTGTGCATGTTTAGCTCGAGACGCATTGTAACATCGGCCCCCGAGTCTTGGCCCGGGGCTTGGCGTTGCACGTTGAGGATTAACTGGTCGACCGCTAGACAATGCATGAGGTGTGTCTTAGCAAAGTCATGCGATTCGCTCTTTTTCCAGTCATATCTGGATTTCACGCGCTGCAAAAACAATAAATGGGTTGAAACATGCAGACGCATTGAGGTGGAAATTACCCCGTTGACAAAAGGAAATGATCAGCGGGCAATTCACATCACATCCCTTGCTGCGGCGGTTTGGTGAACTCGACATTGCTACTCCGTACTATGTCTACATTTGTGATGGGCTGAATGAATCGTTTGGCTTGCCTTGAAAGAATGTCTGTGATAGTGATTGTCGGCACTTAAAGATATTGATAGGATTCACAGCAACCCTCTGGCAAACTGCCAGGGCACCGTAGTCTTGACACCCAGTGTCTTTGCGGCAGTCAATACCCATTCCGGTTCGCGAAGGAATTGACGAGCCAGCAGGACCGCGTCCGCTTTAGGGTCCTTGCCAGACAGCATTGCTTCAGTCCCTTCGGCCTCTTCCGCTCCATCAACTATGTCGCGCGCAAATTCAGCCTCTGTGATGAACCCGACCGCGCCAATGAGCGTCTTTTGATCAGCAGCGTGGATCTCGCGGCGAAGTTTGGCAGCAAGATCGATTTGGTAATTCGTATGAGGCTCAAGATGTTGATCTTTGTGATTTCCTCCAGAGCTCACGTCTAGGAAATCTACACCCAATTCAGGCAGCAACTTGGCCACTTCGATGGAGGAGGCCATGTCCCAACTTCCTGTCTGGGCTGCGACGGTCTCATTCTCGAGCCACTCCGTGGCGCTGATTCGAAGAAAGAGTGGCATCCCACTTGGAACAACAGCACGGATCGCGGCAGCAATTTCGGATACAATTCGAACTCGGTTCTCCAAGCTGCCGCCATATTTGTCGACTCGCCGGTTTGTGACAGGGCTGAGGAATTGATGGATCAAATACCCATGCGCACCGTGTATTTCAATCACATCCACTCCGGCTTGGGCGGACAATTCTGCACTCCGCGCAAACGCCTGAACGATCTCTTCGACCTCGGCAGTGCTCAGCTCGCGAGGAGCCCAGAACTGATCCCCCGGCGCCCAGATCTGCTCATCTCCGCCAGAGGGGCCAACCACATTGGCTGGCCAACCCCCCACGCTCTCGTCGGCTTTGATGCTCCGCTTTTTACCTTGGGACGAGAGCCAGGGGGCCACGGTGCTAGCCTTTCGGCCAGCGTGCGACAGCTGAATGCCGATCTTAGCACCTTGGCTGTGAGCGAAATCCACCACACGGCGCAGACCCTTGAATTGCTCCGACTGGGTACCCTTTTGCCAGAGTCCACTGTCGTTCGGTGAAATGCGACCATTGGGCTGGACGGCTGTGGCCTCAATCAATATCAAGCCGACGCCTTTGGTGGCCAAATGGCCAAGGTGTGCGATGTGATAGTCCGTGAGAGCGCCTACCGCAGGGGAAGCGGGATCGGATTGTGCCGAGTACATGCACATTGGTGCTACAATCACTCGGTTTTTGAATGTGACATCTCGGATTTTTAAAGGGCGGAAAAGGGTTGGTGTTTCTGAGGCTTGTGGGTCAACAGCGGCTCCTGCATTGTTGGCGGGAGTGAAGTATGGCAGCCCGCTTGCATGTTCAACCGCTGGGGAATTGAACGCAGTTGATCCCATCGTCGCTGTTTGATCTTTCTGTGAAGAATGAAGGAGATTAAGGAGACGTAACCTTGGAAGAGATAGAGGAGAACATATATTCAATCCCCAAAGTCGCAAATACAATTCCACATGGGCATTAATAATCCATCCGCTGACAAATAAGCTGGATCGGCACGATTGCCGAACAACCGACTTTCGGAGTTGACCAGCTTGAAAGGGGGAGGGAAAAAAACAAGGGCATTCTTTGTTCCAAGACTGCGTGGTCAATAATCTCAATAATCAGGAAGCCGGAGGAGGTCTTACCGGCCTTCCTCACAAGCGCAGAAAGCACCTGTCCCCGTTTATACAGTTATACGGAGTATCTGGGGCCACGTTCACGGGGAACCTTGGAACCTTGAAAGGTGTTTTGAACTCCCCTTAAAGCCACCCCCGATTACGATCAATTGACCTCCTCTGCCTGCCATGACAAGCGAAGTATCTCTGAGAGTCTTTTCATAGTCCCGTTCCTTGTGGCTGCCCAAAACGCTGCAATTTGAGCCAAAAGACAATCCCGATCCGATGACTCCGCCAGGTGAATCCCTAAGACATAGAACGGCCAGCAGTAATATTCGGCGAAATAATCTAGCGCAGGTTGTAAACTTTGTACCGCGCTCATGCCTTCTTTGAGAAGACAGTCAACGACCGGATCTGGTCGGCTTCGGTCCGAGTTGAGCATTCGCTGCAATAAAATTCGACAACCTAAAAGGTACAGACGTGGCCCAACCACGGCATTACGTCTCTTTTCTATCATTTGATGCCATGACTCGTGGGCACAACGATAGCACCGACTTTCGTCATTTGGAAACACGAAAGGCTCGTCCAACAAGGCCGCTGCACTAGTCCAGCGGTCCCAATGAATCAGCTCGGTTTCGAGCCCGTGGATCAATTCTTGGTTGGGCTGGGTGGAGGAGAAGGATTGAGAAAGACGATATATGGCAAAACTGCAGCGGAAAAGTTGAGGTGCGACCCCTAATACGGGAGACTCTGGATGGGAGAGTACTGGTATGTGAAAGTACTGGCTGAGATGGCTCTCTGCCAGGGAAAACGCGGATTCGATATTGGAGGTAGTCTGATCGCATCCATGAAACGGCAGACTCGTTGCAGCATGAAAGATGAACGATTCATAGACTAGGCGTTGCATCATGTGTTCTTTCTCCGAGATGTCGGATGTTGTCTTCCAGTACTGGGAGGCAAGATGAATCAATTGAGCGGCCCCCGTCAAATGAATCACTGCGCTTACAGGGCCACGAGGTTTAGATCTCTGCTTGCTAGTAAGTAGGTCGATCGCTTGCAAATCAATACCTGTCGTGGACTGACCTCATATATGCATAGCATCAGGACGGTATGCATGGTCACCAACCATCCCTTGGCCGATCCTTGCTTTTCCAAGCTCTTGCGTAATCCAGCCACCGCTTTGGCGTAATGATATTGAGTCATTTCTTGGATATCCGCCGATTGGGCGGGAATCTCGGCGCCAGAACATGCAAGCAATGCATGCATGCAGGCAGGAACTTGGGTTGCCATGACCAGTGACTCCCGGCTAAATAACTCGATCAGGCGACATGTTGCAGCTGGTCGGATGAGCTGCGGAAGAAATGTTGTGCGCAAGAAATCGAATAGAAGGGCACTACGGGTAGTAAGAGCTGGGGAGTACTGGCTTCTCCTGATCAAGTATTGTTGTTCTGTCTGCAAAGCACCACCTTGACCAGGGGGTGTAGAAGTCATCGGATGCAAAATCTGGGAGAGTTTCTTTGAGCGCGATTGGTCCTGATTGGTGACCTTCATTGCGGCCAGCCGAGTGGTTGTCGTAGATCGAAATTCAGCGAAGCCATCGCAAGGGGAAGTTGATTCTTGAAACACTGGTGACTGCGGCAAGCCGATCTGACTATGAGGGAGGTCATGGTCCCACTGTGTCTGAAATGGATGTCCAGATGGCCAAAAACATTCAACGGCTTGCTTTTTACAGTTGAGGCATGTGAGAGGAGTTTCGTCACATTTCTTTCTTCGCTTCCGACCTCCAAAATTGTCAGCACGGCATATTGAAAAACGGCAATCAGCTCAGCATGCTAGTACTGCGTAGCTGGTGGATCAAAAAAGGTATCATATTCCACATCGTTCTCTTTGAGCATGAATATATACCTACAGGTCAAGCAACCGACTTTTGTCCTGAGCGAAGCAGGCGGGCGACGAGGTTTTCGATATGACTTGCGCGGAGAAGTTGTCATCTTCGGTAAGTCATGTGCACAAAATTACATGTTTACTCCCCGTACTTCACAGCTCCGAGTTGTAGCGAAGTTGCACGACGTTGCTGGTTTGAAGGCTGACTGCAGTCACGTGCCACGTCGCCGAAAACCGGAGTGCCCCTTTTCCCAATTCGGAAGGTCCACCCTGTCGGCACTCTTTTGGAAACTGCGGTCTTGTTATCTCGTCACTGAATGACTGCACTACATCCTCTGATCTAGGTGATCCCTACCATGTCTACCATGTCTACCATGTCTACCATGTCTACCTGTCATACGGAATTTCACAGTCGAACGTTGGAACCTTCCCAGGTTGGAAATTTGGAAGGTTTCGTTTACATCAAGCAGCCCCGATGGCAATACCGCAGACCCACGCGACATCCGCAGAGTTCACGGGTGTCTAGTACGATACAACTTTCAAGGTTTATGGTGTATGGGCGGAAGTCTGATATGTCTTCAAGGTTCGTTTGCTTCCTCAATAATTTGGGTTAGTCCATAGAATTGCCCAGAGGTGATCTAATAAGGACCCTGCCATTTACTGTGGCCTCTCTGGCATCCTCTGCATGGACCAGGAATCCTCGCAATGCCCGCTTTGAAGAGGCGTGAATATTGTTCCCACTCACGCGAATGGGGAGTAAGTCTCTGGTCGCGGGGGTGGACACAACCAGAAAATTGACCCAATCTTCTGGCTTCGGGGCACTTATCGAGATCAACGATCCAAACGTGACCACAGCCAGTTGGTCCCGTGTGATCTAGAATCTCGAGAAGGCACATTTTATGGATTGAAGAAGTGATACTCACTGAGCTAAGCTCAGGATTATATTTTAGGGACGTCAAGGTTTCTTGCCGCGAGGGATGATAGCAGAGGCTCCAAAGATCCAAGGTTGGGGCGAGCAAAATGCTTTTGTGCCGGACAAGGTCAGTCCCAGAACAAAGAAAGAATTGATGATTCAACATTGAAAGAAAGTAAAGACAAAGGCTTTCAGCACTAGGTATTGTGCTATCTCTTTGCCGTTTGCTACACATCCTTTTGGTAGTCTGGTATACATGGTGACAAAGGACACAAAGGACTATTCCCCTATGGCTATACACATATTCACTCTTGTGAATGAGCAGCCTTTGCCTGATTTTGAATACGCTCAGTCAAGATTCTTAACCTACTTGATGTTTATTTTCCCTTTTGGTTGAGTGCTAGAGCCAGAATAAGCTGGTTACTCCGGCTTGAACCCCGCTTCGTAGGTGAGATCAAAGAATGTTGTTGATGCAAAGTCACACAAAATGAAGCAGAGAATTTCAGTATGACTTGAGCCGATAGCATTATTTGTGTGCTTTCTTCGCGGTGTATTCTTTCTACCCCTCTCCCTCTCTCTGTCTATCTCCCCCTTTCAGTTCCCTTGCTCTCATGCACCCGCGAGAATTAACAACTGCAAATTACTCAACTGTCCCTCTTTTAGCATGACGACCACCTTCATCAATGGCCGAATCCTCTCGTCCGAGCAAGAAGATACCTTTCTTACTACCATGGTGATCAAAGGTGAACTTATCACTTACATCGGCTCCGAGGACGACGAGCAAGTCTTCCAAGCCCAGGCAGAAGGACCCACAGTCAACTTGAATAACCGCATCGTTCTTCCGGGATTTATTGATGGCCACGTGCATATCCTGAACTTTGGCCTTTCCCTGCAAAAGCTAGATCTTCTACCGTGCCAATCGCTTTCGGAGATTCGCCAAGCTATCGCTGTTTATGCAGCCACACATCCATCCGAGCCCCGCATTCTGTGTCGGGGATGGATCCAATCGGTGACAGACGGCAAAGGCCTTGCCACAGCTTTGGACGACCTAGATCTACGGCCGATCTACATCGAGGCCTTGGATCTTCACTCCACATGGTGCAATACTGCGGCCCTGATCGAGTTGAATGTTCACTCTAGCGCGGATCCCCCAGGTGGTAAGATACATCGCCATCGGGATGGGACTGCATCTGGGCTTTTGGACGAAGCGGCTCAGTTTAACATTGTTTGGCCATTTCTCGATCGGATCGCCTCGCTAGAACAAAAGCTCGCTGCAGTTGATGCTGGATTCGCCGCTCAGCGACGCGCTGGATACACAGGACTGGTGGATATGGCTATGAAGGAGGAGGACTGGGAAGTGCTGAATGCTTATCGGGAGAGGCATGGCAAGTTTCCATTGCACATAGCCGCACACTGGTTGGTTCCTTTTTCAACAGACAGTACCGAGATCAATAATCACATCGACCGGGCAATCGCGCTGCATCGCGATTTTAACCGCACAAGCAGTCCCGAGCTTTGTATCAACGGAATCAAGTTGCTGTGTGACGGGACAATTGATGGGTGCACAGCATCCCTTCACCAATCCTACGGCGATCTTCTCCACCCAGTCGACCCAATCTGGCCTGCGGATAGCCTCTTGGCCTCTTTGCACCGAGCTGCCAGAGCTGGGCTACAATGTGCGATACATGCTATTGGGGATCGAGCGGTTCAACAATCGATTGACTGTCTATCTCAACTTCCAAACCTTCATTTGAGTCGTCACCGCATCGAACATCTGGAAATTACCACAACGGAAGACGCGAAAAGACTCGGTCAGTTGGGCATAGTCGCCTCGGTTCAACCGGTACACCTGGATCCGATGACCTTTGGAGATTGGCCAGAGATGCTAGGCTCGAAACGTTGCGAACGAGCATTTGCTTACCGAGAATTTGTTGATGGCGGGGCACCCTTGAGTTTCGGAACTGATGCGCCCACAGCAAGCCATCACGCATTGCCTAACCTCTACATTGCGGCGACTCGTCGATCAGCTCTTAGTCCAGAAATGGCCGACAGAATCAACCCCGAGCAAGCGGTGTCTTTTGCCACCGCTGTTTCGGCGGCAACGTCCGGGGCTGCCTATGCATCATTTGCGAATGAGTTTACTGGAAGTCTAAGTCCCGGGTTAAATGCTGATTTTGTAGTCCTTGACATGCAATGGACACCAGAAAAGCTGCTGGAGGCCCGAGTTTGCGAAACCTGGTACAGAGGAGAAAAGACGTTTGATGGGAAGCCAGACATCTCATCATTTCAATCCACTTGATTCAGATGCTACACTATGGGGTTTCTGGCTCGACAATAACCGCTCGCATCTGGGCAGTGCGCGACTCCTGCTAGTCTCTGTAGTCCAACCGGCACGGGTGTCTCGCTCAGATTTTGCTTCCCCTAGCTAGCTCCCTTTCTCATGCCCTTGCGTTTTCAATGTGAACCACTGTTGTAACTTTTCCGTTCTCTTCCAATTTTTCCATCTCCAAGTTTGTCGCCGTGGCAATATCATTTCCATCGAATAACTTCGTAATCTCTTCCAGAGGCAGATAGCGTGTCTCGGGATAGAAGAACCAAATCACACCCACTTCCACAGCAAGAAAGCAGCAGTAGAAGATGTAATAGCGCCAGCGAATAATCTCGAGTGCGATTGGGTTGACATATTGGTTGAAGAACAACGCGATGTACATGGCGAACTCCATGATTGTGTATCCCTTGGCGCGCATCGAGTATGGGAGAATCTCCGTTGTGTAGCTTGCAATCAGCCCGGACCTGCCCAAGTGGTTGACCGTGTCAGTGAAAAACGCTTGTCCTCGATGTAGCGTACTGGTATGCTCACTTTAGATTGTAAAACAGATAATATATAAAAATCATCCCCAACACTCCAGATCCAAGTCCCGAGCTTGCATTTGCATCATACTTTGCCGAAAGCGCTGTCCATATCACAAATGCCACCATCATACCAGCTGAGCTGACAAGCATAATCGGTCGTCGTCCCCATTTGTCGACGAAAAAGCTGAAAACTAAATTTGTGGCGAGGTTGAAGGACGTCAAAGCCCCATTGATCAACAATTGTCGATCAGCATCTTTGATCCCAATACTATTCATGATGAGGTTCAAGTAATAAGACACTAGACCATTGCCAGACCACTGTGCGAATAGTCCAAATGTGATGATGATCAGCAGTCGCTTCCGATTTCCAGGAGTCCGCAGGAAATCCATGTAAGACCCCGAATGCTCCAAATTCTGCTCCATGGTGATGGCAGTTGTGATCTCGGTGAACTCCAGCTGAACCACTTCATCATGCTCATTCCCTTCAGCATGGTAGTATGCAAGTATCTCTAAAGCCTTCTGCGGCTGGCCTTTCGACACATAGTAACGCGGGCTCTCCGGAATCCACCACACGACTGCCAGCATGATCAATGTGAACAGCCCTTGTATCAGGCTTGGGGCTCTCCATGACCAGTCACTCTGTGTAATGAAAGTATGATGAGATCAATGTGGATTCTGGATATGGTTTCACTTTACGCACCGTGATTTTCAAGGTTCCATAGGTCGTCCACGCCGCGATGAATGCACCAGAGTGGTAAGTGGCGCCAGCTATAGTAACCAAGATAGCTCTGTCCTGCGCCGGGGCAATTTCAGCAATTAGTAGAGGTGTCGTGCAAATGACCAAGATGTCTCCGAATCCTAGAATAAACCGAGCAGCAACAAACATGGAGAAATTGATGGAACCCGATTGTAGCCCCACACCTAGCAGCATGAAGAAAGATCCGGAGACTAGGCATATTCTTCGACCCCAGTGATCAAGCATATATGGTAGAATCGTCAGTCCGGCTAGGGCACCTACGCTCATCACACAGTTGAACAACCCCAGTGTCGGGCCCTTGGGATGATCGAAATATTCCTGCCAGTACGAGAGTGTTTGCAGACCATTCCTATATAAAGTGAGCATCGTGAGTTGACATGGATATATAACGGACTCTCACATCATTGAGTTGTCAAATCCATTTGCAGTGTTGGTAAGGATCAAGACGAGAATGTAAAACTACAGAGCTCGCATTTTTGGTGACTTCCACCATTTCACCCGTGGGAACAGTCTTCCTGCTAGGTAGAAATGGCCCTTGGGGGTTTTGTCGTACTGGAATCTTCACTCATGTTTGTTTGTCTTGAATCTTTCTATCTTCTTGCCCTTTCTAGCTTGGATTTCTTCGTCCTCGAATCGGGGCTCCAGGCTAACCTCATGGTATATATTATAGTGGACCATGTACTGCCCTCAGTTGGACTATCCGATACATTCAGCCTAAATAGAACGCCAAACGTGGGGCTCTTACATGCGCTCAATCCATGGATGTCACGACGGCGGAGTGCTCGCCGTGTCCCAAGTGGGTAAAGCCAGCTGAGTTGTCGCGCCACATAAATTGAGAGCTTCCAGACTATCGACGATTTCGTCCAAATCATCTGTCACATTTCCGATATGGCTCATTCCAACCCAATTATTCCTGGATTCTCTCCAGATCCTTCAATCTGCTTGATTGATGGAACCTTCTTTCTGGTCAATTCGAGCTTTCATCTCTTCCCTGGGCTGCCCGTCTATATGTCAAACGATCTGGTCTCATGGACACATATTGGTAACTAGCTTCATTCATTGCCATTTCGGAGCTAACACGGCACAGGAAATGCCATCAGTAGACGCTCTCAGCTGTCGTTAACGCGAGCAACCACATTCCTCGACCCGTGGGACGATGGGACAACATTGGTCGCCACCGGAGGTCTGTACGCGCCCACAATCCGACATCACAACGGAACTACTTATATCATATGTACCAATGTGATCCACGGGGCTTCAAATTTGCCGGGCGATGAGCGCAACGAGCAATTCATCATTCACACTTCCGACATCCGATCGGGCAACTGGTCAGATCCCATCGTATTCGACGAGCCAGGAATCGATCCATCTCTCCTGTTTGACGATCATCGCGTCTATGTTCAACTATGCAAAGTTGGCCCCGAGTTTCAAATTTTCAACATGGAAATTGATCTCGATTCCGGCACGGTGATCACGCAACCTACCCTTATCTGGCAAGGATGGAGAAGGGGGGTTTACAGAAGGCCCACATATCTACAAAAAGGATGGCTGGTACTATCTGCTGTGTGCCGAGGGGGGTACATTCCAGAACCACATGCTTAGCATTGCACGATCACGAGATGTCTGGGGGCCATACGAACACTGTCCGGGAAACCCGTTGTACACTGCCAGTGGTACCGATCGATACACCCAGAACACTGGGCATGGAGACATCTTCCAAGACCAAGCGGGTAAATGGTGGGTGGTTCTGTTGGGCATCCGGTTGAAAGAGGGACGATCTTTCATGGGCCGTGAAACCTTTTTGGCAGCTGTTGATTGGCCTGACAACGAGTGGCCGGTGGTGCAGGCCCCGAATCAGAGTGAAGACTCGGAAACACGACCTATCTTGCTCGAGAATCAGGAGTCAGCAGTACACTGGGTATATCTGAGAGACGCGAAGATGGAACGATACCACATCAACGGCAGTAGTGTAACTTTGCAAGCTGATACAGTGGATCTCACGAGTGCGGACATGTCCGTTGCTTTCGTCGGCCAGCGACAGCGAAAGCTTCATGGCACTGCGACAGTGAAGCTGTATCGTCCGCTGAGTGCCACTTCCCTCCAGGCCGGACTATGTCTTTACAAGGATGAACACCGATTCTTGGCAATTGATTACAATTTCGGTGTGCAGCAAGTGCACTTGGAAGCTCTCAATCGGGCCAAGTCAATTTCGCACAAACAGAGTCACGATGTCTCGTTTCAAAGTCTCATGTCGTTCAAGATTGATTACACCGAGACTTCGCTGAAATTCTCCTTCTGCGCAGATCAAGGCGATTGGCAGTTCGCATCGGAATTTGACACTTCTGACTGGACGGACAACGATTTCACTGGTCCAGTCATTGGAGTCTTTGGTATTGGGAACAATGTTATGGTAGACTTTGGGGGCTTTGAAATCGATTCCTAACAGACCAACGCGTTACTGTGTACAAAGAGCGACTGTACTAGTTTTTATATATTTCTTGGCTTCGAACTCTGGAGAGCGTCAGATGTCAAGTCTGTAATTAGCATATGGCCTGGTTCATGCGCAAAAACAAGGCCTTTGATCTTATCCCCTGCTGCCTCGACGGCCATCTGAGGTGTCACACCGCACGCCTAGGATAACGAAGTCAGACAAAGTACGGAGTGTGAGATAGCCTTTCGACTACTTACCCAAAACACCGGAACTTCACCTTCCTTGAAGGTTTGAGGCTGTCCAAAATCTGGCTTGCTCACGTCAACGATTCCCAGTTGCCTCGCGCCATCCCACCCCCAAGCGACGGGTTCTCCGTGTGTCAATCGATACGCCCGCGTGATGGCACGCACTTCCTCGATTTCTTCTGGGCGATACGGTCGCATTGAGACAATACAGTTGCCCCCGGTAAATACTCCCGCGGGCAACAAGGGGATGTTGGATCGATACATGGCAACTAGTGTCCCTGTTGCTTGGTGACGCGGGGGCAAGCCTGCCGCCGTCAAGGCATTTTCAAAGGAGAATGAGCAGCCGATCAGAAATGCGACGTGATCATTCCCCCACACTTCCACCAGGTCACTTCGACTGTCCATTAATTTACCGCCCGAGTAAATTCGGTATCTGGGAAAATCAGTTCGAACATCAAAGTCCGACGATTGTATACATTCTGCAGGGCGAACAGCACTCGGGTCACCGGGATCCGCCGTCATGCCCAACAATGGACAGGGGACAGGGTTCCGGAGACATAGATCGTGGAAGTCGGAGGCATATTTTGCTGGCAGGACAAGCAAGTTCGCTTGTAGATAGCCAGGGGCAATCCCAGCCGTGTTGGTCAACAGGTTCTGGCGACAGAGCAGTCTTGCATGCTGAGCTGGGGGTATAGTACTTCCCATGTTGAACGCGTGAGCAACCTTGGAACCTTTCGACAAAAGACAACTCTACCAAGGCTATTACCTTATAGAAATGCCCAGAGAGAGATACAAGTCGATATCCTCGGTTGGACATCGGGATCCACTTGCCGACGGGTCTGGGGTAAAAAGGTTGGGGGAAATTCTCCACGCCACACTTGAAGCCTATATTTTACCGAGTTGCCTGTTCAAGATAGGATCTGTGGTGAATATCCCCCTAATCTCTGCCGGGAATCTTCCAACAACTGCCAATCTCGTCACAACTGTCTATCTCGGCGATCACTTTCCTCAAACTCCCGTGTTTATCAGGGCTTCATCGGCCCGACGACCCACTATTGAGGGGGCTTGCCACGCCTGGGAGATAAGCAGCTTGGGTTATCATCCTTGATATCTTTACAAATTGTCGACATCTTTCGATCCAATTTGGCTCACAATTGGTATCACAATGTCTGATGTTCATGAACCCTTGGAGTTGAAGAACTCCCTCAAAGATGACGCCGAACGGGCGGATGAGACCGCCGGTGAGGCTTCGGATGTGGTACTCGACCCCAAGAAAGAACAGAAGCTACTCGCCAAGCTGGACACTGCGTTTGTTCCTATTATCATGTTGACTTATCTCTCCTGCTTTCTAGACAGGTCCAACATTGGTGAGTCGATTTATACCGTTGGGTGGTTTGAGTCAATGGCGCTCTACTAACCTGCTGTCGAAGGTAACGTGAAAGTGGCTCATATGCCAGAAGATATAAATGCTTCAGAGAGTCAATTTTCAACCGCGGTATCAATTTTCTATGTGACATATGTGCTCTTCGAGGCACCGTGGGCGGTGTTGATGAAAAAGCTTACGCCTCGAAATATCCTCACGTGTCTCTGCATTGTTTGGTCATTGACCACTATATTCACCGGCTTCATTGAGTCTGTGGGGTCTCTCTACGCGACAAGGTTGATCTTGGGTGCTTGTGAGGCAGGGCTGTTTCCATGTCTCAATCTCTACTTGACGATGGTCTATCGTCGGGAGGAACAGGCCAAACGTGTTTCTTATCTAATGAGCTGTGCCGCTATCTCTGGGGCTGTGGGTGGCCTCTTGGCCTACGGACTCTTGCACATGGACGGCATTGGAGGCAAGGCTGGATGGAGGTTCGTATTCTTCCTACGTTTGTGAGAATTCCGGCTCACCGGTATTTGATAGATGGGTCTATATCATCGAGGGCTTATTTAGCGCTCTATGCGCTATTCTAATCTGGTTTGGTTTGCCGAACAACCCTGCCGAAGCCTACTTCCTAAACGAAGAGGAGAGATGGATGATGAGGGTGCGGAATGAACAACGTCGCAAGTACATGGGAAGTGACAATTTCAGCTGGGAAGAGATGCGGATTGCACTGAGCGACCCCAAGCTTTTCTTTAGTGGTGTCATCCAATTCTGCCAGGACATTCTCTTGTATGGATTCAGCACATTCCTACCCACCATCCTGGGCGGCATGGGCTATGATTCCTTGATGAGCAACGTTTTGACAGTACCGGTCTACATTTGGGCTGCGTTGATCTTTATTGCAATTGCTTTCTGTTCCGATCGCTATTCAAAGTTTGCGTCGGTGAGTTGAGCCAACCTTGGAATGGTTCTCTATCATTTGTGCTAACTGTGGGAAGTACATCTTCGCCGCCAATATCTTCGGAATCATTGGGTATATTCTTCTGCTGACCGTGAAGAACACTGCCGTTCTGTATTTCGCCACGTTCCTCATTGGTATCACAACTTATACCTCTGTTGGGCTCAACGTCGCTTGGCTGAACGTGAACATTGCCCCTCAGTATCGCCGTGCACTCGAGATTGGCCTTCAGCAGACAATGGGAAACTGTGCTGGCATTGTGGCAGGCCAGGTATATCGCACCTCACCATATGTGCTGGGCAATGCTTTCTCGCTTGGCTCCCTTGTGGTAGCGCAGGTTACGGTGGCCGCTTTTGGATTCTACTTGCGTCGGGAGACCAAAATCAAAGAGCAAATTGCTGCGGGTGAGATAGAAGATACTCGGCGGATACGCACTGGCGATGCCGAGGTGGAGTTTAAATATATATACTAGATATTAAAAACAATCTTTCATCACGCTCGACAACTCTTCGCCGTAGTCAAAGACAAAGCCCCCATTTGGCATCTGCTGATAAGGGCCTCCATCCGGTACAGGACCAGCTCCCATTCCTAAGATCTGGTCTTCCAGATTGCCCACTGCCTCAAACCACTCCATCAGCTCCTGTGTCATTTGAGCTCCGTCTTGTGGTGTTTGACTCTGGGCACTCGTGGTTGGGGCCGGAGCGGGCGACGCATTCGCATCTAATTTCTCGTGCTCGACTCCGGCGTGATTGTCGAGTCGCTTTTTCTGGACTCCTAGACCTAATTGGGGTCCAAGCTTGCGGAGGCTTCGAATGGACTTCCACAGTCGGCGGGATATGTATGATTGTGCGGAGAATCCTTTGACCAACTCCAGCGCCCAGAAAAACTCCTCTTTGCATGAGCCACTGAATTGCGTTGGGGCCTGGGCTACGGCTAAAAATAGCACCGCCAAAGCTGACACGAGGAACCAATTGAAAGCGACCTGCTGCAGCTGATAGATGTCGGATGTATCGTTCAGGCGGGTTATGAAGCGGATTGTATCCTTGGCCAGCTCCACCACAGTCTCAGACTCGCCGGGGTACCGCATTATGTGTGCGGCCGTGTGGAGAACAGGGCGGTGGATTAACATGCGTAGCTGATTCGAACGAAGATAGAGCAGGGCACGCAGTCGACGCAGACTTCGTGGGTCTTCGGCGTGATCTCCAGAATCCGCGGCGTTTGAGTTCTCAAGGCGTAACGGGTCCGGAATTGTGTTAGCCCACCGCAGCACTTGCCAATCCAAATAGTTCATCTCGTCCTTCCTGATCTCGTTCGTGTTGTTGAAAGCCGAGATGAATTTCCATACTTTCGCTGCTATGCGGCTGTATCGAATCATTACACGCAGATATGGAGTCTTTTCCTCCGGCTCTGGAAGCCAAGGATCGATGTCCGTATCTTCGAGAGCAAATGGCATGCCAGTTCCAAAGCTCCAACGCATGTCCAAGATGTATATGGACCAAAAGAGACGCAAAGCTCGTTCCTTCCCGGCAGCCATGATTGCCGGTTGGTTCAAAGCCTCTCGTCGATGAAGACCTTTTTCGAGGCACATGCGTTCAACAATACCAATAGTCCGCCATGCCAAGGTCTCTTCGTCCATTTGAAAGTAGAAGATTGACTGCCGGGTTGATTAGCCACATTTGTATTTTGGAGAAAAGAGAGGATGCATTTTGGGAGAGACGAACCACAAGAGTAAGGAATATAATGCTCTTGATCTCGGGCGGGCCCCAGACACAGTTATCTTGAACATCCCGAACACTGTCGAACAAGGATATGGCCTGCTCGCTCCGACCGCTGCCCTCTGCCGTCAATGCGCAAGCAAACACCAGACGAAGAATGTGAACATCCTCTCGGTCTAGTTGAATGACCGAATCAATTGCACGGTCTGCTGGGCTATAAAGCCGGTCGACCTGATCCAAGAGCTCTGACAGCTCTAGCACCGGGTACATGATTCCCATTTCCTCCTCGTATACCCGGCAAAGTCTCAGCGCCTCCGTTTTTGGAAGAGCCCAGAGTAGATCTAGAGTATGTCGGGTGTCTATTGTGTCATTTGGGGCCGAGGGAGATGCCAAGGGTGAAGGCTCTTGCGTCATGTCGCCCGCCTCGCCCGCCTCGATGCGCTCAACAATTCCACGCTGCTGTAAGCTGGATTTTGCGACTTCGAATCCAAATGCCGAAGTGGTTGGTCCCTGGAACGGGGATTCCTTCGCTGTCGATACGCGGCGAAGGGGGCGCTGCGCTGGCAGAAGCCCATAGTTGCCCGTGGTAGAAAGACCAACTGGGGATTGCTCGGAGCTAGCGATTGAGCGAACACTCGCAGACAGCATAGTAATCTGATCTTGCATGGCTCTCATCTGATCAAACAACCGTTCGAAGTTCCTGTCATCGATTAGTGGTGAGTCATGCCATTGAGCAACGGGCCCTACTCTTGTTCGCTTGGGGGGTCCGAATGCGCGTTCTCCACGTAGATGCATTCAATATCCTGCCGCCCACAACGCTGGCAGGGCGTCAAGCCATTACATTTAATTTTGCGACGTTTGCATTCATTGCTTCGTAGTTTTAGCAAGAGAAATGAGAGCACGGTGTCATGTTTCCAAGGTTCTTGGCACTTACCAAGCTTTGGCAATATACTTGCGGCGCTTCTTTCGTGGGCGATCGGTAGCATCATCTGAGAGTGGCTTGTCCCAATTGGAGAACTGCTGCAGAGCACTCATGATGTTGGAGTGCAGGGGTGAAAGAGAGAAAGAGGAATTGTGGAGGCGACAAGGATGCGGGGGATTCCGCCTTCGGCTCCACTTTGCCGTAACGCGGGCGTTTAGGGAAGTACTCCGTACACCACTAACAATTGAACTATTACTGTTCCTAACAGAGTAGGTCTCTTCCTCGATTCTATTTGTATCTCTTCATATTTCTTTCTTGAGGCTATATTACCTATTTGTATTTCGAAACATACGTCATTCAACTTGCTCATATTGTTATTGGTATGTTCTTTGCTCACTCAGTATTTTCACCTGTCGGCATCTATACCAAGTCTCATTTTACGGTGGTATATCCTGATTGAAATTTTGAGATGTACATGGGGCATTTGAACGCTGAGAAGGAGGGCAGAAGAAAAGCATGTTTCACAGATCCTTCGTGCGCTCATCACTCTCCGCGATCCACCGCTCAAGCGTCTTCGGATCGCGGGCAGTGAACCCAACCTTGAAAGGCTTGGGCTCAGTTGTCAGTGCTGTAGCGATGGCATTGCAGTCGATAGCATTAAGAATCGGTCGATCGGATGTTTCTTTGGATGGATGCATGTGGAACGCGGTGATCAGGCGAATGAACGCGGTGAAAAGCTCTCGGTTTGCAAGGTGGGATCCCGCACACATGCGAGAGCCCGCTCCATAGCCGTAGTGGGGAGTACCGGAGCCCTCGTTGAGATCCAGATAGCGCTCAGGAATAAACTTGTCGGCATCCTTGAAGTGATCTTCGTCGTAATCAGCAGCCCACGCATTCTGAAGAAGGTCAGCAAAAGCCCGCGCGTGTCAGAGGTGGAATTCATACCATGAAGAAAGTTGTACCAGCAGGGATAGTGGCACCATTCCATTGGATATCTTTGGTACTTTCACGGGGCAAGCAGATGGGAATAACCGTCCAAAATCGAAGAATTTCCTTGACCAAAGCTGTCACGTAAGGCACCTTCTCCTCAACCAAACACTTTTCCCAGGCATCGCCATCTGGATAGACCTCCATGATTGCTTCGTAGGCCTTCTTCTGAATGCGCTGGCCATCTTCAGATGCCAGATAGGCGAGTCCCATAATCAAGTTACCCGGGACGGTATCGAGACCGGCAGATACCATAGTCAAACAAATGGATTTGACCTCAGCTACATAGACATGAATGTCAGACAATTGGGACGATTAATTGGTGCGGGTCTGACTTTGGAAGACTCACCATCATTCAACTTAGCCTCGGGGTCTTTAAGAATATTTCCAGTGATGCAGGGCTTATCAGTTCCCTTGGCGATTTGGTCCTTGAGCATGTCGAGCAGATAAGTGAGATACTTGTCTCGGCGAGCACGGAACTCTTCTGCCTCGTTGTTCATCTTGGGGAAGATGCGAAGCATAGGGATATAGTCTTGCCAGTTGTTTGAGGTGCTGCGGAAGTTGGACACGCCACGCTCCACATCGACAATCTCGTGCAACAGTTCATCGTCCACATTACCCTCAATCCGGATGCCGTAGTTGAGGGTCAAACTGGTGTTAAGGGCATATCGCTGAAAGTAGGTAGTGGGGTTGACGTCGATTTTCCCGTTCTGGCTGTCGCGGTATAGCTCCTTGATGCTGGTGTTGGATTCAAGATCAATAATGGGCATGTATGACTGCACCGCGGGTCGGTTGAGCGCGGTGGCCGCGGCCTTGCGGCGCTGCTTGCAGGATTCATCCCAAGGAGATGTGCCGACTGTGAAGCCCTGGGAGCTGGAGACGACGCTGTGGAAAGTGTGGAAGGTCGGGCGAGAGATCAAAGCGGACGAGTCCTTGATCCACAATTGGCGAACCGAGTCAAAGCTGTTGGCAAAGACAATGCGCTGTGAGATTTGGTGGGTTAATTTTCGCTCCCATTCAATCATCGGAGATATCCTCGTTGATTTACCTTGTTTCCCATGCGGACTTGGAAGACCGGACCGTACTTTTTGGCCCATTTCCCTGCGACCGTGGCATGCTGGTCGCCTAATTGCAGCAGGTTGCCGAAGATGGGCACACCGGGAATCTCTGGAAGGCCTTTGATCTTGGGGACATCGGTCCGGTTGAAATATCGAATGATGAGATAGACAACCGTGATCACGGCGATTGCAACTGTTTGGAGCGCCATCATGTATGAATTGATCACAAATGCATGAGCGCGGGGCGTCTGGTTCTTATAACCACCGCCCGACTGCACGGCATATTTCCGAGTAGCGAGCCTCGTGTAGGGGACTGAACGGTGACATCGGTTGATGCAGTGGGCCAGTCAGAGCGCAGAGAATCAGCAACCGTTTCCCTGGTTGTTTGACAAGCAACTCCGGGGGGCCGAGCTGCTTCTCCTCACGCGGGAGCGGAATGTCCGTTCCGCCCTCCGCCCTCCACCCGTCGCGGAATGGGAACTTTCCAATCCCGCCATTTTTTATTTGGACATGCAACTGTCCCACAACATTCCAACTTCAATTGATTCCATGGATTAAAATTCAAGCCATAGTCATTCTTGTTTATTCAGGAACCCAGGTACCCTCCCCAGGACCCGAGGTCCGCTCCTGTACAGATAATGTGGGCCGTATAACTACTGTATGTGAAGATTTGGTGCCCACCTGGGCCGTGGATTTGGTTTCAAAGTTGTACCATTGTTTAGGGGCACACTAACCCGTACAGCCTGTGCAGTCTACTCATTACAGGCACCTAAACAACACCTTGGGGGTTTTCGGTCAAAAGAGAATGTACAGGCGCATGCAAGTGCGTGTTCATCCCCACTTAGCTCGACAAACGGCATAATGGCTTCGCACTACAACCTTAGAAGTGAAGATCCCACGTATCAATACGGAATATCCGTGTTCGGATTGTGCGCTGTCCACGGGTACTGATACTGTAGTCTAAGCCCACCCTGAGGCCTGAGCCTGAAACTGACCCGCTTCACCCGTTGAGCGCCCAGGTGTAGATGAAATAAATATCACTAGCCGCACGAGAGCCTGGTTCCAAACTACTCAAGTTACTAGTTTTCGCCCTGAGGGTAGCCTTGGAAATGATAATAGACTCCATTCAATTTGTTTCAATTCAAACCCTGGAAGTCCTGGAGTCCACGGGTAGCCTTGAAATGCTTGGACGAATTATATCACACGGTGTACGGAGTATGCAGTGGGCTACATATTGATGAGAGAATGTTAGCTGCACGTCATATATCCCGAGGTCCCACCTAGGCAATGATCCACGGAGGTACAAGCATCAACGCAACTACGAAGTACGGAGTATATAAATATGACTTTTTCTGGACTGAACCTCCGAATGCTGGAATTTCGTCAAGAGCCGCGCTGATTCACAGACGCGCCAATCTTGGAAGGTCCACGGGTCCGCGCTTAAACTACCCGTGGACCCGTGACCTTATCAATCAGAGAGATACGCCGATAAGCCGACACGCGCGATAGATCTCCGATCCGCATTGTCGCTTCCCAAATTCCTGAGCTCTCCAGAATTCCGGCAGACTTTGGAAGTCACTCCAGGGCTGTACTTCAAGGGACTGGCTATCCACAAGCACTGCTGCTGCAATGTCCTCTCCTTTCCTTCCTTTGTCGTCACCTTCGGATTCACCCCTCCGTCCTCGTCGGCCAAGTCTGGACCCAGAGCGCGAAATCCTCTCCACTCGGGGCCAGCGCTTGATGAACTTCTTGCCTTCTCGCACGTCGAGTCTCGCATTGAATGATTTGGATGATGATTCATCAGAGCGCCGCTTGTTCCTTCGCCGTGGACCCTTGTTGATTGGGCGCAGCAATCCTCGCTATGAGTGGTATCCACACACCCCAATCTTTGTTGCGGATTCATTTCTAATTGGCACGGAAGGCAACGCTACTATCGATCATCTGAATGCTTGAAAGATCTCCCAAAGCCCCTGTATGCTTCTTGTCCATCTTCTTGTCTTGCGTATGAAATTGACCCAAGACAGCCGGCAATATTACGAACGCACCAATGGCCTCATCTCTCAATACCTCTACATCGATCGGTTGCTGGATTCCTCCCTTCCTCACAATCTGATAGAGGACTATAGTGAAACTCATCGTGAAGCTTCACCCGACGATCCTCAAGCGAATGAGGCCGAGGCCTTGGAAACTGTGGAGGCCAACGCCAAAGCTGGAAGAATAAAGCGCACCCCGCATAATCTTTATCGAATCCCAGATGAGACCACCCCCTTGGTGTCATCCCTAGAGGAACCCAGCGGCAACCCCGAGCCAATTCCCGATCTTGAATCACAGGGCGGCATGAACCCAGATGACGAAGAGCGTGTCATTAATCTCGCCATCCGTATCAATTTCATCGCCAACGTTGCCCTCCTCGCCTCCAAGGTCGCCATCATGGCCATGACAGATTCCATGTCCATGCTGGCGGGTCTGGTCGATGGTATTTTGGACTTCCTCAGCACAGTGATCGTCTGGGTGACCACCATCATGATACGCCGTCAAGACCGGAATAGGTTCCCAATCAGCCGTCGGCGGCTAGAACCTGTCAGCGTCCTCATCTTCTCTGTTATCATGGTGACTTCATTTTTCCAAGTCGCACTGTCCTCAGTGAAACAACTCATGGGAGATGAACACACCGTTGTCGAGCTCTCCATTCCATCCCTTGTGTTGATGGGGGGCACGGTCTTGGTCAAACTGCTCTGCTGGATCTGGTGTCGCTTGATTCCTAGCCCAAGTGTCCAGGTCCTTGCCCAGGATGCTATGACGGATGTCGTTTTCAATACTTTCAGCATAATTTTCCCGCTCAGTAAGTCTCCCCTATTTGTTATCGATTCCTGGCGCCTTTTCTGACTAGGAATCATCTTAGTTGGCACTTTTGCGAATGTTTGGTACTTGGATCCTCTGGGTGGTTTGTTCCTTTCGCTGTACATCATGTGGAACTGGGGTCAGACGGCAGCCGAATACATTCGGCGCTTGACAGGCGCAGCTGCCTCCCCAGATGATCACAGTGTCTTGCTATACATGACCATGCGCTTCTCCCGGGTAATCCTCAAGATTCAGGACTTGAAAGCCTACTACGCAAGCGACAAACTCAATGTGGAAGTTGACCTAGTCGTTGATGAAAAGATGAGTTTGAGAGATAGCCACGACGTCGGCGAGAGTCTCCAGTATATCATTGAGAGTGTTCCCACGGTCGATCGTGCGTTTGTTCACCTTGACTACAATGTCTGGAACTTGCCAAGCCATATGAACCAGATGGACCGATGATACTGGCCTCCGGGGGATGAAAATTCGAATGGAATGGCGCATAAGCACGAACACCCTGCCAAATCTTGGAACCTACATCATGTACAAATACAGCTATAAATAAACACATGGATGTCATACAGTTTAATACATCAAATCATTCATTTAGTTATACATATGAACTGGGATCCAAAGATAAGATCCTTGCTGGCAATGCCCTCGGGACGCCGGAACGCCGGGTTAGGAACAAGTAAAACAAGACAACCGATTAATATACAACAGATACCGGAACGCTGCCACATCGCACATAAAGTTCATTCAACCAAGGATGGGTCTTCAGCGTGGTTGATGGGAAGGCGGCGGCAGCGATCCCGGTACTCGACCCTGGGCTGACCCATGGCTGTAAACACGATGATGTCTCGGAGTAGAGCCATTCTCGCCCAGCGAACCTCCCCCAACAGATCGTTGATGCATTTGTGGAATTGACCCTTGTGCAGACGGGGGAGGGGCAGCGTAGCCACCCATAGCATTTCCGCTCATTGAGGGATGTAAGGCCGATGGAGGAGTGTACGAGCGCCCAAGGCTCGCCAGCGAGGCCATTGATCGCCCAGCCTGAGACTGGGGAGGAGGGGTACTGTGGCCGTATTGCGAAGAGCCGCCAGATAATGTAACAGGCGTGGACCGGTGAGACTGAGGTTGGTGCGACCCACTGACCATTGTTTGAACATGCTGCTGATAATTATGTGACTGCACTGGGTTGGGAGTGGGCGCAGCCGAGTACGACGAAGGCGTCCCGGACTGGCGTGCATGGACACCATACAGACTAGTCGTAGATTGCGCAGGCGTCGGTGGATCTTGTCGTGAGCCATATGCCATGCTTGAGCGTGAGCCCGGTGATCCTGGGCGGTAGGATGAGGGCTGTGAAGCCAGCTCCCGCGAAGCTGAGGCTACGGATTGCTGACCAGATGATTGCGGAAAGACGTTCGAATAAGTTGGTCGCTGCGACGCATTCGTTGGTGGCGGGGTTGGGGCAGGGGACGGGACGGAAAGACTTGGCGCGGGTACCGACGCATGGCTTGGGTTGGTCGCGTAAGACGAATATGTGCCCTGGGAGGCCAAAGGACCCGGAGCACGGCTACTGGCCTGTGACTGTTGTTGCTGTGGCAATGATGGGGCCTGGGACTGTGGAGGTGTTTGTTGCGCCCGTGGATCAAACCGTGCCATCCAATCGGTATTTGCTGAAGTACCCGAGCCGCCCTGTGGAGGTCCGTATCCTGGGTACTCTGAATAGCCGCGAGATGTTTGCTGATATTGGGTTTGCGGGGCGTAGCCAGAGGACTTGGGTGGCATCCCTACCATACCCATTTCTTCGTGGCGAGAAGATCCCGCGGCTTGGTAAACGGGCCTTGGGTTTATGCCCGGCGTTGCAGCTTGTGCAGGCGGAGCTTGCTCACTAGCAAAGCGCTTGCGAGGTTGAGGCTCTTCAGGCTCGTCATTCAGAATGCTCATGATGTTAGAACGCTTGGCTGGTATTTGACGAGAAGCGGCGTCGGGACCAGGGGTGGCACTGGGACGAGGGGTGTCCTTGACTGGGGACAAACCCGGGCGAGGTGACTGTGAAATCCCGATTGGTTGACCTGCGATGGGGTAGTAAGACCGCTGGGGGAACGGATCACGGTGTACAGAGGCCAATTCAAGATCAGGTCTGGGTAGTTGGCTTGGTGAACCAGGTGTTTGATTCAAGCTGGGATGGCGGGAATGAGATGACGAGAAAAGTGACGATGGCTGCTGGGAAGACATATAGGCCTGTCCAGCCAAGGGATCCATGCGTGCGACATCTGGTGGCATGGCACTTGGGTGTCGTGAAGACATTGGCAAATCTTGCGCGCTGGCAGGAGCGTTAGGCAACAAGGAGTCTCGTCTTTCTCCAGTAAAATAGCCAAGTCTTGGACCCTGTGCGCGGTGTGCCGGCCCCCCCTTGTGCGCGGATCGCTCGAGTGGATTCTTCGATAAGAGTTGCGGTTGAAGGCACCGGCGAGGCAGCCGAGGCTTGTGCAAGGGGTTGGTAGCGACTGGCATTCCGCTCTTTTTCCGACATGGGTCGTCCATGCACAGATATTGGCTGCGGCGACTGAAGAGGAGGTCTGCCTTTTGAGGGGAAGCGGTTTTCCTCTATCTCCATCATGGCATCATGAGGCGCAAGTGGGCGGGGAATAATAGACGATGGTGTCGCCTCGTATCGTCGCTTAGGGGCGACACTTGGATTTGGAAGTTTCCCAGGAGATTCACCACGAGCCTTCTTTTCCTCCGCATCCTTTGCAATCAACTCAAAGTCATTGTGGCCGGAGTCTAAACGGCGCTGGAAGAAGTTTTTGACCTGCAGAAAGGTTCCGGTTAGCCACATGGACGAAGATGGGACGAATAGACGAAGATGAGACGAAAGTAAAATGCCAGGGAAAAGACTTGACGCAAATTACTATCATGAATACAAGTGTTCCAATACATACCATCACCGTTGTCTTCGTTTTCATCCACCCAGAGATACCCTCAAAGTCACGGCCAAAATGTCCCAGCAAGGCTGGGAAATCACGCTGCTCGGGAACAGACCAATAACTTGTCGGCTGCAAAGAGCCATATCCAGACTCGTGTTGTTTGTTTGCCAGAGGTTGCTCGGGTTCAGTCGACTCAAATACATAGACTCCATCTTTAGCCCGCCCACGGCCGATTCTGCCTCGTGGAACTGGTTGCAAGGATTCTCTTTCGGCGCGCTGGCGTTCTCGAATTTCGTATGCTTCCATCATGGTGTCCGGCATCATTTCCATCTCAGTCCCAATGGGAGCAGGCGGCGGCGGCGGCGCGACAGAGGGCATGTCAACTTGAGGAAGTAGCGCCTGGCTCTTCATTTCGGGCTGGGGGGCTTTCGTGCGCCGGCCGCCGCGGGTGCCTGTGCCACGCCCGGCTCGTCGAGCAGGGGTCCTTTCAGTAGGCTCGCTATCACGGGCTGGTTGGCCACGACGGCCGATCGTTACACTGCTCTCTGCCTCAACGGTCTCGCCGAAGGTGGGTGCCGCTGCACGTCGCGGGCGACCGGTGTCGGTGACAGCGGGTGTATCATCGCCGCCATCAAAATCCGATTTCACAACACCCAAGTCTGCAATGAGGGCATTGGACTTTGGTCGCGCACCCTTACGAGCTCCTTTGCTGCGTTTGCTCCAGCGCTTGTTGAGTTTGGCCTTGTACTTGATCTCTTCTTTGGTCAAATAGTAGTGCACAATACATTGTTGGAAGGTTCGACCAGGTAACGACTCGGCGATCTTACCCCATCGTTTTGGGTATGCCATGAACGCGTTCGTGAAAATGACATGCTCTTGAGGTGTAAAGTCATTCGGCGGTGGGATGAACCCAAACACATCCAGAGCCCTATGGCATTCGATAATGTTGTTGACATCCTTGTAGACGGCTGCCTTTTCCTCCTTGAGTTCAAGCATATTCGGGATGATCGCCTCTTTGCCCAAGTCCGGGTAAGCAGTGGGCTTTTTATTCCGTCGGCGTTCGAGTTCCTCTTGGGCTGATATTTCGGAAGCTTTTAGAGCATTGAGGAAATCAAGTTCGCTGTTGCCTTTGTATCGACGGCCTTCGCGACCTTCTGGCATTGTTGCCGGGGTAGTTGGAACTGTGGACACTGGCGGTGACACAGGAGCAGGGGTGACAGATGTTTTGTCTTTCAGACGGTCAAGTTCCCAAATGGCCAATCGCCATGACTTATAGTAAGACAGATACTCATCACGGAGAACCTCGTTCTTTTGGAAGAGTGCCTGTTGCTCCTTGGAAAGTTCAGAAATGAAAGACCCTTTGAGGCGATCATGAGTCGCATTGTTCTCAAAGTAAACCTCCATGTCTGAAATTGGCGTTGGGGGACCCGAATGCAGGAAGGGCAGATTGTTGACATTGACTTCATCGCGGGAAGCTATTAAAGGCATCACCGTTTTCGCAGGCGGTTCTGGCTCGTGCTCGGGTAAGGCCGGCGCAGAAGAAACCGCACGTTCTGCACGAGTGTGGACCTTCGAATCTTCTTCCTCTTCTTCCACCAACGACATAGGGTCAACTTTGGGTTCATCTTCCTGTGCCGACGGGACGGGACGGTCAGGCGATTCCTCAGGTAGAATTTCAACCAATTGTTCAGTGGACTGTTCTGCTGGTGGCTCAACCGGTTGCCTCAATGCGCCCTCAATAGATGGTTCGATTATGTCTTGGTTTGCCATCATGCCAAGCAGCTGGATTTTCATTAATAAAGCGACAATTTTCGGGTCCTCTAGAGGCGAAGGTGGGAGTTCCGCTCGAAGTGACTCCATGTCTTTCTCGAAAAGCTGTTTTCTTTCGTCCAGGTACTCCTTCGTGAAAACGATGTTTCCCCCATCTTCTTCGTCGCTGGAGCGTTCGAAGTCCGGGATTATGCCAGGTTCCTCATTCGCCAATTTTTCCTGAGGCTCCTTAGCGTCACTGGGGCCATCCGCAGCGGAGAGGCTGCGCCGGATAGGAAGACCCATTGGAGAGACAGGGGATGGCTCCTTTGTAGGTTCGCGTGGCAGAATCTCCCCACTCTCTGGCTCATCCATGTCGAATGGAGATGGGGGTCGAGGGGCGGATCGCGCAGTTTCATTGGTAGGGGGAACGTAGTCACCGTCATCAACAAGATCTTGCTTCGGAGGTGCATTGGAGATGGAAGGCGTTCGACCGTAGCCGGGTCGCACCCACTGTTTGCTGCCTTTTCGACCACGTGGAGAGGGTGCTTGCGGCCATTGTAATGCTCGAGGGCCGGTGGGAATCCCCGAAGATTGCATGCGGGGTGACATGGATGGCTCACGGGACGGTGCTCGTGGGGCTGGTGGTGGGAGTCGCGTAAAGGTCGGAGAGGAGGTTATTGAGTTTGATCTAGCTGCTGTGAATGGGTCGTTGTTCGCAAGGGCCGGATCTGGCCTGGTCATAGCAGCTGGAGCGGTAGGTGGTGATACATCGGGAAGATTAACAGGCGCCTTGAAACTCCGAGGAGGCAAAGACTGCTGGTGGCCAGGCTCTCTCATACCGTCGTGGCGGGTGCGAGGGTCAAAGGAGTGTGCTGTGTCGGCTCGTTCCGCCTTGGGGCCAGTGGGAGGCTGAGCTGGTGGTCTTTGGGCCATGCTTCTGCCGTCCTTCTCCCGAGGTTGTCCGGCTCTGGGTGCTTTGCGATCCAGTAGATCTTGATCTGAGGAATTGTTCTGTATTGAAGCAGCCACCGAACCGAAGGCGGGTACTTGAGGGGCAGCTGGGGGTGGTGACTGTCGAGCCACTGGTCCAGGCTCCTTAAGGAGGTCCGGCCGAACGGGATCGGATTGAGTGGGGCCAGGTCGAATAGATTCAGACTGGACCGGGTCGAGTCTAGTAGGATTGGGCCGAGCAGAGTCGGGTTGGATAAGGTCAGTCCGAATAGGACTAGGTTTAGCAGGATCGGGTCGAGTGGAGTCCTGTCGAGAAGATTCAGCTCGAGTAGATTCAGGTTGAACATGGTCGGGTCGACCAGCATTGGGTCGAACGGGATTTGGTCGAATGGGGTCAGGTCGAGGTGTGGTATGATCACTTCGCTCGACATCTCGCCCTGAGTCGGGGCCTCCAGGAGTTGGAATGACTGATTGCTTTCGGGGTTGGTCCACGAGTTGGTGTTCAGCCTGACGTTCTACTGAGTTCGTGACTGGGCCTGATGCCGTTAGAGGGTGCGAAGAGGTGGTCGAACCACTCGCGGCCCGACTATCTGCGCGACTTGGAGGACGATCTCGCTTCCAGAAGTCCACTGGACGGTCGCGTTCTTCACGATCAGATCGTCGATTGGTGTCCCAATCTTCGCGGCGCTCAAAGCGGTCTCGACGGTCCAAGTCGCGATCTAAGAGATCTCGGTCCCTGTCTCTCGGGCGCAGAATGTCTCGATCTCGATCTCGATCCAGCATGCGCTCGCGATCTAGTAAGCGGTCTCGATCCAAATCCCGTTCTCTATCGCGGTCGATCATTCTATCACGACCACGCCATGGCTCACGAGACCGACTGCGTCGACGGAACAGATCACGATCGTCAAGGAAAGGTCGTCCACCTCTGCCACGGCCGCCTTCCCAATCCCCACGGCCACGTCCTCGCATACCACCTCTGGGCATGTGGCTGATGTTGGGCGGCGGGCCATCTGGACCCCCGAGGAAGCGGATAGAATGCTGTCCCTTGAGTTGCGTCGCATCCTGACCAGATCGAAATCGCGCCCTGGTGGCTCCCGGATATCTCGAAAGTCGCGCGTTGGGGACCGGGATCGCCCTCGGCCAAAACCTATGCGGTTGTCCCGTGGGTCAAAATCGCGATCACGGTCATGTCCACGGCGAGGCCAGTCGCGATCCAAGTCTCGGCGGAATGGAGGTCCTTCGCGGTTGTCTCGAAAGTCACGGTCGCGGTCACGGTCTCGATCGCGGAAATCACCACGGCCGTAGCCTCTACCACGACCACCGAAATGACCACCCCGAGGGGAATCAACCAAAGCTCGAGGGCCACGGGGAGGATCCCTTCCGAATGGTACAGGGCCGTCGTCAGGACCACGGGGACCAACTGGGGGACGTCGGTCTCCAAAGCGTTGCGGAGAGCGGTCACGGGAATTGAACCCGGACGATGGAGGGAATCGAGATGACATTATCGCGTCATGCTATGAAGCTATTGGCAGGTAAGCGCTCCATGTGAAAGACGTGACGTGAGCAAAGAGGAATGCAGAGGATACAGAGAAGCACGGAGCATCTGGAGCAGAACGAGGGAGTGCACGGGCCACCTTACGTAATTTTTCATGTGGTCCGATCGGGCAAAGCGCATGGAGAAAAAGATCCGTTCGGGGCCAACGGGAGGTCAAGAGACTTGTGCCTTCAGAGCCCCGAAGCGCCGACTCAAGGTATCGCGGGACGAAGAAAGGAAAGCCAAGCCTGATAGCCCTGGAGGAGATGTATAATCAAAGGCAGAAGATTGACTCGAAACTATGAAGTGGAGTGGATCGGAGAAATCATGCGAACTCCTTACGCCAGAGTCCAGAGTCACAGATGCCAGATCCAAGAAGGTACAGAAACACGAAAGAGAAGAGGTGACAAGGTGAAGTTCAAGGGGTTTGACACTAGTCCCTTTTCAACGCTAGTGTGGATTCAAGGCAACTCTATCTGTCGGGTACTTTGGATATGCTAGGCTTCCACTATATTATGGAGGTACCTACAAACTAGACAGGGTCCCATGGTGTATCCAGGTCTGAAATCAAGTACTCCGTAGATCGTGCCCAGGTGTTTTATACTCGGTACCAACAGAGGCTTTTGCTTTTGTAATACACCAAATGAACATCAACGGCTGTGTTGTACGGAGTACAAGTGTACTCAACCACCGAGTGTGCGAGGCCTCAGGCGATTACTTATGCCTCAGGTGTCTATCAGTCTTCCCCGCCAAAAAAAAAAACGATCAACAGCTGCCCCTCTATTATACTTCTGCTCTATACATTGCCCTCGTGCTCCGTACATGATCCAGCTGTCAACCCCATCAGACCTCTCCTTGGAACTCAAGATCTCTATTTTATGAATTTTATCTGATCATCACATACCGCAAACATGAGTCACTCCGCTGTTCCGTCCGCCGTGGCCGACTCCGTGCTCCAAAGCTCACAACCAGTCCCAGAAGGATCGCACGTTGTGAGCGGCGTGGATTTTGATAAGTTCCAGGGCCGGGATATCACAGTGGCCGAAATGGTGGACAATTTGGCTCACACTGGTTTTCAGGGCACTGCGGTCGCCGAGGCGGCCAGCATTATCAATGAAATGGTAGCCACCTCCCGCTTTGCATCCTCGCGATTGAACTAACCACGGGCTTGTCTGTAGCGCGCGTTCCGTGATCCGGAAACCGGAAATAAAACGACCATCTTCCTCGGCTTCACCTCGAATCTCATTTCCTCCGGCCTCCGGGACACCCTCCGCTACCTAGTCAAACACAACCATGTCTCGGCCATCGTAACTACTGCCGGTGGAGTGGAGGAAGATTTAATCAAGTGCTTAGCTCCCACATACCTTGGCTCCTTCTCAACCCCGGGGGCAGGTCTCCGCAGCAAGGGTCTCAACCGCATTGGTAACCTCATCGTGCCCAACAACAATTACTGCTCGTTTGAGGATTGGGTCGTTCCCATTTTGGACAAGATGTTGGAGGAGCAAGAGGCGGCCAAACAAAAGGCCCGGGAGACCGGGGATGAGGAGGATGAGCTGCACTGGACACCCAGCCGCATCACCGAGCGCCTGGGCCGTGAGATCAACCACGAGGATTCAGTCCTGTACTGGGCGGCCAAGAATGGAATCCCCGTATTCTGTCCGGCCCTGACCGATGGTTCCCTGGGTGACATGCTCTACTTCCATACTTTCAAGTCTTCCCCGCAGCGGCTTCGGGTCGATATCGTCGACGATGTGCGACGTATCAACACCATGGCGGTGCGAGCTACCCGGGCGGGTATGATCATCTTGGGCGGCGGCGTGGTCAAGCACCATATTGCGAACGCATGTCTCATGCGAAATGGGGCCGAGCACGCCGTGTATATCAACACCGCGCAGGAATTTGATGGCAGCGATGCCGGCGCTCGACCAGACGAAGCGGTGAGCTGGGGAAAAATCAAGGCGGACGCCAAATCAGTCAAAGTACGTGTTACTCCTCTCCTTTTTGAATCCGACACTTCCTCCCATATTCCTCCAGTTTCTTACCTTTCTCTCTCTCTTTTTTTTTGTTTTCAGGTCTACGCAGAAGCCACCGCTGTATTCCCAATGATCGTTGCAGCTTCGTTCGCTCGACAATCGCAGAACTGAACACAATTCCCATTGAGTTTTGGGATCACGCCAAGACATGCAGGATCCCGTCCAAAGTGCAATTCGCTTCCAGCCAATCAGTGTGGCGCATTTGATCGCCCGGCCCAGTTGGGCCAATTGGCCGCGTTGCCCTGAACAATCTGGCATGAGCCCCGCTAGAATTGCCACGTACCAGCCAATGACTGATCGGTGGCAAAGGGGAGGAGAAACCCAGTCGCCGAGTCGCCACTGGAAGAAAAAAGAAGACGATCCCATTGGCAAATTAAGGTTGACTGCCCTGAGTGGAGATAGCCGATGATCGGCACACCGCAACGGAGCGGCGTATCATGAATAATGAACATGTATCACAATGAGCAATATCCATTGTACACAAAGTACAATATATAATATATTCAAAAATGATCTGTACATCGGACTGGTACTGCCCAAAGATGTGTAGGGGGGTAGAAGAGTTAGGGAGTAAGGAGAACCGAAAAAAAGAAAGCAACTAATCGGCTGAGGTAATCCGAGTAAGGCGCTAGACCCACTCGGCAGATTCCCCCGGACTCTTCGTCTTTTTTTGGCTTATCTGTTTGGCCCTGGGCCTCGTTTTTCGTTTTTCGCTTTTCGCTTTATTCCCTTCACATTTCTCCCTTTTCCCTTGCTTCATTTTTTTGTTCCGCTTTTCTCTGCTTTAACTCCTAGCTTATTCTCTCGTTTTCTCTCTTTCTTATCGCCCTCCCTCTCTCTCTTTCCACTCTCTCCCCACATCTCCACGCCTTATCTGATAAGCCCTTATCAGGAAGTCTCTAGGGAGTCCAAGTCTCCCATTTCACTCACTATTGTCTATATATTGTGGGCCATTGGTTGCCAAGCGCACAGGCACTACCCAGGAGTATATCCTCGGGGATTATAGGGGCTTTGTCAACTGATCATGGACACACCCAATTCAGGTGCCCCGGGTCAGACCGAGGGCACTGTGACCACCCAATCCAGTCAGCTCGTTGAAACCTCGCCTTCAAATCCTCCATCTACCGCTGTTCCATCCGAAGAACCAGAGCATGCGTACTGGGCTGAGTACGAGGAGGACACCACGTCTCCGGACGAGGATGAGATGAAAGAAATCGACGGCGGGGACTCGGACTATAGCGCCTCTGATCGTGTGTTCCACAGATTCCCCTTCATTATTCAAGTCCTCGAGGCTGACTGGAGACTACAGACAAGTACTGGGAAACCAATTTCTTCCGTGAACTGGGAGATCCCGAGTACGTGCCCACTGAAAAGGCCCGCCTCACATGGACCTTGAAGGGCGTACGAGGCACACCGGAAAACCCCAACCGGCATAAGGTCCTCAGATCTCCCGCAGCATTCGTTGGGGGTTATTGGTGGCGCATCAAGTTTTATCCCAGGGGCAATAACGTCAATGCTCTGAGTGTCTATCTTGAGTGTTCTACCACGATGCCTGCGCCAGATGATGACCTCCCGGAGATGGATTTCACCGTCCGCCGAGGCGGACCCGATGCATCGCTAGATGACAGCTCCCCGGAGGTTGAAGTGAAGACCGGGGCCACTGACGATGTGTCTACATGGCTGGAAAACTATAAATCGCAATACGCGGCTGCCAAAAATGCCGCGCATCCCAGTGAGACTGAACCATCTACGGCGTGGCGTGTGCCCGCACAGGTGGGCGTTATTGTATACAATCCTCAAGAGCCGCGTACCGGGTGGATGCAGTCGTCCTGTCATCAGTTCAACCCCCACAACTTGGACTGGGGGTGGACTTATTTCCATGGTCCTTGGGACCAGATTCACTCCCGTCGACGAGGTCAGCACCGCGCTCTACTCACTGACGATACGCTTTCCTTTGATGCGTACATTCGAGTGGTCGATGATCCCACCAAGTCTCTTTGGTGGCACCCAAGTGATTCCGAGCCTACTTGGGATAGCATGGCTTTGACCGGATATCGACCTCTCGGCGACTCGATCATCAACCACAGTCCAGAAGTTGCCGGTCTCGCTTCATGGTTGCACATTGCTCCATTTTGTCACATTATCCAGAGTATTGATGTTCTTGAACATCTCACTAATGCCCAGGCCAGGCCCAAGCCCCTGTGCGACGCTCTTCAGAGGTTGCTTTGGCAACTCCGCCGCCAGACAAAGTCCCCAAGTTACGTGGACACTGATGCAGTGACAACAACTCTCCGCAATCTGCACGAATTCTCCAGTGACGTAACTGAATTTTGGGAACGCCTGCGTCGCACTTTGGAATTGGAGCTAGAAGGAACAGAAGCTGGCAAGAAGTTCGCCGAGCTGTTTGATAGCCCGATCATCGACACTTTGTCGGCTGATGAAGATGTTACTGTGAACAGGTTGCCTACAGACTTCAACTCCCGTCTGTACATGCGAATCGATCAAACCAAATCCGTATCGGAGGCTGTCAGCAGCTATTTGAGTGCCAAACCCGGTCGTTGGTCGCTGCCTCAGGTCTTGCACATTGAGATTGGGCGCCACACATTGGACAAGGCTAAGCGGTGGCAGTTGCAGTACGACAAGGTCCAACTGGACGAAGAGTTGGATCTCTCCCCATGGGTCGCCGACGGTCAAGGGACTAAATATGTTCTGTATGGATATATCGTTCACCGTGGTCGCCGCACCTCTGGCAAATTCTTTAGCATCCTGCGCCCGGCTGGTCCTGGCACCACATGGCTTGCTTTTGATGATGGCAGTGACAACCGTGTTGAGTGTCTCACTCAAAAGACAGCCATGGGCCCACACCTAGGTCTTGACCCTTCTCAGTCCGTTGACCACAAGAAGGGACACGACATACCTGTTGTGGCTATGTATGTCCGTGGTGACATGGTCTCCAATTTGTTGCCTGGTTCACAGGGACCTTGGGAAACTTCGGAAACTATGAAGCAATACTATGAAACGGGAGTTTATCATACCGGTGACAAGCCTGCTGAGGATGTCAAGGTGGAGGTCTACTCTCTTCCACAGTATGATGGATTGAGCAGTCTTTTTGATTCACATGGTCTTATGGCACAGGCCAAAGCGACAGACAACGTTATGCATATGGTCTTTCCTCGTTCAACACGCTTGGTCGAACTTCGCAAATCAATCGCTGCACGCAAATCCACGACCTGCGAGCCAGTCAGCCCTGAACGCATTCGCTTTTGGCAAATCGGCAACTCCTTTGCGCAGTCTAGCTCATCACTGACCTTTGATCGAGCAACCAATCTTGAGGTTCCATTGGATCCCTCGCTAAATAACATTCAATTTTGGATGGAAGTCATTTCAGAAGGTAAGATATTCTACTTCCTCTCCATCTTTCGTCGTCGTCTAACACCAGACTCCCACAGAGGACGCTCAATTCTTTGCGATTCCAGATCCCCCTGCGGCCATTACATCGGATGATAAGCCTGAAGACCATTTAGTTCAAGTTTTAGGATCTGAAGGTTCGGCGAACGCACCATCATCCGTAGTAGAGGGAGATGCCATTGCCAGTTCCTCGGAAACTTCTCCTCGGGCAGCGACCGCCCTCACAGACACTCTTGCCCCGGCCTTGGATAATAACGAACTGCCTCAGGTGGCCACAAGCTCACCGGAAAGCAATAGCGTCGTCACTGAGCGGGAGAGTGAAGTGGATGTACAAGTGGTAGCATCTACAGAAGCCACAAGCTCCGCTCCTCTTACTTCCCCCGAGGATGTATCCTCCACGGATATTGCACCTCAAACTCAAGTTGAGCCCAAAGTCAACTTACCTGTTTCCCATGCATACTACTTCATCCAAATCTTCGATGCGGATAGTCAGTTGCTAAGGACGGTGGGATCGTTCTTTTCGAAACTCGATGCCAACGTCAAGGCCTCGATTCGACGTCACCTTAATCGACCTATTCGTCAAGATTTCTTGATGTGGAAGCGGGTTGATGGTGCCACAGTCACCAATGTGTCACCGGCCGATAGCTTTGATGATGTGGTGGCTCCCCACGGTGTATGCTTCATCATCGGAGACAAGTTGACCAAGGATAAGTAAGTTTACCCACACCGCAGCAACCAACCCAGTCGATCGAATTTAACACAAGAAGCAGACGCTCCCAGCTTGCATCCACAGGAATGTTCACTAGTCCTGATCGTCTGGTTCAATATCTGTGGGCCAATTCCCGTGGTCATCCGATCCATGGTTTCACTGGTACCAAAACCATCGAGGCCACATTCACGCAGGATTACTACAGCGGTGATTTCGTCAAGGGCCACCAGCACGGCAAAGGAACCCACATCTCCGGCAACGGTATGGTCTACGAGGGTGACTTTATCTTTGGTCGACGCCATGGTCAAGGCAAATTGGTCTATCCCACGGGTGACTCATATGACGGTGACTGGGTCGAGGATGTGTGTCATGGACAAGGCACATATGTCGAGAAGACAACGGGCAACAAGTACGTTGGCGGATTCAAAGACGGCAAACGCCATGGCAAGGGAATTAGCTACTGGGAGGTAGCCGATGCAGAGCTTGACCTGTGTCAAATTTGCTACACGGAAGAGATGGACGCTGTCTTTGCAGAGTGCGGCCATCTCTGCTCGTGTGTGACATGTGCCAATCTTGTGAGCCTTTGTCCAATGTGCCGCAAGGAAGTGAAGAAGGTGATCAAGATTTATCGGGCATAGATTGTGCCTTCGAAGACGGCACGCTGTACTTGATGTTCAGCATTTTTCATGAGACTGCAGATTGTAGACTGCATTCATCCGTTTATTAGCGTGCGATGTGATTTGGGATTTGGAGTGATGCGCAGGTTTTATTTCCAAGGTTTTTTAGATGCATGTGTCATCTGGTAGAATATAGATCGGTTATCCCAAGGTTATATACATTCATTCAACGCATTACCTAGGTATCTCTCTACATACTCCCGAGGTCAAGCGCTTTGCTTTCAACTTGAAATTGGATAGTTCCAAGGTTATTCCAATCGCTACACTAGTTCAGTAATTGTATTTCCAACCTTGGAAGGTTTATTGTTTTGACACAGTTTGATCTTGATTGAACAAAAGGTATATCCTATACGCCGGGCCCCGGACCTAATACATGATGCTTTTGAATTGCCCGAAGAAATATACAAACAAAAAATAAAACCTTGTAACGTATGATCAAATGGCGATCATTTGGTGGCCTTCTTGGCCGACTTCTTGTCCTTTTTCTCGCCCTTGGCCTTAGCAGGCTTCTGCTCTGCCTTCTCTGCACTCACGGGCTTATCTTCCTTGCCCTTGGTGACAGTCTTCTTCTCACCCTTGGGCTCATTAGTGGACTTCTTCGACGCAATAGTCTTGGTCTCCTCTTCTTGGCTAGGTTCCTCGGTCTTGCTAGTCTTCTGCGAAGCCTCAGCCTTGCTCTTCTTGGGCTTGTTCAGAACGCCCTTGGGGTTGAGACCCTTGCGACGCAGACGGTTGCGCTCAGCACGAGCAATACGCTCAGCATCCTCGGGATCTTCAAAGGCGCTGAAAGCACCGCCTTCAAAGTCGGCAGCGTGTCCATCCTCGTCGACAATCGGAGTCTTGTCAACCATCTCGTCATCGGAGGATGCAGCTGAGGCGCTGCGGGACTTCTTGCGTCCAGCGGAACGAGACTCACCATCCTCAGCCTTGGGTGGGGGAGTCACGGCAGTCTTCTTGAGCTTGCAGACATAGAAACCGTCAACGTTCTCACGGTGAGGGAAGTAACGGCGGGTAAGCGCCATCTTGGGGTCGAACTTCTTGCCCATGTAGCTAAGGAATCCAGGGCTACCAAAGCCGCCAAGGCCAGTGTCCACAATCTTAACATTGGGGCGCTTGCGGAGGACATACTGCACAACGGCCTCGTTCTCTTCAACGGTCACACTGCAAGTAGAGTAAACGACGTATCCACCAGTCTTGGATGCGTGGTCAACGGAGTCAATAGCGGCCAACAGGAGCTGACGCTGCATGTGGGGAATGGCGAGGAAATCACGCTCGTTCTTGGAGGTCTTGACACCGGGGTCCTTCGAAATGACACCGGTACCAGTGCAAGGGGCATCGAGCAGAACACGATCGAAGCCACCCATGGCCTTGGGGAAAGCGGTACGAGCATCCATGTTCGTTACAATGGTGTTCTTGCAGCCAAGACGGTGGATGTTACCAATCAAACCCTTGGCACGGGGCTTGCTGGCATCGTTTGCGATCACGCAGCCAGTGTTGCGCATGAGCGCAGACATGTATGTCGTCTTACCACCGGGCGCAGATGCCATATCGAGAACGCGCTCGTTGGGCTGGGGGGCGAGAGCCATGACGGGGAGGAAAGAAGAAGCGGCCTGGAGAATGTAGTGACCAGCGAGGTACTCAGGGGTGGCACCAAGAGGCACGGGAGATTCGAAAACCTGGAGACCGACCTTGGACCACTTGCCAACGGGCTCGAGGACAACACCACGGTTGATCAGGGCCTGGGCGAGGGATCGACGGTTGGTGCGCAAGGTGTTGGTACGAATGACAACGGGACGAGGGGTTTCGTTAGCCTCGAAGAAGGCAAAGGCTTCCATGGGAGTGAACAGGTTGAACAGCTTCTCGGCAAGGAATCGGGTGTAGCCGTAGTAGGTGCAGATGTCGTCGAGCAGGAGATCGACGTAATCGGTACGGGACCTTCCAGGCTGACCAAGTGCCTTCAGGTCACCCAGAATTCGAATGGTATCTGTAATGCGCTGGCGGAGGAGCTGAAGATCGGGTGCGAGTCCCTGTTGCTGGTTCTCATCGGCGAACACATCAGGCGCACCAATGTTGGTCTGCATTTGGGCCTCCTGCAATTCCTGCTCGGCATCCTCCTCTTCTTCCTGCTGCTCGGCGTCCAGCTTTCGTGACAGACCCTCAATGTTGGCGGCGGTCAATCTCTCTTCGGCATCGGAGTCCTCGTCGTCAGAGAACATGGCACCACGGGCGTGACCCTCCTCGTCAGAATCAACGAAAGAGTTATCATCATCCTCCAGGTCGGAAAGTCCCTCCACTTGGTCATCACTATCCATTGAGCCTTCGCTGATTCCGTCGAGATCACCGAACTCATCATCCTCCATTTCCTCATCGTCGTCGGACATGGGCACTGGCACAGCCTTCTTGGTGACCTTCTTCTCAGCCTTGACAGGAGCGGCAGAGACCTTCTTCTTCTTAGGAACTGCTTTCTTCGACGCAGACTCGTCAGCATCGGATCTGCGGCGCTTTGATGCAGCCTTCGGAGTAGCCTTCGGAGCCTCGGCGCTGCCGGCCTTGCGCTTCTTCAGCATTGAGATTTTTGATTCATCGAGGGGTGCAGGGACTCCCTGCTTGGTTCCCATGCGACGACCGATACCCATGGTGAATTAATTTGGACAAAGACGTTTGGGGTGTTTGCTTGGGAGCTGCGATTTTCCTTCCCGTCTTTTTTTTTTCTCTTCGGGCGGTGTTTGGTGGCAGTAAAGATGTTTAGAGGGCGGTGAGAAGAGGTTGTTGATGCCTTTTCTCTCAGGTGTCTATTTTGATAACAGGAACGGAGATCTGGGTATCTACGGAGTACCAAGCATCCTCATCTTCAACAGCTGGCTATTCTTGCCTGTCTCCTCTATTCCCTTCTCCAACTACCTTCTAAGAGAGCTGTCTACTCATTCCGTCATGTCTGAATTGAGCTTTGCGAAATCATTCCTGTCCACTTTGGACTCACGACCTATCAAGCTTCGCGCTGACCATGTCTTCGACCCAGAGCAGGTTGGATTGCGAGTTCCTGTAAGTTTGTCAATATGCTGCAACAGTATTGGCACCAACTCAATTGCTCGTGTACTAACTTGCTGTCTCATATTGCAGTACACTCTTCCCCGCCTCTCAGCCCCGCATCCCCCGATGCCTAAGAAGGTGAAGTCGGCTCATGCACCTGGCTCCTCCAAATCTATCACCGTCCGTGTCAAGTCGGCCCGCAACCCGGCTCTGGACTTCCCTATTACCAACGCTCCACTATCCACTACCTCAGTTCAAGACATTCGGGATGCTGTGCGAGGTCGCGTCACCGACCCCCAGGGAGGTCAGGTTCCGCTCGAGAAGATTAAGATTCTGTATAAGCGGAAGCCGGTGACTGGAACTGGAAAGACACTTGCCGAGATGCTAGTAGACGAGCCCACCATCCTGGCCGGGGGCAAAGAGGTTGAGATTGGCATTATGATCATCGGCGGCGCTCAAGCGGTTGAGTCCTCCGCGACGCAGCCAGAGGCACCAGAGAAGCGGGATGAATCCCCACCCAAACCTGCTGTTGGGCCAAGCGGCGAAGAAGTGCTGCGGACAGAAGCCTTCTGGGATGACTTGCAAGGCTATCTCGAGCAGCGCTTGAAAGATGAGGCCGAAGCCAAACATCTGAGATCTCTATTTAAAGATGCATGGAAGTCCTCGAATTAGAGTGGCGAGATAACAGCGCAATTTAAACTAATATCATCATGCAATCACTAGCTTATGTTCTCTGTCTGACATCGTGTATGCCCACGTGTGTGTGTGTGTGTATAATTTGAAATCTTGGTGGGGTTTTTTTGGTACTATATATTGTTATGCAAGATCGAGCATCCATGGATGAGGCGAACTGGAGCTGCCCACCATACCTTCAAGTCCTGGAGGTTAGGTACCTAGGTATATCATAGGTAGGCTAGCCCCAGGGATGCCCAGGTGATAATCATACCTACATCTGCCCAGGTGGGCACCAGGCGAGCATGTCCATTTATATATTATGCCAGACCGAATAATCCGGGCTACCCTACCTACTTGAGACCTCGGGAGCAAAAGATGACACGCCCTCACAGAAATAAAGACTGCCGTTCAAACAAGATGTATTCGAATCCAAGGATAAATTGACCATGTATTGAGACAGTCAAACCAAACACCCACACACGCCGGGGAATCTTTCTCGGACGGCATGTTGTCAAAGAAGTTGAACAAGGAGGAAAAAAAAGAGTACACAAGTTGAAGTGATGTAAAGGAAAAATCACGTAAGATGAGTAACACATGCCAGGCAGCTTGATAGAACACCATTGTAAATGCTCGAAAGAACTGGTCCGGCCAATCGCTCATCCGGTTCATGGGATCATACACGGGAAAAGAAGGAGGCGCGAGGAAAAACGAACACAGGTATAACACAGGAAGAATCATACATGGGTTTCATCTCATCGTTCAATCATCGGGAGAAAACCTTTACCACACCATCTCCACCACCGCCAACGACCCAGCGGCCATCACGGCTCCAAACCACAGCACACACCCCTTCGCCACGCATTAATCGGTGGCTTGTCAACTCCTGGTTACAGGTGCGTTTCTCCAGGTCCCAGAACCGCAAGCTTGCATCATGACCGGCCGAAACAAGCTCCCGTCCATCAGGGGACAGTGACAATGAGGCAATTGCAGCAGGATGGGCAAGCATCGTGTAAGTACATTGACCTAAAAGGAAAGTTAGTATGATAGGCAACAGAAATGGATAAAATCATGACATACCACTGTTGGCATCAAAGAATCGAATGTAGCGGTCCTCGTAGCCACTGATGATAACGCCCTCCACATTGCTCGAGCCAGTGGCTCCATGAACAACTTCTTCCTCGGTGGGTGCGCGGTTAGGATCCAGATTGGCCGTTCCATCAAAGCCAATGGTGGTTGCAACGACAGAGTTCACACCAGTGGATGGTGTGCCGTCATAGGTTTCAAGACTAGCCATGGCCGCAATTTCCTCGCCGGTTCGTGTATCATAAACAAGGATAGAGGCATCTGAGTAAGAGACAACGAAGTTGACACCTGCAAGCGATAGCGGGCTGATGCATGTCGGCGAAGGGGATTCAGGGCGAACGATGTGGTGGATGAGAGTGTGGTGGAAAGGCGTAGTTGTAGCGACACTGGGCTGTGGCGAGGATGGGAAGTTGGACCCAGAGGATATTGAGTTCGCACGTCGGCTCCCACCTTGACGGCGTGATCCACCGGGAGGTGACGAGATCTGGGGAGGAGCGCTCACAGCCCAGATCAGAATCCGACCATCTGCGGCACCAGAGGCCAGCAAGATGCGATCCGGTCCACCGTAATGGCTGCTCGAATCGCCAAAGACAGATCCTACTGTCCCCGGGAGAACGCAGAGTCCCCATACTGCATCTGTGTGTCCGTCTAAGGTAGCCTTAGGGTCAACACGCCCACGCTCCCATACGCGTACGCTGGCATCCTGACCACCGGAGAAGACCCATCCATCTCCCAAAACACGACCACCATTGGAGATGTTCTGAGACGGCGAGCAGGCAGCCAATGATGTGACAGCACCTTCGTGTCCGCGGTGGGTGAAATAACTTGTGATATCAAGATCGTTGCTGGGGCCAGGGCCGTGCGGTCCAAATCCACCATAGGTGGCTGGAATGATCCATCGTTTGATGGTTCCATCGTCACTGCACGTGCAGATTTCAGGCTCTGATGGGCTTCCGCCGCCAGTGAAAATGACGGACCGAATCACGTCCAAATGACCGCGCAAAGCAAATCGAACTTTGAAGTTGGTGTCTGGTTGTTGGGTCAAGGCCGCGCCTCCATCGCGGCTATCAATTGCACCTTCACTCTTGCGCCTTGACCCAGAGCTCTTTCGTCGGTGTGGAAGAGAACCTGCCTTTGCCGACAACTCGGGACGAACGAAATTGGCATTTGGGAACGCATCGGTGTCTGGGCGATGAGGCGGGACCGGCTCTGCGATTGGCTGCTGCTCCGCTGGTTCGTCAAAATTCCACCCATCCACATCCTCGGTCTTCTCAGGCAAGGCCTGCGGGTTGAGATCTTCCTTCACAGCCACTTGAGGTCCTTGTGCTTCAAGCGCTTGGTTTTGTTGATCATCGACTAAGCCCTGTTGATATACATGAGACCGGTTTCCAGTTGCCCCAGCGGGAGCTTGCTGCAATTCAAGTGACCGCCGATCCACTGCGTCTCGCGGGAGGAACTGATTTTGGCCCCGAGCCATCGCGTTGTCAGAGTAGTGGTTTGTCACTGGTTGATGATTTTGAAGCGCCATTTCGCGCGCCATAACCTGGTTAGCTTTTTGTCGTTGCTGCTGTAGGTAGGCCTCCTCTAAGTTTTGTTGAGACAACTGTGAATTTCCATATAGATGGCCTGAGATATCGGAGTCGGTGAGATCGGGTGGAGGATGGGAGGTAGGTATAACATGGTACGAGATTTCGTGAGAGGCTTTGGTCAGGAAGCCTCGAACTTTGTCCCGGCCTTCATCGAGTTCACCGTCCTGCTGGCTCTCGTTGTCCAATTCTTGGTCATTCTCATTATCCATGCTCGGTTTCGGGCGTTGTGCTGGTAGCCAACATCATCAGTAAACGTGGATGGTAGCATTAAACAGAAATGAGGGCCACAAACACTTTAGGAAATTGACGCTATCACGCGCAACCTCCTTGGGGTCCTTGGTATCTTCGAGAGATTCATTGTTGGATAACTTCTTGACCTTTTCCCTTTCGCGCTTCAGCGCAGTCTCCATCAGCCTCACATGCTTGCCTAGAGACTCGTGTAAACGCTTGCTGGTGCGGAGGTCACCCTCCAAGCGGCCAATGCGGGACTTCATCTCGGCACGTTCGATCTCCCAGGCATTGCGATCGCGTTCGTGTCGATGCCATTCCGTCTGCAGAAAGCGCATAACACCTTTGTAATACCCCATATTAGCAAAAGAAACATGGCCCGACCTAGAAAGCTAGGTACACATACCCTGCAGCGTGTATTCCGTGCCCTGTGGACCGCTTGAGCCATCCATAGCGCCGGGCATTCCTCCCATCCCAGACATGGCAGACGGGGATTGCCAAGACATGAACAACTGAGAGCTGTCAAGGCTCCAGGTGAGAAAAAGACGAATGTCAGGTGTGTAGCTGGAGACGGCTTGGGGCGAGCTTCGGCTTCTCCTGACCCCGGTAAATCGTATCCGCAGGAAGAGACCCGAGATCCCCTACTACAACCACGTTGCCCACAATGTCAAATTGTGGTTGAGGCGGTGCACGGGATGAAATTCCACGGGAGCGAAGCAAAAGCCAACGATCTGAGGAAAGTATGGAGATGGAGGTGCCTTCATTTGTCTTTTGTTATGGGAGGGTTAGCTGGAGCGCCCACACCGCCTTCTGATAGTGCCGGCTCCAATGCGCTGGGCTTCAATGCGCTGGCGACGAGAGTCGATTGAGGCAGAGAACAATAATAACGTGTATTTGTACAATGAGGTCGAACATGAGTTGCTGGTCGTCAGGAAATGATTGTAGAGATTCTCTCAGAGTCCAAAAGTAACCACAGGAACGGGCATATATTGGTGCCTTAATTTCCAGGCAGAAACTTTGGAATTAGTTAGTTAGGATCAACACTATCTCATCTACTTGACTAGTTATCACTCCTTGAATGATCTCTTGAATCAGCTTGGCTGGTAGGTTGTTGTTTTGTAGTTCTCTTCTCATATACACTCGTCGGTCCACCAGTCAGATGGATCATAGAGTACATTCCTGTTGTTATGATAATGATGCCCAGGTTGTTCTTGGAAATTCCCGCACAGGGTACTTGGATCTATGTGAGCTGCTCGTGCGAAAATGTACGCATGGGGCTAGTGGACAGTGGTTTCTGTCTTCCTATTAACAAGGGTTCAATCAAATATGTATTACAATAAACCTAAACCCCAAATGACAAGTGTGTGATCAGCTATGACGACCTATGCTTTCCACAAGGCATTGACTTGCTTCCTCCGGGTCTAGGTAGAAGTATGAGGTTAGTGGATGTGTACCTAGAAGAATGTGCAACCAATCTGATAAGACTTATCGGTGCACACAGAACAAAGGGTTAAACATACCATGGGAGCCAAAATGGTGACACCTACCCCGAGTGCCACAACAGTCAGAACGAGCTGGAGCTTAGAGAAGCTCTTGCCGAGAACATCAAAGGCTTGACTTGGGGTGGCTCTTGTACCATAGATATCGCCACCATAAGCGAGGACAAGACTGGTACTCTCCAACAGGGTGGGGCAGGACAGCACCTCCTTGATGCCGGCAACATCGCGAGCGTGCGACAGGTACCATTTGCCATCAAATTCAAGGTAAGGGGTGTAGCGGAAGAGACCCTCCTCAGTCTCGGCAGCGGTAGGGTCCCGGTCGACAGGGCGACGGGGATCGAGGACGGGACGAGGGATGCCGACAATAGAATTGGAGGAGGGAAGGGTGCAGATGAGTTGACGCGTGGTGATGCCCTGACGAGTTTGGGTGACGGCCATGTGGGAGATAGGTTCGGGAATCATAAATGCTTGAGAGATGACATGAGGCAACGGGAGTGTGTCAACGCTAGAGTAGTTGCTAGCAGAGTCAAGCGTGCCCCGATCATTAGGTAGCGGAGACTCGTAAAGTTCCGAGACGACCAGCTGGTAGCCCTTAGCCGAGGACTCATCGGCAGCAACATCACCCCAGAAAGAATAGGCGAGCCAGTTCTCAGATACGACAGATGCGATAGGCTGGGTAGAGTCAACGCCTGCCTGGGTAGTTGCATGCAAAACCTTGCCGGAGACACCATCCAGCAGGTAGAAGCTAGCAGTCTTGGCATTTTCATCCACAGCAGTCACCAAGGCTAGATTAGGGTTGAGGTATTTGTACAGAACGGAGCGATTCCCAAGGACCTTGCCAATTGACGCGACAGGGTCATGCGCAGGACGAGCAGTTGCTTTAATGACCTTCTGTCCGGAGGGAGGAACAAACTCCCAGACGGGCGACTTGTTGTCTGCGGAAATCCACCCAAGGACTCGACCATCTGCGCTCGTGGTAACCAGGAAGCCATTTTCTTTGGCATATGCAGTGACAGGGGCTCCATCTGCGCCAACACCCGCTGTGATCAACGAGTTGCTATCCTTGCGGCCAAGGATAGCAATTGTATGAAGTGTGTTGTCGGATGGCTCAGTGCGCGAAATGATATCTCCGGTAGAGACATTCAGAGTCACAGAGCTTCCATCACTGGGGTAAACGGTCACAGCTCCAGGGGAGCTCAGGATCGCCTTCACATCCCACTGCGTGGTCTTCGCAACGTTGACGCTCCACGACACGGCGCCGTGCTTACCGGTGTCCAAGGCGTGGACGCGGCCATTCCTGGTGGCAATAATAACTGGCTTGGCAACTCCAAAGCTATCCAGGTTGGAAACCTCATCTGTTAGAATACTGCTGAGGATACGCTTTGGCAGATCCTGAAGCCAGTCTGGCAAATGCTGCAAGTCCCGAGCATGACGTTTCACACGATGAAGGTAAGCACCGTACAAAGTCTCGTGCCCTTCGACCTCCAATTCATGGGCCAGATCTTCCTGCACATCGGTTTCCGCCCAGGTAGCTGCAACCGCATCGATAAGACCTTCATATCGAGTCCATTCGATCTGGCCATTTCGGATGAGCTGCCAATCTCCATGCTCTCGGAACAAAGCAGATCTAACAGCCAAAGCCTTTCCTTTGGTGACGATTTCGGAGACCGAGTGAAGGCCAACCTCGGAAGCAGATGCCTGCAAATCCCAGCGCCCCAGAACTCCATGGGATGCGGAAGATACAACGATGGCTTCCACTTCAGTAATCCGAGTGAAGTAAACATTGGCGTCAATGACACTGGTCGCAACCACCGACTGGCCCTGAAGATACGGCAAACGGTAAGCGTTGGAAACCTTGGAAGACATCAAGTCCACGTGGTACACCTCGGCCCAGGCGCCAGTCTCGGTCACGAAATGGACCAAGAAATGAGGCAACGCGTTGAGTTTGTTCGGGGCGTGGACAGCGATCTGGCGAATTTCCGCACCGGAGGTGTTCTCAATGGCGATCGAAGTGACCTCCTTAGTTCCGATCACATTGACTTTCAAGGACTTCTGTGCCTTGTCTGTCCATACAATGACAGGCGAGGCAGAATTGGCACCGACATAAAGAATGGATTCGGGGGTGGTCACGTCGGTGTCGGAGTTCAATGCTTGTTGACGGATCTGTCGTCCAGTCAAAGGGTCCAACACAGTAACTTTGACTTTGTAGCCCTTCAGCATAGCCGATTGGAGGGAAATGTAGAAAACTTCCGTCGAGGAGGATGACACCTGGAAAGGAATATCACCACTGCCACACAGCACACGCATTAGCTTAAGTGCAACAGCACGTTCAAACCCAAAACATACCTGGTGTCCTTGTATTCCCACACATTCTTTCCAGTGGCACCGTCCAGGCGTCTCACGATTCCGACACCATCACTGCCAACCACCGCGATCGTGTCTCTGATGCCGGAGGTCGCGGTGGCATCCTCGAGCTCCAACAGCTCAATATCCGCGACCACGCCGTCACTGAAACGCTTTTCCCAGCCCAGCTTGCCATCCTGAGCACTCCATGATGAGATGGAGTGGCCTGCAGCACCGACAAGAGCATCATTACCATCCAATCCGCGCAAGAAACCGGGCCCGCGGGCAGGCAAATCCGACTGCGAAAGGTTCTGGCGCCATACCAGCGCGCCATCTCGGGGATTCACCGCACCCACGAGCAACTTGTCTGATAGTGTATATAGGAGGGACGCATTGGAAGCGGTAGATGGCTTGAGGAAGAAGGTCGAGTCGGGTGAGGGGGTACCGAGGAGGGCGTGGTGGAAGTCAACATGATTGACCTCGTCGGAGTAAATCGCCAGCGCGGGCGATAAACACGCGGCAAAGAGGAGCGCTTTGAGCCTCATGGTGATCTTACTGAAGCATTGAGTGGAGGGATGGGGACTAGCTGTCAGTTATATCGACACTGGCGGAATCCGGGCGGTGATAAGCGGGCCCCAACTTCTCACTGTGTTGCTCTCCTCCAGAGCTCCAGCCATTACTTTACCTCAGTAAAAACATGCTTTCTTTCCATCATAGAGCTTTTTAAAGTCTTTATTGGGGGAATTTGGATATTACTAAAGCTCTTGACTTTTGTTTGTCAGGTACTGCGCTCGTTATTGCTTGCCAACACCTGGGCACTCATATCTACACACGTACTCCAACACACTTCTCTTACTCCACTGAAAGATCGCACGAAGATTTGTGATAGTGGAAACATGCTGCCCTTTCCAGATTTTGGATCAACTTCCTCTGAAAAACTGCCTGGCTCCATATATCTAAGGACCTGGTTATGATACACCAACTATTTACTCACCACGATCAGGTAGTTGGTTGCGAACATCGATTGTACTACACTTATCCGTATTATTCGTTTCAGTAAATACTTAGGTAGATATGGGTCGAATAATTACTCTCTCAAATTGACCAAGCCGCTCGTAGAATTTCTAGACATCATCAAATGAAGCTTGTTTCTGGGAACTATTGAACTAGGAGAGACCTTGAGATCTCGGGACCTTAGAAGCCACGAGCGACGACCTTGGGAGTGAGCTCAGATGCAATCGGCCATATCAAATTCACAGCTGTTCTACCTCGAGAGCCAACAGAGCCAGGACTGGCCAAAAGAATCTAAGCCATCACACGTCAGCCTTGCCACCATTGTAGCTTGTAGCTCGAAGGAAAGAACCCAAGAACCTTGGAAGGAAATGCGAATCACGAACCTGCACCTTCGGCCAAGCTTTTGCCCAAGCCATTTCAATGAGGTGGTCACTCTAATTGTCATAGCGATCCGAGTCACGACCACTCGACCGGCTGCCGTAGCTATCAGTGTTGCTACTACCATAGCTGTTGTCATTGTTGCTGCTGCCATAGCTGTCGTTGTTGCCGCTGCCATAGCGATCATTGTCACGTCCAGAGGCAGACTTGTTGCCGCTCCCGTAGCTGTCATTGTTGTCCTTGCTACCGTAGCTTGAAGACTTGTTGCTACTTCCGTAGCTATCGTTGTTGTCCTTGCTATCGTAGCTTGAAGACTTGTTGCCGCTGCCATAGCTGTCGTTGTTGTCCTTGCTACCGTAGCTTGAAGACTTGTTGCCGCTGCCATAGCTGTCGTTGTTGTCCTTGCTACCGTAGCTTGAAGACTTGTTGCTACTTCCGTAGCTATCGTTGTTGTCCTTGCTATCGTAGCTTGAAGACTTGTTGCCGCTGCCATAGCTGTCGTTGTTGTCCTTGCTACCGTAGCTTGAAGACTTGTTGCCGCTGCCATAGCTGTCGTTGTTGTCCTTGCTACCGTAGCTTGAAGACTTGTTGCTACTTCCGTAGCTATCGTTGTTGTCCTTGCTATCGTAGCTTGAAGACTTGTTGCCGCTGCCATAGCTGTCGTTGTTGTCCTTGCTACCGTAGCTTGAAGACTTGTTGCCGCTGCCATAGCTGTCGTTGTTGTCCTTGCTACCGTAGCTTGAAGACTTGTTGCCGCTGCCATAGCTGTCGTTGTTGTCCTTGCTATCGTAGCTTGAAGACTTGTTGCCGCTGCCATAGCTGTCGTTGTTGTCCTTGCTACCGTAGCTTGAAGACTTGTTGCCGCTGCCATAGCTGTCGTTGTTGTCCTTGCTATCGTAGCTTGAAGACTTGTTGCCGCTGCCATAGCTGTCGTTGTTGTCCTTGCTACCGTAGCTTGAAGACTTGTTGCCGCTGCCATAGCTGTCGTTGTTGTCCTTGCTACCGTAGCTTGAAGACTTGTTGCTACTTCCGTAGCTATCGTTGTTGTCCTTGCTATCGTAGCTTGAAGACTTGTTGCCGCTGCCATAGCTGTCGTTGTTGTCCTTGCTACCGTAGCTTGAAGACTTGTTGCCGCTGCCATAGCTGTCGTTGTTGTCCTTGCTACCGTAGCTTGAAGACTTGTTGCTACTTCCGTAGCTATCGTTGTTGTCCTTGCTACCGTAGCTTGAAGACTTGTTGCCGCTGCCATAGCTGTCGTTGTTGTCCTTGCTACCGTAGCTTGAAGACTTGTTGCCGCTGCCATAGCTGTCGTTGTCACGACCAGAGCTAGATTTGTTACCGCTCCCGTAGCTGTCATTCTTGCTGCTCCCGTAGCTGTCGCTGTTGTCCTTGCTACCGTAGCTTGAAGAATTGTTGCCGCTGCCATAGCTATCGTTGTCACGTCCAGAGCTAGACTTATTGCCGCTACTATAGCTGTTGTTGTTGCTGCTACCGTAGCTGTCGTTGTTGTTGCTGCCATAGCTAGAGTCGTTACCACGACGGTCTGAGCTTCCATAGGAGTCGTTTCCACCAAAGCCGGAGCTTTGGTTTCCACTGCCGTAGTTATCCGAGTCGTTCCGGTAAGACATGGTAAGTAATGGTATGAAAGGCTTGTTGGAGAGAGAGAGAGAGAGAGAAAGAGAGAGACTATGATCAAGAATGGCTGATCCCGGCGCGAAGCATGCTATTTATACCCAGGCAATTCCCCGAATCGAGCAAAATAGACCCCCTCCCCTCGAGATTCCCCTCAGCTACCACGGCTAAGCGATTTGGGGAGCCAATGATCAAAACAGAGAAGCTAGCACGTTTGTGATCGCTAGCTCTTTGCTTATTCGCTCGCTAGCGATTGCCCAGTGGAGCTGTGTGCCACTTTTCAGCTGCCTGCGCCGCAATTATTCGCCCCTGACCCTTTCGATCAGGGTGTTCATTTTATGAAAGAAAAGCCGAATCACGCCATGAGCAACGGGGTCTCATTCGCTCGTCGAATTGGTGGATTGAGTTTGCCCCTCTTTTCATATGTCTCGATATCACCTCGGAGGTCCGTTTTCCACAATATACCCACCACATACGTAGTGTATTCGATATGAAGTGTTTACGTGCACGGAGTAAGACCCAGCAATTTCAGCGTTAGGGAACAGGGGCAAATATTACAACATGTCCCAGTGCTGACCCATTTTTGAGGACCGCCAGTGAATTCGATGGGCCAATCATGACTGTGGATCTGCTGCTATCCGGTTCGGAGATCTAGATCACATCGCCCACTGCGGAGTATAGCTATTGCACAGCCTCAGCTACGGAGTACTCCGTGCTGATATGGACAATATGGTATCTACGAGGATGGCTACGTGTACCTAGGTACACGGTGAAAATCTGAAAGTGGTCACGGTACTCCATATCCTTTATGCAATTTTGTTTCCTTTCCATAGATGCTGGTTTTATACATGCTGAGATCTCAACTGGTCTTAAACACCGAAACAGGCCTTGTTAGCTGATCGAATGGCTGCTTTCTCGCCCTCACTCATGGCCTCAGTGATCTCCCAAGGTGTATTCCCCATACCCATAGCACGCTGGCCATGAGGGCTCAGTGAAGACCAATCCATAGCGCCCTTGAATCCGGACTCGCCGGCTCCACCCGCACCAGGGAAATCCCACGGAGGCGAGTAGCTCTGAGCAGCTTCGCGTTGTTTGAGGAGATAGTCGACATTCATGTCGCACAGTGGGGTAGCGGGGATATACATCACACTCGAGTCTTGCCTGCCGCGGTGCTCCTTATCCACGGAATGCAGAGAATCACAGTGCCACGCCACAAAGTCACCAGGTGCCACTTCCGGCACCGAGACCATCGTGGCCTCCAGATCAAGATGCGGGTGTGTAACAGGGTTGTACTCTTGACAAGCACCGGGCACGGAACCTGGGAATGTGGCGTCCAAGAGAGGCTTTGAGCTCTCGGGCTCGAAGAAGGGACGCAGTATGGTGTACGCTGTGCTGTGGTTGATCATGGGGCACACATGCAGGGAGCCCTCCCCGGGCTTGGTGTGGGACATGGAAAGCCACGCCTGGAAAAAGCGCAGCATGGAGCAGGCTCCAGCTCCATTGTATAGATCCATATTAGCTCCTAGACGGTGTCGCGCATCCCATGCGTCATACTGCTCCCAGTTTCCTTCCAGGATCTTGGTGTAGACACGGGCATACTCTGGGTCCTCCCAACGCTCGAGAGAGCCACCATCAATGTGGGGACCGAGAGTAAACTTTGAGTCGCCTGGATCACGAATGCGCAGACGATCTCCATAGGTGAGGGGATGAGATAGCGAGATCTTGCTGTTGGGGTCTGATGAATGCCACAGCTGCTGCATAAAGCGTTGGGTGCGAAGCATGTTATCGTGACCACGGGCCTCTGTCTGTGAAGGGGTCCAATAGAGCTCATAGACAGCCGGAGAATCGGCCGGGAAAGCCTTCACACGCTCTTTGTTGGCAGCCACGTAGTCCCGGATACGCTGCTTGTACTCCAGAGCTTGATCTTGGGGGATCACATTGCGCACTACTACGCTGCCTCGGTGGCGGATCTCCTTTAGCGCCGCTTCGGACACTTGTCCAGACACCACATCAGAGTACTCAATTGAAGGGATGATCTATCACCGAGTTAGCATTGTGCTCCACAATATCGCGAGCTAATGACATACATCGCTACCGAGCGCCTTGATCTTTTGCACTTCCTCATCCAAACTGGGAAGCAAACGTTCCCAGCTTCTGGTGAGAGCATCTCTGTTCTTCTCGAATATCTCTCTCTTCAATTCCTGGAATCTTGCAGGAAGAGGTTCGGGCTTATAGTCAGGTCTCAGACTAGGAAAGACGGATGAAATATCGCCCGCGGCTTTAGTTGTCTGAGCTGAGGTTGATGCCGCCCTGATGGCGGATTTTGAGATAAATTTTGACATCGACATAATTGAGGTTGTGGAAGGTATTACTTTCAAGGTTTTGGGGGGATCTGCAGCAGTTATATATGCGCCAGCGTCTCTGGGGAAGCGTACATGAGGAGGCGGGACGTTTCCTTAATTGGTAGTGGAGCCGCCTTCGGAAGAGGCGTGGGGATTACTTCTTTGGGAGATACACCCGACATGACCCCAGCAATGACATCAATTTGCACAACTTCAACTATTTCCCCGGAATTGGGCTGGAGCCTTTTAACCTGATGCCGGTATCCGGACGCCATAGATGACTAGCTGCAAATTTTACGGCATGAACTTGCAAAATCTGGAGGTAGGTTAGGTATGAGCTTACTCCGTATGCATGTAATCCATTTGAGTGCACGCCGCATTAGGTATCCAAGGCGAGACTACCCAAAAAGTACACCTGTACACCTGTACACCTCATGGACAGCTTGGCTTTGAATACCTCGGAATAACTCCATTATACTCTGCAATTAGGTATGGGCTAAAACACGTTATATCTCGTCCAAAGCTCCATAGGATATATTGCTCAGGTGGTTCGCGAGCTTCGACTGCTCAAAGCACTATGTACTAAGAGACAAGATGCAGCACTCGATTGCCCAGACTCCATTGACAATGTGGTACCTATACACGTACCTTCTACCGCGACACCTTATGAAAATATTGAAGCATTAGAAGAGAGAATCACATCCACTGCTTTGGTTCGACTTTATCTTTTGGGTGAATATATTTCACGACCATCTCAGAACCCGAGCCAACATGCCTGCAGAAGTAGATCTCGGTCATTTCGCCGGCCTCGGGTCACTTACCTCGCCCTCCTTTACCCCGCGAGGTCTGTAAATGGCTACAATACGCGCTGCCATGAGTCCCACAAGGTCCACAGGCTGCATAAAGGAGCGCGAGACCCCCGAGACCAGTCTGCAAAGTGCAGTGCAATATTTTCAACATGGCTCTTTCAATGAACTCCGTTCGAGGCAAATCCGCTATAGTGACCGGGGCGGGTTCTGGTAACCACCCCGATATCCCCCCATAGTTCCCAAGCTTACTTCCTCTCAGGGATTAACCTAAGTTTTGCAACATTGCTCGTGGAAAACGGATGCAACGTCTTGATCGCCGATTTGGCTTTGCGGCCAGAGGCACAAGTACTGGCTGATAAACACAAAAGTGGACCCGGGCGGATTGTATTTCAAGAGACTAATGTGATTGACTGGGCCCAGCTGGAGCGGATGTTTGAAGTCGCCGAAAAGGAATTTGGAGTGATTGATATTGTTTGCCCTGGTGCTGGAATTTACGAGCCGGTAAGAATACCGGAAGAAGAAAATCAACGAGATACTAAATCTCGATTCAGTACTGGACCAACTTCTGGCACCCTCCTCATTCGTCGCAAAGCAAAGATTTGCCGGGAAGTGGCCGATACGCTCTGATTGACATCAACGTCACTCACCCGATCCGCACTACCCAGCTGGCGATTGCCTACTTCCTCAAGCATCGTGACAGCGGTCGCCCAAAGCATATTGTCCACATTTCCAGCATCGCGGGTCAGAATGCCAATCTCACAGCGCCAGTCTATTGCGCTACCAAGCATGCCATCAATGGTCTGGTGCGATCGCTCGCCTCTCTTGACCAGAGACTTGGGATCCGGGTGACAGCAGTCGCTCCAGGTGTCATCAAAACACCGCTCTGGACAGATAACCCCGAGAAGCTTAAGCTGATTGATGCCAGCGCGGATGTGTGGGTGACTCCCGAAGAAGTGGCGGAGGTGATGCTAGCTCTTGTCCAGCAGGACGAGGTGAGCGAGATCATCGGAGACCGATCGGGTCGAGGTCCATTGTACAAGGTGTCGGGAGGGACAATTTTGGAATGCTCAAAGACAGTTCGGGCGGTAGGTCAGTTTAATGATCCAGGCCCCGGAGATCGACCTGGCAATACGGCCTCGGTGCATCACCTCGCAGAGGAAGAGAGTTATCAAGCCATGGACCAGAAGGGTTGGGGATTGCCAAAGCTGTAGTTAGTTGTCACGCCATATGCATGAGAGTTGCAAAATATGCAGTCATCTCTAAGTAACAAAGATCTCCAAGTGATGACGTTTCGAGTACTCCTTAATGTCGAATGTTTGAGCCAAGAGGGCCAAGCGAAGAGAAATTAGGCAACAAGTCGGAGAGGAGCCGGTCATGTGCCTCTAATCGCGATAAGGTCCTCAGGCCATCTTTCCCTTCCTCCCTCTTGTAACCGCCTTCTCTTTTGTTTCGTTTTCTCCTCCCTGCTATATCGCTTTTAATTCCTACCGCTGGTAGTGTTCGCTATGTGTTGTGTGCCTTTTGTATTCGACCCATAATCGCTCTTTGCAAAATAAATCAGATGGAGGAGGCCGCTATTGGGGTTGCTCCGCCCGGGCAACATGGACGCAGGTAACTTTGCAGACCTATATATGCTGTTTGATACATGCTGACTTGATTGTGTGTTCAAGACGGGGAGCGCGCAGACGAGCTGGCGATGTTGTGGGGGAGGCCAGCTGGGCCAGCAGTGTCATCAATTTGGTTAATACCAGTGAGTGCGGGCCCGTGTGCGATTTGAGGAAGATCTGGTAAACTGATGCTTTTCTCTACTAGTTATCGGCGCTGGTGTGCTTGCAATGCCCCTAGCCATCTCACACATGGGAATTTCCCTTGGAGTTTGTGTCGTTTTATGGTCCGGGATCACCGCAGGATTCGGCCTTTACCTACAATCGCTTTGCGCCCAATATCTAGACCGTGGCAGCGCCTCGTTCTTTGCACTGTCGCAATTGACATACCCTAATGCTGCCGTTGTCTTCGACGGTGCGATTGCGATCAAATGTTTTGGAGTCGGCGTGAGCTATCTTATCATCATTGGAGATCTCATGCCGGGAGTGGTGCAGGGCTTTGTCGGCAGCGAGCCAGGATATGACTTTTTGGTTGATCGCCACTTCTGGGTAACTGCTTTCATGTGAGTTAAACCATGCCCTCCGCCTACCTGGACCTAGTACTGAACCCTTCAAAGGTTGATCGTGATTCCTCTATCCTACCTGCGCCGGTTAGACTCCTTGAAGTATACAAGTATCGCGGCCTTGGTCTCTATGGCTTATTTGGTCGTCTTGGTTGTGTATAATTTTGTCCTAGGAGACACAAAGGAGGATCGAGGCCCCATTCGCGTGGGTCATTGGGCTGGCCCAATCCCAACTCTCAGCAGTCTGCCAGTGATTGTTTTCGCATTTACTTGCCATCAAAATGTATGTTTGAGAGGATCTCGAGACTTGCACATGTCTAACAATACTTCCAGATGTTCTCTATTCTCAACGAAATCAGCAACAACAGCCACTTCCGCACCACTGCGGTGGTCTTCGCTAGCACAGGCAGCGCAGCGGCAACCTACATCCTGGTCGCTATTACTGGGTACTTGTCTTTTGGCAACAAAGTCGGTGGAAACATTGTCGGCATGTACCCACCTGGCTTGTATGCGACGATCGGACGCGCCGCAATCGTCATGCTTGTAGTCTTTTCCTACCCGCTCCAGTGCCACCCCTGCCGAGCATCGGTCGACGCCGTCTTGAAATGGCGTCCTAGAGCTCAACCCAACGGCGCAGAGGGATCACCCCACCGGCACCCGCTTTTGGGCCCCCGCGGTAATCGCACGCCGGAGCCAATGAGCGATCTCCGCTTTTCCGTTATCACGACTACTATCCTAATTCTCAGCTACCTTGTAGCTATGACTGTGTCATCGCTCGAAGCCGTATTGGCCTACGTTGGCAGTACCGGTAGCACGAGCATCAGCTTCATTCTCCCGGGTCTGTTTTACTACAAGATCTCCTCCCCAGACTCGCCCACACACCGCGGTCTGATGAAAGAGGACGACGAGGCAGAGGACGACCTGTCAGACGAGGACGATGGAGACGAAGGCGAGGGCTCCCTTTCCCGTTCTTTGACCGAGAGTGGTCTCCTGCTCCGTGGCTCTCGCCACTGGCGCAAGGCTCTTCTACGTCGCCTTAGTCTGGCGTTGGCCATCTATGGCTTCCTTGTCATGGTTGTGTGTCTGATCACAAACACTTTCTTCAAAACCTCGCATTAAGAGGCGTATTCACGCCTAAAAGGGTCCCTTGCCTTTTCTCGCGGGCCTGCACCTGATTTTGTTTGATATTTGACCCTGCCATATATCTTAGATGATACAGGTTTCCTTGATCATACACCAGGTCAATTTCACTGTGCATATTCTTTTCTAATTCTGCGCAATTCTGGCTGTGGACTTGAATGTCTCTATTCTACAGGGTGATCCCTGACACACTTCAGGTTACGTGACGTTTGGGCTGGCGTTCGGAGACTTGTATCTATTTGACCAATTCAATTAATGGGTTCTTTCTTACTTTCACATTTCAATATAAACAGATGAACCTGGTGCATTTATAGCCCATTATTTTCGGTAGCCTTCTACCTAGTACTTGCAGGAATTGTGGATAGGCAGGATGATATATTAATGACAGAGAGCTAAGAAATTATCGGCAAAGCGAATGTGCAAAGGAAAGAGCCATGAAGCCTATCGCAATGACAATAGATGGACATCAATTTAAAAGCCAGCTGCCTGGCAATTGCCTTCCTTGTCATAGATCTGCTTGTAAAGTGGAGAGTGAAAAGAAATTCACACTCAAAAATTAGTCACATTGGCCGGTGGAGATATTTAGTTGTTGTTGTTGGCCCCATTCAAGATGCGCAGAATCGACATGAACAGGTTGAGCACATCGAGATAGAGCGAAATCGAAGCAGCAATCTCCTCCTCGACGTGGTAGTGGCGCATGATAAGTTGCGTGTCAACGAGGATATATCCCGAGAAGATGAGCGCACCAAGTACACCGTAAATAATCTCGACGGTGCTGCCGAATGGGACAAACATAGCCACGAACCCAAAGAGGATCATGAACCACAGCGCGCCAAACAAGTACGGCATCCAGTCCGTGAAGTCATACTTGGTTTGGCACGCGAAGAGGGTCAAGGCGACGAAGATTCCCAGCGTCAGGATTAGCGCTTGCACGACCACCCGGACCTCGTAGAAAGAAACCACCACACTGATCGAGTATGCCTCAAGAAGTGTAAAGCCAGACAAGAATAGCAGGTTGGCGGGGTAAGACTTGCGCTTCCAGAAGGTTGCAAGCATGAAGCCGAGTGCGCCGAAGACGGAGATAATCATCAACCAGGTGTTTGCTTTGATCCAGTCGCGGTATGATTGGCTAAGGAAAGAGATCGAGCTGAGGATAGTAGTGAGGAGAAGTTGAGCGGTCCTAGCGAAGAAGCACTGTTAGCTAGGCTTGCTCTGTTGAGATGCGTTTTGTTCAGGTGGCATACAAGATTGAATAGACCTTGCGAACGAACTGCATCCGAATCTCGATGGTTCCCTCCGCCACGTTGCCTCCAAACTGCGATGTTGTCAATACCCATAGCTATCCTCGGATTATGGCAGAGAAAAGCATACCTTGAAGTCATCGGGCAGATTGTCGCCTTCGGTGCGAGGCGCAGGCTCCGCTGTTGCCTGGTATGAAGGAGGGGCCTGGGAGTAAGATGGTTCCTCGAAGGAGTCCCGCTGGGGAGCGGGCTCATATCTGGCGTTGGAAGCCATATTGAAAATAAGTGTTAGTGTTTAGTCTGCCCAAGGGTGGATGAATGATGAATGAGATGCGGCGACAGGTGAACTGATGTGACACGTCACGTGTGATAAGCAAATATCCGGGGGATTATGTCAGACGGCTCCACCTCAGATGCTCCATACGATCTACAAGTATAAGAAACAGTCTGAATTAAGCAGCGTCAAGTGCTTGAAATACACAAAATCAAGTGTTATGAAAATACATTCTCCATATGTCCTTTTGGAACAAAACAAATTTTGCTCCTAAAATACAGTTTTTCGAGCCAGTGCCCCACTTTAAGAGGAGTTCGAGTTGTCTGCACAAGACCAGGCTCCAGAGCCACCTGAAGCATTGTAACTTTCGATGATGCCAACAACTGATCCATATGTACCGGCCACCATCATGAAAGTACCGATACATATGACAAAAACACTCCAACAGACCTGAGCGATCCATAGTGGAGATCGCTCTGTCTTGCCCTTGCTCCAGTTGTCATATAGCCACATACATCCCATAGGCTGGAAAGACATGAAAGTTCCAAGCAATGCACCAATCAGAGATACGAGACTGTCAAAAACGGGAATCGCGCTTGCGATGATGTAGGAGATAACACCAACGCTGAAGGTGCAGCCGATCCAGGCGCTCCAGTGGACAATGGTGTTAGAGGTGAGATGCCTGGATCCTCGCAAGGCGCGAACGAAAATATATTTGCCAGGTAGCTAAACCATCACTCGTTAGTACCATAACTCCCGTATGAATTGTTATAAAGGACGTAACTCACATGAACGAAGAGCATCGTAGTGACCAAAAGTCCTGGAATGGCAAACCCATAGCTGACCTTTTTCATAGTAGGACCAGCAGAACCAAGAGCAGGAGATGCAACATAAGAGCCACAGAAGTAATAAACAGCACAACCAATAGCGACGTAGATAGCAGTCACGGTGCCTTGACAGATAAGCAAAGACCGAGTGTAGTAACGGGGCTCGCGCATCTCAGAAACGATTGCAAAGAAACCAGGGGTTCCAGCATAGGCAAAAATGAGCGAAGATACAGCCGAAACAGCTTCGGTGAACGAAGGGTCTCCCACAATCTTAAAGTCAGATACCCAGGGGCCTTCTTGGGGGGCAGATACCGGTCGACCCTGGACACCCACAGCGATGGTCACAATAAGGACTATCGTAAACAAGTCAGTACCACAAAATTGCAAATTGTTCACGAAACGTGAGAGAAATCTTACCAGCCGTAACAATAGCCACCAGACCGACCCACGCAAGCCAACTGATGCGCCCAAGGGTCCGAATACTGGCAAATGCAATACCCGCAATAGCTGCAACGGCTACATAGGCGGCTGTACAGGTTGCATGGTCTGAGACAGCATTCAAAGCGATGGACAAGCTGAGCATTCCAGAACCAGCAACGAAAATCCAATCTGTTTTCCTTGTCAGAATTGGATATCTGACAGGCCTTGGCCAACTTACATAGGCAAAACACAAAGCCAAAGACCTCCCGTCCGATGGGACCAAACATTAAACCACCCGCATCATCAATGCTGTAAATTGAGCGATGGTTGAGTTTGAAGATGCCCACTATATAGTCGGACCACGTTGTGATGGTCGCAACGACCAGTAGACATATCACTCCAGGGACAATGCCTAATGTGTTGAATACACTCGGAATAGAAAGAACTCCCAGTCCCAGCTGGCTCTTCATCATGAGAACGGCGGTTCCCGTCCATCCCACCTGTCTGGAAGTTAGTCGTGGGGTTCTGAGTGCAAGCGGATTAAACAATTGAGCAGCGGAGGAAATCACAAAGAACGCACGTTACGGTAGTTAGGGCCACCCTCTGAAAGCTCACCAAACACATCATCATGGTTGCTCGCAGGGGTGTGTTGCCCATCAAGACCCTCCAGGTCCTTTTCCTTCATATCGGTCATATCAGTCACGTCGAAGGATCGTGTACGTATAGAGCCAAATTGGCAGACAAGCCCTGAGTCATTCAGTTCCGGTGGGACAGCAGGGTTTTAATGGAATCCTCCGAGATCGACCTGGCCAGTCCAGAAGCGGCTCCTGGTTTGCCCAACTGTGGGTTCTCATGAAATGCCTCGCACTAGCTCCGGTTTCGAGGCGGCCGAAGAGTACGAGTAGTCCCCACCGAACAGCTATCGACCATCTCATGAGTCAGGTTCATTGGCTTCAAACTTTCCATGACGCCAGCTATCAGTCCGTGGAGCAAATTATGTGGAGAAGAATTGCCAACCTGGCTCATTTTACTCGCGTCTTCCCCGTGGGGAGACGTGGAGAAGGTCACAACGCACATACGCGAATAGTGATTTTTTCTTAGGGTTTTCACTTTTTATGCATTATTCACACTACACCAAGTCCCAGTACATTCAATTGGTCTCAGACCAGTCATCACAAAAAAAAAAAAAGAAGAGAGGAAAAATAGAAACTACCCCAAAAGATCTTCTCAGCGTAGTCCGAAGTACGGAGTAGTTCCGCGACTTCGGGTTCGGGTTTCATTTTCTATGTCTGTTCTTCACAGTATGAATGCATTATCTGTTGAGATATCAACACTTGTAGTAAGTGGAGAAGCAGAGATAACACCGAAGTCACGAAATTTCCTGTTTTCCCCCAATTGCGCTGCAACTCCGAAGTGGCCGACAGCCGGCTTCTCTCCGAGATCGGCGGGTCACTCAGGTCACTCGGGCTGGAAGGTTTCCACGCGACTTAGAGGAGTTGCAGGGATTTTAAACTAGCAGCAGAAATTACGCCCCTGCAATGCGCATAGAATCGGTTGTCGGATAGGACAGTACTAAGAACCCATGGATTTGAGCATTATCATACCGAGCAGCCAAGACAGTGCTAGTCACTAGTAAATGTGCATGTTCACAATCTTCCTCCATTAGCAATTGATCCAAATGATATTACATAAATATTCAACTGAGAACTTCGAGCTACCCGTCTCTTCGCAGACACATGGTTACCATTTACGAAGTGGATTTTGAGGTTTGAGATACGAGTACTCCGTACAACTTACTATCTACCCACCTTGCAGGTCGATATTCCTCGAGCCTCGAGGATTCGATATGCACGGACTCTGTCCTAATTCTTGCATCAAATGGTCCCAATACTACAATCCTGGAACTAAACATCGGGAAAGTAAGCGAATTGAACCTCACCGGCCCGGCCCGGTCCATGGATTTGAGCTCTATGGACTTCACCAACTTCCAAGCTTGGAACGAGGGAGGTGGCAATGGTTAACATACAGACATACATGGATGTACATCATATGCGGGTGATCTTGGTCTCATAAGCTTTCCTATCAGGGAATGCAAATGCTTCCCCGCCATTTTGGCGATCGACATTGGGGCAAAACCCACCTGGGCAGTTATCTACGAGCACTTAATTGTTCCGTTGCCGATGACGATACGGAACTCCAACTTCGAGACGCACATCAAGACGCACGTACCAGGGCACGTACCAGATGAAAGACTTTCCGAGGGAAGACCTGCCTGAGTGAAGGAGGAACCGTATATGCAACCTGTCTGAGGAAAAATTGTAACCCGAAACAAATATTAATATTTATTCATAGCAAGATAAGCCTTATATGCAAGACGCTCATATCTATAATTGAAGCAAAATTTGAAATAGGTAGGTGGGCAGCCGGGAGGCCAATCTATGATAACCTCACTCGACAATGCGGCCCATCTGATCCCTTCTTTCAGAAACCGGCCTGGACCGACGACCCTCGTGCCCATTAGCCGAGTCCTCGTCAGTGCTCATATCTGCTTCATCCACCTCTTCTTCATCGCTACTATCATCCACAGCGTGTGCCATATCCCGTCCTACACTTCCAGAGGACAGGTACGTTGGCAAACGTCTCCGCTCAAAGTCCTGAGCGTGCGCCGACGCGACCATTGTGCCAACTCGACTGATACCCACAGATGGGCGACGATGACGGGCACGCAAACTTGTCCCGGATGGAGTGCCTTGTTCGACATCACCGGGGGACATGAAAGGCGTAGAAGCCTGTTGCTGCTGCTGCTGTTGCTGCTGCTCTTGGAGTTGGACGTCTTCGGGTGAGCCATCGAGATTGGGAGGCGCGGTGGGGATTTCGTAGGGGAGAGGCACATCGCGCGAAGCACGGAACAAGAGGACATTGGTGCAATGCTCGTTTTCAACACGGAAGATAGACCAGACACCACGACGGCAGACTTCAGATAGGCCGATCATGAAACTGAGAAGGGCGGACTGCTGAATGTTGGTGATGAAGATTGCGTAGAAGATCCAGTTGAAGCGGACGACCACATCAAGGACCATCGCGGCGTAGTAGACCCACACCCGACGGAAGGCAAGGACTTCACGGAGCATTGGAGTTTTCGCATAAGGATTGCCCAAACTCCAGTCCATGATGAGATCCCAGACAGAAGTGTAGACGGCGTTCAGCAGAGCGAAGGTGATGAAAGCGGCCTGGAAACGTGTGTAGAGATCGATGCGGTACATGCTCAGCGTGGCATAGTAGAGAACACCGAATATGTACTTGCCCAAGTTAAGAAGGTGGGGGAATGCGTTCCTTGTGTCTAGGTATCGACGAATGCACTGGAAGGCACGCCAGACGGAGGGGAGGCATTGGAAGAACCCTAAAAGGCGAGAATGGGAGGAGTTGCATTTGGGAGGATAGCCCCAGTAGGATGCGTAGAGACAGAAGAAGAGTTCGATGTTCCCCATGGCATAGGTCTGGGAACAGTACATGTCGCCGAGGAAGAAGTCACGGAACTCGACTGGGTAGATTCCTGCGAGCAGAAGACGCCACTAGGCGAGTTAGCGATGGCCCCGATTTGAAGGACCGGGTTGAAACTCACGTTCGAAAATGCGAACCATTTCCGGCTCCTGTGGTATAGTACTCGGGCGGGCAAGAAGATAATGATGACTGTTAATCCAATGAGGACAACAGGCCAGTAAATGTACATGTGATTGTACCATGAGAAATTGAGCCACATGATCAAACCCATCAGGAAAAGGAAGAAAGAGGGAATCTAATAGTTGTCAATATCAATCAGCGAAAACATAGGCTTGGAAACAGCTTACCTCGAGCAACTGACGCCACTCTAGCGTGTGTCTGCTATCGTATTCAAAAACAAAGGAATGATTGATCTTAGACTTCGTCCAGATCATGCAATCCAAGCAAAATAACAAGACGTGGAACACGATCAGAAAGTATCCGCCATATATCTGGTCATGTAAGATAACGAAACAAAGATTGGGGGCCGGGGGATCCTTGAAGACTAAGACTAACCTGCAGCAAATAACTCGTCTGAACTTTTTCAGCAGCAGTGCCTGAATGTAAGCTCTGTGTAGCGTCTACAAGGGCCTTGATGGCAAACAGGGTACCGCCCATCAATAAGAGACCGGACCGAAAGGTGTTTGGCGAGAAATCGCCCGACTTGTTGATTGTGTGACGAAGCTTCGAGACTGCAATTTTGCGGTTTCCGCGCTCGAAGTACCGGGCATACAGGTCTTCAACCGCGATCATGAGACTTTCTGTCACTTCACTCTGAACGAAGGCCGCTTTGTTGACCTTGTCCGACATGTACCGCAGCGGCGGACGGGCGTTGACTGCTTTGTCGTATTTCTTGTTGATTTTCCGGAAGGCAGTGCGATTCAAGTACGCATAACCCTTGAGAAGTTCTACCCCACGATAGAACTCCTGCAGCGCATGCTTCAGCTTGCGCTTGGCAGAGCGATAGGACACTTCTTGGCTCGGAGGCTCCTGTCGACTGAAATCCCTCCGGTTGACAATGAACTCCCGATCTTGTGCGGGCATCCCTGGAGTTGCCATCTGGGCGAGTGCCTCCGAGTTCTTACCAAAGCGGGTCTTTCCCACCAAAGTATCCTTAAGATTGCTGTTGAGCTTGGCAAATCCATTCGGTCGATGATCTCCATGCGCATGATCGTGTTTGGCTGCTCTCTTCGAGGCCAGGACCTCTTGGATACGCTGGTCTCGCATGACGTGTAACTGTTGGCGGAGAACGCGAAGTTTCTCGGTGGCCTCTTGCTCTTTGGTCAGATAGAACGAGTCGATCTTGTCCAACTCAGTATCCAGGAACTCAAAAAACTCGTCGTGTCTTTTGTCGACTTCGCCGGTGTCCTGTGACCGTTTCGCACCAGGCTCTCCCTCCGCGGTGAAGACGCGCCGAAGCAAATGCGATCCCCGGTTACTCGAAGGAACCTTTGTTAAGCCGCTCATTGGGCTTTGATAGCTCGGGCGTTGCGACAGTTGTGGTCGCTGCGCTGGGGAGCTCTCCGCAGGCTGAGAAGGCGAAGGAGTCATGCCCCCCACGACACGTCGGTCCATGACTGGCGACGGGGTGCGAACGGTTCTCGGTCGGTCGCTATGTTCCTCGGGTGGCAGATAATCCTCGTCCGGGTCGAGAGCTGGATCAGGCAGTTCGAATGAGGCCGCATCCGATCCTCCCCTGCGGTGCTGCTGGGGAGGTGTCGCCAGGATACTCCCATAGCTCCCCACATTTTCCGAAAATCGCGACCCGGGCGTGCGAAGCGGCTGGCGTTCGGTCTTTTGAGCGGGGGTCGATCGCGGAACCGGTGTGTCTGCGCCTCCCTGCGGCGTGGACGGGGCATCCCCATCTGTCACATCAAGCTGTTTATCTGTATTGGACGGCGTCAGATGAAACTGGGCGGCGCCTCGGCTTTGCGGGGTGGGCTGTCGATAGGACGGGATACGAGGGCTGCGATGCGACTTTTGAAGGGCCCGCGTGATGGCTTTCACTTTCTTCTTCCCGGTCTAAATGCAAGGGGATCAGCGCGCCATCGGGCATTGTGATACAGCAAACACGGAGTACTCACCTTGTAGTCGAGATACTTTGCCCGCCATTCAGGCACGAGCTCCTGCTCTAGCTCTCTGGTAATGAGTCAGCCACTGGTATGTCACATTTTGTTTGGATGAACGATGGGCGTACTTGGCGAATTTCATGCTGAACAACCGTCATGGCAGTTAGGGCTCTAAGACATTGAAAACTCACACACTGTGCGAGGGGTCGAAACCTTCAAATGGCGCAGGTCATCAACGCCACTAGATAAGAGTTGAGTCGCGAGGCTGAGTGTGTCCCTGTCCAAGATCCAAGATCCAAGATCCAAACCCAAGTCCCCTAGATGAGACCGGAAAATATAAAAAAACTCGCCAAATTTCGAGACGAAAATCCGGAAGATGCAGACTGAAATGCTTAAAAAGTTCCCGAATCAATCGGACGCTCTACTTTTGGCACGTGTATGAGCTCATCAGGAGTGGATGCCTGGTCGGTAAGGCCATAAGCCCCTAATTGGTCAGCTCGGGTCTCTGATTGGTCAGTTGCTGATGCACCCTTTGAAGATCGGCCCCACAAGGCCATTTCGAGGAATCTCCTGACTTCATCCTAGTCTATACGTAGGGCTGATCGCGCTATTGGCATATGTACAGGACTCCCCTGTTGACCCCTTTTCTGCATTTTTTCTTTCTAAATTCTCCTATCTTGCAGTGGCGAACGCCTTTGATAATCCAAACGTTGGTATCAAGACCAGCTGATTGCCTATCTAAGCTCCGACAGTTCAGGAATGCTGCTGGAATGTGGTCGGTGGGCTCTCGGGGTGATTACTGGCCCCTCAAGCAGAAAAAACATCCGGTGGCCGGGCATCCCTGTCCTGGCTGACATAGTTACTCTCGGGAATCGGGTATCTGCGACGTCGGCGTACGTAGGGCTACGTACCTCCGTCGGAACCATACATACTCGGCCATGTCTTGCACTTCGTTCGACCTGATTGTCAGACTTGGCACCAATGAATATCTACGCCTTACCATGACTTACGTGGCCTACACCGCTCATCTACGCCAACTACAAGGGACAGGCACAGTGTGGATCAACTTGGTTCAGTCGGATTCTTCGGTCATAAAAAAAAAAGACAGGTCGTTCATTCATCGCATCGAGTGGCTTAGTAGTTGCCACGCTCGTAACGCTCCTCGTACATGTGTTCGGCGTTCTTCTTGGCGTGGTGGTGGGCCTTCTCGCGGTCAACCCAGTCCATACCCTTGGTCTCGGCGAGCTTGTCGACCTCGCCGCCAACGAAGCCAGCAATGAGCTCCTTGGCGAATGCGTGGCTCACGGGCTTGCCTATAGGTTCAGGATGGGTTAGAAAATGACTCTATACGGCATGAGGTGACCGGTGAAACAAACCGTTCTTGCGCTGGTGATCTTCGTAGGCCTTCATGGCACCGAAGGAAGCGGCACCGGCGGCGAACTCGTGAGAGAACTTGCCCTCGTGGTGCTGCTCACCGTTGAACACCTGCTGGTGAGCCTGCTCAGATTCGTCTGGTTTGAAGTCAGCACTTTGTTTCACTTGAAACATATCCAGTGGACGGAAACTCGCAAGCTATGCAGGCCGAGACAGAACCCTTGTGCATGCATGCGGTGCCCGGTGAGGGGTAGATATGATGTGTACTCCGTATAAAACAGATGTATGTGAAAGGGATGACTTACGCCAGCCCCAAGCCATTGTGAATAGAATGATAGATAGAAGGTGGTTGAGTGGGAAAAGGTTTGTAGTGATGGACAGAAGACGGATTACGAGGGACGATGAGGGGATCTTATACTGCTGAGAAGAGCTACAGAATACTCGAGAAGGGCTACGTATGTATTTCCTCCGGGAGCTGTCTCAGTCCGTACAGCCCCACCGTCTAATTAATGGAAAGTGTGAGGCTGTTTATGCGGAATTGTTCAGACGCCCCTCCGGAACGCAGTTGAACCGCGGTTGAGAGAGCGCTTGCCGAGTATAGTACGTATTGACCCGTGGCTGGAGCAGATCATTGTTATTGTTGGGTATCCGGGGCGATGGGAGGGGCCACAATCTAATTGAGATGAAATCATCGGTGGTGCCGACGTTACTAGTCAGCGATACTATTGGAGGATCAGAAGAAACGCTACTCCAGGGAGGGGTGTGTACGGAGTATCATGATCTCCGACGGTGATACACCGTATCGATCTTTACCGGGTCGCTGAGTCTGGGACCCGATATTTGGTCCAGGGGTCATTGTCCTCCTACAAGCACATCCAAGCATCTACGTCGCTTAGATTCAGGTTACTTCGAGATATGTGCTGAAACATGCCTCGCAGCTATCATGAACCTCCTTACGAGAGACTACGTGACAATAACCTGCGCTGTCGTTGCACAAGCACTGAGGATGAAATTGTTCAAATGCACCAAAGCCTTACGAGGCCGTGTTCCACCAAGGTCCAATAAAGCGCCGATCTGCTGGACCCATATGGGTCAGCTCAGCCCTACTCCGCTGCAGATTCACTAATAAGGAGAGGACACAGATGAAACTAACCACAATGGAGCCTAGTGGTATACTAATTACGCAGTGATCTGTTCAAAACGCCAAGACCATGTAACCGGCGCAGCCGAGCCAAGACTTCTTCCGAAGGCTTGTCGTCGCCTTATAGGACTCGAGTCTCGGCGAAACCAAAAGTGGCGGTGAACGAACCCTGTGCAGTGGACATTCAAGAGTTATACTGTAGTATACTTGTCCAAGCCGAAAGAACCAATGAACAAGAGCACCTGGGCATCCTTGAATGGGAACGCAGCGAAATCTCTCAGAGCGGAGAATCTCATTACGTACCGCGCCTCTTGTGGCGGAGGATTTAAAATAGCAACAGACACAATTACCCGTACGGAGTAAAGGAGTATATGGTTGCCTACGAGTAACTCCTTGTGTTTACTCCGTACTTACTACCCCGTATGCTGTCAATCTACGAGGACTGTTGGATCATACTACAAGTATGTAGGCGCAACATATAGTACGAATACGAGGTACTACAGCAAGAACAAGGGGACTCTGCTGTCCTGACATGGACCCAAAAAATATCTGGTCAACAAAGAATTTAGTGAGAATTGGTTGAGCGAGGAACAATTTTCCTACTTGTGGACGTCGACGTCATTGGCTCTACTCGGAAGTGTGGCTTGTGACGCGGTGGAGCAGCGGCGAAACAACCGATCAGGACTCAGCCACCTCAGCCACACAGCGGAAAGATTGAGCTTCAGAGTCGACTCAAGCTCTACACTTGTAGCTCCAATTCCAAAAATTGGTGAGCCCAACAGGAAGAGAGCCGAGCTCTAGGAAACAGAATACCATCTCGCGTGATGCCCTCCAAAACCCCCACCCCGCGCGACTTCCCGTCCCAGCTCACCGTGACCGTCACGCCCGCCGCAGCCTCAGCCTCAGCTCCAGCCCCAAATATTCTCCTTCTCCTACATGGCCTCGGCGACTCAGCGGCGGCCTTTACCAAATTCGGTCAAGCCATAAGTCTACCAGAGACAACTGTGGTCACAGTCCAAGGCACTGCCCCGCTCCCTTTTGACCTGGGCGGTTTCCACTGGGGCGATGATGTGTCTTTCGACTCCGCGACCGGCGCAATAGATATGGACGCCGGCCTCACTCGTGCTACAAAGACATTGGTAACAGATGTCGTGCGTGGCACCCTCGTCCGCAAGTGCGGCTACGCACTACGAGAAATCATGATCCTAGGCTTCGGACAAGGAGGCATGGCCGGGCTAGCTGTGGCACGAGAGCTGGGACTAAAATCCAATGAGGGTCATGAAGCTGGTGCGCTGTCCGGAGTAATCTCCATCGGGGCACCATATCCCCTGTCTGGGTCACGAACTGGAGACAAGAACCGATCACCTGTGCTGCTTGTTTCCGGGCGGGACTCAGTTGCAGTCTCTGACGAGGCAGTCCGTAGGACAAAACAGGTGTTTGAATTTGTGGAGGTGAGCCGATATGCGAGAAAGGGCGACGGAATGCCGTCGAGTCGGGAGGAGATGCTGCCTGTCATGCAATTCTTCGCCCGTAGATTGCGGAGTAGACAAGGTGTTCCTGAAGGAAGTGTCGAGATTGGCTAAGAGTCAGAATTAAAACCAAATCAAAGTCCATGTCCCAAAGATATCCCAAAGATCGTGATCGATGCTAGTTCCCATCTCAGTAAAAGGGCGCGTAATGGCAAAACATCATTGGTACGGGATCTCGCGTGTGTTCTGAAGCCATCTGGCCAACGCAGAGAGCCAAGGCCATCCTCAAGACTTCGTATAAGGTATCTGCTCTCCGATTCCACATTCATAGATCACCCAAACCTCATTCCCAATGGACTACAACCTCTCAATAGAGGTCTTTGGACCCGGCACCAACCCCAACTTCCGATCTCACTGGGGCTTTATGATCAACAAGCCCGGCAACCTGGAATTCGGCGATCTGCTGCAGGTCGAGGTCATCGACGCGAACAAGCTGTGGTACGGATTTGCCCCACGCTATGCAACGAAGATCATCGATAAAGCTGCAGTGGGAATGTGCAAAATTACAAACCTGACGTCCGAGCAACGACGCCAAGCCATCACAATTATTGAAAAGGAGCCTGCTCCGAGGAATGGAATTGGGAGGTGTCAAGATTGGATGTTCGATGCTCTCATCTCGCTGGAGATCGAAGAGCTTGTTCCGCCAGGGACTTCTGAGTTTTGGAAGGGAATGGTTGGGAGATCGGCCCAGGAGGTCGCTGCAGCGTGTGGAAATCAGTGGACGGCCTTTTGACTTGCACGACTCAGCTGGTCCATTCTGGGCCATACGCTCAACGTTACGCTAATTGACAACCTGAGAGTTTTTCGCATGGAACTGAGTTATCGACTTTTTGATTGTTTGGAAAAGCGACTGTTGAAGACATTGGTGGAACTATTGGTATATTTTTCTTTTGTATGTACTGAATGTCTGTGACGGACTGCTTCAAATCTATAATATGTGTTTCCTCATACCCAGAAATAACTCCTTCTATGAAATATGCATGAGTGGTTAAGATATCACTTTTTAATGCCAATGACAGCCAGGTTGCGGGGGCTTTGGCTATAGTCAAACACCGGCTCAACCCAACACTCCTTGACGGAGTCGTGCTCACGCAGGAACTGCCAGCGGTCCACCACAATGGCAGCCTCCACAACCTGAGAGCTGAACGCCATCAGGGCCCACACGGTACTGAGATTTTTGCGTGTGGGGAGGTACTCGGTTTCATAGCGTTGCAGCTCCTCCTCGGTCATGGTACAGACTCGTTCTTTGACCTTGTCGCCACGGAGCGGATCCTGGCTCAATTTGACTGTTGCGGCGCGAACATAGGAAGAGAAGGACACGAATGCAGATTTGCGCAGAGATCCGACAATCAACGCGATGCCAGACTCGGGATTTTCAGGATCATCCTTGTAGAGATCCTTAGGAACATCTGCCTTGGGGACGATTCCATGGTCGAGGAGCACACGCTGCAAGAGGGCGCGGTAGAAATGGCGGGTGAAGAAGCCTTCGCTGTCATCCCGACCCCAGTTGTAGGGTGCTTGGACGGCCATCGCGCGAGCTGTGATGTTGAGCTTGACGCCCTTTGTGGTCTTTGCTTCGTATTCCGCGTAGAGCTTGGACATTGGGAATCCGTGTGGATCCCACGAGGACCCGGTTTGTTTCAATCGGGGGTGGGCGGACCGGAGGATGGGAATCTTGTATGTGGCTGGGCCGAGTCGTTCGGTGAGAAGATTGTAGCAGCAGCCGATCATGGCGATTGCAACGACAGAAGGGTTGAGTACCAATGAGCGCACTCCGTGGTGGACAAGGTTACCACACGAATGTAGTGATACAACCATGACTCGGGGATCACTAGCCTTCTGCTCAGGCTGTGTGATGACTTCATCCGTGGCAGTTCTAGATTCCACCGGTCTCTTGGGGTCAACAACATGCTCAATGATTGGCTCCAGATAACCATCCTTAATCTCATGCTCGATGTAGCTCACGGTACCCCGGGAATCAATCGTGGGAGGTGGCTTGAAGACAGGTGGCTTGTGCTCGACTGAAGTTAGTATGTCATTGGCTTCTAGACTCATGCCGCCTAACGTGTCGGAGAAGATATCATCGTCGGCTTGTCCATTTGATCTTTCTGGCAAAGTGTTTGGCTCTGGTTGTGCTTGTTTTTGTGTCCGCTCGTTCGTCTCTGAGCCTTCTAGCTTCTCTGATGCTAGCTCTGGAGTATCGGTACAGTCGATACATTGCTGTTTCTGCTGTTTGTGCTTCAGCTTGGCAAGCTTCGCATTATGCATGACCTTTTTCTTTTCATCTTTGGCCAATCGGGCATGGACATCCATACGATTTGCTCCGCTGATGTATTGATGCTTGCGCTCAATGGCAATAATATGTTTATGATAGGGCGCGCTGGCCAGTGTGCGGCCCAGATAGTTTTGCCCAGATCCGAAATCGGCGATATGAGTCAATGGCTCTCCGCGACTCTCCTTAATCGTCTCAGACAGAGATGCGACGTAGCGAGAGAACTGCTCCACCTCGTGTGCCTTCTTCTTGTTCATGCCCACAACAATATGTCTCGGAAGCTTCTCGTTCTTGTCGGGTGTGAATTCGCGGCGGAGGCTTAGTCGACGGATATTGCGAATGTACTCAAGGAGAGTCGCAGGCGGGAATGCGCTTCCATTCCAGGTTCCAGGGTTCTCGATCGTGTTCGTTTCCGCTTGCTCACACAGCGGGCCAATGTCCTCGCGCAGGAGCAGTTGCATGATGCTGTGGATATCATGGTGCTCAAAGAATGTACGCCAGTCTTCTGGCAGCAACGATGTGTACAGATCGGGGTCGCGCGTTAGGAAATCGAGGATATGCACACCACCACAGAGATTCATGAACATCACCGACTCGGTCGTGAAGGAAAGGAGAGCTGAGACATATTCGTCAGCGTCATTCCACTCATCTGAGATTGGAAGAGGGTGAATAGGAGCCATGCTCGAGCCTAAAGCACCAGACAGCACTAAACACGCCGGCAATGCATCAAAAAGGAAGGCACATTGTGGGGGAGAATTCTTATCGCGGGGGTTTTTTCTCCTTATCGCACGCTTAGTCAATATCGGGCGGAACTTTGGAACCGCCCGAGGTCCCAAGGGTGGAAGTTCCAACTTGGAACTATCCATGGATACATCATGGCAGCAGCTAGTACCCATTGTACAGTTTGAGGCCTTGATTCATTGCTACATTAATATATCATCCGGGCAGCTACTGTTTAATTTGCCCTCCGTTGGTTATGGATCTCGACAGCCTCAGGGGTTATATACAATGGGCTGGGGTTTGGGCTCAATTATAGGGCCCATAGCCCGAACCTCCAATGGGCTGTGGGCTGGGTTGGTCCTTATGAATAGGGCCTACAGCCCATTGATGGTTGGGCCATGAACCTGACGTTCGGGTCCAATCCGTGGACCCAACCCAATGAAGAGCTCTATCCGTAACTGAAACCTTAGAATTTATAAGATTTAGTAGGGAACTTGACTATGTATAAAATTCACTAGTATCTTCTCTTTTGGTGCTTTGCAAAGTTTTTCATATCAGGTATAGTAACAATAACAACCTTAGAATCTCTTTTTTATATAACCTTGGAAACAGTCTAATACTATACCCATGGATTTCTCTAAGACTAGTCTAGGTAGAATAGAAATTGATATATCTCAAATCTTACCAACCTACCTCTATTCCAAGGTTTTATCATCATATGTATATACACCCGAGGGCAGATCTGCGCTCTGTCTCTCCACAGCTTAGCCTCAGCGAGGTAGAAATGGTGGGATCGCTGCCTAATCAGGACCATTGACGGGCCGTCACAGCGATTTTGAATCCATGGCAACCATCCCACTAAAGCCAACTCACCGGAACATCTAGAGCTAGGCCCACTTTCCGAGGTTTGCGCCAGTTGAGCGAGCGACTCGTCTACTTTATGTACCTGAAGCCAGCCTGGGGTTTAGCAGGCCCTCACGAGATAGAGGCCTTACAGAAGAGCTTTTCGTTTCACCAGTTTACGTCAATTTCACTTCAATCTGAGAATATTCAACTGAAACCCCGATACAAATCTTGCAGCTTTGTTCAGCTTTCCACTTGCCCTCACTGATGGCAGGTCATTTATCTTGTCTTGTTGCCATGTTGACAATCGACGGCTGAGAGTAACAAGTAACTTAATAGTTGTAGAGATCACCGTCAAGCTTGGCGTTTTCACGCTTCTTGTAGTTGTAAAGATCGCCGTCGAGCTTGGCATCGTCGCGCTTGTAGTTGTAGAGATCGCCGTCGAGCTTGGCGTTTTCACGCTTCTTGTAGTTGTAAAGATCGCCGTCGAGCTTGGCATCGTCGCGCTTGTAGTTGTAGAGATCGCCATCAAGCTTGGCGTCATCGCGTTTGTAGTTGTAGAGGTCGCCGTCGAGCTTGGCGTTGTCGCGCTTGTAGTTGTAGAGGTCACCGTCGAGCTTGGCGTTGTCGCGCTTGTAGTTGTAGAGGTCACCGTCCAATTTCTTATTCGTTCCAACCGCTGGCAATTGTAAGTCAGCTTATCAAGGCCCAGTTTGTCACTTGTCTTTCAATTTGAACATTCAAGCACACCTGGTCATGCGCCGAATCTAAAAGATAGACATCTGGGCATAGTAGGAGTCACATACTAGGTAGAGCAGGAACCATGGAAATGGAGAGGCAGAGAGCCAGAAGGATCTTAGGGTGATGCATTTTTCTTTCCTTTGCAAATTTTTCACTGGCAAGGGATTGATTTGGATTGTTGATAGAATATTGAAGTTGCTTTATGATGAATGTTTTATGGTGACGGACTTCGAAGGCTTCATGCTGTTATATGCAATTTTCATCACGATACAAGTCATCGAGGGAATTTCACTGGAGACCAGGATCCATGAAGACCAAACGCAAGGAGGGGTAGAGTTGTATCCTGGTCAGGCTGGATTTCTCTGATCTTCGTCCCGTTTGCTTCCGTGGGTTCAAAATGATGACAGTACCATGAGTGCAGGACGATCATAGCCTGACTTCTATTCGACCGTCGGCGATAGCCAAAATGCAAGACCAACAATATATTGATAGCTGCATATGATGCACGTTCTCTGGCCAGAGTTTGGTTGCAAATGGCGGAGATGGGTTGATAGATTGGGCTTATGATTGGAAGCTCATTATATCGATGTACATCTTAGTGTAACCAGGTAAATTTTTATGTCACCTTCCAAGGTTAAGGAATGTTGAGATCACTTATTGGAAGATATATTGCATGGACAGAGCTTTCGCCATAGGTCCGTCTTACATGACGACTAACAGCGGCGAAAGAAAGCCTTGGAATACACCGGCTGACAATCAGATGGGATGGTGACCAAGTCTTATTGCTTATACTATGTGCTATCACACCAGAGCCCTGGAGAAGTCTATCGAGACAATCTATGGATACCTTTGAGCGAGACCCCTTAGGACCGGTAATTGCCTCAGCAAGCATTATCATAATATTTCTGGCTACTTCTTAGCCATGCAGCATGTAAACTCAACGAAAACTGAAATTGATCTCAGAAACAAGTACGCAACCTTGGAAGCATAAGATATTGGAGATCTAGTAAGTTGGTAGCATATTGAATAAATTTTGTAGGGCTGAGTACGGCTGAGGCGGCTTTAGACTTTTTGGCGGTACCATCAAGCCTGGCGGCAACTGCGGGGGGCCGCATGGATCTACCCGGATCCTGCGGAGTAAATTGGGCACGGTTCTTACCGCCGTCCACGCAATGGAGCATGCCGGTTCATGCCGAATGCAAGGTGCAGGATGTGTGATGACCTAGCCCCTTGCCCATGGCATACATGGTATCCTTAGATTTGAACTCAGGTCTTTTCTGATGTGACGTTGAATCTGCTTTTTCGAGGTACATAGTACAACAGCGGGCCGACATCCCGCCGAGTCTACAATCTACTCTACGATCTGTACTCCATATGGAGTATTTTGACAATTTGACAATTTGACAATCGCCCACAGCTTAGCCAAGACTTTTGTGGACCAATCATATATGCGCGATGATGGCTTTCGCCACCATCAAATTTCCATGCCTACTAAATGAAGGGAAAAAGTACTAGTACAACTATCCAGACTAATAATTAATACAATGACGCCTTGAAGTCATTACTGTGAGTAATGATGCCTGGTAGATATCAATCGAATCCCGAGGTCTGATGCCAATAGAAGGGATGACGATCACAGTTCCTGAGATATATGCATGTACCTGGTCAGTCATCCCTTTGCATAGACTGTACTTTTTCTGTCGGGGAGCCAACCTCAAGCGTGGCTCAGTGAAAAATATGGACATCATCAGTAACCCAGGCATGGGATTGTATCTCTCCCTCAGCTCCGCTTGGTTATCCATCAATGCGACCTCGTGATAAGACCGCGAATTGCGAATTTCTGCATTGGAGGTGGTACAACATACTAATACTCCCGGAACTTGCAGGGTTGTAGTGCAGGATGCAGCTCTGGGCTTGGGTTCTCACAATCCATGGATTCTACCACGTAGCTGCCTCACGGTTTCTGGAGCAGGCTTCCCGTGGCTTGATAAGATCTGCAGCTAATAGTCGATAATCGCCACCTCGCCAATTCCGGACTCTCAATGCCAAATAGAACAGACATGAAGCCCGCAGACAAGGCGTTTCCAGGTTTTTTCTCCTCAATTAATCCCTCGCCGTTTCCAAGGTTGTTCCTTCCTCGTGATCGTTGTGATCAGCAAAGGTAGCAGCAGCGTCACTGTAGCTGAATTCATAAGATCTCGTCAAAGCTTTTCAGATCAATTTATCCATACTGTCAACCCCCAGCCTTGTCAACGAAGCAAAATGTATACAGCGCTCAAGAAAGGCAGTCACAGCCAAGACGGCACCTCTTCGGAAAGATTACCTCTCTCTGACAATTCCGAGTACCACGATGAACAATTTACTGGAGAGAAGTACATGGAAGAAGGGGCCACCCGCAATGTAAAGCGAGAACCGCGCCGGTGGTTGTCTGGTCTTCGATTGCAAGGCGTTTGCTTTCATATTCTTCTGGCCTCGATATACGGAGCGCTGTTTTTGGTTGCAACGTACAAGACCAGAAAGTCCATTGAATGGCCAGAGCAAAAGCCAACCCATCTCATTGAGTGTAAGATACTGACCTTTTAACCCAAACTAAAGCCAGTTGATCCAACACTAACTCTCTCCAGCCCCGCTCTTTGAAGCGATAGAGATGGAGCGAAAGACAATTTATGCATCCATTGAGAGCGAGAATCCCTTCAAGGGAGCACCCTCCGAAGAACTGGATCATGCATGGCATAAGTTGTTCATCAACTCCAATGTCCGGGTCACAGCAGAGGATCTGGCGAAGATCAATCGGACTTCGGTTCCAATCAATGATGCAGAGGGGGGATATTATGCCATCCCAGGTGTGTATAATTATCCTCATTGCTGATTGACAGCAATATTGACTTTCAATGCTAACCGTAGCTCATCAAAATTGCAGATGTATATCATCAACTTCACTGCTTGGTAAGATCTCAAGGTTAATGACTGCCAAAATCACACAAACTGACGAAAAATCACCTAGAAATTCCTTCGTCAAGTCGTCTATCAGAACTACTACCACGTCGGAAAACCGACGACCCCAATCCACATAGGTATTTTCACCTCTCCGAGACAGCGGAACGAACTGATATTGACCATCCTTCAATTAGAACACTGCATCGACAACATCCGACAGAACATCATGTGTAAGGCAGACGTCGCCCTGCTAACCTTCTCATGGGACAAGGACGATCGCGCCCCGAAGCCAAACTTTGTGGTTGAGCATGAGTGTGCCAACTGGGAAAAGGTGGACCACTGGGCCAAGGAACATGCTTTCGATATTTTTGATGAGACTACACTGGTTCATCCAACATTGGGTAAATGGAATTGAATATTCCAACTGTTACAGCGCTAACCACTATTTTTATAGGTCCATCATTCCCCGAGGCAGAATATAAGAAAACGGGCAAGATTCCAGGGCATCCTGACTTCTATCCAAATGAGTATCATGGGGAGGATCAGCATGACCATCATCATTCTTGATCGTTTATATATGAGTCCAATACTGCGATCAATTTTGTTTGCTTTGTATCAAGGATTATGGTGTGCTCGCATAATGAAACCATGTTGTTAGACAGGCTCAACCAGTGGGTTTGATTGATTTGTATCACATGTAGAAACAATGTTGATTCGCCATTAAGTTACAAAAGTCGGGTGGGCGGACAAAGAAGGAAGATTGAAAAAAAGGAAGCTATCCGTCAACTGACGTGATTGAGTATTGATAGCAGGCTGGTACACTAGTTAAAGAAGCAAAAAAAAAAAAAAGATCGACCGGGGAAACGAGAAAGGAAGACGAGAGAGGGAGAGGGAGAGAGCCAGCCTGGGTTGGTCACCTGGCTCCCCAACAGTTGGCAGACCATTGTCTCCCATTTCCATTCTTTTCCCATTTCATATCTATGTCGGCTCGAAACATCGGAAGCTGCTCGATTGTTTGTATCACCCAAGCCCTATCTCTCCACTAAAGAGAGCCAACCAATCACGGTCGTTGATTTGAGTTTGGTTAGTTTGACATGTTTGCACTGGTCCAAGCGTCCCCAAGAGACCAACCAATCAGCGCCCGCGAGCTTCCGAAAAGGAAGATCAAACGAACTTGATGCAAACAACCTCGGAAGTATACAAGTGGGACCAGGTCACCATTGAATTTGGTACTTAATACCCCGATTTCCCACACTCCTTGAATTATTGAATACAATCAGCCCGACCCAACATATTACAAGATGACTTTCAATCGCATCGCTGTCTATGGCCACAGGGGATGGGCCAGTTCCGAAATCGTCAAAGCACTTGCTAGCTCAGGTGCCCCCCTCCGGGTCCTCCATCGTCCTGGCTCTGACACCACATCTTTACCCGCAAATATTGAGGTCGTTGAGGTCGACTTGGCTGATCAGACATCACTAGTCGAGAATCTCAGAGATATCGATATCGTCATGTGAGTCGGTGGTTGGAAACCTAGAACTAGGATACGCATCATCCCTGCCAAGGTGAAAGCTTGCTTATCCATGTTTCTCTCCAGCTGCCTTGTTGGACATAGCGGCGTCCCCTTCCAGCATCATTTTGTTGAGGCAATTCCGAAAACTCAAGTCAAACTATTCGTTCCCTCGGATCTAGCGGCAAGATATGACGAACAAGGCAACAGTGTCCCGGTCAATCGACACAAGTCTGAGGTTGAGAGGGCAGCTCGTCTCGCCGGGATTCCTATCACGGTCATTCTTCCCGGAAATTTCGCGGAGTTTGCGCTATGCACACCGTAAGTACAGCGCTTTCTCGCTAGACGAGTAATCTACTGATTGCGAGGTCGAAATTCCCAGCGCAATGGGCATTGATTACCAAAATAACAGAGTTCAATCTATCGGCAACACTGCTTCGGAGCCATTGAACCTTTGATATGTCTACCATGAACTCTGATTTCCGTTATTTCATCTCTAACTAATTCATAGTACCCGCCCTTACGTGGCAGCAGCTTACGCAGATATCTTTGCCTCAACTCCCATCAGTCGGCTGCAAGGACGAGACTTAGCCTTGTCAGAGCTCAGAACTACCGGTAATGAAATCGCGGAAGCTTTTGCGTCCAAGTTCAATACGGCTCCCACTACAAAGACTGAAAGCAAAGAACACATTGTTCAAGCATTAGACGAGGCGATCAAAACGGGCAACCCATTTGCCCTGGCGCTCTACTGTCGGAAGATATGGGCAACTGGAGAACAGGCAAAAATGATTGGTGAAGATATCTGGAATGTGGAAGGTTATTCCAAAGAGACTCTTTCTGGTCTGATTGTTGAAGGCAGCCTTAAGCCATACCGATCGATGCCCGGGGAAGTGAGAGATTACTTCACGAATCTATTCAACCAATGTGAAGGAAGTGTGTTATCTGCACTCAGATACAGAAAATCCGAAGACAGGAAGAGGTACATAGATTATACCACTGACATTGCAGACTAAGAGAACCTTGGAAGATCAAGAAGAGACTGGCGATTCTCTATCAGAGACTTTAATCTAGTGCATATAGCTAAATAGCACTCTTGTGTCTACTTATTTCATACTCCACGCCAACGGATACACCTGGGCATATTCCGTGCAACAGGGAAAGATGTTTTCTGTGGTAATGATGCATAGGCCCACGTTCAAGCGTGGATTCCCCCATAGAAAGAGTCAACAGGACTCACTCCAATGGCAACCCCAATGGGAGTTTCGAACTGGAGTCTCCACCACTCGACAAGGTCACGGATTTCCATGAATGTGGAGAACTGGGTAAGGGCAGTGAAAGGTTCATTCCACACGCTCCTGGACTTTGAGACCAAGTCCTTTCGAGAGAGAAAACTGCCATTGTCGATGAACTGTTGCTGGTACTCGTCACTGAGTAACCAGCTCATGAATAGCCTGGAGCTTTCCGGGCGGGGCGTGGTGGCGAAGATCGCGGCAGTTTGAGGCCAAAGGATGCGAGTATCATCCACAGACTTTTGGGCAATATTTTCGGCGGTAATAACATTAGTGGTGAAGTAAAGAACACGAGAGGAGTTCTTCTCGGCCACATAATTCGCAGGCTCGCCTGTTCCACGAACCCACTTCACATTTTGTTTCTGTAGGCCCTCAAACCATTCCCAACCATACTTCTCAATAATGATTGAGAACAAGTAGGTAATCGCATCGTCGTCATTTGGCTGGGTTAGAACGAGCTTGTCTTTCCAGAAAGGGTCCAATAATCCTTCATAGGTTTCGGGAATTTCAGAAGCTTTCAGTGACTCGTTGTTGTAAACGAAGCTACCAAACTGATCTTATTTGCAGAGTAAGCTAGCAAGAATGATTGGTGGGCACTTGACATGGAGGTGTCACTTACAGATGTACATTCCCGTGAAAGCACCCACTGGATCCTTGATCGATGAATAAACGTCTTCCCACTTGGAAGGCTTGTATGGAAGAAGCCGTCCTTCGCGCTTCCAGCGACCATAATCATGCAGAGTTTGCAGAACAGCAATGTCAGCACCATCGGTGCCATCACGCTGAAATTGCCGATTTACTCGGCTATCGTGGTATTTCGATACATCTACTGTCAAGTTGAGCTTCACGTCGGGAAACCGAGCCTCCCACGCAGCAACGGTAGGATATCCCTGACTAACAGCTAGATGTCAAAATCACCGTGGTCAGCAAAAGTAACAGGCAATGAACAACATTTTGAGAGCAGGATCCTTACCGTCTCCACCCCAGAGAACAACCAGTTCACCAGATTCATTCTTTGCAGCAGCATATATCTCATCCATTGTACGAGCTTCCACAGCCACATCATGACCGGGGTATGTGTTAAAATTTGGAAGAATTGCAGCTGAACCCAGGCTAACGAGACCAAGGCTGGCAACGAACGCGCTCAGAGGTGACATGGCTAATGATTTGAACCTTTACACTGATAAAGCCCTGGAGGAGATTAACGATACAACACTATTTTCTAGTGAATTTATATACTCTCCTATTCTAAAGTTCTAAAGTGAAAAGGGTCACGGAAGAGTTCCGTTGTATTGTCAGGCTATCAACTTTCAATTATTCATCAAGCCATGATCCACCTGGGCGTTCATTGCCCTAAGCCCCCGGGCCCCTGGGGTCTTTACAGGATAGGGGGATTGTCAATCAACAAGATAATAAGCCTAGATGCTCCGAAAAACTTTGCATGAAACATGCCCAGCAAAATGAGTCCTTTGTCAGAAATTTGTCAGGCTGAGTTATGTCCATGATAGCTATCCCGCCAATGTGGAGATGGGAATCTGCATGATTCTCATCTTTTGAGTTGAGCAACCTTGGAATAGGTGATCATCTGCTATCTTTGAGTACTAAAATCATGATATTGACTATGATAAAGATTCAAGTATTGTCTCTTGAGACCCAATGCCAAAAGCTATTTAACAGCATGCATCTTCCAGAGATTGCTAGGCATGGATACCAATGCAGCCCTGTAATTTATCAAAACCCAGACGTGTTAATTTAAGGGATCTTTTAACTCCAGGTGGTATCAGACAAGTCATCGCGAGCCCGATCGCAATTAGCCATTCCGGTGTGTGTATAGCAAAGGCCTGCTACTCCAGCCGCCCACAATGCCCCACACTCCCACATGACGATAGCAAGGTCCCATAACTCGAGAATCTTCTGCCTGTGGGGGTAAGCCACTTCGGCAGCGAGGACGGCCCCGACGTATTCACTCTCGGATGGTAGGCTATCAGCCCCTTTCATATAGGCGAGAGCAGGGCTTACTAGGAGGTCAGCGACAGCACGAGTTTCTGGCAAAGGGCCAGAGGAAAGGACAGATTGAAGCCGCGCCTCAGCGTTGGTGAAATAACGCTCTCCGCGCTTGACTTTCGTCCCGCACGCTCGGAAATGTTCCAATGAGGGCCTCTTTTCTGGTATGGTGGCAGAGATTCCTGCGCCGACACCAAAGTCTGTCCTGCCAAGGAGGGAGATGGGTCGATGTCGGCAATTCGCAAGCTGCCACCAGTGCGTAAAGAGAAGACAGAGGGCTGCCGGGTTATAGGGATCGTTATCCCGATACCAGATCATAGCACCAAGCAAGCGCGAGTAAACTTCAGCCAGTGCTTCCTCATCCAAGGATCCCCGTGTCAGAGAAGGGACGATGTTGCTAACTTCTCCGCACGATATATCGGCTCCAAGATCGATCCAGTCATGCGTAACGCACCCAAGGCCAGCGATGGCAGCCATCCCTTCTCCGCCACCTGAATCGTAATAGACGTGACAGAACACGGCATCCGCTAGCTTGTAACGGGCGAGGCGGGCGAGATCATCCCACACAACTATACACGGGCGGGAGGGGACAGGGTGGGCGTCCTCAATGATGGTCTTCTGGCGTAAGCATCCATAATTGCAACCCTTGACTATTCTTATGTCGGTTATATGTGGGCCGGCGGAGACGGATACTTCAGCAATGGCAGCCACATCCGCGAAAGCAGAATTGAGTCTGTCTGCTATTGCAGTGTTTTTGACGCCTATAGAGTAGACCAGGACAAAACCCGAGTCCATGATGGCCCACAATCCAGAGATCGAACCACCGTAGACGCCCCGGTTGTAACCCACTGCCATAGAGAAAATGCTGGTGTTGAGCAGAGAGCCCTCGCAACCCTCCAATGCGAGGAGATTCTCAGTGAATTGGTCAGTCGAGAGCGCCAAGCCACTCAGTTTCGGAGGAAGGGGCTTGCGGGCGGAACACCATGTGGGCATTACGACTGCGCACACCTCCGCAAACGCTAGGCGCTCTGTGGTTCCAGTGGTGATCACTTTGTCACGAGCCTCCAAGAGAGCTGCTGGGTCTGCTAAAAGCCCAACGGCACAATCGACAGCATCTGCAACACGCGTGTTGCGCATCCAAGAAATACTTGTAGCGGCGCCAATAACTCCGCCAGTCTGAGTGGTGTCAGCACGACGAGCTAAGCTCACTGACGTCGTCAATGTGTCGGTTTCAGCGATGTATTGTTGAGAAAATTTACTTGACCCAGCCTCGACCGGGCCTATGCCGTGACTCTTAAGAGACCAGCAGGGAGCTCCAAGAGGGCAATGCATGGTAGCCCCTTCTCCGATGACATGGACTGTACCCCATGTTGAAGAAAGACGGACGGTGGCGGCAGGATCCTCGGTCGAAGACTCACCAATACGGTCAATCCAATGGGAAACGACAGGCAGACAATCGAAAGCAGGCGAGCGGCTGAGGCCACCGGTAACGACCAGTCCTGGTACTAAGTCTGACAAAGGTTGGCCCGGGGCTTTCTCTGCCAAAGGCAGCCTGATATTCCTCGAACGAGCGAAGATCTTGTCGATTTTGGTTTGATTCTCGCTAGGCGGCTTTTGCAACCGTGTACCCCATTTAGTGTGCTTAACACTAGCACCTTGCTGTTGCAACCCCAAAGGCGATGATTGGGCTTGATTGGAAAGGAAATCGGTCACATCCCGACAAGACATCCGTTTGTCAAAAGAAGGCTGTGGATTAGCGCGGGGATCAACGAATCCACCATTGAGAGCCAGCTTGGAGAGGGCAGCTGTCCGGGCGATATAAGGCATTTATGATTTGATAACCGTATTTGTGCAGTTTATGTCATTCGTCGGTATCAAAAAGGCAAGGAGACGACCAGTTACTGTTATATTCTTAGTAAGGAATATTAGTAGGGCACTCCACAGTTGAGTCAGGAGATGGGTGTTGTGCGCACTATTAGGAAAGAAGCGGCAGACAGATGATCTCCGAAAGGTGGGTACCAAGCGGCTTCAAAACGATCAGAAAATGGGGACTGTGTTGTATTGTAAAAGGTGACCGGTGAAAGAGAGCTGATGGATAAATTTGAATGGAGTTGACAAAGGTGGGCCATGTGTCTGTCCATTATAGGTTTCAAGGGCTATTCCGACATTGGTGGAGCAGTCATATATCAGCAGACGTCAGTATCAAGGCATCAATGCGCGTCTGCTAAATTTCATCATTCGTTTTTGGCCATCCTTCTGTGTTCCAATCTTCCGCCTGTTGCACTGCTGAGACCTCGGGGTCCATAATTCATCCGGAAGTCGTACAGAGGAAGTGTATACAGGGGCGTGCGGCGAGACGGATTCTCTCAGCTGTCTATAAGAGACAAAAAGTAACCGTAAGAAGAATAGAAAGATTACCTGATAGCAGAAGAGATATAAGATGAAGCAGATCGCAAAGCGGTCGTTCTATGCTGGTAAGACGGAGGCTGACGGAGAAAGAAGAGGAGAGAGAGGGAAGGAGAGCTGGCTAGTCTGCCCTGTCAACCATCACCTGACCAGCACCCCTAGAATAATCCGGACACCTCACGCTCAATACACTTGAGTATGTGCATACAAACTTGGTGAGTGATGGGGGCTTAAGCGGAAGTGCTTTGAGTGCAGAAAGCAATCCTCATTGATTGCCACATCTTCGTCCATACAACTTTGACTCCGATCTGCACCAAATCTATTTTTTCCGAGGTCATGTTACGCACGCAGTCTGACCATTGTGTTCAATGACATTGTTTTGCAATTTGCAACGATCCAGGTGATCTGTATAACCTGGAAGTTGCCCTGGTGGAACAACCTGGGAATGGCTTGCATACCTCTCTTCTTCTCCCTCCTTCTTGGCCTCGTCTCTCCCACAATACACCCAGGCATACTTTGTCCTCATTTAATGATTCTCCGTCAAAAGCCTATGCAAGAAATATCATAGCGATATCTAGCCAAAATCACGATGGCTGGGTCAAGGCGTCCAGTTGTTCTAGACCTCCGCAGAGCCCATTAGCCCCAAAGTCCCCAACCCAGCCTAGTAATAGGCCAGGTTTGGGGTCCGAGGGTAGAACCCATTCGGCCCTAAACAGTGCAAGCATACTTGCTGTTGACAGTTGCACAATTCATGTAGATTTTCCTTGTATTTTTAGGTATTCTTAGGTATTCAATTTACTATGCTATTATATTCTAGCCTATGAAAATTTGGTGACTGAGTATAAATTAATTAGCAGATTTATGAATGCCAAGACCATATTCATAGAAATAATAGGCTCTCCTGGGGGGCCATATGGGCCCCAAAAGCCCACTGGATTTGGGCCGGGGTTGTGGAGGTCGGGCCCAACCCATACTGTGGGCCCTGCTGGGTTCTAATGGGGGCGCATTGGCTTTACGGAGGTCTATCCAATTCTACCCGCCATGGGGAAACATTTGCTTGTAAAGCTGTTATGCGTAAAGAGGAACCCAGGTGCGAAATTGAAGTACTTGTATCTCGCTATGGACCCTTCCAAATTCCAAGTTGTGAAATCAATTGTTCTTGGTACTCCACAACCCCACGGTCAGCTTCCGATGCCGGTTCCGTTCGGAAGCGGAGCTCCTTCTCCCGCTTTCCGTGATATCAACATTACTTCAATAAGGTCTACCATTCTATAGCCTGTCGCTTATTCAAAGGCGAATCTAGTCCCGGTGGCCATACATTGCCGAAATTTTGTGCCACCCCGAGTGTTCGTCGAGGTATCAGATAGTCCAATAATTTCAAATGGAATCGTCGGGTAAGGCCGTCTTTCATTTATACTAAAAACATTATTATCAAACATGTCTGCAGGGTCAAAGTCAAACAAGTCTAAGACTCTCCGTCATTAGGTTGCCCCATAGGTTTCCAGGTCTCTATAGCTCTCCTCCTCTTCCCTTCGCGCACGCACACATATAAATGCATTCAGGATGATCCCTGAGACAGTCAAAGCCTCTGGGCAAGCTGTTGTCGAGCATCTTCACACATCTGATCAATATCGACATTGGCAATGATACCGTTTCGATAATTGATCGCCTCTTCAATCTTTTGGAAGTCCCTTCCGACCCCTTCAGCCTGCCATTCATAGCAGTCTCCAACAATCCTGCTGCTCTGCACCAACCACTGCGTCCGTTCTCGGCGACAGAAGTCAAAAGTATCGAGGACATGCTCAAGATCCTTGTGCGTTTTCACTCGGTCGTCTTCCAACAAGGCAGCTAGGACCGCGGTGTCCTCGAGGCAGAACCCAGCCCCGGCGCCGTGGTGCGGGGAGGTGGCGTGTGCCGCATCACCAGAAAGACAGACTCGGCCTTTGGAGAATGTAGACAGAGGATGTTCTCCCAGGTCAAAGATTGCCCACTAAGGAATGATCAGCATTTTGCAAATGATGGAGCACAGTTGGCGTGAATGGGCTAAGACTTACCACATTGAGTTCTTCGTCAGTTAACTTCAACAAATTGATCACGTTAGGTCCATATCCGTCGAAGTCTCGGAGAGCTTCCTCCCGCGTTCCTTGCCTGGTTAATCTGGGGTAGTCCGCCCATTCATCCGGAGTGGTGTGGAAGGCAACAATATTCAATGTCTTGCCCTGATTCACAGGGAATGTCAACATGTGGCCACCGGGACCCATCTGTGATCATTGTCAGCCAATGAAATTGTAATCAAATTCTCCGGTGCGACTTACATGCATGCAAGAATTAGAAGCCAATTCCTCGCCGACCGCCTCGATCGCCTTATCCATGGGGATCAGACCACGGTATGCATATTTATGCGTGTAGGTGGGGTTGGCAGATGGGTGATCCTCACCCACCATCAACTGCCGAACCCGAGACTTAATTCCGTCACAACCGATGACCACGTCAGCGACATCCTCGCTGCCATCGGCGAACTTCAGGACGAGTTTTCTATCTTCGCGCTCGGTAATGTCGTTCAGTCGCTTGTTGAAGTGCGAAATCCCTTCAGGGACCAAACGAATCAATTCGTCGAGGAAGTGGGCGCGGTGGACTCCGGTCTGCCCGGTACTGTTCGAGATAGTAAAGGCGATATCCTGGCGGCTAGAATTCTGAGCTGAGGTCGATGTGCCCATGCTATATCCATCAAGGTAGTCGAACCAGACATTCTGCTTGGACGACCACATATTGCGCGTGCAGACCTTCTCGAAGGCCTCGAAAATACCTTGGTGGCAGGTTTTCATGGCAGCGACGGCATTGGGGCCAAATGACACGCCGGCGCCCACTTCGCCAAAGGCATGAGCTTGCTCGTAGAGTGTGACCGGGATATTGCGGTCGTGAAGGGTGATTGCCAAAGTCACACCCGCAATACCACCACCGACCACAGCGACGTGGAAATCTTTCTTAGGTGCAGTCATTCTGGTTGGTGCTTCTGATTGATGCTTCTGGTTGATATTTTTTTAAAAAAAAAGGAGACGAGAAGAGGGTATCTATAGAGATCATCAGTCGCCGGGAATGCCGAAATGATGCTGGATCCGATGATTTGGGGGAACGTGGGGTAATTTCGGATTCGGGGCGCACTATCGGCTTAACGGGGGCCAACGAGTAATCCCAAGCAACCCCGTTGGTGGAGGCTCGACGGCGAATTGGGGGAAAGACGCGAAGTGGAGACTTCCGTGGGGCGGCTTGTCGTCATCTTCCGAACGCTCATAAAACGCCATCGGGAACGACACAACTCTGATTCTCTGAATGGATGCATTTCTTCCCTTTCCATCACATTCAGACCGAGAGACTATTCTATGTCAAGCTTGCCGGAATTCCGGATTTGTGGCTTTCAGCCTGCAGGTCTGTACACCTTCGCTCCAATCCCTCGCCGTGGTTTCACGCCCTACGGTCTTGTATAGTTCCATTGCAGTATCTCGAGCCTTGCAAATTCAACTCGGAGTCTGCCGTCGGACTTGTATAGCCCGGGAAGCCGAAGCCTGATGTAGCTGTGCCAACATCACACGGAATTCAGGAGGTCAGAGGTAGTTCGGAACGCATTGCTATTTGCCTCAACCCTCTGACGATTCAAATGTCAGCAGGACAACAATGAGATATTGGGTGATATTTTTGGATCAACCCTAAAGTGGCCAATGAAGCCACAGATGCACGGATAGTACGGCAGACAGCAACCTTCATACCCCAGTCATGACTTCTTCCAATTGTACACTAACTTTAATTTTACCCCCTTGACCGTTGGTAGAATGCCATAGGCACAGTGTATGGCCACAATCCGAAGACAAATTATTTACAAGTAAACGAAGACGCTTTGCTAGCGTCGCCGCCGACATAGCTCAAAATCTCAGGGTAAGGGCACAATCCGGCCGTTCGAAGAGGAGGCTTTGCACTACCGGTGGCAGCTGGGATCGCAACGGCTTGCAACGTATCTGGTGCTCTTCCGTTTTCCACCCACTCCACAAGAGCTTCAAAGCTGCTTCCAGGGAAGAAACCAATTCCCGGTGAGCAATGCTCTGCCCCAGGTGCCAGGAAGAAGCGATAGTAATCGTGGAGATTGGGATCAACCTCCATAGCGTTCCGGTAGTAGTTCTCAGTTCCATTGTAGAAAATGACTTGGTCCTTCGTTCCATGCCAAGAGATCATTTTCCCGCCTGCCTGCTTGAAGCGAGTCAAATCGGGATTGTGTGTCCCAATAATAGAGCTAAACTCATTAATAGATTGGCGGAAATGACGGGTATATTCTGCGTGAGTCATAGACAACGCCTCCGCGGAGGAGTTGCGACTAAGGAATATATTCTGCCAGCCTTCTGCGACGGGGAAAGGTATACCCTTGCAACTCTTCGATGGTGATGTGCAGTTTGTTGCTGCTAAATAGATCAGAGCCGCATCGTGGGAAAGTCCGTACCAGAGAGATCCGGAGGAGTCTGATGGTCCGGCCCAAACGAGAGAAACAAATTTGGCAGCCTTAGGAGTGATTTTTATCACACTGTTGGTGCATTGAATTGTTTCTCCAATAAGCGTGTTTGGGTCAAATTTGCAAAGGCCTGGCATCGAAATAATCCAGTCTTTAACTCCATCGAGCTCGTCACAGGAGTCAAGTGTATAATGAGTGAAAGCGCTTAGCTTGTAGGACGAGGGGTAATAGTCTGTAGGAAGAAGTTAGTAGTTTTTAAGTGGCGGAAACTACTTAATAGATGCACCTACCAAGATACTTCATTAGTAGTTGTGGCTAGAGCTCAGCAAGAGGGAATTTGTCCTAGTTGATAGCAGGTGAACCTGCTAGGATATTGTCGTACTTAGTTGGATACCGCTGCGCCAACATGTGCCCCTGACGACCTCTAGTCGAGCATCCGTTCCAATAAGCATATTTTTGAGATTGTCTGTAGAATATCTTCGTCGCAGCCTTCCCCAGCGAAGCAGCCTCGTCGATAGCGACAGAACTAAAGTCCTGTATATTCCCCTAGTTCAAATTACCCTCACTAGTCATCGCCTGAGATTGAACGGTGGCTCGCTCATCGTGTCCTCCGTTGGTAGAAGTAGCGGCGTAACCCCCGAAGACTGCTTGGCTGAGTGCCCCCAAAGAGCCCGTCATCTAGCCGCCACCGCCCATGCCTATGAACCGGCCATTCCAGTTATCAACTGGAAGCGAGATCCAGGTAGTGATATTATCATTCCAGCCAGGGTGTGTCTAGTTCACTGTAATTTGGCACACTTTCACAGTCGCATTTGCTGGGACAGGATACGCGTTCAGTGTATCGGCCGTGTTCCAATGAGCGTGGTCAATTCTGGCATCAACGGAAAAAAACATTGATATTTGAAAGTCCGAGAGAGGCGAATGTATCAGGCGTGCAGGCTTTCGTATGGGTGTGTGCTGATGATACGAATATCAGGAGTTGAGATAGCCCTAAGAGGACATAGTTGGAGATCATTTTAGAGTTGAGTTGAGAGCTTAGGTTCGTCGTATATGGTGCCCCTGCGATGTACTAGGCACAACAAAGTGGAAGAAAACTTGCTTTATACCCCGTACAAGGGCAGTGAGATCACGACAAACAAGATGTAGATCGAACGCCCGAACCCATTCTATCGGCAGTTTCACCGGCAGCGAGTGGAAGTGAAGTTTGGTTAGCTCAGGTGGAGCGATGGACATGTACGGTATGTTTCCAAGTTTGATAATTTGTCTAGAGCAGGTATAAGTTGAGTGACTAAGGATTGTAAGATTGAAAACATACCACACTCAGTTCCCAGGCTCCTTTAACTCTCGACCAGAGCTCGTGGCTACCTGGCTTGTCGGGCTCCCCGCAGGTAAGGAGCGTAGATCGAGAGCTCTCTCTCCCTCTCTCTTTTCTCTTCTCCCTCTCTCTTTCTCCCCTCTCTCTTCTCCCCTCTCTCTTCTCCCCTCTCTCTTCTCCCTTCCCTCTCTTCTCCCTTCCCTCTCGCGCCTTTCTCCTTCTTCTTGTCTCACAAGATACTACTTTATCATTCATGTCTACACTCTCCCCAGTACTCTTAGATATCGGCCAGTAGAAATTTGCAATGATCCAATTGCGCACGAGACAGTTAAGATCCTATTTGGTGTGCATCCTGTGAATTCTGGTATATGAACCGTCTCTGCTACAAAAAGGGCGGGATATAGTTGATGGGGGATCTAAGACGCTCTGGATTTTGAGACAATATTAATGGCATGAGAGGCAATTCTTATCATGCTAGACTTGATGATAAAACCCCCAATTGCAGCCATTTGGTAAAGCAGCCTCATCCTAAATCGGGCCCACTTCTTAGGCTTTACTTTCTATTTTTAAACCATAGCCTTTGAATATCTATACGTACACTTTCGTCTTAAAACGAGTAAATCCATGGATACTACTGAGAATACGTATTACTACTCATTTACACAAGAGCAGAATAGCAAAAAACTACCAGTCGTTAAACAAAAGTGGTAATGGTTGTGAATTGTCAGCAGCTAATCATGCCCAGGTGCACCTGCAGTATAGATCTCAGTTGACAGGGGCATCGGAATCGTGGAAAGATCCAAGCTTGAGGAGTTGCTTCGCGTTGTCACGACCAATAAGGCGATAGTTATCAACACCCCCAACAGCTTCCTGAATGGCCTTGGCATCGTTATCCCACCAGCCACAGCCGTTTTCAATGGTTTCATAGGGATAGTCGACACTGAATAAAATACGGTCGACACCGATTTCATTAACCACATACTTCAAGGTAGCAGTGGAGAAGTGTCCGCTGGTGGTGATCCAGATGTTCTGCTTGAAGTAGTCATAGATGGTCTTCTTCGCCATGACACGGCCCTCCTCGTCGGCGATGGGGCGCTTGACATCTTCGAACCAGTGGTTGATACGCCAGAAGTCAAAAGGAATATGCTCGCCCTGGTGGCCGATGATGACCTTGGCGGTGGGGAAGCGGTCAAAGACTCCGTTAGAGATCAGACCCAGAGTGTGCAGGGAGACACCATTGGCGAATGAGAGAGGGGGTCCAATCAAGTTCTGACGCTGGGCGTACAGCTTCTCCAGGACGACATCGGAAGGAGCAGCGGGGTGGAGGTAAAGGGGGACATCCAGCTCGGTAAGGACCTTCCAGAACTCGTCGTAGGCAGGCTGGTCGTAGTACAGGTATGTCTCGCCGTTTGGACCGGCGTGCTGGAAGTCGCAGAGGAGAGCACCGTGGAATCCGAGCTCCTGGACACAGCGACGCAGTTCTTAGCCAGCTTGCTTAGGGTCGTGCATCGACAAGCAGGCAAAAGCACCCATGCGGTCGCGGTTGTTTTTGATCTGCTCGGCAGCCCAGTTGTTGGTCTCAAAGGCTGCCTTCTCAGCCGAGGCCTTGTCGGAAATGCCCTGGATACCGGGGACGGTCAGGGAGACGATAGTGTATCCAATGCCGTGAGCGTTGGACAGACGAAGACGCTCGCCATTGATGTCGTGGATCTGGCGCATGTAGCGGGCGCGGTCCTCGGGGGCAATGTACAAAGAAGCTTCGGCCTTGGACTTCTCCTCCTTGCCGGCACGCTCATAGGCCTCTTCGAGAACGATTTTGCCCAACATGTTGAGAGTTTGTAGTAGAATGTAGATCTGGGTTGAATAGAATGCTTTGGTGATTGCTTGGATGATTCACTTTACCTCAGGATTCAAGGGCTTTATATACTGAATAATTTCCTGTTCATCCGGCTCATCGGCATATCTCAGCCTCAAAAACTTGATGCCATTCCCGGCTGCCCCGTAGGTAATGTGCGGTGTACACGGACCAACTAAGACCATGACAACGATCACGTTCCAATCAGGACATGTCAAGTGCGAGCTTGGTTCAAGCAAGAAAGGGTAGCCTTTTTCATGAACATCATATCTGACGCCATCGGCCAAGGTCAGCCAATGACGAAGCTCTCGGTGCGATGAAGCAGATATAGAGTGGATCCCGGGATCAACCAAGAAGATCTGGGGATAGCCACAAGCTGGTTGTTCCAGAACTGATTAAGCTTTTTTATGGGCCGGTATATCGATAATTTGCATGCAGAATTCCGAAAGTAGATGCCCGAAGAATATTTGGAGGTGAGTGCATATCCGAAATTTCGGAAGCGGACGTGGTATGATTTGCCTCATCGGAACGTGCCTTGCAATCCCCAACTTCGCTCCGACTGACTTTCAATTGGTCTAATTCTTCTTCGGCGTCATATGTAAATCTATCACCATCATGCCTCGAATCACACTAGGCCAAAAGTCCAGAACGGGCTGTCGAGAATGCAAGACTCGGAAAGTCAAATGCGATGAGCAACGACCAATATGCGGTAGTTGTTCCAAGTTCAACAAACGTTATAGCTTTCTGAGAACAACTCCATACTTGTGGAATTCAGGACTATCGAATCAGCAAACAAAACCCGAAAAAGTCATATCTTCTCAAAAGCCGAGGAAAGATGCCCGTAAAGGCTCGTCCAAGCAGGCGAAAGACAACCCCGATTTTACCTTAGAGGACATGCGTCTTTTGCACCACTTCACCTCTAGCACAAGTAAGACTCTGTCAGATGATCCAGAAGCTCACGAGACATGGGCCACGACAGTCGTTCAAATTGCATTTACACAATCCTTCCTTCTCCAAGGAATTTTGGCTCTTGCTGCTCTTCATATGGCCAGTTTGAAACCCGATGAAAAAGAATATTTCTCCATTCTTGCGGCCAGTAAACAAGACGCCGCATTGAAAGACTTTCGACATCAGCTGGAGAACATCACAACTCAAAACTGCGATGCTATTTTCGCATTCTCGTTCCTTGCCGAATACTACATTCCTGCCTCTGCAGGAACCGTCATCAATCCCGCTGCCACATTCATGGATGATGACTTCTTTGGCGCAATTGTGGATTGGCTTCGCTTACACCAGGGAACATCTGACATATATAAGCGCAAAGGCCACTGGATTCGGAATGGCCCTGTTGCTCCTCTTCTGTGGAGAGATATCACAAGCGAGAGGTGTCTTTCGCCAACCCGGAAACACGACGTCGGAGATAGCAGAAACTACCCATTGTATGACCTTGTGAGCAAATGGGATACAGATATTGCATGCACATCGAGCGATGCCCAAGAGGAGAAGATCAATTCTCGGGCACTGGAACTACTGGTAGAGGCGTTTAATTCTTCCTCGGAAGGCTCCGAGGCAAACGCTGGCCGGATGTCTGTTAATCAGCTTCTCAACGATGCGCTACCACCCGAGTATAAGATTTCTCCCATATCCAAAGGTTCAAACTACCTAAGTCTTTCGCTCGGATGGCTATTTGAAATCCCCTTTGGTTTTGTGGAACTTCTTGAGCAACGCCGACCAGCAGCGCTTATTATTTTTGCTTATTTCGCAGTACTATTTCAGAATGCCCCCAGGTTTTGGTGGAATGAGCCGATTCCCGCGAAGATTGTGAAAGCAGTCGCTGCGGTGCTTCCTCGGGAATGCCACAGGTGGATTGAATGGCCCATACGTGAAGTGCTGGGTGATGACTACCATGCAATGCGAGGAATAATTTGATGGATTCATGGCAGATACCAGAATAGGAATCTCGGCAGAAAGTATCTTGATTGTGCACAATCCAATTCAAGCATTTCAATATTCGAGTTGGATGAATATATGGCCAGTCCTTGAAGTCATCACTGGTCATTTTGAATCCTCTTCGAACCAAAAATGGCGGATCAAATTTGTGAAAGATCATCAATATAGGGAATATACTTCGAAAAAGAATAAAAGTCGAGCCTAATTGAGACCATGCCATGACAGTGGCATATCCAAGTATGGACCTTAAAGGACGGACTGTACATTTCCACTGCCACGCCATGTGTTACAAAGACCGAGCTGTGAGTCTCCAAACACAGGGTCCTTTTGTGGCTTCGGTACAGACCAGACCTTCTCATAGTCCCCCTCCGCTTTTCACAAAATCCCATTCGCCTCCATTATAGGCTCCCATCGTGGTATAGCCACACAACTTGATCTCAGCCAATGCTTTCTTCGGATCGTCAGCTTCGATGCCATGCCCCGTCCCCGGCGTCAAGAGTGTGAACTCAGCTTCTGGCTGAGTGTTGAATGTTTTATGCGCCACACCTGCAGGAATTATGAACACGTCGCCTGCCTCGCCATCCACTTCAATACCACCTTCTTCACAGAAAGACCCATATGTATTCTGGTCTAGATCTTCCGAGGTATCGGCAACGCCAAACCGGATTCGTGCAGTTCCCGATAGAACGGCCATGCACTCATGCGCTCTGGAGTGATAGTGTGATAGCTGTGTCGGCCCGTATCGGAAGATCCACTGAACATTCCATCTATTCCGAGAAAACATGTCCCAGACCTCGGCCGGATCATAATGAGAGTCGTTGGGCCTTGCTAAGACATTCTTGAAGTGTAGCAGGGGTCTCGGCGAATTCGGGATGAGGTCTGTTGGGAACAGATGATACTTTCTCACCTCAACCATATTCAACAAACGTTGATGAAACGTGATATCTGTAGGATATTCCAAGGTTGGAAGCGAAAAAGGTGGGGTGGTCATTGAGACATGTCCAAGTGATCGGTAATGGGTCCGAGTCGGCATGCGTACCCGTAGCGGGTTCGATTACTCGTGCACAGGTGGGTTTGTATACGTTAAACATGATGTGACAAAAAAGCTTAGCTATAGATATGGCTAGGCTTACGATCATTTATTGATAAGACGAAACCAATGTGATATCCATGGATGGATTTAATGTATAACTGGAATCTTGGAGAATAACCAAAGCTCATCAAGCGGCATAAAAACAATAGATCTCGGACGGAGGCTTCAAACATGGATGGTATACAATTTTGTAGAACAGAAATCAAGGCTACAAGTCAAGCCAAATTCTCACCTGGGCAGTTCTCCATTCATTGTGCTATACAACTTCAGTCACCACAATGGTATTGGATACCCTCCCGATGTCAGATTGCGAGTTAGTTCAGATATCACCCGAGCCATGACTTGTTCCATTCAACCTCAATCAAACACATCTGGGGGGCTTTGGTCTACTCAATAAGAACCAGTATGAGTGTTGTGGTACTAATCAAAAGTTCAAGTGGTGGCGGGTTGCAGTCCAAAGTCATTTCTCGCATGTCTGTGCTCTCGTTACTGACCTTGACTCTCTTTCACAGATCACACACGTGAATAACATACCTCAATGCTCTCAGCGCGAGGCGCGATAGTCGATACTCCGTATACTTGTGAAGTTCCAAAGTTCCAAAGTTCCGAGCTGGGGGCCCGCTGGAACCAGGCTTAGTCATATTGGACCCGGGAGGTCGGGACCCATCTGGACACTATCAACAACTTGACCACCTGAGAACAATCACCATCCACCGCAGTCATGGAGGACACAGATCCATTTCTCCAAGTTCAAGCGTGAGTGATGCTCTATTCAGTACTGTGACTCTTACTAACTCCACCCAGCGACGTGGTTTCAACCCTACAAACAAGCCGCCCACTATTCTCCTCATACATCCGCATCCGGTCCCTAGCCAAAAGCCCCTCAAACCCCGAACTGAAGCAAGCTCGCTCAGAACTCGAGAGTACCCTGACAGAGCTCACAGCCGATCTCAACGATCTAGTCGAGAGCGTGCGCGCGATCGAACAAGACCCCTATCGCTATGGTCTAGAGCTCGAGGAGGTGCAGCGGCGCCGCAAGCTCGTCGACGAGGTGGGTGACGAGGTCGAGAAGATGCACCAGGAGCTACAACAGGCTGTCTCCAATTCCGCCCCTGAAGCACTTCCTAATCCCACCGAGTTCGATGCTGCTTTGGATGAGGAGGAGCGCGGGCGTGGTCGCAGCGGCGACGATTACTATGCCTCTATGGAACAACAGCGTCAATCCGAACTCATGCATGAGCAGGATGAGCAGCTCGATGGTGTCTTCCGTACCGTCGGCAACTTGCGGCAGCAGGCTGACGATATGGGGAGGGAGCTGGAAGATCAGGCGGTTATGATCGACGAGGTTGATACGCTGGCTGAACGTGTCGGGGGCAAACTGTCGAATGGCATGTCGCGCATTAAACACATTGTGCGCAAGAATGAAGGTAAGATCTCTACAGACACACACTCTCTCTTTCTCTCTGTCCTGCCCTGCTCTGCATGATATGGAACCTCGTGACATTATAGGTTCAAGCTAACTTTTTCCAAAATAGATACATGGTCCTCGTTTTGCATCGCGACACTCATATTCGTCCTCGTCTTATTATTAATCCTCCTCATTGCACTGTGATAATACAAGAAAACAGGGGTTAGGAAAAGCAAAAAACATCAAAAGGGGGGTCATGGCGTTTCGGGTGCAGTTTAGTTGCGAGCCTTCTTGCGCGGGCGCGACTCACTTTCTTCATCCTCATCCATCTCGTCCAACTCATCCATCTCGAGGTCCATGTCGTCGAGCTCGTCGCCGGCCTGGAAAGATTGAACTGTGGGGCATCGTTAGCAGTGGTCGCACTGTACGTCATCATCTCTACTTACCGTAGTAGTTGAGGGCGTCGGTCCAGAGGTCCTCGGCAATGGCAACGGCGAGGTCGTCACCGTCGGGGAAGATCTCGGCGTCCTCGAGACCATCGTCCTCCTCCTCTTCCTCGTCGTCGGAGTCACCGGCCTCGTTGATGTCCTCACCGTTCTGAACCTTGGCCCAGCGGGCTTCGATCTCCTTGGCGGATTCCTGGGACTTGGCGGCGGAGACGTCACGGCCGCGGTAACCGAAGAAACCGAAGAAGCTCACACCAACGGGGCTGGGGATCTCATCCTCATCGTCATCGTCACCCTCGGCAGCATCAGCCTCAGCATCAGCCTCCTCAACCTTCTGGACGAGAGTGGCGAACTCAGGGAGCTTCTTGCGGTCACCACCCTTCTTCTTCTCGGCCTCAGCGAGGTCACAGGCAGCATCCAAAAGACCCTTGGTCAGATCGGCGTCCTTCTTCCAGTTAATGCGCACGGGCTCGGAGACGAGACCCTCCCAGGTGCGGGTGCGGCCAGACTTGGACTTGGTGATCTCCTGGCGCCAGTAGAACTCCTTAACGAGCTTGTCGTTGGTGAAGAAGGGGTTCTCCTCTCCGGTCTTGAACTCGAAAGTGAAACGCAAGCTGCGGGGCTCGCCGTTGCCCTGGGCATCGAGCTCGAAACGCTCGACGGTCAGGTTCTTGAGGCTCTCGCCAAGGACGGCGGCGTCGCTGGGCAGGATGTACTCGTCGATCTCGGGAGGAGCGCTGGCGAAGACGCGCATCCAGAACTCCGCCTGCACATCGGGCATGTTGATGATCTCGCTGCGCTTGGCGATCAGGGGGCCATGAGCTTGTGGGTGTGGCGCACTATTATGTATTAGATTAGCAAAATGCACATTCCATCAAACGCGGATGAAGATGAACCACGTACGCTGCTCGACCTCTGCGCGAGAGAACTGCTCCTCAAGGACAGCAATCTTCTTCATGGCGGCCTCAGGGATCTCGGGGAACTCAATGCGGTCCATGAGGGATTGATCGTTAGACATGGTGAATCGTTAGGGTATCGTAAAAATTCAAAGAGATTTTGTAAGATGTGAAGAATATTAAAAATCTCAAGGAGAGGGAGGGGTGGAAAATAAATGAGAAGCGGGACAGAAAAAAAAAAAAAATTGAAAGTATGCGCTCATAGGGAGAGGTAGCTCTAGCTACCTGAGGATACCTGATGGTACCTTGTGTTCCATGGTACAAGCAGGTCCACCCAAGTACCTCTGTGTACCCAAGAGTACAAAGTATGGAAATAGTGGGGGTTTACGGCCTAAGGCTACTCGTACAAACATTTAGAAAACTCTGACGCTGATCTCGGTGGATCACTCTAAGAAGTGAGTAGAAGATGTTTAGTGAGTCATGTACACCGTACATTCCAAGGTTGTCCAAATATGAGAAGGTGGTATAGCAGGGGTATCTTCCAGAACTACACTAATACCAAATCCTTCTTGTACTGGAAGTATCCAAGAACAACCTTGAAACCGTGATCTGCTCTGTCCATCAGGTGTATACAAGTAGAGTGTGTTTCCTAGGAAACCGAAAGAATTGTAAAAAGTCTACTCCGCAGCAACAACCCCTCCAGGTACGGAGTACTCCGTACAGTGTCGAGTTATACTAATTGTTCACTTCGGCTATATGCACAACTCAAAAAGTAGCAGGGATGTCTAGAAGGGCATTGTCGACTGAGAACTCAAGTCAGACGTCACTGTTCACATTTTACACCCCCTCTTTCAAGCAAGATACGCTGGACGTTGATTTGTTACATGACTCGGGTAGATAAAAAGGGAGCGGTCTGCGCGCAATTGAACGCACGGGACCTGCAGCAGGCGGGAGTCGGAGAGATAGACAGTTGGTATAGAGAAGAAGTGAAAACGAAGTCATAAATCTGAGCACATAATCTCGTGGCGGTCACCAGAGTCGGGATATCTTATTCCATATTGTTTTTTTCTCCTTTTCGAAACTTGGGAATAGGTTCGTCGAAGCGAAAAGCAAAACAGAAAGCAGGAAACAGGAAACAGGAAACAAGCAGCAAAGCACAGAGAAAGCAAACAACTTTTTTTTGAAAGGGACTCCGATCAGATATCAAATCGAATCAGTCCAACATGAACCATCATCGTTCAACATAGCATCTTCCGATTAAGAACCGTCAATTCATGAAAGTTCATATATCCCATGCCCGTTCGCCAAGAATGCAATGATTAGAACAAGAAAAGAAAAACAAGAAAGATAGCGTATAATAAAGAGAAAAATGGTGCCCAGGCCGCAAGGTCCATGCACAGAACACATCACCATGCACGTTCTTTGCCCGAGCGGTCATGATAAGGAAGAGGGAACGAGGTAACGAAAAAGGCGGTGTCAAGCCAAGAACCGGGAAAGCTCAAAGCATCCAATCCAGACCATTAGCCTCCTCCTCCACGGGGAAGACCTCCCGCGCATACTCCTCCATATCACGCCAACCCTGCCAGAGATGCCGGGCCTCGTCCGTCACGCGCAGCGAGATAACACCACCAGGCCCTTGCATCATACCGGCACCAGCACCCTTTCCACCGAAGGGACCGAGGCCCTTGGGTGAGCCAGCGGCGGGCTGTGAGAACTCCGGCTGGGGGAAGTAGGGAGCGTCACAACGACCGAACAGCTCTTCCAGCGCCTCGAGCTGTTCCCGGTATCCAGGCGGGATATTGACCTTGATTTCGATCTTGGGGACACGGATGTACTGGCAGGGGCGATCCAAGGCGCGCGAAAACGCCGCGCACACCTGGATCGGAGAGAGCGTTTCAAAGGTGAGGGCGATGCTGAAGAGTTGCGGTTAGCGAGTGATCGAATAATGTGACCCGGATACTTTTTCCGTGATCTAGTATATAGAATTGGAACTTACCGATGGCCATTCCACCTCTTGGGACCATCCTTGAAGATCTGTAGCAGGGTAGGGCCGACGTCGTGCTCGACGTCTAACCAGGGCAGAGGAATGTCCGGGTCGAAGGGGGCGCGCCATTCGAAACTCCCGTCGGCGAGGAGCTCCATCTGGAAGAGCGGGTATGGCAAGCTGGTGAAGTTATTGCTGTAGATACCGGCGTAGACGAAGGTGGAGGGCATATTGAGCTGTCGGATGTAATTCTCGACTGTGAACTTGGGCGCCCACTGCGGGGGGCGCGGGCCAATTCCCATGCACGGAGTGATCGGGCATGCTGCTGTATATGTAGTGTTGGACGGTGCCGGCGCGTTTCGCAGCGTCTGCGAGGTCGCGGCCGATAGCGACCTCGTCGCCAGACTGGGAGGTGGTGTTAATGAAGGCCAACTGGGCGCCTTTGAAGAGCTCGTCCATCAGGGCGACATTGCCGAGGAGGGGACCCTGGAGGAGGGTGACATTGGGGAGTTGTTGTAACTCTGGGGCGATAATGCCCTTGAGGGTGTGAATCTGAGCGCGGACAGAGTAGCCGACGGCGGACGCGACGCGGATGAGAGAGGCCGCTTGTCGGCCTGTCCCGTTGACCACGGCGATAGTCTTCTGCGGTTGTGTCATCCGGGTGGATGGGGGAGGGGTGCAGTGAGAATGGACCGGGAGTACAGAGAGTACAAAGAGTACCGAGAGGATAGAGTCTCCAAGGTTATCAGATTGCGAGGGAACCAGGCCAGATAAAAGAAGAAAATCCGGAGTAAGCCTTGGCGAGAAGGTTGGTGGGGTACCTTGGGAGGGGAGCAAAGTGGTATGTAAGAAGAACCGACTGTTATGCGATTGAAACAGTCATCTGGATCTGCGAGTACCAGTACGTATACTCCGTAGTGTAATACTTGTAGGGCAATACTCCGTGGGTATTCACTTGGAGAAAGTGAAAGAGTGAAAATTGCCAACGCGGAGAGGATAAGATAAGGGAGGTTATATAGTCAAGACTATACCGAAGTATAGGACTATGCCTTATTCTATACTACCTCTACTATATTCATATCTTACATGATATTATCCATCTGATACGTGATTCTTTTTCTCCAAATGACACCATCGAAGCCAAAAGAAAAGAACGAAGAAAAAAATAAAAAAAGCGTGCGGTCTCGTCCACCGAATTTTACGTAAATCGGCATCCGCTCGGCACCCAAGTGGGAAGATCCTTCCGGCCTTGGCTTCGAGGTTATTCTTTACTTTTGTAACTGATATGTAGGGAGCTTGTTTAATCCCTCTATACTATAACATATACTGCATATACTACATAATATAAAACTGGTTCTATATCCCTCAACCCATCTCAGTTTCCCTATCTATATGCCACTGCCAAGCTCCGGAAGGCATTCCGAGGTCACCAGATGGTCCAAATACTCCGTATAACACACAAATCGCGCAGGCGACTCCCGTCCAACAATTTGCCAGGGGTAGCCTCACGTGGTCCATAGCTGCTCCAGGATGTGGGCTGCCTACCGTCCAATCGCAGTCTTGGGGGGCTGACCTAGTTGACGTGCTCTGCTCGTACTCCGTACAGATGGCTATATCCCGGTACTTACTGGGGCTAATCTCTAGCTTCCAAGGTTGTACTTGCATATGTCTGATCTGTCTGATCTGTCTGATCTATCTGTTTTGTCCAATACATGTGAAGAATAGCCTTTGATAGCAACCTTGAAAGGTACCTGAACCCCGCAATGGCCATTGGAATAGCATCTCTTGAGTGTAATGGTGTAATAGTCTGTAATACTCAGGTATTATGGTATTCCTGTATGGTAATTCTCGCTCTAAACACACATTGTGGGTCACAGCAGGTCCAAACATCTTCTCCATCCTGCCCATCTGCACTATAAAACTGGGTAGAACTGGGTATCGGAAGGGCGCGTTTGCATTCTTCCCTTGGCAGTGTAATGGAATTACCGACTTTCAACTTCCAAGGTAGGTTTAGTGACACCTTCACCCCAGAAAAAAATATAACACACGGACAAATGGCCTTATCTTCCCCCACTTAGCTTGCATCTTAGGGGCTTGGATCTCATTGCGATCTCCGCGGCCGTGTACAAGTACAAGTAGTATTGCGTTACAGAGTAAGGCTGGCGTGATCACTCCCCAAAAGGATGGTGCAAGAATGGACCCGTGATTACTCTATACAATTCACTATATCGCTACGTTATAACCCTATATCCCGATATCCTTCTATCGCTAAGTCGCTATGTATGCCTCTGCAATAATATCCCGAGGTCTCCCTCTCTACTACACGCCACTTTGGAGTTAATGTCGTGTCAGGTCTCGGGCCCCATACCCCTTCCCCAAAATAATCACATACATTCTACTCCGTACTCCATAGATGTGGGCTAGGGTATTTTCTTTCCCTTTAGGAAGGCGCTGACCCTGCCGTCATCCGATTCCGTCTAGCATCCCATTCCCACTCCTCATCCATCTCACGCTGGCTTATCTCTTTCGGCCCAACCCCCGCCATACCCCAAACAAAGGGCCGGTGACGCGCTAGCAGCTCCGCAGCCGGTCGCTCGTCAGAGTGCAGGTGAGCACCGGACTTCCGGAGGAGCAGCGTGTGTTCCGAGAGGCCCGCGTTGGCGGCGAGGAAGAGCGGGGTGCGCCCGGCACGGTTGCGGAGGTGCACGGAGCCGCCCTGCGAGAGGAGGAAGTGAAGAATTTGGATTGAGGGGGATGTCGCCGCCAGGTGCTGCGAGGGTTAGATCGGGCTCGAAAATCGGGCTGAGATAGAGGTAAGGGAGTACTCACAATAGGGGTGTTGCCGGAGTAATCGGCGTCGTTCAGGAGCCAGTGGTGTTCGGTTTTGGTGATCGCTTGGACCTTTTCGAGATCGCCGTGGGCAATCGCATAGCTCATTGAGGTGAGGGTCTGGATGCGCTCGGGCAGCGCACCGTCCGGGTGGCGGAAGATGGGTAGGGAGGACTCGGTGAGCTCGCCGCGGATGGAGACTGACATGCGCTTGGCGATGGACTCTGGGGTAGACTCCGGGAGGGCAAGTAGGTATGCAAGCTTTGTCAATGCGCCTTCGGTTGTCATGTCGAGGCCGGCGACCACGCCGGCTCGGGACAGACTCATGCCGGTGGCATAGACCGGGCTCACGCTGCCAGTGAGGCCTGATTGAATTAGTGGGTGGTATGCAAAGATCGGCGATGGAGAAAAAAACTTACATTGTGTGATGTTAACAATGACAATGCCGCGGTTGATGGCACTCGCCAAAACGTTGATCATGGCATTATCCTGACCGGATGGGGCATTGCCTGCACCAAAGGTCTCCAAAATCAAACCGCGCAAACCGTCCAACTTCAGCACAGCGTCCACCATCTCCGGCTTGATACCGGGGAAGATGCGCAGACAAGCGACGTGGGTGGTATCCAAATTGGTCTGAATACTGAAGTGCTCCAAACTGGTGGGGCGATGCACCATATCCCAATTCACATTGGTGCGCATCGAAGTAGTGACCGCCAAGGGAGGACAGTTGGGAGCATCGAACGCGGCAAAGTCGCTCGCCGCAACCTTGGTAGTGCGGTTTCCTCTGAAGAGTCTGTTGTTGAAATACAGACACACCTCGGGAATCATGAAGTGACCCGCGACAACCAGTGAGCCGAGCAGGTTATCCGTGGCGTCATTTTGCAGCTCCAGCATAGGCGCCTGGGAACCAGTCAGAACAACCGGCTTACCCAGGTTCTGCAGCATGAAGCTCAGTGCCGAACAGGTGTACGCCAGACTGTCCGTTCCGTGAAGGATGACGAAGCCGTCGAACAGCGTGTAGTTGCGCTCTACGGTCTCGGCAATCTGTGCCCAACCCTTTGCATCGATAGAACTGCTGTCGAGTAGCTCCTCGAACTCATAGACAGTGTACCGCACCCGGCGGCCGTAAGCTGTCATGGGTGTGCGCAGACTGGGGTGCTCTGTCATTTCACCAGCCGCGTTCACCACCACCTCCATCGGGGTAGGCGTAGATGCATCGTTAAAGGTAGGCACCCGCGCCATACACTTTTCCTGGAACCCACGGGCAGGAATGAAACCTGATGGCGATGGCTGCATGCAGATTGTGCCGCCTGTCATGATGATCAAGACGCGAGATTCCAGGATAACCTCTTCGGGCTTCCCCTCCCCTCCCTTGGGGATGGTGGGAGGAATCATGTTGCTCGCCGTAGGGTTGAGGCTGGCAGAGAGCATGATGTGATTGTACGGTGCTTCACCGTAATACGCTGCCCTGGTGTTGTTTGATCGATGTTATTGTACTCCGTAATTATCAAGGCATTAATTCGTCATTCGTGTCCCACGATAATAACGCGGACTGCGGGGGAGTGTGGATGGGGAAAAAGAAGGTTAAAAAAGATGTTACAAATTGGATCCAGAAAAAAAAAAGAGTCCAAAAGAGCCCACGATGAGCGTCGATCATGATTGACTCTTTTGGCCGAAGTGGCAGAAGAACTCCAAATTGACCCCCGATCGCATTACGTACGCGGTCTGTGATTGGTCAATGGCTCACATTTAAGACACAGCCCACAGGGCGATCTCGGAGTATATCAATTGATTACTGGGTATTGTATGGTCTGGCTCAAGAACCTTGGAAGATATTGAATTATACATTAGTTATGTGATTTACTCTAATTACGTTAGCTTTGATCCTCGTGGCGTGGAATATCGGATAAATGCTACCTATTGGGTATATTCTATTTTATTTTCTATACAACTCCTTCAAATGCCAAAATACGCCTTCAAAATGCAAAATATTTACTGAGAGACCTCAATCTTCTCCCCAGTCGGTTCATCGCGCTTGAAGGAGTGTTTGCCACGGGCAAACCAATCAACAAGCATGATGAATACCACCACGCCATACACAGCGGAGACGTAGTTCATATCTGATCATGTTAGAATAAAGCCAATAGGATGGTACCAAGACGAAAACTTACTTCCGGTGTGAACAGGCATGGTCGAGGGGAAAGAGTACATGACAATGCAAAAGATGGTCCAAGTGATAGTGATAATATTGGCAGCCATGCCAAACTTGCCGAGCCAAAAGGGGCCGTGGTGAATGCTGTTGCGACCGCGGTACCACAAGCACAGAATCGGGATCGAGTATGAGACATACAGCAGAGAGATACAGGCAGTCATCATACTGTTGAAGGCAGTGGTTGAGCCGAGATAAAGAAGGCCAAGGAGACCAACGATGAAGCAGCTGACCGAGTGCGCATACAGAGGCACATCCAAAGTGTGGTTCACGCGCGACAGCCACTGGTGGCCGGGCATGCCCCGATCACGAGCAAAGGCCCACGCCAGGCGGGATTGCCAGGTGTGGCATGCGATCTGGCAGCCCATGCCTGTGACCAGAAGGAGGGTTTCGAGAACGATGGCACCAGCCTTGTTGTCCAGGGCCTGATAATATAATTGCAAGATGGGGACACCGGTTGAAGAGTTGATCAACTCATCCAAGTCCTTGATGCCGAAGAACATGGAAATACAATATGTCCAAGAAGTGACGAAGCCAATTGCCACGGTGGCCATGATGGCGATGGGGATGTTTCTCTCGGGGTTAGGGACCTCTTCCGCAAGATGCGTGGCGGAGTCCAGACAGGCGAAGATCCAGTTGGGATTAATCAGACCGACGATGAAAGCCATGCCGTCAGACTTCCAGCCAGTGGAGTTGACAAAGTGGCTGAAAACGTAGCTGGCACTCGCATGGGGGCGAGCACAAGCCGGAACGGTGACCAAGATAACCAAGAAGGAGGTGAGAGAGATGTACAGGGTACACTTGGCGACGAGAGGAAGGACCTTTCCAACACAGTTGAACAGGAAGCAGAAGAAGTTGATCAACTGATATGCCAGGACGACGTGCCATGCCTCGACGACACTAGTAGGGTCAGCATATAATGGAGCAAAGCAGAAACAATTCAAGCATACAAGTCAGGGTGACCCAATTGCCACATGCCAACAGCAGCCTGACCGAGACCGAGCACGACACTGGAGCAAGCAAAGATCGCACCGGCATAGCCAAACCAGCCACTGAGGTAAGAAGCAAAGTGAGCGTATTTGCGGGGTGCCAGTTCGAAAGCCCAAAAGTACTGCCCACCGGCATTGGGCATAGCACTGGCCAGCTCTGAAAGCGAAGCACCGACACCGAGTGAGATGAAGGTTATCCACAAGAGGCCATAGATGATCAATACAGTACCACCTGAGTTGATACCGGTGATCATGGAGGCAGAGATTCCGAACCAGGAATTGGACATGCAAAAGGCGATACCAACCAACGAGAGGATGTTGAAGTTGCGGTTCAAGTCCTGAGTGTAACCCATCTCGGCGAGACGAGCGGCATCAGAGTTAGACTCACCGGAGCGAGAACCACTGCTCGAGGCAGGCTTCACGCTGGCGGTCTTTTCAAGATCGAATTCACCCATTACGTCGAAAGTCCTGGAAACTGGTCGCAAGGGATTGGTGCACTGGAGAAGTCAAGATCTAGAAGATGCTTAAGCTTGTTGCATAGGGAGATCGAAGATTGGTGCTGATGGAAGTAATGGCGCTGCGGGTGTCAAGATATCGTATATCCAGATTGCTGCTTGGGTGTCGAGATCAAGATCAAGATGTCGCTTGGGATAGTCGAAGAATCGTACACAGCGTACAGTGCAAGACTACAGAACTGAATCTGTGAAATAATCTGTTTTTCTGCGAAGTATCAACAATCGAAGCTCTGCTCGGCAGAGAGGCTGAAAGAACGTCGGGAGTATAAAAACCGGTCAACCGGCAAATATGGATTCGCTTGACCTATTTAACGCTGGAAGATGGCTTTCATTTCTCTTCCTTGTTATGAACGACTCCACAGCAAACATCATTGAGCCGTTGCAGTGGATTTTATCTCTTGTGTTTGACTGGCCCAATAACTTCAGTTTCAACGACGGCCCAACGCGTAGGCTCTCCCGGTCAAGGCCCCAACATTATTTCTTTTTTTTCTTTCTCCCGAGGCCTTTCCCGATGCTTCTCGGAAGCCAACCGAGAGCGATTTCGAATTGGGACCTGCGACTTTGGTCTAAATGCCGCACACTAAAAAGGATCTAAATCGCCCTAAGACCGGACCGGTCCACACGCGAAGATTTTTGATTCAATTGACATCATTGAGATTGTAAGGACATACTTGATATCATTTTCTTTCTCATTACTTCGGGTGTACTCATAGTCCACAGTTCATACTATGACGTTTATGCGTTACTCAATGAATTCCAGTGCAGAAGCTTGTGAAAATTTCGCAGTGGAGCACTCTCAGACGGGTATAATATCCGCTGCACAATGTTTTTAGCCCTGCGTCCAGATCGATCCTTTACCTTCAGTCTCACCGGGGTGTCTTCATTCGGCGCTTTGTCCAGTAAAATTGAATTGAAATATTGAACATTGAACGGAGTACGGAGTAGGGTCAAGTAGCTCCCGCCAGAGATCGCCAGGCGCAGTTAGCTCCCTTAGCCTCGAGCCTGAGCCGCCCGCAGACACTAGTGCACCCGTTCACTGTACTTTGGGCGTGTTACCTTCTGGAAGAAGTAACCTGGACCGTGAGTATGAACTCAAAAGAGTGCCACTTTCAGGGGGATTCCGGGCTCTGCTGATCGCTCATCTTATAGGAAGGTTATCATGCCGCATAATGCCTCAGGGGTGATCAATGAACTGAAATTAGTACTCGGACAACTCACCAAGATAATAATTAAGAGGACAAATATTGACAAAAAAAGACTCAACAATGCTATCACATTTGGTTCAATGAAGCCGTTTTTTGGTATTGATTGTGCGGAGTGGTTGTTTTTTATTATGTTGTATCGTACAAAGCTTTCATCGAATGATCCGCGTCACTACCAGCCAGGGTTGAATTGAGATAGGTCTTCCTCTAACAGACCCATCATATATTGATTTCCCCAGAACCAATTGCCCAACTGTGCAGCCCCCGAATCCTGCGATTCGGCCGGGAACCCAGGCACAGGCTGCGCTGGGTCCGGGGTATGCACAGGAGCACCAGGCTGCAACCCTACCGGATTGCTACCCATGGAGTTATTAGGCAGTCCAAGCGCACCCAGATAGGCATCAAATTCCTGGCCAACCTGGACGAAATTCTCAGCATCAGTCTCGGGTCGGGTGTTGGCTTCGAAGTATAGGCGGGCAACGGTCCCAAGGATGGAGCAGAGGGTGTGGAGCCGATCAATGGATTGGGAGAAAGAGCTGAGGGGTTGAAGGGAAGCAATGAACTCTTCCAAACGCGCCAAATCCTCTCGGTTGGAGGTTGTAATCACATTGCAGAATATGACAATGAACGGGACAAAGGGGGAGAGGAGAATGGCCCTGTTTTGTTAGCTGTTTTGTTCGTCGGAGTAATTGCGAGGGTATCATCTCACCAGTGCATGTAGGAGGTTTTCATAAAGTCATCAGACTCGCTCAGTAAAGCGCCGCATTGCCGGTGGACTTCCAGTGCTTCGCGCGCTGTCTCAATGCATTCGGGAATGAAGGTGGCACCCGACTCTGGTGGGGCTGGGATTGCTCGGTATATCAGCGTGAGAACTGATAACCTGCTAACTTTGTCCGTAGTGAGGTAAATGAGGTCCATTTCCGAGATTTTCAAATTCGATGACGAGAAGTCCTGAATCCTTGTCAGCAAGCTCAATCAAACTTGCGGGGGGGCACCTACATCAAATGGCTGCATGACGCTCGATTGCATCTCAGCGGCCAGTTGTTTTGCGTGTGCAATTCGATGACTCTGGGGTTGTTGTAGTGCCTCCGGGCTATAGAGATACTGGTAGACCTTACTTTGGATAATGGCCGATTTAGTCCACAGCACGCAGATAAGACCCCATGGCTCGGGAATATCAAGTGCATCAGCAGGTGGCAACGGCAGGCTGATGTCGTAATTTTGGATTGGACAGGCACGTCCCAGACGCAACGACATCATATTCAATATGGTGTACACCGACCAGAAAACGAGCTGCTTTTGGCGTTGAACAGGCAGTGGCTCATGCTCCATTGAGCTCAGGCGATGATACCCCAGCGTCTGGCACAGGTGCATACCCGTAGAGGCGAGGTTCCAGCCGACTGATGGCTTGGAGATCTCAAGCGCATGCATGGCCTGGGATTGAGTCAGCGAGAATGCTTGGGCGGGTAACCATTGATCAGGACTTACTCCTACAGATAACGCCATTATCGATTCTTGGTTTGCAGGCATCAAGATATTGAGGCTGGCTAGCGCAGCCTCGAGGTTGTCACGGCAGGTTTCAATATAATGCTGGCATTCCTCCCCAATGGAGCCAACGCTTTTGGCTACAACCAGCTCGATGAAGATGCTATACAAGCAGAAATTGGTGATGATGAATGCCGCATCCGAGAAGTCGTCTGCGCAGAAATACACTTCACGGCATTTCTCGATGAAATATTCTACCCCGAGGAAGGGCATGTAGCCGCCGAAACAGGAAGATGGGTATTCTAAACGATTAGATCGGTGAAAACAAGTTATATAGGCAGTGCAAACCTTTTATATGTCTGAGAACGCGCAATACCAGCTGCAAAGGCGGCATTTCGAGGTCGCGGATGTCACGCTTGACACCCATTCGGGCATTTTTAGTACTCAGTTGAGCCCCCTGTGAATCAACTTCTCGTCGCTGGTTCTGGATTCCAACAATCTGCTTGAGGGAAGAAAGAGCCGCGTTGATCTTTGGGCTGGACAGCACCTGCGGCGAGCTTTTGGAGACCGCCGATTCTAAGAAAGCGCTTGCATAGGCCCCATGCGCGCTGAGGGAGGAGCTACCCTCGAATGCAGAGCTTGAATCATGTTGTTCGATCGCAGGATTGGCTCTATAAAATGGACCCTTCGGCTTGGCGGGGCTCCGCTTTGGCGGCTGAGATTGAGTTGAATTCGGCGAGGGATGGAACTGGGAAGGGGTCAAATGCGACGCAGGCTTCGAAGCAGATGTATTATTGGCTAGCTCTTGGAGAGTCTTTTCAATGCTTGCCAGACGCTCTTCAATTAGATCGATTTTTTTCTCACTGCGCCCGAGTTAATGTAAGTCAACGGCAATACGTCACCATACGTACTATTGGTTGGAAATGAGGACTCGTCGTCGGGGCTCCGGGGGTTTCTGGCTATCGATGGATCGGCAGACGATGCTGGAACTCCGACAGTTTGAACATGGCGTGCGTTTATCGCATCAGATCTGGCGGGGAATTAATATCTGTAAGTGAAATCGGTGTCGCGGGTTACCTTTCGAGCCCGGCATTGGTCACACTGTTCTTGTTAGACCCTCCTCACACGCATGACTGAAGCACATACCGCGCGTCTAACCAGTCCGGGGTCGCGTTCATGATCGGATCCCGCGGACTCCATGATAGAGTTGTAATCTACAAAATTCCAATTCGTCAATTTCTCAATTCGAGAGAAATCTGAGATCGTCGATTGAATTTCGGCTGCCTATGAGATCACGTGCCTGATGCAATACGAGTGTGAATTTCAAATGTCCAAACTTCCAATCATATCAAGCGTCAAAATATCAATATCTTCGTTATACGTCATGAGCGACAGTGGACATGATCTAGCACTGTGTGGCCAGCACACAGGTATAGGTGTATAGTCTATTTCGCCGAATGGAACACAACAGCAGAGCCCGAATCAAAGAGAAAAACTCTATCTATGCCTTGGGGGGACGAGGAGGATACCAAGTGCCATCACTTAGCCAAACACCCGTCGGACCGTAGGTACCAGCCTCGGCGCCTCTCAAAAACGCAAAGCGGAAGAACAGATCATCGGGCTCAGCATCTGAGCTCTCGTGGCCCAGCAGGACTGCCTGCGATGGCTCACTGACATCCATGCCACGAGAAACCAGACGAGGGTTGGTTTGCAGTTCTAAACCATCATGGCCATGGCGATGCCAGGTGAATTCACCCATCTTGTCCTCATCGAGATAACCGCGCCAACGTTCAACGTCGTTCAGAAGGACAGAGATTCCATCTACCGCTAGGTTTGACATGCGCTCGTGTTCCCATAGAGCAAAAGTGATGTTGCCATTGCCGCGATAAGTGTTCTCTGAATCTGGCAAGGAGATGTTGACAGAAGAGCTCGTGACATTGGGGTAAGTCGCGCCCCACCAACCATTGACCCCATCTCCATTAGGCACTTGCTCTCCAAGGGCTGCGGGTGTCTCAATAATGGAGGCAAATCCCCACCGGGCAACTCCGTTTATGAAGAGGCCCAGCAGCAAGCCTTGGTAGATGAGAGACGGGCGGGTGGGGAACGCGGTTCCCGGCATGAGTAGAATGGCCAAGATGTAATGGTGGATTCGTAAGCGAAGGCCCGGAAGGGGAAGCAGGATCAAAATGATTACTCCCATGGTGCAGTAAATCTTCAGGTAGCGGGGGAGCAATCCTCCCTGGCGAATCTGCCACGCCTGGCTCAAGATAATGGAGAGCACAATCGGTATGACAAGAGCCAGAGCCAACTTTGCTCCGGGTTGCTTCTGAATGTCCATAGGAGTCAGGCGCTTGAGTGGAATCAAGCGTGCAAAGGTGTAGTTGTTCAATGCTCCGATAAAAAGCGGAGGTAAGAAGAGGAACATCTTCGAGAGCTGATAAATTGGCGAGCTGATAGGTCGGAGCAGCGGTGCCGCACAAAATTTGTACAGAACGTAGACGACGAACGATGCCGGCAGTAGTCGAGACAGAAGACTGGAGACAAGCTCAGCCAAGAAAGGATCGGAAGGCGGGTCCCCAACGAGGCCTGTATGACAGAACACCATAAAGAACGTGCTGAAGAAAAGTACAGGCGGCGATGTGCAAAATAGCCACAGTACGCCGACAGCAGCGGCGGTAATTCCAAGGAGCGTCCAGCGTGGATCCGGCGGACAGCTGGCCTGCGGTGACGACAATTGAAGGAAGCTGAAAGCTTTGGGGAATGTGGATGGGAAGGCTGCAGACAGAATGCCGTGCTGTTTGACGGACGGGAAAGAATGCGCCGCGCCCTCGAGCTTGACGACGCCGCAACCGCCGTCATTCGAAATCGCACCGACATGGATCGCGGCCTGGCAAACAAAACTGTCGGCTCGGTAGAGAGCCGAGTCAGAGTCCGGTTGAGGACCTCCAATAACCAGGCCCTGGTAATTGTAAGTTTGATTTCCCACTGTATGGGGCTCCAGCAATATGGTATCGCGGCAATTCGCAGGACACCGGAAAGGAATGGTCGAGGATGAAAATGGCCGACAGTCATTTCCATTGATACCACACCCATTATCAAATTCCCTATAAATGTGAGCCGCGGTCTTGAGCAGAGTGTGCATATCTTACCAGAAGTTCGTGGAACACGACAGTGTCTGAGGTCGACCATACCCTTCAATGTAGCCTGAAGAGCGCGAATGCAACAAAATTAGGAACCAAGGTAAAAACCATGAGACATAAAGCAGCAGTAAGAGAAAAGTCTTGTATTTGCGCTTAGGCAGCAGACGGTCGAGATATTGGACTGGCAGTTCCTGGACGCGGGGAAACAGCGGCCTCAAAAGTAGCATATGCGGTGGATCGGGGCCTTTGACCCAATTTGCGGTGGCGCGACCGACCTTCCTCAGTGGTAGCGGCACCCATCCCCAACGAAATGACTTGGAGGACTCCCGTAACCAGACGGGGAGTGTGCCTGCTTCAACATCGGGTGGTGGTAGGTCTTCGGAAGCTTCGGGATCGACGAGACGATCGTCATCTTCGAGTAACGGAGGAACATATAGCCGAGTGGCCTCCTCTTGACCTTCCCCAGGCATGATGAGACGTTCAGCTGGAGAGGGCGAATGCGCAGCGGCTACTACAGCGGGTTCGTCGGTATGCGGTCGGTCGGCGGTCGGACGTCGGACGTGCTAGCGGCGATACGCAGTGGGGATCTCCCGGGATAGCACAGGAACCAAGAAACGAACTGTGGTGCCGACTAGATACAAAAAAGGACCAAAGGGAAGGGATTTGGGGGAAAGAGAATATATGCGAAAGAGAAGAGCAGTAGAGCGACTACAGGTGAGATCTGGGGAAACCCCGTCAGGCAGCCAGGCACCCAATCAGCTCCACGCGTGACGATTGTGGCGCCTCCACTGAGAGATCTCGCGATGCTCCCGCTACTCCGCTACAAACTCCTGCATCTTTCAAAATCCCGATGAAGAACGAGAAGGGGGAAAGATCATTGTTCATTGGCTATGTTTACCACCCTATATCCCTTGGCAGACCCGACCCATATTATCCATCAGCAGCCGTTCCCTAGGAGGTTCATACCTGGTTGCAAATCAAACCCCTGGGCCTCCTCGCCACTCAGCCCATCCAAATCCTTCCGCTGCCAGAACGAGCGGAACCCCTCTACCAATCTCTGGGTGAAAGGCGCCACCTCGTCAGCTTCCATGGGGGCAAAGGCCACGCGGATGTATCTGTGAGCCTTCGCGGCAGATATCGGTGTCGGAGCAAACAAACTGCCCGGGCCCACGAGACACGGATGGGGGATTTTGGTCAAATGAACCCAAAAGGCCTTGGAAAGTTGCTCGGGGGGATACTGAGAGCGCAAGGGGTGTGTGTCGAACTGGATCTCTATCCACGCGAACATACCACCCATCGGCCAAACAAAGTCATACATCTGGACTCGATCTACTACCTCCCAGGCATCAATGTCGTCAGTTGATCCATGGAAAAGGTATTTGTTTTCCTCCAAGACCGTGCACATGTCCTGCATGCGCGTTTCATAGCGAGCGCGTAAACCTTCCAACCACCGCACCCACCCGTCCATGTGCCAGCCCGGTGCGATCTGTTTGGACGATTTTGCCGAAGTATCGTCCTGGCCGAAAATCATCTCTGCCACCAATGACTGTACGAAGCCCGATGGCTGTTGACTCGTCACCTCCGTTATGCGAGTCAGGCGTTCGATGATCGCTGGCTGAGCGGTTACCCAGCCAAGTCGGCTACCGGGCGCGATAGTCTTTGAGAAGGTGTCCAACCGCACTACTCGGCCCTCAATGTCCATGGATAGATATGAAGGGACAAGCGAATCCAGGTAAGCATAGCCCGAGGATTTTCCCTCCGCGTTATAATTCTTTGTGTAAAGGTTTGGCTCTGAGGATGATCCTCGGTGGTGCACCGTCTGTTGGTAAGCGGACGGGAACTGCAAGTTCCAGTACGGCTCATCCTCAATGATGATCACATCGTATTTCTGGCAGAGAGCGTAGATTTCCTTCCGGCGCTCAATTGAGAGCGTACCACCGGTGGGGTTTTGGCCAGTTCTATCAGCGTTAATGAAACGACCTCTTGCGTCCATGTCTGATATACTCACGGAACAGTATACATCAGATGAGGCCGTCGCCCCAGGCGGAAGTCCCAATTCTCCAATACGTCCTGCAGCCCTCCTTTGCCGCTAGCAAGCATACCTTGTCCATCCATCACAACGCTAGCCACGTTCAATCCCCGAGGCTGCACTGTTTGGATCGCGTTCATGTATGCAAACTCCTCACATAAGACACCCTCCCTCTGCTGGATCCAATCCCGGTCGGGATTCCATATATTTGTAAAGGCTTCGATGGCCTTGGAAAAGCCATCGGTCGATCCGCAGGTCAATATAACATCCGGTCCTCCCGCGTAGGGTATGTTTGGGTGGAGATGATCTCGCACAAACGAGCGAAGGAACGCGTTTAGGGGCGGATATCCTTCGGCGGTGCCGTACTGGAGGGCCGTTGTCAGGTCGATCTTCCGTCGGACGTCTTTCGTTGTGCTCTCCTTGGGCACTGTTACTCTAGCAGAGGACTTCTCGTTGGATTCCAAGCGCTGTGGTAGTGCGACTTTGGCTTCGAGGGTATCGTAAGGGAAATAGGATGGATGTGGCAATCCTGGTAGAGGTCAATAACTATCCTGACACGGGCAGTCTTTTCTATCTTACCTCCGGCGAAATTAGCAATTCCAGGAATCTGAAAGTATTTATAAAAGTCCTTGACACTGCTGGGCTTCTTGTTCTTGGTCGCATAGGACAAGTGGTGCGATAGGTCCAGCGGGTGTGGAGCTGTCATGGCGCCGATCTCAACGGCCTTGCAGGTGACAGGTGACCGACAGGTGAGGCAGCAGTCTAACTTTGAGCACAATTTCCTGATCGGTGAATATATCAAAAGATATTGAATCACCTGGGCAGTATTGAGTCTGAAGAGAATAATTTCCGTGATTCAAAGCGGATTGACCCGGCAGCCCCCGCGGTGCTTGATAATCAGTTCCCCAGTCTCCACCAGGTCTAACTGGATTCTGACTCGGGCGAACAGCTTTGTTTGGCTGATGATTGAGGGCAGATATCCTTATCTGACAGAATAGCCCTCTAAAATGGCGATTTCATTGCCATGCAAATGGTGATTGGCCAGATGTTGCTGATTGGTTTCTAAGATGGCGCGAGGATAGCGTGAACAGTTGAACCACCGGTGCAGAATAAGTATAGCAAACCACTTTTTCTTGTTGACTCATGTCGTGGTTGTCGTTGGTATATGTAGGTTTATATCTAGAAGGAGATGCTCATCCAATTTGGCTGTCTTAATCCTTTGCGTATACAACAATATTGGCCAACATCTACCTCAAGACAGGTTTTCTTCGGAAAATTAATCTCGCACTCCACATGAGCTCTATGATCTTTTTTCTCCAAGTCTCGAATGCTGTGTAATCTCAAGTAGCCATGGGGTCACTTTGGTCGAAGCTCCAGGCGCCTTGAATGGTCCTTATTGCAAGCCGAGGGGAGATTTAACAAACTACAGCCTCTACCCAGGTGCAGCAATCCTAAGCTACATGAATATCTGAATCTGTATGAAAATGTCAAGCTTTCATCTTGATCTCTTATGACTGCACATTGTTGGCTTATGCTTCCAACAGTCACCTGAGGATGTCCTCAACCTTGCACTTGGTGAAACAAGTTTAGTATGGAGTTCGCAATGGGTCAACCACTCTATGAAAAGACTCCAATTGAGGTACAATGGCGCAAAAGATACTCAAGACCTTTGAAAGCACACTCTATCAGTCTTATATTTTTCCGGCCACATGGCGATCGCACTGGTCCAATCAATCCACAACTGCGAGCTCAAGATTCAAATCCCCCATCCCATTCCCGAGGTCTCTTCCAAACAGTCACTGATATCGGACCATAAAAGTCAAACATACAAGACATATATGGATGGTTATCATCTCATCAAGCGAACTGTGGACTGGATGATCGATGCATTCCCCCCGGACAAAGACAAGCAAAACTCGCTAATATGTCCCATACAATATGCATATGAGGTAGTGTTGTCTAACTTCCCACAGACAACGCTCCTTTTGTCAAGTGCCGATCCTCTTATCGTGTGTGACGAGAGCCCTGGAGAGGTGCTCGGGCTGAGACTGCAGCAGGCTGGTGTGGAAACTGCCAAAAGCAAGGCCGAGGGCAATGCTTCATGATTCATGAAAGCGTCATGCTTGGACCTATTCAAGGCACAACTACTGCCAAGTCTTTTGGTGAACTATCTGCTTGGTACGGAGTAGTTGAGAAACAGTTCAGTGTAATTTATGTATAATGCAGAGGTACCCCGTACTTTGGTCGGCTCTTCGGTTTGGATATTCAAGATTTTCGCAACTTCGTATATTTGACTAGTTTAAATTAAGATTTCGTGTTTCTTTTCGATGGCCTGTGCAGGTTCAAGCTGTTATTTCCCCCTTGCCGGGTGCAGCTGAGCCTCGAACCGTTATAGGTACTCCGTATAACCAGAACCGTTTTGTTACATCTCTTTTGGACTAACCATGACCGATAGAGATTGGTCAGACGATGGACATGATGCATCATATGAAATCCATCACCGCACACTTCTCTGATCCTGAGCAATAGGTCCTGGTCTGGCTCTTACACCGCATATTGACTCATGACGGAACAGGCTGTCAAATGTACTTCGCATAGATCGTTGAAAAGAACCGACTCTCTGGTTAAAGCTCCCCGTATCCGTGGGCTCGGGCCCACCCCCGTACATTCAACGAGGTATCCAATCTGCGGGTGTCTGTACCCGAGCCCTCGGGCATAACCTTCCAAGGTGGGAACGTCTTGGAGCCTACAATTATCACCGATAAAATACGTCTATTATTCCAAACAGCGGTCAGAAAACACCTTCTGAACTTTATATCTCAGCAAAATGCCAAGCTGCTCCGAGAACAGACAACGAAGTATGCACATGCACAAAAAGAGTGGCCTGGTGCTTTAACATCCTCTGGGGATATCAATCCGGCATTGTGCTTATGCAGGGCTTGCAGATCCCTACAGATATGCCTAGCAGGGATGATCTACTCAACCCATGCAAGCCAAGTATGGCCAACGCAGCGATACAAGGCTATTTTAAAAAAAATAGTTGAAATTTGGATTGTGTTATCGAAACCGATTGCATGTTGAAATACCACAAGCTGCAAAGGCAAGTTCCAAGGTTGGAGCGGGTGATCACTCTACCTGACTCGGTCAGAATATGGAGCACCTAGTTGATCAAACATTGGAACCTTGAAAGGGATGCACGTATTCCAAATTCCAAACTTGGAACTGCCACTGGTTTGCAATTTCTTTGCTCCATGTGCCTTGAACGACATTGGGACATTATTAGTCCTGGTGATCCAAATGATATCTATGCCTGGGCAGCCTTGAAATTGAATTGCCACTTATAGATAGACCTAGAGCTTCTGTGCTCGTATATATGCCTCCATAATGAAACCCCTAGCCTTGAGTCTCATTCGCGAGTTCCAAGGTTAGATTTTTACTTCATTTTCTAGCTGGTTATAGCGTGTGTACATGATGCTATTTCTTGGCTCTCTAGCTTTGTACCCTTTTTGTAAGAGATCCTGGCTGTTCACAACTTCCACGGCTTGGAAGTGCACCTTCTTCGCCCTAAGGTTGTGGGCACAAGCCTGAACGGTGCTGCACCAGTAATCTCTTCTGGGAAGCAACTCAGCTCTGTTCTGACCTTGGACTTCGGGAAGGCTGTATAGGCTTCTAAGGTACCTATATAGGGACTGGTTCTACTTTCATCGTTAGTAAGATTCAAGGTCTACGACAAGTTGTAAGTGATAGATTATATATTTACAGAGATGTGGCGTCACATTGAAGTGGGTCCATCTGATAGCTACAGAAAACGAACATTGCAACTTTAAAATGAAAAATGGGCATCAAAGAAGCCTGAAATAGCCTTTGAGCAAGGTAATTCAAGGGACGAGAGAGTTGTAAGGCCAAAAAGCGATCGTCAACTTTTACTTTTATGGATTGGGACTAGTTCCAAGGTTCCACTCCCCGCTTCCGCACAAGTCTGCCTCAGCCTCAATCTTCAATCTTCAATCTTCAATCTTCGACAAAACAGCCCCCTCTACAGCACAATGCCCCTCACAGAGAATCAAGACCTCGCTGAAGAAATTGAGGCAGTCAACGCGATTTACGACCCCGATACAGTAACCGTGACCGCATCTCCTACACGCGCGACCAACACACTCGACCTAGGAAGCTCGCATTCTACTACACATACCACGGTGGTGACCCTGCAGATCCCCGAACAACAGAACTTGTCATTCAGGATTGGGTTTGAGGCCTCTTACCCCGAAACAAGGCCTGCAGTCCTGGGCACAGCATCAACCGGCGCGCGCGGGGAAGGCAAGATCGCAGTCGACGTGTTAGAGGACATTATACAACGGACATGGCAAAGCGGCGCAGTGTGTCTATTCGACGTCATCAGTGAAGCAGTAGAGGTGTTCCCAGAATTGAACATCGGGGGAGCCCAAGAAGAGGAACCACCAACCGAAAGTGAGCCCGTCGCAACAGCAACAGAGAGCTTTTCGACTCTATCTCTACGGGACGCGTTTGGCCTCGACTCACCACCGGACTGGATTCTGTCGGAGGTTATGACAGAGAAGAAGTCCGTGTTTGTGGGGCGGGTCGCGCGAGTTGACAGTCTAGCGCAGGCGCAGGCATTTTTAGATCATCTCACTGCCACGGACCGGAAGGTTGCTGCTGCGACGCATAACATCAGTGCATGGCGCATAAAACAGAAGAAGGGGGGCAGCGATGCCGGAGAGACTATTGTACAAGATTATGATGACGATGGAGAGACTGCCGCTGGCGGTCGACTGCTTCATGTGATGCAGTTGATGGATGTGTGGAATGTGGTGGTGGTTGTGACGAGGTGGTTTGGAGGAATCCACCTTGGACCAGCCCGGTTCCGACTGATCAACGACGCTGGCCGTGATGCTCTGGTCAAGGGAGGATTTACGAAGAAAGAGGAAACGGCGAGCTCAGATAAAAAGAAGAAAGGAAAGAAATGAGGGACCCTCGATGTCCCTACTTTTCACATGGGAAATCCCCCTGGAGGAAGAAATATGAAACAGCCGTTGCAGGATCTGGATGCTTAACCTCCAGGCAGGCATCAATAACGCTAGCATCACGGATACGACCTTCCTCTCGAGTCGTGAGTCTAGATGTTGCATGATCTGGCAAAAGTTCAAACCAACAATCTCTGCAATGATTCGCCACGGCTCATGCCATCATTTCACCAGTCACACCGACCTGTGGGCGCGAGCAATACTTTTGTCAGAGATTTCCAGGATGTTGGTCTACTAGAGCGCTTCGCCAAGGACCAGTTATTGTGGACGTGTAGACTTGCATCCAAAGCACCAAGCTTTCACCAGCGCTACCACGCAGCAGATTCCTCCTTCGGAAAATGCACCATCCGATCGGCATTTGGATGACCAGGAAATGAAATGCGCTGTCCGAAAATATGGACCACCAACAATCTTAGCTACACTGCTCGAAGGTCTAGATAGCCACGGGCCCATGTAGAAAAGGCTGAAACCGGTTTGCAGCATGCGAACTGACAGATTCATGCAGGGTCTTCATTTCCCACACTTCCATGCACCGAGCAACTCCGACGAGGTCTCGAGTTCTGCAAAATTGAGGCCATGTCCACAGTAGACGCTTAGCACAAAATAGTCATGCGCACGCGAGGAAGTTCAAGCTACCCAGTGCTTTGATTGCGATCGGAGAGTTGGTTCAACACAAGTATGGAGAAGCGCTGCGTTCATGCGAACTAGGCCGCACCGTATCCATGGATGGGACAGGCAACGGACGAGTCACAGTGGCTGCAGACATCTCGATTGGGTTTCGGACATTGCATTTCCCCTGAGATCTAGGATAGCCGAGTGTGATCTGTTGATTCACAGAGGGCTCGAGAGTGGTCAATGTGAAACGGATCTAGAAGAGCTTGTATATTTCGAGAAGTGAACCATGTGTCGAGCGATGCAGGCTTTACCTCGCCCAGTCAAGATCCGCAGTGTCAAACGGGGACGGTGGATCTGATAGCTAACAGGGTCGATTCCGAAGATCCTGAACCACCGCGTGGGAAATTATTCGGGAATTGATCTCGGCTGGACTGAGATTTGAAGATCACCGAAACTTGAGTTCGCCTGACATATTCCCTTTTTTTTCGAAGGTTCCCACTTGCCTCTGAGGTTGAGGTTGCACCAGGCCATTACCGAGATTTGATTAATTAGGAGACCTTGGCAATCTGTTTCAGAAGATGGAACTCCTGTACCCCACATGTAACTGCCGTGATGTCAAATGTGAGGTGTGGCTGACACTCGACAGACTCGTACAATGGAGAACGGAGAATGAAGTAGCAAAAAGGCAGGTCTGTTTATGTTTCAAGGCCTGAAGCATCACACGGGTAAGCGGGGATAAGACCCGTATGTAACCTGGAACTTTGCACAGGTTGGAGGCGAAAACATGACTGATTGGGAGTAGACCCGCCGAGAAGAAGCCTGGCGGCTACATGCACAGCCAATACCGGTGGAGGTTCAGCGGTCAGAAGAAGAGCGGTTGATGGTGCGACAATCCAGGGGGTTTGCCAGCGGCGGAGGTGCCTTGCGCCCGATGTGGTTGGCTGTCTGCCAGCCGCCCAGCCCAGCAGAAGATCGTCTGGGGCACCTCGTCCGATCTTCCTACTGGTCTGTCACTTGTACTCTCTATGCCTGCTCATTGGTTCTTCACTGACACTCTGTTCTGCCAATGTTCAGATATGAAACATCCCAGCTTGGGTCTCCACCCCCTTCCTACAGATCGAAGTCTCTGCTCGCCTCTACGGTGGAGGACGCACAATCTGGCGTGTCTAATTGATTGCCTCTGCACGTAGCGTCGCTCCATTCAGGGTCCCGAAGGCCCGATCAGCATGATGTCGCTGAGAGGTCCGAGAGTACTCCGGTTCTCAACATTAGATATAAAACCCTTGACGCCAACGCCGCTGATGATGTTTATTTTTTCTTTAAGCCTCCTTTCCTTCTCTGACTTTGACAGTTTGACAGGCCAGTCCTGCATTACTTTCCCTTTCTTCCATTCTTGGTGGTGATTGTCTGTGTCAATCCCATACATTCCTTCAAAGAAACCATTGTCTGAACAAAGAGGTTGGAAATAAGCTCTCTCTAAGACCCTTGTGTCATTCACTCTGCTATAAAGGTATTGTGGTCCTTGATTTCATTATCATCTTTATTCTTTGAATTGTCATTGTTCAATCTATTGTTGGGGTTGTCCCAGGATAGATCAGACCACTGATCGCACTATATCTACACCTGTGAGACCAACCTCACTAACTATCCACAGCTCTTCCTTCTTTACGATCCCACCAAGGTCCAATCCTTTTTTTCCATCTTTCATTCCATTCGTCTGGTACGAATCGAATCTTTTGCATCTTCCTGTCAAACTCAACTTCAAGAGAAAACCCCCAAAAGTTCAATCCAACATGATGTTCAAGTCCAACATCTTGGCTGCTCTCCTGGGAGCTTCCATGGTCAACGCCCACATGATCATGAGCACCCCGACCCCTTACGGCAAGGACAGTCTCAACAACTCGCCGCTGGCGGCAGATGGCAGTGACTTCCCCTGCAAGCAGCGTGATGGCGTCTATGACGCCCCCTCCACCGAAACCATCATCGGCATCGGCGAGTCCCACGCGCTGTCTTTCGAAGGCAGCGCCACCCACGGTGGCGGTTCCTGCCAGATCAGTTTGACCGAGGACCTCAAGCCTTCCAAGTCCTCCAGCTGGAAGGTGATCAAGTCGTTCGAGGGCGGCTGTCCCGCCAACGTCGATGGCAACCTGGCCGAAGGCTCCGTCGATCAGGCCCAGTTCAACTTCACCATCCCCGACGGAATTTCCTCTGGCAAGTACACCCTGGCCTGGACCTGGTTCAACCGTATCGGCAACCGCGAAATGTACATGAACTGTGCCCCCATCACTGTCAGTGGAAGCTCGTCCAAGCGCTCTGCCGATGAACTCGAGAAGCGCGCCGACAGCTTCCCGCCCATGTTTGTCGCCAATGTCAACGGTTGCACCACCAAGGAGAGTGTCGATATCCGCTTCCCTCAGCCTGGTCAGTATGTCGAGTACGACGGCAACCCCGAGAACCTCGCCCCTGAAGGCTCCGATGCTTGCACTGGTACCGCCACCTTCGGTGGCTCTAGCGATTCAAGCTCCGGCTCCAGCTCCAGCTCTGGTTCAGACTCTGGTTCTAGCTCTGGCTCCAGTTCTGGATCCTCCGGCTCATCTGGCTCTTCCTCCGCCGCTGCACAGAACACCCCGGCCGTTGTCGCCTCGTCTACTTTTGCATCCGCCCCAGCTGCAACCGTCTCAACCGTCCCCGATGTTGCCGGCCAGGTAGCCTCCAGTTCCGCTGCCCCCGCCCCCGTTGCGACTTCCTCCGGTTCCGAGTCCAGCTCCGGCTCTAGCTCCGGTTCCAGCTCCGGTTCGGGTACCTTGTCGGGTGCCTGCACCACCGAAGGCGAGTGGAACTGCGTCAGTGGCACCTCTTTCCAGCGCTGCGCTGGTGGCACCTGGTCTGCCTCTCAGCAGATGGCATCCGGCACTGAATGTGGTGCTGGCCAAAGCAGCGAGCTCACTATCACAGCCACCCGCAAGGCACGCCACGTGTCCAGCATGCGCTTCCGCAAGCGCAACATTGGCTCCCACCATGCTTGAATTGTCAACGAATCCGCTGGCCTCGGATATTGACCCAACTCCCGTATCGCTTGGTGCCGGAATTATCTTCTTCACTTCTTTCACTTCTTCTTTTTCACCACTTTTTTCTTATACATTCTTTTCCACCCTCATTTTTTCAATCGGGGTGGACCTTCTTTTCGGTGCATCATATGTCACTCCATCTGTATATTCAAGAGATTAGCCTAGGAGAATTGGACATCTCGCAGCCCTCAAACAAATATCTTGTTCCTTATGTAGCGATTGTAGCATAGTCTGACTAGCGCGGTCAGTAGATAGGGCGTAGTTTTTCCCGCATTCATGAGTTGCTAATTATGAAGAGCTGAGATCGCTCTCCTTGAGTCAAGTCTCATCCTGTCAGTGCCAGAGTCTGGTCCGAGCAATGCAGAAACTAACCAAGACATTGTGGTCACAGAGCTGGGGTGCATGATTCTCTCTGACACTGTCGAAAACTGCAAATGCATGTTTACCACTTGGCCAAGAGAAACAATGATGTAGATCGTAGCCTCCGAATGGTAGTAGTAGAAAAGTGTGGCTTGTTGTCAACGTTGGTCGAAGTGGAGCTTGACACCCGGACCTCAAGACCCACTCATGGGTCACGTGAGAGTTACATAAACTAGTCCTAATAGGGTAGGAGCTAGGGTTGGCCCTGCCCCCACTGCAGCCCGGAAATCTCACTAAGCGAAAAAATCCACCACCAGTCTGAAGCCCCCGACTCGACGAGATTGGATCTTCAACCTCACCTCGACACCGACCAGCAACAATGGCCTCCCGCCCTACTGTCTCGATCGCCACGGCTGAGGGCAAGCCCTCCGGGGCCTCTCACCCTCTTCCCACCGTGTTCTCTGCTCCTATCCGCCCGGATATTGTCCAGTATGGCTCGAAATCGATGGAAATCACAATTGGAGGGGAGATGCTGATGGATTTACAGGCAGGTTCACGTTGGTATGGCCAAGAACAAGCGCCAGCCTTACGCTGTGAGCGAGAAGGCTGGTGAGCAGACCTCTGCTGAGTCCTGGGGTACTGGTAAGTGATTTGGCAGATTTTTCGAGATTGAAGGGCCCAGAGAGATTGCGCCAACAAAACGCTGCAAGATCTCTGGGTTTTCCCCATCATCTCACTTTGTATGGGATATTGAACGGGATCTAATTGGAATTGAACAGGTCGTGCTGTCGCCCGTATCCCCCGTGTCTCTGGTGGTGGTACTCACCGCGCCGGTCAGGCTGCCTTCGGTAACCAGTGCCGTTCCGGTCGTATGTTCGCCCCCACCAAGGTCTGGCGCAAGTGGCACCAGAAGGTCAACGTTGGCCAGCGTCGTTTCGCTACCGCCTCCGCTCTGGCTGCTTCTTCCTCCCCCGCTCTGCTCTTCGCTCGCGGTCACCGTGTCGCCAACGTCCCCGAGGTTCCCCTCGTCGTTGACTCCAAGGTCTTCGAGGGCTCTGCCCTGACCAAGACCAAGGCCGCCATTGCCCTCCTCCAGGCTGTTGGTGCCGGTCCCGACCTCGTCAAGGTCCAGAAGTCCCGCAAGATCCGCGCTGGTAAGGGTAAGCTCCGTAACCGCCGCTTCCGCCAGCGCCGCGGTCCCCTCGTTGTCTACAACCCCGAGACCGACGGCAAGGACCTCGTCAAGGCCTTCCGCAACATCCCCGGTGTTGAGACCTCCCCCCGTCTTCGCCCTCAACCTCCTCCAGCTCGCCCCCGGTGGTCACCTCGGCCGCTTCATCGTCTGGACCTCCTCCGCCTTCCAGGCCCTTGACCAGGTCTACGGTACCACCACCAGCCCCTCGGCCCTCAAGCGTGACTACCTCCTGCCCTCCAACCTGGTTGCCAACGCCGACCTCACCCGTCTCATCAACTCTTCTGAAATCCAGTCCGTGCTCCGCGCCCCCAAGGGTGAGGCCCGCACCAAGCGTGTCAACGTCCAGAAGAAGAACCCTCTCCGCAACAAGCAGGTTCTGCTCCGCCTCAACCCCTACGCCGCTGCCTACTCCAAGCAGAAGCTTGGCCAGCAGTCCGTCGAGGGTGGCAAGCCCACTGCTCCCGCCGAGTCTTTCATCAACACTCTCTACGAGAACTAAGCGGGTTTCTTTGCCCCCTGCTATTTTCTTTGTTAGCTGTTGGTTGACAAAATGGTAGTCAGCAAAAATGAATTCAATGCCTTTTTTGCAATACCCATGGGTCTTTTTGGAGTAGTAATGTGATCGGTTCTATGTTCTTATAAGTTGCTCGACTTCCTTGTATCTTGCTGGTAAGTTGTAAATGTAGATTGGATCAAGGTGTCGTTGCTTTTTCCCTCCCGAAACTGTCCAGGTGTCGTTGGATGCATTGATAGTAGGGAGTCTAGCTATATCAGTCTGCACCGCCGATCATTCTACTGAACAGTCTGACACGCCAACCCGACGACTACCTCCAGGGCTTTACACAGCTAACGTTCAGGATCGCTTTTCTTGAATAGTTGGAATCTGCCTGCGCCAACAGAATTCGTCATATCTTCTAAGAGGATTATGTTGGAGCCTCATACAGAATGCCATTACCATCGATGCCCTAAGTCTTATTTTCTATTTCCAAAACAAAGCGATAACACATCTATCTCAGAGCCTGGATTCGAGACTCAAGTCGAACAAGCCAACATGGATTTTGTCACATGCCACGTATACGGACCCCTTGCGCAGTGCCTAGGCACAAACATAACCCACATGAAATTTGCAGTAATTTATGCATACGAGAAGTCTCGCCTTGACCGGAACACGCAGTGTATCCCGCGGAGCTCCCGTTGGAATAGGATATGACAGCTCGCCCTGAGGCAGGCATCTAACGGCTCTTGAGGTTCGGGTATTGAGTTTAAGACACTCTTCACAGCCAGAAGGACGAATTAGATTGAACAAAGAAGCATTGTGGAAGCATATCTATGGATGTTACATTGCACGGAGTTCAATATAATTGACTTTCTCGAGTGCCCCGTTGGTTCCTGGGCACGTTGATACTAGGTGCGCTTCTCGGGATCTTGCATAGGAGACGCAGAGTTTGCACTACCTTTCCCTTTAAGTTTGCCATGTAGGTACAGATGATAGCGTATACAAGGTACGGAGTAAAACCAAAGCATATCTGACTCGGTTCTCCGCCAAAGCCGATCGTCTAAGCGACATACCATTTTGGATGTAGTTCACGGAGATCAGAGAAAAGGCGTGCTTCAGGGCTATACAAAATACGGAGTGCCAAGAGCATCGTCAGGGTCCGTTGGTGGACGCATACGAGGTGCCTAGGTGGGGGAGTGTACGTCAATTTCCTGAAATGTTCAGAGCACGGGTCGAGGAGTGCTTTAGAGAACAAAATCTGAAATGACGTTGGGCCTTATTTTCGCCCCCAGCAGGGAGGATCCATAAATTCATAAATGCTGGCATTACCTAAACCGGTGACATGTTACGACGTGGGCATTACTAGTAACTATATTGTATTTTACATACATAGTCTAACTTGCAATCTGAATTATGAGGCCCGCTAGTATCAAGCTAAATTGTAATGCGACGTCGATTAAGAACGCTCAATAGCCGAGAAACCAACGGCCCAGGCCGTACAATTGGAGGGTAAATTTTCCGAACCAACAGAAACGTTGCATCACTCCGTGCGAGGAGCGAAAGCGAAGGGTGACACGAGAACACGAATGATAGAGAGAAGAGGCCAGTGATGTACAATGCACAATGAATGGAGGAAGAAGAGAGAGAGAGAAAAACGTGCAAAGAGCGGTCTCGGTAGGGACAACCGAATGACACTGGGCTGCACGAGTAAGGAGAGAAGACGCGCACAACCTTGTATGTACATACATGAACGCCCTCGAGGAAGTACACCGATGGGGTGTCACGGACTCTATTCGCAGATCACAAAGCGGATACAGCTATGTATAGGTATGTCTCACTTCACGCGAATCGGCTCAGGGGCGCGGAACAGAGCGCCTTGCGCTATCGGGAGTCAGACCGGCGCTAGAAGACATGGGATGCAAAACATGTTAATATGTTGCAGTAGCAGAGTTGCAATACATTAGTGTGGGCTATTACAAGAGGGACGACATTAGACCATCAAGCCATTACGGAGTAAACCATTTTAAGAACCCGGTGGGATGTGATTTATTATATTCAATTTTTCTTGTCTCTCTCTCACACACATATCATACCATATGCGCTTTGGACCTTGATTTTGATAGAACTCTATTACCTAAATATACGCACAATGTGGATTGTTCTTACACGATGTCTCAACCTGTATTCTCCGTTATTACCTGGCTCTAGATTTTTCCTTACCCCAAATTTCTCACATCTTTAAGACCTGCAATGCAAAAATTCTCTGCAAAAGCCCCCAAATTCCTTTCGGTATATGTTCGGAGAAATCAAATTCCGTATCCTTTCGTAATTGAGGGTTGGGCTTACACCCTCGGGTGAAAATTCCAGATGGGACGTGGCGGCTCCAAAATGCCGAGTTGGAGTCCTGACGGTCAAGTCCCGAAGACCGGGTAAGAGAGCAAAAATTACAGAAAAAGAAAAGAAAAATAATAATAAACTAAAAAAAAATACGAAGCTTCTCGCGTCATTGCGTCTCAGGTGTTCCCTAGAAAAGAAATCTCACAAGGGGCTGAGCCCAATTGGAATGACGATCCCGGGTGACGGCCTGCAGATCGGATCGCCAGGACTCGACACGAAAAGAAAAAAAATTTCGAATAAATCCTGTAGAATACGTGGTCGACTCCGAAGTGCAGTTAAGAGTAAGAAGTCAGGTGAGTGTTTCCAAGGTTAAATCCGAAGTAGACCTTGCACGTTGGACGTTGTAGAAGGGGTTTCCTGCATTGCATTCTCGACGTACTCCGTACATATGTGAAGCTGCATGGCAAACCCGTTTTTTTTTATTCCCTTGAAAGAGGCTGGAGTATCAGATCACCTGACTAGGAAATATAATCTGATTGATCACTTTTGGCATTGTAGAAAAGGAAATCAAGGAAAAGGGAGAGGTTGTTCCCTGCATTGATACTGTAAATATTTTAAATGAGTCTGCAAAGCTTTTACTCCTTATATTCCGTATTGCACACATCGTCGCCCTTCGAAAGAAAAAACAATAAATCTAAATCTAAATCAAGCCAAATATTCAGCATCATAACCTCAGACGGTCTCGGCTTTTGTGCTCCATAGAGTAAAGTTATTCGGTAATGGAACGCCAATATGGAGACCCGAGTGCCTCAATCCGAGGGACCAAAAAGAATTCTACTCCACTTATGGACCGCACGGTCGATCTTCACCAGAGAGGCTACCCAAAAGTGAGATAAGCCCTGCGGCGCCCGAACGCTGAAAGGAGGATTTGCCCGTCTAGGCATCTAATCGCCCGCGCCACTGGCCGGCCGAAGGCACTGGAAGGACCCACTGTTGAGGGTATTCGCGGCCGGGCCTCCGAAACAAGCTCAATCTTCTCTGTCCTCGTAAGAACTGTCTACAATGTACAAAGTAGTAACATGCTGCGTATAAAATGTGGTTGCTGTAGACCTTGCCTTTCTCTGCTATCTGCAGTCCCACCCTCACCGGTTCCAGCACCCAACGTCCACGCATTCCTTCACCCATGTACATGTTCGTTGAGTGCAGACCCCGATAGGTCTCTATTGGTGCAGTTAAAAACGTCCATGTCTGGGCATGAGATTGGTCATGCTGCAGAAAGTACTGCAGGGTGGATAATTGGCGCCCAACTGGCCACTGTGTGCACTATACCCTGTCCACAAGGGAATACTATCCAGGTTCCGCCATTAATATAAGAATGCAGTAGGCTAGAGTGACCAACGGATGAACCAGGATGATCCTCGGTAGAACAGCTCAGTCCCAATCATACCCATTCTCTATAAAATTTCACATCAGATCCCCACTTAGATCAACGGTCAAGATGCAATTGCCGTTATGCTTCCATGGTTCCCTACCAGAGTACACAATCCATAAATATTACGCCATTTGAAACATCCATGACCGGGATATGCCAAGTTTGAACCTAGAAGACCCAGTGCCGATATCACTTTTATACCCACACTCTAAACAATGGGGCGTTTACCTTCTCCTTAGCCTCTGCTCTAGAAGGCCGGGCACTGGGTTCCGAGTGTGGCGTCTTCGGAAGGTGAAGGGGAGAAGGATTGAGACTCTGTGGAGTTAAGCCACCTTTTTCTCGGCGCTTGTGTCTCGACTCAACGAGATACGGTGAATCCGAGAAAAGAAATGGTTGATTCCCTTGTCGATCGGTTAATCCGAGTCTCGAATAGTCAAATTAAATGAATAAATGAAATTTGAGCCCAGGGGGAGAAGCATGATCAACGGTACTTGTGGTAATTTTGATGTACTTCCAATACATAGTTGGAAATACATGCACTCTTTTTTTTTTTTTTTTTTGCTTTGGCCCTGTTTTGAAGCTTGAATAACTGGCCCCCCCTCCTTTTCTTCTTCACCAATTCACATCAATAGCCTTGAAACTCGTTGTGTCCAAGACTTAAGGAAACACCCTTGAGCGCCCAACAGAAGACACGTCAAACCTATTAGATCCTAAATCCCTGGAGTCTGGAACTTTCAATTTTTTTTTGAAATTCGTCGAATCTCGAATCTGAAATCTGAATCTACGGCGCTACTTTCAGTCGTTTTTTAAACCCTAGGGGTGTCACTGACCAGTGATAGGCGGCGCTTCCCTCGAGGCTATTTTGTCCCATAATCAAGCTGTGTGCCACCATCGGCTCCAACCTCGATCGTTCCGGTTATCATTTTCATTTATCGGGGTTTTTTTTTTCATTTTCTTTGTTTCCTTTTGCTCACCAGGCACGGATATCACTTGTCCCGTGCCTGACACCCCAATATCCATCCGGTACTTGGGATCGGAGATCTCACCATCTGATCTTCCCTCTCAAGGATCCCCCATAGTCAGCACTGATCATTTCGGCCTCGTGGGGCTAACGGTGCTACACGCCGGCCCGGTTCTCCGTGACTGCTTGGGACGCTTGTCAACTCTCTTAAATTCCGATCCGGGACCTAAGCTCTTGGACGTGGGACTTTCACATACCCTGGGACTATACACCCGAGTACGGTGCCCAGACCCATCGCGACATGATGAGCCTTTAGGTCACTCTCAGTCTCTTCCCTTTTTAATCTCCCTGACTATGCGAATTAGCAAGTGGAGTATTTTGAGTGCCGAGATCTCCGTTCGCAAATCGCTGGCAACCTTTGTACAACTTCCGTTCGCCTCGTGATTGTTGCCCGTTATTCGATTTCCGAGCTGGACGTACAATCTGCTTTTACTTTTCTCTCTGGGTCCTACTTCCAACACGGAGACTGTCAAGTGGAATTGGTATGTGCGAAGCGTTTCCTCTAGGATAATCGGAGAGGAACCCATTGCTAAGTCGTCCGGTTCCCTTCGATATAGACACATTTCTACGGCCTGAGCTCCCCCAAAACAGGTTCGACGACCTGATCAAGATTCGCCAAAGGAGCCCCGCATAAGATCCAACCCTGGCCTTCTACAGTACACCACCTGGAGGATACGAGGACCCGTTCGGCAAGCCTGTCCAAGTTGTCTGGAGTCTGTTATGTAGGCAGATTCAATCACCTTGCTTTCGACAACCCATCTTGAATCCACCATGTCAGGCCCAGGCTCCGGCTCAAGCTATTACATTGGACCCTTCGGTCGTATGTTACCCACCACAGACGGTCCATCCTCGGAGCACCAACCCGGGCATTCAGCTAATTTGCCAGATCACGAGGACTCTCCGTATCAGCTTCCACCCCCGCGTGTACCGGCCAGTTTACAATTTGGAACGGATTTGTCTCTGAGGACTGATAACGCCGATGGTAAAGACATTGGATCGCAGAAGCCCGAGCAACTTCCATCATTGAGCCAAATCTTCACCACCGAAGCACCTTCCAGCTCGCACTCTCAAGCATACGCTCCTCTGACACCAAGCAACGAGCGCCGTGACTCTGCATACAACTTTTCCCATCATGATCCGAGACTTCCTGCTGTTCACGATAGAACAAAGGGTCTCTCTGAATCAATCTCACAATCCCACAAAGCCGGCCTACCTCCGTTGTCCCAGGTGGCTTTACATAGTCATAGAGACTTGCCCCATCATACGCCCATGAGAAACGACCCATCCACTGCACCCTTTCCGCACGCCCCGTTACCATATGGCAATTCACCTCTACACGATCAAGGACCTGGTGGAGAGCCGTCCGATGGCTCGAGTAGACCAGGGAAGACCCCTGTTCGACCTGCTGTGATAGACGAGCGAATGATCGAGGGAGAAGGACTATGCTTCATATATGCCGACGGATCATATTGCCCACAAACCATCGACGGCACACCAGTGAATGCTAATTGGGGCGTCACCAAAGCTGGCAGACCCAGAAAGCGGCTCGCACTTGCGTGCTTGACGTGTCGAGAGAAGAAGATAAAATGCAACCCTGCCACCGAAGCTGTGTGCGATCAATGCCGGAAGTCTGGACGAGAATGCCGGTTTGAAAGTGCGTAAGTGTGACCATGATTCTGACAATATCATATTGAGATGTCGCTAATGTCTCCAAAGCCCGCGCGGTAATCGTGCTTCGATGAGGGGCTCAAGCGGCAGACCTGAGCTTTGCGGCCCAACTCACCTCACCTCGGACGGTTCACCGTCACTTTACAACGTCACTCGAGATTCTAGTAGTGTGACCTCTCTTTCTGGGGCCAATGGTCAGTCGCCAGTCTCCGAGGGTTCAACTCTTACACCTTCGGGCCAAGAAGCCACCTATGAAACCATGGCCGATGCAGACAGAGCTTTAAGGTCTCGAACCTACCGATTTCCACCACCTTTCTCCGGCGCAGATGACACCATCGGAAGAGCTTCGGCACATATCGAAACCAGTCGTTCCCCAGAGTATTCTGAAATATTGGGTGAACTCAAAGACAGCAACCTGGACGACCCGCTGATGACTTCTTGGTATCTCGACCCGTATGAAGTTGACCCGGAAACCACTATGCACTACATCGAGTGTTATTTCTTGCATGTGAATAACGGCCTGTACCACATGTTCCCACATGGTAGATTTCCTCTGTGGTTGAAGTCATGCCCTACCAAGTCTGCCGAAGACAAGATGCTTCTTTATTCTACGTTAGCTCTTGGTTCTGTCTTCTCAAATCGACCGGACAAGCTCGAAGCCATGAAGCAATATGCCCGCATAGCACGCTTTGCCATCGACAAAAGCCAGCACAAACTCTCTGTGCAACTTGCACAGAGCCACATAATTATGAGTCTTTGGTACTACGCCACAGGCTCATTGGCCGGATCTTGGAGCTCAGTAGGTGCGGCAGGGCGGGCGGTTTTTGGACTTCGCTACAATGTGGAATCCGGTGGCGTTGTTAACCAAAGCGAAACGAATGACTACGGGTTACACCCACAGGCGTTGATTGAGTGCCGCCGGCGCACATTTTGGATTGCTTTCGTGCTTGATGTAAGGGGTCATACTAACTTCCTTGATTTCGTTGACTGACAATTTGACAGCGTTTCTCCAGCCTATACTCTGCATCAGTGACCTGCATCTCGTCTGATGCAGCCCTGTTAAGACTACCATGTCGCGAAGAAATTTTCGAAGCTCAGCAATACGCAACGGTCCCTTATTTCCAATCGTTCCTCAATTACTCCCCGACCTCCCCAGAAAACGATCGCTCGGCTCTCAGCTCAATGGCCTTTTTGATCGAGATTATGGCCATTTGGGGTGATGTTTCCCTGCACGCCACGCGTTTACCTCACATCCCTCCTGAAGCATACAACCGACTCTCCGAGGATTTCCACAACACCATCTTCCAGAAAGCGAACCAATGGACGAACCGACTTCCCGATTATCTAACATTCTCATCTATCAACATGGAGCGCAACATTCGACAGCGAAAAGCGGACACATTTATTTCAATTCACTTGTTCTACCACGCCAGTTTGATGAAATTATACAGAAATGCCCGCTACCAGAACTTACGACCTGAGGTTCTTGTCCAGTACATTCATCGAGCACGATACCATGCGGTCGAGATCATTCGCATCGCCCTTGCCTTTGATCAGTATTCGAAGGAATTTAAGTCTTCTCGGCTCGCCACAGAGTCATCTTCACCTCAGCTGACTCTCTTGAATCCATTCCTGGGTTACTTGATTCTCTCAGCTGTGGACGTCCTGGCAGCAGCTGGCTTGGCCTCTCAATTACAGGAATGCATCTCATACACTCGAAGTGCACTGGAAACGGTGCAAGAGCTGAGTCGTTATTGGGACAGCTCTTTGCAGCTAGTTGCAGTTCTTCAAAAGCGATTAGGGCTGATGATTGACTGCCTGAATGAGCGCAGTGTCATTGAAGAAAAGCAGGGCTTTGCTTTAGAGGGGCCATCTCTTGAAACCAAAGCTCACAATGGCGCTTTACACTCCCATCCACCCTCCAGCCCCGGTGAAGATCTGTTCACGGGCTCGATGCCCAAAGAAGTCCTTCTGAACGCACTGCGAGTTGACGAAACCCTTATCTCAACAAGCAACATTGCTTGGATCAGAGATCCATGAGATCCTTCCCTCCCATTTCTTTTCTCTTCATACCCCTTTTGATGACATTTACCCAAAATTGCATGGTGAAATGATTGCTACAGAATGTTTTACATGAGTACCTGCGGTTTTTAATTTGCGATGCATTTTTACAAAAGCCCTCGCAAATGGCAAGGCACTTCACAACCCAGACCGTTTATTTCTTGACTTTTAGCCTGCATGCTGTCTTCCAGTAACGACGTGATGAGTGCTGATCTCAATAATGATTCCAGCTTTATGTGAACGTATCGTTGCTCTGCATAGACGAGACTCGAGTTGCATGACTTGACATTCTTGTCGTATTTCCTTTACGCTACGTGTACTATTAACCATCTGCTTTCTCTTGTGCATTATTCAGTGAGTACTTGACTACTTGCTCCTGTATCTATATCTTTCCCCTCCTGTTGGACTGAAGACTTGATGAGATCAAGTTAAAGCCTGGTCGAGTAAAAATGGCGCCGGGTATCAATATTACGACTACAGCATGAAGCCGTGGATTGCCCTCTTCAATAAGACACAAGACTTGTCTTCTGCTCCCTCAGACAATAATAAGAATGAGCTTCGACACGAGATGTCACCGCTATTTGACGGTCTGGCCAAGACTTTTACCGCAGAAACTCTCCAAGAACGATATCTGTTAACGACATGGACCAGTCATGCTGATAATCATCAGAATTAGAATGGCGCCCGGGGAATTCAATAGTCGCGATCAATGCAAATGATATGCATAATGTAAAAAAGTGGCACGCCAGGTCAGGACACTAGTAAAATTAATTTCATTTGCCCTTGTTTTCTCAAAAGACACCTGGGCAGAAAGCCAAATGATCTCTGCGCTAAAGAGTCAGAGGTTGAAGTTGTTGATTTTGATGTCGACGGCGAACAATGCCTAATTTCTCAGGCATAAAATAAACAAAGTCATTGTTTCTCATACATGTACGATCCAGTTTATTTGATTCCATCCCAATTTGTCTCAACTTCGGATCTCAGTTGTATAGCCCCAGAGCTGATTGGCATTGAGCTTGAAGCTTTTGTACTTTGACTTTTGATAGTCGCATTCTCCCGCCTGCGGGGATTCCGACGGAGACGCGGAAAGTTTCTCCGATAATGCTTCCCTTCCTTTCCACCTTACATCGCCCTCAATCCAGACTCAAAATGGGGTCTGCTTATACATAAGTCATATACAAGAGAGCGCAATAACCTCTCATGTCCTCCTTCGGCCAGCAAGGCGCGGAGTTCCGCGCCACCGTGGAAGATGACGGTCTGGAGGGCGACTACAGCATGGTCGATTACCCCGAAACCGACTATTACCTTCTCCTAGGCCTATCGCGCAACCCACCCCCGACCGACGCCGAGATCCGATCAGCCTACCGCAGCTTATCTTTGAGCTTTCATCCGGACAAGCAACCGTCGCATCTCCGCCATGCAGCCGAGAGTCAATTCAGACACATCCAAGATGCGTATGACACGCTTATCGATCCCAAAAAGCGCGTTGTATATGATATCTCAGGCGCAGAAGGCGTGCGGCAAGAATGGGGCCAACTTGGGGCCATGGGGATTGGAGGAGAAGCACAGAAGCAAGATGTGGGCGTGAAGACGATGTCACCGGATGAGTTCCGGCGATGGTTCCTCAAGACAATGAAGAAGCGCGAGCGACAAGCTATCGAGAGCCTGGTTTCAAGTAGGGTATGTAGCTTCTTCGCTTCCCGCAATGGTGATCTATCCGAACGGCCGGAGCTGACAGTGGGTGGCTTTGATTGCAGGGCGGTATCACCTTGGGAGTCGATGCTTCATCGATGGTCTCGGTTGATGAAGATGAAGATGTGCAGTTCCATATTCCTTCCCCGAAAGTGACGACATATGGCGTCACCTATAATTTCGATACACCTCTGGCTTTGCCCCAGCTATGGGGCACAGCGGAGGTCGAGGATGCCGAAAGTGAAGGGAAGGAATCTGAAGATGCGCAAGATGGTGGGTCAGAAGCTGCCCATCTGACCTTGAGCACAGGTATAGTTGGCGGCCTGGCTCACCCAGTCCAGAAAGCCACCGTCGAGTACGAAGATGGAACGGAAGGCGAGGAAACTGTATGTTGCACCGGACAAGCCAAGCTAACGAGTGTTGCTGACATGGTCCAAGTTAAAAATGCCGCCGATTCTGGCAGCTAAGAACTTCCGGCTCGGGGCCACTCTGAGCCCAAATGTTAGAAGCCTGGTTGGCACAAAGGGGATCTGGGCTAAGCACCCTTTCGCCTTGCTCAGAGATTCTGCAGTCAGTTTTGAGGGTCTCTTGCTGCCCCAGCCCTCCTTGAGGGCAACTATCACCCGGAATTTCCAGCCAGTTGCGGGTGTCCAACCGTTCAATGTGAGTGTGACAAGCATACACTCACGATCCCTCGGGGAAACACCACCCTCTTTCGAAGTTCAAATCTCGAGAGAGCTGTTCAAGAAGAAGATTGGCGTCGTATCGTGGTCAAGTGGTGTTTGCAACTGGCCCGAGTTTCTTCTAGGCTGGTTTCCATCTATTGGCATGGGCATTCAAAGTGCCTTCGCATCTGCCAGCGAAGTTGGCCACCTGCAGATTGGCTTGATCGCACCTGCTGCATCGCCTCAGGCTGCAATGGAGGTCGACGAAGACGAAGACGAGCCTAGTGGTGACTTGGATGATGATGACAATCATTCACTCAAGAAACGTCGAACCAACCACTCGGCAGAAGCATGGGAAAGTCATCTGCAGGTTTCGCCTGGTGGAGGTGCTCTTGTTCTGAAATATTCAAGGAACCTTTTCTCTGGGAAACCCGCAGATGACCCAGTGAAGACGGAATGGAGCTCAGAGGGCTACTTCCCAATGCCGGCAATGGATGAAGCACGTGCTGTCCGTCTTGAGGTTTCAACCATTGCAAGCTCGGATATGTCCTTGAGCTGGGCCGTCAAGGGTATTCGCCGAGTTGGCGAATACACGCGTCTAGGACTTGGTATTGGCATTGCAGACAAAGGCATGATGTTGACTGTTACATGGCGCCGTCTCGGGCAAAACATCGATATCCCCATTGTAATTTGTCCGGCCAGCGAGGCAACAAATGGGGCCACGGCGCTGACAGCCATCTTCCCTTGGCTGGCATACTGTGCCGTTGAGTTTGGCTACATTCGTCCTCGTGACAGAAAGAAGCGTCGGCAGGAAGCTGCTCGTCGCCATCGTGAACTCAAGAAGCTTCTTCCGCAGAAGCGTGAGGAGAGTCTCCAAGCCATCGAGCTCATGACCGAGCAAGTTCAAAGACGACAAGGCCGAGAGGAAGCACACGATGGCCTTGTAATCCTGAAGGCAGAGTATGGTTATATACCGCCAACAAACAAGAAACCCAAGAATGGGTTTACGGAGCCGCGGGTGATCGATGTCACAATCCCCGTGGCTGCTTTGGTCAACCGAGGTCAGCTGGTGATCTCTAAGAAATCTAACAAGGTAAGTCAGATTGATAAAACATGCACATGAAAAGCGCTAGAGCACTAACCTTAAAACAGTTTCAAATTTTGGGATTCCACGACCCTGCGCCCTTGTTGCCCAAGCGATTGAAAATCTGGTATAGATTCCAAGGCCGCGATCACTACGTAGAGGCAAACGATAAGGAGAAAGTCTCCTGTCCCCTACGTGCGCACCTTGAGTCCATTTGAACTCGTCTCACATTCAATCATAAAAGGGGGCTCCCTTCACAATGTAATTATACATCTTCACTCAAGATATCCCCACATTTGGGGTCTGATTTAGCAACCTTTTTTTCTTTGTGTCTTTTGAGCCCATTCCATTTCTGATGTCCTTTCCAATACTCCTGCATGGTCCCTTGGTGGTAACTAACACGCTCGGTGATGGCAGTCTTGTATTTCATTTCAAGGTTTAGCATCGAGAATTGTTAAGACAGACTAAGAAGATGTGAATCTGTGAGCAAACTACTCCGTACGTGACGTAGAACTCATATTGCAAGATATTTATGTAATGCCTTATGTCCAGCCCTATGAAGTATATAGTATAAATATATATGAAATAGCCAAAATTAATGATCTGAGCCTTGAAAATTGAGAGAATCTCTCAAAACACTCATGTTTCTCTACTTCACCGTGAGGCGTCGTTCGATTGATATCAAAAGTCTTGGCATTATCGATACGGAAGGGCAAAGGATCCAGCCGCGCACTTTGTCCGAAAAGCCAAATCGAGTATCACCTCATCTTCCTTTCTTATCAACTGCGAGTGTGAAGCTCCTGAGTTGTTAACTATCGCAATGTCCACTAACATTGCACAAGGACTATTCAAGACTCTTCCTAAGCCAAAATATTCTGGCGAGGGTGAAGAGCTGCCGCAACATGCGCAACCCCGTGGTCCGCGCGTGGTGGGCGCCGACCAGCTCGACCAGACACAAGTCGTGCTACGGGTGAGTTACTCTTCCCCTGTGTGTTAATGACTAGAACTAATCAACCACGATCCAGAGAACCGGCCCTCCACCTTACGGAAACCGCGCAGGATGGCGACCTCGAGCTGCCGAAGATTTTGGCGATGGTGGCGCGTTCCCCGAGATCTTAGTTGCACAATACCCACTTGACATGGGACGGAAGGGAACAGCTTCAACTTCGAATGCGCTTGCTGTCCAAGTCGACGGCGAGGGCAAGGTCAAGTATGACGCGATCGCGCGCCGTGGCCACGCAGACAACCGAACCGTCCATGCCTCGTTCAAAGACTTGATCCCGCTTCGACAGCGGGTGGACATGGGAGAAATCTCACTGGAGAAGCCCTCTGAGGAAGAAATTCAAATGCAGATGGAAAAGACAAAGGCTGCACTGGCGACCTTGGTCGAAGGAGCTGCAACTGCGCAGAAGCCGAAGAACGTGAAAGGAGGGAAGAGAGCCGAGCCGACTTTCGTCCGGTATACCCCAGCAAATCAGATGGGCAACAATGGCCAGAAGAACGACCGTATTATGAAGATTGTTGAGAGGCAGCAGGACCCCATGGAGCCTCCCAAGTTCAAGCACAAGAAGATTCCCCGTGGCCCGCCATCCCCACCACCCCCGGTTATGCATTCGCCGCCTCGAAAGCTTACCGCGGAGGATCAAGAAGCTTGGAAGATTCCCCCTCCCGTGTCTAACTGGAAGAACCCCAAGGGTTACACCGTGCCTCTGGACAAGCGTTTGGCTGCCGATGGCCGTGGCCTGCAAGATGTTTCTATCAACGACAAGTTTGCCCAGTTCGCCGAAGCTCTGTTCACAGCGGATCGCCACGCTCGTGAAGAGGTTCAATTGCGAGCTTCCATGCAACAGAAGCTAGCTGAGAAGGAGAAGGCACAGAAGGAGGAGCACCTTCGACAGCTGGCCCAGAAGGCCCGCGAAGACCGTGCTGGTCCCAGTCAACGCGACTCACGAGCTCGGTCTCGCAGCGCCAGTGGCAGTGCGTCGCCATACTCCTCCAGATCCGCATCTCCTAGCGAGGATGACGAGGCTGCCCGAGACCGTGCCGAACAACGCCGTGAGCGACGACGGGACGATGAACGACAGCTGCGTCAATCCCGCATGGGTACCGAACGCCGCATCCAGACCATGGCGCGTGAGCAGAACCGTGACATCTCCGAAAAGGTCGCTCTTGGATTGGCCAAGCCTACACAAAGCTCCGAGACCATGTGGGATTCGCGTTTGTTCAACCAGACTAGCGGCATGCAATCTGGTTTCAACGAAGACAACCCCTACGACAAGCCGCTGTTTGCCGCGCAGGACGCTATCAACAGTATCTATCGCCCTCGTGCTCAGCTCGATGCCGATGATGAGGATGCGGGTGAAGGCGAGATGAACAAGCTCGAGAAGACCAACCGGTTCGAGGTTTTGGGACGCGCCAAGGAAGGTTTCCGTGGCGCTGCTGATGCTGAGGTAGGTTTTGATCTGGTATTCTGCATTGTGTTCATTACTAACATGTTCTCCAACAGGAACGCCAAGGCCCCGTTCAATTCGAGAAGGATACCGCTGATCCATTTGGTATTGACAACATGATTGCCGATGTTACTGCCGGCAAGAAGCGCTATGGTATCCAGGAAGCCGAAAGTGAAGACCGTGGATCAAAGCGCGCGCGAGTCGATGAAGACTAAATGCAACCATTCTATCGACTGTGCTGTGACACCTTATGTTTTCTTGTGATCTTCTCTGGGCATCGGTCAAATATCCTCAATGCATTGCGGGCGTTTCTGGTGGTGACAAACTACCATCTTCTATATCACACAAAAAGTTCAATCTTGGAACGAGTCAACCATACTCGCATGAGTTAATGTGAATAACATCATCTACAACGGAATTTCAATCTGTGGTCGTGTTCAGACCTCTTTCATACGCAATCTGTGAATTGTTTTCAAGTCAAGTACACGGTGCTCACTAGCAACGAGGCAACATTTCATAACAAAAGCAAATCAGCATCCTTCCAATCACTCCGCACATTTTCGACAGCCATCAGCTTTCTAGTTCTTGACCCGTGGCATGTCAGGGGACAAAACACTCTCCAACCACTTGTAGGCCACCGGCAGAGTGTCTGGGTAACCCATGTGCACCCTGTTCTCAAAGAATCGTCCCTCCTTGGGACCTCCGTGGTTCATCAAGACCATCGAGTCTTCGATTGGGACAACACCATCATCAACGCCCTGGAACCTAGTTAGCTTCCATCTCTTATCTCTTACAACTCAATCAAAAACTCACGTTCAGCAAAAGCAAACGACAGTTGTCCTGTTGGACAATGCCAGTCTCAATCAGCGAGAACTTCTTCTGCGCGTTTTGGACAAAGTCCTCGACATTGTCGTAGCCATACTTCTCGGCCATGGCAGTAGTGAGCCTTTCATATCGTCAGCTATCTCATCTCCACACAGAAAATGACTCAACACTCACTCAAAGGGATACTCGTGGTCATTGGCCTTGGCCAACCACTCAGGGCTGAAGACATAGTGCGATCCAGGGCCGTGGGCAACCGCTCCAAGGAGACGATTACGGTGGACACAAGACGCCCGAATGGCATAGAAGCCACCAGCACTCAAACCCCAAGCTGCGACACGTGTCATGTCAAACTCGGGTTTCTGGGCCATCCAGTCAAGAACGCTTGACCACAGTCTATCAGGCGACTGCGGGTCCGCAGGGTCCGCAGGCGAGTCCGCGGTACCGGGGATCTCCACGATAACCGTCGCCCAGCCACGGCTGATGATCTCATGCGAGCGCTGACTGTTGTCAGGGCGGTATCCATCAAGACCCGTCATGAGAAGCACGACCGGCACACGGTTGTCGGCGCTGGCTTCCTCGGGCAAGCGAACGTACATCGAGATCTCAGTGCCGTCACGGCCGGAACGGTGGGCGTGAGGGATCACCACCTCGGTCATGATTGGCTTCCACAGAGCCGTGGCCTTCATGTAGATCTCCTTCTGGCGGTTGAAAGCAGCGCGCTTGATGGATGTCTCTGGCCGAGTGGATGGGCTGACGTATGGGAAACGCGAGATGCGCAGGACCACTGCTGCGCGGCGGTAGAGATCCGATGCGAGATCGAAGTTGCCGTTTTTCTCAGCTTCGGCCGCCTTGTTCTCCAAAGCTGTTGCCGTGGGCAGGAATGCCTCGGTGTATGCATCCGTGCTAGCATCATTGACGTTGTCCTGTTCTATGTCAGTTCGGTGTTGTTCAAAACTTCTCATTTTTCTTACGGCAATCAGCTTTTCGAAGATGGGTTCGAAATCCTCCACGGACCCATCGTGGAACGGGTAGATGGACTTGGTGCACTGCAAATTTGTCAGTTCGACCGTTGGTGACCAAGGACATCCTATATACGTACAGGGAATTTCCACTTCTTTTCCCACAAAGCCTTGATCGAACCCTGGTGAGGGTAGACCGTGTCGAACTTGTCTCCGAGAATCCAATTCACCATTTTGGCCGTAGTTTTGATAGTAGGTAGTTGGTGTTATTTCTTTAGATTGAGATATTATGGATTACATGTTCGAGGAAAGCTGCGTCTTTCAACTAATACAATAGTAGCCCTCCTTCTGGTAGCAGTCAGTACTAAAACAGATCAAAGACAAATGATGTAGACCTAGACGGAAACAGTCGGTAATTGCCACGAGCTCGGCACTTACGAGTAGATTGCAAGGAGGGGTTGTCCAGGTATTTCCGAATGCGGATCTGACAGGGTGCACTGAAAGGGGGAATGAATTCGAATTTGACTGTGATCCACATGTGACCGAATTCCTTTCCCCCGGAATTCAACATTCTTTTCAACAGTGAAGTTCACACCCGACTTGGTTGGGTTTGACTCTTGTCCCGCATCTTCCATGTCTCGTGATTACTGTGCCCTAAGTACCATGCACGACCTCATCCTTGTCTTCTTCTTTGTTCACAATCTATTTTCCAATGCTGCCTTCAGAATCACTCTCTCCACGATATTCATCACTGCCAATCTCGATAGGAGGAGGACTATAATGATGCTCCATAAGATGGTAGGCCCGAGGATCCACATATGGAAGAGAATCCGGATCGCGAGCTATTGTGAACTTATTATACATGAGATACCTAGTGGTATCGTAATTGAAGCTTTCCGGCCAGACTTTTGAGGAGGAAAGTTTCGCATGCTCAAGGTCCACAATCTTCACCTGTCCATCTTCGTCGTCCAACAGAAAGTTATCCAATCTCTCGTCCATATACTGGGCCCCGTACTTCACCAAAGCCTGCAGCGCTGCGACAATCTTTACTTCCAGGGCCGCCTCTTCGCTTTCGGGAAAATTTCCATGGGCGAGCTCAAGCAAAGTGGTCCCTGAGATCACAGATAAAACAAGGGCGGGGGATCCGTCGTACATGGCTTCGCCGTAGAGTATCGGAATGACCGTCCCTTGCAGACGAGATAAGAGGTTGTAGGCTTTGATTTCGTTATTGAACTCATCTTCCCACCCGGGTTTCTGCTTCTTGAGAATCACTGTAGGAGGTAGGGAGGGTGCATTTGTAAGTTCCAAGCGATATACCGCCCGCCCTGACTTCGGATCCAGTAGCTCGGCTTTTTTGGCCATGATAAGTTGGTCGTCCAGGAGGAATTCCTGGCAGGCTCAGTATTCGGAGCCCATCCAAAAAGTCCATATCAGGGGCTTACTAGAGGAAGTGGGTGCGACTCAGTGGAGTCATCCATGGTTTAGGGAGAGATCGGTTGTCATCCAGAAGTGTCAAAGGGGAGAATGACAAGTATTAATAAGGGGGAATTGTGTACCGGACTGGACTGGTTTGATGTCAATTCAGACTGATTGATCATTCGTGTCACCATGTCCTACGGAATAATCAACCTTGGAACCTCAGCTGTCTACATAAGCCAGCACGATCACTCTTCTTGGAAGATAGTATGCGAATGCAATCACTTTGAATGTCTTTAATCTTCTAGAAACAAAGAATAGAAATAACTTTCGATACATTTGAAATCATGCGATAGACCCTGTAGATGGCCACGAGGTCCACGGGAAACTCCCAACCAACTCCAGCAAAACATCTCCGACTCCATTAGATGTTAGCTCCACCATTGCAAGGCAGAATTTGACCTGAGAAAAGTTAGTTTCCTTCGAGATTGAAAATGCAACATTCCAAAACCTACCGTTGATCCATTCTCCGGCAGGGCTGGCCAAGAATGCCACAATGCGGCCAATATCCGCAGGCACACCGCAACGCTTGAGGGGACTGCCATTGGCCAAGGCCTGCTCTATCTCTTCGATGGAAGAGTTCTTATCGCAGCCAGGAGCATAGCGCCACGAGTTGCTCATCCACATGTCGCTCTTAACTCCGGCGGGGGCAATGGCATTAACCGTGCATCTCTTCTTGCCGAAGTCAGCAGCGAAGCAGCGAGTGAATCCCTCAACGGCACTCTTGCTGCCTGCATACAGGGAGTGTCCAGGGACACCGACACCGGCAGCGATAGAGGACATCAGGACAACGCGGCCGCCAGGGCTGATGTGATCGTAGGCATTCTTCGCAACGAAGAACTGAGCACGGGTGTTGAGATCAAACACATCGTTGAAATCGGTCAGAGTGGTGTCAGCCAGAGAGACAAACTTCTCGGTTCCGGCATTGGAGACGACGATATCGAGTTGGCCGAAGTGCTCCACGACTTGGCGGAACAGGCTCGCGATGGACTCGACCTTGGTCAGGTCAGCCTGGAAGGCTGCGCCTTGGACACCCTGTGCTTTGATCTCCTGCACAACTGCGTCGGCGGTCTTTGAGCTGCTGGCATAGTTGATTGCCACGGAAGCACCCTTCTTGGCCAGCTCGAGGGCGATACCGGATCCAATACCACGGCCACCACCGGTGACAAGTGCGACCTTGCCGGCGAGCTCAAGCTGGGTACCGCTGGGGTTAGGGACGACCATTTTTGCGATTGTTTTTTGCGGGTGGGAATGAACGAGTGTAGAGTCAAAAGAGCTCGCGCAAAAAGTGGGCAGAGAAGCTTGATATTGAATCTATCGATTTCTGACAAGAACGTTAACTGCTACCTCTCTGAATTCAGCTCGCTATTTTGGTTCCATCTTGATGAACACCGACTGCAAGGTAATAAGCTTGGCTTCCCGCATATGGCCATACATAGTAATAGTTTTACTTAATGGACCCAGAATGTCACAATGGGCATTGGTTATTGAGCTGTATAGTGTGCTTGGTGTTTGCAAACGGAAATTCCCAAGTCTCTTGGCTTCTCTCGTTACCGGATGCGGTAATTGACGGGTCCCATCTGTCACATTGGAAGCTCCCGGTTGCATTCCACGGTTCCTGTGCAGGAGAACTATGCAGGCAACAGGCCAAATCCGGGGAATCTGGGTCCAACTGGGCCGTAAACTGGTTCCACCGGGGCAGCTTGCTGTTAGCAGTCCCCAAATTCTCCACATTTATTCTGCCGTGAGTTAGTAGTCTAGAAAGAAAGGTAGTAGGCATTAGAAACCACGTTGATTTCTATGTTAAATAACAGCGGTATGATACCCTACTGACCGCCTGTGATAGAGGTTGCTGAATTCTAGGCTGATATCCCTTACATCAGAAGTCACATCCGCACTTCCTACCTATTGATACACCAAGTAACTTACAATCAATCGAAATGTCTCCTGCTGTAAAGAACAACACCGCTGAGCCAAACCTGGACATCAGCTTCCAAGGTTCGTCGCCAATTTCAAGGATTGAGGTACTCCAGCTAACACCGATAGACTACCTCATTCTTTCGAAGCTCGTTTTCGACTGGGCCGACAGCTATGACACCAAGGTCAGAAATTCTACAATATCTCCATACAAGCCCTATCACTAACAAAGGTTTAGGACTGGGATCGCCTTCGTGGCATCATCGCCCCAACCCTGAAGGTCGACTACACCAAGGTCGGTCTGAAGAAATGGGACAACATGGCCGCGGATGAATACATGGCCATGATCACACACCCAGGATTCCTAGGTGACCAAACCGTCAAGACGCAGCATCTGCTTGGCCAAACATGGTGGGAGAAGATCTCCGATACGGAAGTGATCGGGCACCACCAGCTGCGCGCTGCCCACCAAGTCTATGAGGATGTTGACTTGAAGACTGTGAAGTTGCGCGGTCACGGACATGCCACGAATGAGCACTATTACCGTAAGGTTAACGGTATCTGGAAGTTTGCTGGACTCAAGCCCGATGTGCACTGGAATGAGTTGCAATTCGATGAGGTTTTCAAGGGACTCGATTAGATTGCTGCTTTGGTGTGCCCTGTGTTTGAAGAAGTGAATATTGGGCTCTGTGGGAATATGTGGCTTTTTTCAGAGTTGAATTCAGAAACTTCAGCTATCACAATCTTATTTGATTATGTTGAGTTCATTGAACAGCAAGGTAGAGCTAAGTAGCCATCAGTAGTCATCAGAGAAATCACAACCACCACAGTCATTGCCACAGAAATCATTCCCATAGTCATAGCTGCCATAGTCATCAGAGCAACTCCCCGAGCACATAGCCCCGGTGTCTTCAATATCCACACAATAGTCCTTATTGTTTTCATTTCCCTCTGCCTGCGCCTCCGCCTCGTCATTGTCGCTTAAAGGAGTAAGAATATCGGAATCGTCCAGGTCAGGCTCACAAGAGGCTTCTGCCTCGTCCGAATTGGGGGGGCATCACATCATCAGCATTATCTGAACTAGTAGGTTCAGTCCCAGATGGCATGGATGCATCAGCGTCTGCTTGTGCACTGTCACTGCAAGTTTCAATGCTAGTATAGCTGCTCACAGCACTATCCTTGTCGAAATCTCCAAAATGAGAAAATGAAGACAAGCCCAGAAGCGAGGGTACATAAGACGAGGATCCAGAAGACGAGGGCCTGTGAGACCGTGCCATAAGAGACGAAAGCCCAAAAGCGTGAGTCGCAGACGATGTATCCACACTAGAGGGACTACGGCTGAAAAGCTGTCTCATATGCCCGAGTCTAGATTGACCCGGACCGGGGCCAAAATGATCTCGCAAATGAGTGTCAGTGTGATTCCGCTCATGGCGCATGATAGAAAAGTACATGTTGTGATGATCGCATTTCAGGTCTTGTCTGGAACTAGACGATATGAGTATATGAGGGCAACAAATTTCAAAGATCAGATGCAAAAACTCACGAAGCTACAAGCTGGAATTTTTCTTCCACAGAAGCTTTGCGTATTTCCTGAAACCTGTCGTGTCTGAAGTGGTGCTCGATTGGGATGAAATATCGAGGGGGAAGTATTGAGCTCGAATTGCGCTGCTGTAGCTCGATGATGAATGCTGGTTCGCGGGGATTGGTCTCGTAGGGGCCTGGGAGGGTAGTCTTTGCCCATTTGATAAACTCATTGAGCTTATGGACCTCATAACCTAATCCTTCGTAGGGAGGATGAATATCTGAGCAGCAAAAGAATTCGGTCGACATAGTGCGAATTGGTAGACGTAAACAATATTGGGAGACCAAGATGCGAAACAAATGTTTTCCAATTGTTGAATAAATCGTCAGAATTTACCATCGACTCCTAACGAAGCTGTCATGGACGTGGTGTTCCAAGGTTGGGGAGCGGGACGATTTGCAAATCCATAGATGGGATGTTTATACGTCATGGGAGCATGTACAACTTCTGGGACAAGAGAACCAATGTGGAAAAAAAAGTACAATTATATTGCAATGAAAACTAAAGGGGCTTTCTGTATATAGCCGCGAGAGGGGAGTCTAATATCCGCCCCCGAACTGCGAGAAGCCGGACAAGATGTCGAAGGGATCAGAACTAAAAGAATGTCAGTTGCGCACATTTGAGTGGATTTCAGGATGAGCTTACCCTGAGTCGTCGGTGTCGGCATGGTGGCCACCTTGGATATTAGGGAGAGTCCAAGGATCTCCATGTGGTTGAGGCCAGTGTCCCGCGTTGTTATCGGAACCTGGTTGAACACCCTCATCATTGTGTTGAGGCTCTGTCTGTTGGTACCAACCAGGGTTGTATGGAGACGGAGTGGGGACGGTAGGGACCAACTGGTCGGCCGGAGGCGCAGGGGCGGCAGACTGCGCAGGCTGGGGCGCAGCCGGCTCGGGGGCGGGAGCTTGGGCCGGAGTGGTGGGCTGGGCCGCGGGGGCAGTAGGCTGGGCTGCAGGGGTCCTGGTGGTGGTCGTGGAAGCCTTGGAGGAGGGCTTCGCGGCAGAAGAAGCAGCAGGAACAGCCTCGCTCTGTACTTTGCCCTTGTACAAAGCACCATCGCTGCCTTCCTCAACCTGGGTGTTGAGACCTGTCATGTCGAGACCCTGGTTCCCAGCCGCATTACCAGAGGTCCGGCTGGGGTAGGCAGCGCAGACCTTGTAGTGACTGTTGGGAGGTGCTTGGAGAGAAGTTTGGAATGTCTCCGGGGCTTCAATGATAGTGGCCACGAGACCAGCTTCGACGTGCCATTCGATGTGGCAGTGGAGCAGCCAAACACCGGGGTTGTCGGCGCGGAAGCGGAGGACGGTGTGACCGTTGTTCTGAACCATGATTGTGTCACGCTTGATTGGGGTCTGAGAAACGTTGCTGTAGAGTCCGTTGTAGAAGCCACCATCGACTGCAGATCGCTGCAGAACCTGGAAATGGTGACCGTGCAAATGCCATGGGTGAAGGTTGGGGTGGTGGTTGTTGATCACAATCTCAACAACCTCCCCATACTTCAGCACGAAGGGGTTGACCTGGCCGTACACTTCTGGGTTGGAGGCAAGTTCAGTACCGACGGTGTTGGCAGTGTACAAGGTGGGAACCTTGGGGGAAGGTAGGTGTTGTTGTTCACTGTGAAGCGAGCGATACCGTTGATCTCTGCGGAGGCAGTGTCAATGATGATTTGGTGGTTGACGGGCTGGAGCAGAGGCTCGTGATCAGCGGGCACCAGCGCGACATCATCGACAAAGTTGTCGAATCCAGCGAATGAGGGAGGCGCGGGCAAAGGCTTCGCCTCGTCATAGACCAACCAAGCAGTGGCATTAGGGTTGTATCCGGGGGGAGGAGTACTGTGCTCATAGAAGAACATCATGTTGACATCCATGGTATCGAAGATAGCAAAGTTCTTGCTCGTGTCTGACTTGGTGTGAATCAAGACACTCATACGTTGTCCGGTTGCAACACGCAGGAACTTGTCTCCAGCAGGGTAGGGATCAGTGTAGACACCATCAACTTCGACAACAGTCATCTCATGACCGTCGATCACCCAAGTGTGACCGGGGAAGTTTCCAATGCAGATAATGTGCACTAGATATGTCTTGTTTGGCAAGACCTTGATCTTGGTATCAATTGCGTCGTTGATCAAGGCCGAGTTGGGAGTAGGCTCCCGGCCATGGAAGGCTGCCTGGTTCTGCTCGGACTCATATGCGTTGAGGAGCTCTGGCATCTGCTGGTGGTACCAGTCGGTCAAGGTGAGGGTGAACTCGTCATCGTAGTGGAATGGAGCATTGGGGTCGTGAACAATCAGAGGACCACGGAAACCGTCCGGGTACTGGCCCATGTCGTGGGAGTGATACCAGTACGATCCGGTTTGGTTGATGTTGAATTGATATGTCATCTTTGAGCCAGGAGGAATTGAGCATTGGGTCACTCCAGAAGATCCGTCCATAATCGCGGTGGCATATTGGTGGAAACCGTGCCAGTGAATACCGGTAGACTCGTTGCCCAGACCGTTGTAAACATCGACAATGAGATTGTCACCCACAGTGACATCTACTTGGGGACAAGGCCACTCGCCATTGATACCAATGACCGGGCGCTCAAAGCCGTCAGGCGCGGCGTTGACCCAGGTGACGTTCCAATCCAAGTACACATCCTTCGCGACGGCCAGGCCAGCCGCGGCGGCCAAAGCCAAAAAGCTCAACTTGGTCATGTTTTACCTAAACGAGTGACGATCAATCGGCTAGAAAGGATAGTTAAATCCTCCAAAAGAGCGTGTTTGCCGATGAATCGGGTTGAAGAACGACTCAACCGGATTAAAAGACTGTAGCAAAGCAAACAGAAGAACAAAAAAAAATAGAACAAATTAGTGTCGACAGGTCGGGATGGGGGAGAAATCGCCGGCGAGGAAAATGCCAATCATTTTAAGTATTGCGTAGTAAACAAAGATGTCCGTATCGATCTGCACCAGGGGCCTGGGTATGTTCCTCGATGCGGTGGAAGTCGCCCTCGGTTCAGGGCTGTCATTGGTGCCTTCATTCAGGAACCGTATCACCCCAAGGGGAGCCACGCCTGGGAAGTTCCCTGTTGAGTTCCCTGGTGAAGAATGTTTTGCAGGACTTGAGGGGTGGAATGTCGACCTTCCCCGTTTCCGGGCCTCATGCAAGGGGGCATACTCGAGCTTCGTGGTCAACAATCTTATCCGTAGTCTTTGGCACTGAGCATTGATGCGAACGGTCTTGTAGTCAACTTCCAAGGTTGGGAGTCAACTAGTAGCGAATGGTCTGACTAATCGATCATTCTCCTGGGCTTACATGTAAAGCCCAGGCAGGTCCATGGGGTGTTGATCAAATCACCCCCATTTCCGGAACACCCGAGGTTCACGGCTTACCTTATTCAAACGGCCGACGCCAAGCTCGCTAGCTATAGATCGAGGCTTATCAAGATCGCAGGTGATCTCAATATTTATATGGAGCTGTTAGAGCGGCAGAGCAAAAAACTCGAAATATAGTAATATAGTCATTTATTGAGGCGTTTTCATGTTACCCTATCGGAAGCTAATTCGACAAAAGCACAAAAAGCGGGGTGCAGGAACTAAATGATAAGGTCCAAGGCCGAGATGAGCCACCGAGTCATACTTGCTCAAACCAGAGTGCAGCAGAGAAAGAGAAGAAGAGAAGAAGTGAAGAGAAAAAAAGAAAAAGAAAAAAGAAAAAGAAAAAAAGAAAAGGCCCCCACAAAAAAAAGAAGTGCGTCCGTGCGAGAGCGGAGATGATAAGCTGTGGAGTGTAGCACTCGAAATTTGTCATTTCGCTGGATAAGAAAAGAGAGAGAAGAGAGAGAGCTTCTCCGTTGCAAAGCGAGAGTGGAAGTTGAAAAGTTGGACTCTTTGCTCTTTTCGGGTCTCTTTCGTGCTCTGATCTGCCACTGACGCCATGATCCGTTAAGCTTAATCTTGAGAGATCCCTCTTCTCTTCTCTGCACAATGGACCAATCCACCCTGATCGATGCCCAGGTGCATTTCCTGGTGAGTCATGTCACTAGACAATCAATCCCCAGCTCTAACAATTGGCTAGGAGGAACCTGTCGCCTTGGTGCACATCCCTTTGGAGCTATACCCGTACTTTGTCAAGTCCGTGTTGAACTTGATCTTTGACGAGACTCCACCTCTGGAGGATGCTCCTCAGGATGATGCGGACGAGTACAAGCCGCCGGCATTCATGAATGTCTCTATCACACCGGTCGAGGTCTCCATCATATGCCCCAGACGGTTACTCGACAAGTACTTTGTCCCCGTCATAGATGAGCTCGGTGAGCTCGATGCCGCCCTGCAAGCTCGCCTGGTCGTGAGTGACAAGACCTTCATTGTCATGCAAGTCCTCGGGGAAGGACTCGAGGCCGGCAGGCGAGTCTTGGATCTGACCACCCCGCTCGCGCTGGCAGGAATGTATGTCAACCCTGTCACTCGCGCCACATACGCTATATACTAACCTGAATGGGGGGCAAAGCTCTATCTTCTTCATCTCCACCTACTTCTCCGACTATATCATGGTCCCCGAGCAAAGCAAACGAAGCGTGATGACCGCGCTAGAATCCAGAGGCTTCCAGTTCGACGATGAAACAGCGGTCCTGGTCAGTCCACTAAGCCCAACCATTGAAAAGAGCTTGAGCGATCTCATCCCACCCCGAACACCCCCACCCTCCACCCTCGCCGAGCTCCAAAGCCGCACCTTTGCCACTCTCCACAACCGCCAGATCACCCCCACAGTCGACCCAGACCTCCGACTAGTCCAATGCGCCGCGCACCACGAGTACCACAGCTCAGAGAGCTCCATGTCCATTCTCCGCGACGCCCTCACCACCGTGCTAGTCGTAGACAACCCGCGCTTCCTCTCCCTAACCCTAGCATCCCTCGACCCAGCCGCCTCCCTCCTCCTAGAAAAGCGACTCTTACCCCGCTTCGCCCGCCACGGCGACTACGAAGACGGCTCGGGCCTCCTCCTCGGCTCAAAAGAAGACCACTTGATCCCTATCACTCTAGATCTCCGCGATCTCCCCCTCGAGGCATCCGGTATCGTCTGCGGTGTCGCCGGCCGCCTAGCCGAAGCCGCCCGACCCCTACACTCACCAAGTCCCAGCGCCCTCAGCAGTGCCAGCAGTGTAACAGGCTCGGTACCGCGATTATTCGAGTCGTTCGGCACGCGACTGACGGAACCCACGCCGGCGCACAATCTAGCCCCGCTCAGCCATCTACCTGCCAATGTGGAGGGGGAGGCGGTGGAGATTAGTTTCTTGAGTACAGCGCGGGCGGGCACGATTATTGTTGGGGAGCACGAGTTGATGAGGGCCGTTGCTGAGTTGCGCACAGATGATCGGCAATGATGTGATGAACATGTGTAGCACGGGCTTTTGACTAGCTTCGGTGGATTCGAGGCATGCTTATGTAATGAAACAAACAGTGCAAATTTTCAAATGACGTTCAACGGCTTCAACGGGGCTTATCGTAGTGGGCCGATAAGCTTATTGTTATGACCTTTCTTAGGTTCCAAGGTTTCTATGAACCTGCCTCAATGTGCTGCTCTCAGTCTCACGTATACTTTGTTACTTCTCTATACACATTTTGGGTTGGAGGGTCCAACGATCTACTGTTATATGTCATATCAGGCTTTCAAGTCTAATCTTGGGACAGATCCATACGTCGGGAGTCTGGGATATATTGAGCCTAGTGATTTAGAATAAACCTTGGAACCATTTTGAATTCCTGAATATACAGAAAGTATGGAGACATTAGAACCAAAGGGTTAAAAGCTCATCTAATTTCATGGAGATGGATGGTCTGGTTAGATCCTCGTTCCAATAGATACATATAAGCACCATGCCGGAGGCGAGGATTAGCACCTGGGCATCAGCTCAGCTACATCCACTCATCTAGATATTATCTATGAAGGTTTAACTGTATGTCTTCCAAATCTTGGTCTCAAATGACCCCAGACAATGCTAAGCGGGCTTATGTTGTCTATATCATAGCGGAGAATGAACAAAGGGCTCGGCTGCCTGCACTCTTTGTAGCCCTATATGGCTTTGTTACCTACCTTTAGGAGTACCTGGCCTTGAGGTCTAATAAATCTTTTTGCCCAGCTCCTTTCCCTTTGTAAGCAAACAACACATTGTACTCTTCACCTCATCTCAAATTGACCAGTATAAATATCCCTCACAGCTCCCAGTCAAGATATCATCATTCCCAATCAAATCTACTGACTACAGCCAGCAATACTTGGAACTAACACACACAGTCACCACCATACACAATTACAAAGCCACAACCCATGTGCCTACTAAATTTACCCATCATTATGGACGCAGAACTGAAAGAGACCGTGATCAAGAACTTCCCAGAGGATCGCGCTGCATTCGTCAAAGAGCTCGTAACACTAGCCACCGGCGACACCGGGGGCCGAGGCGCTGCGAAAACAAAAATAGACCTGAGACGCATTAGCCATACTCTATCCATGTGGACCTTGATCGCGGATCCCTCCAACGACGCATTGAAATGCTTCCCACAAAAGTGCGAGAACATCTCAACCCTTCTCCTAGAGGTAGCTGATAGGTTGGCTTCCGAGGTAGTTCTCCCCTACCTGATGAAGATGTTCAACATGCTTGCTATGCATATAGGTCGTCTTACCTTGCGCTTCTCCGATGAGGAAGAGGAGGAAGTCGAGAATGATGCCAGGCGTACAGAGTTACAGCAGCTTTCTTGGAAGATAAAGGATCCCGCCTCTGATAATCGTCACGAGGTTATCATGCGTGCGCTCTGGGTCCGGCTTTTTACCACTCACGATGACTGTATTTGTCGCCAGTGCTTGGGTGCGTATGTGCCGGACCTCGCTCTGTAGTTCGCGGCGAGTAGTTGAGATCGCTGTCGAGTAAAAGGTAAGTAGAAGTCTGGTTTTTTTCTTTTTCCTTTATCTCCTTGCTAGTATACTCTAATGCTGCTGTTTTGGTTGAGATTGACTCGCTTTCGTTTATAGGTCAGATAGTGAAATCGTGCTTGTTCAACAATTTCCATCGCATACAACTTGAAGTTTCAACACATCTGGTGATATAGTAACCATCCTAGATGTATAAGTATAGGTAATCACATTGAATTACTCCCGATGTCGTTTTCCCATTGCTGATCTGATCAGCTTATCTACAGCGTCCACGGGTGCATTCATGACACTGGTGCCCTGGTGCCCAGGTGGCATCGATAAGTATCATACGGAGCACTCCGTACAAGAGATTTCTATCCAGTCCAGGTGCTTGATATTGATAATACAGTACTCCGTATGACTGAGTACTTTTAGATTCTTGAGTATGGAGTGGGTGGACAATGCATTGAGAGATGAACTACCACGGGGCACGGGGCCCGGGATAGTTCATTTCTGGATTAGCATCGAGTTTAATGCAAGCTCTCTCCAATGTTCTCATCCAATAGATCGAGCGCCTCACTTTATTGATATAGATATGCGGGTATATGGAGACTTAATCTAATGTGACAAGTATGTTTCGGGCCCGGGCCCGGAGTCCGCAGGGGTATAGTGCGTCCACCTAATGCTTGCTGAGCGAAACTATTGTACTCCAATCGGATGTGTATGAAATTGGATCCTCTCCAGGGGACACATTCAATAGCACTGCGGTAACAAACTTCGATTAGCCGTTGAGGCCATGATGAACTGAGTCGTAGCATCAGGTAGCGGTGAAAGACAGCCATGGTGTAGAGATTTCGAGTACGGAGTACCAGAATTGGGAGCAATGTTGCTGTTGCAGAAGCGCATTGTCAAATAATTGACGCAAATCAGCCATAGACTCTGACCGTACCTAGAAGCAGTTAGCACACGGTATTCCCTAGAAGAATGATGAAGCACGTACCATCAGAACAACCAGCGGCCCAGTCTCCCCCTTTTCATTCCATGCAACACAGCTCACAGCCTTCACCTTCTCTCCAACAGGGACGGCTGCAATGACCTCCCCCTTAATGACATCCCAAGCAAAGGCTCCAGCCCCAGCCTCACCAGCCTCACCCCCGCTCAAAACAACAGCATCACCCTGTGCGAAGACGGAGCGAACTCTCAACTCTTTATTCCGATACGCAAGTTTGGATATCGTCATCCCAGGGCGCGCTGCGCCCCCAAAGGAATTCAGCAATTTGCCGTCTAACCGGTCTAGCATCCGTATATGGCCATCCAGTGTAGAAACCAAGAGCGCATTCCCGTCATCCGAGCACCGAACACTTGTAACCGGGTGAGCCAGAACATCGACAGTCATCTTGCCTGTACGAACGTCATAAACGCGCGCATGGCCATCATAACTACCACTAGCGATCGAGTAAGTCGGTCCATGAACATGAAGTGATGAAACCGTATCCGTAGCATCGGCAAGAGTCTGAATAGGCTTGAAAGATGAAGCGCGAGTATCCCATAGATTGATGGTAGTATCGGCGCTGCCTGAGTGGGCGTTAGCTGAGGCGCACTGCACCGTGTGATCAGCAGGGCGACATACCAGTGACAACGACCGAGTCGCCTTCGCCGGCGAATTGGACCGCTTCTATGCGGCTGTTGTGTCCAGACCAGCGTTTAATTGTAATTCCCTGTTCCACGTCCCAGAGGAACATCTGGCGATCACCTCCTACGCTTGCGAAGCGGGCATTGTCTGTTGCGACGGCGACATCGAGGACTGAATAGCCGTGTGCTTCGTATTTCTGAATCGGGGATGTTGTCTCGATTGGGTTTGCGCTATTGGAATTATTTGGAACTGCGCGCGACAGGTGCACGGCTCTGTCTGAGGAGCCCGTGAGGACGTAGGTGCCGCCGGCGTTTGAATAGGTCACCGCATTGACGGGGCCTAAAGGTGTCAGGGGTAATTCAATAGACGTCCAGAGTTTGAGCTTACCATTATGCGTTTTTAAAGTATGGATATGCCGGGTTGGAAATATTGTCCGGGGCATGGCCAAGTTGTAGGGGAGAAATTGAAGCTGGACTGCGGGAGCTCGGAGTTCGAAGCTAAAGTCCGCTTTTTTCTAGATCCAATACGTCTCATGCGCTACTCTTACTATTTCCATGCAATAACCAATATTTGCCCAAAAGAAATTAATACTGTATTTCACGCTACGGAATACAGAAGAAGGTATTATCAAGGTTGTAGACACACCATCGCTAGCTACCAGCGGTAAATGGATATAACAGAAAAAAGAACCAGCCCCCCCAGGACGGAGGTGCTCCCAAGCGCGAACGGCAAGACGTAGGGTAGTCAAACAGAACAGAAAAACATGACCGTGATTCGACCAATCCCCTTTTGAAGAATCCAGGCAGACGCCCGACAAAAACACAACATCTTAACGACGTCCGTGGCTGCGGGTGCTGGAGCCCTGCAGACCCTCGATCTCTTGCTCGAGTGATTTGATCCTGTAATCGGTCAGCAAGTAAACATTTCGCCAGACGGTCCAGAACATACGCAGCGTGAGTAGCCTCGAGATCCTTGTTGAGGCGGTCGCGCTCCGAGATGAGCTTCTGCTCCCACTGGCGGAAACGCTGCTCCTCGACCTTGACCTGTTCGGTGAAACGCTTGCGCAGGGTCTCCTCTTCCTCCTTGAACTTGGGGTTGTCGAGCTTGCGTGGGCGAGCCTCGCCAAACTTGCGGGTCTCCATCTGCTGGGCACGGTAGGCCTCGTAGTGCGATTCTTCCGTGGTGTGAATGAGGTCGAGCATGTGGGTGCGGATGAGGATCGAGCGGAGCTTCTTGAAATCACAGTGGTCCTCGTTCTCCACCTCGGCAACACCCCAAGCGTACTGACGACCCTTGACGACGCGACCGTCGTTGGACTGAACGTCCTTCTCGGAACCGATGACGGCGAAAGGCATAGCAGCCATGAGACTGCGGGCGTGGGAAGCGGCGTGCTCGTCGTCCTCCTCGACAGGTGGGGAGTAAATCTTGATGCCCTGGGCCTCGATAACAGCGCGGATCTAACTTGGTGTTAGCCAAATCCTCCCAATTCCCATATCCATTCCACTTACTCTCTCCTTGTAGCGGACCAGGTCGCCGTGGCTCAGGGTATCGGCCTTGGCGACAACGGGAATCAAGTTGACGCGAGAGCTCAAGCGCTTCATCACCTCAATATCGAGGGGCTTCAAGGTGTGTCCGGTGGGTCGGATGAAGTACAAGCATGCGTGGACACGCATGTCAATCTTCTCAGTTCGGCGGGGTTGCTGCTCCTGGAGCATGTAGGACTCATGCTGGTCGTCCAAGAATTCGATGATTGGTTGCCACGAGTCACGGTTGTTCACGTAGTCTCCGAATCCAGGGGTATCAATAACGGTAAGGCGAACTAATGAATTGATCACGATCAGCTACCCAAACTTTCGAAAACACCCCCTCGGGCGGGGGTTCTGGCTCCTACCCTTGAAGAACTTCTCCTCGAGCTCAGCCTTGGTGATCTCGATCTCAACGGTGCGGTCAACCTGCTTCTGGTGACGGCGCTTGTGGTCGGCGTAGTTCTTAATGGTGGTGGAGAAAAGGGTGTTGATGAAGGTCGTCTTTCCCAGTCCGGACTCTCCAGCAACCTGAAGCACGGGTTAGCAGCAGAACGCTCAGGCCTTAGCTCCAGTGTCAAACGCACCATAATAGTGAAAGCCGCTCCCCGCTTCGCGACGATCTTGTGGCTGTATAGCTTGATTAGAATCTTCCCTCGTTTGCCTCGTTATCACCGATCGGAAGGTACACACCGCTGGTTGGGGAGCTAAAAGAATAGATGTCACGTCAGTTGGGAGTTGCTAGAGGTTCAAAAAAGACATCAGACTCACGTTGGCAATGCCAATGGGCGTGGCGGTTTCCGTAGTCGACATGGTGGGCTTAGGGGGGGAATTAAAAACAATTCAGAATGAACACAAAAAAGAAGATGAAGAAGCCCCTGAAGAATGAGACCAGACGGAAGAGCAGCAGGTCTGGAGGAGGAAAGAAATAGGGAAAAGGAGGAACGGTCGTGAAATCGGACTGCTCGAATTGCCCGTCGCTGCTTTCCCCCTGAATCTCCTTTCGTTTTCTGGAGTATACCTCGCCTTGCCTATCTGGGTTTAGCGTGGGTCGCTAGTCCTGTTTGAGTCCGGAACAGGAGCATAGATGATCCGCTTATCATAGCTTTTGAATTATCTCTTAACTTTTTTGATCGTTGAGATCGCCGACTGTAAAAATGAAGACAGACTTCAAGGTGAGTGGCTTCGTGCTGTACAGGGGAATCTCCTGTTTAGCAGACTATTGCTCAATTTTACAGAGACTAACATGGTCAAATTTAGTTCTCCAACCTTTTGGGGACCGTCTATCGCAAAGGAAATCTTCTCTTCACTCCCGATGGAACATGCTTGCTATCGCCAGTAGGCAATCGAGTCTCGGTGTTTGACTTGGTCCAGTAGGTTCCATATGTCCTTCTTGCGCAGCATTGGAACACTTGGCTTACAATTGCCCACAAAGAAATACCTCCTACACCTTGCCGTTTTCGCATCGCACGAATATCGACCGTCTCGACCTTTCGCCCAAGGGAAATCTCCTGCTGACCGTTGATGAGAATGGGCGCGCAATTCTGACCAACTTCCACCGGCGCATCGCCATCCACCACTTCTCTTTCAAGGGACGAGTGTCGGCACTTAAATTCTCTCCCTCCGGCCGGCACTTTGCCGTTGGTGTAGGCCGACGCCTGCAAATCTGGCAAACCCCCCTCTACGCCTGGCACCGAAACCAATGGCGAGATTGAGTTTGCGCCGTTCGTTCTACACCGCGATCTTGCCGCCCACTTCGACACCATCCAGAATGTCGAATGGTCTAGCGACTCACGCTTTTTGCTCACTGCTGCGAAGGATTTGACGGCCCGAGTATGGAGCATGGACCCGGAAGAAGGATTCGAGCCCACGACCTTGGCCGGACATCGACAGGGCGTGGTTGGAGCTTATTTCAATGCAGCACAAGAGGCGGTAGGTCTTGCTAGGAAAGTTCCGCTTCATGAGAACTATATACTGATCATACCCACAGATTTACACTGTCAGCCAAGACGGTGCGCTATTCCGCTGGGAATATGTCACAAAAAAGGACGAGGAAACTATGGAGGATATCTCCGACGCTCGGTGGAGAATCGTCAAAAAAGACTTCTTCATGCAAAATGATGCTAAGGTGAACTGCGCTGCCTTCCATGCGCCATCAAATCTTCTGGTAGTAGGATTTTCCAACGGCCTATTCGGACTCTACGATCTGCCCGAGTTCAACATGATCCATTTGCTCAGGTACTTTTGTTATCAACTCCGTCCATGCGACACTCACTCACAAATTATTAGTGTATCACAAAGCAACATTGATGTTGTGACTATCAACAAGTCAGGCGAATGGCTTGCGTTCGGATCGTCAAAGCACGGTCAACTCTTGGTCTGGGAGTGGCAGTCTGAGTCCTACATTCTGAAGCAGCAAGGACACCTGGATTCCATGAATGCTCTTGCATACTCACCAGACGGTACAAAAATTATTACAGCAGCCGACGATGGCAAGATCAAGGTTTGGGATGTCAAGTCCGGCTTCTGCATCGTCACATTCACAGAACACACCAGTGGAGTGACCGCATGTCAGTTCGCCAAGAAGGGAAGTGTTCTGTTCACGGCATCTTTGGATGGCTCCATCCGCGCCTGGGATCTCATCCGCTACCGTAATTTCCGAACCTTCACCGCACCCTCCCGACTGTCTTTCGGCTCATTGGCCGTTGACCCCAGTGGAGAAGTGGTCTGCGCTGGCTCACCAGACTCCTTCGATATTCACGTCTGGTCCGTGCAGACTGGTCAATTGCTTGACCAACTTTCCGGTCACGAGGGACCAGTATCCAGTCTTGGTTTCGCTGCCGATGGCAACCACCTCGTCAGTGGAAGTTGGGATCACACTGTTCGCATTTGGAGTATTTTCGGTCGCTCACAAACCAGTGAGCCGCTTCAACTTATGTCAGACATCCTTAGCGTGGCTTTCCGCCCAGATGGACAGCAAGTTGCTGCATCCACGCTAGACGGCCAGCTCTCCTTCTGGTCAGTCGAAGACGCTGTACAGCAGGGGAGGCGTCGACGGTCGCCGTGACGTCTCCGGAGGACGACGGGTGGCTGACCGCCGCACTGCGGCCAATGCCGCAGGCACTAAATCTTTCAACCGCATTACTTACAGCGCTGACGGTAGCTGTATCCTGGCTGGTGGTAACAGCAAGTATATCTGCTTGTATGATGTTACCACTGGGTCATTGATCAAGAAATTCACTGTTTCCGTCAACACCTCGATTGATGGTACTCAGGAAATCCTGAACAGTCGAGACCTAACTGAGGCCGGTCCCCGTGCTCTGATCGACGAGACCGGCGAGGCCTCCGATCACGAGGAACGTGTCGACCGCACTCTTCCCGGTGCGAAGCGAGGCGATGCTGGTGCGCGCACTACTCGCCCGGAGGTGCGCGTCACATCTGTTGATTTCGCGCCGACTGGACGATCATTCTGTGCCGCCTCTACCGAGGGACTGCTTATCTACAGTTTGGATACTGACTTCGTCTTTGATCCCTATGATTTGGATATCACCATCACACCGTCGAGCATCATTGCTACGCTAGATGCTGCCAAGGATGCCGCGGCATCCGGCACCGTAGACGAGGAGAACACCTTCCTCAAAGCCCTCATCATGGCCTTCCGATTGAACGAGCAAAAGCTTCTGCGCGTTGTATACGAAGCGATCCCTCCGTCAGATATTCCCCATGTGGTGCGGTCTGTGCCCTCAGTTTATCTTCCTCGTCTGCTCCGATTCGTTGCACATGCCGCCGAGGAGACACCTCATCTCGAGTTCAACCTCATGTGGATTGAGTCTCTGTTCAGTAGCCACGGTCGTTACTTCAAGGAGAACACTGGCCAATTCGCACCTGAACTCCGTGCTGTGCAGCGCGCCGTCGACGACATCCGTGAGAACTTGAAGCGTTTGACCGAGAAGAACCTCTACAACCTCAACTATCTGCTTTCCAAGCCTGTTCTTGCAAACAAGAAGCAAAGCAGTGCTCTCTTGGCTATGGAAACTGAGGATGCCGAAGTCGATGAAGAGATGGCTGATGGCGATGAAGGTGACGGTGATTGGGTTGGCCTTGAATGATTTATGTCTACTTGCATCTGAGCCAGGCGTTCTGTATATAGCAAAAAACAAAAAGGGAAATGGACGACCTTGAATAATATCCAATGCTGAAACCTTCAAACGGATCCGTTTAGACGTAGCAAACGAGGATTGTCTGATACTATCCGATGTGTGGTACGCTTCCCCTTCTTGACTCCTCTGCTTTTCACGAGATCGCGCCGATTCTCAAAATCCGGATAGTATTGTATCGATTTCTTTGAGGTCGGCGAGTCCCTTCAACTCTGTGTTCTCTCCCCTCTCTGCCTCTCTCTTCCTTTTCTTGCCTTCTTTTCTCCTCACTCCCTTTCTCTCTCCCTCTTTCTTCCTCTTTCTTCCTTCTCTTCCCTTTTCTTCTTCATACACTCTTCCGCAACCATGTCTTTTTCCATGGTCTACGACACCTTGCAGGTGGTCAAGGAGCACATGTTGCTTGTGGCTATCATTGGAGTATTCCTGATTCATCTGCTGCGACTGCTTGCACCTCCCACTATCAAGAATGTCCCCACCGTCAGGTATTCAAACTGGTTGCCGGACTTTGTCAACCGAATCCTCTACTACCCTTACGCCATCTCTATGATCGAAGCTGGATATTACAAGGTATGTTCAGAGTCACCATGGCTTAATGGCTCAATGGCTACTGACGCCCTGTTTAGTACAAGGACCGCATGTTTCGAATGATCACAAGTGACGGAGAGGTCTACGTTCTGCCCATGAAGTATCAGAAGGACCTTCGGCATTTGAATCTTTCAAAGATCAGCTCTCTGGATGCTCAATACGAAGTCAGTTCACTCCTTCTCGTGGAATCAAACTCCTCTTCCAAGTACTAATCAGTCAACAGAACGCACTTGGCGACTACACCCATATCTTGCTCAACACCACCTTGGTGTCTGACACGATCCGCAAGCGTTTGACGCCCAGTCTGAGTACGACAGCCTCTCCTTGATTAACTACACGTTTGAAGAACTCTAAACTTATCATTTTTTCAACAGGTCGTCTTGTACCCCGGGTGATCGATGAGCTGGTTAGGGCTTTCAGTACCGTCTTGCCGGAAACCGAAAGTAAGATACATGAAACACACATACCACCAGACACCTCGCAGGGACAATACTAACGGAAACTCACTACTCAGAAAACGAATGGATCACCATCAACCCGAATGACCTGTTCAATCGTCTTATTGGCCTTTCGTCGGCGCGTGTCATGGTCGGTGATGCTCTTCGGCACAACGAAGAATGGCTCAAGGCCTCCGTCGGCTACGCCCATTGTCTTGGTATCACTATGGTCGTCTTGCGGCCCATCCCCAAATACCTTCGTCCATTGGTTGCTCCCTTCCTCCCTTCAACTTGGGAAATGTCCAGGAGTGTGCGTCTGGCAAAACGTCTCTTCTCCCCGATTGTCAATGAGCGCAGACGGGCAGCGGAGGAAAATGACCCTGGTTACACCAAGCCGGATGATTTTTTGCAATGGTTCTTGGATCTTGGCGTGGAAGAAGGTGAAATTCTTCCGGCCGCTGAAATCTCTCAGCACATGTTACTGCTGGTAGCTTTGGCGGTTACACACACCAGCACCATGGCTTTGTGCCACGCGACCTTCGATTTGATTTCCAGGCCTGAGTATCTCGAGCCTCTGCGTGAAGAGATTCACCGTACTCTGCCTGATGGCTGGCACTTGGGTACACAGGCTGCATTCTTGGACCAGGTTCGATTGGATAGTTTCCTGCGCGAGTCTCAGCGTTTCGCGCCGCCGGGTGATTGTAAGTATCGAGACTTCGATCAAAGCCAGTCTAGGACTTTGTGCGCTCAAACCCTTGAGTGTCTCGTCATTTTATCCAGAGATCTAACCTCGTATATTTAGTGTCCTTCCACCGCAAAGTTATGTCACCCGTCACGCTTCATGACGGCGTCGTCCTTCCTAAGGGTGTTCACATATGTTTTCCCGCAGGCGCAATCAGCAGGGATCCGACCTTCGTCCAGAATCCCCTCGCCTTCGATGGTTTCCGCTGGTGCAAGGACCCCAAGGATCGCTACGCCCTGTCTCCCGAACTTGCCAAATCCGCTCTGATCGATCAGACTGACAACAAGGAGGATTCGGCTCCCAATGCCCCATCCGGCTTTGTGACTGTCACTGCTACAAACATGGGATTCGGATACGGACGTCAGACTTGCCCTGGTCGATTCTTTGCAGCCAACACCACCAAGACAATCCTCAGTCGTCTCATTCTTGACTACGACTTCCGATTCGCTGGAGGTAAGGATGCGAAGCGGCCTCCCAACACTTGCATTGGAGAGCACATCCTCCCCAACCTGACTGCTGAGCTGGAATTCCAGAAGAAGCACATGGAATTTTGAGGGTCGATGCATTGAACGCGAGATCTGAGTTGGAGGGATGAGGCTTTTTTATCCTTTCTAGATTGATCTTGTCTGCATTCTCAATTTTCAATTTTCGAAGATAGTCGATAGTTTTTCAATAACATTCAAATTCACATCAGTGACTGCAATTGGATATCCCTAGCTTACATCGACTTGGATCAGGGTTCGCATAAAAATGCGGTAACGTTCCAAGGTTGTCATCAAGCCCTAAAAGATACCATATTTCTACCTGATACAGAGAATTGATATACACTGTAACTCCATTTCTCATCGTTACTCCCGAGGTCAGTATTGTTGATTATCATTACAGCAGTAGTCCAATCAAAACGGGGTACCATCGTATCATTGCATGAAATAAAAAAATGTACATCGATTCTGATACATGGATTGTATACAAGGTATAATTCCCAATGTTTCTAAGCAGAAACTTATGAGCGTATGGGATCAAGTGTTGAAACGACCTTGTCAAAACGATGGCACTGGGAAAGCCTCCAGTGCACCGCAAAGCCAACGCCTCTTGAGGGGTTGTGTGAGTCGAGCAGGATGAGGGTAATTTTTCTCCGTTTCCCAGATCAATCGAGATCTGAGAAACGGTTGTCCTCGGTCAAATCATCCCGAGACTGAATCGCGATAGCACCAGCAAAGGTACGCAATACGTCAGGATGGAAACCACCGAGGAATATGCAGGAAATTGAAAAAGACAAGACAGAAAACACCAATCCACGCTTCATAAAAGGAATAAATCAAAACCACCCAGAACCTGTTGAAAGGTCACCGCCAAAACTCCAAAATGAAAAACCGTAAATCAGCGCCCCATACTCATGATGGGCGAATGGTGAGATATGACATTATCTGCGGTTCAGCAGGGTCAAGAACTCTTCACGAGTCTTGGCGCTGGACCGCATGCATCCAAGCATACAGCTTGTGGTTGTGGTGCTGCTAACCTTCTGTACACCGCGCATGACCATGCAGAGGTGGGAAGATTCCATGACAACACCCACGCCACGGGGCTTGAGGACCTCCGAGATGGCCAGCGCGACTTGCTTGGTCAGGCGCTCTTGGACTTGGAGTCTGCGGGCGAACATCTCTGCGAGACGGGCCAGCTTGGAAAGACCAAGCACGCGACGATCAGGGATGTATCCAATGTGCATCTGTGCATGGTCAGTATTAATTGGAGTGAAGTTCCGGGAAATCTCATACCTTTCCGGTGAAGGGAACCATGTGGTGCTCGCAAAGCGAGAAGACATCGATATCCTTGACGATAACCAACTCATCGTGATCTTCGTGGAAGACCGCACCGTTCATCAAGTCCCGCACATTCTCCTCGTAGCCCTTGGTGAAGTAAAGCATAGCCTTGGCATACCTCATAGGGGTCTCTCGGAGACCCTCACGCTCTGGATCTTCTCCGATGCATTCAAGAATTGTCCGGATCGCTCCAGAAAGCTTGTCAAGTCGTTCTTCGGTCTCCTCCGGGGTCGACTCTTTCCGCTGTCTGGTTCCAGGGCCTAATGATGGTAAGACAAGGGCACCAGTGACGAACAAGGTCACAAAATGACGGATATCACTTACATGGCCAGCTGAGGCCGTCAAAGTCAATAGGCGGGTTCAATGTGTAGGGACTGGCGGGGCGGCTGACGGTGGCGGGAGGGGTCAATGGGCCGCCTTCATCGCGGGGGTCGCGGGGAGGGTCGTTCAGGGTCGGGCTAAAGATAGGATGGTTAGTCAAATGGCTCATGGGTCATTGCGATAATTTATATACGTACCGCACTGGCACAACGCTGCGAATGGGCACTGATGCAGTTGAGGTGGACACGGTGGGGTCGACTGGGGCTGCAGCTCCAGCTTCAGCTCCGTTGGTCTCAGCCCTGGGGTCAAATTCCAAGGGGATGCGGGGCTCAAAGGAAGTGCGAATGGACGAATTGAGACTCTCACGCTCACGAGAATCCCGACCACTGGTGGAGGACCGTTGGAGGGGGAGCTTCCGTTCAGCATGTGGGACGGGATGGCCGAGGGCTTCGAGCTTGGTGGTGATCCAGAACCCATGATAGATTGGACGATGTTTCTTCGAAATTGTAGAAATTTCAAAGAAAATATAGAATAGAAAGTTTTTGTAAGAGTCACTTTTTTTTTTTGGCCGCAAATCTCGCGACGCTAACTTTCTTTAACCCCCTCACTCCCCTCCGCCAATCATCGTTCATTCCGGTGATGACATGATAACGCTCCGCGGGGGAGTCGGAGATCTTATGCACCATGCCTTTCTTCTCATAACCTCTTCTTGTTCTCTAATGTGGTTTTGATGTCCCTGATCTCCTTCTGGGCCGCTTATACGTTGTATGACAACTTCTTAGGGCTCTTTTCGTCTTGTGTCACAATTTGCCACTTCCGACTTCCCGCGCTAGCTCTATAGAGTAGGACTTGTCAGATCTCCCGTGGGAAATATAACTCGACTAGGGAAATAATTACTCTATTTCTTTGACCCCCAATGCTCACATCTTCCCGTACCATCTCCGAGGGTAAGTTGTGCCGGTTCATCCCTTGGTGCGTTGGAGATGGACAACCTGTGGAATGTAGTTTTCGCATCACAGCCCGGGTGTTCGAATGCCACAACTCTGGCTAGATACAAGATTTCATTTTCACGGTGTCTTGTCTGACTGTTGGCTTAGCGGGGTATATGAAATGAAAATAACCTCATCCCGTGGTTTGTTTCTACGGTTTCTACTCTATACCAACAGCCGTCTACCAGCCGAGCCGCCCCTGTAATTATCTCGCCATTTAGTCTGACCTCCGGAGTTCCAATATGGCGAGGAAAGATATCTGAAAGTCAGTAGTTCAAATTTGACTTCCTGGGAAATTCCACCAACATGAACCTCTCCTGACATGCGGGCTTCTTACCCCCAAGTCCTCCGATGGCATTATCAGGCCACCCAAACTCATCCACATATCCTCAGTTTCAACAACAGGCTAGTTTATGAACTTTCTTTCTATCTTCCGTGCGACTTTATGATCGAGTTTTGGTCATTGGTCCTCAGTCACCCGAATATCTGGAAATAACTTCCAGGTTTATACCCGTGGATTAGGACTATTGACCTTGAAATATATAACTTGGTCATAACTACAACCGTGATCACAGTCAACAATTAACACCTATCAATGACCATACTGACACCTGGACAAGCTCATCTAAAGCCCGAGTGGACTCCAAGTACATACCTAGGTATGTTGGAACTCTGGAACCAATATCAAGGTTCCACAGCAGCCATACCCATTGTAGTATACCCGCCTCTCCGCAGACTGCATATCAGTTGCAATGCCCACCACTTCCAAGGATGTGCCCTTCATTTAAATATTCATGCAATTGGCCTATGAAATCATGCCGATTAGTATCAATGACCCCCTGGACACAATACAGGGACGGAAGACTTTATAGCACAGCCAATGGTTCTAGGTTTAGATCAAAATCGAGCACGATATGGTGGCTCAGTGGGTCATAGGCTCATAATTCCTCAAATCGGCAAAAATTCCACCAAATTGGGGCTGTGGCGCAATTGGTAGCGCGTGGTAAATTACACTGTTACAGTACTTTCAATTGAACATTTCACTAACATTCTCACAGCGACTCCAGTTCGCAAGGTTATCTGGTCGAGACGGGTCAGCCTCAACTTCTTTTTTGGCCTTTTATAGGTGTATCAACTACTTGTGGACATCATTGAAAACATAGAAAGTGATGATGTTGGTTGCCACATATTTTTTTTTTTGGTCTGTGCGTGGAAGGAAGAGAAACCCTAAGATTTGGTGTGGACTGCTACCCCAGAATAGTTTTGCCTCATATACCTGTCGACGCCGAAAATTGGCACCAAGTTGGGGCTGTGGCGCAATTGGTAGCGCGTGGTAAGTTTCAAATGATATCACTAGCATATCCGAACATTTCACTAACATTCTAATAGCGACTCCAGTTCGCAAGGTTATCTGGTCGAGACGGGTCAGCCTCATCTCTTTTTTTGTCTTTTTTTTGCCCTTCAAATTACCCTGCTCTATATGAACTGGTTCAATAATGACAGATTATTTTAATAATGACTGGACATTTTACAAACAACCCCAAGATCCCCCACCTGGGCAGTGCTAAATGGGTTGAAATAGGTTGAAACCCCCTACGATGGTATTCGATTTCAGTCACTCCGTATACCTCCGCACTCTGTACAACTTGATTCCCGGATAATCCATGGACCCGATAGTCCCAGGCCATGATTGGGCTAGTGACAATGGTCCGCTTTCTACTGCTGTACAGTATGTTATGGATAGTATGATTGGCTTCACAACGCAAGAATGAGCCTTACATTGTTCCCCTCTTTAGAATGGGACTCCCTAATGCCTTAGTCCCCAATAACTCGTTTGTCCGTTGACATCTGTTTGCTCACTGACCAAGTGCATCGTCCTGTGATATAAGAAGCAGAGGCCCTTCCTGCTTCCTACCTTCCCGCTTATTGAATGAACTTCTTCATCTCTGGAATTTCTCGATAAGAACTTAACAATCGTGGACCTCACCCATCGTGACACTCACCGATTCACATATTCTACCAACGGTGGGCTCTTGATTTCAAAACAATGAAGGACGCATCTGAAGCAAGTCCTGGGGACTTCGTAGCCAAGTAAGTATCGAAGATGCCCAGGTGCCTTTGGAAAGTGATTATCTGACCGCTTTATTCTCTAGCATGCTTCCCCTGTATCAAGCCCCGTTCGTCACACTTCGAATACAGCCTAGCGATAAGGAATACGCAATTTCCAAAATGCTTCTCTGCAGGGAATCATCAGTCTTTTCAAAAAATGTTTAACGGTGAATTTCGAGAGTCACAGCAGCAGACGGTCACTCTAGAAGAGACCGAAGACGACATGTCGGTGCGCAGCCTTGAAGCACTCATTCAATGGCTATACCAACACACTGTCAACTTTGGAATAGAAGACCCAGGAGAGCATATCTCAGCCGCCATGGAGCTCGCAAGGCTTGCTGATAAGTACAACATTGTTGGGTTGGAAGATACAATGGCCCAATACATCAAGAACATTTTGAAGTGCAACCCCTATACACAGACCGCTAGACCTTTGCGACCTATTGACCACAACACTCATTATCTCACACATGATCATATTAAATCAGCAACCTTGCTGCCTAGAGGACATCCATTGCGAAGCGTTCTAGCTGCAGCATCCGTCGAAGGCTTCCTCCAAGGTCCAAACCACAAGTTCAGCGAAGAGATCCTCGACTATCCTTCCTTCGGAGCTGACCTTCTCCAAGAGATTGGGGTTGTTCTCAATAAGGAGGAGTCGCTTCTAGCCTACGATTTTGAAGATCCTATCAGCGGAGAAAGGTCAACGCTAAATCCAAAAGCCGATTGGTGGCTAGACTAGGATGACTTACCATTATTAAGACCATCACGTCGCTAGGAACACAAGGCTGTTTTTTCAAATGGCTGGAATTGTGGTTTTGGGACAGGGGTTGACGAGATGAAGTTGACGAGATGACGGGAATGGGCATAGAAGCTGAGCATGAGCACGAGCAGATGACGGAGCTTGGTTGGGAGGAAGTAAGGCAAGCTTCGTACGCTTGCTCTTGCTCTTGCTCTTGCTCTTCTTGTTCTTTCCTTCTCTGGTTTAGTCTTACAATAGCAAAAGGCTTACATTGCCGAGAGCAAGTTGGTGACTTGAATAAATGCTTTCCTCCTTGAGACATTTGTGCATACAAGACCATTAATATTTCAAGGTTGGCACATAAGAAAGATGACTCCTGGAAACTTTAAGCTGTCACTCAAGCTGTCAAAAGCCCAAAGTTGGCAAAGTACCCAGAGCCTGGGCCATCGTAGACTATAGCCCAATTTTATCAAAGTGGTCCATCCCATGGTTGAGAAACATCCACTTAGAGCCTTGGAAGGACTGACCCCAGAGCCTTAAATTCCCCCGCTATTCGTACTTGCTAGTTAGGTGCCTCGTTGGGGTTGCATTCAATGGCCGCAGAAGCATGTCGGCGATTTTCTGACATGTCACGCTTCCCAAAGCAGGTAGGATCTTTGCAACCAGAGTATGTATGATAGGCAAGACAAGGGCAAGGTTCGCTGACATTTTGGCATGTCCGACTGTTGCTCTCGTTAAAACCACACGGAATTGACGCCTCCCAAGCATTAAGCAGGGCTAATTCGTCAAAGTTCCAAGGTTCATGTGATAGGGCTGTCAGCGACATAGATATTTACTGTCATCTGGCAGTTTTGGAACATAGACCATTTTACCGGAGATCACCTTCACCAATTTGGGGCTGTGGCGCAATTGGTAGCGCGTGGTAAGTTTCAAATGATATCACTAGCATATCCGAACATTTCACTAACATTCTCATAGCGACTCCAGTTCGCAAGGTTATCTGGTCGAGACGGGTCAGCCTCAACTTCTTTTTTGTTTTTGCTGTTTTTTTTTCCTTCCATAATAACTCTATCCATATTGAAACTCAACCCTTCCATTCAATTGATATATTGCAATTTATTGCACTGCTTGCCCATGCTTTTTTTGGATTGCATTTTATGTCAGAACAATTGAAGCATTTTTTGCAGCTCGTCTTTGCAATGACCTAATTATCAATACCCGACAAGATGTCACTCGTTTAATCTCTGACACGACAGTCATGGAATTATCTTTCAGCTATCCTAATCGGTACCTTGAAGGATGCCAGATAATCCTTGGAACGTCGGAGGTCCATGGTGATGGTTCAAACCCGTGGGCATGTTATCGAGATAACTTATACATGAACATGATGAATATGAGATGAATTGGTATTTTGAACTATTGTTCATTGTGAAAATGACTTGCGCCTACAAGAAACAACTTGAAAAACATGGCTCTTACGCCTCGATCTCTTCAGTGGGAACATCGTCGAGATCCTTACCCACAATGGCATCTGCCACCTTCCAGACCTGCAGCAAGTTATCCTCAGCCGCAGAGCACAGAACCCAGGGATCGCTGAGGTTCCAGCTGAAGTCTGAAATACGATTCGTGTGCCCACCGTGCATGAACAGCCTGGAGAATAAAGTTAGCAGGTAGCTCAAGCCTAATAAAACTAGCCAGGAGGCAAAGAAGTAACTTACAGCTCTGGTGGCCCATCTTGGGCATCTTCGGGGGTCTGTTCCTCGCCTGCTCGGCTAAGGTCCCAGAACATAATCTTGCGATCGTAGCCGGAACTGGCCAGGACCGATTCTTCGAACGGATGCCACGAGATAGACTGGACCGAGTCGGTGTGGCCCTCAAGCGAGTGTAGCTTCTGGTTCAGGTTGCGCAGATCCCAGATGCCAATGGTCTTGTCGGCTGAACCGGTGGCCAAAATGGTCTCGGAGGCGGGGTTAAAGGAAATCGAGTTGATAGCATCGCGGTGCTGGCCCTCGGCGGAGGAAGCCGAGCGAGTAGAGTCATCTTGACGGGTATCAAGAATCTGGAGCGTGATATCATCGGAAACAGTTCCAATGAGAGAGGAGTGGAGAGGGTGGTGCTGAACGTCGTTCACGATCGAGGAGTGGTGAGTGAAGGTACGGCTTGGCTTGACTGCCTTGTTGCCCTTGGTATACGTGGTGATATCCCTATAATTTACCTTCGTTAGCCGCGTGCCACATTACACATGGCACATTGCTCAAGATTTGATCTACTTACCAAAGTCGAACAGTCTTATCCTCGCTACCAGTGGCAAGGTGGCCGGCCACATGAGGGTTCCAGCTGAGACCGAAACCTTCAGCTTCATGTCCGAGGAGCTCCATCTGAGGGTTGACACTGCCAGTGGGTAGACTAGGGTGCTTAGAGCGATCCCAGATCATGACACGGCCATCCGTGCACATAGTCGCAATGATGTTGGGGTTCTGTGGTTGGTACCGGGCCTTGTTGACCTCGCCCTTGTGGTCAATCTTTTGAACGATGTTGAACTTGATCTCCATTTGGGGCTTCTTTGAATTTCCACCGTAGCCACCGATCTCTCCCTTGTCTTCGTCATAATCTTCAGGGTTTGGAACATGGGGATTCGGAAGCTGCACTTCGGCAATCTGGAGGTAGTTCTGCGCTTCGCCGGTAGTATGTGTGCCGATAAGAAGACGATGGGTGGAGTACGGCTTGTCCGGGACCCTGGAGGATTGTATTAGATCGAGTCGCATTAGAACAGCTTCGAGAACGAACGTACTCTTGCTTGTCCGGCAACCACTGGGTTGTAAGGGTGGGCCATTCTAATGCCGTGCTCAGGATCATATCGTAGAGGAACGGCGCATTCTTCTTCCATGTCTTGTATTCTGTGCCCCGATGGACATGGTTAGCGATCGCGATGAATGTGAACATAGGGAGCAACAGGTAGAGCTACCTTCATTGATGGCCTTCTCGTCGGTGTGTTCATGGTCCTGATCTTGCTCCTGATCCCTCTCATGCTCGTCACCAAGACCTAGTAAATAGCTTGATTAGATTGAGATTTCAGATGCGCAAGTGTCAGTGCACCTACCAGCCTCATCATAATCCATTTTGCGATTGAAGTAATTGGAACAAAAAAACAAATACAGGAGTTCCAAGTCAATTGGAGTTCGACACGTCAGAAATGAGGGAGTATGTTGCGCAGGCTGCTAAGCATTGGGCAGAGGGAAGAGCTACGCGCACCGCGTTAATGAGTCGCCGGACCCCCCAAAGCCACTAGTCCCAAATTGGAGGGCGGTGGCCGCGAGCTTGACTCTTCACTTTCGTGGGGAGATCAACTTGCATCATAGACTCCAGACCAAGTTGGCGTTTTGTTTGCCGTTCATTGCTTTTTGTCTTTCATTTGGAAGGTCCCTACTTTTACCGGCCTCAGTATTCCATCCGTTCTGGTTGGATGCTATACCTTACGTCGCAAGTCTTCCACCAATCTCGACTCTCACGATAACCTACCCACCCATTCCTCCACCAACCGCTCACAATGGGTGTCCCTAAATTCTTTCGCTGGCTCAGCGAACGGTATCCAGCTATCTCGACGCTGATCGCAGAGAGCCGGATACCTGAGTTCGACAGCCTTTACCTCGATATGAACGGTATCATCCACAACTGTACACATAGTGACAGTGATTCCCCGACATTTCGCATGACCGAGGATCAGATGTTTATTGCTATTTTCAATTACATTGAACATTTATTCGGCAAGATAAAGCCCAAGAAGTTGTTCTACATGGCAGTGGACGGTGTTGCCCCCCCGCGCCAAGATGAACCAACAACGTGCCCGTCGTTTCCGTACCGCCTTGGATGCGGAGACCGCGAAGGAGAAGGCAATTCAGCAAGGACTGGAGATGCCTAAGGAAGATGCATTTGATAGCAACTGCATCACACCTGGTACCGAGTTCATGCAGAAGTTGACGCAACAACTCAAATACTTCATCAACAAGAAGATCTCCGAGGACACGGACTGGCAAGGCGTGGAAATCGTGCTGTCTGGTCATGAGGTCCCCGGTGAGGGAGAACACAAGATTATGGAATATATTCGATGCTCGAAAGCGCAACCCGACTATGAATCTAATGTTCGCCACTGTCTTTACGGCTTGGATGCCGACTTGATCATGCTGGGTCTTCTCAGCCACGATCCCCACTTCTGTCTTCTTCGAGAGGAAGTGACCTTTGGTCGCCAGGTCTCCAAGAAGCCCAAGGAACTTGAGCACCAAAACTTCTACCTTCTGCATCTGAGTATGGTCCGAGAGTATCTGGAACTGGAGTTCCAAGAGCTGAAGCAAGAAAATGCTCTCGATTTCCCATTCGATATGGAACGTGTCATTGATGACTTCATTCTCATGGCGTTCTTTGTCGGAAACGATTTCTTACCCAATTTACCGAACTTACACATTAACGAGGGTGCCCTTGCTCTCATGTTCAAACTTTACAAGGAGGTGCTGCCAAAGATGGGTGGCTATATCAACGAGCAAGGTGTGATCAATGTGCAACGCCTGGGCATGCTTGTTAGCTCCCTGAGCTCCGTGGAATACAGATTCTTTGAGGCGGAGAACTCCGATGCTCAATGGCTCAAATCTAAGAAGAATGGAGATGTCGATGCAGTCGACTCCCAGCAAAGACACAAGAAGCTCACGATCACTCCAGCCCAAAAGGAGATTCTCAAGACCATCAAGAGATACGTTTTGAACCGGACAGAAAACGTCTCTTCTCCACTTGATCTTCCTCCCACACTTCCAGCTCGCGACCGAACCTTTGTTGAGCAGCTTGCAGATGAGCTTAAGCTTCCTTGGTCATCAATTGATAATGACGATGGAGATCGATTCATGCGGCTTCAATTGCCTCAAACACAGGGGGATGACGATGACGATGAAGAAGATGAGGAGGATGAGGAAGCATCAATGGCAGTTCAGCGTATCATTCGAAAGTATGAGAAAGCTACTGTTCAAGAAATGACTTCCGAGGAGTCGCAGAAGGCGGCCCAAGAGAAGTATGACGAGGAATTTTTGGCTTGGAAGAATAAGTACTACCAGACCAAATTTGGATGGGGTCTTGAGAACAAGGAGGAGATGAAGAAGCTTGCAGAGAACTACGTGCAGGGATTGCAGTGGGTCTTGTTCTACTACTATCGTGGCATCGCATCTTGGCCTTGGTTCTTCCAATACCACTATGCTCCCATGATCTCTGGTCAGTGACAAAGGAGTGTTTCGGGATAGAGTTGCTTGCTGACAGAAATGCAGATGTGAACGCTGGCCTTGGCGCAGACATGGACTTCAAGTTGGGACAACCGTTCCGGCCGTATGATCAACTCATGGGTGTCTTGCCAGACCGCAGTAAGAAGATTGTGCCTACCGCCTATTGGGACCTGATGACATCCCCCGACTCCCCAATCTATGACTTCTACCCCCGTGACTTCGATCTCGACATGAACGGCAAAAAGATGGAGTGGGAGGCCGTCGTCAAGATTCCTTTCATTGACGAAAAGCGACTGCTGTCTGCCCTCAAGACAAAGGAACATCTACTCTCTCCGGACGAGAAAGCAAGAAATGATTTCGGAGCTTGCCTGAAGTTCACATATTCGCCAGATGTGAATTACGTCTACCCATCTTCAATGCCAGGAGTGTTCCCGGACCTCCCCAACTGCCGCTGCATTGAAAATATCTTTGAACTTCCCGTAATGGATGGATTGGAGCCCTACGCCGGTTTGATGACCGGCGTACACCTAGGTGATGCGGCACTTGCTGGTTTTCCCAGTATCAAGACACTGCCTAATCACGGCCAGCTCGGCTTCCACGGTGTATGTGTGTTCCAGCAAGACAGCCGTAACGAGAGTCAGGTTGTCACCCTACTGGACCCAGGCAGCCGCTCAAGCATCGAACTGGCCAAGAAGAAACTTGGCAAACGTGTCCACGTTGGATTCCCATTCCTGCAAGAAGCCCTCGTGATTCGTGTTTCCGACGAATTGTTCGACTACATCCTTCCTCCCGGAGAGGAACATCCTGTCTCCATTCCCCATACACCCCAGCAGATTGAGCAGTGGAAGAAAAAGGCCGTCAAAATTGAAAACACCTACAGCAAGCGCCTAGCTACGATCATCGGCGAAGTTGAAGCTCTTGTGCACATCCAGCTTCTCAAGGGTATGATCAAGACCGATGATGGTGCCACAATCAAGGAGTTTTCCGATATGCCAGGCCAGGAGACGGACTATGCCCTACAGGTCATCGTTGACGAGGTGAAGAACCCCGACCAACGGTTCATCGAGCGCGAAGCTGTTTCCATCGAAGAAGATTTCCCCGAGGGCTCCCGTGCCTTCTTCCTGGGTGACTTCAACTACGGAAGACCTGTGCATGTCGGTGGCCACGAGGACGGAAAAGTTAATGGATTGATCGCCGCCGTGAAGGGTCGGGAGCCTGAATTCGGCCGTGAGCGCGTGAAAGCAGCAGAACAACTCTGCCCTTACATGCCTTCTTACGCCGTCGCACGTAGCCTCCGCCTCAATGCCTTGGTATTGGCTAAGATTACATCTTCCTTCACCGTTGATATTGAGGGCACGCGTGCGAACCTCGGTCTCAACCTGAAGTTCCAGGCCAAGCAACAAAAGGTCCTCGGCTACTCTCGCCGTGGAGAGTCTGGCTGGGAATTCAGCCAAAAGGCAGTTGAGCTGATTCAACAATACATGATCAATTTCCCCGAGTTCATTGCTGGTATCCAGCGCAACCCTCAAAGCGATCGTTATTCCCCAACTGATTTCTACCCTGAAGAGATCGCCTCTCTCAAGATGAAGGAGATCAAAGATTGGCTCAAGTCTATCGAAGCCAAGAACTTCGAGAGAGTGCCCCTTGACGCCGAACAGCTCGACTCGGACATCGTGATGTTGATCGAGCAGGACGCCGATCAGTTCAACCGGTCCCAGCCACAGATGCAACCAAAGAAGGTCCGGGGCGTGCCTCGTGGCGCTCTTCTTCGGCCTGCTGATGTCGAGCACCGCCTCGGAAGCCAAACCTTCAAGCTCGGTGACCGGGTTGTCTATGCCCAGGATTCCGGTAAGGTGCCGATTGCTACTCGCGGTACTGTGGTCGGTCTCACTCGGACCGCACGAACTCTGCTCCTCGATGTTGTGTTCGACTCATCATTTATGAGCGGCACCACGCTGGGCGGGCGATGCTCGCCGTTCCGCGGCCAGACTGTTCCGGCAATCTCTGTCCTCAACATCTCCTACCGCCAACTTATCGCAAGCTCCCGTGCTGCGACTGACCACCAAACTCAACAGGCCCCTCTTCCTCTGACGGTTGCTGGGTACGGTGCGCCTCTTGGCCCCGGTAGCCAAGGTCAACTGAGAAACGCCGACGCCCCTGCTCCTCTCACCGGCTCTTTCCGAGGCGCTGTCTCCGGGCAAGGTGCCGGAGCTGGTCGCGGTGGCCGTGGAGGATTCAATAACGGTCAGCAAACCACTCTTCCCTTCCGCCCTCACTCCAATGGCGGTCCCCCGCGTGGCCCCCGTGCCCGTGGAGGTGGCCGTGGCGGCGCTCGTGGCGGGTACGTTTCAGTGGAACAGGGCGACCCCAGCGAGGGCATCATCCCGAACAACCCCAACTTCCGTCCTCAGAACTACACTCAAGTTCCACCTCCGCAAGGAATGGATCGAGGACGCGGTCGTGGCCGTGGCCGCGGAAATGGCAATGGATACCGCGGTAGAGGTGCCCGTGGACGTGGTGCGCCCCAGAGTGGTGCGCCCCAGACCAACCCCCAGTAACTCATTGATGCGTATCGCAAAGAAGACATGATGACATGACTGGTTTGATGCTGTACTATGTATATGGACCTTGAGATTCGTTCGCACGCTGGGCGGTTCTACCAAGGTTGCTTGTACATAGTATTTAAAGAGTTAAATGCAGTAATGATTGAATTCAATCAAAGCTTGATATTCTTGAGCACTCCTTAATCACACATTGCTAGTATACTCGTGCCCACGTAGTTTACATGAATTATAGGCAAGAGGCCTAGATTCCAGGTTAGACTGTTGCAGAGCAGAATTGGAACAAGAGCAACATGTGTCCCGTGCCGAACTGAAATACTCACCTGGGCACTAGATGGATTAAAACCTTGGAAAGAGCCCTAGTCAGAATAGGCAAAAGACTAGCAGGGCGACTAGGGAGTATTTGGTGCAAAGTAAACACAAGTACACCGATCTACCTTTCAAGGCTTTGTACATTTACAGAATAAAAATTATACAATAACAATTTTGATCTCAAACTGAAACCAATGGGCAATATGTAACAAAAAAATCAGCCCGGAATAGTCCTGATAGCCTACCTAAGGTAGCTTGGTGAATCCTCATGTAAATGCAAACCGATTCTCCAGCCATGACCCATGCAAAAAAATAAAGAGTAGAACGTCAAGATAATTAGAACATTGAGAAAGCTATTGTCAATGCGAAGCATGGTCGCTGGCTTCTTGCCTAGTGCGCTTGGGATCCCGAGCGCTGCTCGGCACTGAGCTGTCAGCCTTGCGCTTATCGCGATCCTTCTGGTTTTGATACTCGACGCGCCGAGCTTCCTTTCGAAGAGCCTTAGATTCAAACTCGTGCCAGTCGCCTTCAACGTGCTCCAATCTGTAGGCGTGGTTAGTTAACGATTCTCAAATTATGGATATGGGATACGTACTCAATCGGTGGATGGGGGGATGGTTCTTCCGATGTGAAGTATGGATGCTTGAGAACGTCCTCGGCACTTGGCCGTTGTGTGGGATCATAGCGGAAGATCGAAGAAATGAGATCCATTGCGCCGGGTGACAGGACATCGCGATATTGGTCCTCAAACACGCGCTTCCTGCGTTCTTTTGGTCGCATAAGATGGAACCAGGGCATCTCTACGAGATCTGGCCATTCACTCTTGGTAGGTGTACCCAATGCGTTATAGAGCTTTTCCATCTGACTGAGTTCACCACCTTCTCCAGGGAAGACCGCCTTCTTAGTGAACATTTCCATGCACACGCACGCAGCACTCCATACGTCAACGGCGGGACCGTACCGAGTTTCTCCCAGAAGGAGTTCGGGGGGTCGATACCAAATGGTAATGACTCGGTTGGTGTAGTCAAGTTGGCGGCTTTTGGAGAAGAACCGAGCCAGGCCGAAGTCAGCATACTTCAGCAACCCGCGATTGCTGATTAGAATGTTGGCTGCCTTGATGTCTCTGTGAAGTACGCCACGATGATGGAGGTAGTTGAGGCCTTCGAACATCTGCTTGGAGAGATCTTTCTTGTGTGCAAGAGAGAGGGAGAACGTGGGGTGGTTGATCAGCCCTGTCAGATCATGGGACAGATATTCAAAGACCATGAAGCACTCATTCTTCTCGACCATGACCTCCAAGAGGCTGACGACATTATGATTTCGAAGATGTTGGAGCAACTTGATCTCGCGCACAGCAGTGATAGGGAAGCCGTCTTTCTCGCCTTCCATTCGGATTTTCTTGAGCGCCACCTTTCGCTGGGTGTACACATGGATTCCTTTAAAGACTTTGCCGTATGTCCCGGCTCCAATCACAGATTCATTACCGGGTTTGCGGTAGTAAACCGAATCAGCGTTTGCAAACTCTTCCGGGAGCACGGGTCGGGGTTTTGGGCGAGTCAAGATCACTTTCTGCTTTGGTGGTGCCTCTCGGGTTGGCTCTGGGTAGGGTTCACGCCAGCGGTCCTGCCGATCCATTGGTCGATTTGGAGGGCGGTCACCCTTGCGTCGATCACGACGTTGATTCTGATCAAATCGGCGCTCATCTCGTCTGTCCCTTGGATCACGGAAGTCTCGAGAATCACGGAAGTCTCTTCTATCCCGATCTGCCCTATCTCGTGCACGATCACGACGATCATTCCTTGTGTCTGGCCTGAATTTGGGCAATGGCCCATTGGTTAGGCGATTGCGAGGTGATGCTGGCTCCTGTGGAGGTGCGCGCTGGGGCGGTTCTCGAACTTGCATACGTTGGGCAAGGTCAGGTACTGGCTTCGGGGCTGGAGATGGTACTGCTTTTGGCTTGAAAGCAAAGCTGAACTTTCCACCCTTTGGTCCAGGGGTCGAGTCATTGGCTTCTCGGGTAGGTGGTGGCATCGACGGGGCATTTCCATCATCAGAGGGAGGTCGGGCCATGTCTTCGTTCCCATAATGCCCTCTATCGTCATGTGGATCTCGGTTCAAGGATCGAGAGTGGTTCTCGTGTTCACCTGCAGGTGGAGATTCTGGATCATTGTGAGAATGTGATCGATTGGGAGTCTGCGACCTATTTCTGGGATCAGGCCGGGGGCTATGTTGGCCGCCACGGCCCCGAGAGCCCGATGCCGTCCATTGCAGGTTGTTGAAATGCCCTCTCCCACCGCGCTGTGGCGGTGCTGGGTGATAAGGGTGCGGACCAGAGCCCGGGAATCGTCGATCGGAGTTTTGTTTGGAGAAACTTCCTCGAGGGCCGCCACCAGAATGACCGCCGCGGTGGGGAGATCCACCATAGGAGTGCTGAGAGTGATTTCCAGGACCATTGTATTGGTCTTGATTGTGATAGTAATTTCCTGGGTGACCGTTGTGCGATGAGTGATTATCTTGTTGGTAAGGAGAAGTATGACTGAGTGCAAAGTTAGAATAAAAGTAAAGTGACGATGATTGGAGGTGGGTGGAGAAAGAACTAACCCTGGTCCAGGATAAGGAGGAGGTCCATTCCATTCTCCTCGCCCCGCCGAATAGGGCGACGGAGGCTGCGGGGAATCATGGAATGAGCCAGTTGATGTACCATGCTGAGTGGACGATTGATAAGGCCGAGAATCAAGATGGGACCGAGAGGATCGTCGACGTGACTGATTTTTCACATCATGGCGCGATCCATTCATGGAGAAAGCGTCTCGTGAATTAGAGAACTGTTCTCCGGTGGTGTCAAAGTTTTCAGTATCATAACTCGGAATTGGCCGGGGAGGGGAGGGAGAGCGAGTAGGATCGTTCAGAGCAGACTGGTTTGGTCGAACCGAGTTCATTATCGAGTTGCGCCTTGAGGTATGAGAAGCTGAGGAGAATTTGGATATTGATTGAACGGAATGCCTTGAGCTGGACCGATAATGAGATCCATGATCGCTGTAATCATCGCCATAGTTGTCGCCTCCAGGGGTACGAGGTCGTCCGTCGGGCGAAGGAGGGAATCCCCGCTCATGTCCTGGTGACCTAGATCTTCCGGGCCGAGGGAAGTCTGGTCGACGGCGGTCTTTTCCACGTCGGTCGCGACCTCGCCGAGGAGATCTTCTTCTGGGAGCACCACGGCCTTGATTCCGACCGCCTCGTTTTCTGTATGAAGGGCTTCGGTCCCGTGGTTCCCCTTGCCTAGGGAAGTTTGAACGTTGCGGGGGCAGAGGACCACGACGCCCACCAGGTGAGGGACTTCGAGTTCTCTGTCGTTTGAACGGGGGGCCGTTTGGTGACTCGGCTCTGCGAAACCCGGGGGCACCTTCTCTATCGAAGGATGCAGAAGGATTGGCGTTCCAATCGCCTGCATCTGCTGGTCGTGTCGAGTCTAGGCGGCGGTTGTTGTGGAAGTTCGGGGGTCCAGGGGAGCCTTGAGGATGAGATCGATCAGGAGCAAAGTCGCCTAGTTCATGAGAAGAGTCAGGCCCAAAGCGGGACGCGCGAGGTGGCGACCGTCCCGGGCGATCGAAATTGCGGTTGTTGGGCCGATATGGGCGACCTCTATCACGACCTCTGCCTCTGCCTCGATCGCGGCCAGAGCCTCGACCTCTACGTCGGTCATTGTCGCGGGGATCGCGCTCATGGTCAGCGCTCCACTGATCTCTCAGCACCGGACTCCTACGGGACCCAGCCATATGGATGTCGCCAACGGCATCAGGTTTGAATAGAAGTTGAAGTGTGTGCCAAGGGGGATAGCCCTTGGGGGAAGCCTGGACTGAGATGTCACGATGAATATGCGTAGTGCGCGATGGCGTTTCCAGCGTGTCTCCGATCCCAGGCGGAAGTCTTTCGGGGGGGACGGGTGGAGGGTTGTTCCGCTTTCCGAACTATCGCTGTGAACAACGTGAACTGTGAGTAAGGGGAAACTGAATTTGGGGCTGTACGCACCTATTCAAATTTATCAAATACAATCCTTTCCGTTGAAGATCAAAAAGCGAATGAACTACTGGGACCGAAGGTCAGGCGGATGACCGCTGTGTTGCTCACCGACGGAGGCTCTACTTGGTTCGATGCTGGAAGATTGGCGCACAGCTGTCGAAGAAAAGTGCAACCGATGCTCTGCTTTCCTCTGTATTGCAGGTGTCGGAGCTGGTCGGCTCAGATGTTAATCCTGTCAGATGGCGTGTGAGCCAAACAGTTAAAAGGCAAGTTGGCGATAGTCACGCTGGAAGCCTTGGGTCGTTTCCTTGTCGTGCTCAATCTGCACTTTGTACAGCAACTTGCCTTTAGCAGAGCTGTATGAAGACTGCAAGAGACCGTTTTGGCCAGTCCCACGGAAAGAACTATCTACGTACTGCACAAGGCCAGATGGGCCGTCATCCACAAAGCATCGCGGTGAGTAAGACCCCATTTGGGATCGTCAGATCACATAAGAATCACAAGGCGCGGTCTTGTCAGTCACTCCCAGAATCCACACGGTTGTCGGCCAGCTGGGGGAAATCCACCGTGTGATTCGCTGACAAGATATTGAAGTCCCGGTGTGTCACATCCAGTTGTCAAGTTCTCCAGAGTGCCCGTAGAACGGTCTTTTGACGGAAGATTCGAGTAATTCTGCGCCAAAGGGAGGGAGGCAGCCGTAGCAGGACCGGGGTTTACAACGGATAGATCGATGATCCTTCATCCGGGGACATATACCACCACGAGGAATCACACGAACCCTCCAATCGTGATTTCAGCGCGAGTCAACTTCTGTCAAATCTGGGAATCTCGGCCTGTTGTTCATCTGACACCGTCCATGTCGGTCGGGTGCACTTTGCTTCCTGGGTTGACCTGAGCGGGTAGCTGATGACCATGGCAGATGTACTGAGGTGAGTGTATCAATGTACGAGGCCTTCACAGCCACACGGAAACTGAATGAAAATCGGAGTTTCCGTCGCAGCGCCCGCAGAAAAAGAAAGTATCTTTAGTTGAACCCCGTCAGTGAGCCGAAAGAGGCTAAGCCTTCCGCGTTCAGCCAACCCCCTCCTCATCTTAAGTCGCTGAAATCAAATTCAGCACTAGCAGTCCACCGTTGGTAACCTAAAATCAAGCAACGCCTCATGATGTGGTTGTGGTCGCAAGGAACTCAATGCCGTGGCCTGAAACTCCGCCCGAGATTGAGGGCTGGGACACAAAGCCCCAACCAATCTCCCCGGCAGGTAGACATCTCACAAAAGAAAAACAGACCAGAGTACACATTCCAAGGGGAGAAGATAGCATGAATGATCGACAAAGACGCGCACTGCACCAAATGGAGGAACTAAGAGAGCAGGGAGGTGGGTTGATGTCATGGGTAAGTCGGAAGTTGTTGGCCCTGAGCGTGGGGTCACATGCAGTCACGTGTTGCTTACGAAGTATACAAAGGGACAACACTCCGTGTAGTTTCATCTAATGAAAATCATTATCGAATACTTCTTGTTTGTACCTACGAGTAAGAGCATTTTCATAGGCCAGATAGAGTCAATCACTCAAGGGATCATTGGTTGGAGCCTAGTCAGATTTTACCCAAGTGTAACATCAATGCTCTCTCCACGACAAGATATAAAAAAGGGAAGTGGGGGAAAACTGCCAAATTCACCTAGCGCCCAGATTTACCAGGGATACCTCGGGGGCTGATTTGGTTCCATAGGCGAGAGGTGACCAGAGTAGCAGGCGCAACTTGGAGTGGGATGACATGGAGTCCACTCGGCCATTTTGGCGGCACCTTCACCTTCACCAGCTGCTTCCAAGGTTGACTCGTGGCCCAATTCTCCTGATTGATACCAGTGAATAGGCACCTTTGAAAAATAAGGCAGGCTCACCTTCACAAAAAGAAGCCATCCCTTGATTTCCTCTTCTACCTCAATGAACCATTTCTCTTGACCTCGATAGAAAGTTAGATCTGCAGGAACCCCACCAGGCCAGAAATGCACAGTATCGGAAGACATCCTTCCAAGGTTGAATTTCGATGCCGAGGGACTCGAGGAACAGGGAACACAGCGAGTGCAAGGCACTCAAATCCGTGGAAGTGTTGTCGCTTAGTGATGCAGTGGAGATGATCCCTCGCTGGCCCCCTGTGGGGTACTATATGGACCCTGTGCTGCGACTCAAGCCTCCCCCATCAGACCCGATTTTTAGTCTACTTCTGAGGTTTCCTACTGTGGACCGAAAGAACACAAGCCTCAAGATCAAATGTTATTCACTTTCTACTCCTACACATTCATTGATAGCACCGCTCTCAGCACACTGTCTACTCACATCGTAGGACCGCCTAATCGTACCTCCCCTCAATCATCAGCCCCGTCAATCGGGAACCGACGACGGGGACTATCTAGCCCGTTGGAGTATCTCATGCTGGAAGTCTTCATTTTCTCGCGCTTTGCAGGCGAAGACTCTGCCGAGGAGAGGGTGAAATCCGAGTCTGAAAACTCCATAGACGAACGGGTCCCAAGCTTAATCTTCTTAGCAAAGGGCTTTGAATCTCCTGTGGCGTGGTTGACCACCTCCAATTTACCGGGCAACGGAGGCGAAAGAGCAGGCGGTCCTGAAGGGGTCGCTACAAACGAAGCGAGAGGCGAGAGAAAAACAGTAGCCCGTGGGTCTTGACCAGTACGGGCTTCCTCTATGGCTTGCCAAGCCGCTTGGTCACGAATGAAAGCATGGTCCAAGCTGGAAGGTAGGCTTAACCCGGTCGGCGAGCGATCTCGAAAAGACGAAGCTGGTGAAGTCGCAAGCTCGGGGCTGCAGATAACAGGAACGCTCGAAAGAACAGAGGGGCTCGAGGAGAAACGTGGAAGTGCTCCAACTGTGCGTAGGCGTGGCTCCGTATCAGGAATGAAAGCTGAGTTGTTTCTGAATGAGTTGCGCGATGGGTCAGAATCGGAATTCGGCGTTGAAGCAGGTGGTGTGGTTAGGCCTGGGATATCCTCAGGTGCGATGAATGCCAGCTGGTAACGAACTGTCATTGTCTCGACCGAACGGCCCGGATCAACCGATAATACTGTGACAGGCGGCTGGCCATGCTGGCTTGCATGGAGGGAGTGGATAGACGAGTCTGAAGCAAGCCCAGGGATTGTAGTATTCGGGTGTCCAGATACATTAGCTGAGTGAGACGTGACAGCCGAGGTCAGTGATCGTGCATCTTGGGAAGGGTTCCATTGCACCTGTGTGATAGGATCCATACTGCCATCTAGTCTGATAGGCGGATGACTTCTCACCAAGGCACCTTGTTCGGTCAGAGCTATCCAAGGAGGGACTCGATGTTGTTGCTGGTCAGTAGGAGTCACTACTGGGCGGAGCTGGTCGACAGGAATCGCCACAAGAATCTGCTGACGGAGAGGCCATGCCTGGACCATGCAACCGGGAGGATACGGATGTTGTAGCTGTTGGGAAAATTCAGTGTAACCGTTTCCCACTAAGAAATAGTCGTCAGAGCGGCCGTTTGTCAATGGATTTTGGGTTGTAGACGTAGAATATTGTGAGACGGAGCGAAGAGGGGAAAAGTCGGATCGAGCTGCTGGATTAAGGTTGCAGTTCTCGCCTGTAGGCCCAAGAGACGTTGAGGGCGAAAGCTCATCATAATTCGTATCAATCTCAAAGCTATCAGGGCGTGGTAGAGTGGAAAAATCAATGTCTGCTGGGTTTGAGAACGCTCGCACGGAAGCAATATCAAGCATGATCGGAACCTCCAATGACTCTGGAGATTCTGGACTTGAAAACTTTCGAACAGAGGCAAGGTCAAGCATGACGGGGACCTCGAATGAATCTGGCTCCGAATTCTCCAATGGCTCAGAGACAGGCTGGCCAATTGAATCTGTTGCAGTGGCTGGAGAGGTTTCAAATTGCATGATGGGTAAGTTGAGAGAATCCGGCGACGAAGATGCACTTCTGGGCGTTTCCTCGGGAGTCTGTGGCTCATTTAACTTGTTTGGAGATTGATACAGCGCAGGTGGCAGTAGCTGGTCTGGCTCAAGGCCCAAGGTGGGAGGAGACGAGTCCTGGGATGATGAGGCTGAGGGGGGTTTGAATGGAGTCTCATGGTTTATGGGAGATTCAGGTTGATTTGGCGTGTTGTTGACATCGATGCGCTGGGAATGGATTTCTCGCATGTGGGAATCAATGTTCAGTTGAAGAACCTCAAGAGCATCGGAGACTCGACGGAAGGACTCCGTCTCGGTAGCCTCATTTGATATCACTGGTTGGTTTGGGGGAGTGGCGGTTTCGTCTCGGAAGATGTTACTTGGGGAGCCATGCATCACCGGTTCCTCTGTAAGATCACTCATTTTGCTTGAGATGATAAAGTTGCTTCACGAGGTAGAATGACTTGGAGAGGGGGAGAGGCATGAAGAAGCGAGAGTTTTGGCGGGCTGGGGGAGATTACAACATGGGGAGAAAAGCATACTCTGTCGACATGTGAGGGCCTGACTGCAGCACCACCACCATCTCCCCAGACGCAACCCCAAATGGACCCAAGACGGGATGACCTATCATCCATAGATTTTGTCATTTTTCCGAGAAACATTCGTACGCACCTCGAATGGTGTTTCTGGTACAGTGCTGATTGACTCGATCTGATCTGTTGAAAAGCTTTTTAGGGCTTAATGCTAGCCTCAAGTTCGGAGTACAGTCCCCGTGTTAGCAGATACATGGCTTCGTCTCGGAGACACGTTCCTGGAATAGCTCATCTATGGATCAAGAATATTGTCGGGAAGATATAAGGTGTTGATAGGTAGGGCTTGAGGCTAAGTACGGAGTATGAGGCCAAGACGGGTTTATTTGACAGAAGACCAAGAGCTTCAGTTTGCGATTTTAGGTATAGAGGGTAGCACGAAGGATTGTAACGATGCTGGAAGCAAGTGTGAGGAGAATTAAAGGGGGCCATAGACAAATAAACTGTATAAGCATAGCGAATCTAGAAGTGTAGACGTGGGTTGCTGACGTGGAAGCTCGATTATACTAGACACGAACGGTTAGTCGATGTCAAGAGCAAGAGCCAAAGCAAAACACCAATCCTGCATATACAAAAGGCTCAGACTTTGCCTGTTTACCGCATGCTCAACCAGCTCGTGAGCCCGAAGGCCAAAGTAGTACGGCGGTTAAGTCCTCGGATTACCAGAGAGCTCAAAAGAGTTTCTTCATTGCAAGTGTATAGCGAGTGTATAGAATATTTCAATTGAACGTACCCTACTCATATAAAAAACAAAAACAAAGACAGATTTTTCTAGGGATGTGCCGTGCATTCAGGTCATCACCGCATCATGGGTTGCTGTAAAGCCCTCGTGATGATGGTTTTAGATGCGATTCAATCAATCTCGACACACTCATCGGAAACGTCAAGACTGTAAAGGTAAAAAGAGAGTCGTCGACGTTGATTTGAGTTGGTGGTCTTGAATGAAGAAGAAAAAAGAAGAGAAGAAGAGAAAACGTCGCGCGAAGAAAAAGGAAAATCGGGAAAAAAGACGGTGCGGGCTGCAGGCGAAAGGCCCGCTGATTGGTTGGAGCTGCGCTCTACTCAACTCTCCGATCCTCTCTTTTCCTTCAATCTCCAATCTTTTGCTTCAAGTCTTTGTTTCAACGATTTTTCTTCTTCTTTAGCTGATATTTTACGACTCTCTACTGCTTCTACTACCCTCGATACCTTGACCCCTCCTCGACCTCTCTAATCCTACCTCGATCCTGCGCAAAACCTTCCATTTCCACTCTGTTCGCACCTACTACGTCACGGAGATAACAGCGCCGGCGTCTTACTTCTCTGTGTAACACTCATTTCGGATCTCTCTCTTCCCCCCTGATGACCGCTCGTGTCTCGGGCAGTCTACTCACCCGCCGCGATGGATAATGCAAACCTGTGGACCCGCCGGGCAAAGTAAGTCGTGTGCCCCTCACCAAAAGCGACTCTGCGCCAAAGACTGACCTCGTGCTCTTTTTTTTTTTTTTTTTCGTATAGCTCCTCTAAGTTGTCCCTCTCCACCCCCGGGGCAGACGTCAAAGATGGTGCCCGGGTCGAACTGCCCCGCCCATCGAAGCGGTTTGGGCCCGACAGCTCCCATGGCCGCTCAAATCCTTTTAATGCAATGTCCCCTCTATCCGGCGGCGTTTCTTCGCCATCCACCAATGCCTCTTCCGCCTTCGGTTTAGGATCCGGCGCATTCGCCTCCTTCGGTGCACCCAAGACTCCCGGTGGATCCGAGCTGAAGACACCCGGCGAACGACGGGAAGTACTGATGGAACACGACGAGGCTCAACACGCCTTTGACCACGTCCTCTCTGCTCCTGGCGAGCATGGTCTCAAGTCGACATGGATTGTCTGGTACCGCCCTCCCACACCCAAATATTCCGACTACGAGAAGTCCACTGTCCCATTGGCTTCTATAAACTCAGTAGAGAGCTTCTGGGCTGTCTACTCCCACCTCAAGCGCCCTTCTCTTCTTCCGACAGTTTCCGACTACCACATTTTCAAGAAAGGTATCCGCCCCGTCTGGGAAGACGAGGCCAACAAGCGAGGAGGCAAGTGGATTGTGCGCTTCAAGAAAGGTGTATCTGATCGATACTGGGAGGATCTCCTCCTGGCTATGGTTGGAGACCAATTCGCGGAGGCTGGGGACGAAGTCTGCGGTGCCGTCCTGAGTGTCCGCGGTGGTGAGGATGTGCTCAGTGTCTGGACCCGGATTGACGGAGGGCGCAACATTAAGATTAGGTATGTACTGCCTACTCCTCTCTTCTGTCTATACCATCTAACCCCATCGACAGAGAAACAATCAAGCGCCTGCTAGCCTTCCCGACAGACACCAATATCATCTGGAAGAGCCACGATGACAGCATTGCACAGCGGTCTGCTATTGACCAGGCCCGCCACGAGAAGTCCGTGACCGGCACGGGACACCAAGAACGGCGACGCCCAGGTCAAGACGACTCAGACAAGGGTAAGCCAGCCGTTGCCCTCTAGACAGGGGACCACCCATCTGGCCTTGGGCTCTGTATAGTAAACCGGAAAAGGAAAAAAAAGAAAACCTTCATTCACGAATCATTGGGACGCGTTTGGGTCTTAAGGGGCGGCGGGGCATCGAGGCGAACTCAGCGGTTTGATTTGGTTTATGTCTTGAGTGAACTCATCTGTGAAATGTGTCTTTTGTTATCTGAGCTCATGCGTGATGTTCTCTTCTGTATGCAACATGAATGCAGCAGTAGTCTGCTAATGCCTTTTTTTTTGCTTGTTCCTTATTATTATTTATTTGCCCATGGTATTCTCTTGTATTTCAAGGTTGACATTTATCTATTCTACCAACATTTGATACAAACATTTGCTTAAAGCATGATCATGACCCTGGCCATACTCCGTATAGTTACGTAGCCAAGTTCTCAAAGAACGACACCCGAATTCTCAGGCGCCGAGTTTTGACCGCCTAAGACTGAAGATGACGATGCGGCGGGCCTCAGACCAAAGTATGAAGAAGCTCTACTCGAGTGAACACCTGCATAATGCCCTGGAGTGGCTGCCCTCATGCCTGTATTTGAAAGTTTTGCAAATTTCTTTGCAAATCTCTCTCCGCGAAGCCAACGGAGTCAACGGGGTCAAGGCCGATCTGCTGTCCAACCTGGACAACCGCAGACCCCTCCTCGTTATCGACCTGGTCGCGCTCCCTTTACACTCGAAGACGATCCGCCCGAAGCTTCTGCTGCGCAAAGTGTTGGTGTGACTGATCACCCGGAGGTGTGTATCGAAATCTGCGCGTTCCCGCCCACACCTACCTTTCGGTCTATCTTTTTATACAACCTCAGCTCTCCTCAGCTCGAGGAGTTGTTGATCAGTCCAAACTGCCCTTGAGCTGGTCACTTGGTCATAGCCAGGATTACATGATTAAGAATAGGCTGATCGTAACTCCTAGGCTGTTCATAGTTATGTCGATAACATTTCCTCGCCAACTGGACCTCCGAGCACAAGCCAGCGCACACCTCCCCAATTTCCACACCTTGTCATAGACCTCGACGATCGGTCAGAGATGGATCCCGCCAATCAGTCTACCGGCACACAGCTGACGACATTACCCTCGCGCAGAACTAGCCAGCCGTCGCAGATGGTGAACAAGAATAGCCGGGACCGACAGGATGAGGCTCGTCTGTTAGGAGGAACAATCAGGTTCGTTGAAATTGAATGGATACAATGGGGGGGCGCAACTAACCGGAGCCCCGTTTTTTTTTCTTCAATAGGGACCCCAACGCTGTTCCGATAAAGCCCAGCGCAACAATGCCATCAAAAACAAAGAAGCCAGGGGTGGGTTTTAGCGCCTGCTAGTTTATTCTCCGCTAATTCTTGTCTTCAGTCTAATTATTCGTTTTCGCCGTCGGATAAGATATCGAACAAAATCCGGACCAGTGAACCAGTCCGTGGTCGAGCGAAGCCAAAAGAATATGCTTCTAACATGCGACGAAACCCAACACTCCCCGATGATGCATTTGAAGAATCAAGCCGGCCTAGTAAGAAACGGCGCCAAGGTATTCTGGGCCCTGCAATTGGCTCGACCACCACAACAGATGTCATCGAGGATCGCTCTCACCTAGGAGCTTGGGACTCCCCGCAGCAAGGCCTCCAACCGAAGCGCAAGGGATCCATTGGTCTCTCTCATCGTCTTAATGAATACAAAGAAGTGGAAGATGGTCTCTCGATGTCACCGACCCGTCGACGAACTCAAATAAAACAACATGCTGCTGCACACATTCCCGACGAGCAGTTTACGGAAAAAGCTGCACAGCAACGGCGAGGTGTACGGAAGCAGAATGAATATCAAGTGCCTAAAGGCAACGCGAAACACAAAGCCGACGACGAGCTCCAGGTCATAGATAGGGTTGAAGTCAAAGTCAAGAAATTTGATCAAGAAAAATTCGCTGGCTCTCATCAGAATCGTTCTCTTGACAGTGGCAGGGAGAGTCCGGATGCAATTCAAGGTGATATCACGACGGATCCAAAGAAGATCATCACAACAAAGTCCACCAAAGTTCCGCGTCCACTGAACACTGAGATGCAGTCCCAAACCATTACTCGAAAGCGTTCCCCGGCTGACATTCGGCCCACGGAATTCTCCTCGCCACAAGGAAAGAAAAAGACCAAGCACTCTCACCAGAAGTTCGCCAATAAATCAACGTTGAAAGCGTCGTACCTCCGAGTAGGATCATTCAGCAAGCAATGCCGCGATGAGGAATTTGCTCCGATCCATATCACCGATGCTGGGTTCGAGCTTCGTGCAGATCTCCTTGGGGACGACCAAGAGCTCAAGATCCCCTTCAACCAGATCAGAGCATTCTATTACAGCAACGGCGTGACCAAGAAGAAGGCGACAATGATACTTACAGGATGGAAGAACAACAGTAGCAATCTACGAATGGACCTTGAGTTCTGCAACAAGAAGGAGCAGCAGGCCGTGACGTTGATCAAGCATCTACTGGAGCCGCACGGCATCTTTATCGACGCTAAAGATGAGTATGTCTTGAAGAGTACCGTGTGCATGCTGGAACAGTCTGCTAACATTAGACAGCGACGAAATGAGTGCCAAATTCCACCAGTACAAAAAGCAACACACACACGCGGACGACCGTAATCTGATGTCTCTACCCGGCTACGGTCCCAACACTGTTCCCGAGATACCCAAAGGACGGCTCAAACTCAGAGACAATTTGAGGCAAGCCAACGGTCAGGTTCCTGAACCAAAGGGTAGCAGGCTTCGAAAGGGCTCCCTGGATCTCGGTCAGAACTCCAGATCAATTGCGAAAGACCGTGACCACCAAACTTCTGACCTAAATGCCACGGTCGAATCTGAGCTACCCGTGGAGCCATTGGGAACCGTGGGCCGTGGGACCCGCTCACGAACACTTCGCGAGGTACCCAAGGCGTACAGTGCGTTGAACGGATCTGGACCATCCACCAACCATCTGAATAGTGCCCTGCTTGAAGATGATTCCTTCCGAGAAAATTGGAACCAGCCTTTGGTCTACCCGCCAAACGGAAAGAAGAAAGCCGAGGTCACTCTTGATGACCGTGACCGGTTACGTGAGGACACCTATCTCAATGATAACCTCATTGCCTTTTACATGCGGTTCCTTCAAGAAAATCTCGAGCGAACAAATCCGGATGCTGCAAAGCGGATCTACTTCTTCAACTCGTATTTTTTTGCGACTCTCAGACCACCAGGTACTTCTCTGTTTAATTACAAAGGAGTGGAAAAATGGACCCGGAGCGTGGATCTCTTCGGCTACGACTATATCCTGGTTCCTATCAACGAGCATCAGCATTGGTACATCGCCGTGATATGCAACTTGCCCAGCCTGTCATTCGGGGACGCGGAGCCAGTGGAGCAAGCAGAACAAGCTCAGACACCATCTTCAGCCGAGGAAGCAGAAACTCCACGCCCAGCCGATGTGCAAAAGATTGACGAATCTCCGGAGCCGCAGGCGGAACCGGAATCCGATAGTTCCACCGGGCAAAAGCTTGAGGAAAACAACAATCAATCTCCTGGGCCATTGAAGGAACAAAACACTCGAAAGAATCTGGCTTCCATCATAATGGAGCAGCAAAGATCGGCAAATGAAGGTGCAAACTTCCCAGCACCAGAGCCACAGGTTGGCTCTGGAGAATCAGATGCTGAGAAGAAGTCAAACTCCACCCCACACTTGTCCAAGGAAGCAGCGCAGCAGCTTGCGCAGGACGAGGCTGCAGCTTCTCAGTCAGCCACTCGAAAGAAGAGCCGAGTATCCGCCGCGCATAAGCTGAATCCCAACCAGCCGACCATCATTACCTTTGACTCCTTGGACGTTTCTCGTTCCCCGACCATCAAAGTCCTCCGCGAGTACATCTCAGCAGAAGCGAAAGGCAAGCGCGGCGTGCAGATCCAAACCAGCGGTATCAAGGGAATGCGGGGCCGAGGAATCCCCCTCCAGCCAAATTTTTCCGACTGCGGACTCTACCTATTGGCCTATCTCGAGAAGTTCATCCAAAGTCCCGACTGGTTCATTGCCAAGGTTCTTCAGCGAGGTATGGATTCTGACGTTGATTGGCCTCCACTGGGCTCTGGTCTTCTTCGGTACCGCCTACGCACCTTCCTTGATGATCTTTATACGGAGCAGAACCTGAAAGGCCAGAGTTCAAAGGGACCGCGGATGGCAGACCGATCACCAATCAATTACCTGCTTGGTCCAAACGTGCCCCACAAGGAAGATACTCCTGCCGATGATATGGTGCCCGAGTCTCAGCCGGAGCCCCAACAGGAGAACAATACCTGGTCCATACCAGAGAAGGATCCCAAGCCCGTGGATCCTGGGACGCAGAAGGCCAACGAGGGCCACAAAGAGGAGCGAGCCCGGAGCCAGCTGCAAATGGCGTCAGCCGAAACCACCCCAACATCGAAATCTAAGAATGCTGCATCCGGAAAACCTCAGAACATAATGAGTTCTCTCACGCAGGACCAACCGGTCATCCAAGTACCCGGTAGCCAGGAAGAGCCCGAAATACCCAGAACACCTTCGCCAGCCGAACCCCAGCAAACTCGGCGGAAGCATCGGGACCGCTTCAAAAATTGAAAGTACTCATCTCGACAACTTGACCCAATCTCTTCCAATTCACACTTCAACTGCGAATATGTCACTGCCAGTGGCAGCTTTTTTCTACGAATCTTGATCTTGTTTTTAGCGTTCCGTATGGTTTTTCATGGGAAACCATCATTTCTGATATAGATAGCCCCTCAGTTCAGGGAGTTTGAGCAGAGTTGAGGTGAATGATGGGACGGCACAGCGAAGTGATAGCATAAGATACCATTTTCTGCATTGAATTGCAATTTCGTTATTTCATTGATCCTAAAAGATTTCCATGGGTAGAAAAGCTACCAAATAATAGTCCAGCTGAGATTGTAGTCGTATTTTCTTCCGAGTGCACGTATTCCCCCCAAGAATCTCTTATAGCCTCCGAATGAAGGCTTTGTAACTTTGCTGAGCTCGTTAAGGCGTGCGATAACGATGAATCGGATGTTTGAGGCGAGACAGCCAAACAAGATGATATGCTTCAGAACTCATCCTCGATGGTCCCAGCCCACCATGCCAACTTATCTTTCTTGAAAGCCTCGAAGTCCCACTCTGCATCTTCAAGCCAATCCTTCCCAGAGGTCCACACGTAGGTCATTGCCGGTGTCTCTTCTTCATCCGCAACAGCGGTCCGAGCCGCATCGAGCATCTTCGGCAAACTTTCCGCGCACGCATCACCAGACACTTCATTGAACTTCTGCAGCTTGTGCACAACCACCTGCTTTCGAGTATAGTCTGCGCCTTCGAAGCAGTCAAGGCGACGGACATCTTGATCTGTTAGTCCCGAGACGAGGGTACCGAGAACCGACTTCCTGGCTGAAGTGGCATCAGAGGCCGACTGCTCTCCGGTTCCTTGGTCAACTGGAAGGATACCAGGATAATCAGCGTGTTGAACGCGATGGCGACGATAGCCGTGGAGAATGGCTGGTTGGAAGCTGATCATGGCTTTCTGCCAGGGCTCAGGGTTGGGGCTGCCATGAATGACACGATGAAGCACTTGAGGTGCCATCAGAGTACCTTGGAAATGTTAGCTTATAAATTGTATCTAAATTTAGAGACTTACCATAGAAAAAGAGGACATGGTCACCCATTTTGGCTAGTGTGGGGTCCGTAAATCAAAGTGGTTGTGAATTGTGAGGGTGGTGAGGGATGAAAAAGTGAAGTTGGGAAGCGATGATGGGGTTGAATTGAAAGTTTGTGAAAGAAAGAGAAGAGTCAACCCGAAGAAAAGACGCTGAAAGTTCAAGCAAAGAAGAGAGGAAGGTCAACGATGACCCCAACCTGGGAAAGATAGCGTTCTATAGATGCCGCTTATCGATAAGCACTAAACACAACCGGCCCAGCTGGCTTCATCTCTTCCTCTCCCAGCAACCACCCGCGATGCACTCCTCACTAACCCGCATCCAGTCGGTATTCGGCTTTTTCACCACGGTTGCGCTGGTCGTCAGTGCATTTGCCGCTGTCTCTGTCCTTCTCTTCCCGGCAGAGGACACCAATGCCTCCGTGCAGCTGAAGAACGTCCAGGTGTAAGTGCACCACCGCAATTAACTTGCCACCCATGGAACTTCCAGAGGTACAAGGCACTAACATAATACAAAATGCAGCGTCAAAGGCCGCCCTCACTATCACTCGACCAAGCGCGAGGAGTATGCGCAGTTCCGGTTCGACCTGGACGCCGACCTGAGCCCGCTCTTCAACTGGAACACCAAGCAGCTCTTCGTCTACGTCTACGCCACCTACTCCTCCTCCGATAAGCCCAACTCGCAAGTTCGCGACTCCGAGGCGATCATCTGGGACGCGATCATCCCCGCGACACCATCCCCATACTCCTTCGACATCCTCAAGGACCGAGTAACAGCCCTTCTCCCAGAATCGCTCACATCATCCTCCGCCTCCGCGACGCGACGCAACAAGAAGCGCAATGCAAAGCCAAGCAAGGCCGCGAAGGCCAAGGAGGCCGCTACGCCTGGTGTTCTGAGGCTGCGTGGCCAAAAGGGCAAGTACCAGATTAGCGATATTACTGGACGTCTCGCGGAGCGCCAGAACGTGACTCTTCATGTTGGATGGAATGTTCAGCCGTGGGTTGGGGCTTTGTTCTGGGCTCCCAGGACCGGTGCTTTGCCCCGGACTGCGGGCACGATTGTCAGCAGTGAGGCTTTTGATTTCCCTGAATTGAAGGGGAACAAGAAGGCTGCTGCTGAAGAGAAGGCGAAGACTGAGCAAGCGGGCACTGAGAAGGTCCGTGTATAGGCTTTTATTGGATGGCGCTGAACCTTTTTCTACCGGTTGGATTTCTGTTGGATGTATTTCAGAGCTCAATCACATGTGCAACGCAATATAAATGATACATTTGCCTCCGTGGCTGGCTGAAGTAACTGTTTCTACACTACGCTAGGGCCTTGGATTGAAGCTACTGGTAAACGCTCTAGATCCCGAGGGAAGCTAACCTTGGAAGTTGATGGTGGCTGTGATCAGGAAATCATTATCTTATTTCATACTCCTAATAGGCATGATGATGCCCAAAGAAGCTTTAATAAGGGTATGGATATGGAAACAATAAGAATCGCTTAGGTCGGAGTCAAAAACATGGAGCAAGACAGCTCAAGGTCGTCAAAATGCCAATAAAACGGTTCAGTGTGGTGAATCACACAGTGCCATAATTCCTGTCTGCGTGTGTGTGGTGGTGACCTCCGTTTTGAATGCGATCAGAGTAGACACCGGGTGCGGGTCGTTGGGATGCTCGAGTTAGAGGATCGCGGTTGCGGCGATCGTAGTAGACATATTCCAAGTAGAAGGCGTGGATGTGACCGGGGAAGTACCTGAGGCTTCTTGTCAGCTGGTGAGAAGCTCCATGTGTGTGGAGCAACTTACCCGAGAATAGTGAGGAGGACATTGATCCAGAAATCAACTCCGCAGCCTGAGATGAGGAAGACGCCAAGAGGGGGAACTGGAGTGTGTTAGATGCGGGGTCATCATCAGGAGACCAGGGCAGCTTCAAGATCATATTGCCCGAATAAACACTTACTGAAGATTGTGATGATAATCATGCACAGCATTGAGCATGTGCCTGCCATAATTGCGGATTTGGTTTAGTCGACTTTGGAACGTTTGAAGTCGGTGGTAGCAAGGAAGCTGAGAAGGAGGATTGTGAAGAGGAGGATGAAGATATAAATAGGCTCGTTGTCATCGGCAGGGGAGTTAATGCGTTTCATCTTGGCCCACGACGTCAGACGATCGACTGAGAGGAACCGGTAGGGCTGAGGCAGCCACAATGCTGATTGGCGGGCGGTGACAAGATGATGTCACCGAGCCAAATAAGTGGATCCACGCCACACGCCACACTCCAACACATGTGGCGGTGCATGTTGTGCTGTTGTACCTTTGTCGCCTGCACAGACAGCACATCCAAAGATACAAAAGGACTCGGGATTTCTTTTCCTGTTTTTGTGTTTTCGAATCTCTCTACACAGCATCGATCGCTGCTCGAGTGGTGACTTGCTCGTTCTTGTTTCCAAGCTTCGAGATCTGCAGGAAGGCATCCACACCATAGCCTTCCAGACTGTGCAGTTCGAGACTGCCTGCCCAGTATTCAGCATAAACCCGACTCATGGGCAACCCCATTCCCAATCGAAGATCTGGCGGCCGTGACGTCAGTGTGTCCAAAGATCCTTCATGGTATGATAAGAATGATGTGTCGTGATTTGCATGCTTGCGTTCGTGGAACACTTGCAGCTCTTGCATGGTAGCTGCCATTGCGGGGACCCGCCCAAGGTTCTCCAATCGGGTCTGTGTGCGAGGACCCTTGCTAAACGACCAGAGATAAGGGAGAATCTCCCGCGGGATACCTCCACCTTGGTCGGAGATTCGCATTATCACGTGCTGTGGGGTCTCGCACACGAGCACCTCGATCGGTGGCGGCGGCTCGGTGGAGCCATGGTATTTCTCCATCACCGCCTGAACCGAGTTGCGAAGGAGCTCCCCGATGATGTACTCGAGGTGACTTAGTATATACGGGAAAGTGGCGTCGGTATGGCCCCGGACAGTGATGGCAGGGATCTGGGTCGACTCCGAGGTCGTCCGCATCAGATCCTGTGCGACCTTACCACATCTCTCAACCACTTCCTTCGCCTTACACTTGAGGAACACTTCTCCCACGAAATCCGCGTTCATATCGGTTCGGTCGTGGGAGTCGGGGAAATGCCATGGAGAGTTGAAGGTTTCGGTGAGAGCGAGGTGCTGTTCGGCGATGACTCGGCGGGAGATTCTCTGCAATTGAAAGAAGCTTGTCAGCCACGATCCGGGTCAGAATGGGGTTGTTTCGATGCACGTACCGCTCGCAGAAGCGTGTTCATCAGACGGTCCATCTCGTCCGCCGGAGCAAGGTTTCGGCACTCCAACACACCCATCGCCAGATTGGGGATCACCACCAAGTGCTCTCTCAGCATCTCCTTGAGTATATCACAGAACCGATCATTATCTTCCAGGCTCCTGATCTCAGGCACCACGCGGGCCTTCTCAAACGCTTTGTAGTACAGCTCGTATACGAGAGTAAGGTGTGGGTTGGCCACCACCACATAGGGTAGCTGTTGAATGTCTCGCAATCGATGCGCCAGTCTATCCCGTCATCCCGTCAGCGATATCTTCTCACGGGTTTGCAGTTGTTGTGACCTACCGGGTTGGCAGCTCGGTTCGCACGTAGTTTGCAGAGCTGATCAGGCGCGGTTCGGTAAGGGTACGGCCGAAGAAGGTCAACTGGCGAAGACTGATGGGGCGTATCGCCCTCTCCACCCATCTGGCGCAAAATCGCGGTTAGCACACGAAATCCATAGCTTCATCTTGAGTCATACTCATCGACGGCGGACACTGGCCGCCATGGGGGGCTGTGCGCTCTCGAGTAGAGACGGGTGGGGAGATATTGGAAGGATTTCCAGCTCCGAGGTGAATAATTCGACCTCATTGTGCTTCATGCACTCATTTGGAGAATGTCGAGAAGTTGATGGCGTATCTCCAGAGTTTGGGGTCGCGGGCGGTGAGCCAAGCATGTGATGCACTTGACTCTTTACTTGAGATCGTTTGTTTTGTATTCGTTCACTTCTCTGCTGTTCTGCTGTTGAGAAAGGACAAGAGGAACAAAAAACGCAGGACTTTCAAGGTTGTCAACCCGATCGCAGGGAATTGAACACAGTCAGGGTTTTATATCGAGCCCAACGGTGCCTCGGAAGTATCTGCACGGACTCTGGGCCGATCACCTCGTGGAGAGATCATATGAGGGGTTGATAGAAGGGAACATGGTCTCATTATGAGCTGAGGTCGTTGTCAGATTTCGAGAGCTCTAGAGTTTTCGAGTGCAGGGGGCCTAAGAGTCCATATAATCCAGAGATATCGAGCTATATAGACCTCGCACAACTGTAGAAGACTGGAGATATGCAGGCGTTTCCACTTAATGCGAAGGGACTCACCGTCTTCAATTCTCTTTACATTCTAAACTCAGATGCAAAGCTTCTCGAAGCTCGGAGCAAACGATTCCCATTTATTTCATACAAGTCCGACCTTTTTTTGACATCAAACCTGATTTCTTCACGGGCAGATCTAATTGACCCAGAGAGGCTCCGCCACCGCTAGCTCCGGGCCCTTATTATTCTGCGGGTTCAGAAAGAATCCTCCCATCCACTCCCCCGGCTGTTCTCTCCCTTGCATTCTTTCCTTTCAAAATTCACAAAACACCTTCCAACATAAAACTGTCGCCTTCCGGCTGGGAAGGCGCTTCCCGCGATGGAAAACGTGAGACTTCCCTGCCCCTCGTCTGTGTCGTCATTGGCCTAACCTTTGCAAACAGCTCGCGGAGAACGACATGCTTGTCGATGACTATGATTACCCGACCGAACAGACCGATGTCGTTGTCGTGTCTCCCTCGGCCTCCGATCCCGAGTCCCCTGCGACCGCAGATGACCGTACGTGTTGTATTCTTCATTCCCATAAGCAAAACAGCCCAGCTTGAGGACACAAAGCGACCCCGGCCACCCCCGCAGACCGATCCCACGCTCTCCATACCGTTTCGCTGGAAGATTCCAAGTATGCTAATTATGATGGTCATATAGACGCCGCCATGATGGCCAAGATCCTCCCCAAGATCCCGGACCTCGAGATCGAAGATGAGGTTGTCAGCACATGGCGCCTGTCGGATTGGCGGAAGATGGAGCGCAAGTCACACGGCCCTGTCTTCCAGTGCGGTGGCTTCCCTTGGTCAGTATTATAACTCTTATATTGCGTTGAGGCCTGATCTGACGTGGGTACAGGCGCATCCTCTTCTACCCCTACGGTAACCACGCCGAACATGCCTCGTTTTACTTGGAACATGCTTGGGACGGCGAGCCACCAGCCAACTGGTACTCTTGTGTGCAATTTGGCTTGGTGTTGTCGAACGTCAACGACCCTTCGATCTACGTGCCACATGGTAAGACCTCTGAGCTGCGGGGAGATGGGGCGAGCGGAACGCTAAATTGAAACTAGTCGCAACCCACCGATTCACCGCCGAAGAGGGTGATTGGGGCTTTACCAGATTCTATGACCTCAGGGGGCTCTTCACCGATCCCTTCGAGGGCAAGAATGTCCCGTTGGTGCAGAATGACGAGGCAAACATCACGGCCTACGTGCGTGTGGTGAAGGATCCCACGGGTGTCCTGTGGCACAGCTTCCAAAACTACGACTCGAAGAAGGAGACCGGTATGGTCGGATTGAGGAACCAGGGAGCTACCTGCTACCTCAATTCGCTTCTGCAGTCCCTCTATTTCACAAACGCCTTCCGCAAGGCCGTCTACCAAATACCCACCGATCAGGAGGCTTCGCGGGAGAATAGTGCGTGGGCTCTCCAGAGATTATTCTACAATCTGCAGACGAACGAAACCGCCGTCTCGACGACTGAGCTCACCGCTTCCTTCGGCTGGCAATCTAGCCAAATTTTTGAACAGCAAGATGTACAGGAGCTTTCACGAAAGCTGATGGAGAGATTGGAGCACAAAATGAAGGGTACCGTTGCCGAGAAGGTTCTACCAGATCTGTTCGTCGGAAAGACCAAAACATACATTTCTTGCATCAATGTCGACTACGAATCTTCACGCGTGGAGGAATTTTGGGACATCCAACTCAATGTACGAGGTAACAAGACCTTGGACGACAGCTTCAAAGATTACATCCAGGTCGAGACCCTGGAGGGAGAGAACAAATACGAAGCTGGCGCGCCTTACGGTCTGCAAGACGCCAAGAAGGGTGTTATCTTCGAGAGCTTCCCGCCAGTTCTACACCTCCATCTCAAGCGATTCGAATATGATCTTAACCTCGATATGATGGCGAAGGTCAACGATCTGCACACATTCCCTATGGAATTCGATGCCGCCCCTTACCTTTCAAGCGGCGCGGATAAGTCGGAGTCCTGGGTCTATCAATTACACGGCGTTCTTGTCCACAGCGGTAACCTTGATGCCGGACATTACTACGCTTTCCTCAAGCCCACCAAGGATGGAGACTGGTACCGCTTCGATGACGACCGCGTCAACCGTGCAACTGACCGCGAAGTGCTGGACGAGAACTATGGAGATACTCAGCAGCGCACAAATGGATCTGGAGGTCGTTCCGCTATCCGCACTAACAATGCCTACATGTTGGTCTACATTCGCAAAACAAGACAGGATGACGTGCTTTTCCCAGTCACCAAGGATGATGTACCCTCTCACATTGAGAAGCGCCTTACCGAGGATCGGGCTGAGATGCTGCGCAAGAAAAAGGAGAAGGACGAGGCTCATCTCTATATAAACGTGGGCGTTCTGGACGATGATAAATTTAAGAACCACCATGGATTTGATCTGACCAGCACCGACCTGCCTGCGGAAGACCCGGCGCTTCCCCAGCAATACAAGACCCTTCGTGCCAAGAAGGTGAGCGAGTTCGCACAGGAAATCGCCGAGGAACGGGGTCTCAAGGCCGAGGCCATCCGATTCTGGGTCATGGTGAACCGCCAAAACAAGACAACCAGACCCGATCAGGTCATCCGTGATCAAGAAATGACCCTTGAAGAGGCATACAACAAGTTTGGCACCAAGGGTCATGTTTTCCGCGTGTGGATGGAAGTCGCACCTGCGGGTGCAGATGGACAGCCTGGGTCGTGGCCCGATAGCGATTCGGTTCTCATCTTCTTGAAAAACTTTGACGTTGCAACTCAAACCCTGGCTGGCGTTGGCTCCGTCTATGTCCGCAAGAGCCAAAAGGTGAGCGAGTTGGCACCCACAATTCTCTCTCGGATGGGATGGCCCGCCGGAACAGACTTCTTGCTTTTCGAAGAGATTAAGCACAACATGATCGACTCCATGAAGCCTAAGCAGACTTTCCTGCAATCTGAGATCCAGGACGGCGATATCATCACCTTCCAACGCTCGCTCAAGGATTCGGAGGTACCAGCCTCGGCAATCTACACCGACGCCAAGCAATTCTACGATTACCTTCTCAACCGCATGGAAGTTACTTTTGCCCCGATTAAAGCCAACGAAGGCGAGGAATTCTCCCTTGCTCTCAGCCGCAAAATGACCTATGAACAATTCTCCAAGAAGGTTGGCGAACACCTTCAAGTGGATGCCACTCATCTTCGATTTGCCCCCGTCATGGCGAGCAATGGCAAGGCCAAGCCCTTCCTGAAGCGGACTGTCGGCCAGAACCTCTCTCAAATCTTGACTGGCCAGTATGGTGCCTACGGGTACACTATGCACCGACAGGACGCTTTGTACTACGAGATCTTGGACATGAGCTTGAGTGACTATGAGAGCAAGAAGTGCTTCAAGGTCACATGGCTGCCAGACGGCGTCAGCAAAGAGGTTTGTTCAATCAACTACCCCTTCCCCACGTTTCACTGACTAACATGCAATTAGGAGAACATCGAGGTTCTTGTTTCTCGCAGCGGCACGGTTGTGGACTTGCTTTCCGAAATTCGACAAAAGTTGAATCTTGGAAATGAGCCGATTCGGGTTGCCGAAACTCACAGTGGAAAGGTTTACAAGGAACTCCGAGAAGATCAGAACGTGGCAGCCATCAACGAATACGCCACGCTTTACTCTGAGAAGATTCCCGCTGAGGAGTTGAACCTGGAGGCCGATGACCGCGTGATCAGCACCTTTAGCTTTGACCGCGAGCCCAGCCGGACTCACGGAATTCCTTTCAAGTTCGTTGTGAAGCACGGTGAACTGTTCTCTGAGACCAAGAAGCGACTATCCGCACGTACACAGATCAAGGGCAAGAACTTTGAAAAGATCAAGTTCGCCGTGGTTCCCCGTGCGTCATTGTCGAGCCCCAAGTATTTGGAAGATGGTAAGTGCCGATGCCCTTTTTCCAACATCCAATGCAAAAACTAACTCTTGCTAGGCGATATCTTGTCTGATGTGGCCGGTAGCCCTGATGACTTCCTGGGCCTTGACCACCCCAACAAGAACCGCAGCTTCTGGGGCAAGAGCGATGGATTCTCCATTCGGTAAAGAACTTTATTGTTATGGCGCTGGGGGGTTACGAGTTGACGGAGGGCTGTATGCTGTGATCTAGTACATGAGCAGTGACGGCCTGATGCGATGATCATGCCTTTTTTTTCACTTTTCCTTTCTAATTGTTTTGTCTAGTCAGCCCAAGTAGAAGGCAATCAAGTCCATATGATGAAAATACAATTTGCATCATTCCCAGGAAATATGTGTGGAGTAGAACGTAGTGTAAACTCCGATGTTGCATGGAGTAGTTTGTTTGGGTGCAAACGCTGCAAACAGCGGAAGGCAAAGCTGGCCAGAACCTCCTGACGCGAGTGTCGACCCCAAATACCCAAGTTAACCCCGGTATACTATCACAATGCGGTTTGCACTTTTCGCCGGCCTGGCCTCTTTGGTCTCATCAGTCACCGCAACTGCCCTGACCTACAGACTCGAAGCGAACGAGAAAGCATGCTTCTTCACAAACGTTGATCAGAGCAACGCCAAGTTGGCATTCTACTTCGCGGTAGGTTCAATTGATTACCCGCCCAGGCTCCATTTAATCCAGGGATTTTGGAAATGGCTGGTGGCATCTGGAGGCTGGAACTGAACACCACTGACATCCCACCTGCAGGTCCAATCCGGTGGATCATTCGATGTCGACTACTCCGTAACCGCACCGGGCGGCAAGATCGTGCTCGATGGCACAAAGGAACGCCAGGGTGATTTCGTCTTCACCGCGCAGAGCATCGGCGAATACACATTCTGCTTCAACAACGAGATGTCGACCTTTGCCGAGAAGATGGTCGACTTCGAGATCGCGGTACGTGACCCGTCACCTATCCCACGACCTCTCAGGATTAGCTACTGACTCCATACAGGTTGAAAACGAGCAACGAGCCCAATTGCCCTCTCGCCAGGGTGCCAGCCCCGAACAAACCTCCAGCCTGGAGGAGTCTATCTATAAGCTCTCCGCTCAACTCTCGACCGTCTCCCGCAACCAGAAGTACTTCCGCACTCGCGAGAACCGTAACTTCAGTACCGTGCGGAGTACCGAGCGTCGTATCTTCAACTTCAGTGTCATTGAGTCACTGATGATGATCTCGATGGCTGCGTTGCAAGTCTTTGTTGTGCGGTTCTTCTTCCAGGGCGCCCGGAAAGGTACGTGTAATTTGCATAGGGATATTGTAGCGATATCGTGCGTGTGGGATCATATTCCATGGTTTCATGCGTGACGAAACCAACCTCGATACGATTCCTATTACCCTATTGCGAATCTCGACTAACATGGAAACAGGTTACGTGTGATATGAATATGAGCATGAGGATGAGAAATAATATGATGCATTTTGCTACGTTCTTTGCCTTGCATGTCGACCTAGATTACTTGGGTCTTTACAAAATCAATTAGCACTCCCGTTGTCCCGTGTGGAAACAGGAAATATACTCGATATGACATCAACGCTCACATCTGTCTGACAGTCATTATCCTGGTTGTTCATTGATGTGCCATTGGCAGGAGGCCGCGACCGAGAGGCGTGGGAGTGTGTGTGTACGACGTAAAGGGCTTCCGCACGGCCCGCGTGGCTTCTCGTGGTAGCAAATGGGTGATTCCTTGTGGTTGGTAACTCTGTATGAAGTTAGCCACTGACAAAATCCAGAATCACAAGCAGGAATCATAAATGAAGAGGAATGAAATATACAACCGGGGGAGTGAGGACTGGACCCTGCCCTTCGCCGGGGATAGAACCGGTTTATGCACGAAGAGAGCCAGTCCCCCTTTTGAGGACCTGACGTGGTCTGTTTCCTGGTCCAGACCGTCCAGGCAAAGCCCGGATGATTGCATCCTCTTCCGAGAGAGCAGCAGGTGTGCCGTGCTAGATGTACAATGTACACTGTACAGCTCATTGCTCCGAGGCCAGAACCGGTTTCTGCTCAATCAATCCTCGGAGAGAAGGGAAAGAGAGAGAGAGAGAGAGGTACTATCTTGGATTGAGACTGGTGTACAGAAATCAAGTTTGATCGGTGAAGACTCAGATGAAGTCTCACCTCAAATCGATACGTCGCCCGAACGATGATGCGAGATATGTGGAAACCTCTGCGTTGAGAATTGTAACGCTCAATTCTAGCGTATGTTCTCGCCCGAACAAGGGGCGAGCATGGTCGATTGAGACTGACACCTGGCCGAGAACAGGTTTATCTGATGAATGCTGGGAATATCGCCCGATGAGGAGACGACTGGTGCTTATCCTTGGGTCCAGACCGAGAACAGAGATACATTTCATATTGATGAATTCATATTGATGTTACTGATGGTTGACTGTCACCTTGATATTGTCGCCCCTGGATATGATGACCCAAGATACATACAATGTCAACGCTAATTTTTGATGGATCGGTGGAAACTAGCGCGTGTTGCTGTCGAGCTATGGGGCAATCAGAGTCTATTGACGCTGGCATCTGCTCCAAAACAGGTTTTTTGACTATTCGGATCGCATGTGCCGACACCCAAGGATGGGCGCACGGTCAAAGACCGAGATATTGAGGGTCTTGATGTGGGGATGTGTGTTGTACTCTATTGTACTAGTATATTGTTTTCGTGCTCAACGCCTAACGGATTGTAGTGTCCAAGAAACGAACTCGGGATTCCAGGCTCTGTTTGAGAGACAGAGCCTCTGACGCAGGGTGGCCTCAAAGTCTGCCCTCTCGGGGAGGGTATGATTCGTTCCGGTTGGAAGTACAATTAAAGGCTGACGGTGACCTCATATGCCCAAAGTCTTCACCTTGAGCGTGTGGGTCAGTGAATGGCTGGGAATGATATCATTTGCTCGGTATTCCCAATCTCGGATAGGGTGTATCTCAATGTTGACCGATCGGCATGCAGGACTCTCCTCACTGTTGGGGTTGAGGCTTCGCACAACCTTATGCACTCGCTTTTGAGTCAGAGCCGATGATGGACAATCGAACACTGATAGTGGATATTTTGGACTTGTGCTTGCTAGTACATACACTTGTATGGCTACGGATACAGCTAACCCGCGGCCCCGCACGCAGCGCAGCGTCTATCGCATGAACGCTAAAACTACGGCAGCCATTGTATTATCGTATGCTGTCATATCATGGTGATCGGACCCCCGGAGGAGACGAAGGTATGGTTCGAGGCCCCATTCTAAGGGATTGTGCTCCACAAAACGAAAACCTTTATACGAAATTGTGCAGTACTGTCGGCAGCTCTGATATCACTTAAGCATCATGGCTGCAAAAATTAGTGTGAAAAGGTCTTTCCGACATATGTGGCCGTTGGGATATGACGGCAACATGCAGATTATCGCCAGTCTGGGCATTTGTGATAATGTATTTTCGGACTATTGATTTGTTCCCAATAAAGAAGTGTCTCAAATTCAATATTCGGCCCCGAAAGTACGGAGTACAGCACAGTGCAATGCAATTTGACACAGAATCTGAGGTTGTGTTGCCTTTGGATGAAACAATGTCCAGGTGTCATGAAGTCGATATGCTTGTATACGAACTCCGGGTTAATATGTTTGTCACCGCCATCAATGCAGTGCAGCAGTACTTCGAACTGCGGTCAGGACAGAAAATGGTCAATTGTAATGGCTTGCCGATCATGTAACAATTCGCCTCCCCGCTGGCAGTACCCAAGGTTCATGGATGGCAAAGACCAGGAGCCGATCTACATATCTTAGATTGGCGCATGCGAGCACCCCTGTCACTGTCCTTATCGGTCTAGTCAGAGTCTGACCAAACTTTGTTGTGGGTCGGCGTGGGATATGGAAATTCAAACAATATTGGATGTTGTATACTAGTACGGAGTACTGCTAGTGGCATATATTGTGCATAGAAGAATCAGCTCAGACAATTCAGATGACAGACGTAATTTACCTACAAGTGTAAATTTGAATTTGTGTAGCAATAGACTATTCATACGATACAGCACATGTAAAGAAGTAAATGTATTCAGAAGCAATATATGTTGATTCAAAACTTCCTATACGACGATACCCCAAGTAACTATCGGAACAAGGGCTCACTGACGTCAGGTGCCATTTCTGCCTCAGGCACCCTACCGGGGATGTATTTCCAGCACAAATCAGGAGCCATACCCATCTTCGTCTTGCTCCATTTCTCCATTCCCACACTTTGAAAACCGAAAGCGTCCTTATTTCTGAGATATGTTCTATGGTTCCTGCATGTGGGTATGTTGCCTATAGTTACCGATGGCTGATGCACAAACCACATCGATGCTCGGATCGCCCCGATGCCTCGAGGTATGACGTCGAGGCTCTGGCCTGAGCCTCACTATTTTCACTTTGGCTTCTTTTCTTTTTCCCCCGGGAGTTTGGGGATTTTTGCACCCCTCTCTTGCCCCGATATTTTAGATAAATTTCATTCTGCGTCATTTATATCGAAGCATTTGATATGCACCTCGCGGGCTCAATGGATCCAGGCCTCAAACTATGTTTTTGCGACAGAGTGGTCAACCATCGTCGTGGGATTACTCCACCGGGGATGTCCACAATACCTTCCGCCTGACCCTCAGGACGACCTATCCCATCATAATGCAAAATGCGCGATGGGCCTCGCCGTTCGAATGGCCATGGTCATCGCGATTATGATTCGTCCTGTAGACGTCAGGCGAAGATCTGCAGGGGACCGGACTATGGTGGTGCCGATCGCAAAGCGTCCTGTGGCTTTTCGTCGTCCATCAGTGGCCCATCGGCATTCCCCAGTGACCTCATCGGATGACTTTGTCCAATCCACCCGGTGGAGCGACTGATATTATCGCTCCCAAAGCGAACCACTCTCCATCAAGCGGTGGAGTATACGAATTTCATAACGTCTTCGGATGATGTTAGAACCCCACCGCTCTAGGACAATGCTTTCCTATGTCACACATTACACTGCTCGGGGGGCTGAGACTTTTTATGATGTCGCCGCGAAAATATCGTCTCCCCCCTCCCTTTCAGCCAGTGATGTCACCGTACTCCGCTTGGTGTAATCAGTGGAGTATCTCGAGTCAAAGTATTCCCATGGCGCTCCCAGGAGAAATTACACCCTGCTTCGGCCTATCAGAAAGTGCAAACCGGGGCTACTTTGCCTTCTTCGATCATCCTCCGAAGTGATTTCATCCTCCCTTGTGGAACCACGGGCGTGTTATATATATCCTTGTCCGCAGAACGGATCCAATCTCTTGTATAAGCCCTAACTTACACTCAATCGCCCCATAACACCCTTTCCCACCAACTTCTGTATCCTTGGCTTGTATCTTTGGTCCCCAATACGGCTTAGTACAAACAACATCCATCTCTTCCTCAATTGTGCCCAGTATCATTCCTATCTATCACCTGAGCTTCTATCTTCTGTCAAGTCAACTGTGAAGTCCGTTTTATTCTACGCCAAAGGTAAGCACTTGAGCACTTGCGGAGACAGTTGTCTCCCCTCTGGGAATGAAAGATCAGCAACAGCAATCCCCCACCCACCGGTGATGTTTCTGCAGCAGCCGCACCCCGTCGACAGACAGAACATCTATCCTACCAACAAATAACCACCATTTTACTACTGGCCTGCTCTGCAGTATAGACAAGTGACTTGAGCTAACAAAAACACAACAGCCACTATCCACCATGACTCAAGCAGCTCAAATGCAACAGCCCACTGAGAGCGTCCAGTCTATGTTCCCCAATGATGCTGGTGGTGTAAACAACACGGCTAGCGAGACCCACGTTGACTCCTACCGGTCGCTTGACCCTGCTCGCGCCTCCTTGGAGGACTACAACCGCTCTATGTTGCAGTACACTCAACGTCAAATGTCTACCTTCGTTGACGTTGACGACTCTCATAGCGGCAGTGGTACAAGCAGCCGTAGCAGCCAGAGCAGCGGCCAAAGTGGTCGCAGCAATGAAGGTACCGGCTCTGGTCTGGCGCGCAGTGCCAATGGCCCCCTACCTCCGTCAACAACGCCGCTCACTTGGCTGGGTCCAAGATCAGCGGGCGTGACATGGCTAATGACGAGTGCGCTACGTACTAAGCCGTGTTCACATGGTGTGTATCCCTTCTTTCCGATATACAGACTTAACGCTAATCTGTATTCTACACAGGCTTCATACAAGCCATGGCTCATGATAATGTCATTTGATGTTTCATGACACGGCATTGGCGAGGATGGTTCCTCTGAACTATCTATAGTTGACTATTTTTCCGCCAATGCCGGATGCAGAAGTTTTTTCTGCGGAGTTCACTCTGGCGCGGGAGAGCGTGCCTGCTTTCAAGCGATCCAGCGATTTTGATTTCCATTGTCTTCGATTTATATCAGGTCACTGTGAAATGGTCATTCCCTTCCCCCCCTTGCCCCCATTTGCATTTGCATCTCAGGATATCGATTGATCCTCAGCGTCCTTTCTCTGGTGTTCAACATTGTTGGAACTCGGAGCCGGATCACGCATCACTGCGTGTATTGCGCTATCTCAGGACCTTTGGTCGTGACTCATCGGTTCCATTTCCCCTTTCACATTTCCAACACCAAATTTCCAATTAGAGTAGGACGTTTACGTCCTATCTCCCTGCCCCAATTTCCCTTCTCGTCATTCACTTGACCCATATCGTTTGTGACTGTTTCGGCGTTCACTTGACTCGCACTCAGTCTACAAATGATGTTTCATTCCCACCGAATAGGCCGCCTTAGGGTATGAGCCTGAGCATTCCATCTTCACTGATCGCTTTCTGCGAAGGATGATCAGTCTGTACAACTATTTGTATTTTTATTTTGACCAGCGAGCGAGCGAGATTTTCTTTTTTGCTTTTTACGTTTTGCTTTTCTGTTGATCTCCCATTGTGGAACCAACATTTCCCCGAGTCGAGGATACTGGCTGTCCCTCGGGTGAAACCCCCTGTCACGATATGATGTCCGTCCATATTGGACCCCAAGCCAAGTGTTGGCCAATGATGATGTGTATTATTGAACGCTGATAAAAGAGCACCTGTTTTCAACTCCTTTGTCTGAATATGCTCGCCCGCTCTCTTTGGTCAAAGCTAGTGGTGAGGTTGTAACGTAGCTGGCCCTAGTCAGTGGCCTCCAAGCCGGAATCCTTGGGCCTTTCCAAGGTTTCACCCCAGCGTATGTAGTCCCATTGGCGGTTCGTGCTTCTTGGTGAGCAGCCCTGCCAAGTGGCCATCTGGTACTGCGAATGCTGCCGAGATCGATGTGATCAGATTGGTGTTCGGAGATTGCTCGGAAAGTTGAAGTCTGTCCACGGGTGTCCCGCTACTGCTCGATGGGAATTCACAGTAGGTACCAAAATCTACTGGTCATGTGCCATGTTTTATACAGTTTGGAGATTCGTTTGGTGCCTGGCCCAGGTCCACGGGTGGAGGTCGTGCACACGATACCCGTGGACGTGGGTCCGCCCCAGAATATACAATTAGGGTAGTTCTCCACATATTCCTCCCAAAGTTCCTCTCGGTTTCTCCAGGGCTCTCTCTTACTGTACCTAAAGTTTAAATTATTTTGATCACTTGGAGTAAACCCTTATGAGAATTTACCTGAGTCCTGGGGCTATAATATCCATGGATTGTGATCTCCATCCAGGAGACCGCGCAGCTCCTTACGTTGTTGCAGGGATATCAAATCGTAAACTCTCACAAGCAGCGAGGAACTATAGACTCCACATATGATATTTCCTACGGCTTGCATCCTACGTATGGGGGGTTCTGTAAAAGAAAAAGATACTCTCAAGGGATATGAGTATTGAATTTCATATGGGAGCTCCGTAATGAGAGTTATATGATTTCAGTCCTTCCAAGATTGGAAATTGTATGGGGTTTGTTGACTAACAACCAAAAGTCAAAAGCTAGCATACCAGGGCAGATGTTTCAAAAGCCAGTGAGAAGAAATTCCTGATCGTTCGCATTCCGGATGAATCAGTAGGGTAGCGAATCAAGGTCAGACCGTACCTCTCGACACGAGGGATGAACCCCCTGGCATCCTGGGATTTTCAGAACCAGCCAACCACGAGTGGCCAAGGAAGGGGTAATTCAAAGGAGATTGGATAATCTTGTTGCCCTGCTAAGTGGCTGGTAAACCGAATCCACGGCCCAGAGCCAGTAAATATTCTCTTCCTTCTTCATCAACCCGTCGGACATCCATCCGACAACGACAACCTCCACGCCCAGCTCCATACATTCATTTCGGTTCCAGGTCCTGGAGACCAACACACTCTTTTAGTCTCTTCTCACTTTGTTCCCAATTTCGAATTTCAAGTCCACAGCCAACTTCGGCGTGGCAGGTCTCTAGATCTCTAGTTATTCTCTACCCTATATACCACAAACCAAAGCAACAATGCATCCCACCACTCTCTTTATGGGCTTGACAGCCATCTTCTCTGTCACTTCGGCCATCCCGGTTGCAAGCGACAAACCAACACCCACCCCGTCCATGTCGAAGGTCCTCATCTCTCCATCTTCCTCCGCGTCCGCCTCCGCATCGCCCACCCCTTCGGTCAACCCATACGAAGCATGGTCCTGCCCCGCCCAAAAGACCAAGGCCTGCTGCATGTCCGTCCAGCAGACCAGCCACGATCTCATCAAGCCAGTCGGCGAGCTGGTGCCCATCGTGGGCGGTATCCAACTCAGCTCTGCTATAACCTTCCAATGTATGTACCATCCCCAACGTGTTACCAGTCCAGAGAACAGCGACTAAAGTATCTACAGGCAAACCAATGGATGAAAAGGAGCCCCCCTCATCCTGCAACAAAAAATCCTACTCTCCCATGTGCTGCAACGGTATCACCGACGTGCGTTGTCCCCTTCCGAACTGGAAAACACCATCTAACTTCTTCCAGATTGGATTCAGCTCCTGCAAGTCTTTCGAGCAGACCAAGAAGAACTACTACAACAATCAGGGTAAAGTCGAGGAGACTCAGGCTGATATGATCATGGACGCTGTCACCTAAAGTCCATGTAGGTTGCAGGGTCTCACCAATCGATGTATATCCCCCGGTGTAGTTTGGGTCACGGAATTTGGAAATTTTGTTTATTACTTTCTCAATTTGATATTACTATACAAAGCTTTATCTACTGCACGACCTAGTCTGATTCTTATTACATGTCTCTTAGCTTTGCCTGTGTGATGGACGGGGTTCCTCCAGGGCTAGGCATTGTCATCGCAGACATTGAACACCTAACATTAGAGACACGACGAGCCCTGGAGTCATGGTGATCCAAGAATCTGAACCTTGGAAGAACCACGTAGTGACCCAACATTAGACAGGTCGAACTGATATACAAACGGTAGGACACGGTTACTCATTGATGTTGGGGGTGCGCTTAGGTGGGACAAGAAATTGTATTTCAACATTGTGATCATATTCGTACATGGAGGACTTCATAATTCAGCGCCATTGACGCCCACCTGGTCCAGTCGGAGGACCCCACCCACCATTCTGACCTCCAGAGTAGGGAGGAGGGAAATGATACTGACCAGGAGGCATGGGCTGACCTCGTCCTTGAGGCAATGGCATCGGGGGGGTGTTGATATTGAGGTGGGAACGCCGATTGCTGAGCTAGACCCGGTCCAGGTTGTGGGTAGGAGCCACCCGGCATCTGTGGGGGTGGGGGAGGCCAAGCACCGTAAGCGGGAGGTGGGGGAGCATATCCGGGATTAGGCATTGGCTGAGGATAATGACCTTGGGTATTTGAGATGTGGGGAGGGGGAAAGGGTTTGGGTGCAGGGGGGTATTGATGAGGTTGATATTGGTGGGGAGGAGGGAAGTGGGAGGAAGCAGGTTCACGAGGCGTGTATGAGCTTTCACGTGAACGAACAGGGGAGCGACTCCTGGACCGGGAATCGAAACGACGACGCACATCGCGTGTACGTGATCGTGAACGATTTGGAGATCTTGGCTCCGGGCTGTAACTGTCGCTGTAGCGGCGCTTGAAATTAGCTGGGCTTGTGCTACGGCTCCGGCTTGAACTGCGAGAGCGCCCTGGGGCTTTCTTCATCTGCTGGGAGAAGGCACGGGTCCAGCCGTTGTAGTTTTCACCGTCGAGGAGGTCCTTGGTGACCTCGTCCCGAACAGCTAATTCACCCAGCTCGTCCATGTCCGCATCGGCATCCTTTGGGTCAGACAGGTCGCCAATTTGGTCCACATGGCCGACAAAGTCCTTGAGAATATGTACTAGCTTTCCATCCGCAGGACCTCCTAGGAGTTGAATCGGCTTGACAGAGGTAGATTGGAGGGGTAGCGTCAACCTAGGCATGATGTGGGGGATAAAGTTTCCAGCTGGAACATCGTGGTGGGGGGCCGATGGATCTCCATGGGTTGATGGCACGACAAAGGGTGTGTTCTTCCCGGGCTTCTTGGCACCTGCGCTGGCGACATCGTCGGGTAGTGGGGCGGCACCTGTGGAGGCCGAACTGGCTACCACTTCCCGGAGCTTGTTGACAAACTCGGAATTAAAGTATCCATGCTCGGACCATACGCTAAGCAGATCATCTAGCCGCTGGTGGTGCCGGGGATTCTTCTGACGATCGCAAGCCGCCGCATGGCCAACCAATCCCACGATGTGCAATTGCAGGGACCCGCCCACCGTGGAGAAAGCTGTGCTGGTGCCTAAGTGGTACTTGGTATGGTGCAACAAATCACTGAGCAAGTAGAGTATGTGGAGACGTCGACGTTTCAAGGAAAATTTGTTTCCAGTGGGCTGTGATGATTCGGGGGAAGCCAGAGCAACCAGGTATTTGGCTAGGATGCCTACCCTATTGGCTGATGAAGCAACATATTGAAGAAGCCATGTTTTGCAGGTCTATATAGCTTCAGGTTTAGTAGGGATGAAAGTGAGAGCAGAATGAAACGGCTCAGACCTGGATGTTTGCATGGGAGCAATGCAACAAGGCGCGCTCGAGGGAGCTATGGCCGGCGGCTATCTCATCTCGAGGCACTGAAGTAGGGTCGGGGCGCAGTAGTGCAGCCGAGAAGGAGGCTTTCGCAATGGCCACTTGATGGCTCATTGTGGATCTGTTTGGCTTGTCTCGATGACGGAGGGAGAAGAGGCAGCTCTCCAGGAGCGCCCAAATTCGTTATCGAGGATCTTATCACCACGTGAGGAGCTCTCAAATCACACCGCTTACCACATTAGGAAAAGCACGAAGCCATACGCGATGTACTCCCCTCACCCCGTATACTTCTACACTTCTCAAGTTCTCCCTACAAACTGTTGTATTTCTTCTCTACCATTCCTCACGGAGTAAGAGTTTCACTTTTTCCAAGACCATGATTCAGCAGTTCAATTTGAATAAACTTCATACACACAATATTGAATGTGGAAACAATAACCAAGGATAGACCCCAATGTGATACATGGTCCATAGTAGTCTCAAATTGAGGACTAGTTATGCACTCCATACTCCATATATAAGCACAGTGATCAATACTCCGTACGTACTCCGTACTTGTGATATGTCGCCACCCGCTAATACAATTTTCCCCGGCTAGGGCGTCGGGAATAGTCCAGCCGTCCTCATCCAATATGACCTGCTCCTCTTGAGAGCTCCGCCGGGACTTCATTCCCGCGTTGATTTTCCGCACTTAACGCGGTGACGCCCAACAGCGTTCCCCACTAACCCCGCGATGGCGTGAGCTCGTGCCGATAATCCGAGAGGGAAATCCTTCTCTCCAAGCGTGACCTGAGTAGGTAACTGAGGTAATAAGCTCACATCAGTCAGCAATCAGGCCATATGTGCCCCGCTGATATCGTCCCCACACGGATCGCTCGCCTCTTTGCATGGCCTGACCCTATACTGCTATGAGTAGGAGTTAAATATGACCCTGGTTCCCCCTGATTTTAGACCTAGCTACTTTATCCCACTACGTTCCACTACTTCTGATCTCTATCTACTCTGTACCTTTACTCCGTACTCCGTACACCAGTCCACACTCTACACGATGGCTGCCATTCTATCTTCCGTGACGCGCCCCTCCATCCGTCACTTTTCGGCTCATCGCCCACGTCCCGACTCACGCGCCGCTCGTGCCATCACCATGGGCTTCCTCGTATCCGGTGTAGTGCTTCCATTTGTGCCCCCGGCCATGGAAAGCTCACGACAACGCGGCCTGGATATGCCTACCAGTGCAAAGTGAGTGACATACAGTATGCAGCCAGTATAAAATGTGGGGAAGCTAACCATGTGTGATTAGGAATCCCCCACTCTGCTTCCACGCGCGTTAAGGGTCGAATCACCCTAAAGTGAGAAGTGAGGTGTGAGCGCTGGCGCTGTAACGAAACCACACATTATTATGCATCATGACCGGCAAATTTGGGAAGGCGTTGGGTTTTGCTCTTATGGATACCAGACTAATTCTGAGGGAAACATGAATGAGGGACGTGAATGAATCAACGATTCGTCCTGATCGCGCTTACTGTCGCGTAAGTCTGAATCAGCTACGTCTGTTCAAATCTATTTATTGAAATGATTCAAGCATCTCGAGTAATGTAGTAATGTAGTACTGTACATGCTCATGCTCATGCTGAGCAACCTGAAAGTGATCACATGGTACATATACCGACATGGATATAGACCAGGGTTTCCAAAGCTGGGTCTTTACTGTGCCAACAGATCAAAAATGTACAATGCGGCCAGCCGCTCAGCTGAATCGGTTTCCAGTAGGCGGACGGTACGGCTTCGCAGCCTCATATTTGCCCTTCTCCAATACTCGGTCGGCCTCAGTCAAAGGTTCGTGACGGGTAGGTGCTGGGTCGTGGGAGGCCTCGACACTAGGCGAGGCAACGTCGTCGGCAGCGTTTTGGAATTTGGCCATCTTCGCTATATTCGCGCTGACATCATTGTTCGTGTGTGCGGGCACGGAGAGTGCTTGGCGAGTATGTTGTTCCTCCATCAACTTCATCTGGGCCTTGTGCTTGATCTCGGCCTCGAATCGGGATTGTCGGTCGGCGTTGATGGATTGCTTTGCGAAGTAGTACGCTCCGCCGCCAGCTGGTGGATGTATTAGCACTAACCCTTGCGAAAACCGATGAAGATGATGCGATTCTACTGGAATCTGACAGCAAGGTTCACTTACCGACTAAGAGGGCACCCCAGCCCATCCTGTTAGAGTGAAAGCCACATCAGCATTTGGATCATACGATTCGTTATATTCCTCAAGAAGGAGCTCGGCTCACCAGGTAGATCTGACCTGAAGGCAATATCGCGTTAGCACCGTGAGTCTTCAACATAGAAGGATCTTTACTTACTGTATTCATGGTGCTTGGTATGGTGAGGATATAGAGTACAGAGTACAAGAGGAAGCAATTGAAGAAGCTCTACGTCAATCGAAGCTGCTCCACAAAATAACGGCAGCCAATCACGGGGGTTGTCGCCTCAGGCGGAACGCTTATCAACCATCGAATCGATAGTTGAGTCGATGATCGCATTCTTATTCTCCTCTCCTCTCATCATTCTCTTCAGCCTCGCTTCACTGGAATCATTCAAACGCCATCGCTTCTTTGATCTCTCCCAACCGAGAGAAATCACGCAGCGTAGATCGCCAGCCGCCGCATGTGCATGCGGTCAGCATCTTTGATTCCATGATCGTCTGAGATCTCTTCTACGGAGCGTCGCTCCGTTTCACCGACCGTGTACATACTGCGATCGATACTGGATACTCGTTGACCCGCTCTTACGCTTGCTGCGCATACGCGAATATGCCTCCCAAACGCAAAGCGGCTGACAGTAAGTTCCAAGCACACTCACCCAGGAAACAGATGGCTCATTATACCAGCTGGTCGATCCAGCAGTGCCTCGAAGCGCGCTACACCAGTCCCCGATGTCACCGAAATATCAAGCAGCGATGAATACTCGGACACGGAAGAGTTGCCGGAGGAGTCAAACTTGAAAGGTACAGTGCGGCAGTCTGCTCACTTGAGGTGACTCGGATACTAAGTCTGCCATAAAGAGGTCGTCAACAAGTTTTCCCTCCAGTCATTCTCAAAGAAAAACCAGGTGGACAAGACAGACCCAAGATTTGGATACAAGGACCTCTCCTCCCTCCCGCTGAAGGTCGATCACTACAACCGGCCCCTATGGATCGAGCCTTTGAAGGGAACAATCACCCTCGAGAGTTTCTCCCCGCTGGCACCCCAAGCCCAAGATTTCCTCACTACCATCGCGGAACCGCTCTCGCGCCCGACCCACCTCCACGAATACCGCTTGACAGGACACAGTCTCTATGCGGCCGTCTCGGTCGGTCTCAAACCCCAAGATATCGTGGAATTTTTGGACCGTCTTTCGAAGACACCACTTCCTGAAAGTATTCGGACTTTCATCATCGAGTTTACGAAATCCTACGGCAAGATCAAGATGGTGTTGCGACACAACCGATACTTTGTGGAAACGACGGATCCTGAGATGCTCCAACGACTTCTGAAGGACGAGGTTATCGGACCGCAGAGAATGGACAACACAGAAGGCATCATTGAGCGGGCTGCTCCGAAAATGGGTGGCCTGGTTATTCCGGGAACAAAAGACGCAGCAGGCATTCGAGAGACAACCCAGCAAGAGGGCGCCGCAGCCAGAAACGAGAAGGAGACCGAGGAAGATGCAGCAGTGGACTACGGCATTGACGACGTCGGCGAGGACGACAATGAAGAAGCAACCACATACAGCTTCGAAATCCCTGCCGCTGGAGTCGAAGTCGTGAAAGCCCGCTGCCAATCGATCGGTTGCCCTGCCTTGGAGGAGTACGATTTCCAAGGAGACACAGTCAATCCGAACTTGGACATGGATTTGAAGCCCGCGGCACGAATCCGATCTTATCAAGAGAAAAGTCTTAGTAAAATGTTTGGTAACGGACGCGCCAAGAGTGGTATCATTGTTTTGCCTTGTGGTGCCGGAAAGACCCTTGTGGGTATCACAGCCGCAGCAACCATCAAGAAAGGAACCATTGTTCTGTGCACCAGTTCCATGTCCGTCGTGCAATGGCGAAACGAGTTCTTACGATGGACGACTATTGATCCTGGAGATATCGCTATCTTCACTTCTGACCACAAGGAGAAATTCAAAAGATCTACAGGTATCATTGTGTCGACATACTCAATGGTGTCGCAGACCCGGGCTCGGTCTTATGATGCCCAGAAGATGATGGATTGGCTCCAGTCAAGAGAATGGGGTATGATGATCCTCGACGAGGTCCACGTCGTACCAGCCTCGATGTTCCGTAAGGTCACATCTGCAATCGCCGCACAGAGCAAACTGGGTCTCACGGCAACCTTGCTTCGTGAAGATGACAAGATCAAGGATTTGAACTTCTTGATCGGACCTAAGCTTTACGAAGCAAACTGGATGGAGCTTGCATCACAAGGTCACATTGCCAAGGTTCAATGTGCCGAAGTATGGTGCCCGATGACGACCGAGTTCTACTCCGAATATCTGCGCGAAAGCTCCAGAAAACAGGCTTTGCTCTACATCATGAACCCTCGCAAGTTCCAAGCGTGCCAGTTCCTGATCGATTTCCACGAAAAGCGTGGTGACAAAATCATTGTGTTTTCGGACAACGTGTACGCTCTGGAGAAATATGCGCTGAAGCTTAACAAGGCTTACATTTACGGCGGCACACCACAGAATGAGCGTATGCGCATTTTGGAGAATTTCCAACACAATGAGCAGGTCAACACTGTATTCTTGTCCAAAATCGGTGACACATCGCTTGATTTACCAGAAGCCACTTGTTTGATCCAAATCTCATCACACTACGGATCACGTCGTCAAGAAGCACAGCGACTTGGACGAATCTTGCGAGCCAAGCGCAGAAATGACGAGGGCTTCAATGCTTTCTTCTACTCGCTTGTATCGAAGGATACCAACGAAATGGTCTACTCGGCCAAACGGCAAGCTTTCCTGATTGACCAAGGCTACGCCTTCAAGGTCATTACCCATCTCCAGGGTATTGACAACTACGAGGGACTTTCATATGCGACGCCAGCTGAACGTCGCGAACTCCTCCAAGAAGTCATGTTGCAGAACGAGTCATCTGCAGACGTCGAACAAGTTAATGACGACCTGTTCTCCATGCGCTCTGGCAAGAAGGTTGCAGGCAAGAAACCGAATGCCAAGCGCAGTGCGGCCACCCTTAGTGGTCTGGCCGGTGGTGATGACATGGCGTACATCGAATATAACAAGAGCCGAAACAAGCAGCTGAAAGACAAGGGACACCATCCACTTTTCAAGAAAATGGAGCGCGAGCGCCAACGCCGCAAAAAGGAGAAGCAGAACGGCGAATAAAATGCACGTGTTTCTTGACTTTACCATCTAGATTGGACCCTAGCCATATATTTACAAGCAAAGAAAATACAAAAACACATGTATCATCCAACCGTATGACTCTAAGCGTAGAGCTCAGTCAGCCGACCGGTCTGGAAATGGGAGGCTGACGGATATGACGTTCGGTCGTGGCATCGGAACGCCCGAAAGACCGAAGTCTCCGCTTTTCCTGCTTGGAGCTCCATCCGATCCCCATTCCAAGGTTAACTTGATTAATTGCACGGCTCTAATAGGTTACTTACTTTCCCTGCAGGACTGACCGGATTGCCAGGTCGTACAGCTCCATTCTCTGGTTGCAACTATATAAGAGCTTCCCCGCAACACTCTAATCGAACCCCAGAGACCTGTTCCAAGGTTCTTGATGAACATTCATCGCTACTACAAACTCTCGTTGTTGAGACCAATCATTCAACCGTCCTTAGTTCCTACCTCGCGACTAAAGACTCAGCTTATTTCAAACACCGGAATAAAGTCCCGTACATTGTCCACCATGGCGACTGCCACCAACATCCACCTGTCGCCGACAGCAGACTCGGGAATCTATAGCTCAAATGTCCGAGAAGATTCAGCGCGGACAGCAAGTGAGATTCTACAGGAGGACATGGCAAAACACCACGTCTTCTTCAACGACTCAGGGTTCCATAGTATGTTTTTAACATCGATCCGCAAAACCGGAAGGCGAGGGCTATGCTTACTGGGTACAGATCATATCCCCCATCACATTCTCAGCATATATGCCCTCGGAGCTACTCCCGAGCAGATCAAAGCCGCATACCAAGGCAATATAGGCTACCAGAGACCTGTGCGGCCAACTGACCAAGAAGTGGTTCTGGCCATGCGTGACAAAGTCAAGTTCAAGGAATATCTCGGGAAGGAAAAGCATTATCCTAATTATCTGGCCTTCTTTCAGCAAGAACTTGACACGAAGGGTACTGGTGATGTCTTGAAGGAGTATGTATTTGCTGGAGATGAAAGGGCAGAGGATATGCTGTGTCGAGTGTTTGGTGGTGAGTAGGACGTGTCGAACTGTTGAGCTATACTTTGGGATATTGACTTTCCAATCGCACAGGGCTGATTCATCCACTGATCCACCTTGGCTTCGGCCTTGAATTCAATCAACCTGCCATAGTAGCGCAAGGTCTTGCTCAAGCAGCCGTGCATGACAACTGGATCGGTCGTGAATTCTTTTTGCCTGCGGAGAAGATCGCTGGCGAGGTCGGAAAGCCAGGACAGAAGTCCCTTCTACAACTCTTGAACGAGATTCGGGGAGATCAGGCACTCAAAGACAGTGTTCGATGGGCTGATCAAAATAAGATCAGGGATGGCGTGTTGACCAGGGCACCTGGGGCGATGTTGAAATATGCCGCTCAGTTCACCGTCTCCGAAGACCAAGTCGATGAGCGTTTGGCGGATATGATTAACACAGTTGGTAAGCTAGTATGTCAATTTCCAGTCCGTGAAAAGTGCTAACTCGTGGCTAGTCTACTATACGAGTACCGCGCAGAGGCATGACCGGGAGATGAAGTTGGACTTTTTCCTCATCCACTGTCTCAACTCATCCATCTTCTTTTCCAAGATTGTCAAACTCCCATACCTAGACCAGCAATCCAAGCTCCGTCTACTGGAATGGAAGGGACGAATGGATCTCCTCATGTACACCTCGCGTGGCACACCGGATCTTCTGCTGGAGGAGGTGGCCAAATATCCCGCGAAAGAGAACTGGTCGCAGATCTTCGCGCGGAGCGTTGCCCACCCCGATGATGATGGACATCTGGCTAAGCTTACACGAGCACTGGCCCATGGTCAAAAGGTCTGTGAGCCTTATGAGAGCAGTAACCCCCAGATGCCGATTCGGGGAGATGTGTGGTTGAGGATTGGCAATATCGGTAAGGTTGATCTTGATCACCACAGTCATTCATTTCTAACTGATTAGCGGTTGATTCCACTGTTGAAGAGGGAAAGCCGATGTGGGTTCGTTCAGCTGGATTTGATGAGGCGTGGGAACCTGAAGGATCGCGTTTGTGATCGCAAGTGGACTACTACGTTTTCCGAACTGAACTCTTTTCAGTCCCGAGAAGCCCTGGAGGTTGTGCTTGAGTTGATTTCTTACCTACGGGTCATCTTGTAATAACGACATGCATTCAAATTGTCTTGATATCATATGCAAACTACTTCATCAGAAAGGCAAAAAACAACACAAATTGGAACGTGATATTTGTCGCATCACTCCAGGGCTGCTACTGTAAAGGTTCTTTTGAAGACATTGATATGTTGTAAATGGAATAGAGCCCAGACATGAGCCACGATTGATTTAGTTTCAGTAAGGAATGACATATTGACAAAGTATTAAGGAGATGTGTTCAGGTCCGAGAAATCACAAAAATCAAAGCAAGACAAACTAAATGTTTAATACCCCAATCCCCTCCGCCCCCTCTGCTATGCTTCCCAAAAGCGCAAGATCTGCCTTATGTACATTCCTAGAAATTAAAAATGGCAGGATCCCGAGATTTGGGTCTGAGGAGGCCCAACATCGACCAAACCACCACTGACGGTAGTGACGCTCTTATCAATACCATTGAAAACGCAAGTGACACCTGCGGCATCCGATTGAATGTGTGAAATACTCAAGGGGTTGGCTGTAGAAGTCAGTGCTGTGTCCGGATGCAATATATTCAGAGAAAGAGACGTACTAATCTGAACCCATTCACCGTCAGTGGGGAAGCCCTGGCTAAACTGAGCATCGGCAGCACCAATGAAGGTAACCCAGGCCAGTCCTCTGGCAGGGTGGTCATTGACAGGTGTGCAGGAGCCTGTCAACTGGGTCTGCGGTGGGCCAACGTCTACTGTCTCAGCTCCGCTGACGGTTGTGACGCTGTGGTCGATACCATCGAAGGTACACTGGAAGCCATTCACACCAGAGGAGATCTTCGAGATGCTCAGCGGGTTGGCTGGAGAGGTTAGTGTTAGTTCATACGTATCAGAGGAATGATTTATGGGCGCGTACTGATAGAGACAGCGGACCCATCGCTCGGGAAGCTTTGAGTGAATTGGGCATCTGCTGCGCCGATGAAGGTGATCTCAACATGGTCATCTCGCTTGACTGGAATAGCGCTGGCAACAGCAGCGACCGCGAAGAGACTGATAATTGTGGAGGTTCTCATCTTGTATATAGGATGAATGAAGAATGTGCGATATAGATAGAAGAGGAAGTTGTGTGCTGAATGGAATAGATCAAGTTATTTCACCGGAATATCCAGGTCGTTTATATAGCTTTTTCTCACATCCCCCTCGACGCCGGATGTAGGGCTAAAATTGGGTTACGAGGTTCTGCCAGCACCGTCGTCCTCGGGTGGCGCAATGATGTCTTCCATTTCGGACCAAAATCATGATTCGGATGTCTACAACAAGTATTCATCATGATATTTCGATATAGTCTACCCCGACGATACTTTGGGTTGTATGTCAGCTGTCAGCAACCCCATGGCTGAGTCCTCGGTACGCGGGGGTTTGTCCAATGAAAAAGCCTTCGTATTCCATTTCGAGATGTGTTGTTCCCACTTTTCATCCCCGGTACTCGTTCCGCGAGTTGAGGTTCCATGGTGCCAGCCCTGCGACACCTAATTTTAGACTTGTCGGTCAGATCCGAAGTCATCAAATCTCTTGATCGGGCGAGTATACTTCGAAATGACGCACTAGAGCGCTCAAACGCGAAATCAGGCATCCAAGGTCTGTGGTTTTATAAGACATTGTAAGATGTAGGTCTTGCAATACGAACGCGATCCAAGGGATTGTTCTCATTTGGTGGGGAATTGCTTTCCGACCAAACACATGAGCTGCCCGGACTTTGAGAACAGGCTGATCTACGGAGGAGAAGCACGAATTGCTTCAAAACAGTAGATTCTGGCTGTGAAGCAAAAAGACCGACCGGGGAAAAGAAGGAAGAGAGAGAGAGAGAGCTATCCAGGCAGAGGGAGTCATCTGACCTCCTAACAAACTTTCACTACTCACGTACAGTTAGTGCTGATGTTGTGAAGATGTAGATATAGAAGAGAGCCAAATTAATGCCGAAAGTAATGCTGATGTTTGATTTGCTGCTAAAACAGATCTTGAAGGTCAGGTCTATCCATGGATGTGATATCCATGGATGACACTACAAACTAATCTTGTCGGATTCTCATGTCCACCCGTGGACCCGTCGACGGGTTGGATCATTATCCGCCGGACGTTAATCAAATCTATCCATGGATCAATCTATGTATCTATCTATGCTGGATTATCCTAGATGTCACGCTCTGTGGATATAGAGTACTGACATTCACTTTAATCCATCGGATGATATGAATTCGATGTCATCAGAGCATGTCAATAAATGAGATGGTTTGCGCTCTCCCGCAATCTGTCACGCCCAGAAACGAAAGTTGAGAAGTCGAAGTGGAAAGTGTCAAGATGTCCCCGAACCCAAGGGGCTCCTGCGAGCTTGGGGATATCGATCGCAACTCCCTCTCTCCAGTTCTTTCTCTCCTTTCCTCAATCCGCACCGTGATTTGCAACATTCATCTTCAATCACAACCTTCATCTTCCCTACCAATCATTCGTCCTGGAGCTATCATAAGCTCTTTCAAGATGGGAGACCGGTCTCATAGGGTCAGAAGAGTCGATGTGCGAAGCTCAGTGTCCCAGTCTTGGGCTCCGCTCGGCATCGACCCCGCCGATACTCGGGCTCGGGATTCCCTCCTACGATTCATAAAACGAGTCTATGCTCCACTTGTGAACGATTACCTGCTGGTGAGAAACGTATCAGATGCGAGGGACATACTGAGATCCGGGGCTTTCAGAAAAGAGTTCAGACAAACATGCCTAGAAAACTATCAAAAGCTGCCAAAATCAATCCAGGATTACGAGCCAGATCGCGAAAAGGTTGTCGAATCTGTCTATGATGTTCTTCGGTATTTCATATACCATGATGCATCCTGGCGGGTCCACATGGAGCTGCCCCAAGGTGCTATCAAGAGAAAGACACCTGAGGAAACGCCCGAGAAGACGACCCCGAGCGCGGGAGCTCAAAGCAACAAGGCCACGAAGACGATGGTGAAAAGCTCTTCTCCCTCTGCTTCTTCTCCCGTTTCGCGCCAAGCTGTTTTGCGCCGAGCATCTCCTCGCACTCCAGTTCCTCCCCGTGTCTCTTCACGTCTGTCTCTTCGTGGCACTGCTCCCCCACCCACTGATCATTCTCGGGACTCTGCTACTCCTGCTTCTCCTCCTCCTCGTGCCCCTCGTGTGTCACGTATGCCCACCATGGCTGCCAATTCTTCTTCTCCTCCTGCTTCTCCTCCTCCTCGTGCCCCTCGTGTGTCACGTATGCCCACCATGGCTGCCAATTCTTCTTCTCCTCCTGCTTCTCCTCCTCCTCGTGCCCCTCGTGTGTCACGTATGCCCACCATGGCTGCCAATTCTTCTTCTACTCCTGCCACTCGCCGTGTGACTTTCAATCTTCCATCCGGCTTGTCTGATTCTGATCGTGCTCCTTCTGCTTCTGCTTCTGCTTCTGCTTCTGCTTCTGCTTCTGCTTCTCCTGCTTCTGCGCCCCCTCGTCCTCCTGTGCCTTCTCTTGTCACTCCGAAGACCCCACAGACCAAAAGGCCAAGAGAGGAGGACCAAATGGGTGCAACTGGCAACCCAGCGAAGCCGAAGTATCCGCGACTGCCTCGCGTGCAGGAAGTTCCACGCCTGCCGCGGCCTCGAGTATCTCCCCGCTCTAACCCCGCTGGCGACCCCTCTCGGGGACGGCAGATTGAAACCGAGGAGAACGCCGAGCCAACCATCGCCATTCCAAGAGAGTCATCTTCTCCAAGAGAGTCATCTTCTCCAGAAGAGTCCACTGAGCAAGAAGAGTCCACTGAGCAAGAAGAGTCCACTGAACAAGAAGAGTCCACTGAACAAGAAATGCCACGCCCGCCTGCTCCGCGTCGCCCACGTCCTATCAAAGGCACACCAGAGTGGGAGATTGAATATCAGAGGCGTTTGATTCCGCTACGCTTTTACAACCGGGGTTGTGACTACGATCTGCTGGATGAAGATTGGGTGATGGACTCTGACCCTGCTGATCCAAACTATGGCTTACGGGATCCGGCTCGCGGTTCCATTTTCGGTACGCCCGAGGAGCCCAGATATCGCAGATTTCCCTGGGAGAGAGATCCAAGGTAGGGGTGTCAGTTGGCACATCCAGAACAGAAGGACGACCATGGTAAGACATCATCCACACTTTGCGAAATTTGTCTTTCTGATCTTGACTAGCAAATATTGCATCGACGGCCTTGTGCACGAGACTCAAAAGGTCCGTCCGACTCAACCCGAAATGGTGCGCGGCTAACAGGTGCTCATTTGAGACAGGGCTACAGAAAACCCCGACATAATCGGTCGTTAAGACCATGATCAGTATTCGCAAAGGAGATGGGGATAGGAATGTCTGAAGCAAGGTCATTGTTGAAGGCCAGATTTTTAAGACCATGATCAGTATTCGCAAAGGAGATGGGGATAGGCACGTCTGAAGCAAGGTCATTGTTGAAGGCCAGATTTTTAAGGAGACAAGGCCACAAGGCCAAAACAGCCCGAACACCATATGTACGGAGTAGTCAATCAAAGTTCTCTGTTCATCCCTACTCCGTAGTCTCCAGCGTATCGCACTGAAGCCCGATCTCCCACTTTAATCGATGTTATCTCCACATCTCCAAACTCCGCGCCAATTACCCACCCCCGCTGGGCTTATCAGGAAGACATGCACTAAGCCCTTTGGGGGGGAAACTTGCGCTGTGTGGAGTGCTCACGGCCAATGATATGGCCCCCAACGCCGCGCATGCTTTACCCGATAGAGCCGGCATGAATTGCGAGGGACTGGGCAAGCATAAATGCACGACCAGGCCCCAGAACCCCTCATGCAAAATCAATCACAATGGCCAGTCTTCACCCACTTGACCCAACTACTCCTGTGGAGATCCAGCTGGCGGTCTCCGTTCTGGAGTCCGCCTTTCCCGGTGTGAAGCTGCGATACAAGCGTATCGATCTCCAGGAACCCGCCAAACATGAGGTGGTTCCGTACCTTGAAGCCGAACGGCGAGGGGAGGTGCGCCCGCGCAAACCGGCACGTTTGCTAATGGCGCTTTTCCACCGATTGGACAATGGCTCGTTTTTCAAGGCCCTGATCAACGCCGACACCAAGTCCATCGTGTCCGCGAAAGAGCTTCCCAAGGATGTCCAAGGACCGGTCGATGTTGATGAAATGCTAGAGATTGAGGAACTCTGTCTCAGCCATCCAGCGGTCAAGGCTGAAATTGAGAAATTGAAGCTCCCGGCCGGCCACACTGTGTGCATGGATCCCTGGATCTACGGCACAGATGACGCCAAGGAGACCCGCCGGCTCTTCCAGTGCTACATGTACATTGTGGCTACAGATCATCCCCAGAACAACCAGTATTCGCTCCCATGCAAATTCTCTCCTGTCTTCGATGGGATCTCGCGCAAGCTGATCCGCATGGATTATCTGCCTGGTGGCGCAGACACTCAAACAACTGAGACGCAGCCTTGGAAGCCAGTGCCCACTGTTCAATATGCACACGATTTGTTGGATGAGCCACTCCGTACAGATCTGAAGCCCTATATCGTCCAGCAGCCGGAGGGCGCTTCTTTTAGTGTTATTGGCAACGCAGTCTCGTGGCAGAAGTGGCGCTTCAGAGTTGGCTTCAACAACCGCGAGGGCCTTGTTCTTCACAACGTGACCTATGATGGCCGCAACACCTTCTACCGTCTATCTTTCTCCGAGATGACCGTCCCTTACGCTGGTATGTTCCGCAGAGTTCTTCAAATAGCCCGTCTAATTTTCCCCAGATCCCCGCGCCCCTTACCACCGCAAACAGGCCTTTGATGTTGGCGATGTCGGCTTCGGTATCACTGCCAACCAACTCAGTCTCGGCTGCGACTGTCTTGGCCACATCAAGTATTTCGACGGTTACCGCACAGATGCACAGGGTGCGCCGATCCAACTCAAGAACGTCATTTGCATGCACGAGCAGGACAATGGCCTGCAGCACAAACACACCAATTACCGTAGCGGCGAGGCAACGGTTGTCCGTAACCGTCAGCTCGTTGTTCAAATGATCTGCACGGTCGCTAACTACGAGTACATTTTCGCTTTCATCCTCGATCAAGCAGCCAACATCGAGCTTGAGGTACGGGCAACTGGTATTCTGTCCACCGTTCCCTTCGATAACGAGAACGGCCAAACTGTGCCATGGGGAACCAACGTCGGACCAGGTGTGATGGCCCCGTACCACCAGCACATGTTCTCCCTTCGTATCGATCCCGCCCTCGACGGGTTCAAGAACACAGTCTACTACGAAGACAGTGTACCCATGCCCGAAGATGACAACAACCCATGGCTCGTCGGATACACCACAGAGCAAAACATCATCAAGTCAAGCGGCAGTGCCTCAACAAGCGTCGATCGCAACCGCGTGTTCAAGATCCGCAACGACTCCATCATCAACCCAATTACCCACCACCCTATCGCATACAAGTTGCAAACCTCACCGAGCCAGATGATCTTAGCGAGCCCCAAGTCATTCTCCAACAAGCGCGCTCGCTTCGCAACCCGTCCCATCTGGGTGACCAAGTACCAGGATGACGAACTCTTCGCCGCTGGCGAATTCACAAACCAGAGTAAAGAGTCCGACGGTGTGGAGGTTTGGGCTGGCCGCAATGACGCAGTTGAAAACGAGGACCTCGTTCTATGGCACAGTATGTTATCCCTCTTCACCTTATTTATCTAGCTAACGCGCCTCTAGCTTTCGGTCTCACTCACAACCCTCGTATTGAGGATTTCCCTGTTATGCCCATGGAGCGCGTCAGCGTCATGCTCAAGCCCGATGGTTTCTTCACCAAGAATCCCGCTCTGGATGTGCCCGCGTCTACCCAGTCTTTCAATAAGTCGACTCAACACCCCGAACCTACTTGCTGTGCAGGACCCCAGGAGCGAGGACAGGTTAAGTTGTAGACAAGCTCACAGCGATACCGCACATGACTTAAGATTAGAACACGAAGATTTTTATTCCAAAAAACTTTATTCCAACTGAATGCACACTTTGGAGAAATGCTTTTGCTGCTCCAAGTATTTGTATGCTTCTTTAGCCTCTTACAAGCTGAACATTTTCTCGTCGATGATAGGCTTGATTTCCTTTTCGGCGATGAACTGATTCATTGCGTGGAACTGGTCACGAGTTCCTAGCAAAATCCCTCTTGCTGTACACACATTAACCAAGCAATCTAGCAATGAGGGAATGGCGATTTGATCTTCCGGCTTTCCAAGCAGTCCTGTCACCGCGACGAGACCATTTGTGCGCAAGGCTTTCAGTGACTGTGCTAGAGTAGACAGACCACCCACATCAACGACAATATCCACGCCCACGCTATTCTGCGTGAGGCTCTTAGCCACCTCTCCCCAGGCAGGAGTGGTGCGGTAGTTAATGACATGATGAGCACCGAGAGATCTCAATCGCTCAGCCTTGGCGTCTGTGCTGGTCGTGGCGATGACAGTCGATCCAGCGGCGAGAGCGAACTGCAACAGGATTAGTAAGAGAAGTATAATTGTAATAGCTGCTGTGAGTCTTACCTGCAGCGCAGCTATCGATACACCACCAGTTCCCTGCACGAGAACACTCGATCCTTTCCGAGGAGCCTGTGCCTCGAGTCCAAATAGAGCATTCCAAGCAGTAAGCCCGGAGCAAGTCAAGGTACTCGCTTGTAAGAAATCCAATCCAGCGGGCATAGAAACCAAAGCCGATTCGTGGAAAGTACCTTGGCGACGCAGTGTTCCATCAAGATGCTGACCAAGCCCAGAGTTGATATCAAGAAAGTTCGGCGCATCAGATGGAGGTAATTGCGAGACGAGATGTGTGCAGACTCTATCTCCGGGCTTGAATGAATTGACTCGGGAGCCGACTGCTTCGACGATGCCGGCTCCGTCGGAAGCTGGTGTCACATTGGGTGTGAAGCATGGAAGTTGGGGTTCGCCCTAGTCCGGTTAGTATACATGCATGGGGTTGGATTGAGAGAGTTCGTGATGATGAATTATCTCTGCTACCAACCTTTGCAATAACTATGTCGCGGTAGTTCAGAGACACGGCATGTAACTTCACGAGAACCTCCTCGTCTTTTAAAGTGGGGACGGGGTGATTTTCGACTAGCTGCAGACTGTCGATACCTTGTTGATCCTTCAACACCCAAGCAGTAGTTTGAGTAACCATTATACCGAATTTGATGAATTCAGGGGATATTCAATCTGAAAATTCGAATTGAGATTGAAAATAAACGGTTCCAAACTTCCAGCACCGAGTCGAGTCAGTTAACGTCACCGGCTTGATCCACACTGAGTCAGTTTACCGAGTCAGGCATTTTATCCACCCTGGTGAGTATGATAAGGGTGGAGCAGTTAAGAAAGGTGGAGACTGCAAACGGGGAATTCATGCTTGCATTCGCCATCTACCATTACGTGGTGGGCTCGTTTTTTTGGCTAACATCTCATGGATACGAGGCCGGTCAGGGGCAGAGCTTTTGGAGGTGAGGCATACATATCGTTCATCCGCCTCACCGCCAGATTGTTAGTTCTTGTGCGGTTTCTGACTAGAGTGTTAGAAATTTCTGTTGGATTTGGCCTATCTGCAATGAAGGATGCCATTGAAAGAGATCAGCTTAGAGTGGGATAATAGCCTCATTCACGTGCCAAGAACACCCACGTGGCGGCTAGCTTAAAAATAGCTTCTTGGACGCTGATTGGACAATCTATACAGCTTCACTGTCGGCAGACAATACAGGTGTATTCTCGTCCAATGACTGCACCAAATGACGGGCGTATTGGCAAAGATGACATCAGCCTCATATCAATTTATTTGTATGGAATGAGCATATCAGCCCTGGTGGGAACCTGTGCCAGGAGTCCAGGACCCAATGAGCCATCGCCCTTGGTGTTCACGTACAACTCGACCAGCCGATACCACAACTTTCAACTACAGGCTCATGAGGGGTTTTGCATGATTTAAAATGTAAAGTTCTGTGAGAACTTTGAAAGCGGGAGGCTTGGACAATTATGCTTGGATTTCTTTCAAAAAACATGATCAAATGACGCCACCGGTGTATTCGTTCGATGCATGCTGAAATGACACCGCGAAGCTTCCTCTCGCCTTTCGTCTCTGAGAAACGCCGGTAAATGTATCAAGCAAAGTTGAGGAAGTAGTAAGAGCCTCCGGACTATGAGAGTCAGCGTGGGCTCTGTTCAACATTCCCACTCGTCAGACTCTCAGGCCCTCAAGACTCTCGACCCAGGTACTCGCAGAAATGACCTGGGCCTTTTTCGCAAAGATCTTCTCCATCAGTACACGATGAACCTCTTCATCGCGATCCATACAGCAGTCCTCAAGAACAGTGACACGGTAATCCATATCCATCGCTTGGCGAACAGTTGACAGCACGGCGCCGCTGGTAATGAGCCCGGCAACAACGATCGTTTCGGCCTTGGCGCAGCGCAGAAGCATATCGAGCTCCGTAGAGAAGAAAGCCGAGACACGGCGCTTGATAATGACTGGTTCGTTGTTGACTGGTGCGACGGAAGAGTGGACTTCCACTGAGGAGCTCCCTTCAAGGTATTCACCACGTGCAACAACAGCAGGTACAGATGAGTTGTTGAGGTTGGACTCTGGATAGCCTGATCTGAATCCAGTCACGACATGTATCACTTTGATGTTTGCGTTGCGAGCGCTTGTGACGGTCGATGCCAGGCGATCGAGGTAGGGCTTGGTGTTTTCCAGGCGGTCGATCACCCCGTTTTGGACGTCGAGGATAAGAAGCACGGTTGACATGTTTAAGTCTTGTCTGTGAGATGTAACGAGAAAGAGTGACTTGGGCTGAAAACTTTTATCTCATTGGAGGGAGAAAAGGAAGAGTAATTGAAGAAGGTACGCGGTTTCGGTATGGGGATCCCGGTACCGGGATGGGCATATCAAGCTGATCAGCCCCACCACTTTTGGCCCAACTCAGACCTCCCAAACAATTGATCAGATCTCAGAAAGCTCACACGTTTTTAGACCATTCTATACCCCGATATTCTTCAAATCGAAACTTCATGAAAGCCATGATTTTGGAAGGAGCGCAATATGGCTTACATAACTGTTGCATGACGTCGTCAATATAACCTTTGAAAACTACGACACGAGACCTGAGATTGGCATGAGACCTACACGTATTTTTATTCCTATGCTCGACCCCACCTGACCTTCTCCTGGCCTCGTCCACGCCTGGCTCAGCAATGGCGAAATCGGTCTCAATCACCCACGGCGGCGACAGTGAGTTTGATCAGCACAGTGCGAAACATACTAACATTACTAGAATTGCTGAGCTCGGTAGCAGCACTCAACGGCCGCGTCTTCAGTACCGATCCAGTCATATCCTATATGCTCCTTGACCTGTCCCAGGAAGAGCGCCTGGCATATCTACCCACGTACTGGGGAATCCTAATCAAGTCAGCCTTGCTCAACGACGCGGTCATCACCGAGGCCGAGGACTGGAAAGCCGCGTCTGTCGTGATCCTGCCAGGCCAATCTGTTGAGAATACCTGGACGCTGATCTGCGCGGGGTTCCTCGGTGTCCTATGGAGGATAGGAATTCCAGGCTGCAAGGTATGAACTCTTCCAATCTCCATTTGACATACCTAACTGTTCTCTAGCGTCTCTGGTTTGAGTTCTCTGGTATGACCGATAACGCGAAGAGAAAGGGTCTACGTGGACAAAAGCGATACTACTATATCTTCAGCATTGGGACTGAACTCGAGCACCGCGGTAAAGGTGGGATTGCCCATTGATATCATCTCCTTTCCAGATTTCATACCAACCTTACGTTCTACAGGCCTTGCCAGAGCTATAATGCGTGATCATCAACAGACGGCACAGGCAGCAAATCTTCCAATCTGGTTGGAGGCCACAACACCTCGCTCCCGCGATCTATATCTCTCGATGGGCTTTGAGGTAATCGAGGAAATCGTGCTCGGTAAAGGCAAGGTTGCGGTCGATGCGTCTCTGCAGCCCGGAGGACCAGGAGTCCCCCTGTGGGCAATGGTCTGGTGGCCCAAGTCTACTTCTGATTCTGTTTCCTAACACCCCTAGTCATCTTCATCTTCTCTGTTATCCATAGGTATGCGTTCCGCAGGGTCCAATCGATATCATTTATCGAGTGCATACAATCACGCTATAGAGTAATGCCATCAGTCAGAATAAATCCATCTAAATTTGAACACGCCGAAATGGTTCCTTGTAACAACTCAGTTGCAAGGATTTTGCAACTTGCTCAAATCCTTCGGGATAACGCCAGCCTTGACAGCATCTAAAAACAGTCAGCTAATTGATCAGAAGAGCAATATTTGGAAAGCCCACCTTGATACGACCACCGATAATCATTCAGGTCGGCCTTCCAAGTCCAAAAGACCCATCCTTGCTGCTGCTCATAAGAATGAACCTGCGCCGCAAACCACTTGGCATAGAAATCGGTATTGGAGCTGGGGTCCCAATCCGAAGACTGCTCCACATCATCAGGAACAGCAAGACTCCATTCACCAACAATGTTAGGCGAGTTGCTGTCACGCTGATCACCACAAGATGTGCTGATATAGTTATCATGCGAGGCATCGACACTTGTGTCCCACTTCAAGTAGCGATGATCGTCGTACGCCATATAGGTGAGGTCATCAAGGTGCTCGTTGGGATCACCCGAGCCCCAAGATTGATCCATGGTCTGGATATGGAGGTAGTCGTTCTTGTTGATGTTGAGCTTCTTCTCGGCGGCCCGAATACGCTGAACATTATCAGCATCGTATATCCTCATCAGGACTCACTGGGGATACTCACCTCCACAGCCTGCGGGTAGTACTTTGACCGCATGGATGAAGCCTTATCATCATCCTGCACAGGCTCATTGACAACTTCCAGCATTCCCACATTTCTCAACTCGTCAACGGTGTAGACAAGCTTGGTCATCCATTCCAACCACTTGAGCGCACGCTCGTAGTTATCATCTGTGTAGAATCCCGGCTCCTGTGGGTTCTGGCCCGTAAACGGATTCTTTGTCTGCGCACCCGGCGCGCCATGCAAATCCATGATGATATACAGACCAGCATCACTCGCCCACCCGCATATCTTCTTGAGATAGTCCAGTCCTCCCTGAGGGAAGTGTTCACTTCCATCGACCAACTCCTCGTGCAGCCAGTATCCAACCGGAATACGGATGGTATTCAGTCCGTAGCTGACTATCTCATCGATATCGTCCTTCGTAGTCCATGAGCCCCAGTGTTTGGCGAATGCAGTGTTGGCAGCATCCTGGCCGAGTGCGAGGACACAGTCAAATTCAGAGGCTTGACCATCGCAGCCCATGCTACTCCATGCGCTTTGGGAAATCCAGGGCTCGAAGATAAATTGCGTGCCGAGATTCACGCCGCGGATCTTACCCTTTGAGGATTCGAAGAGGTTGGTGCCATCTGTTGAGTTGATGGATTTGTTGTCTTCTGGAAGCCAGGCTTGTGCTAGGCTGGCGAGAGTAGCGAGAGCGGCAAATTTGGAAATCACTCCCATGTTTGCGGTGTTTTGTTTGAATCGGTTGCTGTTGCTAGAAAGAATTCACCAGGATTGCACTCGGTATAAATACTTCATTCCTCCTGTTCCAAGTCAATCAAGATTTCTATGGATCCTCGTCTGATACAGCTCGGCTCGGATATGAGCCATGATTTTCAGTGATAGTCTGGTTTCACCCCCAGGCAGATATTTGGTTGACGAATTGCCTAATTGGGAAACTAGACAGCAACCACTTTGCATGGTAAAGTGCTCATGGATCGGAGATTTTACTGTAAAACTCATTTAGCATCCTTGAATTTACGGAGTAATCGAGGCGACATTCGTGTTCAGACGCCGTTAATTTACCACATGTATGAAGTACGACGCGACATGACAAGGAACCATACCCATCTTCGCACTTAGTTGCCATATGCAGCAACTCCTCTTCAGGATCTTGTGATCATCGAAGTATTAGATCTATTTGGCAATTGCACTCTGTTTCTGATGCAATGCCAAGATGGGGGCCGAAGATCGACAGGGGCTAATTATGAACCGTTTTTTTAGAGGTGTCCGGTGCACTTTGGGGAAATCTTGATTGCGGAGTATGCCCAGGTAAACTACATTGGACATAATATCACAAGAGTCTGCACCTACGGAGTAAATGCGAAGAGTTAAGACCCAGGTCCGACCTTGAAGATGCATAAATAAGGTTGGCTAAGCTAAGTGACTTATGCAAGCACAAAATGTCGGAGCCTGTTGCTGCCAGATTGGTCAGGCTCCCAACATGTGTCAAATCCAGAAATACACATAAATACACCTACTATGGACCCAGCTAGTAGGTGGTCACCTTTTAGCCGAACGGTCAAAAAATGGGTGTTGTTTGTGTTGACAACATGGGATAGAGGTGGATCGAGAGATTCTTCCTTCTCTCCATTTCCTCCCAGGTCTCCGATAATACGGAGTGAAGTTACGATTCACTCTTGCTCTTGTGATCTCGATACAGAACCATGAGGTCAACGCCAAGTATCGATCGAAAGCATGGCAGATCCCACCTGAGAAAGCGAAACCCCAAGACCGGATCGATGTGGTCCTACCCAAGACTCGCGACTTCCTCGGTCTTGATGGGCTCTTACTTACATTACAATAGGACCTGATGCTTTTGTGCAGTGGCTCAACTGGGATGCCGACGACGAACGTGGCAATCTGTTTCCATAACGCCCCGCGTGATAATATGAAGCCGCCGCCGCCGCACCTAGCGGGCCAAGCAAGCTGCCTCCAACCCAAGCCCGGGGGGGCTTTGACCCCCACTCTCGAGTTTCGCCCCCCGGGTAGTGACATCTACATGCTGCATCTATGTGGTTCAAGATATATTTATTGCAATTTGACCTTTCAGGCACGTCGAGCTTTTGCGCCCAGTTCAACCGCCCTGAGGACCTCATCCATCATCCAATCGTATTAAATCGCGATCGATATGTGCCAAGAAGCTAATGCAGAATGAGCGGTTCGCCTGTGATGTGTGGCTATCACACACTTTCCTAGCTGCACGACAGCACCCAGCCATGCAGTCAGCACATCAAACATACACAAGTCGATCTGAATCAGCAAATCACCTTCCTCTCCAACACCTCAAATTCGAGTCGATCTGTAAATTCCCTGCTAGGGTCATGTTCGATAGCCAGAACTTACGTGTTCTATGCTCGAATGCCCGACTGTCTGTCCACCGAGAACTTGTACTAACTAGTGCCATGTTGTCACATTGCATGTGTAGCGGACCAACGAGCCTCCTTACTACGGAGTAGGTACTCCGTACTCCGTAAGTCTTGTGCTTGCGAACTATTGATCATGGCTTAGACTTGATATCAGATTTGCTTCTTCCATGCAATCAGCTTGAAGCATCACAGTGATTTCAGCCGAAAGCGCGTGGACGCGCATACTTGATCCTTGCAACGTTTGGATCTTCAACTTTCTATTTTGGAAACCCCGATGCTTGGGGACCCAAGACTCTTTCATTCGAGCTATCTTTTTCTGCTTTCGCCTCGCTCATTCCTTGGTTTTGACCAACTCCTCTTTTTCTTTTCGAATCTCGAATCTCTTCATCTGAGATCAAAAGCAATGGATCAGAAGGAAACCTCTGCTTCTCCAATACCGCGGGGGAGCATACCGTGGAATGTAATATCAAGCATCGTAACAGAAAAAAAAAGGATGCATAAGCTGACTCCGACAAAAGCAGATCGAGAACTCAACCCAGCCAGTCCCAACAAACCACCAAATCTTGAGGTTGACAAAATGATCAGCTTGATAGAGCAAAACGCATATGGAGATTTCAAGAACGCTTTTGTACAGGAGAATTTCGATCCGCATGCACGCATAGAGTACACTTTCTCCGATTGTCATGAAGAGGAAATTCCGAATCCGAACAATGTGACCCCTTTGATGATCGCATCATACCTGGGTCATTACGAAATTGTCAACATACTCTTGCAAAGATTGTCTGCGAATGAGTCACAGACTCAAGCTAAAGGAGTACTCAAAGCAAAGCGTGGGATTTCTGCCCTGGATGATAGGGGTAACACGGCTTTACACTTTGCTTCATCGAACGGGCACTGTGAGGTCATCAAAAGTCTCCTAGACGCAGGCATCGATATCGACTTCACAAACTGGAAAGGAAAACACGCTTTATCCATGGCTTCGAGAAGCGGCAAATTGGATGCTGTAAATCTCCTACTCAATCGGGGCGCTGACGCCGATATTGAAGACTGGCGAGAAAACTTGGCGATTCACGAAGCAACATGGTATGGTCACTTGGAAGTTGTGAAAGTTCTCCTCAAGAATCGCCCAGATCACCTGGAAAGAACGAATGGCGACATCCATACACCATTTCTCAATGTGGCACAAGCTGGGCATTTATCCCTTGTGATGTATCTGTTCGAGAAGGGCGCCAATCCCAAAGCTACCGACGATTCTGGTATGACTGCGCTCCACCATGCCAGCTGGGGGAACGGGGGAAATGTGGAAATTGTCAACTTCCTTCTACAATCGGACAAAAAGCTTCTCGAAACTAAGAACAATCAATACAGAACCCCTTTGCTCTCTGCTTGCTTTGCTGGAAACAAGCCAATTTTCGAGCTTCTTTTGAAGTACAAGGCTAATCCTGGTGCTGTGGATATCGACAATAACCATACTGCACTCCATCTAGCCTCATGGGGAGGTGATCTTGAAATCGTTCAGACGTTGGTCGACAAGCTTAGAGCAAGCGTTGACGCAAAGAATAACGACGACGAAACTCCTCTCCACCTTGCCTGCCTTTCTGGGCATATTCATGTTGCCAAGTTTTTGATCGACAGGAACGCTGCCTCTAATGCCCGAGATTGCCGTGGGAACACAGCGCTTCACAATGCGATTTCAGGGTCAAAAGACCTGAAAATTGTGGAATTACTTATTGGTGAAAATGAAACGCTACTCGACATGCCAAACAAATACGGAAGTACTCCTCTTCTCACAGCCTGCTATGCTGGAAATTTGTCGGCCTTCAGATTCTTACGTGAAAAAGGGGCTAATGTCAATGTTGTGGAAACTCTCAACCAGGATAATGCCCTTCATCAAGCCTCGTGGGGCGGTGAACTTGGCATTGTGGAGGCACTCGTTGAATTGTTTTCAAAGCAAGAGAGCAAGGACATACATGCACCAAACGGAGAGCAGAAAACTCCTCTTCAAATTGCCTGTTTTCGGGGGCACTTTTCTATCGTCCAATATCTGGTCGAAAAGACGCAAGCTGATCCTAGCGCTGAGGATTCATATGGGAATACTGCACTTCATAATGCGAGTTTTGGAGGGAAAGAGATGCTAAGAATTGCGAGCTTCATCCTTTCACTGAACGAAAAATTACTCGAACTCCGGAACAAGGACGGAAGAACCCCCTTATGCTGGCATGCCATGCCGGAGACTCTTCCGTTGTGAAATATTTCCTGGAGCAGGGGGCTAAGCTTGATACAAAAGATAGTCGCAACGAAGACACCGCTCTCCATCTTACTGCCTCAGGAGGAAATGCTGTCATTGCCCGCATGTTGTTAAAGCACCGGGAGAAACTACTCAGTGAGAAAAACAACGATGGTGGAACACCCCTACTTGTGGCTGGCTCGTGTGGGAATTTTGAAGTTGTCTGCTTTCTTTGCGACGAATACGGCGACGCCGACAAATTGGAAATAAATGCCAGGGACAGTGAGGGGGAGACTATCTTGCACAAGGTCTGTGATGGAAATGTTGCCCGGGTGATCAAATGGCTCTTGGAGCAAAATGCAGACGTCGTTGGAAACGACGCCCAAAGAAACCCCCTACACATGGCTTGCTATGTGGGACATGCAAAATCTGCTATCACGCTTCTCGATGGCCTTGCGAGAGATCAGGCCATGCAATTCATTAACGCGGAAGATAAATGGGGTGATAAGCCCTTGGGTGATGCCGTGGATCGAGGACACAATGATTTGGCACTTGAGTTGTTGAAACACAGTGCCTATTTCTCAAGGTCTTCGATAGATCCCATTCCCCCAGAGTTGTATCTTTCAGGCCCAGAAGAGTCCGAGACCGTGACGAAGGTACTTCGCAACTGGCTGGAGACAACAAAGAAGACTCTCAAGAATGACAGTGGTGATACGAGCAAAGCTAACGAGCATGGAGTTTCTCCAAAAACCGAAAGTCTTCATGGGTACCTGAAAGCAGCTTGTTATTGGGCTATTTCGAATGGAAATTTGGAATTGGTGGAAGCTTGTCTGGCTCTAGCGAAGGATACCGGCGCTGACTTTAACCTGCCAGATGGGGAAAAGACATGGCATGATACCTTTTCCGCGGGTTTCTCACATTCCGAAAGTTGGGTTAATTCAAATACCTGGGAACGCTTCCGTGAACCCAACAATCTTCGACCCCCAGAAAACGTTGGAAAGATACTACTTCACCTAGCAGTCGAGAATGCGAAGTTTAAAGTGGTTGAAAAAGTCCTCGCCTGGCCCAAGCTAGATGCAACCCCTAGTGCTCTTGATATGATCATCCAACGGATACCAGATGGCGAAGGAAAGGACGTCGCTCTGATCTCACTGGCAGTTTCCGGCAGCACTGAGGAACACTACGACATTCATCGACTTTTATGGAACAAAATTAAAGACGAGGCAGGTCGTATGAAAATCTTTTCTGGGCATTCTAGACAACTTGAGCACTCTCCAGAAAGCCCCTTCGCTGTTATTCTTGAGCTAGCAGCTCAGTTTGGAGAAGAAACTACACTGAAAGACTTCCTTCAAACAATCTGGGGGGCAAAGATCAACAATGACAACGCCCTTGGTCTAGCAATTCGATTGCAATATCCGAGGGTTGTCTATTGGCTTCTTTCGAATGGTGGTTATCTCGATGACAAAAACATCCAAAATGGTCTGGATATTCTTGCTAAACTGAAACAAGACCTACGACCAGAGTCCTACGAAAGCATCAAACGGATTTTGGAAGCTCCTCCTGATTTGACAAAGCACGGCCGCAGAAGTGATGACCACATGCCCCCATTGCTTGAACTGCAGGCCAAAGAGGTTGAAAGGATTCCCAACGCAACTATTGTGGACTTCACCTCTTCTAAGGAGGGTAAATATGTCATTTCTCGGCTCCAGAGGCGTCCAATGACCGAGATCCTTGCCGATAACGGCATCCAAAAAGCCATGAACTCTGGTGTGACGTATGATAGCCTGTTTCTCAAGGAAGGGGTGGTGGAACTTCCTAAGGGTACACCGGGTGAGGCCCAACCGAGTGGAAGGATGCAAAGAGGGAAGGTAAAAGAATATTATTTATACGTCAAATTGCACATGCTGAAAGGTTCCAGGGCCCTTCGAACCCGGCCAGTCAACAAGTTTCAGAAATGCAGCCAAAGAAGGACCAAAAGGAGAAAGTCTCTCACAAAGAGGAACCGCCGGTCAAGAACTATGAAATGAGGTGGATACACGTTCCCACAAATGATGTAGGTCGACAAGTGTGGAAGTAGAGTACCAGCGGGCCCGGATACTAATAATATTTCCTCCACCCACAGATGGATTGTTTTGAGGTATCATTATACTCTTTCTCGGGCAATGCACAGCTTTTGACAAATCACAGAAACTCATGACACGGATCTTGATTGACAACGACAAGAAAAGGCGATATCACAGACATCTCCAACACTTTTTACGAAAGAGCTGGTCACAGTTGCCTGCTGGCGGACAAAAAAGCTACATGAAGCCGCAATGCGTGGTAAGATATTTCCAACATACAGGAAAACATGAAGATCTCACTATTCAATAAACTCCTTCCAGAAACGATCGATTCCAGAGCAAACACAATCGATTCCAGAGCAAACACAACCAAGTTCAGAGGGCAAGTCCTCCATTGCTCCTGGCACAACTAAGAAGGACAACACAAGAGCTCTCAAAACTGCTTTATATGTGAGTGTATACAACGCGTAAAGAAGCTGTGTTCTTACACTGACAAGTATGAAAAAAAAAGATACCATATGTCTCTTGGACATCCCAACACAAAATCCCAGAAAACTCTTCTCAGGCGGGAAGTTCTGTGCCCGGCTCTAATTCTTCGTCTGAGCCCCCCAATCAGTGGAACGAGGAGTTTCCCAAACTCGGAATTAACCAGCGATATATGACTTTAGATCAGTATTACTATGTTTCATTGGGGGATACCAGTCGCAGGGATGATGATCAAGCTCTGGGGAGATACTTGAGCAACGCGGCATCAGAGCAATCTGATAGCCACATTGAAAAGGACTCCAACACAGATGAAAAGTGCTGTACAGCGCTCATTGTCAATCAGTTGTGGCTTTGGAAAATCGATCCGAGTACGTTTATAGACCAACAACTAACCCTGCCCAAAGCCATGTACAACGAGAGCTGACATATGAGAACCCAGAGATTATCATCACAAGCAGCACAGAAGAAATGACGGATAGTAGAGATGGCTTTTTTCAATGTGTTCTGGAAAATTTCAAAGATCGGCAAATGAGCTTGTCGATTGATTCCGGTGATTCCATGGTGGAGCTAATTCTCAGCACTGCAATTAGATCCTTTGTGCGCAGGGATATCAGAAAGCCATCTGCCGAACGCCATAGGGCTTCTCTGTTGGATGTCTACAGAGAGTCTATCTCAGACATGGTAAGTTGTTTGAAAAAAAAAGCCAACTTTTCATAAGATGTTGATTGCGTTTGAAAAAAAAAAAGCATGAACAGGAAACCAATCTCTTCGAGGAGTTCAGCAAATTGCTCGAACCTAACAAGTCCCAAGATCTGCTGAGCGAGCAAGGTTCCATCAAAGCCCCCAGACAGAACGAAAGGTACTGTGGGCCACATGCTTTCACAATCGCAATTCCACAGCTAATGCTTCAAGAAGGACAGCTGAACACACCGAAAACCAGAGAGACGCTCCGGTCTCTTTGAATCCGGGCCAAAGTAGAGCTCCAACTGAGCCTTGTGCCTCGGAGGTGGTGAATCACAAACCTGAGCAGCAAAGTCAAGAAAAGCACCCGGAGCATCCAGATCAGTCTTACGGTAACATCTCCAAGGAGGCAGACCTGCTTCGCTTGGTCAAGGACATATGTGATGAACTACACATCCTGAAAAACCTAGCTGAGGATCAAGAAGACGTTTGGAAGCAATTCCTGGGTCGTGAAAAGAATGCATCGCGTGTCTTCAATTATTACACGCCAACGGAGGTCAGATTTGACATTGAGGAGATGATACAAGAGGCGGAATCGGTTCAAGATGCGTTTCACACGTTATTGGATCTTAGGCAAAAGCAGGCAAACATCGAAGAGGCCCGGTACGCACGCAGACAGAGTGAGGAGACGCGCAAACAGAGCCAGACAATCATGGTCTTCACAGTCATCACCATCCTATTTGTAAGTCTTCACCCCCCGCGGATGCTTCAAGCTCAACCAAATGGATTCTTACTTGCATATAAAGCTTCCAGCCAGTTTCTTGACTGGGCTGTTCGCGTTGAATGTCAGGGAATTTCCACACGAGGGAGACACCGTTACGTACAAAGGGTCGTGGATTTTTCCCATCATCAGTAAGATCTGCCTCTTCCGACCTTTAATATATGTCCAAAACTCGGTTTTTTCTGGATGCTGACCTCGATTCAAGTTTTCGTTTCTCTCGGACTTTCTGCTATATTTTCCTTCCTGGCGTACAACCCAGACTGGTTCTCGTTCCCTCAAAAGAGCCCTAGCCAAGCGAGAAAGGAAGGCGAAGATGAGAAGAAAGGTGATGATACGCGCAATGGTTCGACCGCCACCGGGCACAATCGTAACCCTTTTGGAAGACTGTTTAGACGAAGGAACAAGAATGTCGAGAGGGGAATTAACGGATTAGTATAGCACAACTAACGGGGCTAGCTATCATTCAGTCATGTGAGAAGCTCCGGTGAAAATCGATGAATGTGGCCCTAGAGTACCCAATCATGACAACATGATGTGGTCAACTCACAATCTAGTCATCCACTCTCCGAATTCCAAGTTGCTTCGAGGCTACAGCCCACTAGATCGGTATTTACGAAGGAAAGTAATCATGAGTAGAACAATGCCCATTATCATTATAGCACATTAAGTATCATAATTGCATGCGTAGCAATATAAGAAAATCATAAAATAAAACCCCCTCACAGCGCCTTGAGCAACTCCTGAATCAAAGGCAAGAAGCCAGTGACATCGTCAATCAGGAGTGTAGTCTCGTTGACGAACTTAGGAGTGAGGAGGTCACTAGCGTTATCCAAGAGCGAACCGATCTCCGTGATGGTCGCGGGCTTGAGCAACTTCTTGACCTCGGGCATGATCTCCGGTAGGTATCCAACGATATCCTTGAGGGAGCTGACCAGCTTGGGGCTGAGAAGGTCGTCTGCGGTATCGATGAGGCCAGAGGTCTCGCTGACGAAGTGGGGTGTGAGCAGGTTGGTAGCGTTTGTCACAATGTAGCCCAAGTCCGTGATGATGGTGGTGTTCAGCAGCGACTTTGAGAGATCGGGGATCAATGGGATGACGTCTCCGAGGAGGTCCTTCAGTCCGTGGACGATGGTTGGGGTCAGGAGGTCGTCTGCGCTGTCGATGAGGCCGGTGGTCTCGTTGACGAACTTGGGGGTCAGGAGGTTGTTGGCATTGGTCAAGAGAGATCCGATGGCGTCGACGGTGCCCTTGGTCAAGAGGTGCTTGATCTCGGGAAGCAGGGGCGTGACGGCGCTGAGGATAGACTTCAAGCCAGAGGTGAGGTCCGGAGTCAGCAGGCTGTCGGCCTCGCCAACCAAGCTCATAGTCTCGTTGACGAACTTGGGCGTCAACAGGTTCTCGGCGTTGGTGAGGAGGTTCTCGATCGAGCTGATCATTCCCTTGGTCAGCAAAGACTTGATCTCGGGGATCAGAGGAATGATCTCGCTGAGCAGCGACTTCAAGCCCTTGGTGAGGTCCGGAGTCAGAAGGCTGTCGGCTTCGCTGATGAGGCTGCTGGTCTCCTTGACGAAGTCGTCGGTAAGCAGCTTGTTGGCGTTCTTCAGAACGTTCTCGATCTCGGTGATAGTAGCCGGCTTGAGAAGTCCCTTGAGCTCGGGCAACAAAGGAGTGACCTGGTCGAGCAGACCCTTGATGCTTGAGATGGTGCCGGGGCTCAGAAGATCGCTGGCCTCCTCGATCAGAGTGGAGGTCTGGTTCACGAAACTGGTGGTAAGCAGATCGTTGGCATTGCCCAGGAGCGTCTCGATCTCCTTGACGTTGCCATCGGTGAGAAGGTTGCTGGCCTTGCTAATGAGAGGACCAGCCTGCTTGATAAGCTTCCCGGTGGTGTCGATGAAGCCTGGGGTAAGCAGCTTGTTGGCGTTCGACAGAAGCGACTCGATCTCCTTGGTATTCGCCTCGGTGAGGAGACCACTGGCTTGGGTGATGAGAGGACCGGCTTGCTTGATAAGCTTTCCGGTAATCTGGATAAAGTCGGGCGTGAGTAGCTTGTTGGCGTTGGATAGGAGAGACTCGATTTCCTTGGTGTTCTCCTCGGTGAGGAGACCGCTGGCCTGGGTGATAAGAGGACCGGCCTGCTTGATAAGCTTGCCGGTGGTCTCGATGAAGCTTGGAGTAAGCAGCTTGTTTGCGTTGGACAGAAGCGATTCGATCTCCTTGACGTTGCCCTCGGTGAGGAGACCACTGGCCTGGTCGATGAGAGGGCTGGCCTTTCCAATAAGATTGGTGGTCTCCTTGACGAAGTTGGCAGTGAGCAACTTGTTGGCATTGTTGACCAGGTTGATGATAGCCTTGGTGTCTTCGGCAGTAAGAAGCAGGGCAGCGTTGTCAATCAAGTTATCAACCTTCTTGACGAAGTCGGAGGTCAGAAGGCCGTTAGCGTTGTTGATCAAAGACATGATCTCCTGGGTGTTCTTCTTGGTCAAGAGGTCGTTGGCATTGTCGATCAGACCACCGACCTTCTTGGAGAAGTCTGCGGTCAGAAGGTTGTTGGCATTGGCTACCAAGCTCCGGATATCGTTGTCGACGGGGGAGCCAAACTGGTGGACAGGAATTCGAAGGTATCGGTGACGGTCTTCAGGAAACCGGGGTTAAGGAGACCTTCGAGCCCACCAATGAGGTCACCCAAGCCACCACCGCTCTTACCACCACCAAGCAAGCCGGTGAGTGTGTTTTCCAAGCCGGACAGAATGTTGTCCGAATCAGAGGAGCTGCCAGAGGACTTGGTGCTGGTGGTACCGGAAGAAGAGGCAGCAGAGGATGTTTCACTCTGGTCAGCCTCGGCAGCTGAGCTGGCGCCAGTGCCAGCAGCCTTGGTAGCGGTAGGGCCAGACTCGGACTCGGATGATGAAGCACCGCCGCCGAGAGCGGTCTCGACACCGCCAACCAGAGATCCAACGGGGTTGTTAGCCTTGGCTGTCGTGGTCGGGGCGGCGTTGTCCTGGGCAGCGGTGTTATCTTCAGCAGAGGTGGTATCCTCTTCCTTGGGAGCAGCAGCAGCAGTGTTGGCTCCGTGGGTGACCGCATTAGCAGTATCCGCGGCAGCAGTGGTAGGATCCGCTGCAGCAGTGGTAGGATCCGCTGCAGGGGTGGGGTCTGCCGCAGGAGTATTGGCGGCATTGACATTGGCTTGGTTTACGTTAGCCTGCTGCTGAGTGGCAGAAGTTGTAGGTGCGGCCTCCTCCACGTTGTTGGCGGCAGCAGGCGCGACGGTACCCGCTGAGGCTGATTGGGCTGCTGGGCTGGCCCCTGTCACGTTCACCGTGAACAGGAGTGCCGTAGCAAGAGTCGACATAAAACGCATGTTGGCAAATGGTCCGATCTGGCGGTTGTGTATTTGGTGAGGTGTATCTTGACCAACCAGTCGTATAGGCGTCAATTCCCCAAACCTGTCGTTCAAAGGTTTGTTGCGGAGCAGGAAGAGCCTTCAGGGAGATCCGGGAAAAACAGCCTTCCCCGGAGTGCGAGCCAGGTCTTTATTTACAGCGCGACGGCGCCGATCGCCGTGTACCAGACACGGTTCTATGCCATCCCCGCTAACCACAATTGTTAGTGCAATGGCACTAAGGCCGATTTTTGGTGTAGCCCCATCATCGCCGAGGAAATGGGGATCGACACCGAGGCAGATAATGCAGAACGGAGTAGAGTAGTACCCATGTGATTAGCAGTTCTCATCACAACTCCACTCCCCGTAGAGTCTAGTAACTCTTCATCGGCCGTGCCTGGGGACTAGGTAGGGATCGGCACTACTACCTGCAGGGAAGAAGCGAAAGGCTTTTTTTTTTCCGGTCCCGAGGCATCAGGCACATGTGTTTGTCAGATTTTGGCGAGCCTGGGCATTGATCCAGTAGGAGCAGGGGTGTCATGGCGTGAACCTGCGTATATTGGCGTATTGGAGCCAAACTATGCGGGATTGGGGCTAAGACGAGCGGGAGCGGGGGTGCTCCTTTTCCCCACATCAGCAATTGAAGAGCCAAGATTGGCCGTGGATAGGGACCAGAAAGGGTCGAGATGGGTCAAAGAGCAGGTCCGTGGCCAATGACCAAATGAGCGACAGGAGAAGAAACAGGAAACCAAAAACAAGAATGAGGGGAGGTTCGGGCTTGACCCTAAAGCGGTAAAGACCTACAGTGATCCTTACCCTATTCTGCCCCCATTCTCCCCCATTCTCCCCCAATTCGCTGTCCACCGACGCCTTTGGAAAAGAAAAAAACTCTTAATTCGAATTTCCGAGACTCGTGCTTGTGACTACATTTTTGCAAGTACTGGAAATTTAGCCTTTGCTTCATCTTGGTATTAAGGGTCAAAGGTCCTCGCAAAATTCGGCATCTTAACAGCACTACAGTTTCACGCATAGCGGTCGTATTTCGTATGTCTTTCGTATATTCCTCATATGGTCATTGGAAATAATCGGCAGCTATTGCTCACAGACAGCGGAGCTGGGTAGGATCGGCCAATGGCTTAACCTGGAGTGGAAAGCTTAAGCGTTCATCTTTTCGGTCATTCGGTCTTAGCCTCCTTTTCTTATTTTCCCTTTGAATTGAGTCTTCAGGCTCTAAGCATTGGCTACTCTGTAAAATACCTCGATTTTAGAGACGTCTCAAGCTAAATATCTCTCAATCTCCCACTTGATTCATGTCTGTAAATGTTTCCAATGTTTCTTCGGGGCCCAAGTATAATCCGAGATGAGTCCATCACCACCAATTATAAGCCTCGTGATTGGTTATGTTTCCCCCGGAGCCCTGGAGTAGATCTTTACTTTATGTTTCTCTCAGTCCGAGTCCAGATGCAAACCGTACCTCAGCGCGGCTTGGGTCCATAACGCTATTGCAGTCTCCATACGGAGTACTCCATACTCCGTATTGAACCTCCAAGAGGCAAAGCCTCACGCAGCCACAGCATGGAAGCATCACCTCATTAAATGCAAATACCTCATATTTAATTTAGAGCTGATTGGTCCATAGCTACTCATGTACATCCCAGAGTGCTGAGCAATGAAAAATAAAAATAAAAATCCAAAATAAATTACAAGAGTCTATAATGAACAACCCGTACTTCATTCTAAGCGAATGGAACGGAACCCCATACTCTTACCTGGGCACTCGTGTCCGGATTGCGGGATAGACCAGATCTCGGCACATTCAGAAACCCGACGATCGTGACTGGGGGTCCTTGGCTCTCAGGGTGGTATTCTCGGGAAAATGACCTCATAAATTAAGATGTGCCGTTGATAGACTTCCGAACCCCAGTTTGCTCCGGAAAGGAGGCGCTCTTGCGCCTCAGCCACTTGCGGGGGAATCTCAAATGATGACATTGTTCGCTTATTCCATGCTAGCACGTCAAAAGTAAATTAAACGTCCCTGGCAGATCTGAGGTTCAACCGAGAATCACAAGATTGCTCGGTCCAAGTACCTTTTGGCTGCGCTATGGCCCATGGCTATATTAATTTGACGGATCACTCGTTTAGATGTACGGAGTCAAATTAGAAGCCGTTGGGCACTCCGCAAGTCGCCTGGAATTACATCTTACGATGTCGTGTTGCTCGCTCAATTTTCCCTCTTCTGCTTTTTTGGGGAGCTTTAATCCCTTGCGGATCCATGGATATGGCATGCAGTTGGTAGCAAATTTGGGGCCATGCAGGTAATCACCGAGAAAACAGAGCCTATAATAACAAACATTCCCGTTGAATTTTCTTGCACGGGTTTACACTTGGACTTTTCATATTTACTCCGTATCCCACCTTTTATTCTTTGTTCTTCAAGTCAATTGAGAAAAGTCGCGAAATTGGGCATCAATGATGTGCACACAGGCTGGTATCGCTTTGGCCCCAACTACAGCTCAGCAGATTTTCTTCGATAGCCTTTCAGGCGCCCAGGCGGCCCCGTACCTCGAGCTGTTGTAAAAAGCTCACATCTTTGGTTGAGCACCTTACAAAAATGATTATGTATCGAACGACCTGGGCTTTCTCCAGACTGCAGAGTCTCAATACCTATACAGGGCTATAAATTATCAGTAAATGCGTGGATTGGCTTCTCATGGCTCGTATCAAGTTGACTAGGGCATCCCGATGTTGTTGAAATTGCCCGGGCGTTAATTATAGCACCAATGCTCACAGCCGAGATTCTTCAATGGCGGACACGGTCTTCCCATTGAACGCTCAGCTTGCCGCAGCGAGTATCCATTTGGCTTTTGGTATCCCAGGTGGTGAGCCAATCCTCAATTCCGCAAAGGGACTTTTTGGAGCAGGGGGAGCTTGAACCCTTGCGGCTACTTGTCCATCCGAGTTCGCCCATCCGCTCACTAATTTCAAGGTTGGTTCCGTCTACACTCCTGCTCGGGAGGTAGGTAGCATGCACTCTGTCCAATTTCAATCAAAGTTCTTCCAGATGAACTTTGACATATTTACCAAATATCGCAGTATTGCGGGCAGCTTTGCGATATTTTAAATCTACTACTCCGTATCGATTCCGTACTTAAATAAACATCCAAGGTATATCAAAAGCCTCACGTCATCAATCTCCGTGGGTGACTCCCGAGGACCAAGCCTGGCCTTTCAAGGTTGTTTTCTTCATATGTCTCCATTGTATAGCCATAATTACAGAGGAGACCGCGGAATCACGCGGTCATTAGTCTTTTATAAATACAAACCCGAACCTTGGAAGTTCTTACCTGGATACGAGCCCTGAGTCTGATCCGACCATTGCAGGCCTTGGAAAGCTAGACTCCCAATCTCACCTGGGCACTAGACCAGGAATATCCCATCCCATTTCTCCATGTAATTGTAATCAATATCCATCCATTGATGGAAACATCCCATGGGGTATCCTCGAATCCCCCTCAGCTGACCTCACCCCATAACCCTGTCTTAGCCCCCAACGTCAGGCAATATCACCGGAAAACCGCTAGAAAACACTCAGACAATGGGCCCATGAGGGCAGGGAATTAGACAGCAGAAGTCGGTGCGAAGAAACCTAAGCGAATCAAATGCGCAATATCCTATCGTTTCAAAGAAATGCACGCGGATATTACGAGGTCTTGCATATGTACCCGTGAACATCCATAGCCATGGACCCCCAGAGAAGCTACCAAGTGGCATATACTACAGGTCAGATTCGATGCATATAGCCTAGACCCATTTTCATCAGTCATCGTTCCATGATTGAAGGAATTCTCCCCACACTAATAACAAAAGGGCTCAAAGCCATTGGAAAAAGTGGATCTCAGATAAGCACGGTCGATCAGGCGATGTTTGGCTGCATGGTGAAGCCTCTGGGGTTGATGGGTTCTAGGCAGAGCCTCGGTAATGAGTCTTTATGGATCGAGGCTGCCACTGGGATGTTTCTCTCCAAGCGTTGAAGGGAGTTAACGGTGAGAGATTTCAGGTCTTATGTCCGAGAACACTGGCCCGGATATGTATTCCCACGTCGATAACGCCCACAAGTGGTTTTTTTTTCTTGGTGTTTTTTTTTCTTCCACCGGGCGTCGTTTCAAATGTGAATGTGTTTCACATATCACTGCAAACGGATGGGGAATATTGATTTCCACGGTTGAGAGACCATCGAAAACCCTGGCGCGATCGCAGCAAGGGAGCCGGGGAAATCTCGGCCGGCCGAACCGCATCCGACAACGACAAAGTAGAGCCCAAAGCAGGACTTGCAGGCCGAGGGGGTTGAGTCGGGTACGTCGGACGTGTGACGTTTTTTTACTCGAAGAGCCCCTGAGAGCAGGCGGCCATAATATGCCGAAGTTTCTCTTTCTCTCTACACTCGACCTAAGAAAAAAAAAAAAAAAGACAAGACAAGACAAAAAGCAGACACGACATGTTATTTGGATTCGTGTCTCGATCAATTCCTGCGCTTAAGCGGTATGGTATGTATACGGCGCAGATGAAATGTTCACCTCACAAGAAAAAGTGCAGGTGTTTTATGTACCCAGAAATCCCATAGCCCAAGGGCCCCCAAGCGCCTGTGCACGGAGAGCAAAACAAAACAAAACAAAAATCAAAGGAAAAAGAGGCGCAGGAACTCAAAGCCCGAAATTACGTTACTGGATTATTCCCGCTCATACTGGGGAATAACATCACATCCGACACGCGACCCAGAATGTTCCGCATACTGACTCCCTCCATGGGCTGAGGAGCAGAGCTAGGGGCCATCATAGCCGGGACGTTAGGACTGGATTCGAGTGAGGGAGAAGAGGGCAGGTCGAGAGGTGAATATGTATCTCCGGAATTCGCGACTGACGGGATACCCTTGGGGGCACTGAAAGCTTCGCGGATCTCGCGCAGAGCCCGCAGAGAGGATGAGACATGTTTGGCGGAGTCGGTGCGATTGTTGTGGTCTTTTGCCTCTTCCGCATAGACGTGATCGCCGAGGGTGGCCTCCAACCTATCGATCAACTGCCAGGTCTGGGGACCATCGTCGTTTGCCACGAGCAGGAATGCGGACGCGATGGTTCTCTGCAAACTGATCCAAGACCGAGAGCAGTGCGAATTGATCTCGTGCAGCTCGACAAAGGCATCGATGGTATTCATCAAGCTACTGATGCAGTCTTCGCGGATGATGGCACGTCGATGGTCGTCCAGATGAGCGTGTGGGTCAAGTGACACTCGACAGAGGACTGAGAGGAGGTAGGAGGAGTGAAGTCGCAACTCTGTGCGCTCGATATGGTCCGCTAGAGTATGGCAGCTCTCGCGGTACCGGAGGTGTGGAGTTGCTTCGACGAGCATACGTTGAATCTGTTGTTTATACTCTCTGATTTCTTGGGTCGGTGAATATGAGGATCCAGGATACATGCGTGATCGCAGAAGTTCCAATGCCGAAGAAACGATTCGACACAGGGTTTCGAAATATGAACGGTGTCCCGGCATTGATTTGGGATCGAATGGGATTTCCGGTTGACTGACCATGGTGATGGATGGTCGGTCATAGGCAAGCGAGAAGTGACTGTTCTGAAAGGCCATGGCCCACCTGGAATTCGTCAGTGGTTACTCCGAAATACAACAGCGGGAGGCACATACCAGACACGCCTTCGCACTTCTTGTTCTGCAAGTGAGAACCCCGTCGACTCAACGTGGAGTCCGAGGACTAGACACATTCGTTCCGTCATGCCTATGATCCGTTAGCCGGACGCTCTCGCCAGATCCCTTCAACACATACCCAGCAAAGTATAGGATGCACCCGCATTCATGTTGTATGAAAGAACATTACTAATGATGAGAAGAATCTGAATTACTTCTACAGTGGGTTGCGATACATAATTCAACATCCGGAGACATTGATACGCACAAGACACTGGAGCAAGGTCAGCACAGATCTTCCAAGCTTTCTCGGAGTGCGACGTACCATATACCCAAGAAGTCAGCTCGCGCTCGTTTTCCGGGTTGTCAGACAGCTGACTCCCCGACGCAAGAACCGCAAAGAGCAGACTAAGAAAAGCCAAGTCCATCCCAAAGGGTTTCACCAAGCCATCGGCATTGGGTTTATAGACGCCGCCTGCTCGTCGTCGGTTCTCAAGCAGATGTTTTGTGTTTCGTTCAAGTCCAGGGACATCCGAGAGCACAGGGTACAAGACCGCTCCTATACTCTGATAGAACGAAAGGAATCTAACACCCGAGGTTAGCATAGGTCTCTAGCCATCGCGCGGGCTCGACTCACTCCAGACATTGCTCGTCTTCCGGAAGTACAGCGCACACGCCGGCGATGTTGAACGTGTACGGATCCGACGACCATAGATCGACGAAGGGATATGCAGCCGACTCATTACCCAAAGCAAGTTCAGCAAGGAGGTCCTCCTGGGGCAGCGCCTGCGCTGTATCCTCCGACCTCTTCGATTTATCCAAGATATCCACCAGAGCCGACCGGGAGCCCAGATGGACCGCACCAGTCTTCAACACATTCGAACCATAAACACCTTCCGACCGTGTTGAACTTTTCCGCTCGATGGGTTCGGACTCCGGGGGCTTGCGCGCAGAATGTGACTGGAAGAGCGAGTGCAGACTGCCAATAGTTTGTTCCATCGCGATCATCTTGACGTTGATCTCATCCCACTCGGCCTGGGAGAGATCGATGACGTCCGATAAGTCGGGATCGGCGCTCGTGCTGGAGGGATGATCGGTCGGATACGAGCCATCACGGGTAGGAGCCGAGTGGGCATAGGGCGGGATTGTGGGGGAGATAAAGGTTTGTTGTAGAGGCGTTGAGGAGGCCGTGATGGCAGGATTGGAGATCTTGGAGGAAGGACGACCGTAGGAACAGGTGAAATTGCGCTTGGTGCAGTTCCCGCAGGGGACGTTGCGATCGCAGCGGACTTTGCTCGCTCGACACGGTAGACAAGTCTTGCATTCGCGCGGTCGGCGACGGATTGGATAGGTTGGCATGGAGTTGTATAATCCCTTTTTTTCACAGCCGGGGCCCCGCGATCGACAATGTGAAGATAGGACCCTGCGACCGGACAATAAGAGGGAGCGGCATAGGCGTAGACGAGTTTGAAAATGGATAGCTCTCACTGGTCTGAGGCTAGGAGCGAATCGGTACAAAAGACCCCGGAGGCTATCAGAGATTCGTGAGCTGCCCCGGATGTTCAACACTCCCCATTGATGTGATCTGTCGGAAAGTTATTGGGTATGTAAAAGTTCCAAGGTCGAGCGAGCGTGTGAGGTTGCGGGTTGGTTTCATAACCAAAAAAATCCCCTCTCTGCCCCAAGAGAATTGCTGCGATGGCTTAGCGCCACCCGAAAAAAATCCAATTTCTAGTTGAGTAGCTTGGCGATATTCAATGGAATCTGGCTGCGAATAATTTTACATTGTACTTTGACTCCGGGGAAGCTTGATCGTCATGTCCAAATGTTCAACATGAAACACGTCATCCGGGGGTCGACAGCTAAGTTCCGTTTCCGGTCTAAATAGGGCAGATCTCTCGCATCGGCTTATTTACTTCTATACTACGGAGTACGGTTGGTTTGGTGTGGGCTTTGCAGCGCCCGTCCAATGTACGAGGCTATAACATGTCATGATCATTTCTATAGGTATCACGGGTAATAATGAAGAGTAAAATCGATACAAGCCTTGGAGATTCAAGCCTGGGACTTCTTCTCAGAGACCTGCGGCACCGCCCACCAGTCATGCCAGCGAGCTTTGTTACCAACCTCGGGGACCTTCACCTCCAAGTTGAGAGGCTTGTCATCACCAGAGGCCGCCAGAGCCTTTTTGACCACCTCAATAGCCAGACTGGTTCCGATGCAGGCACGCATGGTGTCCTTTGCATCGCGGTTCCAATCATCTTTGATTGCTTTGGGTGAAGCCGAGGCTGTATCCGACGGGTCCTCAATGAAGGCCCCATTGGCAAGCGTTGCCTCCCAAGCCTTTCGCGCCTCTGTGACTGCCTTGGAGGCACGTTCCAGGATGGCGGTATCAGAGTCACCCTCGAGCGCAGCCTCGCGCTGATATTCTTCAAAGGGCACCAACTCGGGTAGAGTGATAGGGATAAATGGCTTCATGCGAATCTCATATCGTAGTCTATCGGTAGAATACGCTTGAGGGGAAGAGGCCAATGGGAGAATTTTGTGTCGAGTCAGTACCACGTACAGTGCGTGGAGAGCAATCGCAAAGGCATCGATTGCACTGATGTGCGTCGTGAGTCTGTCCAAGGCGTGGAATGATCGGTGGAACGCAGATGCTTTCTGAGCAGAATTCCCTGACCGGGAGCCAGCAGACATCAGATCTCGCTTTCGCGCGGCTACTGTGAACGTGCGAATGCGGTCAATGTGACCAAGGTGTGTGGAGCAAATGTGAGACAGGTACCAATACATCCCCGGGAGTTCCTCAGGGGCGTAAATGGAAAGCTCGAAGCCCATCTGAAGAATGAGTCGGAATTGGACCAGCTTTTGATGATAGGCCCAGCTGCTGAGAGGGAAAGACCAAGTTGGTTCACCCCCTTGGAATTGTAGTGGCGGCTCTGCGCTCAACGTGCGAAGCTCAAGATCGAGTTCTTCGGCCTATTTACAGTTAGCGTGGTAACTAAAAGCCCCCTCGGGGACACGGATCAGGTCACACGGGGATCACTCACTTCCATCTGCAGATTGTCCCAATCAAGAATAGTATGGCAGAGTGTGCGGCGGAGGCGACAGCGATTCAGACAAGCGCATCGCACCGTATCGACAAATGGCTAAATAAATTAGCGAATACGACTATTGCGAAGGGAAGAAGAACCAACCTGAGAGAATCGCTTCATGAAGCCATCCATCTTCAGCGCAATTTGAAACCGGGGATCAGACGGGACTTCCACATCATCCGTATTCGCTTCGAGCAATATGCTGGCAGGTAGCACCAGTTCCGCCAACTCTCCAAATAAGAAGTCTTTGACAGGAACAGTCCCAAGGATGTTATAATTACTAACGATCAATGCCTGGAGGAGGCAGCGGATGTAGATTGACGGTTGAGGTTTTCGAGAAAGTAGAGTCCAGACAGCGGTCTGCGGCAATTGTTAATGTCAGAATCAATATGATCCTCATCTACACATACCTTAAAGTTGCTTGGGCCGGTATAGTCAAGCATCTGCTGCATGTCTATCGCGTCTTGACACAGCCGTTTGAGATGTGCCAGTGCATCATCGCAGCTAATATTAACCATCGGGCGAGGGGGCACAGTGCTAGCCAGCTTCCGCTGAATTTTCAAGCTGAAAGCCTCTGGAATTGGCTTCCCCAGAGAGACCGACTCTGTTAAAGGTCCGAGTTCCGACAGACACGACTCGAAATTGTGTGTATCTCTGGTTTCAAGGACTTCTAGGTCCTGATCTAACGCAGATAGGAACCCATGTCGGAATGCAAGTCTACAGCGGATAGCATCTTTGAGCTTCTGGTCAATATCAGCCTGTTCGGCGAGCCAGGCGGTCGCCTGATCCAGCAGTTCGTGAAAGCGGGAGATATGGATTGCAGAAAGCAAATTTCGGTTGTATAATTGGCTGACAAAATCCTCTTCCTGTTTTTGAAGTTAGGTGAGAAGTAGTTTGGATCTTCGATCACGGTTACTGACCTCGTAGTAGTATTCGGTAGCCACTCGGGCATGGACGAGATCGCATGCCTTGACCAGTGAGAGACAATAAGCTCGCAGGACAAGGCTGACCAGAGGCGACTCGCTCGGCACACGGTCAAACCGCGCATCCTCAATAGTCCTCGGCACTGGCCACAATAACCTGTCAAGGTAAATTGATGTAAATAGCGTTTGCGAGAGAGGATGTCCCTTGTGCCATGCCACCTGCAATTATATCAGCAATCTATAACGCAACATAGCAACACACGGTGTCTCCAACCTCATGGCACAGCAGCTGGTCCATCAAGCCCACTATTTCTTCTGGTGTCAATGGCTTTCGAACATCGTAGTCGTCTTCGAGAGCCTGCTCGAGATTTTCCCCGGGGGCTATGTAGCCACTGTCCATTTTCGAATCCATAATCTGCATCGATGCGATTGTCGTTAGCCGCATGTTTCGTGGCACGTCTCACGATCAGAAAGCTGACGCACCTCCAATGCGCCCACGGCCTCGAATAGCGTGAACGTCTCATCTTTAACGAGTTGCCCTGTGTTCAATTCTGGCGATATGATCATTAGTCCCATATTCGAGTTCTGGGAGCAGTACACCTACTCGACGCGGCGGCCGTAAATTCAGCGGTGATGTCGCGCGGGACTGCGGGCTGCCCAATCCGCGGACGGGGCACGCGAACCTCGTTATTCGGCAGCATAGCAAATGAAGCCAAGGTCGTCTAGCGCGGCGCCGTTTCGCTTATACAATAGAAACAAATTGCCAAGCACCGCAGGCCTGGTTCGGAGGTATGGGCGAGTCGAGGGGAAGGGCGGGGGACGAGGGCGGAGGAAAAAGCGATTCGGGCAAGGCTGCTCGGGCCCAGAGGTGACGTGCAACATCTGACCGGCCTTCGGGCAGTATGTGAATTCTTACAACAAAGTCCTAATTAACGTACGGTGCATCGGCTGAAAACAAAGGTAGGTGCGATTCTAAAGCTCTGCCCAGGCAGGCAGGCTGGTATTGCTACACATGTACATTTCAATGCCTCCCCGGACTTGGAAGTCGCTCAAGTCCGTTACACTCGGATGCTGCCAATTCCCCAAACTCGATTATCTCAGGATGAAGGCGAAAGTAGCTTATTTCTCGGCGGCCTGAGCGAGAGACTCGTTGTTGGCCTGGGCGAGCGAGCGGACCTCACCCTGCTTGCCGTTCTGTTTGTCATAACATCCAACCGTCAGTCAAAATCCAACATCACACGGGGACCCAACTATTCACTAACCTCCCACTTGGCGAAACGGAGATCCATCTGGCCGCGGCGCTCGGAGGCGAGGCGGGGACCGTCCTTCAGGGAACGGCGCACGGTGCGGGCGGCGATAGCCAGGTAGCGGTTGTAGCTGGAGGTCGCAGTTAGCATTGAAGCTTGGGTGGAGACGGAGGCTCGTACGTCAAACCGGCGGCTTTCCAGGCGGCAGTCATTTTGAAGGGCTGGTGGAGGATATGATTTGATTGAAGGGGGTGAAAACGAGTCGGGTTTCGACATTCGATCCGGAGATTCGGGAGTTCGATGTTGCACGCACGTGACTTTCCATCAACGCCCGGGTCGGAGGATGGTTGATCCGAGAATGCTGAGTCAGGAGCTGTGTTCCTATGCCAAGGCTCGGGTCCCTTGATCAGTGTCTATGCTATCCATGGATGTTTGGGGTTTGTCTTTACTTTCCAGGATCTTCTTGACCTACGATTCGATTATCATCATCTGCTGGTGTACACTAAGTCATAGTTGGGATTTGCGATGGATCAAATACATCGTATTGATCATGACACGTTGCTATGCCTACAAATGGGGGTTTGTTTATACCCTGAAAAAATATGCGGATGACAGTGTCTGCCCTTCTTTGGATCAAGTCAACAAAGTATCCGAGTCAAAACTATACGCATTCCGAGGCTCTCTAAGCTGACCACATGATACATCACGAGAGAAGCGCTTGTGGAACATTCTTAATGTCGAAATATCTACAGAGCATACCATTTGAAGGGAGTATTGTGAATGCAATCCAGCAAGCTGACCGTGAGAAGCTTCTGTTGAGTTCGAATGCTCATAGGAACACCTATTACCTTGCGCTCGAAGATGATCAAGGTACATCGGCGGGATTTCCGCACGCTTCCCTCGAAACCTACATGATATGGATGTGATTTGCCTTCAGAGCCGTACCTGTGAATTGTTTCAGCATAAATGTGTTATTTTGAGTCTGGTTCACCAGGCTCAGAGAGAAAAAAGAATGCTCTTGCTCCTGTCCTCTTGCTCGTCTGCTCTCCTGGTCTGCTTTCCCTTAAAAGTGTATCGGCGCCTTCTCGGTGTCTCTTTCAAACTTCTGAAAAATAGCTCCAGGCTAGAATGCCACCTCGAAGTCCTGAAAATTAACATTGACCAGGCTGACAGTATCTCCATTGGATTTTATGTGTACATGGGTTCAGATCCTTGAGGCCTTTTGAGAACCACACTCAATATACCTGATGCAGCACACGTCGATCTCTCTGTGCAGACGATTGACACAATTTCCCAATCCGCCTTGATCCCAGCAGTTGCTCGAAGCTCCCAACAGAAATAGACATCCGCACGACTCACGTGCACAAGACCGCATCCTACCTTCTAGGTTATCGACCCTGCGTTTCTCGCCAACGGCCCTTTGACCGCAGAGCTCACAACCCAATTGCTCCAATTGCTACTGGTTAATTTGGAAGACTGCAACTTCAACCAACAGACCACTTCCTCAACATTCCCGCGAGGGGTTCCCGAAAAAAATAGTTGCACGCTTTTCACGCTTTGGCTTCGAATGGTTTTAATACGAGAGGCATCATGCATGTCCACAGTTTATAGAATAGCTAATCCTTGAACACCCTTAGAGGGCACATATCGACCTAGTGCAGGAAAGCTCTAGCCTTCAATATCACATGTCTCACTGAGGAACCGGCTTTCCATGCCGTTTGGCCAGGTCGCGATGAGAGATACAGAGGAAGGTACAGAGAAGCCAACTGCATTCAACATTGTCTCAACCTGAAAAGATCCATGGATCCATGGATCTTACTGTAGCGCTTCGCAATATCTTCTTATCTCGTTGATTGTTCTTTTCGCGCATAGGAACTATCCTCGGGAATCCGTTTGATGATTCCTTTTACCGACCTTACAAATTCACTCGTGTAGGCAACCTGAGAGGGCAATCCCGTCACTAATTGAGCACTGGTTGATTTGTTTCTTCCTGTCAAATTTTTAGCGGATTGCAGAAATGCACAATTGTAAGCAAATCCACAGACCAATAGCCCTGAGAGGTAAGCTTTTGTTCCATACTTGATTCTTTGTGCTTTTGCTGCCCACGGGCGATCTTCACGTCTTTGCTTCGCAAGCACTGATTTTCTCCTTGTGTCCGTTCATTGTATCCTCACTATCCACGAGTGATCTTGATGTGCTTGACTTGCTGGGGACACGTGTATGTGGATGGTCCAGGATGGATTCATCAATAGGAAGATCGTCCGTAAGTCGGACCAATCAGAGTGCGTGCGATAACCGGATAAACAAAGGTCCCGAAGTATAAAGCTTCGGAATTGCTCATTCGCGCATAAGCACACCAGCGTTTCAGTCACTTCACTCGTATTTTGCGTCCCCTGAGAGCAGACAACAATGTAACTCCATGTCGCATCATGTGGCCTGGGCTGGATCCGCGTAACGCCAGATCCGCACTGCCGCGCATAGGTCCAAAATTGGACCCGCCCTGCCGCACGATAGATGGACGAGATGAGATGTGTCGACGATCAAATTCAAAAGCCACTGGTGGTCTTTCAAGAGGCATATAGATCTTCAAAATCAGCCACAAGATAGATCCTGGCCAGATGATGCTCCTGTAGACTTCTCAGACGCGTAGCTTCAATATAACGGCCCACGAATGGCCCGCAACTTCCCCGAAGACACAGAACGAGCTATTCGAAGTCGCGTCGGCTCTCAGTTCGCTGATCACGAGCTCAACGAGCTCCGCGGGCGTGATTTGCGGCCACCGAGGTGCATAAATAGTCTTCTTTTCCGGCCTCACCTCTTTCTCACTTCGTCACTCTTCATCTATCCAAAGCAGTACCCATACTTTACAGTATTGGTCCCCTTCAGAGATCGAGAACGGCCACACAACTCAATCAACCCAACAAGCTAGCAAGCAGGTAAGTGGCGCACAATCCATCTCCCTACCCCAGACATCTGCACCACCTTTGCTCGCATGCATGCCCCGCACCATCTTCATGGTCAGATAGCTCGTCCATAGGATGGTAACTGGCCTTGGTCGAAGGAAGCTGCTGGCTTGCATGGCTTGCATTGGGTGAATCACTGTTGTCACATTGGCTCATTGGCCGCTGTGGCAAACATGGTTCAGTCATAGCAGTTCATCATCCCAACCTTCTCACGGTGGATGAGCTCTTCGCCCAAGGCCAGCTGGCTTGGAAATGGCCTATATGGTCTTGTTAGCTTTGGATCCTCCGCATTGAGTTGGGAGAACATGATGCAACCAACTTGCCCTATTTCCCGACTGAACACAATCACCACACACTCAACGCGTTCCATCATGGTGCTACTTCGGACCGTCCCTTCAGCCTCACAACCAATCACCCCTTCAGAGAATCGACCTATCTTGTTCGATGGTGACAAGTCGCCGAACGACAAAAAAGCACGTCAATCTCCACCAACCTGCTCATCACTATGCATTGTGGTGACGGGCTTTGCCTTTCAGCTCAAACACTGCACCCAAAAAAGTCACATCTTTGCCCAGAATCTACAGCTCCACATCGGATCAAGGCACAATGGAAAATAGGCTAATGGTACATGTTGTCATGAAGGATTTCGATATGGCAGCCAAGAAGAAGAAGGTCAACAACAGCAAGAAGCGCAAGGCTGATGATCGGGACAAGGACGACAGCGAGGAAGACATCGAGCTTGTCGAGCAGCTTCGTCGTGAACTTGCGGAGAAAGAAGCGGAGATAGAGCGTATGAACGAGCCCGCAGAAGAAGAATCTGCTCCCCGAACTTCTGATCGCAAGGGTCGCCAGCTTGTCCGTTGGGATGGTACGATAGTTTTTGACAATCTGTTGCACATTTGTTTGATCCATTCAATCATATAGATGGTGCAGCCGGGATACATGCATGGGCGAATTCCTCCACAGACTTGCATTCACATCATGATCTTTTTATTGACCATTGCTGATGTTTGGTTTTCACAGATGATCACGACATCCGCTTGCTCCTCGCAATCCAACACGCGTGCCTCTCGGCCGGAGTGAAGATCCCCTGGCAGGACGTTGCTAAGACCCTGGGAGCCAAGTTCACCGAAGGTGCCATCACACAGCACCTTGCCAAGGTTCGCACCAGGCGCATTGCCGGCCACAAGTGGGTTCCACCGCTTGCGAAGCGTGGCGGAAAGCCCCGTGAACAGGACGACGCAGATTGCAAGACCCAGAAGGGGAAGATGTCTTCGGATAAGCAACTCTTGCCAGCTGCTGACCTCGGGTCTGGCTCTAAGGGCAACTCCCGTCGTGGAGGAGGTCGCAACACCTTCGTTGACAGCAGCGACGAGTCTGATGATGACATCTTTGGCATGTCCATGAACAAGGGACGCAAGATGCACAGCGGACTTCCGTTTGCCAACAGTGACGGCTCAGGTAATCGCCCAGAAGGATACGGCGCCGGTCAACCGTGGCTCACACAGTTTTCAGGAAATACCGGTCTTGGGTTTGATAGCGAAGGTGATGGATATGCCACTGGCAGCTCCAGATTTACACCCGACGGCGATGACGAATCGAGCGAGACTACTGCGGAGGTGAAGAAGTCCAAGATCGTGAAGTTGAAGATTGATGGAGAAGCGCTCACTCGCATTACCGGCGGGGTGCCAAACGCATCGTCGTCGCGCTACGTGAGCAACAGCTCTCTCCCGGCTCCAGTCACCCCCCAGCGTCGGCCTGTGGCATTCAACCACCCCCCTCAGCGCCAAAGCTTCCGGACCCTCCCCCCGGGCATGGACGCACCCATCCCTGCGCCTCCTTTTTACGGTCACCAGGACATGTACGGTCCGAACTATGTGTACCACCCATCGTCTGGTCCAAGCCTCTTTGAGCAGCCGACTCCTCAGGCCAGGTCGCAATCTGGACAAAGCCCTTTCCTGCGCAATCCCCAGGATCCGCAGCATTCGCCTACTCCTGTTTACCCGTCTCGCACGACTGTATTGGATCGTGAGTTGGAGAACCATTACCCACGGGTTCAGACCCCCGGAGAGCTGACGATGTTGACGGGTATGACGGAAGACCCAACCTACAACTCGTTTCGCGGCCGCCTTGCTGCCCAGAATCGCTGGGGCCATGATCTTGCTTATGACCGAGAGTTTGAGCGGCAGATTGAACAAGCTACTGCAGTGCGAAACGCCCGGGAAACTTTCCAGCGACAGAACCAGGGAGCCATTCTGCCAGCCCCCCAAGGTTACGTTGAAAACTTGGCTCTGGGAGTCCCTCAGGATTACGCTCAGTTTTACGCAATGGGAGCCGTTCAGCAATACCTTCAGCCAACCGCTCAAGAATACGACCAGTCAGTCATGCAGCAAGTCTCTCAGGGACACGCTCAGGGAGCTGCTCAGGAATTCACGCAGCCAGCTATGCAGCAAGTCTCTCAGGGACAAGCTCACGGGGTCACGGAGGAACTCACCAAGATACCCGTTAACTCAGATTTCGAGCGACTCGTCCAGGAAACTGAGGCCCTTCGTGCCAACGTTGATCTCGATGATCCGCTCTGGGCCCCTATTTACAAAGATCTTGATGCGCTCGGCGAATCGATGAACGAACCGGTGGACGCACCGTTGGGAAGTGTCAGTATTCTCAACACTCATGCGTGGCAACAGCCCCTGCCTCAGGCTCAAGAGGAGGCTCAAGTGGAGGCAGCCTACCCCCTCCGCCCCCGCCAGCCCATGTCCGGTGTCAACCCTGTGGAGGGTGAGCCGGTGGCCGAGAAGGAGGCTGAAGAGAAGGCCGACGAGGAGGTCCCCTGGGACTTCTTCTAAAGGAGGTCATCCAACCGCCCACTGGGCATTTACGCAGGAACTGCAGTTCAGTTGCCTGCTTAGCGAATTGGTGAATTGGCGAATTGGCGAATTTGATAATTTGGCGGGAGATGTGATTTCCGAACTGGCCGGAAGATAAGGGTGCAGCTTTGAGGCCGGCCAGCGATTGCTTTCTTCTGATATTTTTCGTGACATGGAGTCATAGGGAGTTTGCATCGTTCGTTTGGAAATCACCACGGCGTTCATTTTGAGTCCCTACGGGGGCTCCGGTCGATAGGTTACGCGAGCGCCGTGATTTTTAATAATAAATCAGAAATTCTTCAATTGCGGGTGCTATGTAGTGATCGCGTGAATGGCCATGCGTAGGTTCACTTGCCATACACCGTAATGACTTTGGACATGTTGGGACATGTGGTGGTGAGATATTCCAAGGTTAGAATTAGTAGGTATCAAGCAAGGTTCGAAACTATCATCCGGGTGTTGCAATTGACAGAATTTTATGATCGAGGTCATTCCGGAGTGAAATTCACGGGTATCACGATCTGAGCGGCCGTCGCATACTTTGCAAGCATCAAAGTAGTACGTACTACTTTAGAATCGCAGGTGGTTCTGTGTAGAAATCGTTGTGGTACTCCGTCGGCCGGAGGAGCATTTGGATGTATATTTAAAACAACGAACGCCTTGATGTCAGAAGGGTTGAAGGGGGTAGAAGATGAAAGAGGCTACTATTAAAGCAGAAGTTACACGATGCCAGCGCATTTCGAAAGCCGTAGACATGTCATGGAGGGAGATGGAAGTACGGAGTAGAAAGCGTAGTTCCAATCGCCAATAGTTGCCGTACTAGCGGATGCTTGCCGAAAGCCGGAGTATCCGTCCGAACAACCATTGAGATCTTTGATGAGGACGAAAGAGGACAGCATGTGCTGTGTTCTGATTATCAGTGCAAAGAAGCAATTGAGCTACTAAAAACAAGTCCAGAACAGCAATTGTGGCTAGACAAGTTGTAGAGTGTGAGAGATGGCCAGAGTCAAGTCGCCGAATGGTCCGTTTCCCCGATACCCTCGGGAGGATTCACGTGACACGGGTATTCTAGCTCCTTCTCCGATCTGGGGACGCAAATTTGCTTTGGCTTCATCTCTCTCCAGCTTTCTCCATCCTTTTTATTCAACCCGTTTGTCTCTTGGGTTGTTTGTTTACTTTAATTCCTTTTTAATTTGTTTCCATAGCCATGCAGCGCGCTCTCTCTTCCCGGACTTCGGTCCTCTCCGCCGCTTCCAAGCGTGCCCCTTTCACCCGCTCGACTCTGAACCTCCAGCAGCAGCGTTTTGCTCACAAGGTACGTGAGATGGGGAATTGGCTACAGAGTCGCCAATTCCAATTACCGGCATCGCTTGCCGGGGATCCCGAATCAACATTGGGACATTCGTGCTAACAACAAACAGGAGCTCAAGTTCGGTGTTGAGGCTCGTGCCGGTCTCCTCAAGGGTGTTGACACTCTTGCTAAGGCCGTCACCTCCACTCTCGGTCCCAAGGGTCGCAATGTCCTCATTGACTCTCCCTACGGCTCCCCCAAGATCACCAAGGGTAAGTTTGTGGAAACGCGCATCACAACTCGACCAATGCGAAGAGAATGACAGCTAACGCGCAATAGATGGTGTGACTGTTGCTAAGGCCATTGTCCTCCAGGACAAGTTCGAGAACCTCGGTGCCCGCCTCCTCCAGGATGTCGCCTCCAAGACCAACGAGCTTGCTGGTGACGGTACCACCACCGCGACCTGCCTTGCCCGCGCCATCTTCTCCGAGACCGTCAAGAACGTCGCCGCCGGTTGCAACCCTATGGACCTCCGCCGCGGTATCCAGGCTGCCGTTGAGGCCGTTGTGAACTACCTCCAGGAGAACAAGCGTCCCATCACCACCGGTGAGGAGATTGCTCAGGTCGCTACCATTTCCGCCAACGGTGACACTCACGTCGGCAAGCTCATCTCCACCGCCATGGAGAAGGTCGGCAAGGAGGGTGTCATCACCGTGAAGGAGGGTAAGACCCTTGAGGACGAGCTCGAGGTTACTGAGGGTATGCGCTTCGACCGTGGTTACACCTCTCCCTACTTCATCACCGACCCCAAGTCCCAGAAGGTCGAATTCGAGAAGCCCCTGATCCTCCTCTCTGAGAAGAAGATCTCCGCTGTCCAGGACATCCTCCCCGCCCTCGAGGCCTCCACCACCCTCCGCCGCCCCCTTGTCATCATCGCTGAGGACATCGAGGGTGAGGCTCTCGCCGTCTGCATTCTGAACAAGCTCCGTGGTCAGCTCCAGGTTGCTGCCGTCAAGGCCCCCGGCTTCGGTGACAACCGTAAGAGCATCCTCGGTGATCTCGCCATCCTCACCAACGGTACCGTCTTCACCGATGAGCTCGACATCAAGCTCGAGAAGCTCACCCCCGAGATGCTCGGTTCCACCGGTTCCATCACCATCACCAAGGAGGACACCATCGTTCTCAACGGTGAGGGCAGCAAGGACAACATCTCCCAGCGCTGCGAGCAGATCCGCGGTTACATTGCTGACCCCAACACTTCCGAGTACGAGAAGGAGAAGCTCCAGGAGCGTCTTGCCAAGCTCTCTGGTGGTGTCGCCGTCATCAAGGTCGGTGGTGCCTCCGAGGTTGAGGTCGGTGAGAAGAAGGACCGTGTTGTTGACGCCCTGAACGCCACCCGCGCTGCCGTCGAGGAGGGTATCCTCCCCGGTGGTGGTACCGCTCTCCTCAAGGCTGCCGCTAACGGCCTTGACGGCGTCAAGCCCTCCAACTTCGACCAGCAGCTCGGTGTCAGCATCATCAAGAGCGCTATCACCCGTCCCGCCCGCACCATCGTCGAGAACGCCGGTCTCGAGGGCTCCGTCATCGTCGGTAAGCTCACCGACGAGTACGCCAAGGACTTCAACCGTGGCTACGACAGCTCCAGCAGCCAGTACGTTGACATGATCGCCGCCGGTATCGTCGACCCCCTCAAGGTTGTCCGCACCGCTCTGGTTGACGCCAGTGGTGTCGCTTCCCTCCTCGGTACCACCGAGGTTGCCATCGTCGAGGCCCCTGAGGAGAAGGGCCCCGCTCCCCCTGCCGGTGGCATGGGTGGCATGGGTGGTATGGGCGGCATGGGCGGCGGCATGTTCTAAAGCCCCGTCTCTTGAAGCACTACTTCCCTCTTTGCATCCCAGCCTGTTCTGATACTCGGATATTTGTGTAATGTCTTTTCTTTGTGTCTCTATTTTGGTGTTTTCTGCTTCCCATACCTGTATTCTTTTGGACTGTTCTGATCTCTCCCCTCCTGGAGCTTGACTCGAAAAAAAGGGCCCCTCTGTACCATATATGTATTTCACTGAACTCCCATTCGATGCAATCTAACGTGTCCCACGTATTGTGCTGAACTGCTCCCACTTATTCTACTCTTCCCACTTTTTTTTTCTCCGTACGGAGTATAATTCCCCGTAGTTCTGTCTGGCGTACCAAAGTTCACGGTGGATCGACGGGATCGTCACATCGACGAACTGTGATCAGAAAAGATCGACAGTATATTCGCAGAGCTGCCATGAGATATTAGACCCAAGTTTCCAAGGTTGTCCTCGAGACATAACAAGCAAACCAACTTCCCACGGGTCGGCTAATGTTTCCAAGGGGCAAGCCACCATGGGTCTAGATCGAAGAAGAGGCGAATAACGGGATGTAATAGTCATAGGCACAAAGAGGATTGTGAAAAGACAATTTCACATTAGGCTCAGGCTAAGAAATAGCGGGTATGGGGAAAGCTGACGTTTCTAGTTTCTAGTCTCCAGTCTCTAGTCTCCAGTCCTTTTTCTCCCTTCGCAACTTGCACCCTGCACCTCCGCTGACAACGCTCCAATCGTGTCACCAGACCACCAGATTACCAGACCAAACCAGACTCCGGCATTCCGCTCTCTCCTGGATTCTTTCCGAGGGGAATGCATTTTGCACTTGCGGGGTCTACACGCTTCTCAGAGCTCGTTCGGTACGTGGCTCCGCCCGGCCAACTTTATTGTCTATCGCTAATTTCATAGTGTTTATGACTTCGATCTGACTTACATCTGACTTACCCATCACTGCCGACGATGGCGACCATGGTCGATGCCGCTCGCCCGGCCCTGGTGAGCGATGCAGATCTCATGCAAGCACGAGCCGCTCTCCAGCACCAGCAATCCAGCGAGATCTCCGTCCCCCGCGAATTCATCAGCCTCATCGTCGAAGAACTCATTTACCGCCGCGATGCCCATTCCTCCATCGCAAAGATCGAACATGAATGCTCCCACCTTCGAAAAGAGCTTCGCAAACACACCCACATCAATGAAGCTTTTCAGAAAGAGTTACGGGAGATCGGCGAAATCATTACACAGGTCGCCCACGGTGATCTCTCACAGCGGGCCCGCATGCACCCGTTGGAAATGTCGCCTGATATCGCCACCTTTAAGCAGACAATCAATACCATGATGGACCAGTTGCAGGTCTTCAGTCAAGAGGTGTCGAAAGTCGCCAGGGAAGTGGGCACCGAGGGTGTTCTCGGTGGTCAGGCGAAGATCGAGGGCATCCAAGGCATTTGGCATGAGCTGACGGTTAACGTGAATGCCATGGCCAATAACCTCACTACCCAGGTCCGCGATATCACTACCGTCACTACCGCTGTTGCCAAGGGAGACTTGCAGCGCAAAGTGCAAGCGGACTGCAAGGGTGAGATTCTGCTACTGAAGAATATAATCAACTCGATGGTGGATCAGCTACGGGAGTTTGCATTCGAGGTTAGTCGAGTTGCTCGCGAGGTCGGGTCCGACGGCGTGCTGGGTGGTCAAGCCGTAGTGCACGGCGTGGAGGGTACCTGGAAAAATCTCACCGAGAACGTGAATCGCATGGCATCGAACTTGACGCAGCAAGTCCGCGAGATTGCCGATGTGACCACTGCCGTTGCACGAGGTGATCTGACGAAGAAAGTGACTGCAGATGTGAAAGGAGAAATTTTGGATTTGAAACTTACGATCAATGCGATGGTTGATCGGTTGAACCAGTTCGCGTTCGAGGTCAGTCGAATGGCCCGAGAAGTAGGAACAGACGGCACGCTGGGTGGACAAGCAAAGGTTGAAAATGTCGAAGGTCGCTGGCGAGATTTGACAGATAACGTCAACACCATGGCGCAGAACCTGACGCTCCAGGTTCGACAAATTTCCAACGTGACACAGGCTATCGCGCGCGGAGATCTCAGTACCAAAATCGAAGTTCACGCGCAGGGTGAAATTTTGACACTCAAAGAAACGATCAACAGCATGGTAGATGGATTAGGTGAGTTCGCACGCGAGCTCAAAGGTGTAGCGAGAGACGTCGGCGTCAATGGTAAACTCGGCGGACAAGCGAATGTTGCCGGATCACACGGAATTTGGCGATCGATCAGTGAAGATGTCAATACGATGGCAGACAACCTGACTTCGCAAGTGCGCGCATTCGGCGAGATCACCGAAGCAGCAATGAGTGGCGATTTCACCAAGTTGATCACGGTTTCTGCCTCCGGAGAAATGGATGATTTGAAACAGAAGATCAATAAAATGATCTCGAGTCTGCGCGACAGCATTCAGCGCAATACCGCTGCGCGTGAAGCGGCAGAGCTAGCAAATCGAAGCAAGTCTGAATTCTTGGCCAACATGAGGTGCGCCATATTCCCATCCCTAAGGGCATCTGCCTTCGTTTCCTCCCATCTTGCTAACACGTCGACAGTCATGAGATCAGAACACCAATGAATGGGATCATTGGACTCTCAAGTCTGGCACTCGACACGGATGAGCTCCAAGCACCTGTCAGAGAGACTTTGAATATGGTCCACAACCTTGCCATTAGTCTGTTGACCATCATCGACGACATACTTGACATCTCCAAAATCGAGGCAAACCATATGATGATCGAGAAGATGCCATTCAGTCTTGGCTCAACGGTCTTCAGTGTGCTGAAAGCTCTCTCAGTCGAGACCAATGAGAAAGCACTTGGATTGGTTTATACTGTGAGCGGAGAAGTTCCCGACTACCTGATCGGAGACGCATACCGATTAAGACAGGTGATGTTGAACCTTGTCGGGAATGCAGTCAAATTCACAGACCATGGCGACATCAAAGTCGAAATCAAACGAGCCAACGATGAAAAGTGTGCTGCCGACGAGACAGCGTTCCAATTCTCCGTCTCAGATCCGGGCATTGGCATCGACGAAAGCAAGCTCGGGATGATCTTCGATAAGTTCCAACAGGCAGACGGTTCGATGACTCGACGCTTCGGCGGCACAGGGCTTGGCCTGGCAATTTCGAAACGACTTGTCTCTCTCATGGGTGGCGATATCTGGGTGACCTCAAACGTAGGCCACGGAAGCACATTCTCATTCACCTGTCGCGTGAAGCTCGCCCAGCCCCCACAGAGCTTTGCCGACCAGCTCGTTCCTCACAAGGGGAGAAGGGTTCTCTTCCTTGACCATGGTCTGACACAAAGCTTCCCAATACTATCAGTGTTGACGGACCTCGGGTTAGACCCCATGGTTGTGACAGAAGAACAGCTAGCATGCGGTCAGTTCCAAGGTGACTGGGCCTGCTCTTTCGATGCCATCCTTGTTGAAAATCTGGAAACTGCTGCCAAGCTCCGCTCATGCACGAATCTCCAACCAATCCCGCTGGTCATCACGTCACACGAAGTCTCATTAGCGCTTCGAGCTGCCGGTGAACTCGGCATCACATCGTACATCACAGTACCCTGCCGCCCCATCGATCTATGGAGTGGCATTCTACCTGCCCTTGGGAATCGCGCAACTCGTACGCCGTCAGGATACACGCGATCACTGGCAATCCTCCTCGCAGAAGATAACGACGTCAATCAAAAGGTAGCAGTGCGCATCCTAGAAAAGTTCAACCACACTGTCACCGTCGTCGAAAACGGTCTTCAGGCCGTGAAAGAAGTCCAACTGCATCGCTACGATGTGATCCTTATGGATGTCCAAATGCCTGTGATGGGCGGTTTTGAAGCAACAGGGAATATCAGGCAGTACGAGAAAATGAATGCACTGCCTCGAACACCCATCATTGCTCTTACCGCACACGCCATGCTGGGTGATCGCGACAAGTGCATATCAGCCGGCATGGATGACTATCTATCCAAGCCCTTGGATTCTGGTCGCATGATGCAGACGATTTTGAAATGCTCGGATATGAACATCCCTTCATTAACTGCCATTGAGGGTTGAGAGTTGATGGAGTTTGCATGTGCTCGAGCTTTGCAGTGAAAATCACCGGATTTCCATTGATTCGTAGTGAGATGAGCTATCACGCTTGTCTTTTGATCATCGCTTCAAGCCCAGCATGGTCACAACATCGCAATCCTCGCTCGCACTACCTCATGTCTCCCCATTTCTCCCACTACGGTATCAAAATCTGTTTCTCGAATTCGTGGGCAATCTGATTTTCTGCATTGACGTTCTGTTTCTTTAAACACCAAATACCCCATTTGTCCAATTGCCTTTTGTTATGTTTTGAATTGATGAAATGCCATTCCTCGTCTTTGTATTTCGATATCACGCTTTTAGTCTCAGGGCTCCAAACGAATGCCATCCATGCCCCATGGCACTCATACCTACTACGTATGTGGTCGAAAAGAAAAGAAGTCAAGTAAGAATATGAGGTTCTTGATTGTAGCTCAACGCGGCTTAAGCAGATACCAAAGTAGTGTATGCAGAGATGTAGATCAAGGGACCCGATGGCGAGAACCCATAGCCATGGTCCCTCCTAACGAAATCAAATCTCAAATAGCAAGCGCCTCCACCCGTTCCTTAATTTGCTGAATCACATCAGACAAATCATCCGCGAGAGAATCCAGCTTGATGCAAGCCGCAATGACAGAGCCGTTGCGGCCACAAGCGCGTCCCATTGCCAACTTGCTGGGGACGTACACGTACGGAATGTTCTTCTCCTCGCACAGGCGTGGGAGATGCGAGACGAGAGCGATGGGGTTGGTATCAGCTCCCAGAATCACCATTTCGGCACCACTGCGGTTGACGCATTTCTGGACTAGGGTTCAAAAGTCAATATGATTCGTGATGTGAGATACGTGAGATACAAAGAGTGTCCACTTACCATGGTTGGTACCTTTCTTCAGTAGACCATACTGCTTTGCGGCATGCAAGAGTTCGAGAAGGTCGTACGTGAGAGTATCGTCGGCCAGGGGCCAGACTGAGTTGAATGTTAGTTGATGCGAGCTATTGTTTGGAAGTATACACACCTGCACGTGGGAGATCCATGGGTGACGACATAGTAGGAATCAGCACGTGATTGTTCCTGAGTAGTAGTTTGGGTACCGTGACAGGCAAGTGTCGCAAGAAAGAGAGGGAATGGAAGTAGCAGTTACCTTCCTGATTGGGATAGTATGCTCAGGCAGTTCTGCCTTGGTGCCTTGGTGCCTTATTGCTTGACTTTCCCACAGCCCCACAGCCCCACAGCCCTGTTGCCTTGCTACTTTCCCTCTCGTCTCGACATGATTCAAAATTACTCAGTGAGATCCATGATTAATTTTCTGTGATTCCACGACTCTTTAGTATTTCCCCCTACGTATGGAGAGGGCTTTTTTCGAAGTAGTCGTTGTTTTCTCAACCTTAAAACCTCTAGCCTTTTTACCGAAGAGCCATTCAACTGACATCAGGGCTTTCAAATTGAAGCACATAAACTGCATACATCTGCTACTCGTTATTCTGTCTGCAAAAGTCATTTGTGCCGGGATTCCGCGCAGTCCATATAAAACGCACTTGGACCTTATCCAATAGATCCACGGATGACTTGTCATGACTTCTCTCGTACGGGGCCGTTGAGTCGATCATCATACCAGCCCTGTGATAACATTCTCGCATATCAAAGACAAGGCAAAGAGAACAGAAGTCCGAAAACAAGACCAATTCGAGATATTTCTTCACTCTTAGTGAAGAGTTTTGTTAATCCATGCAAAAATCGTCCTCACAAGCTCTTGAGTTGCGCCAGACTGGCAATGATAACCGGCGACCCCAGCAAACTTGTGCAAAGTCCCCTTGTCCCCAAGAGCATTCTTCACTTGTTGCGGCTGGCCTTGAAAAAAGTTTTCGAATTCAGCGTCACCAATAAAGACCGGTATGTTGATCTTGTCAATGACGTCCTTCAATTGAAACTCCTTGCTCCGAGTAAGGAATTCAGAGGGTGAGTGCGTGTAGAAAGACCAAAGACCTTGATCTATGCCCCAAGCAGCACCCGTAGGAAGTTTGCCAGTATCTCGTAGTGTAATAACGATGTTGTCGAATTCTGTGTAGTTCCCTGAGTCAAGCAGGCCAAGCATTTCAGACGGAAATTGAGACGTAAACGCGGCATAGGCATCCCAAACACCGCCGATGAGGATCGCCGCCGAAAGCCTAGGCTCGAAGGCTGCAGCACGTGCTGCCAGGTAACCACCAAATGAATTCCCGATAAGAACGAGTCGGTCTGCGTCGACGACATCCGCTTTCTCAGCGAATAACCAGTCAACCACCGGGGTAACGACATCCTCCCAGTGAGGTATGAAACCAATATTTTGATTCCGGCGCACAGTGGGCTGACCAGGGCCTTCGTAGGTGATGCAGTTCCACCCACGGGCTAAAGCAGGCACAACGTACTGATGATAGGAGTCTTCTTGTGCGGCGTCGTATCCGTTTCCAATGATGAGAGTTGGCAATTTGGTTGTTCCGTTATCTGTCACACTGTACCAAATAGCCTCCACGGTGAATTTGCCATCTTGGGCGGGTATCTGTATCCGCTTGCCGGGGACAGGTAAGGCAGCTAGCGCTTTATCAAATGCTGCAGTCTGTTCATCCCACAAGGTTCCAATAAGAGGATTGCTCCAATTGCCGTGATTGTAAAAATCAGCGTTGCGGAAATATTGAGCAGCAGAGAACCACGTCTCCCGAACATTGACGGGATCAAAGGCATTCTCCGGGCTTTCTGCCTGTGCCTTGGTGGAAATGGCGAGGCTGTGGAATTGAGTGCCAAAGTCAACCATATCCCCGGCTTTGATGTCTTTCGAAATACCCAAGATGGGGGCGATATCAGCCCCGCCAGTGAGAGCTTCCCCGAGAGCACCGATGAGTTTGAAGTTGAACTCGGAGCTTGTGCTCAGCTGCAGGGTGGGAGATTTTTCGGTGGTGCTGACCGCGGCCACAGGAACAGAGCAAGCCACCATAGCAAAAAATGGTCCAGTGTAGATGGCAACTCTCATGGTAACAGGTGCAACAAGATCACGATACAAATATGGTCCGGTGATGGACCAAGAAACAAGAAAAATGAACTCCCTTTGTAGGAGAAGAAAAAGAAAAAATACAGAATTAGACCTCGGGAGGTATCTGCAAATCTTGGATATGCTGTCGAGTGAATTGGTCTTGAGACTTTGTTCTTCACTGCGACCATCTCCCCATTCTTATACTTCCTTCCATTGCTCGGTGACACCATCGACCAGGCGTCAGGATTGATGCAGCCTCACACTACTCCGAAGAAAGCGACTAGATCTCAACGGCACCTTGCCATTGGACAATGATCAAGCATGAAGCTCACAATTGCCCTGTCCCAGAAGGCGCTTGAATCGCGATGCAGGGATCCACTAGGCCTAATCAGGCGTGTTTTGCGATGACTCCCAATGATTGGTCCATCACCTGTTCTCAGCCCCCAACTCGAATCATTCGGGGGAGCCTAATAGAACCACTGAGGTAACCTCATCGCGAGTTGGTCGCTGCTTTGGGAGCAATTTGCGATAGTAAACCACGGGGGTCTAGGAGGATGTCTCACGCGCAAATGGTGCGTGAGATGCGACTAGGGGACGTCCGAATGTCAGTCGTGTCGTTGCCGCAAGCTCCGCTGGGGTGGCTATGATGACAAGCCTGGAATGATCAAAGTAAAAAGACCAGACCCAAAGGATTTACACTGTCTTTGAACTAAAAATACTAGCCACAATTGGCTAGGGCAGTTCGGATATGCATTTTGATAAAGACACTGTTATCCATTTGACGGCGGCTGCGTGCTGGCAACCCTGCCGATGTTGCCGCATGTGCCGATTTCAGTGCATATGCCGAGAGCATTGCAGGTGCCGATCCCAGTGTTCTCCGGTGCAACTATGCTATTACCACAGTCCTATTCCTCTTCTCAAATCAAATGTTAAACCTGTTGTCCATCACGGCGAAGCAAATTCAAGAGACCTCGGGACATCTATCCCTTCCAGCTTTCCTTCCCGCGGACCCACATGACCTTCGGCCATATGGTATGTGCGCAACGCTTGGAATCTCCATTCCACGCTTGTTTTACTCGACCTGATAGGTAGAGAGTAAGACTGCAATGGAAGGTTCTGCTCTTCAAATGCGCGCAGTTGTCTCACGCAGAGAAAATCCCCTCTCGTCATTCGCTGGCATAGATCCAGGCGATCCTATGTTGAGGATGACCCCAGTCCAAGCCCGATGTGCTATGAGCGAGGAGTAGCCGTGGATAAATCGGAGTGGTTGTTGATGGAGATCATTGACCCATGCAATAGGTCTGGCTCACAACAAGTGTCAGTCATGTGAGTTGACTGTCCCTCCAGGTCACTCTGGTGTTTAGCGAGACGAGACCTGTCCAGAGATGTCTTTCTGGAAATGGCTGATCCCCGGGAGCAGCTGGCGGTTTGGGGGGGTTGGTGATTATGATAAGCTTCTGTCAAGAGCCAATTGTGAGCAACCACTTGGCTTGAACATGAAGCTTCGAAGGATGTCACATTCAAATGAACTTCGGGCCTGCTGTCAGGTCTGATGCGTCGCAGAAAGTGAGAAGATATGGCGACTGGCTTTGGTCCGTGGCATTGAACACGGTGTTCCAGTGATTTCGAAACACATCTTCGATGTGATGGTTTTCAAGCCAAAGAACATGCTTGACATGCGCTAGAGTCTCTTCGGAATTATGCAGTTGAAGTAAACCTGCAATGTTTCGTGCTCTTTCCAAAAAGTCCTGGTGACTTGCTGTACCTGTCGAAGCAACCATTCCAATAGAAACAAGCCATACATCCAGAGAGTCGGGCACACGATTGGGAGGTGCAAGGTATCTGAAATGCTCAGCGAGTCGAACGACGATTGTGTTGGAGATGACTGCGTGCGAGTAATAGGTGGGCCCCTGCACGATGAACATGTATAGAACCATTGCGCAACGAATGCATTCTGTGATTGGCGATATTTGGGACGCTGAGGCATTTGAAGAGAGTAAAAGTCGATGCACAATAAAGCACGTGAGATCGTGTAGCTGTGTAGTTGAGAAAGGTACCTGCTGCGCTCGTTGAATGACGTTGCGGAGACGGAGGAAGACATTTTGAACGCCAGGGTCGATCTCGAGAGCATTGATGTTGTATGCATCTTGGCAATTCTCTGGCAATTCTAATCGCCATTCCGGAATCGGTGGAATTCCATCGCCGATTCCAAAATCATCCTGTGTCTCGAACTGAGGATGGCCCATGATAAGCATGGATACCCTGTAAACTCGGTAAGCAAATTTATCCCCGACCTGATACACAGAAGCACTTACCAGCTAACCATTCTGGCTGTAAGTGGACTGGTCTGCCTGACTGAGTTGATACCACCTCTCAAATCGACCAGTTTCTTAACCCCGTCGACATGCATCTGGCCAACTTTGACGTTTCCCTTGCCAAACTAAACATGGGTCATCAGCGCTCTGTCCAAGCTGATTAATGTACTTGGGGACAAGGCAGATCAACGCGGTTGATGTGCTAGGTAGAGCCTCACCTCAATAGTCGCCAGTGTAATAACACAGTTCATGGTTCCATCCTGCATGGCAAGTGACACATCATTGACTTTCCTCCGGAGAAGAGCAACCGAGTCTGCCATAAGGAGCTCAGACGACTGAAAGCCCTTCTGGGCGAGAAGCTCTTCGTCAAGACATGCAGTCTGCAGAGACACGTGAAACAATGCCGGGTCACCGAGCGCCAGTGGCCACCATGAAATGAGGAACGGATTTGAAGTCGCGCTTAGATCCAGTGGATAGTACTGGAATGCAATCTTATTGAGAACTAGATTGATAGGGTAAGCTTTGTTTGACCATATCAATACCGGGGTTACCCACAGCCATGAATAAGGCGTTGGACGTGCTCCCTGGGAAGCCTTGTCGGAGGATATGAGTCAAAAGGGTCAAAACTCCCAATCCTATAGTCAGATAAAGCTCTGTATGTCCCAAGGGGCTCTAACGACACGCTATCCGGCGGGCCCGGAGTTGCCGAGGTTGCTGGCTCATTGGCATAGGCGCACTGGATTCGGCGCCGGACACAGCGAGAGCATTTTGGAGTACCTAAGTCACAGCTAGACTTGGATTTTGCACAAGCAGCACACGACCGACGGAGAGATGGGCGCATTGCGAGAAAATGAGCATCAAAATGGAGTGTCAGCCTCAGGTACCGATCGTGCTAACGCGCCCCACACCGCCTTTGCAATCGCGATGTCACTGAAATTGATTGGAGGAGAGTTCCCAAAGCCTGTTGATGGAGGGGATGAAATGCCAGACCTGGCCTGATCTGGCATTGTCCACAGTTCTGAGAGTGCGTCGACTTCAGGTGAGAGACTTCGCCCAAAGGGGACTAGACCCCGTTGTGCCTGGCTCGGAGTCTAGTCCTAATCGGGAAAGATGCATAGAGTGCATATCATGCCATCGCTGTATTGCGACTCAATACTCTTATTATAAGCTCAGGGTACGTTTGTTTGCTAGGAGATGGTTTTGTGAAATCTTGCATTGACAACAAACAACCAAGAACTCCAATATGGATGCTGAGATATCCAATTTCTCAACACCTCATGCCGAGGTGCTTCGAGCATGGCCTTCTACCTCATCACAGCATTCAGTTAAGCTCCTTGAGACCCTGTCGGGATATTCAGCATGGCAATACGCTGTGGCTGTCTTACTGGCCGTAGTCTTCTATGATCAAGGTGCCCAACCATGACCTTCCTACAGGTTTCACCTAGCTAACATGAAGTATAGTCATGTACATCAAGCGAAAGGGCTCGATTGCCGGACCACCACTAAAAATACCCCTGATGGGACCATTTCTGCAGGCCCTTGATCCAAAATTCGACGGATACCTTGCCCAGTGGGCGAGCGGGCCTCTCAGCTGTGTGTCTGTCTTCCACAAGTATGTCTCTACAGCCATCCGTTATCCAAGATTATGATTTTCCTGGAGTACTTTATGCTGATAAAGCATGCCATAGGTTCGTTGTTCTTGCTTCGGATCGAGACATAGCGCACAAGGTGTTCAAATCACCCTCCTACGCCGAGCCGTGCCTAGTACCAATCGCGAAGGACATCTTGGGCCACAAAGCATGGGTCTTCCTTCAAGGCAGAGATCATGCAGAGTACCGCAGGGGGTTGACTCCCCTGTTCACAAATCGGGCCTTGGCTACGTATCTTCCAGTGCAGGAGCGGGTACTTTCCGATTACTTTGAAAGGTTCACTTCCGCCAGCAAGGAGAACAACGGAAAGCCCATGGAATTCATGACCATGTTCCGTGAGATAAATTGTGCGATCTCTTGTCGCACGTTCTTTGGTGATTACATCTCTCAGGCAGCGGTCAAAAAGATCGCCGACGACTTCTATCTAGCAACGGCCGCCCTCGAATTGGTCAATGTGCCTCTGTCAATGTACATTCCCTTCACCAAGCCCTGGTGGGGAAAGCGAACGGCAGATGCCGTCCATGTCGAGTTTGCAAAATGTGCAGCTGCATCCAAAGCAAATATGGCGACCGGTGCGGAGCCCAAGTGTATCGTCGATCACTGGGTGCTTCACATGATCGAGTCCCAGAGATACCGCGAGAGAGTCGCAGCAGGAGAAACGGACGTGGAAAAGCCGACAAACATGATTCGAGAGTTCACCAACGAGGAAATTGGAGAGACACTATTCACCTTCCTCTTCGCGTCCCAAGATGCTTCTAGCAGTGCAACGACCTGGCTGTTCCAAATCCTCGCCCAGCGGCCCGATGTCCTCAACAAGTTACGACAAGAGAACCTGGAAGCTCGTGGCGGCGATAAGAACAAGAACTTCGATCTTCCCATGCTAGAGTCACTCACCTATACGAACGCTGTTATCAAAGAACTTCTTCGCCACCGGCCGCCTGTCATCATGGTGCCTTACCTTGCGACCAAGAACTTTCCCGTGACTCCCAATTACACAGTACCTAAGGGTGCAATGATCATTCCATCTTGCTATCCGGCTCTGCATGATCCAAATGTATACCCCAATCCCGATACCTTCGACCCTGAGCGGTGGATATCCGGAGACGCCGAGTCCAAAACAAAGAACTGGCTTGTCTTCGGCGCTGGTCCCCACGATTGCCTCGCCAGAAGATACGTGCCGTTGTCCATGGCAGGAATGATTGGAAAGGCAGCCCTGGAGCTTGATTGGGAGCACAATGCTACTGATAAGTCAGAGGAGATTCGAGTATTTGCCACGCTATTCCCGATGGTGAGTTTTGTTGCTTCACGCTCGTCCCGACTTGTTGAATTCTCTGACATACAAACAGGATGGCTGCCCACTTGTGTTCACAAAGCGTTCTTAGGCTATGGTTCTCTTAACAAACAATTTTGATATTTGTACAAGTAGTTATAAGAATGCAAGCCCAGAATATTAGAATATAGCGTCGTCAGGGCTTCCCAATCTTGAAACCAGGAGGTTGGTATACGACGGATGAGATGGTTTATATACAGATCGAACCCTTCTCCAAGACTTTCTTCAGATCACTCATCCACTGTCATTATAACGGGCATTTGGCGCGATCTTGTTGATCTTATCAACAAGCTCCTGCGTTCCGTAGGGCTTATGGATGATATCATCCATGCCAGCGCTCATCATTTCGTCTTGCTGAGCCTCCCTCACATTCGCTGTCACTCCCAAGATGGGAACATGGCTGTCATTTTTCTCTTCGAGCTTTCGAATCTCTCGTGTTGCACAATTTCCATCCATGATAGGCATTTGCTGATCCATGAGAATGCAGTCGAATTGTCCGTTTTTGGTTGCATCAACCGCCTCTTTACCATTGCTGGCTTCGGATATGTCGAACCCAAGTGTGTCTAGTTTGCGAGAAATGATGCGTCTGTTGATGATGTTGTCCTCGACCAACAGAAGACGCTGGCCGCTTCCAGTATGCTTGTGGGGAAGAGGGTCGTTCTTGTCGTCGTTCTTGGCGTCCTTGTTGGCACTCCTGATTTGATCGTCTGAGACTTCCCGCGCTATACTGTGGGTACGTTTGGTTTTCTGGTCACTTGGAGCACCTGGCCCTACTTCCCAGAGGTTATCTTCCGGGGGATTTGGTGAAATTTGAGGTTCTTCTGTGCGCTGATTGACACCGCGCATCTCGTTTCCGAGTGTTTGAATATCAAGAGAAAGCCGATCCATCCCGGAGATATTCATGTCACCATGTCCCTCTGAACTCATGTCTTTTGTTCTGCGTACTTTGAAGAAGAATCCGAATGTGCTTCCCTTGCCTTCTTCAGAGCTCACACCAATTTCACCCCCATGAAGATGGCACAACTTTCTGCAAACGTTCAAACCAAGACCGGAACCACCGTATATACTTTCAGTTTTCGGTGTAGCTTGGTTAAAGCGTTCGAACAAACGTTTTTGTGCCAGATCAGTGATGCCAATGCCAGAATCTTTGACTGCGACCATGATGTATGCGACTTCGCCATCACCCCATTCCGGAGTCTTTGTTGCATCTTTGCGAAGCGCTGATTCGCCAGAGTCGAAGAAAACGATGTTTGGCGGGTATGATGATGGACGCTCTATGGACGCACCCATTGAAACTCGAATGGAACGCTCGCTTTCTGATTTCGCGGTGAACTTGATCGCGTTTGAGAGGATGTTGATCAGGACCTGGCCCATTCGATCAAGGTCGGCCATGACCCAATCGATTTCACAGGAGTTATATGATACATCGGCCTTATATTCAAATTGGATTCGTTGCTTGCGAAGCTCGGGTCGGAATATTGTAAGTGGAGTGGTGAGATGTCGTTTGGGCTGAACCTTCCTCGGGGATAGAGACAGCATTGACGCGTCCAGTTTTGAGAATGTCAGTACATCATTGACGATCTTCTTTTGATGTGTGATGCAAAGACTAATAGTCTCAGCTGCTTCGGTGATGTTCATGAGCGAGATCTGATCCGGCTTTTTATTGAAGATGGCCTCCTGAATATCCTCGGTGCAGTGCAAGATCGCAGAGAGTGGATTCCGAATCTCGTGGCTGATCATATCGATGAATCTCTCTTGCTGCTTCTTGCGCTCTTGTGCCTCCCTGGCAGCCTGCCTCTGTAGGAGTTCAGCCTTTTTCTCTGGGGTGATGTCTGCGATGGTGCTGATGAACAGTCCACCTTCACCAATATTGAGTGACTTGACATCCTCGTTCTTTAACTGGCCCAGTGTCATGACGCACCACATCGAGTCCGGGTCGCGAGTGTGGTATTCGATTCGTAATCCTCGTTTCGAAACTGCAGATTCCTGATACTCGGTGGCAACTCGCTCATAGTCATCTTCATGGACACAGTTCAACCAGCACTCCCGAAACTTTGCGGTGGGACAAGGGATGAGTTCTCGAAATCGACGATTCGCGGATATCAGCTCGTATCGGTCGTCGAGGATCGCCACGCCGTTCGGTAGGATATCGGCCAGCTGCTGGGCCGAGACATTTTGGTTGAAATTGAACGTCATCTATCACACCGGGGTGCTTGAATTTCTTGTCTAGATTAGCAGAGTCGGCCATAAATATCTTGGCATTCTCACATTGATTAATGGCCTACAAGCAACTGACTGAGTCGCATCGCAGGTGTGAGAAGTTGATTCGTGGAGTCTAACACGGTTTCATAAATTAAGATGAGGCTGTTTCGATTAATCACATTTGTCGAAGGGGGAAGAGCAGATGGCGGGGATATACTCGATCGCAACCTCTGTCCTGTTACGTCATTATTGTGGAACGAGGCGTTTCTGTTCGATCTTCTTCCAAAATTGCTGCGTTGGTATTCTCCAGGCCTTTTCATTGGTCTATCGAGAATCTCCTTGATGCCGCTAACTTCAGGCCCTACATGACGTCACATACATTTTTCCCTTTCTGGCCTGAGGCCAGCATTGACATTGCAGTGTCCGACACCGTGACTTCGAAAGATATATGACATGGAAATAATTAGCAGGTACTCCAAGGTAGACATCCATGTTGATTCTTCCAGCTTGACGCGGCAGGCACCTAGACAATTATCTGACTGGCAAGGACCTCGGGACACTTTTACCTCGCACTGAAGACTACTTTGATGACGGCACAACTTCCACTGAAGGTCATCACCCACCTGGACAAAAAGTGAGTTTCAATAATCGATTAAATCGAAGTGTGTACATTTTAGTCATGAGCGCCGGAAACCATATTCCAATAGCACAGTTTCAATTCCGGACTTGCGACCTACTTGAAGTCTTTGAACAGCGCACGACACGGCTCGCCTGGGTTTAGAGCGTACTTTCGACAAGTGTTGCATACGCACAATCATGTACCACTATTGTGACTCTTACACATCATCACTGTGCCCCTACCGGTAGAAATATGCACCTCGATGTGAATCCCGCACATCCGGCGGGCCTTGAAGGCGAGGCCTTGAAGACGAAAAGTAAATTCCATATCCACGCTCAATGCACTGCAGAAGATAACATCGCGCAGGTGGGCAGTCTGTGCTTTCACCTAGCGACACACATTGCTGCCGATCATTGGTTGTTGCCGATCATGCTGGCCAGAGCTATACACAATATTGCTTGACTGGCGATCAGCTTGGCAGGGCGATCAGACCTCGGGAGAACTGCAATGTACCTTTATTACTCATCGCTCAGAGAACCGCCATTTGTCGAGTTCCTGGATCACTCACAAGCACACGCCCGGACGGACATCGAAAGTGGAGTATCGGATACTTGTGATCCCACCTCATTGGCTGTGCGTCAACTGTTAAAAGCGAAATCTAAGAGATTGAATGAAATTTTTGACGGCAAAGACCGCTGCCCCACTAGCTCAGTAGACGGTCTAGATGGATTTTGAGTGAACTGTCCACAAGTACGGGACGTCTCAAATTCAGCGTGGCGAAGTATGCCGTTGCTCTCTGCACCATAATTGCGAAAAAGATGTCCTAAAAAGTGGAGTAAAAATGTATCAAGCGGTCGATAGGCAATGATGGAGAACATACACGTGTACATACAATATTGGAATCCAGTAGAGATAATTACAAACAGAACTCTGCTTTTTCATTTCCTGGATTGGTACTTTGAAAGACTCAACTCTTGAAGTGCGGCTAATTTAACCTGTCGGGATGCCGCCATACTAAGCCCTAGTCCCTTCGGGCCGATAAAACTCGGACCATTAAGGTTTTCAAGCCCAGCCTGATAGCAACTTTCGAGACTACAACGCGCAATTCCGAATTATTGATCCAAAGATAAGTGAGTCAGTCTGCATAAGAATTGCGTTATCAAAGGCCGCATACAACATGTACCTCGAAGACGAAAATTGCGATCCCCTTATCTTTTACACGTGCAAGGGACGGGGTGGCTAGTGGATAAAGCTCTTCACAGTGGGTCAACCCATTCTTAATAAAGTAATCCGAGAGAACATGCTCCAGTTTAAGATCTTGCTCAAAACGGTAATCCGAGATGCTTCACTCCACTTTTTAAACTGGAGCGATTGAAGATTTTGATTTTTCCGACAGCTATAGATGCTATATTAGAGGAGAGTAGCTGTCATGGATTTACCTGGACATCCGTTTTCATCTTTGCATTTTTTCCCCTACTCATTATGGGTATTGTTGACTATTTCAGTCGACCGCGTGGTCTTCGTGCACATGGTGCCGATACCCCCACTATGGAGACCCCAAAGGTCATTGAGCCTACTGTTACATCGAGTTTGGAGTCTTCGGGGGCAGCCACCCCTGCACACATGCTGCCTTCTCCGGCTGGCAGTGAAGATCCGTTTATTCTTGAAAAGATCCCTCATCAATTCGGTCGACTAGGTTCTTGGAGAGGGTGTTTGATCTTGCTTGTCACTTCTGGCTCGCAGTTCCTGGACAATGTTTTCATGACCAGTGCCAATATTGCTTTATCGTCGATTCAGCAGGACTTCAAGGTCTCGGGCACTGACTTGCAATGGATGATCTCTGCCTACACACTTTCTTTTGGTGGTTTCCTGTTGCTTGCTGGTGCTTTGTCTGACCGGTATGTTCTTCCTCGCCCCTGTGCCGTGACATTCCAAGGTTCTTGCATACTGACTTCCTTAGTTACGGGCGGAAGAAAATCCTCTGTCTAGGTCTCGCCTGGCTCTCCATCTGGACTCTGGCCATTGGCTTTGGCCAATCCTTTATCCAACTTACGGTTTTCCGTGGAATCCAAGGAATTGGAGCTGCACTCACCGTCCCATCTGCCATTGGAATCATCAGTTCTTACTTCAGTGGCGTTGACCGTACCCGCGCTTTGTCTATATACGGAGCTTCTGGCACTCTCGGATTCTGCACCGGTCTAATCTTTGGAGGTTTCCTGACTTCCTCATTGGGCTGGAGGTACATCTTCTACCTGATCGTCATCATCACCGGCTCTCTGGGAATCCTAGGTTTCATCGTGCTTCCTGCCGATGTACCCTCCAAGCAGAAGCATGAGCGAATGGACTACATTGGAGCAGTTATGTCCACCGCTGGTCTGATACTACTTCAGTTCGTCCTTTCAAGTGGTGGAACGTATGGCTGGGACCAACCTTTCATCATAGTTCTTTTGATTGTGGCTGTTGGTCTTCTCATCGGATTTACCATCCTGGAAAAGTACATCAGCAACCCAATCATGCCGCTCTCGCTATGGAAGATTCGCAATTTCGCCGGTCTCTGGGTGATTGGCTTCAGTGAGTTCTTCTCTTGTCACAGATATTACGGGAAAGTGGCTAACTTCAAATAGCTGGATATGGCACATACCAGAACGTCATCTACTACATCGTGCTCATCGCGCAGGAGGTCGACAAGCTCAATGCCGGCGACACCGCTCTCCGCTTCTTGCCTATGGGTGCGATCGGCTTCATTGTATCTCTCGGCACTGGAAAATTGCTTGAGTACATGAATGGAAAACATCTTCTGATCGCCGGACTGGTTCTGGCCGTCGTTGCACCCATCTCTAGTGCTCTGACTTCGAGCCCTGAACATAGCTTGTATGTATTCCAAGGCTGTTATTACATCGAAAAAGATCACATACTAACTTGGTTAGCTGGCTTAACGTTCTCCCCACCTCCTTGATCAGTATCTCATCCGTATCATTCATCTTCGTCACAACAAGCACGGTGGTCTTGACAAGTGTCCCTGTCGAGGTGAAGAGTTTGGCCGGTGGAATGGTGAGTTCAGTTTCTACCAGTATAACTGCTATATGCTAACGTTTCTCGCAGCTGAACACTGCATTCCAAATTGGCTCTGGTGTCGCATTGGCTATCTCGGCTGCTGTTACCGACGCCGTTGATATCCAAAAGGGTCACGGTCTCGCTGAACAGTACGGTACCGGGCTCTGGTGCTCTGTCGGACTTGCCGGCCTTGGCCTAATTGTTGGTCTCATTGCCGTGAGAGAAAAGGGCATCGGACCCAAAGATCGAATGGGCGCCGGTCCCGTTGCCATCTGATTACGCACGCATATTCCTTTTAACTCATAGATGATGCATGATAAATTTCTTTCGCTTTTTCAACTTAGCGTCTTATTATGGGAGATTTTGAAACTTTGATTACAATAATGTTTAGCATGAAAAGAAACAAAATCGATTGTGTTCCGTTCAATCTTCAACTGTATACCCAAGGTTTCTTCATCCAGTATTCATTCAATAAGAAGGAATCAACTTCGCTTTTGCCATTCTGTCAAATGCACAACGATATCCCTGCACGGTCTCAATAGACTCTTCGAATCCGACCGAACGAGCCGCGTCAAGGGAATACTGGCGATCGAAATCAAACTCAACCATCATGAAATGGACAAAAGGCCAATTGAAATCCGCAATAGATCCAGCCCGAAGTCCACGATCATTTGCTAGTTGTTTCCATGTCTCTTGGTGGTCAGACACAAATTGCTGCACTTTCACCACTTGATCTCCAGGCCCGTCCCCGACCAAGCCAAAGTACGCACAAATACCCGGCCAGACCTGGGCCCAGCTAACTGCGTGGCCATCCGCGACGTTGAAGGAGGAGCCATGAGAGCATCGGTCACGGTTCAAGGCAGCGAAAATCTCCATTTTGGAAAGAATATCCTGGAACGTATCGCTGTGTGTAGAGTGGTAGCCGTGCGTCGTTCCAGGGAAGGATATTTTCGCCCCAGGGCCATGGACCTCTCGGTACAAACTGAGGTATAAGGCGATGCCCTGAGCAAGGTTCATGGCATTTGAACCGGGGACGAATCCTATGATACCATCTGGTCGGATTTCGGAAAATGTCCACTTCTTGCCGCCCTCTGAGAGTGCATCCAGCATATCATACTGCTCATAGTAGAATATGTTGCTTTTCCATGGCTCTGGGATACGAGGCATAGATTCACGAAGAGGGGGTTGGATTTCGAGTTCCTTGGAGAATTCTAGTCCGTATCCCTTTCCACCTGTTTGCAATATCACTGTTTGCAGGTTGGCACCAGCATTCTGGACGCTCTCGATAGCTGTTTGGAGAATCAAGGTATTCAGTTGTCGTCGAGACGCAAAGTCCGAGCCGTCGATATAAGCTGCCCAGGTGATTGTCAGTCAGTTGAGGGATCGGAAGAGCATGTCTTATCAAAGGTGGCATTTACCGGCAAAGAAAACAACATTGATCGACCCAATGTTTGCAATTTTCTTCAATTGGTCTGTGACCACCTTCACGGGCTGTGTCAGGTCAACCCCGGAGACTATGCTGAGTCGATCATCATCGGGAAGGTAGGCGTCTTTTTTCGACAGCGGTCTGTTACAGAGCCCAGTCACACTTTGGAATGAGTCTTTTGAAGGATATTGGAGACATTGGTTCATCAGAGACCAGCCAGAAATTCCGGAAGCTCCAAAGATCAAAGCGTGATTCTCGGTGCGTGACATGATGGTTTGTGACGGGGAGTTGCAATGTATTACGGGGTGAGTGAAATTGGAAGTAGGTCTCTTTGAGAAATTTATATTCTTGATATTCTTCCAAGGTTGTGACTATTGACAATGTCCCACCTGGGCACTGACAGCTGACAAATTCTTTTTGATATATAAGCATCGAATGCGAAACAGGAACAGCATGGTCCGATTTCATGGCTGATCATAACGTCAAGGTGGAAATTTACCCAAAACGGAGATCTTCCGACTGCCTTGAGGCCCCTCAACCTCGACCCCGCAGGCTGCACGATAGAGTCTACTAGGACATTATCAAGCAAGAATGAGCTATTTAAAGTGGCTTGGGAGCGATCAATTTACAGATCAGACGGGTCAAGCTTGAGCCTATAGGCATGAGTTGGGTTCTGGAAGCATAGTAAACAACAGTCGGGATATGTCGGGATACTTCCTAATTGGGTGACGGAGTCGGATACTTGCCGAGTTAGGATACCCTCAATAATCACTTTGACTTAGGCGACTCCTCTAACTTTTCAGAGGACTAAAGTGGTAGTGGAGGTAGGATGCTTTTGTAGCAACAATCTCTCAGTATCCTCTAGTTTTGTCCCTAAATGACAGAATTGAACAAGTTGGTCGTCAAGTTGGTCGTGGTCAAGTAGTCAACGCCCCACTGCGAAGCGCCTTAGGCTCCAACAGCATGTGACGCTCATATTCCTAGCCCACTACCAACCACAAAGCAGTTTGCAATATCACAAATCACTCGGCTTTCCGAAAGTTTTCAGGTCTTGATCGGAAGAGTCTGTAATGCCAGAGTTGACGCGACCGGGCCAAGCAGTCAGGCAGAACGTCATCCGATTTCCCCACACGGACTGCAACGACCGGGCTCTCATGTCGCCCCAATTGTGAAAATTGTAGCCTTTGTCAATGTGAGCAAACAATATGGGCCCACAGACACATCAAGGGAGGCCACAAACGCCTGATCGGCCATTGTGCCGGGGACTGCCGGGATCAAGTTTGAAATTTATTTCTACAACCATAGATGGTGGATCATGGAAGAAACGGGCCCGACATGCTTGTAACACCTGCAGGAAACACAAAGTATGTAATGCATTGTCTGTGCTTGACCGGAGATTAACCCGATTCCAGAAACGTTGCCTGCATGATTGCCACGAGGTGACTGGTGATAAATTGTTACCATCAGGAGCCTCGCACTCTACCTCAAGTGACTCTACAGTCGTTGCGGAACTAATCGCTGGCTCTCTTCGGGAAAGATCGGCGAAGAAGCGTCGGAGCAATCGATCGCGAACTGCGTCAGCCTCGCCAATCGATTCGACTGATGGTGGGGTTGACCTCGCGCAGCAAGACATAGTATTGACGCCTCCCCACGCTTCTCCGTCGGAGGATGATGAATCGTCGAGCACGCCATTACAGACTGATCAAGAGCCCAAATTCATCAGTCATCTCAATCCAGAAGGCTTTTTTCTCGCCTCAACAAGCCTTGGGGCATCCGATGCAGCCAAGCACGGAGACACCTTAGGCTTATGGATTTCGCAAGAAGCCAGAAACAGCCTCGACAATGACTATCCGCGGCCTGAACCTGTTGGTAACCTGCGCAGTGTCTATCCAAACAGGTCAAGCACTGAAGTACTGCCAGTTCCGACTTGTTTCAAAGCCTTGCGAGCTATCTACCTGCGAGATATCTACCCCATATTTCCAATCTTGCCTCTGGAGATATTGCCAGATCAGCTCGCTCCGACATGCTCTCCTGCGGAAGCAGTTCTGGTCCAGGCGCTCTGCATCGCCCTAGCGACGAATGAGTCCGCCAGTCCGCACCTCTGTTTACAGCATGTGAAAGGAGTATTGGATCCAAGGGCTTTTGTCAGTCATCTATCCCGAGCTATCTCAGAAACTATCGATCGCTTTAAAATTAGAGATCATTTATTGCTGGCTCGTGTGTTTTCAATCCTCTCACTGTTTTCCTCATTCTCAACAGATGATCATACAGCAGCAGAATATGGTGCTCGGGCTATTAGCAACATACACACCATGCAGATCCAGCTCGACACCTCGAACATACGAAAAGACAATGCCATTGTGACTCAGAGTTTTCTCTGTGTGTGGGCTCTTGATCGACTGAATTCAGTCTTTCATTACAGACCATCTTTGATGCACACGCGGGACATTGGAAGAGACATCACTGCCTCCATTGCCGAACAGAAAGGATGTTTTCGTGCTCTACTGATGATTTGTGACCGACTCGACAATATCGTTAATCTCTATCGCCCTGCTCATCAGCTCAGCAAGCATGACGGCGCGCTAGATATCCCCAGCTTTGACGAATTGATCGTCGAAGCCAACGCTGTACAATCCCCCACCCACTTACTCGGTCTGAGCATCCCCTATGATACAGATCATTGACCAAGGAGCTGACTATTCTCACTTCAACCAGCCACTATAGAGACATTATATCATTCAATCGCCATGTTGTCCCATCGCTTCCATTCCCTCGACGACCCAGATCGCTCATCCATCTCATACTTACGATCGAGTCTTTCTGCTTCCAGGCTGATAGGCCTTTTCGAAAACAAGCTTCCCCACGCCCTCTCCAACTTCCTCTTCGTCCCTTATTCGCTATCTCTCGCATTACGTGTCTATTACAGAGAGCTTCGATTGAGCAAGACACCCCTATACCGAGCAAAAGCAAGGAATGACGTGTTACTCATCTGCTCACTCTTAGAAGAGTTTGGCAAAAACTTCACCTTCGCCCAGAGCCTTTCTCGCCTTGCGACAAAAATCATCCGCGAAATGGACAAAGTCGCCACTTCTGTCCTTCAAGCTCGTCAAAAATTCCCTGATCAGCCTGCAGAGTCAAGCTCCATTGCAGACGACCAAGAAAATACCAGAGGAAATCTCACCACCCACATCATCGATGGTAATTTGATCACTCATGATTACACCGCTATCTCTCATCATGCCCCGAGCAATGAATTAGGAGCACCTGACATGCCGGAATATGACGATGCTCGATATAACGCGGAAACCTTCGCGGGTGTATACAATCTGCCAGATCTGCCGGATATCTTCGAACACTTTGATCCGGAGTTCAATTTGGAAGCCATTGATCTTGCTTTGGGGCAGAATTTGGGTCTTGAATCTTTTGAGAACACTGGCGTCAACGCTGGAATCCCTTAATGCCTGTAAAAGATTCAGAAAGACCAAGTGCTTTTCATGTTTTAGGGCAGCTCTGTCACAAATTAATACCTGCCAGCCGGGGCCAGGAGGAATAATCAATAGTCTTCGTGACATTCAAATCATCACGATAGTGAGATTTCAAGTACTTTAAAAAGCAACCGGGGTCCTTGGAAGGTTGAGATCTACCTAGAGGCATCAAGAACAACCTCGAAAACATTTTCAACCCTGGAACCTTAGGGGTTGCATGGGGTCCTTGTAGTAGTGCCTCTAGGGCTGTGCTTATTGAACGGCGGGTTACCGCATTCGGTAAGTTTCCGACCCATCCACATGTCACTCTCGTCAATTTCAGTAGGTGAATTAGATGGGTCCACGGGTTCACATCCATAGAAGCAAGTAAATGTGTCATTTTGTTATTGATATCACTCGAAGCCGCTGTGCTCAAAGGTTACTTGAAACACTCGGGGGAGCCTCGCGGTCCAGTCCAAATGTTTATATAAACCCCCAAACATAAAACCCTAAGTGTCATTTTCAAGCATATCAATGAGAGCGCGACAACCATAGACACTTGTCAAAGCCAATGGATCAAGATCTAAGCAATGCCCAGAATTTTAGTATATCTACAACCTTGGAAGTCTACTATTTCCGCGGAGGCAAACCTCGCCTCTTCCTACCTACGTCATGTATACATACCACCTACCATTTCACCCAACCTCACATGAAAAATCCCCTCTATCTTCACTCCAACCACCAAAATGGCGGTTAAACCACGAACAGACCGACCCGTCGCCGTAATCGGCGGCGGCGTCCTCGGCCGACGCATAGGCTGCATCTTCATCGCAGCCGGCTACCACGTCCACATAAACGACTTCTCAGAAGTCGCCCTCCGCGACGCAGCCGAGTACATCGACACACACAAAGCCGAGTTCTCACTGATGCCACGAATCCACAAAGAGCGAGAAGATATCAAGAACAGCGCAGGCAAGATCACAGGCTCTGACGTCGAGACCTCAATCACGCAAGTAGACCTTGAATCGTCGACGACAGCACCCTTCGGAATCTGCAAGACGTTTACGGAGCTTGAGCCTGCGGTTAGCAATTCATGGCTGGTTATCGAGGCTGTGCCTGAGTTGCTGGATTTGAAGATTGATACCTTTGCTGAGATGGATCGACTTGCTCCGGCGGATTGTATGCTTGGGTCGAATAGCTCGTCGTTTAAATCGAGTTTGTTGCTTGAGAAGGTTTCGGAGGGGCAGAAGAAGGGTGTTTTCAATATTCATTTCGCTATGCCGCCGGCTATTCGGACGGTTGAGATGATGACTTGTGGCGAGACGGATCATGGGATCTTTGAGTATATGGAGGATGTGTTGGGCGAGTGTGGGATGTTACCCGTGACAGCACGGGTCGAGTCAACTGGGTTAGTATCAAGGTGGTCTGGAAACTGAGACCGAGCGATAGCTGATGCGAGGCAGATTCATCTTCAACCGGCTGTGGGCGGCTATCAAGCGCGAGATCATGAATATACTTTCCGAAGGCGTCAGCGATCCGGGCGAAATCGATCTCCTCTGGGAACATATGTTCAAAAATGGCCCATTGCCTTGCCAACTGATGGATCAGATCGGACTCGACACTGTCGCATACATTGAAGACAATTACATTCGCGAAAGGGGGTGTTCGTCCTCGACAGTCGAATGGCTGCGCAGGGAATATATTGCTCAAGAGCGCGTGGGCAAGAAGTGTGCAAAGGGAGGTCTTTACCCACCTCTATCGAAGTCCTCATCCGCGGAGAAAACCCCAGCGAACCCACACAGTGCCGCGAAAGACATCTACGTTCTTGACGTCGGGCTAGGAGGGAACGTCAAAGATGTCTCGCAGGTGCATTCGAATGGAAAAGTCCTGCGGCTGAATCCAGCCACGCAAAAACTGACGCCTGTCATGGTAGGGCAGAATCAGCCTGACGGGATTGATGCATCGCTTGCGACACAGCGCATCTTCTGGACGAATATGGGCCGCAGCACAGCGTCCGTTGATGGATCTGTTTGGTCATCTGATATGGAGGGTGGGCATGTGAGATGTCTCATTGCGATTGGGGATGTGCACACGCCCAAGCAGATAGCAGCTGTTGAGTCCAGGAAGCAGTTGTATTTTTGTGATCGCGAGGGTACGAGCGTGCATCGATGCAATTACGATGGAAGCAACCATGAAATCATCGTTCAGCGACGCATTGATCCTGAATCTACGCTGTTGGATCAGATGACGCTGTGGTGTGTGGGTGTTGCTATTGACGCCGAGCGCAATTTGATGTATTGGACGCAGAAGGGGCCTAGCAAGGGGGTCGGGGACGGATCTTTGTGGCGGGTTTGGACATTCCGCCCGGTGAGAGTGCGGAGAACAGGACGGATATCCGCTGTCTGTGGGCGAAGATGCCGGAGCCAATTGATATTGAAATTGACAGCGCCACGCAGACGCTATACTGGACAGATCGCGGTGAGCACCCGATGGGGTGTACGTTAAATCGCGCCTATGTGGGTGGCGAGGAGATTGACATGGAGAAGGTCATTCTCGCGCGGCATTTCCATGAGCCGATTGGGCTGAAGCTGGACAAAGTCAACAACATTGTGTACGTGGCTGACTTGGGGGGGTAGTTTGTACTCGGTCTCACTGGACGATGGGCTAAAGACCGAGTTGGTGCGCAACGACAGTTGCTACACAGGCCTGACCCTTGTTTGAAGTAAATGGGCATAGCCAGGTACGGAGTCCGGAGTATAGACACAATGCAACTGCAATTATGCCGAAGAACAGCCGACACCCCCACGCAAGTTGGGGAAATCTGTGGAGATGAGAGATCCGATAACGGCTGAAGATGAAACAACCACCTCGCACGGGAAGGCTGTTGGTCCAGTAGATGAGCCCTAAGCGCCCGTGGAGTCCAATAATTCCAATTGATCCAATTGATGCAGCAGAAAAACTACCTATAAGATCCCAAGTATCAGATATGCAGGGCCCAATCCATCGAAAATGCCCCCTTTCCCCCCTCCCTGCACGACGATCCATTCCAACGCGGGCCCGGAGCAATGACGCCGCGAGGTCGCAATGCATGTTGATCGTCCCACGCACTCTGAACAGCGACTATAAATACAAGTTCACGCGCCCTCATTCCCACACGTCCAGTCATCCAAAATGTATCTCAATGCCTTCCTCCTAGCGCTGGCCTCCACAGCCATCGCAAAACCAGCCCCAGCCCCAGCCCGTCTCTGGGCTACACACTATAACGGCAATGTTTACACACTGGAACTAAACAACAATGACCTCACTCTCAAACAAACCCTCAAGACCTGCGGCGCAATGCCCAGCTGGCTAACCCTCGACCCAAAATCCCGTACCGTCTACTGCTCCAACGAGGACGGCACGACAGATGCATCGACACACGGCTCCCTAACAGCCCTGCACGTCGCAGGCAACGGCCAACTACACGAAGGCGCAGTTGTCGAGACCATCGGCGGCGGCGTAAACAGCGTGATATACGAAGCGGATAAGGGGAAGTTCCTCGCGATCGCGCACTAGTAAGAAAACCCCCCTACGCGTGGACAAAAAAAAAAAAAAAAAAAAAAAAAAACAAGAAAACAAAACTAACATTCCCAGCGAGGGCGCCGCGGTCTCAACATTCGAACTCCCAATCAAGAAAGACCAAACTGCCCTACAATCCTTCCACTTCAACCTCACGCACCCAGGCAAAGTAGCGCAGCAAGATACACCACACCCACACGAAGTCTTCATCGACCCAACAGGATCATTCCTCCTAAGCCCAGACCTAGGCGCCGACCTACTGCGCATCTGGTCAATTGACGGGAGCTCAGGAAAATTAGAAGAATGCCCCAGCAAGAACGTGACATTCGGCAGCGGACCCCGACATGGAATTTTCTGGACTGATGGGACGAGTCCCGGTGCCAGTACTCATCAGCGCAAGCTTGCTTCTGTCGGTAAGACGATGCTGTATCTTGTGAATGAGATCGGGGGTACGATGATGGTATACGATGTTTCGTATTCGCGATCTGGATGTTTGTCGCTTGAGAAGAAGCAGACGATTGTGCCTTATCCGAAGGGTGTTATGCCTAAGGGAGCGACGCCTGCTGGTATTAAGCGTGTTGGAGATGCGATTTATGTATCGATTCGGACGGATCAGGGGTTTAAGCCTGATGATTCGATGGTTGTGCTTGATCGGGGCGAGGATGGGTTGGTTACGGTTCGTAACGCGACTTCTGCGTATGGAAAGGTGCCTAGGACGTTTGTGATTAATCGTGCTGGAAATCTGGTTGCGATTGGGAATCAGGCTTCGGCGACTGTGGCGATTGTGCGTCGGGATGTCAAGACTGGGAATCTTGGAGAGGAGGTTGCGATTTTACAAGTTGGGGAGACTGGGACTGTTGGGTCTGCCGAGGGGTTGAGCAGTGTCATCTGGGATGAGTAGATTTGTTTGACATAATGTATAAACCAGTGGGCTTGGATTGACCGTTGAAAACGACACTCATCTATGAACAGCGCGGAATGAAATTGCGGTACAGTTCGCATCATAGAACGTGGGGGAAAACAACCATATACCTCATGACCAAAAATGAAACAGAAACTTCAATATTGTCCGTACAAACCTCATGCCGAAAGAAAGAAATGAGAATCCTCAACTAAAAATGCTCCAAAAAGGCCAGCTTCTTTGGAGTTTAGTGGGATGTCGGAAACCAGCACCGAAATGAATCGTAAGGGAAGTGGGATCGCAGACCCTACCTCTGGAGGGTTGAGGACAAGAACCAGAAAAGAAAGAGCGTATATAAAACCATCAGTCGTAAAATGCGTGAAGACAAAAAAAAAAATGCAGGCGGTCTTGAATATCATTTCACTTGATGTCGATTTGGAAAGCCTTCCACTTTCCACCCACGGTTCGACATCGTGGGCACCCACGAGGGCCCGGGTAACTTGTCGGACCCTGCTGTGGGTTGTGTAATAGCCCGTTGCCGGGGGTTCTGAAGGAAGCGGGTGGACTTGAGATGAACATGCCAACGCACTCACGGCAGACTCCACAAATGCATTCTGTACAAGCGTAGCACTCATTCAAGGCAGAGGGTCGTTTGCAATGGGCGCAAAACACCTGGACCTCTTTGTTGCGGAATGAGGCCGGCGTGGGATTTGAGAACCGGTGGTGTTGGCGCTGAGAAACGGGTGGTATCAAGTTCATGGTTGGGCTGTGATCGGAGTTGATGGACGGAGCAACTCCTGACATTGACGAGGCAAAATTCCTGCCGGTGCCAGATGTGGAGGACATGGAATCAAGCGACGATTCGATGGATGGGAATGGTTCGAGATCGCTGTCGCGGCTGCGGTGATTCTCGAACGGCGGAGGGGTCAATGCTTTGTGCAGCGGTGAAGCAGCGTAGTGGTGCGGTGGGAACGGCCGATGCGATGAAATGGGAGGCAGCCCTGTAGATTGGAAGGCGGGTGGTAGCGAAGACCGATTTTTCACACCTGGAGCAGACGTCACGTTGGAGAGTAGTGGGGCAATCGTTGGAGACCGACCAGCCTGCAGAATCAGTATGCATGATCAAAAAATAATGAAAATAGGAAAAAGTTCCAGTTGGATGCCCGGCAAAAGAACTCACCTCTGAAAAGCGCTCATCATCTACTTCGGTCGCAGAGGTCGCAGCCTCAATCAGATCCTCCCAGCGCTTGCCTTGCGCCCAAGCTGCGGTCTGCGGTTCCGCTGAAAGAGCTTTGCGATCCCCAAGGCTTGGACGTCGCGGAAATTCCTTAGACCTGGGCCGATCCTGCTTGGGTTTCCGGGCAGATTGAGAGATGGAAGTTTTGCGCGGCCGAGACAACTTTTCCCTGCGCTGGATTGGTGGTAACGTAGACGAGCGACCGGGCGGAGAATGATTGAGAATCGAAGGAAGCAGCTCCCGGGGCCGAGCGAAAGGCGGAAGAGATTCCTGTTTGAAATGATCGCGAAGTGGGGGCAGTTCGATGGTCGAGCGCATATGAGGGTGGCTCAAGTCGGTGTCAGAATGGGTTTCCTGGGGAAATGCGGGTCAGTACCACCGAAGAAAGAGGGGGTCCAACAAAAAAAGTAGGCCGCAAAACGAGCGCAGAGAGACCAACCATATCTGTGTCCCAGTCTGAGGCCAGTCGGTGGTGATGCAATTGTGCCAGCGCAACTGCTGCAGTGGCCGCGGCCGGGTGGGGTTCCTCCAGAGCTCGAGGGGTGGCCGGAGAACCATCGGCAACGTAGATGTCTCTTTCCGGCGCCACATCTGTACGTAGCCGTCAATATTTCTGTGGGAGCACCGAGAGGGGAGAAAAAGAACAGAAGAGGGATCCAACTGACCATGAGGCCGCCTGGGCTGGGGAGGTTCCGGGGGAGACAGCTGGGCTCGTTGTTCGAGCGGGGTGTTCACCATCATCAAGAAGCTCTCCTCGGTCGCCGGGAGCTTCGGAATATAGTGGTTCGGATGCGCACGTCGAATGTGCTCCTGCATGGAGCGATAGCGTTTTTCCTAGAGTCATTGGGTTAGCTGGGATTGCAAGTAGTACGGGCAGGAGGTACGTCTCGAGCGCAAGTTCGCAACGTTCACGAGTTCGTTGCAGAGAGTGGGTGGGGAAGGGAGATGGACACATACCCCCAGACATCTTTTCCGACAATTGGAACTGTCGTTATTCTTCAAGGGACAGACGACTTCGTTATTGGCGTCGGTCACGGAGAAGGAGCTGGTCAAAGAGCTTCGGGGAGGCATGGTGCATATACTAGGGGCATCCGAGATCCCGGGAGATGGTCGGAAGATAAGAGGAACTCAACAAAGAGGTCACCCGGGCAGAATATGAACAATGCAGAATTCCAAAATAACCTAAGGACTTGTTCAAGAGAAGAGCAGAGGACCGGACGAGGATTATACTTGTGGGTGAAAGTGGTTGGTATTACGGGTAATTACCACTTTCGCCTGAACTACTCGTTTTTTATCTTTCTTCACTTATTGCTTACGTCGTGATCTGCTGGTATTTGCATTTTGGACGATGGTATCTGATTTATCTGACTTTCCCCCTCTGGTTAGTCTCGAGTATTCTGGTACGTACTTTTCATGCAAGGTTAAGCTGGGTATGTCGCTACTATACATGCTAGATGCTATCGAGTACGGAGTACTCCGTATCGATAAAGTCAAAGAGGGGCTGCATGCGTTCTTCAAATGTTTCATGTTTCATGTCTGATGTTTGTTCTGCATACTCAAGCATAGGCAATATTCATCTGACCTTGGAAATAATACATGCCATTTCTGTCCGTCAAGGCAATTATAGATTTAGGCGGGAAACTAAAAAAAAAAAGAAACAGGGAAAAAAAGAAGCAATACGGTATATACTGGTATTCGAATACAGCCGAAAGAACACGGCTGATCGGACAGCCCGGTGGAACACCGAGCTCGATCGGTGCTTTTTTAGTTTTACTGATTTCTTCTCTTTTACTCCCTTTTTTTTGCAGGTGACTATTTTCTAAAATAATTTCCGACATCGAGATCTCCAGCCAAGACCGAGTATAGCTGTGGGAAAGGGAAGTAGAAAGGGGAGGCGATAGGCGCTATCAGCGGCCCCTCCAAAGCTCTCCCCAGAAGCTCAAAAGATTCCAGAAGCTGGCGAAGGAGGGGAGCTCCGGGTGGCGATACTAGCGCCACGTTACAGCGTAATCGGTAAGTTACGGGAATTGCGACCTTGGAAATGAGAGAGCTAATTTTAGGGGAAGTTGCCTATTAGGACAAGCTTAGAGTGGTATCTGTTCTAGCGAGTATTCTCCTACAGCTACCATTAGCTCAAGCTCCATCAAGCTTCTACTTGAAAAACCCCCGGATGAACGGTAAATACAGTGAAACATTCTATAACCGACACATGCCGAAGAGCATCCCAAAGCAGCCTGATTGGTCGTTCTCGGACTGGCCCCCACTCAGTTGCCAATCATCTTCACTCTCATTGGCTACACTTGTCACACCATACCGTTTCTGGTTGGCCGTGCAGCAACCGGGAAAAGTCTGAGATTGCTGAGATTTCTCAAGTTCGATACTCGCAATCCCATAGTAATATGTATGTGTCTGCAAGTACTCCGTACTGAACAGCCCTTTATCTGTCAAGCTCCACATGTGGGGAGCTTCGTCCCCGCTATTTCAATACACCTGGACAATCTTACTCGACACCGTTTCACTGCTATTTCTATCTTCTGAACCCCTGTCAGCATACCAGCTGCATCTGCAGGGTCCAAGGCAACTACCTCGCCACTAGGGGTGGCTGAGACTCTATACACTGTAGAACTCAACCCTTACATGCGCCTCCAAGGGATTCGGGATTCGGGATTCAAGATTCAAGATTCGACTCAAAAATGGAAGACCCGACATAAACGCCCATTCTTGATCATACATTGTACAAGTGTATCGTACAAGTACATGGACCATGATACACTGGCCAGTGGCCACATTAGAATCTCACCCCAACGGAGGTGTCATCAATCCATTACTAACAACCCGATCCCCAACCATGAAAAGCAGCACCGCCTCAGCAGCCGCTTTAGCATCATCATCATCCTCCCCACCAACAACAGCGGAGCGATTAATCTGCTCCAAATAGGAAGCCACATCCTCAGCAGGCCAATTCGCCCTCCTCGCAAACTCCTGCATGAGCTCACTATTCACAAACGTATCGAACTCGAAATGTCCCTGGTACGTCAATACCCGACCCGGGTTATAAAGTCCCTGGATAGCGCACTGCGCGCTACTCCCGACATTCAACCACGGAGTCGGCAAGACGACCGGACCCGCCGCAGCCTCCAGCGCCGCGGGGGTAGGAACGACCCCGTCGGCGTGGATCAGCTGGATACGGAACGGGGCAGCGCGCGCGAGAGGCGGGAAGCGCGCTGTGAATTCCGGATTGAGGGTAATGGGATGAATACCCATTTCAAAGCCGGCGGGTGAATGCTCGACATGGTGTGTGGAGACTTCGTCTACTTGGACCTCTGCATCAGCGTGCTGCAGTAAGGCTTGGGCTATGATCTGGTGGCCGAAGCAGGAGCCGAAGATTTTGACTTCTGGGTAGGTTGTGTAGACTGTTTTGACGAAGGACTGTAGGTTGTGGATCCAAGGGTGGTCCTCGTATGCGGAGAAGCTGGACCCTGATATTAGGATCGCGTCGATGGGGCCTAAGGGTCCGGCGTGAGGCTCGGAGGTGGATTGCCGGAGGGTTGAGAGCGGCGGTAGGGAACCGCCTACGGCGTCGAAGGCCGTGACATGTACGGAGATTTTGCTTTGTGTTTCGGACTTGTTGAGGCGATTGGCGGCATTTTGGAGAAGGGTGCGGAACATCGAACTCCATTGACCCCGCTCTTTGTATACGGAGTGGCAGGGGATGTCTGCGTCCAGCGCGGCCACGTGGATGTGAGCCATGTGGACTTAATCTGATGGAGGACTTTGGAGTAAGTTGAGAGGAATAGTTGATATTCTATAGATATTTCGTGACTCATGAATCCGATGGGGTTCGCATGCTCCTACCTGATAAGAATTTCCGTGAATAATCGCATAGTGGAGCTGGCCCAATTAGGAAAACAAATCCTTGTCGGTGGAGACTTTCGCTGTCAACTGTTGGCTCAGGAACGTCTCCAGAGCATCAACCCGTGGACCAAACTACGAATTTTGCTGTCTTTCAGTGGCTCGCCCTATGGCCCGCATATGAATCTATAAGTTTGCAGTAGTGACTTTAACTACAAGTACATGGCTTGAAGGCTTCAATTTGCTCTGCGTGGCTCGAACCTTGGAAAACTTGAAACGTTCAATATTCCATCGGCTCCGACTGTCATCTAGACCTCGATAAGAATATTTAGATGCATACAATTATTGACCCAAGAATACCACAGGATATATTCTCCACTGTCCTTTGAACTTCAGATTTCGAGGAACAAATCAACTCCTGGCATGATACTCGATACAGTAAGTAGATGGATGGGTTCCCGAGATCCCAGCTTGGTGTGAGATTCAGCGCCATCACTGGGGCAAAGTCAAGTCAAGTCAACTGTCCAAATGTTGAACAAAACATACTGACAGCCTATACTGAACACTACGAGTGACTGTCATTGATATCTGGCTCAAGCCTGCCGAATCGGGGACAGTAAACCGCTCAATTTTTCTAGTTTGAGATTCTCTCGTTGGACCTCATTGAGCTGGGACACGGTCTCAATGCCCGTGAATCTGATTAAGAACCTCGACACCTGTACAGATTGAAACGGCCAGAATGAAAGAGGAATTTGCGGTGTAGCCTAAGGGGAGCGAAGGAAGGAATCTTGTTCCCCGGTTAACTCACAATTTCGATGAGATGAACCTGTATTCTCGACTGTTAGGATAGGAATAGAAATATTTCGGTTCTCGAACGGTCTTTCTGCCGCTGACAATTTGCTGTTGACTCGGTGGTTTCTTTCTCGGTTTCTTCTCTGCTGTATCTTCTAACCGGCGCCATGATGGAACGGAGTCGAAAGTGATGTTCAAAGCAGAGCCTGAAACCTGGTGTTTTAGGGTGTCAGAGTGCTTGAGAAGTGCAGTGAGGGATGCCTGGTCTTCAATAGGTATCGTGATACTCCAGGCTGGGGAAGCCACCGTGTAGAGCAAGAGCTGCTTGCTCTTAAGTCCCATGGGAAGGGAGGGAAGTAAAGTTGACAACAGAACAGAGTAGAAAACAGTATGCGGGACAAATAAAAATGTATTCAGAGATGGAAAATGCAGCCCTGGCCTATGCCGTCTTAACACAGAGGGTTCCCACCCGCTGGATATCTTCGCTGATATAGAAGGTCAGTTTAGGGAAGTCATCTCATATCTTTGCGCAGAGTTGGTTTTACGAATTCTTCCTTCGCGGGCGTGTCTTCATCCACGGCTTTGGGTTTTGACGATCACCTTGAATCCAGCCAGAGATGGACGGTGTGGCTTGTTTGGTCTTAATTTGATCTGGACATAGATCGAGATTAGGCTTCAGACACCAGAACTTTTCAGGTGCCATAATGATCAAAGATGGGTGCTTCATGCGAGATCTGCGTCAATTGTCTGATACGCCTTTCGAGTCTGAGCCTGGACGTTCGGCAACGCATATGCTTCGAGAAAGAGGGCACACGGTCCCTGCAGGCTTTCCCGGATATATGGGTAAAGCTCTGGGTAGCAGGATGCGAGTCGGTGGGTTGTTCAACAGGCATGTTGGAACACACCGGGTGAAACTGAAACTATGTTCCGCACGTGGGAACCAGGAATGTTCGGGAGCGATTAATTACCATGATAAGTTGATAACATGGCCCTTGAAGTTAGATTTGTTGGCTAGGTGGAAGTTATCAAAGTAAAGTTCCGAGGAGAAGCGAGAAATGAAGGGGAAAGCAAAGAAAGGAGGAAGTTCCTCGATGGTCCGCATCGGAGAGATCGGGAGGATCGGGATTTAATGGTGCAGTGCCACTCCGTTATGCGTAAGGATGGACATAACGACAAGCACACCATCAGAGATAGCGGATATCGGAACAGCTCCAAGGTCCGACCAAAAAGGAACAACAAAAATGGGGTTTCTCGCCCGACAGGAGAGGACGAGAAGTCGAGAGATGTAGATATTAGGCTCAGTTGATCGACGGGAGACCTTCTCAAAGGGGAAATGTTAGTCGGCCAACCCGCAGGCCCGACGAGCCGGTTCAATATGCAATGCACGAATGGCACCCGGAACGATCGTCTGTAGATGATCTGAATAGACTCATTTTTTCATTGTCTATCGGCCGAGATTGGTGGGTTCAAATATCTTTACTCACCCCTATACTAAGTAAACTACGCATGCTAGCTGGGAGTACATTGGTCTATAGTTGAATTTATGTAGTTCCTTAACCTCGAATCCAATTCCAATTCCAATTCATACATATCTCCCAGGACTTCAGAGTAGCATGAGTCCTATCTGATTACTTCGTATCTGACGAGGCACAAGTCATGGAAAATCCTGGAAATTCGCGATCAGCCATCACAACATCGCACCCCGCAAATTGCGCCATTCCACTGCCGAGCCTCCAATCAACGACCACCTCACCCTCGACTCTGCATTACAACGTTGTATGCATTCTGTTGGTCCACGCGGTGAAATGATGTCTCGCACGCCATTTCCTCCACTTCATTCCTCAGTGAAGACGACATCTGATTTCTTCGGGCTCTTAATCTAAGCTATAAATATAAACACTTTGCCCTACCTTACCTCAACCACCTGTACACAAGCCTTTTACCCTCTACCTACCTTGAAAGGTATAATAAAACAGACATCATGGCTCCCGCAGCTACTTCCACCCTCCCAACAGCCCCCCACAACCTCACAGCTCCCATTGACATCAACCTCTTCCCGGATGGCTTGAAGACAACCGGCCAGCACAACCCTCTCTACGACCACATTGTCCCCTTCGAAAAGTTCCCCAAGAAGATCACCGGCCCCACAGTCTGGGATCCAGAGGAGTACCGCTCCAACCCAGAGAAATGGACACACGTCTTTACCGACGAGCAAATCGCCGAGCTCAGCACGGCCGCTGATGCCTTCCTCGAATCCAAGACTCCCCTAACCGGCATCTCAAAGGTCCGCCAAACCCACACCCAAAAACATACATATCCATACCAAGCTAACCAACCCCCCAGAAAAACTTCATCCTCCCCAACCTCGCCAGCTACCTCCACACGCTGCGCGCCGATCTAATCGACGGCAAAGGCTTCATCCTCTTCAAAGGCTTCCCCGTCGAAAAATGGGGCAACCACAAATCCGCCGTCGCCTACATGGGTCTCGGCACTTACCTAGGCTACTTCGTAAGCCAGAACTCTCGCGGCCACGTCCTCGGCCACGTTAAAGATCTCGGCGAAGACTCCACACAAATCGACAAAGTCCGCATCTACCGCACAAACGCCCGACAGTTCTTCCACGCCGACGACTCCGATATCGTCGGTCTCCTTTGCATCACTAAAGCACTCGAGGGCGGCGAGTCCGATCTCGTCTCTTCTCATAATGTCTTCAACACACTTGCCGTTGAACGTCCTGATATCCTACGCACACTCACTGAACCGATCTGGTACTTTGATCGCAAGGGTGAGACGAGTAAGGGTCAAGATGAATTCATTCGTACGGCTGTTGTTTACCTTGAGCGTGGCGAGAATGGTCGTGTTTACACCAAGTATGTTTCCCCCCACCACGCCTCCCCCAGAACCCCCGATTAGATCACGGAACTAATACTCAACAAGGTGGGATCCGTACTACGTCCGTTCCCTCGGCCGCTTCAGCGACGCAGGAATTATTCCCCCTCTATCCCCCGCACAGACCGAGGCTCTGCAGGTTCTGGAAGAGACATGCCAGCGTCTATCGCTGCACATGATTCTTGATATTGGTGATATCCAATTCCTTTCCAATGCGCATATCCTACATGCTCGTACAGCGTACAAGGATCATGCGCCTCCTTTGCCTCGTCGTCATCTTATGCGACTGTGGCTTGCGACGCCTGAGCATGAGGGTGGTTGGAAGTTGCCTTTCTGGGATAGTAATGAGAAGAAGAGGGGTGGTATTCAGGTTGATGATCAGGTTCCTGTTGCTCTTTTGGATGCAGAGTAAATCTTGCAAAATTGAATTAATGAAGCAATGATACCTTTTTGACATTTTTCTAACATTTTCCACCTTTTTTCTTCTCACTTCATATTGTGTTTTACTTATATCTTGATTTTGTAATGCTTGTGTAAAACATGCCGAGTATATTCATGGGTATTGTACGCCTTCGCCTGGACACCGTTACCAACACTAATGCCAATGCCAACGTTAATGCCAACGCAAATGTTAATGCTAATGCACAATCTTGTAATTCCCCCCATTAGCAATCTCCAACTTCCCCTTCGAAACCATCCCACCCAAGAACTCCCGTAATTCCTCATCACTAAACGGAAACCCACCAGGCACCGCAATCTTCAACATCATAACAATACGTGCCAAAGGCATAGGCCCCTGATTCGTAAGCATACCAACAATAAACTGCCAATGAACATTCATCTTCTCCATCGCCGCCGCCTCAGCAGACTCCTTCGCAGCAGCAGCCGCCGCCGCCTCAGCCGCAGCCGCAGCATCAGCCTCATCAGCCTCGCTATCCGAATCCGAGTCTGCGCCGTGCTCGTGTTCGTGTTCGACAACTTCGATTACTTCAAATGTATCTCGTGATACTTCGTGAAGTACCCGCTTGCTCACCCAGAATAGACAGGCGCTGCGGACTAGAGGGAGTGACATTTCGAGTTGGGTTGATAGTTCCGGAATGGATTTTGTGGGTGAGTCTTGGAAGGCGTGGATGACAGTTGCTTGCCAGGTTGTGACTTCGTCATGGAATGAATGGTTTTCGAATTCTAGTTCGATGGTCACTTGGCCCAGGGAGTTGTGCCACATTAGTTTGCGGGAGTCTTTGCGCTTCTCGAAGCATGAGGCGTAGTTTTCTTGAAGGGTGATGATTTCATCTGGGACTCTGAATTCTTGATCTTGGAACTCGGGCCAGAAGAAGCGGGAGAGGATCTTGGCGTGTAGTTGGGCGTCTTCTTGTGTGAGATCGCCTGAGGTGATTTGGTCGTTTCTGACGGTGTGGTCGAGGCGGCGGGAGTCTGTCAGGTCCTTGAGCATGACTTCGCATGCCTGCAGTGCGGAGTCGCCGAAGCGGACTTTGAGGAGTTCTAGGACTGTGGTTTCTTGGTCGTAATTTTGACGTTTTTGGATGAGGCGGTCGGCTAGGAGAGTCTGCATCTCCTTGACGAATGTCTCTTTTGAATCGAATAAACTGACCAGACTGTCAATGACGTCTGCACTCTTTGACTTGCGATAGTCTGGAGCGGCGTCGACGGGGTCGGGTAGCCAGCCCATGTCGTCAAAGTCTATTTCGCTATTCTTGCTCTGCATGGAGTACTGGTTGAGCCTGGTCAGCTCCGAGGCCAGCTCTACCAACGTGTCGTTGGTAGCCGCCGGTGCATCGGCCGCCGTAGGGTCAGCCAGCAGACCACTAACGATGACCTTGACGGTATCGTCCCGATCTCTCAAGTATCGTCTGATCGGGCGCGCAATGCGGTCCAGCAGGACTCCGTTAGGATCCAGGAGATGGAAAGCTCGAATGACCGAGATGTAAACCTGTAGGATTTCAACAGTTGAGGCACCAGGATGCAGCAGCCTCTGTTGCAGATTCAAGGCGAACCAATGGGTCACATATGCCCGTGGCCGTGTCTGCGTCACAAAATGTCGCAGATCTTCCACCGCACCACTGCTCGCAGGCCAGTCAACAACAACATCGAAAAGCTCGCTAACTCGAAGCGTTCCAAGTCGGGCAATGCCCACTGCCCGCCACTTCTCCACATCGCCAAAGCTCACATCCATGACCCCAGACTCAACATCGGAGCGAATGATCGACAGAACTTGCACCGCAAAGCGCGCGTAGACATTCTCAATCCACTGGCCCAGATGCTGCGGCACAGTCGAAGGCGCCGACCACTGCCCAGCATAAGCGGCATGGATGAAATCCCCCATGAGGATGTTCATCACCTCCGCAAATACCTTCTGAGCCTTATCCGCGCCGAGCCCGACGAGCTGCAACCCGTTTAGGAAAGCTAACAACCGATCCCGCGCGATGGTCACTCTGTGGTCCTCGCCCTCAACCATCATCTGCTCGCGAGTTTCGGGTATCGCCTCTGTCCAGTCCTTGTAAGAGACAGAATACGTGCGCTCCACATCCATCTCATCCTCGCTGGCCTCCGCATCGAAATCTTCATCCAGAGTGTCAATGCCGAGAACGATCACGGCATCGTGAGTCAGCTCGCTAGCAAGCAGCGGTGAAATCTGCTGCCAAGGCAAACTGTACGAGACCACTGTATGAAACGCGCGTTGCAATTGAGCAAGGTATCCACCCTGATGCGGCGTTAGTGGAAGCAGGTAGTGTAGGACCGGAGTGAGATAGACGCGACGCGCGAGCTGCAAGCAATCGACGATTGTGCGGAGCAGGCCTTCTTTCTCAGGGGACGCCAGGAGCTAGAATTAACATTTAGCAATTGACAAAGCTCATCAAGGCGCGATCCATACCTCGGTGAGACCAGATCGAAAATTGATCAGGAAATGCCTCCGGATGTTATTGCTGTACCATTCAAACAAGGTCCACGGAGACGTGCGCATTAGATATTCCAGCGCTTCCGCGGCCTCTTTCGACGGCGGCGCGAGCCGGTTCCATTCCGTCAGCAGTTCACTGCCATCGGTTTCGCGGTATTTGTAGAGGGGTTCGAAGCCCAGAGTCGGCACGGCGAGGAAATCGGTCGCTGCGGCGCGTGCGTGGTTGAGGAGGTCTTCGTCTGCGGATGCGGAGTCTGTGGAACCACCGATGGTCGCGAATGAATTTGACTGCGAGTCTGCTTTGACTGTGGAGGAGGAAGCGGTTGATTCGAACGAGGCGGCGGGATCAGACTCGAGCGAGTGGGCGGGGGAGGGCGAGAAGACGGAGCCGAATACGCGTCTACGTCCTGCGTTGAGGGGGACGGTGGAAAGCATTTTGTTCAAGGGACATCGGGCATATTGTGGGAGTTGGTGTAGCTCTGTATCTTCGTTGCTATGGAGTGTGTTGACTTATGAGGTCAATGTTTTGGGTTTGTCGGGTTTGCACCCCCATCAAATTGTCTATCTCGCGTATTTAAGATGTAAATAGATCCGTGTATAGCTCCGTCTACAGGGTATCGAAACAGATAGATGCGGAGACACTGTAAACACAGTTCTCTCGACGCGTTGCATGTACTCTCTCCTGAACTTCTCGACCTTTCACTGGTCGTCCACCTTCTCCCACTCGCTGTCGGTACTTCCATAGCCAGAACCATCCCCACCAGTGCTGGGTCTTTTCTTCGGGTCAGGCTGTAAATAAGCTGAGCTGCTCGTCGAGGATGCAGCTTTGCCTTCGTTGACCTCTTTGACCCCTTTGACTCCCCTGTCAACCTCGGTTTCTGTGTCGCTGTCGGTATCCGGTGTAGCTTTCTCTTGTTCCTTCTTCTCGGCCTCCTGCGCTTGCTGAGCGAGTTTCACCTCCGCAGCGAACCAGTTAATGGCGTACCATAGTCCACCACTGATGATAGACAGAGCGACGAAGTGAAGGCTGTAGGTGGCTAGGAGGAGGGCGAAGAAGATCGCCTGCAGGGCGGCGAAAGCGACGTTGGTCGCGATCAGAAGGGTTGGGGTGGGACCCGGGGTGAAGATGCTCGACCACAAGTCTTCCACAAAAGACGCCATTTTGGGGGGTTTGGAGTAGAGAGAGGGTTGAAGGTGACGTGGTCGGGAACTGGAATCCGCGAGGGAAAATGGTTGCCGCAAGTCACCGCTGGGCACCGCTGGGAAGTGGAGTAGATTGTCCGTCGACTCTCCACAAATACGCAACTCCGCAATATCAAAGGACTTTGAATTCCGATTTCCTCTTTTTATGTGGATATTCTACCCCGTGGGGGGACCACCCTTGACCCTCTTATTAAGTCATCTCGTCATATGAAGTCTACACATCACGGGATGGGAGTCACGGTGCGAATGTCACGGCCCGATCCTGCAGTCAGGTTTTGATGCCCGGCGAACTTGGCATTCTCTTTTGACTGGCGGGCTAACACTTTGCCGCGCCTGGGTGTAGCTTATTTGGAATGCGTCATGCTAAGAGAGAATAAGCCCTGTGCTCGCGGTCTCCGTACCAAGGACTCAAACACCAGAAACACCCCGTACTAAAGTACTAAAGTAACCCTCGAGCCTAAGAAAGTGGATCAGTTTAAGCCAGTTTAAGCCAGTTTGAGTCAAATCACAGCAAATAGGAGAGGCTCGGCGTGAGGCCGAAAGTTACTGAGGGGCTTTTCGCCGAAACCTGGAGATGCCTACCAGGATCATCTTACTAGACCGCATTAGTCTGATTGGCTCCCTCTGACTTATTGGGTCATTCTAGTGACTTCTGTCCAGACGATAGCCCACCAATATCACTTTAACTGGTTCATGAAAAGTCGAGGTTAGGGTGACATCTAGTACAAAGAACCATACAGAGCAAAGACTGTACATCGATAGCCCTGGAGCCACCAATGGAAGCCATCTTATTTCGTTCTCCACAGCCTGGATAGCGCCGATCTTCCCCCATGGATACTATACCCCCGCGGCAACCCGTCTCAACCGCATGCCAGTTACCTCTGTCCGACTTGGCTCGGCCTTTGCCAATTGGCGTTTGACCAACCGCACCCCGGGCCCCATGTCTCCTAGAGAACCCGATTTGCGGAGGTGATTCCTTAGCCTTTCTGCCTTTATGCCTTTATACCTCGGGGCAACGAGGAGAGCAAAAGATATAAGTATCCACCGCATGCCTCCGTAGAGCCAGTTTCTTCAGACCATAGTTCTCCACTCCCCCATATTCCACATCCCATATCCGAGATGGAAGATACCGTGACGAAACAAATATCCAATGACCCCGTGGTAGAGGGCTTCTCTCACCATGCTGATAATATCGCCTCGGATCGGGAGCCATATGGCCCACCCGGTCTGAAAGGACTCGTGGCCAACCCGTTCGTGCTCTTGTGTGCCGCTTGCTCGACCCTCGGTGGTTTGCTCTTCGGTTATGATCAGGGTGTCGTGTCAGTGATTCTGGTCATGGATCAGTTCCTGCTCGAGTTCCCGCGCATCGACGAGGGTAACCCCGGCTCGGGCTTTGCGAAAGGCTTATTGACGGCTATGATTGAGCTTGGAGCGTTGGTCGGTGCTCTTAACCAGGGTTGGATTGCGGATAAAATTTCTCGGCGGTATTCTATTATCGTCGCTGTGATTATCTTCACTATTGGGTCTATTCTTCAGACCGCTGCGTATGGGTACCCTATGTTGGTGGTGGCTCGATTGATTGGTGGTGTTGGCATCGGCATGTTGTCCATGGTTGCACCATTGTACATCTCTGAGATCAGTAAGCTTGGCTGTGTCTACCTTGACTGAAGTATGTACTAATAATTTGACAGGTCCTCCTGAGTGCCGTGGTACTCTCTTGGTGCTCGAGGAGTGGTGTATCGTCCTCGGAATCGTGATTGCCTTCTGGATCACCTACGGTACCCAGTACATGGTCGGAGAGTGGGCCTGGCGTCTTCCCTTCCTGCTCCAGATGATCCCGGGCTTCATTCTCGCCGCCGGTGTTTACATCCTCCCATTCTCACCCCGTTGGCTCGCGTCAAAGGGCCGTGATGAAGAGGCACTCCACAGTCTCAGCAGACTGCGATCTCTGCCTGTCACCGATAGACGAATTCGCCAGGAACTTTTGGATATCCAGGCTGAAGTGCGCTTCCACCAGGAAATGAACAAGGAAAAGCACCCGAACCTGCAGGGTGGCGGAAAGAAGAATGCTATTCTGCAAGAGCTATCCTCATGGGCCGACTGCTTCAGGAGTGGCTGCTGGCGTCGTACACACATTGGTGTTGGACTGGGTTTCTTCCAACAGGTGAGTAGTCAGTCACACTCAAGATGTTGACATGAGCTAATTATGCCTAGTTTGTCGGTATCAACGCCTTGATCTACTACTCGCCCACTCTATTCGGAACCATGGGTCTCGACACAAGCATGCAGCTCATCATGTCCGGAGTACTGAACGTCATCCAGCTCGTTGGTGTAACCACCAGTATCTGGACAATGGATGTTGTCGGTCGACGCAAGCTTTTGATCGGCGGTGCGGCTCTCATGGCTCTCTCGCACATCATTATTGCAATTCTGGTTGGTCTCTTCTCTTCAGACTGGCCAGCGCATAAGGCGGAGGGCTGGACCAGTGTTGCCTTCTTGCTGTTCTACATGTTCTCATTTGGTGCCACATGGGGTCCCATTCCATGGGCCTTGCCATCAGGTAAGTTATCTCATCCAGAGAATATATGAAATACTAACAAGTTCATGCAGAAATCTTCCCATCTTCCCTTCGTGCCAAGGGTGTCGCCCTATCCACGTGCTCGAACTGGCTCAACAACTTCATTATTGTGAGTATCTCCTAATATGATTGATGTTCATTGCTAATAATCGACAGGGTCTTATTACGCCACCACTTGTCCAAGACACCGGATACGGCGCCTATGTCTTCTTCGCCGTCTTCTGTGTACTTGCTGGGCTTTGGACCTTCTTCTTCGTGCCTGAGACCAAGGGCCGAACCCTTGAGCAGATGGATCATGTATTCAAGGATAACTCCAGCGAGGCGGAGAAGGAAAAGAGGGCTGCTATCGAGGCGCAGCTTATTCAAGCACAGTATGAGACTGCGCATCGTGAGTTTGCATGAGCTTGACATGGTCAGGTCATTCCTCGCTGTGTAATACTTTAGCTTTGCTCTTACTTACCCATCTGTACTATTTTTGATTGGAGGAATAGCTTTTTACGAATTTATGATACATCGAACATGTCCTAATCACCTACTTGTCTAGTCCGTACTCTGTAGTATATGGCCGAGAAGGGAATTGCACATGTGTGAATTAATCAAAAGATACGGTATCTGTCAGAGGTTGGACTTTTTTTTCCATAGTCCCTCCACAAATCTTTGGTGATGGAAATCACATCTGTGTGCTCTAAATTAATAAGACGTTCTCTGAACACCCTGCGACTAGGCCGTATACACGACAACTTCACGGTTCAACTACTTATCCTAATGGTAGGCTTTGTTTCAAAAGAGCTTTTCTCTCCTGTATATAGTTCTCTTTTAGGACTGATTTTCTTTTATATTGTGATTCTAACTATGCGGAGTATAGGTAGGACAATACAATATGTGAATTCTGATGAACACAAGAGACAAACTGAATGCATTGTTGTGCAGCCTTATAATCACAACCTTGGCACTTTTGGGCAAATTATTTGTTGAGAGCAATTTGGTATTACACTAGACCCATAGACAGGATTGTGGCGGTGTCATTTAGTCATATATTTTATTATATAAATTACCAGCTAAGATATATAGAGGCAGGACAGAGTTTTCCGCATTTTCGTGACTTGCCTGTGTCGACCAGTTTTGACATATTCACCCGTTGGATTTTGGAAATATGGAAGCGACCTGAATCCTAACCAGTCAAGAGCCATATAAAGGTAAAACGTCTCGCTTACATCTCAATGATCAACGACATGATATATGACGCCAAGATGATTCACAATCTCAACTCACAGATTTGGCCGGGATACAATCATGATGATGTAAACAAGGAGACATAAGAATGATGTCAGGAAACCTTAAGACGCCTCGCTGACCGGTAAGACGAAATATTTAAACACCCTTCATGTGCTTTGAACGAGAAAATATTCAGCCGAAGACAAGTTGATCAAAACGAAAATAAATCATTACATTCGGAAATTCAAATCGTGCAGGAATTCTTGGTGGGCATACACAATGTCTACGTCGATCACCACAGACGTTAGTAACTATGAGGCCCGGGGATATGGCGACCCAAGCCATAGTATGAAAGCCCTGACCTGGCAAGGGAAGAATTTGGTTAAAGTTGGTAAGTCGTTCTGCCCATCACAACCTTCATTTCAATTTCTCGAGAAATTATTAGACTTTCTTGCTTATACAGTCTGTTAGTGGAGACGGCTCGCCCGAAGATCATCGATGAAGGCGATATCATACTTAAGGTGACGGGCAGCACTATTTGTGGGAGTGACTTACATCTGTTCCACGGTATGTAGAGACATCCTGACCGCTAATAAAGCATTGCTGGATTTACTCATGCGATATTTGTTATCGATTTATAGAGGCCATCCCAGATCTCCAGAAAGGTGATATCCTCGGCCACGAGTTCTGCGGTATCATCGAAAGCGTGGGGCCCGCGGTCAAAAAAGTTAAAGTTGGCGACCGCGTGGTAGCATCCTTTCAAATTGCCTGCGGGCAGTGCTATTATTGCAAAAAGAAGTTGTCGTCAATGTGTGAGCGGACGAATTCGAGCGAGGCGGCTGAAAAGCTCTATGGGCGTCGAACAGCTGGTATGTTTCCTCTCTTAACGGCTATGCTGGTGGTAGAGAGGCTATAATACTAAGGCCTAGCTTAGGTATATTTGGATACTCCCACTTCACAGGGGGTTTGCTGGTGGGCAAGCGGAGTATGTTCGTGTCCCTTATGGTGATGTGAATCTCCTTCAGCTGCCTGACGACGTCCCTGACGAAAAGGGGCTTTATCTTTCAGATGTGCTAGCAACATCTTGGAACGCCGTTGTTGATACAGGTGTTGAGAAGGGTGACACTGTTGCAATTTGGGGAGCTGGCCCGGTTGGACAAATGGCAGCTGAATTCAGCTTCTTTCACGGTGCCAACAGGGTTATACTTATTGACGGCGGCCATGGAAAATGGCGGTTAGACTTTGTCAAAAAGATTCTACCTCAACTCGAGACAATCGAGTATACGAATCTCCCAAACGGCGAGTCTGTCACCTCAACTCTGAAGAAAATGTGCGACGGCCGGGGGCCTGATGTGGCGATTGAGTGCGCCGCTGGTGAGTATGCGAAAGGATGGGCTCATTACTTTGAGAGATTGCTAGGGATGGAAACAGACACGCCTGAGCTCATTAACGAGATGATTACCTCCGTCCGAGCGTTCGGGCGCTGTGGTGTCACGGGCGTATATGCCGGTTATGTATGTGGCACCCTTCCTATATTCAAATAACTTCTTAACCTGGTCATGCAGTGTGATCACTTCAATATCGGATCCTTGATGGAGACCGGAATCCGTCTCATTGGCAATGGACAAGCTCCTGTTCAAAAATACTGGGAAGATCTCTTGAAGTATGTTCAGCAGGAAAAGATTCATCCTTTGCATATGGTCACCCACCGGTTCAAGCTCGAGGACATGGAGACGGTCTACGACTTGTTCAATAAGCGTGAGCCAGGTATGCAGAAGGTTTTTGTCCAAACAAAGTTCTCCGCTCCTCCAGCACGTGGGACACCTTTGTTAACCGAACTCTGAGCTTTACTGCATTGGATAAACGTTCTACTGCCAAGTTCCAGGGTTTCAAATGCGATCAGGCGCCCAAAAAATTGGGGTGAAAATATTTGAAAACCATATTGCAGTGAAAAATGGAGATGTTTGAAATTGCTGAATTGAGGGAGTGTGCCACATATCCTTATCATCTCTCATGTGTCTTAAAAGTTCCCAGACCAGGACGAGTGGAAAATTTCTTTGTTGATGAGAATTTCACCAGGCTCCTTAGCATAGCTTGCAGACTAAGTAGAGAAATCTCAAATCAATATCAACCTTCTTTATATCATACTTCGTCTAGGCATATCCCTCCAACGCACGAAATTTGTTACTCGGCCTAAGTGCCCATCGATTTGTATATGTGAGAGCGCGAAATGTACAGCCTCTACTTCTACAACCCATTTACGTATCTCAGCTCAGAGACTGCATACAGAGTTTCTTTTTTTTTATTCCTTTGACTATTTCAATGCTTTCATTTCGGAAACCCGACATGCCTAATCGGAATAGGCAGAACGAGAGAGATATCCAGAGGGATATGATTAGCCCCAGCAAACTAGTTTGACCGAACCGTTAGACTAGGTGTCGAGAGGAAAACACGTTACTTGCTATATTTGAAGTAATGCGACGATGTGAATGCACTAATACAGACAACTTCAGTGGACATTTTAGGATCTCAAATCAAGTAAATGACAAATCCAGAAAGACTTAAGAATGGTTGGCTGACTTCAGCCTCTGTGGTTGAAACGGTACATCACTGTGCGTAATTTAAACCTCATGCAGTGACAAATTCAAGTCCTGACCAATGACCTTGCCGCCTTCCAGCTGCACCTGTTCGATAGGCTGAAACACGAAAAAGACACGTAAAACACCAGAATTGTCGTTCTTTTCAGTCATATTCCGCCAAGCATGAGCCGTACCTCGTAGCACAAATACATCGCCCTTTTTAAGTAATTTGCTCTCACCGGAATCAAGGACTAATTTGGTCGTGCCATCAATTACGACACCATAGTCGAGGGTCGCTGTTCGGTGCATTGGAACCCCCGAACCTGGAGGTACCTCAATGATGGTGCAGGAAGTGCCGTTTGGCGGATTCAAGGGCGATGGGTCCGAGAGCTGGGAACGATAGTGCTTAATGTCGAGATTGGCTTTGGGCTCTGGGGTTGCAGAAGTTGGAGGGGAAAGCCCTTGCACAGGGAATGTATTGGTGTTGAAAGCGAGAGCATAGTCTGACGTTGTGGGCTTGCCGGGGGGAACTGGAAACCCAGTAAATGACACCTGCTCCCCAACCGCGTCACTAAAGATAGCTCGGCCGCTTGTAGCGTCATGAGCTGTTATGATCCGACGAAGCGGCTCGGGCTGTCCTTTTTTGGATGACATGTTGAGATCAATATCAAGGAAGAGTAGGGCGAACACCTAGAATACCATTCGGCACTCGATACTTTCAGACAGAAAAATATTTTGATTGACCCCAGAAACGCTCTCTATTTATATTCCAAGGTTCTTGGCTTTTATGAGGCATATGACTCGAACTTAGATCATCGTAGAGTCATGGAATCAGCAATGAGTCAATGTCTCGTCATAGGATGAAGATGTCATTATGATTTTCAATTCATTAGTGATCTCTTTATCAAGCCCTGGAAACCCAAGGAATGGTTTTCTCCACATGCCGGGCTGCATAGATAGTCACAGCTTGAATACATTCTGGACATAGAGAAATCCGTGAGTGTTAAACCCCCGACTCCCTTTATAAAGACGCGTTTAGATATTAGAAGAGTCACTGAAGTGTTCGGGCTTATTTCCCCATCTGCTAAACCTTGGAAAGGCTGAGGCAGGGCTGAACTGACTGGGGGTCTACCTCTAGTACAAAGACTAGTACATTTCTGGTCTTTGGGGAAGTCAGAACAGTATTGGTAGCAAGCCCAACTCATCCAATGTTTTGAAGCTATAAATGATAAGTGATATAATTTCGAATCAAGTTGAAGCGACAGTATAACAATCAAACAACATCAAAATGACACGCTACTGACAGATCCTCTGGATCCAAAAAGGCGTGAGCTGTCAATTCGTTTCTTGCGGGTTTTGCGGCGGCCGCCTCATCAAAGTCCGGAAATCGATTCCAACGCATCACCAAACACCACTCCATCCCGGAGTCTAGCCGAAATAGTACAGTCCAAGACGTGAGTATTCTGGCTGCTGGCTCTGGTGGTGACCCCATTTCTTTGGTTGACAACCTGGGTCCAAATCTCGATATCTGCATCGTGAGAGTTAGGATTGGCGGAGATAAGGATCACAAGCTGGGTTTGATGGTGTGAGTTGGCGTACCACCAATGGGCATCTGTTCGTAATTGAGAGAGAGACTCTGATAGTCCAACCTCTAACACCAGAGAGGGCCAAGATACAGATACCCCAGCAGCAGGATGACCAGGGAAAAACGCAGCGTCTGCTTCTTTGCTGCATAAGCGACCAGTTGATCGTCCGGCCCCTCCAAACCAAAATTAGTGGTTCAGGAAGTTCAATCCCATGTTACACAGGGCACTGTTGATCCAGATATCAAATTGCCTGCTGATTTTCTCATGGTAGTGGTACGGCATGATCTTGTACAAGATCTCGTGCTCACTATAAAGAATTGTTGCACGTACTCCTTTCAGAGCTTCTTTGTCCTCAATAAGCGCTGAAAAAGATTGACTGGGATCCGTCGGACCAGAACGTATTGCGAGGTAAGAGAATGGTCTGACTTGAGCTTGTCTTTGAGCTCGTCTAGATATTCGCAAAGTTGGTTAAAGGAGGAGGGTCGGTCAAGGATGTAGGTGGATGGGAGGGTTATCGGATCCACCCCAAGGTCAATATCCTCGGGGTAATTGGGTGAAAGAGATAAAGTAGGAGATAATGAGCTGGGTGTTTCTGTTTTGATACTCAACACAGATGTTGTTGTTGCTTTTGATGAGTTGCTGGACTCGGAGCTTAGAGCTTCACGACGGGTTTGAAAATTGACCGAGGATAACACAGCGTTGTCAGAGGTCATAGTGGGATGCAAGATGGGAGATGAAGAGTTGGATGGATGAGAAGTCTGAGAAGTTCGATGGGGTGCGAAGGAGGGACGCGTTTCCATCTCAGTCGTGCCTTCCTCTCGTGCACGCGCTACTTGATGACCCATGTTGGAAGAGCACATGATGGCTAATTTGAAGAAGAGTCCAGAAGAAAAAGAAGAAAGGAGAGAGAAGATACCACTGATCGAAATATTTGAGATGGAAATATATCATCACCTCCGGAACCTCTTTTCAACTGTCTTTTCAATTGTCCTTCTAACTATCCTTCTAACTAATCGTCGAGTGATTATGATTGGTCGAGTAAAGGAAGTTTTGGCCAAACGAAGTACAGATTGTAGACTGAATCAGAACTGATGTAGACGGTGGTTCCCCTGACTTGAGAAATGCAAACTATTCCAGCTTTAGTTCTACAATCGCAGCCTCGGTCGAGAATAACTCAAGAGACACAGCACCATTCGATGGCCTCAAAACCTCCACTTCTCTCTTCCCAGATCTAGCAAGTCTGCCATCTGTATAATTCCAACTGAAGCCACCCCACGAGATGTCTGTATCAGCACTTGCCCCTGGCCCAACAAGCTTCTTCACATCCACACTCTTCAGGTGACGCGGTATCTTAACCGCGAGCTTTCGCGACGGTCTGGGATAGTTTGATATCGAGTTCCACTCGTCCAAATTGACGACAACATATCGGGCAAGTATACCCGATTCATAGATTGCATAGGCAGAGAGATCGTCTCGCTCGAACTCTAGTGCCTTCACTTGGACCATCGGATGCCGACCAATGGCATCAGCAGCGACTATTTGGCCATAGAGTGGAGCTCGGACTTGTGGTGCCAAGCCGTTATATTCGACGGGTGTCCAACCAGCGTAACCGAATGTCGTTCCCTGGATTAAGTTGAAGCGAGTGATATTCTGTTTATTGTTAGTGTCTTTATAACCTGTGATATCGTTTGCACGCACTAGACTCATTCCATAGAGAAGGTAGTCTATCAACCAGAGGGAGCTTCCGAAGACGCCTTCTACTTGACTCATGTTCAAGTTCACATAGTCGCTGTTTGTTTCACCTAGAAGGAATGTGATGTTGGGATCGTGAGCATGAATTAGTACCATGTCGTCGGTATATTGGGTAAGATTCGCAGCTATCGCGGTATGGTTCATGAAGGATTCTGGGGAGGTCAGCACATAATACTGAAACCTTGGAAAAGTAAGGTCTACTGACCTTGAAGTCGAACCCAGTCCTGATTTCCGGAGGCATATCTAGGTCCCGATTAGGAATTGTCTCGATGAATGGGGGATAGGTCATACTGATGCCATGAGACCGATTTGATATGTCCGTCTGCGTCAATCCCATCCTCAAATGCTTGTGCCCTGGTATTCATCAGGAAATGCCATTGCCAATATGAAGTTCCGAGGTTACTCACGTAGAAAAGCCATTGAAATAGAAAATGAACGTCAATGCTTGGAATAGTTTCCAATCCTCCAGGCCGTATTGATTGTTATGCAGCACTTCCTTGGAAATAGTATCTGCAAAAGCTCTCCACTCCCCGACATAATCAGCCACTGTGTAATTCAACGGCCTCACATCTCCCGGGTAGAGATCTGGCTCATTGCCAATTTCAAAAGCATAGAGGTTTCCACGGATGTGGCTCAATGCCACCTTCGCCTCGGCAAGTGCATTATCCAAAGCATTGTATATAGCGCGGTCACTGGGTTGTTTCTCGTTAGTTCATACTTCACAAAATGTAGTCAACCGCTCACGCAGAGGTTCCACCAACTCGAATATGAGGGTGTGCTCCTGTCTTTTCGTGTAAAAGGTTGACTATGTCTTGCGAGAAGCGATTTGGATGGCTCTTGTTTCCTGGAAGCTGTTGTCAGTAGGAACATTGTGTGCGTTGTGGTATGAGGCCTACCAGCATAGTCCGCGAAGAAATGGACGGGCCAAGAGAATGAGCCAAATGCATGGTCAACTGGCTGAGAAGCGCCTTGGGGTGAATGACCAGGGGCTTGGATTTCGATCTTCTGGCCTGCTGCAAGCACGGTGAAGCAAAGGGCCAGAATCCGGGATTTGAAAGACGTGCACACCATGATTTATCTCAATTGTGCTTAACACCTGGGCAGTATCCAAGCATTGTCTCCTTTCTATACTTCCAGCCCACTTTATATTTACTAGATAAACACCCCGGACTTGGACCCAAAATTCCCCAGAATGAACTAAGATGTCACCATACTTAAGGCTCTTGGCTCCAGCTTTGGAAATATCTGAAAAAAAAGCCATAATATTGGATCTACAGAGTTGAGTTTGAAAGCAAGCATTGGCCATGGTATCTCGAATCCCCCAAACGCCGCAAAATGGCCTAAATGGCGCAAGTAAAATGCTTCACAAAACACCGTGTCGCGCTTTGAAAATGGATACTTTTTCGTCATAGAATAAAATCTGTTGCAGTCGGTACCGGATTCGCGAGGAACTTTGCTCTTCGTCCGCTTCTGAGTCGTAGTCATCTGGATCGCTGTTGATTAAATCGTTTTCCGCTGTCCCCGCGTCGTCGTCATCGGTATCGTCCGTGTCGTGATTATGCACTGGGCCGACCCAGTCTTCTTCTTCGTCATCAGAGTGTGGCGGGGAATGGTCCGCTGTGGGATTATCGTCGAAGTCGAGGGGATTGTCATCACTTCTGGCTTCGAGGATCTGGTAGCATTTCGTGTGGAGACCGATGTATGCGATTTTGAGATCTGGGCGGATACTGACGATGTCCAGAACTTGGAGCGCAAGCTCTTTCAGATCGCGATGGACTGTGTGGTGGATATGCGGTAGATATAAGGCTCGAAGCTGGGGCATACTAGGCAGCCTTTGCAGGAAGTAATGCTGCGAGATCAATGATTAGCGAGATTTTAATAGAATATGAATGTAAGCTTACCCAGTCCCGGTAATGCATCGCCATTCCCAATTCCTTGAGCTGCAACATCTTTCCACTGGTGACAAATCCTATCATCTCATGGGTGAGCATCCACTTGTGCGATCGCGAGCTAGCGGGGTTTGTGCGATCGGTAGCATCTATGAGAACTTTGCACAGGCTCTGTCGGTGCCTCCGCAGGATATGGCGGTAGATGGCGTCGATCTGTACGTTCGATTCGTGGCCTGGAGCTTCGTGTAGAAACACACTCTCCAACGTGTTTGGGGCCAACGCATCCTTGATGAAGAGCATGAGATATGGCGAAACAGTGTCCGTGCGAAGATGTTTCAGGTTCAGCGAGAAGTCTGATGAAGGTATACTCTCGCGATGCCCTGCCGAAGAATTACGTTTTGCCGGCATCACTGGGGGAGCATATTTCCGCCGCAGCGCCCTCCAAAGCTTTTCATTGTCCTCACAGCGCATTATGGTAAGGGTTGTTAAGCGAGTCCAGTCAATGGCCGGCAGTAAAGTCGAGATGGACAGAGGAACACGCTCGAGCTCAAGGACATTTAGATTGAGCATCTCAGAGTCGTGCTTGGGAGGAGGGACAGGCGAGCGGTCACTTCGATTTGATATTCCAGAGCTTGTTGACATCTTCTTTTCTTGCGATGGACTGGGAGGCGGCGGCTCAGTGCTGGATTGTCTTTCTTCGCCGTTCTCGGTGATATCAGTTGATTTGAGACCGACCGTTGCCGAGCCTTCTGGAGGAGACGAATCCTCCTCTAGGGATGTGATTACAGCACTGTCCTCAGTCTTCGGCTGCATCTCTCGAGTCAGGATTCCCAGGACGCCATTAACTCTTGGCCAGCTCAAAGCACCTTCGGCGTCTTTCCCGCAAAGCAACCAAGGCTTCATGTAAGCTTGATTTGCAATGCCAATTCGAAGCTCTGTCAGACAATGACGCGATTTTTCAATGAGTAGTGCCAGTTCCTCCACATAAGCGGGCTCATCAATGTCAAGAACAGCCACGCTTTTGAGTGGAGGTAACACAGATAATGAAGGATGTTCCACGTGTTTGTATTTGTGAAAAAGCCTCGTTGCTGCGGCCGATGAACTGCGCAAAGCATTCTCCGAATTATCATGCCAACGGACCCAGATTCGCTCCAGTCGACATTCATGGCCAGGCCGGTCTGCCAGTGATGCAAGCGCCAGCCAAATCTCACGAACCACACCGGTCGGCATGTCCCATACGAAAGCTTCGAGGTTCACCATCCGCGCGACTGCCAAGGCGACCAAGGTTCCTAGCATCTTGCCCACCTCTTTGGTCACTGAGTACTCCTGTACCCAGCTAATTGGACCGTTTCCAATGGAAAAAGTGCGGGTGTATTGAGCATAGTGGTTGCCTCTTCGCGACCGGAACCTTGCGCCCTTGCCTTCCAGTCTGGTTTCCGGTCCATGATGAGGCTGCTCGCAGCCACAGCTTTGACAGCTCTGGGATATGCCTTTCTGGAGTAGGGGTAGTCGATTAAACACATCCTCGCCCATGACCAAGGTAGACAACCCATATGAAAGCGCATCGACTCCCGAGTAATCGTCAGTTGGCGGATTCAGTGATTCAGGCCAGACAATGTCGAAGCGCGCATACATATGCGGGATGGCTAGGGAATGGAGAGCCGAGCAAGTTAGGGCGAGCGAGGTCAGGTCATTTGTATGCGTGACCTATTTGCGACATTGTAAGCTATCTGCTGATAGTCAGGGGAAAAGAACTGGTATTACCTCTTTGATAATCTCCTTCAAGACATCCAAGGGCAGATCTAACAGCTGTAGTGGCTGTGCCTTTTCTTTGGGTTGCGGTGGGGTCTGACTGGGGCGGGGAGTTATTGGGGTTTCCTGCTCGGAAGCTTGGTTCACACCCTCTTGCTCCAAGCGCAACTTGCCCAGTGCCATCGTGAGGGTCTTCTTAGTACCAGCTTCGAGTTCCATGGAAGCGGTGCTCTGGCTGGAAGCAAAGTCCTCCTCATCGGATGACATTGCCAGATCGGCACTTGGCTTATCAGCCCAATCTAAGGTGGCGCCCGCCATCCTAGCTTGATCTCGCGACGATATGAAATCAAAATGTAAGGACGAGGAACATCTCCAGCTATCTAGGTAGAAGCTGAAGAGGTGCCTTGAATCGATTTGTTCGGAACAAAGAGAAGCAGTGACAAGCTGAGAATCTGGGGAAGTGAGCTCTGGTCACCTGGAGTGTTACGTAATCATTATGGAGCACGGGTGGGTCTGGGTGGACCTCTGCAGATCGGAAGTATACGAAGTACAGGCTGGTAGCTCGACGGAGTACGGAGTACACTTGTACAAGTTAGAGCATACAGGGGCTAACAATAGTCCATAGCCGGTAGCTTCCAATCTTGCTGTGGCACAGGATTTGTTTCGAAGGTTCGTGCTGCACTGGAATAATTGCATCCTGCAACGATAAACCCTAGGTAGCTCTGGAAGAACATCATTCAATGTTAATCACGAAGATATGAATTAAATTTTGATCTAAAACTGCAGAAACATCAGGTTACACTAAGAGTAAATAAGTCAGTCTATGGGAGGTGGTTCACAATTGTACCTCCAAAACAAGCGACATCGACATCCTAATCCCCTACTCTTCCCAGACGCTCTAGATTAAGAGCCGCACTAATACAAGCCAGGTGGCTGAATGCTTGTGGGCTGTTACCCATTTGCTCACCAGAAATAGCAACCTCTTCAGAGAACATTCCCAAGTGATTGGCGTAGGACAAGATATTGTCAAAGTGTGAAAGCGTAAGCTTCCAAATGTTTGGAATGGGCACATCATACTTCGCAGCCTAGATGTACACAACAGTCTTTGAGTCAGTAAGAGTCAAGCGAATTGAGAAGGTAAACCTACACGAGCCATAGCTTCAACGAGCCAGAATGTGACCATGATGAAAGCACCTTCACCCCCTCCCACGCCTGTGTAACGGAAGAAAATTAGCAATGATTCTGGTAAAGAAAATCAAGGATACAGGAAATTTCCTACCATCGTTTGCTCTCACATGGTCATAACGGAAAACCATCTTAGCACTGGACAGTCCCTCCTTTTCGGGGCTTTCCAGGATCCTCTTGAGCGTGCTGATGAACCGCGGATCATTCGGCGGGACAAAGAACACCAGCGGTGCGATCAAGATGGAAGCGTCGAGGACGTCACGGCTCTCGTAGCTCTGGCAGAAATGGCCACGTTCCTCATTGTATCCCTTGCTCATGATCTCATCATACATCTCATCCCGAATCCTGATCCAGTCGAAACGGTCCGGACACGGCAGACTGGCGCGCTTTTCGGCAAGGCGAATGCCACGATCCAGAGCAACCCACATCATGATCTTTGAATAGATGAAGTTTTGGATTTGACCACGGGACTCCCAGATGGACATGTCCTTCTCATGTCGAACACTGATGACATAGTTCACCATGCGCCGGATGGAGTTCCACTGGTCGTAGGTGATGGGATTTCCATGCTTGTTGTACAGGTAAATACTGTCTAACAATTCACCGTAGATGTCCAGCTGCGTGTGGAAGACAGCAGCGTTGCCGATGCGAACGGGCTTGCTACCCTTCCATCCATCGAGGTGGTCAAGTTCCACCTCGGGAATATCGCACTCACCCCGAATAGTGAACATCAACGGCAGGAAGGGCCTCTTGTGATTAGGGTCGACTTCCTGGGCTGCATGCGGGAGGATCCGATCGAAGATGAAGTTGACGTACGCTTCCGCCTCCTGGCTGTAGCCCATTTTGAGGAAGACGTACAGCGTGAAGGCTGTGTCACGCACCCAGGAGTATCGATAGTCCCAGTTTCTCGAACCGCCCACATTCTCAGGGAGCGAGAAGGTTGGTGCTGCGACAATAGCACCCGTTGGTTTGTAGGTCAGCAGCTTGAGAATGAGAAGACTGCGCTCGACTGTCTCGCGGTAGTGCCCACGGAAAGCACACTTGCGAGTCCAGTTGGTCCAATAGTCAGAGGTTTGCTCCTCCATCTTCCAGAGGTAAGCAGCCATGGTGGCCGAGCTGGGAACTGACTTCTCTGGGCTGTGCAGCACCAGGTTCACAGTCTGGCCCTCCGACAGGCGAATCCAAGCGACCAGCCCGCGGCCTTTCATGCCCACACGATCCTCCAGTTTGAAAGAGGCGCTGGGGAAGCCAAGCTTTTCTGGCTCCCGTGAATCGGCGAAGATCTCGACCTGCAGTCTTTCCGTCTCACTCTCGAAGTGGATCGTCTGAAGCCGATTCTTGGACAGATCATTCTCCAACTTCGCACGGGTGTTGTGCGAGTCTCGGGCGTAGTTGAAAGCCGGGAACAACTCAATTTGCAACTCCATCGATCCACGGCTGCACTCCAATTTTCTGATCAGGCCTGAGTGTTGCAAGCCCGACTTGAAGCGGTTGCTCCCCGGTTCGTTGCAGGGACAGTACCCCGACAGTATGCGGGCCGATTGGGCGCCTTTCTTCGGGGTAACCGGAAAGTAGTCCAGCATGGCCACAACGCCATCCTCATTGGTCCATCGGGTCTCGAGTAGGTTGGAGTACGGAAGATATCGCTGCTTGCTGTGGGCATCAATGACTGTCTTGTACGGGGCCACCGAGAAGTAGCCGCCTTTCTTGTCATCCAACAAGCGACAGAAGACTGTGGGCGAGTCGAAGACTGGCCAGCACATGTAGTCCAGACTACCGGCCTTGCTGACCAGGGCACAGGTGTGCATGTCTCCGATCAAACCATAGTCTTCAATGGCATTGTACGCGGGTTCGGTCATGACGACAGTCCACGAGAGCAATCGGAAGTAAGCCAATCCCTGATGAGGGCACGAAGAAGCTGAGATAGAATCGGATACTACTCTGCAGCACAGATCAATGACCAAGGTGAAGGAAAGAGGTCAATATAAGAGAGAGAGAGAGAGAGAGAGAGAAGAATGCAATGCTCCTGGAGTACTCCTCATCCGCATCGTCCGACCAATGTCTTCGGAACTCATGGGAGCCACGACATGATGATGGTGCTGTCTGAGGTCATGGCTATGCCGGGTTAGGGCTTACCCCCAAGCAAGGTAAGCTGAGGCTCGGCGATCACTGATAGCGATGAATTCATCTCTGCTTGTTTCTTGCTTGAACAGGATCAGTATTCAGATACATGATACATCTCCTGGTTAGCCATGCGCCTCAGTTGGTTCTTAGCAAGGCCAACATCGCCCATTCATGACAACGAACCTCACCCGGAAGTCACAGTCCGCCAATAGAGCATTGGAACCAAGAAACCAAGCATTGCTCTTAATTCGACTTAGGGCATAGGGGCATTTTTCATGTTGACCCCGGATCGACCGGAGGGTGGAGCGGAAAAAGCCCAGTGGAACCAGTCAGCGTCAGAGAAGACACCAGTGACCGCTCTGAACAGGAGAAAGTGTTTCATCCAATCTTTGATCTCTGATCATCTCGTACTCGTTCCTTTTTTGTCCTTTCTGATCCGTATTTTTTCCCTTTTTTCCCTTTTTTTGATTCGATTTTCAGTCACTCCCTTGGGTCCTTCCCCTCCCTGTTTTTTATTTTCTTTGTCAGCATTTCGGGCCCTGGAGCTTCAGCTTTGGCTGTCGTGTGACACCTCGTTCTTCCAACACCCTCATGGGGCACTCATATTTCGTCTTCACCGCTCCTTTCTTTTCAAAAATTAATTCGTCCTAATCGCTCCCAAGATGGGGCCCTCCGGCAATCACCATCGTCGGCGTAGCTCCATGCTAACCGGGGCAGGGCGATCACAAACCCCGGCAGAGCGGAGAGACGAAGGTTGGTCGCATGCAGACGGTGCCAACAAACGCGAAGAACAAGAGCCTTTGACCGCAGAGGACACCGATGCGTCCGAACTTTCTTCCGCCGCCGAGAGCCTGGAGTTGGACCCGATCAGTTCGGATGACGATCAATATGACGAGGAGACTGGTCTCACAACAAGCCAACGGCGTCAGCGACGTCGACGGCGCAGACAGCGCCGCAAGCTGGATGCTCGAATCGCGGATGTGAAGGGTCAAGGAAACATTCGCGAGATCCTGTCCGATCGCAATGTGGTCAAGAGGCTACTCATCAATGGCGCATTGATCTTGATGTGGTACTTGTTCTCCTTATCCATTTCAATAGTAAGTGTCGCCTCCCACCTTTCGAGGGGTTCATATCGAAAATACTAACTCATTTTGCCTTTCCAGTATAACAAATGGATGTTCTCTGAGAGCGATGTCGTCTTTCCTTTCCCTCTTTTCACAACGAGCTTACACATGCTTGTCCAATTCTCTCTTGCCTCATTAATACTATGGTTATTCCCATCGCTTCGTCCGCGACAACCGACCGGGTCTGCGACCACCTCCCCCATCGATGGCCCCGAGGAGCCACAACCTCTCATATCTAAATTCTTTTACTTGACTCGCCTCGTCCCGTGCGGTGCCGCTACCTCACTCGACATTGGCCTTGGAAACATGTCCCTGAAGTTTATATCTCTCACTTTCTTGACCATGTGCAAATCGTCCGCTTTGGCCTTTGTACTCTTGTTTGCCTTCCTTTTCCGCCTCGAGTCTCCATCGATGAAACTCATCATCATTATCGCCACAATGACCATAGGAGTGGTGATGATGGTCGCTGGAGAGACTGCTTTCAATGCGCTGGGCTTCACACTAGTCATTGCATCTGCGTTCTTTTCCGGCTTCAGATGGGGCTTGACCCAGATCCTCCTACTCCGCCATCCGGCGACTTCGAATCCGTTCTCTACTCTTTTCTTACTTACGCCCATCATGTTCGTTTCTCTTATCCTCATTGCGCTCTCTGTGGAGGGCCCCCACGAGATTTACAACGGATATCTCGCACTGGCTAGCGTGCATGGTGACGTAATGGGCGCTTTCCTCCTCGTTTTCCCTGGAGTTCTAGCATTCTGCATGATTTCTTCCGAGTTTGCGCTCCTAAAGCGCTCCTCCGTCGTCACTTTGAGTATCTGCGGTATATTCAAGGAAGTTGTGACGATTAGCGCAGCCGGTATCATCTTCCACGACAAGCTCACTGCGGTTAACCTCACCGGTTTGGTTGTCACCATCAGCAGTATCGCAGCATACAACTACATGAAAATTGCAGGGATGCAAACTGAGCCGAAGGAAGAAGAGTGGAGCCGCGAGTCGAGTCCGTTGTCCGATACCGAAGGTGAGGGCGAGTACAGCGGTGGTGAGTGGGGTGATTATCGACAAGTTGCACCCCAAGACTCGCACATAGTCAGCCCGACCCCTAACACGCATTCCTTCGAGGCATCACCAGCCGGCGACCAACGCCGTTCATTCCGAGTCCGCGCGAGCGGTTCCAGACCTGGCCTCTCGGTTTCCACCACAATTCCCGAGGACGATGGACCAGACCCGCCCATCAAATCCGCTCCCCCAACCGTCACAACCATGGCTGAGGCTGGATATCCCCAGCTTCTTCCGTCTACCCGCGAAGCATCACCCGGCATACAATCGAACGCCTCTGCTTCGCCCACTCGAAACCAACATTTTACCTAGCACTAGCATATTGCATCCTCGCCTCTCCTTGATTTACCTATACTGTAAATGTGGTGGTGTTTTATACCTGTCTACCATGTCGGGTCTGTGACCTATTAGAAGAAAGCAGCGATTGGAACATCATGTCTACTTATATGAATTGGTCATGTTCTGGAATGGCCAGGATACGACGTTCTGTTTGCATGAAGGAGGCTTCTCTTTTGGCTTTTGCTTAACTGATACCATCAATTGATTCTCTTTTTCTCATTACACACACTGACCAGTTCGTAAAAGATGTAGCACTCTAATTTTACAATTAATTGATACACAAAACCATGCAGTGGCATGATTTAGTCTTTCTTCCCATCACCCTTCATCATATCCATGAGACTTTTCTGTCCCTTCGCCTTTCCAGGCCCTTTGGCCTTCTTCTTTTCCTCCGCCTCAACCTTCCTCTCATGCTGATCCTGAAGTCTTTCCCGCTCACCCCGGCCCTCCTCCGAGAGCTTCTTTTCAAGGGTCTTGAACTCCTCACCCTCAGGATCCATCCCAATCAACGACTCAAGCAATTTAATCTCACGTGCCCAAACACCCGGATCAGCAACAGTCGCCGCAGCAGGCTTTTTGCCCTTCTTCGGCTTCGCCGACTCGCTCTCACTCCCCTCCTCATCCTTAACAGGAACCCGATCAATAGGCGTTTCAAGCACCATCGGTAGATCCTCGAACCGTGGCTCATTCATGACATTGTGGAAAGCACGTAGTCCAAGGAAACCCGTGCCGATATTGGCGTGCAAATCACGCTTACTTCCACGCGGTGCCTTGGAGTCATTCAAGTGCAAAGCTCGGAGGAACTTGATCCCGATCAGCTCGTCGAACTCGGTTAGGAAGGCTTTGAAGCCTTCTGGAGAGGATAGATCGTAGCCTGCGGCGAAGCTGTGGCAGGTGTCGATGCAAATGCCGATGCGGGAGTGGTGTTCGGTCGGGATCAGAGCGAGTAGATCGCGGAACTCTGATAGTGCACCGCCAATTGTGTTACCGTGGCCACACATTGTCTCCAGAACAGGAATGACAGTCTTGGTTTCAGTAATAGCTTGCGTGAGCATCTCTGCGAGCCGAGCGAGTGCTTCTGGCAGTGGTGTTTGGTTGGTGCTTCCTGGGCTTTTGATGGTTCAGTATTGGGTCAATGTGGCTGAGGTTAGTCCACTTACTGGAAGTTGTAGAGTTTGATTCCCAGCGCCTCGCATCGACGGAGGTCATCTAGGAAGGATGTGTATGCTTGCTTGGACTTGGCTTTGTCGCTTTGGGCCAAGTTGACAAGGTAGGAGCCATGGGGAAGAACGTGCCTGATTCATAATTGTGAGTATTTTGTGCAATTGGACAGAAACTGGCTAGGTTACTTTGATGCATCATAGCCTTTCTCCGCGCAAAGCTTATGGAATTGATCTCGATGTTCGTCTTGAAGGGCAGGGTTGTCCCATTTCCGCTGTGACTTCAAGAACAAGGCAAAAGCATTCCCTCTAGTGGTACATTAGGCATTTGGCCAGTTCGGTGGCGGTTTTGGAGATCTTACCCAATCTGCTCACTGTTGTGAATGGAGTTGAAAACACCTGGTTTTGATTGAGTTATTGATACATAGACGAAGCTGTCTTCTGAACTGACCTTTGGCTGCACTAACGTGAGCGCCAACAAACATACGCAGCCCTTTGGTTCGTGGTGCCAAAGGCGTAGCTTCGGCCTCTTGGTCTTTCTTGGTCTTCCTAGCCTTCTTTGGCTTAGGGTCTTCCTTGGCCTCTTTCTTGATGGGAGACTTCTTCTGCGGGGTCTTTGAAGTAGGCTTATTTTCTTTCTCTTCTTTTTTCGGAGCCGCAGTGATCTCGGTCTCTGATTCTTCGGCCTCTGAATCGGATTGCTCCTTCAGACTAACAGTTGCCTTCTGACGCTTGGATCGTCTTGCTGGCGAAAGCTCGGATGTCCCATTGCTGATATTGCGCTTGTGGGTTCCCTTAGACTCCGAGTCCTCGCGCGCTGGCGGCTCGGGGAATTGGCAGCACATATCACTGGCTGGTTTCAATGTCGAGTATCTTCGACTCAAAGTGGGTCGCAGAGATGACTTCTGGTGCCAAGCCTGTAGAACAGGGATGTATTGCGTCTTCAAGAAATTGTAAGGATGTAAATGTCCTCCAATGAACTGAATCCAATATCTCTTCATTCAATCGCTGGTTAGACACGGAGAGTGGTCATTGAACGCAAGGAAGACGTCCAACCACGTGACGATCGCCGGGGCAACGATAATATTTATCGATAACACTCCCTTCCCCTCCACACTGCCCTTTTTTCGACCTTTTGGCTTCACAGTCAGATTTTAATACACCCTGACCATGGCTTCCGAGGAGGTGGTCGACTTCGATATCATCGAGGCACAAAAGGAAAATGTTCAGTCACTCCCAGGTGGCCGATCAGCTCGAGAGCTCGCTCGGATCTTTTCAGGTGGGAGCAACACAAGTGACAAGATCCCCTCGCCGTCACCAAACGGAACACGAACCATCAACGATGCCATGCGTCAAGAATATGAGAGCGAATTGGAGTCAATAGGAGAATCGGACGACCCTCTCGATGTTTACGACCGTTATGTCAAATGGACCCTCAACGCATACCCCTCCGCACAAGCAACTCCTGAATCCGGCCTGCTCCCATTGTTAGAACGAGCAACGAAATCATTCCTCTCGTCATCACACTACAGAAACGATCCTCGGTATTTGCGTCTATGGCTCCACTACATTCGACTATTTTCCGATGCCCCCCGTGAGACATTCGCTTTCCTTGCACGTCACAAAATTGGTGAAAGCCTGGCACTGTTCTACGAAGAATTTGCTGGGTGGCTAGAGGGCGCAGGGCGCTGGTCTCAGGCCGATGAAGTTTACAGACTTGGCATAGACCGCGAGGCCCGACCGGTAGAGAGACTCGCACGCAAATACAGTGAATTCCAACAGCGATACGATCAACGACAACAAGATACCGGACCATCCTCGCCCGCTTTACCGAAGGTGCGAGCTGCATTGGGTGTCAAGGTGGATCCGTTTGCTCCCTCGGATACTTCTGATCCCCAAGCCTCAAGGCCAACCCCTCCAGCAAGCGCTGCCCCGAAGACAAAATCTGGAAAGCCAAAGATGGCTATTTTCTCAGATGCCGACTCGGCTGCACCAGGCCCCGCGACTGGTGGTGCGACAAAAGGATGGGACAGCATCGGGTCAATTCGTGATCGCAAGAAGGAGAACACGGTGGAGGCCAAGCCATGGGCCGGAGAGACTTTGAAGGCTGGCAAAAAAGCGGCGCCTGTTCAAAAGATGGCTATCTTTAGGGATCAGGTGAGTTTCCAATCCGGGACACCCTCTCCCTCTTCAGACCTCCATATATTTACGATCACAGGACTAATTGATGGCATGAACCTATGGTGTTTTATTATGTATGCAGTCAAATCCAGATCTTCCTTCCAAAGAACCAATGCAACCGAAAGAAGTACCTGAGCACCATGTAAGGGAGGCTGTGAACCCACGGACGGGCCGTCGAGAACGCGTCTTCGTCGATCTGGAATCGGTATATCCCGACCGATCGAACCCTGCACACGAGATGAGCTTTGAAGAGCTCAGGGCTATCAAGCGTGGATGGATGGACAAGGATTGGCGGAAACAGAAGCAGCCCCTGCAGCAGATTTCTGGTAATGCTGCTGGCTCGGAATCTTTGCCAGACCATCTCGCCGAAAATCTAACTATAGACACACGCCACCAATACCATGGTCAAGACGAAGACCATGGAGGGCAACCCAGCAAATCGCATCGCACCAAGTCCAAGGGGGAATCGTCGCAGACACAAACAAGTGAGTCGCCAGACTTTTGAGCTCCTTAGTACAAGCTTTACTCATACTCCATGCAGTCAAAATGAACTTCGACTCCCCGACCAAGAAGAAAGTTCGACGAAAGAGCACTCGGGAACCAACAATGACTATGCACACTCGTGCGGCGACAGATGAGATTTACGGCATCTTCAACCAGCCATTGAAGGTAGAAACCGAAGAGGACGGTGACAGCTTCTGCGAGAGCGATTATGAGGATGACGATGCTGCCAGCACTTGCGACAGTACCGGCACTGGACATCACTCAGCGGCCTCAAGTGATTTCGACGATGAAGAGACTCAGACGTTCCACAAATCTTACGATGATACCGATTATGCCAATACTACCCGGGCTGAAAGCATTGACGGTGATGAAGGCGAGTGGACCGAGTTCAACCCTGACCGTGATATTCCAGACATTGAAGACGCAGAAGCCACCTCGTACTCGGTGACTGAGGAGCAGGCGGAAAGTCCCACGGTTGGAACACCAGACAGGAAGGGCTTCATGCCAGAAATGCCCGAGGACTATGCTCCTCCATGGGGAACTTATCGTGATCCCGCGGTGATGGCTCAGAACCGTTTGCCTTTCATGACGCCAATTGTTGAACGAACCGAATGCTCCATTCCATCCATGACGGCCGCTCGAAATAGCGTTTATAACGCGAAGACACCGTCTAAGCCCCGATCGCCAGCTGGTGATCTTTTGCTCGATAGCCCGTTGGGGGAAAGCACGCCATACCGAGACCTCACTGTCGGATCTACTGCCGATGTGCCGTTCAGTCCAACGGCCTTCAAGGCGCTCGCGCCCAAACTGCGGAGGCGCGAAGCTATCATCAGAGACTCGCAGTGCAACCCAACAGACAAAGGCATTCGGAACACCATCCTTAACTCTTTGGAGCCACCGCTTGCTGCATACACCGGCTATAATGAGCATGTCGAAGACAGCAACTATGCTTCAATGATCCATAAATTTGTCAAGACCCACACTAGACGATCCAAAGGTGCCGACGACAACGCATTCGATACTCCAATCCTCGAATTCCCGGGTGCGGAACGAAGCTACATCATTAGACGTGAGCTTGGAGCGGGAGCGTACGCCCCAGTCTATCTGGCCGAGAGTGTGGACAGCCTTGAATCATATAACTCCGACTCTGACGATGATTCAACTCCTACTGGAAGAGATTCGCTCAAGCCACCAAATGCTTACGACACACCTCGCTTCCATTTCGAAGCTGTCAAGGTCGAGAATGGACCTTCGAGCGCGTGGGAATTCTATATGATCCGCACAGCGTACGAGCGTCTCCGACATACCGTTGATTCTAGAGTTACAGACAGCATCGTCCGTGCACACGAGCTTCACGTACATCAACGAGAAAGCTTCTTAGTCGAGGACTACCGGGGACAAGGTACCTTGCTCGACCTTGTCAATATCGTCCGCAACGAATCCCTCAACTCCAATCCTACCGCTGAAGGGGGCCTCGAAGAAGTTCTGGCAATGTTCTTCTCTGTTGAACTCTTCCGCACCGTGGAAGCCCTCCACGCGAATGGCGTCCTCCACGGTGATATCAAAGCCGACAACTGTCTTGTTCGTCTCGACGAGCCGAGCAACGAACCCCCCGCCAAAGCCCTCTCTCTTCTCGACCTCGGCACCGACGAATCCCCTTCAGACCCCCGCGAAAGCATCCACTACGCCCCAAGTGGCTCTCACGGCTGGCAACAGAAAGGACTCGCTCTCATCGACTTCGGTCGCGGAATCGACATGCAAGCCTTCTCGCCCACCGTCCAATTCCTCGCCGACTGGGAAAAGGTCACACACGAATGTAACGAAATCTGTGAAAAACGCCCTTGGACCTATCAAATCGATCTATACGGTATCGCCGGCGTCATCCACGTCCTTCTATTCGGCAAATACGTCGAATCCACCCCCGTGAACGACGAAAACGCCTCTGCCGGATCTCCTCGCACATATCGCATCCGCGAATCACTCAAACGATACTGGGACCGCGATCTCTGGGCCGGCGTTTTCGATCTCCTCCTCAACCCCGCTGCCGAACGCTGGCAGAGTATCGAGCGAGATAATGGCGCGGATCCCTCTGCCACTTTCCTTCCTGTCGTGCATTCAATGCGTCAGGTTCGTCAAGGCATGGAGGAGTGGCTTCTTGACCATGCTGAGAAGAAGGGTCTTGCGCTGCAGTTGAGGAAAATCGAGGCTTTGCTTGCGGACCGCAAAAAGAAGTTGGAGAAGTGATTGATTGGGATTGGGTCGTTCTGTTTCGCACATTTGTCTATACTCTATACCCCTCGTGTTTCTTATGTTCTTTGTTTTGGGCTTGAACGTCTGGTATGACTCGTCTCTCCTATTTTGTCAATATCTTTTTGATCTGTAGATAATACCTAATGATCATTCTTCTTTCGGCTGCAGTCTTTGTTGTAGGAGCCTATGGTTCGTGGTTGCTTCTCATCTTACCGGCATGGTCCTAGAAATCGTCTTGCTGACGTACGAAGACAAGTGCCACTGAAGACCGGTAATAATCAGGCGAGTGAATGTACGAATCTAGCAAGTTGGGACGAAAGGAGAAGAGGAGAGTAATCGATTGGCAGATTCATGGAATGAAAAGCCATTCCTCCAAGGACAGAAGCCTCTTGGAAGGAAAAAAAAAGGGTAAGATAAAAGCAGCCAAACTCTCGCAGCTCCAGATAAACAAGATCTCGACCAGGCTCAGAAAGACAGACATCCATACGTAGAAACGCAGAAGAGTAAAGAATAGAAAAAAGCAAATAAGATTTCAGAAAAATAACATTGCTTCCAGATGCAAGCCCAATAAATTTCGCCACGGGAATCATGAAGCAGAATCAGTGCACGAAGGAAGGAAGAAAAAAAAAGATCATATAGTGAATGCGAGGATTCGGGTTCCGAGATGCGAATTAGGAGGAAAGGGTTTGAGAAACTGGCAAATGTAAAACACCTCGCTTGCGTATCGAGCGTCGTTCAGTCGCGATTTTAACGCGTTCGTTTCGTATCGGTTCGTCTATGGTTTGCATGTATCATTGCACATTCGCTTTTTGGGGGTGGCCGTCCATACTGAGTGACGAGGGTCAATATGGAGGCAGGGTCGTTTGTGACGGGTTGTTCGATAGGTTAACTTCGACTAGTCGGTGTTCTTCTCTGGGAGGGTGTTGAGAACCCTGGTCATGAAGAGAGGAAGACGACTAGTCGAGGGATGAGAAAGAAAATTGAAGAAGAAATGGTAGAGAGTGTGGGTCGCAAGTAGCGAGTTGGTTGTCAGATAGGGATTTCGAGAAATTTCTTGAATCTTTTTTTGGGATTTGCGTTTTTCGGGGTGTTGATAGTCCCACAGAAGAAAAGGAAAAGGGTTTGAGTGAATGAAGTGGTGAACCCGCATCGAAGGCAGTGCGATCGAAGGGCTGGATTGCACCAGATAATGTAGTTGCCAGTGAGAACTGGGCGGTTTCGAAACAGAACGTCGCACAAGGTCAGTGGAAGACACACAATCAAAGAAGCCGTGAGTCTGCCGACCGAGTGGAGAACCCATCACATTTTTTTGGTCGTTTGTCTTTGGTGTTTCGATATCAAAGTGAAGAAAACTGAGACATATCATTACAGTCGTTGAAGAGATGAAGATGCGGGGGCTGTCGTAAGAATAAATGCTGTTGTCGGTATCTCGTTCAAATCATCATGCAAAAGGGGAAAATCTCGCAAATAAATCGACGCCGCTGGAGAACGGATACTCGGGAATTGGACAGCAAAAGCACAATCTAGTTGCGCGTGAAAGGCATATTCAATATTTGCCGGCGAATCCGCTCGGCGTCCGAGATACCATCCTCATGAGAGTTGTAGGGAAGAGGCGGTGCTTTCTCGTGTACCTGAGTCGGAGAGACCTGCATGGGGGAGGTGCCGCCGTGGGACACAGCGAACGATGGGCCGCCGCTGGAGAACGGATCGGCCAGTGCAGGGACGGCGCGTGAAGGTCGGGATGGAGGTTCACGGCGCTTGAATCCCCCTTCAATTCGGAAAGGCGAGCCAAGGCGTTTGATGTTTTCGCCAAGGTCTAGCAGTGGGTTATTCGGCTTGCCGATGGGAGTCTCTTCGGGTTCGATGGGACCCGAGTTGAGTGAAGAGGGCGGAGAGAACAGCTGATCCATGTCGCGTGGATTGACAGCGCTGGTGGTAGCTCCACGGTTGCGGATCCGAACACGACCGTGTCCCATGTTTTGGAACTTGTTGTCACGGACATAGTTCTCAAGACGTTGGTCGACTTCTTCCTCCGATGGATTGATGTTCTTTTGCGGTGTTCTAGCGAAGACATCATCGGGGTTTTGCACAGACTGATCCAAGTACGTGTTACGTCGAGCACGCAGTCCGGGGCCATGGAAGGTTTCGCGTCGATTGTTGATCCCTTGTGTTTGACGGTTTCCTCCCCCAGGGGCCCAGGTATTGTAGACGAAGGGTGATCCCAAACGCGGAATACTGGGAGCTGATTCGACGCGAAGATGATGAACGGGGGTCTTCGCCACAGGTGGCGGAACATTGGCAGGCACTGGGTTGTTGAACCAGTCTGCATCCGACGAGAAGTCTTGTGTGACCTGGGCAAGTGGGTTCGGGTGGGAGCTGACAAGTGAAACGCCAAGATCGCGAGTCGCATAGGCCGAGTTATCGGCGAAGTCATGCACCCGGGTATCCGCGGGAGGCCCGTATATCTCCGTAATCTCCGTCGCAGGCTCGGGGGTACGAGACTGCATAATACGCTGGTAGTGAGGAGAAATAGAGAATTTGCGGCGACAAAGAAGCTTTAGACGTCGTCGCGTCTTAGAGTCGGATTTAGGCCACACTGGCTGGGGGCTTCATTCGAAACTCCCTTGGGGGTGGAAGCTCCGAAGGTATCGGCGGAAGCCATCGACACAGACTGATTGATGCGATTGCGCTTCTTCTCCCAGGTCTTCTTGGCCCGGCGCGCAACACGCGATGTGACTCCCAAAGGAGGAATGCTTCCCGGTGTCATCTTGAATGGGGTCATGGTAGGATCCTGAAGGTAGATTTGGTAGGTATTCCACAAGTGGTTATCCATCTCACGGGTCCAAGAGTTCTGAGCCTTCTTCACAATGGAGTGCTTCTTCTGGGGTCGCGAAGGCGACTCGATTTCGGATTCCTTGGGAATCTCCAAAGGGAAGTACGAGTCAAACAGATCGCTTTCAACACTGGTGCAGCTGCCAATTGAAGGTCGCGAAGCAAAGGTTTCGATAGATTCGACAGAAGAGTTTGACATACTCGAGCAGACCGAGTCCGGGCGCTTGATGGTGTGAGGGCCGGGTGTCTGCTCCCAAGATGGCCATTCGCTTTCGTTGTCGCAAACGTCCAGAGGAGTGCCACGGATCTGCGCGGGCGGTGTCTTGAATTCCATACGTGAGCGAGGAGGCGCCAGGAAGCCTTCATCGTTGGCTGTGTCGCCAAGGTAAGGCGCGTCGAAGTCGAAGTCGCTGTTCAGCTGCGGGACTTCAATTGAAGGCAGCGGAACATCGGAGCCTTGGAACTGGAAGATATCCATATCCACGCGAGCGCAAACATTTGTACCAGCGCGCGCCCGAGTTCGGGGCAGACGGCAGCTGTGGATAGAGTGACGGGGAGGAGGCGGTACACTGATGGTGGTGTTGGGTCGCTCGGGGGTCTTGGGCTCATTGTCGAGGGAAAAGGTGAAATTCTTGGGAAGAGTACGGGACAACTGACGTTGAGCCATACTGGCGATCCGACAGTGTCTGGCAGGGCAGAATGTGGGTCAATGCGACTTCTGGAAGGAGTTCAAGGGCGCGTGTCGGAAGTTTAGATCGGGAGATCGCGAATTGCGAAATTGCGAATTGCGAAGCGCGTAACGCAGGATCGCGTCAGGTTCGTGAGTCGTGAGAGAGAAAAAGGAAAAGATGCAACGAGAGCAAAAGGTAAGCAAAAGAGAAACAAAAGTAAGGAAAAAAAGCTCCCGAGGGTCTCGGAGGTGCGTGATGGGCGTGGAATGCGGCAACTTGGAAATCGAATCACCAGATCACATCTGCGGCTCCATCCCGAGTTCGTATGGAATGGAGTGATGTGAGCCCAACGCCCGGAAAACACAAAAGAAACAGAATCTCCGAGAGAAACCAAACGGAGCGAAATTCGCGATTGTCAGAATGGGTGGGTGGGTAAGAAAGAAGGTAAAAAGGGAAGAGACGGGGGAGAGAAGGTTGGGCGTGGGTGCTGCGGGAGAGGGGGTACTGGGTACCTGGTCGCCCGCTGGTGAACTGCGGTTTGGACACGGTACTCGGTACTTTGTGTACTTCGTACCCACTGCGAAAATCTTAGGGCGCTCCTACGCTAAACTACTCTCTCACTCTTGCGTTACAGGTATTCACGTCTTTTGGTGTATACTAAACAGACTGCTCCATTTGAATAGGTTTGTTTAGATTTTCCTCAAGTCTTGCCTAGATGGAGAAGGCTGGGCATCACCTTACTTCATGCGGTGTCGACTCGAGAGGCAAGGGTACATGAAAGAGTCCAAGTTACCTCGTACTATCTACTCTGTACTTCGTACCTGAGTAAGTACGGAGTACCTTGCTAATACCTGCTTTGGCGCAAACTATCTTCGAAAAGAGGGGGGCTGGTATTCCCAGTTTATTTTTGGGCTTTGAAGTATACTAAGCTCTCAATAGGTTTGATGTATGGTAGATCAGTTCGCGTACCCCGTTCACCTATCCATCTGCAAGGGCTGAAGTGAACATGAAGTCAAAGTATACAATCTGCATGGATTTTCTTCACAGCTACTCCGTACCAAGGTTCCGAGACGCCTCTCGAAAGACTGAAAGGATTTAAGAGCCGAAAGAGATCCTTGGAACGTATTGAATCGGTTTGTTCTCCCCAAAGAGAACCGAGAAAGCCAAATCAGGAACATTTTCATTGTGCGGTCTGGAAGCCCTGGGGCGGGAGATACGCCAAGGGAGACCCATATAACCCCATCTGGTGGAGTTGCGAACTGCGAGAGGCTCGTTGTTCTCCACTGACGCGCTGACGCGCTCGACACGTTGTGGAAATATTACCGTATTTATATCTCTGATTCCGTACACGGGAGGTTCCATGGATACTCGTAGGTACAGGGATAAGCTTATGCTTATTTGAACTGTTCCTCTTACTTACTCAGGCATCGTGAAGGTCGGGGACACTTAACATCATTTTGCGCTTGGAGCGGTATACAGCTGGCAATACTCCACTCTCGAGCCCAATCTGACGGAGGGCAGCTAGATCGGGTTTTGCGAATAGAACATGGGGAGCTTTGGGATTGGCTAAGATGATTGCTTTGGAGGAAATGGCTACCTTCCCACCGTAACTTGGGAATTGACCACTTCCCTGTAACAGCTCTGTTCCGCATCGGCCCATCACCTGGGCACTTTTATGTACGGAGTACTCCGTACACGTACTTCACTTTGTGATTCGCGCACTCCAACACGTGACCGTTCTTGGCACCCCTGCATTCAAAAAAGCCATCGCCGCGCTCTGATTGGTGGATGACTAAGGTGCTTCTATAATCTTGGATGTCTTCTTTTATGCGGTGGTTTCACGAACCTCAACTGTAGCAGCGGGGATGAATTCGCGAAGCGTACTTTCTACCTAGGAGTCAAGATAGGGTCGCCCTCGCTATGAGAAACCCAATTTCTAAGGGCAAAAGACCCCTGGTAACATGGGACTTACTATAAAAATGGTTTCCCACACTAAGTCAATTTTGTTACAGCTCACAGACAAAATGCGATATGTAAGCAACACTTGGACGTGTTGGGAGTACGTTCATGCTCTGTGGTGCCAAAGATCACCTCACTCGAGAGCATACATAGCATACTATCTAAGGATAGGAGTGAGTTCAAACAGCGGGGACCATTCCTACAGGTTGGCTGGTTTCATTCGTTATTTGACCAGTGACCACCCACCTCACAACTCCCCCGGCTGTGTTTCACCATTAGTCCGGGATAGAGGTACTTTATCCACGCAAACACTGAACAAAAGGAGTTTTGGGTCAAGTATCGGATGTGTGCACATGAGTCGTTGCCGCGTGAAGGCTTTGTCTCTACTGCATTCACATCAAGCCCTGTCGGATACAATACCGAGTCAACTTCCGGGTCATATCCGAGGGTAACGAAGAGAACAAGGAGGTAGATAGTGTAAATATCCATAGATGTGGTATCTTGCCGTCAGTCTCACCCCCGCAATATAACGTCGGCCCCACAGTTCCGGACAATATCTGGGGTGAAGTGCTATCTGCAGATTCCAAGCTGCTCCTCGGAACTGTACAATTCTTCTTAACACGTCATGCACAAACTAATACACTATCACATAAGGTGGTGAATTATCTACAAGAAAGAGAGAGAATAGGGATGAGTTGTTCATTGCACGTAGTGAATAACAGACTGCGCTACGAAGAGAGCACAGAAATTACTACGAAACAGTAGATTCAGACTGTAATGGCAAAAGCAGACGGGGGAGGAAGAAGAAGAAGAAGAGGGAGGGGGAGTGCGAGAGCTCAAGATCAGGCCTGTCAAGCAGGCCACCTGACACCAAACCACTTAACATGTGGAGTCAAGTTTTTTCTCAAAAAGGAAACTCAATCACGACTTTGGTCTCCTCGCGACGGTTGAACCGCCGGTAGTACTCAGGCGCATCTTCAATTCCAATGACAGCGCTCACAATAGAGCTTGGGTGTATTTTTCCGGAGGCGAGAAGGTTGAGCATCACAGTGCCGAGATCCAGCGGTGACGAGACACCCCCACGCACCGAGAAATTATTCATGAAAAGAGGCTTGATGTCAATCGTTTGCGCTTGATCTCCAGATCCGTAGACTCCAACCACACCAATGCCTCCCTGTGGGGCAACTACCTGTCCAGCCTCATGTAGCACGATGCTGCTGTTCACGTTGCCCTGCGCGTCTTCGGCCTCAAAACCAACACAGTTGACGACACGCGTAACGCCGGCCGGCTCGAAGCGGCGTAGCGCTTCCACCGGATCTTCCAGCGCAAAGTTAATCGGGATAGCACCGTGAGCGGCAGCCAATTCCAGGCGATCCTGCACATGGTCCACGACGTAGATTTTGGACGCACCGCGCACTCCAGCAGACAGAATAGCCATTTGCCCAACGGGCCCAGCACCGAAGACCGCAACTGTGTCACCTGGGCCCTGGCCGGCAAAGTCAAGCGCTGCCCAGCCTGTGGCAAAAATATCGGACATGAAGAGGTAGTCATGGATGATCGAAATGTTGGTGCTACCGTTGATAGGAACGGGCATAAGTGAGTCGTCCGCATACGGGATACGCGCATATTCGGCTGCATAATAGAGACACCGTTAGTATATACGGTAACAGTAGATATCAATCAAGTAGACCAACTCACCTTGCATGCCTGTAGATGACGCTGCTTCTGCATCAACCGTGGGTCCATATTGGTAATGGCCATCGTCAAATGCGAATGGAATGACAACCCAATCACCCGACTTTAACAACTCCACAGAGTCGCCAACTTCCTCAATAACGCCAATGGCCTCGTGGCCGATCTGTTAGGGATTTTCAGGAGAAGCTGAATTCTCATGGTATCGGTGTAGGTCGCTACCGCATATAGCGGTTGCTGCGATACGCACAACGGCATCGGTTGCATTTATGATGCTGGGCTTGGGCACGTCGATGACAGAAATGTTGAACGCACCAACCAGCGCGACGGCACGCATGATAGAATTCATGGCTGTACAGTGAGGGCCCAGGGGGAACTTAATTCAAGTAGTTTACCCAGCAAAGGATGTGGGAACTTAAGGAGTTTGCGCCATAAGGGACTGTTCTCTTCACGACTATGCACACTAATGCCATTGATACATGATTTTTCAGGCGCCATGCAAATGTACACCTGCAGACGCGTAATGCCGAGCCACGATATTTCAATCTACGGCATAACTATCTATATCATCGAGATATGCTGACACAAGCCGCTTCTAAGGCTCGCTTGACTTGAACCGAAGGAGTAATCCTGGTGAATATCCCTTTCTTGGCATTTACTTCACGCAAGACCAAGGCCTCCTCGCCTTGTGCACCAGTGGCCCGGGAGATCACCAGCAGCCTAATTCAGAGCCTAATTTACGTTTAAAAAAAAAATTCTTCAAAAATTTACTAGACTTCCCATCTAAAGCAATTGAGGCTAACAAAAGTAAAAGGGTGCGGAAGCGGTTTTGGTGATGGTTTTGGGGACTACTGTTTTTGATGTATATTAGATAAACAATTAACAAATTGAAGCTTGAATTATTGGGAATCAATAGATGTTTACTTGTGATTTTACATGGTCGAGAGTACGGAGTATAAATTAGCAGAATCGCAAAACAAAAGGCAATATACTGATGTGTCGTCTGGGTCGCTAGTTTATGCTCTAAATTAATCCGAGCAGTACATTCGTTCCAAGGTTCTCTCTGAAGCTCACAACTCAGAGTCTAGCCTTTTGAATATATTACCGGGTCAAGGCTGTCAAAGGACTTAATGACTCCCTTTCAAAATCGCCACTGGAGAGGTGAACGCTTTGTTTCAGATCACTCGAAACGAACTCCATAAAGCGGGAAAATAAATCCAGGTAACATTCAAGTGCCAGCTTGCCCTGCATACGGAGTACATATCACATTCAGTCAAAGTCCAGCATAATCAATATGCAAGATGCATAATTCGAAGAGAGAACAGCATTTCAATTCATTCCATTCCATTCAAAAAACACTACTCCCCCAAGAAACTCAAATCAACTTCAGGCTGCCGAGACCGGAACAACATCTCAATCGTAGGATCGGTGATAGACTCAGTACCATTCTCAAAGTTCTTAGGTCTTCCATCGCTCTGCAATTTCCAATCATACTTCATCAACAGATGAAGTAGCAGGATCTTGGTCTCATTGGCAGCGAAGAAGCGGCCGGGGCAGGCGTGGACACCGTGGCCGAAAACGAAATGGTCTGTGGTAGTCGTGACAAACTGGTGTCTGTGCTCGTTGCCGGGCTCCTGGCGCTTCTTGAGGAATCGGTAGCCGTCGTAGGTGGCTGCGTTGGGGTAGATCTCGTCGTCCTCGAGGGGTTTGGTGGAGATCGAGATGTTGGCGCCTTTAGGTAGCACGGTGCCGTCTGAGAGAACGATCTTCTGAAGAGTGAAGCGGTTCAAGGAGGCTGTTGCTGCTATTAGTATAGATCGCGTTTACTGGACAGGAAATCGCCACTTACTCAACGATAGTGGGTGGGTCCGTTGCGACTCTTTCATGATGCTGTCCATCAATTTGAGCTTGAGCAAGCTAGTCTTCTTAAGTACCCCATCCTCAGCGGCCACGGCACAAATCTCCTCACGCAGTGGCTGGAAATACTCCGGGTACGCAGCGAGGTCGTACATGATATTGGTCAGCAGGTTGGAGGTGGTATGGATGGCCGCCAGGGCCAATCCGACTTGAGAGCGAGCCTGATCAAAGCCGAAGTTCTGCTGTGCCTCGGCAGTCTCACGGAACCAGTCCAAGGCATCGGTCTTGTGAGGCGGGTCTTCGGCTGGGATCTTTCCTTCCCGAATCAGCGCGCGTCTTTGAATCTCTTTGTTGATGATAGTGTTTGCTTTGGACAGATGACTGCGCAGCTTCTGGGCTGATGGGAGGAACCAATGAACGATTGGGCGCAGGACGGATGGCCAAGTGCGCAGGTCGCGCATAGCTCCGAAGGCGTCAATGGCATAGTTGACTGATACATCGATCCACTCGTCGTCGTGGCAGATTGTCTCTCCGACAAAGACCAGCGAGGAGACGCGGGCAACCATATATGGTATCTTGTGCGCAAAATTATAAGGTGTCCATTCTACATGAGAGGGTGAGTCTGTGACCTCGCAAATGAAACCGTGTTACTTGACTTACCATCGGTGGGTGGCAGTGCCTCTTTCACCGTTGAAGAAGATTCCTTGGAGAGGGGAATGGACAAAGATCCTAGAAGCATGTAATGAGTTGTCTGTTCAACTGTGTTACTTGTGAATGTCGCTATTCATACCAAGGGCTTGGGTCAGCTTGGTGCGAACGACCTCGATGGTGACTTTCAAAGAAGTTCCATTGTGGAACGGCTCGAAGCCAGCAATGCGGTTAGAGAAAAAGGTCTATAGATTTGATCAGCACGTTGATAATTACTCGTGATTTCTATGGTTCTTATCGTACCTTTTTAATAGCGTCGTCGAAACTCAAGTCCGGGTGATTCTTGACCTCATCGATATATTTCGGGTGCAACACAATCATGGGTTGCGTTGACCCCATTATCTGAAAGACATTGGCTCCCTATGGTGCTCGGTCAGTAACCAGACGGAGTAATTGTGTGACTGAAACGGTTCTCTCTTGGTGACCGACCTGTGCAAATCCCTCGGCAATCAAATCACGACATGACTGGGTGAAGCGTGACCGGGCCTTTTTGTTGGTGATCTCCCACCAGGTCTTTCCCACCAAAGGAATCCGGCGATGAGGGATCTCATCCACTATATCATCCCAAATGCTAGTGATGAAGACCGCCACCAAGGCAACACACACGCCTTGTACCACATAGGGGTTGTTGATCAGTTCAGTGAGAACGGCCATGCTGGTTTAGAGAAACGCTAGAAAAGAAACCCCAGGTTTTCCAAAGAATCAACTGACACATGGAGGAGTTGATTATGTATTTATAGCGAGCGAGATTGGCCAGTTAGGCCTTTTGGATTTTTTTCCACCTTCGACTGAAAGGCCGAATCAGGGGGGTCCATGCATCGGATATTGTCGAGCCGAATTAGAGCTAAAGACAAGCCACCCGCTTCGTTTATGAGCGAACCAGTCTCTTAACCGGAACGTTAAAGGGCCGGGGAGGTCAAGGCTGTCTGTAACCCACAGTCGATGCGAGAAGTGCGAGGAATGCGAGAACGAGAGCCAAATCCAGCGATCCTTTCCCGAAAAGGCAATTCTTCAATGGTTTTTGTTCCGTCCAGGATCCACTTGGATGATGCACCTGGGCACCTGGGCATTGTTAAAGTACGTAGTGTACTCCGTGTTGTCAATGCAAAAGGCCTGAATAGTTCATACTAGGCCTTCAGAGCATTTTCAAATCTTCTCGTGAAACCAGAGTTTTGACATAGCTAACGCCACAACGCCACAGCCCCGGAGGATTTGACCTCTCTGTATTTCGTACACAACACCCTTGCAAGCCCCGAGGTCCACCAGAGGCCCATGACCCAGCATTAAGGAGCCATTCAGACACGGCAAGAGATTGTGCGTGTGTTCATTGGTGTGCTGTCACACTATTCTTCCAGGGTTGTCTACTCCGTATGCAACAAAAATGTCTGATTCAGGCTAGCCCTTCCGGGCCCCCACAAAGATGGAGATGTGGTCTGATACTGCCGAGATCTCAGCGGCACACGGAAAGCCTCTGAGAAATAAGGTGATGGTCATTTCCAATCGAGTGGGGCTCGGATGTAATCTTGCCGGCTTCAGATCCAACCTTGGAATCTCTGCCTTCTCATCAGTAAGCCGACATCGGCTATGGCGAGTCATTTGAGACGCATGATGCTCGGACTCATACTGAGTCAGACTGAGTCATTGATGGTCATGGAAGATCACATCTATTGTCTTGCTTGTGAGCACGGAGACAGCTTTTGTACAGAGCGCAACCTTAGACATGTTAAAGTGTAGCGGAAGTCCCGCTACCCGAAGGAAATCCTGGGTGGAGTAGATCTATATCTCCCATCCTTACTCTTTGGGGGTATTTTGGACGTGTTTCTAGGTATCACTTTGACAACTGCTCCGTACTCTAATATTACTTAGTATCACTTCACTTCATTCAAGAAGTCCATGTACATATTCATATATACTAAAGTTATACTGATTCCATGGATGCCAAGACCCCGCATTCAGCGTGCTCATGTGCCTTTCTTCCCCGCTAAGTCGCCTTCGCAACCTTAGAACTTCCCTTACCCCTTGCACATATCCCTTGATCACTTCTACTTCACATTCAACATGGGAGACTGCGGCGTCACTGCTCCGCCTTTACACACCGCGCCCATCGACCATCCACCGCAGTCCGCGGCATCCTCCAATGAGATCTCCATCCTGATAACGGGCTTCGGAGTAAGCAATCTTCACTTCTCTAGTCAAACACCAGGTAACCCGGAACTTCTACGTAGCCCTTCAAAACCAACCTCGTCAACGCCTCATATTTAATCGCCTCATCTCTCCCGCCATCATTCGCCTTCTCCTCACCCGATAAAGCCGATTCGCGCCGAGTCTCGATCCATGTGCACCCGACTCCAATTGCCGTGGCATATGCCACCGTGCGAGAGAGCATGCCCCTAATACTGGAAGAGTTCGCAGCCTCCAATGGCGGCCGAAGGCCCGATCTGATCATGCATATTGGGATCGCATCGCCGCGACCTTACTATTCCGTGGAAACACTAGCACACCGCGATGACTACATTATCACCGACGTCGAAGGCCGTGGTGGCTGGGAGGATGGCGAGAAGCTATGGAGAGAATTGGGTCTCCCTGCGGTGCTCATACCCGGTCGTGCCTCGGAGGACCCGTCTGCTGCATCGTCGTATCAGCCCGACGAGCACTTCCTAGATGTGTGGCGCTCGTTTGCTCCCAATTCAGATCTTAGGATTTCAAAGGATGCAGGGCACTACCTGTGTGACTTTATTTTCTACACCAGTTTGTCGCTGGCTTTGCAGAAGGGTCATGATCGGAATGTACTTTTCCTTCATGTTCCTGGGGCCGCTGAGGATGCGGATATTGAACAAGGGAGGGTGGTGGCACTTGCTTTGATCAAGTCAATGGTTGCTTGCTGGATTGATAAGAAGCATGCAGTATAATTGGTCGTGGGAAGGCTACGAATCTCTTTTTGAACAGTTTTTGAAGCAGCATTTGAACTGATATTTTGAGCCCTCAGATAGTAACTACAACGCATAATAAATTGAATCCATGTACATATTAACAAACACCAAATGGCATTTAAGTTGATTCACAATATGGGATTACATATCCAAGGTTCCAAGGTTGATCCCAGAGTGAAAGTCTCACAATGGGTTTGACTGCTTAGTAGACAACTCCCACGAGTACTACCACTTTGTTACTTGACATGGTTTTGTCGCTGATCGTACTCAGCCTGTATCGTACTGTGCTTGAAGAAGTGCACTTACCTAGGCACCGTGTGTAGCATGGTACTCGCCTCTATCAAACAAAGAGCGTGAACGAAATGCAAATGGTATAGGTTAGACTTGGTCTTGAAGCTGATCTCTGGAAGTAGATTCAAAGCGAGATAGATGTCAACGGAGAATAGGATTAAGAACTCAGACGAAAGTAAGAGCGAGATTTCAAGGAATTTGCGATGCAAATCTCAGGTTGAAGCTGTTCGGGTTGAGCAAAAGTACTCATTCAAAGACCTCTTACTGAAGCTCATAAAAATGGATCAAAGGTAGGCCATGAGAAGACGATCTGTTTCTCTTTTCCCCTGTATTGGTCTATTTGATACCCGTTGTAGTTCAAGACCACAACCCTCGCACCATCCAATCGAAAAGGGCACTCTTTTTAAATCATCAGCACCTAGATCTCGACAAATCTAAAATCCAGCCATATAACGATGATCATTAGTCTCCTCCAAGACCTCCAACCTCATTCCCACCCCAATAACCCCCTCATTCCGCGGCGCACTCAGCATTCCAAAGCAAGGCTTGAACTTGATCCCCTCATCAACCCTCCGATACGACACCAGCATATCCCAAGGCTGCTTCTTATGCTTAATCGCCGTACTCGGCTCCACATTCGGCACCTGACAGCGCGCACACCGAGCAACAATATCCAAATCCAGCGGCTTCTCCAGCTCAGATCCAGAACCTGATGCACCCGTGATCCGCACTAACTTCCACGAATCCTCACTCCACGCCTTCCCACCACGAACAACGATATTCGGTCGGAACCGCTCAACAGTAATCGGATCCACACCTTTCTGCTCCAGGCGCTTATTAAGCTCATGCAGGGAGCTCTCCGATGCAATGAGCACGGGATGAACATCCGGGAACCCCGTTGTCTGAACACGACCCAGAACACTAGGGTCTCCGTTACCTTTTAGCACACGCGGCGTGGGACCCTTGTAGACAAGTGCGACCTCACGACCCAGGAATCCCGAAAAGGGCGCGTTGATCGCTTCACTGTAGCGGTATCCGTCTGTATCAACATCCCAGATGCAGACGGGGCCGAGGGAGGTATTTTCAGCGAGCCAGTCCGGGGATGGGTGGGATGGGATGGAAATCTTGTGCAATTCAGCTTCCATATCCTGGCTCTTGGGAATTGTAATGATTAATTCATGGCCATCTGGACTTAGTGCTGTGCCGATGCGGGTCATGTTCGGGATTTGGCGGATGGTCAAGAATTCGTTTGTGGATGAGTCTATGAGCATCCAGCGACGGTCGAGGTCGAGACCGTGGCTTTTCAAAACTGTTTGGGTGACTTCGAGGCCTCGGCATGATTTAATGGGATACATGCGTAGCGAGGTTATCTCGCTTGATTGTTTGCGAGGCCATTTGAGGAACTTGTGAATTGGGTTGGCAGGTCTGAAGCGAGGGATCAGAATTGGAATGAGAAGGAGTAGGAGTAGGGTTATTGCTGAAACTGTGTAGGAATCCATGTTTGTAAGCGAGAGATGAGGAGAGTAGGAAACTAAAGATCGAAAGTGTCAGAAGTATAGACAAGCTAACATTTGCTCACGTGCCAAGCTATTCCAGATGGAGACCAAAAATCTCATTTCAACTTTGGAACTTTTGAATAAACATGATATTGACATAAGATAGACTAACATTTGCTCTATACAATGCAATTGGCTTTTTCTCACTTCAATTGCTTACTGGCAGAGACACACCAGTTGTTCCACTCGGAGAAGAATGAAGGCTGCACATGGCACTTGGTGCTCATAAGCTGATCCTTGCGAGTAGCAGCGTAGACATCCACCACACCCGCAATAGCATCCTTATCATGAGCAACGAGAACCTTAGTGACGAGCAAACTAGCCTGACTACAGGCATTCGCATGTCCCATAGGTCCACTGTGACTCGCCTCCTTGTGAACAGACTTCAAAAGCTCCCAAAGCGCATCAACTTGTTCCTGGTCCTCGAGCTTAGGCAAAGAATTGCCCTTGCAGGCCTTTGTGTATTCGCGAAGGACATTGTTTGCCTTGGTCGCGACTTGCTTCACGCTTGAGCGGCGCGAGAGGCGTAGGAGAGGAAGGAGAAGGTCGAGCGCCAACAGACGGGAGTGGCTCTTTTTCACAAAGATCTCAAGGAGATCCAGAACACGGTTCTTGAAGTTGACCATGTTCTCACGGGCGTCTTTCTTGTCTTTGCGTTGCGATGATTGTTGCTGACGTGCCTTGAATACTTGGACCAGCTTGTCGTCGAGCTCGTCCATTTCGTCGTCGTTCATGTCTGCGTCGGAATCTTCACCTTCGCCGTCGGCGCCGTGTTGGCCAAGGGCTTCGGCTAATTTAGCTTCGAAGGCGGCAACTTCTAGTGCGTTTTCTTCGTCTTCTTCTTCTTCCTCTTCCTCGTCATCGTCTGAGTCGGATTCGGACTTGTCATCACCTGCCTCGACGACCTCGACATCGCTGTCGAGTTCATCCTCATCAACATCCATCATCTCGGCATCAGAGCCTTCCTCTTCATCGCCCTCGCCCTCGTCCTCGTCGAACATCTCTTGTTGTCCAGCCAGACTCTCCTTGGCTTCGAGGATCTGTTTCAAGTTAGTAAACAAACGGGGTAAAGATACTTGGGAAACTGCGCAACTTACTGAGATCAAGGACTCCAGACCATTCTCGGTGATTTGGTTGGCAAATGCGCCAAAGACTTGCTCACTCATACGACGGAAGAGCTGTGATTGCTTAGATGCGAAACTGAGAAGGATCTCAACAAGCGCATCAGATGCGTCGCCGGCATCTTCCTTGGACTCCTTGTCGCCAAGGAATTTGGTGGTGCAGAACTCAAGCTCATCCAGCATGGAAACTGCGTCGGCATCTCCGTTGTATACTTGCATAAGAGTCAAGGAGTAAAGCAGCTTGAACGCAGCCATGCCCTTTTCCTTCTTTTCCTGTGTCCTTGTTAGCATATGCACTTGAAACGCTCGAAATGATGGCTGCATGGTACCTTTGAAGCAAGCTTCTTGAGAGATTTGAAAGCAGCCTTGACAGACTCCTGCAGCTTATCATCGATTTCGATGATGAATTTTCCGAATTCGCCAGACTTCGCCGCATCGCGAATCTGCTTCACCACCGCATAGGGGAGAGTAGCGGCGAATTTCTGGTTAGAGATGAGACTGTTCAGGCAAGAGTTGATGCGGTTGCGCAGCATCTCTTGCGTCGCAGACGAGAGGGCAGGTTCTGGGGCAGATGAGCCCTTGGCGGTATTATTGAAGTATGCGAAGCGCACGAAGATAGACAAGATCTGCTCAAGGCTAGCTTGGAGATCTTCGGCATCATCTTCGGCGGCAGATGCCTTTGAGCGCACGATTGAGAGCAGAAGACCAGCAACGAACTGGCGGTTTGTGGCGGAGATTTTCTCCTCGGTTGATCCAGGGTTTTGGATAAGCTTTTCGAAGAAGGGAACGATCTCCTCCAGAGCTTCGTGGTTGGCCTCGGCCACGATCTTCTCGACGGTCTTGGTCTTGGTGGCCTGGTCGAAGTTGAGTGTGCCGCTGGTTCCCATCAAGCCACGAATAGCCACTGCTGCGAATGAGGGCTCCTTGGCAACGCGGGCCTGGATGGCCTTGGCTGTCTTGACGGCCATGCGGTGGAGGTATCGGTCCTCGACAGCAAGTTGGTTGACCAGACAGCGCATGAGGTTCTTTGTGAAGGTTTGGGAGGCCTGCTGGGCAGCGCCATCGTTGATGAGTCTAGAGAAAAGAAGGAAACCCCAGTACTTGCGCTCTTCGGATGAGGCAGCAGCAAAAAGTCCATCTAAACATCGCTTGTCAGTTCACAGTTTCCCCGGAAAATAGTATATTGGCGCGAATACTCACTGTCCACAACCTCGGTCCAGAAATCAGCAAAGCTCATGCGAGACTTCTTCGACTTCTCCTTCGACTCAGAGCTAGTCCGCAACATAACAGCTTCCCAAGCGAAGTGCAGCTTGGAGTTCCAGACACCAGAAGACTTCGCGGTATTCGTCTTGTTCTCGCTCTCACTTGCGCCCGCGCCGGACTCCTTCATGATCTTCGACAGACTGCTGCGCTCCTTGGTGTCGAGGGGATCGTCGTGCTTCCAGACCTTGCTGGGGAAGGTAGCTTCGGGGAACATGTCCTTCGCGGCCAACCAGATAGAGATACCCTCGGGCGACCGAGCGAGGTCGTGCGAGCAGAGACGTTCCAACGCAGCCTCGATGTACTTGTTATCCATCTTGCGGGCGGCTAAGTCATACACGCACTGGTATACGATCCAGCCACACTCCTCGCGGATCCATGGTTTCTTCTGTGCGAGATCGAAAATGAGGTCGATGACTTGTGTCCAGTGCTCGAAGGGGACGGTGGACTGGAAAAGGACGGAAGACTTGATAACGGCTTCGGCACCAAATAGCCGACCGAAAAGATGATCGCGTTGTTCCTGTGAGCAGAAAGAGGTTCAATTAGCGCCATGCGATCAATAACCAAAGCATCGGGACCACCAACCTGTCCAGATTCACTACCGGAGGAGTTCGACTGAGCCTCCCACAATTTAAGGGCATCGGCGAAGCTGAATCGTTCAGTCTCCCTTGGTACAGTGAAGACTTGTGTAAGGATCTCGGTCAAGGCGATCGAGAAGCCGATGCGAGCTGCTTTGCGGCTGCTGCAGAGACCACGGAAGAGTCTCGCTAGCACCTTTTTAATTTTCTCATCGGCGGGGTCTTGGTCCGGGGTGAATTGGGATACAAGCCCCGAAGCGGCCTTCAGTCGGATCTCATCTTTTTCGCTGGCGAGGTCTTCGTAAAGCTCCACCAGCTTCACGTCGACATTGTGAGGTTCGCGACGGCGCTTGAAACCCATGGCGGGGGAATATGTGGTGACGAGTAGCGGTGATGTTGGATTTAGCAAATTGTCCGCTCTCAGGTCGTGACAATAGTGATCTACTGACCAAAAGCACGTTCAAGACTCCTTGCGGCCGTTGAAGTCTCTCAGAAAAATCTATGCTTTAGCCGTATTCGGACTAGTGTGGGTCGATAAGCTGATAAGGATTTGTATGCTTCCAAGGTTCGCCTCGGGTTTACGATGTTGGGATGCTGGTCGCATTGGTTTTGCCTAGTTGAATCTGGGGCTAAGGTTGAGGCAAAGGCGTGTGAATTGCCAATTCTCTGTCTTATACCTATGGAGAAGTGTGAGCATCAATTGACCGCATCGGGGGCTTGAATTGTTCCCAAGTACCCGGGTGCTACTCAGTATATACTTCCGAACACCGCACCAAAATTCAATGTCTGCTCTCACTACTCTCCAGCTACCCAGAATGATATCACTAACCGTGGAAGGCCTTAGAACCTTGAAAAACTTGGAACTCTTCAAGTCACATTTGCACAGCTATGGATCATAACTACGATTGTAGCCAGAATGAGAATACCTATCAAAAAAAGCAAATCTTAGTCCCGAGGTCTCGAAGCGTTCAAAGTATGACCCCTGGAAGGCGCAGGAAACACATCCATGGACGCGCAAATAAAGGCAAACGAATCGGGCACCCAAGCATACCGTCATTTCAATAGACCCAAGACATGTACACCGTATGGAGAATGCGTAATTGAAGCTGTCAAAGAGAACGGAATACCACGAAGGTCCGAACTGAGATTTTTCAGGGGCTAATGACGAATCGCAAAAACGAGACCGTGTGCTGGAGTTCCAGACGCTGAACTATTGTCTGTTGTCAAGTGCAACCGGGAGGATTCCATCTATTTATATTAGAGCAGTGCGCCCGACGGTTCCACGAGAAACTGGCCCATCTATGGCTCACAAAATATATAGATAGAGAACTCCATTGCATGATACCAGTATGGAGCAGAGGTGTCAATATGCAGGAACTATGTACTATGGAGTATGAAATCGGAGTCTGCAATGCACTGTAGAAAGTATATGGAGTACTCCATGTATGTATGTGGGCAAAATTACCTCTGTGTCAGAACTGATGTGTTGGAAGAGTGTGGGGACCTGCATGGACTTAAGTAGTTTTGGAGCTTAATTGAGTCGTGCGGATGACATGTGGGAGCGGATTTCGTGCGAAGCCGCGTTTGAAGTAGACAGATGGGTCTCGGAGTGATAATGTATGGAGTCTGGCAGTGATGTGGAGTTGAGTGGCCGGGCAACCGTTGTGATAGATGAGTTTCAGGGGCTGCAGCTGTCACCTCACATCCGACTGATGGAGAGAGTGCAGACAGTTTGAGGCTAAATTTGAGTTGTGGACTAGTTGGATTGGGTAGCATACTGGTGTGTTGGATGAGTACTCTGTACGGAGTATACTTGGATTACTTTGGAGAGATCGAAGCATATGCGGAGTACTTCCGTATGGGGTATGAGGGTTGCTCAGGGCAAACGAGGCTACGGGGCGGAGCTGAACGAAAAGTGAAAAATCCACCTTGTACGGAGTACTCCGTAGTACACAGGTGATCATGATTGCAATTTCCATCGCATGTTGAATGTCATAAAAAAGAAAAGATATTGGATAGTGTGATGTGCTAGGCAATAAAGTGACAAGAAAGTACTCCGTGCTCCGTATGGGCGGCGGCTAAAAGTTGGATCTATCACTGGAGCGAACACAGGCCAAGATCGGAGCTGGGTGATACGGGGGAGCTCCAGCTTCCAGATGGGGGAGTGGAGAGTCGCTAAGAGTGAATAGCATCATGCTAAGGAAGCTAGTTAGGAGGCTGACAGGCACGCAGCCGATGAGGCGCCGCATAAATGGCAGCCCGGGGAGTTCAATAGCGGTGCAGATCGGTGTGAGTCGGAAGAATAGTAGACGGGAAATGAGAGGGTACGGAGTACGGAGTATGAGTATTTCGACTCAATACCATACAGTCGTGATACCAAAAAACATTCTGAAGAATCTTGTTCTGGAAGTCTTTGATGTCATCCCACGATCACGGGACAACGCATAACTTGAAGGTTTGGCGTTTGTTTACATTTCATGAAACCTGCGCGTCGACAAAACAAAAACCCTGTAGATCTGACATCATTGGATGGAAGACCTGAGACGGAGGGGAAAAAGGTCTAGATGCAGCACACACGAGTGTGTGATGAACCCCGCAGCATGTCGGCTGGAGACCGGATACCACTGGCTCGTCGCATACAATTGACGCATCACATCAGACCCCACTTGAGCTAGCATGGCGCAGTGGAGGGGATCGGGGCGACCGACTTGCATTGTCGAATGGTCAGGCCGCCAGGCCCGGGAGTTCAGTTGCCTGAGGGAGAACATCAGCCACGTTCCGACGCGGCTAGGAGTCCGAATATCAAATCGTCAACATCGCAACGGATCACAGCCGCGTCGAAGTACTCCGTACCGCCCGGTCGCAAGCTTCACGCCTAGGCCAAACAGATCAACGTCATGAATTGCAGCTTATCAGGTTTAACAGCAGTGCACGGTGCACTCTATTATATTGAGTGCATGACGTAGACTCACGGGCCAAGGCCCGGAACGAAGTCGCCATATTGATCCTGCTCACCGCATTGTTGACATCGTGCAACGGAGGCCCTGCCAGGGCTGCATAGAGACATGGCCAATAACGAGGATGAGCCCTGGAGCTCGGGTTATCGGACGGTCTGGGATGACCGACGCCCCGGTCGTTTCAAGACGCCCAGAATAGCACCGTGGGGTGCAGGAGTTAGTCGGAGCCGGATATCCACTGTGAGTGGTCAATGGGAGCCGACTCCAGCGACTAGTAGTTTCATATAACCAAAGAGCCGCCTAGAGGTGAGTGGCGAACCTGAAGGTGTTCCTGGGTTAATGTCGCGTGCAATATCCAGGATCTGAGTTTATCTGCCCACAAGATCTGGAGGTGATTATCACGTTTGTCCGCCCATACCCTTTGCGGTATACATGGTGCAAACAGATACTCCGTACCGTTGTCGCACCGACCCGACCCACGATAGTTGCCCTGGGAGTTCGCATTGGGCATGGTTGCTCGCGGCAAAGTCCGACCAGTGACGTCGTTCCGTGAAGGCATTCGGAAGCCTGTATGAAACGGTCAAAATGCCCTGGGATGCCCTTCCATCGTCGCTGAGGTGATTCCAAGTCACGAATTCAGATACCCGGACGACGAAGTCAGGACTTAGGAAGGTTTCAATAGACTTAAGCAAATAAAACCAGCGAAGGGGGCATTGGAAGGGATGCGCGACATTGACGCGGGCCCTTGATCAGCAAGAATGCGGGTGCAAGTAAGGGCAGCACGGGTATGTATGGGGAGACAGCAATATCGTCCAAGATCTCTCCAGAGATAATCATTCCTTACTCGATACTACGTGCCATGGATTAAGCGTATAGTAGGCCTGGGGTTCAGGTACCCGGACTATGTACGATATCTAGCATTGTACGATGTGCGATCTTCGAGGTAGTAGTAGGCGGAAGATTCCACGCAGAGGATCAGCTTCGACATCGCCTAACCGGGGCGAATGTTAATTGCGAACTCTCTCGGAGATGACGAGATCTTTAGAACTTGATCTTAGACGGGCCAATCACCATCTCGGTAAACCATTCCAGCGCAATTGAATGTGATCATGGGCCCTCTTTTTCCCTCTCTTATCGGATCCTCTAGTGAGGCTAGCGCTCTTTCTCGCTAGGGGATCATCGCATCGCGACCATGGCTTTGGCGAGGTCTAAGGTCCAAGGTATGGGGTATGGGGATGGGGATGGGGATAAGGGACCGTGGGTGACGTTCGAGCGGCAAAGTAGGAGAACAAGCTCTTTGCAATTTTTCAATCCCTTGCCTCACGATCGCAATCACTTGCAGCTGCATCCAAAGGTAAAGCTCTGATTTTTCCGAAGTGGAACGGAAGTGGAGAATCTCGTTAGACTCGATCTGACTCCGTTTTTTCAGCTCACCTGTTCCTCTGACGGCACACACGGGATGTTGAAACCGAGAGAGAAAAGTTTTCTCTTTTTAACCAGTCATGTACTCCATACTTGTACTCAGTACCGGAGATACGGTGGGTACAGAACGGAAACTATACGGAAGAACCATGGAAGAGAGATGGAATAGCGTAGTTTTCCCTTGAACTCTCGACGTACATGCATATATAGTTCAAAGACATACGCTCCCTATAGCGAGCAGGGGGAAGAAATTGCGTCCAACCATATGCCAAGCTTCCATCTTTGGGAATTGGGAAATACAGAAGGGGAAATCAGGAAAATCGGAGGGAAAATCAGCGAATGTGCTGTGATAGGCGCTGGGTTGCTGCGGCAAGGGAGCCCCGGCAACCGGGGCCAAAATGGTATTCGGCCCCTAGCCAGAGCATGGGATTATCTTTTACTCTCTCCATCTTTGCATACCGAAGATCGTTCTGCATTTAATTCCTTAATTTATTAATTCATTTTATTCTAAATTCTATCTAGCATTGAAAATTAAAGAGTAATAAAAAAAAAGAAAAAGAAGTAGAATATCCTAATTTGGTCATGTAATTACCATACCATGAAGTATGTCTCTCTCTACAAGCAAAACCCTAGGAAGTACGGATTATCCTCGTAACTTCCAATCTTACAGTCTCACTTCTGCGAATGAGCTAGTTCTCACGTCAAATTCCCATTAAACCACAGATTACCATAATTACGTTGCCGTACAGTACTGGTGATCCTCCCCACCTGCGTTGCCCATTGCAACAAGACCATCCCTTCAGCTTCAGTTCTTTCTTCAAACCGCTTAGTTCCTGCTTCTCTTTCTCTCTCTTTATTCATATCCTGTCGACATTCCGCAACCTCTCGACTTTCTGTTCCAACTCAGGTTTGCTTGCCTTCGACTATTGCGACTATTTCGACCCCAATTCGACTCTATTGTTGGACTTCCCCTCAGTCCTGCAGCACCCACGAGCTTCCCCGACCCCTCCAATCGCCGACGTACAACTCGACCCCAAAATACCTGCGATATCCCCGATTTTCGTGTCATGGCCCTTTAACTACTTCCTGCGCATTTTCGACTCTTTGCTGTGGAGGGTCTACGGAATTTTTTTTTCTTCGGGTGGACTGGTTGTCACGGAGATCGTGGGGACCCATAACGTTGAAATTGCAAACGTGGAGACAGAACCTTTTTCGAGAGTCAACTTTTTTCGGACCTCAGTGTAGGACCTAGCGCTGGGTAGACCTCTGTGACCAGGACTTGGTTTATCCCAATTGTACCACGTTCGTCGGTCCGGTTGCAATTGGAGTCTCTCACCATGGAACACTCTTCACCTCTCGCTGCTATGCAGCCTCCGTCAGTTATGTTCGGTCATTGTTTCCGTTCAGATGCCCCGTCATACTCGTTGCACACAATGTCTGGATTTGGTGGGAACCCGTTCAACTTTAAGGACCTGTCAATGAAGAAGTCCAGTTCGGACTACTTCAACATGAAGCCCGTTCGTGGATCCTCACCTACTGCTAGTTTGGCTGCAGATCTCTCGCAGAATTTCCATATTGATCAAAGGTATGTGCTTGTTGGATTGGGTTCTTTGACCGGTTTCAAACCCCAAAGAACAAAGCCAGTACTAACTCTATATTTAGTCCCCAATTAACCACACCCCGGCGGTCTTTGTTCACGGCCAACATGCTTGGTCAAGCCAATGGTAATGGTAAGGCATTGCCATGGTCCTTGAAGAAGAGAGTTTGCTAACGGCTATATAGATGAGATGATGACCACTCCTCCGCTCCCATCGTCTTCGCCTGCTCCAGCTATGGATTTTATGGAAATGTCACCTCTGCCCCACAAGAAGCCAGCATTCGTTGTCACTGCTGAGATTGAACTTCAATCGCCTACACCTGAGTGCAGCCCTATGGTTTCACCTCTCGCTTCTCCGGTCCCGAGTCCTCTTCAGGCATCTCCGATGGAGTCTCCACTATGCCAGCCTGAGTAAGTACTAGTATGAGATAAAAGGTCAGCGATCCAAGCTAACGTGACCAGACGTAAACGTCCTACTTTCCTGCGCCCTAGTCTGGCCAGGAGCAAGGCCCAATCGTTCCAACTTGGTATGACTCGCCCGGCACCAGAAAGCAAGGCACCCCCCTTCCGGTTTGGTACCGGAACCAAGACTTCCCTCAGCACTTCTACTTCGTTGGAAGATATGTTCGGTGACTCACCTCCCCACGAGCGTCCTGTCTCCCGCAACAGCTCTTCGGATCGTCTGGCACCTCCCCGCCTGCGACCACCTTTCCATGCCCGTACTAGCGGTTCACCCGCACCCAGCTCGATCCGCAAGCCCTCTCATCCCTTGATGCGCCCCCGCAAGCAATGTCGGAGATCATTAAGCATGTTTGAGCACCCAGCAGACGTTATTGCCGATAAAGAGGCCAAGGTAGCGACAAATACACCCGTCCAGTCCATTGGTGACATTCAGAGTCCGCCCAGCATGAAGCTGCCTCACTTCATCCCTGAGGACCGTGCGGACTCACTGCCTCGCATCGACAAGAGCACTCTGCTGCAGCTCATGGATGGTCAGTTCAATGACCAATTCGACAACATCCTGATCATCGACTGCCGCTTCGAGTACGAGTATGAGGGTGGCCACATCAACGGGGCCGTCAACTTCAACGATAAAGATCGTCTCGCCAGTGAACTCTTCAATGCCCCCCAATCTCGCACCGCCCTGGTTCTTCACTGTGAATACTCCGCTCACCGCGCCCCTATCATGGCCAAGTACCTCCGTCACCAGGACCGTGCCATCAATGTCGATACATACCCCAACCTTACATACCCCGACATGTACATCCTCGACGGTGGATATAGCTCATTCTTCTCCGAGCACCGTTCTCTTTGCTTCCCTCAGAACTATGTCGAGATGGCTGACAAGGAGCACGAATTCGCCTGCGAGCGTGGGCTTGGCAAGGTCAAGCAGCGCTCTAAGCTGAACCGTGCACAGACCTTCGCCTTTGGTGAACACTCACCTCAGATGGAAGACAGCCCAACTGGTCGTTGCCGCCTTGGTGACAGCCCTAAAAACCGTTTCCTTGACTCGCCGTTCTCCGCGAGTTCCTTCTGTGCCAGCCCTGTTCCCCAACGGACCCCCGTCTCACAAAGAACACCCGGCCGCAGAATGCTTTCTTATTAAAACAAAAACTCGGCAGTTCGCTCTGTTTTGCATTTACTTTGTTTCTTTTCATTTTTCATTGTCGTTGGAGCGTGGTGTTTGGCTGATGCATCTCATGATGTTTTTACGGCGGCTTTTTTCTTCTTCATTCTTCAAGCCTTTTCTTGCTTTGCATGCTTGACTTCTCTGCATTTGCCAGACCCAAGATGGTCAGGCTTCTGTCCGCGACAGCGCTGGACTCATCCGCTTCGCATTTTCAACTCCTTGATGCATCCGTATCGTCCTCTCCTTGACGGTTCTTTCATCCCGTCCACCATTTCCTTTCCGTGGTTCCACCACTCTATGACTCGCCCACGATCAACACAGGGCTCCCAATACTCCACACCTTTCACACCGGAGTACCCTTTTCCTATGTCAATCAAATCACGACCTCGCACTCCGTGCATACGAAGACGGCCACTCGCCCGATTTCCATTTTCGATACCTCGGGGCTCCAGATACCCCATTCGAACATCTTGCCTGTACTTTGGCATCTCCTTTTCTTGAACACATTCCTTACCCTTATCGACCTTTAATCCCATTTTGGCCTTCTTTGTACAGTTTCATGGAAGATTCTTTCCTCGCTGTGCTATCATGTCTCGAGCGCGCTCTTACTAATATGCGCATTTCTGCTTTCTTCCTGTTTAATTACATCCCCTGGAATTGGTTCTTGGGGGTGAGGAGGATTGCATACCTTTTGATTGTCTCGAGACTGCAGCTGTACATACGAGGTTTCGCCGCTTATTGTCGGGAAATTCTCCCCCTGGATGTTTCCCCAGTGATTTAATGGGTTGGAATTGGGTAATCAGGAGACTCCAGTTACACATATGTTTGATTTCCTTTGTGAGAATGAAATAACTACATTCAAATCTGCCTTGCCTTGTACTCCGTAGAATGACAGTAACTATGGATGGTAGACCTGTCTGAACTGGGTCTATACTTGTTTGCCATTGCCCGGCCCAGCTGGCCCAAAGCTGTGGTGCAGAGAACCCGTTGGGGTTAGGTGCTTGAAGTATTGCTTGATGCATCAATGTTTGATTGCCAGGTGGACTGGCTCTTTCGTTTCTACTTCCTTTTTCTCGGCTCAACTCGGTCTTCCAGTCTAGCTTCGATGAGTTATCCATGGCATTAAGTAACGAGCTCGATGTACAAGTATCGTTTTGGTTTTGAGTGTCTATTGAGAAATATCACTCTCTGCAGCCGCCCAGGTGTTACCCTCTATTAGAACCTTGTCAGACAGAGGAGTCTCTGTTTGCCTTGCCAAGAGAAGCCTGGAGGTATGCTCCACCCCCAGCATTCTTGTTCAATTGTACGGGGTACGGAGTATAGTTAGCCTGGATAGAACACCGGAGGAGGGGTAGTTCAGTTCAATTCAAAAATGGCATTCTCAGAAGATGCAAGAGTATTTCCAGATTGTAGATGATAGGTATCAACATACATGTACTAGCATTGACCAGACATACTCCGGACCTGCAGATGATCGACAAACGGTGGATGTATCGTTAATGACGATGCGCGTCTGTCGTCTCCCGCGGGAATCTGATAGGCGGAGGCGGGGACGCCTATGGAGTCCCTGTCAACCCTTACTCGGCTCCCTTTTGTGTTTCATCTTTTCCTTCTTCTGTGTCCTTTGTTTCTTCTCCGAGACATTTTGCTCCTGCTCACACTCATTTAAAGACTGCGCCTTGTGGGATCCGCTGGGTCAGATATCCACTGGCTCAGATCTCACCTACACTCGTTGGCTCGATTTTTTGTGCTTCTATTTTGGTACTCTGCTGCCTGTCCCTCGCTCTAAAACCCCGTACGATCGCTATTTACAGTCATTTCACTTCGATCTGAGATCTGTGCCTTGCAACCTTGCTATACACCATCGCCCAATCGCCACATACTCGGAGTGAGACACTTAACGCTCGCCCCACTACGAACCGCGACCCGCCGTCGCATGAACTCCTCGAGTACAAGTACATTACAATTGCATCGGTGCTTTCCAGCACCTCCCTGACATACTGTGGACAGCTGCTTGATCGCTGTAATTATCGGATGATTCCTTGCGACGCACAGAGCTCATCATAATGAGTCCCGCAAACATAACGCTATGGGCGCGCGACACCACCAGCGACCTGGAGTCGATCCCGTCAACTTTCTCCAGCTGGGATAAATGTATGGCCAAATCATACTGCAAGTGAGTCTCCGACGCCGAGGGACTGATGCGCCCCATATGTGAATACATTGGCTCCCGAACTAATTTCCACAGGTGGCCAGTTATCGTCGGCATCATCGTTGGTTCGGTGATTCTTCTCGCTGTGTTGGCATGCATCTTCAATTGTCTCTGCTGCGGATACCAGTGTTGTAAATGCTGCTGTAGCTGCTGCTGTCCATCTGGAAGACGGAGAAACAAAACCCCAAAGCATTTTGATGACCCGACCTTCCATCAGCCTCCTCCGCCTGCGCCAAATCCAATCTATCAAGCGCCCCCAGCTCCTCCAGTCTATCGCGGCGCTCAGCAGACTGCGCGCTTTGATGCGCCGAAGTCACCCGCAGTCCAAGTGAATGAGGATGCTCTTCCTGAGATGCCTACGTGGGCTGGTGCCAAGGACAAGCATATCGAGGACCAGGATCACCACGAAGACGTCGAATTGGCAGCTCTGAACCCCCCAGACCGGAAGCAGGGTGCTGGTACCCCTGGCGCCGCCTATTCGGATTATTCTCCCAACCCTAGCATGGCAGGCGGCTACAGAGGCTTCGCACCGACCGACCCATACGCACGTCGGTCACCAGGCCCCGGCACCGCATTGACTCCGACCCAGGATCCATATGCGCGACGCTCGCCAGGTCCAGCGGCAGCCCTAGCCGCGACCCAAGATCCCTACGGAAGACGATCCCCAGGCCCAGGCGCCGCATTCGCCGCAGCACAGGATCCCTATGCTCGGCGATCGCCAGGCCCAGCGGCAGCCTTAGCCGCGACCCAAGATCCCTACGGAAGACGCTCGCCCGGCATCGTGCCCCCAGCAGCAGCCGTCGACCCCTATGCACGACGATCACCCGGTCCCGGACTCGCATACAGCACCCCAGACCCATATGCGCCCCGCTCACCAGGCCAGACCTCGCCCATGACCCCGCACAATCCATACGACCAGTCCTACAACGACAATTACGGCGCAGGCGCAGGTTACCACGCCGTGACCTCCCCTTCCCCCGTCGCTGGCTACAACCCTACCACGCAATACAACAACACGCCCATGGCCCTCTCCACAGAAGACCACAGCCCAACCCCAGGCTTCCAGCGCCAGCCTTCCTTCGGCTCAAGTCAATACCCACCAACCTATACATCCCAGCCTGCATACCGCGGCTATTCGCCTGGTGCTACTTCCCCTCCTCCTGCTTTCTCGGCTTCGACTACCGAGTACGCTACATATAACCCGCATAACGCTGCTACAACTCCTGAGCCGGATCATACTCGGCCCCCGAGTTTGCTGCAGAGTGGTAAAAAGCCCAATCTCAATGCCTCAAGTAACTTTTGAGTCAGCTTGAGCCTCGTAGATCGGGGATTTTTATGAACAGATGCTTTCGTTTTTCGTTTTTACTTTTCAATCTTCTGGATTTTGATACCATTCTCGGGCTGTATTTGTCTTCGTTTACTCTTACATACATACCCCTTAAGTCAAGCTTTGGCTTGGAATTGAAGACTTTTCTTTTTACCATCATGCTCTGTTATTCGGAGAAGTAAGCATGCACAGGAGCATATGGTCAAGGTGAAGTTTGTGGATGTAAATTTCCAGAGGCGGAGAGGGTCCTTTCAATCATACTTTCCCCATGCTGAATCTACATAGATGATGGAAGTGTTTCGAGAATGATTCCCATTTTGAACTCATTATTGACATACAATCATAACGTACACGCCCAAAGGGCACAACAGGCCCAAGTGAGCAGTCCAATCCATCACAGACCACCGGCAGCACGTTTGTGCACAAGACGCAAGAGCTGAGAGCACAGAGAAAACGAAGCAAGCACGAAGCGAGAGGAACGTGATGACCGTCCTTCTCAGATATCGCTCACTCTTCCATCTCCATAGTGAAGTCATGACCTTTGAATGCTTCTTTGAAGGCCTCTGCCTCCTTTGTCTCTTCTTCCTCCGTCTGTGTGCAATCCTTCCAATCCAAGCGCTTGTCTAGCAACAGCAGCTTGCCCATGACGCGACGACCGAACTGCAAATCGAACCGCGTCTCCGGCACAATGGGCATCATGGTGATCTTCTCTTCGCCAGATTCAGTCTTGTAAACGCCCTTATGGCCGTCGGCCGCCCACAGATCTTGCGCCTCGCCTTCACTCTGAGCCTCACTCTTGGCTTGGGAAGGGGTCCAGATGAACAGACGGAAGTAATCAGTCATGTTGTGCTGGTCGATTTGGTCACGGTCTGGGATGGTCTTGAATTTGTCATAGCCGAGGTTCGAGGCTTCCTTTTGGAATGCGGCTTCCACTAGACGTCCGCGGATCATCTCCACTGGCACTGGGAGGAATTGCCAGTGTGTGTGGATGCCGCCGGAGCGGCTGACTTCCCATGTCACAGCGCCAAGCTTGCCACCTGACTTCTCGTTGAGCATCTTGTGAAGGGATTCGCGGTAGCGCTGCATCTCAGCGAAGGTTGAAGCCCGAGCTGCGGGGTCGAAGATGAGGTCGATGGTGGGGGAGTGCTCGAAGGGGATGATGAGCATGTGACCTGGGAAACCAAGTGAAGGGAAGAAAGATGCTGAGGGGAGAGGGCCCTTGGCTGTAGTGATGTAGCTGTCATTTCCAATTGAAGTGACGAGATGGGTGGCGATGTTAGGGTTTGACAGACAGAAGAAGCACTGATCGGGGCCCGGCGGAGGGGCACGTTGCTTGTGGCGACGTCTGTGACCTGGGTCTCTCTCTCTGTCTGAGGGAGCAAAGCGCTGGAACGAGTCTTTCTGGCTGGGTAGGCCTTTGCGCTTGCTTTGAGCTGCAGACCAAGGGCAGATGGTACAACCGGGAGGGATGCTGAACACTGGTGGTGTCGTTGGGTCCAAGCTGAAGGCGTACAGTGCGTCCTTGCGTGATCCGTATGCGGGCAATGAAATGAAGCGTGTGATCTGATAGCCATCGCCTTCCTGTGCTGGCAAGTGGAAGAAAGGCTCGCGTTCATAGAAAGCGCCATCTGAGCTAGCGAAATGATATCTGGGCTTGATAGTAGCTGAAACATCAGCGAGACATTGAAGTTCAGATGGCAATGATGCTTCGTCTCCCGACACTGTTTGTCCCGATCCAAGGCGAACGTCTTTCGGCCATTGATTGGTCATTAGGATATCTGTTTTGTGAATGCCGAACAGTGCGCGCGCATCCGCTTCGCTGTATGTTGGCTGGAATTTGCCGCTGGCATTGCTTTCAGGCTTAGATTCCCCAGAGTCACCCAGAGTGCCGCCAAGAGTAGCGATCCGAAGACCTTCTGTGGTCTTCAAGTTCCCGCGCTTTCCCAGGAAGAACAAGTTAGGACACACTTCATCGTCGGCTTCAATTTTTTTGATCACTTGAGCAGGGAGGGGGCGATTTCCCAGACCAAAGTAAGTCGGACACGCGACCTCAATTTCTCCTTGGATCAGCGCGGAAATCTCTGCAAGCTCTTCTTCAGATGAGGCATCGCCGAAGACGTCACCGACAATCATCGCAAATGAGAAGTTTTGCTTTGGCTGAAGCTTGCCGAGTTTGGTGAAGAAAGGTCGCAGTTGGCCATTCAAAGCACCGACGACAATGCTGCATATTGGATTAGTTGCTATCATACACGTGAAATGGAGCTTCTTACCACTTGGGCGCCATTTTTTTGGTGGTAAAAGTATTGTCGCGTTTTGAGATGGATGCAAGTGATGATTGGTGTAGATGAGTGACCCAAAGATAAACAGAGATTAATGAGGGTCGCAACACGTCAACAGCCCGCCAGAAGATCAACGCAATACCAAAATACTCCAACACCAAGCTCAAATTAGTTGCACGCATCGACGACTAAGCGCAGGGTAGAACATGGTCGCCGAGCCTCTTATCGCCACGTGACCTGTATCGATAACGGCCCGGAAGAAAGAATTTCCACTCCCCAAACTTTTTTTGTATGCGAGCGCAGACAGAAAAAAAGCTACCAGCACCTTTCTCACCAAGTGCTGTCTGTCAGACTCGTCAATATGGTGGGAACAGGGTCAAAGGCAAAGCCTGTCAGGCGCCTGAAATCAGGCACCGAAACTACAAAGAACCACCGATTCGAGGGCTTCTCATCACGCATCTCGAAGCTCAAAATCGACCCGATCCACCGCGTGCGCCGAGCCAGCTTCGGTGAAGATGAAGACGAAACATCCTCATATTTCCGGTCAGCTCTGGACCATTGGTTCGAGATGAACCTCTCAGACAACTTCACAACTTTCGTACGCCGAGTCAATCCTCTGTCCGAGAGCTTTGCGCAAGTTGTGTACCACGAAGAAAAGATTATGGGACTTTTGGTGGAGTTCATTGAGAAGAGGGATCAGCTTTCCATGGAACCGTTATTAAGTCTGCTCGCACAGTTCGCTCGGGACTTGGGTGTCAAATTCGAGAAGCATTTCGCTACGGCAGTGACACTGGTGTCGTCTGTTGCGGCTACACATTCCGACATTGAGGTTGTTGAATGGAGCTTCACTTGTTTGGCATGGATTTTCAAATTCCTCTCCCGGTTACTGGTACCGGACCTGCGACAATTGCTTGGTATCATGACCCCATACCTTGGCAAGGAGCGACAAAAGCCATTCGTGGCGAGATTCGCCGCTGAGTCGATGTCCTTTTTGATTCGCAAGGCCGGTCTCACATACTACAAAAACCACGCACCTCTCGAGATCGCCGTATCATATCTTTTCGACGACATTTCAAAAACCGCCGATGATAACAAAGACACCGAGAGCTATAGGGAAGGACTTATGAACATGTTCTCTGATGCCATTAGAGGTGTTAACAATGGTCTTCACTCCAACGGCATGGACATTCTCCACTGTATCCTGCGTCAAATTCCGCCTACCAGTGATAACCGCAACGATCCCGCAGAAGTTGTATGTGGATTGATTGTCAGTCTTGTCCACGCCACAACCCCTGATACCTTCGGCCCCATCCTTGATACCGTACAGGCCTATATCGAAGAACGCTCAAAATCTACCCCCAACCCTAATCTCACAGAGTGCTCTCGCATAATTTTCCTACTTGTGACAACCCGTAAGGGTGTCAGAATCCAGAACTGGAAGATCGTTCATCAGATCCATGTGTCTCTACTTCAGCAGGTTTCAGCATCTGAAGTGTCGTCAGAAACCACGACGAAGCTTCTGACAAGCGTCGCATACGCTCTGCAGCAATCCCCAATGGATGAGCTGCTGCCATCCCTCCGCGCCATCACGGACCTGGTGTCCACTGGTCCGCTTTCAAAGTATTTCTTGTTCTTTTGCACAACATTTGCCGAGTGGGGATCCGAGCGATTCCAGAGCCTGCTTCTTTCGCCTTTCCAGAAGTTTATCAACTCATCATGGCAAAAGTCGGAGTCAGAGACTTGCTACACTTTGCTTCGTCTTCACCAGGCTGGTTGCATCACCCCCGAACCATCACAGCCTGGCTGTATCTCCTGCCCAGAAGCCTTCAAGACTCGTATCAATGATTCATTGAAATACCCGGCAAAGGATGAGGCATATTTGAATGCACTGGTGAAGCTCCCCACTGCTATTTCCGTCTTCTCCGACAATGCTACGATGGCCAAGATGGTTTCAAAGCTGCACAGCAATCTTTCTTCGGCCTTTAAGGATGGCGCTGCGGAGGGAAACAACCAGAACAAGGGTCTCATGTTCTTCCTTGGCCAAGGATTCAAAACATATGTTGAGCTTGCCAACAAAACCGGAAAGCTTGATTCGAACCTTTTGCAACCAATCATCGCGACTGCCACAAAGTTCTCCCGCTTACCGGTATTCCTGGAGGGCGCTTTTGCTTTCATCACATCACTCCCAGAGTCTGCTGATCTGGAACATCCCGCACTGGAAGCATTTGCCCAGGATCTCATCGTGAACCTGGCTAGCCCATCACACAGACTGAGACTGGTTTCTCTTCAAATCCTGAGAGAACTGGTTCTCCGCATCGCCAAAGAAGATTCCACGCCTGTCGATCTATCTATTGAGATTGAACAAAGCCCGTTGACGATGGATAGTGTGAGAACTATCTCTATGCACATCCGAAAACTCGCCCTTATCTACCCCCAGATTGCTCACCGTAGATGGATGGCCAATCTGGTTCCTTACTTCTGCTTCGGCTTGTTCTCCAAGAAATTAGCTCCGTTGTGGGACGACTCCGCTGCCACACTGAAGACCATCAGTGAGCACCCCGAAGGCGAAAAGATCGTTTCAAACTTAGCCATCCAGTGGCTACAGGAACGGGATACCGAGGCGCCCAGTGATCCCGCTGCTGCGGATGACGAAAGTTCATTCGTCAACAGTCATTTCCAATGTTATAACGTCGCAAAGGTCGAAAAGGTTCTCGCCGCGAATGCCAAGAGCACAGATAGCCCCCAGGCAGTTTTGTCGCAACAGTTCAAGCAGGACCACACTGTTGCGGAAATCATCCCCGCCACTCCACGAACCCATGCGCTGCGTGTTCTTAACGCTGCTCCTGGGGTCGCCGAGAAGCGTTCACGTCAGATTGTGCCGATGTTCCTCTCATGGGCATTGCGTGATGACCAAGATGATGCCCCTTCATCTGGCGAGGCGAAGGCCGAGCATGACGATGAGGATGAGGATGAGGAGGATGCTGAAGCTGTTGATATCGGTGACGAACAGGTTCGCTGGGGCTTCCGAGACAGACTGTCCATGCTCACTCTGTTCGCGCGCTTCCTCAATCCCATCGTGTTGTACAGAGCCCCCGAGGTTCACACAGCAATCTTGGGCCTCTTGTGTCACGGTAACTCTGAACTGCAGCGCCACGCCCTCAAGGTCTTGTTCACCTGGAAAGATCCGAATGTTCTTCCTTATCAAGAAAACTTGCTCAACCTTCTGGATGAGTCTCGGTTCAAGGATGAACTTGGTGTGTTCGTGCACGTCGGCGGCGAAGATAGCTTGATCAAGAATGAGCATCGGGACGTCCTCCTCCCAGTGCTTCTTAGGCTGTTGTATGGCCGAATGATTTCGAAGGCTGGTTCAGCTGCCGCTGGTCAAGCTGGTAGACGCAAGACCATTCTTCGCACAATTTCCCACCTCTCAGAGCAAGACTTTGGTCTTTTCATTCAGCTTGCATTCGGCCCCCTTGGAAATGTGCACCCAGTCAAGGAAAACGATGAGATTGATTATACCGCCTTTGATCAAGATCTGACCAGCCCTAAGAGACAGCTGGGTCTGCTCAAGCTTATCGATTCTGTCTTTGAGTCCTTGCAAACCCGCATGACCAAGTTTGCTCCGCAAACAATGGACGTTGTTATCTACTGTCTGGTGCGCGCTTGTCGTGCTATTTCCGCCGAGGGGACAGACGAGCGCCTTGTGGCTATTTTCCAAAGCATCCGTCAGACGTGCATTCGTTGTCTCAACCTGGTGTTTTCAATTGTCTCAGATCGAGACTGGACTCCTTATGTTCGCATCATCTTCAAGGAAATGATCGACAGCAGACTGGACCAGTTCCCCATTGAGACTGCTCAAGGTGTTTCTGGACTCCTGCGTCTGTTCCACACTTGGGCCTCGTTCCCTAGGTCTACATTCTACCTGGTGCAGCACAATGATAAGGTATTGACCAAGGTCATCGACTGTCTTGCGGTGGAGTCAGCTCGTGATGAAGTCAAGAACTTTGTGATGGATGAGATTCTTGTGCCATTGATTGAGCACTCCACTGGCAAGAAGCTACAGGAAAGCGAAGAGATGCCCGATTTCCCCGCTGAGCAGGTCAAGTCCGAGGTTCTCTCTCCCTACTTGGAACATGCCCTGTTCCACCTCGGTCGCCTCCTCAAGAGAGGCCCCTCCAAGCCTGTTCTCTACTCTGGAGTCAATGCCCTTTCTTTGATTGCTCCCTGCGTCGAGAACTCACAAGAAACTGCCAGTCTTATCAGCATCACGACATATCTGCTTCGCCAGCCACCAGACCGTGTTAGCCCCCGAACCAAGTCTGGTTTGCTGAAGATTCTTGAGCACTTCTTGCCCTTGTGGGATCCCAAGGAAGATGCCGAGCTTTCTCAGCAAGTTTTCGAGGCTGTGTGCTCAATGTTTGATTACTTCAAGGATGATTCAAACCGTGAGGTATTGTCTAGAGTCTTCACCGCTCTTGCCACTCACGACGAGCAGCTTAGAGAAGTCGCGGCTCTGTGTGAAGACTTGAATTCTCGGTCATCAAAGAGACTTGAGCCGGATTATGAGCGACGTCTTGTCGCATTCAGAAAGATCACCGATGAGCTTTCTCACACTTTGACTGCGAAGCAATGGAGACCTATTCTATACAATATGCTCTTCCATGTCAGAGATGAAGATGAGCTTTCTGTTCGATCCAGTGCCTCGTTTGGTCTGAAACGATTCATTGACAGAACATCCACCGAGCCAGATGCTGACTTCGAGATTCTCATCAATGACGTCTTGTTCCCATCCTTGCAGTATGGCATTCGCCAGAAGTCTGAACTGATCCGTTCAGAAATCGTTACAGTCATCGGCTACTTCGTGAAGCTGAACCCCACGAGACCCTCTGTGCAAGATATGCACGTGCTGCTTGTCGGCGATGACGAAGAAGCTTCTTTCTTCAACAACATTCTTCACATCCAACAACATCGTCGCCAGCGTGCCTTGCGCCGTCTGGCTGGCGATGCCGCTCAAGGCAACATTCAAGCCTCAAACCTGGGATCTATTTTCATCCCTCTGATTGAACATTTCGTTTTCGAGGATGCTGCTGATGAGAACGCTCACAACCTGATTGCTGAAGGTGTTGCAACTTTGGGTGCTCTCTCAGAATGGTTGGAATGGGGACAATTCCGTGCAAACTTCCGCAGATACCGAAGCTACATGGCGAGCAAGCCTGAGAAGGAGAAGAACATTCTCAGACTGCTCGGTCGCATGTCAGATGCCCTTTCCAGCGCCATGAAGCGTAAGAAGGCAACTATTGCCCAGAACAATGGTGATGATGGAAACGATGACAACGATGACAAAATGGATGTCACCGAACAGCCTATGTGCACGCTCGCAAAGTCTGTTCCATCGCTCGCGAAGGTTGCAACAGAGTTGACCACAAACTTCATTCCTTTCCTGACCAAGTACATTCACCACAAGCAGGAGAAGGAGATGAGTTTGCGTTTGCCTGCTTCGATCACCACGGTCAAACTTCTCATGATCCTTCCTGAGGAGGAACTGGCTATTCGCTTGCCACCCGTCCTGCTGGATGTCTGCACTACTTTGAAGAGTAAGGCACAAGATTCCCGCGATACCGCGCGCAAGACCCTCAATGAGCTCTCTCTCCTTCTGGGCCCCGTCTACTTTGGTTACATTCTCAAGGAACTCCGGAACGTTCTCGCACGAGGCTACCAGCTTCACGTTCTCTCCTTCACTGTTCACTCTATGCTAGTGTATACCACAGATCACTTCAAACAGGGAGACTTGGACTACTGCTTGAAGGATCTTGTCGCCGTTGTGATGGATGACACATTTGGCACGGTTGGTCAAGAAAAGGACGCCGAAGGCTACACCAGCAAGATGGTTGAAGTAAAGAGCAGCAAGAGTTACGACTCCATGGAGCTTCTTGCGAAGATCTCCACCATCAGCCAGCTGTCAAACTTGATCAAGCCTTTGCAGGCACTCCTGGGAGAGAAGTTGAACTCCAGTCTTGTCAAGAAGCTCGACGAGCTGATGCGAAGAATCGGCATTGGTTTGTTGAGAAACCCGGACGCTGAAAGTCGTGACTTGCTGGTCTTCTGTTACGAAGTCATCAAGGAATCCTACCGAGCAAACGCCCCAGAAGAGACCCAAGCCGCCCCCAAGTCCAGATCCGAGGAGCGTTTCCTGGTCAGGTTGCAAGGAGCGAAACGGGGCGACAACCGAGGCACAACATCCTCACACGTATACAAGCTCACCCGATTCTCTCTGGATGTGCTTCGCGCGATTCTCAACAAGTTCAACTCTCTGCTCACAGCTTCGAACTTGTCTGGGTTCATTCCCATTATTGGTGACTCGCTTGTTCAAGCTCAAGAAGAAGTCAAGGTCTCTGCCCTCCGTCTCTTGTCCACAATCATCAAGCTGCCGCTCCGAGAGATTGATGAAAACTCACATGTCTATTTCACCGAAGCGGTCAAGCTTGTGAAGGAATCTCCCAGCACCAACTCTGAGGCTGCACAGGCTTCCCTGAAGCTGATTTCTTCCATGTTGCGCGAGCGCAAGGATACCAAGCTTCGTGACGGTCACCTTGCTTACTTGCTCAAGCGTCTTGCGTCCGATATTGAGGAGCCAGATCGCCAAGGTGTGACATTCAACTTCATCCGAGCGGTCATGTCACGGAAGCTTGTTGTCCCTGAGATGTATGAGCTGATGGATCAAATTGCGACCATGATGGTTACTAACCAGACTCGTTCTGCCCGTGATCTTGCCCGGGGTACATACGTCCACTTCTTGGTCGAGTATCCCCAGGCCAAGAGTCGATGGACCAAACAACTCGCCTTCTTCTCCAAGAACCTGGACTACAAGCACCAGTCTGGACGACAGTCCGTCATGGAGGCGATGCACACTCTCCTCTCAAAGACTGGCCAGGAGCTGGCCCAGGATATCATCAGTACCTTCTTCCTGCCTATCGTGCTTGCTATGGCTAACGACGAGTCACCGGAATGTCGCGAGCTGGCGGGTACATTACTGGGAGAGTTCTACAATCGCGCGGATCGGGAGCAGATGAAGACTATGCTTACCCCATTGCGCTCATGGTTGGAGCAGACTGATAACATGGCTTTGTGCAGTATTGGACTGCAGGCCATGCGAATCTACTTCGAATCCGAGCAGACTGAGAAAGACAAGCAGGCTCGCTTTGTCATTGGTATTCTTCCGGATTTGATGCAGCCTGTGCTCGATGATACCGAGAACGGCAACTGGGAAGCTCTCTACTTTGCCTTGCAGCTCTTCACCAAGCTGTGCAAGACTACACCCACGCTCGCCCTGAGTCCTGAATGTGCCACCATTTGGTCGTCCGTTCAGGAGTCCTTGTTCTTCCCTCACACATGGGTCAAGACCTGCGCCGCCAATGTTGTGGGTTTGTGGATGGCTGATTTAGCCAAGACAAATGCCGCCGAAGGCTACGCTTCTATTCCCCTGGTTGGAAGCTCTGGGCTCGGCATGGACGAAACGACAATGCTCCGTCTTCTGCGGGCTGGTCTGCGCAGTCTGCGCACTCCAGGTATCACCGAAGAACTGGCCATGCAGAACGTGCGCAACACCGTCTTCCTTGGTCGTTGCTGCTCACAAAATGGATTGGAGCTCCCCAAGCTGGAGAGCGAGGATGTCGAATCTGAAGACGAAGACGCCGATAGTGATGCCGAGGAAGAAGAAGCCAAGGATGAGATCAAGGTCGAGGCCAACAGATCTGCCATTCACTACATCTTCAAGCAGATTTCTTCTCTTCTGCGCCGGGAAACGATTGGAGGCCGAGTACAGGCTCTCATTCCTAAGACATCATCTATCACACTTCTTGCTGCTCTGATCCGTCATGTCGACGTGGACCAAATCCGACCCTCGCTGCGTGTCATCTTGATCCCCCTGCAACACCTGACAGATCCATCCATTCCGGCTCCTCGTTCCTCGGACGAGACATTCCAGAATACCTACAAGTCTTTGGTATCCAACTGCCATGAGGTCTTGGACCTTCTCCAGAAGAAGCTCGGTCCTTCTGAGTACATTGAACAGATCTCCAGGGTCCAGGCGGCCATCAAAGAACGTCGGGAAGGACGACGCGCCAAGCGTCGTATCGACGCCGTTGCTGATCCCGAGAAGTACGGACGTGAGAAGATGAAGAAGAATGAGCGGAAGAGAGACAAGCGCCGCGAGAAGGGCTTGGAACACCGTGGAAAGAGACGCGGTTGGTAGAGAATTTGTTGGCATCTATTTGCATGTCTCATGAAATGGTGTTATGGCATATCAAAAGTGCTGGCGTTTATGGGTGGATTGAAATGTTATTTGCATTGTATATACCATCTGAACAGAGAATTCTGTACAAAATACATGATATTCTAGATGTATTCTTCTCTAAGAACCGATAGTTGACAGTTGATTAAGTCCATTTCTATTTTACATAACCCTGGGGGTATATCCTTTTTCTCATCAATGCTTGGATCCTGCCATGCTGAGTGGAGAGCCTTCACAATATTATACAGATTCAAAAGTGGCAAACCCAATATAACGACACCGTTTATGCACCAAATTCAAGCATATACATATGCACCCCATCTCAGCCGAATTAAGTCGACGGCTCATTGGAGGACCCAATCTTCTTCTCTTCCTCGGGAGACCCAAGTTTCTCCTTGCCCTCCAAGTCATAGCTCTTCACTGTGCCATCATCCCAGAACTCAAGGCTTCCATCAGTGTGACCATGAGTCAATGCCTGACCCTTCTCCTTCAACAGATCCTCAAGAGTAGTCTTCTTATCGAAGAAGACCCCGAGGTGGTCACTCATGACGTGGCGCGACTGGCATGAAGGACACTGGATAAGGACAGTTCCGCGGTGGTAGCCCTGCTTTGACATGCGATGCGCAGAGCGATGACCGCAGGGTTTGCAGGTGAAGGTAATTCGATAGGCTTCTTCGTTCTTGCGACGTTCCTGGTTCGCCGCCTCCCATTCCGCTTCTTTCTCGGTTTGACTCTTGGGCGCCTCAGTGAGTGGGCGAGGGGCGCTTGAGTTGTAACGCAGCTGGGTCTGGGTGAAAATACGCGACTGAGGGATAGTTGATGTGATAGATGAGCGGGAGCGCAGGGGTTGTGTAGAGAGGAAGCGCGAGGAGCGAGTGATGGATTGCGACAGAGCGTTGAGTGGGCGGAGCCCCGAAGTGAAAGCGCGCATGATTGTTTGTAAGAGATACCAGAGGTGCTTGAGGCTTTGAAATGCTTCAATTTGTCAACGAAGACGAATGATGCGAATATGTAGACGTTAAGATTGCGAAGATTGCAGAAAAAAAGTGAAGATCGGGGAAAACACGGCAATGACGATGGTTCGACGGAACTACTAAATTTCCGAGATGCCTCCGCGGAGAGGTTTCTCCAACTGCCACACATTTCTTGCATCTCTGACCTCGCTTCTCTTTTGATTTGCGTCTTAACATTTCTGCTTTCAAAATGGCGGCAATGAGGGCCAGGCATAAGATTCGAGCTCCGCGAAGGGTACGTCGTCCTGGCGGTGGGGTCTGATGAAGCTACTAACTATACTTCCAGGGACTCTCGCATGCGAAAACCGATGACTTCGACAGCATCTGGGACGTTCTTTCAGTTTCCCTGAATGAAATAAATACGAAGAATGCCTCCTCCCTCTCCTTCGAAGAATTGTATCGCCACGCCTACAAGATTGTGTTGATGATGCGGGGTGATGAACTCTACGAAAAGGTCAAACAACTGGAGCAGAGCTGGCTTCAAAGTAATGTTCAGAAACTCATTACCGAGTCAATCTCTGTGAGTCTCTTGCGGACGCAGAATTCCACCGATGCTCAGGATCAATCGAGCGAGAGGCGGGAGGCCGGAGAGAAGTTCTTGGCCGCTTTGAAGGATGCTTGGGAGGATCATCAGCTGTGTATGGGCATGGTGACAGATGTCATGATGTACATGGTAGGTGGAATTTTTGGAATAATTACCTTGTGGTGATTGCTCACATCTCAATGCAGGACCGCATGGTAACCGCAAGCCATACCAAGCCATCCATCTACGTTACTTGTATGGCACTATTCCGCGACAACATCCTCCAATCATCCGCCCGCCCTGACTCTGGTCTCACCGTCGGAGACATGCTCAAATCAACTATACTGTTCATGATCTCACTGGAACGGTCTGGCCACATGGTTGAACGGCCTCTCATTCGGCATTGTATTCAAATGCTGGAGGGACTTTATGAAACTCCGACGGAAGAGGAGAGCTCAAAACTCTACCTGACCATGTTTGAACCAGCCTTCCTCGAGGCAAGTAAGGAATTCTATGAAGCAGAGGGCCAGCGTTTGTTACAAATCGGCGATGCTACTGAATTTTGTCGAATCGCTACCCAGCGGGTTAGTGAGGAACAAGAACGATGCCGCTATACATTGGCAATCGGAACAGAACCCAAAGTTCTCGATTTGCTCGACGACCAGCTAATCCGCAACAACATCGAGGAAGTTGTCAATCTCGAGGGGACCGGTGTGAGACACATGCTGGACCACGATCAACAAGAGGGGTTGCAGAACGTCTATTTGCTAAATTCCAGAGTAGACAAGAAGAAGCAAGCTTTGACAAAAGTGGTCAACAAGCGAATTGTGGAGATGGGCAAAGAAATCAACAACTCGTCCATCGTGTTGCCCCAAGCCCAGACAACAGCCCCGTCGACCGAAAAGGACGGCAAAGGTGAAAAAACGACAGACAAGGGAAAAGACAAGGCAAAGCCCCAGAATCAGCAAACGGTCTCAGCTATTCGCTGGGTTGATGATATCCTTGCCCTCAAGACCAAGTTTGATGGCGTCTGGGAGAAGGCATTTGCATCTGACCAGGGCCTCCAAGGCTCTATCGGGGCCAGTTTCTCTGAGTTTATCAACATGAACTCAAGAAGCTCCGAGTATCTGTCACTTTTCTTTGACGAAAACCTCAAGAAGGGAATCAAGGGAAAGACTGAGAATGAAGTGGACGCTCTCTTGGACAATGGCATTACAATGCTACGATACATCAAAGACAAGGACCTGTTCGAAACGTACTACAAGAAACATCTGTCCCGTCGTCTGCTGATGAAGCGATCTGCAAGCATGGACGCTGAAAGACAGATGATCTCAAAGATGAAGATGGAAGTCGGAAATCAGTTCACACAGCGCATTGAAGCCATGTTCAAGGATATGACTGTGTCAGAAGACCTAACAACCAACTATAAGAAACACGTTTCTCTGAATGGTGATCCTGAGCAAAAGCCAGTGGACCTGGAGATCAGCGTTCTTACCAGCACGATGTGGCCGATCGAGGTCATGTCCCAGACAAGAAGCGGAACGGTTGTGTTGCCGTGTATTCTACCCAAAGAGGTTGAGACCCTCAAGTCAAGCTTTGAGCGGTTCTACCTCGACAAGCACAGTGGCCGCAAACTGTCATGGCAAGCCAGTATGGGAACTGCAGACATCCGAGCCACTTTTGTCCGGGCCAATGGCAAATCCCAGCGCTACGAGCTCAACGTATCCACCTTTGCCATGGCTATTTTGCTTCTTTTCAATGACATTCCAGATGGGGAGGCTCTCACATACGATGCGATCAAGGAGCGTTCTCGGATTCCCGATCACGACTTGATTCGGAACTTGCAATCACTAGCAGTTGCACCGAAAACCAGGATCTTGTTGAAAGATCCAATGAGCAAAGATGTCAAGCCAACAGATAAATTTACCTTCAATCGTGACTTCTACAGTCCGTTCGTGAAAGTGCGCATCGGAGTGGTCAGCGGTAGCGCCAACAAGGCCGAGAACCAGGATCAGCGCAAAGACACCGAGAAGAAGATGAATGACGAGCGTGGTGCTAGTATCGAGGCCGCGGTCGTTCGAATCATGAAGTAAGCAATGCTCCCTGTGAGGACAACTCCGACAAAAGCTAACATCTCCCAGACAACGCAAAACCCTCGCTCATGCTCAACTGATGACCGAAACACTGTCTCAGCTGGCTGTACGCTTTGTTCCGGACGTTAACATGATTAAGCGCCGCATCGAGAGTCTCATTGACCGTGAGTACCTGGAGCGAGTGGGCGAAGATCCGCCTACCTACGGGTACGTCGCATAGACATCAGCCACACTATGTTTTGTCTTTACGATCTGTCTTTACGATCTTACGATCCTCGCATTGGTGGTTGAAGTAGTTCTCGTATTTAATCTGAGCTTAGCGATTGGCGTCCTGGGAACAGAATCACAATGATACCAAGCAATCATTTCCAATTGCCAAAGGCCTAACCAGCCATGTATGAGTATAAGTATAAGTATGAGCATGAGTATGAGTACACCATCCAACGCCAGCAATGAAGCAATGAATAACCAAGTCCGCTATGAATCCAACCATCCCATATTTCACAATTCCCAAATCATAATAATTCCACCTCCCCCCTCCCCCAAGCCTTCTTAACCCCCTCCCACCTCACAACCCAAACATCACCCATCCGCATAGTAACACCAACATCCTCATCCCCCTCCTCCAACAAAACAGGCACCTCCTCCCCAAGACACCTAACAAAAACAACCTCCCTCATCTCCGGCCCCTGAATCATACTCGTCCCACCCGCATTATCATCCAACCTCCTCAGCTGCCGCGGAAACGCCCCCATAAACGATCCCCCATAATGCCCCGCCAACAAAGTCTGATGAGCATGTAAAAACGAAGCCTCCGCCTCCGAAAGCGGCGCCAAATCACTCGACGCCGAAATCTCCGGAACCGAGTCCTCAGGCTGCTGATTCTGCTGCGACTGAGACTGCGACTGCGATTGCGAGAGATCCTTATCCCTCGACGCAATCTGCACCAAATAATGCATACTGTATTTAGTAACCTTCGCCAAACGCACACGTAGCAAGCTCCGAATTAAATATTGGGTGCGAGCGAGATCGGTTTGTAGAATCGAGAGGCGGAGGTTGAGATTCGGGTTATGCGTGTGTGTGACGGTAGTATCGCCCGAGCTCGCAGCTAGGTCTTCGATTGTTTCGATCTGGGGGTATCTTGGTGAGCAAGGTGCTGGCGAGCGAGTATTTTTGTGGAAGAATTGATATGATTTTACCTGATTGCGCACGCGATCCATCATGCGCTCCATTAGTGGTGCGGGCCATGGGAGGACTTCGGAGACGGCGCGTTCGGATACCCAGAAGCGGGTTAGGAGCTGGTGGTCTAGGGCTGTGGACTGTGGGCTTGCGCCGGGTCCGTGGTCGACGGAGGCGAGGATGTCGTCGATGTCCATGGTCGCGGAGGTGGTGCTGGGTTGGTGGTTGGTGCTGGGTGGTCCCGCGATGTTCGGGTCGGTGCGAAGTGCGAAGTGCAGAGGCGGAACGAAAGTTGCGATTGGAGCGCGGTTTCGAGCTTTGGGTGGGTTTTTTTGGGACTTCCTTGCGTTGATTTTGTCTTAGATTTGGAATTAAATTGCCAATCGCTGGTAGGATCTGAGATCGGTGTAGTTGGATCGTGTGATCGGTGTGTTCGACTTGGTCTACATCGTACGGAGTATACAGATAAAGAACTGTAAGATTTACTTCTGCAACAGTGATACGGCAGTCAAACAGTCAGGATATGTTATTAGAGAGAGAGAGAGAGAGAGAGACAAATGTACGAGATAGCTCAAAATCCATCGCCTCGAGTCGCTTTTCAACCGGAGCTGGAGACATGCACTCAGAGCTTCAAAGCCAAACCGTGTGCAGCATTATAAAAAAGAGAATAAACATCCACCCATGCGGGTATCCGAGATAAAAAAAAATCGAAGGAATCATAAAACCAAGTATCGCGCCAGCAGATAACGCCGTAACCCATTAGCTTCCAGATACTGTCGGGTGCCCAAAGCGGCGCTCATTAAGCCTTGAACACCGCGATGCCGATGCGCTTATCTAGGCCTTGTTCGCCGGAGGCGGGCCAGGAGGGGGCGCATAGCCACCACCACCGTACGCATTCTGAGGCTGTTGCAGCTCGATGCCTTGTTGCTGGGGCGGGGCGTTCTGGGCGCCGAAGTAGCCGTAGTTCTGAGGGTTTGCGGAGTATTGGGGAGGGGAGTTTTGCTGGTAGAATGGGTCGCCGTAAGGTGGTTGATGCTGGCCGTAGATAGGCTGGTTTGGAGGAGGGGGACCGGGAGGAGGAGCCATCCATCCGGTTCCTGTGAGAGGTCGTTGGCCGTGGCTGCGGCGGCGGCGCGCGTTGAAGCACCTGCGGGCGGTTAGAACCATATCTAGTGGATATGCGCTGAAAAGAGCGCTGGGAGAGAATACTCACGCGAAAGAGAAGAAGAGCAGGAATGCCACGCCGACAATCACAGCGAAGGCTACCCAGCGACCCCAGGAGTCCCACGTTGAGTAGCAGCCATCGCCGGAATAGCCGTAGCTGGAGCAGTTAGTATTGAGCCAGCGGAGTGTGATTTGATCGACTCACCAATATCGAGCACCAATAACACCCATGACTGACAGATGTGAAAAAGAGAAGAGGAAATGTCGAAGATCAAGATGTGTCGAGCAATGTGCAATGGGGGCTGGGAGGCGGTGGGTCCTTGGCAGTTTAGGCTGCAGTTGAAGTGTTTTTCCCAATTTGCTGGTCTTTTTGTATGGGATGAAGATGCAATATCTCTGCAGTATCTGCACAGTATTTGCAATTATTGAGCTGGACAAAGATGAGTTATGGAGTATGGTCTATGGAGTATAGAGTACAGAGTACATCGAGCACAGAGTTCCTTTATGAATCACGATCTACGACGCTGCGCCACAGAGCCCACCAATGAAGATCCACTTGCTGCGCAGGGCTGACAGGGCAAATGAGAAGAGCGTACGAATCTAAAGCGTATAGCGTATAGTAAGGTATCGCGTGTCATCGAGGCTGTGCATGGGTATTCGGCATGAAAGAAAAAAAAATGTGCCTGCGCTATGCAAAAAAAAGAAGAAGACTCTATATACTCCGTAATCCCAATTTGACTCAACCCTCACAGTCGATCAGTGTAGATCGGTGCTCCAATGCAATCTATCATATGTCAGCAACCTTGTAAAACACTTCAAATGTAGACTCAGTACGTATAAATTCAACCTAGACACATACCGGAGGAATTGGAGGTGGCGGCACAGCCGGCAACGCCGTAATAGACCCATCGCTCCTAAGATCCAAACTCGCCTCCCGCTCACCCACCTCTTCATCCAGCGTCATCTGCACCGAGAGAACATGGATGCGCGGCGACATTTCCGGCTTCACCTTAAAGGAATGCGTCGGCAGCACGTCAAAGGTTTCCTGCACCCACGACATCTGTCTCTCCAAATCCTGGCCCTCCCCGGACCCGGGACCCTCCTTCTCCAGCGTCGTTGATGATTTCGTGCGGAAGATGCTACTGGGCCACTCTTTCGTCTTGATGGGGCGTGCGCAGCAGGTCGCACTACGGGATACGCTATCCCAAGCCTCGACGACGCGGTCGGTCTTGAGGAATTGGGAGATCTGGTCTTTCATCGTGTCGAGGCCGTTGAGCTGGTCGTGGGTCTCTTGTCGGGCTTGTGTGGGTGATTTCACCATTGATTGTCTGGTGCGTGGGCGGGGGGTTGTGCAAAATGCTCGGAGTTGTTCGATTGAGATGCTGCGTGAGGGTCGGAGTGGTTGGGGTGCTGTTTTGGGTCGTTCTTGGAGGTCGAGCTTCTCGCTGGTGGCTCGTTTGAGGAATGGTCTGGATAACCTTCGCTTGAGTTTGCCAGAGGTTGATGGGAGAGGTGGTGGCTTTTGGTCTGCAGTGGCTTCTGGCATCAGAGCACTGCATGATTTGGCTCGGTTGAGGATTTTTCGAGCATCAGGAGTAGCTGGGTTGGGTGTTTCTGCTTGATCTTTAGATGTAGCTGGAGGGTTCTCTGGCTTGGACGTCGTAGGGGTCCTCTTTGGCCGGGAGAGTGGATCGCGTGGTAGAGGCTTCTCTGGGATAGTCGATGATCTCCTCTCGAACAGCTTTTGTTTGATGGACTTGTTTCGACTGGCAATCTTGTTGCTTTGTTTGATGAATGATCGCTGCTTGGGTTAGTATGGGCAAGTTCTCTCGGCTGATGATTCCCTTGGATCAACTCACCACATCCTTTCTACTCGCAACCCCAACACGTCGCTGCATTTCCGTAGTCGCCAACCCAAGTTGGCTTAGAGCCTTCTGCAGAGCAGTGCCCTGTCGTCGGAGCTTGGAAATAGCCACGATCCAGCCTTCCATATTATCCATCATGGCCTGGTAAAAGGCCTTGAGGCTGTCTGAAGCAAAACAACCCCCGTTACTCAATTCCTTGAAAAAGAACCACAAAGCTCCCATCGCCTCCTTGGCCTTTTGCAGATCCTTGAGGGCGTCCGTGATCGCCAGGGTAAACCGATCAATGGAGTGCTCGATCTGATCATTATAGGCAACGATGGACAGACGGAAGCTCCGATCTACCAGCATCTCGTCAAAGACCTCCAGATTACCCAGCGGCAGACTCAGGTATTGGATGCGCGTGCGAACATCCAGTCGCACGATCAACAGATCCTCCGTCGTCCGCTCCAAAAAGCCATCTAATTCATTGACATGATTCTGGAGAATCTTCATCACCGAAGTCTCAGACCTTGCGAGACCTTTCGCTAGCAGATGCACTCCGAAGATCATCTGAGAGATCAATTTCCAAAATGGATGATACCTGCACGGATCGATTAGCCGATGAGCACGGGGATGCCATCTGCACGAGGCTCTGCTCACTTTTCAGATTCCCTTTGGCGCCATCTCCTCCCACAGAGGCGCTCGTATTGGTCATTTTCTAACAAGTCGCGCCGTCGAGTCTGCGCGTCAATGGTCACGACTCTGTCATTTTCGGGATCGTCGGTCTCGACTATTGACTCTTCAAAGGGGCCTTGGAGCTGAGGGATCGGATGGGATGGATATGTGCTGGACTCCTCGGCGACTGTATCCAGCTTGGAAGCGCGCTCGGGGACAGGGGTTTCCGCGCCCATGATCTTAGATCTATACTCTGTACTCCGTAGGGCGGGGCGACAGTGAAGTGCAGATAGTGCCGGGTAGTGTCGAGTAGGATGTGACACGTCCAACAGGAGCCAATTCAAGCTTAAATTGAATTCAACGGTTTTCCCGGGAGTTCGAATTCAAATTTCAAATGTAAATCGCGATTCCAGTTCCAATTCATAAGGATGATGGTCGGGTATAAAATCACGCCGCAATAGGCATGGCTGGGATGTCGGGGCTGGCGTATGCAAGGTTACTTCTATATTGGAACCAATTTTCTCAAATATAGGATAATTTTGAAGATCCAGGATGTTCAAGGAATCATAAAGGGCCAGAATGTCGGGTGTCATGAGTTGTGTGGGTTTCACTTGTGAGACAGATCGAGATCAAAGAGAAACGGCTCCGGGGAGGTCTCTTATGGGGAACAAAGAACCGGTCAGAGCGTGTACGAGGTGTAATATCGGGGCTTATGCCATGAGAGGGCGTTTCCCCTCCAAATCCCTAATTTCTAATCTTTTTGTGCCCCGATTCTTCCTTAAATTACCTTGTAAATTGCCCTGGGATTTTTATGGGTCGGGTAATACGTGGGTGGGCCATGGCTGTCTTGTCCATGCTGGCAGTACAGTTTTTTCCCGCTTGACATGACCTCCCGGGGCCAATGAAACCAATGCAAATGTTTTGAATCGGCGAAATGAGAAACCCAAACCGTGTTCGAGAATTGGGCTGGGACGATCGTGTGGTCTAAGACCGCGGAAGGCTGACGGCTCAAGGGGCTGATGCTAATTTCGGTCTCGAGTTTTTCCGATTCTCACACTCCCCCTCCCCAGGGGCATGCGAATCTGGGATAGTATATGCATGTACTATACAAGATACGAGCGTGCAATATATTGACTCAAGGGTGTAAAACTTTTGAATATTGCATGTTGACCTTGACCTTGGATCTTTGGGCACTGCGGTCAACTCCCGAGGGACTTCGACGCCACGTCAAACATGACGAACCGAACTTATGCGAAGGGTCAATCCACGCATACACAATGAGAATTGTCCGCGGTCTGTTTCTAAATATATGCGTGATCAAAGTGGGAAATGATAGGCAAGTCTATCGCTTCGCGGACTATTAAAGATCGTCAGCTCTAGAGATTCTGGTGAGCAACCCTGAAACTTTTCCAAGCACGGAGCATGGGATACTCGTGCTCTGTCCTACAGTTCCTCGATATTTGAGACTAAGGCTCTAACGCCTACCAAGTGGGTCGGAATTTTTAAGAGTTCGATCTAGCACTTGGACTTAGTTACTAGTATTCCTCGCTCCGTACTTGGTACGAAGTATAAGACGAACCAATCCTGGATGTTTATTTGGCTACAGTAGATCTGACAGCCCTAGAAGAGCGCTGAGTAAACACACTGAAATTCATCCGGCGTTCTAGCTACTCCATATTCGGTGGATTACTTGCTTCGCGGAGACCTCGGGCTACAGCAGGGATTTCCACTACCAAGCCAACAATCGAGAGAAAGAGGTTCGGGACCTTGGCAATGAAGGTGTTAGGCCAAATTTGACAAAGAAATGACTGAGAGTCTAATTTGCCTGATCCTTGACCTGTACGGAGTACGGAGTAGGGACCATACGTCTGCCCAGGTGCTACCTAGTGGGCTATGAGCCAAACTCAAAAATAACCCTGGAGGCATATGCTTCATTTCTGACATATTTTGCCCCAAACTGTGTACAGTCGTTTGTTGTAGTACCCTTGAACAGTGTCTGAAACCTTTTAGTTGGAGTCGAGGCTGTCGTAGCAACCCTTGGAACCAGGAAGATAAAACATACCACGTATGATTCGAGTATGAGATGGCTGTTCGCTCTTTGTTAGATCCATGGAATCAATCCAAACTTGCATCAATCCATAAGGGTACACATAGTATAGAAAAATAAGTTTCAACTACAGACGTCCATCGTTTCCTTCTTCTTCCAATGCTGGTGTTGGATAGAATGTGATCGGCTCTGGTATATTCGAACACCATTTCGTTCCGGGTTTGAATGCACTTGGAGGGCGTCAGCCAGAGGCTGGAGCAAAAAAAAAAAAAAAAAAAAAAAAAAAAACATTAACTCAGGAATAGACTAGTATTTCGGTAGAGACATAGGTCTACGAGAGCAATGAAGCACTTGCTGACCTGAGAAATTTCGGATGAATATTTCTCTGAGATCAACCTGGCTGTCTATTTCGAGAATTGCATCCGACCCCTAGGGCTGTTCTTTTGAAACCCTTGGAATAAGCTGGACCAAATGAAAGCACAAAAATATCGCCAAGCAGATCTGTGGCTCTAAGGTTCTCCAAGAGCTCTAGGCACACATACCAATCCACGAGATGATCGTGAATTTTGACCAAAAAGTATATGCATGAAACGAGCACCGGGTGAGACTACACAACGGGTGCTGGAGGAGGTTTCCCACGTCCAGTACGGTGTCTGCATCATTTTTGGAACTTCGAGCTGTTAGCAGGAGCGAATCAACTGTGATGTTGAACTCCAGAGCAATATGGTGGATTATATTCCCTGCGAGAGTGTAGTAGGTGTGCGGTCCGCCTTTGACGCAATCAGTCCCGCGCGACGGGTTAAAAATGAGACATGCCGAGTTGTCGGGTTGACATACTTTTAGGGGAATGAGAAGCTCCTCTCCTGCGGTTGATTGGATAAATGCGTCTTGCGGTTCAGACGGGCGATGTTGCAAATGCTTCGGTTGATGGTTGACAAGATGTTGACTATCATGTCGCCCTCTTGGCCTTGTAGATGCCGACAGTGGTGTTTAGATGAGTGGAATCCCACAACTCTATGGTGTTTGGTGTATGGAAGTGAGAGGCAGCAATTGACCAATCAATGCACACCTGGAAGGGTCGAAAAGCGCAAGATGATGGGTAAGGATGAACACACTCGTGAGAGAAACTTCGATCTTTGCTCCCAAGGTCTCAAGGTCGAGCATATCAATCGTATATTCTTCAATGCCGAAAGACTTCGATGCATATCTCTTGCCATATGCGAGACAATTTTGCATTGGTACACACCACCACGGCTTTAACATCTCCACCCGTGACGCTTCACACCGGAAATAGTGTGCACTTTTGACGTCTGCACTGTTTCACGACCCGAACCCGAGCATGCAGGGCGACGCGTAGGCGTGCAATTGGGCAGTTGTTATCAGATCCAAGTAAGACCCCCCTATTGATCATTCCAAGTCCGAGGAGCCAACGGCTCCAAGTCCCGAGGTCGCAAGGTTGTGCCCAATCCAGAAATCAAGACCGGGTATATCCTCGGCTGTTGATCCACTCTGTGAATTGAAGAAATAGAAATATATGCAATATGCAGGAACAAGGGGGAATTTTCCCAACTGCCGCGTCTTTCTGCAAGGCTGCATGGCTCGGGGTGGAGCCGACCTTAAACGTGCAGATCGCCATGGGGTTGCCGAATGCGGGAACCCAGGCCGACTACCCCCGAGGTATAGCATCATGGTCCACGACGACTGTACATTGGTTTGTATGAGACCAGTAGTCCATGCTGTTTCCAATACAATGGACGCCAAGAACAAGACGAGGTATATAATGGGATCGTCGACCCTTCATTCCTATTCTTCAGGTCTTTCATTGCTTCGCCTTCTCTGGATCTACTATGGCTCCTCTTTTGAACACCCTTGCCGCTCTGGCCCTGGGTGCTGGTGTTGCCCAAGCCCAACTCTGGGACAAGGTTATTCAAACCTCCTATGGTCCCGTTGAAGGCTACCAATACTTCAACCAGTCGACCTTGGACAAGTACTTTGACGGCGCCGAATCGAACGTCGCCGCTTTCCTGGGCATCCCTTTCGCTGCTGATACCGGATATCAGAACCGATGGAAGGCACCTCAGCCCCGTGAAAAGTGGAACGGGACTCTGAAAGCTACCAAGTTTGGTCCTGCCTGTCCCACCTCCTCTCAGTCCTATATCAGCGAGGATTGTCTGAGCCTCAACATCTGGACCAACGCTAAGACGGCCAGCGACAAACTCCCCATCATTGTTTGGAACCAGGGCTCTGACGAGACCAGTGATAATCCTTGGTACTATGGTGGTGGTATGGCATTGAAGGATGTCATCCTGGTCAGCTTCAACCGTCGTGATGATGCGTTTGGCTATCTCGCTACCCCGGAGCTCAATGAAGAAGGTTACCAGGCCACTGGCCATCAAACCTCTGGAAACTACGGTATCCTGGACCAGCTGGAAGTCCTTAAGTGGGTTCAGAAGAACATCGCTCGATTTGGTGGTGATCCTGATCGTGTCACTGTTGCCGGTCAATCCTTCGGTTCCTCTCAAGTCTACCATGCGGTCAACAGCCCTCTGTTCACTGGGTACTTCCACGGCGGCATCTCCCAGTCCGGTATCAGATACCCCTACGACACCATGCTCGCGGGCCTTGCCACTTCGTATGTCAACATGTCCACCGCCATCTCGAACAGTGCCGCCTACGTCAAGTCTCACAACGTTTCCACAATCGCGGAAATGCGTACCCTCTCCATGGAAAGCTTGATCGAAGGCGCCTCGGACCGAGTCACCAACAGCTCTATCTGGTGGGTCACCGCGCTCTCTGCCGGCTATCCTCTGATCTTCAAGCCCGTTCTTGACGACTACGTGCTGCCCTCTACATACATCGAGACGTTGATCAACGGCCCTGCCAACGATGTCCCCGTCATCACCGGTAACACGAAAGATGAATCCGGCGCCTCCCCCAGTACCGACTACACCGTCGCCGAATACGAGTACTACTGCGGACTCAAGTATGGTAACTTATCCACCGAGTACTTCAAGCTCTACCCAGACCACAAGAACAGCACGATCGCCTCTCGCGCCTGGAATGCCGCCGCGCGCGATCTCTCGCTCATTAGATCTTGGGCCTATGCGACAGACTGGTACAAGTCTGCCACTTCAGACTTCTACACTTATTACTGGACTCACGCGCCCCCGGGCCAGGACCAAGGTGCTTTCCACCAGTCTGAGATCATGTATGCGCTCAATGCTCTGTACGCTAATGGCGAGACCTATCCCTTTACCGAGGTCGATTATGAGATCCAGGAGCACATGTCTGCGTACTGGGCCAATTTCGCCAAGACCCTCAACCCTAACAATGGTGGCTCTTACAATGGAAGCAAGACTTTGCCGCGCTGGAGTCCGAACAGTGCCAACGGTACTCAGGTCGTTATGGAGCTGGGCAATCAGTTCAAGAATGTGCCTATTGCTAAGCCCCGACAGGTGAAGTTTATGATGGATTACTTCCATCAGCAGGTGCCTTACTAGGTGGAGAGATTTGTATAGATAGGGATCTGAACCATAGAACTGAACATGTAGTGTTTGGCTCAGAGTCGGTGGTTTCTTGTTCCATGGATGTTCACAAAGCTACCAAGGTCCACTTGCCAACTGTATGACCTCAACATTCAAGATCGATAAGAATGTATTGATTAGCTTGATCTGTTCCAAAAACGACAATCACAGTACTTCGTAACACACAGTAAGAGGTAATATACACCTTCCTGCTTTATCGCATTGGGTACTTTGAAGGTTCGTATGGGGAACCGGGCTAGGGCAGGCTAGTCTAGACCAGGAACTATACAACTTGACAATCTGTACGCAATACTCCATCTCCACAGTAAGCGCATAGACAGTGGGGTCCCGCTCTGCGCGCAAAGACTGCCCTTGCCAAGCGGGAATCGCCCGCTGATCGGAGGGGTAACCCACTCCGATCTCAGCGCTCTAGGCAACCGAAATTCCACCTTTGAACACAAAGCAGCCACTCCTTCCTTTCATCCAACCCATTGCGCATCATGGTCGCCGAGCACATCACTCTCCGCAACAACACCTCCACTCCAATCGTCCTGAAGCGCATTGAGCGTTTCCAGGCCCCGGAGAAGGGAGGATTCGATGCCTTCAGCACAATGGCCAAGAATCTCACCCAGGTCCTAACCAACCAAACCCGCAGCGACTCCGTCGCTGCAATCGACCACGAAAGCCGACCCTTCGAAGAGAAAGACGTAGGCATCCGCGTGGAGCCATTCACAACGAAGAAAACCGATCTACGCTCCTTCATAGACTCCGACAAAGAGCGCGCACGTCTCATCTTCGAAGCCGAAGGCCAAAGATACCAGATCCAAGCCCCGGTCCCAACCACCGAATCAGAGACCATGAAACCACTCTGCGAGAACCCCAAGTTCCGCTTCACAGGAATCTACGTAACCCCCGAAGCATTCCTAGCAGTCTTCTCATCCGCGAATCTAAACGCCTGGATGCGCGAATTACGCGACGACACCCTCCTATCCGCCCTCTCAATCCCGGGAACCCACAACTCACCCACATGCCACATTGCGCCGCCATCAGTGCGCTGCCAAGCGGTAAGCCCTAAGGAGCAGCTCGCGAACGGAGTGCGGTTCTTCGATATCCGCGTCCAGCCCCAGTACCCGGATCACGCAGATAGGCACGAGTTGATCCTCGTGCACAGCGTGTTCCCCATCTCTCTCACGGGAAACAAGTACTTCCACGACCTCATGAGCGAAGTCGACGACTTCTTACAGCGTAACCCGTCCGAAACGCTGATCATCTCTGTTAAGCGCGAGGGCGCAGGTGAAGCAACCGACGAGCAACTCTCTCGCATCTTGCACGACCACTACGCCAAGGCTGATAGTCGGTGGTGGGTTCGACCCAAGATCCCGACACTCGGCGAAGCACGCGGGAAGATCGTTCTGCTGCGTCGGTTCAACCTGGCCGAGAATCTGAAGCACGAGCACGGGGGTAACGGGTGGGGAATCGATGCAGCTTCGTGGGCAGATAATACCGCGCATGCGGTTTGTCCGAGTGGACAGCTTTGCATTCAGGATTTCTACGAGGTGCTTGAGAGCATGAATATTGAGAAGAAGGTTCAGTATGTTTCTGAGCAGATTGATCGGGCGAGCTGCTGTCGGTATCCGTTTGGTGTTCAGCCTGATGCGAATGCGACGAAAGCGTTCCCTTTCTATATCAATTTCTTGAGCGCGAGTAATTTCTGGAAGACGAATACTTGGCCTGAGAAGGTGGCTGGGAAGGTGAATCCGGCTGTTGTGGATTACATTTGTCGGAGGGGGAAGGAGCATGATGCTGATTGTTCGACGGGGATTCTTGTTACGGATTGGGTGGGTTTGAATGGGGATTGGGATCTGGTGCGTTGCATCGTGGGTATGAATGCCAAGTTGCGCTTGAGAGAGAATTAGCATCGTCATACTCTGTGCTTTGGGAAGGCAATTTGTCAATTATGCGGAAGCCATGGTTCACCATCCAAGGATGGGCTGGTTTATGAAAGAAGCAAGTTCAATACAGCTGTAACTTTGAATGGAAATGACCCAAGTGTTGATATTCCAAGTATACATTGATCTTTAGATGGTTGATGGGGTTGAAGAAAAGCGCAGAATATGATGTATTATACAGGAAAATGAATCAAGTCGAGCATGGCCGGATTTAGGATGACTCGCTCTTGTCACCCTCTGGTCCCTTCTGCTCGTCTTCCAGAACACTGCGTCGGCTCTCCAGGGTAAAGTACACGCTCTTTCCAGCTCCCTCCAGAGTGGTAGCCACGCTGGAGCTCATGCTCTGCAAAGCAGTGACAAGCTGGGAGCGGAGACCATCCATACCACCCTCGATGCTACCAACCCACTTAGTCTGATCGATATCAAAGACCTTGTTGTCCACACGGGCAGCCAGCAAGTTAATCTTGCGCAGACCGTTCTGGACAATGGGGTCGTGGTAGTCCGGGTTGGCCTTGCGGGTAGGGGCAGGGAAGCCGGCTTCCTTGGGGGTGAGGATGGACAGGGCGGCCTTCATGTGCTCGGGCGAGACGGTGGGGATTGAAAGAATGGCAATGGGACCGACGAGAAGGGGGGAGAGCTCGTGCATGCCCTTCGTGTCCTTGACCGCAGCGTGGGCAGTACGGGACAAGTCGTGTGTCAGGGCAGGGTCATCCTTGGAGCCTGAGACCGCGGGGAGCTCGGCGGAGGTCTGTGTCACGGGGTCGACTGCGCTTGGGGCCTGTCCTGAGGCCAGCGAGGCATTGTTGGGCTTGAAATAATCGACTATACGCACGGCGACCTCGAAGATGCTGGTTTGGATGGTCTGGATCTTAATATAGGGAGCGATTGCGGGAGCTGTGCGGCCTTCAGCTGCGATCTTGTCGTCGACCTTCTTCAGGGCGTTTGCTAGTTCGCGACGGATGGCAGCCCATTCCATGGACTTGAGGTTGTGGTGTTGGAACAGCACGATGAGAGGAGATGTGCGGAGAAGGGAGGTGTATGACCGCAGGAGCTGCGACCGGCGGTATTCAGGGTTGCGGTGCGAGGGCGGTTGGGTAGGAGGGGATCTCGAGATCGGAGCTGGTGAGCGTGTCATCTGCTCAATGGAAGCAGCTGGCGTGATTGCCGGAGCAGCGCTGCTTGCGCTCCTGGCAATTCGGAGTTCATATTGGCATCGAGGGAGTTGGTGTGGCAGCGCGGCGATTCTTAACCGGGGAGGCATTTTGGGAGTCGAATTGGGATAGCCGGGGTATCGACTAGTAGGTGGAAGCTGGCCAAAAAAGATGATAGACGTCGTCCAATTAATGCCGAGAGACGCAAATCGGAGTGATATTTTTTGTTACCCAAAAGGGAAAGGCGTGACCCGAGGCGGTGGAGAGTTTTGCCGTTCATACAAGCCTGACTCACGGCGGGGTTCAGCTCGACTTACATGCTGACCTGTGTTGATTCTGTGTTAATTATCGAGATTCTGAACCTGCAATTATTGTTATCATGACCTCTACGCCAAACTCTCCCCCAGCTCAGGAGACAATCTCCATTGCTCCTCTGCTCCAGCGCCTCGCCTACCCTCACCCGGACGGCATACAATTTAGCGCCGAGAAGGTCGCTGCTGTCAGCGCAGAGGAAATTGCCTCCGCATTTGCTCTGATTTTTGAGAATGCACTCTCACATATCCAGGCAGCTGCACTTCTGACTTTGCTACACTCAACCGGAAAGGACAGGCAGGCAGATGTTATCGCCAAGTGCTCTCAATGTATGAGGGACGCCGCGAAGCAAATCCCCAAAGGTCCCCTCAAGCAGATCATCAAGTCCCGCGGTATCAAGGAGGGAAACTACAGGGGTGGACTTGTAAGAGTTTCCGCGTGAACCTGTGAGACAATCTAGCAGTGCTAACGGGTTGCCATGTGCAGTGCGATATTGTTGGAACTGGCGGTGACTCGCATTCCACATTCAACATATCAACAACATCATCAATTGTTGCCTCACCAATCTTAATGACCGCCAAGCATGGCAATCGTGCGCAGACATCATTCTCTGGGTCTGCTGATGTCCTGAACGCCATCCAGCCCATCCCGCCGAATCTCACTGCAATCACAGCTGAGAATCTGCACGAGGTGTACGCCAAGACAAACTATTCCTTTTTGTTCGCCCCCAACTTCCACACAGGAATGGTGCACTCCAACCCCGTGCGTAAGGGCCTTGGCATCCGTACTATCTTCAATCTTATGGGACCATTAGCGAACCCTGTTGATTGGGCGATTGAAGCCCGAGTCGTCGGTGTTGCTTACCAGAGCCTCGGTCCAGTATTTGTCGAGGCTCTGAGACAGACTGGGGCCAAGAAGGTTCTGGTCGTCTGTGGCGCAGAAGATATGGACGAGATCAGCTGCGCTGGCCCAACAAACTGCTGGCAACTCTCGGAACAACCCAACCCCGCCTACACAGCAACAGAAGCTCATGGAGAGGAGTCAAGTGACGACGAGGCCCCAACCCCTCGCACGCTGGTCAAGATGGAGTCTTTCCAACTTCACCCCTCTGACTTTGGCCTTCCTACGCACCCCCTTAGTGAAGTTGGAGGCCGTAAGATGCCCAAGGACAACGCTGCTAAGCTGATGAGCATCCTTCGGAACGAGCTTGCGCGGGACGACCCCATCTTGGAGTTCGTTCTCATGAACGTGGCTGGCTTGCTGGTCACCTCTGGCGTTTGCGAGGCCGAGACCAGCAACATGGGACCAGGCGATGATGGTCAAGTCATCACTGAGCGTGGTCCCGGTGGTGGTCGCTGGAAAGAAGGTGTGCGTCGTGCACGCTGGGCAATTGAGAGCGGGCTAGCTCTCAAGAACTTGGAGCACTTCATCGAGGTTACCAACCTGCTTGAGTGATCCAATGGCCAATGTCTGTATGAGTTTGATGTGAATATCTTTGGTGTTAAGTTGTGGGTGTCGCATTGGTTTCGGGGTTTGCATTATATCAGTGTCGTGTATCATGAGCTTCGGCTCCATGTTTGCGTTTCTATAATTGGGATTCAACTTTGAATTAAAAAGCCTATTAAAAGGCCATGGGCATTTTATTCTCTTTCTTTTTGTCTCCGCGAAGCGAGTATGAGGTTTCAAGATGAGCCTTGTGACTCTTCGGGCTTTCATCCGCAGGCTCGACCTTAGAAACCCAACCGAACAATTGGGACCATCACTCTTCCAACGGAGGAACAAAAAGCTTGTTTGTACAATTCAACTCCCAAGCGCCAAAATATGCATAATTCGTCAAGGCCATAGAAAGATCTCGAGCCGATTCCTCCAACATCAAGTCCGAGACCTCATTCTCGAAACTTCTGTCGCTGTCAAGCTGCAGCTAACAATTACCGAGCTTGGAACTGGACCATACTAAAGGCGCAAAAAAGAACAAGTCAGCTCATGTACGAGGCGCATGGTGGGAAGCAATCAGGAAATCTTACCGCTTGGTCCGCTCCTTGTAAAGCACACGGTGACCACAGTCCTTGCAGCGAATTTGGTCGCCGCGCTTCAGGGGAACACGGGCGGAGCACTCGCCGCACAGGTAGACGACGGAGGGAGTGTCGACGGCCATGGCGCTGGCGTAACCTCCGCCTTGAGCATCGAAGGTGTTCTGGGTGCCCATGGAGGGAACTTGGTAGGTTTCGCGAGACATTTTTGGGTGAGGTTTTGGTGGATCTAGGTTTGATGCGGTTGCGCTGAATAGATCTGAGACTGCAGAAGGAGAAGTGTAATTTGAGAGTATAGCTAACTGTGCTGAGATACTTTTTCTTTCTGGAAGCGCGGGATTTTAGATGCTTACGTGATCATGGGTGGATTAGTCATTGCCAAGACTTCAGGCCGAGGCCGCATGTATACAATTGTAGCATGTAACTAGTACCTTAATTAAAGATTGATCAACTTCGAGAACAGCTCCCTTTCCAATATTTATTACTGTATAAGATCGGTACCTCATGTATCATTGGCCATAAATTTAGAAATGAAGTGGGGTATCGCCCGTCATGATATGCAAGAAAAATCAAATACCAACGCCATGCAAATTGACCAAGACCCAGGAAAGTGGCCTACAAAATCGCATATGAAGTGTTCGGCTGTGGAAATTCACCAACCTCCACCAATCTTCCCGGCAAGTTCCACAACACGGGTAGTATCGTTGGCGGGTGTTTGATCCTTGCCAACGTCACTTTCAACCTTGCGATATGTGGTGTAAGCGAGCTTGGACAGAGGGATGTCCATGAACTGGGACCAGCGCTGCAAGCCTTCATGGATCTTGGCTTCCTTGTCGGCCAATGAAGGCTGCTGCAACTGAACTTCTAGCTCTGTTTCAGACTCTGATTCCATGGAATAGTATGCTTCATCAACACGAGAAAGCCACGCGCGCTGTTCGTGAGGAGATGGCTTGAGAGATTCACTTGCTCCATCTCCTTGAGAACCGACGATCTCTCTAGCGTCTTCTACCCGAATCTGGCCACCGCCGTTCGTACACCCACCGGGGCAGGCCATGACTTCCACGTAGGCATAATCTGAGCCCGCGCCACCGCTGGATGCGGCGTTCCGGGATACAGGCTGGCGCCTGCGCGCGGCGGGGTTTGCGCCTGGAAGCTTCGATACACGCGCGGGCTTGAGCTTTCGTACGAGATTTTGGATGTTTCGGAATCCGTAGTAGCGGGCGGTTGACAAGATTGGTTGGTTTTCCTTGGACATCAGCACGTACTCGACGACATCGACGTTGCGTCCACGATTGATCACAAGTTGGCTGCCGGGGTTGCGAGACTGGAAAGTCATGAGGACGTGGTGTAGGTAGCCTCCTGAGGTACCTGTCGCGAGGGACTGTTCTGATCGAGTTCGTTTGAACGAGACAAAAGATTCAAGGGTCTTTTCGGGGAAGGGCGGGGCAAAAGATGACGGGAGAGGCTGCAAAGGTAGACTTGGCAGTGAGAAACCCCGAGAAGAAGCCAAAGAGAGGATTTCGCGAGCAGTGATCACACAGTCTACGTCGCGAACAGGCGCGGCTTCAGAGCTTGAGTGATCTCCCTGGCGCCATGTGACGTCTGTGAGTTCCTCCCGACTGGCTTCCAGCTTCTTGTCAAAGCAAGGCATCACCGCCAAATGCCAAATTCGGGAGGGATCAACTCCCAGAGACTTGCTCAGAACCGTCTTGAGGAACGTTCCTGACAAGGCTTGTGGAGACTTGAGCTGGGAGAGGTGAGGGAGGATAAATGGGTGTGTCTTCTCCGCATAGCAAATCCACCCGGGACATGCCGAAGACAAGATGGGGCGCTTGGGTAGAGAGCTTTCCCCCTCGCCGGAGCTGAGCGACTCTGAAACCTCATCTGCAGTGAGTACGAGAACGGCCTCCCGCATGACATTGGTGTCTACGACCCAAGTAAACCCATTGCCATTCTTGCCCCCACTGCGCAGACCCTGTGGCCCACTGAGCAACTGGTCGATCATGTACCCCGCTTCTTTCTCCGAGATTCCATAAGTTGTGGCCAAGCTAGCCCGGACCTGCGGGCTGACACTGGCCACAAAGATCTTTCCCTGTCCAGAATCCTCGGCATTATTAATCATCGTCCCATTTTGATCGCGAATCAAAGGGATTTCCGGGTAAGCATCAAGGGTGTTGAGCACCTCAGCATGGGACTGAAGCGAGATCAGTACCGCTTCGGCGGATGTGACGCAGCCCGAACATGCCAGGCAATCCGTCAAAGAGATCTGTGCAGGCGGTAGATCGGTGGGCTCGACCTTGTCTTCCGTTGTTACTTCGTAGGCATTCTATAATTAGGGAGGTTAGCAAGTCCAGTTGAATGACTCAAAAGGCGATAAAGACATACTTCTTGGTTCTTGGTTTCTGGTAGTGTTTCAACTGGTTTGATACATGCGACTCCTGGCGAGATGAAGTCGTTCAAGTCGTCAGCCGACAGTATCGCACTCATCGTGTACAAAGAAATTGACTTTGACAGGATGAAAGAAGTTGAAAAATGAAAAGCCGATACTTCGTCAACCAACGATGGGGCGCGCTTTGTCATGGTGGCGGCGATAAGCCCACCGCCTTATGCGGGGGTCAAGTGGGCGCTGATTGGCTGGTTGGGAAGTATATGGACTCGGCCCTTTCATCCTCACTTTCTTTCATCCTTTCATCCTTTCATCTTGTCTCTGAGATCCAGAATTTGAGATAAAAGTATACTTTCTTTGTAAGAAATGTCCATCTTAACCCCCCTTTCAGACTTGATGTCTCCAGGCTTTTCCAGCTTAGGTAGTTAAGCCTTCATATCTCCCATGAACAACGAAACCAACAGGGAATTGGATCAATCGGCTGAGACAAGCCGGACCCTTCCAATTCGACCTCACTTTCCTGCACCTGAACAACCAATCGAGATAAGCCAGGTTCTTCCAATTCGGCCTCATTTTCCAACCTCAGAGCCAGAACGACCAATCGAGACAAGCCAGGTTCTCCCAATTCGACCTCATTTCCCCACGTCTGAACAAACCATCGAGACAAGCCAGACTCTGCCAATTCGGGCCTCTGCTTCCACGTCTGAACAGCCGACTAGGACAAGTCGGACTCGCCGAGTTCGAGTTCGATCTTCTAACACTAAACAGCCAACTAAGACAAGTCGGAACCTCCCAGTTCGGATTTCTTTCTCTGGCTCTGAGCAGCCAATTGAAGTTCGAGCTTCTTTTCCCACCACTGAAGACCCAGTTGAGACAAGCCAGAATCTGCAAATTCGAGCCTCTTTTTCCACCTCTGAACAGCCAATCGAGACAAACCAGAATCTGCAAATTCGAGACCCTTTTCGTACTTCTGAGCAGCCAATTGAGACAAGCCAGAACCTCCCAATTCTAGCTTATTTCCCCGGCTCTGAACAGCCAATCGAAGTTCAAGCTCATTTTCCGGCCTCTGAACAGCCAAGTGAGACAAGTCGGACTTTCCCAGTTCGGGCTCAGTTCCTCACCTCTGCACCTGTCTCTTCTACTGATCCGCCGCGGATTGCTTCATCTCCTCCAATTTCCGATACCTTTAGCACCTCCTCTGAGCTCCTTCCTGTCCGTCCCAACTACGCTGCTTCGGGCTCTGACTCTTTTTACTTTCACAATCAGGCTCCCCCTCTGCTGCACGCACCGCGTCTACTGGTTCGGTGGGGACCAATCTAGACTTTCCAAATTCCGACAACTTTAGCTCCTCTCCTGAGCTCCCTCTTGTCTATCCCAATTACGCTGCCTCGCATACTACATCGAGCTCTGCATCTTATATCATTTCTCCGTCGCGCTCTCTTTCTTCAGTGCCTGCCAATTCTGTTGATCAGACAATAGCCCTTCCCGCGATCCCTGTTGCTTCTGATCCTGCTCCTGGCATACCACCACCCCCCTCTGATTCTTCTTCTGCATCGCGCTCGATTACTTCAGTGCCTGTCGATTCTGCCGATCAGTCAAAAGCCCTTCCCGCGCTCCCTGTTGCTTCTGGTTCTGCTCCTGATATACCACCACCCTCTGATTCTTCTTCTGCATCACGCTCGAGTTCTTCTTTGCCTGCCAACTCTGCTGATCAGACAAGAGCTCTTCCTGCCCTCCCTATTGCTTCTGCTTCTGCTCCTGATATACCACCACCTTGCTCTGATTCTTCTTCTACAGTCGTTCCAAGTTCTTATATGTCCAAATCTTCTAGCTCTGGCTCTGGCTCTGGCTCTGGATTCAGTTTTCGCATCGGCTCTGATCAAGATAGTCCTGCTCCTGCTCGCCGCTTGCCTCGAGGCTTATCTCCTACTCTATCTGAGACTCGGACTGCCCCTGGCCTCCCTGGGGTCATTGAAACAGGATCATTCTTGAAGGTTCCTCGGGGTACGTTAAGTTCCACTCCCTCCGTCTCTGTTTCGTCACAGATTGGTGAGCCACCTTCGTCTCTCCGCTCAGATTTGCCTGCCTCCGGCTTGTCCTATAGCTCGTCAGAGCTTAGTGGGCCTCCTTCAAATCTGCCTTCAAGTTTGGCTAGCTCGGGCTCTGCATTCTCTGGGATTATTGAGCCTGCTTCATCTCTCCCGGACACCGCTTTAATTGAGCCCCTGTCTCCCATCATGGCCGAAGCTTCAAACAAGACTGCGGCAGACCCTGCGCCTCAAAAGTCCCCAAAGTCTGCCAAAGTTGGAAAATCTGGCGGTGTAGACCCGAAGGTAATCAAGGAAACGCAAGAACACACGAAGACCATTATTGCCAAAACGGCACATGAAGGAACTGAGTTTGCCTACTCGTCAACTCCTGAAAACGCCCCTGCCTTGAGTCAGGAATCAAGAATGTATCCAGCATTTGAAGAAACCCTTATCCAGGTTGTTGAAGGGGACACATTTGATATAGCCATCGAAGTGACAAATGGCACGTACAAGGCTAAAACGGAAGATTTCATGCCAGTCTGCGTTCTCAACCACGCCAATGCCTTCGGCGCCGGGGGAAGCTGGAAAACGGGAGCCACGGCCCAAGAGGAACAGCTTTTCTATCGAAGCACACTTTGTGGAAGTCTCAGGGAGAAATTCTATCCGATGAAGGAGTTGGAATGCTTGTATTCGCCTCATGTGATCATCTTTCGAGAGAACTCAGCAGCGGGATTCAAATTTTTGGAAAATATTGAAACGCCAGAGAAGCTTCCCGTCGTCAGTGTGATTAGTATGGCCGCTCAGAGAGGCCCGAAAACGGTTAAGAACAAGGAGGGACAAAGAGAGTATGCCGATGATGACGCTCGAGGCATGATGTACAACAAGATGAAACAGATTCTGCGCACCGCTGCCCACAACAATCATCGTCGATTGGTTCTTGGGGCCCTTGGGTGTGGAGTGTTCGGTCACCCCGAAGAAGAAGTGGCAGATCTGTGGAAAGAAGCTCTCACTGAGGATGGAGAGTTTGATGGCTGGTTCGAGCAAGTAATCCTTGCCATCTTTGATAAAGACAAGGCCAAGAAGAATCTGCGCACGTTCGAGAGGATGTTTGCGGAAACCGAAGAGTCACCCTTGGATCTTGATTGATTTGTTTGTTTGTTGATACATTCTGAGGTTCTGTTTTTTAATTTCTTCAATTCAATGTGCTATGTTTCCAATGCTCATTACCTGTAAATTTATCTTGAACCCTTCAAGGGCAATAAAACTTCCACCTCCCATCCGAGGTCAAGTTGGTATTCATCACAGGAGCAACCTCCCGAGCTTGGAAGGCCTATGCACATAGAAATTTCCACTTCGGTATCCATAACGGTAAAATCCTGAAAATTCCTCCCCATACCACTTGAGAATTCATTGAAAGAGAATATGTGCACCGGCAGACGGCTATTTTGTGCGAGTAGATCGTCTTCTACCAACGGGAGTTGGCTTAGGTTTCTCCTCTTCCGATTCTTCGCTCTTAATCGTTTCTTCCTTCTGTTTCGATGTACCTCGCTTTTTAGACTTGGTCTCTTCTGCCTCTGAGTCATTTTCTTTCTTCGGGGCCACTCGCTTGCGCTTTGAGTTTGCGGGTGTGCCATTGGTAGCATCGTCGTCGATATCTTTAGCGACTGCACCGGTCTTCTTCTGAACTGCCGGAACAACGGCACTCGTTCGGCCTCCAACGGTGAGGAAAGTGATCTTGTCGCCATTAGGAAGGACCGCTGGCTGGTTCTTCTTGCCCTTTCCCCATCGGTGCTTGAAGAGCCAGTGCTCTGGGAACTTCTCCGAGTCTGCCAGCACACCTATTGATGTCGAGCAAACATAATGGATAGCATCGTGAAGCTCCTTGATTTGATCGTCATTCAAAGTGTTGCTGTACTGCTCGGGATGTATCTTGGCATGATAGAGGATCTCGTCACTAAGAACGGTCAGTTTTTGGAAGCTTCAGTGGACAAAAAACAACGTACCCCATCCAATTTCCAATTCCACTGATATTGGCTTGGTCCAATAGAAGAGCTTTGATAGGCACTCTTTTCTTTCCAACCTTCTCCTTCAGCCATGTCTCATCAACGATATCCTTGTCGGTCACAGGATCAGGTCCGTTCTCCTTGAGGGGAGTATGGTCTCGGATATCATCAGCTGGACAATCAACTAGTCGAATGCGAGCAAGCCTGCGGGCATCAACGAATGCAGCCTCTGTCTTCGGCTCGTCACTAGTTTCCAACAGGAACTTCCAGTACTTGGGAGGCCATTCCTTGTCGGCAGGCTTGTCGGACCGGTAGTAGTAGGTATCAGCATCCTTGATCTTCAGCCAGCCAGCCATTCCAAAATGCATCACAGCATGAGGTGGTGAAGACATGGTGATCCAGAAATATTTTCCCTGTTGCCCTGCCCCGACAACCTTTTTCCCCTGCATCGCCTTTTGGAATTCAGTGGCGCTGGTGCCGACCTTGCCAAATACGATATCATCGTTTTGTGCCTGTACTTTGGACAACGTCTTTCCAACCAAATGCTGACGAATGAAATGCACAATGCGGTGGATCTCCGCTAGCTCAGGCATGATTATGAATGAGTAATATGAGGTTTGCAAATGATGACGGAAACTGAAAAGAGAATATTTACAGTGATATTCCTTGATTCAAAAGCTGTACACGCTGACGTCCCTCGGCGACGTCCCGAGTCTCCTTGGCGCGTCACATAGCGCGCGCTGTCACGTGGTGATAGCGATTGTTACTGCCACAAGACACCGGTCACAGGCGGTGGCAGGAGAACGCTAGTCCTAAAGGAGATGAAATCGACATGACGATGGTGAGAGCTCAACTGCTTGCTTACCAACAGCTCTTAATTCTGGTCCCAGTCTGTACAAAGTCCTCGGATGCTCAAGACTCACTGAAAACTGAGCGTTGTATTGCTGAACCAAGCTGCGGTTATTAATATTCCGCTGGTCTCCGACAACATCCATTCATATCATCTTGAATCAGACAAACTGGATTGGTTCTGGGTCAAGCCAAAGCGCGATACGGAGGAAAACGATCGAGGGAAAATGGCACAGGCATCATCAACGACAGCCCCGACGCTGACACCTCGATTCTGCTTCGACGAAAGATTGTTTAGAGGTTCGTCTTGAAGTGGCGCCACGGAATAGACGAATGCTAACAATACCCCGACAGATTTCCTCCGACTATCTAGATCTACCATTGACGACTCGATCACACAAAACCTCAATGCGTTGATAACACCCGCGCAAGACGGTTTCGATCCGTCGTCGACCGCAAGGCGCCAGACAGAGTCACGGAACCCGAAGACCATCAACCCTGCATCCTGCCAGAGCTTCAAGGACAACGTGCTGTTTCCTTCGTGGCAGACCAGATCGGATGTCCTGACATACTGTGCTGGCGTGGCAACGAGTCCAGATCCCGAAGATCCCGATCTCATCCTCCGTCAGACGGAATCTGCGCGTGACCGCGAAAGAGAAGTCAATGAGCGCCTTGACCCATACTCGGCTCGATTCTTTCCTCGTGAAGCGCGTACCGAGTCGCTAGCTAATCTCATTCGCAATGAGCGGACTATCGAAGAGATTATCCGTGCCCGGACTTGGGGAATGGTTTCAGAGAAGTGTAGTGGCTCTTCTACTTGGGAAGAGGCGCTGAATGACTGGCGTCATTCTCATCAGAAATAGCTTTGGTGACAGATGTGTGCCAGTGTCTATATCCATTGTTTAGAGCTCATGTATATATCTCAACTCTTATTCTTTGCCGGTGTGGATATCGCCCGGTCACAAATGCATCGCTGTGGAGCCTTGTAAGATAACTCGAGTCTCTATGCAGGGTCATTTTCTGTCAATTGAACTTCCAACATCGTCCAACGTCATCCAAAGTCGTTAATTCCAAGCAACGAGGTTGATTAAATATCAAATTAGAGGCAGATTCAACAATGACATCAGAGTCTTCAATGGCCCTAAGGAAGTCTCATATACACCTAGGGAGTACAACCTTGGAATCTTAGGTAGTACTTCTTTCGCACTGACGGAAATATATAGTGTCATTTATGATATCCGTCCAAAAACCTTTGGCATCTTTAAACAATCTTGAAGCACCCAAGGATAAGATGCTGGAACTGGCTGCGTTCACGGTGATTATTAGAGCTTGAGTTACACAACAAACCACATATGCAGCATGCCAGACTGAATAATAGAAACCACTAGCGAATACAAGCCACGGAAGAACTGTGTATGTTATAGATCGAAGTAAGCCAGGGCGAAAGTGTGGTGGGCTCTTATCGGCCCGTTGGCTTTCTGCCAAGCTCGAACTCGGAGAAGTCGTCCCCCGCACACATCGATTCCTCACTCGCACAAGTCAAGCCTGTCAAGCCAGCATCGCCCAAAATGCCGCAACCATTGCCTTCCAAGGACCAGTCCTTGTTTCGTCAGGTGGTTCGCCACTTTGAACTGAAGCAGTACAAGAAAGGTTGGCTTTTCTCCCGTCCCTGACCCGAACTCTCCTAACCCACCTTCCCGCCAGGTATCAAGATCGCAGACCAGGTTCTTCGGAAAAACCCTACCCATGGCGATACTCAAGCCATGAAGGCTCTGAACATGAGCCAGATCGGGCAATCGGAGGAGGCCTTTGCGCTCGCCAAGGAGGCTCTTCGCAATGATATGAAGTCGCATATCACCTGGCACGTGTATGGACTGTTGTACCGCCAGGAGAAGAACTACGAGGAGGCTATCAAGGCATACCGATTCGCTCTGCGCCTTGAGCCCGAGTCGCAGCCCATTCAGCGCGACCTGGCTCTGCTCCAGATGCAAATGCGGGATTACCAGGGTTACATCTCGAGCCGCAACTCCATGCTCCAAGCTCGACCGGGCATTCGTTCGAACTGGACCGCGCTTGCGATCGCTCATCATCTGGCTGGGGATCTGGCAGAGGCTGAAAAGGTTCTGACTACATTCGAGGAGACACTGAAGGGAGTTACATTGCCTGTCGCCGATATGGAAAACTCCGAGGCTATCTTGTACAAAAACACCATCATCGCGGAGACTAGTCTCGAGAGAGCTCTGGAGCACCTCGAGGCCGTTGGTTACCGATGTACCGACCCACTCGCCGTCTTGGAAATGAAGGCAGACTACCTGTTGCGATTGGATCGCAAGGCCGATGCGGAGGCAGCGTACACTGCTCTATTGGAACGCAACCCAGACAACTCAATTTATTACAATGGCTTGATCCTGGCGAAGTCCATCCCCGAAAATGACCACAAAGCATTGAAGGCTCTATACGATGAATGGGTGGAGAAGTACCCTCGCTGTGATGCTGCTCGCCGCATTCCCCTCGACTTCCTGGAAGGCGAGGATTTCAAGCAGGCGGCGGATGCTTACCTGCAGCGTATGCTGAAGAAGCGTGTTCCCTCATTATTCGTCAACGTCAAGCACCTCTACGTCAACACAGCTAAGCGTGATGTGGTGCAAGGCTTGGTGGAAGAACTGCTTTCCACCCAGCAGAATGGCTCTGCGGAAGCCAACGGAGACAACAGCGAATACCTGTCCTGCATATATTACTTCCTCGCCCAACACTACAACTTCCACCTCAGCCGCAATCTCCCCAAGGCCATGGAAAATGTCGAGAAGGCCATTGAGCTGCTCCCCAAGGCAGTGGAGTACCAAATGACCAAGGCACGAATCTGGAAGCACTACGGTAACCCAGGCAAGGCAGCAGAAGAGATGGAAAAGGCTCGACTTTTGGATGAAAAGGACCGTCACGGTAACACCAAGGCCGCTAAATATGTGCTCCGAAACAACGATAACGAGAAGGGCTTAGAGCTCATGAGCAAGTTCACTCGCAATGAGACTGTCGGCGGTACACTGGGTGATCTCCACGAGATGCAATGCACCTGGTTCTTGACCGAAGATGCTGAGGCCTTCCTCCGACAGAAGAAGATCGGTCTTGCCTTGAAGCGCTTCCACTCTGTTTACAACATCTTTGAGACCTGGGCGGAGGACCAGTTCGACTTCCACAGTTTCTCCCTCCGCAAGGGTATGATCCGAGCTTACGTAGACATGGTTCGCTGGGAGGATCGTTTGCGCGAGCACCCCTTCTACACAAGGTTGGCTATTGGTGCCGTCAAAACGCACCTGCTTCTCCATGACCAGCCCGATCTCGCATACGGTCCTATCCCTAGCGGGCCCGAGGGACTCAACTCGACTGACGAGAACGAGAGGAAGAAGGCTCTCAAGAAGGCAAAGAAGGAGCAGCAGCGCTTGGAGAAGATCGAGTCTGACAAGCGCGAGGCAAGGAAGGCTGCCGCTGCCAACGCCAAGAGCGCCGACGGAGAGACCAAGAAGGAGGACGCGGACCCTCTAGGCAATGCCCTGGTCTCAACTCAAGACCCATTGAAGGATGCCATGAAGTTCTTGACCCCTCTGCTTGAAGCCACCCCCCAAAACATCGAGGGCCAATGCCTCGGCTTTGAGGTTTACTCTAGGAGAAGTACGTTATTATGCCACAAGAAATATTGTCCATTTACTAACACCTACATAGACAAGCACCTTCTTGCCGTCAAGTGCTTGGCAGCTGCTCATGCCATCGACCCCGCCAACCCTACTCTCCACCTTCAATTGCTTCGCTTCCGCAAGACTCTTGATAGCCTCTCTGAGCCTCTTCCCGAGAAGGTTGCCGAAGCTATCAACGCCGAATTTGATAAGCTTCTCCCCAAGTCTCAGAACCTCGAAGAGTGGAACGAGTCCTTCCTTTCCTCTAACAAGGCCAGCGCTGCTCACGTGCAGGCCGGCCTCTCCGCCCGCCAGCTTCTCAAGCCGGAAACCAAGTCTCAGTGCGAGAAGGAGCTGCTCGCCACTCTTGACTTGCCTGAGATTACCATTGACGAGGCTGTTGTTGGCTTGGAAACCTTGAACGAGTGGGGCAGTGATAAGACTGCTTACGCTGAGAAGGCCAGCAAGAAGTGGCCTGAGTCTTCTGTCTTCGAGCTGAACTGATTTTATAGAAGTGGCTGACCGGGACCACGGACTTTCACAAAACCATCATCTACGGATGATACCCCCGCTTCAATGATACGTTGTGCGATGATGTGGAAATCACAGGTGCAAGAGTGAAGAAGAGAGGAGTACAAGAAAACGAAAACAGTACCAAGAAGGACACCCTGTTGTTCGAAAAAAAATGCCAGAATATACAGCAAAATGATGCTGGAAGAATCAATGTACCAGTATCTTTGGCCAACCAAGAGTAGAAAGCTCTACTTGAACTCAGACACTTCCTATTTATCAGATGAACATATACATTTCTAGGGTGAGAGATTAAAAACAAAAGCGCCAATATTATACAAGCCGAGGAGGGAGTCACAATATGCAAAACAAACAGACCAACACATGCCGTGCTCAATGCCAGGGAAGGAAACCCATCCCTTAACCGTTCTATCAAATCAACAAACCGGAAATCGTGTAGATAGGGTAGAAAATATCTCCAAAGACATGTTTCTTTTACTGTCCGTCCTCTCCATCGAGGTTACCCAGAATGGGCTTGCGGCGGATGGCTTCCTCACTCTCGCCATAGCCGTAGTCAATCCACATGCGCTTCCAGAAGGGCACATGGGCCGGCCGCTCTTCACCAAGAATATACTCTTGCAGTTCGCCGATACGTTGAGAGCGAGCCTCATCTTCAGGCGAGAGAAGAGCACGCTGCATGCGCGAAGCAATACGCTGGTCCAGAACAACGTCGTCCAGCCACTCGCGCTCTTTGCCGTCCTCTTCACGCTTGCGCACAGACTTGTGCCACTCCTTCTCGGCGGCATCTAGTACAGTCTGCTGCTCGTGGTTACGAGGAGCGAGGTCTGTGAATGAGCCGTCGGGAGAAGGCGTGGAGTCAACGCTCGCTCCCGTGATCTCGGAGTCTGCGCTGAAGGTATCGTCGCGGTATGGGCGTGAGTTGGCTGCGAGCACGACGGCTGCGACTTCGCGTCCGACGTTCTCGGCGAGGTGGCGTTGTGTGAGGAAGCGGTACATTCTAATTGGGGTGTTGAGGAAACCGAGGATGTGAGGGAAATCGACGGGAGCGGAGCTGTCAAAGGTCTGAGGGAGAGAGGGGGGAAGGCTGGCGGACGAGTAATCGGCGGGGAAGATGTATGCAGGAGTAGGACCAGCGGGCTTCTTTTCCTTCTCGGCCTCTTCCTCGGCCTTCTTGGCCTCCTCGGCCTTAGCCTGCTCTGCCTTGGGGTCAGGTGTATCGTCTTTGTTGTCGGAGTCGAGTGATGACTCGAGGGACTCGATCGTGGAGATTTCGGGGGTTGTGGCCTCTGGTGTTGGGTCCGCGATGGGGGCCACTTCGGCGACGGGGGCTTCAGGCGTATCAAGAGCATCAACCACGATTGGGGCCTCTTCGGGGGGAGGCGGAGGCGCATCCAAGGGCCCAAGCCAGCCTTCATGCAGACCGCGCACGTATTCCTTCCATGTGTGTCTGCCAATAACCAAGTCGCCCTTGGGACCGGGCTCGTCGGTAATGCCAATTTGTTCGCGAGTCGCGGCGACGACGGCCTCCACGCCCATTTCCTCAACTGTCGAGCTGGGTTCTCCGGCCTTGCGGCGCAGCTTGCGGATGTTCTCCGCGGTTCCAGCCCTGACATCTCCCTCGCGCCGGCCCTCGACAACAGTGTAGTCCAACGCCGCGGCGACCAAAATCGGCTTAACGTATTCCTTAAAATGATCCCGAGCCACGCGCAGGCCGTCTCCCGGGGAGCAGAGAGGTAAACAGTCAACTTGCGACGCATCTGGGTGGTCTCCAGGGATTCCTTGGAAAGGTGAGCCACGAGCTCCGACCACTTTTTCTGCACGCGGCGCTTCTCTTTGCGATCGTACATGATGGCGCCGGTGAAGGACCCGGTGATGGTGAGGAAGATCATCCAATTGCGAGACGGTAACTTGAAGCGCATGTTGGGTAGGCCTGGGGATCACATCACGCATTAGTATCCTTGACTTTCAAACTCCGGGGAACCCAAACACACCCATCATCTTGAAGACCGGGTTAGGCGGCTTCTCGGCCACTGGGGGCTTGCTTGTGCCCGCAGGCGCAGCAGAGCTTGAGGCGTCTGCCATTGAGATTATGTTATGATGTGGAGGGAGTGTATATATCACTTAAGCATACCCGGGGTAATGCTCAAAAAGTTATCGCGGTGTTCCGGAGCCATGTTGATCCGATGCACGTGACTGCGATATCAAATCGCCTCAGGTTCACATCGTTGCTCTTGCGCCGTGCACATTCGAGAATTTCTTAGCCCTCAATGAGCTGAATCCCATGAGCACAAGTTTTTCAACCTTCCAAACAAGGTGGTCCTACATATATTCCCCTGTGACAGTACCCAAGAGTGGCTCGCTTTTGCCAGGATTTCCAACTGCAGTCGCAAGCCGCCAGAACAAAGACAATGGTGACCAGTCAGACCACATCCAGCTTGTTTCGTCTATAATTGGAGGCTCCAGCAGTAGAGCAAAACCATACAGGTCAAGTGACAGCCCAGACTGGAATCCCAGTGTCCAAGCACAGCCAAACTGCACTTACTCGTATACGACTGCCCCTCCCCCTTGATTTGGGACATTCCTTTTTAGTTTCGAGGGGCATTCTTTCAGATTACCTTTCCAAGCCATACATATAACATTCAAGAACTACTCAAAACCATAGTTGCTCTTATAAAGATCCGAGAGTTGGTATTGAAGTATAACCAAAGTATCCAGGATCTTTTGTAACTCGCACTCTGGCATTGCCCACGACTCCAATGGGAATTGTAGCGAGTCAAGAGCCTTGGTATACTAGATCACAGTCGTATCAGACAGTAAAATAGCGAATCAAAGTAACACAGGATGGTGTTTCAGGAGGATGGGTGTAAACAGCACACATTATTGGGAGGGGGCTAGATTGCCTCCTGAGCCACCGCTTCTTTTAACCTCCCCGCCTTCTTTCCTCCTCCCATCCATCCACCTTTCCTTCTGCTTGAAAACCCTGTGGGGAGTCAAGCTGCAATGGATCCCAACAATCCCAACAACCGCAACAATATGAACTACGGTTACGGTGCTAACTACAACGCCAACAACCGCGCCTATCCCACCACCCCCTCCGCTTTCCCCCAGCCCATCTATCAATCTCAGGGGGCCCAGGAATATGTCGATCCTTCCAACCCAGCGTATGCCCCTGGGTATTTCATGCCCAACAATTACCCACCTCAGATGCAACAGCAAGCACAATATGCCCAGCAACAGCAGTACGCGCAACAGCAACAGCAAGGCTTGCAATCGCCGCAGGCCGCCTACCAAGCACGCCCCGGGTACCCCGATGGCACCAACGGCCTGATCCAGCAATTCTCCAACCAGGACCTCAATGCAAACCGTGCAGGATTTTTCAACAACAACCGTGCTGCGTCTCCCGCGCAGCGACCCCGTACCGCTGGCGGTTCTCCTGCTCAAGCCCCAGGCCAAGCATCACACTTGATCCCCCCAGTACCCCGAAGTCCTCGCCCGCCTTCCGAGAACGAAGAATTGCAGCGATTCCCTGATCGATACTCGGAGAATGTGCACAAGCGGGGCAAGGCAGCGAAGGAGCTGGTGACAGTGTTCTTCCATGAGAACATCGAGCGCGCTCGTGACCGTAACATGCGGTATGTGCCCATCTGAACCGGGAACATAATTGAGGAATGAACCATGCTAACAACAAATTTTAGATCCGCGGAGCTTGACAAGACAATCCGTGAACCCTCAGTCCCCGTCGAAAAGAAGCGCCAGGATGCGGATTCTATCTCAAAGAGAGAATCTGACTTCCTTCGTTTCCTCCGCACCAAGGAGACGCCAGCGAACTTCCAGACTATCAAAATTATTGGAAAGGGTGCTTTCGGCGAGGTCAAGCTTGTGCAGCGCAAGACAGACGGCAAGATCTACGCTCTCAAGTCGTTGATCAAGACGGAGATGTTCAAGAAGGATCAATTGGCCCACGTTCGCGCTGAGCGTGATATTTTGGCGGATTCAAAGGACAACCCTTGGCTGGTGAAGCTCCACGCATCGTTCCAGGACACTGCTTACCTTTACCTCCTCATGGAGTTCCTGCCCGGTGGTGATCTCATGACCATGCTGATCAAGTACGAGATCTTCTCCGAGGACATTACTCGATTCTATATGGCCGAGGTTGTAATGGCTATTGAAGCCGTGCACAAACTTGGTTTCCTTCATCGGTGAGTTATTTCCGATTTTCTAGGGCATGCCAGGAGCATTGGTCCAGCGATACCCTTCTCTTCCGCCTCTCGTACTAATGACTCTGGTTTGTGCAGTGATATCAAGCCCGACAACATTCTGCTCGACCGTGGTGGTCATGTCAAGCTTACTGACTTCGGTCTCTCGACCGGAGGCAAGAAGACTCACGACAACGCTTATTACCAAAATCTTCTCAAGAACTCAACTTCTAAGGACCGGAATCGCAACTCTGGATACTTTAACGATGCCATTAACCTTACAGTGTCGAACCGTGGCCAGATCAACACCTGGCGTAAGTCCCGTCGCGCCATGGCCTATTCCACGGTTGGAACTCCCGACTATATCGCTCCCGAAATCTTCAACGGCCAAGGATACACTTATCTCTGCGATTGGTGGTCTGTCGGTGCCATCATGTTTGAATGTCTTGTCGGCTGGCCACCATTCTGCGCCGAGGACCAGAACGACACCTACCGAAAGATTGTCAACTGGAGAGAGTGCTTGTACTTCCCTGATGAATTGGTCCTATCGCGCGACTCTGAGGGTCTGATCCGAAAGTAAGTATTTGTATAACCGAACGGCCAAGACCACCTGCTAATTACTTTATCTAGTCTCCTTTGTGATCCGGATCACCGTATCGGTAGCGAAGGCGGCCAACACGGAGGCGCCCAGCAGATCAAGAACCACCCATTCTTCCGAGGTGTTGTTTGGGATCAGCTACGGGGCATTCGCGCGCCCTTCGAGCCCCGCCTTAGCTCGAACATCGATGTGTCCTACTTCCCGATTGATGAGATTCCTCAGGAAGATACTAGTGCCATCCATCGTGCTCAGGCTCGTGCCATGCCCGACTCGCAAGAGGCGGAGATGAGTCTGCCTTTCATTGGTTACACCTACAAGGCTTTCAATGCCTTCCAGAGTAGCTAGACTCGCTCCTTGTGTTCCGAGGCTGGCTGATTCCTGTCATTGGAGAAACTTGGAACCCAGCAGGGCTCGGTACCTCATTTCTCAGATAAGACATTGGTCGGCCAGCGAAAGAAATCTCGGTTATACCTTCATGTCTCGTCACACTTCATCATTGAGCATATCAGCGCGACGTTGTTTTTCATCATGTCATGACCCGTCTTTGATTTCACTTGCTGGTCTCTCATACCTTGCATCTTCTTGAGACGATACATACTACCCATTGTGACATACTTGGGGCCAACTTGAGTGAGAAGGCCATTTCCATCTTGCGTTGGATGTATTCACTGCGCAAAATAGTCTGCATACTTGAAGAAATTAAAATGACCTTTTTTAAGTGAATTGAAATTCAATCTCTAGAGAATTACTACCAAAGCATGGAAAGTATCAACAATGGCCAATATGCCAGCAGGAGGTATGTGAATTGTCGTAAAAGCGAGTCGCTCGAGGATCAAATAGTATAGAAAAAATGCACATCGCAACCCCAGAACGCCTGATCCAGATCTCCCCGCCATAGAAACAACCATTTTTTTGTTGCATGCTCAAAGGAAAACAGGGCCAAGATAGAGTACAAAGCCAAAATAGTCGTGTCAAACCCCCTCATCAAGTCTGCATCGGCGCCAGACCAGGCACACCGCTGAATCGCTCCTCACGCTCAGTCTTGAACATGATCTGCACCCAGAACTCCTTGCTATCCTCATCAAACCAAGTCCAGTACTGGCCATCGCGGCGATCAATCTCCTTAGCCTGCAGCTTAAACCCACACGTCTGGTAGGGCTCAGCGGCAACAACCAAGTACTGATAGTTATTATCCGGCTCCTCAATCTTCTGCTCGAAAGCCGACATGAATCGAACACGCGGCACAACGCCCGGTGTGATCTCCTGGTAGAGCAATTGGAACAGCAGACCGTGTTGGCGCGTGAGAGGGTCTTGGATCTTAGTGATTTTGTATCCAGGTCGTCCGATCTTAATCATCTGCTTCTTGACCTGCACGCCAGCGAATCCGGCCATAGCGGAGGCATCTTGGCCCTTGCCTTCGCGCTGTTCGCGAGCGGCTCGTCGTGCAAGGTTCGTTTGGTGTTTGCGGCCCTGAGTGTGGGCAAGGTAGGAACCGTCATTTTGGTGGACAGTGAGACAAAGTCGGCACTCGAAACTCCCGACGTGGTTCTTGAAGAAGTAGGGGTCTTTGTCGAGGTCGATAGATTCCAGTGCGAGCTTGCGCAAGCGCTCACGACGGTCGGCGTTGGATGCGGACTGGGAGGCGACACCGCCACCGCCGAATTTGGATCCTGCGCGATTCTAAGACAGGCGTTAGTATTTTATGCTCTGAGAGAGTGCTGCGCTGTCATTAAATAGGGGTACATACCTGGTAATCCATTGTGGTGGTATAGCGAGCAAGTGAAGATCCAATCTGAGCGTTGAAGGTTGGAGCACGATGCTTAGTAAGCGATTTGCTCGAGCAGCAGAGTAGCAAGTAGCAAACGAGAGACCTCCATCCTTTTGCGGAAAAGCACAGGATCTTGAATCGGTCGGTACTTTGTGATGAGTGCCTCAATCATAGGCCAACGTCGGTCTTTTGACGGAAATCTATGCACCATTCGTTATGTGGGCACTGTTGAAGGCACCACCGGCGACTGGTTAGGAGTGGAATGGGACGATGCAACTCGTGGCAAGCACTCGGGAGAGCATAAGGGTACTCGATATTTTACATGTAAGTGCATATCACTTGTTACATTTGAACATCAACTTACCTCGTTCCTAGGCAAAAGCAAGTATCCCACAGCGGGGTCATTTGTTCGTCCCTCCAGGCCCTCAGACCAACCCCGGAGCTTTCTTGAAGCTCTACGGGAGAAGTATGCCTCTGAGCCTGTGCAGAGCAGTGCCTCAGATGGTTCAGAAGGGACAGTGCCCAGAGGCAATGCAATTGAAATCAGCGGCAAAGTTGTTGAGGAAGTTGGCTTCGACAAGATTCGGCGACAGCTCGCAGAGCTACAGGAACTACGTATTGTTCTACTCGATGGCCTACGAGTTGTGGGAATATTGCCATCTTACAGCCAAGACCATGGCCCAGAGAGTGATGCGGCCCAGCAGATTGGCCTGACTTGTCCCAAGATCACAGAACTTGATCTCAGTCGAAGCCTGTTGAATCGATGGCAGGATGTTTGGGATATTTGCAACCAGCTCAAGCACTTGAAAGGACTAAGGCTGAAGTGAGTGTCCCAGTCTGTTGCTTCAATAGACACCGGCAAAACTAAATCGATAATAGCGGCAATCGGTTCCAACCCATGGAGGATAATCTCATCTTCAAGGGAATCACCGAGCTTCGATTGGAAGAAACATTGCTGAGCTGGAATGAAGTAAGACTTCAAATTGAGCATGGCTCAGCCTCAACTAACACTGGCATAGATTGCTGCAATCGCGTCACGGTTCCCTAACCTGACATCTCTAACAGCATCTGCAAATCAACTCTCGGAGATATCATGCGAGCTCCCCAGCACCATCACGACACTAACCCTGGAGCACAACGAAATCACCTCAATCTCAGCTTTGCGCCACCTATCCGCCCTTCCAAACCTAGAGCATCTCTCTATCCGAGGAAACCTCATCAACACCGTGACCACAGACCCAGCCACAACCTTCCAATTCCCCAAAACTCTCCGCTCTCTCGACATCTCCCGCAACAATATAACAACCTGGACCCTCCTCAACGACCTCCCAACCATATTCCCAGGCCTAACAACCCTCCGAATCTCCAACAATCCCCTCTTCGACCTCCCACCCCTCCCACAATCCATCACAGCCCAAACCTCAGAAACCAAACCAATGACCCTCGACGAAGCCTTCATGCTAACCCTCTCCCCGCTTCCCACAATCCCTCACAACCCTAAATTACAGCACCATCACACCCCAAGACCGCCTAAACGCAGAAATGTACTATCTCTCCCTAATCGGCAAAGAACTCTCCGCCACCAGCGAAGCAGAAGAACCCACCATTCTAGCCACGCACCCGCGCTATACCGAGCTATGCAATACATACGTCGAACCCACCATCACGAGAACAGCCGTGTCAGACGCATCCGGGACAAGGGTAATTCACCCACGATCCGTAGCGGCCAGACTAGTCAGGATGGCTTTTCGATTGCGCGATTCGCATGAGCATGAGCATGATCGGGTCCTTGTGAAAGAGATCCCGGGCTCCTTTGATACATACCAGGTCAAAGCGATTGTGTCGAGGCTCTTTGAGCTTCCGGCGTTTGGATTCCGGTTGATTTGGGAGACTGATGAGTGGGATCCGATAGAGAAGGAAGCTGTTGATGAGGCTGCTGATTGGGATGATGATAGTGATGATGAGGGACAGGTTGGATCGGCTCGGGTTGAGGCTGGTTTGGGGAGCAATCCTGATGAGAGTCGGTTTATGCGCCGGGAGGTTGATCTGGTGGAATCGACTAGGGATATTGGATTCTTGTTCCAGGGTGAAAAGGGGGGAGGTTAAAATTCGTGTTGAGTACGAACCTGCATTGGCGAAGTAGGGCGCTGTCCAGCATTTTATTTACGAAGTACATATTACAACATTACCCATACGAAGTATAGAAGTTGGGATATTTGAAATTTTTTTCCTTTGTTTTTCTATTGTCTAGATACCATTCAAGGTAGGAATCAATGAATCCTCAGGCCGTGGCGTGGGAAATCTTCGGGGGTATGAGAACTCCCGCAAGAAACAGATATATGCATACAAGACGTGTGAAAGCGAACAGTTCACATGTTCGGGGGAGAAGAAAAGGCCAAAACGCCGGAGTGCTTTGCTTAACCACACTGCCTAGTCCCCAAACCCCAGGAAAAGCAGAAAAGAGAACAACACATGATGAATATTCGAGATCATATCAGTTAGCAAAAATCACAACGCCTGAGCCATGATGCTTTTTTTGTCGAGCGCAAAAGAACAAGAGATCCTGTGAGCAGGATCGGGAAGTGTAATGGTTCTTGGGAACACATTATGCAAATAGTAGGAGAGAGAATGAGAGAGGGAAGGAGAGAGAGAGACAACAGCCGTGATAGGGTGGGTGTTCGAATGATGATTACCCACGGGCAACCCACCAAGAGCGAACAGCCATGCAGCAAACCCGTTTGTAGATTTGCGTGGTGCCCTTGCCCTCGGCTTCTTCCTCGAGGAACTTCTGGGCAACGAAGAGTTTGGTTCCAGACTCTTTCTCGGTAGTGTAGCCCACCTTGGGCAGGCTGTTAGGGAAATCAGCCCAACGCTGACCCAGATGGCGCGCAACGGAGATTGAGTAGATGATGTCGCGGTTCTCGTAGGTATCCAGCAATTGTCGGCACCGGCTGAGAGTATCGTCGATCTGCTTGGCTGAACTGGCTTCGTTGTCGTACAGAGTGAGGAACTCTGCGACCTGGTCCCAGAAGTCCAGCTGGCGGCTTTGGAACTGGTCTGGGGAATTCGGAGGATTGGCGGCGTCCATGATGAGCTCCCGAGAAAGGATGTTCGTGTCCAAGTGGTTCCATGTGAGCAACGCTTCGACAACGTTGAGTCTGCCGCAAGCCGCGCAGAGGTTCCAGTCCCGCCCTTGTTGGCCGGTCTCTCCATCTGGAACTTTGCGGCAAAGTGCCATACTTTTCCAGATGATCGAGGCCTCAAAGCTCTCCAGCCGCGCAAGAGTTTCACCGTCCTGCAGATTCCATTCGTTGAAGGCATTGATCAAGGCCGAATATTCAGCCATCAGCTGGGTGTCGGCCATGAGGTATGAAAGAGCCTTCTCGGAGTACCAGCGAACTTCAAGGAGCTTGTCGATAGCCGGCGCATACGTGGCCAGGAAAACGGCTTGGATTTCTTCGAGACGGCCCGGCGGAAGTGTACTGATGGCGTGTGGAGGAGGAGGGGCAATTCCCCGTAGAGAGAAAAGGTCATTAATGTAGATGTTTTTGGCTGAAGGCATTTTCTGTCAGTATCTGTGTCGAATGCACGGTGTTGGTGAACAAAGCTTACCTTTGTATGCTGGCTCAGAGCCCTGAGGGCGGGGTGTGGCAGTGCTCTGCATTTCGGAATGAGTTGGTTGACTGCTCGCGCTTAATGAAGGATCTATAGAAGCTCGGTGCGCGTGTTGTTCGACAGACGCAGTGGGCGACTCGGAATGAAGCGAGGGGGCAAATGGCTGAGAGGAAGCGGGCATGTACCCCGGAGGCGCAGACGGATATGAAGGTGCTGTTGGAGTTGTGGTAGAAGGGCCTTGGGGATTGACCACCAATGATGGAGGAGGATTAGGAGCAGGCTGGATAGCCGAGGGCGTTGAAGCCTGGGTGCGAAACACAGGGTCGTAGCCTAAGCACTCGCGTTTACTTTTCACGCAATTTCTGCAGACAGGATGCGCTTCGTCACACTGAAGAAAAAGTCAGATCTTGAATCGCGTAGATGTAAAAAAAAAGTGTGAGGGAGGGAGGGTTTGCGCGGGAGACAAAATATGGCGGGGTCTGCGGGCACAAGCGAGACTCCGCCCCGCGAAACTACCTTGAGAGGTACATATGCGACTCACCTTAATTCTTCGTTTGCGACAAGTCAGACAACCCGTTTTTGTTCGTCGCTTGACTTCTTTCTTGTGTCTATTGCCAGATAACATCTTGTTCGGATCGCCCGGTAGTTGATATCGCATCTGCGCATTGCCTTGCCCCATATTGGACGGATACCCGGTCATGTATTGTCCCATAGATGCCATCGGGGGCATATTGTTTGGAAGTGGCGATCCAATCGGCGCCTGTGGCACCTGCCCTTGCGCACCATTGTGGTACATATCATTCTGCTGATAATGTTGCTGTGGTTGCGCCTGAAATTGATGTTGGGTATGGGTTTGCGCCTGCGGTGTCCCAGGTTGTTGTGACTGGGCAGGGCTATGCGAATACTGATATGTGCCGTTGGATTGCGGCTGATAGTGGGATACACCATTCACCCCAGAGTGTTGGCTGTCATGATGTCCAGTGCCCGAGTCAGGGAGACCCGAATTCGAGTCATGGTGGTCTAGGTGACTGTCGTCGCGAAACTCATGTTCGTCCATCGTGGGTATATCGTCGATCCCGATTGCTGGCAAGGAATGATCAAGCGAGGGAAGTGTCGTATCAATCGCAGGAAGTGACATGTCCTGGCCCGTAGATGAGCCGATTGAAGGCAGCGCGTCAAACGAATTAATCCCAGAGTCCCCGAAAGCTTCAGATGTATCCATAGCTGGAATGGACGAATCAATTGGAGGAAGCGACGATTCGATTGAGGGCAAAGTCGAATCTGGTATTTGTGTTGGCTGGGAAGGCTCTTCTGGGGGATGGTACGTTCCCGCATCGTGTATTGGCTCCACCGTCGCTGGCTCTGTAGGTGTTGGCTCTGCGGGTATTGAAGGTGCAGGTGCTTGCTCAACCGGCACTGGGTCTGCGGGCGCTGTATTCACCGGTGCTGGTTCTGCAGATGCTGGTTCAGCCGGTGTGAAGGCTGACGGCACTGAGTCTGCCGGTGGTGGAGCTGCGGCGGGAGGATTTGAATCTGCTGGTGCTTGCTCTGTTTGCGCTGCCACTTGGCTGGCCTCGGTTGGAGGATCTGCAGGAGGATTGGGTGGGGGATTGGTAGGAGCGTCGGCTGGGATGCTGTCCGGTTCGGTCGCTGGGAGTGGCTCGCCCGAGGTGAACGACTGGCTGGTCTCAGTAGCTGGCGCATTCGACTCAGTCGCGGGATTGGGCGTTTCGCCAGGCGGGGCGCTCGAGTCCGTCGGCTCCGCCATGTTGGTTATTGCGGTCACCCAATAGTTAGGATGGTATTGATCGGATGGGAGGGTCAGGTGGAGTTGAAAGTAATTTCAAAACGGAAACCTCTCTGTGTGAGGCCGAATAATGGAAAAATTTCACGGTCAAAGGTCGTCTGGCTTATCGCTGAGCGAAGTGATCACACCAGGTCGAACGGATGGGGAGTTAGAAATCATTTATTCCCAGTGAATCTGTGGGGTTCAGCTCTGGTCAGTAAAGTGTTCGCCCGGCCGGCAATTGTGTGAAATCCCCGCAGCAAAGCCCAAATGCCATGAAATTCGATTCCTCGGTTTCGCTGGTCGGATTCTAGTCGGGAAAGAAGCACCGAAGTCGCGCAGGCCCTACGCTTCCACAGTCCAAGCGGAAAGTCGAATCCAGTCAGGGACTACCCTGTCTCTAGATTTGAATTTCGGGTGAAAAGGGTGGATCTTATTGCGAGTTCTCACACGTGCAATCAAGTCACATTGCAGGGACTGCGGGTTCAGGTGTTCTGCCGGTCCCTCAGGATTTGTTCGTCGCATTCGCGGTGGCCGACCAGCCTCAAGTGCAGCCACTGGTTGAACCATCCACAGGGTTTCAGGAACGTATCGCGGAGGGAATTTTGGAAGCTCAATGATCTCTCTCAAGACTAGAGATCCAGGGCACGGTGTCGCATAAGACGGTCGGGGATCCGGCGCGAGACGATGCGCTTGTCGAGCAGATTGGCAGGGCTGCGGGGAAACACATCTGGAATTGAAAAGACTCACCGGAAGAATGTGTAGATAGTATGATGATCAGGGCACAAGTTGAAGAACTGTGCAGTTCTAGATGTCGAGGGGCATGAAAAGCGCGAATGAGGCTAAAGGAGCTTTCCTTTCCGGCGATGAAACTCTCCGCTTTGATTGCGATCGAAAAAAAATTATAGTGGCAACACCGCTTTCTACAACATCGCCGTGATGCTTTTTTTTTTTTTGGAGAGTCTTTCATTACCTATTTATTGTATTTGATATAGATTCTACTCAGGATGTTCAATTTTATTTATATTCAATCATAGCCATGGATTTGTCCAGGCCATCAATGTAAATTTATTGCCCGTAGTAGGGAAAGTCAATGCTCAGAGTGATCTATGAGATTGATAGGGAGGTCATATATGCAACAACTAGAGAATTAATAATCTTCATGAATGGAAAGTTGGGGTGCATTTCTGTCCAGCTCACAGTACTAACTGAGCCATGATGATGTGCCTGTTAGTCGAAGCAGGGCGATTATGAGCCTGCAGAATCAGTGCAGAACCAGGCCAACTGAATGTGAGGGAAGACACATCTGAAAATATTCTCTGGTGGCCCTTGGTTGCTTTTGTAATTTGATTTCTTGGTGCCAATGTGCATGTAGACACGAGATAGGACATCGCAATCACTTTCTCATGGTTTTGGGCTTGCGCTTTTTGAAGACCACGCTGGGGGCAGCATCTTCGGTCGGGGGCTTCTCTTCTGTCGCTGTTTCTGGCACCAGCCCTGATTGTGAGACAGGCTCTTCTGTCTTGACCACAGTCGAATCACCTGTCCCTTGGTCTTCTAGCTTGGGAGAAGCATCTTCTTTCTTGACGGCACTGGTGGATTGGTCGGGAGCGGTTTCCGCTTCAACAACTTCGGCCTTAGGCGTAAATGTCTTCGTCATTTTAATGTCTTTGGTGGATGCAAACAAGGCATCCAGGTCTCCGTCGTCTTGGGCGCCGGGGTATGTCTTTAATCGCGAGCCCCAGCTTTTGTTAACGACCATTTCTGGCGCAGGTTCACCATCTTCGTCCTCCCCTTCGAGTTTTCGCTTGCGTACACCGATCGACTTTGTAGGACCTTCCAGCCCTTGCTTTGGTTGCTCAATCTTTGTCTCTGAGGTGGTGTGCCAGTCCCCAGCCAAAGCCAAGTCGGCCCGGTATTCCTCAGGGACGGCCACACCCATTGCCGCAAGTGATGCGATCTGCCTCTTTCGATCCTCGAGGGTAGCTGGCCTCTCTGCAGGCTTGGGGGCTGGCGGCGCATTTCGCTTCGCTGGCGGCGCCGCGCCACCTTTACTTGTAGAACCACCACCGACAGCCTGCCTTAATCGCTCAACCTCGGATTTCGCTCGCTGTGATTCTTTTTGCTGCTGCTCATTGTCTTTGTGGATTTGGTTGAGGAACCGTCGAAGGTTGCCTTGGTGTTTCGGGCTGGCTTCGTGTTGGGTCTTTTCAAAGGCCGTGTCGCGAATGAAGATCTTGCACTGTTTGCACCAATGGCGCGGCTTAAGACTGATCAGCGATGAATTAGACAAATGATTTGTATGCACTTACCGCGGATTTCCAATATTCGGACATGGCTAGTTGCTGAAGACAAAAGTAGCGCAGTGATAAGATCAAGCTCTGGGCCTAGTCCCGAAGGGGCCGCACTCCGCCCTGAAACAACCGCCTTCGGTACCTCCATCGTTACCTCCATATCTTTCTATCAAAGACATTGTACATGCTCTATACTAGCAAGCATATTGGCACCTTTCACGACTTGTAATATCATTATAGCGTCCCTATATATGCTAATAACAGTGATGGCGTTTCTGTACTTGAATTGTTGATATACTCAAAAGGCAGATTGTAAATATTGTAAATATCTTCTTGCTATATCTGCAGTGTAATCTGGAATTTAACTCCAAGGTGTGGGTTGCAATGGTCCATGGATGGCAAGATATGAAGTTCTGGTTCCCCGCCGAAGGAAGAAGTGGCAGCCCTGAGTCGGGTTCCAAAATAGGAAGGCACGAGGTCTATATAAGAAGGCTTTCCCCCCAACCTTTTCTTTCTTCCTTCATCTCCCCGCATCTTTCTTCCTTCATCTCCCCGCACACTACTCTACTTTCAAGTCCCTCTGCTACCTTTAGCCTTTACTCTTTGATCACTTTCATCCTCTTGAGTGAATACCTTCTCACCCAGTCCACCCATCGGAAGTGAGTCCCAAGTGACTTGCATCGCACGCCTACTGGGCCTTATCCTCTATCACTCTCACTTCACTTCTTGGCTCTACGGTATGTCAATACTGTTGATCGAACTTCACCTTGTCTCAACTGATGAATCTTCCCAGTCTCACTCGATATCACGCTCTCCTCCTTGAAACATGAACAGCATGTCGACACCTGTTCTGGCTCCTGGTGATGCCGCGGCCTTACAAACCTCAGGCTTGGCAAGTCCCCCCTCTTCTGAGGGCACTCGACGCATCCACAAACGACGTTTGAATCGATCCAGCGATGAAGAGGAAAGTCATCTCCCGCTCACGCCCGTGTCGATGGACAGCATGCCCGGTTGCTTCGTCACTATCCCTGAAGACCTGATCTCGTTTGCGACGCTGAAGTATCTCGGATACAATCACGATATGGCGATGCGCATCTGGCATCGATGGACCAACTGGTCCCCTGGACCCATCAATCGCGAATGCGACGATCCCGAAAACGGCATCCCATTCATCGAAGTCGCAGAGGGCAATCTTGATCATGCGCCCGATACTTCTGATGAGGATGATCTCGCTTGGCTCCAGTGTCTGACTCAGTATGGCATGGACACCGAGTTCACGAACGCAATCATGGATTCGAAGTTTCGCCAAATCCGCCTCACGCAATCGTGCAAGTTCTGGGCACAGGACACCATCAAACTCCGATACCGTGCGCTCGTGGAGGTACAAGAGGCATCTCGTGAACGTGAACGCCAAACTCAGCGTGAAGCTTCGCGCCCGGTCAGAAACAACCCTGGTCCTTCCACACAAAGATCCGTGTCTGAATCGTTGAGAACGGCCTCATGGATCTCGGCGGAGACTGCTTTATCTCCCTTCGCAGCCGATGTAGCGGCAAATGCACCGGGAGTAACACACCTGTACAGAGGAGGAGACAAAGCGTGGATCAATGGTCTTTTCCGCGATGATGGCAGTCTTCATGTCGGTTGCCTTGCAGCCAGACCGCCAGCGGATTTCTCGGCAAGAACAGCTCTTGATATCTACCTCGCTGTTGATCGAGAAGTTGCTATTTGTTATGCAGGTTACGCCAAACGTCGCTCTGGTGCCAGTGCCGTGGTGATCGTTCACGTTACGATCCCAAACTCAGTGATTGAGTCTCTAACACCTTCTGAGATCCAACGTGTGTATTGGCCGAGCATGGAGTGGAAGAATCTGGTGCTCAGCTGTCGCCAAATGCGCAAAGTACCTACCCAACTTCGAAAATATATGTTGGCCACGATTGTGATTGGCTCGATCTGCAACAAGCCGAAAGCGGTCATGGCTAATTGGAGTTCTCCTGAGGATATCACAGAAAGAATGGTCTTCAGAACAAACGATGGTCGTGTGGCTGTGCAGTATGTTTTTAAAGGGGAGGAAGGATTTGGTCTGTTGGAAGAATCGGCTCAATTTACCGTCTTCCCTCTGACAAACCGAGAGTTCGCTGCTTGGCATGAAGTTATCTGATTCGTTTCGGGGCATTGATTGGCTCTTTTCTCCTTTTACAATTGACATAGGATTTTTTAAGCCTATTATTATCAACCTATGTCAATGTTTTAGCTCTATTATTCTTAAGTCACGAATGAATCTTGTTCCGGGCTTTGATTGACTTTGATGGAGCCTTCAACCCAACACACGATCTGGGTAGCCGTCTCTCCACTGAAATGTACACCAGAATCATGATCGGTGAGTTACACGGCTAGTTCGTGTACTCGTATCAACTATGACAGGCGTCGATCCGAGCAAACATAAACACTTCCACGACTATCTTATACTACACGCAGAAGGCATGCAAGTGATCGTTTGTACAAGAAGTGATAACCATATTTCACTCGGTGTCAACCACACATAAGGTTCCCGTACACAATGAATCCGAGAATTATGTTTCGGACAGTTCATAACCTGCACACAGCGATTCGGCTTCCCCCAGGAACAGTACGCCTTACTGCAGACCTGCTTGTTCTGGGACTGGGCTTTTCAGCGATCCGGTTTCAAGAGCCGCCCGAATGTTATCAATCGTCCATTCTTCCATGGAAAGCATGGTCTATACGTCCAATTAGCTCCAAGGCTCTGTATATTGTTTCAAAGAGTGTGAATAGTTCAAAACTTACCTCACTAGTCCAAGTACCCATGTGAGGCACCAAAATCACATTCTGGTTGCTGAGTAGTCCCGGATGGATCTTAGGCTCTTCCTCGTATACATCTAGACCAGCTGAGAATACTTTACCACTGTCCAGAGCTTCGACCAGAGCAGCTTCGTCCATGACGGCACCACGGGCAGTGTTGACCACAACCACGCCATCTTTCATCTTAGCAAACTCGGCTTTGCTAATGATATGACGGGTGTTTTTCTTCCACAGTCAGTATTTCATCCATGTCAAATAGTGGTGATGACCCACATTCAGAGGCAGGTTCAAGCTGATAACGTCGCTGGTGGACAGCAGCTCATCAAAAGAAACATACTGAGCTCCTGCGGCCAGCTCATCGCCGAGCTCTCGGCGATTATGATAAACAACCTTCATACCAAAAGCCTCGGCTTTCTTCTTCAGATTCCGTCCAATTCCACCCATCCCCAAGATCCCAAGAGTCTTGCCTTGAGGATCATGACCCAGAGGTGGTGCAGGCTGACCACGCCATTTACCCTGTCGAAGGGCATTCATGCCTGTGTTGAAATTGCGCAACGCCCCAAGAATCAAAAACATGTTCACGTCAGCAGTGGCATTATCCACTGCAGTTGGAACATTAGAGACTCGAATGGGAGGGCTGCGCGCACTACAGGCATGGACATCTATTTGGTCATAGCCAGCTCCTATGGAAATGAATCAATACGAAACGCTCGCTGAATTTCCGCATCGCGGACTGTAGAATAAACATACCACAATGCGCAATGAATCGAAGCGACTTGGGTAGCACGTTCAAAAGCTCCTCGTCAAATACACCTGTAAGAGGCACAGAGGGGATGGATCGGTATAACGCGATCACACCATCGAACTTGCCGTCTTTGCACTCTTGAATGAACTCGGTTCGCTGCGTTGCTGTTGATTCGATCAGCTCTGCCGATGCACCCAATGCAATCCAGGCTTTTTGCGCGCTGGGTTTGGATGTTAGTCGAATTGCGACGAAGGGGTCTCAATTTGGAACCCATAATGATTCATGAAGGATACTCACTGGTCGATATTTCCAATAAGGAGCACTTTCGGCTTGGCTTCGGTCAATGTCATCTTTAATAATACTTGATGAGCGTTGTTAGTGAAGACTTCTGCAAAGTGATTGAGATTGAGCTCAGTGGAAATGAAGTTTGGAATTAAGGCGTTTAACAAGCGGATCGGAACATGCCGAAGCGCCTTCTTTTGACATGCATGATTTGACTCACTGATAAGAGGGCGGGGTGGCCGTGATTCTCTCGGACGAGTCGGAGATATACTACTAAGAGGGTATTGGTCTTAGTTTAGAAGACAAGTGTAAATAGAATATCTATGCCCTAGAAAGACGCTGAAGAACCATCAATATTTCGAAGCATCGGCAAAACAGCCGAGACGCCCCACGCCCTTCGGAGGACATCCCCGCATGAGATTGCCCTAGACTTGATACCTTGAAGCGGAAAGTGTTTCCTCGACATCGGTGGGATGTATGTAAGGCTAATGGAAAAGGCATGCAACTGGCTGTCCTAGGTACCTAAGATTTTCTTCCAAGGTTGACATCGCGACAACTCCCGAGAAGCCATTTGTTCCCATGATCAGAAATTCCAAAGGGTATGCAATTAATGTAGAATATATGAGACGCAAGCCACGATCCCCTCGGGGTTTCGGGCCGTGATGGACGTGACAAAACCCTACCCTTCAACCAAAACACGAGTCCAGTCAAACTTCTTCCATCGCCTTCTGAATCCATCAACTCTACGATCTCCCCGATTCCAACGTCCCTGACGTTTAATCACATCCGGCGCAACATCCAACATGCCACCAATGATTTCTCGAGCAAAGAGATCACCGCGAGGCCAGCGATTATCATCTTCCACGATGTGACCGAGTCCACCGTCGACCTCGAACCAGACGTGGAAGTATGGCATCTCCTTCACCAAACATCGACGGAAAGCAGAGCGACCAAGTCCTTGCTTTGATCTTTCAAGAGTGTCAATCAGTTTCTTGTGCTGGGACCATTCGGACTCAGCGCTGAGAATGGCTTCCTTAAAAAGGCTGGGGCGGTCTCGCCGAGGGCGTAGGGTAGAGGTACAGCTTCCATGGACGCGTGCTTTTTCCGCTGCGGCTGGGCTGCGTTTTCATAGAAGATCACGTCCCGGCCTTGGTCGTGGTACATGCGCTTCAGACATTTCATGAAGTTGCGGATCTCTTCCCACTCGTCGTCGTCGCACTCCATCAAGTTTGTGCGGTGTTGAATTGGTACAATGGTTGCGCCGCCTTCGCTGATTTCAGGCTCGGTGGGGAGTGTGAGGAAGACGCGGGTTGCAAGGGACACCACGGGGGCGGTGGGAGGCGTGCCCTTGTCTTCGTTGTGGCAGAGGGGGCAGTTGTCCAAGATCCGGTTCATCTTGTGGAAGTCGTTGATCGTAGTATTCTTGAGATCGATTTCAGACCGATGCACTCGCTTGGCCAACTTGGACGCATTATCATCCATATACTCCAAATCATTCTGGGCTCAAGTCAGTATTTGTAACACAGTAGCGTCGCATGTTCGGACTTACTTCAAACTTGGAGTCACGGCCGATTTGATCGGCCAACCGCCGGCCCTCTCCACCGAGTTGACCGCGAGTCTTGCGCTCCTCCCGTACCATGTCTTCGATACTCATGTCCTCATTCGCCTCCACCTGGCCTCTCTCCCGACCTCTCTTGGTATCGATGGCTTTGACCTCATTCCTTGGGCCTGCCAACATGGGGTTGTGCATAACATCAAGAACCACGACATCAGATTCCTTGCGGTTGGACATAGCTGCTGCTGCTGTATTGTATTGCTCTTCGAGCTGCGCAGCGTCTGGTGATTTCTTGAGTTTTGCCTTCATCATTTGTGCCTTGAGACGGTTCAGTGCCGTCATATCAAGACGCTGGGTAGTCTGGGGAGGCGGCACGGTATCGATCTTCTTGCCTTGACCTTCGGCGTGGAGGTCCTGTTCTGGGTCACGGACATGCTCAAGCGTGGCTCGCTTAGTATTGTTCTGGAGCTTGCGTTCTTGGAAGAGCTCTCCACTGGGCTTCTCCTTGCCCACGTAAGACTTGCCATAGGTATTGCGGCGATCCATCTCGGTCTCTTCTTCCCGAGCATCGTCAAAGGACCTGATATCGCCAAATCTCTCCGTGGCAACCTCTTCCACGGGCCTGCCGCTTTCTTCTGCTTCTCTGTAGACACCTTTAAGCTTCGTCATTCTCCACTGTGATCCCGAGTCCCCAAAGGTGTAGTCTACTTCATGCTGAGCAGGCTCATCTTTGATATCATCGAGTGTTTTTCCATCATTGAGATCGCGAAGGTGGCTGTTGAGCTCTTTGTCGTGAATCTTGAGCTCGTAGCCCGCGTGAAGCATCTTCGGTTTGGCCTCCTCCTCCTGTCGCGGGTTGCTGGGTCGCTGGACATAATCAATGTCCAGAGCCGATGGCGCTTCCATCCAAGAGTCTCGTTTCAAGTTGCTTGGCTCTGCTGGAGCTGACGCGGTCGGCTCCTCATCTTTTGTATCGCGGTGTCGACGTTTATGGCCACGTTCATCTCCTTGATCGTTGGAACGACGCGAGCGCTTGTGTCGATGGCCGTCATCATCGTGATGTCTAGATTCCCGGCTTCGATGGCTATCGCGCTCACGGGATCTGGAAGAATGCCGCCGGTGGCTTGAGCGGTGATGACGGTGCTCTCTGGAGCGCTCTGTGCTTCGATCGCGGTCGCGATTTCGGTCTCGATGATGTCTTTCGCGATCTGATTTTTCGTGTCGCTGTTCCTGCCCCTCCGCAAGCGACTTTTCAAAATCTTCCAAAGTCATTGTGTTTGGTGAGCATGTAAAGAGAAGCTCGAGGCAAAAGTCGGATGACGTTTTAAAGTGCCGGGCGGTCCAGTCGCAGATCTCGGCTTCCCCGCGACAAAAAGATTTCGGGCAAAAAAAAAGAGCTTGTCTTTCTTCCCCTGCGCATCTTCGACCTTTCCACCTAATCACGTCTTTCTGGTCCTCCTTACTGCTCTACAGGTTTCGTCTGATAATCATCGCAAAAAGTCTTCAGAATGGCGTCTCCAGTGTCCGTGGTCTGCGTGGGCATGGCAGGTATGGATTAATCACCCCCACCCACGTTACTGGTATTCGTCTAATCATATACATTGCACATTGATAGGCTCTGGAAAGACTACCTTTATGCAGAGAATCAACTCTCATCTTCACGAAAAGAAAACCGTTCCATATGTACTCAATCTGGACCCCGCGGTCCACTCGGTGCCCTTCGACAGCAATATCGACATTCGTGATTCGATCAACTACAAGGAAGTGATGAAGCAATACAACCTTGGTCCTAATGGAGGTATCTTGACCTCGTTGAATCTGTTCGCCACCAAGGTCGACCAGATCATCTCTCTCTTGGAGAAGCGCACTGCTCCGAATCCCGAAAACCCAGCCGCCAAACCAATCGAACACATTCTGGTAGACACGCCCGGTCAGATCGAAGTTTTCGTCTGGAGTGCGTCTGGTAGCATTCTTCTCGAGACTCTGGCATCGTCCTTCCCCACGGTTATTGCCTACGTTATCGACACGCCTCGCGCGAGCTCCACCAGCACTTTTATGAGTAACATGCTCTACGCCTGCAGTATTTTGTATAAGACTAAACTTCCCATGATTTTGGTCTTCAACAAAACCGATGTCAAGGACGCAGAGTTCGCCAAGGAATGGATGACCGACTTCGACGCATTCCAGCAGGCTTTGCGCCAGGAAGAAGAATCAGGTGCTTTCGGAACTGAAGGTGGTGCCGGTGGCTTTGGCTCAGGCAGTGGATATATGGGCTCCCTTCTGAACAGTATGAGTCTGATGTTAGAGGAGTTCTACCGTCACTTGAGCATTGTCGGCGTCAGTTCGATGACCGGTGATGGCGTTGATGAATTCTTCGAAGCTGTGGAGACCAAGCGACAGGAGTTCGAGCGTGACTACAAACCCGAACTAGAGCGCAAGAAAAAGGAGCGCGAAGAGCAGAAGGAGTCGCAGCGGGAGCTCGAGCTCGGAAAGCTCATGAAAGACATGAGTGTTTCTGGCTCAAGCAGACAGCCTGCCAAGCCTACTACTAGTGGAGAGCCTGAGACTGTCAGTGAAGCCGAAGATGAGGAAGACGATATCATCAAGCGCGGTCTCGCAGACGGAGAGGATGACAGCGACTACGAGGACTACCAGGGTTACCAGGGCCCTGATGCTGGCAATGATGAGAACCTCACACAGCGCTACAAGGAGGCGCTCTCTGGTTCTCAGAGTGCTCCCTCAGACCAGGACAACAGCTTCACAAGATACCTTCGTGCAAGCAACATGCAGCAGTAAAGTCTCACCAAACCGACGTTACTGTTTGATTGCATTCTATGGGGTTCAATGGGGCCCTAAGGCCTGAGGTGTTTGTGGGATTGGGGCGCTTTTTGTTTATTGCATTTAACGAATACACATATGGTCATATTTATCAATCCTATATCAACCCATCAATCTCGTATTCGTATTTATGGTGGCTCTGCAGTAGGCTCAGTTGATGCAAACGAGTCAAACAGGTAATGTTGCTGTGACGTCACACATTACAATGCTTCAGCCTTAAAATGATCACTGGGAAGTTCCTGTCTTAACGAGCTGACTTCCTACCCCAAATATCTCTATTTCTTAAGTCACACATTGCCATTGGCCATAAACCGACAACGATATCAATATGGATGTGAGTCAACACCCGGCCATAGCATCAGCGCTTCATACATACCCATCTATCGTGCTCTGTACAGAATGAAGCTAACAAACAACCAAAGGTCTTCCATGCCTACACGTACTCAACTGCCGGATGGCTAGCCGTCCAGAGCCTCCCTCTGATCGCCGGTCCAAGCATCATTGTGACCATGCTATTAAATGAAACCCGACCTGCTTCTCGTGAGTTGCGCCAGCATCTAGACAACACTACCTATGGCACAGACCATTCTAACCAGACCCCCACAGCGATGGAGCTTTACTTTGCACGGTGTCTCGGATTCAGTCTTCTGACCATCGCCGTTCTAACCGTGATGCTGACGGGCTCAATTCCTCTGACTGCCGACATCAAGGAGTCCGTTTCAACAGACAACAATGACCCCAAAGCACCATATGCCGTTCCCACTCTGATGGTCACATCGGTCTTCCACAGTGCCTGCGCATTCTACGCATACACCTGGTACGTCTCTGGCGGACAAGGTCTTTTCGCCATTGGGGTCGCCGGATATTCAGGTCTTGCTGCTATTGGACTCTGGTGCATGCTCTTTGCTAGCAGCAACGGGAAGATTAGTCGCCGGACTGGAGCGGATAAAAGAACGACTGGGTTCCCTTTCAAGAACTCGGAAGCAGCGAAGAAGCATGCAGGCAAGGGATTGTAAACTCAGGCTGTGGTTGTGGTTGTCATTGCGTTACGCGTTTTTAGATTCCAGACTTCAGAGAGTATTTCTATCCCGCAATGTACACCAATTAAGCATTCAATGAGGTTGCGTAGTGTATTGTTTTGTAGAAAGCTAAAAGGAAAGCCAAAAAGATCCGAGCTTCCCAGGACTGCAACCCCACAACGCCGCTTCAACCCTTTCAAAAGCAGCACCCCTTCCCCCACAACTCTAATTATCTACTTCGACATGTCCGAGAACCTCTCGCATCTAGTTCCCTTCGATGGAGGCTCACATAACTTCGCACCTTATCGTCCTCCGGCTGAGACGCGCCGACTCACGCGCCATGCGCCAAATACTACATTTGTTCGTCCTGGCGAGACAGTGCCTGACTTTATGATCGCAGCTCAGCCGGATCAGCACCAATCACATCAGTCTGGGAATGTACCAGCTCCTCAATTTCAACAGACGCGACCACCCACTCGGGACAGTTTGCAGCAACGCCGGGATTACGGCGACGACTTTGAAAATGAGCAGCTCATCAATCCTCAGTCCGGGGCATTCCATGCCCCTAGTGCCGGACAGATGTTACCTCCGGCACCCCTGTCGCAGAACGGTCTCGCGATGGTGAACCCGGCGCATCCGGCGCACAATGATGGCTTTGCAATGTTGCCGTCGCCCATTCAGTCGTTTCAGCAGGACTTTGCCGAGATGAGCGCCGAGTCTACTGATCCGACTTCGTTGGTTGCACACGGCGAGCTACGGGGTTTCAAAGCAATACCCGACCCTCCAGACTTGGATTACTGGAGAGACAGACTGTTCAACGTTGATGAAATGATTACTCTGAGTGAAGATGAGTATGTAGATGTCTCCTTAGTATCTAGTATATATCCCCCGGCGCGAACTGACTGCTCAACTCACCGCCCAGGTTCAATACTTACTTTCCGCATGTTGACAATGTATATTCCCATCGCTCGACACAGCGGTACAAGCGTAAGCCCTTTGTCTCGCATTACTGGGACTGTCGGTTGAAGGGCCGGCCTCCTGGTACGCCCAAATCCGATAACCCAGAAAAGAAGAAGCGCAAGCGCACAGCCCGAGAAAGAAATCTCTGTCATGTCAAAATTAAGGTCATGGAGTACTTTCCCAGGTCTGAGATTTCAGACTTGGACCCCTCCGTTGAGGCTGGGCCGTCTAGCGTGCCTGGTATGTATACTTTTGCTCTGAGCGGTGACCCCTCCATCCGAAGTGATCAGGCTTTTGAAATGCTCGCGTCAAATCCCGGCCTGCCCCCTAGTCACCCAGGGGCGAATGGCGCACGATATTACACCATTCAGCGGGTGAATGGAAACGGAGCTAACGGTAAGGATGACGGGGTGAGTGGAGGTCATCAGCACACACTTGAAGAAAGCGATCGCGTAAAGAAGAGCAGTGTCCAACGATCCGTTTTGAAGGATAAGAAAGACAAAAGGACGAGAGTGGTACGTTCATCTTCGAGGTTTAACAAGCGAGAATCCCCGCATGAGTGTGGCTACGTCATCTCTCAGGTTTTGGATCTTGCAAGCGACTTCATACATATGTTCCATTGTTTCGACTTCATACACACGATCTAATAAGATATCAACAGGACCGAATCATGTCTGGACCAAGTCCAAAATCATATCACACCAAGGCGACAGGTCTGGCTGCTGAGACTGTCGTCAAGCACGCCGGCGAAGTCAACCTCAAATTATATGGAAGCTGCTTCTGGTGAGTTCCCCGGTTCGAACCCAGATGAAAAGCTAATTTGACCCGCTCGAAAGTCCATTCGTGCAGCGCGTATGGATTGCGTTGGAGCTGAAGGGTATTCCGTACCAATACATCGAGGTGGACCCGTACGCAAAGCCGGCCTCGCTGTTGGAGGTGAACCCCAGGGGGCTGGTCCCTGCTTTGCGACACGATAACTGGGGATGCTATGAAAGTAACGTATTACTGGAATATGTAAAGCCAACCAGTCGATGCCTCAGTCTCTCGCTAACCAATCAACCACAGCTCGAAGATCTGGGTGTGGGAGCAGCGTTGCTTCCAGGAGATGCGAAATTGCGCGCCCATTGCCGTTTGTGGGCTGATCATGTATGCCAACAAGAATCTTCTGGCCTGGGAACCATTGCTGATATGATGCAGGTGAATCGGCATCTCGTGCCGGGTTTCTACCGAGTCCTACAAGAGCAGGACCAGCAGGGGCAGATTGAGAAGGCGCAGGACCTGCGGGCTTCCATGGAGCAGCTACTCGAGGTGGCACATCCCAAAGGACCATTCTTCATGGGCCCGCAGATGTCCCTTGTAGACGTCCAAGCTGCCCCTTGGATCCTCCGTCTGAGACGGGTCCTGAAGCCGTACCGCGGCTGGCCAGATGCCGATCAGGGAAGCAGGTTGGCAGCTTGGGTAGATGCCATTGAAAGCGACCCGCATATTCAAGCGACCACCAGCACGGACGAGCTGTACCTGGACAGCTATGAACGCTACGCCCGTGAGTGTCTCGCATCTTTCATTTTTTTCGGACGTCTGGCCGCGCACTGACACTCTTCGCAACGCAGAAAATCGCCCAAACACGTCGCAGGTCGCGAACGCCATCAATGCAGGACGAGGCCTTCCTTGAACTCCCTTGGATAACGGCTTTGTGCCGTAGGGAAGGAAATAGCGGCATCGCATGTTTTAGCCTGTTCGAGCACCCCGGTTGAAATTGAAGCCCCCTCTCCCACTAGCATCAGGGCCCCGCGGGTTGCGTAGTGGTTGCTGTGGAGCTTGAGGGTCGGAGCCAACACGTTCAAGCTGGGCACGGCCACCCCGCCCAAAGGGTGCATTTGGCTTTGCTGAAGTAGACGGGTCGTAAAGATGCTTAGACTTGCTCGGAGCGGCCGAAGGTTCTCTCTTTTCCCGATGATCTCTGCCTCCACCTCGTCCCTTTCCTCTACCTCGACCCTCACCAGAATTCTGTCGAGGCGGGGTCGTACTTCCTGGCGACGAGGTCCCGGAAGCCGTAGCAGACGGGCTGCCAAATAAGCGTTCGCGCACCTCTTCGTACTTCCGCTGCTTTTCCTCTCTGTTCTTGAGTGCAATTGCATGGCGCTCTTCGGGTGTTGGCTCGGGCGCCTTTTCCTCCTCTGAATCGTCATCGTCTATTCCAAGCTGGCCAAATCCAGCGCTTGCAGCATCGATTGTACCCGACGAGGAGGAGTGTCTGGTCACTAGTTGGGGTTTTCGGCTCAACAGCTTGACTGCTGGCTTGATGTCCTGCTTGAGGGGCACATCGGCGCGCGCTTCGGCGAAGTGGAAGGTCTCTGGGGAGTCGCTGGGGCCACTCAGCTTCCGAGATAGGGAAATTGCCAGGATTTAGACTTACGCTTCAGCCCATAGTTGTCGGTTGAATTCTGCTTGCTGTGCCCTGCGTTGTGCTTTGGTCACTTTGGAGGAGACTTTCTTGTCGGACGGCGGGGTAGGCTGAGAATCGAGATGCTGTTGAAGGCTATCAGTACATGCAGAACATGCTTCGTGGGTCATGAAGTCTTGTAGGGCTGTTGTGAGGGACTCATATTGTAGTCCAATGGGCCTTGGGATATGTTATTTCATACATCTGCTTGGGTTTCCCACGAATCCTCCCAGGCATCGGGAGCCGCACCGGAATTTGCACTCATTGCACACAGACGGAATTGCAAAAAAAGATAGAATTAAGAAACAAAGCCCTAGATATAGAGCGCAGAAGCAGAAGAGCAATTATAGTATGTGCAGTATATAGCTGACAGAGAAAGAAAGAAGAAAAATTCGCGGTGCGAACCCCGGGGCCACCGCCTGTCCGAGCTGTTGATCCCGCACTTCTCCAACTTCACTCCATTCAAGCCATGGCCTTCGGTAAGTGGCAGCTATCTACCCATTCAGACACAGACCTCATATTCTATTTCTCCACGATGAATCATTCAACTAACCACGAACCAGATCACAAAGACCCAGACGGCGATTCCGCAATGACATCTTCCGTTGACTCTGTCCGCGATGACAGGGCCGGCGCTCGCACTCCTACCGGCAGCGCCCACACTTCTGCATTCAACACATCAGAAATCTCTCCCCCTGGCTCCCAGTCACAAGCGCCAGCCGGATCCACCGCGGAACACCGCACCACTCTCGAGAATCAGGCAGGACCATCTGACCCGAGCGCACACCCCCTCGTGGGCGCCTGGAAGACCAAGCGTGCACAGGAAGACTACCAGCGCGCTATGGAATTTGTCATTGACAAGGATTTCAGTTTAGGTATGTTGTTGTATTTGGGGATACATTCTATGCATCTTTCCCTCATGCTGACTGGGGTTCTCTCATATAGCTGAATTTGGAGATCCGTTTGATGAAAAGGAGTTGAAATAGGATGGTTTTATTTCCTCTTCTGGTGAGCAAACGGGGATTTCGAGCATAGCTAGCGTTGCATGATATGATTAATGAGATATGATCAAGTCTGTGGGCTTAGGCCTAGAGATACTTTGTTACCCAGGTGGGATCTTTCGAGGTTGGGAAAGGATAGGTGCGCAGCCTGTCCTTGGACTATTTCTTGCTGTAGTGTAGGCCGCAGAAGTCTCCAAAGGCGAAGTCCACGGGTGCATTGGGAACCTACAGGGCTTGGAAGCCGACTCCCGAGGTCCGGTTCAGCCCTGTAGCTTCAGTGTCTAGGCACCTATAAGCGTAGTTTCTTCGCCTTACTAGGTATCAGTCTAGGTAGCGATGCTCAGGTGTAATACTTCAACCTTGGAATGTGCTATCCTACCATAAAGTCCCGAGGTCTATCTGCTATCATTGGGATTTCCGACCTCAGCTGGGCAGTCTCTGAGCCATGAGCTTCCAAGGGTTTTCTCATGCCCATGCAGTCGAGAACAGCCGCACAGCTGGAGGCGTACAATTACCCTCGGGCAGTCATTTTAAACTTGCCCAGGTGGTTCCACAGTTTGATATAGTTCCAAGGTTGTGTTGGAGCCTTCGAGGTTTTGCACCGTGGAGGTACTATATATATGGACTGAGACACTCAGCAAAACCTCTACCTAGGTAATTGCAAAGAAAGAAAAAACCTAGGTATGGATGTTTTACATCCCGTTCAAAGTTCACCAACATGTGTTCTGCATTCAACATCATATCCTCTGTCTTTTGAAGTCGCCCGTTTGCAAGACCTGTTCCGGACAGACATCGCCAATATCAGATGCTCATTGTAAATTTACATACCTCAAGTCAAAGACCCTGTATAGTGGCGCTCAACATACTGTTTTAGGCTTGATAGCGATATAGCATGAAGTATATAAGTGTGCCGACAGGGAGTGCTCAGTTCTGGCTGAACAAAGTCCGTATCCCTGGATGTGCCTTTCAATAGCCTAGAGAATTCATGAACCACAACAGTAAATGAAGTAGTCCTAATGTACTATAAGTGCAAGTGCCCAAAAGAAAAGCATCGCCAATAGAGTACTTCGTAGGGCTGTCAGAATGGATAGGGCCCAAGGTTGGCCAGGCAACGGAGGAACAAAGCAAAACCACATCCCGCTTCGCCTACTTGCTTTCGCATCCATCACGACTTTTCGACAAACGCTATATAGCGGGCTGTATCTTCAGTTTGCATGATTCCTGCTGCATCCAATTAGCCCTTCCGACCGATTAATTTGTATATATTGGATCATCCGGATTCCAACGGATTTTTGACACATTCCACACGCGTCAACATGGAGAACCACCCTCCCTCGCCAGCGCAAAGGTATGTCGCATTTCTTCCTACAGCCCCTTTTCGATCTTGCTTCTACGTGGCTTCGATATTCGTTCCTCATTTGGTTCTCGCGCCCGTTCTTTATCGTTGGTCCTGTGTTGTGGTCCACACCGCCGTGTATTGTTGACACTAACATCGCGTGTTTTCCCAGCGCTACCACAAACCCCCCGACAGAGAGCTCATTTAGCTTTACACCAATCAAAGCCCTGAGTGCCTTGCCACGACTGTGGGATCGCAAACCTTCGACCCCTGTCCGCGCCGGTGACAAATCACGAAAGCTGTGGAAGCGCATTCGCTTCCCATTCGGCGGCATGAAGACTGAACCAGAAGGTCAAAGCACTGGAATCGGTGCCGCTAAGAACCCGACTTCGGATTACCAGCGTGGCGTTAAGCGCCGATGCGTTGACCCTAGCGATGCAGAGCAAGAGACCGAGATGGAACAACGCGGCCGGTCGTTCCTAGAAACCAAATGGGAGATGCAGGCATCCCGAAAGAAGCGTGAGTCCTCGGCCTCATACGGGACATTGTGGCATCCCGAACACCCTACCCGGAACCCTATGGCTAATATATGACAGGCAAAATGCCCGAATTTAATTTTAACATCCACAACGATAACCCTCAGAGCGTGTTTGGATTTACTGGCAACCAGTCAGCTACCAATGATGTTGCGATGAACGACTCTCCTCAACCGCTCAGCGACATGTGGCAGTCCGCCAAGACACCGGTCTACAATGATGCCCAGGCAGACCTCACGGCATCCGACTCAAAAGATGCCGAAGATCTCCAGTCTACATCCCCCGATCAAGTGGTGCCGCCCGTGATCGCTCAAGCCGGAGAGACCGTTGGGGAGCCCGCACAAGACCTCACCCAGGAGCAGGAAGTGAAACTAGTACGCTCTGCTCTGCGAAGCTCCTTGGACGGAGAAGATGCAGAGTTGCTTAATGACTTCTTGTCGCGGGCCAAGGCGAAGCGCGCCGCCAAGGCATCGCACCCCGAGGATGCGGAGCCTACAGAAGTATCCTCCAGCACTGAGGAATCACCTGAAGTTGAAAGATCGACACCGCGATCGCGACGTGTCTTGGAAGATCTAAACACCAACTCCCCCTCGCCAGTCAAGGTGCAATTATCGCCGAGTAAACATGACGTCAAGCTTGTTCCCGTTGACGCGGAGGAGCAGGAACAAATCATCCACAAAGAAATCATGGAAGAGCCCGCGCCCGCGAGTCCTGCTTGTCGTCGAAGCTCTCGTACCAAGGGCCCAAGTGCTCCTTCTGTGCGCAACACTATCGCGCTCCGTCGGGCGAAAGGTACCGAGTTCATCTTCCTGCAACGGACCGACTCGCAGCAGCTGGCTTTGGCTACGAAGCGCAACACTCGGCTCAACAAGGGTAAATCCGTGACCCCCATGGTCGCGCTGGAGGCCCTTGCTCAAGAATTGAGCGAGGCGAGTGCTCAGGCTGGCACCGATGAGCATGAGAGCCCACCTCGCGAGGCCAGCTCCACGAAACGGAAGCAAGTGTCGTGGAACGAAGAGCGCATGGCTGAGTATGAAGAATACAAGGAAGTCATCGACGAGTTTGAGGATGAAGGTGATCAATGCAAGGATGACGTCGGTGCAACACCTCGCCGAGCGGAGAGCAAGCGATCAACAAAGAAAGCCGCACCCGCCCAGCGCAGCAGCCGTCGCCAGACCGAGAAGGCAGAGCAGGGTGGTCAGAGTGGGGCCACAGACAGCGGTCTAACCGCCCCTACTGCACCCGCTTCTGCAACCCCGCGGTCACGCCGGGTGAGGCGCTTGGGCGATTTGGGGAAGATGGGCTCAGGCACCCCTGTCAAGACCGGTAGCAGCACAAGCAAGCCTTCCGCAGCCGAGGTGACCGTGGCGGTCCCCGCCCCCTCCACGCCCACCAAGGGCCGCCGCAAGATCTCTCCCAAATCCCCTAGCTCGTCCAAGCTCCCTGCGCCTGCCTCAAAGGCTGCCAAACAGCCCACAGACCAATCTTTCGTCAGTGGCATTCCCACCCGCAGCACCAAGAGCACAGACGATTCATCTCGGAGTCACCTCCAGATGAGCGCGGGGTGCACTCCAGCCGCCAAGCGGGTGCGCTCGAGATCTTGATCTTCACCGCGGGAACTGTGTGCAGATATCTAATTCTTTCCTTCTTTCCAGCTTGCAACAAGCTACTGATACCCTGATTTCCGTACTGTCGCTCTTTTCATATATATATCCAGGGAGTTCGCTTGTCTTTTTGAGATACCAAATGTTATTCCGTTTTTCGTTTTTCTTCACTATATCTTTATCGAATGGAAGGTCTCATCTATGATCAAGATAAGATGGAGCTGCACGGTTCACCTCCATGCAGAATGACGTCTGTGCCGTTGCGCCACGCTTTCCACCTCGGGATCCGTAGGGGGCACAGGCGACCTCACCCCCGGCCTCTCGACATCCACCTGCTCCAAGGTTCGGGTCGTGATTTCGACTCGTAGGGCTAGTGTATGCACCTAGCCGCTTTGACAAAGTTTGACAAGGGATATACATCTCCACGGCTGTAGCGGGCACCCAGGCAGCGCGTTTGGGCCTTGAAGATGATCCGAGCCAGAAGCAATCACTTGCTGCATTGAGCCTCCCAATCAAATATACTTGTGGCTTGATACTCGTACGGATAGCCGTTACCATGCTGATCACTGTGATGTTTTTGCAAACCGGACGGGGCTAGAGCAGTCTATGAAATTGACAAGCCCTGCTTTGCAACCTTGAAAAGGGTAACCGCTCTAGTTCTATATTTTCATACTCCGTACGTCCATATCACACGGTAGACCTGGAGTGCATCGAACTTGTAGACTGCATGTACTCCAGTTTTCACAAATTACTCCCTAAGGTAAGGACGCACATGCCCTAACGATGTAAGGTAGATCAGCCCAACCCCCAGGTGTGCAATGCAGCCTTAACCTCTATAGCAAGTGACTAGTTACTTCCATTGCTGGTAAGTAGCTACTAATTACAACCACGCCTCCAAACTCACAGGAACTTGGAAAACCGGAGCACCTCTATTCCGCCGAAGTTCCTCCCCCGACGTGAATCCCGATCATGATCGGTATCGGGATGCAAATGCAACCTTGGAACCCGGGCCGGCAAAAGGTTCAAGGCGCGAATGTCTCGTACATACTACGGAGTAACTGGACCCTAGGTTAACTAGGTTTTTTCTCACAGCCTACGAACTACGTAGATGAGGCATTAAATATGCCACTAACAGATTTCTGAGGCCTTTAGCAAGTAATTTCCGTCATTGATCATCCAATATTGGAAGGAGACTAACGCTAGTACTAGTATGTACAAGTACCTTGTAACTCCATACAAACTCATACATATTGTATTTGCATGCATACAAGTTCTCTTTGGATTTTAGGTAATGGGATCTTCATCCCACTTCGCTTTGTTGACTATATCCCACTACGGAGTACGGAGTACATTGGACTTAATGTATTGACCTACTTATGAATTCTATCGAGCCAAGCGGACGAGTAACCGAGGATATTCCGTGTACACAGTACAAGAACCTGTCGTATACAGTCCCACGTGTCGTACATGTACTCCGTACAAGTAGCACAAGACCCAACACCAGAACAAGAACAAGAACAAGAACAAGCACGAACAAACACTACAAGTACAAGTAGTGTCCGTAACCCCTCGAAACGACAGACTACTCGATTCGGCGTCTCGGTGCAGTTGAAATCGTGCAATGAAAAGCCCACTACTCCGACATTTTCCGGATTCTGCTATGGCCAGCACGCTAGTGCCCAATACGGTAAGGCGTCTCAAGCGCTAAGCCCCTTAGTGGCGCAGGGGCTTCCCGGTCGAGCCACAGGTCAACGCGGGATGACATCGTCTGCATTGAGTCGGAGCACACTGCTCCTTGGGATTTATTTCTTATTTCGTATTCCTTTTTTTCTTTGGGTTTTTGGCGGGTAGGGCTTGAGGACGGATTGGAATTGTGTGGAAATGGTAGCCGCTTTTTGTTCTAGAGTTGTACTCCGTACAGTAGGGGGAAGGGTTGGGGAGAGTGCAACATTTTGTTCAGGCACAGTGTAACCTTGCACTATTGAACAACTGTAACTATTTATTTATTTATCTTTTTTTATTATAGACGGCATACACTGCACAGCTATTCTCCCCAATCATCGTCGAGGGGTCTGAGTGAGCATGTCCTAATTGGTCGGGAATCCCAGACCAATTTTCAGAAATTACAGTACAATTAGTGTAGGATCTGATGGGAATGAAATTTGCAATTTGCTGTTTCCATGGTTTTCTTGGTATTCTTTATTCTTTGGGAATTGGCAGTGGTGGCCCGGAGCTCAATTATTGGACCCCTCCTTCGCCTTGGAGGGGTCGTGGATCCTGGCGGGGTTTGAGATACAAAGGGCTGTGCCGGTGAAGTTCAGCATCGAATGATAGAGTCGGCTCAAGCCCGACTCAAACCCGAGATCCAGTCTATGGTGCGTGGATGAAACAAGGCAATGGAATGTTGGGAAGGAGAGCTACGTGTACGTTTACACATGTACGTGGGTTCATAATCGGTTTTGAGATCAATGGTATGTCCAATTCATCTAACAGAGTTCGTAGTCCGTTCGTAAACACATTTCCTCTCAAAAACCCTCTTTTTGAGGGGTAATTATTTTAAATCCATTATAGATCCTGGCCAAATTTACATGGACAGGCCCTTGGCGGTCTCCTCGGGCCAGACATCGTAGCCGAAGGTATCGCGCATGTTGACGAAGCGGCAGTGGCGGCCCTTGGCAACCTCGTTGACGGCCGCGAAGTCCTCATCGCTAAGCTCAATAGACTTGAAGTTGGACTCGATACGCTTGGGGTTGGAGCTCTTGGGGAGCACGGAGTAACCGCGACGGAGACCCCAGGCAATGAGGACCTGGGCGAGGGTGTTGCCGCCCTTCTCGGCGATGGCGTTGAGGGTCTTGTTCTCAGCCACACGCTCACCGGTGGTGGGGACCTGGTTCTGGGAGCCGAGAGGAGAGTAGGCCTGGGGCAGGACCTTGTTGGCGAAGCAGTAGTTCACCAGCTCGTCGTTGGGAAGGAAGGGGTGGATCTCAATCTGGTTGACTTGAGGGAAGACCTTGGCGTACTTCTTCATGGCCTCAAGCTGGGGGATGGTCCAGTTGGACACACCGATGGCCTTGGCCTTGCCGTCTGCGTAAAGCTCCTCCATGGCGCGCCATGTCTCCTCGTGGTTTTCGGTGAGGTCCTTGAGGATGACGTACTGTAGTGTAATAGGTTAGCTATAGCTGTTCAGGTGCCTTGTTTTTTTTTGGGGGCGTTATTGTCTTGCAATTGCATCACACATACCTTTCCATCGGGGCCAATCTTAGGCTTCTCTTGGGTCTCCTTCTCGGAGGCAATGGGCCAGTGAACGAGGAAGAGATCAATGTAGTCAAGCTTCATACGCTCAAGAGAGTTGTTGACGGACCAGAGAACGTCCTCGCGGCGGTGAAGGTGGTTCCAGACCTTTGTGGTGACGAAGATGTCGGAACGCTTAACGGAAGGGTTGGCCTTGAGGAAGTCACGGATAGCATCACCAACCTCGTGCTCGTTGAGGTAGAACCAGGCACAGTCAAGGTGACGGTAGCCGGTGGTAAGAGCAGCGGTGACGGCAGCGTAGGTCTCGCCAACGGAGCCCTCGCTGGCGAAGGTGCCGAAGCCGACGGCGGGCATCTTCACGCCATTGCTTAGAGTAAGAGTCTTTCCAGATGACATTGTGAATATAATTGGGTATAGTAGTGTGTAGGAAGGAAGAAGGAGCTTCAGATGTAGAAGACAGACCAGTGTATAAGAGCGGGTGGAGCTGGAAGGCAATGACGATGTTTGAAAGTGGGGTGGAGGGGCAAGCCAGTCCATTATCTAATCAGAAACTTGACTGCCGTACCACCCCTCCTTTTTTTTGTTACGTCGATCACGAACATCACGAACCTTGTCGTGCATGTTATTTCCACAGTATGCGAGGGTTACTATTTAGGTCTCCCATTTAGATACCCAATTGATGTCTTTGGGCATGAAGGGAAGGTCAACATTTAAAACAGAATGTTACCCCAAAAGCGACCAAAACAATTGAAACTTACGGAAATGAAAAAAAAGACGCAAAATTTCCACTAGTAATTTTCAAAGGGCAGTGATGACATCACCGACCGAAACGGTGCTGTGAGCGTTTGAGCCGATCGTCATCGGCTCCATCGATCTCAGGCCGACCCACGGGCGAACTGCACTCCAAGCCAATCGTCCCTCCGTCTCAGGCCTCTTCCTACCCACTCGGCGTGCTGTGTTGCTTCAAACTCGGCCTAGCCAGCCCCGCCTCGTCCAATCACCGTCTTTCTGATTCAGTCGGCCACCGGGAAGCAGTGTGTCCCGCGTACTGGGTACACGGAAAAACAGTGTGTCAGCCACAATGACGCAGGTACTCTGTACTCGCCCGTCGGTTTCATCCTCCACCCGCAAATTGATATCTTGTTGCCAAATGATGACGATAATTCCTAGGAATGATGATACCCGGTGAGTGGATCCTCGTAACCATCAATGGCAAAATACACCACCTTTTCCGTTTGTCTTGAATCCGGTATGAGATAGGGCTTTGTATATATACTCTGCTCAACTCCCACCTTCATCCTGTTTGTTCGTTATCAGTGACTTCTTTTCCCTTCTTCCTCACATCTTGAATTTATCTTGAGTCCTGAATCCCATCAGTGACTCTTTAAAGTAGAAGACCACCTTATCCCTTCTACTCCTTTATACCACCTTCACAATGGCTCGCTTCGATGAAGCTGACCTGGGCGTTGACCCCAAGACCGAGACCACCCAGCACCCTCGTGCTGGATCCGGCATCGCCATTCCTTCTGGCCAGGATGGCAACACCATTGAGATCCCCGCCACCCGCAGCGCCATCAGTGATGCCGCTTCCTTCATGCACAACCTGAGCTTGGCTCCTTCCATGAAGGACCGCCGCAACTCCCGCAACTCCTTCGGAACTTCTCTGCCCATCCCCCGCTCTCCCCGCCTGTCCCGTCTCTCATCTGTTCAGCGGGGCAGCGGAGTCCCCTCCGTCTCCCGTGACATCTTGGCCTCTCAGGTCCAGGACATCAACAAGGAGAAGACCGCCAAGGCCAAGAACATGGCCTTCGCTTTCGACATTGACGGTGTGCTGGCACACGGTAACCACGCTATTGAGGAGGCCAAGGTCGCCCTCAAGATCCTCAACGGTGACAACGAGTTGGGTATCCGCATCCCTCACATTCTCCTGACCAACGGTGGTGGTAAGACCGAGGAGGCTCGCTGTGCTCAGCTCTCCGAGATCCTTGAGCAGCCCATCTCCACCGACCAGTTCATCCAGTCCCACACTCCCATGCAGGCCTTGTCCGAGTACTACGAGACTGTTCTGGTTCTCGGTGGTGATGACTTCAAGATCCGCGAGGTCGCTGAGAACTACGGCTTCAAGGACGTCGTCCACCCCAAGGATCTCCTCGCCTGGGACCCCACTATCTCTCCCTGGGCTACCCTGACCGAGGAGGAGAAGGCCCAGGCCAAGCCCCGCGACTTCACCAAGACCAAGTTCGACGCCATCATGGTCTTCGCCGACTCCCGTGACTACCAGACCGATATGCAGCTGATCATGGATCTGCTCCTCGCCGAGGATGGCAAGATCTTCACCAAGGCTGAGGACCCCGTCGCCACCCGCATCCCCATCTACTTCTCCCAGGGTGATCTCCTCATGCCCACTGAGCACAAGGGTCTCCCCCGTCTCACCCAGGGTGCCTTCCGTATCGCCATTGAGGCCCAGTACAAGACCCTCACCGGTGTTGACCTCGAGCGTGTTGTCTACGGTAAGCCCGAGCGCGCTACCTACACCTACGCCGACGAGGTCATGAAGTCCTGGATGGAGGAGCTCCACGGCGTCGCCCGTCTGCCCGAGAACATCTACATGGTCGGTGACAACCCCGCCTCCGACATCATCGGTGGTAACATGTACGGCTGGAACACCTGTCTCGTCCGCACTGGTGTCTTCCAGGGTGGTGAGAACGACCTCAACAGCCCCGCCAACTTCGGTGTCTTCCCCCACGTCCTCGAGGCCGTCAAGGCTGCCCTCGCCAAGGAGCTTGGCGAGGACTTCAAGCTCAAGTGGAACCCCAAGGTCAACCCCGTCCTCCACGGTGACGGTGCCTCCGCCATTGAGTAAAGTTCCAAAAGATCATCATTGGTCAGATCTTTTCACGCTCTCACGAAACTCAAAAAGTCCATCTGGGCCTGAGAGAGGATTCCTTTTTTCTTTTCCTTTTTTTTAACTGGCGTTTTTGATGTCACGCCACGTTCATAGACTTCGCTTCTTCCTCTCTCTCTCTCCGCCATCTCTCTGCATGTACCCCTCAATTTTGGCTTTACCTATTTTGGTTTGGGGAAATTCCGGGGTCCTAGGCTTGAGGACTTCTGATATCCTTTGTCCGTCGGTCTGAATGACGATCGACCTGAGAAGACCATGCATCATCATGCATGGTCGGGTGGTTTCGAATTTTTTGACTTATCCCTTAGACTGGATTCCTTCCTACATCTCATGTGCCATGATGCAAAGCTTTTGTTATTTTGCTTTTTTTTGTGCGAATCTCTTCGCATGCAGTTATATTCCCATATCCAATACCATACAATTTTTTTTCATTCTCGATTCGTTCTCGATTGGTCACCGGTAATACGCTTTCTCGATGGTTGACGACATGGTGATGCTTCCGGCCACTGCTAGACTTTGGAATTCGACCTGTTTGAACTGTTTGTCTTGTTTGCACTGCTTATGTCGACGTCTTTGGACTCACTTCCTATTGGCTGTGCGCTCTACATACTGCCCGCGGGCATAACAGACGAATATCTGGGGTAAGCTACACGATCTTCCCTGCTGGTGCTGATCTCTCAGAACCTTGTGTTTCCGCATTTTCTGCAGCTCTGGATCAGCTCAGATAATCACCTGGCAGACATGACGCTTTCTGTTCTCCTTGACGAGGCGAGCTGAACGTCTTTACACCAAATGAAGCTTAATTGATCACCATGTCTGGACTTCTTACCCCTTCCACAATCGACCGCTCTGAGATCCTTGTCAAATGAAACGTTATCTCCAGCTTGGTTAATCACCCAGGGCCATCTGTGTTAGGAATCAACAAGATAATCACAGCTGCCCAGATGTAGGCAGTCATCAATTAGGCAGCTCGTGGCGGTTGCAATACTGACTGATGGCGGGTTTGCCTTGGACCAGATGCCTCACCCCATCTGTTTCAGCCTTTACCCACGTGTATAATCATCCCTTGGCTTATCTGTGATGTATCACATGGCTGATCATCATCTGCGTACTCCGTAGATCGCCATTGGAAGATTGCAAGAGGTCTGAAACATCGAAGTAAAGGGCCGCTGCGTGAGGCTGCAACTTTCCGGGTTTCGCGCAATAGTCTCAGATCCATGTGGAATAGACACATCATGTAGTCGAGACATTCAGAACTGGTGATAGAGAGTATGTCCAAGTATTAAACTCCAATCACGTCAACTACGAAATCATTATCGCGTGATTACATCAGCCGTGTTGACGTCCACGGGTTCTGCTTGCGGCCATCGGATTCCATCTTCGACCCGAGATCAGTAATCGACACTGCTGTGTCGCTCAAGTCGTTCTCTTGAATCTCTATGATCTAATTCAGGGGTTGCATTCCATGTCTCCTATTCTTCCTATCCTCCCTATTCCTACATTAATCTCCCTTTGACCTCTGAAACGAAGCTCGGATCTCTTCGCAATCGTTGCTTGACTTTCGCAGTCCAGAGAGTCCTTTAGATTCCTCTCTTCCTTTTCATATTCTATCCTTCTAGCTAGCAAACTGCGAGAACACAACCTTGAACTTCCCATATCCAACCTTGCAGCCCTGAACCCTTATCAGTTCTGCCCCGCCGAAAGCGCGTCCTCACCGTCTAACATGGTCCGTCGCAACTCCGACATCGAGATTCAGCTCCCAGATGCCGGTCCGACACCTCTCTCAGACACCGACTCTCTCACAGATGTGGAAATGATCTCGGATGAAACATTCCTAAACCTCCCCCCACACATCGCAGCCCGATTCTACCGCAAAACCAGCAAGGCCCGACGCTCCTCTTCCTCCCGACGAAGCTCAATTTCCTCCCTACACTCACACACCTCAACCGGCTCCTCAAGCGCAGACAACATCGCCCAACACCTCCGCCGCACCTCGATCCTGGAAAGCCGAAAGGCAAGACTCGCGGACCGGGCATTACATGCCGAGAAAGTAAGGCTACGAGCCGCGCTGGCCAAAGCAGCTACGCGCAATCTACAGATCGAGGAACGAGCGCTCGCCGCACAGCAGGCGCGGGAGCGTCTGTTGGCTGATATCACAGCCAAGTGCGAAGACCAGGTCAAACGGGCCAAGAAGAAGGCGGAAGATCAGCGCGATAAGAAAGCCGCGGAGGAGGCGCGTTTGCGGCTGGAGATGGCGGAGAAGTTCGCTGAAGCGGAGAAACGACGTGCGGCGTATCAGACTCATCGACGTCGTCGTACGAGTAGCTTGCCTGCGGCGGAGGAGAAGAAGATGTCGCGGGAGGTTATGAAGTCCATTGCGGAAGATGCGGCTGCGCGGCAGATCCAGCGGGTGTGGAAGACACATCGTGCGAAGAGGGTTATGGCGGAGTTCAAGTCTTTGGATCTTTCCGTAGATCGCGTGCGCGAGATGAGCTTTGAGGAGGTCGGGGCTCTTCTTTCCAGTGCCGAGTTGCTGGATACCATGACGAGGGTCCTCAAGCTCTGTGGACTACAGGATATGGAAGGTGGTACACTTGGGGAGAGGGGCGCTGTGCGCACTTTTCTCAGTAGCTATTTGATCGTCACGCACCCCAAAGAGGTCTTGAGCAGCAACGGAGATCAAGAGCAGGATTTGATTGCCAAGGCTCGGGAGTTGCTGATTGTCTTTGATCAGGTTACAGCACTGCTTTCATCCGGTTGCTGTTCGCCTTCGGTCATCACTGCGGATATCCAGACTTTGTGTGAATCACACAATGTGTTCTTTTCTGCGTTCCATGCTTGGAAGTCCCACGACTCAACCGTTTTGATTGAGATCATGGTTGCACAGTTTGTGGAATTGGAGTTGATCTGGCAGACCGTCAAAAACGACAAGGCTGGAGGTGCCGCAGAGGACTACAGACAGGGTATCCGCCAGAATCAAGTTCTGCTGCTTGCCCGTCTGAAAAGACTTGCAGGACCCGAGCGTCATATGGAGATGATTCGGGATTCATTGAAAAAGGCCAAACGCGAGAAGAAGCGCGCGGCCTCCAAGCAAGCCATCCCGCGATCTGCTGAGGCTGCACCCCCCACGACGGAGGTCTTGACGGAGAGCATGACCTCGCCTCTGAGTGAGTCGTTCAACAACATCGATGCCGCGGTCTTCCAAGAGCTGGACAGACAGCGCACATCCCCCCATGAGCGATTCACCAAATTCCTGACTCCGCTCCCCGAGAACCGGGAGCTGGTTCATGAGCTACTTGTCAACAAGGAGTTCAAGATTGAAGAAGCACCTTACACCGAGCCGCGCAGGCAAATAATGAAGCAGATGTGTGACACTATGCGGACAGGCGTCGAAGCCGGACATGGCACCAATTGGACCGTAGCGATGGCTACAGTGATTCAAGATCGTCTGTTACGGTCCCTTCAGCGTGGCAACTCCCTCTACGTGATAATCAGTGAAGTTCTGGATCCAAAACTGGTCCAAGGGCAGTGCGAAGCCGGCACGTTCTCGTACGACAATTTCTTTGAATTCATGAACAACATCCTGCCTCGTCTATGCGCTCCTTACCGAGACCCTATGGTTAAGGCGTACATCGAAGACACCTCCGGCGACGCCATTGACCGACTCGCACGACTAATGAGTATCATCGATCTTCTCTCCCTCGATCAAACAAACTTCATGATCCAGCTCGCCGCACCCCAACTCATCGAAGAAGCACCGGGATACGAACAACGCACCTTCGACCGCGGCGTCGCAGACGGATCAATCAGCCTTAACAAAACACGCCGCTTCTGGCGCATCCATCGCAAGATCATCGTAGACGAGATGAAAAAGCGAGACCCAGAAGGTATCCAAGGCGAACCGCATCCTGCCCCAGCCCGAGTCTACGCAACAGGCCTCACAGACACAGTCTTCAGCAACGCCCTCGTATCCGAAGATCTCGTTCCAGAAACCCTCAGCCTAGACCGACGCCGACTAGAGCGTCTCCACGCACGAGCCTTCCAAATCGTCGCAACAGCATCCATCCTCCTAACCGCAAAGAACCTCCTCAAGCGAGATGCCCGCTCGCAATGGAAACCAGAGGCCGATCGCATCCTCTCCTTGGACTTTAATGAAATTAGCGCAGATCGCGTTCAATCGATTCTGCAATCTACGCACCCTATGCCTCCCTCCGCAAGTGCTCAGCTGGCAGCCACTATCAAACGTGTTCTTGCGCCCGTTGCGACAGCCTGTCTCGCTGCGTCGCCGCAGCTGGTTATTACGACTGAGACGTCGGCTTCGGAGATGCCTTCGCACTCGGAGACAGTGCCTAATTTTGCGGATCCGGTTGCGCGGTTGATCCTTTCTCGTTTGCGAAGTCATGTTCTCTCGCGTCTTAGTGCGTCGAGTGCTAATGAGCGCGTGCGTGCTACGACTACTGCTAGTCAGAACTTGGCAGCTGCTGGTATGCCGGAGTTTGTGAATGAGGTTGGTAAACTGGTGGAGGAGCTGGAGAAGGTTCGAGAGGTGGATTGGCTTTGCCATGGGGCTGTTTATGAGGGGTTGTAGGGGGTATATAATGTTTTTTCCTCTGTTCTGTTGGATTGCTGAGCCAAGAGCTAGATATAATGCCGGAGTTGGGTTGGCTAGACTATAACGTTGGAATGCTATTTTTACCTCTTTATTCTTACAAAGAATTGTCTTCCTAGCACCTGGCAGCCCTGGAAATTCCAAGATTTAAGAAGATATCAGCCAATTGGGCTGGCTTCGTTACATGGCCTTGGCAGTGTTGGAGCTTGACCGAAGGGATGATAGCTGCACCACCAAGCTACCCAACTAGGCACGTACACCTGGGTATACACTTCAACACTCACAGGGTAAAACGTAGACCCACGCTTTCAATCTCAAAACCACGATCCACGACGCAATTAAAATCAATTGAAAGAAAGAATCCCCCCAAATATACTTGTAGCCCTGATATGATAAATTAAAGTATGACATATCTATCTTATCAGTAAACCCCACACCCAAAATTCATCCCACCGCAAAACGAACCTCACCTCCAACACCAACACCAGGTCCGAACCCTCTCGCCAAAATGCAAATCACCCATCTAAGCGACCTAACACCACCCTCACAAGAGCGCACCTGGCTCACATCCCCACATCCAACCCTCCCCCTCCTCGCAACCTGCAGCAGCGACAAAACAGTCCGCATCTACTCCCTAACAAACTTCACCCTCCTCTCAACCATAACCGGCGGCCACAAGCGCTCCGTTCGAACAGCAGCCTGGAAACCCCATATCTCCGGCGAATCCGTCCTCGCAACAGGCAGCTTCGACGCCACAGTCGGGATCTGGCGACGATGGGACAATTACGGTGCGCCGTCGGATGCTCCCACCCCCGCAGCCGATGAGGACGAAAATGACGAAAATGAAGAATGGCGCTTCGCTGTTCTTCTCGATGGCCACGATAGCGAAGTCAAGTCTGTTTCGTGGTCTGCGTCTGGAATGCTACTTGCGACATGTTCGCGCGATAAGAGTATTTGGATTTGGGAGGATCTCGATGATGGAGATAATAATTTCGAGACTGTTGCTGTGATGCAGGAGCATGGGGGGGATGTGAAGTGTGTTTCGTGGCATCCGAGTGAAGAGTGTCTTGCGAGTGGGAGTTATGATGACACTATTCGGATTTGGAGGGAGGATTTGGATGATTGGGGACAGGTTGCTTGTTTGAAGGGGCATGAGGGGACAGTTTGGTTTTTGGATTGGGAGAGGGATGTTGAAGGGGGAGGAGGGGCGAGATTGGTTTCTTGTTCTGATGATCAGAGTGTGAGGGTTTGGAAGAGGAGGGATGTTGTTAGGGAGCAGGGGGAGCTTTCTTCTGCTTCGACGGGGATTCCTAGTATTATTCGGCCTGTTGGGAGTGATGAGGTTTGGGAGGAGGAGGCGGTGCTTCCTAAGGCGCATGAATTGGCGGTTTATGCGGTTGCGTGGAGTAAGACGAGTGGGCTTGTTGCTTCTGTTGGTGCTGATGGACGCATTGCGCTTTATGAGGAGCGAGTCGTTGAGGGGGTGAGACCGAGGTGAAGGAATGGGCGCTTGTGTCTGTCAAGGATGGGGCGCATGGAATCTATGAGATCAATCATATTGCCTGGGCGAAGAGGGCGGATCGAGGTGGACAGGAGGAAGAGGTGCTTGTGTCTACAGCTGATGATGGAAGTGTCAAGGTCTGGACTCTGCAATAGTCTGGACTGGAATCGTTGATGTACATAAAACAATTGCATTGCATATCATTGCATATAAAAGACAAAATGCGTTCTCGAATGCGCTGCTATACTCGAGACGCATGGTGAGGAAACGGCACGTCACCTAGTACCGCGCTCATGTCCGTGCTCGTGTTCATCATCGCTAGCATCATCTCCAACAGCGTAATGATCAACATCGGGAGAATGGAGATTATCAAGCTCAGACTCATCAAAGTCATTGGCCTCGACATCTCTTCCAGAGCGTTTAGCAAACCGGTTCAAGAGCGAACTATCAGCAACATCATCCTTGACACCGCGATACCCCTTGTTCGCGCGCCGACTGCGCCAAATAAAGAAGCCCCAGATAGTAACACCGATAATGACAATGACGAGAATGGCTTCGCCAGACTTCGTATATGCGTGCATCTCCGTCGCCTTAAGCTTCTCCTTCTCATGCTTCTCCGCAGCCGTACTATTCGCCTGTCCGCCAACCGAAGTCTGAGGAAGCTTTTCGCCGTCGATACGGGAATCCGTGGGCTTACCACCGATACTACCGATATCGACCTTCATAAAGCGATCGAGCATATCGCGACTCTGGCGCGGCATGTCGAATGGAACCATGTGGCTGGAGTTGTAGAAGAGGACGTAAGTCAAGTTTCGAGCGTATTGGTAGATACCAGCGGGCTCGCCTTCGAAAGACCAGTCGTGGCGCGGGGCCCAAACACCGGGGCTTGTCTCGAAGCCGGTGCCGCCTTTCCACTTCATGTTGTGGATGAGGGTTTCTGTACCGATATGGTTGCAGATGAGGTCCTTGTCACCGCTGAACAGGAGGATGTTGATACCCGACTCGATGAGTTCGGGGAGAAGCTTGACAGATGGGACGGATTTCTCGGCTGAGAAAGCCTGTCCGGTCCTTCCGTTGCATTCCTCCCATGCCGTCTTCTTGGCCGGGTTGATGTTCAAGGCTTTGATGACATCTGCTCGGCCGAGATATGGCTCGATATCCTTCAGATCGGGAGGCCAGCTCATGCCGCAAGAAAGGTCTTCCTTCAAGCGGATATCGTACTGGTTCAGACACTTCTTGTCTTCGATGGTCAGTTGGAGGTATGATTGGAGGACAAAGTCGCATGAAGACAGGTTGATCTTGTTCTTCCCGCCAGGCGTTTCCAGCTTAGACAGGCAGACCTCGTTGAGAGCGTTCAGGTTACGGTGGAGGGGCGTCCCTTCCTTGGTGAGACCTTCTCTCTCGAGGAAAGTCATTGTCGAGGGATACTGATCCGCAGGAGAGATCCACCCGTTGCCAATGAGCAAACCCTTCAGAGGCCATTGGCGGCCTCCATCCGCTGCGACCGCCTTGTTGCGCTCCTGGATGGCCTTTGCGATGTACGGAATATATTGACCGGCGTATGATTCACCCGCGAAATAGAGCTAGTACAGTTAGCGCGAACCCACAAGCATCAGCGGAGGAACATACATCGTCGAGCTCGAATTCGGGGAGCATCTCAAAGAACTTCTCCATGAAGACGATGAATTGAGCAGCCATCTCGTCCAGCTCGTGGAGATAGCTATCCGTGCTCACATAGCTGAAGCCCGTCCCGACCGGATTATCGACAAACAACATATTCGCAAACTCATCCCAGCGGCCAGGGTTGTATTCCAGTTCATGGTCGTTCTTGAGACGATAAGGACCAACTTCCATCAAGGCACCGTCCATCGAGCTGCATCCGGGGCCGCCATTCAGCCAGATCACGGTCCGTTGTCGGTTGGCGATGTGTCGGTTCTGGAAATGCCAGAAGAACAGATTTCCGTTGGTTTCGGGGTTCACTTCGATGTGTCTACCGCGGCATTAGATGAGGTTCGGGTCACGGGGGGTTGCTTGACTTACCCTGCGTGCATCTTCAGAAAGGGCCCATCCGGAGCACCCGGTAATGAGTGGACATAGTAATCCGCGGCGTTGAGGGCTGCTGATGCCACGTTCACCAAGAGTATGGAAAAGAGCCATGTGATGGCCTTGGAAGGTATTGAGGGCATTTTGGAGGTGGTAAGGATAGAGAAAGAGGTGGGGTTGTGTCCCAAGCGGGACTCGTAGGATTCAATCAAGAGATCATTGAATTGGGAGAACCAGACGGAAAGACAGCAAGGCAGAAAGGGACACCCAAGATCTCGAGGGCTAGAGCGAAGAGGATGACGAAGTCGAAGGGGGTCTGTACTGATACTGTAATTACTAGTGGTATTGACTCTTCCACTCTGAATGTGCCTGTAATAATTGTATGGCGATACATCAGATGGCGTGTTGAGCTTATTGATTGCGCCTATTGACTGCCTCTTTTGCGATAGTCCTGTACATCGACGCAATACAAGCAGTTCCAGCACCTACTTAGATATTGGCTGTGACTCTGTAAATATATGTTCTTTTGAATGTGTGTGAAACTGAAACGTCGTACGCAACACCTAATTTTAGCCCATCTTTAGATCAAATCATCCAGGGACTTGTCAGCATCGTTCTTGATCAAGTTCACCATTCCCTATACTTGTTAGCTGGTTCCCAGGACACTAATCAGCTCACTTACATCAGGCATGATGGGCTTGCCATCGGCATCCTTCACGTAGCGGAAAGGCATCTCGGTGCGCTCATGCTCGTTGATGAGCAGTTCGGGGTAGTCCAGGTAGGGAATTTCCTCCAGAGGAACTGCGACAGTCAGCATGGAATTGATCAAATTGATCAAGATTGAAAATTGACGATTGACTCACCCTTCTCGTGGACCACCATGCGAGTTACGCGCACCGCAGTATCAGTAGTCATCTGCTTAGGACCCAATCTGCGACCAACGTAGCCCTTCTTCCTCAGTTCAGAAGTACGATCTATACCAATTAGTCCGGAAAACAAGTATTCAAAATGCTCATTCAAAACCAACCTCTCGGAGGGTCATCACCTATTCAAAAAAGAAAAAACGAGTTAGCGGGGGCCAACAGCATCGACATAAAAAAAAATCCTTACCCAAGATACCACCGAACAGGAAGACGTCGAAAGTCTCACCATCCTGGGGACTCAACTCAGTCTGAGCCGAGGGATCCAGCAAGCAGACCTTGTCTTTGCGATCGGCAAAAATCTCCTCGACGCTGCGCTGCTCGACCTCCAAACCCTTGGTGGCGGCCAGATCGGCGGGCATCTTCAGTTCGGCGGGGACGGAACTCAGTAGAAAGCGAGCATCGCGCGCGTGGGATTCGCGGGCAATGCAGGCATATTCCAGCGTAGACCAGGGGCCTAGCTCAGGATCGAGGTGCTCGACTACAAAGGTGGGCATTTTGGGTGGTTATAGTTATAGTTCAGGTAGTTATGAGATAAAGTGGGAGGTGGAAAAGTTGGAGGTTCGGCCCACTGTGCGTACCAGCCTTGGGCACTGAAGATGTCTTTTGGTTTTACGCTGGGAATTATTCTTTTTGAAATAAAACACCAGAGGGAATTGAAAATAAAATGAGAGTACATGAGTATCGTGAGATTATTGTATGATTGACTTGTACAGGGAGACATTGCATGTATAGTTAGGGGGATACTCAAGGAGAAGAAGATAATACTGCATATTGAACTAGAGAATTACAGAGAGAGATAAGCATGTATTTCCAGCTTACTATAAAATGATATAAAGTAAGTACTTTTAAAAATGAAAAATAAATGTGAGAAGCCCAAAGAAGAAGGGAAATGCTCGGCTGTTGATAATTCGCCTTGCAGCGTCATCTACATAGCCTCCAATAATGTCACGCTCCACTTGAAACACCATTTAACCTTCTTCTAACCGTCTGGGAACTTTTGGAACTACCTTTCTAGTACTCTCCGACTTCCTCTACTCCCTACTTCCATCTTCCGTCTTCCTACCTCCTACATCCTACTTCCACATCTCCCCCGCCTTTCTTCTCCTCCAACAATGAATCCCCATCAACAGAACAAGGTGGACATCAGCGTGAGCCTCCCATCCCATCCTATAATTAATCTCCCACTCTAACAATGACCCCCCAGTCCCTCAGCCCAGAGGAGCAGCGCTTGCTACGCCTCTACGGCAAGATGCCCACTAAGAAAGACGTCCTCCAGAACAAGCTCAAGGTAAAGAAAAAAAGCCCCCCCACCCCCACATCCACAAAACACAACTAATACCCCTCCCAGGAACGCAAATACTTCGATTCCGGCGACTACGCCCTCAGCAAAGCCGGCAAAGCCTCAGACGTAGGCGTCACCAACGTCGGCTCCCGCCACCCAGTCCCCGAAAACATCCCCCACCTCACAGCGACCTCACCCAACTCCGGCGCCGCCGCCCAGGGCCAAATCCCCGGCAGCATCAGCGGACACCCAGGCTCAGTCGGCTTCCAGGGCCGCAGCCCCGTCAAGGAAAGCTACTTGCATCGCGGCTCGAGCGTTTCCGAGGGCGAGGGCGAGGGTGCGGGCGCCGCCAAGGGCGAACAGGAACTGAGTGTTAGTCCGCCTGCTGCGAGGGAGGGCGTTCCTATCCAGAGGTGAGAAGGGAAGTTGGTTTTTGACATTGCATGCATGTCTTTTGACGTTTGTTTCAAAAGCTGGCGCTTTGGGTTTGGGGGAAATCCGAATATCTTTTCATTCTGACTTGGCCCTGGTCTTGGGTTCTTGTGACTTGGATCGGTGGTCTTGTTTCTATCAATTTTATCATCAGCTTGGCATTGGGATCTCATGTTTTATCTCTCATTTCTTCTTTTTCTATTTATTTATCGAGTTTTGGTTCGGGTTATTGGCTTTCTATCGACATTCCACTGTGTGATAAGCCAACTAAATTGTTCATATCTAGCAAAGATAATGGCCCATTTTGGAGGTGTGTTCCAACTAGCTTGTATGTTGTATTTAAAGTGTAGACCATGCTATGATTGGGGGAAAAGGAAGAAAAGTTCAAGTAACTTTCTATTTCATTCAAAGGAAGCTATGTACATGGAATGGACTCGGGGTGCCGATGTCCAAGCGAGACAGGGTATAAGTGCCGAAGAACAGAAGACACAGATAGCGAGGGCAGATAAAAAAAAGAGCAGGATCAAAAAAAAGAAAAGCAAGATCAGGTATCGTGAAAGGGCGTATCCCGAATCGGGAATGAATGCACATGTCAGGCCACCTCCCACGGAGGAGGATATACAGCCCACATATAGTGATGGAGCTCCGAGCGAAAAGCACCGTGAGCGAAGTCCACGGGCGGGTGAAAATTGGGGCTCACTCGAGCGCTCTGGAAATGGCGCGTGCTGGCTCGCGGGCACGGCAGCAAAGGGGAGAGATCAACTGTAGCATTCGGCGGAAGCCGAGTGATCGCGCTCAGTCTGTCTTCCAGTGTCCAGCGAGGCCGTTGTCAAGGTCGTCGTTTTCTCCGAGCCACAGTTCAACAGCGTACAGGGCGATCGTGCACGCGAGGTTGATCCACCGCCAGAGATTGCCGCCACCGCTCCCTTGGCTACTCCACCACTCGCCGCTGCCGCCCATTGCCTGGGACGCCGATGAGAAGTGCTGCATCAAAAGACTGGTGTAGACGGCAATGAGGATTGTGGGGGCGAAATAACTCAGGAAGCCCAGGACTTGGCCTGCTGCGTCGGAGTCGTCGATGGAGGCTTCTTGGGAGAGGGCGCGGGCGCCAGCCTCGCGTACGGCGGGAATGATGCGTGTGGATGCGTAGAGGACCAAGAGGCGGTAAGCGAGGGAGATAAGAACGGAGGGTGTGACGGCGCTGAAGACGGCGGTGATTACGTTGAAGGCGGCGTGGATGATCGAGGGGAGGAGCGACAGGGCGTGCATGAGCGTTGTGTACGAGGCCATGATGATAGGAGGCAGAGGTGGGAAGTCTCCAGCCTGTGCGGGCGAGGGGATCTGTTCAACCGGGTGTGAAGGCTGGTAGTCTGTGAAGATCTGGTAGATGCAGAGCACGATGTAGGCGAAGAGGAGAGAGCTCTCGACGGCGTTTCCGCGACCGCTGCCGATACCCCAGGCGCAAAGGATGACGGCGCATGTCACAGAGACACCGATGAGCGCGGCGTCAACGTTGGAGATCTCGGGGAATTGTAGTACGCGCCAGAGGAAGTAGACAGAGCTGGAGATGATGGTAGCGGACAAGACGAGGAGACCGATCTGGACGCGATTAGCATAAAATCAACGACACAAGGGAGCATAGAACAAGACATACCATCCAGCTATCACTGCGCCCACCGCGATTCACCAGCCAGCGAGTGATCTGCCCCGCAGCCTGGATGACCAACAGGCTACAGAAACCCTCGGCGAGTTGGAAGATGGGTGTGGACCATCTGAGGAGTATCTCCCAGTTTCCCAGGGCGAAAGTCTCCATCAAGCCGTCGCGACCAAAGATCCATTCCTGGATCGAGGAGTCCTGCGCCCGCTTCCCACTAAACGTGCGCTCCACCCAGGAACTGTTATCTTCCAGGTCGGAGAAGCGGTTCAGCGACCAGAACAGGAGGACCAGAATGACGGCCCATTGTGTGAAGCGAATGAAAGCGAGAATCGAGGAGCGGAACCATGATCGATCAGGCGTTGTGAGCTTCAGTAGTGAGACTAGGAAGTAGAAGGCTGCGAGGGATAAGGAAAAGGCCAGACCGCATGTCTTGCCGCCCACGTCGAAGGCTAGGGGGATGGACGAGACGGTGACCGCCAGGAACAGGGCCGACGAGAAGACTCGGAAGAGCCACATCAGACCAGCGTAGAAGGGGGCTTGGTGGAAAGATGAACACCTATTTTTTTTCTTCTATTCGCTTTGGTGATGTGAAAGCGGGACTCCTTTTCCAAGGCGGTCAGGGCACATTCTAGACCTCCACGGTAGATTGCTCTGAACGTCGAACCCTCAGTCTTTTTATTCGCTTAGGTCTCCTTTGCAGTCCATTCCATCTCTTTGTTACTGTTGTCTTACAGAGACGCCTGAGATGCCTGAGACGCCTTCACATTCACCGTCGAAACCACCCGGTCAGCATTACTACTTGAGGTACCGGGGATACTCTACAGAGTAGCTGGAATATCCCTTCAGTACCACGAGATGTGTGGTAGTTTTGCTGAACGGGTGGTGTATTCGATCTGAATGAGTGCTTACGCTCATTTTCTTCTTCTCAGTTCAGTAACTCTACGTCTCACTCCTTCATTAACCTTTAGCATACTGCTTGTCACATAGCTCGAGCATTGAAATTCGAGCCTATGCCACGATGAAATCACCGTTAATATCTACTGCGCGTCGCTAGAGGCAGCTCGGGGGACACACACAATCCAGCAAATCCTTGAATTCATTGTAGGGTGACACGAAACACCCCGGGACCCTCAGGATATTAACCATCCATTCTGACCAATAAAAGATGTTTTTGTTACTGTTGTGGGGAGGAATTGAGTCCCAACCTTGGAAAGTGACCGACCAATGGTTTCGAAACTTGAGGTTGACGCCTTTGATGGCTTGTCTCCAGGGCTATGGCTGCACCATGGTCTTGGTGTATCAAACCAAGACCTAATAGGCAGACTGAGGACCTCATACTCCGTACGGACCATACCTGCACTAGAGATGATCATGGCAGAGAAAGACTTTTACCCCTAGAGACCGATACTAGGTTTCAATATGACGAATGATCTATTGAAAGCACATATGCTTACTTATTTGCTTACTTGCTTCATCTCACTTCCATGCATATACTTCTGTATGCTTCTTGTTTGTTTACTTCCTTTGCTATTTATGGTTGCTCTTGCTCAATGGCTCTTCTTACCTCTTGCCCTCACTTCCCAGGCCCCGGGGACTTGCAGCGCTGACCAACTTCTTCGATGTTGCGGTGATCCGGAGATTGCTCAGCTTACACATCGTTCGGAATCCTTCCACCTAAGCTCTGTCAGAAAGTCATTTACTTCGTTGATCTCGATACATGAACGAGTTGCAAAAGGGTGTATATTCTCCTTCGAGTCTGCTGCCTACGAGATCATAGACCGAATGATCGTGTCGCAATTGTTGGAGGGTCTTACGAGCGGCGACAGAGCCCCCTTCTCAAGTATGGAATATCATCTATGTCCATGTTTCTGGTGCCCCCATATGGTCCATTACCTCCGTCATTGCATTCCATGATCCTTTGGCATGGTACCCCTTGCTAAAAGACTAATGTACGGATCCACTGCCTTCCAGCTTCCCCTTGTTCAACAACCAAGCACCTGAGAGACATCACGAGAATTTAGGAAACTGCAAACCGACTTCGGACAGTCGGTAGCGAACATCAACATCAAAATGAAAATTCAACAAACGATCCATAAAAGCATCCAGTGCTTCTCGCAAACGGGGTGTCGCTTTCGCATCTCGTAGAAATCGAATCACTTCCACGCACCGACTTCGACTGTCAACCAATACCTCTTCCATCGATTTTCCACTTCCCAAGCTGCGAAACCTATACAAACTCTTTTCTTTACCGATGATAGACTCCTTGTAGCACGACAGGAACTCATTAACCTCATTAACAACCCTGCCCATGTGAGGAAGCATGAAGAAATACTCCTCCAGGTCAAGATCAAAAGGAAAGACACCGATGATATAGAACTCGTAGGCACTTGTGCCTTGTCGATAGAAAGACTTGGTAACCGTGCTGTCCCCATGCTTGAAGCTTTCCGGCGAAAATGTTTCCAAGTAAGTGAAAGAAGCAAAGCTATCGACAGCCCGCTTCACAAGATAAGCCTGGAACCAAGGTATCACAGACATGAGATAATCTGTATGTTCCACCAGCTGTCGGAAGAGTGGCCATGAGATACGCTCCCGCGAAGCATATTGTTGAACTGAATGGAGATACTCCTCCTTATGGGAAGGTGCCACGTCGTCCAACATGATGCCAAACACATTGACCAATGCAAATGCCACACGGCACTCGAGATCTTGCTGGCCCCAGAAGCACTGGGATACAATAGTACTCACTTCCGAGTACTGTTCAACGCCCTCTGGGCAGTCATTCAATATGGCCAGTCGGTTCTTGACGGCGTCATGTAGTTCTTCATCCAAGACGAATTTCCTGCGAGTGAAACTAATATCGCGCATGAATTGTTCAATGTTTTGGCGATACAATGATAAATTCATATCAAGAATGAAGAGAATCGATGAACACGAGATTTGTCGAGTGGAGTATGTATGTTCTATATTGCAGATGATGCAACCTTGGAACAAGAAAAGAAAGCCGACAAGAATGTCTGGTTCTGTGTGAAGTGTTTGATAGAATCATGATTTTCTACACCAACCGCAAAGGAAAAGAGCGATACTTATACTCAACCTCTCTTCCGCTGGCTAATGCAGATATCAACAGAGTGAGAGGTATGATTACAGTACATGAGCCGGAAACTACAACATCGCAGGATCATTAACTCCGTACATTTTCGCCGCTGCACTCGGTCTCACCGAGTGGTTATAAAAGCTACGCGCTTTCTCGGACAAAGCCAGACTTGTGAAATCCTTGCAATGATTCCATATTATTGTTCTTACACTGCAGACAAGTACTTCTCGTTCCAGAACCCGGTCGATTTATCCGGGATTCTAAGTGTCTCGTCAGCTTTTACATGATGCCATCACAGGGAAGACCCTCCTATGACCAGTTCCCGTATACGAAATCTGATAGCCGGCGAGATCGACTGCTGATCGCTTGTGGGCCAGCGACACTATTGCTGGCAATTTCTTTTTTTTTTTTGCACTGTCAGACTTGATACCTCCAATCCACCCACTCCAATTGCCACAAGAGACAGCAAGCCATTACCAACGGAACAGCTACCCTATGGGCATTGGCATATATCTTCTCCTAATTGCTTCTTGCCTGTGGCCAATCCACGGAGTTGGGATCAGCCATCAGCTTTCGCGCATTCCCGGGATCAGCATCACAATATTAGTTTTGCAGATTTATAGTGCTTGCCTGCTGGGGCTTGCATATGCTGTCTTTGCGACATTTTTTAGTGCAGCAGTATATAGATCCGATCGAGATCCTGCAATAACCCAACTTGCCAGTGATCTTGCATGGATCATGTATATGAGCAGTGGCTCACCGATGATACTTCAGGCATTCGCAATTTCCTGGGCAATTCTTTCCGACAATCCGAAAAAGCCTTTGATCTCTCGCCAAACAGCATGGACCTGTCCTTTGGCATCGATTTGGATTTTCTTTACTGAATACGTTTGCCACAGTGTGCATTCTGGTCCATTTGCTTGGAACGGATTTCTTACACATTGGGTGGCTTGGGCTTTATTTGGACTGTCATATGGAACTTTATGGACTTCATTGTGGAAAGCCTCTGTTTTATCACTGTTGTTTGATATGGTAAAAGTGAGAGTGGAAATAAAATAAAGGCAAGCCGGATGTGCCCAGATAGCGCATATTGTGGATGGAATGATATTGACAGTACCCAAGATCGTGGCCCCTAAATACCTTTTATCTCTGCACATTTTATACGCAATCATTTACCGTAAAACTTGCCAATGACCTTGGTTTGACTGGAGACTCTTTTCAGTCTCATTTCATGCTGAATCACCTCGGCAATTTGACAAAGGAGAATGGATGGGACCTCCGAGTGGCCTGTATCTTTCTGACCTCATAGTTTGTTACAATTGCGGCAAAAAGGGACAAACAGTGAGGGCACTGAGGAGGCTGCAAAATAGAGCTACTATTTTGATCCCAATGGTAACTTCCACTCCCTGAAGGGCCGCCTCCTGACACGCCCCAACTTTGTGGCTGCTAACGGCCATCTCAGCCGACAGCTGGAGTTTGAAAGTCGAGGAAGGCGCATACATTCCAACTGTCCCCAGGAGGCAAGGACCATCACCTGTGGCAAAATGACATTCGATCATGTGTCTTTCTGTTACACGCTCACCAGCGTCGACGGCCAAAGTCCTGAGCTAAAGGCCGCCTACAAGGCTTGTCAAGCCGCGAAACAAGAGGAAACGGTCAACGGCTGCGCCAACCCAAACAACGGGACCGTGAAGCTAAGCTGCCACCGAAAGCCACTAAGGGCAATGGACATGTTGATATGAAATCAGTGGCCGAGCGGGCTATTCGTGACGCCCCAGAAGATCCAAACATGATCCCGTTCGACCGTTGAGACGATTGTTGCGGTGTTTTGGGGCCCCCAAAATTCCCGACTTACCGACGTGCTCGCAAGTGCTTGGACGACTAGTCAAGCATCACCCCAATGGTGATTTTTGAGACTCTTGATTGACTATCACACAGTCACCCGATTCCGAGGTCATAGCTGCTGCACTATATAACACGGCTTTTGAAGTAGTCCGCTCAAGAATAAGCGCCCTTGGAAGACTGATAATTATATAAGCTCAAGTTGGCTCTTGAGGTGCGCAGAATCTAACGATTTTGGAGCCTTGATGGAATCCAAGTCTCCATACCCCGTCAGAGGTCGAGCGGAATCCAAAGATGATTCTAGATTATCCAGTGGCTTGGGTTAAGGCTCAGTCTCCATCCTGCTGCCCAGACTGTCACTCTCTCTCACTTGCTCTTTCACACTCACTCTCACCTCACTTTCACCTCACTCTCAATCCCCCTCTCCGTCTCCCTCTCCCCCTCCCTCTCTCTATATTTACCTTGTTCCAAGGTTGTCTCTTTCTTCTCTCTCTTCCCCTCTCCCACACCACGATCTATCTCACATCAGCCTCTTCTACGCCCCTGATACCCAATCATTTTGTCAACACAATATGCGGACAGCAACTCTTGTAGACCTCGCAGTCCACAAAGCTGTCAGGTCCGCAATCCAAGCACGAGCGAGTGTATCGCATCAAACTCCTTCTGACAACACCATTCCACCCTTTTTTGCCAAACGCCAGCACCTCCAAGATATCAAGTTTGTGTTCCTCAGATCCCCAACCGCAGGAGGACTCCAAGGCACTACCAGAGGCTCCAAAGCAAGACTCGCTGATTGGCCTTCCTGATGAGTTACTACTATGAATAGCCGATTTCCTTACCCAAGACGATATTGCTTGTCTCTCTCTTTGCAATAAACGTCTCTACCATGCATTCCCCTTCTCAGAAAGCTTCATGATTCGCTCCGGAATCAGCCAAGCCCCTCTTTTACAGCATCTGGAAAGGGATCTCCCTACCCACATAACCTGCCATCTTTGCAACATCCTGCACAACTATGATGTCTCCCAGTCTTTTGGTCCCACATCCACATTTGAAGACGTCTTTCATTTCCCGTGCTCTTCAGATTGGTATTCACGTGAGCCACTGAGATTGAATGTGCATCACTTTGTTTGGCGTCATGTTTTCTATGAGTTCTCTTTCTTACAATTTCAACTTGCCATGAAGCAACTTTACCATGGTCCGCAATATGGAATCAGCACTGAGACCATGTCATACACCCAAGTTAGCCTCCACCCACCGGCTCCCACCACGGCCCAACGAACTTTCCTGGTCTCAATCGACGCACAGGTGTGTCACGAGCACTCTAGCCTTGTCCTCAGGAGACAGCAAATTGTCTTACCTGGAAACGGAAGAGCGAGCCACTGGGACTTTTTGTTTGCCATCACATCTCGGACCACGAGCTCGCTGGCCTAATCACCCAGTCTGTGAACGCTTATCGCACTGGGGATGACAGGGAGACTGTCGGCGCCACATATATTTGCAAGCAGTGCAAAGTGAATTTTTGCATTGAGGTATCCGAACACGGTACAGATCTAGCCCTAGTCATCACAAGGTGGCTTGAGCTTGATAACGACCTAACTCCGAGCCACCCTCATTGGTTGCGACACGCACAAAAACCACGAAATCCTCCTAGGGAAACTAGGAATGCCAGTATTGACCCGACTGGCGAACAGGTCGGTGCTCGATTCTGCTTTGAGGAGGCAACGCCTCGACCTTTGAGGCAGTTGATATCACGCAATATCTACTGCTTGAAAGATCAGCGGTACAAGCAGCCATTGTGCCAATTTACGAATGTGGAGAGATTCGGTCTATGGTACAAATCCAAGGAGTTTCCTATGGAAGTGCCACTTGATACAACAGAGAGGGAGCTAGCAAGCATAGGTGGAATTTCTCACCTAAGAATCCCGCTGTATTTTGTGTTTGGGCTTTGCATCTTGATTTTGGCAGTACTTTGCCCATTCATGTGGTTGAGAGTTGAATGATCGAAGAGCTGTTGCAGACTACAGGCTAGAAGAGCGCCTGATTTCGATGCTCAGCTACGCCTAAATTAAAGAACTTCTTTTGATATCAAGATTTTTTCTCCGCATAGAATATCCTTCATTATACACTTATCCATGGATGCTGCTGCTAGACCACAAAGACCTGTCGGCTTGAAACAGAACGCAGGCCTCTGAGAGAAGGTATATGGCCCTACCTTAGCCAGACATGTTCATATCACGATAAATCACTCTGCCCTTTGTCTGACGGAAAGTATTGCTAGACATGATCCTGCTGTCTTTGCTCACAGTCTCCGAAAGCGCCCTTGACTGACCCGCTGTGGTGAAAAGAACTCGGAGCGGCCACTCTGAATTCCTAGCACAGTGAAGTACCATGTCTACGAATTCCCTGCACATCTCCCGCGCATCACTCTCAATGACATTAACCCCAGAGATGATCAAATATCGCAACGAAGGTGTCTGCTCCAACAAATACTTGAAGAGCGCCAAAGCAGAGGTCCAGCGCTCGCCTGGCTGTGTGAGTTGATCAAGCATATCCCTCTGGAGGAGGAGATCATCTTCCGGGGTCTGGAACTGTAGTAGCTGCCGAATCAAACTGTAGACCATTGCCAGAACAGCTGCTTTGTCCTCCATGCCCTGAAATCCGGGTACCCTACCAAAACGCGGTCTCTGGCAGATGTAAGAGATGAATTGGGCTTGGGCTTGGATAGCAGACCAGATGACTCCATATGCCGCAAGATTTGCGCTGGTTGATATACCGTGCTCGTAAGGGCTAATGACCCACAGTATGAGGTCGTCCCCAGACGTAGCTGTTGTCCATCTACCCAGCATGCGGATGATCATGGGTTCGGCAACAAGTCGGCCTGTCTGAAGCGCTGGCTGGACCCCATCACTACCACCCACTTGGTCGACAAGTGCTTGGAGGTGCTGGCATAGCTCTTCGGCCTCGGCCCTTGTGACCCCTTCTGGGGCGGCAGTAGTCTTAATAATTTGTGTTGCTTCTATCGTCAGGACTTCGGTGGTTATCGTTTCGGTAGTCCCGGGATGAATCTTATTTTGTGAAAGCTCGATTTGCTCCACTGCATATAAGCAAAATGTTAGTAGATCAAAAGAGCACTGGGAGGGCGGGGATGTAGTTGCATACGGCGTCTCGACATCAACATCAGAAGTTTGTACATATTCTTTCCAGCCTCGTTGTTCTCCTTTCCATTGCGCCGTAGCTCAGCCATTATCATACCCGCAGATCCTGTGACTGCTGGTAGAAAGGTTTTGATCTCTCGTGCAGTTTCAATTGAAGCCTGGTCCTCGAGAAGTTGAATAGAACGCTCAATCTTTGTCACCGTTCCCTGGTAGCTTGTCGTAAAGCTTGAATTAAAGGAATCAAGTATCTTTGATCCTTTTGGCTTTAGATACCAGGATGCCACTTTGATGAAGAAACCAAAGAATTGCTCGTATATCGCCGATAGCCGCTCTTTCATATCCGCGGTCTCGTATAAGTCAAGCCAGTTGGTACAAATGGAGACACTCTCGGATAGATCTGCCACGTATGTTGAAAGCTTCTCTGCAATATCTGCGTAATTGATCGAAGTCTTTGGAAAGTTAGCAGAGCTTAGGGCTTTCGGATGGGTGCTTCAACCTGTATGATCATTGTGACGGCACCACACAGAGCAGATGTGTAGTCGGACTGACTGGGGAAACATTGGAATATTTGCTTGTGCGCGTCAAGCTTTTGACAGATTTTCATCAAGTTTGTTGCCGCCTATTTCGCCCGTCAATCAAAAATCTCCTGTCTTTCCGCTCTCCATTCCGCCGCGGTGTGTGATGAATACATACCTTGCTATTCGACTCTTTCCATTTATCCTCTAGGTTACTGGTGATAGAGTTGACTTGACCCACTGTCACCTGCTTGCCATCACCAATCTCCTGGACCAGTCGCCGCTCGGCGCCTTTGCAATGAAAAATTCGCCAGACTCCAGATTTCTTTCTCCCGGCTTGCTCCTTCTGCTCGACTGATCTGAAAAACTCGTCACACTGGGCTTGCAGAGTCTTACGTGCAATCTCGACTCCCGTAAACGAGCTGAACAAAAGTTGTCAGTCACTTCAATCAAACTTTCTGTCGGTCTCCTGCAATACCTCTCGACAGGTTGGTGGATAACAGAAGACAATCGCAATCTCTCCTTGATCTCAATCTCAGCATCTAAATCCTCTTGATATGATTTGGTTTGGATTGCTAGATCCGAGGTGGGTTCGAGGTCATCAGTGAAGCGACGCACGATTTCGGGCGGCGAGAATGTCTGCACAGCACTCATTTTTGCCCGTTGAACGGTTGTTGCGATTTTCAGATACGCTAGTACGAACACTTCAGGGATTATAAAGCTCCGGTCGGTTGGAGTTCCTCGCACGATCGATGCGCTGCATTTCTCCCAATTGCACTCCGCCAGAGGGCATACTAGCATACTAGGGCCATATGGGGGCCGTCAGCCGACCCACTTGGGCTGTCGTTCTCTATAACTACAGGCTCACTTGCCGAGATCACAGCCCCGCTCTGCCCTCAACGCCCCGCGTCAGCTGAAATGCAAACGGTCAAAAAACGGGCGAACCGTCAAGCTTGAGAGGTGCCTTCTCATTCTTGTGCGAACCGAGGTTGACTGAGGATTTTGCGATAACCGAAAGAGACTGAATATGCCGCTATTTGCAGCCTGTTAGCTCCGATACCGCGAGATACTTGCAGCCAAATGTCTACTTATGCCAAAAACGCTTGAAAATCCACATTAAGGGGCTGATTGGGCTGACACGGGAAATAAACCCCAGGGGATAGGATTACAACTAATCAGCACAACGCACTGTGCTGCAATTCTAGTATCTGACTGCGTGATGCATCCAGCTAATCCTCATCGAACAGCGCTAGTTGTCAGATGAATCCCGCTCAGTCCACTCTCATGATAGCCACACCCCCTTCTTCCCTTTTCGCCTGAAGTCTTTCGCCGTAAGTATTCAAAGATTCCTTCTTTCGACTTCTTGCCAATTCACAAGCTCAAGATTTACAAATCTAGCGATTGAATCCCAACACAGCGATTTGGCAAGCTCGTGTCCCCGTCTTATTTCTTCATTGGGCTGTTCGACCATGATGGAAGATCGCATTGTAGCCCATGTTCTCAACGCGATCGAGTCGCATGAAGCCCCAGATATTCAAATAAAAGATACGGAACGCGACATAATGCCAAGTAAGCTTGCAAGATGGTATTCGGGGGTGACAAAACGCTAAATATCTGATTCTAACAGCGGAGAATGTCAAGTTGGCTTCTTCTACCACAATAAATCTAGATGATGCACCTGGAGATAGCGAGCCAATTGACACAGAAAGCCCGGACCTTGACAAAGTTATTGAAGTCGGGGCGAATCCTGTAGAAGGAGTGCAAGACGGGGTTGGACCTCAAATCAGCGGGGATATCACTCCAGCCTTGGCACACCAAATCAAAGATCAACCTCATGTTGTCTTCATTGATCCAGTCGGCACTCGTTGGACTTTTCCGTACGAGTCTGCTAAGACATGGAATGTCAGTCACCGGCGATATTCTTACTACGTTCACCATTGACCTTTGACAGGGGGCCAAAGAATTGATAAAGTCAGTTTTTGTCGAGATATACCTGCCAACTTGGATTGCAGAGGATATCGACGAGGAGACAAAGGGCCCTGGCAAAAATTTCTCGATCATTCAAATCAAACCTGGATGCTCTCAAATCTTGACGAGTCACTGGGAAAGCCTAGTATCACCAGGCTGGGAATTCAAGATCGAATTCAGCGTGGGAAGCGAAGTTCTGCATTCCATTAGAAAAGAAAAAGAAGGAAAGGAGAACTCCGAGGAGTCTGCCAAAGAGCCCACACCGGCCAAAGAGATGAGCAAGATAGTCTACGTGGCTACTTATCTAACCGCAGATGAGGATGGAGACTACCGAAAGCGCACCACCGAGCGAAAGGAAGATAGGATCCAACTTACAGGAGCCTCCGAAGTACAGAGCTGCGAAGCTGTTCTCGAAGAGCATAGAGAAGTGTACTTTAGTGATAGTCATGCGGCTAATCTTCAAGATGAAATGGTGGATACAATCGGCAGCCCTGTCCTACATGTTCGCTCGCCAATTCTCCTCGATGCCCTGCGGGCCGTTATTGACATCCAATCCATCCCGGATGAGTTCTCATCAAGGGAGTATCTAGCGAAGACTTTCAGCAGCGATCTTACCAAAGGGCGCTTCGTGCTGCCGTTCACCGACCTTTATCACTACCGAGACAAGCTACTTCAATATCGTGAAGTAGTAGGAGAAACACATGACAAAGAATACAGTGCTACATGTGTGGAGCATATCGACATCTTGAATGAATACCTCGAGGGACTGACAGAAGTCGACCTGAAAGAGGCTGAGCGTCTCGCAAGCGGCCCAGCTCCGAAGACAACATTCAACACCCTTTGGCTTCTTCTCAAACCTGGGTCCGATGTTTATGTCCGAGAAGACGGAAAGTTGAATGCATATGTGATTGAGTCATTTACAGGTGGGAATCAGTGGCACTCGTCTTTGGGCCGTTCGGCTCCATATCTTGTCGACGTCTGGAATCTCAACTCCAATGGACAGCATTTGACTCGATCCGTTAAGACAATCAGCATTCCTGTTTTTGACCATGATCGTGAGATCAAGTCGTTGCCCTTGTTTCCAGTCAGGTTTCACGTCGATGAAGATCCCCAGAATCCTCTACATCAAGAATTAGTCAATCGGGGTAAAAGATTCGTGGAAATGGTGAAAAAGCCTTCATTTCAAGAGTACACTGGCCCAAGTAAGCTCCAGGGTATTCGAACTGTGAGTCACACAGCATACAAGAAATCAATCTCCCGGTCCCTGATCTCACAATTTCACAGTTCAATCAAACAAGAGTTGTCATCGACCATACCAGTCAGCCATGGAACTTGGAAGAAGTCCGAGATGAGGCATATGGCGAAGAACCAATTCAAAGCATTTACGGTGTTGAGCTGGGTGAGCAAACTCGAATTGCGCGGTGCCCATGCCAGTCATGCGAGGTGAAGAACGCACGTCTGAATCGCGTCGAGCGGCGTCCGTTTGACGACTATGACAAGATTGACCTTGGCTCCAAAATAACTCTCACGGATCACCAATATCTGCTTTGCTGGTCGCATGTTTTTGGATTCGTGCTTAAGGATCGCGCCTGGGGTGAGTGGTTCTGTTCTCGCAAGATATGACTCCGTGGCTGACTTTGACGACCTAGATGTTCTCGAGGTCTCGGGCCTGAAAGACCCAAAAATTGACAAGGATATTATCGATTCATTAGTATTAAAACCAGAAAGCAACAAGCAGATGATCAAGGCTGTCTGTGAAATATTTGGGGGAACGTACCCACAGGCATTCACGCCGGACTTTGTTCGGGGCAAGGGAGAAGGACAGATCCTGTTGCTTCATGGTCCTCCGGGGACAGGGAAAACTCTGACTGCCGGTACGTAATAGTGTTTTCAAAAAGAGTTGCACAGGGTGGCAGCTAAACTTTTCTCAGAATCGGTTGCCGAATACACAGGTCGCCCTCTGCTTAGTATCACTGCCGCCGATCTAGGGCACGAGCCAGAGCCGCTGGAAGACAATTTGCTTCGGTTCTTCAGGAACGCAAGAAAATGGAACGCTATTGTGCTTCTTGACGAAGCCGATGTGTACCTTGAGACACGCTCTTCTCAGGATCTCCGACGAAACAGCATTGTTTCTAGTGAGTTGAGCCTAAGTTTTGTCAACTGGCTGAGAAAAGATGAGTACTTACCCATGTACAGTCTTCCTTCGAGCCCTCGACTACTTCCAGGGCATTCTTTTCCTCACAACCAACCGCGTCGGAAGCTTCGACGAAGCGTTCATGTCGCGAATCCACGTGCAAATCGGATACGATCCTCTGGATGACGAATCCAGGAAGAAGATCTGGGACGCCTACTTCAAGAAGCTCAGCAAAAATCATGAGAACGGTGGCCAGCTAATCCACTGCAATTATGATGCCAAAGAGTATGTTCGTCGCGAGGAAGATCTTAAAGTCCTCAAATGGAATGGTCGTGAAATACGCAACGGTTAGTGGTCATTAACCCATCATTTCAACAAATTGGTACTGACATAAAACTCAAGCCTTCCAAACCGCTGTTGCCCTGGCATGCTTCCAGGCAAAACATGAAGGGGATCGTGTTCCTGAGCTGACAGACGAGCATCTTCGCCAGGTTGTCAAGATGTCGCACAACTTCAAGAGTTATCTCAAAACAGTCCGTGGAGCTGAAGAGGACATGGCCTGGACTGCAAAGATTAGAAATGACGAGGCAAAGGCTAACGAGGGGAAGATTTCTGGTCAGGGAGCCAGCATATAACTGTCAACCAAAAAGAGTCCTTTTAGCAATCGCACTATAGTAGAGCAAAGAACTTCAGATATGGGGCATGGGAATTCATCTTCAACTACTCTGTACAAAGCTTCAAAGCCAAATACTTAGGCCTGGTTCTTTTGTGCGCTGGTTAAATTCAAAATGGCCTTTTTTTCGAATACGAGGTCTCTGCAGATCGCATGAGACAATACTACCATGGTTTCTATCAATGGACCAGGATTTGATATGATTCGTCAAAAACACGAAGTTTATGTTGAATATTGAATAGAAAGTTTCATTCTCCTATTGAGGAGCCCTTGATATCCCTCTGAAGCCCTGTGGCGTTGTTCAAGATAAGCGTGAAGACGACCTCAGAAGAGTTGTTGGACGGAACATTCCCGAGGCCGGGGGCCCGGGGGGCCGGGGTGACATTTTGCTTACTGCATGCTCCGTACGTTTGTCGGGTATCCTAGTAATGAAATATGTGGCCCCCGTAGAAAGAAGTGAACCACACGTCTTCTTTTTATAGTAATTATCTCGAATTTTGCGCAGTCGTGATAGGCCATACCGGTCAAGAGGGGCAGAATACCCCGATTGGGCATCATTACCATTCGTTACGCGCTAAGAAGCTGACCTACAGCTGCCAAGCCACCTGGGCCATGCGGCCAATCTCGTTCACTTATGCGGGCCGGGCCTGGGATGATCCACTAGGTGCTTATCGCCCCCAAAGGCGATCCCTGTCCTTTGTCAAGGGTTTTTGAAACTTTTCTCAATCACACTCCTAATTCTATGCGAGATGTTGACATTCAGTCATCTGGATGCAGATGCATTCGAGAACCCCAAGAAAAACAACGGCCGAAAAAGACCCCGCTGTCGAGAACCCGTGGCCTGTACGCATTGTCGGAAATCCAAAGTGCGCTGCGACCGCAAGTCACCATGCAAGCCCTGCCAAGATCGAGGGATAGGCGCACAGTGCACATATTCACGTTCCAAGAGTCCAGCGGTCTTGGAAACCGCCAAACCAGTGGTGTCCCCTCGAAATACAGAGACCGATATACTCGCATTGCAACAGCCAACACCCCGCTCCTCCGATAGCGAGATCCTCGATCCCCGATCCATCGTGCCCCACAATCAGACTACCGTCAGTCATGCCAATAACGCGTTCAAAGGGTCGGATTTCAAAACGAGGCTGATTGGTGGAACACATTGGATGGCCGTGTGCAATGATTTGCCGGTTATAGGGGCGATGCTGGAGAAAACCATTGAGTTCCAACCAACCTGGCGGACTTTCACGGAAGTCAAGTCTCTTCTTCGAGTTGCGAATTCAATACCCGGCGCGGTGATTGGGAGCGGGCAGAAGCCGTTCAATCTTCTTCCCGATCGCTCCACCTGCGAAAAGTGGATCAAGAGATTCTGCGACACATATGGTAGGATCTACCATGTGATCGACCGGAACTGCCTCATCACTGAGTTGGAAGAAATATTGATTGCATCTGAGCCCAATGAAGTCCATGTCCTCAAGATTGTGTTGGTCCTGGCGATCGCCATGCAAAGCGACAAGTCAGAGCGATTACGGGGGCACTTGCTCCTCCAAGAGGCGGAGAGCCGTATACATACATCCTCGAAATTCCAAAAGCCTTGCATCGGCGTCATGCAGGTTCTGCTTTTAACGATTATCATGAAGACTATAACTTCCTCGGAGACTGACAAGATCTACAGTCTCATGGGGACTATGGGATTGACCATGCAAATGGCATTGGGTATGGGCTTGCAGAGGGATCCCACTTTGTTCCCAGGTGTCACTCCTTACTATGCGGAAGTCAGGAAGCGATTATGGGCGGTGTTCTTCCGATTGAATCTGGACTATTGCATTCGAAGTGGATCACACTTTGGAATACGATTGGAGGACGTGGACTGTCCTCTCCCGAGTCCGATAGACCTACTTACGCTCGACCCGGCAGCCACGGGGGCATCAGATACATCATTGACACACTCTCAAGAGTCATCCGATCAGGCTTTTAATATCGCGGCCATGAAGCTGGCTATAGTGCGAGCCCCGCTACATCAACGACTTTGCTCAACAACCCCTCAATTATCGAATGAAGTACGAACTCGAATGCGCGCATCCTTCCACAAAATACTCCGCGAGCTACCTCCGGCTCTGCAAGAGGGCAACTCGTCGTGTAGCCCAATTGAGAAGCTCCAGCAAGTTCTGCTTTCAGTGCAGGTGCATAGCTTCATGATCATCATCACCCTGAACTTTGTCCTAGGCGTCCCGCCCAATGATTCACAGCAGACCGATCTTTTTGAATCCTGGGATAACTCAGTCTCTATTCTCTATCAGTTACAGGAGGTACTACAAAGTGGCTCTGAGCTGTCTAGTGTGGCCTATCATCTGCTTTGGACCGATCTAGCCCGCGCAGCATTGACCGCGTGCTCGGTGGTGGGGCGTCTGCGGAGCATAAATCTGGGGACGACTGTGTCCAATAGCCCCCCCGCCCACACTAGTCATGTTTCAGCAGCTCTTGTTGAAATCTCTAGACTCATTGTCTCAGATTCTGGCGCAAAGATATCACCTCGGACCCGTCACAGCGAAGACGAGACTTGTTCTTGCAGTTGCAACAACAGTCACTGCGGGTCTGATCAGTGACTTTGGCGGCTCGCAGCAGGAATCCAAGTTCTTGCAGATCGGCGTCACGGCAGCTGAGGATGTCGTCGCTGGAATGGAGCGCTCTTTGAAGCAAAAAGATCAAGAGTCAACGCTTGAATTTCTGGGCTTCAATGCTTCGGCAACCTCAACTCCGCCAAGTGCCCCAAGTATCCCAAGTCCTCTTGCGCCGAACTGGATGGAAAATACACAACTACCCGATCCCTTGATACAGACACTGTTTCCGGGAGATTGTGACTTCTATCCTGACTCGGAATCTCCGGATCTGGGTATACAGTTGCAACCTGACCTATGTTTTCCATATCCCATGGCGCAATTTGATTCCACGCCACCATTGCATCCACCGCCCAATGTCTTGTGGGAGGAGCTGTGAGCCCGAGCTCACTGGCGCCTCATGAATTATGATTGCACATATATCTTTAGAAAGAAAAAATGTAAATAGAGTAGAAGATGGAGGCGAATATTTCTCTTTTCCCCTTATACTCTCTTTTTTCTTGTGGGCCGCTATGCAGCCTTCTTCAATGAGCGTCTAAGATCTCCCGAGGTCCACCACACTACTATGTGAAAAAGCTGAAGATTGAAAAACTGTCCATTTTTGATTGACATTGCTACCTCCACGAAAGGAGTTCCAAGGTTTGGAATGAAGCCTAGTAATCCCAAGGTCCCACCTTTTAACCAATTGACGTTATAATTATTTGTATATTTTTATTTGTAATGGACCATTTCGACTTCCCCACCTGGACATTCCCATTCAACCTTCGAATATGTCTTTCCAAGTCAGGCATATTGATAAATGCACCACATGCTTGTTTTGCACACCTGACCGCAATCTCAAGCCTTCTTCAAAGAGAATCCGACCTTAACCACACGAGCAATGGTCAAGCAGACACCTCCAGCCAAGATGAAGATACCAGAGAAGGTCAAAGTACCCCACCAAACATCACCACCAGAGGTCCGCTGATGATCCAAAATCGCACCAGCGACAGGGCTACCAATCAACAAACCCAGACCGGAGGTGAAAAGAGTCATACCAATGTTGGTACCCAGCTTGGACAGATCAGGGCAAAGGAAGGCGACTGTTGCAGGAAGCACGGCCTGGATGGAGCCACTAGTCAAGCCGACAAAGACCGAAATGGCGATCAAGCCAGGTTGAGAGTTCACACTGATCCAAGCGAGCATCAGGATACCAGTGAGGAAGACTGACGGGATCATCACTGAGAGGTTACCGATCTTGTCTGCGATGATGGATGGCAAGACACGTCCAGGGACGGAGCCCGCGTTCATGATAATCAGCATGTAGAAAGACAAGTCACGAGACATGCCGAGGCTGATACCGTATTGCTCGACATAGAAGAATGGGATGTATAGGCCGATGAAAATGAAGAACGCAGCGAAGATCCAGAGGAGGAAGACGGGGTCCCGGAGCGCCTCGACATTAATCAGCGAGCCTGACTTGCGTGGCGGCAGGCGAGGCTTCATGACAGCGACGGAGATGAGAAGTGTTCCAAGCATGATGAAAGCCATGACTCGGATGGCCCAGGGGAGTCCTATCTGGACAATGAGACGACGCAGAACGACGGGGTAAATGATGCCTCCGATGCTGGAGCCGGTGGCTGCGAGTCCCAGTGCGGTGGATCGGCGAGTTGAGAAGTAAGTGCCTACAATGGCAACACTGGGGATGAACGACATGCCAGCACCAACGCCGACACACAAGCCCTGGGCGAGAATCACCTGCCAGTACTCCTTACAGATTGAGGTCACTAATAAGTTAGTTTTTAGATCTTTTTGAAAGGATAGGGGAGCTCACTCATCATGCCAAAAACTTCGAGGAAGACACCCAGGGTAATATCAACGTAAAAATACCCAGCATCAAGAGCACGTCCACACAGAACTCCAACCACAAGCATCAAAAAAGCCTGTAGGGATCCAATCCAGGCGATGGAAGACTGCGATGAGCTGCTAAGCAAGCCGGTGCTATATTCCGACTGGAAAGTGCCGAAGGTATTCAGCAAGCCCCAAGTGTTGAAGTTCAAGAAGAAGGCGCCAAGGACCTGAAGCCAAGCTTTGGTGCCTCCGTTGGGTGGTGGAGGGGGTCCTGCGGGTTTTGGTGGCTCTTCGATTGGCTCCGTCTTGACATGGCCGTCAAAGGGAGCGTCGGATTCGACATCTTTTCCAAATAGAGACGATGACTGTGATGATGCCATAGTGAGGTGTGTAGTCTGGATTCAGGCTACTGATTAAATAGGCTGATGTCGTAAAGTCGTATGCGCGAAGAAGGGGCAGCACTTGTATAAGCCCAACGGTCACACCACCTGATTTCAACAGGGCGGTATATGGTTGAATCAAAGCTCAAGATGAGAGCACCGAATGAATTGATAGTGATCTTGAAAGTTAAACTCCAGTATTGTTGTGGAAGAAGAACTGCTCAACCGACTCTTCGGTCAAATATATTAACTAGGAGAGGTCCTGGTCCAAAAAAGCAATCAACCATCCCAAACTGGCCAAACTGAACAAATTTTCCGGATCATTGAAGTTGCTTCACAAACAAAGAGAGTCGCAGTTGCAGCGTCCAATCAGCAGAAGGAACAAACATTGTATTCACAGATCTGGAATTCGTCCGCCAGAGTTCCCCTTTGGGACGAGTATGGTCGGAGTTAAATTACCCAAAGCGGAAATGATTAGGGCTGATCGTAGATGACCTTCGTTTGCTCTTTGAGCCTGACTAATTCATTCCCTTTTCGTCTCCGGCGGACTTAGATAGTCTGTTTCGGCATGTTTGGTCCACGCTGACCAACCTCGACTTTTCCGATGGTTAAAGGGGGCCCTTATACCCCCGTCCGGCGGTGCCGTGACGGGACTTTTGAAGTGGCGGATCGGGATTCCGCCATTGATCGGGATCGTTGCCAAGCCATTCTTTTTCCCGGCTGGGCGGTCTCGAGTGAGTCCCGTTGTGGTCGGCGGTGCTGGATATAATAAAATTTTGCTGAAGTGTCTCCGATGTGTATGCTCCATAGGGGTCCAAGGTTGATCGCGGGGGTCTCCGTGGTAATCGACGGCTTGCGCCCGGCGGGTCCGCGGCCCGAGCAGTTTGAGCCGTCAAAGCTTCGGCATTGGCAATTTGTTGGAGTTGAGCTTGAGTCGTATATGGAGTACGGACACTTTTGTGAGCATTGCGATACAATATTGTGAACTGAGATTGAAGGAAGGCGTATAGATTTTGAGAATATGTGGAAGATCAAGCGTGCAAGTACGTATTCCATTGTTGTATGATCTATGAATGTAGTGCGGAGTATCTTCGCCCTCTTCCAAGGTGGTGATATGCATCGAGACCAAACTTCAACGTTCACAATCTCCACCATCACAGGCAAGCCTCCCTCCGTTTCAACCTGATGAAAAAGTCGCTCTGAACCACCAACCACGAGTTCGCAATCTCCCATTCTCGTTTCGGGTCCCACAATTCAATCTAAATTGAGTTAAATCTAGCGAGCCCTGACACCACAGCGAATCCACGACAAAGCCAAGACTCACCTCGTATCGCGCAAACATCGTCGGGATGAGCTTGTAAATCTCAAGGTACGAGATATTCTTTCCAATACACGTACGACTCCCGGATCCGAACTGAGGCACTTGTTAGTCGCATCTCTGCATAAATCGAGAAGCACGGAGTACGCATACCGTCAAAAGACTGTTGTCCATCCGCGCCACCCGTTCCGTATCGGGGTCCAACCAGCGATCTGGGTTCCATTCCGCGGCATCGGCCCCGAAGACCTCTTTGTCTCGGTGGATTACCCAAGGGTTCATGCCAATATTGGTTCCTTGCTCGAAGAATTGTCCACAAATCGTGGCGCCGCCACGCGGTACCACCCGCTCCAATGTCAGCCCGATGGCTGGATGGAGTCGGCCGGCTTCTTTCACGCAGGCATCCAGGTACTTCAGGTTACGGGACTCCTTCCAAGTGACTATTTCGGATAATTGGCCTTGGCTCTGCGCTTGGCGCAGCTCGTGTTCAAGCTTTCGGAGAGTGGCCGGGTTCGTGATCAGGAAGTAAATGATGGCACGGAGCATGATTGCGGTTGTATCGCTGCCGGCCAGTACATTGGATGTCGTCCATGCAGTTACGAACCATTCGGGAATGCTCGGGTCTTTGGCTCGAGCGTCCAAAAATCGCGACATGAAATCTTTCGAATTGTATCCTGATGAGATGTCCTGGCTGCCGGATCCATGCAATTTTTCGGCAATTCTTTCCTGTGCTCGTGCCAGAGCAAACATCACGACTGGCGAATTCTTTTCGGGCAACAGACGACTCACAAATGTATTTTTGACCCAGATTCTATCTAGCCATGGCATTTGGCCCACCTGTTACGGAGTACACATGCATTAGTGGGTTGGCCGACGTAAACCCCAACTTGACGGTTGAAATGGACCCACTCACCCAGCAAGAATATTGAAACATTTTCCAAATCGAGCCCATGATACCATCCACGTCTTTGGCTTCGTCGAGAAAGCCGAGGCGTTTGCTGAATGTGATCTCGCCCATCACGTCAAACGCAAACCACTGCAGCCAGGTACCCAGATCGATTTTTCCATTGCCTTTACCTTGCGCATCTTCGAGACGCTCCAAGAAAAAGCCAATGGTTGAGTCCACATATGGCTCAAAGCTTACAAGGTTGCTCATGGAGTAAATTCCCGCAATGGGCTTCTTCATGGAACGATGCAGCTGATCATCCTGCGTGTTGAAAAGACCTTGGATGATCTTGCCCTTCGACATTGGCTGAAGGACTTTGTAATAGTCAGACTACAGCATGGTCAGCCTCCATCATCCATCGCTCCTAAAGGCAAGAAGAAGGGGAAACGGGTGAACTCCACGGACTTTTCCGAAACTCGACCGAATACCATACATCTTGGAGATCTCTCGGGGATCTCCCACGCTAACCGAATTTGGGCCGAGCCTGACGAGTGGCCCATACTTTTCGTGAAGATTAATGTGAGTCTTGTGCGCGCCACCCGAGCGCGCCCAAAGTAAGCGTGGAATATTTGAGACAGAAGCCAAGAATGGGCCTGGAACATGCGACTGCTTCCTCCAGGCACGATAGACCCAGAAGATCAACCCACCAAACAGTAGCAGAACAACATTGTAAAGACTTCGCTCGCTTGGAACCAAGCTAGGCAGGAAGGACATAGACATAGCGAATCTGTTCACTCGCGTTTTCTTTCCAGAAACGTAAATATAAGGATTCAAATTGGCAAGAAGTACCTAGGCGTAGGCCGAGACGCGCAATATATAACGCACACATTTTGACAACTACCTCAACTGATCAACATCATGATCTCCATTTGAAAATGAGTCCGAGGCAGACCAAGAATGGAATTGTTCATCTATGCCGTCCGGATCTACAAACTCGATGGGGCCGGAGGCTCAATGCGCTGACGTGAGACCTGCAGACGCAATGCCAGTCTTGTCAAAGCCCCATTCAGGCAGGCACTTATTGGTCTAGATTCCTCGGGCATGCTTATTTCTCCGTTATCTCTTGGCAAACCTTAGAATGCGTGCTTTCTGGTAGCCGCTGAACATCCATGGAAGAGGATCGCGGAAGGCCCGCAACGTCTGTTCTTCGGACCCTCATGGCCCCCGGGGCCCCGGGTCCCCATTTCGGTAACTTAAGGCCGATTTCTCGTGTTCTTTTGCAGATTTATGCAATTGCAGACAGCAAGAAGTCTGGATCGAGTCAATTAGGCTTACACGTGGTTCTTTTGTCCGATACTCGCATGGAACCTTGAGGGCCTCAAGGCGAATTGAGCAATTATCCGACTAAGTTTAGTGCCCATACACCATACGTGCATATACGTGGAGATGCTAGTTGCATATCGGACATATTTCTTGGTCTTAGTCTCTGATTGGTTCAAATTGTGTATGGTCGTTTGGTTTCAAGACAACACAATCATGCCTTTTCGGTATGATTTTCTAAATAACATGTTAAAAAATACTGTAAAGACCAATAAAATAGCATGTAAATGGTATCAGATCCAGTAGAAACCCGAAAGTTTCCTAAATTAGCAATCACAGTTTTAGAGTGGCTGAGACTGTGTATGATTTGATATAGTCTCGCATTCTATATGGAGTTAAGAATTCACACATTCGGTGACATGGAGCTAATGCAACGTCGTGTATCAGCACAATGGGGGCCGAAGTATAGATTGGCGACATACGAAGACAAGTATAAGAGTCCATCATGGACACGGTTGAATGAGCAGCCCAGAAAATATCAAACATAACACTCCATCATGATCGAGCCAACCTCCTCCGTCCTCTATCTGTTCGCAGATCAAATTGCCGATGTCCTTCCATACATTCAGGACCTCGGCCGACGCGCAGGCAGCTCCGATGGACTGCGCAGTTTCCTGCGATCCGCAACAGACAGCCTACGCAAGGCGATGGATCAAGCATCATTCCGCGAGAGACAGAAGTTTCCTTCATGGGACACTCTCACTGAGCTTGCTACCGCCGTTGAACGTGATGCTGCGCATTGCCCGGCGTTGAAGGCTGCGCTTTGCTGCATCTCTCAACTTGGTCATGTCATTCTGTTAGTTATCCCTCATTCTCAAGCCTACACCCAACTCGTGGAGACCATTGCCTTTCTAACAAAGATGCCTCTTCTAGTTACCTTGAAAAGTTCCCAAGAGCCTTGGAACCAAGCTCTTCCCGGGCATCTGGTCAGGATATTGTGCTGGGGCTATGCACTGGCTCAATTGCAGCATCTGTTGTTTCATGCTCCAGAAACATTACCGAGCTGCACCGCATCGCACATCATGCAGTGGCCCTTTCCTTCCAAATTGGATTGGAAGCATCTCGACGATCAGAATACATTCAGCCTTCCAAAGACTTGAAGGTCAGGGGTAGCTGGGCTACTCTCGTGAGCAATGTTGGTATGACAGAAGCCCGTGATGCTGTAACATCATTCAACGCTCGATTGCCTGCAAACAGCAGCCGCAGGGTATATATCAGCGCACACGGCGCATCTTCAGTCACCATTAGCGGACCACCATCGTACACAGCAGAGCTGCTACATCAGGAGCCTGTCTTCCTAGGACGAAAGACGATTCCGCTGCCCATCGCTGCCGCCTTCCACGCAGAGCATCTCGAGCCAGTCTCTTGGGACAAATTGGGTCAAATCTGTCCAGATGCGTCTTTTGACTCATTCGTCCCCAACTTGCCATTGATCTCCCCGAGTTCAGGATTGCCTTACGTTGCCAGCAATCTCTCCGAACTGCTGAATCAGGTTGTTGATGACATCCTGCAACAGCCTATCATCCTTGAGCAAGCCATCAAGGGGACTGCAAGTCTGGCGGGTTCATCAATTTCACTGCTTTCTTTCGGTCCCAGCAGCTCGAAAAAGGCGATCATCAATTATCTGAATGGCCTTGGCGACATTCAAGTCGAAGACAAGAGCAATGCAGCTTTCGAGGCAGGCACCGATGAGCCTGATACTGAGAATGCCATTGCTATAGTTGGTATGTCAGTTCGCCTTCCGGGCAGCGAGAGCCTTGAGGAGTTCTGGAAAGTTTTGGAGCAAGGACAAGATCTCCACGAAAAGATTCGCCCAGATCGGTTTGACATCAACACTCACTGTGACCCCACCGGAAACATCAAGAATACGACATTGACTCCGTATGGAGTGTTCATCGACCGCCCGGGATACTTCGATACGCGTCTGTTCAATATGTCTCCTCGTGAAGCAGCCCAGACAGACCCCCAGCAGCGAATGCTGCTGCTGACAACATACGAGGCACTGGAAATGTCCGGATATACGCCCAATGGCAGTCCGTCTACCAACACGCGTCGGATTGGTTCTTGGATGGGTCAGACAAGTGATGATTGGCGAGAGGTCAATGCTAGCCAAAATGTCGACACTTATTTCATCACAGGCGGCATTCGTGCTTTCGGACCCGGTCGTCTCAACTACCACTTCGGCTGGGAGGGTCCTAGTTACTCACTCGACACAGCGTGTTCGTCCAGTGCTGCGTCGATTCAGTTGGCCTGTTCGGCGTTGCTTGCTCGGGAATGCGACACCGCTGTGGGCGGAGGCGCCAATTTCCTCACAGCGTCTGATTTATTCGCCGGTCTGAGTCGCGGAAGCTTTTTGTCCAAGACCGGTGGCTGCAAGACATTTGATCACGATGCCGATGGTTATGTCCGAGCAGATGCTGTCGGAGTTGTGGTGATGAAGCGGTTGTCGGACGCGGTTGCCGAGCGCGACAACATCCTTGCTGTTCTCCGAGGAACCGCCACCAATCATTCCGCCGAGGCTGTCTCCATCACCCATCCCCACGCGGAGACTCAAGAGCGCCTGTTCACTGCTGTCTTGGATAAGGCCGGTGTCCAGCCTCACAATGTCGATTATGCTGAGTTGCACGGAACTGGAACTCAGGCAGGAGACGCGACTGAGTCGAAGTCCGTGACGAATGTCCTGGCGCGCGGTCGCACTGCCGCGAATCCTCTGTACATCGGAACGGTCAAGCCAAATCTGGGCCATGGAGAAGCTGCCAGTGGTGTTACCTCGTTGATCAAAGCGATCATGATGCTGAGAAAGAACATGATTCCTCCGCACGTTGGCATCAAGGGGCGCATCAACCAGAAGCTGCCCCCACTCGCCCAACTCAACACCCACATTTCATTTGGAAAAACCCCCTTCTTGCCCAGAGCAGATGGCGATGGAAAGCGTCGGATCTTGATCAACAACTTTGATGCAGCTGGTGGAAATACGAGCATGCTCATTGAAGACCCTCCCGTCAGCTCCGCATCTGCCGCTCTCGCCGATCCTCGAAGCCACCATGTCGTCCCGATCTCCGCGAAGACCGCGGCATCAGCACTCAACAATGTACGGCAATTATCGTCCTATTTGAAGGACAATGCCACGCTTGGGCTACGTCTAGAGGATGTTTCTTACACAACCACTGCCCGCAGAATGCATCACAACATTCGTCGCGCACTCGTTGCCTCATCGGTTGACGAGCTCGTTGCCAAGCTGGACTCTCTTTCTGCAGACAACTCTCAGTGGGCCAAACCGGTCACTAGCCGACCAGTGATATTCGCCTTTACCGGGCAGGGCTCACTTCGTGCCGGCATGGCCAAGGAGTTGTTTACCACCCATTCTGGCTTCCGTGAAACGATATTGGACTGCGAAAGGATGTCAACTTCTCATGGATTCCCGTCGTTCCTACCAATCATCACCGATCCTACCATGAGCGCTAACTCTGCGACACCTATCCAAGCCCAATTATCTATTGTGGCTGTCGAGCTTGCCCTCGCGGAATTGTGGCGATCAATGGGCGTTGTTCCCACTGCTGTGATTGGTCACAGCCTGGGAGAATATGCCGCTTTGTGTGTTGCAGGAGTCCTCTCTGTCAGTGACTGTATTTACCTCGTCGGAACCAGAGCCTGTCTGATGCTGGGGATGTGTCAGGCCGGTTCGCACTCGATGCTGGCAGTGCAGGAGTCCGAAAGCAATCTCGACAAGATAATTGCCAATGATGGCAATCTTTCTGGTTGCGAGATTGCTTGTGTCAATGGGCCGAACTCTACCGTTGTCAGTGGCCCACTTGACCAAATCGCTTCCTTGCGTGACCTTCTGCAGGCAGAGAAGAAAAAGTCTACTCAGCTCGAGGTTCAATACGCATTCCACTCGGCTCAAATGGAACCCCTTCTCGATGACCTCGCAAAGATCTCCGATTCTATTCACTTTGCCACGCCGTCTATTCCATTTGCATCTACTCAGCTGGGAGAGGTAATCACGACAGGCGGCATTGTCAACCCTGACTATCTCAAGCGCCAGACCCGGCAAAAGGTTCAGTTCGTGCAGGCCGTGCAGGCGCTTGAATCCCTGCATGCAGGCAACCGAGCCTCACCAGTCTGGATTGAAATTGGCCCAAGCCCCCTTTGCCTCGGTATGATTCGAAGCGTTGCCGGCAAAGACCAGGTTCTCTTGCCATCTTTGAAGGCAGATGAGAATGACTGGAAGACGATGACCCAGTCCATCTCATTGGCCTACAATGCCGGGGTGGAGGTCAACTGGAGGGAGTTCCATCGTCCATACGAGCGGGACCTGAACCTCATCGAGCTGCCAAGCTACGCGTTTGATCTCAAAAATTACTGGCTGCAATACGAGGGCGACTGGGCTATTCGCAAAGGATCTGGAATTGAGAGTACCCAGGCACCGACAAAGAGCCTGCTACCTACCTTCTCTACGAGTGGTCTTCACCGCGTCGAAAAACTTGTCCGCGATGGCGAGACAGGCATCTCGGTGACATTCGCATCCGACGCAGCAGAGCCCAAGCTGAACAAGGCGCTGCGAGGTCATCTGGTAAACGGTGCGGGTCTTTGCCCTAGCTCTGTTTATGCCGACATGGCATTTACGGCAGCTGGGTACATTCAAAGCATCTTGGATCCGTCGGCACCGGTAGCCCCCATGGACGTCCGAGACATGGAAGTACACAAGCCTCTTTTGATCCAACCAGGCGCCACGAAGCAGATCATTTATGTCACTGCTACGTTGGAGCCTTCCGGCAATACTATCGAGGTCAAGTTCTCTTCCGAGGACAGTGGCGCTCGCCAGGACCATGCTCACTGCCTTGTTGACCGCGGCGATGGCGACGTGTGGAAGTCCGAGTGGGCGCGCACAAGCTACCTGGTCAAGTCCCGAATGAGCCAGCTGATCAAGGACTCTAGCAGTGGAGATGTTCACAAGCTCTTGCGACCCATGGTCTATAAGCTCTTTGCCGCTCTAGTCGACTATGACGACAAGTACCAAGGAATGCAGGAGGTCTACATGGACAGTGACCTGTTGGAGGCAACTGCTAAAGTGCGCTTCCGCACCACGCCAGAAGATGGTACTTTCACATACAGCCCGTACTGGATCGACAGTCTCGCCCATCTCTCTGGTTTCGTGTTGAACGGCGCAGACACTACACCCGCTGACAGCGTGTACATTTCGCACGGCTGGAAGAGCATGAAGATAGTCGGAGAGCTATCCGAGAACAAGACCTACCAAAGTTACGTGCGCATGCAGCAGACCATGACAAAGGGTGTTCTTTCCGGTGATGTTTTCTTCTTGGATGATGGTGAAGTGGTCGCGGTTTGTCAGGAGCTCAAGTTCCAACGCATCAAGCGCGCAATCCTTGACCACTTGCTGCCTCCAACCTCAGGAGCCTCCCGCACTGTGGTCGAGAGAAGCCCTGTTCAGGCTGTGAAGCAGCGTGCGGCACCGCTTCCGAAAGCAAAGAAAACTACTGCCGTGCCAGACCACAGCAATATCCTCCAGATCATTGCCTCGGAGGTTGGTGTTGAGGTCTCCGAACTGACCGATGATGTCATGTTCGCAGACTTGGGTGTTGACAGCCTGCTCACTATCAGCATTGTTGCTCGACTGAACAGCGCGCTTGATCAGGAGGTCCCGAACTCACTGTTCGCGGACCACCCATCTGTTAGAGAACTGCGAGGCTATCTCTCTGTCAATACCGAGGCCGCGCCCATGTCTTCGAGCGACAGCAGCGATCAAGATGAAGATACCTCTAGCAGTGAAGAGGAAACTCGTGTAGACACACCGATCACCGAGGCCTCGTCTCCCGCCAACGGAGGCGTCAACCCAGCGGATCAGATCAGAAAGATCATCGCTGCTGAACTGGAACTCGACATGGCCGAGCTCGATGAGCATGTTCCTCTGGCTGAGCTCGGTGTGGACAGCCTGCTCTCGATCTCGATCATCGGAACCATCAAGGCTCAAACTGGCAGGGTGCTGTCGTCTAGCTTTTTGATGGACCACCCCACCCTGGCCGATATTGATATTGCTCTGAATGGCCGCCGCTCTGCACCTGAAGTGTCCCCTCCCCAGCTCGCAAGGGCTCTCGAGAAACTTCAGGACCGACCCAGCTCCTCGCCAGCGGAGTACAAGGCCGAGGCCGTCTTGCTGCAGGGATCACCGTCAGCCTCTCAGAACACATTGCTGTTTCTGCTACCCGATGGCTCGGGTAGCGCCAGCAGCTATGTCGGAATTCCTTCTCTCAAATCCCGCGGTCCGGTATATGGATTGAACAGTCCATTCCTGCGATCGCCCACTGCCTTCAACTGCTCCATCCCAGAAGTGGCTGCCATGTACATCCGCGAGATCCAGCGCATTCAACCACATGGCCCCTACCGTTTGGGTGGATGGTCGATTGGCGGATCATTTGCATTCGAGGCCGCATCGCAGCTGATTCAAAGGCACGGCGAATCAGTAGAATCACTGATTCTAATCGACGCCCCGTGCCCGAATGTGTATCCACCTCTCCCGCTCGAGACAGTTGATCTCCTCGAAACCGTCGGGGTTTTCGACAACCTGAAAGACAAACGCAACGGCTCTGGGGCAAGCTCAATTCCTCAACAAGTCCGCGATCACTTCGTCGGTTCAATCAAGGCACTCAAAGCCTATGAGCCAAAGCCGATTCCATCCTCAACCCGAAGCCCGAAGTCAGTGACGGCTTTGTGGGCGCAGAACGGTGTCTGGGAGACAGTGGGCGAGGCGAAGAAGTCTCAATTCAAAGATCTATCCCGCGGTACCAACAACCAGGCCGAGGATTGGATCCTGGACCCACGCAAAAACGCCGGGCCTAACGGGTGGGACTCTTTGGTGTCAGGGGTTGTCACATGCGCAGTCATTCCCGGTGATCACTTCACGATGATGAGAAATCCAGGTGTCAAAGAGCTTGGTGCTAGATTAACAGAGATATTACAGTGATGGTGTTATTTGCTTTTGTTTGTTAGATTCATGACTTTAGCTTTATAGAAGAAAACTGTGCTTATAAACGTATCGCGGTCTGGGTAAAAGACACAGCATAACACTTCTGGCTAGGGACATCAACTCAAAGACCAAATAAGGGCCACCTGGCATAATAAATACCAGCTGGGTGAGGTGTCGCATGTCCTGATTTCGCGCCAGCTTAATCCCCAAAGCGCCCAATCCTCTCCATCTCTTGGGTCAGGTTCAAAGTTACTGGGCTCGGCTCCTAGTCCCGATGTCCAGCTGAATTTATTATCTCTTTTTTTTTGCTTTCTTGATTTTTAATTTGTTCACATACTGCGACGGAGGGTTTGCCGGCGAGTGACGCATCACTGTAGCACACACCTCAGGCTCCAAGGCTAAGTAGTCCCATCAATAACCACACCTTAGAAGGATCCAAAGATATGATCTTCCAAAGTTGTAAAGGCTGGATGGTAGCCTTGCAGTCAACATCAACGAGGTTGGGTTTAAGGTGTCGGCTTAAGTAGACAAAAGCATACATGACCATGATGGATTCTATATCTATGTTTGATGAGTGAATAATTATATACACGAAAAGCAGTCTTCAGCCACAGCTTTGTGGCCATTCAAGCCATCTTGACCTCACATATCCAGTGTCAGTGGAGTATTCAACTTATACCGACTGTAGAAATCAAAGATGATCTCCGTGGCGTTGAAAACATAGTGCCCCATAGGACACTTATCCCTCCCCATAGACTTATAATCATCATTCGAGTGCGTGCAAGGCCAGCAATGACCATTATCCCCTTCACGATAGAACTCAACAATATTCGTCTTCCCATCACAGTCCCAGCCCGCACGCTTGACAAGCGGATCTTCATGAATCGTCATATTCCTCGCCCACTTTTGATCCTTGTCACAACCATTGCGCTCCGCCCAGTTATGCAAGACATCGATGATGGGCACGATCTCATCCTCCACGTCTCCATTGATCGGCGCCGTTTGGTCAACCGTGCCATGGAAGATCAAGAAGGGGTATCCCTCGTCGCGCTTGGCGGGCTCGCATTTTCCAACGCCGGGAACGTCACCGGTCTCATGCCACGCACCGCTGACTACCGAGAACGCCGCGAAGCGACTGCCGACCGTGGCGTTGCATGCGATCACGGCAGCCAGTTCTCCTCCGTTGGACTTGCCGTTGGCGTAGATGCGGCTTTTGTCAATGCACAGAGTCTCTTCGAGGTGTGTCAGGAGGTCATCGGTGAAGTCGAGATCGTTGGGATGCTTGGTGTGTGCGTAGGTATTTGAAAGCCATACTCCGTTGTCGGTTTCTGGGTAGACGGCGATACCATCCGGGTTGAATGTCGGGTTGGAGAATTGGGAGAGGCCTTCTTGTTCATGACCATCTTTGCCGGCACCGCAGAAAGATACGTAAAGTGGTGCTTGTCTATTTTCATCGTAGTTTTCCGGAAGATGAATTCGATAAGAGCGATCGCTGTGGGGGAGAGACAATGTCTTGCTTGACCCAGGCTTCGGGAACGCATCGGGAACAGCTTTACCGCAGCCCGATCTCGCCAAGCCGGCACTAGCCAGTGCTGCTAGAGTAAACAGTGCTGAAACGCGCATTTTTCGTTTTGTTTTTCCAAAGTTGGACGTTGAGAGGGACTGTCGGCTTGAAAAGGAACCATGTTATATAAAACTTCTCTATGACGACACCACCTGGGCACTGATTGTCAGGGGAAGCATGAGCTTCGCTCATAATTGTGACCGGGAGTATTCAACGCACATCCGACTTGAATATGTAAATTGTACAGTTGGAACGGTCGAGCCAAGTCGCTTGGCAGTGCGCGATCCCCGATGCGTTAACGATGCGCGGCTGATCTTCGCGGATCAGCGGAGCCGCGGGCCCACCGAGAAACTCTTCTCATCCCTTTCCATTCGCTGCAATACCTCCAGCTCTCTTCAGGTACAACTTGTACGCGTCAAATGACGAAAGAGGTCTGCAGGTACAGTACTCGTGACGTGGGTGAGCTGGTTCCATAAAGCCAAGCTTCCTGGAACTTGGAAGCTGGGAGCTGCACTTGGGCCTGAAAATCGAGCTCCCGCTGTTTCCAAGGTTCCGAAATGTGCTACAGCTGCAGCTGCAGGTATAGTTGGTTTGGGATAGATTCGAGAGACAGGGTTTAAGTGTCGGAGCAATTCATATCCTCATATGACTTCCACGATCTCTTCAGGATAGAGTCTCAGAAGATCACGCAGAGAAACAACAGGCCGTCCGTTGCGCACGAACACAACATTCCTCTATTTTTAGTCGAGATTACTAAGGTCGGTTACCAGCCTTTCAAGGCTAGAGTGGGTTTCTCTGTTGATGGATCTGCTTCTACCGTTATATCGTAAGAGACTAGACGATCTCAGTCCAGCATTCGACCAGCCAAGCCAACGATCCTCCAGGTAACAACATTTCCACTTCTTGACCCTCCAAGTTGACTGATTATTCCAACAGAGCCTCCGGAGGAAAAGATCAAGAGCGGTGCAAAGTGATTTGAAAACCAAACAACAATTTGGTTAACGTCCGCTGATATAGTGCTTCGCGGTGACATGGGGGAAAACCCCCTCCTCCCCGCGTCCGAGCAACGGCAGCAGCTTTCAATTTTGATGTGTCCAGATCTACCCTATGGGGAAATGATCGCCATGACGAAAGTCCATCAAACTCCTGATTATCAGCGATACTCTCACAGGCATGATCCGTACTCCACACGGACCAGGTGTACTGTATCATCGTTTGTGATCTTCACTGACAAATAGGGGGAACGACTCTTTCCGTCCACGGGTAGGGCTCGACTGAAATATGCAATTGATCTACTCCATATGGAATACAAAGTGGTAAATGTACCGGAAGAGCTTGCCGTGCACAAACTCTGTTTAATAATTTCCTGGCGTTGCGAAGCCGGATCCATACTCATTGGCCACGCAATGGAATCTACAGGGCTCACAGTCCAGAGTTTATCCTGTCCCACTTCGTGTGCCATCACTGCCCCCTGGCCGTTTCAGAGAAAATTTTTCCACTCACGGGTCGCAGAGTGCCGCGAATTCCAATGATCCTACGATAAAGACGTTTTTAATTTGCTAGGGCTAAGTGAGAGACGTGACTGGAGCACGTGCTGCTGAGCTAGTTCCAACGTTGTACTTTAGGAGTTACTTTCCTCTCTTCTTGACTTCCAACTGCACTACTGGAAAGAAACACCCGAAAGATACAAAATCTCATTTAATTGCAATATTCTCTTATCAGGTTTTTCTTTTCCCGTTTCTGTGCTAAATGCAAATATCGTTCAGCAGGGGACAGGAGCCTCCGGCAACACCCGGACACCCGAACCAGGCCTCTCGGCAAGCCGAGCCGCGCCGCCCGATCCATCAGCGCGGTAGAGGTCAACACCTGAACCTCCAGCTTGTCCCGTCCAGAAATGCACCAAAAGGGCAGCTAGCGACTGACCGAAATTAATTTGTGCTCTACACGTGTGAAATTACCGTAGCCCAGCCCAATCCCACGCCTTCTGTGGTCCGTTTTGTTCTTTGGCTGACGGTGCACATGTCTCCACGTTTTCCGCTGCGACACCAACAAAATACTTTGCTAGAACCTCCTTCCTATTGACTTTGTCGGTGACAGTCCGGGGTATGATCTCTTCCTGGCACAGCACCCTCAGCTTCGTAGGAAGGGCGTAGGTGGGCAGGGACTTGGCAAGGTCGGCACGTAAATCACGAAATGAGATCTGACCGACGCCTTTTCGTAGTCTGACCAAGGCCCCCAGCTGTGTGGAGAAGCTACTGTGTGGAGAAGCTACTGTTTGGTACTGCAACAGCCACACTCTCGGTCACGTATGGAAGGCCTGTCAACGCATTCTCAACTAGCAGAGCAGGAATCAGATAAGTCCAGACTTGTAGAACTTGATTTTCAGGCACGAATGTTAGCAAGTTGCATTATGACGGAAATTTTGACTTCACTCACAGTCCGCAGAAGCACGGCCATCAAAGATGAACTCGTCGCCTTCCATATGTGCCTGGTCTCCCGTTCGGAAAAACCCTTCTTCGTCGAACGCAGCTTTGGTGGCTTCTTCGTCGTTCAAGTAACTGTAGCAGAATGTTCGGCTTTTATGTTCTTCGTTTTGGGTAAGCAAACCTGGAAACTCACTGTGACATGACCCGGGGCCCTTTGATGAGCACTTCTCCTCTGCTGCCCTCCGAAAGTTTCATCTCTACATCAGGAAGCGGTCGGCCAATCGAAGACTGGTTAAGGCGACTGTCAATTCCGCGGAAGCTGTAAACAGTGGAGGGTGGATATCTTACTTTAGCGGGAACAATTCTCGGTAGCGTAGTAACCAGCCCTCCAACTTCTGTTAAGCCATAACCCATCTCCATTGGCACATCCGTCAATCTCTCCCAGAACTCCATCAACGTGACTGTGGGCATAGCCGCGCTTATGGAAAACTCTCGAATGGCTCGAGCCCCACGCAGGTACGGTTCAATCTCATCAGGAGGTAGATCCTTGATGTTGTCCTCGAAGTACTGTTTCAATCGGAACAGCACCATAGGACCCCAACTGACTCTTGTGACTCGCTGCTGTTTGAAAAGGTCCCAATAGACTTCACCCGGGGATCCAGGCTTGATTAACTCAATAGCATATCCCGCTAATAGAGGCCTCAATGTGCCAACCACCCCGCCAATCCAGTGTGCCATGCGGTCACAGAGCATGACTCGTCGGTCAGCTGATGGGGGCATCTTGGGGGGATACATGCAGTGGCGCGGTAGTACCGCACCTTTAGGTGGACCAGTTGTGCCGGATGTGAAAACAATTAGCCCTGGACGCGTCGATGGGATAGTCGTGCTCTCATTTATCCGCAGATGCGCTGGAGCATCAACACAATGATCTCTATTGCCGCAGATTATAGGAATGGTATGCAGCTGACGCTGCGACACGCAATTTTGCTGTCTGTACTGGTGGATTTTACTTGCAGTGCTTGGCTGACCCGGTGGAACGAGTAGCAAAACACAGTTTGTTTGCTTAAGAAAGTGATTTGCTTCCTCCGGGAGAATCCCCATTGCAAGGGGCATGATAGCTCCCCCAAGAGATAGAATCGCAAAACAGCCGACAATAAACTCCTCGGAGAGTGGGGCTTGTAGCCCAACCCAGATAGAGTCGTCGATGAGTATTCCTCTGTCGTCAAAGTGGTTCGCTGGTAGAGCATCCTGAATGCTCCTGCGTGTGTCCACAATATTCCGGATCAATTGGCTATAGCTCGTCGATACCCCATTTACTGGATCATTGATGACAATTCCGGGGGATTTCTCAGCAGAGGAGAGAAGGCTTTTGAATATCTCATCATTTGGAAATGCTCGAGAGTCCATGTTGACAGCACAACTCAGATACGTTCAAAATTTTTGGGGATCGCGAATCACATCGAGGCCAGAGCAGGCATACACAATAATTAGTATATTGCAAAACAAGGAGAAGAAGGAGGAAGAGGGAGAAAGAGAGAGAGAGCGAGGAAGCTTTCTCGATCTGCGCTTTCTGCCTGCGGGGAGCCTGGCAAACCGGGCAGCCACGGGCTCTGAGAGATGATCAGATTAACAAGGTAGCAAAGCTCGATTCTCATGCGCTGGTTTGTTAAGTCAGTGGAGATGTTGTCTTATTTTTTGCGTAAACGTACACCGCCAGATCATGCTCCTTGCGTCGGGTTATTGTGATGTATTCTGTACCGGTGTGTCTCGACGATCTCTGCCTTTTTATTCCCGTCTTGAGTCAAGATATTTTGCACAGCACAAGCGTCATCTCGGTCATGTTGGTAAGCTTCGGTAAGATCCCCGTGGTTGACTATGTACAGCAAGGGGGTGCCAGCAAGCCATGACAACCTAATTTTCATGTTTCTACAAGAACTTTCAGTCCATTAGGGACTGCGGAGTAGACATACAAGCTTTTGCTAAAAAGTGAGAAATGCCTAAAATTGGCTACATTTGTTTGAAGGCAGATGCAATCTCCCTGAATCGTGGCCCTTCTACTCAATCTCCCAGCCCTTCTATCTCTAGACGGAAATACCTCAAGATGAGAAGATTGCTATTTCAGCTCCCCTTGCAATTATTGGTAATGGGTGCCAGTTTCCTGACAGAATAAAAATTCATTTGTCTCGTATACATTCTATTCCACCCAATCAATAGAGTGAAAAAGCGTTCACACTATGGGTGCCCTGGGAGCTCGAACCGCGGAGATGAATGGTGGTCGTTGTCGCTTAGCTCGTAAACTTGTAATTTCTTTTTGATATATGTATTGTAGTCATTCCCATGGTTCTCATGCGTATGGTGACCAATTCGCGAATCGAAGTGGTGCGGCGGTATTGAATTGGCATTTGTTTTTCGCCGCTTAATGCAGAAACAGATGATGCCAATGATGATAATACCAACGACAGAGGCCCCAATGCCAATAGCAGCCTTGCTGCCAGCACAGATATGATTTGAAGCTTCCGGCAAAAAAGTTAATGCATCAGCTGAAGTGGTCGTGGACACAGCTGCCGCATTTGTCCGTGTAGCCGTAGACTGTGTTGGAACCCCATTGCTTAGTGCGATTGATCCTGTCGTGATGATGCTTGCGACTGGTGTTGTAGTCGACGTCTTGAAGACAGAATCCTCATACTTGCTTGTGATGTTGAAGTAGTGACTGTTTGCCAGAGAGGATAAATCTCCTTCCAGGAATAGACACAAATAGAACATATTGGAAAATGTCAGGTTCTTTGTTGTCTGAACCATCCAGTCTAAGGATGTGACACTTCCTGAAATACCCTCTGAGATTGAGTTAGTTTAGAACAGCAGTAGCCGAATTCAGTGGCAGACATACGGGTGAGGTACTCGAATGGTTGTAAAAATTGAGTCCCGTTTAGTTGCCACAGCGTTAACGACGTGGCATTTTGAGTTGTTGCACTCCATTTGATTTTTAGAAGTGAGCCTTCCTTATACACTGGATTTGCTGAGAAATCCGTGGTGTGTTCAAAACTTGGTGGAGTTGTGAACTTAATAGCCAGAGATAGATTCGCCAGCAATGCGAATGAAAGAAAACCTAATTCGCGCATTTTGCCCAACTTTTCAAGCGATTAAGAATTGTGCGAAATGAAGAATGAGGCAATTGATCTTTAGGAGCTTTTTTACAGCGGTATTTTCCAAGCGCAGAGCCTCCCTAAGCTCCATGCTCATGCAATCTATGGAGTGCACGAGGGATCCAAGTCAGGCGGGTATACAAGACCTGCTATAGGCCCCACCAGGCGCTAGCGACGCCGCAATTCACTTTCGACCTAGCGGCGCCAATAAGGAAAAGGCTCGGAACTCCTCCAGTGGGACGCCAGGACGTGTCTCGCTTATTCGGGATCTCTTGGCAGGTTTGCCATCAAACTAATCTAATTTGGCGTTTAGTGTGAGCAGTTTGTGATGTCCCGCCGGCGTCAAGTGAACCCCTTATCTTTGCGCTGGCGTTTGCTCGAACAAAAACATTCCCTCCTTTTTCCTTAGTTTGATCAAAGCATCTCCACGATGAACTCTCAACGGTCGCCATTTCTTACGAAACTTGCGATTGTTGCCATTGCCACGCTGACGTTTCTCTTTTTTGTTCTTTTCTTCCATCCCGCCAGAACGGCCACTCTCCCACAACATGTGGCACCAGCCCAAGCGTCCGAAAATGAGCTAGCGGAGACTTCAACAGCAATCAAATCAATACCCAAAAAGATATGGTACAAAGTTGGGCCTAAAGGCCTGAACAGCCAGTCACAAGAATGGATGGATGATTGTCTCCACAAAAACCCTGAATATCGCTCGGAGGTCATGACAGATCCCTCCGGCGATCTCTATGTGAAAAATAAATTTTCCCATCGACCCGACATTGTCGAAACATACCTTGCGCTCTCAATTCCCATTCTCAAGGCTGATCTACTTCGGTATCTCTTGCTATTTGCGGAAGGAGGCATTTGGTACGACTTGGATGTTTCGTGTGGCGATGTACCAATCCGTCAATGGATCCCAGAACAGTTCAAAGCAAACACGAACCTTGTTGTGGGAATGGAATTTGACGAGGGCTGGGGCGAGCACATCTTGCGCCAATTTACTAGCTGGACGATCATGGCAGCTCCACACTCACCACATATGATGATGGTCATTGAAGATATTTTGGATGCGATTCGCCAGAAGTCGGACGAGAAAGGAATTGCAGTCTCCGAATTATCTCTTGAGATGGTTGGTGATGTTGTGGATTTCACGGGTCCAAGGCGTTTGACCCGTGGAATACTCAAGAGTTTGGCGCTGACGCTTGATGAGACTGTGGACATGAACAACGTCTCCCACCTTTTGGATCCGGTTTTAATCAGTGATGTTTTGGTTTTGCCTGGGTACTCGTTTGCTGCATCTGCGAATAGATATGTGAATCAAACGGGCCCTGCATTGGTGACGCACCATTATGCCGGAAGTTGGAAGAATGATAACGGCGGTGAAACCAGTTGAGCAGGCTTCAATTCACACTGTGAATATTAGATAGATGAAGACTACGTAGACACAATAATGATTTACATTCAAGATTACCTCACAAATGTGACATCAAGTAGGCTACATGGTGAGGGCAAAGGATTGATCGCATTTTTGGTGTACACGGACTTGAATTGATAAGCCGTCTGTCCGACTTCAACTCTAACTCATAGTTTCAAATCTGTCTACTTTTATATTCTGACCGTAGTTTGTTTCAACGACTCTGCATTCTCAGCTCGCTTGACGGTATGACGAAACTCTGGAATCTAGCGTGTCATTGACACCTTGCAACCCTCGCCTAATGATAGCACCAATGTCACCTTCTGCTTCTGTTGCGAGATCTTTTCAATTCCTTCCGTTCCATGGGTAGGCCAACCCGTCCACGTACTTTTTTGGGTCTTTCCGGATATGAGGTCAATACTGGAATACTGTTGCAGAATCCGAGCTGTAGTATAAGATGCTTCCATAAGTGCAAATTCCTCTATGGGGCCAAATGAATTAGCAGGTTATCAGCAGATCAAAAGATAAAGATTGGCTTACGCCCTATGCAGATTCGAGGGCCCCCACTAAAGGGCAAAAAGCCCCATTTCTTGGTGTATTCGGGCAAGTCTTCATCCCAGCGTTCTGGGCGAAAATCTTCCGCATCCTCTCCATATAAGTCCTTTCGGCGATGCATCGAATACACACAAAATGCTACATTCTCACCTTTACGTATTAGTACGGGTGAAGTCCCCTCGGAGCCACCACCCGTAGGGAGGAAAGTTGTTCTTCGAGCAGTCCGTGTGTTAACGGGCACAGAGGGATAAAGTCGAAGGGCTATCAGAAATGTAATAATCAGCCACGATACCATCAACACTTCAAAAGTGCCACAATGCGGGACTTACTTTCTTTCAAAATCTTTGCAAGGTAAGTCATTTTGTGAATGTCATTTTGATTGATCTCGGTCCTAGATCCCACCACTGAGGAAATTTCTGCTTTCAGCTTAACTAAAACACGGGCATGCTGGGCTAGAAGAAAGCTAAGATTGAATAAAGACAGTTAGAAAACAACTTGAGGTAGCTTATAGAAAAGATTATTATCACTCACAATGTCCAACTTAGAAGGCAGGCGGTTGTGTCTCTGCCAGCGAGCAACATGTTGACCAGTTGAGCTCTCAGAGCCTTCCTGTCGCTTGAATGCTTTGGGTCTTTTGCAATAGCATCGAAAAACAAATAACGGTCATTCTTTGATGTGTCTTCCTCTGACTTTTGACTTCGTTCCTCGATAATCTCATCGACAAACTCATGAACGGCAGCACAGGAGCTTTGGAATTTTCGACCACCGATCAACCAGTACAAGTCCAACAGACGAAACCGCTGAATAACGTAATTTTGAGCAACGTCAAACGCGTTCGCGAATTTTGCCCCTCGTGATTCATCGGCCTCTTTAAGGCTATTCACGGACTTCCCAAATAGAAGCTCAGTGGTCGTGTCCAGGGTAAGGTTAAAGAATAATGGTTGAAGATCAATTTCACCTTCATTGGCGCGTATGTGATGGGGCAAGTTGTCGACGTGGGGTATGACAATGTCCATATCTCGGTATTGCTGCTTTGCGAATTGTGGACGAAGGAGATCTCGAGAATGCTTCCAGGAATCCCCTTCCTGGGTAAAAATGCCGTCTCCAAGCAGAGGAAAGAAAATCTGACGACGAAGTCCAAAATTAAAATCTTTCTGGGTAGTTAGTTCTTTGGGTGCTGCACATTGAATCGAGACCTCAAGAAGCTGGTGGTTTCCTACCGTCAATTTTGGAACTCATCATGGCCTCTAAATTCTTTGGTTCGGTTGTTCCATACGCGATTGTACCCAAGAACTTTTGTTCTAATGTCGTACCAACGTCTGTAAAATGAAAATGGAACAAATCCATCAGCCTTTGTTCATAATCGGCTGTCCAAATTTGGATCAGACGATCGATCCCCAGCGGCCACCAATTTCGAAGCCTCGGAGCACGACCACAACCATGCTGGGCACCGAAATTCTGATCGGACTTTCGGTGATGAAATATCAGTATTATCAGGACTATCACGATTTCATTGCACAAGCAACGGCCGACAGACCTTGTACAATACGTAAGCTTGAATGATTTGATACACAAGCCACGATATAATGCCCCCAAAGAGCGTTGACACAATAAGTGGAGACATCTCCGATGCGCCCCCGTCGGAAATGTTGAGCGTGACTTCTATAAAGCAGAATGCAAGGAGTCCAGTGGAAAATACGAAATGATTCTGGGCCACTGGATTTAAGGGGCTAGACCAAGGGCACGGAAATTTCTCCGTACGGCCTTTCTAGGCCCCTCCGAGGCTAGACAAGGGTGTTCTGCGCTTCCAGCACTGGTGCAGTGTGATGCGGCCCGCATTAACCGGTATGGATCCATTCGAGCACGTCCGCGAACTCCGTATGAGGATTCAGATTGGCTGGTCTGGTCGAGGCTAGTACTAATCAGCTTAAGTTCATCAAGGCTAACCATCATTGGCTTGGTTTGGCCCACACTCCCCCACCAAATCAATGAAAGATAAAGGGAGCAGCTCTCCATCTACAACTTGCTGCACCAGCTCTGAGAAGCGTCATCCACAGGCTCTGGTAAGTAGGTTGTCAGAAGCGCAGCTATCTTGAAAAGTCAAGGCTCGAAGCTTTTCTAGGAAGTCTGCTCTCCATAAGTCTCAATACACGTCCGTTCCTTTGTCCAAGGCTGCGATGTTGAGAAGAGGCCAATCATTGGTTTGAAATGTGGAGTGGGGCGCCTATTCCCTTTGAATTCTGTCATCTGAATCATTGAAATGTGGAGAGGATCATGCAAACGAACCTTGGAAGTAATTCGAACTACTCCGTACGGTGCATTTGTTCAATGTTAGAACCCAATCTGGCAAATGGTACTGAGATTGACCAATCACCATTAAATCATTTGATCCACCAGTCCACATAATCTTGGAATTCTAGAGAACATGTACGGAGTACGGGGTAAGACGATGTGATTTCAATATGCAGGAAGTGAACCGGGTCAATGCTAAGGTGGAAGCGCTAGTGATTGTCTCCTCGGGCAAACATTCCATGGAAAACTACGTCAGTCCATTAAACAGAGGATTCCAGTACGGAGTATCTCTTTTATTTCTGCGGAAATGTGATAAGAGGGATAACAGCTAGAGGACTTGACATATGTACACACTTTTGCTTTATAATTTCTACGATGGTCTATGGAGGTCGATGAGTCTGCATCCCTGTCTGCAACCCTGCAAGCAAAATCAATGGAATTGCCGATAAGGGGAAATGATCTGAAACAACTGATTCGGATTGGCATTGACTCTTTAGTCCACGCAATATCAACCTATTGACAGCCAGCACGCTGAGATGCTATAGTATATCATGCTGTCCCCTCAATGACGAGTGCATCCTACCTCGAGCCCACCACCTTGTTGATAGCCGCAAACTCGACATTCCAAACCCCCCAATGTTGGACAGGAATTACCTAACCAAGTGTGACGGAGGAACCTGTTTGCATGAAAGCACACAGAAGGAGAGCCTTTGTCCCAGGCGCTGGTAGTTGTTTGTACAGTGCGGTTCCAAGGTTGAGGCGAGCTTACCGGGAGTGTAGCGAAATTGAATAAAGAAAGAATCAGACAAAATATGAAATTCCATGGAAATTTTAGAAAAGAAGCAGTCATACTCAATCTAGACCGTATCAAAGCCTCTGAAAAGTAATATGTCTTGAATTGATCAATTTCAACACCTGTAGGCTATTCCGAATGGCTTGGCTGTCTCTTTATCACGCTGAAGCAAACAGTGTGTTTGCATGAGGAACTGCCTCCATCCAATCACTTGACTCCCGGAGAGCATCGCAAACCCACTTTTTTATTTCTTCCAAAAATTGCCATATTGTACATAGGGTGTTAATAAGACTTTTAGATACAAGGTACTGTTTGAGTCAACAAACAAGTCTGCCCCAGGTTGGGCTCGAACCCCTAACATATGCTTCAAGTCTGTCCTTCTCCTTTGTCTCCATTTCCTTTCTCTTGTACTTCTCATTTCCTCTCACCCCCACCTTGCACTTCGGTATCATTCATACTTCTTGCTTCTGCGTCTACCAAAGACCCACAATGCGGACAACGAATCCGTTTTTCTTTCTATCCATCTTCTACAAAGCGAAGATGGCTGTTTTGTTCTCATTCATCGCCCTTCTGGCAGCTTGCGCTGCCACCGTCTTGCCCAGTGGTGATTTACCCGTGGTGGATCTAGGCTATGAGTTGCACCAGGCGATTTCATTCAATGTGAGACCATCTGAACTCGCGAAGCTTACTTCAGATCTGATCAATTTCTCTTGTCTAGAAAGAATATGATCTCTACAACTTCAGCAACATCCGCTATGCTGCCCCACCGCTCGATGACTTACGATGGAAGCTGCCTGTGGCTCCCGAGAAGAACCGGACACACGTTCAAAACGGCGACGTCGGCCGAGTTTGTCCCGGTGCCTTGCCAGTGTGGGCCCTTCTCCAAAGTCAGTGGCTGTCGAGCTATTGGAATCATACAGCTTTCGAGCTTTCTACCAACATTTTATCTTATCCATACAATCCCCTCTCAGCAGATGGACGTACTACCGAGGACTGTCTTTTCCTTGATGTCATCGTTCCTAAAGCAATCTTTGACCAGAACAACAACAAGGGATCAGAGTACGAGCAACTGGCACCTGTGCTAGTGTGGATTCATGGTGGTGGCCAGGTCTCTGAGGAAAAGGCCGAACATGATGCCTCTGGACTGATTCAACGAAGCATGATTGACGAAGATGGGATTGTCTTCGTTGAGATCAACTACCGGGTAAGTCAATCTATGTCATACATGTCAGAAACGAAGCTAATTGTTATGAAGCTAGGAGTGTTTGGCTTCCTTGCGGGCAACATCGAAGAAGATGGAATCGCAAACTTGGGGCTGCACGACCAACGGTTTGCATTGGAATGGGTTGCTGATAACATCCATCTCTTTGGCGGCGATCCCAATCAAGTGACAGTCATGGGAGAGTCCGCAGGTGCCGGCTCAATTGTTCACCACATCACAGCGTATGGGGGCGACAAGGGCCCCGCGCCGTTCCAACAAGCAGTCGTCCAAAGTACCGGCTGGGTCCCTCACATTACTGAGGCACAGCAAAAGGCCACAAGAGAACAGTTCCTCGCTCTTCTTGATGTGGAAACAATTGATGAGGCTCGAAAGCTGCCCTCTGAAAAATTGATTGCAGCCAACACATTCCAGGTGTATTACACTCCTTTCTGGGGATCATTTGCTTACGGCGAAGTGGTAGATGGAAGCTATGTGCCGGATACCCCAGCAAAGCTTCTGCTTGAAGGCAGATTCGATCACGATGTAAAAGTCATGATCGCGCGGGTCGAGGATGAGGGACTCTTGTTCACGGGTCCGGATTCCAACGATACCCACATACTCGAAAAGGCGGTGCGAGATTTCGTTCAAGTCTCGGATGAAACAGCCAAGTACATCACGGACGTCCTGTATCCACCGATCTACGATGGATCATATGGCTACACAGATCCGGTACAGCGATGGGCTCTCTTTGTTGGAGACTGGAGTCTGAACTGCAACGGTGACTACCTCCGACGGGCCTATGATAACCAGACCTACTCATATCAGTTCAACATTCCACCTGCCCTTCATGCTGAGGACATTCCATACACTTTCTATTACAATGGATCCACACTCGGCAGCATCTTTTTCAATCGCCCAGTGGCCAATGTCACTGTGGCATTGGCGATTCAGGATTGGATCACCAGCTTTACCCTTTACGGTGAACCGAAGTCCAAGCTCACTCCAGATTTCCCTGAACAGGGGTCAGAGGCCCTGCTGATGGATGTCCACTTGGATTCATTCGGGCTTATCCATGATCGAATCGATGGCCCGCGTTGTCAGTTCTGGCAAACTATCCAATATCTTCAGTGAAAATGCGTTGATTGCCTTACTTTGATCAGCCATGGTATGAATTGGTTCTTACAGGCTTGCAAATACTCCATAGCTGAAGTGTCAATACTTCAAATTCGAGTCTCGACCTGCAGTAAGCAATGGAAGTTGAATAATGATGACATGCAATCAAATTGGGGTTGCTGATGTTCTGGTAATGGGCTGATCTGGATAAACGGTCGTGTGCGGAGTAAAGGGGTTATTCTGAATCCCGTTCCAAGGCTCTTTCTCAGGTGTTTCCATTGTAAGCCAACTTTCAAACTACGTAGTACCCTTACCCGTTTCCTCACTGGAACTTTGGTCGAGTGATGAAAGCCTCAAATCGAAACACTAGAACTTGCAGTACTTCTAGCGTCAAGGGTCGGCATGCCTACTAACATAAGCTTTCGGCCCTCGGGACCGGGCCGACATCCGCATCACGCACCAACCAGCCACCCCAATTGCCTTAATTGACCTCCGACCGTTCAAAACACCAATTCTCTCAGGTGGACCATCAAAGGAAATTACTGTATGGAGTCTGGTCGTGTGCTCAGAGCTGCAAGAGAGTCTGAATAAAATTTTGTTTTTCAAGGATTTCAGATCGGTTGCGAAAGTCAAGAGGGCCGGCATGAATCGCCAAAGATTGAGACAAACATAGAAATTGCGGGATATTCATCTTGTCTAAGCCATTCTGTAAGGGTATATAGGTACTCAAGTCTCCATCATTAGCACACCTCTTAGCTACTGGACTTTTGCGCCTTCCATGCCGGTTTCCAAGTGCTCCCGCAGTGTCACAGCAACAATGCAGGGTCGTGGTGTATTAAAAAGCCCATGCACCTCTCTTCAAGCAAACTTGTTCTGCCAATTATTCCAAAGAAATATCAATGGAAGCTCAAGCCAACGCATAATTAATGGCTTGCCGGCAACTCTTGTGGTGTTTTAATATGAGTACCACCAATCTCCGATCTTGTTTGGCCGTCAAGCTCCTTTCGAGGTAGACCATCTCCAACTTCAGAATACATTGTAGAAGATGGTGGTTGGCTATGCTGCCCGTACTCTACCTGAGCTTGTGGTTGGTAGTCTTGCTGCTTCCGGCGTCGCATGAAGAAAAAGAGAATAGCAATTATAGCAGCTACACCGACAACGCCGCCGACAACGCCACCAGCAATTGCGCCCGTATTGGTAGAGGAGCCGCTCGAGCTATCTGATTCCGCTGCTGAGGTTGATGTGATTGATGGTGACGAGGTCGATGATGAGGTCGAAGTAGAGGACATTGATGTTGACGTCGCGGTAACAGTACCTAAAAATAAGTCAGCGACTTCGATACTCAGTCATACTCAATGTACTTACCCGTCGAGATTGTTGCCAAATCGATAAAACTATCATTTCCTGGCTTTAATGCTTCGGAGCAACCGACCAAGACTCTGTCTAAAACATGAAATCCCGACTGTCCCTGGTCACAGCAGAAAGAACCATCCCAGTCGAATAAATTCCAGCTCTGATCAGCACATGACGGCTTCTCCGCGACAACCGCGGTGCAGTTGTTTTGATTTGCGCAGCATATGATATTGCGAATACCAGTGTCGGAGTCAAAGCAGAAAGAATTCCCTGGACAACACGCCTGATAATCACCCCATGTCGCGCCGCCTTTCGTGCAGAGGGTTTCACTGGACTCGCATGTGTTATTCCGGCGAATGGCGTATCCGCTCACGTAGTCATCAGACATTGCGACTGAGAGACAATTCGAGATCCTCGGACTAACGACAAGGGGACGCGGGGTGGAATTGGCGTTGTGGGAGTGTTGCAATGGGGAAACAACAATAATCCTTGCGGTCGTGGAGAAGGAGCGGGCGAGAAAGGCGGCATGCAAGACTAGTAAGCTAGCTTGTTTGAAATGCAACGATATTAAAATGGCACTCGCCGATCGCTACATTGTAGGCACCGGGGGCGGTATTGAGATGTAAATACAGAATAGACAACAACGGCTGTATACATTTTAGCCCTACTGCCAAGTCTTCAGTCAACCTTAGAGCAACCCTGGAAGAGATCCATGACTCACAACATGGATACGCACTAAGGAGGTCTTGTGAGTGAATCGAGACACTGAATACAGAGTGCTTGTATCTGTCTGCACCCACCGAACTCCGCCTTGGTGGTCCGCATGCCGAACGATCTTTCCCTTATACGGGTAGACATCCTTCTTGGGCCAATGAAATACCCCAATGCACAGCCGAGGGGCTCAACTCTGTGGGTATTGTGGAGACTCCTTGCCGGGGGCCGCCCCAAATTTTTGGGGGCTAGTAATGTAAGCGAGAACCAAAGGCCCGCGCGTTACTTTGAAGTTCCCCAAGGGTACGAAAAGTCGGATATCTATGGAGTGCGTGAGTAATTGTGGTTCCGATAGACGATCGTACCTGAGCAGTAGTTCTTTATCGATTTCCAGGTTATACATAGTATCAAAATGTGGAGTACAGTCTTCAGTGATCTGCAGCTCTCTTGGGTGGTCAGTTGCATCAGAGCGATACCACTCACAAACAGACTGCGGGGACCACGATGGCAGCCGGAGATGCGGTATGAGTCTGGTGGAATATTTAAGTCTTTCGAAATTATCGGAATGCGCACAGTAGTCCAGCAAGCAAATTTTGGATACTAAGGCAAGAGAAGCATTGATTGCAACGGTCCAACTTCCGAGGCCGCGGCCATAGGAGATGACCTGTCCCTGGGAGCTGGACGCGCAGTCGAAGAATAATCGTCAAAGCTTTCAACAGAAGGCATGACGAAATCGCATATTCTGCTGAAGGTCGATTGGAGCAGAGATGTGGGAGACACCTGGTTGGGCTCATTGATATTACTATCCGCATGGGGAACAAGCCTTTCGATCCTCCATTGTTAGTAGTGATATAGCTCAGAAGTAGGAATTCATGAGCTAGCTCATCCAGAAGATATGGAGATGTCGCAGGTAGTCGCTAGCATGATAAATCAAAATCACCAGGGAAAGCGCAGAGTGTTTCGCAGATGAAAACAAAAACATCAAAAAAAAACCATGATTCACCTACCGATTTTGATGGAATCGACATGTAAATTCTTCGGACTCAAAGTCTGATGTTCCCAGGTAATCTCTCTACCCGACAACACCGAACCCACACCACATGGCTCTTGGAAAAATTCTGTTTCGAGCCACGCCAGTCCTCAAGATACCTGCACCTACAACCCACTTTCAATCATCTCAAATTGCGCCCTTAATATCGCAAAGAATGTATGGTCAAAAACGCCGGGGCGGCCACGGCGGCGGGCGGGGCGGACGCGGGGGGTCGCGTCCCTCCCACCCACGCGTGCCCCCTCAAAAGCCATTACCCCCGGCACATCCGTCAACATCATTCTCAAAGCCGACCAGCCCACAGGGCGCACAGTATCAGGCACAGTGAGCGATTTACTCACGCGTGGCGATCACCCACGAGGCGTCAAAGTGCGTCTTACAGACGGGCGCGTCGGAAGGGTGCAGAGCATCGGGAGCGGTGAGCCGACTGGGGAAATAGATGGAGGCGCAGAGGGGGCACAAGAAAGCGAGCCCGGTATCCAAGTACGATCAGAGGGGGGCGATTCAAGTGGGAGACGCAATCGGTTTACATCGCGTGATATGCGTCTCGATGGACCGGAGGAGCCTTCTGCGGAGCCCCTTGGACTGGATATGTACATACGTCCAGCGAAGGGGAAGAAGAAGGGTAAAAAGACGCAGTCTGAGCATAGCGTGGCAGTGGAGGAAAGCCATGCGGGTACGATAGATGCAAGCGCTGCCGCTCAAAAACCTGGTTCCCTGAAATGTCCTGTGTGTGGTGACTTTGAGGGCGACGAAGCTGCTGTGGCGCACCACGTTGCTGGCCATTTCGGAGAGTGACTGGTGAATTTTAGAATAGTCGAACAACCACAGAATTGGACTACATTTCAGCCGTCGAGATCATGCAGAATAATTGAACAGGACCGTCCACGGGTTTGATTGATAGATTGTGTACGAGTATGAATGATACCTCTCAAAATGAGTGCGATGCTTCAGCTTTACGGCTCGGAAAGAGTGTCCATAGATAGCAACCTTGGTACGGAGTAGTCAAGGTAAAGATTAAATTGAGGTTGGCGTGGGTACTAACCCACGCCCGGGCGTGTCTGTCTAATAATCAACGCATGGCGCTAGGCCTTCCGGCATGCGATTTCTGCGACGCATGAAGAGAGCCAGGTTGCGGATGTTGAAAGTGACTATCATCGGTGTCCAAATCAAATCCAAAAACTCAAAAATCAGTTGCAAACACAGTCGCTTGTCTTTGAAAAGCGTAGAACAGGCACATTCTTCCCTGAAGGATTGAGTTTGCCTGTCATCATGAATTTTTATGATGCTTCCACTACCAACAATTGGCATTCTTGCTTTTGCCATCTCCATGGGGGGTTGTATGGCACCTGGGAGTTGGCAGAGGAAGTTGGAGCAGTCAGTGACATGGCGTGGCGGAGGCGAGGAATCAGTCAAGCCAGTCCAAGGGCGTCAACGCGAACAGTGATATCTGCTTGTCCGGAACGCTTTCGCCGAGATTGTTCATGCTTTTCCCTGATTTGCGGCAAAGATCTTATCGCTCTTCTGAGTGGGGATATAGACGAGCGGGGTGAGCTGAGATGGCAAGGTTGGAGGAAATTTACACCCGCTAGCATACACAGCTTGAAGAACAGCTGGTATGATATCGAGCGTGGTGGGTGACTGTCGGATTTCAATTCGCCTTTCCACGGATAGGCACCATAACTCTTCCCGCATATTTATGGCACACTGTCTTGAGTCTCCGAGAAAGACCACTAGGAGACGACCGCAGAGAGAATTTTCGGTGGAGACCAGGCGAGTCGGGACTGGCTTTTCGCACGTTGTCAGCCGGTGCTGTGACGGAGTGACTAAGGACTGTCTGCTGGTGAGACTTGGTTTGCACGGCCGTGGCTTCACTGTGTGCATCACCTGCGGAGTAGGCAGTGCTATCTGTCTTTGGGCGGTCGATGTGAGTTTCCAGTCGTGCTAATGGAGCCTCTTGAGGCTCGTTCTTGGAGAGCGCGGTGCTGTCTATCTGTGGGCAGTCGATGTGAGTTAACACTCGTGCCAGCGGAGCCTCTTCGGGCTCATCTGTGGAGCATGCAGTGCTATCCGTCTGTGGACCGTCGACGTGAGTTTCTTCTCGTGCCAAGGGAGCGTATTCAGGCTCGGCTTGTGTAAACGACAAATTTTGTAGCGCTGCTGTAATCCTGTCATGCATGGCTTGATCTTTGAAGATCGAGATTGGAGGTGGTCTTTCTTTTGCGGTTGTCTGTGGTTCGGGAATTTTGGTGATTTTTTGCGCTGGCGCTTCGCCAGCTTGTTTCGTTCCTTCCAATCGATTAACCGGTTCAACTTCAGAGATTTCGGCGAGTTCTTCCATCTCCGAGTCTGAATCCGAGCCCTCGCAATACTCGTAGTACTCGTCGTCCTCGTCCGTTTCTTCGTCGGACTCTTCCCATTCTTCGTCCTCCTCCTCATCGTCCTCGTCAAATTCTTCGGTCAGGATATCCATAAGCCCCAGACTTGGAACAGCCTGCGCCGGCTCTTCTGCGGCCCAAGCCTCCATGGGCTCATTCTTATCGGCAGACGATAACTCGCAACGCTCGTGATATTCCTTTGCATTCTTCTCCAGCGCCGCCGTCGCGGTGTCCGTGTCCAGATATTCGGTAGCAATTTTCTGCATGTGTAGACTGTGGACCGCGCGATATGCCTGAGACACCAATTGCATCACGTAGTCGGCGGAAGGCGCACAGTCGGGGTGGGTGACAGCATGGTCATAAACCTTTGCGCAGTGTAATTCGAATGTTTGGGCTAGTTGAAATACATCAGCGAATTTGCGGTCGTCCAGAGCATGTTGTGGCCAAGTAGCAGTCATGTTGGGTGGTGATTGGGGTGTGGTAGAAATCAGGACGCGTCAAGCTGCACTGGACGCGTTAAGTAGCTCCCCGCTCTCAACAAGGGGCGGCAGGCCCGCATGCTAAACCCTTCCGAGGTTGGAACGTTGGAAGTTATTACCACATTTCCCGATAGTACTTCGTAGATGTACATTAATACTGGAAAAATGCACGTTTACACACATGAAGGCCCTTTCAGTGTATAACCCCTACATCTTCGCAACCTGGCACTTTGAATTGGGAACCAACCCAAGATGCAACGTCGGAGCACGAACGCTTCAGATCAAGGTCCCCAAGGTTTCAAGTATGAAGGATATATTCTCCTTCTGCAATCCAGGAATTGGCCGTAATCAAAATGCATTCTCCAGATGTGGAATGTATGCAAGGTTAGATGAACCTAGGGTGTCAGGAACAAATTAGGATATTTCCACAATCAGTTGGATCATGGACCCGAAAAGATGGATGTTATGTCATCAAAGCACTGATGGTTGAGTGGTACAATACCTCTCTTCCATGTTTCTGATTCCAAATCAGATTCAGGTTAAGAGGTGGCCGGGGTTCGATTCCCCGTCAGTGCATTTATTTTTTGTGGTTCATTTTTTGCACTTTTCACTGCTTCCGAGACCTCGGAAACACAACTGGACAACAAATCATTAATTGTTCTTTTCATGCATCTCACGTGTATTTCCCTATTCACTCTTGATGTCAAACAGAAACAAAAGAAGATCGAAAGCAATATTTGGATGAATCGTGGGGAATCTTGAACTTTCGCAGAGCGGACGGAAGGCCGGGGGAACAACCTTGGAGTAGGAGCAATAGGTATGTGTCGCCTGAGCACGGCTGACCAGAGGCCGATTTAGCAAGGGTGAGCGTACCCCCAGCAAAAACATAGACCAGCATTCAGACCCAATAAGCGCTTCGTAATCTTCAGATCACGATTCTGGATACAGGAAAAGATAACATTCTAAGCTCACTGGTATCCATCAAAAAGCATTTTGCGATCCACATGTTGCTAACCCCACCGGATTTGGATACCTATATACCCAAAATAGTCCAAGGCAATGTACTGCTCTTGATCGATAGGAAGGGTTGTGGCATGTGGCTCAGTACGCATAGATACAACTTCGATGGAGAATCCTAGTTACTCGGATGTCCTTGATCCGTTGGCTTTGCCTCCTCTGCTCTTGAATACGGAGTACATATTGAGGAATTGCCCCGGCATAAAATGCAAAGTACTCTGTATTAATGCAGATATAGCTTTCCTCCCGGGCTGTGGTTTGAAACCACTCATTGAAACACATAAAACTGAGCAGCTCTTGGAAAGGAAGAATCGAGAGAGGTAAGATTTGACCACTCTTGATCAATCAAAATTTTTGGTTCAAGTCATTTCAACCGGGCTTGTGTCTAAGGGAGTAGATCCAGGTGGGTGGCTATGAGTGGATTGTGAAGGAAGCTCGATGTGGGAGGTTTTGAAAAAAAAAAATGAAATGACAAAAACATACAACAGTGAGGATTCGCTGGTGGTCACCCACCCAACTACTAACTCACCGGCGTGTGGCTTAAGTACGGCTGAGCGGACGGGAAGCCCTGTTCTCCACACCCTGTGGTCGTATGTGCTAGATATATCATTTGGACAGCTTATATAGCACAATGTCAATCTATGTAAGACCTTGGAATCGGAAAGCATTACGATTCGAGCAGGAGAATTCACCAAAATAACATGGGTATTGACTTGAAGGTATGGAAATGGTTCCTACTTGACTGAAATTATGACGTGGTTGAATGCAGCCAGTGATGGAAGAGTATGCGCTGTCATTCATATCAACCACCTGGGTAGCTAATATCAAGCCTGGAAGTGTCAGCGCCCTGCGCTTTCCGTGGCTACGACTTTGGAGGTTCTGAAATAGCTAGTTTGAAAGCTATATTGCCTAGGTGGCCTAGCTGGCCTGGATGGCCTTTACTTTTCTCTTTCTGTGAGCCACTGACGATTTGACAGACCGAAAAAATCGAGTGCGTTGCTGCTGACTCCAACCTTGGAAACGGAAGAGAAAAGAAAAGAGGAAGAAGGGCGAGCCCCTGGACCTTGAAATTAAGCAAGCACACCTAGGCACCATCCCCCCTTTCCAACCCATATTCCCAACCTTGGAAATATATTCTCCATTCTTTTTCAGCAAGCCACATGGATCCTTAGCCTAGGCACCAGCAGGGCTCTACCATTGCACCCATTGCACCTTGACACCACAGTGCCTTGGGCCCTCTTCCTTCCACCACATAATTCAATATTTTACCGTGTGTCTTTGTGTTCCTATCATCAAGCCATCAGTCACATATGTGGAGAAGTACACAAATTTGATCAATGGCAGATCTTCGACCAACGGGGTGCAGGTGTATATATCTTTGTTCATTGCTGTAATTAAGAAATTTCAAACAGTGGTATTAGTTTGACCATAGAGCCACCGTATAATTATTCAATGCAGAGCACGGTGATATTTTTTAACTTACGACCAAAAAATTCTGGTGCGTTAATTACACGCACGGAGGATCGGGGTCGACAAAAAACGATGCACTGACGGGGAATCGAACCCCGGCCACCTCTTAACCTGTGAACGACTGGAATCGGTCACATGGAAGAGAGGTATTGTACCACTCAACCATCAGTGCTTATTGATGTCGAAAATTCTGCAAATGTGCATTATGTTCAGCAGAACTCCCTTTTCTAAATGTAGAACTCCATACACCTCAAGCTCCAGTGCAATTTCTTCCACAACACCGGATGAAACCAAAAAAAAACACCCGGAAAGAGTACAGGCATGATTTGCCTCAGCAAACCCCAGGTCGGAGTCTTCATTTAGATCCAGTAATGCTCCAGGGCGATTTACTCAGTATAATATGTACCTGACAAAGACCAGGTAATCTTCACAGTGAATTGGTACATGGAGATTGTCAAATTTACACCGTTTTCACTACTCAATCCCCTCTTGGAAAATTCCAGAGCTGTATCTACTATTCTTCCACCAAAAAATAAAACAAAAATAAAACAAAAGCATTCATAAATAAACACATCAATCAGTATTGATTACGAAACCACAAAATACAGACCGAAAAAAGAATTGCACTGACGGGGAATCGAACCCCGGCCACCTCTTAACCTGAATCTGATTTGGAATCAGAAACATGGAAGAGAGGTATTGTACCACTCAACCATCAGTGCTTTGATGAATAATCAAGTCACCTTTTGCTCTCTATTTGGCAAGATGTTCTGAATTGGATGTGTCGAATACCCTGGACAGTGAAGCGATGCTTGATCGCATACTTGCTCACATAGCAAAGTTTGAATTCTAGATGTGGGTGCGAGGAAGAATTTTTTGTCTTCCATATTTAAGTATTTCAATTTGTGCCCTCGGTTGTTGGTATGGATTTTTAGCACAACCACACCTGGGCAAGCTTAAGCTTTTGCCACCAATATTTCAGATGAACAGAGGATGTTGAATGTCATCCACAGACTACAAGGGGGACTGGACTGGCTCCGCAACTTTTCTCATTTTTAAGGTTTGTTCCCATAGCCCTGGCACATTTATTGAGTGCTTGGACGAGCATCATGATTCCCTTCGCTCCTGGATTTTCCCACAAACCCCGGAATTGGACACAGTAATCCAGTGGATTGAACTTTATTTCGCCCCGGGTTTCCCCGCGATTTGTGGATGATGATGATCTGCTGTGTATAGCTTCCGATTCAGCTTCCGATGTGCTTTGCTGCCATAATAAATCTGCCGACGCAGTATCCGATGCGGTTTGGAAAGCTGGATCAACAGTCTACCAATACTCCCCCTATGTTCATGAGATACGTCCACGGGTGTATAAATGCAAGCCTTCGATCGCAATGATGTAGGAACTCGAAGTCAACATTGTCCACTCATCTATCTTGACAATTTCAAACCCACACCGGCAACATGACAATCAATCAAACGGACACCGAGGATCACCTCTTCAAGTCCAAGACTCAACAGTTCGAAAATGGCGGAATGCCTGGGTTGACGCAGGTTCCAACCTCTGTGACCCTGTCCGCGGAGCAGTTTGAGAGGCTCTACCTGAACCCTATGATGCACCGCCAGACATCTCTCACAAAGAATTTGGGTAATCCGACTCCACTGTACGTGATTTGCACAGTAGTTCCGCCAAACTGAATGCTGAATGTTGACAAATTTGATGATAGTGGACTGGGAGCATTTGTGTTGACGACCACACCCATGTCTTGCTGCTTGATGGCGTGGAGGGGCGCGACAGGAGGTGGTGCTGCATTCACGTAATACCATCCTATTACCCCAAGCCTTTTTTGTTTGTCTACTGACCAGTCATAGCGGAGTTTTGATTCTCTTTGGCGGAGTGCTGTTGGTTCTCTCCAGTATCCTCGAGTTCGTCATTGGAAATACGTTCTCGTCTGTGGTATTCGGACATTTGGGTATGTTTGAACATGCACAAGACCATCTTTTATGACATGCTAACATACCCAGGCGCATTCTGTCTGGCTTTCGGTGCAAGCATGACTCCGGCTTTCAATTCTGCGGGTAAGCACCACATTCGATCCTTCTTTGCGCGGAGCCTAAGCTCACGGCTCCATAGCTCCATACTCCCCATCAACGATGGATACTCTAGCAGGCCTTCACAGCCCTGAATTCTTAAACACATTTGGTACGTCTAAATCAATAGCTGCTGCTTTGCAATACTGATTTATTGAACAGCTTTCTTCTTTCTGTTCATGGGCCTGCTCATGTTGATCTACGCGCTGTGCGCAACTCGAACGAATGCAGTTTATGTGGCCATATTTACATCTCTGATCTTGGTTTTCACGCTCCTGGCTGCTGCCTACTGGAAACTTGGAAAGGAAGATGCCGTCGCGGGTAACCGGTTGACAGTGGTAAGTCTGCTAATCTTCCGACTTTTGGTATCTCAATCTCACTGACACTATGACTAGGGCGGTGGCGCTGCTCTGTTTTGTGCAAGTATGCTTGGGTTTTACCTATTGACGGCGCAGTTACTCGATTCTGTTGGCTTCCCTCTTTCGCTGCCTGTTGGCGATTTAAGCAGATTCTGGGATCTACAGAACAAGCAGTGAGTGCTTTATCAAACTTCAAATGATGCCATCTTTTCTAACTTTAAATAGCGCCCAGAAACAAGACTTGGAATCAGCCAGCTAGTGTGACAGCTGACCAATTTGGAGTTCAATCCAGCATTGCTCACATGAAACCCTCACCTCTAACGTTGGATGTCTTCCGAAAGGCTGGTTACAGTGAGGGACCAGGGCATACACGAGAAGTTGCTTGGAAGCAAGTTTAATTACTATGCCTATGTCGTTGCCTATCCTTTCTACATGCAATAATATAAAGAACCTTTCGTCTTAATCCAGTTGAATGAAATTTTCGTAATCGATGCTTGTTTTTCAATAAAATCAGGTCCCAGCACCGATAAAAACTCGATAAATAACTTGACTTAGCACCTCACATTATTGACCTATATTGATATCAGCACTGTGGACAAATTTAGTACATTGATGTGGAACAAATGAAGCTTTGTGATGTTGCGTGGCGAGACACACTTGCGATATAGCAAGAGTGCCATTGGTGTAGAATAGAGTTTGGGCAGTGAGACTGTGGGGGAAAGTGATGTCGTACCACTGATAAGCTTAGTGTGACGAGCCAATAAATTTGGGGCTGATTGTGAGGTCACCCCCACAGATCTACTCCGCATTTTCCCCCGGAACCCGATCGCGGCAGACAGCACCCCCGAAGTCACATGGTGATGTCAGATCACCGGAGGCGTTCGAGATATCTCTATCCAATTAGCACAAAGCATGTCAAATATTCAATCTGCCGAATCTGCTTCCGTACGAGGGGGAAAAAGAAATCAGCTCGACCGGTAGATCCATGACGCCTCCCCGCATTTTGCCTCTGAGCCCCATCACAGCAGACAGCACTCGAAAATCACATGTCTCAAATCCGACAAAAAAAAGTAAGAGATAATTCTACTATCAAGTGAACATAGCAGGGCTTCAATCTAAAATGAGCCGAGACTCATCCCGAACGAAAGGCTAAATGAAGCTTTTACGCCAGTTGATACCAAAACACCATGTGATAAATTCAAATTTGGTATGGAGTATACAAAGTGAGAAAAAACATGAGATGCCAGCTAATAAGTAGCGACAAGACTAATTAGATTATCCATGTCAACAGTAAGGACTAAGCAAATTAGAAGAGACAGCTGCTCAGAGACATAGTTAGTGGTATCTTTGATCCACAAAATGTTTCTCGGTTGGCCATGACGATCAGGGGACTAGCAATAATAGCGCAGGGCTCGACGAAATTTTTGATGCTGAGAAAAGGAAATATTATTGCATTTGAATTATAGCTAACTAGCTCAATTACTTTCGATTCCAACACTGAAGTTCCTTCCCTAGTTCCAGAGCAGGACAGCCTTGAGAGCTTTGCCAACTTTGATATCCTTGAAAGCAGTCTCATAATCTTCCACTTTGTAGAATGACACGATCTTGTCAAGGGGAAATTCACCCTTGCTATGCTGCTCGATCAGATAAGGCAGCATCTAGATAATAGAGTTAGTTCTGATCAGGCTGGAGGAGAGGGCACATTAAGCATACTGTTTGGGGATCGCTGTCGCCTTCACAACATCCAATGTATTGGCGCCCCATGACCAAATGAGCAAAGACATCAACTCCTGCGCGCTTTCCAGGTGCCGGAGCGCCTACAGTTGCAGCCTTTCCTCGAGTTCCAAGACAATCCAAAGCCTTCTCGACAACACTGGGGATACCAGCACAGTCAACAGAGTAGTCAACGCCATTCGATCCAGAGATCTTCTGGATCTGTGCGACAACATCTTCATCTGAGCCAATAACTGTATGGGTAGCTCCCAGCTCTTTGGCCAACTCCAATCTTTGAGTTTGTAGGTCGACTGCGATAATCACGCTGGCCCCCCTCATTTTCGCCGCCATGACTGCGCTCATGCCCACTGAGCCAACACCAAAGATGGCAACGGTCTTGCCAGCTTGCACATCTAGAGTGTTCAATATAGCTCCTGCACCTGTCTGGACACCGCAGCCAAGTGGAGAAAAGACACCAAGAGGCGTGTCGGATGGAACCTTGACAACAGAATTACCACTGACAATGGTATGGCGGGCAAATGAGCTCTGGCCAAAGAAGTTTCCATGTATCTTGGTTCCATCGGGGGTAGCCAGTGAAAGACTTCCATCCATTCTTTTCTGTCCAAAGTTGCGTTGAGCCCATTCTTGGCAGTAGGCCGGGTGTTTGGAATCGCATTGTACACACGAGCCGCAGGAGTCGAAGCTGAGTAGGACTCTGTCTTGTTTCTGCAGGTGCTTGATGTTTCTTCCCACATCCAAAATCACGCCGCCGCCTTTCTTACAGTCAGCGGACAAATCCTGGGAATTTGAGGTGAAAGGTATTTACCTTCGTGTCCAAACACGCTGGGAAACACTGCGGGCAGAGTTCCATTCATGCATGCGAAATCGGTGTGGCAGACTCCTGTGGCATGTATCTCGACCAAAACTTCATCTGGGCGTAACGAGTCAAGAACAATGTTCTCCAACTCCACCGATGAGTTGACTTGTCTCGAGACAAGAGCTTGTGTTGTGATGGACATGTTGGAAAATTGGGATGATGATGATAACTAGAGAGTAAAAATGATTCGAACGTAGGTATTGTCTTTGGTGCAGTCGTCGGAATCATCTGAATATTTATATCCGATAGCATCCATGGATCCGACTCCCTTGAAAAACACATTCCCGATTTCCTCATCATTACCTACCATGTGGGTTGGTCAGGTTGCATCCCCTGACTCCGTATCCTCGAACTTCACACCGGGGCCTGATTGAACCCGAACAACAACTTTAAAAGTCCCGATGTTGAAGTTGAAAATTGCCGTGATCTCAAGCCGTTCCACACTTTTTAGGGTTCCGATCCGAAAACTCCGATCCCCGCCTCCGCGCTTGGGCCCCGCTTAACCCCGGATCCCTCCAACATTGGAAAATGATGTGTTTCCGCTCGAACGCAACGACATAACCCTGGATGGATGGCCCATCACCTTGGGTAGGTGGGGCCAACTTCAAATTTGGGGTTGAGGGAGTGGGGTGACCATTATTGGATAACTTTCTCCCCGCACAGCCATTGATGATCCCGATTCAACAGTAAGTCAAAATTTTCGGCAAGTTGTGCGGTAGAGATAACCAGCCAGCTCTTTCCGAGATGTGCGATCTAACTATAAATTGCACATGCGAGCCCCGGAAAGGAGCTTATCATCGAAGTGGGCCTTGTTTTATCTTCAATAAATTTCCCTTGCATCACTTTTGACGCTTGATCATTCAGTCATGACCACATCAACCATCTCTGAGGCCGTTGCGCCTGGTGCAACAGTTCCACTTATCATTGGAAACAAAGACGTCACAACCTCCAAAACCTTTGATGTCAATAATCCCGGGAAAGGCTCTGTTGAGCACCAGTGCAGTGCAGCTGTTGTTGAAGATGCCACACTTGCCATCCAATCGGCTGAAGCCGCCTTTCCAGCGTGGTCTTCAACCAAGCCTGCCACCCGCAGGGACATTCTATTGAAGACGGCCGATATTTTCCTCGCCAGGAAGGATGAGTTCGTGGGTTACATGTGTGAAGAAACCGGCTCTCAAGCCGAATTCGCAGGATTTATTTTGATGCTTGGTGTAAATCTTTTGAAAGACGTTGCAGGCAAGGTATCAGGGATCGAAGCTACTTCTCCTACCTTGGTCCAAGAAGGGACGGGCGCTCTCGTCTACAAGCAGCCGTATGGTGTTGTATTAGGTATTGCTCCTTGGTATGTGCCCGGAACTCCAGAGAGGATGATCCAATCTAACCGCCAACAGGAACGCCCCCTATATCCTGGGTACTCGCGCTGTAGCGCTTCCCCTTGCAGCTGGAAACACCACGATTCTCAAAGGCTCCGAATTATCTCCGAAATGCTTCTGGGCGATTGGTGATGCATTTAGACAGGCAGGCCTCCCCGACGGTTGCTTGAATGTTATTTATTCTCAGCCTTCAGATGCCCCGGAGGTGACCACAGCCTTGATCGCCCACCCTGCCGTCAGAAAATTGAGTTTCACTGGAAGCACGATGATTGGGCGCAAAGTTGCATTAATCGCGGCACAACACATAAAGCCTGTGATCCTAGAGCTTGGTGGAAAGGCACCCACAGTCATCCTTGGTGATGCCGATATCGAGAAGGCGGCTTTGGGCGCAACGCTGGGTTCATTTATTCACGTAAGTCTTGATACTCCTTTTACACCAGAGCTCAGCTAAACAAATTATCAGACTGGCCAAGTCTGCATGTGTACCGAGAGAATTATTGTGCACAGGAATATCGCTGAAAAGTTCCGCGACGCTTTGAAAGCAACAATCAATAATGTTCTCGGAGGTCCGAGCACCCAGCTTGTGGCTATTAACCCAGCTGCCATTTCCAAGAACAAAGAGTTGGTACAGGATGCGATATCCAAGGGTGGTAAGGTTTTGATCGGAGACCTCGATATGCAAGCAACTTCCGATACCCGGATGGGAGCAGTTGTTGTTGAGAATGTCACTGAAGATATGGACATTTACAAGACCGAGTCGTTTGGTCCGACCGCATCACTCTTCGTTGTTGACAGTGACGAGGAAGCAATTAAGCTCGCCAATGATACAGAATATGGCCTCAGTGCTTCTGTGTACACCGAAAGCCTAGCTAGGGGCTTGAACGTTGCCAAGAAAATAGACTCTGGGTATGTGATCTCTTCTTGGTACATTCTTTTCTGCTCTAACCAGCTTTGCAGGGCGGTTCACATCAACTCTATGACTGTTCACGACGAAGCTGCTCTTCCTCATGGTGGCGTGAAGAGTAGTGGATATGGACGTTTTGGAACCAATATGTTGGACGAGTTCTTATGGACGAAGTCTGTAACTTGGGTTGAGTAATTCTGTTAATGATTCAAGCCACATCTATAAATACTAGTATTTGGGCAAGAAGGTCCCTTGACAATTCTCATGTTAGGATAATATGGGCAAGGTATCTTGGGGATTCTTATAAAGGTGACCAGGTCCTGTATTTCACTATAGTATACCCCGGTGTTTTATATGTTGAAATCTATAATTTTCCTTCCATTGTTGGTTAGGGTTGGATTTTTACCAGAAACAGTACACTTCGTGCTAAACAGGCGACGTCCTTTGAATATTTCGCTCTTATGGAGGATACTCTGTCTGCTAGTCTGCACATACCCAAGATTGATTACGGGCATATTTAGTTCATTGCTCCGTACTTGGTCCTATGTAATCTAAAAGAACAAAAACATACAACAGTGAGGATTCGCTGGTGGTCACCCACCCAACTACTAACTCACCGGCGTGTGGCTTAAGTACGGCTGAGCGGACGGGAAGCCCTGTTCTCCACACCCTATGGTCGTATGTGATTATTTTAGTATCTAAACAAAATATAGACCACTAAAAGCTCGAAAGTTTATCTAAACCAGGCCCTAATTAAGCACAAAGAATGGATTGATAGGTTTTGCCCGGTCTCGGAGATGGCTCCACTGTCATAGCTGACACCGCTAGCGTGTTAACCTTTCGTTTATCAAGAATGGAGTAATCATTCGTGTCGAATGATTGTCGCTTAACTCCTCGAATTTCAACGCGCATTCTCACCGCAACCTTTGTGAGAAACGAACACAAAACGACAGAGACACTATCGATTCTTGCTTTTGATAGTGTTGTGGATATGTCTGGTTTGGAAATTCCCAAGTACTAATGTGAAGCCATCTCCCGAGGTCACTTCCTCCACCTAGTGGGCCGTGGCTTTTTGGAGCGCGAAACTCTCCCCTTCCAAGACCGAAAGTGCGCCCCCAACAAGATGAAAGCTTCCAGTGACAAGGATCTCTGTCTTATGCTCCTCACAGCCAACTCCTTTTGCATATTCGATAGCTTCTTCGATAGATGCCAACTCTGCAGTTTTCGTTCTGGGATCAAGCTGGTTCCAAAGTTCAACCATGCGCCTTTGTAAGGTCAAGTTTTCGATTTCCTTTGGATTGGTATTCCGATTGACAAAGTCTGCAGGCAATATCTCACTTTAGTATTCTTTCTCCTTGAGGGCTGACACAGTGCGATGTATAGATCTTACCAACTTTGTAGGCGTTGCCTTTGTGGGTCACATTCGTACAGAACAATGCATACTGGAAATCCAAGTTGCACTTGTTGTAAACCCCACTATACACAGTTTGAAGAAGTGCTTCTGCATCTCTTGTGGACTGTTGGTTGAATATGAGTACCTTGGGTGTTTCCCTGATCCGGCATATCAGAGGAGACCATCGAAGACGGGGATGTACTGGGAGAATTCATACCTTGATGAAATTGACTGCGATTTTGAAACGTGCCCAAACCAAGAAGCCGCTAGCTTCAGGCTCTCTTCTGTATGCGCACCATCAAGATGCCAAATTTGCTTTTCAGTTGTAAGGGTCTCACATCTCCCTCTCCAAACTATGTTCTCGAGACCTTGGATGAATTGTGTAGGCAGCGTTGCTAGACCAAGGTCGACCTGAACTCCAAGTTTGTCTAACAAGGAATGTGAAAGTCTGATAGCGAGAGATGCATTTGTTCTTTGGAAATCCTCCGCTGGCTTGAGAGAAATATTGAAAAGAGCAGGGTGTACTGCAATAGTGAGCAGATCGACACTTTTTTCTTTCGCTCTCTGATGGAGGACCTCCATGGCGCTTGGTATTTGAGGAACGGTAAAGGCCGGAGAGCCGGTTTTGAAAATCCCTGCTTTATGCCATGCTATTTTGTCGATTGTATCGCCCAGTGTAGCCACATGGTCAATTCCAAGGGTCGTGATACCAGTCACCGATGGCTGTGGAATTACATTCGTTGAGTCTACCTCTCCTCCAACCCCAACCTCAAAGACAGCCGCATCGACACCTTCTCTCATAAAAACATGAAATGCCATGAGGGTGAGGAAGCGGAAGTAGGTGGGCTTGTGAGCGGGATCTATACCTTCCTTAACAGCACTCGATTCGAGAGCATCCCAAACTTCGAAAAAGTACGTGGTAAAATGTTCCTCTGAAATCGGAAGCGAGTTAATTCGAATTCTCTCCCTGACCATCACCAGATGAGGGGAAGTATAGAGCCCAATCTTGCGGGGAACCCCGACCGAATGTTGATAGCTCTGAAGGATGGAATTGACAAAGGCACACGTCGTGCCTTTTCCCTTCGTCCCCGCAACATGAACTACATTGAGACGATTCAAATCGCTGATCTGTGAGACAATGTCGATTAGTCCAAAACAACAGACAAAAGGAAGATTCAGGAATCTACTCAAATCGTAACCGATGCGACATATCCACTGCCTCATCTGTTCCACGACTCCGCTGTCTAGACTTTGACCGAGACGCCTTCTTTCCTCCAGCACCTTGAATCCCGACTGAGTGGAATTCAATTTTTCCACTGCATCCTACTCGCTGTAAGTTTGCCATTTGGATCAAGGGAAACCAGGGTCTTCCTACACGATACGTCGGCATTTTCTGTGTATCTGACATTATTAGGTCAAATGAAAAAGATTTGGGTTACTTTAAACGGGTTTTGAGAAGAATTTGATGGGAACGGCTTGGTATTAGGCACATTTTTTGTCAATTTTCGAGACGTGGCACTGACTATCATTAGTAGCTGTTCTATCGATGGCACTGGAACTTGATTGGTTGAGTAGGCGCCGTGGCTTTGTTGATCCCATGTTTAGCAATTCCCCTCGCGTCGTAAAGTACTATGAATCACGGAGCGAATCCAGCGAGGCCATCTGAACAGGGGCGATGGTGGGGTTGTACCCCTACGCTCCAATCGTTTTGTTGAGCAAGGATCGAGAGCAGAAACGTATGATAACATAGTGTATTGGGAGACAGAAGAGAAGAGTGGGAGAGGGAGAGAGAGAAGAGAAGAGAGAGGAGAGAGGGAGGGGGGAGAGGGAGAAACTCTCTGAAGCTACATCCACAGGCAGATAGCGTGCGTTGATCGAGAGTGTTCTTTCTTTCTCCCTCCTCACCTGGGCAGATCAAGGTCACACCCGCTACTTGTACTTAGGATAGAAATTACTACTCAAAAATAACTGTTTGCACACTTATTTTACAGCAATGTTTTTCCAAAAAAAAAGGCAAAAACATACAACAGTGAGGATTCGCTGGTGGTCACCCACCCAACTACTAACTCACCGGCGTGTGGCTTAAGTACGGCTGAGCGGACGGGAAGCCCTGTTTTCCACACCCTGTGGTCGTATGTAGTCGGAATGGACAAACAATCTTACTTAATTCCAAGATTGCTGGTGTATACTGAACAAAGAAACCGAATATCGCGTCTCCTTCCAGGCTCTAGGTTAGGGTTGCACGATCAGAAGCGATACGCTTTCGCGACACATTCATTAGAATGATGTCATACTTCACCCACCGCGTTCCAACGTTGTTCCCAAGTGATTTCTTCCACCTGGGCACGAACGACTGATTTTAGTACTCTACACTCCGATAGGTATATATATCCATGGATTGAACCTGCCAACCTTGGAAAGTCCAAACACAGACCCAGGCATCAAATTCTATTGCTATTCGAAGGTTCCAATGTTGACATCAGGAGTAGATGTATTGTTTCTAAAAGAGACTAAGGCGCTTCGTATGCTTTCGTACACAAGGCACAAAAACAAATTTGGTCTTGAGTTCCAATGTTAGACAGTACACCTGAGATCTCGGGGTGCATTGATGAGCAAGTCGGGTGAGACTGGCCCCCTTTTCTTGTCGGGGGCCCAAGCCACAACTAGAAAGCCCAACACCCCACCTCTTCAAGCATACAGCCCGGGTTTAAGCTTTCCACGCCTTGGCAAGCTTTATACGGAGTAGATAGGAATTCGTTATACCCATACGGAGTAGACCTCGGGAACAGACAATGTTTTTTTTTTCTCATTGCCCCAATCCGAAGACGAATGATGTGCGATGAGACTGTAGCGTGATGGACTGTCCAAGAGTTGGATGGAGAAAGGGAAAAACAAAGTTGTTTACACATGCGGGGCTGAACCCCAGACCCATTTCTGCGCCCTGGCATAAGAACCGAGTCTGGTATTCAGAAAATGAAGCCCGTCAACCATGTAAGCTAAAGATTACCCGAGAAACAAAAACAGTAAGTCCACAGCCCGTGTGGTCATGGCGCAAGACACGGATTACACCCTGGTATTGGACAATGATACCTAGGTGAAGCCGTCAACTTTGAATAGAGCTTCCATGATCCTATCTGAGAATACGACATTTGACAGGTGCCAGAAACCAATTATAGGCCTGGGACTGCTACTGTCATGCTAAACTAAAAATGCAGTACACGTCATATTACGGCGTGGCGGATGTCAAGGCTGAGATGTCCAAAATCACTAGAAACGAACGTCTCCGACGTATTGGCGTGGCCCCAATCAGACTGCTGCCGGCTTGCATATCAAGCGCATACTCATGTATATGACTCGTTGGCCTGCGCTGCTAACCCTGAGTGTTTCTTTGACGCTGACAAATCTCATAACGAGTTGCTAAGCTATTCGTAGGGGCCAGGAAATGTAGCTGGCATTATATATGATGCGCAAAAGCCCGAATGGATCAATTATTTGACTGCAGTCAACCTTGGAAGATTATCTCAATCCGTGAAACCAATTCAAATAAACATTTCGGACGCTAAAGCCCACCCAAAATAAGGAAACAGACAAGCACAAGTGCCTAGTGCCGATCTTCATGGGGGCCAAACCGACCGACGAATGAGGTTCCTCCATTTGCGCCACACACAGCACCCCCGGCATATGAATCTAATCCTATTTAGGAAAGGCAGATGTAGCACCAGTCAGCGCGTAAATGTCTAGGACAATCGCGTCAAGATCTGCGTTTGTACGGTGTACAGCCCCATGTATAGAGTTACTGATAGGGCCGCCCTCAATCTGCCAACCATTTAGCCTTGTCTATTCCAAGAGCCCTTGGCCCCATTTCTCGAGGCTGTAAAGCTGATCTTTTTGAGATAGACACGGGATCTATGGGCATAAAGAGACTGGGCAAAATCCACTATCTCTTAAACTCTGCTTTTCTCAGGTGCCAAAGAACACTTGTGCATTACGACACAGCAAGATGAATCTGCAGTCAAGGGAAGGGGGAGGAGAATGTGAGCTGGTGGGAGAGGAAATGGCCACACTGGTGGGCAATGGGGTGAGTAGGCGCTGACAAGGAGGGTAAAATTTTGTTTGTACTAAACAGAAGCAGATCATTGTAGGATTTGCCGGTCAAGCGCTTTTGTCCCTATGTCTGTCGTTATGGGTTTTCTTTTTAACGAAACACGGCAACATGGATATAACACACCCAGAAGGCTCCGTCGAGCGCGAGGTTGAGCGCAGACGCTTGGACTTCGTTTCAAAAATCCTAATGGTTGGATCTGATTTCCAATCGACGCTTGGAATAGCGTATCTGGTTACAACATTTGCACAGGTACGACGAACAAAGACAGACACGATGACTATAATGGTTTCACCATTTTGTCAGCTCCACTGGCCTATCTAACACCATTTCGCAGGTATCAATCATGGATACATACCACTTGCATCTGGTATTCGACATTGCCAGCTTTGTCGGAGTATCGAATACCGCAGCTCTCGTTTGCTGGAGATACTGCCGAGCCAAAATCGACGAACCAGACATGAAGCTTCACGGGCGCAAGCTGCGCATCAACTATTTTAACGGTCGCTACCGGGCTGTCTACCTTTTCGTCGCTTTATATCTGGCTCTTACCATTCTCCTTGGCATCCGTCTCAATCAATGGTCGCCTCATCATGAACCTGGCCGTTGCTATTACTCGACACTCGTCACGGATCCATCAAGCTCACACCCTGCCGCGGACCTGTACTATATCGGATTCACCGGCTCCTGGCTCATGGTTGTTGTTCTTGCAAGTGTGTTTGCCGGGGTTAAGAGAAGACGTATCATTCTGGTGCTGTCGTCACTTCACTTCCCCTTGCACCTCTATATGACAATTGCTCTTCGCCAGGCAAATCAAGGCAAATTTGAGGGGGAGACCAATCACGAGAATGAGTGGGACTTTGGTCAGACAACGGCTGTCATACTCCTAGCGATTGCCCTGATCGAGCTTGCCAAGAAAGGAAAGGAGTATTATGATTTTGAGAGCTATGTGACTAAGCATGGGATACCTCCTAGTGTGAATGACCGGGAAATGCAAAAGAATGAGGAGGACTATAGGAGCAGCTCGCTTTTTTCGAAAAGTTCCGGGGGCAAGAATATCGCCGAAGACCGGCGTCCAGCATTGCAGGAGCACGCTTCAAGCTGAAGACTCTAATGCATGCAATCCTGTCAATATTCTAAACTCTAATGACTACAATCAGTCCGTTGATGCCAACAAAAATACCGAGAGGCATCTGACCGCCCTGTTATATCAGGCTACCTTCATATAGACGACAAACAGGTCTTCCTAGCAGAATATTCATGATCCTAATATTGAATAGTCCCAAAAAACCCCCGAAAGCCCAGTTCAATAATTTAGAATGAAGGGGATAACCGGAACTGGTGAGATACATGACCCGTAACAACTCCGACCGTATTGAGAATTTTGGGATGGTGGAAATGGTCAAGATCACGACGAGCCCGAGGTGCTCCAATATGTAGCCTCTCCAAGATCTCCATAACCGCTGCGTACAGCATGTTGACATTTCCATCCTCAATTTTGACCGCAATGCCAAGAGCGCCACGCGCTCCCAAGCTCCGGGTATTCTCTGACTCCCGAATACCGATTCCGTAGCAGCCATCAGCACCAAGCTTTCCAATCAACTCTCCTTGAAATGCACGCATGAGCTCTGTGCAAAATCTGCCTTCGCCGGCGACAAGCTCGGGAAATTGCGACATAGCATGGAAGATCCGGCCCAGTGAGCGAGTGCGAAGCTCACTAGATTTATCCTCAACTAGTACGCCTTTCGCCACATTGTCTGCAGAAGTGGCGACTGTCGCATATAGCTTCCCAAGTAGACGAAGGGATGTCGCGGGAGCTGGAAGATTGCAGCCATCAAGCCCCCAGGGCACATTCGTTTCGTCCGGATAACAGAGTTCTTCAAAGACGCGGCGAACCTGCATCTGAACTGGATGGCTAGGGAGATGATAGTCCTTTGTTTTGGCACCGAGTGCCTTGGCTCCAGCCAACATGCCGGCATGCTTGCCTGAGCAATTGCTGCATGCAGCAGTGGGAGTGTAATCGTTTTTAATCCACGCACGATTGACACTATCAGATAGAGCCGTATGACCACCACATCGCATATCAGACTCAGTGACACCTGCTTTGAGGAGCATCTCTCGGGCACGGGAAACGTGCCGCTCCTCGCTGCTGTGTGAGGCGCACGTCAATGCCAAGTCTGCATTGTCGAATTTGAACTGGTCAAATCCATCAATCTCCAGAAGTGCCAGTGCTTGTATTGGTTTTGCTGCAGATCGTGATAAAGTCATTCGACTCGGGTCGCCGACAGAGAAGAGCAGTTTGCCACTCGAATCGACAACTGCGGCGTGCACCAAGTGCCGGTTTTCGACAGTTCCGCCTCTATCTGTAACGACAGCATCGGGGATTTGAGTAACTGTCATTGTCACTTATTTTGAGAGCAATGGTGAAAGTAGGGGAAGAAAAACGGAATCTCAAAGTCACTTTTGTTATACTGCAAAAGAGGCGCTTACCCGATTAGGTGAACCAGAACGAGCCGCTTGGACTCGTCCAATGAGGCGAACAAAAAGCCCCACTTTTCCGACTCTTCGGGGACCCAATCGCCCCCAGTCGGCAACTTCCGACTGAAAAGAGTTTAAGGTCAAAGCCATGATCAACAGATGAAAATATCGAATTTGCTGGAAATGATTGGAAGCGCCTGAGCTCATCACGTGTATTGCGTGCCACAAAGCTGGCAATTTCCTGGATGGGTGCGAGCGCGAAGAGAGGGAGAGAAGAGAGAGGGAGAGAGAGAGAGGAAGAGAGAGAGAAGAGAGAAGAGAGGGAGAGAGGGGAGACGGAGAAGAGATGAGAGGAGATCAAGTTACAATGAAAGTAGCCACAGCTGAAGGGAACTATTTCTCAAGTGCAAGTTTGATTTGACCCTCTTTCAACACCTATTTTGAAAAGAGAAAACGTCTTTCTTTCACAGTCTGGTTTTGTTCAACGTCCTACAGCCAAGATATTTACTGAGACTACTATAATTACACTCCTTTCATCTTCCATTTCCTACTTAGAAGATTCTTTGTGGCTCTATAAATATTGAAGGATCACCAATTTGCTGAAGTCAACCAAAAAGAACCAAACAGAGCGCCGGTTGCATGACAACTAACCTTCGGACCTTGAGGCCCATGATTGTAGATTATTCCTGCCTACGTAACAAAGAGTCTTTCCCGACTTGGGATTTGGATATTTGCTTTTAGTTCTATAAGTATCATCGGATCCTCCCACGATTTTGATCACTTGTGTATTCACAAACATTTTCGAAGTCACTTCTCATTTATTACCCTGATTCCTGTGGAGTCGAGGACCGGTATCAGCCGCCCCCAGCTTTCAACATAGTTGCGATCATGCCGCGCCCTCACCCCAACAACCATTCTCACCCGATAGACTACGATCGTCTCCAAATCTACCTTGCTATCTGTAAGCCAAACTATCATGGCTGGGACTATTGGATGATTATCTTGGTCCATCCATTCGACATGCAATGCACATATCTCCATTGTTCCGGAGGACCAGGCGACCGTGAATTCTTTATTGAAGAAGACATGCGTTTCGATGACAGGACCATCGCAGAGCACAAGTATATTGCCACCATTCTTGCTTCCTCTCTTCCGACCGTGATTCACGAGGCTAGGAAGCTCCCACTACAGAGTTGTCAACCGTGGGCTTGCTACCTGATTTTTAGACTCGAGCAGAAGGGATTCGTCAAGTCGGGAACCTTTGATCATTATATGTATGAGTACCGTCACCTCATGACCGAGAATCTTGGCGCCGGAGATGATTTTCCCCTCGGTATTAGCATGTAGAGAATCGTTGTGCTAATGAATCTGTCAATTTTGAATTTCTTCATATCTCATTGTCAAAGTGATTGTTTCAGCTGCTATTGGTGCTAAGCCTGAATGCGAATAGTGCCCTTCCTCTTTAAAAGAAAATTTCAATGATAGAATATAGAATCAATGGTTACTCCTACCCAGGGTGGCTTCTGGAGAGAGAGGATAACCTTCATGTGGAGGTCTCCAGGCTTTTGCAACTGAACCAAAGGAGCAATATGAAATTTGTTGAAATCATTATGTCCTTAAGGTATGATCTGGTGGACAAAACAACATGCACAGTTCGCGCGACGCTGATCTTTGCTTTGAAATGTCTCCGGGGTACCGAAGGAGAGGGGCCGGCGGGTGTGCCCCTAGACCCAGGGCCAACCACAATGCTCCCCGGGGCTCTAGACCCTGGGCTGGGGTATACCTGGCTCAGTCACGTGCCACTCACCGCCCGGGACGGCTCATCCGGTACTCCCGGCTGGCTTTCGAGCGTCTTTGTGACGTCATGGGTTTTATTGAAATGCCAAAAACTCCCTCTGCTGAGGGTTTGCATTCGTGTTCAAATTAGTGAATTGGTCCCCAAATGGATTCAGCGGGCGATAAACTTCATAATGCTAAAAATACGATACAATCTTGTAGGTTTCACCAGACTTCACTGAAATTAGCGGTAACTCATTGCTATGTTTAGCCAGCCGATATATGAACATGAGATTTTTATGAATCCCGTAGGCCTCCAAGTGGTCTCCTGTCACCAGACAACTGTGTAGGACTCATGCAGCAGTCGGTGCTAGGGCCAGGAGGGCCTGCAGGAAACGGTAACGCGTGGATTGGACATACTAATTCCACTTTTGGTGTTCTTTGGCATAGAAAAGAAACAAAAGACCCTTGTTAAATAATCTAAGATCATATCAGAATAGTCTGTTCGAGGGCTTCATAATCCACGTAGTGTTGCTAGGGACTTCGATCCTACTGTAATATCCGGGTTTCGAAAATCCAATCGGCGACTGGTCCCCGGGGCTTTGACTCATCAAGAGTGGCCAACGGAGTTGATGTTTTCACGGCCGAGAGATGTCATATAAGGCCCACTCATTCCTCGAATTACTGTTCCATGCAAAATAGATCTTGATCCTCATGCTACCATTTTCTGTTTGTATGAGCTCCCAAACAATTGGTCATCGTTGCTCTGATCATGGCAGCGAAGAGCAATCCAACCATGATTTGGAGATGATGATCCATAATGAAAACCAGAAGGGTCTGAGATATGTTATAGTCAACTTCACTCCATCGTATGCTCATCAGTCAATTTGATGTGATTATTGCTAACCATTATTGAACAGATGGGTAAGAGCAATGTTGCATGTCGATTTCACCTACTCACCTCTTTCTAGTTCAGCGCTACAATGGGAACGGGTATCGTTTCCATTCTTATCCATAACCTCCCTTACAATGGCATTTGGCTATACTGGATCTCTGTGGTTGTCTTCGCCTTCAATGTGTTTCTTTTTGTCCTGTTCAGCCTCATCTCCCTGGCTCGATACACGCTATTTCGGGGTCTCTGGACAGCAATGCTGAACCACCCCACGCAATCACTGTTCCTAGGTCTGTGCTTCCATTCCTTACAAGTAACATTCGACGCGGCTGACAACAGTTCAACAGGTACATATCCGATGGGACTTGCAACCATAATAAATATGATCTGCTTCGTCTGTGTGCCTGCGTGGGGAAATTGGGCTGCTACTTTGGCATGGACCCTGTGGTGGATCGACGCTGTCATCTCCCTTGCGAACAATATGTACTTGCCATTTGCTATGTATGAAACACCGGCTCAATCTGTGCTAAGGTCCCTTGATTTGCTGACGCTTTCTGCTAGCATGTCACGGCATTCCAACGAGCTTTCTGGTATGACCGCAGCATGGTTATTGCCTGTCGTTTCTACTATTGTCGCTGCTGCCTCAGGTGGAATCGTCGCATCGGTCTTGGAAAACGAACAGCATGCACTTTGGACTATCATTGCCAGCTATGTCCTCTGGGGAACTGGAGTGCCGTTGGCAATGATGGTGATGGTCATGTACTTTCACCGCTTGACAATACACAAGATTCCGCCCAAGGAAGTCATTGTGTCCGTCTTCCTCCCATTAGGTCCATTGGGCCAAGGATCTTTTGGTATCATGCAATTAGGGAAGGAGGCGATGAGAGTCTTTCCCAAGACAGACAGTTTGTCTACAGAAGTCTCAGCTGGCTCTGTACTTTATGTTATGGGCTTTATCATCGGGCTTATAATGTGGGGATTTGGACTAGTGTGGCTTTTCTTCGCATTGGCTTCTATCACTCGATCAAAATTCCCATTTAACATGGGTTGGTGGGGATTTACCTTCCCGCTTGGGGTATTCACAGTTGCGACAACCACGATTGCGAAAGAACTCCCTTCGTTATTTTTCAAGGTTCTAGGGACGGTGAGTTTTCACAAACTGGAAGTTTTTATTATTCTTTCTGATTCAAGTCTTCCAGATTTTCTCGGTGGTTGTCGTTTTACTTTGGATTGTTGTCAGCGTTGGTACATTTGCCCAAACCTGGCGAAGGAAGATGTTTGTGGCACCATGTCTTAAGGAATGGGAGAAAGGGGAAGCGCAGCGACGTGGAAAATGCACCCGCGTTCCAGAAGGCGCCTTATAGAATTTCAAAGTTCAGGTTCAAGTGACAACATAGCTAGAGGCCCTCTCCACCCACTGCTCTTTGAGCCAATGAAACACATTTCGGCCAATTAATGTCATAGAATTTACATACATGGAAGGCGCTTTAGAATGGAACACTACACTGTCTGTCTCCTAGAGACCCGGCATCTCTTCATACATACAATCCAGGCAGCAAGAAAACCCATGTGCTGAGCCGAGCGATAGATCAACTCTCTCATATTTGTCTTACAATACTGGAGATATATAGAACCGAAAAGCTTTCTTCTGAATTTGGGTTGTCTGCTCACGAGCCCATTTCTACGCTCCGTATCATTAGCTTGAGTATTATGTGTTATTGATGGAGCTGCGCCCCCTCAACTGGCGTCGGCTGACGCCCGAATAATGGGTCATTGACCCACTCTAGACAATGTTTATTTATGTAGGACTGATCGAATTGCACAATTACTCGTACATAGGACAGGCGGGCACCACTACATGCAGGTTCACTTCGGTCATTTGCTGTCTTTATACTATGATCTCGAGAGCATTGGGACATTATAACACAAGAACGTCTATTTTTGATCCAGCAAAAGAAGGCTGTACTTAATGAAATTACCCAAGGAGCATATACATGGGGTCGTTATTCGCATGTGTAGCGTGATTAGATAACCTTAGAATCAGGTGTGGTGCACTAACATGAAGTAAAATGAATAATACTCTCATAGACTACGCGAAGCTATTAATAACACACCTTTTTGGATATGCGTCCCCAAAATGTCTTACTTGTGACTTCGGAATACGACGATCATCAATAGTCAAGGTGGATTGGAACGACTTGAAGTGGAGAACTAACTGACTCCACTCACACTTGGGGTGTTGAAGCTTTCGGGATCACGCCTTTCTGAAGAAATCTTATTCATTGTAGGTTAATTTCCGCGCATCTTTAATCCGGGGTATGATGGAACATTATTTTCTCTTTCCATCTCAGTTTCAATACCAGTTTGGAGAATTACTTGACTCGGTTGCATTCTATGCTTAAAGAGGACCCACATGGTACATAGACGCCCGCCCCGTCTTTGCTGCTTCCAGACGTTGGGACAGTTCTGCAATTGACAGTGTTTCAGTCGATCTCTTCCCACCGTCCATGCGTAGAATAAAACACCGCATTATATGTGTGCAACCCTCAGTGACCTGTTTTTGGTGTGTCGAGAAACATTGATTCAGACGATCTTTCTCCCAGTTGGGTGACCCCTGGACTTACCGCCAGAATAATCATATTGTTGGTGCTAAAGGCTGAGGATATAAAAAGGACTTGAAATCATCTGGAAAGAGACCACCAAGCCTCAAAACCACTCAAGCTCAAACAACTTTCTTCAAACAAACTCCCACAAACCTCACAATGGTCCGCCTCTCCGCCCTCTTCACTCTGGCTCTCGCCACCGTTTCCCTGGCCACCACCAACTCCCAGTGCCAGAAGGACTTCAACTCTTGCCGTGTCGGTGCCGATGCCAACCATGCTCAGTGTGCCGCCGACCACGCTCAATGCTGTTCCGATGCCTTCGACACCTGCCGCAGTGGCCCCGATGCCAACCAGGCTCAGTGTGCCGCTGACAACGCTGCTTGCAAAGGCCAGAAATAAGCGCCACATTACCGATTAATTGGTCTTGGCGATGATATGTACATCACCAACTTTGAAATTCTGTCCAAACTTGGTCTCAAACAGTCCGTTTGATCGACATCAGGCACTCTGATCAATAATATCAGACGGGAGTTGGTTTTCGAAGCCCTCAAGAGCTTTATGTATATACACCAAGATCAAATCAAGTTTTTCTTAATAATATGCCGGAAGCAGTTGAGACTTCCAAACTAGAGATACTTCCAAGGTTGTTTTTGCATTTGCCTAATATCAGACCAAATACACCTAATGCACCAAATTAACAGTGCTTTGATAACGTTTTGGACTGGAACCTTGAAGTCTCAAAAGGAAAACTTGACAATCGAGAATCGATCTCATACTCAGTTCAAATAGTTAGTCTTCTGGCTTGATCCTTTGCTATTCAGTCTGACTGTCAAGTGGGTCCTAGGTCAAAAGTTGCACACTGCAAATACATACGACCACAGGGTGTGGAGAACAGGGCTTCCCGTCCGCTCAGCCGTACTTAAGCCACACGCCGGTGAGTTAGTAGTTGGGTGGGTGACCACCAGCGAATCCTCACTGTTGTATGTTTTTTGTTTTGCTTTTTGGAAAAACACACAGTAAATTAACTGTTTGCACAGTTATTTGTTACTTATCTGTAATTTCAATCCTGAGTACATGATACCGATCAAGCAATCTACGATAGAGCGTATGCGTAGCAGTAGTTGATTTATCGCTAGACAAAAAGAGGACGGGGAAAAGAAGGAAGAGAGAGAGCGAGGAGGAGAGCGATCTAGCTTTGCCCTGTCCACCGGGTCACCTGACCACTCAACAGTTTCCCTTGATATTGGCTACGTTAAAGACACTGCTATGCGACAGAATGGAACGGATGTTGAGTATAGTTGGAGCGGTTCGAGTTGGCCTGGGGTATAGATGAAGTGGCATTAGATGTGTACGATTAACACTCATTTACTACATTGCTCGACAACTACAGCAGCGTGAACGCATTATTTGAAGTGTGTTTGCAAAGTGCTTATGACATATTTCAACAAGTAGTTAGATACAAGAAGCAAAATACATGCACAGCAGCTTCAACTCACTCCTGTACACCATGGCCAGAGCCAGACTCTAGATCACCATGCCCCCGACTGACGCTCCCCCAATGTCTATGCCCGGGGGAAGAGTGTCTGTCGGAAGACGCCTCATTGTGTCTACTGCGGAGACTATGCCGATCGGTAAAGTTTCGTTCATGTTGCGAAGCAATCCTTTCTTCATCGGCGATTTCCTGCATTCGGCGCTCCTCCGCGTGCTGGTTTGCGGAGCGTACAATCTCGTCCCTGTGTGGGGCGTTACCCCTGTTCTCGAAAACGTCACCCAGTATGTCGTTGGAGGAGAGATCCGACATGCCAAGCGAGAAGTCTACATGTTTATGGTTGTGCGTGGATTCGCCGCGGGACCGTTCAGTGCCTCTGCGGAGGATGGAATGGCGATGCTGGACGCCGCTGCTGGAGCCGGTGTTCTCGGGAATTGTGTGGGAGGTTTTACCGATGGGGACTTGCTCGGGTTCGGCTCCGACTGCGGCTCCTTCGTCAGGCGAGTGGTGTTCGTAGTTCGGTGGTGGATTCGCGGGCGGGCCACCATAAGCGACATGGAATGGCGTGTTGACGTTGTAGCCCTGGAGGTTCATGCGAGGGCCCTCGATGCCGACTTCTTGGAGCGCGATCATGACCATGCAGAGGAACTTGTTGCGGCGTTGCAAACGCAGGCCCTCGTTCTGCCAGTTGGATTTGTAGAAGAAGATGATGTTGAGGGTCAATGATAAGTTTTCTGTGACCTCGCGAAGCTCGTGGAGGATCATGCTCTGGAAATCGCGCTTCTCACTGCGCACGAACTCTACGAGACGGTGTCGGAGTTGCTCCATCTGGTCAATAGTTGTGCCGTATTTAATAACAATCGGTAGAGCCTCGGCGAGAGCACCTGTGCGGCGCTGGTTGAGGATAAAAAGATTGTTGAGCACACTATTTGGTGCTTGGACAACATGGCCCTCCATCTTTTTGAACTCGGTATATAGGAGCGCGATCTCCTTAACGAAATAGTCGTCACCACGGCCTGATGCTCCAGCATTTCCGTAGATAGTAACTCGATCACCGACGTCAAATGGATGTTTAACGAAGACGAAAATGATAGACTGCAAAAACTCGGTAGCAGTTGTAGAGAACATCCATGATAGAGCGAGGATAGTAGAGCCAGCAGAGGTTAATACTCCTGCTGCAGATGTTGAGATCAGCGTAAGGAAGACAATGACAATAATAATAAGCACAAAAAACATGAAAACTTGATCCAGTTTTGACATAACAGAGCCAAGATCCTTTAGTGATGCAGTAATAGATTTACGCTCACGGCCGATATCCACACAGACACTTTCAAGCTCTTCCATAGATATGTCCCCATTCATATCCCGGTCAAACATAGAAAATGCAGCATCTGCTTCCTCGTTATCATCAAACGCCTCCTTCAGGTCCCCTGAGAAAACCGTGTCACAGCCATCACGCGCGAATGTACGATAGAGCCGACGAGCGAGGACCTGGCAACCTGAGGTGGTATGTAGCAAGGTGAGAACGACCTGATATGGATCATTGCTATTCTTCGACTGCCGGCCAGTGAAATCCGCAAGCACACCCCCAGCTACATCCCCCACCTTATTACCAACATTTTTCACAGCGCGTTGGGCAACGCGACCTGCTTTGGAGGCATATTGTAGAGGGTTTTTCGTATTCTGCGACGTCCCAAGCTCGGGGTTCTGTTGGAATACCTCGTCATCTTCTGAGATATGTGTCCGGGAAAATTGATATAGCTTGGTCAAACTGCCGATTTGGAACTTGTTGAGCTGGATGCGGTCGTCGTAGGTGCGTTGGTGAAAGGACATAGCGATAAGCTGAATGATGATTTTTTCGATGACATTGAGAATTGTCCAAACCAGACCGACGATGATAAGCTTATTGAGCGTTCCCTCCCAGCCCCGCGTGCGCTTGTCACCATCAACGTGATGATTCTTCATTGTGGGTAGAAAGGAAATCTCTACAGCAAGCCACCAGAAGAAAAGGACGAAGTGAAATTCCAGCTGTTTGGCCATATCGCGCCACTTCTTTGCATTGTTGGTGAATATGCTGGAGATTAAGCTCACAGCCGGCGGTAGACATTTCCCAACGACACGGGCTGCCCACAGAGTCAACCAGACGATTTCCAGCCAGATTGAAAACCACATCAATTGTACGCCGCCGACACTGGTGTCGGTATATTTCAGGGCGCCGATAAGCAACGGGATCAGAAGGAGCAGCACCACGGGCACGATATAGGTCAAATACCGAACAATGAAACTGGAATTATGGACTTTCTTCGCAAACGCAGAGAGTTTGGTAGTCGGACTCTCAGGAGGCTGATAGGCGGCGGTCTTTTCGTGGAGTGGGTTGGTTGCCTGGTCGAACTCATCGACGCGCTGATCAGGATGCGATCGCGTTCGGCTCATCGAGCCCCGGCCATGCTGACTCCGTGCTTCGGTAGATCGTGATACCATCCGCTCTGCCTCCATGAGCTGGAGGTCGTCCTCCAGCTGCATAGCTTGCCCGCGGCGCGAGGAGGCCGTGCTTATGGAGGGATGCTCAGCTTCATAGTTCACGCTCGTGTCGACTCTTGGGTAGTCGTGAGACTCGACACTGGGTTCGCCCACGTACGTGCCGCCGGAGCTCGATCGCTCTCCTCTCTTCTCTTGAAGAGCGAATGATTCGTTTCCATCCATCGGCCTGGTCTATCGTCGGAAAATGGGATGAAAACTGCGAGTAAAAAGAGCAACAAAGTGGGATACGGCGTATGTAATGTCGGAAAAGCAAATACGAACGGTTTGTACACTAGATAATCTCCGACTTTCAGTGATAAATCGCACGGCCTAATGACCCACTGCTTGGCACGCAATGAGTGACCGTATCTTGAGTGTCAATTGGTAATTGGGGGTCCGGAGGGTCCATCGCTTAGAGAGCTCCACCGGGTGGCGCGATCGGTAAGTGCTTGTCTCCCCATGAGTACGAGTAAGGCGGGGCTCAGATTTTTCATTACCGATCAATGTTTCGTATGCCATTCCGTACGATATTTTGTGGTTATCGAAGAATAGGCACTTGTGGATCTGATTGGATTCTCAAGCGGTGATATCATAACCAACGCCACAATATGTACCCCTGGGTCCTGTGGAGCAACTATGTATCCACTTCTCGGTTCCCACGAAAACCATCACCCAGGGACTGTGCACTCTAATCGAACCCATGACTTTGCAATAACCAGAGATGACAAGCGTTGATGCGAGATTCAAACTCCGTTGATGAGATGTAGATATAGAGCGTCCGATTGAACTTACTGACCGCTGCAGTTTCCAATATTCTAGGGCTACTTGTATTCTTGATATTTTCACGAAGCTGATCGGTTCTTCGTCGCTTTTCGGAAATTCATCGGCGGCTGGACGGGCTTGGCATTGTAAAACCTTCGTTTGGATAGAAGTTAGTTTCCCGATGCTGCCCGAGAAGATGAATCCATCAGCAGTTATTCACATTCCACCCTCGGGGTTGAGATTATGACTCTGATAAAGCGCAGAAGTAAAATAGATTGGCGACATCAAAAGGGGTCGATATTCTCCAGATTCAATTTTTATATTCCTGCAATCGATCCTGGTCTTTTACGTGTATGATCAGTGATTCCTGGCAACTCAAAGTCCTATCCCTTGAGTATAGGCCTGGAAACCGTTCTCTGATCAAGACCTATCTAGGTACTATCGTGCTCTGAACCGATGAACGAGCGAAGGGTTTACTACCCTACACAACCTGCCCGCAAAGCTTGGACCCTGTTTGATGTCAATCTAGAAATCATCGACCCTCAGCGGGCCCGGGCCGGTAAAAATAGAGATATAGACTACATTTACAGTAAGCCCAGGCAACGCTGAAAAAACTAGTAACAATGAAAATGAGAATCCAGGCAAAATCAGGCATCAGGGTGTCAAATTAGCCGAAGAGGTGTCATACTATCCATAAGGGTGTCAATGGAGTAATCCTTTATATAAAAGCCTGGAACTTGAAGAAATTAGTTAATTCGTTTCTAGAAGCTAGTAATTAGAATAAGTAGAATAATATATTCTCTATCTTAATAATAATCTATTTATTCTATGTAAAGACTGATGCTTAGTGAATTGATTGACAGTAATCGCGAACTTGAGCTTCTGCGAGCTCAGAGCAACCCGCTCAATGGCGATAAGGGACGACCCGCATCAAGCCCCCCCCTTGGAAACTCTAGATCCAGAACAAAATTCGCGCTCTAGAGCGTCCTCTTTCGAACGAGATGAGAAACTAATCTGTGTTAGTATCATTACACCGCCCATTGACGCAGAACCAAATGCCTTGCGAAATGATGCGTCGGTGCAGGACAAAGAGACAAGGAATCCTAAACATCCAAACTTGAGAGAAGACCCACCAGTTCTCCGTCAAAGAGTAGCGCTGCTGCGATATCCTTCCCCTATAATCATTGTCGCCAGAGATCCTCAGGAGAAGAACAGCAACGTGTTAATGCATTTTGGTTTACAATCTAAGCTAGCGCCAGAGCCTCGCCGACAATCTCCCCGGCAAAGGGCACAACGACTAGAACCACGGTCATAATCTTCTATGATCAGCTCTGTCTCCTCTATGTCCTTGCTTTCTTGCTGAGCGATTTGGCCTGTTTGATGAAGGACCAGTGATACAAGACTCCTTTAATGAATGGATATTACTTCGGCCATTGAAATTGCACAATTTCTTCCATGCCTTTGCTTCTATATAGTGTACACCTTAGCTGTAGGGGAATATCTTTTCCCAAAACGTTAAAGAAAGTATATATAATGTGCCTTTAGGGGCTATATGCAGATACTAAGAGACTAGCCGTTTTATTAGGTAGCAAATGTCCAATCATATCAATTGTAGCTCAGTTGGAAGGCTTAGTACAGCAGCCGCGCGACTTAGGTGATTTCTCACCTGGCTTCTCACCCTGTCTATAACGCGCTCACCCTTCTCACCCCCGGTCTCGTGACCGTAAAGCGGCGCTCACCTATTTCTCACAGGCGACACCCACAAACCATTGACCACACATCCATTTGTCTCTTTGCTCTTATGGAAACATGATATTGTCTACATGGTTTGTCTACTTGATTTGTATAGCACATACGACCACAGGGTGTGGAGAACAGGGCTTCCCGTCCGCTCAGCCGTACTTAAGCCACACGCCGGTGAGTTAGTAGTTGGGTGGGTGACCACCAGCGAATCCTCACTGTTGTATGTTCTTGCTTTTTTGTTCCTCATCTAGAAGCCGCTAATTGTATAGTACGTAGTGCGTGTGGCGTACTCTGGACAATGTGCAGGGTATGGGTATGCACTGGGGGCCAAAAAAGCCCGTGCCGTTTGTTTGGATGAAACTACTACAGAAAATGTAATCTGATGAATAAGAGAGTCTTATATTGATTGGGCTTCAAGTGCAAATTTTACAGCCAACCACGCCTATGAGTATAAAATCCCGCGCATAACTCATCCCTGTTTCTCAAGAATCCGCATTTTCTCCTCTTTCATCTTTCCAATAACACTTTTTTCAATTGATTAGCAGCCTCACCTGTGCTCCTTGTCCTCATGGCTACTCAAGATGCGGGGCAAAGCTCGGTCATCTCCGCGACGGACCTACCATTCCACACGAGCAAGAAAGAACCCGAATACGATCTCGGTCAATGTCTCGCGGCAATAAAGGGAGAAACAGTCCCGTCCGATGTGACGTCTCCTTGGCATCGTAGAGCAGCCATTCGCGGCATCCGTGATTCACTCTAATTTGCAACAAGTCCAGCAAGCACTGAGCTACGAGAGCACAGTGGAAGTCAGTTACAGCCTGGTTTGGAGCCTAGAGATGCTTTTGCGCAATCTTCGATCCATTTTTGTGATATGGTTGTTCCTCGGGGGCAGCCTCCCAGAGACGAGTGGAACTCTCCTGGTACCTATGGCGGTTTGCCGGTTGACCCCGCAGTCGTGGAAAGACACATGTGGCTGTCATTCGAAACCGCCCAGAAGATCGAAGAACAATGTAGTGGAATCTACAATGATAGCGCGGACACCGGCTACTTGGATATCGAAGATGATGATCCGGAAAACGAACTTTGGCTGAAGCTTTCGCGTCCTCTGAAGCAGATGACATCTTTTGAAATGAAGGACTGGGACCAAAGCTAGATTTGTTACATTGATTTCCTAAGTTTTCTTTTCTTTAGGGAAGTTTGCAGCAATCAGACAGCGAGTGCTGTGATGACCCCTCATTTTGACAGCCAAAACTAGTCTATCCCTGATTTCGAGGATTGCTTTGATTACAAAATCCATAGATGTTGACGAATTAATCCTGGACTGTTAAAAGCATATCACGTGCGAAGAGAGGCCCTTCATAGGGAGCCCTAGTTTCCCGATATGGCGATGCCGATAAGCAGCTCAGCCAGCCAGAGCGCAGCAATTAATACGATTGAATCCAAAGCTTGAGATTCGACTTTTTGATCTTCAACCTTGGAATCTTGTATGTCCAGATTTTTCAAAATGGCCGAAAACGTCGCAAAGAAGCTCAAGACCTCCTCCCCCTTGATTGGGACTCACAAGTAAGCTCCGTTGCCAAAATTTCTGCTTCCCTGCTGACCAGCTCAGCGGCCACTTCCACGCCGACGAGGCTCTGGCAGTCTACCTCCTCCGCCTGCTCCCCACCTACGCCTCCTCCCCCCTCATCCGTACTCGCGACCCGGCCGAGCTCGAGAAATGCCACACTGTCGTGGATGTCGGTGGTGTGTACGACGCCGCCATCAACCGCTATGATCACCACCAGCGTACCTTCGCAACCACCTTCCCCCAGCGCGAGACCAAGCTTTCCTCTGCTGGTCTCGTCTACATGCACTTCGGCAAGGCGATCATTGCGCAAAAGCTCTCCCTTCCCATTGAACACGCCGACGTCGATCTCCTCTACGAGAAGCTCTACACCGATTTCATCGAGGCCATTGACGCGAACGACAACGGAATCTCTGCCTACGACCAAGCCGCCATCTCCGCTGCCGGTATCGAGAAGCGCTTCAAGAATGGTGGCATCACTCTCGCCTCCATGGTCGGCGACATGAACAACCCCGACCCCACCAGCCCACCTGGTGAGCCCCAAGACGAAGACAGCCTCTTCGGACGCGCCAGCACCCTGATCGGAAATGCTTTCGCTCGCAAAATGCACCACGCCTGCACATCCTGGATGCCCGCCCGCACGACCGTTGGCTCCGCCTACGCGTCGCGCAAGGATGTCCACCCCTCAGGCCGTATCATGGTCCTGCCCCAAGGTGGTGTCCCCTGGAAGGAGCACCTCTACAACTTCGAGGCCGAGGCCTCCGGAAGCAAGGAGATCGATCCCGCCGCCCAGGTCTACTACGTTCTCTACCCCGAGAACGCTAATGCTGATGCCAAGTGGCGCATCCAGTGTGTGTCTGTTAACGAGAGCAGCTTCCAGTCCCGTAAGCCTTTGCCTGAGTCTTGGCGCGGTGTCCGCGACCAGGACCTTGATGGTGTCATGGCTGCGGAGGCTGAGAAGAATGGTCAGAGCAAGATCCCCGAGGGTGCTGTCTTTGCGCACGCCAGTGGCTTCATTGGTGGTCACAAGACGCGCGAGGGTGCCATGGCCATGGCAGAGCGCAGCCTCGAGCTTTGAAATATTGCATTTGGACGAATTAAAATGATCAAGGGCAATTTGAATTGATGATATGTCTTTATGAACTAAAAGAAATATATGATATATTTTGACATCAAGCCGTAACACTGAACGATCTTTTAACCCATGGTAGGACAGAAGATTGTTGCAAGGTCTGCAGATTGCAGGTTTAAGGCGCAATTGGAGCCTTAGAACCATGCCACCATAGTTTCATATCTTCGGCTTGATGGAAAGTTTTCCGTGGTATCGTGCCCGGTGAGTGCGATGACTCGGTAGTACCAAACTCTCCGGCGTAGTCTCAAGAGCGGTGCCGATCAAGATAGATGTATCGTGGGGTCGCCTGATTTCCGGAGGATACAGACAAGGCGCCAGATAACTGAGCGCAGAATGAGTGTCTGCAAGCTCGGCTTATTGTGATGTTGTCGGGTGCTATCACCAATAAAAGATCCGCAATTTGAGACGCGATCAGGGCTTGACGCGTATTTGGCTGTAGTGGACCTGACCACAATTCGGGGACCTCCGTAGAAAGCGAGAGTGAGATGTCGCGTGCGACATTGAACTTTGAACAAGGCTTGAACAAAACCTCAGTGACGTATATTGAGAGAGCTTATGTCCTCAATGCTGCCGCTGCCATCACCGGACGGGGTCATATCTTTAGGTTCGGCTTGGGCGTTGGAGTCCTCACGTTCGCCCATTGCGCGCTGAATGAGCTTCGCCTTCGTGGCAGCGCCCTTGAGACGCTCATCCACATCATTGACAGCCTCTTCAGTATTGCTCATGTCAAGTGTAGCCGGGTCGACAAGCTCAAGAAGGGTGTGAAGGTTCCTGACGAGGCGCGTGCTGTGAGGCGGGAGACTAGGCATACTCTGGCAGATAGATGGGTCGAGAGAGAGATCTCCGGAATCAGATTGCACAGGAGTATCGTTTGACTTGGAGTCAAGTCGCTGTGCCCAAACTAAGGCTCTGCCATACAGCCTTCCCATCTCGACGAATTTCTCGAAGCCCTTCTCGACTGCAAAGACGCTTCCTTCGGTATATCCGGTTTCTGCACCATCTTTGGTGCCAAGCTCGAAACCCTCGTTATAGAATTGCTCTTCCAAATCCAGAAGACTGTCCAAGAGGTTCTCCATTGTGACTTGTGGTGAATTGTTGAAGGTCAAACTGATAAAGCCGATAACCACTTTTTTTCCCGGCGGGGTCACGAGATGTCCACTCTTTTCTATTTTCCCGCCTCTGCCCCTCCAGCTTCCCAACCACCAAAATGTCGAATCCTATCTTGCCCCAAAAGGGCGAGCGCAACATTCTAATTACTAGCGCGTTGCCATATGTGAACAATGTCCCTCACCTGGGCAACGTTGTGGGCTCAGTGCTGAGTGCCGACGTCTTTTCGAGGTATGACTCAACCCCACCTGGGAATGCGCAAAGCTAACAAAGTACAGATACCACAAGGCTTGTGGCCGCCCAACATTGTATATTTGCGGAACCGACGAATACGGAACAGCTACCGAGACTAAGGCGCTGGAGGAGAAGCTGTCGCCCCAGGACCTTTGCGCCAAGTACAACAAGATTCACCAAGAAGTGTACGAATGGTTCAACATTGGGTTCGACCACTTCGGTCGCACACCTACGGAAAAGCACACCGAGATCTCGCAGTCAATCTTCAAACGTTTGCACGAGAACGGATACCTCGGCGAACGCACCTCGGAGCAGCCCTTCTGCGAGAAGCACGGCTCTTTCTTGGCCGATCGCTACGTTGAGGGCGAGTGCCCCCACTGCCACTACGACGATGCCCGTGGAGACCAGTGTGACAAGTGCGGCCTTCTTCTGGATCCATTGAACCTTATCAATCCCCGCTGCAAACTCGATGGCGCCGCGCCGATACCCCGCGAGACCAAGCACATTCACCTGTTGCTCGATAAGCTCCAACCGCAACTGGAAAAGTGGGTCCACCCTGCTATTGAGAAGGGACAATGGCCCAAGAACTCTCGCGTCATTACCGAGTCTTGGTTGAAGGAGGGTTTGAAGGGTCGTGGTATCACTCGTGACCTCAAGTGGGGCGTTCCCGTTCCTCTGGAAGGATTCGAGAACAAGGTGCTCTACGTGTGGTTCGATGCCTGTATCGGATACCCCTCCATCACAGCAAACTACACCGATGAGTGGGAGCAGTGGTGGCGCAACCCGGAGGAAGTCCAGCTCTGGCAGTTCATGGGCAAGGACAACGTTCCATTCCACAGTGTTATCTTCCCCTCAACCCAGATTGGAACCCAGGACAAGTGGACCATGCTGCACCACCTGAGCACAACCGAGTACCTCAACTACGAAGGCGGAAAGTTCAGCAAGTCGCGTGGAATCGGTGTCTTCGGTACAAACGCCAAGGAAACCGGCGTTTCGGCTGATGTCTGGCGTTACTACCTGCTGAAGAACCGTCCCGAGACCAGTGACACCCAGTTTGAGTGGCTGCCTTTCGTCGAGGCCAACAACGGCGAGCTGCTCGCGAAGTACGGTAACCTCGTCAACCGAGTCATCAAGCTTGTCGCTGCCTCATACGGCTCTGTCATCCCCGAGTTCTCAGTCCCCGAGTCTTTCAACCCCTTCCTGGAGGAGGTCACCAGCCACCTGCGCCAGTACAACGAGGAAATGGAAGGCGCTCACTTGCGTGCCGGTGTCATGACTGCCATGCGTATCGCCGAAGCCGGAAACGGCCTGATTCAGTCCAACCGCCTGGACAACAAGCTCATCGCCGAGGAGCCCGAGCGCGCCGCCGCTGTCGTCGGTACCGTTCTGAACCTGATTCACCTGCTGTCCGCAGTTTTCACGCCATACATGCCCGCAAGCTCCAAGTCAATTCTGGAGCAGCTCAACGCCCCCACCGCCTTCATTCCCCACGGCGATGCCCTCAAGGATGGCTGGAAGCCCACTACCCTGAAGGGTGGTCACAAGATCGGCAAGGCCGCTTACCTGTTCACTCGCATTGACCCCAAGAAGGCCGATGAGTGGCGTGAGTTGTTCGGTGGATCCCAGGCCGATCGTAAGAAGAAGGAGGAAGAGGCCGCCAAGCTGGCTGCCAAGAAGGCCGCTGCTAAGGCCAAGAAGAAGGAGAAGAAGGAGAAGGGCCGTGCTGGTGCTGGTGCTGAAGCCGGCGGTGTCGAGGCCACCGCTAAGGGTGGTGCCGAGAAGGTCGCTGCTACTACTGAGGGCAAGGGCGACGAGGCGGTTGAAAAGGTTGCCGACGGTGTCGCACAGGTTACGCTGCCTAGCTCTTAGATGCATTAAGATGGGTGTTTGGGTTGTGTGTAGGTAGTATTTGAAAGGCGCGCTGAGAGTTACAATGATTTATGAGAGATGTTGTTTATCATGGCTGGGGCAACTGCGAACAGTCAGCTCAATTTTGTCCAAAATTATTGTTTTCCATAGAAATACAGCGATCTGTTCGATATCGGAACATCCCTCTCCAGGGCTCTTTTAACATTCATTCGCAAGGTGTAACCCGGGGCAATTGCTTGTACATGGTTATCTGGATAATGCCACCTTCGATTGAGCTTTTAGGCACACCACTTCGACCATCAAGGGAGTACTAAACCTGAGCAGCGACCTCGGAATTGCCTGTTTGGTCGAGTCACTTGCGTTAGCCGAACTACAAACCCTGGCTTTGTTAACCCTGGAACCTCGGAACCTTGGAAGCAAATCGCTACTTAGTCAGGTTCGAAGTTCATTGTTGCCGCGCTCTGTTGTGGTATAAATAGCCCTAGATACCCTTCCTTTGGGAACCATCGTTTTCTTCACCTTGGAATCTCCGCCAGTACAGAGTAGGATTTTTCCTACAGTTCTATCGCTGCCCAAGTGGCCGTCACCTCTCCAGTCCCGGGGGATGGTGGCGCAGTTTATCAACCTCGTTCGTTACAATCCATGGGATGAGACCTCAACTTTGTCATCGGTGTTGATGTCTACAGATCCGGTTGAATGAGAAACTGTCATATTTACATTAATGGGAAAGGCACAAGATTAGATATGTCTGTTTGGATTACTGTGGCTGATCTCCGCTCCGAGTTGTGCCTGTTCCATTAATGTAAATGTGACAGTTTCTCGTACATTTGGATCCGGTCACATTGGCAGTGATGATAGGACTCTTATCCCATGGAGTGTACCAAGATCGATGAACTGCAACATCACTTTTGTCCCTAGTGAAGATCCGAAATCTTAGCCACAGATGAAGTTCTCGAATGGCTTGAATAACCTACCAGATATGGACAGCACTCACAGGCCCGAGCATCTAGGAGTGGATTAGAGCTTAGTTTCGAGGTCATTTCAGTGCACCACAATATCCTGGAGTCCCTGGAGGTCACGGAGTCAGAGAACAAAAGAATACTTTGAACGTACTTTTTCAGCTCCCCCTCCTTCGGCAAAAACGCAGTTCACTGCCCTAAGCCAGTTGTCTTTTAGTTTGTGCCTGTCATTACCCGTACATTCAATAGCACTCGAAGCCGATTTCACCGGAACATCCCCTGCGGGTATAATGGGTACTTTATGCCAGCGTCGAAGTTTCCAGCGGTGTGGCATGGTTATGATACGACGTGATAAGCGATGTCATCCAGTTCTTTCTAAGTTCTGTGGTGCATGAAATTGTACCAGTTGATTTCTATATATGGATACTTCAGAACCTAAAACAGAAGAAACCTGAGTCTGTATAAAACCAGTTTAAAAACTTCACACGTGCTGTCAAAGGCGACATTATTGCCCAAACATTGGAAACACCCATCAAACCCCATAGAGTGCTACCTGAGAGTCAAGGGTATATAGCCCTAGAGTATAATGGGTCGTCATTGATCTGATTTGCCCGAGTAATCTAGACTGTATAATCTAGTAGTACAAAGAAAATGACAACATCCTACTCAGTATCATATCGTGGCAACATAATCAATCCTTCTTTGTCTATGGCAAAACTCTAGCATTTATTGTCAGCTGAAACTTGATATCTTCTTGTTCAAAGCAGTCATTAAGATACCACTCAGCAGACCGTACTTTCCTGGACTGTCAGGTGAAAGAATCCACATTTCTTTGTTTATAAAACCTACGCCATTTATTTGAGAGGCCGAGACTTCAAATTCACTCATTCAAAGTAGATATGAACACAACACTCGGTGTCTTTCTTTTATTGCCAAGAAGCAGCATCCACATTTCTTTGTTTATAACAACGGCCTATCAATCCCACCAGTAGGGGGATGTTTGCTTAATCCCCCCAAATTAGGCACCAGGACACTAGTCTCTTTCCAAATCGAGTACAAAATGAGCTCAAATTTCATTGTCTAAATATCTCAGGATCAGAGCTGTGTCGTTGGCATGAGTGTTTAGAAGTCGGCCTCATTCAAAATCAATGGCAGACTGGCAACCTTGGAACGTCGTCGGGTAGGCAAATGGAAAATATGACCTGGTACTTTATAGTTGGCATGCTTCAATGGAGACAAGGAGAATGCAAAGATGCAGCTTCATTACTTGAAGGTCGCTGGCTGAACAGCAAAAATCAGTGTTATCTTTATTGACCAACCTCGAGCGAGTTCCTAGGTTGTCATATTTGGCCAGCCTCATCAGCAGCAAGAGGGAAGCTATGTACATGACGCCACCAGGTCACGGGAAGCTCCTGCTTTTCCTTTGCTCTCTTACTTGCCAACTTCTTTGAAACCTTCCGCGGTTGTTTTTTTGGCTTTGCTCCAGGGAAAAGTTCATTGAAAATCACTGACAGACCTTCATCCAAGTGAAAATCTTTCCTCCTCTCACTCCACAGTTTGAAATGGGGATACTTTTCCCAGAGTTTCGACTGCTCAATTGACAACCTCTCACAGCCAAAGTCTCTCAACTTGCGCTGAACACGCCAGGATCCGTCAATATCGCTCACCATCCAGTGCATCTCTTGTGCACCTATACGATTTATCTTGATCGTGAGGCCTTCTAGAAGTGGACATCCTGGAGCCTTCGCTGAGCAAATTCGTTGGAATATGGCAGATGAAAGTGTTTCATCGATGATGGAATCAATTATCAGCCTTCGCATGTGCCCATTTCGAATTTTGAAAGGATACCCGAGGTAGTGAGGGTAGTATTGATTGTCAAATTCATCAAAAAATGACTCCGCAGGCAGATCGTGGCCCAGAAAACTAAGTAGATTCTTCGAGCTGATCACTTCTTCGCGAGATGGTAGACCGGATGATTGAATGGCTGGAAAGGGCTCAAAGTTGAGCTTGATGTATTTGAGATTCTTGATCGATCCCAATGATTTGTACAAAGAGACCTCTCTGGAGTCGCCTTGCGTTCGATTGATTGTGATCGCCAAATCTTGAAGATGTGGACAATTTTGGCCTATTAAGTCAATGTCCTGCTTGTTGAAGGTTTGCAAAAGCAAAGGGTCAATAATCTTGAGCTTTCGTAAATGCGAGCCATGGTGTTTGAGAACGGACTCAATAGAAACAAGTGAGTGCCACCTGATCAATTCAATCTCAATCAATGGTGGTAGGCTTTTTAGGAACCGAGTCGCAGTTGCATAAAAGTCAGCCATATCAAGACTCTGCGATTCTTTTTGAAGATTCAATGAAAGCGTTTCTAGTTCCGGAAACGAAAGATGCACCATGCCAAGCAGCTCAGTCGAATGAGCCCGCGAGAGCTTGAGATCCCGCAGTGAAGAAAAATCAATATAATGGCTCAATCCATTCACAACCCCGTGGTTGATCTGTTCTCCATATAGAAAGGCATCGAAGCTTTTTAGCGAAGCTAGGCGTAAAGGAACATTACCTTGCTGCGACAAGGGAAGTTTGAACATCTCGCTCCACCCTTCAAGGCGAACTTTCTTCAGGTTCGGTGCTGATCTTAGCAAAATTGAAACGCTTTCGCGTTGCCTCTCGGCAGGGAACAAGCCAGCAGAAATCCATGAGTCATAAAGCAAGCTGGAGACCTTCCTTCCTGTCCCCAAAGGTGCTTGTATCTTCACAGAGTACAGTGAGGGGGATCCAAGAATTTCCAGTTCGCGGGTGTACGTGTCAGGAAAGAAATCGCTGCGTAACCACAAGCTTTCGAGATGAAGGCGGCACCGCGGAATATCTCGGTGAAGTGTGTTCAAGATAGGAAGTGGTAATTTCTCATGTTCGCGCCATACTAAGTCGTTCAGCGCAGGTAGTTGCTTGATGAGATTGACAAGTGGCGACCACATCGCTTCGTTGTCTATATCGAAGGGCGGATTTGGAAATTATTTACTCCAAAATGGCTCTTTGCCACACGGTGGACCATCCAGTAGGTGATCAAATTGGGCTGTGAATTTGTTTGCGGGCTGCTCGCGTCGCAATTCGGACATTCGAGGCGGGCTCCATGTGCGATTTTCAAGAGATGGGCACTCGTCGTGACCTGAGCATTTTCCAATAATCAAAAGCCGTCGGACATATCGATGGCTCTTTGTGATTTCCAGTTTCTTCGCGAGAATACTGACTTCATTTTCAATGTGCTTTGCATCAAGGTAGGGTATTGATAATGATACATCGTGGTAGAGCATCGATTCAATAGACATGCGACAACAGGCATAGTAGGTCCGACTGCATCTTGCAAGATTCCAAAGAGTCGGTGGATGCTCAAACGCAACATTATGAGCAATAACCTCAATCACCTCAGGCGGTAGTTGAGACCGAGCATGGAGAGACATTCGGACAATCCGACCTGGTCGGAGAGGGTTGATCTGTTTACAATCTCAAAAGTGCAAAATCTACCGTCATCTGCTAGGAGCCGATAGGTTAGTAGTCTAATTGGAGAAGAATGAAATTTCGTGTTCTTAGACACTGTGTTTATTATCATTTAGCGCGAAAAAACGGTACCTAGTTTTTGGCGCTATGCTTGAATAAGGTCCAGGGGTCCTGTTAGAGTCTAGATCTAACAGCTCTGAGTCAGAGGCTCTTCGGGGCCTAGGGGCCACGCTCCCGAAATTCCTCGCCGAAGTCGATCGGGGCCTACAGACAGTAGAAACAAATGTACTTCAAAGATAGGTACGCATTCATAGTGCATTTGCCTGCTCCAAAACACATATCTCGCATGCACAAGAAAAGTGAAAGCCTTCTCGCAGAACCCTTTCTCGCTTAGTGGGATCACCATACTCACTTATATCAAGGTAACAGATAAAACACTCCTCTCCTGCGGTCAGATCTCGGGAAGTAGTCAGAACCAAGTTACCTTGGCTATCTGGTCCCCAGTAGAGCTGTGATGTCTTAATACGGGGATATCTCATAATTTGACGAGGGATTGACTTACGTTTGGATCGCAAGAGTGATTGACCAGTGAGGCTCTCGGATACACACCCATCCCATAATCGGTCCCTCGATTTTCAAGTGATCCAGTTTTCCTTGGGTATAATCCAAATGAGTTGGATTCTTCCCTGCAGATGAGACCAACAAGCTCATCGACACTGGCAGTTAACCGGTTGATATGGCTCAAATACTCTTCCACCTGCCTTTTCCAGTGCTGCATCTTCGTCTCCGGCCACTTGCCCAGATTTCCGGTGAGAGACTCGATGGACTCCCACCCCCTCTTGAACCAAACTTCCCAGGCATAAGGCTTTGGTGCATTGTGTGGATTCTGCATCTGCAGATGTTTTCCAGCGACCAGGCGCACGACTAGCCAAAGCATGGCAAAGTCATATTGGCCTTCTTTTTCCCGGATTTTCTCTCCCTGGCTTTTCAACCAATCGCATTCGAACCCATGTCGATCTTGGTCTGCAACTCGACAATGATCGTTACACCAAGCGACATCCCGAATGCACTTCTCGCTGCAGCGTACACTTTCCGTGCCACTGGACAACAGCCGATTACATCCGAGGTTGCTGCAAAGTGTGGAATCGGGCTGTGATGGATCTAAAGATGGGACCACGCCATATGGTGTGTCCGCAAGAATCTTGGTACCGGCTGGCACAAAGGAAGAAACCTTGATTAATTTTCCTTTGTGTTCATCTACCCCTAGCTCCAGACTTGGATGCACGTAAACTCTGGCATCATGGTCGATGGTCTTTGGGGGCGGATCATCAATGGACTTCTGTGCAACAACAAACTGTCTGCGCTCCATCATGCCCATGTCCACTGTACCGTCTCGCTGCGGAGTAATGAGCTGCATTCCATCCTCCGTTCGAACTCGTAGTCCGGAATTTTGAAGAAGGCCTTCCATTTCCTCGAGATCGTAAAGCCTTACGGAATAGAAAAGGTCTTGCTGGATGGAAGGACCATCGAGGTCAATCACAATCTCCCGGCTGGCGAGCTGAGTCTGATCTGGGGAGAGCTCACGTTCCCGACAGGCAAGAAGCTTTTTTTCTCCCTCAAGCCATTCCCATCCACTTTTGCTGAAGTTTGACCGAATCCATGATCCATCCACACAGTCAATGACAAATATGCCGCCTGTTTTTAGTACTCGAAAGACTTCGCGAAGGGACTGTAAGTCCCCGTCATCACCACAATGCCCGAAAGAATTTCCAAGCAGTATGACCAAATCAAACACACCGTTCGCTGTAGGTATTTGACGAAGATCCCCTTCTCGAAAATTGGTATTGTTTTGTGCATTTTCTGCCAGGGCTCGATGCTTTGCAAGGCCTAGAAGGTATGTGCTTTGGTCGACTCCAAGAACTTTCAAGTCCGGGAAGCGTTTGGCAAGGTGGATACTATGTCGTCCTTGACCACAGCATAGATCCAGTACTTCGACCGGAGACCCTTTGGTCTGTAACAGCTGTTGCACGCTAGGGATTTCAAGCAGCTTGGTGCATTCGGCCTCAGTGATTACGGGAACCTCGACACAGTCGCCGTCTGTGTATAGATACAATTCATTGTAAGCTTTCTTCCACCAATCCTTCTCGATATGAGGAAATAAGGAAGCAACACGGCCAAGGGCAGGAGTAATCGCCATCTCGGGCTTTCTGTGTCTTTGAGAGCGCAGGAAAGCGTTGAAGAGAGGCTCAGCATTCACTGACGCACCTTTTGTCCTCGACGGGGTGAGCTCTTCTGCAGGGCGGTGTGCCTGCGCACAGATCTCTGGATCACGGTTTATCTCAGCACAATCTTGCATCGTGCATGACACGTCACCCGACCCTGTGACGTGATCGGCGGAAACATTCGGAGACTGGATGATACAAAGAAGAAATATCAACCAGGAAAAGGAATAACAGGCGTTGCATACCAACTATTGCATAGAGAGGAAGTGGGCAATCCAAGAACCCTGGAGCCCTGGAGCTTTGTGGAGGTGGGGAAAAGGTGCGTTGACGTGCCAGGGTTGGCTGGTGGGAAAAGCGGCAGGCCCGCCCCCCGCGCCTGGCGCCACCAATTACGGAAGGGGCTCGGGGCCGATGGAGCCCCACGTTGGACTGGCCCGGCCCCAAAACAAACCAAAATGTGCGCGCGAATCATCTTCCTACTTTGATTCGTTTCAGAGGTCAAAGCTCCCACATGCTGGATGTTAGTTGGTAAGTAGCCAGCAAATTACGGAATAATGAAGGTGAGATTAGTTGCGAGTACGGAGTACGGAGTACTCCGTACCCGAGTGTGGTTTCTACTATAAGACATGACCTAACCATACGCTGTGTATTTATTACCCCCGTCCATGCAGATGAATGGGCACTCAGCAACTCTGCGGGCGAGTACGGAGTATGGTACAGTCATTTCACTTTTCCGGATCACTAGGATCCATTCGCCTGCGCAGAGCGGATATCATCTCAAATCTGCCTATCAACCCCATTCCATCCCCTCCGCTCATAATATTTCCCTAAGATGGACCATGACCGGGACCTGAGGGTCTCAGTAGGCCGCCACTGGCATGTTCTTGTGGCGGTGTGTATGATAATGTGGGGTGTTTACTTCAGTACATTCCTCGATTTGAGCATCTAAGAGCATATCTGACTTCCCTAGTATATGACCTTCCAGCGGCTTTGTCAGTGCCATTACAGGAGCATCTGGGACTTTCAGGTTCTCGATATGCTTATCTTGTGTCGGCGCTTTACACAGCCTATGCGGCCCCCAACACCATCCTCCCATTTTTCTCGGGGATTGCTGTTGACCGAATAGGCGAAAAACTACTTCTTTTTGTCACGCTGGGAAGTGTCCTAGTTGGGCAGCTGATTTTCTCAGTCAGTGCACAGTTGAAAAGTCCGCCCGGAATGATCCTCGGGCGCATATTTATTGGCCTAGGAGGAGAAATTGTTGGCGTTCTTGGAAGTGAAATCACGACGCGTTGGTTCAAGTGAGTCACATCGTCCTAACTGGAAAGAAATTATTGTTAACATGCACCAACAGAGACAAGCAACTATCATTGGCGTTGGCGATGGTATTATCCATCTCAAGACTTGGCTCGGTCGCAACGTCTTTTTTTATACCTGGGATCATAGACATTTCTGGTGTTGTGTATGCTGTGTGGTTTGGATCATTGGTGTCCTCGGGGGTTGCCATAGCTGGTGCCTTCTATTTGCTAGCGGCACGGGGCATTTCTTCAACGCACCACAACGGTCAAAGCAGTGATACAACAAACCCGGTTCGTCAATTTCCTCTTGTCTTCTGGAAATTAGCTTTGATATGTGTACTGGGCTACGGGGGCATCAACACCTTCCCTATCTCCGCGCAGCGATTCCTAGCCAAATGGTTCTACGGTGGAGACCAGCGCAAAGCCGGAGCTGTCACGGGGTAAGTGGTGACATATTCTAATTTTATAAAAGCTGACACTGACTAGAATACCGTACTTCCTGTCTGGGGCCTTGGTTCCATTATTTGGCCTTGTGATGAACATGAAATTCTTCCAAAACTACCCGTTATCTCTATGTGCCACCAATATCATGATGGGCACAGCACATCTGTTGTTACTCTATACCGCGCAACCTATTATGCCCCTAAGTGTACTAGGGGTGGCTTACGCACTATACGGCGTGGCTTTTTGGGCTGCTCTGGCTCGATCTCTTCTCTCGACAGTGGAATCTAAGTCGAAAAAAGCCATACTGGATACCAGTGACGAAAACCCCCATGATGATACCAGATATGGAACTATCAGGCCCCCCACGACATCCTCTTGGGATCTTCATGATGCCAACGAGAGAACAAACGAGCTCGAGGAAGCAGGTGCAGATAGTCTCATTACACTTGGCTACGGAATTATGACCAGTCTGAACAATTTGAGTACGGCTGTGGTCCCGATATTTCTGGCCAAGGTTGAAACCCTCATTGGCTTTAAAGGATTGGAGCTGGTCTTCATCATACTCTCGTTGCTTGGACTTTGCACATCGTTTCAATTATTGATCACAGAGATACTTTAGAATAGAGACACAACCGAGGTGTTTATGATAAAGCCTTTGGAATTTGATGGACAGACAATATTCAACTCCAGGTCTTTCATAGCTCCGGGGCTAATGCAGGGGAGATCAAAGCAGAAATATCGCTCCGAGGCCGCTGTCCAACCTCCGGTGATCCCCGGATATCAAGTTTCCTTGGTCCAGTAAGCCTTAAAGTGTGCACACTTTCTTGGCCATGTTATTGATATTAATGAACTGTCGATTGTGATAGAAAGAGGAGCCGCATGCTAAACTTTATTGCAATATGAAGGAAGAGGCGAAGAAGAAAGCGAATCAGAGAATCATACAAACAAGCTTTCCTTGCCCCGAGAGTCAGACATCGTAACCCTTCCAAACAGTCTATTTGATCCTGCCGAAACCCATGAGATATTCCACTCCTTGGCAACCAAATTTTGAGACTAAACCAACATGAGATATGCAAAATTCATTGCAACAGGAAACATCATTTTAGGGTTGAGGCGCATTACTGGTTCTCATACTGAGTAGATGTACTTCGGCCGTCATCCCACTGAGGTCCGTGCCCTTTCGTTATATTGACTACCCCTCAACTTTCCCTCAGTCTCCACATCGTCGGACCAACACAAGCATAATTACAAGCTCTCTGATACCTTGAGATCCGCACCTCGTAAACATGAGTTCAGCCATCTCACCAGGCCAAACACTGGCCCCCAGCCTGGCGACATTACCAGACGGTCGGACTCTCTCCTTTACTTTGGCGGGGCCTAGTCGTCACGATAGAGATCCGATCACGATTATATTGCCAGGAGTGGGATGCAGCATTACAGAATGGGTTGGTGTTCAAAAGCTCTTAGGGCAAAGCTCGCCAATTCTTCTCTACGAACGTTCCGGCTTTGGTCAGTCGGATGAATCCACAGATCCACCAACAGCATCACATATAGCATTTGAGCTTCATATGCTTCTACGAACCCTGGCAATAGACCCACCATATGTTTTGGTCTTTCATTCCTACGGAGGAATAATCGGACGGGAGTTTGTGGAGCTACGGCAGCGTGCTGGAGGGAAAGATGATGTGACCGGAATCGTGTGTGTCGATGCGAACCAAGAAGACAGTCTAAGACTGTGGCCGGATCCGGATATCGAACCGCTTGCAAAAGGCTTGGACTGGTACACTGCGATTGGACTAGCCGATGAAAAGGCCATGTCGGACGATGAGTGGAAAGCTGTCACTGAAGGACAAAAAACTGCGAAGCATCAGCGGGCAACACAGAAGGAGATGGAACAATATGTCCCAAGCTTGAAAACCTTGGCAGAAAAAAGGCAGCTGGAACGAGATCCACCGCTTCTCCGAGATTATCCCGTCAGCGTTATGAGAGGTCACCCCGATAGAGACTTGAGAAGAGTGCTCCGGATTGCGACCGAGATTGGCAATGGATCTGAAGAGCAGAGACGGCAGTTTGCAAAAAAGCTGGAATCTTACCCGGCCCTTCAAGAGAGTATTCAAAAAGAAAACCTTAAGTTGTCATGGCGACATAGATTTGTGGATCAACCAGAATGTGGGCACTTTATCCATGTGGTAAAGCCAGAGGCTGTTGTTGAGGAGATAAATTGGGTGCTACAGAATCAGTGAGATTCCATTGAAGCAAGATTGATCATGTCACTGGGTTGAATCAACCAAATGAGAAGGATGAGAAACAAAAGAAACCCCCCGTGGACAATCATGGGGATTCGCTAGTGGTGCTCAACCAACTACCAACTCACTGGCTGACATGCGGTGGATATTCAGGTAGGTTTTGCCTTGTTGAGATAGGGCTCTGTTTCACTCTAAAGATTGACCAGATTGACTCGAGATTAGCGTGTGACTTGATTCTTGATACTGTCAAGATCTCAGAACTCTTCATGCTGTCTTTGTAGAAGACAATGATCAAAGTGTGCAATTGGTTCAGCATCACATTCATGACGTTTCTTTCCGTGGCAGAAGCCGCTTGAAAATCTATTGTAGTCCTTTACCACCTTCATGGGAGCGGAGAACTTCGAACGAGATTCGTATGAGGGTGTGAAGGACCAGTGGCACGCTGTACCAGCGTAAATTTTTGTCATGGAAGAAACGGAAGCATTGTTGCTTGGTTTGTCCTTCCTGAAGTACTTTGATCTGCCGGGTTGGGTTTTTCCTCTTGTAGCACTAATTCTGAGCTGTTCATCACCCAATGGGACGATAGCTCAGTTGGGAGAGCGTGCGATTGAAGTTCGCAAGGTCGCTGGTTCGATCCCGGCTCGTCCCATATTTTTTGACATTTTTATTATCAGACAGACGGACGGACGGTCATCTATCTATCTATTATCAAATCAAGTAAGTAAATAAAGTAAGTGTAGGACAGACAGACAGGCAATAAATAATTTTACTTACAATAACTTATCTATAGATCGATCTCCTCTCCAGAGATGGTAACATGAATAGAGGGAGTCCAATAGCTCTTACTCAAAGAACTCAGTCAATTACTGCTTTAAGCAACTTGGGATGTTTCCTGAAGTTGCTGGAATTGGTTATCATAGGAAAGTTCGTACATCAACAGTCCTCAAACGAATAATTCGGCTAATGGAGGGAAGGAGTGCAAGAGCGTACAGAGTATGCTTCTCATGATATCTGCTACGGAAATAGCCAAGACAGAATAGAATGATGCGACAAACAACTGACATTGCCAACTATCATCAACGGGTAGGTAATAAGGCATCATTAGACATGAAGGTAAAAAAAAAGCTTTGAGGTAGCTAAATACTACATACAATTGAGGGTTTTGGCAGCAGTCGATGAGAATATTGATCAGACCTGATGACAGCTTGATTGCTTAGCATGAGCACCTGACGGAGCCCTTTCTTTGCTCATGCTTAGCTTAGCACCCATCCCACACTTGTGAAGTTATGATTTATCAATCTTGGAAATGCCGCTATGAACGTCAATTCTAGTTGTTTGATAAAACAGCCTTCCTTTCACGAGGAAGCACTCGACCCAACTCTTCCTATCTTTGACCTTGAACAAAAATTAGATATACCTTCCCATCGGGATGTTGGGAGCAAAAAAGATGGGACGAGCCGGGATCGAACCAGCGACCTTGCGAACTTCAATCGCACGCTCTCCCAACTGAGCTATCGTCCCATCACATGACCTTTTTGTACCAAAGACGTGCTCTTATATTTTGTTCTCCAAATTAAAACAGAACAAAAGCTCGCGTCTTTTCTTTCCAAAAAGAAATGAAATAAAAAACATACATACATACTGTAATGGGGAAACCGCGCCACCTCCCAGGTACACCACTGTGGCTAGTTTTGGCAGCTTTTGTTCACAATCCCATAGTTTAGAAATCCAAGCATTCTACGCCTCTCTGGTAAAACAGCATCTACTTCCTATTCCAGCCATTCTAGGGCTTCACATGCCTCCCTGTTCCCACCGAGCACTGAGCACCCCTGTAGTCTTTCTTGTCTGCGATGTCAGACCGCCAGCGCGCTCTTCCCACTTCAATACGTAGGCTGGCTGGGGTGCGGTCCATTCGCCGTATGCAATAAAAAAACATGGGACGAGCCGGGATCGAACCAGCGACCTTGCGAACTTCAATCGCACGCTCTCCCAACTGAGCTATCGTCCCATTGGATGGTGGAAGCCCAAAACTTTTTCCCTCTATACCCACATGCATTAGACATCAGTAGTGAATCCTTCCAAGGTTCATCATCCATGTACTTTCCATCCCAGTACTTACCTACACAGTCCCCGGCAGTAAGTAGTACAGTGTAACCTTGAAATTTGATAGTACCTCAGCAAGCTCACGGGTGTACCTATCTAAATATGAATGGGGCCGTTCCAATTTACGTCCAAGGATAGGGTCCGGAGGTCCCATATATATATTGAGGAAAAGCTCGAGCTGGCCCAAAGTCAAACTTAGGTAGAAGGAGCTTGGAATGATCCTGAGGTCCCTACCAAGGCTTTGGAAGCTAGAAAACTAGAAAAGGTTCATAGGTATGAGCGTCATTCAATCAAGCCAAGAGCATGATAAAGTATTTAAGGTATCGTAAAACGGAAAACAACATACCCATACCTAGCTATATCAGCTTACTATGTAGTAGCCCATGGCTAACTTGAAAATATAGATAGCAAACGTTGGAAGGAGCTCAATATGCTCAAGACTACGTTGAGTGTAAGGACTGGATACATGGATTCATTCATAGATCCATGTTAGTTTGGGCTCACTTCCGACTTGTAGCCACCACAGAAATTCACCACCGCGGCGATTCCATCTACACCTGGCGCAGGTATTATTGTGGATCTTGACTTACCCAAGCAATGTGACGACTGTGCAAAAGATGGAATCGATGACCAGCACGGCTGACCAGTCTACACAAAGTGCCATTGTCTTAGGTCCCAGAAAAATAGAATTAGCATCCTCCTTGTTTTTGACCTTTTTGAATATAAAAGCCTTTATTCCAGGGTCCAGGGTTTAATCTATCATATGTAACCGCACTGTTTGTTAATCAAAGGTTAGATGTCAAACAATTTCACTGCCTTAGCTCAACAAATCCTCTTAGCCTTTTTTAACTCCTCAAATCTGTATCTGTACGGCCTGCTATGTTTTCTAGGCTCCCCATTTCCCTTGAGATCAAGAATAATACGAGGGAGCTTTAGGTAATCGGCTAAGTCACAGCCCACCTTCAAAAAGCCCTGGTAGATCTTCCGAAGATTGTCACTAGATATCGTTGGGATGTCCCTATCCACCGGGTCAAAGTAATGGTCTTTAGTCCTCTTATCACAATCACACTTGAGTCGCGGCAGTATAAGACGAGGGGGTGAATGGAGACTCCACTCCGGCGTAGTGTAATCCCTCTCGAGCCCGCATTCGATTTTGTTGTCGCCTGTACCAGAACCTCTGCATCGTACCCGAATCAATCCAGCACAGCCGTCCAGGTCCTGTCCTGTGCGACAAAGTGGAGCTTTCCAATTTGACCTGCGGCGTGTTGTCTGCTTAATAGCTCTCTCTTCCAACCGGGTATGATCCTGTACCGTGCGACTCAACGGCACAAGGCCCGGCTTCCCCCTGCACCCTTCTTGTCCACAGCCATTGCCACCCTTTTGGCTGATTCTAACAACTTCAATGACATAAGTCTGCCGTGCATTTGTAGTGAACCAAGGAAATGCGTCATCCAGAACAGGCCTTTGGCAACCGCTACATTTGAGGCGGATAATTTTGCCAGGCTCTGCAGGTATTGTTTGAGCCAGACTAAATTCTGATCTGGGTCGGCTGATCTTCTTGATGTACATTAATCCAACCTTGTAGGCAATGTATATGGCTGAAAAGTTCTTGAGGGGTGATTTGCTGAGACCCCTGTCGAGAAGAGCGAATGCCAATTCCAGACTTTCTCGATTCAAGATTGGCAATCCATGTATCTTGAGACCGTTTTGAGACTGGAGCCATGATTTCAATGGAGCTGGGATATTTGAAAAGTCCAATAGTTCCACCTCAGGGTGATAGTCAATTTCCTCTTCCCTAGAGGACTTTTGGAAGAGATCCTCGTATTCAGCCATCTCAGGAAAGGATAAGATGACGGACTTTAGGACTTCTTCCCTTGCCTCAATGCGAGATATCTGGTTCATAGGTCAGAGGGATCCCTAAAGGTTCAAAGTAATGTATGGCTACTACTAACCTGCTCTTGTTCGAAGATAGGACTGCTCAAGTTTGTTTCCATGGGAATGAGAGACCCATGTGCTTGTTGTATTTCTCGAAAGAAAATATTTTCCTCTTTGCGTTGAGCTTGTTTGATGTCGAACTCCTCAAATCTTTCGGGGAAAGCCAATCGAAAGACATCCAGGGCCTGACGCTCATGCTCTCGTCGGGTCAAATTTTGCAGAGGACTTAGTCGATTGTATTTTCCTCTGATAAGATGGCATTCGAAAAAATTTGGCTTCACTTTTATCTGGTTCTGTAATCCAGCAAGTTGGGTAGCCATCAAGATCATCAAGTCCTGTGGCTTTGCATAAATCTCCGAAAAGCTTGGGCCAGACTTCTTGAGATGCCCAGGTCTAACAAAATACTGTGGATGATAGGCTTGCATGATAAACCTCTTCATAGATGTTGGATTTGCCTCATTGACCTCGAGCCAGAGTCTTACTGACTTGAATATGCCCCATAGTGGCAGCCGGATGAGTTTGACGCTTTCGGATAACGCTTTGAAAACCTCTTCACCAAAGCAGATTTCAACAACTGCAGACATGTTGTCCCGGATTCCCTTTTCAAAATCTTCGTGTGGCTGGCGTACATCCTTCGTGTAGAAGAAGAGGCAATCGTCGGTTCGATCTCGACGGCAGATTTCATCGAACATGAAGCAATGCTCAGATGATAACCCACAGTCGCTTATCATTTGAATGGTTGGGTTTGTAGGATCGTCGGTAATTGTGGTCAATGCATCTGCAACGTAGAATGTTGGGTTTAGAAGATGGAGTGAAAGAGGTGACCTGATTGAACCGCTGGGCTGGACAAGATGCGGCAACCGGTCTGCCCCCAATTTCCGCCAAGCTGCAGTATCTTGCACCACCAGGCGCCCAAATGCAGCAGCCTGATCCCACGTAGGTTCAACACCTCTTCGTGTATTAGCTTGAAGATTAAGGATTATGATCGAGGCCTAAGAGTACATACGGGTCTTGAGTGAATCTTCAAAAGCCCTCACGAGTGGTAGAAAAGGTGAGATCTTCTGTGACTCTTGTGCTGTTGGTTTTTCGATAAAGCACTGCCCGAAAAAGCGGAAAGTTAACTTGGAATTCATGGTTTCGCTTGTAGGCTTCGAAGCTTTGAGTTCAAAGAATGAGAGAGGACACGGGAGTGAGATAAGTCGAGAGAGAACCTGAGAGGTCTAATCGGATGAGCATGTGTCGGCGCGGGCGTTTGCCTGGTTTGCAGGGTCCCCGCTGGTGTAGATAGATCCAGATCTCTCGCTCTCTCTTTTCCTTCTTTCCTCAGGTCTCACAATACATACCGTTTTCCCGTCAGTATGTCTCTAGTTGAACTCGAATTTGTGGACAAACTTGGCCCAGCAAGGACAGAAAATGGATATTGTGAAGACATGAGCACATAGAAATGAGGTTGAAAGAATAGTGAGAAAGTGACGAGCGAGTAGAGCAAGTGTGAATACCCTCTGGACCCTCATCTGCATCATCAACATAAAAGATTGAGATCATGTATCCATTGTTCATTGGATGCTGCTGGAGCCTTAGGCTTTCAGTTGGAAAAAATGTGTCTCTATTCCCCTTGTCGGTTTTTCTCCTTGGTTCGCTTGCTTTTGCTTTCCTCAACTTCATATATTTGACATGCGGTAGGTCAAACAACGCAACTTCCTGCCCCGCCCCGCTGTTCCCAACATGAACTAACGATATGCTGTCTGATTTCTCTTAACACAACCGCGGATGCGTTAAGGGAATTTTTCCTGTGAAACAAGCGAGCCCTGAAGATAACCACCAATAACTGGACACACAAGTTGCTCAGACATCTCTATACCCATCGAATTATTCTTACAAAGCACTACAGCTCCTAAACCCAATTGACCCACAACTTTTGATATTTTTGGAGAGGGACTCCTTCAATGTCATAATTTGAATGAAGAGGGAGTATAGAACAGGGCCCATAAACTCATACCTACATCTTCCACTTCGAGGCGTCACAAGGTTCCCTGAAGAAAAGGGTTGTTACAAGAACGCCATTGTGTGAAGCCTCATGACAAGACTCAATCCCGGTACCTTCTTTCTACCGCTAGGTTTCTACTATTTTCTCCACTAGAGCTGGGTCTTGCCATCATAGTGAGGCGCATTGACCATGACCTTGGGAAATGACCATGTACAAAAGAAGTCCTTGATATTCGAAAGTGTTCAAATAGCATAATTAGAAGAGCAGGAATTTATCATACTGTAATGTATCATGGGAGACGAGGCGAAGAAAGAGAGGAGGAGAGCGAAGCTCTAGATCTACAACTCGTTTCAAACAGTGGAAAATCAGATGGCAGAAGCAAGGGCGATGGGCGGAAAGATAGCAAAAGACTGTCGTGTCGATGCAAACGAGTTTACCGAGCGAGGCAGTAGTTTACGTAGGGAAACAAGCGTCGAAATTTTGGCAACCTAGGCTCCTCATTCTAGGACCTGCGATTGAATCGTTCACCAACACGTGCTCATGGCAAACAAGATGTTTGATCCTGAGACCCTTCATGTAGCACCTCAATGAAAGCTTGATCATGTGATGGGACGATAGCTCAGTTGGGAGAGCGTGCGATTGAAGTTCGCAAGGTCGCTGGTTCGATCCCGGCTCGTCCCATTTTTTTGTTGCCACATTCTCGCATCCTATCTATATACAGCGCCTTGGGCAAGAATTTTTGCTTAACACGGGCCCACTCGCCAGGTCCCACCGGTACATTTGCCAGGCAGGCAAGATTGGTGCTCAGCAACCCGATCCGCAAAACCAGAGTAGCATGTTTCGGTTACCGACTGAGATAAGATCGCTGATATGACTCGAGCTCATGGGCGATTGACGAGTACGCGTCCGATATGTACACAGCCTTGGAAAGACCCTTGGTCATTTGTAAAACAATCAAAACACAGGGGGCCTCGGTGAAATTGGTGGGATTGTGTCTGTTTTCGATCGAATGGATTTTCAGATGACCCCAAGGGTTGGCTTTTGCGAAAATTGGGGAGACGGGGTGGCCGAGGACAACACAACGCCCCAACTGTATAGTCATCAAGTGCTACCCCGGCATTTTTAGCAATCTTTGTACTGTCATTATCGAATTGAACCTTGTAGAGCCCTATTCAATCGCTTACTATGTCGATCTGAGGAGAATAGAGAAGCCACGCCCCGACAAGTCAGCAGTTGTTGCAGCTCAGCAATGTACCGACTGGAGCTGACGGCCGCAAACGTACATGTCGGCCAGGGATTAATGGACCGATGCTGACCTAGTTTTAACCCAAAGTCTGCCTTGTTGCTTGAGTTTCGCTTGGCGGGAGATAAAGAGTACTAGGGGATGATACCGCATGAAAACTTGCCTTGTCGATAATGTATCTTAGTTATTCTCAGTATCGGATTTTGTTATCCACGTAGTATCTTTAACAATCCTTTGTCACGCCCTTTTCCCTATATCTTTAAGGTTATCAACTTTCGCCTTCATGTGAAAAGTGGTATAAGTGGAAGTTAAAAGTCAGATTAGAAACAGGTCGAGATTGGGTCGATCAAGAAAGAGGGAGGGAGCAAAACAAAAAAATAAAAAACATACAACAGTGAGGATTCGCTGGTGGTCACCCACCCAACTACTAACTCACCGGCGTGTGGCTTAAGTACGGCTGAGCGGACGGGAAGCCCTGTTCTCCACACCCTGTGGTCGTATGTACCAGAAATGTGATTGAGGGAGAATATATACTTAGCAGCATATTTGTTGTCTTAGTGAGTCCAGTAGTTGGGAGGGTGTCGCCCAGGTAAGAAATGGGCGAGCGCCACTTTGGGGTCGCGCGAGTGGGGGTGATAAGGGTGAGTGTGTAATAGACGGCCTGAGAACTGGTGATCACCGGGTGAGATTCGCCTCATCCACCACACAGACCCTCTCAGCTGAACCTAGGTATAGCGTGATTGCTTCCCCCTGCAAGTTGCCTGAAACAGTGTCGCTTGGCACGCAGTTCTTAATACAAATCAAGAGAGCAAGGCAGGCGTCAAGGTTAATCAGAGTAGTGCACAATTCCTGGCAGTGCCGCTGGTGGTGTATTATGTTTAACTTGCCATAGACTGACTTTGGGGGAGAGGCACAAGGCGCACTAGGCATACTTGCTGTCTGGATAGGCGCCTGGCCCAAGTCACAATGCATGAATCATTTGGGCCCGGTGCTTGAGACACGTACCTCAAATCCCTGTACTTCTCCACAACTTCAATCTAGTACAATCCTTCTGTAGTAGGAGATGCACCATGCTCACATTCGGCACAGCCCCCGGGGCCGCACCATATTATTTCCCTACGCTGGCTCGATTCTGATTCTCCTTTTTTCCACCACTCCAATCTCTAGAGATGGTTGACCCGATTTCTGTTATATCCCTCGCGGATCTTTGCCTCAAGTAAGCCATAGTTACAGAGATAAAATCTTACATGGTATTAACCCTAACAGATACGGAAAAAAACTTGTGGAGAGATACTCCGCATATGCCCATGCGAGCGATGAGCTTCGTGAGCGGAAGGTTCGAGTGGACAACTATTGGATGCGCACACAATATCAGCTGAAACTCCTTCAACAAGTCGAGGGAACCTTAGAAGAAGAGCACCGGAATACTCAGCAAGAAACCCTTCAAATACTGCTTAACAAGCTTCAAATCGCGGGTCAGATCCTCGATAACGTTTTAATCGATGCTGATATAAAACTTGGAAAAGACGAGATACGCATGCGAAAGTTGAAATATAGCTTCAAACAACAGAAGATCGACAAGGCAATTCAAGATCTCGAGTCCTGGCACAATGTGTTCGATCCGTCGTGGTATCTGATTTACAGAATTCCATCGAGGGCTATTGATACTACATTGCGGTCATACTCGGTTGATTCAACCCAGATCACTCACACCCCAATCGTGTCCGCTCAATCCCTAAGGAAAGCACTTCAATCCAATGAGTCCTCAAAACCTTTCGAATTCCTCTATGTGGAGGGCCTAGAATCTCTTCAACTCCGCGATATCCCACTCTCTACTGCACGTATCGGGCAAAGTGGACGCTCTGGAAAATCGCCATACATTCTTGAAAGATATGAAGTTTATCCGGAAGTCAATTTGAGACATTTAGAGAGAGACTGCCGTGACCTGGCTAAAAGGCTGTCTTTTTCCAACCCTCTGGAGTTTGGCCTCCTTAACTGCAAAGGAGTTGTCAAACATAAAGATAAGAACGCCAACAAATCGACTTTCGAAGCATTGACCTTTGTTTTCCGAGTACCCGCAGGGTGCTCGCAACCTCGCAGTCTCCGGGAATGTTTGAAGAATATTGTGCGAACCGAGTCCTTATCCGATCGTCTTGGAATCGCACAGGATCTTGTGAAAGCAGTGAGCTACGTCCACACCTTCGGTTTCGTTCATAAGAACATTCGCCCTGAAACTATCCTCTTGTTCAACAATGAATCTTGTGGACCCTATCGAATAGGGTCCGCTTTCCTGATCGGATTCGCAGATTTCCGGGCTGCAGAAGGAAATACGTTGAAGAAGGGCAGTTCCTCTTGGCAGAAAAGGCTGTATCAACATCCCACTCGCATGGGGTCTAACCCCGAGGCCTATTATATTATGCAACACGACATTTACAGTCTTGGGTGTTGCTTGCTTGAGATTGGGCTGTGGGAGAGCTTTGTGGATTATGAGAATGAGAAGGCACTTTTACCCCAGACAAGCGAAGACACAGGTGCCATTTCAGGTTACTCGTTAGATGACAGTGTTCAACCATCATTTTTCAAGGATCACTTACTCTCATTGGCGCAGGGCGAATTAAAGAGGAGAATGGGAACTATATACTCTGAAGTTGTAGTTACCTGTCTCACCTGCCTTGATCCCGAAAATGCTGATTTTGGCAATGAGGACGAATTCCAAGATGAAGATGGAATTTTGGTTGGAGTCCGGTACATTGAGAAGGTGAGTCCAGACTGGATAGAAGATTGGTTTTTCAATGAATTCCTCTCACATTCCACAGGTTATCATGCGGCTCAATGGCATTTCCATTTAATTTTCTTGTCCTTCATGTCAACTGGTTTTCTTCATGGTTACATAGAATCTCCCCAATAGCCCACCTCAAGATCTGCAAGTTCAATTTCATGATTCTACGATTGCAAGAACATATTCATCAAACATTTGAAAGTGGATTTGAGCCATTGAGACTCAAAGTGGACTCCCCTATCGTAAAGCAAAGCCGCCCGTGTGAGAGGATCACGGCGACGCGCCCGATCCCGCACTGGCCCTTGGCGGAACTCGGCGCATAACATGATTGGACAATATATATTGTAGTGGGGGCACCGCGCCACTTCCCAGGGGCGGTGCTGTGGCTAATTCGGGCGTCTTATGCTCGCGATCCCCTAGCTTAGCAATTCAAGGATCCTACACCTCTCGCAAGAACAGCATCTCTTTCCTATTCCGGCAGTCCTGGGGGCCTGCGTAGCTCCCCCGTTTTCGCCGAGCACTGAGCACCCCCGTCGTCTTGTCTGCGATGTCAGACCGCCAGCGCGCTCTTCCCACTTCAATATGTAATAGATGTTTGCTTTTTGAATCATGCCACGGGGCAGCGAGCACTGACAGCTAATGCATGAGTTGTCACATATACGTGTGACGCAGAAGGATCGCAGCCCCCTTGTCCACTGGCACTTCGACTCGGGCTAACTCGTCCGGTTTGCCCAGTGACGCTGTTGCTCCAAGGGCCCCTAGAAAACCAACTAGTCCCCGGGGCTCCTTGGTATTTAAAAAATCAGTAGAAATAGCACTACACTACCATATTCTTTCTGGTATACATATCATCAAAAGTGACAGTGCTCAACCCGCCCAAGGAGCTTCTTTGGGTCAAGGCTCCAGCTGGGCACTTCCACCGCTTTGGGTCGAAGAAGCCCCCGATTGGAAAACGGAGAAGATCCTAGCCCCCACATATGCATGCACAAGATATCGTGATAGAACACTTTTTGAACCAATCACGTTCTGGTTTTGAGGCTAACAACTCAGCCTCGTGAACCTCTTTGACCCCGCATATTTGGAGGAACAGCAACTCACTTCAAACCTCCTATCTTCATCTTCCTTCTCAGCTGCTTTCTACAGGGTGCTCTAAAAATAATGGATACATTCGGTCCTCTCCTGCAGGGCTGGAAGCTAGACACCACGATTGATAGCAATGGATATCGGCATCATAAACTGCAATCGGGCCCCGAGTGCTGGAGGGACGTGGGCGAAATAGGAGATGGGGGTTTTGCCACCGTCTACAAAGAGCTTTGTCTGTCGGGACACTCAGAAAATACTATGCGCGCTGTGAAACATATCCGCAAGAGCCAGATGGGCTCTGGGGCGAGGCGAGAGCTGGATGCTCTAGTTACATTCTCCAATTCTCAGGTACGGGAATGGAACGCTTCCTAGCCAAGTACCCGATAGGAACAGACGGCTAAAGAACATTGGAATCTCAGTATAGGAAACATTTCGTCCAGTTCCTGGGCTGGTTCGATGACGCAAGGCACATCTACATGGCAATGGAGTTTTTCGAGCACGGTGACCTCCATAAGCGGATGGAAAAATACGGGACGTTTCCAGAGACTGAAGCAGCCTTGATCACGGCCCAAGTGGCACAGGCTTTGCAGTATATGCATGAGAAGCGCTTCATCCACCGGGACATCAAGCCTTCGGTAGGGTCTGATGCCGATTACTCTGTGATTAAGAATGTTAATACTTGCTGTATAGAATATTCTGGTCTCCCGTCCGGGTCCTTACTGGCATGTCAAGGTGGCTGACTTTGGAATTGCTAAAAATATAGATGGCACCATCGCAAGGACCTGGACTGGCACCGACGGATACATGGCGCCGGAGGTGAGGTCATCAAACTCATACACCGCCGCTGTCGACATCTGGTCACTTGGAGCTGTGGCATATTATATGAGGACCGGCTCCGCCCCGTCCGCGAATCCCATCCCATCTCTACGTAACTCGGGCAAGTTCTGCACGGACTTTGTGATGCGCGCCATGGCCCATGTTCCTGCGCAACGACTCACCATTCAGCAAGTCCTAGCGCATGGCTGGCTTCAAATTGATTATACGCAGCTAGGTGTCACTCAGAGGTAATCCACTATCAGGAGTGTGGCAAATATAGGGAGCTATTCTAACATAGTATAGAGGCGAACCGACTACGGCGTATAAACCCTGGTCGACTGACCGACAGTCGCAGCCTCGTCTACCTATCGCATCGATCATAGATCCAACACTCACGCCAAAGTCGTCCAATGCTTCTCCATATCCCGGGCAACAGAGATATGGCCAGGAAAACAAGTCCAAGAAAAAGGTGGGGATAATTGGTAGACGTAGTGGCACTAAGAAGATTGAGCCTTCACTAACACCCTTGTCTTATACAGTCGCATCTTTCACAACCTCTCCACAAGTCGGTTGGTAAGTTAAGGCAATCCCTCTCGCTCTCATTTAAAATATGGCTCCTCATATCGAGCCACCGGATCCCAAGGAGTCAAAAGACAGGATACAACCCATTCTGAACGCCGACCGATCGGGTTGCGCCTGGCATTATCATGTGGGGATTGGATCGGCAAATTTTGATAGACCAAGCGAATATGCGAGAAAGCTAACAGATTCATCTACCGCAGACTTCATGTTCCACGCTCGTACGTCCCGTCCCCCACCTCCACTTTTCCGCCATGCGATGGCACATGTGTCCGCGCACCATGATAGTCCCACCCTTAACCAGCGAGCCCACGCCGCCCCCAGCTCAGCAACGGGCCACTCATGAACATTTAAGGCACGTTCTAATTGTATCATACATTTACAGAACAGTTCGTCGAGTTCTACAACCAAACTTTTGACACTAACCGTAAAGGTCTTCTGTCACTCTACGTAGGTCAACCCCTGGACTCTCCGTTGCAGGCTTCCCCGTCATGACGAAACCCCATCATGCTCCGGGAGATACTTGCAAAAGTTCGATACTGATAATTGTGTATTTACCAAGCGTGATGAATCGATGCTCACCTTCGAGACTTCATCCGTCTTGGGCGCTAAAGGAATTGTTGAAAAGCTGTCTGTTCGTATCTCCCCTCCCTGCGAAGTCCAATTATTTTTGCCCTATCGCAAGAGCCCGGGATCTCTAACGGGAAAATTTCACAGAGCTTGCCATTCCAGAAGGTTAAGCACGAGGTTTCGACCTTCGATGCCCAGCCCTCCCAAGGCAACGCCATCGAAATCCTTCTGACTGGTACTCTCCGGGTATGTGAAGACCAGCAATATTCCCATAGAATGGGTTACCGAATCTTTTTATCTAACCATAGATTGTATTAGATTGGCGAGGATGCCATGGGCTACACCCAGCTCTTCGAGCTCAGGCCTGATAATGGCAGCTACTTCGTCCTGAACGACATATTCCGTCTGATCATGTGATAGCAGACAATCGCACTACGAATGAGCGGAAATGCACAGAGTAGTATGCAATTTTCTTTCAAGGCTCTGCTTGATCAATTTTCCGTTAAACCCACTCGTTGAAATAAACGCTTTATTTATTTTGGTAGGGATGCTATCATCCTGAATATCTCCGGTAGGGTTGTACAACTTTCAAGGTTTACCAGGTGGCCCGCTGGTAACGTACTCGTAGTAACAAGATAGTTATGGATATTCTGTGTAATGATTTAAACATATCTTATCTCTGCTGCTTCGACATCAACCCATGACAGCATGGCGGTAGCGTCGGGGTCCCTCAGATGTAGAGGGCATTCGTTATGGTGATGGTCTTGGTGGTCCTCGGTCCCCAGCAGTTCACCATCAAAGTTATCTCGTATCAGTACATGAGCCTTCCAGACTTCTTCTTGCAATGCAGTCTTGGATCCACCGAGCCATAGCCAGTCCTATAGAATTTCCAATCGTTCAATGGCTGAGCGGGGTATATCCCGGTTGAGACCGGCACTTCCCTAAGGGTCCATGGGGAGGCGCCTACTATTAAGATATTGGCTCATGTTATCAGAAATCGGAAACTGTACTATATTTTTACTGGGTCCAGACCTAGTAAGCATTGAATCAAATATCGAGGATGGTTCAGCGATAGCGATAGACCTTCCTAAAGCGGCAACAATAACCCAACAATAACCCAGTAACCCAGCGAAAGCCCAGTCAAACCCTAATAAAAACCCAATTCCCATCCCAGTATCATGTAGATCCCTCAAAATATTTTAACTGATCAACCATAAGAAATTTTCAAACATAGGTAGCTCATCTACAATTATTAGAACTTGTAATCTGAAAGGCTCCTAGAAATAATAAAGACATAGACTTTCTTTTGATATAAAATTCAGGCAATTCAAACTACTAATTGTTGATATTGATCTAAGACTAATACTTCACCAGAACGATGTATACGGTTCCTAGTATAAAATATATATCTCAACATAATAGCGGATTAAACCTCATTATCCCAATTTCTGACGGCTCTCAGAAATCTAGTGCCGTAGCCTGAACAATTCAATGTATGCGCCAGAACATAGGGGAAAAAACGGTATTCTATTTGGATAACTAAGCAGAGTTATGCCAAAATTTATACTATATTGGGTCTAACTGGGTTATTGTTGGGTTTACTGGGGCCCCATACTGGGTCCGGGTTGTGTCAGGAAGTGACAGGGCTGTGACTCGAACCCACGACCTTGCGACCAGATTCCTGCACAGGAAGGGACGGGAGCCCATGCGTCTGCCTCAGGCAGCACCCCCATTTACGTAGATCCTGCTAGCTGCCCTCGCTCTCTCTCTCTTCCTTCCTCAGTTCTATTATCGTCGTTTCTTGGACCATAAAAGCGACCTTTTCTTTTTGTGCTTTGCCTGCCTGACAGGGTGGGTCCGGATTATGAGGTTTCGACCCAGTACTGGGTTTTGCGGAAGTCTACACTTGCCCATCAACCCGTCCGTGGGTAATGTCGCAGTCTACCTGTAGGTTGAACCAATAAAAACCATACGATCCTAATAGTATCTCAATATTCACGTATGAAACCACGTGATGCGGTATGTGTAATACGCTCCTGGAGGGCTTTCTGGAGATTGTTTTCGGAGAATACATTTTGAATGGCAAAGAAATTCAAAGAAAATCATGGCAGAGCAAGGGAAGGGCCTCGGGGCTTTGTATTTATGTCTTTTTCTTAGGACTGGCATAGGTTCAGAGTGAGTTGGCCCCTATCACCCTAAGGGTGAGAATTGTCACTCCGTTCTCACCTCTCTCACCCCAGTCTCGAGACTTCTCACCTATATCACCCGCACTCACCCTAGAGTGTCGCTTAGGTGCTGGGGGTACATTGACTATTGACTGTGCAGAACATGTGGCTTAAGTACGGCTGAGCGGACGGGAAGCCCTGTTCTTCACACCCTGTGGTCGTATGTGTTTGAATTTGATTGTTAGAAAATTATATACAAAGCAAGTAATGTCAGATCAGGCGAGGTAGGTACTGCGATTTTCGGGACTTGTTGTACATCGGAGTACAAGCCTGGAGCTCATTGCCAATCATGTCTCTTACAGTTACTAAAAATAGCCATGATGTATTGCTTTTCGTCCAGCGTCAAAAACAAACCCCATAGGCCGAAAGTCGTCAACTAGTGTGGATTTTATAAGTGAGTGGCGTGTCGCCGTACGCGATCTACGTTCCCGAGTTATCTGTAGCTGTAACACCAAATTACGCCGAAACTTACGATGTCACCAATGCATGAAAGACGACACAACAGTCTAGAGGCGGTCATTGAAACGAAAATATACACCCAGGAAGTGAGGAAATTCAAGTACAACCTTGGAGGTACGGCCAGAGCAGAAATTACAAAGGATCGGGAAACCATGAAAATACGAGATCTAGCTCTTAGCTGCGATAGAAATTTGATTCTTTATCTCATGACACGATATAATACCAATGACCGCCTCTTCATGCTTGATCCAAAAGCTCTTGGATCTCATTGGCGTCGAACGGAGCAGTTGCTACCTCCTCGCCGCCCCTGTAAAGAACCGTCAAAGGCATTTCATCTGGACTGTGTTGGGGATGAATAAATCCGCTGCCTACGATGATTGTCTCAATGTCATCGCCACGGGTTTCGTCAAATTCGAAGAAGATGGGAGCGAGCGGGGACTCTGGGCCCATCCAGGGAGCCCAGTAATGCACAACAACTGGCTTTGGAGACTCCTCAATTGCCTGGAAGACTTCAGCGGCACTAGAAGAGATGGGAATAAGTCAAGTTGCTTAGGAGCTGAGGGTGAGAGGTTAGGACATACTCTTGGATTTCTCGTACAGGCATTCTGAAGACTATGATATTTGGTATAGGTTCTGGTTGAATGGGTTGCTCTTCGAGGGATTCCAAGGTTGTCGGGAATTGAGCCAGAAGAGATACCTGGGAGCTCAATTTATAGATGATTATAGGAGCGACAGCTGACCTCGGGAGAATCGAGCTACAGAGTTAACCAATTGACAAAGTGCTCCGCATGTTGAGCACACCTAATTTGATTTACTCGAGGGATGGTGGCGCGGACGGATCTGCCCAGGCAAGAACCCTGCCCTAGTGGAGCTGGTAGAGTATTCAGCTACGCCAATAAGTGGAGTTTCACGTCACAAAGTGTGCCATGGGGGAACGTGCAACCTATGGGGGATTCATTTGCGGACAAATTAGTGATGAGGCCCTTAGCGATGGGACGATCGATGATGACACGATCGGCAAATGGGCGATCGGCGAAAGATAAACACATTTGCACTGGGGCTTGGCTATATCTCTCGTTTGCTACCGTTTAATCCACATACTCCAGAGTCCAGTGATTTGTTGAATGAGATCTAGAGCTCTCTAAAAACAATTGATACCTTGTGTCCACGGGTATAGAAACTCTGCTGGAAGTAGGAGAATTAAAGGTAGGGCATCACTTGGCCCTTCAGCAATGGTGTGCTTTATGGTTCAGCTGCCCAGCAGATCGTCAAAAATGTGGGGCTTGATTCGTTCACCTACAGAACTCTTTTTTTCTCCAAAAGTTATATTACAAAAACCCACGGAGTATAACTGAAGTAAAAGGCATCTGGAATCACATCTAGACAGGTCGCAGTCTTCTACCATCATTATGTAAATCGCTGCAACGAAAGGAATCTTAGGGACATGTGTGCTTATAGATGATGAGAACTAATCAATTTGGGCTGCCCAGGTGGGAAGCTCAATTTGACCTGACAGCGCGCTCATGTCACATTTTTTGCATTCTCTGGGCAAGATGGCCGAGTGGTTAAGGCGTTACGTTTAGGTAATCCTCTGTAATCCGTAATGGGAAACCGCGTGGGTTCGAATCCCACTCTTGTCAAATCTTTTTTTGGTCTTCATAGTTTCTGGGTCCAAAATGTTTTTATCCTCGGGCGCTAACCAGGCACCTTTGTAGTTCACTGATAACTTGTCGGTATTGAGTACAGATGAATTCATATCTGTACTCATCCAAGGTTGTGAAGTTTAAGTGCGGCCATGGGTGGAACCTCGGAAGCCGTATCGGTGGGTAAATACAGTTACAGGTTTCCAACGCAGCGTCATGAATGCGCAAAGAACACGCATTCCACGATCCTATTCCACAACCCCACTCATGGGGCTACCTTGCTGCCGTGACCGATCAATGCCCAGTACTGCACCTTCATTTTCAGTTCGGAGCTTACGGGCCCGCACGAACAGATTCAGAATGGCGGCTAGTCCAGCGAAGGCAACACACTGATACAGAGACATATTGTTAGCAACGATGTTTCGAATTAAGAGTCCTAAGACAGCAACAACCATGCACTGCACCATTGAGACCTACCATGACCCATACCACCCTCAACGCCTCAAAGTACGTCTTCCTAACCATGATTTGTTGGTCTGTACTCAGCCCAGCGTTCTGAATCTCCTCCACATTCGAAGCAGCATTGCCTCCATTGAACATGCTGGCTAGAGATGAATTCGAGCCTAGCCGACTTGCCAACCCCCCTTTTTTCGCATTCATCTCATTCTGAAAAAATCACACCACCAACAACAACTGAGATAGCAGTGGACAGCGACCGCACAAAACCCATAGTCGCAGTCACAGCAGCAGTATCACGAACATTTTCAGCAGCCTGAGCCGCCAGGATAGGAGCTTCGATATTCATGCCCACCCCAACCCCCATCAAAATCTGGAAGATGATTAGTTTGGTTATGTTGGCTTCAAATTTGAGACTGATTAGCAGTCCCGATCCAAGGACCAAAAAGCCTTGCGCAATGTACATGACGGGCAGATATTTGCCAGTTCGCTGCATGAATACCTCCGCTGCAGCTGCGGCCAGTGCACATGAGACAATTAATGGAAGGAGGTACAATCCGGATGTCAAGGCTGTCGCGGCCAGGACAGATTGCGCGTACAGGGGTAGGTAATATGCCTGTCCTATGAAGACGTATGAGTTGCACGCGAAGACAACGTAGGGCGCTATCTTTGTCGGCGAGGTAAAAAGCCAAGGGGAATGATAGGATTCTTGGCAATCTTCCATTCATTGACCATGAAAAGCGCCATCACTGCTGTTCCAAAGATCAAGAGACAGATGACTGTTGCGGAAGACCATGAATAGGCGACATCACCGAACTCAAGGGCCAAGAGGACCATCAGAGCGCCTCCTACAATCAAAACACTTCCGGTCCAGTCGATAACCTTGAGACCGGCGGTGATCGGGGTCCGGGGGCTTTGGACTCTCAAGAAGAATAGCAAGACGAGGACCGAGAAAGCGCCGACCGGTACTATAGATTGGGTTAGTTTGGGACCGTCGTATGAAGCGGTTCTCCCCACAATTGATCCAAAAACATCATCGCCAGCTATGAAACGGTCAGCTTTGCTGTCATCTGATTTCGAGCACCACCTGCCTCAGTCTCTCTGTAAAGACACCACCCAGCACCGGTCCAATGGCACTTCCAACGGCCCAAGTCAGTGATGTGATGGCCAGATATAACCCTCGATCCCGCAGCGAGAACATATCACTGACAATGATATTGACCATGATTCCCATACCCGAGCCACCCGCACCCTGAATTGCACGCCCCACAACCAGGGCATTCATTTTTGGCGCAAGCGCGCAAACAAGACTTCCGACCAAAAAGATGGCTACCGCGATCAGCATGATCGGCTTTCGGCCCTAGATGTCGGAGACCGACCCCCACACCGGAGTGACCGCCGCGTACGCTAGCGTATAGGCGCCCCCCACCCAAGTGTAACCGGCAGCGGACTTGAGGGAGCCGACTATGGCGGGATCGGCGGGAGTCACGATCGTTAAATCGAGCGCGGAAAGGAGCACGGAAAGACATAGTGACATCATGGTCAAGGCGATGTTCGCGTTGGTTGGATGAGCAGGCTCTGTTTGTAGCTCTGTAGCATGTTCGGGGCTGGAGGGCGCGCGCGGGGGAGCGGCATCGGCGTTGTCAACAACATTTTGAGCAAATGCGCGGGCCAATGGGGTATGGTTGACATGTTTGCTGCTCGAAGGAATATCAACAAGTCCAAGAGTCTTGGACATGATGAAGGTAGAAGCGACAAATTGTTGTAGGGGAAGGAATGGAAATGGGGATGGGAGGAGCCCTCAAGTAAGAAGTAGCCCCCGGTCATTGTTCACCTGACCTATAGCTTTCTCTCATGTACCAACACAAATCAAAACTTCCAATTTCACATCAATTTAAACATTTCCACACGCTTTTATCACGGAACATGATGGGAATAATATTGCAGGTTACGTTGTGGGTTCAATTAAGATGCTTCGGCTCTCTACTCCTGCCCGCGAAGCAATGCTTACATTTATGCCACAATGCGCCGTGGGCCTATGATTAGCCTAAACATGTAGGAATGCACAAGGTTAAAATCTTCCAGACAGATCTCACAGGGCTCAAACCTAGGCTAGAGTCTTGGACCCTAAGAGCAGCTTCTAACAGGCGCTTTCCAAGGTTATTGAATAAAAGTAGCCCAAGATCTCGGGGCTTGGAGGTGGATCAAGATCTCGTTTTTCTTTTCTCTACATCCGGAGAATTAGAACAAGATGCCGGATAAAGACTTCTGTCACTTCTTTCAAGTAGTTTGTGTGTCAACTGACCAGTTCTGATATGAGAGCCTCGGATGGACCCCTATGGATCGTGTCCTGCAGCCGCAAAACTGTCGAAACTCAATTTTACTACCAGTAAATTTAGGTTCTCCTCCAGGGCTTAAGCTTAGAGATTGAATCTTGTTTTGGATTAAATGACTATCAATATGCACTTTGCCTTCCAGGGTGCTTTCATCCGTGGATCATGAATGTCCCTACCACAAAACTAGTTCCTGGGGCCACAACCTATAGAAAGCGCCTCACTTTTGTCTGATCAGAACAGATGCACGTTTCACCTGAGCAGGCTGCAGGATTCCAAGACTAAGGAGGGGCATGGTCTCAGGTTAGCGATCAGGTGACTTTATTTGTGGTAGGACAAATCCCCCTATTCTACGGAGTATTGAAAACCTCAATCCCTTCAGAATTTCCTCCATTTCACCTCACAATCAAATTTTCCTTCGAAAAGACATACCACTAAAATGTCATTCCACGAGTCCTGCGAGCTTATTCGGGTTGAAGTCCGCGATGATGGTACATGGCTTCTTGCCGCCGCTGGAAATGGCAACGACGAAAACGTTCCAGCTGAGCTGAGACTTGACGACCATATCGGCAACTCGGATGGTAAGCGTCGTTTGTTTTCACCATACATATTAAGATACTAACCGAATACTTCTGTGTGATTAGGTTACTTTACTTGGGAAGGTGAACGGTTCACCGAGTCCGCCGAGAATATCGATTTGACTTTCCGCGATGATGGTGTTTGGTTGGAGGCAGATCTACCGGAGTTTGATGGCGGGGAGAGAGGTCGCCAGGGGATCAACTTGTCCGAACATATCGAGAACCAGGGCGGTGAGCTTGTGTTTGTTGGATTTTGAATGTGTCAAGAAGCTGGGCTTCAGTATGCATAAATCTCCAGTGATCATACAGTAGGAAGATCCATGGACTTGAAAGTTTGGTTGCAATAAGCTTTAAACCTTATGCCAACCTTGACTTTAGGTTGCTGAGCAGACAGTATGCCCTTACCCGCACTCTGTGGTTCTATTTGCCGGTTTTTCAATTGCAGAAAATTCTATAAATTCACTAGCGCGTGCAGTCACACGTGGCTTTAGAATGCTGAACTTGCTCCGTACAGTGCTACACGTATAACTAGTTCACCCTCTTAAACTGAGAAACCAAGTCAACGGATGAAAGAATATTTCGGCATGATCCTGGGATGACCAGATCTCATTTCTACTAAGGCTTTTATTATCTGAATAATTCGTGTCTGAATACATCTTTCTATTTTGGGAATAGTGCCCGGGAGTGCCGCACGTCAAACCATGGAACCCCTGTAAATCATGCAAACCATGCAAACTGATGCATTGATGGGATTCATGCCTGACATATCAGGCCTAAAACCGTTTCCCTTATAGAGGGAACCTGGGGCTTTCCTCTTCATGGACGCCTGAATTATTGGTCTGACTCCTGAGAGCCTGATTTTGTTTTTACCCTCTGTTTGAGAGCAGATGATGTCTTGCTACTCCTCAGAGGGTGAAATTCCAAAATCCACCCCATACTCCATGCTCGTTCGTGGATCACCATCTTCCAACCACGACTCTTCTTTTATTTGCCTGGCCAAGACGTCAATTGCACTCATATTCTCTAGTCTCTCTTTATCCCACATTACATACCCACAGGACCGTAGCCCATTTCCTCCCATAAAATCCCAGAGGGAATCTCCCGTTATATTGCTGTAGGTTCCTCCCCATATGATGTCCATGCAAATGGAGAATACACACCATCTACTCGGTCACCCAGGAATGGAAGTGGATCTCGTCTCTTCTCCTTCAAATCTTGATCCGAAGGTGCGCAGCGACGTCGTTCTTCCTCAGCCCCCATCCCCTTAAGGTCATCTCCAGTAAGCAAACCCGTGTGGAGGCAAAGCTTGGCCTGCATGATTAAGACTAGTTCAGAGTGATCCGTGACCCGAGAAATAATTGTGTGAAGCAGCTCGAGGCCCTGCGTAACCATGCCATTCAAAAGGCCATCTTCTGCGACAGTGTTAGCCCCCAAAAAGGCCAAAAAGAAATATGAAACTGATACTGACCATTGGAGTCGAGATCAAATGAGCCTTCTGGATCATCATCTTTTCTTATTGCATCAAATTTGGGGTTTCTTTCATCCACATCCCAGCGAATTTGATCAAAGGTCTGCCTGTATATCGTCTCGGAGAACAGATAGACACAATGCATTTCTTCAATTTCCCAAGGCTCAAAGTGAGATGCATGTATGGTAAGAAGATCGATGCTGCTGTATCCGGAATAAAATGGCTGATCTATCCCTTTATGTGGTCCGATGCCGAATAAATTGCACCACAGCTGTAAGTGATAAAGGGCACGGATTATGCGCGTCTCTTCACTTTGACTCAAAGAGTCAGAAACACCGACCGGGGATGAGTTCGCTTCATTGACCACAGTTCCTTTGGCAAAGTTTTCCAGAGCCCAAGCACTGTACCGATTGACTAGAGGCATGACAATCGAGGTGTGAAAGAGCAGGATCCAGATGATATCATCCAGAGGAAGGCTTTTTTCGATAAAAGAGAAGCTAGGCAGATCTTGACGATGTTTGTATGATTCAAGAAGTGGGGTGATAGACTCCCGAGTTCGAGTTTGTGCAAAGCCGGCAGTACTAGATTGACAAACCAGGCTGGCCTCGATGTTAACGCTGCCTAGGAGTTTGTCGACGCATTGACTGAGCAGCCATTGACGGTCCAACAGATACTGCTCATGATAAAGTGGGGAATCATGGACAAGGGATCCTAATTCATTGAATTTCATCATGGTGAGGAGATGGCGCCGGACCTCTGGAGGGAGGGCTTCCAAGGGGCTGCTGATTGGTGACATTTTGGCCATAGAAATAGCGAAGTCTTGCATCAATATGTGAGAATTTGAGAGTTGAAAGATGTGGAAAGAGAAGGTCAGGGGAATGGAGTCCAAGAGTGAGGTTCTGCGCAGAAATTGAGATAGCCCCTTACCCCGCTGATTTACGATGGGGGGAGCTTTGAACCCTGACAACGTTAGTGGTTTACGCGCCCATACACAATCTTTCGCTATTCTTATTTCAAACGTATCTTCTCACTCCCTGACATTGAAAATGAGTTGCCAACCAGTCCTTTTGAATTATCCGGTTTCAAGTTACCGCCTCAGCAGCAGAGAGCCGCAGTAATCAGAGCTGTGGAGATGAACTCAGCAGGGCGCCAATACGGCCGGATTAGGAAGTGAATGCTGTTTTCTGAAGATGTGTCCAATGCTTGAATTCCTATACTCCGTACTGTACGAACTGAAGCTAAAAATGCTACTTTTGGGCATTATCACGCACATGAGATGTAGCGCGGTTTCCACATTATAATATGTTGAGTGGTTTTGATTGGACTGTTATTTTCCTACCTAGACCATGGTTCTACTTAATTTGGGGTATATCTATAATTAACGCAATAACCCACATCAATAAAGTTACACACACTAGTAAATATCGAGATAGCGCAAAACAAAGCTATTACTTTGGCATTCTTTATCACAATTGTGCTCTGCATGCACTAAATTGCTTGGCTTCATGTGTGAAATACGCCTTTTCGCAGTAGCTCTCTAGCCAAGACCCTTCATCATCTATTCGGACTACCGACGGGCAAAGAGTCGGAATCGATTTAAACCCCAGTCGCCAAGATTCACGATCACACCTTCTCCGCTAGAATCTTCAGCACGAAAATTAAATGCCTCAACGAATTGATGTGCCCTGGAGCCCGCAATCCCCCGTGGGGCATCTTTTGATAGCCATCCGGGACTAGGTTTGCTATAGACAATCACCGTTTCTGCACAGCTTGCGTTGGAGATGGGAGCGTTACAATCTTGATCCCTTGGCACCTTGGCATTTCCTTGGTCAATCAATGAAAGAGAAATCGTTGGCTAAAGCGATGAGTTACTCCGTTCAATCTACTGATTCCCCGTCGGGGCTGAAGATATCTCATCATTCTCATATTCAGGTGATGATAATAGAGATGGAGTGGAGACCGGAATACCGGCGGCGATGAGCGTCTCTCCAAACCCTCTTTACATTTAAAGAAGAACTTTTTGTCCTGAAGTTGAAGGTTTTGTTCAACATCTTCCAGGGGTTTCAGATCACATTCTTCAGATCTATATCATTTCAAACTACAATCATGGGTTTCCTCAAGGTCCTCATCACGTCTCTTGCGACTCTAGCAGTTGTCGATGCCGGTACTCTTCTCGCCGCCAGTAATGCCGACGCAGTCATTCCCAGCTCCTACATCGTTGTCATGAACGATGACGTTAGTACCGCCGAGTTCCAAACGCATCGCGCCTGGGCTGCAAATGTTCATGCTCGTCTTTCTCGCCGTAAGAATGGCGAGACTGGACCAGGAAAGCATTTCGAAATCAATGGTCTGAAAGGATACAGCGCTACCTTCGACGAGGATACCGCCAAGGACATTGCCAATGACCCAGCAGTATGTTCCTTCATTATCAATCCTGACTCCTCGGGAGCTTTTTGCGATCTAACTCGTGGAAATCTAGGTGAATTACATTGAACCAGACATGATTGTGAATGCAACCGCAAACGTTGTTCAATCTAATGTTCCTTCATGGGGTCTTGCTCGCATCTCTAGCAAGAAGTCTGGTGCTACCAACTATGTGTATGACTCCACTGCCGGTCAGGGCGTCGTGATCTACGGTGTCGACACCGGAATTGATATCTCACACTCCGACTTTGGAGGCCGTGCTAAGTGGGGTACTAACACCGTTGACAATTCTAATACCGATGGCAATGGCCATGGCACCCACACTGCATCTACTGCAGCCGGTAGCCAGTACGGTGTTGCAAAGAAGGCCTCTCTCGTTGCTGTCAAGGTCCTTGGTGCCGATGGTTCTGGCACTAACTCGGGTGTTATCGCTGGTATGGACTGGGCTGTTAAAGATGCAAAGTCTCGCGGGGTCACAGGAAAGTCTGTTATGATCATGTCTCTTGGTGGCGAATTTTCGAAGGCTATGAATGACGCCGCTGCCAATGTTGTTCGATCCGGTATCTTCCTATCTGTTGCTGCCGGAAATGAAGCCGAGAATGCCAGCAACAGCTCCCCTGCTTCTGCTTCGGAAGTATGCACTATCGCGGCCTCTACCAGCACAGACGGCAGTGCTTCATTCACTAACTTCGGATCTGTTGGTAAGAGCTCCACCTCCCCTTTGTTTGAAAAATTTTTCTAGTCAAAGCAGCGTACTGACAGTACTACTACAGTGGACCTCTATGCTCCCGGGCAAAGCATCACAGCTGCATACCCCGGTGGTGGCTCAAAGACCCTGTCTGGAACCTCCATGGCCGCTCCACACGCTGCTGGTGTTGCTGCATATCTGATTGCTCTTGAGGGCGTGGCGGCTGGGAATGCTTGTGCACGCCTTGTCGAGCTTGCTACCTCGTCTATCACCAGGGCCCCTTCTGGCACCACGAGCAAGCTTCTGTACAATGGTATCAACGTTTGATGGGTAACCTCATAGCGTGGCGGATGAGTTGACTATGGCCCCGTTGATGGCTATGTTGATATTCGGAGACGGCCTGCTGCAAAGCAAATGGAGAATATATCGATGCTTGTTAGACGTCACAGTCTGTTGAATGATTCAACTTAACTTAGTCTTATTGAAGTCTGCGGAGAAATCTCATAAATTTATTGAATATGGTGATAACTCAATAAATTCTTAGGGTAACGAGAATTTCCAAGGCTCAACGCTATTGTTGAGGGTTCGCGTGGTTTAGATAAGTTCTCAAACTTCTAGTATTTGTGTCCGGAGCTTTTGCTGAAGCCCGGCGCCTTTTTTCTATATCAGGAGGAAGATGAGGATTTATCGAGTAGCCTCGAGTGGGACGATATTGGTTTAAATACTGGGAGCATCAGGTGGAAGTGGGACACATGGTGTGCTCATAGATCGATAAAGAGATTTAACGAAAGAAAAAAGGAGAGGCTAGCACGGAGTATACCTCTGGTTATGAGTGGCGCAGAAGGGGGAAAAAGAGAGAGGGTGAGAAGCATACTGCATTGTATGAGAACAGGCTGATCTACAGAGGAGAAGCACAAATCGCTTCAAAACAGTAGATTCTGGCTGTGAAGCAAAAAGACCGACTGGGGAAAAGAAGGAAAAGAAGGAAGAGAGAGAGAGAGAGAGAGAGAGAGGTATCTAAGCAAAGGGAGTCATCTGACCTCCCAACAGAAGGAGAGAGAAAAGAGAGACAAAATGCATGCATATGAAGCTTGTCTTTCTTTCTCTCAAGCAACCTCCGTCACATGCTGAAAGTGGTCATCTCATCGACCCAAACCAGCAATTCCAGCCACATGGAAAAACATCACCAGTGTCCTAAGTGACAGTCAGGCCATTGTTTACAGATTGTATGCAAAATTAGCCCTTGGCGCACCTGGGTGCCGAGGAAGAAACACCACGTGTGACTTGTTGACATTGCCACAGGGTCCGCGACCGGCATCACAAAAGAGATGACAAGAAACCTTGAAGCACCATCTTTCTCGCCCGTACTCCGTAAACTTGCTGCTTTCATCATTAAAACCGGAGAAATCGGATTCTTAGTTGACAGGGATTTGACAGGGATTAGCCAATCCATCCAGATGTTTGAATGACCCTTTCGCTTAAGCTAATGGTGCGTGGAAATATTTCCAAAAAAGCAAAATGAGCCATCAGGCAGACCAGCAGGACAACTGGCACAGCCCGACACAGCCCCAACTTCGCCCGACACTATAAATCCACTCCGGGCAGTCATGGTGAGGCTTGGATTTGATCTCCTTCTGTCTCAAACGAAACAGCAGATATGAGCTTTGGCTTCAGTATCGGGGATTTCCTCGGTATCATCAAGGATATCCATCATATTCGAAGGGTTTTCAATGGTGCGCCCGCTCAGTTCAAATTTCTCAACGATGAGTAAGGCCTCTCATACTTCAGGCGTGTTTCGCATCACCGTACTGACTTGAATATTCATAGAGTGAGGAGGCTCTCCATCATCATACAGGACGTTGAAACGTACATACCAAACGCAGCACAGAAAGACAAGCTCGAACAAATCGCAAATGAGTGCAAAGAATTAATCCAAGACATCTGGACGGTGATTGGCAAGTACAGAGAAATAGGCCAGAGTTCCAGCATCAAACATGCCTGGAAACGCCTAAAATTGGACCCAGAAGACGTTCGAGAGCTTCGGGATCGAGTCTGCAGTCTCGTTGAGTCCCTCACTGCTATCAATGTGCGCATCACTCAGGATCAAGTCCAGGAGCTTGTCAACTATAAGAATGAGGAACAGCATCAGAAATACCTCGACTGGCTGTCATCAGAGAGCTTCACGGCTGATCGTGGCAAGCCAATTTACCAGACAGGGACTGGGAGGTGGTTCATTGAGTCGCCCGAATTTCAGACTTGGATCCAGAATCCGGGGCAAACGTTGTTCTGTCCTGGAATACCTGGAGCAGGTAAGACCAACATGGCATCTATTGTTATAGATGAATTGGATCGCCGCCATGGAAGCGATCCTAGTGTTGGAATTGCCTACGTTTTCTGCACCTTTCGCTATTGTGATCATCATCGTCAGTCCCCCGACAATATACTAGCAAGCATGATTCGACAGTTGATATGGAGACTTCCACTACTTCCATCAACGGTTCAAATGTTATATGAAAAGCACAGAAAAAATGGCTCCAGGCCTTCATTCAATGACCTTTCCAAAGTTTTCAAAGATGTCGTGCAAACCGCTTCAAAACAAGTGTTTATCGTGATTGATGCACTCGATGAATGCGATCCTGCCAGAATATCTCGCGTTCTGAGTCATATTTCTGAGACCCAGGCATTTGGGAACTTGAACTTGCTGTCAACTTCAAGGTCTGTCCCCGCGATCGAAGCGAAATTCCAAGGACATCCATTTTTAGAGATACGTGCAACAAAAGTGGATGTCATGGCCTATCTCAAAGCTCGGTTGGAAGATTGCGAGGACTGTGCCTTGGTTAGAAGACCGGCTCTGCAAGAGAAGGCTTTGCTTGTCATCTCAGACTCTGTCAAGGGAATGTGAGTTTTCAAAATCTCGTTTCCAATCCATCAACTCAATCACAATTTCCAATATCTAACCCTGGTATAGGTTTCTACTGGCGCAACTCTACCTGGATTCATTGATTTCGGCCCCTAGAGCCAAAGAGATAATTTTTGAACTAGAGAGGTTGATGACTAGATCAAATCAGACCGACCAAGGGAAAATGGCTTTTGACAATGCTTACCAAGACATAGTGGAACGCATCAACAATCAGGAGCCCCGGCGCCAAAGATTGGCCAAAGACACATTATCATGGGTCATCTGCGCCAGACGGCCACTTACTACCTTGGAGCTACGTACTGCTCTAACGATAGAGCTGGGACAAATGGAAATGAACGATGAAGATCTGTATGATCTTGAAGACATAATCTCCTCGTGTGCAGGACTCATCACCGTTGGGTCCGACGGAAGAAAGCAGGTGGTTCAATTGGCCCATTATACGATGCAAGAATACTTCACAAGACATCAAGAATTGTTCCTCCCGGAAGCAGATCAGACCATCGCAACAGCCTGCCTTACCTACCTTTCATACCACTCGTTTCGTCAAGGAATGTGTCTGAATGACACGGCATTCGAAGCCCGTTTGAGTCAATATCCGCTTTACTCTTACGCCGCCCAACATTGGGGCCACCATGCCCGAGTGCATTCGACCATCGATGATCTCTTATTGTGTTTTTTGAATACAAATAAAGTGGTGGATGCGAGTGTTCAAGCTCTTTTCGCCTTGAAAGATGACCACGGTTTTGGAGACTATTGCTTGATGATTCCATTCGGATTTACCACATTCTATCTAGTTGCGTGGTTCGGATTGGAGAAAGTAATGCAGTTTCTTATCGACAGGCGTGGGATTTTGTGCATCAGAGACTCTCTGAAACGAGAACCACTCACATGGGCCGCTCTGAATGGTCATGTTTCCGTTGTTAAAATGCTACTTGACCATGGAGCTGCGCTACTTCAGCATGACGAAGATGGTCACACGCCAATTTCTCTAGCAGCGTTGAACGGCCATACTGAGGTCGTGGAACTTCTCTTGGATTATCATGTCGACCCAAACCCCACGGATATTGGGATCAAGATTCCTTTGACAGAGGCATCTTATCGAGGACACCACGAGACTGTCAAACTTCTTCTGAATAGAGGCGCACATCCGGAACCAAAAAGCAATTACGGCAGAACCCCTTTCCAGTGGGCTTGTTACAATGGCACAATTGAGATAGTTCGGATCTTACTCGATCACTCCGCTGATATAGCGAGAGCTTCTGGTGTGCCCAGCGATCATTGCATTGATATTAACCGGAAAAATGATCTAGGAAATTCCGCTGTTTCCTATGCGCTAGATCATGGCAATCATGATATCATTCAACTTTTGAGCCAGAAAGGCATGTTTCCACAACAAGATTCTCATATTGACGGCTTATTCTCCAGCGGGAGCCCTGATTCTATAGGAGGCAAAGACACTGCCACTCTACCACAGATCGGACCCGCAATTGGCTGGCCATTCATTGAAACACAGAGCGTCTCTACCAGCCAGCGCAAGATTTGTCAGTCGATTTTTGAATGTCCACTGTGTACTCAAGGGCCATTCACCGTGGCTAAGCTTCTTCTAAGACATGTCCGGGGGCAGCATTGCAGAATAAGGACGTGGCAGTGTCCATACCCGGCTTGCAACAAATCGACCAGTAGGAGGGAAAATCTTGATAGACATATTCGGTCGGACCATGGGGGATATCAAGGAGAGGCGCCTATTCCCAAAACAGGGGGTCCTCCAAAGTGTCCAGTCTGTGGAATTTTTGTGGGTTCTTGGGAGGCATTCAACAGCTGCATTATGAGACATAGCAAGAAGATTTCGTCTACGGACAAGTTTGAATGAAGAATAATTGAGTTTGCCTAAGCTCTCACTGGACGCTGATAACAGACACTTCTACTACTCCTACCTACTACGTCTACTTGGATCAGTTTCTTCCAACAATGCCCACAGTACACCCGTGGATTATAGAAACAGGCCTTGACTCGGCGTTTCCAAGTCTACTTTTACATACGAAAGAGGATACAGCTAGGCTAGAAAAAATCCCATTTGCACTCTTTAATCAATACACGCCGATATGATAAGAAAATTTTCATTACATGCTCGTTGTAGCGATGGGTTAAACTTCAAGCAAGCCCCATCCAAATAAGAAATAACACAAATAACAAGGCTAGACAGATCAGCGCTTCCGCGTGTTGGGCCGGGGCTTCGTCTCCTCCGGACCAATGGGGTGCAACATGACCTTGTTGGTAGTCTGCTGGGTATTGGCAGAGTATCCCTTGCTCCAGTCGTAGCTGACAGAGTAGGCGAAGATGTTTCCGGTACGGTTGAAGGCACTGGTAGTGATGGGGCCTCCGACGGCAGGGTAACCCTTGAGACGGTGCTTGGCGTCCTTATCCCAGAAGTGGAAGGTACCGTCGCTGCCGGCTGTGCTGAAAGTTCCGTGGATGGGGTGGAAGGTGATGGAGTTGACGGAGTAGATGTTGCAGACGTCGCGTTGGCCGGTTGGTGTCTCGCGGTGGCACTTGAAGGAGAAGTTGGAGGCGGAGTCCTTCTCTTCGACGTATTGAATGGCGCAACGACCTTCGACGGAACCGACGGCAAAACCGGAGGCATCGGCAAAGCAGCTGACTACCCGCGTCTGCCACTTGAGGGGGGATTGCATGGTCTTGTAGAACTTGGTCGGCTGGTCCAGGTTGATGATGTTGATGTAGCGATCTGCGGTACCGACGACGAGAAGCTTGTCCTTGACATCCATAGAGTAAATGCGCTCCTGGCACTCCACGCTTGCGATTGGTGTCTGTTGGCGGATATCCCAGTACTTCACCGTCTTGTCCCACGATCCGGTGATCAGCAATGGCGATCCGCCTTGTGAGGGATTGTTAATCATGTGGCAGCTCTTGATGGGCGCGTCGTGTGCGGCAACCTGGACGGCAGTGGTGCCACCGGCTCCGAGATCCAGCATGCGGGCTGCCTTGTCGGCACCGGCACCCACGACCTTGGATCCATCCTAGAAATTGAAAAAAATCGACGTCAGTATCTGGGCACGACGCGACAGCGGTGGTTGAAACGTGATTCAAACTTACCGGAGACCAGCAGCAGCTCAGAACAGGAGCTTCGTGCTCGAAGAGCGCCTTTCCTTCACTTTGTCCCTGGTCGTTGATTTCGTAAATGCGGACTTTCTTATCCCACGAGGCGACGGCCAGGTGATCGCTGACGGGAGAGAAGCTGAGATCAGAGATGGAATCCTCAGGAGGCTGGTTCAGAGCGACATCCTTGGAGATATCGCCGGTGGTGTTGGTCGCAGCTGCCGCAGGCGCGGCCGCGGCGGAGCCGAAAAGTGACATCTGAAGGGGCGCGCGTGTGGCGATGAAGAATGAGGCAGTTGATCCAAGTAAGGTTAAAGATTATCACAGCTCAAGTGGCTTGCAGGAGGGAAGGAAGCCCGAGCTCAATGGAGAAAAGAACGTGTAAGTGAGTCGAGTGACGATTATTGAAGCTCTCGACAGAAACGATGCGCCGGCAAAAAACATCACTCACCGCCTTCATGCATATCAGGTATCAACACACTTTTAGCCTGCCACCCAACTATCCAGTTTCTCTCTTCATTTTCGCTGAATTGCTACAGGTTTCCAATCTTACTGGCTACGGCTTCTTCAAAGTGATCATTTTGTGGAGCTCAGCCTGGTATAGGCAGCCTTGCCGGAGTGCAGTTTCCCGCCCGAAGAGCCTGTCCCGACACGATCTGACTGGCCGAGTCTCCAACTCATGCAGATGGTCGAGGGTTGAAAGGCATTCATCAGCGACCGGCTGTGAAGTCTGTCGGACTCCTTCTTGTGCAGTGCACGCTATTTATTTACACTATACCAACTAGTCAACCTTTGTGTTGCGTGGTCTTGGGTTCAAGTCGATTCGAGGGTTGGCCCGGAACATCGATATGCTCCGGTCTCGCTCGAGTCGAGGTCCCCAATGTCTCACTACTGAATTATGACCACATGTGTTGTATTCAATGTTGAGCCATACAGTAGACTGCACTCCATATCCCCAGGCAACTCCCAGACCACTCCCAGACCACTCCCAGGTTCCAAGTCACTTTCACAACATGTAGCACAGCACGTAATACCACTGATTTTCAGAAGCATCCTTCTCGAATCCCAGGGCTGGAGGAAGCTCTGGAGGACCTTGGGAGAGTATAATGCCGTTCCCTCAGCCAACACGGAATTGCTCTTAATTTACCCATTCTCTCCGCAGTCGTATTGGACCGTGCTGGGTGAACAGGGGATATTACCTGCGACAGGATGGTTATCAGGAAACCACACCAATCAGAGCTTTCGTCAAATTGCCAACATGCAGGAAGATCGCGTGACAAATGAGGATGAGGTGATCGGCACAGTTGTCCGGTCCAGAAGGATTGAGTTTCACAATATTGCGATACGAAGCGACCTTGAAAGGAACACGGGAGGATCTTAGCATTGATTATGCAGAATTTACATGTATCCAATGTGAGAATCCAATAAAGAAATGCCAAGAATGTAAGTGTGGGTGGTATGTTCGGTGGTCAGTTGTAGTGGTGTGATGGACTAGGGTGAATTAGTGACAATGTTATATCTACTCCGTATGAATGTCCATATTAGAATTGGTAGTTTTGAGCTATTGCTATATTTCTGTTGGATAGCCCATGATATTACTACTCTACCCTACTACCATGCCTGGATATAATAGAATAGTCCATTGTACTAAGAATAAGGTCTGCCGATCCGAGAGTGGAGACCAAAATGCGGGGTGCAGCGCTAAGATTGGCTCCGCCGTGATGTTGATGTCAGTGGTGACTTCCGACACTGCCGGGGTATTTAGTGATATAGAAACATAGTAGCAAGAGAGAGAGAGAGAGAGAGAGAGAGTAGAAATAATTACAAGTCATAAAGTAGTAAATACGAAAGTTGAGAGAGAGAGAGAGAGAGAGTAATGTATACGGTGTGTGGAATGTAGTGTGTACTCCCATAGTGAGAGACACATCTGGTACTTCCAGCTCAAAAGGAGAAAGTAGCATGACATCCATGACTGCCACACCCCCGCCCTCTCACAAAGTCACCTGCTTCCCTTTCCCCTCTTTACCTTCATCTCCTGATTCTTTGGTATTTCTTCTCTTCCATCTTTATCCATCTCTGCTAACATCTCAGATCCACTCAACATGTCTGTTCCTTTAACCAAAGTCGATTCTGCCGTCGCTGGCTTGTCCATATCGGATGAAAAGCCAATTGAGATAGACCTCACGCAGGAAAAGAAGGGCAAACGCCAATCATCGGCCGCCGCCCCAGGCGTCTGGTCTATGGCGGACCTGGGTCAGTATCTCTTCCCTCACTACACACACATCATACTAACAGCAGCAGAGAAACAAAAGATCGAAATCACCCTACCTATCGAGACCCAGAAGACTGGGTGGTACGTGAACCATCTCCTCTCTCCTGAAATCCTCACTAATCCACCTTCAATCCAGGAAACTCAACACCTCCCCAAATACCATCGAGGACAAAGACATCCTCAAAATGCTCCTCATCAACCCCCCAGTCAAGAAGATCGACCTCCACTTCCCCCTCGGACTCGAAGTGACCGCCCGGAACTCCAAAGGCGTCACGATCAAGGACGCACTCGATGTGATCTACAAGCAATTCAAGAAGAAGGTCAGTTGCCCTCCCCTGTCCCAAACCAAGATACCTAACGCAACCCCGCTAGGCGGACGACGAGCTCGACAAGCCCTACCTGGCCGGCTTTGAATGGGACAAGGATGAGTGCTGGACCCGCTTGATCGTCCACCAGACAAAGCAAGGCGCACCAGCGCCCCCAAGCAAAAAGTCCAAGAAGAAGGCTAAGGAAGAAGCATAGATGCGTGGTGTTTACATGCCGGCATCGCCATCGCCATCGCCTCGGCGAATTTCTATCTTATGATAATGCTCTGGACTATTGACTCCATATCCGTGATATTCTTCGGATGCTCCCATTCGGCTGCGTTGCGTTTCGTAGAAACCAGTTCAAGACGGCGCGAGGGATATTTTTTCTTTTTACTTATTCGGTCCTTTCAGTTATTTATTTCCCCTTAGGATGACCGCTCACTTATTAGTATTCCCAGTGGAAAGAATCAATTAATTCCCCGGGATCTGCTTGTCTTGTTGCTGCTGTAATTGTATAAGGGTCGCGTGACCGTCGCTTATAGATGCCAAGCAAAGACCGATCAAGCCACAGTGGGTACGCCAAGTCGAAGTAGAAAAGTAGTGGTTTGAGGTGATATCGAGTGTGTCTGGATACTCGAGGTAGAATGGCTTCTCGATATTCAAATGATGTGGGAAGGGTCTGATTCCCTTCGATAATTGTTCTAGAATTCCCCGAATGTAGAACCAGCTCGGTTGAAAGAAGGGCGCATTCATTAATGAAGTCTTGTACATTGCATGTTCTTCTCCCTTATGTGTATAGACCCTAGATTCCACGATTTTCATAGAGTGGCTTATTTGTTAACACGTGTAAAATGTGGATTGATCTTCTATAGTCTATGGATATTCATAAGTTCATCACCTGGACCCGTGAGCTACATCTCACGAAGCAACAAGTTACCGTCTCTGGCATCCCCAAATCTAACTATGCATTCATATATGGAATATCTTGGCTCTACACGAATGACATGGGCCCACTGGGCAGCCAAAGCATAAGGCGTAAGCCTCCACAGACTGCTTGAGTGCCTTGCTTGTCATATGACCAAAAGCAAGCAGGAAGAAAGCAAGCAAGCAAAAAAAGGATAATAAATTCAGCTGGACATCAGGACTAGGATTCGAACCCAGTACTTCGGGAAGGAAACTGACCCAACAGATGGAGAGGATTGGGCCCTTTGGGACTAAGCTGGCGCGAAATCAAGACAAGCGACACCTCACCCAGCTGGTATTTATTATTCCTGGGAGCCCTTATTTGGTCTTTTAACTGACATTTCTGCCCAGTACTTCTGTTTATATGTATTGCTCTAAGCTAAGGATGTACCCTTACTTGGCAACCTGGCTGTTTCTCTTGGCCTTTATAAGCTTACATACATGGCACATATTCATGGAGCATTACTGATAAACGGTGTATACATTATCCTTTCTAATCAGAGACCCTCCATGTCTACCTGGGCACTCAGTAACTAGTCGAGTATATAATATCCTTCGCCTGCAGCAAATCATCCTGCACATCGACCCGTATCATACAGGCCATGTCCCACAACTTCAATCCCACAACGATCCATAACTCCCCTTCTTAACAAAAGCCCGTGGCTCATGACTCGACTCAAGCCCTAACCGCCGATACTCATCCTTGATCTTCTTCACACACTCGACTTCCCCATCCGCCGAGCTTCCAACAATTCCATGCCGCGACCATCCAACAGTAGTCAGAACCATGAGCCCAAAATCCACAATCTTATATCGCTTCAAGTCTTTCTGTACCCACTCGGTAAGCTGCTCGGGTGCCCAGATCATCTCCGTTGCTTGCTGGTAATCGTATTGTTCTGACATCTCGCTGAAGACGAGGGCTTCGAAGATTGTTTCCATGCGGAGGCCGAATGCTTGGAGTAGTGGGCTATCCTGATTGTTTTGGTCAGTATGGAAATAGCTTAATTGGTCAGGGATCATGACGGATCTCACTAAAGTTTCGTAGCGGTAGAAAAGCTGGCCACCGTGCCCCGCACTGCTGCGAAGCAACGATAAGGTAGTCAGTGGAGGTTGCTGGACTAGCATGTATCGCCAGCTTGCTTCGGGTCTCATATAAGCCTCGAATTTCTCAGGGTGTCTGAACATATCGAAGGTGTCATAGGTAAATCTGATGTTGCTTTTGACTTCAGGGGTACTTGAGCTGAATATTGACGGGAAGGCTTCTGCTAGCAGTGGGTTCTGCCATGTTGGCAAATGGGGATTTGTGACTGATTTGAAGCACAGGGCCCATTGGATGGCTGCGGATTCTTGGATGAAGGTTGTCCACGTGCGGCATATGAGCTGGGCTGTTGTGAGGAGGGTGCGGTTGTCGAGTTTGAGGAGGATTAGTTCGAAGATCTCGGGGATCGAGAAGGCTTGGGATTGGGCGGATTCGGTCATGGACTCTTGATGGATTGCGCTTACTTTCGAGGTCGGGCATGTTGGGCGTGTTGGTACACGTGATGGTCTTGGCAATGGCTGAGCTGGGATTGAGACAAGGATTGAGTGGGTGGACTGGTCATATTCTTGAGATTAGGTGGGCTGTGCCTAGATAAGATGAGATATGTACAAGGAGGAAGAAGGCAAAAGGGCGCCGTAGAGATCTTATCGTGATGCATCACACGCAAAGAAAATGAAATTTAATCAATACAATCATGAACATGTCTCACATAGGCCTTCTCATCATGTTGGCTCAACGAGCGCGAGAAGGCATACCGAAAAGGACCAAGAATATCTCATCGATGATGGTAAATATGAGGTGGGTGTTGAGATACTGATTATTGAGCGTCGCAAAGATGCGTCGAGCGGCAGCTTGGGCATTAGCCCTACCAACAACATTACCCGCCAAATCGGGGATGAGAGTAGCCAAGACGACCGTCGCCTCGGCCCGACTGTGGCGACGATCGGCCGCCGATCGAGGAGGCGCCTTGCGGAGGACTCCACCCGGCCACATGACGTCTCGACCAAGCGCGATGTACTTGAGGAGCGAGTCGTCTTGAACAAGGCCGCGAACACCCTCGCGCACCTTGCGCTCGATTGTCCCACCCAAGAGCTGGTGCAGGACAACGACAACAGCTCGGCCACGCAGCCAGTTGTTTCCGCGATTGAGCTCGAATGCCTCGAGAAACAGATCACAGATGGGCTTGATAAAGGGCTCAAGCTCGCGGTCTTCAAAGGCGTTCAGTTCTGCCTCAGCTTCGGCGCTCGTCACTGCATCTTCGGTGGCGAGACTGGAGTCTGGGGTTGCCAAGGTGCCGGCTTGTTGGGTTGCGGCGGAAATGAGATTTTGACCCGCTGTAGACAGTTGGTCCAACACACCGAAGTTGCCGAGGAAGTCATCCATGCCATCTGTGACGGAGTTGTAAATTCGAGTAACCAGGTCTTTAGACTCGAGTTCACTATCCCGAGAATTGTCTTTGTGGGGGGAGGATGGCGCGCTGCGATAGGAATGCTCGTAGATCGCGACTGCGGCAGACATCTGGCAGGGAGAGAAGGTTTCTTAAATAGGCTTCAAGGGCGAGTCGACGCTTGTGAAGGAATTCCTTTTGCAACTTCATGACAACTCGCCGGCGAGGGAACTCCAGGTGGCGGACAGAGGGGTAGCGTTGACGGAGCTTCTGATGGAGATCGTGGAACTCGCTGTAGCGTCGCGCTACAACCCAAGATGCAGCGGGCATCTGTTCTCCCGCCTTCCTTTGAACCTCAACAATATCTATGGGAAGACCTGGTTAGCCTTGTCCGGAGAATGCCTTCGAGCAGTACTTACACATTGCAAATTCGCGGCCATCGTCTTCTTCTTTGCCGACGACGATAGACTTGAGGCTGACTGTGGAACGCCCATAGAGACTGTTGTCGCTTTCTTGAAGAATATACTGTTGCCGCTGCATCTCTTTGCGATGCATTTCACGCTCAATGCTGGCTTTAGATTTGCGCAGAATTCGCAGTTCTGCCGTGTTATTCGTGAGCTCGGCTTTGCGTGTCAACGCCTGGACAACAGCATCCTGGGCTGCAAGCTTGTCAATACCCGCCGACAAAGCCTCAATTGCCTCCGTGAGACCTAAATCGCCGGGCGCAGCTTCGTGCACTTCATCCGCAGGGTCTTTATCATCGGCTCCGTCCGGCTCCTCATATTCATCTTCGATGAACTTCTGCTGGTCGGGGAATAATTCGTCATCGAATACACCGAGCCGGGATCCTTGGCCTACCAGGCCAAGAGATGCGAGACTTTTCTTCGCTTTCTCATTGCCACGATTCTCTGCCTGCGAAGCCTCAGATAAGTTGCGTGTAAGAAGAGGCCGCTCAGGTCCAAACAGTCCAGCAGACTCCGCTTTGGTATCATCAGGTTTGCCGTTCTTGGGCTCGCCAGTAATGATGTCGTTGAGTGCTGCCTCCATCGTTTCGAGGACTTGGCTTTGACTCATATCGTTCTCCCCATTCTGGGAAGTCTTTCCTAAGCTATGGGTTGACGTGGCTAGATTGTCCGTGTCGTACTCGTCGTCGAAAAGGCCAGAGCGTTCGGAATCAATAGATCGTCGTGGAGGGTCGTCATCATCGAAGAGCTTTCCCATAGCTTTGACATCACTCGACGATACTACAGCACGTCGAATATCTTTGGATGGTCTTAGGCCGGGCTGGGAGGATGTGCGTGATAGCAACGGAGGAAGAGGTCTTCTCTCTGTGGGTTCAAATGTGGCTGAAATTGGAGATGACTGGCGAGACGAGTTTTGGATATTGGCGGACGCTTCATCGGACGCGAGGTACTTCCAATAGAGATCGGATTCTTTGAACTTGGGATAGTACTTCTCCTGTAGGTGTTCTAGAATGGCAGACTGAGTGCTCAAAACAACGGTTCGTGCTTTGCGGTATTGCTCTGAGTTTGCACGCTTGCCGGCGCTCAAGAATGTCTTGATAGCCCGGCGAGACTCATCAGAAACTTTCAACTCTGGTTTTGAGAGATATGTCTCGCTGATAAGAGCGATGTCATTCCTGTCCGCTGGCTTCCAGGTGATTGACGCAGACGCAGCCTCATCACCGAAGTCATCCTCGAGGGGATTGCGGAATCCGTCTACCACGATCCAGAACTGAACAAGAGACATGAGCTTCTGACGATCCATGAACTCCATGAAATATGACAATCCCGAGGCACTGTGCATGACTTCAACCAAAGAAGTCTCTCGCGCTGTAGGTCCAATGCTTTCGGGTCGGAGGTCTAAAGATGGAGGCACATGGGGTTCGTCGCCAGTCTTCGCGAGTTTGGCCACTTTCTGGTCCAGAACCCTCTTTCCCGTTTCCAATCGTCGCAAATAGACTTGATCTTGCCCTTCGATCGTGCTCTCCTGCTTCAATTGGCTGGAGACCAGTGCACGGAAACGGCGCGCGTCCGATAGGTTGTTGCATTTTCTGATAGCTCTGACAAAACGCTCAAAGGCACGTTCTGAGTCATTCACCGATAACCGCGGAAATGGCTGTCCGCGTTTGGACTTGGGGGCAGGCGATGCATGCTCGTCCAGTGCAGCACGAAGCTTGCGCACAGTCTTTCTGTCCTGTAGAGCTGTACGGCCGTAGGCTTCCATTGACTGATTCCAGGTGTCTGGATCAGACAATGCATTGACTATTGGAAAAAACACGGCGCATGATATAATCTCACGAATCAAGACTGAAACAATCCGACTGTTCAGCACGCTCTCTGGAAATAGCTGGGGCAATAGCCCGACCGCAAGCTTTCGTAAATATTCTTGTTGCACGGTTCTCTGATCAGATGCAGACAATGCAACAGCAGGATGTAGCCTGCCATCGCGGTACTTCTTCGCGATTGCCAAGTCCAGCTCAGCGGACTCCGTCACATTGCGGTCCAAGTTGCGCCCTCGGACCAGTCGCTCGGCTATATCAAATTCTTTCAGATGCGAGGTCACAATTGGGATTATTCGTGATACCACCAGTGATATCATGTCCTCTGCGATCAACCTGTCCCGTAGGTTTTCGAGAGCAACGCGGATCGTGCGATCGACTTCATTGGCAAAGATTGGACTTGGGCTAATGTTGCGATACCACGAGGAAACAAAATCTCGTATGATCAAGGACAAAAGCTCATCAATGCCCTCTGACACCACAAAAGATTCGGGATAGAGGGGCCGTGCCCGATATCGCGTACTTCGACGCACATTTAGCACTTCCTTGCGCCAATTGTCGGGTTTGATGAAAGCCACGGACACATTTTTGTTGTTTTGCACGTCGTCTTGGTGTCGAATCGTCAATGTAACAAGCCCCAGAAGACCCACCGAGCACAACACGGCGCCCAGCGTCACAGCATATCCTAAATACCGAAGGATCGGCAGCTCACGCACAACCAGACCCCAAGCGATGAAAAGGCCGATACCAGCTAAAGCTAGGTCGCGACGACTAAGGGCCATTCTCCCCGCACTCTTATAAGAGCTCCGCGGCTCATACCGATCACTCCCGAGCACTTGGGAGCGAACACCTCGGCATATGGTCAGATGGGTGATCCGGCTCGGTGAGAGCGGTTTTTGCGATGAGAATGCTATGGCGACAGAAGGCAAGGGAAATTAAAACGAAAAGATCGAAATTCCAAGCTTCCAGCTTCACGCGCGAGAGTTGCGGAAATCATGATCCCGTGACCGCAACGTCACTTGTTTACTTAAGCTGTTGATCCCCCAACGTGTCTGGACTTCTGCACCTTCCCCTCTTCTCCTCTTTCTTTTTACACACTTTTGCTGGGATTTTGCAAGATGGCCTCTCTTACGGACTTCATTGACTTCTCTTCCAAGCCTCTGCTTTGTGAGTTGAGGACCTCTTCGGTTCAACGATTTGCATGTGATTGACTGATCTCAGGGTCTGCTGCGACGATCGCTTTTAACCCGATCTTCTGGAAGTGAGTGTCGATATTGAAATCTCTGCATCGTCTTCTGCTTGAGCCAGAGCTAATTTGAGTCTTGTCTAGTATTGTTGCGCGCGCAGGTTAGCGGACCTACTCGAGGGTGTCGCATTCAGTCTTAGCTAACTGCTGCAGAGTACCGTAGCCACATCCTAACCCGCATCTTCGGAGGCGCCTACAATGGCTGCTACGCACTTGCATTCACGATCTTTTCTCTCGGAATCTTCCGTGACCATGTCTACCAGCTCGCCCTGGCAGACCAGCCCTTCTACGCCCCGGTGCATCAGCCCATCATTGGAGGGATCTTGTTCGCTGTCGGTTCTGTCTTGGTTCTCTCCAGCATGTGGGCCCTCGGTGTGACCGGAACATACCTTGGTGACTACTTCGGTATCCTCATGGACGCTCCTGTCACCGGTTTTCCCTTCAACGTGACTGGCTCGCCTATGTACTGGGGCAGCACTCTCAACTTCCTCGGTGTTGCTTTGTACCACGGCAAGGTTGCCGGCATTCTCCTGACTGCCCAGGTCTTTGTCCTCTACTGGTTTGCTCTCCGCTGGGAAGAGTAAGTTCGCACCTGATAAACAGCAGGATTCAGCTAATTGTCACCAGTCCCTTCACTGCTGAGATCTACGCCAAGCGTGAGCGCCAGCGCGCTAAGAAGCAATAAGCGCTTTGCACTTATAACGGGGTTGTTTGAGACTTTCAACATCTACACTCCGCATGTGACCCAGGAGAGGCTGTCAAGCCGGGTCACTCCGGGCACTATGGTGCCCGCCCAAAAGTGAAGGTCCTCCACACGCCTCCAGCACACCGACGTATCGGGATCCTCAACGATGCTGGAGCTGTAAACGATAAACACTACTTGCCTTTCGCAAGACCCACTCTGATTACCCTTACGCGACCACAAAGACAATCAAACCAACCCATCGCGCCAACCCCGTTGTACAACTACACCAGTAAACTTGACTCGCTTCAAATTGTTGCCGAGGATACGCACGAGACTTTGGGGTCGTTCGCCTGCTCAATGGCGAAAAGAGAAATGTCTGTTGCTAAATTCTGTATCGGTGAACACTAGATGAATGTCGAAGTAATACTATATTCATAATAATGCTGAGTCCCACTACTGCTTGATCTCGCTTGATCTCTGTGCCCTGGTTTACTTTAGCCTTGAGTCGACCCAAAGCTCACCTTGAGCAGAGGCTCTCCAGGGCTATAAAGGCACCAGCTTATAGCATGCTCCAGGGCTGGCGCATCCATGGATCTCATCATGATTTGAGAACTCAGCCCAACTCGGAATCTTCATGGTATATTGTTTCAATCCTTTGATTCGTTTAGACGTCAATTGGAAGATTCGTCTCCAAAAACCCGAGGTATTCTCTAATAGCCCTCTCAAAAGCTTCACCATAGTAAATCTCAAAGTGTCCCACATCACCATGCATCTTAATAACACCCTTCGGCGCAGACTTCGCATACGAAATCGTCGGACCCGGCGGTGCAACAGAATCCCTTCCACAAATCCCAAATAGGATAGGACACTGTACCTTCGAAGCATAACTCCCCGGTCTCAAAAAAGGAAGCCGCATAACCAAACGAGCAGGAACATCCTCCTGGAACGCATACCCATCAGGCACAAGCGGAGGGAAAGTCTTCAATACATCAGGAGCATTCATCAACGCAACTAAGCCCATTAGCACAACTCCAAAGCGAAAGAAACCCTTTTAACTCACCTTCCCCAGGAGCCCCAACAAGTTTAACAGTCGTGTCTCCGAACAAAGTATCCTTCATCCCCGCCCAAATCAACCCCGGCAAAGCCCTAAGTCCAACACACATCGAACTCCTCACGCCATCCGTAAAAGGGCACTGAGAGATAACAGCTCGAATACGATGATCCTCCGCAGCGAGCTGAATAACATGTCCACCGCTAAACGAAGTTCCAAACAGCGCGACACAATCACCATCAACACCTTCCAATTGTCGTGTATAGTCAATGGCCGATTTCCAATCTTCTTGCTGCATCTTCCAATCTACCAGTCCGCGAGGGTGTCCTGCCGTCTCGCCATTGCAGCGATAGTCGAAGACGACGCATGTGTAGCCTGCTTTTTGGAATGAGGTCGCGTAGTTGGATAGTTTGAGTTCTTTTGTTCCGCCTAGGCCGTGGGCGAGGATTATTGCTGATTTGGATTTCGATGGGCTTGGGTAGAGCCAGCTGCTGAGGGGCGCCTGTCCGTGAGAGGTTGGGATTTGAATGTTGATACGGTTGGAGGTCATGGTTATGGTCATGCCCAGGTGATGGGGTACTTGGTTCACAACGCACAGTTTTGTTTGGCTTTATATATATACCATTGCGACAACCTCGGTTTCAACCTGGAAACAGTATGTGATTTCAAAAATGTGGACTCAACTTTGGAAGGTGGAAGTGGAACTGGAACTGGACGCAAAGTTGAGTCGGTTGAGCCGCAATGCATACCGAAAAGGGCATCTCTGTGAAACCTCGGAAAATCCATTGTGTATTATGAGGGTATAGACCACGTTCAACACCGCGCTGATATAAAATAAAAAGAGATCTTTATTGCCGTCTGCCTCTCCCCCTCTTGGCCTGAGTCCGACTCTCATCGACAGTTTCGACTTCATCCTCGTCAGTTCCCTTCTTCAGATCTTCCTCTTCGGCAAGACCCCACTTCTCCCGATCGTACCAATCCTCGCCATCACTCATCTCACCAACATGGCCTTCGGATTTGCACCACTCCAGCACATCGGATTTCATCTGGGCGGCTTTGATGAGCGAATCAAGCATGTGCTCAAACCCGCGCACCGTCTCTTCTTGTTTCTGAATGTATGACCAAAGCAATCGGCGCGTCTCTTCCGCTTCGGCGGGCGGTAGGCCAAAGTTGGCATCTGGTCGAACGTTGTCCGGAATCAAGAAGAGAGGATGTGGGGTGGGCAGGGTTGATGTCGTATCTGCGGAGGGAAACGGGGGACCCATCGGGTCCAGCGTTCGCCTGGGCGCGTGTTGTCATTCGCCGGAGCGGCTCCGGGGATGAATCGTCATGCATTTCTTGGTCTTCTCCATCAATTTCGGGCTCGCCGTCTTTAGAAGTGTCCATGTCGTGTTTTTCATTATCAGCCTTGGCTTGGTCGTTCTCTTGTGGATCGTTGTGGGGTGGCAAATCTTTGACTGTGGCATCGGTCTCTTCTGACTTCAACTGCGGGTCGGGTTTAGTAGCTTCTGCATCTGGCATCTCAGCCATTTCCACGTCATTCGTTGACTGAAGCGGTTGTGCTTCGCCCTGGGTCGTTGTAACTGAAGACTCTTCTGGCAATATGCCATGCGGGGCACCGGTCTCAGTAGCGGAGGGGGTACTTGGTCCACTGAGGCCCTGTTGACCGTGACCAGTCGAGACGCTCGGATCATTGCTAATGATCCTAGGCTCAAAGATCCAGCGATCATCAGGCCCTTCCATCACATTGCACGGCATCCACCCACCATCCCCAAGGAAATTCCTGTGCAGATTCCTCGCCCGCCAAAGCAAAGCCCGTTCCTGACGAAGCTTGAAATCAACCGCTTGAGTCATCTGCTCCAGTGCTTGTGAAGTGTACGGTTGCGACATAGACGGGTGCGTAGGAAGTTCGGAGGGATGTTTCAGGGGACACAATAGCGCTAGAAGTAAATCAGTAAAGCATCCTCATGAAATCAAGAAAAAGCATCCTTACTCTCAAGCGCAATCCCCGAAAACGGGTTCTCTTCCGCAGCCGCAGCATCAGCCTCGGAATCTTCATCCTCCTCATCAAGCTCGTCACCCTCAGAATCATAGCGAGGAGGATTCGCCTGCAAGATATGCCGCGTGTACCCAGCATGTTCAACTTTCTGAATCACAACAACCGTCAGCTTTCAAATTTCGAGCCAAGTCTTCGCCCCGGTCAGGAACATACCTGTTTATAGAAATTTTCGCCATTGATATATCCCAAAGCACCCTCACTCACGAACTTGGCATTGGCATGCATTTTGTTACCGCGGTTTGTCGGCGCCATGATCGGTTCGTCTGGGCCGTTGTCTGTAAAAGCGTCAACATGGACTTTTACAATGAATCCAACCGTCATTAAGATGACAACATACCCTCTCGTTCTCTGCGCAAGGCTCTTTTCATGCCCGTGATTGTGTCGGCGATTAACGCCGCTTGCGCCGCCATGATTTCGGTTTAACCGTCGGGAAACACGGCGCGTTGGAGGGGTTGGAGGAGAGGTCGAGAGTGCGGATCCCGCAAGATTCGAGCGGTGGTTGAGCGGTAGTTCCGTCGTCACTCTCTGCTGTTACAAAACAAGACTGGCAGATTCAAGACAGGAAAGCTGTAATTGCTTTGGAAACGAAGCTCTCTGACGGCAAGACGGAAGGCCGAGATCGCCGCTAGTCCGGATTTGGCAGGTAATGATAAGCGCTACACGTGACTTTCTATACAATTGCCCGGCTGGAGAAACCAGAGATCATTATTTCGCTTACATTCATCTACATGCAAAATCAATCGTCCGCGTCAACCCAGACCAAAATACCCTTCTTGTCAGACCGTATATCGCCTGTTGGGAGGACGCGCAGGTTCTTGTTGAAGTAGGTATCGATAACCACCAATTGTGGCTGTATCCACAAACCGCGCTTCGCAGCGAATAGGTTGAATTTCACAGTGTGTCGACTCAACGGCATGACCTGCACGGCTGTAGTCTTGGGACCACTGAAAGCGAAATGCTCGCTGGCTTCCATGACCAAGTTGAACGTGAGGAAGTGGGTGGATGAGTTCTCTATCACGTATTCCATATGAATGAGACCGGCCATGGTTGTTGAAGGGGTCGCCGAGGCAAGAACACGAGGTTCGCCCATTGGCACGACGAAGCGGGGTATTTCAAGAATGGAAGTGGTGGTGTTTTCGATGGAATCAGATTGACGGTGCCATTGAATTTCCAATACGGAGCTCAGTGCTGTTGGACGGCGATCTCCAAGCACCGATTTCTGGACATCAATACAGAAGTTTGACTCGCGTAGCTCTTCCGGTGAGAGCAGGGCTGTTTGAGGGCTGATGAGCTCTTCGGAGCCAACGTTGCAGATAGCACCGCCATTCGCCTCGAGGAGGACAAGCGACATCTTGTCGACTATCAATGGCTCCAGTGCAAAGGAAACAACTTTGGAATTTAGAGACCATTTTTGGAATAGGCCGCCTGGTGTAGAGCCCTCGAGCAGGGCATCATCGACGGCGAAGAAATTAGGCCACGGCTGAGGGTGGATGGCTGGTAGGAATTCATAGTTTGCTTCGAATGGCCGGACGAAGGCTAATTCCACGGCGATGTTCTTCATGATTGGGGTTTGGGTGTCGGACACCAGGTGGTATACAGCAGAGACCTCCAACGTGAAATCCGTCGACTCTTCGGTGTCAGTAAGGACGATTTCGAGTGTCTTTTCAGAAGACCGTTCCATGACGCCCACTGATCGCTTCAAGAAGTGCGATGGGCCCTCCGTCGGTGTGCTAGCGCCAGATTCATTACCTTCGGTGCTGTCGCTATCTGGCCAATGGATTTGGGCAGTAGGCTCAGGGCCAAAGAGCCTGATTTCGGTCGTCACCTCAGCAGCTTCGTCCTCTTCATTGTGAATGCCAATTTTCAGGGTCACCCTCTCATTGTTGTAGTAGGTTTCCTTCAAATTGGGGGTCGTAAGGCGGATCTTGGGAGGCTTGGGCATCACCTTGCACTTGCCGGTATCACGATCCTTTCCAATCCTTCTACGAGTGATGCCCTTTTGTGACTGCTGCCACCAGAACGATTCGCGCTGGTCGGGCTCCGTGATTGCGTAGCCAAGATCGAATTGCTCTTCTTCGATAAGCAGTGTGATCGAAGCAACCTGGGCTTCGCCAGCTTCGCGGGGGATGCAGGTGAGGTTGAAAACCTTGGTCTGGGAGGGTCCCAGGGTCAGGTCTGCTATTCCCACCAGCGTGGCGAGTCCTCCAGTTGGAGAGGTAAGCGTGCCATCGACTGGACTGCTCGGCTCACGGAGGGGGATGGTCGAGATGCAACAAGATGTAGCAATGTCAGCTTCCTCGCTGTGGTCAGACTGAAGTTTGACTGGTCTAAGACATCCCTCGAACACCAGCTTGACCTCGCAAAGGCGAATAGGCGCTGAGTTTATCTGTGCGGAGGAAGAAATGGCGAGTTGGGCCTGAAGTGGTTCGCCAACATTGCCCTTTGACTTCTCGAAAACCACAGACGCGTTCACTAATGATAAGTGACAAGTTAGCGTTGTAAATTGTATGTGGGATGTCTTAACTTACAACTTGTCATGACATCCTCAGCACGCAGGATGAGAGATGGCTTGGGTTTTTCCAAAGGCAAACCCTCCAGACTCCTGTGAATGTCATAATGCCAACCAGGCCGCGGTTTGAAAGCTGCTAGAGATTAGCAAATGGGCAAAAGAAGACCGTCGGATTTAGTCGCTTACCGTTGTTCAGTAGCTCCCAATCCACTCGTAGAACCGTTTCGCTATCCTGCACCTTTAAGGCGGATTCCCTAAGAGCCCATCCGAACTTGACCATCAGGTGCCACCATCCGGACCTACGCCAGCTAAGCTTCGGCCACAGAGGTTTGAGTAGGGCATGGGCCTCAGACCACGCACCGACACGCATATATTCCTCAGCCGCCTCAAGACTCAGGCTCTCAACTTTCCGTGTCTGGTGATGATTTCCGAATTCCAAAAGCGCTGCCTTCAAAGCACTCAATATCAAAGCAGAATGATCGAAACCAGTTCGTCCGTCTTGTGGTGCTTCGTCGTAAGTGTCCGGGACAAGATATGTATCGTACAGATGAGATTTGCTGGCGAGTTGCGACGTCGGTGATTGCTTAGGGGGCATACGGTCTTCATCAGGGATCTCAAGAGCAAGCGCTCTTCGGATCATGGTGTGTTTCGCTGAGCGATGTAGCCAGTAACCCTCGTGGTGCATCTGGTCCCAAGGCTTGACACGCTCACCAGTGGGGATAGACTTCTCCGGTGGCGCAAATAGCTCCCTGGGCTCTTCAGGCGAGATTTCACCGGAGAAAGACGGAATTTCTGCGCGGCGAATGAGTTGCGCCATGATCATCGACCATCTTGCTTCCCACGCCTCCCACCCGTAGTGCTTGCTGCCTTTGCCTCTGCGATTGACGATATCCCTTACCCGGATTCTATGATCAGTCCAGAGCCGCGTTGCAGCAGTCGTCTGGCCCGTCCACAGAAGACAGCGCATGATACGAATCGCCAGGGCGTCAGCTAAAAGACGCGCATCGTTAAAGCGTGGGTTCCACCCGGCGATGATCTCAAAGACTTCATGCCCGAACAATGTGTCGTATGCACTCTCATAGTTCCGGCACGCTGCATCCATCTCTTGGCGGAACTCAGCGAAAATACCAAGTTTGAATTCATATCGGACGTTCCACCCTTGGGACGACAATGTCTGTGAGGTCCCCGTAGTTGGCGGTGCAGTCGGGGGAGGGATGCTTCCTCTGTTCCTTTTGCGCCTGGCATGTTTGGACAGATCCCGATAGTATTCGACCACCGAAGGTTGTAATAGTGAGAAGAGCGACTTGACAAAGTCTTGCAATTCCGATGAAGTCGCATCAGGTGGGATCACGAAGATGGATTTAGGGTCGAGATTCGTCGCTCGTCGAATGCCTGCAACGCGATCATCGATCTCGCCTTCGTATCCGCTATCTTCTCCGTCCTCGGATATCAGAACCACCACGAACCGCGTCTTATACCCGGACGCTTGCCATTCCTGTTTCAGGCTGTTGATCTCGATTTTGAGTTGATTGTCTCGCAGAGAGTTCATGTTCGGGTCGAGTGAGAATGGGAAGAAGTTGAGCACCGCCGCAGGAACCAGGTCCTGGTGTTTGGATGCCCATAGAGGGGTGAGCAGGCCATCTGGGAAAGTCGGGGAACCCGGTGTCAACGGTGATATTGGGGAGTGTAGGACGTAGTGTGTAGTCGAATCCGGGGTTGCTTTCTCTTTATCGCCTGGGCTGTTGGGAGGTGAGGGTATAGGAGGGTCCGCTTTGCGGGGTGGGAGTCTGCATGACTGTCCCGTAGATCATTAGAAAGTTGTCCGTGATGCTGTGGGCCCGACAGGGTTCAAACAGCAGGGGATGGACCTACCCGGCCTGAGCTCTTAATCCGATAGCCGATGTTTGCAGTTGCAGTATTCCCGGAGACGTTCACTCTGGATTTCCATGGCATGTGAGTGCCATCTTCTTGGAGGAACAAGCTCCGCAGCTCCTCGGCGACCCCTCCGCTCAGAGGGGGAAGTCGGAGAAGATATGAGTCCCCTTTTCTGCTAGTAGGGGATAGCCGGAGCTCGCTTCGGTATCATCGCCTGCCTCTAATCCTGAGAGTAGGACCAGAGGCAGGTTGTGATTGACGTAGTCTTCGGGGTAAGCTTCCATTGCGGGCAATGGGTAGTTTGTGAGGCGGTCACCGCATGTCTCGAGGAGCCAATGTGCGGGGGATTCAGGCGAAAAGCATGGGATTGCGGGTTAATTCCCTAGCCTAGAGGTAAAAGCGAGAGACTTGACTATTGACAATGTCCAAGTGGTGCCCAGGTGTTTGGATAGGACACCGGGATACTGCCGGGCGGTCAGGGATGTTTATTCTCGAGGAGCCTTGGAGGTGGAAGTATACGAGGGACGGTATGGAAGACTTGACACCTCATTCTAACTCGAGAGATGCTGGATTTTGTAATATATTTTTAGGTAATTTCTGGTTTTTTTGGTCTTGAATTGACCTGTACCACACAATGAGTATGATTTGTGCTCAAGCAATATATTAGTTCCGACTCTACGGTCCGCGGGTATATAGTGCAGTTATATATTGTTCACCAGCTGAAGATGCATAAAATTCACAATGTTCACCCTCAGCCCTAATTCAAAATCCTCCGACCTGCACAATGACAATGTCTTCATATGTCTGAATCATACCTGTGACCTCGAATATGAGATTGCCGATCCTCATATGTGCCAAACCCATAAAGGGGCGATTGACGCCCTGGAGTCGCACTCGAACAAGAATTTGTAAATCCACGTGGAGTCTCTCAAATATCTGAAACCCTGACAGGTCTAGATCAGGGTAGTAAATAAAGAAGCTATCCCTTGATATAGTGGGGACAGTGTTTGAGGTATATGAATATCATGTATAAGAATATCATAGTACGAAGTACTCCGTATGAAGTATGAAGTACGGAGTATATAGATGGACAACCGTGGAACACTAGAAATGCCACCGAATTAAGCGCACATAAGCTAGATCGGTGCAATGCACACGTATGGATCTCAGGAACGGGACGTGAGTGGAAAAGTGGGAAATTAAGATCCATTTGGTGGAGTCTTGTCACGAACGCTAATCGCCCATCGCGAGAAAATTAAGAGACGCCCCTACCCCTCGATCGAACCTGTCGACTTTCATATCTCTCTTCCCTTTTCCTTTCTTTTTCCTCATTAGCTATATCATCGGATATCTACCGAAAACCTTCTTTAAACCTCGATTCTACGCCTCTACGGATCACTCCGTACTTTCTACTGTTATCGCGCGACTGTAAGGGGTTAGGAACATTGGCAGTAGATCATGCGCCCTGCGCCTGTTCTTGTGTTTGGGAGATACCCCTAGGCCTCGGGACTATTGAACGCCATGCGTTTGAACGAGAACTCGGCCCCCGTGCAAGCGGAATCCGCGCTGCTCAGTCGCCGACGCCGCCGTAAATCAATGCCCTCGCGCAACGGAGACCCAACCTCCCCCGAAGTCATTTCCTCTCTGATTTCCTCTCTCTCCGCCATATCGGTGCCTCTGAACTCGCACTTTGATACCGTCCCGAAGATCGACACCGATTCGGACCCTGGTCTGCCAGAAGTACCGCATACCGCCCCGGTCTACTCCATCCCCCCGTCCGAACAACATGGCGTTGGGATGAGCTACGGCGCATACAAACCTACTACGGAGTCGCCCGAACCCCCCGCTCCCTTCTTGCACCCCGATGATGCTGCCTCGTCGCCTGTCATCCGTATGGCCAGGGCGCCTCCCTCACCCAAATCTCCTCGATCTCCAAGATTCAAACCATTCAAATCCGACTCAACCCGTCCCGCGTCCAGGGATTCATTCGCGTCTACTATAGCCCCCGAACCGTCTTCGTTCGGGACAATCAGCACAGAACCCGGTCCCCGGTTGTCGGCGGCCCCCAGTATAGTATCAAATAGTTCAGGGCGCGCGCGGAGCTTGAAGGGTCAATTTGGGTTGCTGAAGAAATCGTCCTCGCGCGAGTTCTCCTCTGAGAAAGATCCGCAAATAGAGCGCCTGCGAAAGACTATCAGCCATAACGACGGGTTGCGACATAATATCCCACGCAGTCGAGCGAGTTTGCGCTCACTGCATTCAATGGCGGAAGTAAATGAGGACTCGCGTGCCGCGGACCTCAAGGAAGATCCAATTGAAGAGAGAGCCCGCACTCCACCGGTTCACGACCTTCAATCACTCCACACCCCGGATAATGGCAGCCCCGGTGGGATCGGCAGTGGGAGGTTCATCCCCACCCGAGATTCATCTCTACGACACCGACACAGCCAGTCTCCGAAGAAGCACAAATCTACTCGCCACAGTCGATATCCTTCAACAGCGAGCAAGGAATCCGCCGCGGCAAACGGGCTGCCTGGAACGAGCAACGATGCTGAGCAGGTTACGAGACGAATTCAACAGTTGAAAGATCAACAGCAGAAGATCAAAACCGAATTGGAGGTCGACAATAGTCCCGAAAGCTCGACCAAGACTTCTCCGGCGAAACCAGTCAAGCCGAAAGCTTCGAAAGCTTCGCGCGTGCTAGGCCACGATGTCAACCAAGCTACCATCCATGACGGACCCGCTCGTGAGCATCCTCCGCTAAATGAAAGCGCGCCATCGCCATCGGTGATGACAGGCAAGAACCGTGGATCTCGACCAGGCCCGCCTGTCTCGTCCAAGTCAACCAACTTGCCTCCATTGTTGTCGAAAATGTCCGCAGAGAGGCCGGATTCCGAGAGGGCTCGATATAGAAGATCTCTCGAGCCAATCGCCCCACATCAACATCGTCGCACTCCATCTGGTCACCTGTCGCATGTCTCACATGCGTCGAATGGTCGTCCGTCGTTCAGCACCGAGCGACCATCCAGCGCAGATTCAATCGATCTTGCAGTTGACGACTACATGTTCTCTCCGAAATTGACCCAGAGAGTGATTCACCCGACCAGTGGCCGCACCATTGCGTTTTCCGAGGTCGGTGACCCCAAAGGCCATGTCGTACTTTGTTGTGTCGGCATGGGCCTTACTCGGTATCTCATGGCATTCTACGACGAACTGGCCCGAACCCTCAATCTCCGCCTGGTGACACTGGATCGCCCCGGCGTCGGCGAGAGTGGCCCGCACCAAGTAGACGAGCCCAACACCCCTCTCAGCTGGCCAGATGATGTCGCCATCGTATGCAACCACCTACGAGTCACCAAATTCTCCATTCTTGCCCACTCCGCCGGAGCAATCTACGCTCTCGCAACAGCTCTCCGCATCCCCCAGCATATCCGCGGCCGCATCCACCTTCTAGCCCCCTGGATCCCACCCTCCCAACTCTCAACCCTCGGCTCTCAAAAGGATCCCGCCCCCACAAACGCAGTCCCATATACCCAAAAGATCCTCCGCGCTCTCCCAACCTCCCTCCTAAAAGTCGCCAACTCAAGCTTCATGACCGCAACCAGCGCCAGCCTCACAGCTAGCCTCCCCAAGTCTTCCCGCCGCAAACGCAAAACCGCAAAAGAAGCCCACAACCCCATCGTCCCACCAATCCCCCCCAATCCCCACAAACTTCCACCAAGAAGAAACCGTCACCGATATCAAATCCCCAATGATATCCGCCCACCGCAAAAGCGACACCACCCTCGCCTTGCGCGCCAAGTCCTCCGAAGACGAAATCGAGCGCAAACGCGACTACGATACCCGTCTCACGTACAAAATCTGGGAACGCGCAACTACAAACGCAAACCCATCCGTCGATCTACTCATCTGTCTCGAGCGCCGACAGACGATCGGATTCCGATACGTGGATATCACGCGCGCGGTCGTCATTCACCACGGTCGCAAGGATCCGCGCGTGCCCGTGGAAAACGTGCAGTGGCTCGGTAAAACGATGCGGAGGTGCGAGGTGCGGATTCTCGAAGGCGAGGGTCATGGGCTTATGGCGTCGGCTGGCGTTATGGGGAATGTGTTGACGGAGATTGCGAAGGAGTGGGAGGATTGGACGATTCTCGTTCAAGGTAAGCGACGTACTAATCATGCAAGACCTGGATTGTCGGTTCAGACTTGATATTTGATACTTGATGTTGCCCTGGTGGCGCTGAGTGTCTTTACCCTCCCTTTGGACTGCAACTGGCTTGCGCTGTCTGGATTTCATATTCCCTTTTTATTACTTATTACACCCCGGGCCTGTCTTAATTCATGGCGTGTCCATGTCCTGTCTATGATTGGCTGGCTTTCCATGTTTGGCTTGCATCTGAACAAAAACACTTTGTCTGATTTTAGCATAATACCCAGTCATGTGTACTTAATCTATCCTTCGTTATACCAATTAATGTCTGTCAATATAATTGGAGCCTTTCAATGTTGGAAACTGTACCGCGAAGGCCTAGGTAATGTCATTCCAAGGTTCTTGATCTTCGGAGCTATGCAAGTACATAGTTCTGACAGTTATATATCTGCCAAGAGCGCTTAGACCACAGGCAAAAATCAGGGATAATCATTAATCTTGTCTTTACACCCCACTTCTCCTGAATCTCCAAGCTCAGCATCTGTTTTCTATTCCAATTCCAATAATTGATAACTTCACTTGTTCTAAAACCCATCGTATATAGGATCCGAACATTGTCCCAGTAGAGCCGCATCATAGCCAGCGGCGGACCGATTTCTTGGCAGACCCCATCACGTTGTCGCGTGTGCCCGCTCGGACTCTCCAGGGCTGCCCCGACATATCCAAGTCGACTCCTCTACAATATACGAACATCCAAGCCTCACAATGCTTTCTCAACGGCGACTACGGCTGCTAGTCATTGCAGTCGTGGCATTTCTGTTCATGTCGTTTTACTATTCTGTGCGTCACCGATCGAGCGCCCCAAACACCAACATTACGTCGAACGCTAACACAATCCAGGGCGAAGCCAGCAAAATCCAGAACCAGAAATTCTACCGCTCTACACTCGATGCGATGAAATCGAAAGAAGCCAACCATGCCAAGACACAAGAAAAGATTCAAAATGCCATGCATGCACCAGGAAACTCCCCTGGCACTGGCGCCGGCGCCGGCGCCAGAAGCGACGCAGAAGCGCAGAAACCCGCTATTCCCAAAGCGAACGAAGACACAGAGGAGATTCCGATCGCGGGACGGACGAAGATGACAGTTCCCAAGAAGCAGGATACAAACGTCAACGCGAAGGAAGCGCAAGTCGCAAGCGAACAGAGCGAAGAAGAGAAAGAGCGCGAAATCAAGGAGAAGAAAGAGGCCGAAGCAAAGAGCGAATTGAATGATATTCTCAAGAGAGCTCCTGGTATGTAGCCCACCCCCTGCGCTATGGATTTGATCACCGCTGACGAAGACGTAAACACAGTTATTGTCTTTTCCAAGTCTTACTGCCCTCACAGCAAGAGAGCTAAGAATATTCTGCTGGGACACTACGCGATCAAGCCTGAGCCGTTTGTTGTGGAGTTGGATTTGCATCCGCTTGGTCCGTTTTTGCAGGCTTTGTTGGGTCAGAAGACTGGGCGTCGGACGGTGCCGAATGTTTTGGTGAGTGGGAAGAGTATTGGTGGGGGAGACGATATTGCGGCTTTGGATCAGAGCGACGAGCTGGCTTCGACGCTGAGATCATTGGGTGGGAAGTGGATTGTGGAAGTTGAGCATTTGGAGGTTGAGAAGGGGCTGTGAATGAGTATGTGTAGAGCACTTTTTTTTAATTCACCTATGGGCAAGGGGCCCATTCAAAGTGTTGTACATAAGAGAGAAATCATCACGCAAAGACATGCAAGTAGGCAGAACTTGGACCAGAGTGATCTGAATTCTGCAAGTATTGGTACCTGCTTTACAATACTAGGATGGTGGTAGATTATGTACTGGTACTAGACCAGATAAGACGATAAGGAGATAAAGAACCCTAATCAAAAGCGGTCAGCCCAAAGTGGCCCTAAGCGACGCACAATCCCGTGACTTGTTCAATTTCGCTCCACCACCAAGTCCATTCCGAATTTTGAACCTCCCCGACATCGACAACCACACCCCCGGCTAACACCAACAGTCACGTCAAGATGCGGTACATTCACTCCGAGGAACGGTTGCCCATTCTGGACAATGGTGAGCGCCCTCTTTTTTCTATTATTTTCCATTGCTCGTTGGAATTCTGGAGGAGAAGCCGGTCGCACACAATATTGGAACCCGATGAACGCACAATGAACTCTCGCAACGCAACGACACGATTCTCAGCACCGCAAACACACCCACCCCAGCAATCTACGACCAGAGTCAGGAGGAAAAAATTCATTGTGTGGGACCGGCGACTCGCACCAGAAATTCTCGATGCGAATTCGTGAACAGCAGATTCAGCCTTGAATTTCGCATTCAATTGCAACACTTCACCTTTCAATTCCAATACTAACCACCGTTTCCCTCCACAGTGAAGGTCCACATTAAGTCCCGCATCGTGACCGTCGAGGGTCCCCGCGGCAAGCTCGTCAAGGACCTGTCCCACATCGCCGTCACCTTCGGCCGCCCCGAGAAGGATGTCATCTCCATCGAGCTCCACCACGGTGCTCGCAAGGGTGTTGCTACTCTCCGCACCGTCCGCACCATCATCAACAACCTCATGATCGGTGTCACCCGTGGATTCAAGTACAAGATGCGTTACGTCTACGCCCATTTCCCCATCAACGTCAACATCGAGCCCAACCACGAGACCGGCCGTGCCGCCGTTGAGATCCGGTATGATTCTGATTCTGACTCTTTTGGAGCTGTGCATTTCGCGACGAGAAATGTGCCGTGAATACTGGATCTTTATACTAACATTGTTGTTTTCAGTAACTTCCTCGGTGAGAAGTACGTCCGCCGCGTGACTGCCCAGCCCGATGTCGAGATCGTTCCCTCTCCCAACGTTAAGGATGAGCTCATCCTTACCGGTAACTCCCTCGAGGGTGTCTCCCAGAGCGCCGCCGACATCCAGCAGATCTGCCGTGTTCGCAACAAGGATATCCGTAAGGTGAGTTATTATCGCGCACTATTCTACGAATCCAGTGGAATGCACTCCTGTTGAAAACTGTACGGTAATACTAACGATTCCCAGTTCTTGGACGGTCTGTACGTGTCGGAGCGGGGCAACATCATTGAAGAGTAAATGTGACTCTGGTGTCCGGGAGAGGTTTCTTTAATTTCGCCTACTTTTGCATATAGGGAAGCAAAGCGAAATGTCAAAAACAAAACGACCCTTTTGAAATTCAATTCCCTTACGCGAAAATGTCCTATATGTGTAGAAATGCGCCCGTGGCAATTCCATTCAATTCTTTTTCACTTTCCATCTTGTGTAGGCAAGTTAAGGGTAGTGTTTAGTGGAAAGAATGTATGGATGTATGAGATGCCGACGTAGCTTCGGGACCTGCTGTGAAGATCCGGGGAGAATTGGGGGTCGAGCCTGGGGCAGCCACCTGACAACTTCACCTCACAACCTATCTCATCACTTCATTTTGATCTATACACACTCGTCGCCTATCTACGCAATTCAATCCAGTTCCCCCTTTAAACTCGAAAGAAGAACAAGCACATGTCTCTGCGGACAACCCGCGTGACGTAGCATGTGAAAGAGGGTCCGCATGTGCATCTGCGTCTTTCTCCCGCAACCTCCAAAATGGAGTGGCTCAGTCTATGGAAGATCCTAAGCGCACTCTTCAATATGATACTCGACGTGACTCAATTCTGGAGAGATGTGAGATATCCCTCTCAACACGAAGCGTGACCCCCCCCGCGCATCTCCATCCCAAGCTAACAAGCCCCAGAAACTGCTATCATGGTGGCACTCCAAATCCCCCCGAGACCGGCTCTTCCACACATTATCCAACGCGCAAAGCTACGAAGAATGGGAAGAAGCCGCCTTCGAGCTCGACGAGCTCCTCAGCAAAGACCTCTGGTATGTCATCCGATATCCGGTATTCGTCCGCAGAGCTCAACTAACCCGAAACCCAGGCGCCAGAACCCCGTCAGTCGGCACTACGATTATAGACTAATCCTCGGAAGACTAGAAGCGCTGATGAGCGCACGGGAATGCGAAGACATCCTCACGCTAGTGAACCTACTACGCTCAGGACTCGTCCGGAACCTGGGAAATATCACATCGACGAAATTGTTCACTCATGCGTATGCAGGGACGAAATTGCTGATCGATGATTACATCACACAGGTTGCGCTTTCGATACAGTATGTAACGGGAGTGCAGCCTACGCATGCGAGTGGGTTTACGTCACAGGCGAAACTTGAGTTACTGCACGATACGCGACAGGCGTTTGGGCGGACGACGCTATTACTTCAGGGTGGATCTGCGTTTGGTCTTTGTCATCTGGGTGTTGTGAAGGCTTTGCATTTGCAGGGGTTGTTGCCGCGGATTGTGACTGGGACTGCCACGGGGGCGTTGATTGCTGCGCTTGTGGGGATTCATTCTGAGGATGAGTTGTTGCCGTTGCTTGATGGGGAGGGGATTGATCTTTCTGCGTTTGAGCGGAGGAAGAAGGTTAATGGGGCGGAGGGGAATTCGGATTCTTCATGGTTGGGGACGTTTTATCGTCGTATGAGACGGTTGTTTAAGAAAGGGTATTTGTTTGATGTTGCTGTTTTGGAAGAATGTGTTAGGGCGAATGTTGGGGATTTGACCTTTGAGGAGGCTTATGCGCGCTCGAAGCGTATTTTGAATATCACCGTTGCGACGACGGGGAAGAACGGGACGCCGAACCTGTTGAATTATCTCACGGCACCGAATGTGGTAAGCTGCCTGGAAGTCGACTTTGGACGTCGTTCTAACGATTGTAGCTTATTTGGTCTGCTGCTGTGGCATCCAACGCATCGTCCCCTGCCGCTCTTTATTCCCCCGTCACTATCTACTGCAAAGATGAAACAGGGTCGATAGTCCCTTGGCCACATACGCAAGATGCCATCTTCCGTCCTTGGCGACAAGTCAACTACAATGACGGCGAATCGCCTCTTTCCCGCATCTCAGAGCTCTTCAATGTGAACCACTTCATCGTCTCACAAGCCCGGCCATACCTTGTCCCATTCTTGCGCTCAGAGCTCAACCTCTTAGATAGGCGACAGACAGGCTGGAACAACCTTTCTCGTTCAGCAATGCGGCTTATCATCGTGGAAATCCGTCATCGATTCCGGCAACTGGACTACTTGGGCCTACTCCCTTCACCGCTGAACAGGCTTCTCATCGACGAAACGATCCCGGGCCCCAACCTGACGCTCGTCCCGGATCTAAGCTTCTGGGATATCCGAAAATTGTTCCAGAGCCCGACGAGAGAGCGCGTTGCAGAGTGGTCGCTTAAAGGGGAGCGTGGGGTGTGGCCCGCCGTGAGCGCGTTGAAAGTTAGAGAGGCTGTGGAAATTGAGCTGGATCGGGGATATCAACTTGTGCGGAGGCGGAGGCCTAGTGATGCCTCGGTACCTGTGCCTAAACAACCTAATCTTATGAATGAGGGGGTTCCTCGGAGGAGGAAGGGGAGTGATAATGAGGAGGGGATTCTTGCTGATCGGGAATGAGGTTAGGAGCGTGTATTGAGAAAGCACCAGATAGACTACCACCCTAAATCTAGACCTAAAATAGCTACACATTCACTCAGCGTTTAGCTAAGGACTCGACTCAGGCTTCAACTGAGGCTTCCACGCTGGAGCCAGCTCAGGGCTCGACTCGGGAGTTGACTCGGGCTTCAGCTCAGGCTTCGACTTGGGACTCGGCTTGGGGCTTAGCTCAGGCTCCAACTCAAGCTCCGATTTCGGCCTTGACTCTGGCTCCGACTCAGGCTTCACCTTAGGTTTCCGATGCAGCTCAGGATCCAATCCTTGGCGGGTGTAGAATACATCGAGATCTGAAAACCAAGGATGCACGAGCATCTCCCTTGCTGTCTTTCGATCTTCCGGCCGCCATTGAATCATGTCTTTGATCACATCAAAGAACGCCCAGCTTTCATCATCTCCTAGTCGACACTCGCCTAGAAGGGGCTCCACATCACCCGGCCAGAGAGGTGGATCGCACCATTCATCATCACCCTCAAACATCGCTGCGAAAAGGTCAGCCAGAATTCAGTATACTAGCTCACAGGAGCACTCACATTTGTCGAAATGGCGACTTTTGAGCATTCTCTCTCGCAGAAAGTAAGGTGGAGGTCCTAACAATTTATGTATAGTCCAAGCAACCGATTGATATCCCAAAGCACCGACACGGTCGTCGCCAAACAAGACCCGACCGTACATCAACTCCCAAGTCTACGAAATTAGACACAAGACATTGTATGCATCGGAAGGAAAGAGACTTACCCAGCATCCCAGACTCCAGATATCCGCCGAATAACTATACCCGCCCTTGTAATACAGCTCAGGTGCTTGATATACACGCGTGCGAGATTCATCACGCAGCTTCCAATAGTCGTCGCCAATATCACCCTCTTGTTTAACGTTTCCGTCCATAGCCCGGCCCAAGCCTCCTAGCTTGATTCCATCGATGTCTTGACTTGCACCGAGTAGCTTCGAATGGGGAATAATCTCGCCCAGATCGCCTCCCTGCCATTGGGACTCTCTCAGCTGAGCTCGCACAAATTCATCAATGACCGAGTCGTCAGGTTGGTCGAGAAATACGTTTTCTCCATGGATACCTGTTTGATGTTAGACAGTCCTACTACACCAAGGAAGATTCTTACCTGCATGGATGAGATGGCATTCAGTGTGCAGATAATCCAGCGCCAGAAGGACTTGATACACCACAGACTTGATGACTTTCATAGGAACTTCTCCGTCATATTTCAAGTCTAGTAATTCCGCAGACAAGCTGCTACCAAGAGCCTCCTGGATGATAGTCTCGTGCCATTCGCCCTCCCCGCGAATATGATTTAGAGCGCCGAATCTCCGCCTCAGCTGCTTTCGACCGAGATGGTCAGGGTTCCCCTTCTCAATCTTGTCAAACGCCACAAGTTCCATCTCGGCAGATTGTTCGCGCTTATACATTTTAGCGACAGCGTATTTCTCATATCTGGTTTATTAGCAGTTGGATCCAAATACTGACATCTCAAAGAGCAGCTTACAATACGTCTCGTGCCAGCCAAGCAGAAGCAGTCTCTCCCCATCCGAGCTTTCCAACAATCTGCCACCGACCCAGCATCGCCTCGCCGAGGGTGACGGCGGCGTATTTCTCGCCATAGGGCGCAAGACTGTTCTCCTCGATCGATGCGTCTGATGTGTCGCTTGTCATGAACCCCCTGCGTCCAAACTGAGCGGGGAATATCAATCTCTCATTCGACTGGTAGGTTTTGCTTTTTGGTATCTCGCTAGGGTCTTCATAACTCCCTAGCCATCCCATGGTGGTCTCCAAAATGAAGTCTAGACATCTTATGGTGATCCCCAGAAAGAGGACGGATGGAATGCCGATAGCGCTGTAATAGAGAAGATCCCAAATGAGATCCATTGCGAATATTGGACCAAGAAAAAAATTGACAAACAAAAGGGGATTGAGCGAGGGATGGTGTCTCTTATGACTGGCTTAGCTAAAGACTCGAGTCTGTAAAGTGGAAGGTGATTGGATCAAAGTAGTTTCTTTCATGAAAATGGATTCCAATCCATGGATTGAAGCTGTGTTTCATCCACAAGCATCCTTTCTTTCTCCAGATTTCTTTCATGTCTGCATGTCTTTGAGAATCCAGCCTCGCTATTTCTTTGATGTACGATTCGACGTTCCAAAGTCCCCCATGAAAGCCCCAAGCAGGTCGAGGACCAAAGTGATCCATGGATGTGAAAATAGCACATAATGAAAGAGCTTGACAAGATTAAATCCAGATATAAACGCTAAAAATAAATACAACGCGAATACTGCACACCCAGATACTCATTGAAGCCTCAAGTCAGAGCGTCCGACTCCGGGGGTCCCTTGTAAGCTAGAAGAACCGTTAGCTCAACCCAATCAAACCCAACAAGACCAAGATCAACTTACATTTCCTAGCATAAGCCGCAAACCAAACCGCCGAGATAGCCATAAACCCCACAAAAACCACCGAAGCATAATTCATCGAAACCGCCGTAACCGGCAACGCAGTCGGCATACTAAAAAGCACCAATTCAAACGCAATCCAAGCCAACGCCACCACATTAACAACCCTCCCAACTAAACCCCCACAATTCCACGGCGCAGAACTAACCTCCTCCCTCCCATGCCATAAACTCAAAAAGATAGGAATTGCATAAGCCGCCGCCAGCGCCATGACACCCACAGAAACAAATGCGGTAAACGCACTCGAGCTCCCTAGATTAATTAACCCGAGCAGCATCTGGATTCCGGTTACTAGGATCAAGGACCAGACAGGTACGCCGTGGCGAGCGGAGACCTGGGCCCAGAGACGGGCGAGGGGGATTGCGTCGTCGCGCGCGACGGCCCACGTGGATCGTGATGCGGCAACTGTTATGCTGATTGAGCAGCAGAAGGCGATTATGAGGACCAGGACGCTTAGGGCTAGACCGCCGGCTGGGCCCATTACTCGGGTGAGGATGTAAGGAAGGGCCTGGCCGGCTGGGGCTGTGAGGATTTCTGTGAGAGGGGGGAGGGTTGCGCAGAGGGGAATGATGAAGAAGAGGCCTGCTGTTCCGCCTACTGGGACGCTGAGGGCGATGGCGCGGGGAACTTTTATGGCTGGGTTTGAGCATTCTTCGGCCATGGAGGAGATCATGCCTATTGCGGAGAAGGTGAAGGCTGCTGGGAGGAGGCCGATGAAGAAGGTGAAGCCGCCCCAGTTTGCGAGGGAGGTGTCGTAGTGGGTTAGGGTGTAGGATGGGGAATGGCGGGTTTCTGATTTGATGGAGACGGCGATGAGGATGACTAGGATTGTTAGGGCTGTCCAGGCTGCGCAGGCAGTGTCGACTTGGGGGAGGTAGTTGTTGGCGTAGATGCAGATTATAAGGGAGGTTAAACAGATGGCGTAGAAGATTAACAATAATTGCCAGCTATTTGCTGACCAGGAGGAATCGTAGTTTGATATGGTTGCTGAAAGCATGGAGGCGAGACCGAAGTTGACGCTGAGGGTTATTGTCCAATTTCCTATCAGCCAGATCCAGGCGTTGATGAAGGATATAGTTGCTTTGTTGCCGCGGCATATTTGGAAGGTCCAGTAATATGGCCCGGCGGAGGTTGGATAACGAGATGCCAGCTCGGCTAGCGAGAAAGCGATGCACTGATCTAGTAGGCAAACGACTATCCAGCCTACAAAGATGGAGAGCTGGCCGCCGCCATAGATTGCTGAGAGGAGAGGTGAGCCCTCTCCAAAGGGAATCGCGGCCATCGCGAGGGTTTGGAAGAGGAGAGTGAGAACGGAGCGGTTACGGCATAGCTCTTCTGTATAGCCGAGTTGATTGAGCTCGACATTCTCTGGAAGGGGGGATATCGTGCCCTTCTCGTGGTCAACATCGGGGCTTGGAGTGGTGGTTTTCTTGAATGACATTTCGTTCTTCGCTGTTTGGGTCATTGTCAATGCCAATACTATGTGGAAGCAATAAAATTATAGAGCAGAATAATGGAAGAACTCAGTCAACTATATTTGGAGTCACAGAATTTGATTGCTCGTAGGATCAAGTATATGACATGAGCTCAACCGTAGCACAAATGCACGAGACGTCATTGAACAAAAGAACAACATCTCGAATGCGGAGGTACGGCGAATGATAGCCATTCTGCACAGGAGCCACATGATTAATCCGGCTTCACTACGGCTGAGAGGGGAGTGGCTTCGCATTCTACAGTAGCGATAGGTAAGGTTATACGATAGGAATGGACGCATAGCGCTGATAGGCGAGGAAACCACCAAGGACCGAGGAAGGCTAATCTGACGAGGATCGTATTGACAGTTCTGGAGCGGAATGCAGAGGTGATGCAAGGAGTTCTTTTCTCTTATCTTGCAAATTCTTTGCTCCAAGGTTCTTTGTGTTTACGGAATACGTTACGTGCTTTATGGAATCTGCATCGTCCACAGTATACGCAAATGATCATCAATGCGCCGTTCCAATGTCACCAATCTGTGGCACTGAAATAAATAGCCCAGTAGATCTGAATGTAGGTAGTCCGGCAGAAAGATAGTAAACCTTGACGCCAGACCTAACCCTAAAGAGCAACCGCTTCCCTGCGAGGGGTCGACTCCACATTCGATCCGGCAGATTTTGATTGGAACAGAAGATCTTACAGTTCAACATGGAAATCGACATATTCATTAAAACTAGTCACATAGAACGAAACATAATTCGAGGTATCAAAAAACAAAAACCCATGTTCTCAGACATCAAACATTATAAACGGTAAAGAGTCTCAATAGAAATTGGCACATTACTGAGCCGTAGACGGACGACTCGGATTCTGATGCGACCTGCGGGAATGGAAGCTCATCCGATGACCACTGCGCGGAGCCCCCTCAGTAGCCATGAGTGGCGGGATGCTAAAGCCATACCCCTCTGTTTTAGCGCTACGATCCTGGGGATCGATCTCGACCCGGATCGCCACGTCAAGGCCACCGTACATACCACTCTGCGTATCGATTCCATCAGCTGCACGGTGGTTGGATCCAGCGCCGACTTCGCCCTTGTGCAACGGGGCGTGTCCGTCCTTGGGGAGCTTGTCTAGCTTTGCGCTCTCGGTCTCGAGGATCCCGTCGGCGCCGGTGGCGCTGGGAGCGGTGACCTCGGTGAGGATTGCGTAGTTGCGCGATGGCATGGTGACCTTGTTCCACGCAGCACTCTTCTCCTCGTTACCGGGCTGCTTGTCGAAGATAGGCATCAGGGTCTCGTCGCAGTCGCGGTCTAGGTGGTGGATTTTGTTACGGCGGGCGAGGAGGTTGGCGACGGCCTTGGGTGGGGGCTTGTTGGTGATGGCGCTGCTGACGACGTTGACGATGAAACGGTGGTCGTTTTCACCAGCGAGGTTGAGCTTCGGGTTCGAGTAGAAACGTCCGATGGCTGCGAGGTGGACGTCACCACTGAGAATGGTTACACGCATGCTGTTGCTGCGTGCGAGCTCTTGAAGACGCTGAACGAGCATTTTGCGCTCCCGCTTGTGTTGGCGCGCGGTGTAGTGGTCGTCTAGATCATCGAGGAGATCGACCTGGCCATCAAACTCGTTGAAAAGTCCACCGGCAACACCGAAGCGCTTGTTCAGCAGTCGGATCGGGGCAATGACTGGGGATGTGAGGATGTTCTCGAGCCAGGCAAGACGGGGGTACGCGATTGGAACGCCGAGAAGCACGACAAGGTGCTTGATGTCACCCTCTGCATTGGCGATTTCACGCTGCAGGCGCTCAAAGATTAGGTCGTATGTGTCGTTGTAATTGACTTGATGACGGGTACGCTCTGTGCGGGCGTCCAGACCCATGAAGGCAATACGCTTTCCAAAGCGCATGTACAAGCTTCGACTACGCTCTTCGACGTATGGACCTGGCCGTTTACCAATGATCCAGCTATCGTCTTCTTCCTGGTTTTCCAGAACGTAGGTGTTTTCCACCTGACGCGGGTCAACACCCGAGGTTCCATTGACCGCGTGCATAGTCTGCGGGGAATCGGTGGTGAAAGTGGACTTGGGAGGGGCCATGTGATGCTGGAAGAGGCAGTAGTACTTGAAAGCAACACCGCCAATACCACGGAACACGGCGCACTTCATGAAGTGATCAGTGTATGAGCCGAAGCCATCGATGATATCATGGTCATCCCAGATATTGACCTGGGGAATGCGACCGTTTGCCGTACGGAAGGGCTCGGTGTTATACCAGCGCACGTAGTTGGCATAATAGTACTCGTCGCAGTCAGCGCGCATCTGATTATCGAAATCATGGTTGCGCCTCTTGTGAGGGTTTGAAATTGCCGTCCAGGGCTTGAGTGGTCCGTCCACACGAATTCCGTCGTTGTAAATTTGGTCGCCGCCGCCAACCATGACGTGGAAGGGCTTCTCGCCGTGCACGCGCATGACATCGTTCCATAGGTTCGGGCCTACCCACGCGTTCATGTCCGTACCGACAGAGAAGCCATTGCACGAGTGGAACATGATGCGCATGGACTGTTCTTCGGCAGGAACCACGAATTCCCAGGGTGCCTGGACCTGATCTCCGGACGCGTTGCAAAGCCCGGGGATGTCGTACTCCCAGCGCGCCTCGAAACTCTCCACCGGCACAGCCAGCGAGAATCGCCAGAATGCCTTCTCGGGATCCTCGTATAGCTTGAGACCTTCGACGGTTTGGGGTTGGGCGGTACCACCCTGTCCGTCCACGGAGCCGAGCTGGCGCAGGCGCAGTTGGGGTCCTTCCTGGCCTGGCTTTGTGACGATCAGGACACTACCGTGCCAGACGGTGGCGGCTTCGTAGTGCATGTTCTTCAAGTTGATCAGGGGGCCGGAGATGAGCTCAAAGCGACCTGAGCTTGCGGTTGGTCCGTTATCCCCATTTTGAAGGGTCCCTGTCATCCCAGAGGGTTCGGTCAGCTTGCGCGACTCTCGCGACTCGGGGTTAGGTCCACGATCATACCATTGGCGGGCTGCGCACTGTATTCAGCCATGGCGGGCAATTGGCACGATTCACGGAAATCTCCGGGATTGGGGAAAAGTGAAAGGGGCCGACTGTTGTCGCACAGGGGGGGATTATAAAGACTCAATCGGACAGGGTCACAGTCTCACATTAAGGAGAGGGAGCGAGGGATGGGAATGGGAATTAGGCAGCCTTTAACGATAGGGCTGCAGGGCTGAGAGGAAAAGCAGAACGAAGCGAAATTAGAGCTGCAGATCAAAGTATTCGGTACCTTCGGTGGTCCGCCGTCTTGGCAGCAAAAGAAGTACCAGCTACCTGCTCACAGCTCTTATTCAACATGACGCCGCCAAGACTTTCCGCGAGAGTCATTGGCCAATGGGAGGGCGGATTATGCAAGAGGCCCCGGTGAAGCCACGTAGCGCCACATAAGTTATTGTCAGCCGACGTATGATTGGCTGGACATTGTGGCGGTGCATGCCTAGCTTCGATCGATCGAGGGGTTGGGCTTGTTGTGCCGCTCCTTCCTCGTTGGGTTCCGTTCTTTCTGCGGTACACCGTCATTTGGTCGGACTTGTCCTGACTTCACTCGCATTGGACTATGCACTACGGAGTATACAGCGCCACATAAGCTTGAACTGTTGGGCATTCTTGTTTGCTATGACCCGCTGATCTTGTTGACCGCGATCTACGGAGTACGTGGAGCAAATTCTACTCCGCGCAGATGCTAGTGCTACTTCACGTTATGATTGGCGCCACAACTTTCGAATCCTACGCAGTCATGGAACAACAGATCAGGTAATATATCGATATTTCATACCTAAGCAATTAATAGGAAATCCGTGAGAAAAACATAAGAAATGCCCAGGTGGGCGAGACTACTCCGTACGGAGTCGGTAAATTAGAACCTTGGAAAACTCCATTATCCCATGAAAAGCTTGGACTTGAAAGAGTTCGCAGGCTTGATATCCACCCCAAATGGCCCCGTGGGAACGGATTGTGTCGTGACGACCGGCCACCCTCCGGATTTACCAGACATACCAGACCTTCGAGCGGTTGGCTTACCGGGCAGCCACTTGAACAGCCGTGCAGTCATATTCCGGGTCTCTGCCTTAAATGGCAACCAATCATGGACAGTGGGCTTGGCCGCGCTCTTTTTCCAAGGCAGCCAACCGAAGGCTGGTGGTATGTTCTGCTTCAAGAGCCACCATTTGGACCGGCGCATCTGCTGCGGCTCTGGTCTGAAAGGCAGGAAATTGAAGAGTCCACAGCGTTGGAGTAACTGATACAAAGGCCATTGTCCCAATGTATTCAGGTGCTTGGAAATGTGTCCAAATACACCGGTCGGCGGCTGGGCTTCCCCAAATGGCCACCATGCAAAGGGCCACCATGCAAACAGGCTCATATGTGTGGTGCTCCGAGAAGGTGTTGTGAGATGTTTGACCAAGATATCAAAGGCAGTGAGGAAGCATATGGCGAACAAAAAGGCAACCGACATTTGGATCATGTTTGGAACCCAACTGGCGTTGTGCCACGCTCGAGCACGAGGAATATGAGGAGCCCGGACGAAGTCAACTGGGGGGATGTCAACTGTATCGAAGGGCCCCACAGTGACGGGATCCGGAGGGAAAGGATCCTCAGCGATAGAATCTGAAAGGTGGGGATCTAGAAGAACTTGTCCCATCTCTGCCAGAAGATCCGGATCCCGAGCCTCTTGCGTCCAGAAGAAGTTCATCGCTAGGGTCTGTCGTAGTGACTTCTGTCGGAAGTCACCAACACTGAGATGCTTGCGAGCGGCAAACCAGGCCTCGCGAGATCCGTTCATCAAGACTTCGCGCAGATCTCGTTCACATGCGGCGTAATCCTTCAAAGGTTCCTCGGAGCTAGAACATAACAGGGGCGCGAAATCGGCAATGAACTGCAGATACTCAACGACAACAACTGCATCAAACCCACTGGGGAATCTTCGTGATGAAAATCCATTGTGAAACAGGACTCCAGTATCCAGGATCTCGATCTCATATTGGACAGCGGACTTCACCGTGGCAAGGAAGGTTTGGACTTCGGCCTCGATCGCGAGCTCTCCCATTCCATTACTCCAGACACTCCAAAGTTCTTGATAGTCTTCAAGCGGCTCATCGGTTTGGAAGGTATATCCTTGCAACTTATGAGCTCCGTAATCCCACGCCAGAACCAGCATACTGTTGTAGTTTGTCAACACGTTTGCAACTGGCAGACACAGGAACACGATGATAGGGTGCTCTTTGTCAGGGACGTTATCGAAGTTCATCTCAGTGTCCATTTTGATGTTTCGGAATCCATCTTTTTCAAAAGATAGCACTCGCCTAAGCGAGTATCGAGATCGCGACCGCCCTCTATATGTCCCAAATAGAGGTGGTAGTCGATCACACCCCATGGATGGCGCATGTGGCAGTTCACAAAGGTCTCGAAAGATACATCGGATTGAGCCGAAGAACCAGAAGTGGAACTGCTTGCGCTGGAGAAGATGTTGGTTCGCTTACCGCGGAAGTTGTTCTTATTCAAAGTGATTAGCTTGTTGGACATCATCTTGTCAAATAAAAACTGAATGTGAGCGGGGAAAGATAAATTAGGACGTACAGATCTCTAAGTGTGTGAGATATGACTGGATTCGAGTCTCGTGGCAGTCGTCGCAAGCGCACGAGAGAGTGATGTGTGGAGTGTGGAGATTCTTTTCGTGAAAGAGAAAGATGATCTCCTTGATGGATTGGTGGATGGTAAAGATGAAGGCGCAGAGGAAGAAGATGCTCTTGAGGTTGAATCTAAGGGAGAGGAGCTGTCCGAAGGCTGCGAAGAACTTGTCTTCCTGGTAGCTTAAGCAGTAAACGGCTCTGAGGAAGTGATAGATGATAACCGCTTGACCTACTCGTACAGTCAGACGAGCAACTACTAGAGTTACCGAGCTGAGCCAAATACCGAATAGAAGCCAGATGAATGGAGAAGGGAGGAGCTCAAGGAGAGTGTAGTTAGTGGATGGCATAAACAAGACTTACTGGTGAATTGTTCTGAGCTTGGTAATGTGATTGATGTGAGTCAATCTCAATCGAGTCAAGGTGTGATATTTGTGATGTTTCCAAGGTTGTTGTGAGGTGTGGCTTGTTCAAACTGTAGTTGGAGTTTGTGATGGTGTTGAGCAGACTCGAAGCGAAGCAAGTGCATTTATACCTGACAGCAGCGGGCGTGATATGGGATGTTGAATTTCGATCAAAGGGGCAACTACTACAATGCCTTTGTTCGAAACTGTATGTTTCTTCAGGAGCAGAGAATCAATCTGTGCGATTCCATGAAGATCTATGGATAGTGACAAAGGATGCAAGGATACAAAGGACATGTACTCATTGAGAGAAATTGGTCATTCGCTTCATGCGTTGACTCGACTGTCGAGTGGCAATGATACTGTTACCTTTCTGATGCCGTCCCAAGGTATGTTTCCAAAACGCAGGTGGAGCTTTCACATCGCCTGGTGATACTGGAGATGCATCCTAAGGGACCAAAATTGCAGCAGAGCCTGACAGGATGGAGATTGACATCCTTGCACATATCGAACGAGGGGCGGGGGCCAGGACAGGAGAGAGATCAGTCCTCAACATGAACTCCAAAGAGAGCACTCTCTCATTACTAAGGCCTCGAGGAATACATAGAAAGACAATACCTTGGTTTTCCCAAAGACTCGAACTAAGACACGGGCCTAGACCCAAGAGACATGTGGCATTGTTACCACAAAGCTCTTTGTCTCCAGCGACGCGTCTTCAACAAATCTTCAGTCTATATAAGAGTCCTCCTCATCCCACCGTTCCAGAGTATATCGAAGTTTCACACAGCTTATCATCACATCATCAGATTATCAGACAGAAAACATTAGAACCTTTAAGGTTAGAAAATGGTTGAGTACGAGTACGCCTCGCTCCTCATCCCAGGTTTCGTTACTCAAATGGCAAAGAAGACATCACGATTCGAGAAAGAAGGTTACCCCAAGTGGGTATCCGTTGTTGTTCCCGAGGGCATGGCAAAAAGCAACAGCTTGCAGATCATGGCCTTTGTATGTTGTTCGATCCAATCCCAGCGAGCCAAATTGACTCTCGAGAATCCAGGCGGAGAAGGAACACGAATCGTGTCATTTCCATTGAAGAAATGCAAGACTGAGATCGAGTTTTGGGAGGAGGCTGAAAAGGTTTCAGCGGTCTATCAGAACGCGGTCTTCCAAGGGAGGCTTGACATGGATATTGAGTATCTGTTTGGTACACAAGGCCCTTGATTTAATAGTTTTCTACTAGTTCGATATCGCGTTGGAATGCAAATTGTTTTGTTTTGAACCAGTAGAGCAAAGTAGGTCAAGGTAGTCAAGGTAGTAGGTTTATACGACATAATGCGTGAAGTGGTTGATATCAACGACGGCATCCGCTACTTTGGCGGGTGCTATTTTTAGCTGATCCCGTTGCTCCTCTCCCACCAACCCCAGCTCTTAACATTCAACTTCACCTCTCAGCTTCAGTCCAAATTTGAAGAGCTCTGTATACGAATGATGGCATCTGAAATCACATTATACGACTTGGCTTGCACCAAGGGCCTCTGCTTTTCCCCAGCAGTCTGGCGCATCCGCCTCATGTTAAACTACAAGCAGATTCCATACCGAACAATCTTCCTCGAGTTCCCAGACATCGAACCAACCCTTCAAAAGCTGTAAGTCTGCTGAATTTGCAGCGGAAACTGATTCTCAAGTCTAACAATCACAGTGGTCTGACCCCACCACAAAGCGGCAAATACACAGTGCCCGCCATCCACCACATCCCAACCGACACCTACTTGATGGACTCCGTGCCAATCGCCCAATTCCTCGAACTAATTTATCCCTCTCGCCCAGTCCCATTGGTATCCCCACTCGGTCAACAAATTGAGTCGCAAGCGCGTGGTGCCGTGGGTCCCGCATTCCGCACCTCGGTAATGCCCCGCGAGGTAAACATCCTCTCGCCGCGCGCGCAGGAGTACTTCCGACGGGGGCGCGAAGCCGCTCTCGGGCACGCTCTCGAGGACCTACTGTCTGGCGATTCAGAAGAAAGGGTATGGGAGAGTGTTGAGAGAGGAATGCTGGTGATCGATGAGTTGATTCGAGCGAATCCGGAAGGGCCGTTTGTGCTTGGTGAGCAACCCAGTGGGACCGACTTTTTCATCGCAGGAAGCCTTCAATCAGCGAAGATGGTTGATGAGGGAACCTTTGAAAGGTGTGTCGCGTATCCTGGGTTTAGAGCGGTTTATGAAGCTTGTTTGCCTTTCATGGAGAAGCGAGACTGATAAATCACTCCCACAAATACACTTGCCTGGATCTGCTATCTTCCACGATTGCATCATGCTCTCCAGACTAATGGAAGTCATTATAAATCTCCAAATATCAATCTAAGGGTGGCATTTCTTCCTGCTTTCCGAAAAATGATACAAATTCAATGTGCAGCACTTGTGGTGTATCCACTCTTCCACGAGAAAGCCCACTGAGATTTTGTGTGTACAAAATGAAAGAAGCGACACTTTCAAGCAAACAATGCCATTGCAGTGCAATGAAAAATACCCCGGAATCTACCGCGACAAATCCCGGACAAAGGAAATGAACGGAGAGTGATCAACACGTCTGGCATTTCATTGTCCATATTCATAGTGAAAAAACTTCCATGGATCCTCACTATATAAGCCCGGCCAGCCATGCAAGACGAAGATGTCTTCAAAACTAACAAAATGCCTAATACGTTCGAACTCATGGCTAGCCTTCCCCCTTGCAAGCGACAAGCGAGTGTCTTCCAAGATCACAGAGGTAATCACATCACTGATCCCAGCGACGAAGAAGCCTACTGGTGGGTCACTGTTACGCTCCCTGACCACATTCTAGAAGGCACCCAAACAGACGAGCAGATCATGCATCGTGTCTACAAAACAATCAGCATTGAGAAAAAGACTGGACTTCGCAATATTGAAATCGGTCATCGTGCGCTTCATGGTCAAGGGAAGCGATGCATCTCTTGACCGGTACAGCGGACAGTGTTAACCCCACAGGAGATTATGATCCAGGCAGAGATCCTTGCGTTTTGGTGGCTTGAGCAGATCCAGAAACCTAGGATTTTCCTTGATCAATTTATGATCTTCACTGCGAAGGGGGGATTCCATGGCGATTGTCTGGATCTTCCGCTTGATTGGGGTAAGCCATCTTTTGCAGGACCGTATTGATAGTCAGAGCATCTAGCAGAGATCAACTTCCTTCTACCTAGAACACGGAGTCCGAGCATAACCTTGGAAAACCTTGGAAGCTTCCGAGGTTCCAATGTTGGCTCATGTGCCTCTCGTCGACCGATCTATCTGTAGGTACTAATCCAGAAAAGAATTCATCCCGAGCTTTATTTTGAGATCTAATAAATACATCAATCATGCACACATAACCCATTCATACATATTTTGCGTAAATCAATCATCCAGAACCATGCAAGCCACAACCATAGAAGCTGACATTCCTCCTGTAGGTGTATACAGATCCCTCGGTCTGTTCCCAAGCCCACGACCCTTCGGCTCCAACTCACAACTTTTATCCCACATCTCATGCAGCTCAACAGCCGAGTGTAGCTGATTTGAAAAATAGTCTTGCAACTCTGGCACAGGCTGTAAGCAGTACGGAGCTTCTTTCCATCGCTGGACGTCATGTACCGTCGTTGCTAGCATTGTGTACTTGTGGAAGTTGACCAACCCTTCCGTTGTAAGAGCAGGATTGCCATCCTCGATAAATGTAAGATCTTTCAAGAAAAGGCCTGCAAAATGTGTTAGCTGGTTTACATGGAAGAGTGGATTTCATACTAACCGAGAAAGGGTATACACGGTGGCACAGCAACACGCAGAGCCTCACGATATGCCTGATAATTTTGCGCGCTGACGATCATCGCCTGTAATGGTCTGAGCATGTTGCAACTACGTTCTGTGACCATAGCCCACGTTCTCGCCAGTCGGTATATGGGTGCACTTTCCAGCCCCGACAGAATAGATATCACCGCCGAGTAATTTTGAAGTTGATGACAGTTCTATTAAAAAAATTAGCATGCAGCAATACGAGGGAGAGGTTTATATTTACGCTGGCCACATTGACTAAATGATCTACCACCTGAGCACGCTTTTTCAAATCTGGTTCTGCAAGTAGGGTGGCGCAAACCCAATTTGAGAGTTGGTTGGAATGTCGAATCAACGACCTCACGTTGGGTGCGCATTCTGGTGTTGCCTTTTTCTGCCAATTCTTTTTGAGCAATTCTGTGCGCTGGACCCTGTTAAACATTTGCGCTTCCATTATCGTCAGTTGGCGCGCAATCTCTTTGGGGTCGATTTTCATGAACTGTAGCTTGTCCAGCTTTTTGGGTAGGATTGGTTTTGGTGGGTTGGAGATGGACGGGTGTGATCTTTTGGTGTACGCGCTACCGGTGAGGCGGCGTTGAATTATGGAATCGAGTTGTTGTGCTGGGGTATCGGTGGTTGAGGTGACGCGCTCCACGAATGATTGCATCTCTCGGAGAAGCTGGTCCGTGTCGCCGCCCTTCGGCTCATCCCAAAAGTGTTCGAGCCATTGCTTCAATATATTTATCACGCGCAAACGGATGAGCGGTCGTGTTTGAGTCGACCATTGCTCAATCTCGACAGGATTTGTGGTGGGAGGTGGGGCGTTGTCGAAACGATCGACGAGAAGTCCGAGAAGCTCGGAACCCGAGGTGAAGTAGCTATAGGTGACAAGGAAGGTTCGGTTGAAGGAAGCATCGAGCTTGTCATGGCGCGTGAGATTTTCGACTAATGTTGGTAATGTTGCTGCTTTGATCATTTCCGCGTTTTTGTTGGGATTATCGGCCATTCCGTCCGTAGTGTCGTGAGACCCGGAATCTATCCGTTCTATCGTATCTTCTTGAGCCATTGTTCTGTAAAGGACAAGAGGCGTTTCCGTGTTGTGTGTATCTGTCAGAGGTATTAGATGGGAACCCCATGGGTTATACAGAGCATTGGCGCGGCAATGTCTCGGAACTGACCTCATACGTAACAGCTTGGGCGGAAGAAGCGTTGGAGCTAGGACCACGGCAAATGTGATGTATTCGCGTGGATAGTGGAGATCCGTTGCGTTAGGACCACGGTTCTAATGAAGCTGTGCACCCCACTTCAGATTGATAAAAGCCCTACGCGTTAACAGCGGAACAAAAATCGGCATTGTCCGACCTCGGGTTTGACTCACTCTCACGATCAGCAGGTCGAGGTCCAGGTCGGGCCTGGGATTGCCTGGCCGATCCTCGGATTTCGCTTAGCCGCTTGTGCCGTGGCCCCCACTTTGTCCCTTGGTACGCACCCAGATTCGAAACTCTCAGTTATCTGATCCGAGAGTTAATGCGATTATGTGCTCTGATTGGTTGATGCTGAGAGAGTTTTTCCCGGAATAGCCCCACAATGCCACTTTGGGACGAGACACGCGGACCAAACCTTGGAACCCTGCGAGCTTTTCACGACGATTCAATAGTGACATTGCTAAATGGGACAAGGCAGCTACTGTATCCATATTTGGAAGGTCGAACGTTGATTTCAGGTTCTATGTGTATTCAAACGCGAAGGCCTCCATCCCAATGCTCCCATTTTCCCATCCCATTACTAGAGAACGGTGCCCGGAACCTGAGGCTTCTTCCTCAAGTCGATGTCTCTCATAAGCATCGTCCAAGGAATTGCTAAAACAATAATACCACAGCCAACCGAGAGGAGTCTCAGTTCGGAATAGGCATAGGCATTTTGAATAGCCTCCCTGACAGGGCTTCCAACCGGATAACTCCGCTGTGTGACGAGGTCTTCATAAATTTTGTTCAAATCTGGCATTGCCGATTCGGGAAGGTACCTTACCAAGGCCTTCAGGTAGGTGTTCTGCCAGATGACGGTACTGATGGTCAGACCCGCACTGTCACCGATAGTGCCGACAACGTTCAATAGCGCGAGAGCGGTAGCCACATGCTGATGATCGACAGCTGCCAAAATGGCGAGTTGCTCAACGAGAATAAATGTCGACCCACTGATTGCGAGGAAAATCTGGCACATGACCTGGTAGCCGACGTTCATGTTTGGTCGACGGAAGTAAATCATCAAGCCTTGAGCAAGAATGTAGAGTGGGACAGCGATGTAGAGGGTCCACTTGAAACGGCCGACTCTGCGGATTAGCCAACCAGTGAGAAGCAGAAGCACACCAGAAACCATGTCAAAAATATTGACGATGTAATTTGAAGTGGTGATGCTGAGATCATTGTTGACCTGTAGCCAGGATGTGAAGTAATAACTCCAGCAGTAATTCGAAAGCTGGTAAGTCGCATCCAATAATACTGCGCCGATGATTGTGCGATTTGTGAGGAGCCGCCACTCGAAAAGGGGAACCGGAGCCAGCCAGCGTTCCCAGATTGCAAAGAAAAATAGGGTGCAGAATCCAACAACAAGCATAGCGATAATGTAAGCTGAAGCCCAGCCATCGGGGGCGTAGTCGGCAATGTCGAAGGGGAGCTCGAATAGCACGAGGCCTGCTGTGAAAACGAAGACTCCCACCACTAGTCACCCGATGAGTATGCTGTTATGTCCTGACGGAGGAGATGTGACGTACCGTCAAATTCAATAGTCCAATGACAGACGCTTTCCCATATTGTGCGACCGCTTGGCCTCTTGATACGGTACCCTTCTTCTTCCGCTTTGTGAAGATTCCATTTCAGGATGGCATAGAGAGGGGTTGCGAACACCGGTAAAACAATTGCCCAGCAGCCAAAGCCCCACCTCCATGAGATTTTATAGTAGAATTGCTCCGCGACCTTCGGTCCCGCAAACGCAGTGATAATATACGGCGATGAGGTGAAGGCGTAGGCAAAAGCTCGATTTCTCAGAGTCGAAACATCAGCGGTGACAACGTCAATTGCGTATTCCATTCCGTAGAAGCCAGCGTAATAGAAAACCTGTAGCAATCAGCATCCGCAAGGGAAAAGAGTGGGATTGCTGGTGTCATTCAACTCACATTGGCGGCACAGTATATTTCAAAGGAATGGCACGTTGCCATGAGTACCAGTCCAATAGTTGCACAGATGACCATCAGAAGAAAGGCTTCAGCACGTCCCCACACATCCATCATCTTGGCCGCGGGTAGATAAGTGGCAGCGGCAAACGCATCGCCTAGCGCGGTAGGAACTGCCGACAGCGAGTGTTTCTGGAAAGAACTTGTCACGTAGGGATTGAGAGTTGCTGTCACCGTCGATTGAAACGCACTTGCGAAGTACAAGAACCAGATACTGTACAGGAGTTGATGTCAGTACCTGCCACAACAGAAGGGGAAAATGCACACGCGACAGGAAACAGAACAAACATACTTAATGAAAACAATGATCAAAGTCTTCTTCGACCAAGCCATAGTGACAGCTTCCACATCTTGGACACCATGTTGGGCACTCCCATCTGGTACTTCGCCGCACGCTGCGGAACTGGTGTAGCTCTGAGTAGGGCGGACTTTGGAATCAGGGATGTCCGAATGTTGGTTGAGGGAAATATCATCATTGTCATCAACCGACAAGCGGCGGAAGACCACCCGGGCCCTGCGAATGAGAGGGCGAACACCCATAGTTGCTATACACCGCACATGGGACAAGACCACTTGGGAATCACAAGCATTAAGTCAATTTGGATCGTGGGCGGGCCTAGGGGATCGTTTCCATTATAGTACACAAGCACCGAAGTCGGACGGGGGGCTGAAAACTAACTGGAAATGCATTAGCCATGCCGAAATGGAGCATCATTGGGTGTGATGATTGGCCGTGCGGAGATGAGGTGGAGAAACTACAGGATCTATGCTTTCGCGGCTAATGAAAAAGATTAGATCCTCCGCCGACACACGCCACTCTTTTGCTGAGAACGTGTGATCTTCGGCGATGTGAACTGTCAGCTCACTCCGACTCCAAATGATCCTCAATCTTCCCACAATTTCTCTGATGTGCCTCTGACTTCCTTGATAATCTGCAATCCACTTTTTGTTCTAGTGAATTAGGTTGCATGATCATTCCAAGTGGAACGTTCCAAATTGGAGAAAACTAGCGAGGTTGTAATTTAATTAGGGGAATTTGTATCAATCTACGATTTTTCAATGAATTGACCCACAGACCACACAGAGGCCCTGATCTCGCTTGCAACCCTGGGGGCCAGGTGCCTTGCACTGTGCCCATTTCAGCATAGTGCGAAATAGCGCTGACTGTGTGACATTAATATTTTTTTGTAGTGGATAAATTGCTGCATGCAATGGATCTGGGCATCAAAAGTACTACTCCGTACTAGTTTCAAGATTTTGTGGTCTATGCTTTTCAGAGCCTAGAGCCAGCGAAACTCGGTGTGGACATAATTCATTGTGGAAATTCCGACAAAGCTGGGATATTGTCAATTTGGGTCGAGAAGCTTACTGTACTTTAATCTTCGCCGAGGCCTTGGGCTACATACTGCACCTGCCCAACTTGTCGATCGGCGTCTATGCTCCCTGATTCGATATTGCAGTGTCGATCCCCGAAAATTAAGGTTGGGTGACATAGCACTATTCGGAATTTTGCAACAGATGCGAAATAAGATTGGTCATGGGATCTTCAAGGCAATACGAGACTACATCATGATCGTTCGGAAGTTTGCCGATCAATTTGACATCGCGACCTTTGGAGAATCCGTAGTTTGAGAATGACAGTGCTTTGGCACGGGAGCGATCGCCCCGAGGTCTGAAGATGGACATGATCACACATCGGCAATCGCGCCCAAACCATTCTAACACCCTGAGGCTTGGAGCACAATCACTTGAATACCATCTTGAACCTGTTAGTTCATGGAAATATTGAACTAGTCCATTCGGAAATTTTGAACTGATTTGACTCCACCGAAGAAACATTCATAGTCATCCATGGATGACGAAAGAAATTACAATTTGGGCCTCTCTCAAGCATGCAAATGGCATTGATCTCCATATCAAATCTTGACTTTGCCGTTTCAGGTTATGCCTTGGGTCTCGGCACACAGGTAAGTCTTGTCCCTGGCTGAGTTAGTCCAAATTTGGCGAGCTATTCTTATGATCCTTGTTAGGTGCTCAGAAATCTGTTTTCATCTTCTGCTTTACAGACTGTAGACTAATATGGATAGTTGGAAATCAGTTCTTCCATACCAAAGGCAACAATAGTAGAGTTATGTCTACCAGTCAGTACCTGCCAACGTCAAGCAAACAGACCAGACATGATAGGAAACAACATATAACGATTGGCAGTAACAAAACGTAGATGCTTGTATAAGGAACTTACATAGTGTGTGAAAGTCTGTCAACACAGCAACAAATGTCTGAGCATGAGCCACTGGCATAGTCCAGTAGTGAAGAGTGGTAGGCCGGGGGAATCCGCGGTGTAATTCCCGTGTTGCCTTGAACCCCTTAGAGGTGGAGGTGCTCATGAAGCATTGCGTTAGAGTTGCAGGGCACCACCTCATCCCTTTTCTTTCTTTCTGTTTTCTTTTCTCCCACTCTCTCACTCCTCTTCTTGAATTTCTTCCCTCAAGTAACCAACGGCTGATACACGAATGTCGGATGTAATGCAGAGCTTCTGCATACTAACTAAACTTGCAGCATCTAGTCTTCCTTCGAGCCGCCGATGATTGAGGATCAGTTGATGTTTGCTGGTACGGAGTACCTTTCCCACACAGTTTTGTGTCCGCATTGGGAAAGTATGGGGAGGATCTAGCCCCACTTCCATCCCCACAAGTCACATGACTCACCACAATTCCGTCCACGTTCTCCACAAATAAGGTCAGGTGACCGCACCACAATTATCGAAGTATTCATGCCAATGTTTCTTTGATATCACGTCGCGTCTGGTGAAGCTCGCAGTTTCAAAACAATGTGTAAGGCTTCATAATAGCATTATCTGCTATGATTGAATTTTGAAGTTCAGAGCCTCCCTTAGCGGAACGCAATGTTGTGAAGACAATGGTGAGTGTACTTGTCAATTGTGGGGCAGTTATCTGACCCGACTAAACTTGTGCAGGTCATGCTGCACGTCTCGTTCGATTTCCCTGAGCTATCCATCCTCAAGATTTGGATATCACATCGGAAACCTGCCAATAGAAGCACGAGAAACTTGCATCTTAGTCTGAAGGCAAAGCTTTTGGGCACGACCGCGACGATACATGATTCCATCTCGTTGACAACTCTTCTTTCCCTTCAGCAGAAAGTAACCGCGCAGCCATGGCACTGATGAGTCCATATCATCACCGGAAATACTGGGTGGTTATAGAGATTGTACAGCCCCATGCGACTAGAGTATCACGATTCTGTTGACTTTGCATCACCACGCAGGGTGCCGAGCCCCCATAAACCCATTCGCTTGCCTTCCACTCGGGTCAACGGGTCGAAACAAGGGTGCGTACAACAACTTGAATAGTACGCTCAAGCCCAACAGGTTGTTCCGATGGCATTTTACCAGTCCCTGCCTCGAGTGCATCCATCAATACTTGCAACGAGCCCAGAGCGCTTTCTCCCCTCTTCGCAACGAGCATGTTCTTGCCATAGGGAGCTATTGCCAAGGTAAACATGGGTGTGGTTGTCTTCAATGGGATTTATCATGGATCTCATGAATCCCCATTCTTGCGGCTTGAGCTCTTGAGAAGATCGTTACCTGTTAGCCAACACCCATTGCGGCTTTGGTAAACCCAGGTGTCGATTCAGAAATCACACCAAACAAGAGGAGGAGTGAACGGAGGGGAGAAAGAAAGCACTGGAATATGAACCCTACAAGATGCGCTTGTTACTCCATGATCTCACAGGTGGGTCAATATACTTGACTCGGCTGTACCTTCTGAATTTGGCGTTCGACTATGGAACTCGGCATATAAAGAGAGGTGCCTCTCCAACAAAAATCCATCATTCATTCCTGAACCTCCGATTTTATCACTAATATACAATGGGTAGTCACAGCTCAGAGCTCACGGTCACTCACGTTGATAGCTATTTCGCTCATATCGGACTTCCTGCGCGATTCCAGCGAGATCAGCATCCCAGCTTGGACGCAGCCTTCCTTTCAGCCATTCAAGCACACCACCTTTGTCGCATCCCTTATGAGAATGTCGCATTACACTACAGTCGAGCCCCATCCATCTCCCTAGAAGTCCTTGACATCTACCGAAAGTTCATCGAGAAGGGCCGAGGAGGGTACTGCATGGAAAACAACATATTCCTCTTTCACGTTCTGCGTGTCTTAGGATTTCAGGTATACTTGACTGGGGCCCGACTCTACCGTGATGCTATTAGTCCTACACCGGGGTGGTCAGGATGGTGAGTCAGAGCACATGTGGATCACTGTGACTCATTGCTGATATCAATCTCCAGGGAGCATGCAGTGAACATTGCCACACTCGAGAATGGCGCCAAGTATGTGGTCGATGTTGGTTACGGCGGCGACGGACCGACGGTTCCTTTACCTCTGACTACAGACGTGGTGTCTCAAAATATCGGCACTCAGGAATTGCGGCTGCTTTACGGTAGCGTGCCTGGTCTTTCAGATAAACAGAGAGATCTCTGGACTTATCAGTTCCGAAATGGGGCTGATCAAGCATGGAAACCGGCATACGCATTCTCTGAATTCGAGTTCTTCCAGCGAGACTTTGAAGTGATGAGTTTCTACACGAGTCAGAGTCCATCGTGTTTCCTTACATCACATTTCCTCGCCATCCGATTTTTGCGCAAGGGAGAAGAAGTCTACGGCAAAATGATCTTGGACCAGGACAAACTGAAAGAGAATCTGGGCGGCAAGTCTGTCTTAGTTGCGAAGCTTCAACACGAGCAGGAACGAGTTTGGGCTTTGCATGACCATTTTGATATAGATCTGACCGAAGATGAGAAGAGTGCTATTGCTGGAAAGAAATCTGCACTCATTCGATGAAGGTTGTTTGAAACTTGCCAGGCCGCGATGAGGACAGCCCTGGAGGTGGAGACATTGGAGGTCAATAGAATAGCCCTGATTGACGATCTATTTATTTAAGTCTAGTCCCCTGAAGAATGCACAAATTAAGGCGTCAACTTTGAAAAGGGCTACAATGCCTTGAATTTCCCCTCAGAACGCTGATGCCCACTGGAGTGCAACAGTGGGACGAATAGGGGTCTCCGAAACCATGTCAGATCCACTGCCCCCTGTGATATGAGTTGTCGGGATCTGGCGTTCGCAAACATTACCCAGGCGCATCATTCAGCTGTTGATGGCAAAGATTTCATACACTGGCGCGTGACTCAACTCAATTTTCCTTCCGATCAGATGTTCAATCCCTGCAGTGTGAATCTGACCCTTAATACCATGACGGTCACGACTTCACGACTCGGCGGCCTCCTCCAGCTGTCGTGAGGGGAACTAAGTCGAGCAACAATCATCGCACCTAGGAGTCATCTTCATTTGGCCATGTGTAAGACATGATTTGCAAGCAATTATGAGACTTATGTGAGTCTTAATAAAGGACCTCGAGAGATGAATTCATAAATGGATCAAAGGTGACTGATTGTGGGGGATGTTTTCATGGCACGTAATTAGGAAACTATATTCTCTCAAGAAGTGATGTCGGCCTTGGACAACCTTGGAAGGAATTTAGTTTGAGTATGTATGACTCCCGGAGAAAGTGATAAGAATCACGAGGATTGAAGTGTCGAGATTCGAAGAACGGAGAGCAATTCAAAATCTGGCTTGGTTTGGTGCCCACGCATTCTTCATTCTCGATTCCTTGGGCCTTGGGTGTCACGCGGGGCTTCAACGTTCGGGGGGGGTTAATGGATGGTATCCGGCTTTAAGGAATCTAGCAACAGCACTCAAAGCATAGCAAGCCCGCGCAACTATCGGAGCACATTGAGTCAGTATTGCCGTCTGTATGCCATGAAAGACTCCCAAGAGCAGAAAACTTACATCCCACAACAGACGCCACCTTCACCTCCGCCACGTAGTTGCATTTCTGTGGGCTCTTCGCCTTCCTGTATAGTAATCTCAAGTCAATACCAAGAAAATTGCAATGAGTTCACTGTGCTTAAGAAGGGTACGAACGGCTTTTTGGCTGTCACGATTGGTCGACGGCGCATCAGGGCTCGTCGGCTGCTGGAACTCCATGCTCACCGTTTTCGGGTCCCATTTTGTTTCTTCTGGGGCTTTGCTAAAAAGGTTCAACCAGGCAAACATTGTGATGAGTGGTGTCTTGGTAGTTCGATGTAGAAGAGTGCAGATGATCAAGTTCAGGAAGAGAGAATGCTGTCTGTCGGATGCTTGCCGTGAGCACACGGGATACCTCGGTGTATTTATGTTAATTTGATAAAGCACCTCGATCTCTAGGTCTAATACTAGGGGCTGAGTAGTGAAACAGAAAACAAAGATAGAAACATTCACCAAAACAACATTATACCGGGGCTTCCGATTGGGATGGGAGATACTATGAGGGCTAGGCTTGCAGGCAAGGGAGCGAATGATTGCTGCCTATATAGTAGAGCCCGCGCCGTGAGATCCGACTCTAAGGCGCAGAATGGATGCGGCAATCGCCCAGCATCGATGATCGACTAGGTACGGGGACCAACTGCCCGCGAGTAGAACACTGTATAACGATTCCAGTTCCACAATGACCGATCTCACTATTGCTATAATTTCCGCGTGGCATTGTTAACGACACGTTAATCAGGATGAGTAAATTTATTAATTGACCTCCAGTCAGTCCAGTGCAGGGTCAGTGAACAAAGCTTGGTATTTTAGACATTATTAAATACATGACTTGAGAGTCATCCAACCCAAGCACTGCTCCAAGCGTCCGAGCTTGGACTGAAAAGATTTTCGGCTCAACAAAACTTCTGAGCACGGAGCGCTTCGTAGGTGAACAGCAGATAGGGTTAGTTCAGTAAGCACGCAGTGGAGCGTTTTGCAAAATCCTCAATTGTGGTCCTTTTAGGCTGACATTTTTTTACCAACAAGAATTATTGGGCCGTCGTCTGAAGAAAACCCGCTTTTGGAATTATATCCACGTTGGTTCATAAAGATGTGGACCCTCAAGGGTCTTTCGCTTCCGAGGAGTTGCGGCAAAACCACGGAGTATCTGCCTCTTATTGTTTTATCAGCAAGCCTTGCTCGGGCTCCTAGATTTGAACGATTGAACTGGTTTGGCAGCGCCCCAGACTCAGAAATCTATTCCACCCGCCGACATGCTTATAAACGTCCTCATCGGTGTATGGTCCCTTTCTACTTGGTCTACCTTGTTTGGGGTTTCGACATACCCGATCCATCTTTCGGAGCTGCAAGCGGAGATCCAATGGGCTGGACTATTTTGTGATCATTGATTGCTGGCTAACCTTCGTCCGAATGGCAGAGATTCCTAATCCCTGGCTGCGCAGTAGCAGAGACAGGCAGGCCCATCCAACTAATTTGAAGGCATACGGCATGCATAAAGCTATCAGGATTTGCGCAAAGATCATTGCGATAGTCTGGCCAGAAAACATATCCAAAACAAACAAACAAACAAACAAATAAACCATCGCCCTGGAGGCTTGGTAATCAAATAAGATAAAGTCGCCTGAACCCTTTCTCAATCGCAAGCCAATTGACTCGGTATATTATGCGGAAGCCTCATAGTTTATCATCAAAAGCCAAGACTCCTAGCCTAATGAGTCTGGTGGTGAGGCGGTGTTGTACATATTGGTAACGGTGCCCCAGGTGTTGTGTCGTTAGTCTGACCATCTAGCGTCGGTCTCCCCGAACCAAAAATAACCCACTCCTCTCATGTGCAATATCAAAAGAGATGCAAGGATTGTTGGAAGATATTAGCGAGACTTCTCCTGTTGTAGTTGGAGAGGCTTGGGTAAAATGGAACATCGGGATGTCTGGTTCATCGAGCAACAGACGCACAGAGATGTTTTGTACATCTTCCTCTATGGCACACCAAAGGGGACTGTTGAATATATGCCCAAGCTATAACACGGAATTATACAGCCTAGAATTTGCAAAAGACATGATATCTTCCATAAACCACAGGCTCCAGGGATAATACCCAGATGACAGACCTCCTTGGAAGAGCGTGAAAGGCCGAATTCATTACATTCACCTATGTTGTCACTTCGAGATGGGAGGATTTTCCCTTTTCAACCTAATTGTTACTTCTTTCTGTGCATCTGGTGAGAGCTTTTGCCATCTTCTTGATATACTATTTGTGTTCTAACATTGAATGTTCCTGCAGCAGACTTCAACGGCCAGAGTCTCGCCACGCGTTCCGATGTATCGGATCTTGTCAGCTGAGGGTTGCCCAACACTCAGATGGATCTGAGTGACCGAAGCCTCAGGCAATGCACCAAATCAATCCCACTCAGGCCAAACAGTGATATCCTTCAACTCCTCTCGATGTTCCATATAATATGCCTGACCCAGCACATGAAGTTTCCGACGATCCGTCTTCTTGGACTTCGTGCGTGGAACTCTATCAACAAGTAGGTAAAGACCCGGAACATAGTACTTAGGCAAGCTGTCACTAACAGTAGCACTCAAGTACTCAGTAAGACTGTGAACAGAATGCTTGCTGCTGATGGGCCAGAACTGCATTTCTTCGATCGGGCCGCTATTCACATTCAATGGGTTGTTGGCGAGGTATAAGTAAACCGCCAAAATGGGGTCTCCTTTCCCATCAACCGCACCTAGCACATCGACGACAGCTGCATCGCCTGTGGAAAGGCTTTGTCGGAGGACGTACTCGACCTGACCGGCTTCAACGCGTGCTCCATCAAGCTTCAACATGCTGTCTTTGCGGCCCATGAGCTCGATCGTGCCGTCGTGATTGTATCGACCCAAGTCGCCGGAGCGGTAGAGTCGATGATTTGGTCTTTCCTCGTGTAGCTGCGCCATCCAAACAGGCGGAGTGGGGAGGAAGTTTTCAGACTTTCCAGAAACATGGTCCAGATACCCCTGTGAAAGGTGTGGTCCTTCGATAAGAAGCTCGCCAACTGCCCCCACGGGCATCAGTTGGTCTGGGTTATCTGGGCTGACGATCCAGATCGCGCCTGTCGCCGGTCGACCTATAACGGACCCACGGCCCATCTGAAGATTGCGGTTGTACGCGCACAAAGAAGCGACCTCTCCCATGCCATATTGATTAACAACTCGTACACGACACAGCCACTTGGCCAGTACCGCATCTGAAACTGGCTCGCCGCCAATACACATCATCTGCAGAGTTGGAATACGATCGGGGTCGAGGTCGATGGCAACGGAGGGAGTGATGAACATGATGTTAGCTTCCAAGTCGTTCAAGTCGTTCATGAGCGCGTCCATGGTGAGCGAGACAGTTGGAACGCAGCAGCAGCCGCCAGCAATAAGAGGAGCCAGGAAGTCATTATTGCTGATGTCGAAAGCATATGCGTCGAATTGGAACATACGGCTGTGGGGACCCATTTCCATCACTCGAATGTAATCGGTCAGTGCGGATGCATAACTTCGGTGCTCCTGAACAATTCCTTTGGGGTTTCCCGTACTACCGGATGTGAACAGAACAACACATGGGTCGGTGGGAGTGACGGTAGAGCACGGAATTGAATCGAAATCCGACAGACTTGAGATTGATGCTGCGCTCACTTCAAACAATGTTTCAACGCGGCCGGAAAACTTTTCCTTATACCCATTTGAAACGAGCATAATTTGGATTTGGGTACGCTCGAGAACAGAGGCGAGGTAAGATGGTGGATCGGATCCATCGACACAGATATATGCACCTCCAGCCATGAGAACGGCAAGGCGAGCCACAATGGCCCATGTAGACTTGTAGAATGCACATGCGACAAAGACATTCGGACCAACTCCTTGCCCCACGAGCCAATGTGCCAAACGCGACGAAAGAGACTCTAATTGGCGATATGTAAGATCTCCGTCCCAGGAACGAACGGCCAGAGCATCTGGTGTGGTCTTCACGTGTTGCAAGCAGAGCTCGTGCAGAAGCGCGTCTTGAGCAGGAGCAGGATTCCCGGTGAACTGAGCGATGTGCGTTCGGTCCTCCGCTGAACACAAGTCTAAACTACCGATAGTCTGTGTCGAGGAGATGTCGAGTGAGATGAGAGCCTGATTAAAGCTATACAAAAGGCTTTTAGCCAAAGGCAGCTCGATTCCAGAATCACCCATTGCCAAGCGGGCATGCAACCTGTCGTCGGGGGTGTGCTCAATCAAGAGGCGAAGGCCCGGGAAATCATTTTCCATCTCCAGGGGCTGATGAGATTTTGTTGCGCAGCATGTATGACATTGGCCCTTGCATATGGCCTCACTGGAAGTGGAAGGTTTCGAGAGCTGCTTCTGGTACACAATTGCTGTATCGAATCGAAAGCTTTTTCCATCACTTCCACCGTGACCATTCATGGCCAATGAACTGAGCTTCGATGTTACCAATGCGGTCATACACTGGGAGATTGTTTCTTTCACACTGTCATGCGCATCTACGTGGATCTGGACAGTTGGCCCTGAGGAGCTATGAGGTCCCTCACCGACATAGCACAACCCCTTCGAGTATTCCTCACCAATGTACAGAGTGGTCGAGTAAGCAAAGGCTCTAGCCACTGCTACCCATGCAACTTGAAGTAACCGCTGGATATGGATATCTGGTAGCTCGCTCACGGCGGGTGAGAGAGGATTCAAGGCATCAAAGAGGTATAGGAGGCGCCAAGGTCGGTCCGTCAATGTGAGACTGACTTCGCTCACGGTAGCTTCACTTCTCGATCTTTTCAAGGACAACAAGTTGTTCTGAGATTCGTCAAAGTCTGCTTCTAAAAGGATGGGCGCCATGTTGATGAAGTAGAAAAACAGCTATGGACGTAGTACTCGAAAGTCAAGTGAAAATGGATGCAGTATCGGAGCTCTTCAGCTTTAATGTATGCCATGCTCTGCGAGCACAGTCATCTAGAGTATGACAGGCATTGTGAACTGGGCTCTTGGCAGGATGGTATTCTTTGTTGAACGAAGTGGGTGATCAATAGGATCTCATTGATGGCGCCACGGACTTCGGCTCGGCGAATCAAACGCATGACATTCGGAATCATTCTCATGTCGCTGCATGTACAGCACCATCACTTCGTGTCTGCTGTATTGTTTGCTTCGTAAGATGTGGCTGTATTTAGAAAAGGGCTGGCTGACCCCCAGAACAGAGGGGGCAATTATGGCCGGGGATCTTGTGGTGACCTGCAAATCATGTCGCGCGGAGGACGCGTCGATTTTTGAGAGATGGCAACGAGATCAACCCCAGATTTGGGCCCATATTTGAGTGAAGTAGGCGGGGGATCTGTTTGACAAACGACTGGCGTCTTGGCAAGTTCCAGGGTTCCCGTTTGGTCGCCGCCTCTTGCCGCTGTACGAAGGACGCAGGTCGTTTTCGGTACTCCGTATTCCAGATACCACTCAGCTTCGAGGTGAGGCATCCATCTCTAAAGGTGACCGGTCGAAGCTGAAGATACTCAAACTGTGATGTGGGATGTTGGCGGCCACAGACCTACAAATTGCTTTTGTGGGGCCAAGCGGATAAGCTCTTTCCCGCACAGTTTGTATCAAGCACAGCAGCATCGTTCTTCTTTCATGTTTGAAGACGCTGATTTCAGAGTTAAGAGATAAATCACGTCTGATTTCTATTTTGAATTCTCTTCATCAATATGAGCTAAAGCCGGGCCAAAGATCCATGTCCTCTTGAGCATTGCACCGAGGTCATTGAATCTCGAAGGCAAAGTGAATTGGGCCACTGGCGTATACGCATCCGTGCGACTTACTCATTCGCTGCTTGAAGGAGACTCGAGATGGGGTTGTAGACGCGCAGCACGAAGTCTCCCGCAATCTTCGGAATATACGACGGAAAGCTTTGATGGATTTGCTCCAAGATTCCCCAGGACTGTTCAGAATTTGGATCATAAGGGGCCGTGTTCGAAAGTCCGGTCGTGTTAAAGGACGAGTAGATGAGTGGAACATCTTCGGTAAACGCAGAATCATTACTCTGTGTGAGATCCAGTCCTTGACTGCTGAAGAACTTCGCATTTCCAACTGCTGCCATCACAAGCGGCGATGCGGCGTTGACAGCGTAAGTGCGTGCAGCAGCTCCATTTACTTCGATGGCTTCCCAATATTCAGCACTTTTGTCTCCTTCCTCTGGCATATCTAGACGGAATATTAGTTATACCAGTGGACGTGGCTGAAGAAGCCCTGGGATTCTAGGTGAAACTCACAAGGCCAAGCAGCGATATGCAACGTCTCGACCTGAGATTGCATGTTAAATGTCATCGCTGGATGGAAGTGTTCCCAACATTCCAGCAGCCCCCAGCGTCCATATGGAGTTGCAATAACCTTCAGGCCTTCTACGGTTCCATCGGACCAGATCTCGCGCTCGCCGCCGGAGGGTCGAAGCTTGTGACGAAGATGAAGCACTTCACCCTCGGGAGAGATGAGCGCTTGACCCATGTATATGGTACCGTTGGTGTGGTGGGAGAATGCAGGAGCGATGTAAACTTTGGAATTTTTGGCAGCCTTTTTCAGATCATTCCATTGAGGACTGTCAATCACCAAAGAATTATTGATGTAGCTCTCGGCATGGGATGCGATTGAGGCTTTGTCGGCCATTCCTTTGGGATAACTAATACAGTCAAAGCGTCAGTTCCTTCTTTGCTAGACCACATCTGAGAAACTGGAATATATCAGGATTCACCTACCCAGGGAACCATAATTCGGGGAAGACCACGAGGTTTGCACCATTCTCAGCAGCCTCATGAATGAGTCCCACTGCTTTGGTCACTGTTTTGTTGAGATCAAATTCCACGCCTGTCCAGTTTTTGTTCATGACAGGCAGTGGCCAATTTGCCGGAGGAGCGCGGACAATCGCGACAGTCAAGTTGTTGTAGTCTGCCGAGTGAGACTTCCCTGCATGCTGTGAAACCACACTTCCAACTGTTGAAACCGCCAGTGAAAGCAACGCAATGGGCATAGGCGCACGCATCATATGATTGAAGTTGTGTTTCTTTCTTCAAATTGGCCAGAGGGTCTTCATCAAATCTTGCAAGTGATCGCTGGGCACTACTGCGATTTATATCGGAGGACCTCGCAATCGTTCCACCTCGCAAGCTTATCTCGACACATACTTACATACACTCCTTCGAATTTCTAGTAACTAAGCCACAATTCCCTCCAGCAAACCGGATATCGAGAGACCTAACTTCGGGACTCCACCTCAAATCCCTAAGCAAAACCCGAAGATAGCTCCCGAAAATCGATGCCGAACGAAAGCCATTTACATTGTCATGATGGACCTATCTGGAAATGCTATCTCAAGATTACAATAAATTGATTCTCTTACGCAATATAAAGCAATAGTCCCGAGGTCACCTTATTACCTCCTATCGCCTTGACCCCGGAGCCTACAATTGTCCACGAGTTCTAGTTCCAGGGGCTTCGAGCTTTTTCAATCTCTTTCTCAAGTTCGAGCCGCAACTATCTAAAAGAAGATTTAAACCTTTGAAGCGGTGCAGCATCTCCCTATCGGTGCGGATACCGCTACTAACACTTTCGCCACTAACACTTTGGACGACGAATGTTTCCCTCTTTCAGCATTCCTGTGTGATCTTCGTGTTTCCGGAACCACGTCCTCTTTTCAAATCTGTACGGGGCAAATGTCACTTCTGAGGCTTTCTAGAATTTGAAAGTCCTTATTCAAAATCTCAAGGTAACAGTAAAAAGCTTATGATGATCATTGACATGGTTGCGTTTGTGGTCCCGAAGGGGAAATTCATTTTAGAAGTAATGGGTAGCCAGCTCCTCTTACGGCCCGCAATTTAACTGAATCTTGTTGCGGCATCATAGCAGTTATTAGTGGACCTCCCAAGTCGATATGCCAGTAGTTCATACTACAGGACACCGTAGAACCTGCCAGTACGCAGCTCCTAATACAAATCTAAGTCGCCGGGCCCCAACCTTAAACCCCATGATGGCATATGAAGATTGAGTATGTCGCATAGTTTGATAGCTCAAACAGCTGATAAGATCTTACATACTTGCTACTCTCGATCTCTCGCTTTTCGGGAACGAATTGGCGGCATCGGGGAGAGATTGAATTGGTGAGTTGCTAATTTAAGGGCACGTTTTAGGCTGGTGTCTGGATGCACAGCCCAGCCTCGCCCAAGGACTGCCTTATTTTACACCAGGCCTGGGAACCGGTATAGAACTCCATAAGCTGGGCCGAAATTAACTAAGTGGAGCTGAAGACCTGCGACAAAAGCGGCGGCTGACCTTCCCAAATCGGGAGCATTTATGATGATCGGAGGATTAGGCGTAGCTGCAGTCAGCCAGCGCATGCAGCACATCAAGTTGGGATTACAAGGTTGTAACCAGACTGACGACGTAAGATTAGATTTCATTAAATTTGCTGAATGTGATAGGCGCTATAGCACCACATGTGCGTAAATTACAGGCCCTGCATAACCCCCGGACGAACGCCTTCCAGGATCGACGACAGCTCACCCCAAACCTTCTCACGAGCCTGGCGCCCCTCGTCACTCCGCACGAATGGCGACAACATAGTATTTTCCACATGCGAGTCTGTCATATACGCGCCGTGGCTTTCCAGACCAGCCGCAGCACCAGCGACCAAAGTTCTAGACCCAATTTCGGTGCGACGAGCCACTGTCAATTTGAACAAGGTGAACGCCCAAGAGTCATAGTTCCTCGAGAGTTGGGAGTGACAGAAACCTGGGTTAAGCATATTGACGATCACCTCGGACCCGCGAACTCGGCCCGCTAGTTCCTGCACCAGCAGTACCTGAAGTAGCTTCGAGAGTGGGTATCTTTCATCCATTTTCGCCTTTTCTGGATCGCTGATGGCTTTCATGGGCTGGTCTTCTATCCATTCTGGAAAGTTCACCCATGCGTGGACTTCGCTGACGACGAATGTAAGACGCGGTGTACGCGACGGGTTCTTCTGTCGAGTCGCTTTGAGGGTAGGGAGGAGAAGGATGCCGAGAAGAAGAGTGTTGATGACGTTGATGGTAATTGATTGCTCATAGCCTTCGGCAGTGTCGAATTCACGGGTGGCAATTGCTGCATTCAAGATGGCGCTGTCGAGCTTGGGGAGTGTCGCGAGGCGATCGCCAAATGCAAGGGTTGATTCGTGTGAAGACAGATCTACCTTCCATACTTCGCAGACGCCGGAGCGACCGGTGGATTTCTCAATGTCCAGCACGGCCTGCTCGCCTGCTTCCACATTGCGAACGCCGAGGATCACTCGTGCAGCTCCAAGTCGCGTGATATGGCGTGCAGCTTCGAGGCCCAGGCCGACATTGGCACCCGTGACGAGCACAGTCTGATCTGCGAATGATTGGTCGGGGTATTTTGGTGTCACAAAAAATTGAGAGTAAAGAAATCCCATGATGAATATTTCAAAGAGCTCAGGGTAAGAGATGAGTTAGAAGAGATGAGTTCCAAAATTCACAGGTGGAGAATGCGTGCGACATTGCACTGTTTTAAGCTGTAGGCAACGTAGCAACGTCATGACGTTGCGGAGATGTCGGGGTTAAGCTTAATCACAATCCCCGAACCTCCCGAACCTTGGTACCCGACTTCCACGAAGACGGCGTTATCAGTTATTCCCGACACCACGCACCATTTTGTCCGTAACAAGAATCCCCTCGGGGCCTAAAAAGTGGAGATTCGGCATGATCAATCTCCGACGCCGAGATTCCCGCAGTGGAGTGTAAGGGACACCACCACAACAGGGCCGTGATGGGACCAAACCATAAATTGCGAGGAGAAATTGTCGAGAAGCAGAGCTCCATCTTCAAGGTAACATATTTTCAGCATGAAATTTTTGAAAAATCAGAATATATGCTGTGGTATACTATATACAAGGTCAGTGCCGTCTTTGCCTCAGCACAGACTAATAATTCGCCGGCCAATTTCCCATATTGGGAACACGTGTTGGATCGCGTGGAGATGATCTTGGATGGTCAGATGGATAGACACCAGGTGGGATGACACCAAGCGCCTCTTGACTGGCAGAGGCTGTCACGATATTCGCAAAGTCAAGACCAGCAACAGGATCTAATTCCATGAGATCATCAGACACGGGGAGGTGCTGTCCAAATACAGCATCCCATTGATCCCAATCGAAATTGAAGTTAGGATCGACCATGCTGGGAGGAGTTGGAACGCTCATGGTCAAGGGGTTAGGAGAAGCGGGATCCAGGAAAGGAATGCTGGCAGGTGCATCCAACCCCGCCATGTGATGTTGGTTTAGCGGAGCGGGTTCCAAGGGAGGGGGTTTGTCGGTGGCGGCACTCCAAAAGAATTAAGATCGAGTGAGGATGGATCTAAACCTATGGTGGGGATGGACCCTGTCAGAGGGTCGAATTGTGAATTTGAGAGGGTTGGCAGAACATGTTTCTCGGAAGGATATTGATCTTGAGGCGAGCTTTTGGTAGAGGGCGGAGTGGTGCGGTTCAGGAATGTATGAGAGCGAGTAATGTTGTAGAACCTCTTGTTGAAATCGTAAGGTTTGGGATCACTGGCCGGGCTATCCAGAGACCCTAAATCTGCGACGTCAGAGGAAGAGCCGTCATCGGCACGCTGGACACCCGGGGAGGCAATGCCTGCATGGATCTGGTCCTTCTCAGTCCAGAGCATGCGAGGATTGAGGCCAGCCTTTTGCCAGGCCTTTTGACGAAGGCGGCGGATCATATCCCACGCTTCACGCCCACCGTCCTTCAGCGGTCGTTGTGTGGAGATACCATCCTCACCACCCACAACGCCGCCATCTGGACCAGAGAGTGCAAGAATGCGGTCGATGAAGGCCCGCGATTTGGATGCCTCGGGGCTGTACGGTCGCTCGTAAAGATCAATGAGCATTATCCTGCGGACATGGTCAGCGTCACCTCACATTTTTCAGGCTTAATTCTTACATTGTAGCATGCATTGGCTGGTGGTTGCTAGTTAAGTGTCAGCAATCTATTGTTCGAGGTGAGGAAACTTGACCAAACTCACCCTGGCCAACTCCAATGGAAGGGCTGGAAGTCAGGATCAGTTGCAAGTTGGATGAACTTCTTCATGAACCCATGACAATGGCGAAGCGCACTAGAAGAATAAGAAACTAATTTCGTCCTTTAGAATAATGCCAACGAACCTTTGCCGTGCTGCAGGCCAGATCCGACTGCGCGCATTTTTGAGGAATGGTTGGTAGGCAACACAGAATGCCTAAGGGGTATTAGCACAATGTCACTTATCCACAGTATTTTTGAACAGCTCACCTTGTCAATATACAAAGATAGAATAATTTTGGCCCATTTGTGGAAGCAAACAAGAACCGGTGAGTGGTATTGCTCCGGGCATCCAGTCGGACCGTCCCCTGGGAGTTCGATGTCGGAAGAACGGGCATCCACAGGGGATTTGGACATGGACATGGCTCTTCCTGCCGCAGAGCATGGGGTTGAAGTGTTTTCGCTCTCGGGTATTCTGTTTATTATGGAATTAAGTTTTACTTGCAGTTCGAGGAGTATAGACCGAAGCTCCTCCATGTCCTGTCGGGTGAGAGGCTTCGTGCCCAGTTGGATTTTCAGAATCCGGCGAACAGCACCTGTGGGGGTTAGCTTAGCGATTGAGAAACAGCGAAACCAACTCACGCGCCATAATGTATTTTCCTCTCGCGGTCAAGTAGTAAACGTTGACCATGGATGGCCCACCGCAAATGTTTGGATCATCCGGGTTGTCGGGCAATCGGCCTTGAGAGGCCAATTGCTGTTGGTACTTTGCAGCTGCCTGGGTACCAAGCAACGTATCTTTCAGTTCGCTGGTCTCGCACACATCTGAATAGGTCTCGTCGGGTACCATTGGAGGCAAGCCACTGGACATAGCAATCACACCGTCCATGTGCATGATATGCCACCACAAGCGACGCCGATACTCTGCTTCGCATGGCTCTATGCCAAACTTGGCTGGATCTCGATGTAGACCCATAGTTTGTGCAACTCTCATCGCCAGACTGACGAAAAGACTGCTCGTCAAAGGTTCTTCCTCTTTGGAGACAATTGTTTGTACAATGAGATAAGCGGCAAGTCCTTGAGGGGTCGGGCTGCGCGGGAATTTAATTTTGGTCAACCACCTTGTGACCTCTTCGCTGTACGTTGTTGATAACGCGGAACGTGAGCAGGAATTGAACTCGGCTTTGATAGTCCGGATTGAGATGGTGACCGACCCGCCATACCAAATGGCGTATAATAATGGGATAAATGACGGGTTGGGGTAAGATTCGCCTGAGTAACTGTTGTAGTCGAACCAGTCCCAAAAGGAGTTGTACAACTTGAGGATAGTCGGTGGGTGGATAACCGGGCTGATAGCATGCACGCCAGACATGAACCCTTTGTACAAGATATGGCTCTGGCGTCGAGTTGGAATGTGGTCGAGCATTTCAGGTTCCACTTCTTTCTCATTCGAAGTGGGCGAATCACCCGAGGGGAAGACTATTGAATGGCGGAACGAACGAGATCTGGACACGGTCGAGGGCGTCGGGCTTTCTAGTGATTCTCCCCAAGATTGTGCCTCGCTGGAGTGTGGATTTGTTGATTCATCATGGGTCTTACTCAGCCCTGACTGTTCGTGCGAATGGCTTTGATCTCTGAGCAGTTGATTTAGTTCGTTGATCTGGAAAAGTCAGCCTTGGAATGCATCATTACATGCAAAAATGGAGAGCCTACCTCGTCGGAGATATACGCCCAATACGTGGTTCCAACATATCTGCTCAACGGTCAGTGCATTTGAGCTTTCATGGGCAAATCTTCACTAACCGTGACCTCCCGCCATCCTCCAAGCTCAAATGCCCAAGGTTCAGGGTACCAACTGGATCCACCAAGTCCGTGGCCCGACCAGAGGGTATCGGAAACTCATCGCCACTCGAATCCGCAGCCACTCGACGTGGACTGGGGGCTCTTTTCGCGGTTCCGTTCCCATTCAACTGATTATGTTGCCGAAGGTCATCCAACTGCCGAGGCTCCACTTTGGTGTCCGGGGTCGTCCCTTGCGTCCCCACCACATCGCGTGCCTGGTTTTTTCCCCCGAGACGTTCAATCATTAACATCAATTTGTCCAGCCGTGATTCAATTGCGCCCGTGTCGGGCTTCTCGCCTGTCTCGGGGTCCGCCTGCCTCATGTGACCGTATATCGATTGGAGTTCGTCCACATCTTCCTCCAATGGGCGGGGAGTCTTGCGCCTTCTCTTGATGCCATGCGCTGGCTGGGAGGGTTCCTCGCGCACCTCCTCATCCTTTTGCGACGATACATCATATATGCACTCGGTGTTGTTCTTCACGCAATTTCCGCAGATCGGATGTGTCTAGTGTCAGAACAGTTAGCTGACAGGCTGGTAGAAAGACGGAACAAGGTCGGCTGACTTTATCACATTTGACCTTTCGGCGCCGGCAGGTGTGGCAGCTATAGCTTGCGCGATTTCGGGTGATCTGGCGACCTCCGGCCACAGACCCTCTCGATGAGGGATAAGTGGTGCTAGTAGAACCCAGCAGGGGGTGAGTGTTGGAAATGCTAGGGTTCATACTCCTGATACATTAGTTCAATGAGAAACATGAGAGCGCGCAGAAATGACGCGAACCGACGATAGCGGGGATCATCGGCGTGACGCCCAGCCCCGAAGGTGGGGCCAATGGTCAGCAATTTATGTGGCCTGACATATCAGGCAGCATTCCCCAATCAAGTCAACCGGTTTCGGCGATCCTTCTTCATCTCTGTCCATGTCTATTACCTAGTTGGTGCACAAGTTGATACCGAGGCTATCGGTGGATGTGTGACTTTGTCATCTCTTCTATCAATATAGAACTACCTATGCACCCACCTACGATATACCCATCTCTCCGTCCTTTCGCAACCTGACACCGGAAGGTGTCAAACGTATGTCTTACAGCAGCAACTAACTAGTTTCGACTTAGGAAGAACTAGACAAAGAAGCAACTGACACCAGTGGGCCTTTCTTACATTTTCCAATACTAACATTTCTGAAACGAAGAGCTTCGGAGGCTAATGAATCAGTCCCTGGTGTATGAGGACCAAGAAGTGGTTGCGGCAAACTACAGCAAGGCGTATGGAGTATAAAACAATCAAGCCAGAACCCACTCCAGAATGACAGAGACCTTTCCATTACTGCTCTTTGAATCAATTGCAAAACATCAAAAATCATTCACAAAGTGATGTTGAAACATCACTCCAATAACACGCATTCTGCTTGATTATAAACATGCATCTGCACGCAACACAGCCGTGTCGTTTATGCATGGCAAATTTCGCCCACAGCCCGACTCCCTTCATAAATCCAATTTGTACACGTCGACACGCTAGGCGTTTCTGTCTCCTGCATGCATATTGACGGTCAACCAATGATAGCGAGCCCTCGAGATTCCAACGCTAGCACCTGTAGATCCAAGAGTGAGCGCCGCAAAAGTTCGACAAACAGTCTCTGCTGATGATTATATTCTGACATATACCCCCCTTGGCCAATCACCACTTACAAGGTCTAACCTTGAAGTCATCTGCCAAATATGAGCTTCGGATTTGGGGTGGGTGATATTGTCGCAGTCCTGACATTGGCGAATCAACTGCGGAGTGATTTTGTTGGCGCTCCAGCTCAGTTCAAAGGTATATCAGACGAGTAAGCAAATACATATTGACTTGGATATTCACGAAGCTGACATTTGAATGTGCAGTGTCCGGAACTTGTCAATTATTCTCCAAGATGCCGACATTCAATTACCAGATCACACCCTCGAGGACAGTCAGCGAAAAAGGCTGGCGCAAATCACCCATACATGTGAAAAGATCTTGCAAGAATTAGAGCGAGAAATTGGGAAACATCGTGTTGTCACATATACCGGCACAGCCATCCATAAAAGAGTGACCTGCGCGTGGAAAAGAGTGTCTTGGAACAAAGAAGACTTGTCCGAGCTTCGAGATCGCCTGGCCTTTCAGATGAGCCTGTTACAAGCTTACCTTGATGGAATCTCAAGGTACAAGATCCCTTTCCCCTCCTCGTTCGCTGCTGACATCAACGATTCCACAGACAGACAACAGCAGCGATAAGACAGAGTCTGGGCCAAATCAGTCGTCGGCAGAAGAATGAAGAAGAATCCGAAATCTTGCAATGGCTCACTTCAGCCGACTATATCTCCCAGCAAGGTGATCTCATCGAGAGGCGACAACAAGGGACTGGACAGTGGCTACTCGATTTGACAGAGTATTCACATTGGATTGAAACCGCACAAGCGAGTATATTCGCTCATGGCATGCCAGGTGCCGGAAAGACCATCTGCTCTGCTATCATCATAGATGATTTATTCCGCCGATTCGAGCACAGAGAAGACATCAGCATTGCATACCTTTACTGCAACTTCAAACAACGAGATGAGCAGAACATCCGGGATCTACTCGCCAGTTTGCTGAAGCAATTGTGCCAGAAGATGTCCGCGCTACCAGAGTCCGTGAAAGAGTTTTACAATCATCACAAGGGCAGCTCCATACGTCCGCGGCCCGATAAGTTCTCGCAGGTCTTGTGCTCGGTCGCTTCAATGTATTCGCGTGTATTCATCGTCATTGATGCCCTCGATGAGTGCGACTCAAGAGATGATTGCAGAGCCAGACTTCTTGAAGAAATGCTCAAACTGCGTATCGAAGCCCGAGTGAACTTGTTTGCAACTTCAAGGCCCACAGAGGTCCCTCAGTGTTTCGAAGAAGGCCCATCGCTAGAAATACGAGCCACTGAGGAAGATGTGCGAAAGTATCTTAAGGGAAATTTGTCTCCACTTCCCAAGTTTGTTGGTCAGAATGTGCAGCTGCAGAATGACATCGAGAACGTCATTTCTGCTCGAGTGCAAGGAATGTATGTGTTCACATCTCCAAACTTTCAAGGATCCATACTCCACTATATCACAATGCTCACATCCCACCAGGTTCTTGCTTGCGCAGCTTCACCTGGACTCCTTAAAAGGCAGAAGATCAGCAAAGTCGATTCGAAGCGCCCTTGAAAGGCTGTCAGAAAAATCAGATCACCATGCCTATGATGACGCATACGATGAGGCTATGCAGCGGATCAACGCACAGCTTCCAGAGCAGCAAGAGCTGGCAATCCAAAGTCTGTCCTGGATCACCTTCGCAAAGAGGCCACTCACCGTGTTGGAACTCTTGCATGCACTTGCCATTGAGAAAGGTACATCAGAACTTGATCCAGACAATATTCCACTCATTGAGGATGTTGTTTCTGTGTGTGCTGGACTCCTGAACACGGAAGGTGAGGTTATTCGTTTAGTACACTATACAACCCAGGAATACTTCGAGAGAACGCATGCACTCTGGTTTTCAACGTTCTCTGAGGCCGAGATCAGTGACCTCTGCGTGACATATCTTTTGTTCGATGATTTCTACACAGTCTCAGGCGAAAGCAAAAGCGAACTCGAAAGTCGATTCCTCGTAAATCCACTCTACGGCTACGCCGCATTGAATTGGAAAAGACACGCTCAAGGTTCTCAAAGCGTTAGCGCAGAGATGGTCCAATTTCTAGAGCATGATGCAAAGATTGAATGCTCGATGCGCATGGCGACATATTCTTACAGGGGAGAGAAATCCCTCCATCTTGCAGCTCATTATGGACTTGAATGTGTCATTCCCTTGCTTCTTAAACGTAATCACGACGTGGAGATGCGAGACGTGGATGGTTCCACACCATTGATTCATGCGTCATTGGGTGGTCATCCGTCGACGGCCAAACTACTTCTTGAGAAGGGAGCGAACGTGAATGCATTCGATCAAGATGGTAGAACTGCTTTATATTGGTTCTCTCACCATGGACACACAGAAATGGTGAAACTTCTTTTGGATCTCAGTGCACCCGTTGATCCCAAAGATCCCGATTGTGATACAGCACTCATGGCAGCTTCTGCACAAGGTCGATTAGAAGTTGTTAACCTACTTCTCTCACAAGGGGCAGACATCAACAGAACGGATGACATCTTCGGAAGCTCTCTGGATCGTGCGTTGAACGATGGTCACTTTAACATACTCCAAGTCCTCTTGGATGGCGGTGCTGTTATAACGGAAGAATCAATCGAAAGTGCCTCGAGAGGATTATCAGTGGGCCTTCTGAAAGCTTTCTTTGACAAAGCGAAGGAAAGATCCAATGATATGGTGGTTGATTGTGGCAGAGCGCTTTACTTTGCCGCTTTGCGAGGAGACCTTTCGCTAGTCCAAGTGTTGACAAATAACGGGGCGGACCTCAACATGAATTCTTTGTCGTTTGGGGAGACACCACTGGCTGTGGCATCACATAAGGGAGACATTGAAATTGTTCGACATTTCCTTGACCTCGGCGCTGATGTTAATGGGCCTAGTAGCACCTGGGGTTCTGCGCTCCTGGCAGCCGCCCGCAGAGGCCACCAAGAAATCGTTCGAATTCTGTTGGAACACAGACCGAATCCCGCTGTCAGGGGTAGGGAGCGAAGGACGGCTTTTGAACTTGCTAAGCATCTTGGGTATCACGAGATTGCCGACATGGTGGAAAAATATGTGTTGCAACTAAAACCCTGAATTGACCCGGGATTGATTGCAATGGCCGGTTATGGCGATGTTGGTACATTTTCCTTAAACAAATGTGAATGCTGCGTAATGTCTCAATATACTAAGTACACGGAGTACAGGGAAAGAAAGTGGGTATAAATAGCATTTTGACTTGCGATGTTGTCAGCATGAGATAATTGATGTCTTCCATGGATTTGACTCCTTCCTATGCCGTCCCCGATTGAATCAAGCTTCACCATGGCCACTTGCACTTTTCAAAACACCCCATGAAACTCCATCGTCGACAGGCTTTTCGAGGCCAGTGAATTCAAATGTCGCTAACTACAGAGAAAACAGCTCCAACCGTCAAAACCCGATTTCTGGTGCTTTCCGACACCCATGGGCTGGACACTCTCCCCGAGATTGTTTCGCATCAATACGCAGATGTAGTGCTTCACTGCGGAGATCTCACAACCGAATCGAAGATAGAAGAGTTCAAAGCCTCGATTCGACTCATACAGGCCCTGAATGCCCCACTCAAGCTTACCATTGCTGGAAACCACGACTTCACCATGGACATACCGATGTTCCAGAAGAAGGTGGCAGAGGCTCAACCTTTGGAACCTGAGCTAGTTCAACAGGTCTATGGATCTCATGGAGAGGCGAGGAAGCTGTTTGACGAGCAACAAGACAAAGCCATTGTATTTTTGGATGAGGGTTCTCATTCTTTTCATCTAAGCAACGGTGCTCGGTTGAATATCTACGCTAGTCCTTTCACGCCATCACTGGGCGATTGGGGATTCCAGTACCACCCTGACCGCGGACATGACTTTCGCATTGCCAACGCCGATATTGTAATGACCCATGGTCCACCCAGAGGTATATTGGATTACACACACTCTGGAAATCGTGCTGGGTGCCCTCACCTTTTCGAGGCTATAGCACGATCCCAACCTCGACCACTGATGCATTGCTTTGGTCATATTCACGAGGGCTGGGGTGCAAAAATGGTCAAATGGCGAGATCAAATCAGTAAAAAGCCTTCTCACCTGACCGATATTGACAACGGGAACTCCTGTCTCATATCCACACTGACCGCTATCAAAGGTAGGGGTAAGGTCGCAAGTCTATATTCTACAGGTCATTGCTCTGGGGATCCGCGTCCGATGCAGCGAAACGCGGAGACCCTATTTGTCAATGCCTCTATGCAAGGGTCCGAGGATCTCCCGATACAACCGTCGTGGCTTGTTGATCTTGAGCTGCCAGCAGCATCTTGATCCCTGGCCAAGGTTTCTCGTCTTCCAAAAAGTCGACAATTCTGATTCTAGCTGTCGAAGAGTTCCGTTCTACAATGCACATTATTATGACATATGCACTTACAACATGCCGTGCCATCGTATCACTTTTCAAGCCGAATGAGACTATCATTCAGCAGAGCTGGTACCAACAAAGGTTGTCCAAAAACATCGACGTTTTCGCTAGATAGCACTCAGTATTGACACACATCCAAGCTTTCATCTAATATTCTAGCAGCCCCCGAGGCCTTCAATTCCTTCGGCAGTTCAACTACTAGGGTGACTACAAATGTTCAAGGTGTGAGGTGGCATGGCAATGTATTCATGAAGCGTAAGTCTTGACGATCAAAAGAACCAGTAGCAAGAACAGGAATTTACAAGAGCCAGAATTAAATATGACAGTCTCAGTGCAAATGTATCCTGCGTCTGAAATGTATTTCGCCACTTTTTGACCGCATCGTATGGGTTTTCGCGAAAACGCTTAAACCTTGGTCTCCTTGAGACCGTGCTTCCAGACAATGGCGTAGGGGGTGACACCATCCTCGCGGAAGTTGATCAGGACGTATCTAGAAGAATCAAAAGTCAGTTCGTATTCCAAGAAAGCGAAAAAAAAAGGTTGACGTACTGTCCAGAGTGGGCCTCGGGACCCTCACCGACCATGAAGTCGAGATCTCCGTGCATGTCGACGAGGTACTTCATGGCCTTGGCAGCACCATCCTTGAACTCATTCTGCTCCTTCTCGGGCAGGTTCGGGAGGACCTCCTTGTTGATTCTCTTGAGGTAGTCTAGAAACCATCGAGTTAGCAAAAGGAACATCACAACAAGATTTTCCTCATATCAACGTGACCGAAGCCCCAGTATGATACGAGGCACACATCGAGGATTGACGTACTCTTGAGGTTGTTCTTGAAGAGGTCCTTGGAAGGAGGGCTGTCCTGCAACCACTGGAGACGGAACTGGTCCTCGATGTCGTGGACCATCTTCATCTCGTGCTCGCCGCTGTCCTCCTCAGCCTCCTCAGCGGAGGGGTTGGCACCCTCAAGCTGGATATCCTCGCCACCGACGCGCTTGCTGTACTTGCGGCAATCGCACTCCCAGAGAATAGGGTGGAGGGGGTTGGGCTTCAGATCGAAGGTATCGGCGACCAGCTCGTCACCGGTGAGGGCATCCTAATTGGTATGGTCAGATTCAATTCAACTCCCATTGGGAAAGTGAGGGGCGTGGTCAAAGGCTTGTACCACGAGAACACAGGTTGGGGGGACCACAAGACACTTACAGTGTAGATAATCATTTTGAAGGTATTGGGGGTATTGAGGAGAAAAAAAGAAGGTGAATAGGCTGGGGAAAGGAAAGAAGGAAAAAAAAAAAAACAGAAAGATTTTCTTAGATTTTATCCAAGTGGGGGACGGACCCGTGGACCGGAGAGAGGGGGGGTTTGCACTGTTTGTTCTCCCGCCACAGGCTAGAGCGTTCACAGACAAGACAGACTTCTACTCCGTACTACTAACACTTCTTTGGTATAGCAATTTTTATTTTCTTGAGACAATGCTAGTCTTTTTTTTTCCCACAATGCCAAGATACTCCAATTTGAATTCTTCGCAAGTCAATTGTAGAAAGTAACGAACATCAAATATTCAACTCCTCCGATTGGTTCATTTCTATTTACAAGATGGTGGTGCCTGATTCCTGAGGCATATATGAAGGTTCTTGAATGAATACCATACGTTACCGTATTGTTGAACCTTATCAACCCAATAAAGTCTAAAATGCGGTACTGTAACTTTGACCACGCCACCTGGGCCGCCATCTCCGGGTCCCATTATCTCCTGATTTGGGTTATCTGGGAATCTTCAATCTTCAATCTTCAATCTTACATATCCTTTCCTTCATCATTATCAGATCCTGTTTGCTTTCTTGGAACCGGCGCTGAAAGGTTCTTGGCGCATCACACCTAATCTCCCGTCGCGCCTGCTACCCGTCAGCTTCCGGACTCGGCGTGGCAGTTGCAAGCGTACATTCTCTTTTTCTTATCCTGATCTGCCCTCTCGATTCTCTCCTTTGATACTCCGAGCTTTCCAATATTTCACACCCTACATCATTAGCGCTCCTCAACAATCACCCACTCTGCCATCATGGCCGTCAACGCATCCGTCGCGTTCGATCTCCCTCCGCTCCCGACTTACACTCTGAGAACGCGGCAGGACCTGATTGCCGCCGTGCCCGATAACATCCTCACCCTGATTTTGCCGATCGTCGCCTACTGGGGCTTGTCCATGATCTACCACTATCTGGATGTGAACGATTACTTCGTCCAGTACCGCCTGCATACCCCGGCGGAGGTCCTCAAGAGAAACAAAGTTACCCGGTGGGAAGTTGTCCGTGATGTCGTTATACAGCAGGTGATCCAGACTGTGGCTGGCTTGGCTTTCTTATGGTTTGATTCCGAAGAGACCGTGGGACGCGAGGAGTACGATGTCGCCGTCTGGGCCCAACGATTGCGCATCCTCCAAAAGGCCATTCCATCATTACTAGCTCTTGCCGGAGTTGACGCCGCGGGCCTTGCAACGTCCCTCTCTCAGAGCGGTTACACCATGCTGGCCGGCGCTATCGCCGGTGGCTCGTATCCTGGAGTGACCCAGTCTCTGGTCTTGGATACCGGCGTGAAGACAGTGGTTCCCGCCTTCACTGGCTGGGAACTCACAGTCGCGGGCCTCATCTACTGGTACCTGGTTCCCACTTTGCAGTTCATTTTGGCGATCTGCATTGTGGATACCTGGCAGTACTTCCTTCACAGAGCTATGCATCTCAACCGATGGCTCTACGGTATGCTGACCTTGACCTCGATAAGCTATCTTGATTCTAATCATCATCACAGTGACATTCCATTCCCGCCATCACCGTCTCTATGTTCCCTACGCATTTGGCGCTCTCTACAACCACCCCTTTGAGGGATTCTTGCTGGACACTGCCGGAACTGGAATTGGATTTTTGGTGTCTGGGATGACCACCCGCCAAGCTATGTGGTTCTTCACAATTTCGACTATCAAAACAGTCGATGACCACTGCGGATACGAATTCCCATGGGACCCGCTGCAGCATTTTACTTCCAACAATGCCGCCTACCACGATATCCACCACCAGAGCTGGGGTATCAAGACCAATTTCTCCCAACCCTTCTTCATTTTCTGGGATCGTTTACTCGGCACCCAGTGGACGGGTGATGCCACACAGCGCTATGAACGTGCCCGTGAAAACGCACAGAAGCAGGTGGACCTCGACGCCGCCAAGGCACCCGAAGTCGTCCCAGCCGTGATTGTGACAGAAGAACGAGTGCCTGAGCCAGTTGTGGTTTCAACAGAAGGCCCCGCTGCACGCACCCGACTGCGTCGAAAGACGGTCGACAGCCTCAAGGGCCCGAGTCATGGGGTTCCTGGAAGTGTGCTCCACAACTAAACCCTAATGAAACGAACCTAAAAATGCGCCCATCTGTTTATGCATCCCATTCCCGTCCCTGGAGCTGCTGGCCGTCTCCGCCAGACTGTGGGGCCTTCTGTCATCTTTTTTTTTTTGTATATGGGACAAGGAGCCCAGTGTATTAATACTTTACTATGTGCCTGTCAACGCTCTGTACATGGTTTGCTCCATGACCTACTGTCAATAATGTTTATTTTATTTTACACCTACAAGTTTGGGTTCCGTTCAACGCATCGCATTCTCAACTATTAAACGAGGACTACGGAGTAAGGGTGGTGTGCTTTCGACTCACACACTGAGGCCACCGAGGTAAAGTTGCATGGCTGCCTCGAGAATCGAATGAATCAAACAACTAAACAACAGCAAAATTGATGGAAACCAGAACACAAAACATGCAAACAATCAAGCCAAAAAGCAAACAAAACTGATCAATCTTTCTCCTTGTTGCAGAGCATGCTCCAGGTATCCATCGCAGCCGCCAAGTTCTCAGGCGCATGAGGATGATTCGGCCCTTCTTTCTCCTCACAACTCTCATACTCTGCATCAGAGTCATCAGATTGGTAATCACGATACGGATTCATCCCCATGTTGCGATACATATCAGTCATCTCATCAACAGCATCAATCGCCTCCGAAGGAACGCTACTCTTCTTCCATGACGCCCCAGCCGGAGGATAATAGCTATCCTGGAAACTCTCGATCTGATCCGCGACAAGCTTCGTAAGCTTCTCAACTTCAGAGGACCCTGCACTCGCTCTGGCTTGCCCGTTCAGAACGAACTTCCGAAGGTGTGGCGAATCGGACGGATCCAAACTGCTCTTCGATCCCGTCTGACCTCCACTGTGCCCTTCATCAGTGTCAGTGCGAGACTTCGATCTTGGCCTGAGTGGTTCTATGACATACCTGTCGGCAGGATGAGGCTCGTGAATCGACCGCGGGGCTTGGCCTTGTGCGGCCTGCCTTCCCTTGCTTGAATTCGTGTCTGATTCGCTCCAGTGGCTGGTCGGCTCGTCGTCACCCTGATTCCTCGGATCACGGTGGTGACGTACTTTCGGACGACGACGTCTCCGACCATGCTGCGCTTCCATTGTCTTGGTGCACGCTTTGCGTGTCGCTTTCATGATGAAAGCGAAGTGACTGGACGTATCGTACATCTCGACCATATCGTTCGGGAACCGATCGATACATCCATCGACGAAACTCATTAGTCGACGCGGGATATGCTTCTTTCGAGTCTGGGTGCGAGCCAGGATCGCAATGCGCAGATTGCGCAGTGCGTCTCTGTCGGTTGCAACTCGACCGATCATACATCCCTGGCAACGACTACTTTCGAACTTCCACGCAGTCTCGTACTCTGCTTCTCTCTTGTCGTACTTTGTCCACATTCCCCGCATAGCTTGCAGCCTCTTTATAATGACTGCGTCAATGGGCTTCTGTAGCTCTGGGTATGCTTCGTATCGGAGGAGGTGATGACAGACTTCGCGATGCACGAGGTGGTGGAGGTCATACATGAACTCGGCGTTGAGGCCTTGGTGTACGTCACACAGCTCGTTGTTCTTGCGGGATAAACGCTCACGGCGCATGCCTTTGGGCAGATCACTGATGAGGCGCCTGATTTTGTCTTCGGTCTTGTCATTTGGTTTGCCTAGGTGGAATATCTCGGTTAGCTTTTTCAAGTCTTCTTTGCGTAGCTCGTCCACCCACTGAGGGTTGCTGCTTGGGAAGATTAGTTGTCTCAAGTCCTTGGTCGAGCTCTTCCGCTCGCTGTCTTTACCCATGTTGCACTGAGTGAAGGTGGAAGGAGGTGGAATTGTGTATAGCAAAGTAGAATATCAATATCTGGTAAGTCGTCAATATCAGTTAGCAATGCCTAGTAGGGATCAGTGTTGAGTGTGTGTATTCAATGTCGGTCTGTTGCAAATGTATGCAGCTGTGTACTTCCAGATGGGAAAATTCTTCTTCAGGGCGGCCTCCTTTTTATACTTCACTCGCTACCTACTGAGGTCGACTACAAATCGCTCTCCATAAGACTTCCAAGACAATAGGATTGTTTCGCTCTTCCTCATTTTCCATTCATCCTGACAGGCGTGTGCCATTCACCTTACCATTTGGCAACAACAAAGCCCATTGATGATCTCCAATATCTCCATTCTCAATGACATTCATTAAAACAAAGAGCTCATCTCTCCTCATTTCATGAATACTTCAATACAGCTCCAGAAGTCTCAATCACCATTGTTCCATTCCTTCCCCCAGCACCAACACTAAAGCATGCAACTCTGCCTACTATTTAAAATACTCGACCTCCTTCCTGTCTCACACTTCCCAACTTGATCCCCCTCACTCCTCATTCCTCATTTGCCATTCACCATTCGCCATGGGTTTATTTTACTCGAAGCCAAAGCCCCAACCGGCACCTGCAAAGGCTCCCATGAAATACTACCGCGGCCTCTTCTTCACCCGCTCAGGTCGAAACATCCTCGAAGAAGCCAAACCCACCATCCCCCTCCAATGGGTGACCGTTTTCTTCGACTGGCCTGACCGCGTCCACAACGACGCAAACCTCATGCTTTGCGTCATTGCCAAAATTCGTGCTGGAAAGGGTCTCATTGCGCCTGAGCCCATGCATCATGATCAACGATGGTGCATGTCGTTCCGGATCCCGAGTCACTACAATGCTGCGGATACTTCTATTGCTGCAATTGCAGTGACCATTGCGTTTTGGCACAGGGATCAGATTCTTAACCATGGACATTATATTGATCGGAGATATGTGTTCCGTATGACCAACCATCCGAGGTGGGGTGTTTAGGCTTTGGGGATTTGTTTCTGTCTTGAATTATGGTATGTTCTTTTGATTCGTGCTTTTCGTCTCATTCCTTCCAAGCAGTTGTCTCAAGATGGCTCTTTCTATGTTCATGTTGGGCTGGGTTGAGACATATTCAGTCTAGTTCAATTCCCGCTGACGTTTTGGACACAGAAATACAAACCACACACGTCCTCGATACAAATCCGGTCAACCCCCTGTTCAAGGACACTCCTATGTGCCCTGGTCCCAAAGTTGGTGGTGGATATCAAAGCATTTCCCACTATTTTCCCGACAACTCTGACAACTTCGGTGGTGGCCACAGAAACTAATCCGACGACCTCTCTTTCGGTCCTTTCATGAGAACCGAGCATTGTTGTTCATGGCGGAGGGGTGTGTCTCTGGGAGTTCAACCGCAGATATCATTAGAATCAATGAATAAATAATGTCCATCAATGCTGAAACAGTCTTAGAATAAGTCAAGTAGAATCACATGTAGAAGGCACGGTCAAGGTATCACATGACAAACCGCTAGGCCTCAGCTTCAGCTTACCTTCTTCCTTCTTCTGTAACACACTGGAGTACACAGAGTACACTCGTCCCACAATGACCTGCCAGGGCGAGGAGGGTACACCGTTACCCTACACTGCCTCGCCGATCAAACTACTATGGAACGACCTACTGTTATTCGTGAGCCTCATCAGGTACCTGCCAGGCATCTTCCTACCCCTGCACCTATGTCGCACCGACCCTCTAGATGAGTTCTACCCATCGATTCACAATATATTCATCGTGGGAGTCCATTTATTTCTCATGGTATTCCAGGTGGTATTCCTGATCTCTCTTCCGCTCCTGGTGATTTGCCTGGTCCCCGGGCTTTGGATCCTGGCTTACACGATTCTTGGACTGGCATTCAGTTACACAGCCGTCATGGTGTTGTTAAATGGCTTCGAGCAAGTTTTGGTTTCTCAAGTACCCGTGGCCGAGCAGCCAGGGCACGATCGGGAATGTTGGTTGTATATAAATGGGATTGCGGCGGGGCACCGATGGGTCCAGATGAATGTCGATCAGCTGTCATATACATTTGGTCGGAAAGTGACAGGGGTCCACAATCGCACGTAAGTGAGAATTCGCTTGATTTCATGGCTGTGGTTAGTACTAATATATCCAGCGCTGGTATTGTGTTTGATCTGATTGAATGTTTGATTCAACGAGATTTCTCATATGCCACCGGCGATATCCGCCGGGCATATGCGCTAGTGAAGAAAGCGCTCTTGGACCCGGAATGCGACAAGGTCGTTTTACTACTTCATAGCCAAGGTGGGATCGAAGGCGGACTAATCATCGACTGGCTTTTGGATGAATTACCGCATGCTCTGCTCCGCCACCTGGAGGTGTATACTTTCGGCAATGCGGCGAATCATTTCAATAATCCGCGCTGGACGAAACTGGCAAGACCCGAGTTGCTTCAGACGCCTGATCTTGTGCATCAATTTGGCCAATCTATAGGTCATATTGAGCATTACGCTAACTCGGGCGATATCGTGGCTCTCGGGGGTGTACTTCACTTTGTGGACATTCCTAATCGATATATGGGTCGGCTATTTGTTCGTCCGAATTCAGGGCATCTGCTCAATATGCACTACTTGAGCACTATGTTCACTCTCGGTCCGGATATGAAAGTCCTTGAATCGAATCCGTTCATGGATATGGAGGTCGAGCCGTGGGCAACGGCTGGAATCAATGGATACAGTGGTCCTCCGCACAGGGTGCGGTATCGACCTACTGTCGCCCGAGACGAGGCTTTTCTTCCCGCTGCCTTGAGTCGGCAGCAGTTCCAACCAAATGGAACCAGTCGAGTCCTGCGTGTGAAGGATTTCAGTCGGCTTTGGCAGTATAGGAATGGAGGATCTCCCCGCGAGCACAGGCCGATCGATCAACAGGATGATTTTTTCTCTTGATTAGCTAGTATACATATACAAGGTGACCATCGCCGTTTGAATTACCACAACCGTCTCTTGCTACATCCAAACTCGGATGCTAGCGTCTATACTCCCGACAGCGACCACATGTGAAGTTCCCTGAGTGGACCGTATACTCGGTCCCCAACGTATAGAAGTTAAAAACCTGGACGACCCGACGATTGTCCTCACCAAGCGAGCCTCGTTCGACAAATCCCAACACCGTATTGTCCGATCATCACCAACGCTTATCAGAAATTTGCCTTGAGGATGAAAAGCCAACCCCCGAACCCAAGTATCATGACCTTCAAGCGTCTTGATCAACCCGCCCCTCTCATTCCATAACTTGATATGATTGTCTCTCGACCCAGTCGCCACAAAAATCTCTCGTCCAGATAACTTCATCGATCCCAACTTGGCCATATGACCATGACTCGATTGCGGCGCAACAGCACAACACTCAATCGGACCCGAATGCCCAATAAGTCTCGCCGTGACCTCCCCAGACGATATATCCCAAATCTGAGCCATTCGATCATTACCAGCAGACACGACATACCCACCATCCAACGAAACCGAAATATCTCGAATCCAATCCCCCTGCGAATCAATAGTCCGAAGACAATACCCGCTCACAACATCCCAGATTCGAATCGACCCGTCCCGTCCAGCGGATACTAGCTTCCCACTGGGTAAGAAGCGCACTGCGGAAACAGTGTGATCATGTCCACACAGCGTCCGCACATTGACGTAGCTATTACTAGGATCCCAGATCTTGATAGTTAGATCACTTGAGCAGGACGCTAAGCGCGTATGCTCGTGGGGACCACCATAGTCAACACCCAGAACGGGTAATCTGTGTCCCTTAAGGGATCGTTCTAGTTGACCGTGCTCCCAGTCCCAGATTTTGACAGTGCAGTCCTCAGAACCCGAGGCCAGAGAGGAATGGTTTGGGTGGAAGGCTACGCAAGTGACTTGCTTTTGATGAGATTGCAATTTTTGCTTGGCTTCGCCTTCTGGGAGCCAATTGGCGGCGTCTTCGTGTGAGTGGATGGTTGCCACGGATTGCAGTTTTGTTTCTAGGTCTGTGACCTTGGATTCCAGTTCGAATATCTGTGCGTGTGAGCAATGTGTATCGTTGTGGAATTAAAGAAACTTACTCGTTTTTGAAGACGCATTACAGATGTCCATTTTCGCTCTAGGATGCCTTCGTATTTCGCTCGAGTCACGTCGTCGAAGTTCTCACCCACTGATAGCTCTTCTTGGAGAATTTTCGTGCTTTCGATGTTTATAGATGATAAGTATGCAATCAAAGACTTGTGCCTGTAGTCGATTAGATCATCGTGTTCAATGTGTGGATATAGCACCTACAGCTCCCCTGCTTGTCTGGCTGTGAGTACAGGACGCATCATTTTGAACGCAGTTGAATGTTATGATCAAAGACGCGTTCTGGTCTCAACTTACCTGAGTATGCTAGTTGGCCCCTTGCGGTTGCACAGGGTGATTCCGAGGTGGTTGGCCAGTTACCCAAGAGATAACGGGTACTGACAGGTTATCGCGTCCAGCAAAGATCTTCATCTCTATGGGGTAGACAGCGGACTACAAGACTTCAAGATGATCGAGGGTAGGTCATATTTTGGGTGGATGTACAAAATCATTTCAGATGCAGGTCTTGGTATCAAGGAATCTTCCTCCCCGAGTGCATCAAAGTATAAGAGAAAAAAAGCAACGCCCATCGCCATCAATGCAAGTGGAACAAAAGATCGAGAAAAGATCATAAATCATAGATCATCCTCTGCCCTTCTTCTTCTCCTTCTTCTTCTTATCAGCACCAGCCCCTGAGGGCTCGCCGCCACCCATGCCGCCCATACCACCCAGACCACCTAGTCCACCCAGCATATTACTCAGTCCACCCATACCACCCATCTGGCTCATCATCTGTGCCATGTTGCTCATGTCAGGCATCTCTGGCATACCAGGCTGGCCCTGCATGCCCTGCATTTCAGCCATGGCATCCTTAAGTGGGTTATCACTGACACCACCACCGCTGTAAGCAGGCGAGTGAATTGGCAAGATCTTGCCAATCTTCCAACCCCGCGGGGCAGCCGGGGCAGCGGGCAGCTTCTCAGGCATAGGCAAGCCACGAATCCGTAACCGGTAAGGCGATTGTTCGTTGGTCGGGTTAGCCTTCAAGAACTGCGCGACAAGAATATAAAGATGATGTTCTGCATCAAAGCATTAGTTTCCATTCCACCAACACGCAATCAATTATTCTCTCGATCTCAGGCCACGTAACGTACTGTTCTTGATCTTGGAGTTGACCAATTGACCATTTTCATTCTTCAGCTGCACGCGCACGCGACCAGGGTTGGCCCAGTCCTTGGGATGCAATTTCTCGGGTTCCAGCCCCGCGTTCAAGCCTAGCATTTGGACCGCGTCCACAATGTCTCTGGCAAGAGGGTTTTCCACCGCGAGCTCCGCACCGACCTTGCGACCTTCGGCGCGGGTGCGTGTCTTGTCGAAGTACACGGGGTACAAGCATTGGAAGTGCTTGGGGATCTCGCGCTGTGGTTCAGGTGCGGGCATCGTGGGCATCGGCATCTGTTGGGGTTGAGGCGCCGGGGTGACCTTGGATGGAATGTTGGCGGGGGAGATGATGGCATTGCGGGGAAGGTCATCATCGGAATCGAAGCCGGGGGCGACCTCCTCTGGGTCGGAGTCAGAGACTTCCTCGATTTGGGCGTGATGCGACATGGCTGTGGAATGGAGGGGATGTCTGGGGAAGCGTGTGGCCAAGTAGCGGAATGGGCAGAATGTGTGTGCGGGCGGTGGGGATGTTGTCCAGTTGGTGGAATACTCTTGAAGGAACAGCTCTACGCAGATACTCGCCGTTACTTCCTTGGCTTTTCTTGAATAACATGGTCGAAACATGACCATATATGGTATCGAACATAGTTCCTGACCTCTTCATGGCCTTCATGAATTATTTTCATCCCTGTCTGAAAACACTGTGTGTGTATAGTTCTTAAATAGCGTGTCTTCAGCGGTCACATATAGAGACATGCATTGTATGCATTGTATTACTCGACTATACTAGGGATTATCTTTACATGACTCATTTTGTGTGTGAACCATTCTTCGCATCGAAACTCCGAATATGGTCAGATTGGACCAGATAAGACTGGATAGAAACGCCGAAAGAGACAACCCCACGGCAGATTGGCCCAGGGCCCTAGCTCCGGCCCTGAGCGAATCAAAGGCTCGGCATCTTCGGGATAGCCCACTAGCCCCGCAAGACACATTACCTCGGGCAAGTTACAGATCCATTGCTATATAAGGATCTTCATTTCCTTTCTTTCATACTCCTACTTACCATTGACACTTTTCATACATTCAATACATTATATACGCTTCATCATGTCTGGTATGTCAGGTATGCATTACTATACGCATCAATCTAACGTCTTCCAGTGACTGAACCTAAGAGCGCTGTCCTTCACCGGGATACACGCTTTATCCCGAAGAAGGCAATTGGCGGCAAAGGTAGCTATATCTTCCTCGAAGATGGAACCAAGTTCCTGGATTCAACGGGAGGTGCTGCTGTATCATGTCTAGGACATGGCAACCAGCAAGTCACGGACCTAATCAAAGAACAAATGGACCAATTGAGCTACTGCCATTCCGCATTCTTCGGCACTCAAGTTTCGGAAGATCTGGCCCAGCTCTTGGTGGAATCTACTGGTGGAAAGCTTTCAAAGCTTTTCGTAGTCAGCTCAGGTATGTCAAGACTTGTACCAACATGGTGGTCATGATCAGATTAACATAGACGTGTCCAGGCTCCGAGGCTGTTGAAGCAGCGCTCAAACTGGCACGCCAGTATTTCCTGGAACTCCCGACCCCCCAACCTGAGAGATATCGCTTCATCGGCCGTCTACCCTCGTACCATGGTACTACTCTGGGGGCTTTGTCTGCAGGTGGACATGTTCAGCGTCGGCAGCCATTCGAGCCTCTACTCTCGAAGAACACATCCCACGTCTCCCCTTGCTATGCTTATAGAAATAAGCTAGATGGTGAGTCGGATGCAGAGTATGTGGCTCGCCTTGCTGCCGAGCTGGATGCCGAGTTCCAACGCGTTGGACCGGAGACTGTTTGCGCATTCATTGCAGAGCCTGTTGTAGGCGCGGTATGATTCCCTGGCCCAAACTTAATGGCCGCTTCTGATTATCTGTTTAGGCACTTGGCTGTGTCCCTGCTGTACCCGGGTACTTCCGTGCAATGAAAGATGTTTGCGAGAAATATGGCGCTCTCTTCATCCTTGATGAGATTATGAGTGGTATGGGACGTTGCGGGACGCTTCATGCCTGGGAGCAGGAGGGTGTTGTTCCCGATATTCAGACTATTGGTAAGGGGCTGGGTGGTGGCTACGCCCCCGTGTCCGGAATCCTGATCGGTGATTCTATTGTCCAAACTATGGACAAGGGCACCGGAGTGTTCAGACATGGGCAGACATACCAGGGCCACCCAGTCTCATGTGCTGCTGCGTATGCTGTGCAAAAGACAATTCAAGAACAATCTCTCTTGGAAAACGTCAACGCTATGGGTGCTTACCTCGAAGCACAATTAAGGAAGACCTTCGAGAGCCATCCTCACGTCGGAGATATCCGTGGAAAAGGACTGTTTTGGGGTGTAAGTCGCAAGCCTTGAGTGTGGTTTTCAAAATCGATACATACTGACATTTGTACAGATGGAATTTGTGAAGGACAAGGCTACCAAAGAGCCGTTTGATCCCAAAGATCGTCTTTCTTTCCTCATTCAAGAGAAAGGACTGGAGCCCAAACATAGTGTCTCGCTTTACGGCTGCTCGGGCACTGTAGATGGAATCAGGGGAGATCATCTTGTGCTCGCCCCGCCATACATTGTGACTAAAGAGGAGATTGACATTCTGGTGGACACATTGGCGAAGGTTTTGGAAGAGATATTTGCCTCATTCGAAAAGCAATAAGATCTACATAATGCAGGAGCCACGCCTGGGTGTTTCTTCATATTCACCCTTGGAAGACATCGGGGGAGGCTGTTATATCAAGTGCTCACGAGATCATTTTTTAATTTAGACTATTCTCAAAATTAACAACCTTGGAATCTTTAACTAAATTAGGAACACTTTGAAAGTCAAATAAAGTCAAATAAACAGTGTTGGTATTTATCGCTAGTCTAAAAATACATGGAAATCAAGCCTCGCTCTCAATAGCAGCCGCTTTCTTCCTGGCTACCAACTCAACCGTTCCCTTGGGGTTGGCAGAGCCATTCGCCGCGACATCGCGGGCGATAGAGGTTTCAGCCCACAGGCCCGCAACCGTCTCAATGGCACGCTCGACGACGACACGAATACGGTCTCGCAGAACAGCATTGGCACATTCAACTTCCAGATCTTCAAGCCACACGCGAGCAACGTGCTTGTCGACCCTGATCTCAATGCCAGGGACTGGAATACCCATCGTGATGAGGCGGTTCAATTCTGCTGCTTCGATGTCGGAGAATCTTTCATCGTTGATCTCGCCTCCGTCATTCAGAGGACCCAGAGCTAGATCAGTGGGTACACGAGGGCGCTCGATGGGGCCAATGTTGTCGGCGCCGAATTGAGCTTCGAGCATCATGAGCATGCGGGCGAGTCTTTCTTGGGGTGAGGTCTGGGCGTGTGGGTTGGGGAGAGATGGTGGTTCCACTTCGTCATCGTGGTGATGGTGGTGGTGATGCTTATCCTTGGCGGATTCTGGGATGATGGTTAGCATTGGTAATATCAAAATGGAGAGCGATGGAATTCTTACGCTTGACGGAAGCCGGGCTGCTCTCGACTGTGAGTAAGACAGCCATCACCGCATCTGCAACTCCATCGTTCATCATGTTTCCTTCCCACTCGAGTTCAACTTCGCGGGTGCGTGAGTGGTGACGCAGGTATACGCATCCCATGACAAGGAACGTTTGTGTCACGTCCGAAGGAATTTCTTCTTCGGCATCTTCTTTCTTGGGAGTTTCATCCGTCTCCATATCTTCACTCTTCTCAATCTGCTCCTCTTTCTCGACCTTGGGGCTGGTTCCAACTTCCTCAATCGCTCCGAAGGTTCCCTCGAGTGCCCATTTTATCAAATCCATACTTGCAGAGCTGAGAGTAATGTGTTGCTTGCATGTGATGGTGGTGGTTGTTAGGCCGGCATATTCCTGAAGGTCGTCGGGGGCCATCAACGATAGATTAAATCCATTTTGGACCAAGACTCCGGCCATCAACTGGGCATCCTCCTCCTCAGAGGGTGGCGCGAGCTCTGCAAGTTTGCCGACAACCTTGGCAATCTTGTCCTTCTTGAAGGGAATGCGAACCTCGTCGCAGTTTGCCGGTGTGTATACCTTCACTTTGACGGTTTTATCGGCGTTGAGACTCAGGAGCTTGGACTTCAGTCTCATCATTTGATGTTTCTCGCCATGGACAAGGATCTACTTCGGTCAGTAAAGAACTCCAACTCATACTATCAATGAAACTCACCACCACTGGTGCAGCAACCTCCTCAATGAAAGTGCGGTTCTCAACACCATCAACGTGAGCCGCAAAGCTGACTTCGTCGACGGTGCATCGGCGAGGAATCATGACTTTTTGGTCTTCATCATTGGCCCCGGGAACACGACCACGGCCATGTCCGGTCGAAACCTTGGACATAACAGCAGGAATTTGGTCAGGCTCATTGAGCAGCTGCTTGGCCATGGTACCTTCCACGCTGTAACCAGTCATAACAATACCGTTGCGATCACTGGGTGCCCATCTTTCAAGCAATTCACGACTGGTACCTGTCTGCAACATACCAGGAGAGGCAAGCATAACACATCCACCCACATCGTCAAATCGCTCCAAACTGCGAAGACTTCGAACAAATCGGAAGTCCCACGGGCCAACACTGACACTCTTGTTGCCGCTAGCTTCGGCCTCGGCCATGCGCTGTCGGAAAAGTCGCTTGATGTTGTCGTTCATGGCACCGATATATGTTTGATACACAACCATACAGCGACGTGCCATGTTTCCGATGTAGTAAATAGGGAACTTCTGTAGCTCAGGGTGGGTTTCCCAGTATTCATCGAGAATCAGAAGCAGCTCTTGGGCACGACCGAGAGCAAACACGGGCATCAGAACACGGCCACCTCGGTGCAAAACACTCGTGATTGACTTCATTAACGCAGCCTCACGTTCTAATCGAGGTGGATTTGACGATATACCGAAGGTAGACTCTGTGATGAGAACATCGATCTTGGTGCCTTTTGGTACCTCTGCGGGGATCAAATGCCTGTCTTCCTCGCGAGAGTAGTCTGTAAACAGTTATCAGCGGTTTTCCTTATATTTTGAGATCGTGAGGCATCTCAATCCACCTACCTCCAGTGAACAAAGTGACCAGGCCTGCGATGTCAACCTTAAACATGGCCGCACCGAGGACGTGGCCCGCAGGATATGGGGTAATCCGGATGCCATTGATTGTATGTGTAGTGTAGAAATCGATAGTCTCGATCATAGGTAGTGTTGACAAGTGGTCACGCTCAGTGTATAGGGTGGTGCGTTGGTCAGAAGATGAAGATGTGTTGCTGACTCGCACGTTGTCCTGGATGAGCCATTTGTAGATAGCTCGGGTGGCCGGGGTCATAAAAACCCTGCCTTTGAAATTGGTTTTGCTGAGAACGTATGGTAGGGCGGAAGAATGATCGACGTGGAAACTATAGGAACCATGCAATCAGCATCTGTGATGGCCAGCAGAAGATAGGCAGGGCGCAACGCCGAGAGATGGCACGAATTCAAAACCTCGTAAATACAGAAGAACAGAGCTTATAGGCATGGGATTGAATTGTATTGGGCTTCTCAAATATTTCATAAGTGCAGGGGAGAAACACGTAACTCGAGACAGGCTCCAGCATCCGTGGATTGCCACAAGCGGTCGTCTCTTGCAACAATCCGATACATATGCGCAAAGGAGTGTCAGGGTATGAACGTACTGGCTGATTAAAAGAACATCCACTGTGCTCAGGTCGAATTCATCGAAGAAGGGTAGCGCAGAGAAGCCTTCCTTGGCCGGATGCATACCAGCATCAAGCTAGAACCAAAGATTAGCGATGAGACCATGTTTTGCGCTTCTCCAGCCAGACGTACCATCACGGTCTTGCCCTTGTATTCCAGGATGTGACAACTTCGGCCGACTTCGTTGCCGCCGCCCAGACAGTAGAATGCCAGTTCATCTGACGGGTCTACTGGCTCATCGTCCACCGCCGTTCCCATGGCTGAGGCTTTGCGCTTTGTCGTCATTTTGTTCGCAGTCTCCCAAGAATGGTGCGAAGATATCGGTAGATTGGTCGAGATTGAAAGGCACAGGCCCGAGTCGCGCAGGGTTCAAAGCCCAAGATCTCAGTTTAGCTTGAGCGCAACGCCCATAACTTGCCTCAATGGGTGGCAAGAGCGGCTGAATGGGAGAACAATAAAAAGGACCTTGGAGCCTTCAATGCAATTCAATGGAGCAGTGAAAGCGAAGCATATTGATTTGGGATTGGGGAGCTTAGTCAATCACATCACGTGTCCGTGTCCGTCGCGCGCCCGCGGAAGAGTTCGACCACCCTGGGCAAAAGCTCCTTACCCCATCAAGCACCAGTCTGCTCTCCGATCGCCGTCACATCTACTTCCGAACGACTATCATACAATTCAAGTGTCGCGCTCATGGTTCAAATTCACTATTGAAATGGTCAAGGTTGGTGGAAGTTGTTGGTGCGAGCAATCCGCTCACTTCAACGAGCACGCGTGGACCTCCGTTCATATCGAAGATCACAGCTTTGCGCAATAGACGACTTCATCTGTGGTAGTACTATATCAATCCTATCGTCACTTCACCATCACCATGGCGCAGGCTCGACACCCTCAGCAGCAGCAGCCGGTGCCGCCGCCGCAGTTCTCAAATCAACCTTTCTCCCCGCCTGTTTCTTCACCCTCCCCCAACTCGGTCGCATCTCCCGTCAATGGAGCTGTTGCGCCTCCTCCAAATAAACGCCCGCGGCTTTCTCCCCTGCCGCCGTCGCAGACTCAGTCTCCTTATGGATCGCCGAGCTTCAACGCAATGCAACTACCCCAAAATCCATCACCGATGAACGGCCAACCCATGAACATGAACACTATGAATATGACACCAGCGCCTGCAACGCCCGCACCTGCCCCTCCCGGGACGATGGGACCCCCGTCTCGACCTGTGGACAAGACGACGGACGCTGCTGAGCTGACAGACGTTCTAGCCTCGTCTGGAATTGACGTCAGGGAAGAGGAAGCATTCCTCACTCGGAGCTTTTCAGGGCAGACTGCGCAGGCGCAACCTCCCCAAAGAGGTCCACAAACACAACACCCGCCACCTATCAATACTTCTTTTAACTCTCAGGTGTCCGCGGGCACCCTCTCGGCTTCGACCAGTTTCGGCGAATTGCCCCAAATCAAACCGCAAGCCACTCACGACTCGTACGCGGACCCGTCCTCTCAAGCCTCTGCTCCTTTCAAGGACCCGAACGAACCGACTCGTGAGGATACGGTTGCAGCGAGAAGGGCCCAATACCACATCCAGGAGCCATTTTTGATCACCAAACTCCTCGAGCAGAAGCTTCAAAAGCGAGGATTTGACCTCGGTGTTCGCATCCCCTCGGAAGGCTTGTTTCATCCCGTTCCTGGTCGACCACAGCCAATTGAGGTTACTGGTCCAGATGGCTCATCTGTAGTACGCACTGGCCAAACTATTCTCAATCAGGAAGGCGCACCCCTAGTTGACATCCTCAACCTTTTGTCGATTTCTGCCGAGGAAAGAATCAGGGGTGTTATTGACTATTCGTCGACCCTCGCTCGGAGTCGCCGATCTCATTCTCACGGCGTGGTTCCTGAAGAATGGAAGGACATTGCACAGCCTCTCGCGCAGACGACGGGCAACCCACAGAGCTTACAGACTCCTGTGAAGCGTATGCTCCCCTTCATCCAGAACCCAGCTGGTCGCAGCATTATTAGTGTGTGAACTGACAAATTACAGGGCCTCATTCTTCTACGGAGTTAGGTACAAAGTCAAATGCGGATCGTTTCCGGACAATTCTCAACCGTGAGGGTTCCCAAGAGGAGAGACGCGCATCCAAGCGCGCGAAGCGCAACAGCAATGCCATTCTCAGCGAAGCTGGCCGAGCCGACTCGGTCGATCCAACAGGTTCCGCTCCTTCAACGCCTATCGGTGAACGACCACCTGGAACGGACAAAAAATCTATAACCAAGAAGGAAGCAAAGAAAATGACAGACTCCAAGGCAACCGAGGCTCAGCAGCATGCGCAGTCTGTAGAGACAGCTCGCATGGCCCTTGGCAACTCTGGTCCCCGCACCAGTATGTTCGGTACCAAGAAGTCCTACTCGTGGTTGAAGTCTGGAGGCTCTGGTAGTGGGTTCTCCTCCCCCTCCCGACCAACCCCGTCGACCCCCACTGCTGGGCCCGAGAAGCCCAGCGCCGGAGAACCAGCACCATCCACCACCCAACGTCGCCTTGGATTATGGCGCGAGGATCAAGATAGGGGCGCGGGTATTCAGGTCAGAGATGTACTCTTCATGCTCGAAGCCGACGGACGGGCGACGAGACATGTGCAGCGGGGATATCTGAAGGACCCCAAAGAGGACCGTGATCATGCGCAGTGACCGCATAAATGTTTGTAATCTTATTCCTTTCTTTTTGTCTCTAATTCCTTTCTTTTTTCTCTATGCCCATCAACGGTTTCAGGAGTTTCTGCATTTTGTACGGTGGCGTTGGCTGGGTCGTCGGGCCATCTTGAGTTTTCTTCAGAGCATAGGCGCCGAGTGAGCGAGTGATAGAGGGTCTTCATTTCCTCAATTCAGTCTATCTCGTTTTAAAATTCACTTCTCCGCGTATCGGTGGCCTCATAAATTGGACTATACCTCGCTTGATCATATCATTTGCGTTTATTATGTTCCATATCTAATGTCACATCCATACTGTCACCTTCAGGGCATCCGCCATCTCATCCTCCGATGGTACCTATATTTGCAATTCCCAAGTAGAGCACCTTCTATGCACGTGGCTTTGCAATTGGTCTGAAAGGGCCGATTCGTCGAACAAACATTTGCCTGTTCTCGCTCGGTGGCTCGTTCCCGGTGTACACAGGGTGAATAGTCACCTCTCAAGCCATGCAGCTTCCCCTGGATAAGTGTCCTCCACAAAGGCGAGAAAATGGCTGCCACCTATAGGAGTAGCGTGTAAAAAATCAATTTACTCGTCCGAATGCCCAGGTGCTCCGTAAATGGCCCCCACTCATCAGTGAGGCTTATAACCCTAGAGCCACTCTAAACATAATTCAACTCAGCCGTGGCCTCTTCCATGGCTTTGTGGCTTCGAATGGCATCAAAGTAGATAGCTTCCACTTTGCTTCTGATCGATCCTCGCTTGTAAATTCAACGGAGTAAATTTACTGGATTTCTATAGTTGCAAAGTCGGGTGTTGAATAGGAATCTTGAAACCGTTGGCGTACGGCAAGCCCACCAATCCTCGTTGCTCGCTATTGACTCCGTATCTAGCGGTGAGTAAACGACAGGGTGATTGACCGAGTGAGAAATTGGAACACCTGTGGATGCAAGGTAATATGGAAACATGGGAAAGATATTTGAACTATATATACTATGTCAATATTGGACAATATACCGCACGGAGTACTCCGTACAATATGTTCAATTTGTTGGTAATGCTGGATGGTGAGGTCAGATCCCGAGGTCAGAACCTTGGAAGTGAGGTGAAGACAAAGGGAAAGACCAGTAGAAAGATCACTGAAAAGACCATTAGAAAGACCATTGAAAAGAGGGTTCGAAGGAGGCCCCGCGAAGTAGTCAACATCAACCTCCTCCAGGGCTGACTGGCTGGAATGGAAGACGTCAAGTAGATCCCCGATGTATATATTCGCCACTGGCACCTTCTGATATTGCTCTCCTTTCGCCCTTTTTCGTGCAAATTGATCCGTCACCCCCAGCGTGCATACACAGACCTGATATGAAACTTTTACACAGGAACGGTGGAATGTGGCGCCAATATATGAAAAACGAGGTTAAATCCCCGGAGTCATGATTCCGACCCAGAGGCGAATCAAGTCTAGACTGTCACGAACTGCGTCTACCCATGGATGTCTACATGGAACTGGCTAGATTTTGCTATATCGATTTGGTGCACCTTTGTTACCCGCCATTTATCACCTATTGTCACCTATTGTATACTTCGAGGCTGTGGAGGTGACGGACGGTAACGCATTTAGTGGACTTCGGCTAGGGCTACGCGAGTCGCCAATTTCGGGGGTTCGGTGCAATTGGAATGAAGCCATCATACCCATCTGAGATGCAAGTTCAGAATATCCCGCAGATCGCATTCTTGAAGGTGCATGGGCCCCTGCAGAGGGTCAGGCTGATGCTCTGGGAGAGCAGCAGAGTAGGAGTAGCAGAGCAGAGAACTAGCCAGAGAACGAAGACTAGACTTGGTCAAAATTAAAAGCATATAGTCCGATAATCAGCAAAAAAGACAGATTAAAAAAGGAGGAGAGTGGGAGGGCAAATGGGCTGGGTCGAAAGTGAAGCGATCTCAAACGGTGCGCAGATCGAGGCGGTCGAACTTCCGGACCTCCATCCTCCCCGTCGTCATTCTCTTTGCCTCCAACTCCTCCCCACGTTGACTCTGTGGATGTCGCCAAATTCATTTTCAATGATCTCGTCTCCACCTCCGTATTGAGTTGAGGATTCCTCACTTGACACTCGATCGTCGCCTCGCCTCGCCTCGCCGACCATCTTGCCTCAATCTCTGTCGGCAAGCCCTCTTTCCCACCCCCAAAGGCGCCAGGAGTTTCCTCTTGGATAGAGACGCGCAACAATCCACACGCTGTGAATTATAATCTTCGCTGCCACCCCGTTCGCGTGACGGACAGGAATACCCTCCTGCGCCATGTCCACCCCGTCCACGGCCACTGCAACGCATCCTTCCCACCCCCAGGCTTACGGATACCCTCACCGTCCCCCTTACCCACCGAACTCTTCATACGCAGCATCGACAACAACAGCCCCACGCATCGCGAATCCCTACGGTTATTCCGTCCCCTCGCCAACGACAACCGCCAGCGCCCTCCCATACACGCAGACCCCGAGACTGCCTCCAGCGCCCTCGACGCCCTCCGCCATGACCCATCAGAGCGGTTCCAGCGCGGCTCCCTCGCTGGGAACCCGCAAGAAGCAACCTGACTGGTCCGAATTCTATAAAAATGGGATTCCCAAGGAAGTCATTGTGATCGAGGACAGTCCCGGCCCAGAGTCTTCCAATGGCGCACCCGCTCCTCCCGCGCATGCATCAACCAGGCCAGCCCCTTCGGCTCCTCAACCCGCCGGCAAGAAGCGTCGCACCGGGATCGAAACCGCCTACGACCTCGGTCACTACGACCGACCGTCCTTCTCCATCAACCCTCAGCAATACGGCGAAACCTCCTCCAACACCTCATTATCCACCGACCGAACCGCCTCCCTGCACACCACGGCCCCGACCTCACTCGGATCACAGGGCAGTGCTGGGGCGAGCAATGGCGCCTACCACGACGAAACCGCTATCGGTCAAAAGCGGAAACGCGTGGCGACGCGGAAATCCACTCGCGACGAGCAGAAACGCCGAGAGATGGAGATCACGGGCCCATATGAGTTATATGTGCCGCCTCCCAAGCCTCCGATCAAGGCCAAGGATGTTCCTGTGCCAGTTGTCCGCGATGTGAGTCCCCTCTTCGAGTCCTTCACTTGGTTGGAAAGTCACTGACAGAGCCTGTTCTTTATAGTCAACGAGCGCTCAGAACAAGAAGTTTGACGATGATGACGGTCACTATATCGTCACTCCTGATACGCCATTGACTGATCGATGTGAGTGCCACCTAAGCGCCCAGTGACGAGTCCCAAGGATACTGACTCTCTTCAGACTCTGTGGTCAAATTGCTTGGCCAAGGTACATTCGGAAAGGTAGTTGAAGCCTGGGACAGACAGCGCAAGTCTCGTTGTGCCGTCAAGATCATCCGATCAATTCAGAAATATCGCGACGCTTCCCGCATTGAGTTGCGAGTACTGTCAACTCTCGCTTCCAACGACAAACCCAACCGCAACAAATGCATTCACCTCAGGGATTGCTTTGACTTCAGGAACCACATTTGCATCGTGACCGATCTGCTGGGACAGAGCGTCTTTGATTTCCTCAAGGGCAACGGATTCGTGCCATTCCCCAGCAGTCAGATCCAGCAATTTGCCCGCCAGCTGTTCACGAGTGTTGCATGTCAGTCTGACTTTTCCCTTTCTTCTAATTTCACGCTGACCTTTTCGCAGTCCTCCACGACCTCAACCTTATTCACACCGATCTTAAACCCGAAAACATCCTCCTCGTCAGCAACGCCTATCAAACCTTCACTTACAACCGCACAATCCCCTCTTCCTCCCATGCCACAAACCGCAATGCCCGGCAACGCCGAGTTCTCCTCGACAGTGAGATCCGACTGATTGATTTCGGCTCGGCGACGTTTGATGACGAATACCACTCCTCCGTCGTGTCTACTCGCCACTACCGCGCGCCTGAAATCATCCTGAATCTCGGCTGGAGCTTCCCCTGCGATATTTGGAGCATCGGCTGTATTCTGGTGGAATTCTTCACCGGAGACGCTCTCTTCCAGACACACGACAACCTCGAACATCTAGCAATGATGGAGGCTGTCATTGGCACGCGAATCGACACTTCGCTGGTCAAGAAGGTCATGGTAGGCAGCCGAAGTGGCGGCACCAACTCGGCCTCCAAGTAAGTGACATCCCTCTGTACACTCTGGCTATCATACTAACCTAATCAGATACTTCTGCCGCAGCAGAATCGACTACCCCAACACTGAAACCACCCGGGCCTCACGGAAGTATGTGCGTGCCATGAAATCCTTGACCGTGAGTCACCTAGCCCCTCCGAATCCCCATGGACCGTGAACTGATCTCCCCAGGAATTTATCCCCACCAACACGCCATTCAGTCGGTCATTCCTGGACCTGCTGCAAAAGATCTTCGTATACGACCCGAAGAACCGAATCACCGCCAAAGAGGCCCTGCAGCACCCCTGGTTCAAGGAGTCGCTCGTCGACGACGGCACCGAGGCCTATAGAATCGGCCAGGGACTCCAACGTCAGGCCCACCAGCTCAAAGGATAGACGGGCTCCATTATTTATGTAATGTTTCAACGGGACGGAAATGGTGTTCGGGAAAATCATGATCACGATGTGTTTTTTATTCTTTTATGGGCCCCGACCCTGGACTCGAACTTTTATCTGCTCTTTTTTTCTTTCTATTATTTATGCCTCTGGGCGCCCTACATGTTATGGAAATCCAGCATATGCTCGGATGATTATACCATTTTGTTTTCTGTTTCCCCGGCGTCCGGCGTGCCTTTTTGTATATAAGTCCTTTACACCCAAAGGGTTGTATAACAACTCCCTTTTGACTGGCCAATCAACCAGGATTCGATTCCTATTTATTCGCGAATTTCTCGCAATGGACCTCCGAGCGCATACTTACTCCAACGACTCCAATTTCCCCTCTCCAACACGGACTATATCTACTCTCTCCCTTCACTCTTCTCTCTCAATCCAACGAAATTGAGCTTCCAAAATGCCCAAAATGATCGATATGACCGAGATGACCATATCCAACTTCCACAAAGCTCTCATCGAAGACCCCTCCCTTGGCCCAGCCCTAATAACCACCTGCCTCACCTCCATCACCCACCACGACCCAACCCTCAAAAGCATCATAACAACCAACCAAACCGCAATAACCGAAGCAATTCAAAAAACAACCCAAATAACCCTCCACAAATCCCCAAAATTCCTTCCCCCCTCCACTCAATCCCAATAATCCTAAAAGACAACTACACAACCCCAACCCTCCCCACAACAGCCGGCGTCAAAGCCCTAACAATAACAACCAACACGCAAAGCACAATCCTCACTCGCCTGGAAGCCGCAGGAGCCATCATAATCGGCAAGGCAAATCTCCACGAATTCGCCCTCCAAGGAATAACCCTCTCTTCAGTCCTCGGCCAGACCCTAAACCCATACGACACCTCCAGAACCCCAGGCGGCTCATCCGGCGGCACTGCCGCGGCCATAGCTGCCCGCTTCGCTCTCGCGGGCTGTGGAACTGATACCGTTAACTCACTCCGCTCACCAGCCTCAGCTTGTGGGATCGTAGGATTCCGTCCTTCGACATCTCGCATACCTACCGATGGCATCGTGCCTGTTTCCTTAACTCAGGATACGGCGGGACCTATGGCGACTTGCGTCGCTGATACTCGGATTTTATATCGAGTTATGGCGGGTCTTCCTGTCTCTATTTCCTCGTCCTCAGAGTCACCACCACCACCAGAAAACTCCAGACGGATGAGGGTAGGGGTTCTGGAATCATTCTTCGGAACCGAAGGACTTGAAGGAGCAGAAGCAAAAGCAGAGAATGAAATCGTGCAGAGCGTTATACGAAATGCACTGGAATCAATGGCGAAGGATATTGAACTCGTTTCAATTCCAGAATCTTCGCATCCGGATTGGTCTTTTAAGACCTTGGCGTCGATGGGAGATACGCAAGCGTTCGAATTTAAGCATTGTCTAGATACATTCTTACAATCTGACGATGTGGACTCTGAGTATCGATCTTTGGAATCTATTGCGCGGTCAGGTTTATACTCGCGTGAAGCTGTCACGGAGGTTTTCTCGGCTTCGTTGGAGGAACCTGAGAGATATTCTGTGGATAGTGCGGAGTATTTTGAGAGATTGGGGTATATTGATGGTGTGAGGGATTGTGTTGAGAGGTGTTTTGAGGAGTTTGGTGTTGATGCTTTTGTGTATCCGCATCAGAGACAGTTTCCTGTTCGGATTGGGGGGGAGGAGGCAGGATGGTAGGAATGGGATTTTGGCTGCTTTGACGGGGAGGCCGGCTATTTGTATTCCTGGTATGTCTGATCTGAGTCCGAGTCTGGTTTGAGGGATTGCTGACGAGAGTACTCTGTAGCTGGGAGGAGTCCTAGGAGTGAGACTGTGCCGATGGGTATTCCCATCGGTATCGAGTTTATGGGGAAGAGATGGGGTGAAGATGATCTGCTGGATTTGGCAGAGAGGGTTGAGAGGATCTTGCAGGTTAAACAAGCTCCCGATATGAGGATCTTCGAGAAGGCCGAGGAATAAACGACAAATGATATGATGTGAATATCATTGTAAATGTAATATATTGACAAAAAATCTAACCAGCAAAAAGTCTACTTGATATGTGCACAAACGCCTCAAATGCCCAATTTTTACATTCCACGATTGAACTCCACCATACCACCAGCACCACCACGACCCTGGAACTCCTCTTCCAGACTACTAACATTAATAGCCTGACGCGAAGGGAAAGCCGCCAGAGCCAGCGGCAGCGCAAACAGCGAAGTGCCCAGAATTAGCGCCAGATTAACCGGCATAACCATCTTAGGACGAGCACGGAGCCAGTTAGTCTTCTCCAGACGAACGAGGAGAAGCGGCGGCAGGACCATGATGGGAGTAGCGTTTAGGACGCGTGAGATGGCCGTTTCGCCGACGGCGAGAGTAGCGGCCTTCTTACTCTTTCCGAGACTTTGGAGGGGCTCTGCGTCTGGGTTTGACTCGCGCTTTACGCGCTCAGCCTCCGAGAGGACGGGGTAGACGTCGATTCCTTGGCGGATTTCCTCGCCGCGCATAAGGAAGACGTTTAGGGCGGAGGCGGAGGCGACTGCCGCGAAGGGGACGAGACGAGTTAGGATTAGACGGGTGTTTGGGGCGACTTTGAGACGGGGGACTAGGGCGTTCAGACCGACTGCGACGGAGCAGGAAGCTGAGACGGCCATGAGGTAGGATTTGCCGATCTGGGACAATGAGAGAGGGGTGGATTTGTTGGCGTTGGCATTATTAATGGCGACGTTGAGGGACTGGTTGCCGATTTGCCAGAGGACGGTGCCGGTGGTCTATAGCAGGAATCTGGGTTAGTTGGAAGTTGTGGATAATGGTGGAGATGGTGCGCTTCATACTTGCAATCCTGGTGTCAGCATACCCGCTGTGACAACCAAGTTGGTCAACACGTAGGCGGACATGCGGAAAGGCAGGAAAACGGATTCGCCGGTGTCTGAGCTGTTAGTCAAACTGGCTGACGGATTCATTCAATCGAATCTCATACCAGGGTGCAGAGTCGCGTCGACCACTTTCTTGGCCGTCCACAGCTCTGGTGTCATGACGGGAATATGGTTCTGCTTGTAGGAAGCGATGAGGTTCTTGGCGGCCTCGAGACCAGACGAGGACACGAACAGCGTCCTATTGGAGTCAGTATGTGCGTAGTCGCAGCCTTGGTTTATAGCACCCACCGAGGATCAGCAATGTCGGCAGAATGACGCACGCGACCCCAGTATGTGGTCAGGTCATATTGGGATGCGGGCATATCCCGGCTGCCAGGGAGAGAGGCAGACATTGCGAAGAGGCAAGTGAGGAAGCAAAGAGTGAATGGCGCGGAGAGATTGTGACTCCGCGGGGAGAAAGTGCTTTTTTGATAAAAAGGGCGGTGTGCCGATAAGTAGGGATTGGCCAATCAGATCAAGTCCCGATCTATGTGTTTTGACTTTTTCTTTTTGTTGATTGCAGCGCCTTCTGTCGACAACGAGGTTCGGCGAACTTGGAGATGATCACAGCGTGAGTGAGAGGTGAGAGTGGAGTGAGAAAACCGGCCTTCCTGCAATTAATAGAGGAGTAACCTGCGATGCGATGCACATCTCTACGGCTACTCTCCCGATGCCGGTTCGCCACTCCGATATGCGGGGAATCTGCAGGTTTAGGCCTAATGAAAGTGGTATGTGCGGAGTATGGGAGGGTGTAAATATTGAGATATTTCTATTCTGGGGTTGCCAGCAGGGAATAGTACATAGGTATCATAAAGGTCTCAAAACCAAGAGACTAGGAAAAATGTGCAGCTAATGCAGAGAGAACCAAGAGAGTCCAAGCGGACAACGACAAAAGAAATCACAGGCGTGTAAGACATGAAACCATTCACCGCAGTCGATATGACTTATGGGCTAATGGGGAGGGGGGAGCTTGACTCGGAACATAAGAGGATCGCGAGCGGTTCTGCTTTGATGGAGTTTGCGCACAGAAAACGCAGACGTAGACGGAGGGTAGATGGGAGCGCTCTAACCCAACACATCTCGTGTGCAGCCAGTGGGTACATGATTCACTGGACAGGTCAGTATCAGTATTGAAGCGGTGTGTGGTTAATGATCGGGGGAACTCACCATTGAATCATGAGGTGGCCACCGTTATCCATCGAGCGACAGACACATCGCGTCCCAATGCTCGGGTTGTTATGCCGCTCCGTACAAGGAGTGGCTAGATCGGGATCGGTGAGGGTAGTGGGAGAACCATTGTGTCGAGGAATGTCATAATCACTACCGAGGCGAGGAGGTGATGATCGGAGGTGATTGAAGGTATGTGAGGAGCGAGAAAGACGGGTGCGAAGGCCAGTCGACGGCCTGGGACCCCGTCCACGTTCTTTGAGAACCTGTCGGAGAGCAGATTGGGCATCACCGCTGTCATCATCCTCACCAGGAAGCGAGTCTGAGGCACTACCGCGGGTGAAAGTCGAGTCGGAATGGAGTAATGAGGAATGCCGCTTCGGCGTCCGTTTTATATCGGGCGACCCGCGTAACGATGGCCGTCCAGCTCGTGAGGATCCAGCCCACGGCGACATACGACCGGAGTGCGAGGATCCAACCGTGGAAGCGTATGAGCCCTTGGAAAGGGGCCGAGAATCTGAGTCGCTACGGGAAAGTGGCGGACGGGGACCATCGTAGAGTGAAAAAGATGACCGAGTACGGTGCAACACTGGGTATTCGGGATACTCAGTAGGATCGGCCTCACTTTCAGTTGCAGACCCATCAAGCTCCATGCCAGTCAGGGGATCGGTCAACCCCGTCGGCCCCTCATCGACGGGCTCCATTTCGGCCTTTGCGCGACCGTCCCGCCCAATGCGGAGGACCACAGAGGAAGACCGGGTTGGTAAACCTGTGGCAATTGAGTTTGCTCGAGGCAGAGGAGCGGGACGCATTGTCTTCGCTGGAGACGAACGTCCTTTCGATGGGCTCTTCCGCACACCGCTCGTCGATGCCATCATGCCTTGACTGAAAGATCGACTAGAAGACAAGCCGTTGTGTGTGAGACTCCGGGTCAGGCCCGGCCGAATGCCTCTGGGAGTAATATCCTCGTCTTCCTCGTCACTCTCGCTCGGGAAGTTGGCGAAATCGGGCCGCCCATTCCCCTCCGCCCGCAACAGCTGTTCCCGCCTAGATTCCTCCGCCTGGTGATGATACGGCTGCCGCAAGCCCCGCAAAGACCTGGTCTCCGGTGTAAGTTGAGGACCACCGAACCGCCGAGCCGGGGAGCTCAAAAAGAGAGCTGGGTCCTCCGCCTTGGCGACAGGGCGGCGGGGGGAGGTGGAAAACGGAGCAGGAAAGAGAGCAGCATCGGTCGGTGCTGACAGACCATAGCTGGCGCTGAAGTCGGGCAGATTTGCACTACCGATGGGGGGTAGTTTCGGGATTGAAGATTGGCGAGCATCGAAGTTGCCGTTGCTTGGCAGGGGGATTTCATTGGACTCCGGTTCATGATCCCAGAATAATCGCTGCTGTGGAAAGAATGGAGATCCTACGGGATCCAGCGAGGCCAATTGAAAGAGATCGGGCGAGGTCTGTCCAAACATTCGCGGTGACTCCCCTAGCAGCCGACTCGGAGTCTCCAGATGGCCCCCCATGGACAACGAGTCCTCGGGCTCGAACTCGGGTATCTTCCTCCTCGAGGCACTGGTGGGCGGAGGGGTCTGCATGGAGGCAGCCGACTTAGCGGAGCCTATCGTCCGGGGATATTCGTCGCCATTTGGACGGATTCGCCTGGCGGTATCGGTCTCCCGCTTGCAGGCTGAATCATTGCCGGGTTTTGCACCTAGGCCGAATCTCTGAGGGGTGCGGAGCAGCTCTGGGCTCGAGGCATATGGATCGGAGGTGTCCCAGGTGACTCGGGGATCGAAGAAGCTGGATTCCAGTTTGGGGGGAAACGAGTCGAATTGGGGGGTCCTCGTGGGAGTCTGCGGGTCACCGTAGAAGCTGAACATAAAAGAATCCATGAGTATCAGAATGTATGAAGAAAGACGAAACAATCTGACAGGGTCTCTCCCCCACTGGGAGGAATCAAGGGCGCATACCTGTGGACAGGGTGATCCCAACTCATGTCAGCAACCAACCATTGAAGGTTTGAAGCTGCCAGGCAACCTTATGTCTGAGAATGTATCAATAGCACTTGTTCATTTAGGAAGAGTGTCAAGTTCAAGGTCAGGGGTGGAATGAGGAGGTTGTAAGAACTAAGGACTAAAGCAAAGAACAGGTACGGAGTACCAAAGAACCACAGAACCACAGAATCCGAGCCGCCGTGTTTTCCTTTTCCTCTGTTTGTCGACCTTTTTCTTTTTTCTGTTCTTATTTCCCCGTATGAAGTACTTCGTTCTTTCTTTTCTTCTTTTTTTTTTTTTTTTTTTGCGTGGGGTCTGTCGAGATTTTTTTTGTTTTTTCTCTTTTTTATTAGTCCAGGCCTCCACAGTGTTATCCACCGTTTCCTACTTTCACTCCGGACACCACGAATTCTACTCCGTACTTGATGTGCGTGTTCAGTACCTGCAGGAACGGGCGGATTGTGCGTGTCCGAGTGGATTACACCATCCCAATGCGCCGAACTCCAATCAGGAGCTGGAGACAGCGAATCCCCCTTGTCTTTGCATCTAGAACGGGTTCAGCTCCAGGTGGAACCTGAGGCCTATGACGACATGGAATCTGGTCTCACAAAGAACAGAGCAGTCTTTCCGTGGATACAGAGTACCATCTATATGGTGCATCTATACGCTTTACTCGGCCGAACTACTGGACTGAGAATACTCCAGGCTCGGGGAAGGGAGCCTTTAACTTTCTCCCTTGAGACCCTTGCCAATTGGGTACCGAACTCGGTGATGAGGTGCATACGACCACGGAGATCTGTTCACTGCTCAGCCCCTATCTTGGCATCGAGGGAAAAAGTACGTGCTCTTCATGTCCGGAGTCCGAAATCCGGAGATCTACGGAGGAGAGTCGAGCTCCTTTTCCTTTGTGCCAACTTCCCCTTGAAGTCTTCCAATTTCCCAGTGTCTAGCGTCTCAGTGCCCGGTTTCCAGACTAAGACACTAAGCCCACGGGGAGCTCCCCACGCTAATCGTATGAGATCTGATGATCCTAATCTTATTCTAGAAGGTTTCTGGGGTGATACTCTGGTCATATGCAATCTGACCTCGGGAGCCTCCTGATCTAAGGGACTATCTGTACTCCGTACTCCGTAGTTTACGATAGAGTGGATCTAGTGGCATCATTTCCCTTCTTATTTCGCTCACTGGCAATGTCATGACTATACTTCGTACTCCATTCCTTTTACGGAGTATCATCGGACGCTAATACTGCCGCTCGGCATCTCGGAGGCATGTGCTGCCGTGCTCCAATTTCGGAATATCTAAGCTTCATCTTTAAAGCCAATATTCGGCATCAAATATTATCCTGTAAAAATCCATTGGATCAGATCGAAGTGAGTGAACAGATAACTTGGGAGTAAATTAAATGATCAAGAACAAACATCAAACAAAACAAAGAAGCCTGATTCTCCAGGCATCAAGGCCCCACTCTGATTCGCTCCTGCATTGAAAGACATCAAAGCCGCATCAAAGCCCAATGTCCCAGAGGAAATGACATGACATGAGATAAATATGAAATGAGAACCTTTCAAACTTCCAATCCTCATCTACTCTGTCTGATCCCCTCTTCACTTCCACCATGACACCCACAACAAACGCGAAGAACATCCGCAACCGCAAACCACGGCACAGGAAGCGGAACCGCCGAGGGCGCGCCCGCGACAAAGTTCGCTCTACCGATTCTCCCCAGCCTCTGGACGAGGTCCTGAACGAGAGAAAGCGCAAACCCAAGAAGAAGAGCTCTATACCAATTCCAGTATCCGATGATCCACTCGAGAAGGTACATACATACCATCCCTGATATCCTCAAAACCCACCCACTAACACTTACAGAATATCCCCGAGAAGGCTCCAATGCCAGAAGGCTACGTTCTCGTCCCAAAAGGCGATGTCTACGTCACCCGCCACTGTCGCAGTAAAACCAAAGACGCCGATCAAATCGTCTACGTCGTCTATGTAAGTTCTCCAACTCTGCAAGTAAACCTCAATCTAACCCACCAGAACCACACGGGCAAACGTACCTTGGGGATTCGAGTCCCAGAAGATATCCACATATCGGTCCTTGCCTCCGCAGCAGAGACAAAAGAGTCACGCGCAAATGCCGTGTCCTTAAGAGACAAGAAAGATCTATCCAAGTCTCGTGCATTGCTAAAGTCTGAATTCCCGCTCATGCCCAAGGAATCTCTGAAAATTATTCTTGAGCATGCCTTCCTGAAAGGCTCGGGGCGGGTCGGGAGGACGGGGATGATTAGTGATGATAAGAAAATTTTGTTAGCGGTTGATGCGCATATTCGCCATGTGCATACTCCATATGAAAAGTTGCTTGATGCTGGTGTTGGGAGGAAGGAGGCTAGAGAGCAGGTTTGGGATTCTGTGAAGGCTGTGGAACGGGCTTGGCAGGGTGTGACGGAAGAGAAAAAGAAGTTGCCTTTGAGGCCTACTTGAGATGATTCTTTGATGCATTGCGGGTGTTTGGGGTTGTTTGATTTGAGGGGTGGCTTTTAAGGCTTGCATGGAGTTCTGGTTGTATTCAGCATGGTGTATAATTTTGCATTTAACGATATGGCTTGGGAGCTCAGTGAGAATTCTGTGGTTCATCAGACAGAGTCAATCGGAGTATGAGATTTCTCAGTTCACGCTATTACAAGGTGTAAAAGCGAACCTGAAAGCGCGAGGTCTTAGGAAGCGGTCACTCTCACCTTACTGTCGATGTTGACCTGAGAGTAATGACAAGGTGGCGAGTGACCCTATAATCAGGACTACTATAATCAGTGTGCTATGATTTACAATATAAAAAGAGCGGAACCAGCAAGTGATTATTATTTGACTCATGGGCAATGATGGTATTTTCACCTGGGATCCTTTGTCTGGCTTAATCGGCGATAGGCCATGATCCACCCTTCAGTCAACCATTAATGACGCTCATCATGATTGTGCACTAATTCCACCTTGAAATGAGGGTGTCGATAAGGCAGGGGATGTAACCAACCAAGCCCATCCTGCATCATGTCAAGCATCTGTCCCAGGCGACGGAAAACAGAGCTCAGAGCGCGCTCTCGGTTGTCGTGATTGGCACTGAGGGCAATCATCACATGCGGAGTCCGATTCTCAGGTGAGAAGGTGGCGGCAATGGTATGAGCAGTGCCGGCATTGAACATCCGACTGATGCTAGACCGGGCTTCTCCGACGATGACCATGTCGGAGGGAAAAGTCACATTAAAAGTGACAGGAATGTAAAAGACGTGTCGGGTGACACGTCGATATTGGCGGTTTGCCCGCTGAATAGGTGCATTCTGAGTCTGACGACGAGGTCCACGAGGCGCCGATGGCGGGGCACCTGAGTCGATATCCATTGCATCGCCATTATGGGTTGTAGTGGCCCAGTTGCTTCTCTGCATGTTGGAAGATGAGAGAGTGGCGTGAGGGCTTGATGACTGTCGAAAGGGTATGTTGGGGAAAGTATCAAGCGGGGTGGTCTCTACAGATGCTGCGAAGCTACCTATCCCGCCAAGCCGACGAGAAGACGTGTTTCCACGCCCAGGGACGTTTCCTTCCCAGTCTCCGGAGACCCGATCGGTCTCAGGTCTGTTTGGATCGCGCAGATAGCCGGGTAGATCACCTGAATTGGGTCTCAGAGTGAGGGCGAGGTGGTAACTGTCGACTGCGGCTTGGTTAAGCGTAGTCGGACTGATGGTCGCAGAGGATTCCGAGTCGAAGGAAATACTTCTGTTCCTGTAGATTATGTTAGCTGTTTGATCAACTTTATCATCTGCTTGAATGAGTTATACAGCTGATGCGGATTCATCTTGACGTCGTGTAACGGAGTGGTGTGGAAGAGAGAAGAAAGGCAGATGTCAAAGCGAAGGCCCTTTCCTCTCTGCTCGTTTATGTACGCCTTCACGGGCGTGCGGGCGACGTACCGAGCTCGATCGAGCTCGTTTGAGACATCGTCTTCATACCAAACTACACGACCGGGGTTATTCGTACTACGTCTAGTGTGCAGATTTTTGAAAGATTTATTCATTGCCAGACTCGATAGGGACTCTCCATTAACCATCCGCAACTGGTATCTGCTGAGCAATAGACGTGGAAAAGCGTTTTCGGGGACCCGCCCATTTCCTTATAGAGGTTGTGAACCGGGTGTAAATTTGAAATAGGAGTGAGCTCATGCAGTCTCTTCGAGGATAGAAACATTATCGAGATCGCCGGTATCGAGATCAAGAGGTGCATGTAGGGAAGGTGTAGCGGTCGTGGTCTTGGGAACCTTGTTGTCGCCCTTGGGGACTTCGACGTTAGAGTCCTTCTTAGGCTTCTGTTCTTTCACACGCTTGGCCTCCTTGTTGTTGCTCTTGGGGTCCTTGACCTTGGGCTTGACCGTGGGCTTGACTTCAGGAGTAGGCTCTCTAGAAAGAGAGCGCGAAAGTTCGCTGAGCTCGGACTCTTCGGAGGATTCGTGTGCGGAGGATTCGTGGGCGCTGTTGCTGGCGGAGGCGATCTCGGTATACGCCCTCTTCTTTGCCTTGGTTGTGGTGATGGAGTTCCACTCTATGTAGTGGTAGTCGGGGTGTCCGGTCACCCTGTCGACGCAGTCGGGGCGTGTACGGGCGCTTGTGTGACCGACCTCGCTCATGAAGCCGGGAATCTTGTTGAGCTGTATGTAAGCTTTGATATTCTTGAATCTAAAAGCACTTGCACACTTATAATGGAGTCCTGTAAGCCGACTGCTAGGTTGTCTTCAGGGTCTGAGTGGAATTGACAAGGTGAAGACCGATTCTACCACCGCTGCAGGCAACATTCAGACAAAGAAGACCCCCCCATAAAAAGCTGTGCTGCCGCCGAACTTAGTCAAAAATGACAATGTCCACTTCGTTGCGTGGGATGCTTGAGATTCGAACTGGAATGTTGTTATCAGACGGCATTAGTTCAGTGATGTTTGATCTGGCACAAATTTTGTCTGCGCATCCATATGGACACCTCGACGCCCGCTTCTCCCATGCATGAGAACAATTCTGCTTCAAGCCAGGCAAAACAAGATTGCGAGATCCACATTTGCAGAAGCCTTGTTCCCTATAGCAATTATTCTGGCGTCTGAGAATTTCGTTCTCCAAAGCCTCGTGAATGGTTCCCACCAATCCTCGTCAGGTTATTTTCGAATTTCTCGTTGGTTTGCGCCTGGGAGCAAGAATGAGGTTAAAGATGCCTCTCCCTTCTACCTATGCTCTGCTTCGGATCACATCTAGGAGGGAAGGTATTCTTTTCTCATCTCCCAAGATTTCGTCGAAGGTATTGTCTGCTCTGTCTTCTTCAATATTCACAGTCGGTGATTTTCGCTGCGCTGCAATGGGCGTCAGATGGTGTGGCAGTGAAACTCGGCTGCTATCATCCCTCACAGTTGATGCTTCATTGGTCTCATGTCCCCGTAAGTTGTATCGAGAGGAGGGAAATGTGGTCTCGAGATGTAGGGTCTCGAGATGTAGATATGAGATTGGGGAGTGGGAGAGGGGAAGAGAGGAAGAGAGGTAAGCTCTCGATTTACGATTATATACCCCACCTGCTGGCAGTCTGCTCAGGTGACAATTGCGTCTTTCCATGGCTGCCTCTGCCACGTAACAATTCAGATGACCTGCTATAGATCTATTCACAAATTGACCAGTGGACTTATTGGTAACTACCAGGATGATCGAGTTCTCCCAAAAGTGTCATATGGGTATTCAGGCTCGAGCTTACCCAGAAATGATCTGGAGATTAGGGGATGGCCTTCCCTTGCATTCTACTCTTGATATCTATGGGGGTTAAATGTAAACCTTCTCATTGATTATTGAACCAGCGGGTAGTTTGCACCCTCAGTCCCTGAATTACCAGGAACGAGGTATTGGCACCTAAATCTTGGCATAGAATTTAAGGTTGTTGTATAGATCTGTCCGCCATTTCCTTAGGTTCGAGTCTGAAGGTACGCAAAATCGAACTAGACACTGAAACTGACCTCGCCCAATAAATCCCAGCTACAGAGTAATTAACCAGTTTATATCCTCCCAGACAAAAATAGAATGACGATCTTGTCTCAGCGCCAAACATCCAAGACCCTGAGCCCCACAGTAAGCAGAGTCCAGCCAATAACAATAGAGTGGACCATGTGGAGCCCTACCCAAAAGAGCAAATGCCATGGGTTTTACACTTTTTCTGTGCTGCCTTGCCAAGCTCCCAGGGCTACTCAATCTCTACCTCATGGCATCTTCCTGCTTCAGACATGCTCAGCCATGAGAGGTCGTTTCGGTGCTTTCTACCGCCATAAGTACCTGCTGGCAGCAGTCCTGGTCATCCTGGTGCTGTACCACTCACTGCCCGCAGCAAAGTCCACCCTCAACCCCCGCACCGAACAATCCGAGAACCGCCCACGATATCTCCACCAGTCGCCCTTTCGCGCAGACCCAGATCATGAGTACGAGACTGCCTTGTCGAATGCGCTGCGCGCCATTGAGGTAGATCGCAATGTGGATCCCGATGCGACGGATACTATCTGGCAGATCATCTTGTCTAGTAAAGATCAGCGCAAGGACGATTCATACGAGTTGGAGAAGAGGAATCCTGAGTGGAAGTACCAGGTATGTAATAGACAATGGACTCCATCTCTACTGACTTGAACATCCAGCTAACTCGCCTAGTTGATCAATGCCGACTGGGCCGAAACCTTCATCACGAAGACTCTGGCCTCAGTACCCGATCTCGCCCGTCTCTATAAATTATATCCTCATTATGTTCAGCGCGGAGATTTGCTACGGTATCTAGTGCTATGGTACTATGGCGGCTATTACGCAGACGTGGACGTATATCCAGCGAAAAGTATACGGTCTTGCCCGACGCTCAGCAACGTATTCGCCAATCCACCAGCAGCCAGCAATGTGTCTCTAGTGGTTGGTGTAGAGATCGACGAGCCCTTCGCCTCGCCGCAGAAAATGCGCGAATGGCACTGGGCGCGACGATACGGATTCCTCCAATACAACATCTACGCACCGCGCAGGTTCAGCCCACTCCTGCGAGAAGTCATTGTTCGAGTCATGTCTCACACGAAGCGCCACACGGAGGGCAATTTCTGGGCGAGATACGATGAGATGACGACATTGGAGATTACGGGACCAGGCGTGTTCACCGATGCGATTCTCGATGTACTTTCTGATACCTTGCCGCCTGAGCATCCGCTCGTTGAGAAGTCGGTTGAAACAGATGCGCATTTTGGGGATTTGGTGCCGCCGTACTCGGCACTACCTGTACAGCGGGTGACGTGGGCGCCGTTTCATGGGATCACCGAGACGGTTTGTGCCGAGGATTCCGCTTCACAGCCTGGGAAGATGGGCGGGATTTGTGTGTTGCCTGTTAATTCTTGGGGCAATGGGCAGAGGCATAGTGGGGCTGAGGGCTTTAGTAGCCAGCATTCTTGTATCAATCATCGATTTGGGGGGGACTTGGAAGCCTTGGAAACAGAGTTGGAAGAAATATTTGTTTGGTTAGAGAGGTCGTGACTCGTGAGCGTTTTTGATGATTTTAGCATTTGATACCGCCAGTTCTACATTCATAATGAGACTCTTGTTTTGCTCTTGATGCCATGCTCATGGAAACTTGGTCGGAGTCCGAATTGGCGTTTGTAAACTTGGCGTAGCATACCAAAACTTTGACAGACAATGTGACAGAGCTGCAGAGGATACCCACCGCATTTGCCGATCTGCGGCAATAGCAGCCCTGCGGCAAGGGCGGCAAGGGCGGCAGGTGGAGACTCCCGAGGTCCAAATGGACGCTCCCGATACGATCACTTTACTTCAATCTTCTGCTATTTTGCTATAACTTTCATTCTTTTTTCCGCGCAGCAAGCTGATATGGTGGCTGTAAATTTTTGCATTCATTCTCCACGGTGAATCATGCTGTCAATAGAACAATACTGCCAAAAGGTCTCAACTCAACATGATCTCCAAGATGAGCAGCCTGATTGGAGACCAAAACTCGCATACCATCAGTCTTCACAGACACCTTCGATTCGCGATCAGAGAAGTTCAGAATCACGACTGCGCTCTGACTGGTCTCTTTGCACGTCCGTTCATACCCAAGTACCATCTCACCAGTATCAGACTCTGGCAACGGTGTATAAGAGCCGTACACAAAAACATCAGCCAACTCCTTCCGCAGCGCAATCATCTGCTTCCAATACGCCATGATGCTCTCGGGATCCTCCACCTGACTCGCAACATTCCAATCCACGTAATCTTTATTAACCGTCATCCAAGGCTGGCCAGTAGTGAAGCCCGCGTTCAGCGAATTGTCCCACTGCATGGGCAACCGACCGTGGTCTCGAGACTTGAGCTGCAATTCCCGCAGCACATCACCCATCTTAGACTCATCGCCACCTCGAGCTTGCAGAACTTCATTATAATAATTCTGCCCTTCGACATCGATGTACGCATCAACTCCATACTCGGTGCCGAGATTGGCCATACCGATTTCCTGACCAGCCAGCATAAAGGGCGTCCCGCTCAACGTCGTCAGATACGTAGCCAGCATCTTAGCCGCCGTAGCCCGGTGCTCGGGTGCATCAGAAGCATAACGCGAAACGGATCGGCCACTATCATGGTTGTCGAGGTAAACAGTGTTCCAGCCATCGAATTTGGGCATCACCGTTTGCCATAGATTGGTAATTTCTCGGATTCTTCGAGGATGGAAGTCGTTTCGCTCGTACTTTCCACTGGCGCCGTGGTCCATGTCCACGATATCACCGGTGAACAGCATGTTTAGTTCATGTCGGTCTTTCGCGACATATTGACTAACAGAGTGTTCATCTTTCGTGAAGCCCAGCTCGCCAACGGTCATGACGTCGTAGTTGTCTAACACTTTGGTTCGAATTTCGCGGATGTAGTCGTGCATTCTAGGACCCGAGGCAAAGAATTCCGCGCCGGATTGGTAGGGCTCGTAGTTGACGATCTTCCCATCTGGCAAATCCGGATGCTTGGACATCAAGTTCATACTGTCGATACGGAACCCGTCAACCCCGCGATCAAGCCAGAAACGCATATCATCATGTGTTGCTTCACGCATTGCAGAGCTCTCCCAATTGAGATCTGGTTGACTCGGCAGGAAAAGGGCGAGATAGTACTGTCCCGTAGGCTCGTCGAAAGCCCACGCACTACCCCCGAAGATAGATTTCCAATTATTGGGTTCTTTCCGGTTCCCAGTTTCGTCGAATTTGGGGTCCCGCCAGATGTACCAGTCACGCTTGGGATTGGCTTTTGAGCTGCGAGATTCTTTGAACCAGGCATGTTGGTCGCTGGTATGATTGACTACCAGATCCATGAGAATGCGCATGTTGTTTGCGTGAAGTTGATCGATGAGGGTCTGGACATCCTCGATTGTGCCGTATGGCGCGTGGATGGAGCGGTAATCGGCCACATCGTAGCCCATGTCCTTTTGGGGGGATGCGAAGATTGGGGAGAGCCAGATGGTGTCTACACCTAATGACTTGATGTATGGCACTTTGTTGATGATGCCGGGGATGTCGCCGAAGCCGTCGCCATTGGTATCAAGGAAGCTGGCGGGGTAAATTTGGTAAACGACGGCTTCTTTCCACCATCTCTTTTCAATAGTGGGGGCAGCCATTTTGAGATTGTGGTGCTCTGGTTGCAGTCTGACACACACAGGATGAATGGTGTCTTTTTGACAAAGAAGAGGTGCCTTCTTATCACTTCCCAAGCGAGTCCTATACGAGATATGCCCGGAGGAATTGTGGAAGAATGAATGAATCTTCGGCGAAACCAGACGAATATCCCTCACCACCAAGAGATGCAAATTTCCCAATTGTTGAGGAAGCGCCGGCTTTGGGGAGAACTTGGAGACAGGTCGGCGAAACCCAAGACGATCTTGCAACTTACGAAGGCCTATGCTTCACATTTGCCGAGCATACATGGTTTCTGGGGAAGACTGGGAGCTCGCTCGGGGAAATCAATCTTGAGAGCTGTCATAACAAGGTCCATGGTTGAGGAGTATGGGAGCAAGCTCAACCCATGGGGACAATCTGGCGACTGTTCGGGGGAACCGATGCAGAGGAATAGGCGGAGATAGCCGCCAGCCAGGGATGATTCATGACTTGACGTTGTGTTTCTCCGACGCTTCCCCGATGCGATCTGGTCGGACTGCAGACCGAAGTATGTGCAAGTGCGTGTGACCGAGCTCAAAGCTCTGAGTTCAAGCATCGAGCACGGTTCTTGTGTCAATGCTCTCGGGTTGGCGCCTTGGGATGTTTGGTTTTAGTATGAGAAAACATTTCAGAGTGTTGTGCCCAGACTTACCCCTCGGCAGCGAATTAAATCCGTAGGTGTGGAATAAGTCCCATCTAGAGATTTCAAGGGAACAAGCAGAGTCATGCATCCAAGTGAGCCGACAGAATTCATTCGCCCGTCTGGGCTAGTGGTATGATTCGCGCTTAGTATGTTCCACCGTTCTCGGCAATTTCACAATTCCTTTACTAACCAGTTCCGCAGGGGTTCACCCAAAGCATAAATGCGCGAGGTCCCCGTCAATCCCGGGCTCGGGCCGATTTCTTTTTTGCTTCTTGTTTTTACTCCATAACCATCAAGGCCATAGAAGTAGCACTCTTATGCTAAGGGAAGCGTTGAAGTTAACCGTGGGGAGAGAAACATCATGATTCCAATTTGTACATCGCGAACTCGATTTCAGTTGAGTTTATATGTGATCATCTTCAGGATTGACAATGGCGCGTGCTAGAGGAAAAGAAGACGCATCACAGATGACTAGACAAATCAACAGAGACCCTCTTTGACATGGCGAGTTCTGTCGAACACCCGCGCAGGCCAAGTGCCCTCCTGCTTGACCCTGACAGCCTGACCATCTACAACAGCAAAGTCTGGGAACTTTCGCGGAGAAACCTTGCCGGCATAGAGCGCATCGATATCCGTGTAGGAACGGTTCTGAGTCTCCGGCTGAAGAAAGTAAAGACCAGCCATGATGAAGAGTTCAACTCCGACGAACAAAAACATAACCTTACCACCCCAATTGAGTTCATCGGGATTGATGAAGTAGGGAAAGACAGACGACAGCAACAGAGCCGTCAGCTGCTGACAGATCAAGACGAACGAGATTGTCTTCGGACGTGTCGCTTGTGCGGCGGTCTCTTGAGCTACAGCCCAACCGTAACATCCAACAGTGGCGGTGTATAGCATCGACCATGTAATCATGAAGGCTAGAACGGCCGTGTTGGCCGAGGCATTTGATTTCGGGGCCATAGACACACCGGCGATGATGACAGACCAAAACATGAGCATGGTCCCCCCGCCAACGAGGCCTTTCCTTCGTGGAATCACATCAGAGAGGCACAAGGCGACGAAGTTAGATAAGAGTTGCAAGGTTGAAGAAATCGCTGTCAATTGGAAAGAGTCGGCTTGACCGATCAACTGGAAGTAATAGGTCTGATAGGTATTTGCGAAATAGCCGCCTGAGAAATTCTAGGATTGCAGACCAAGAACAGCAACGAGAGTGCGAGATCGATGTTCTTTAGTGAAGATGCTCTTCCAACTTGTCTGGCCGGCGGCGGTCTCACTGTCTTCTGTCTGCCTGAGCTCAGTCTTTATAATCTCGACACGAGCATCAACATCAGCGTTTGGGCCATAGAGCTTCAGAATCGCCTTGCGGGCATCTTCCTAGCGACCCTTCTTCATGTACCACACTGGGCTTTCCGGAAGGAAGGGGAGTCCGCACAGGTAAATTCCGGGTGGTAGGAATGTCATGACAAATGCAAGCTTGTAGGACCAGACTCCGTGAATATTTGAAGCTCCATATCCAGTCATGGATGCACAGAATTGACCAAAGACAATCATGACGTTTGTGAGAGAAGAGAATGTAGAGCGAAGCGCCGTTGGTGCGTTTTCGGTGACGTACAATGGCGGGAGTACAGTCGAAAGACCGACGGATAGACCGAGGAGAAGCTTGGAGACAAATAGAACAGGCAGGCTAGGAGCAAATACTAGCGCAAACGACGAGGCAAGTGCCACGACGATAGCCACATAGAGGAGGAACTTCCGGCCCAAGTAATCGGCGAATTGACCAGCGGCGTAACCGCCGAAGACCTGTCCAATTGTGGAAGCTGCGTTCCAAAGTGACTGCCATAGAGCAGGGATAACATATTCGTCTCCAGCGGCGTAGTATTCGCCGTATGCCTTGCGGAACTCGGGAAACGCGATGGCGATTCCCGAGAGGCCTGAGTCATAGCCCCAGCTGAATACAAGGAGGATTGTAAAACAAGCCCAGCAACAGTAGCGTTTCTCAGCACGCATTGCGGTCAGCAGTTGGCGCCATTGATCTTTGGCCGTCAAGTCCTGGGTGCGAACGTCCTCCAGTTTGACGGGCTCAGGAGCGGAGAGGACTTCGACGTGGCCGAGACTGGGTTTGGTCTCATCTTGGAGACTGAGCTTTTCAGCTTCGGAGTCTTTGCGGGTATCCATGATCAGCGAGTTGCAAAGATGTGCTCGACAAGGAAGAGTAACTGATCAACATGCCTTCCCCGGATCTCGGGAACAGCTTGCCATTTTATGTCTGCGTGAGCGGTTGAAAACGAGGACAAGACTGGCTTTCGAGAACGAGGAAAATCCTCGGAGATACTCTGCGATACCCTCAGACCTCGCGAGGTAGACCGATCGGATCCCCCATGGGGCATGGCGAGTCAAGAATCCGGGGCCAAAACGTCAAGCGGGAGAAGCTCGGCGAAACCACCTCGAAGCTTCACGCACTCCGTTGTATCGCCGTGATATTCGCCGTGATATTTCCGCACGAATTTTTTCGATGGTGTCGATATGCGACTTTTAAACAGAAGGGATTGGCTATGGAAGCCTCAGAATCATCTTCGTTTTCACCATGTCGAGCCCCTCTACATCCGGAGGAACTTCGCACACCCATCCGACAAGCGTCACCACTCCCGACGGATATCAAACTTCCAAAAATGCATGGCGTCCTTCATATCACTTGATGCCGCGAAGTGGTTGGATGAATGATCCCTGTGCTCCGGGGTACGATCCGGCCACTGGCACATACCATATCTCCTTTCAGTGGAATCCCAATGGCCCTGACTGGGGTGATATCTGCTGGGGCACTGCTGTTTCTACGGATATGATATCTTGGAAAATCCAAGAAAACCCCATTCTATTACCAGACACGCACTATGATGCCAAAGGGGTTTTCACCGGTTGCTTTTTGAAAGGACACGACGGTTCCTTCAACTATATTTACACAAGTGTCAGCGCACTCCCCATCCACCATACTATTCCTCATGTGCGTGGATGTGAAACATTAAGCATGGCAACGTCTCTTGATGATGGGCGCACGTGGGAGAAGAATACCAGAAATCCTATCCTGCCAGGCGAGCCACCCGGTCTTGATGTCACTGGCTGGCGTGATCCCTTCTGCGCTCGCTGGGAGAACATGAGCACAGTCCTGGGAATGGACTCGCAAACTTTGCTCGGAATAATATCAGGCGGTATAAGGGATGTGACACCAACCAGCTTTCTCTACAAAGTCAACGCAGAGGATCCGTCGGATTGGTCCTACCTTGGTCCTCTGGCGAACTTCGGTCTCAATCTTAGACCATCAAGGTGGTCCGGGGATCTTGGGCGAAACTGGGAAGTCACCAATTTTCTACCAATAAAGGACCCGGAAACTCCCTCCTTGAACCACGACTTCCTCATCATGGGGACCGAAGGTTGCTTAGAGGACGCGAATGGGTCACCTGTAACCGCAGGCCCATCTCGTCCAAGTCGAGGTCAGCTCTGGATGTCTGGGACTATTCAGAAGCAACCTGGCTCCGGTGTTGCTCAAATCTCTTATGACTATGGAGGTCACCTCGACCACGGATGCATGTACGCTGCCAACTCGTTTTTCGACCCAAAGATCCAAAAGCATGTTGTCTGGGGCTGGATCACAGAAGAGGATCTGTGTGATGAACTGCGTCACCAGCAGGGCTGGAGTGGCATGCTTTCAATGCCACGCCAGATTGAGATGCAGACTTTGAAAAACGTGGTGAAGGCTCTCTCGTCCGATCTCTCGTCTATCACATCCGTCAAACTGAGCCCCGAGGGTGGTGACAGGTTTACAGTTCAGACGCTCTCCACCCAACCATACCAACCATTGATTGAAAGTCTCCGCGTGGGTTCAAGGCTATCCAAACTCGCTCCCTCCATACTCTCGTCCCATGGAAACGATGTCGCATACCCACCAGAAGCCAGCCAAAGCAAACAGTGGGAGCTCCAATGCTCTTTCAAACTGTCCACATCCTGTACTGCTGTCGGCGTTTCAATTGGACACACGCAAGGTACGAGAACCTCATCCTTTTCTTGGACCCTACTGACTTTGTAGACTTTGGTGAATCCACCACCATGACTTTTGACCCCCGGCTCGAGACATTCACGATCTCCCGCCCATCGCTGGGCTTGCCACACGCGTCCTTGTTGATCAACAGCTCCCCCGAATCCGCTCCCCATACCCTGTTTACCACCCACAACCCCGAAACGAATGAATTAACGACGGAGACGCTTGATATTAGGGCGTGGAGGGATAACTCGGTTCTTGAAGTTTTCGTGAATGGTCGCACGGCAATCTCTACCCGTCTCTATGCTGGTAGAGACACATTTGGAATTCGATTTTTTGCGACTTCTGATATAGAAAATGCAGGAATCTCTGGTCATACAAGATTAGAGAGTGCGATGCTGTGGGATGGGATTGGTGTTTAGGGGTACGCAAGTCTATGTCATCTCACTTTTGCTTGAGAATTGAAGAGATCGTTCCTACTGGTTTTCTTGTCCCTTTTTATTCGATATCGATGGGAAGAGGTTGCCCGTACGCTGAATATTGAGGTCATGGTAGAACAGCGTAGCATTCACATTCGAGCAATCCATGGATGTTTCAAGATGGCATATTAATTACCAAGGTTCGAGATGATGGCGGCTTCCAAGGATAGATCATCGTCGTATGTCACATCTTTATCCGACTACCTAGAGCTGGGTAGGACAATCTTGGAACTCAACGCTTGAGATATAGAGTCAACTTGAGACATCTTACGGTTAGACGAGGAGGTTGTATCACTACGTAGGCTGGAGTAATTGTTTGGATGTTAAGACATTGGATACAATATTTGAAGTTTGATGAACTATGAGTGTATTCCATGCCAATCTGACCGAGAGAAAGGAGGCTCGTTAATCATCAAGGCGAGGAAATTCGATCAAAATCCGACGATGAGGCAACCACAGAGGCATAAAGCCACGGGTTCCTCGCAGAGGGATTCGAAAAATAGAAAGAGAGAGCAGGACAGACACGACAGACACGACAGACACGACAGACACGACAGACACGACAGACACGACAGACACGACAGACACGACAGACACGACAGACACGACAGACACGACAGACACGACAGACCCGACAGACACGACAGACAGGAGACACGACAGAAGAAGAGACACGACAGACAGGAGACACGACAGAAGAAGAGACACGACAGAAGAAGAGACGCGACAGAAGAAGAGACACGACAGAACAGAGCGCAACACCAAAGAAAACCGACTAAAGTACAAACAGGGGAAACCATACCAGGAACAAACGTGAGACTCTGAGCACTACTAAGCCTGAGTTTTCGGCTCCCCCGTGGTTATATTCACGAGCCTTCATGATCTGTCTTGCACTCCTCGCCATCAAACTCGCACTCCGTCCGGTGGAACTCTGGGACTCGGTGGATTCCTGGGTCCTCGGGGTAAGTATGATAATTCGTCCGTTGGGACAAACCTTGCTCATCCGGATGTTCACTGGCAGGCGGAGGAGAAACCGGGGAAGACGTATGTACACGTTTCCACTTGTGGGATACGTCGGTAACAAATAAGGCAAGGGAATATGTACAGAAGATGGAAGCATAGGAAGAATTGAAGACAGAAGAGGGATACATGAAGAGGGTTGGAGGAGAAGAGAAGAAAGAAAGGGGAAAAAGTGAGGGAGGGCATGACTTTATACATGGGGAAGCTAGGCCCCAAAGGGTAACCACCCCAATGTGGATGTCGGGGCTGCCTTCAGATCAGCCCTACACCAGAGACTTCCAGCTTGATCTTTATATAAACACTGTTCATACACGGACCTGTGGCGGTAAAATGATTGCTATTTTAGTGTTACTGCTTTGACCAACACAGTCTCATCATTGACCCGATGTACAGACTCCAAGCTTCCAACCAGTCTTACGGATCCATCATTCATTCAATGAACACAAAGATCCGACTGGCTTGATACTTCACTTGAATCTACGCTCAATCAATATGCTAACACCTGCATTTTTGCCTTCTAGTTTCCTGCCTCCTACCACATTGGATAGCCCCATGAACCGATGCCCAATATTCGCGAACTATACCCAGAGCAAAGATGGCATCCCAATGGGGTGACAATCACCACATTTTTCAAATGGAGAAATTATATGTCCGACCCTTTGTCAAGGCCCTGGGAGAGAACAAAGATTTGACACGCCAGCCCCAAGCACGCCAATCGATGAGCTGTATACTCCCAATGATCCTGATTGTTCCCTGCTGGTGATGGGAAGTTGCCAGTGACAAGATTTTGGACTTTCCTTCACCGCAGCTCAACGCATCTTTGCTCAAACTTGGAGACCTCTCAGGCCTTGATGGACGCGGTTGATTTGCCAGGCAGACGACATACAAGGACGAGGTCTGGCAACTGGATACTGACTTCCGTGCTCTTGGGCCAGTGGAAGTTGAGGATCACGAAGAACAAACCAACAAGTCACGGGCAGCGACCACAAGTGATGAGGGCCAACAGAGGATGTCATATGAAGAATTGGGCAGCGGCAGGAGACACATATCTGGAGAAAGATGACACTGCTATGAAAAGGGATTTTCATGGGGCTCTGTGACCTCGGTGCAGAGCACCTAATGACGTGTATTGCTTGTTCCGAAGCAATTGGCAATCATAGAGAGCCAAGCAACCTTGGAAGCATATGCATCGATCGCTCATGCGCATTAAAGACGGAGCGACTATTTCGCAGTCCCTATAAGTCCATCTTACAGAAAAACAGGCTGGATCTGTCATAGCTTTCGGGCAAGTAAGAGTCGAGGTACATAGGGTCTCGAAGAAAAGGTTGATCAAGTAACCTCTCTCATCATCGACGGGTATGGCGACAGCCAGATGATATGAAGGACAGTCAGCCCTGGAGGGACTCAGGGAGAAATTTGTTCTTCCAAAAAGTAACTAAAGATAGGATGTTTGGGGGAGGGAGCAATGCCATTGAATCCGGGGTTATTCACTCTTTCTTCCATCTTGGTAATGTTGGCATTTAAGTCCGACCAGGATATAGATCCAGCGATCCTGACAAGGGGTTCATGGATCCGCCTCCACATTGAAAAGACACTCAGTTTGTTATGTTTGCACTTGTACAGATAAAACCGGTGTGATCTGGCAGAACTGTCGTGGTGCCTGTCTCAGATGATTTATGAAGCCCTAGAGGTGGCGTCAGAATACATTGGCGAAATCATGATCTAATTTCAACCTCTCAGGCCTATCCATGTATGTGAATCATAACAGCTCTACTGGACCAATTAGATCTACTACATAACATAGGTCTAGGAATGCAAACAACAAGCCCGCTGCCATAACTGCAAAAGTTTCCGTTGGGTCAGGTGACAGCCCCACAATTCTAGAAGTACTTATGCCGATGACTTTATGATATCGCGTCGTGTTTAAAGGAAGGTAAAACTTCACAACTGATCTGTAGGCTTCGAAATATGGTTTGAAAACATATCTGAGCTTTGAAGGCAATGCGTGCCCTGGTCGCAATGTGGCATTGTGGGGATATTGGTGAAGATACTCGTGAAATTGTGGGGCTATCACGTGACATGATGGAAACTTTTGCGGTGCTACTGATCCGCAGACAACACTATGTAAGATAGAGCCTCCGAAGTATCCATGGATTCCACCCCGGATAATTCAATATTAGACCCACCTGGGCACTTCTCAAAACCCCCTGACAGAAATCCATGGGATTGAACTCGATATAATCCACAGTATACCACTCTCTATCTAGACATCTAATGATATCAGCCACCTTGGACGGTATGCTGTACAAAAAAAAAGAAAGGAAGAGAGCAAAAAAGACAACGAGAAAGACATCAAAGTCTCCAAGGTTCCAAGCTTATTACATAAAGGTCAGTCAGATTACAACCTTGGAAAGTGAATTCCAAAATACTCATCAAAATCCAGTGTACACTACTATGATACTACTACGGAGTATCCCAAAAGTAAAAATTGGGTCTATTGTGTGTGTTGGATTAAGTAAATGTGTGAGGCCTAAAAAGAGCCACCGGGACCATTCTTGTCATTGTGGATATGTAATGACTGCTTCAAGCCGTAAGATTCCAACCCATGGAGCATCTGCGCTGAACGCGAACACGCTCTACTTCAGCCTCATGGGAGGTCAGATGTTCAGCAGAGATTTCAATGCAGAGATTTCAAAGACAAGACCAGGCCTTCCTCCGCTGTTCTCTTCTGACTCGGCCGCCACCTGGGCACCTGGGCAGACGCCCTGAACTGATTTGGGACGGCCTTGGACCTCATGCAATCGTCAAACTCGCCAAAAATATCATCTCAATATTTGGGGGCCATATCAAATTTTCTAGCGTAATTCGCAGCCTTTATGCTGACATCCATCGGGGACTCCGTCGGCATTGTCTGTAATGGGAAGGACCTCTTGACTTGATGTGGGCGATTCCGCTGGTATGCAACATGGACAATTGGTGAGTAGTTTCTCCGCACGCCGACGCTTGGCTTATGTGGCTACCACGAATCGAAAGGTAAATTATATTACAGGAAGCCACTTCTTCACCAGTCAGGTACAGTAAAATAGGCTATACGAGGATTGTTCCGCCCGTACGTCCGCAATTTAACGACTTGTATTGTTGTTTGGAATATGACAAGCGACCTGAATTGCATTTCAAGGAGTGTTGGACTACTGTCCCGGTGGGCCGGCTACTGGAGGTCTGACCATATTCCGCATTGGGAAATCTGCCTCATAGGACACTCAAATATGCCCGAGCTTGTGGCATTTCTCCAGACGCCAATTGGGCTAGATGCGATCAAAATTTCCGTGCCACGTTTCGCCCCCAATGCATCGTTAATCCACAATTTTACGGTGTAAGAGACATTTAATCTACGGTATCGGCGTGCGTACTGTTCGAGGAACGGTGTATGCAATGAGCTCGTGTGGGCATGTATGAACAGGTTGGTATCTGTGTAATTACCAACAAAAGTTCTCTATATACTCCGAACGGAGTACGCCGTACAGTATTGGACGCCAGTGTAGGTAATTTATCTTACAGACAACCCCGACAGTGTGGTTTGGCCCATAATGTATGATGTGCGTATGTATGGTAATACTGAATTTCAGTCTGACCTCAGACGGTATGGGATACCAAGTTTATTACGGTGTACATAAAATACCATACATCAAAATTTTTAGGTTAGGCTGAAAGCCTTGGAACGATGGCCCGTACCGTAGCTAGCCGCAGCTAGTAATCTTAGTTCTGCATCAAACTGAACTAGGACGCTAGTGCTGATCGCTTAGACTTGGCTTGCGTGGATTATATTGCTAAAGTTGCAACGTAATAGTGTCATTCCATCAGCAATGGCGGGCTAGATCATGTCCCCATCGCGCAATCTCCCGGATTGTATCAGCCACGAGTGAGACGGGCCTCAGCCGTCTCCGAACAAAAGAGACAGAATTCGAGTGGCCAAAATAGAAGATTTATACGAGCTGCGGGAACATCACGCCCGGGTTAGCTTGGCTAATCAAAGTACAGGAAATTACCGTGTGCAAATAGGCTGTGTGATGAGGGCCAGAAGCCGGGGGTTGACAATTTGACTCGAGAATCAATTTGCAAACAGTACTCCGTACGGAGTACGATTGGGACAATATTAGGCATTTCGTACTTCTTTGAACTGGCAGGAAAGTGGATCGTGGTTTCTCTTGGCTATGCAACTGCAAAAACGCCTGCGTGCTGATTTTGCCGGTGGTTAGTACTACTATAAGCACGACTAGAGTCAAAGTGGAATTTGATGTAGGGATACAGGACGATCTGTAGTAATGGAGAGGCCTAAATGCTGACTGGAAACATCGCAAATTGCAGATAGAGTGGGGTTTAGCTGAAGACAATGGTGTAGCCTGTCTCAACACAATATGTATGTGTTTCTTAGATTCTCCGGTTGAAAAACAGTGTTCAAGTAGGTTGCATATAATCACTCGGGTGGAATCCTTCTGCTTTCGATAGAAGTAGTTCAAAAGGATTTCACTTGATAGGTCTTCAAGTGCTGGAGAATCCGCCTAAGAAGGTTAAAATACGTGAAAATGTCAGCATCGATGGCTTTAACAGATGGTACCTCAATCTTCAGTAGTGTATGCCTACCACCAGCTAATGATTGATTAGACAATGACATGAGAATGGCTGAGCACAATGTGCCTTCAGCTACACCGGAAGAGAGAGCTTTGAGGCCAAGACTCATTGTTCTGAGTGCCGAAAGCGAACTTGATTGCAGAAACCTGGCTCAGAGGATTGAAAATCATGTCATTGAGCGGCGTGAACTGGTGCATGCCGACGCTCTGCTCGATGAATTGTCTAGGAGACTGAGCCAAATGCCTGTCTTCGAATACCGAGTGGCATTCTTGGCATATGCCTTGGACGATTTGGTAGAACGGCTCCAGAATTTGGAGCAAACACCCATACTCCCACGATGCAAAAAGAATGGTGCTGGTTTAGCCTTCGTCTTCAGCGGCCAAGGTGGACAGCATCCACAGATGAGCCAGGAATTGCTCGATGTATGCCCTGTGTACGCGAAGTCAATTGCTCGTGCCTCCAAATTCCTGAAGACAATCGGCTGTCCGTGGGACATGCTGACCGAAATCACGAAGCACCCTGAGATCTCCCAAATCGACGAGCCAGAGTTCTCATACCCCACAACTATAGCGGTGCAAATCGCCCTCGTTGACACCTTTGCCGAGCTCGGATTACATCCGGCGTTTGTTTTGGGACATTCGAGTGGAGAGCTGGCAGCTGCGTACAGCGCAAAAGCATTGTCGTTCGAGGATGCGTTGACTGTAGCATATCATACGGGCCGTTTGACTAGCGAGATGAAGAGAAAAAGGAGAGAGCTCCCCAGTGGTATGCTGGCGGTTGGGGCTTCCTTTGATGTGGTCAATACTCTGCTGCAAACAGCCACCAAATCAGCCACGACTGGGAAGATCAAAATAGCTTGTATCAACAGTCCCAAAAGTGTCACGGTCTCTGGCGACGATACTGCGATTCTAGACCTGCAGCGGAAACTGGAGGCCAGAGGAATTTTCAACCAAAATTTGCACACAGGCGGTGCTGCATATCATTCGCATCTAATGACACAGATCGCAACGGAGCTTTCACAAAAGTTGGAAGGCATCAGGGGAGGTCAGACCGATGCCTCTATCACTATGATTTCCTCCTTGACTGGGGAAGAGACGGGAGAAACAATGTTGGGAAAGGACTACTGGGTGGAGAACCTGATCTCCCCTGTCCAATTCATGGATGCAACCAAAACTCTGTGTCGAGAAATTCCCGGTTCAGCTCGAATTGATATGTTACTGGAGCTCGGGCCTCATTCTCAGCTCGACAAACCCATCAAACAGACACTCCATCAACTTTTCGACGAAAGTGACCCTGAGATAACATGTACCGGAGTTTTAAAACGAGGATTCGATGCCGAGGCCTGTTTGCTCGACGCTTTGAGAAGTCTGTTTCTGGAGGGAGTTTCCGTTAGCCCCCAGCTGGCGATTCCCGCAACCGATGCGCGGCCCCTCCCAGCTCTACCCGACTACTTGTTCGATGCCTCAAACACTTCTGCCCAGCATGTGGGGATCGCAGCAACTGACGAGGAGGTGAGCCGGGTTTCCCAAAATTCATGGAAGCCCGCGCGTTTACAACCTGACCGCAAAGGGCGGGTGATGAGCCGTCTTCTGACGGGGCAATTGAAGGGGCAAGCACCCAAAACCGACACTGAGAGGATTCTTCACCGCATCATGTGCAATGTCTTTGATCTGAATGACGAGGCGGTGGATATCGAAAGCAACTTTTTCAGTCTCGGCGGTGATTCTGTTTTGGCAGTGGAGGTCTCTTCGGCGGCGAGGCAGGAAGGATTGCTTCTTCCTGTGTCAGAAATCCTTCGTCATCCCAGACTAACCGACATGTCACGGGTAGCCGAAGCGTTTGTCAACGAAGACGATATCACAATCGACCCATTTTCACTGGTTGATGTCGACGCGTCGGAGCTTCTGGCAGAAATTACTCGCGACTGGGCGGTGAAGGCATCTGAAGTCGAAGACGTGTATCCTTGCACGCCATTGCAGGAAGGTCTTATGGTCATTACCCAGACCGCCCCTCGCACATATACCTACCAAAATGTCTACAGGTTATCGCCAACGGTCGACGTGGGGAGATTTTGCAGGGCGTGGGAAAACACCGTGAAGAATACCGCCATTCTTCGGACGACCCTCATTCCAACCCAATCTGCAGGAACTTGTCAAGTTGTAACGACACGAGAAATAGAGTGGCAATTTCCAACTGATCTTCAGAAATATCTCAGCTCCGACTTGGAGAAGGGTGTTGTGTATGGAGGACCTCTTGCGAGGTATGCTCTGTTCAAAGGCGCCGATGGAGCGACGCGTTTCATCTGGACGGCACACCACAGCTTGTATGACGGGTGGTCTCGACCCTTAATCTGGCAAACAGTTCAACGCCATTATGATTCTGACGATGACCTCGTTCTGGGCTCTCTGCCTGATGTGCCTTTCAACCGCTTCATTCGTCATATCCAGACCGCGGACGGAGTATTGGTGGATGAGTTTTGGAAGCAAAAGCTGTCAGGCTCTACGCCGTCAAGATTTCCGCAAAAGTTCCCTATGGACTCCCAGCCGCAGGTGAACGAGACTTTTGTTCGTCAATGCCAAGCCTCCAGTCGAGATGGAAGTGGAGTCACCCGCTCCACGCTAATTCAGGCAGCCTGGGCGATCTTGATGAATGAATACCATGAGGGCTGCAACGACGTCATCTATGGGTTAACAACAAGTGGAAGAAATGCTAATGTTCCCGGAATTGGTGAGATGATGGCACCCACGATCACTACCGTGCCGTTCCGCGTGCGGATTGATCCCGATGAGTCTGTGGATACATTCCTTCATAGAATTCAGATTCAGGCAATCGATATGATCCCGTTCGAACAGGCTGGATTGCAAAACATCTCCAAAATCAACCATGAATGCCGCCTCGCGTGTGACTTCCAACATCTTCTCGTTATTCAACCAGAACAAAGAAACAGCAATGAAGAGGTCCTGCCTGGAGTTGCATCGATGCAAGCTACTGAAATTCATGGCTATCCATTGACTGTGCAGTGCATCATCGGTGCCGAAAATGTCAAAATTCAAATTGAATTTGATAATTCTCTAATCACCACATTCCAGGTGGAGCACATCTGCGCCCAGTTTGAAACTGTGTTGGCTCAGCTCTGTAAGGATGGATCGCGTTCAGTTGGAGAAATCCACGCCATCAGCGAGCTTGATATGAAGCAGCTTCTGGATTGGAATCGGGAGTTCCCTCGGGTAGAAACTCGAACCGTGACTGCCCTAGTCGAGGCTCAAGTGCGCGAACAGCCACATGCCCCGGCAATATGTTCTTGGGATGGGGATTTCACATACGAGGAGCTCGATAAACTGTCGACCCGTCTCGCCCATCACCTGATCGGTTTAGGAATCGGACCGGAAGACTTTGTGCCATACTGCTTTCCCAAATCGGCCATGACCATTGTCGCCATGGTGGCAATCATGAAGGCTGGAGGTGCCGGTGTGCCTTTAGATCCCGAGTATCCTCCCGAGAGAACCATGAGCATTGTTTCCGATGCAGGCGCAACAGTTGTCATCACGACTCCTGACCTAAGCATCAAATTCAAAGGCAATGGGCCCCAAGTCGTGTCTCTGAGCGAAGACTTTCTTAGTAGCCTGACTCAGGAAGATTCTATCGTGCCCCATCGAGCTCAGTCGTGGAACTCACTCTACATTCCTTTCACATCGGGAAGTTCGGGCAAGTCGAAGGCGATTGTTGTTGAGCACAGCATGTTTGCCTCCAGTGCACTTGCTCACGCCAAGCTTCTCGGCCTTGGAGCACACTCGAGAGTCTTCCAATTTGCCGCTTATACATTTGACGTGAATTTTGCCGACATTTTCACTTCATTGATTCAAGGATCCTGCATTTGCATTCCATCAGACTTCGAAAGATTGAACGACATCACCGGAGCAATCAATCGAATGGTGGCAAATTCTGCCGTTCTCACGCCAACTGTCGCCGCAATGTTCACACCTGACCAAGTTCCAACTTTGAAGACGCTTATACTCGGAGGAGAGCCATTGACGCGTGAGAACGTCCAAGTTTGGGCAGATCGTGTCAGTCTTTTTACCACATATGGACCGGCCGAGTGCTGTGTTTACTGCACAGCATTGCCTCTTCAGTCACCCGAAGATGATCCAGCTGTGCTAGGCCATGCTCTTGGATCGCTCAACTGGGTGGTCAACCCCTCTGATCACAACAAGCTTAGTCCCGTTGGCTGCGTCGGAGAGCTAGTGGTTCAAGGTCCCATAGTTTCTCGCGGCTACCTCAATGACCATGAAAAGACCGAAGCCGCATACATCTCGAACCCAGCCTGGCTACCCATTGGGTGTGCGGAAAAGCATCAGAGGGTATACAAGACCGGAGATCTTGTGAGATACAATGCAGATGGCACTACAAGCTTCATTGGACGCAAAGACACACAAGTCAAGGTTCATGGACAACGTGTTGAACTTGAAGAGATCGAATCCCATCTTTCCCACATTCCAGAAATCAAGCATGCGCTCATGGTAGTTCCAGGATCTGGGCTCTACTCCGGACGACTTGTTTGCGTCTTGTCGCTTCATGGGGCAATGCAAACCACTTCAAGCAGAATCTCGGATGAGATTGAACTAATCGATGGGCCCTGGAAGGCCGCTGCCGTTGAACTTGTTGCTCGAACTCGCAACGCCTTAGAGCAGAAGCTACCTCGATACATGATTCCGGCGGCCTGGGCAGTTGTGAAAAAAATTCCTATGAATGCCTCCCGTAAATTGGACCGAAAGCTTCTGAAGTTCTGGCTCGAGGCAATTGATGAAAGTACATACCGTTCCATTGCCGATGTGTCAAATATCAAAGCTACCAAACAGCCAGCAACGCCCTTGGAGAAAGCAATTTGCGACACAATCAGCATTGTTCTCGCCTTGCCGGTCGATTCAATTGGGCTGGAACACAGCTTTTTGGGACTGGGTGGAGATTCCATTTCGGCGATGCAACTGATGTCGCGTCTTCGCACCACTCACAACGTGCGGCTCAGTGTGCAGGACATTCTCCGTTATCGCACAGTAGAGGCTTTGGTCTCGCATGCACATACATCTCAGGACATGGAGGACGATGCGCTGGTTTTTGAAGATATTACCGGCTGGTTTGACCTCACTCCGATTCAAAAGATGTTCTTCCAGAAGCAGCCAAATGGTCAGAACCATTTCAATCAAAGCTTTGCGCTCAAAATCGCTCGCAAAAACAGCCCAGACCCAGAAGACGGGCAAAAAGACATTGTTCCATGGAGCGCGCTCGAGCAAGCATTGCGGACTTTGATTGAACGACACCCCATGTTGCGCTGTCGCTACAGTAAAAATCAGAAGGACGGCATGTGGCGGCAGAGAATCACCACGGATGCAGCGGAGTCATTGCTTCTAATTCCCTCACAGAGGCTCAGCTATCATGACCTGGCAGGCACATTCCGCGGCCTGCAAACTCAGCTGAATGCAGAGAAGGGACCTTTGGTTGCAGGAATGATGTGTCATGTTGACGCAGACCAATACCTCTTCCTGACAATACATCATTTGGTAATTGATCTCGTATCGTGGCGTGTCATACTGGAGGAGCTGGAGGAACTGCTACTACATGGAGCGATTCACTCAGAGCCCGGCATCAGCTACGCGAACTGGGCCAAACTCCAGACCCAATATGCTCAAAGTAACCTCTCGCCCGAAGACGTACTGCAAGCAGATGCTCTGAGTCCTGACTTCGAATATTGGGGAATGGCGAAGCAGCCCAACATCGTGGCCGATGCCATTGAGACATCGTTTGTGCTCGACAATGAACGAACTAGCCTGCTCCTAGGAGAGAGCCAAGAGGCACTTGGCACTCAACCTGTCGAAGTGATGGTAGCAGCCCTTGTTCACTCATTCCACACGGTTTTCCAAGATCGGCAGATTCCAGCAGTTTTCATGGAGGGCCACGGTCGCGAGTCTTGGAGCCCAGCAATTGACATCACGCGCACAGTGGGATGGTTCACTACAATGTATCCGGTCAGCGTGGAAATTGAAAACAGCGGCGACTGGTTCCAGACTGTGAAAAAGACGAAAGATGCTCGTCGACGCTTGGCTCACAACGGGTGGTCGTACTTCACAGCCAGGCACCTCAATCCCGAAGCATCACAGCTTGTTGAAACCTCCGACATGGAAATCCTGTTCAATTACCTTGGATTGTACCAGCAATTTCAGAGGCCGGACTCTTTGTTCCAACCGTCCGGCATAGCCGGACAAGCTCTTCAGGATTTCAGCCCCACAATGGAACGCTATGCGCTGTTTGAGATCTCGGCAGCTGTTGATAATGGGTGTTTGCAATTCACATTTGCGGTTAACAAATCTATGCAACATCAGTCCGACATCCAGCGTTGGGTGAAAGAATGCCACCGCGTTTTAGCGGATGGCATTGATCAATTGACCGAGCACCCCCACGTCGCAACTGTTGGTGACTTCAATACAATGCTGGAGACAGCTTCTGGAATTCGCAGACTAACAGAAGAGATCCTGCCTGCCGTCAACATCTCGGATATTGGGCAGGTGGAAAGAGTTTCTTCCTGCTCATCCATGCAACTTGGCATCTTGCTCGGCCAAATGAAATCACCTGGTGCCTATCAATTCTATACTATCCAGGAAGCTGAATGGAGAGGTGATTCCGAGATTGATGCCTCAATGCTATTGAAGGCATGGCAAGAGGTTGTGGACCGACATGCTGCTTTGAGGACGATTTTCATCCGCGAAAGTGACTCCGATACCCTATGGGGACAACTTGTCCTGAAACAGACTCGAGCGTCTGTTTATGAAATCACATGTTCCAATGAAGATCCGATCTCGACTTTAAGACATACCAAACCAATGAGAACCATAGAAGGAGTCCCGCATCACCAACTCACATTTTGCTGTGGTACTGACGGCCGGCGATTCTTCAAGCTTGAACTTAGCCATGCACTGGTTGATGGTACCTCCACGCAGATCATCCTCAAGGACATCAAACTTGCTTTCGAAGGGCAACTTTGCCAAATTGCGCCCCCGCTCAGTTACTGTGACTACGTGACTTTTCTTCAACAGCAACGGAAACGTACGTCGCTAGAATATTGGAAATCGTATTTGCAAGACGTCCAACCATGTCACTTCCCACTTCTTGATGATGGTCGACCCCAAATTCACCAGTGGGAGACGATAGTGATGGAAGTGCCGAATGTCACCGAAGCTGTTGTCCGCCAATTCTCCAATGACTACGGCCTCACATTTGCCAATGTTGTGCAAGTTGCCTGGGCAATTGTTCTGCGAACGTTCACAAATACTGACTGTGTCACTTACGGGTATCTGACGTCTGGGCGTGATGCTCCATTGGAAGGCATTGAAAATGCTGTGGGTGCCTTTATCAATATGTTGGTTTTAAAAGCAGATCTTTCCAAATCAACCACTGCGCTGGAGGTTCTCCAAAGGTGCCAAGATGACTACCTGCGATGTATACCTCACCAATACGTCTCACTTGGTGAAATCCAACACGCAATTGGAATGTCGGGCCAACCTCTTTCCAACCCTCTTTCCAACTCTCTTTCCAAACCTGTTTTCAACACTGCCATTTCCATACAAAAGCGAGCTTCCCTTTCTGGATCAGCGAAACTCTCACTGACTTCCGTCCATGAATATGACCCATCTGAGTTCGACATATCTGTGAACGTACTCTCAAGCGCTCGTCGGACAGAATTTCATCTGACCCACCAGACCTCCAGAATTTCGAGTGGACAAGCACTCAGCATTGCGAGTGTGTTCCGGACTGTCATTTCATCCATTTTAGCTGCCCCAGAAAAGCTAGTATCAGAGGTGAACGTGATGAGCGTGGAAAGCAAGCACCACATACAACGGTGGACTTCTCAAGTACCGCAGACGATCAATTCATGCATGCATCACGTCATATCCGAGCAAGCACGAAACACACCAGATGCCCCTGCTCTTCATTCCTGGGAAGGAGATTACACATATGCTGAATTAGAGAGTGCCTCGGATCTATTGGCACGATATTTGGCTATTTACGGCATAAAGCCTGATGATTGCATTCCGCTTTGCTTTGAGAAGTCTCTCTACACTGTAATTGCAGTGCTCGCTGTTCTCAAAACTGGTGGAGCCTTTGTGCTGCTTGATCCTAAGCATCCGGCTGATCGCACCAAAGGATTGTTGGAAAACTTCAATGCACGATTCATCATCGCCTCAGAGGGCACGCGGGAGTACTGTGAAACTTTGGTTGAAGAGGTGGTGACTTTGTCGCCGGCAACCCTTGCTATGTTGCCCAATGGCGATGACATTGAACTCCCAACATCATCTGTGGTGACTCCGCAGAACATCATGTATGTTCAATTTACTTCTGGCTCGAGCGGAGTACCGAAGGGTGTCGTCATTGAGCACTCAGCTGCCTGCTCCTCGGTTCATCACCACGGTTCAGTGATGGGATTTGGGCCAAAAACACGAACATTCCAGTTTTCTTCATACACCTTTGATGCTGTCATTCTCGAGATCTTCACAACGTTGTATCATGGTGGGTGCATTTGCATACCTTCCGATGATGATCGAATGAGCCGCATGACGGATTCCATGCGATTGATGAATGTCAACATGATGTTCACGACTCCCACTTTAGCTCAACTATTCAAACCAGAAGATGTCCCCATGTTGAAGACTCTCATGGTTGGTGGTGAACTCGTTGGGTCCAGCACCACCGACATCTGGCGAGACAAAGTGAATCTTATCGGCGCATATGGACCTGCGGAATGCACCATCTATTCCGCCTACAATCTGCTGAGCACTAACGACTTACGGCCAGAGGTGCTTGGATACCCCGTTGGCTCAGTGATCTGGCTTGTAGATCCCAACAACCATGATAAGTTGGTCCCTGTTGGCGCTTTGGGGGAGCTTCTGGTTCAAGGTCCCATCGTGGGTCGAGGCTATCTCCACGACGCACAACGCACAGAAGCAAGCTTTCTCTCGAACACCGCCTGGTTATCGGATTACGATGGCAGCAGTCAGCACCGCCTTTACAAGACTGGTGACCTTGGTCGTCAAAACTCGGATGGAACCATCACTATAGTTGGGCGGAAAGACACGCAGTTTAAGGTCAACGGACAGCGGATTGAGTTCACTGAGATTGAATACCACATCAAAGCTAATTTCCCTGGGGTCTTGCAAGTTGCTGCTGATGTGGTGACCCCAACACACCTTGGTGGGCGGCCATTGCTCTCGGTATTCATGAACCTGGGACAATCTGAGAGCCATGATGAGAATGCAATTGGCAGTCTTCTACCCATGACAGAAAGCGCTCGCGCTACGATGGTCGAGATTGAAAGTGTTTTGGCTAAAGCTTTGCCGCCGTATATGATCCCCCGACTGTGGCTTCCCATTTCCCAAATGCCTCTGTCAGCATCTGGAAAAACAGAGCGCAAGCTGCTAAGATCGTGGAGTGCTTCACTTTCAGAAGCGCAAGTCAATCAATATGCTCTGAGCAGTGGATCTAAAACAGAGCCCTCGACTGATATGGAACGCAGCCTCGCCCAGCTCTGGCAAAGAGTACTCAACATTTCCTCTGTCGGTCGAGGAGATAGCTTCTTCAGGCTCGGTGGTGACAGTATTTCTGCCATGCAGCTTGCCTCGGCGGCACATAAAGCCGGAGTTCAGCTGTCAGTCGCCGATATCTTCAACCATCCCAGCCTCCTTGAGATGGCAGCCAATCTGTCCACTGCACAAACACAGGAGACTATTGTTGAATCTGAAGCTGTGGTGCCTTTCGGTCTTTTAACGCCTGGCGTCAACCATTCCTTGTTTTTGAACTCCGCTGCCGAGAAGGCTGACATACGATTGGACTGGATTCAAGACATGTATCCATGCACGCCGCTCCAAGAGGGAATGATGGCGCTTACGACACGGGACCCAGGGTCATATGGCTGGCAAGATGTTCTCTCACTTCCAGCATCGATCAACCTGGATCGATTCCGTGCGGCATGGCAGGCTGTAGTCAACGAGCTCGAAATCATTCGCACGCGGCTAGTCGAGATGGATCATCACGGCACCTATCAAGTTGTCATTAAGCCGCAACATAGTTCCATCGAATGGAGATATGTCGACTCTCTGGAAGAGTACCTGATCCACGACAAGAAACTTCCGTTTAGCTACGGGACACCTCTATACAGACTTGCCATCGTACGCCAAGGGTCCAAAGTCTACTGTGTCTCCAGTGCGCATCATGCGATTCTGGATCGTTGGTCAATCTCCCTGATGATGGATCGCCTGAAATCTCACTACTTGTCGCAAAGCCTACCTCCCACGCCGCCGTTCCAAACGTTTATCAAATGGATGTGCTCTCTCGATCCAGAAGCCTCTGACCGATACTGGAAGTCGCGTTTTGAAGGGTCGTCTATTGTAGAATTCCCTCGCTTACTGGCAGGTCACCGTCCCCGCGCCACGGCAGTTGCAAAACACATTATCCCTAAGTCTGCTACCAGGGGTTCTGTCAACATCACTATCCCAACGCTCCTCAGAGCGGCATGGGCTTTTACCATTGGCCAGCATACCGGCGCAGATGATGTTGTGTTTGGAATGACTCAAACAGGTCGCAATGCCCCTGTGGCTGACATTACGGATATCGTGGCACCGCTCATCACCGTCGTACCTTTCAAGTCCGTGATAGGGAAGAACCTGTTGGTCTCTGAGCTTCTACAGAACATCCATCAGGATACTGTTGCCATGATTCCCCATGAGCATTCTGGTCTACAGCATATTGCGCAACTCAATTCACAGTGCCAGGCTGCGTCTAAATTCCAGAACCTACTTGTCATTCAGTCTCAGCAGCATCAACAAGACCAAGCGAAACTTCCGCTAGGTCTCGAACGTCTCGACGTGGTGGAAAACGATGTTTTATCCTACGGAATTATCCTGGTCTGTGACCTCATTGAGAGTGGAATCATGCTACAGGCCGCTTTTGATCCAAAGGTGGTATCCCATACAATGATTGAGACGTTGTTGGCTCAGTTTGGACATTTCTTCCAGCAACTGGATGATCCCAAGAACGCGTTCGTGTCACTAGAAGATCTTCGGTTGGTTGGTGAGCACGACTTGGGCCAACTGTCGGTTTGGAATCGTCCACGTAGCGCCGAGCGAGTCGACAAGCGCGCGCACGATTTGATACACGAACGCGCACTCGCACAGCCTGATTCTGTGGCTATTGACTCGGAAGATGGCCAATTCACTTATGGCCAACTGGATAATCTTTCAACCAAGCTCGCACATCATCTTCTAGAGTGTCACCAAGTTGGTGCCGAGAAAGTCATCCCTCTTTTCTTCCGCAAGTCTGCTTTGGCTATCGTTTCCATGCTCGCTGTCGCGAAAGCTGGAGGCGCCTTTGTTTTCCTAGATCCCGCCCATCCAATGGATCGTCTGATGTTCATCACTCGGCAAATAAAGGCGACCTTCATTCTCACGACCCCAGATCTGTCATCCGCGTGGGATTCGACAGCCTTGAAGTCACTTCCAATTACCAGGGACTTTGTGGAACAGCTTCCCACGCAACAACAACTACCTGTGACCAATGTGATGCCACACAATGTACTTTATGTCATCTTTACATCCGGGTCCACTGGAACTCCGAAGGGCTGTGTGGTCTCCCATGCATCTTTCCTCAGCGGTGCCGTTCAGCACGCCCGACAGAGCAGACTAAGTAGCGACGCTCGGGTCCTACAAATCGCACCTTACACGTTTGACGTGAGTATCCTGGAAACACTGACAGGTCTCATCTCTGGTGCCTGTATCTGTCTTCCGAGGCCATTGCATCAAAATATCCCTATTTCTCAGATTATCAATGATTTGAGTATCACATGGAGCTTCCTTACTCCTTCGGTCGCTCGAACAATCAGCCCCAAGGACTGCCCTACGCTTCAAACACTCATTCTCGGCGGAGAGTCACTGTCAAAGGTGGACATCGAGACATGGGCCGGACAGGTCCATCTTTGTAATGGATATGGGCCTAGTGAGTGTGCTGTCGCATGCACAGCCAATGTCAACATCACCGCGGATACCGATCCGGCGAATATCGGGAGTACGATGTGCTGCAATGCGTGGGTAGTGGACTCGGAGAATCCAGATCATCTTTTGCCGATCGGCGCTATTGGAGAACTTCTTATTCAAGGCCCTGTTGTTTGTCGAGGATATCTGAACGAGCCAGAGAAGACCGATGCCGTTTTTATCCAGCCGCCTGCATGGCTGGATCGTTTCGGTCCAGAATTCAGCTCAGAAAATCGATTGTACCTGACTGGAGACTTGGTCAGGTATAATGACGATGGTACTTTGCACTTTATTGGACGCAAAGACACACAGGTCAAACTCCGCGGTCAGCGAATTGAGCTGGGTGAGATTGAACATCATGCGTCTGCCTATCCATCCATCAGACATGTTGCAGTTGAACTACCAAAATCTGGTAAATACCGAGAAAGCCTGGTTGCTGTTCTCTCGTTACGTGGGAAAGCTGTTCCCTCATCTGATGAGCTAGGTGACGATCTTGTGCCCATTTCTGGCGAGCAGCTGGAAGCAGCGCGTCAATCCATCCTAGACATCCGGTCATACCTAACTCAACATCTACCACCCTACATGGTTCCTAGCTCTTTTGTGGTCCTCGAAGGTCTTCCACTGCTGAGTTCAGGCAAGATCAATCGCACCAAGATCAGAACGTGGCTGGGTGACATGAGTGCAGACATGCAGGAGCGGGTTTCGGCCCAGCTGGACACGTCGACGTCACACACTGCATCTCTCATCCCTGATGATCAAACAACTGCTCTTATCCTAAGCAAAAAGATCACGCAACTCATCGCGAAAGATGATGAGAAGTATTCGATGACCATCCGCGACCGGGATATCGCATTGGCCCGTGCGGGTCTGAACTCCATCAGTGCTGTTTCTCTTGCGGCTTTCATCAAGAAGGAATTTGATATCAGAGTGTCAATTGACAGCCTGCTAGAAGAGTCAATGACAGTATGCGATGTTGCTCGCATGATCGATTGTTCCGGACTTGATCCCACTGCTTCTGAAGCACCTTCCGCTCTTGATTTGTCTGCGGAAATAGAAAAAGCGCTTGCCTACTTTGATCAGAAGGCCACACCAGGTCTACTCCACATATCCCAGTCTCCGGAAACGCAAAGCATTGCGACAATCTTGTTGACTGGTGCTACTGGCTTCTTGGGCAGCCAAATCCTGAAACACCTACTGGAGCTGCCAGGGATCAAACGGGTCGTCACCCTTGTGCGTGCACCAGATATCAGCCAGGCCACTTCTAGGGTAATTGAGTCTGCTCAGAAAAGCAAATGGTGGCGCGATAGTTACTCATCGAAACTCGAGGTCTGGATCGGCGACTTATCACAGCCTGATCTGGGGCTAAAACCCGATCAATGGCGCTGTATCGAGGGCCAACCAGAGTCACCCTTTTCTGTCGACGCCATTGTTCATAATGGCGCCACCGTCCATTGGGGATATGACTATCAAGGTCTTGAGGCCGTCAACGTCACGAGCACCGTATCTCTCCTAGCCTCCCTCACCCGCTCGCCGCAACCACCACGTTTCACCTTCATTTCGGGAGGCCAGCTGTTCTTGGGTGATGAAAATGACAACTCCCAAGTGGAGGCATATGCCCAGATGATGAGAACGGCCGGTGGATATGCGCAGACCAAATACGTAGCCGAAGAGGCTGTGAAAGAGTTTGCTCGAAGATACACCACATCCATTGCATCCATTGTCAAGCCCGGATTGATTGTTGGAACCGCAGATTCTGGAGTCTCAAACACGGATGACTTTTTGTGGCGAGTTGTGGCGAGTGTGATTGAAACGGGAGCTTTCAATAGCACAGGACTAGATGGCATAATCCTTGTCTCTGGTGCCCATCAAGTTTCTACTGCCATTTTGGGAGATGTTCTCCATCCCAAGCCGCCCGGACATCGCGTGGAGACGACGATTCGATATGGTATCCCTGTCGGGGAGTTGTGGGAGATGTTGCGAGACGAGTTTGGGTATCAGCTTGAAGCAGCTGATGCCACAGAATGGCTGTCCCGGTTAAGAGCGCAAGTGGAGAGGAATGGTGAGAAGCACCCCTTGTGGCCAGTCTTCCATCTCTTAGAGGCCACTGGTGGGTCTTTGGGCGTTCCTTTGCCGGCCGATCTGCGGCAGGATGAGCACAATGATGAGGTGAAAGCTTCTCTTAGGAGAAGCATCGTCTACTTGAGGGAAATTGGGTATCTACCAAACGCCGATGCTACCGGTGATCATTCCTCAATGCAAAAGGACCTTGTTTTCGCCCGCGCCGGTGGAAGGTCCCGCACATAATGTTTGACTCCAGGGATCCAATCCCCATCATCTGTTGATATAGTTTCTTCTACCCAAATCATCCCAAAATCCTGAGGTCACGAAAAGCCCCAATATTTACTCTGATCTTGGATATGAATTGACATTTTTCGTTTGATCTTCTGTTACGAGGGGTTGAAATTTACTTCTTGAATGCCCTTGAGCCTTCTTCGAGCCCTCCGAGGGCTCTTTCTAGTCATCTTTCTGGTAAACTTTCAACCTTGGAAGGTTATTCACATGATTTCTAGCTAACTTCGGGACTTGACCTTGTTGAAAATAAATAAAGAGCCCTGGATTCTGGACGTGTTAGGCCTCTTAGTCCACGGGTGTAGTTAGAAAATTCAACCGACCTCATTATCCATGAATGTCGGGCAAGGTGTGCATAGATATATTGCCACGGCATAGGTAAGTTCTTAACGGTGGAAAATTTGTCCTAACTCAATTCCATGCAGTTTTAGAACTCTGAACTACTGTTTATCTTCATGGCTGATACTAGAATATATTAGAACTACGACAAAAGGTCAGAATTGAATGACAGGTATTGTTAAGTATTCTAAGGCTTCACATGTTGAACCCCCGCTTTGGGATTAGCGCACTATTCGTCCCAACTTCGGAAGATCTTCAAGTTCATCTTCCGCCTGTTGACATCGAGAAAACACCAAAATTAATATCATTGAATTTACTACTTCGTACTGATCATGCACACGGAGAGCTAAGCACTAACGCCGCAGAAAAAAACAAAACAAAAACAAAAACAGAAGATGAATGGTATCAACACATATTGAATCAAGAAGCAAAACGCGCAGACGCGTTGAGGTATGTCTCATTATCCTTCGAGGTCGGGAATGGGGGTGCTGTTTTGGCCCGGAACAACGAGTTAGAGCTCATCCCCTCATAGAAATATGCATCAGCCCGCCGTTGGCGAGACATGCGGAGAGCGATATACGCGTCGTACTCTTGACGCGTCAAGGTGGCAAAGACATGCCGGGGGTGCACGCAGATGGCTTGGGCGCCTTTTTGACCAAAGCCGAATGAGGTGATGGACACAGCTTTTAGATCGGGTACATGCACCGGTCGGTTCAGATAGGCAATGAGATCGAATTTCTGCAGCGCCGAGTCGACATTATCGGCATTGCGATTGCCTGGAACCAGCCCGGAATCCAGCATCTGCAATGCCCCGTTGACCATCCATGCACCGGCAGCACCCTTGGAGTGACCAGTCAAATATTTCTGGAACACACCCAGAAGGACATTGCCTTTGCGTCGCCCCAGCGCGGTGAGTTGCTGCTGAAGGACGCTGGACTCATTTTTGTCGTTCATCACCGTTGAGGTTCCGTGGAATGAAGCGACTTGCAAGTCATCGATGGTTAACCCCCAAGTGGCGAGAGCACCTGTGAGCGGTGCGATTGATGAATCATGGCGCCAGAATTCATTGCCCAACGCGTATTGGGCATTTCGCTCTTCTTGATCAAACTCGACCTGAATCTGTGCGTGGCGTTCCTGGCGATACGCAACTACATCAACTGTCGGATCTTGCTCCAACACGGTCTCCACTTCGAAGTCCAGCTGCTCGATCGCGACTGCACGGGATTCGGCGATCTGCCTGCGTCGGAAATCGAGGCGACGCCGACGATTGGCTACTTTCAACAGAGGAGAAGCAACATTCGACGCCGATCGTCTAGCGTTGACAAGCACACCCTGTCCAGGGGCCGGGACCGAGCGACTGGCCTTGTCACTCGATGTACTCACAAAAGCAACGATGCCACGAATCGGAAGTCCCATTTTCAACGCCAAATCGGCAGTAGTCAGGACTTGCAGTCCACAGCCTTGCGATTCCATGAAACCGTTGCGGGTAGTGGTGGTCGGTCGCGACATTTCACTGGGCGACCGTCCCCGTGCAGTCTCATCAAGTGAGTTGCTGGTCGCTTTCATGCTGGCAAACTCATATGAAATCTCAGGGGTAAAATCATCAGACCCTCCCACCAGACAGAACTTGGCTTTTCCTGTCACAATTGTGTCATAACCAAGTTCTATAGATTCGACAGATGTCGCACAGGCCCCAACGGGTGTTCGGATGGGTCCACTAGCTGACAGGAGGAGCATGTTGACCCAGGCACTGATAGTATTGACAAAGGTCTCCTGAAGGATGTCGCTTTGGACTTCTTTCCCTGCCATTCGGTCGTTGAACATCTTGCCTAGAGAGGTACTACCTCCCATACCAGAGCCGACACAATTGCCGACCTCAGAAACATGGATATATTGATAGAGCTCATATGGGTCAGTAATTCCAGATGAGAGCAATGCTTCGACTGTGCAAACGAGCGTGAATAGCGTCAATCGGTCCACTTCGGAAATGATTTGATCAGGCAACCCATAGGTTCGAGGATCCCAGCCAGTAGGGATAAGGCCGGCGACAGTACGATCAAACTGCATAGCACGCGGAACAAATAGCCGAGCTCCCTTTCGCAGCTGCACTTGATACAGGTCTGGAGTTGACGCTTGTTGCACCGTCACGCAGGCGCCATGCTCCAGACGCATTTGTTCAGCAAGAGCCTCAGGTACGCAAAGGGGCTCGAGGTCTGCCTCCAAAACGATCTCATGCAGGAATTGCTTCTTGTTCGGATCGTATCCGCCACAAAGCTCAGGCTCGATAAAGCGAATTCCAGAATGGGCCAGAATCTCCTCTTCATAATTTGGTTTAACCGCGGTGTCAGCCACCGGTTGTTTGGTTTTGCTGTCAACCCAGCCAGAGTACGGCTGGCCGTCGATAGTACCAGAGAAGTGTCGAATGAAGCCCATCAACCAGGCCATTTCGATGGCTCCCTCCAGTGAAAACTTTCCATATGCTTCCATCTCCCATCGTGTCCGGGCATTCCCGTGGGGTCCAAGTTCGGCAAACCCAGTCACGACAACCGTTCGGTGCAGGTCCACCATCCCCTGCAAGTCTTCACCAAGGGGGCAATATCACGGTCATAGTCGAGTACCTGGGGGAAGTCAAGCCTGACGTGGGCCCTTTCTTCCAACTCGGAGACGGATGTGGCTTGTTGTTTCGGGCTCGAGCCCTCAGCCTCAATCTTATCTTCCTGGAACAAAGCAGCTTGGATATCGCTATCCTCTTTCATTTCGCGCCGCAGTTCTCCCAAAGCCTCTGGCAAGTTGGCGACCTGGGCCATTCCACCTGTCAGATCAGCATAGACTGGTGCTTCCTGGCAAAGCTCGTACATAGCCCCAACGCACAAACAAACTAGCGAATACGCCATCTCTTCCTGAGAAAAGGTGCGCATCCCAGACTTTTCAATCCCTTCGGCCACAAGATCATTCTGGTTCATCAATCCTGTGCCGCGGGTCCATCCGATCACTGCTCCGCAAATGGAGAGGTAATCTTGCCAGTTCTCTGAATGCCAGCGGTTGAAAAGTGTCTCCAGAGCTACTTTCGATTCACTATAGAGACCATCACCTCCGAATGTGCCATGATTGGGGGATAGCGGTAACACCACCTGGGTGGGATGGGTGCGGTGACCGTGGGACTCTTTGTGATTCTTCACTGTGCCCAGCAATCGCAACAGGTTGGTCAACATGATTCGATGTGCTAGTTCTGATTTGGAATCAATCGAATCCAGAGTCCGGCCAGCTTCACTGATAGCAGCAAAGGGGATGAGATAATCCAAATCCCATCCCAGTCCATTCTTCTCATCGTACACATGTTCTATCAAAGCGGCAACATCTTGCGCACTTCCTTGATTGAACGGCACAACAACAAGCTGGGACCCCCGTGCTCCGTGCTCCATGTACAAGGCTTGGTATTTGGCTGCTACTTGCGGGGACATGGAAGAGGTCGTGACAAGCACTCGAGCTCCGCCTTGGAGGAAATGAACAATCATGGCGGCTCCGATGGATCCGATGCCAGCACCTGTGATCAAAACTGTTTGACCACTGAAAGAGTCGCCTTGTGTCTCGACATCGTGGAAAACCCGGTAGAGATTGCGAGTAAGGTCCTCGGAATATTCCCATCCAGAAGTCGTTCGCTGTTTCAGATGGAGGTATGGTTCGGTGCTAACCAAAGGGTTATTTTCGAGTGCCGACCGTGGAAGAGAGAGGTCAGCAAAGCGTGCCGAATTTTGCCGAGGGCTTTCCTTGTACTGAAGATTACCCTGATTATCGATGATTGTGAGGGGCGCCAGCTGCCGGGGTGACCCCTTGAATGCTGGTCCCGACCGCAAGTTATTCTCGCAATTGTTCTTCAAAGTTTCAAAGATCGGTTGTGAGAGAGCGCTATCTTGCATTCGGAAAACCATCTCGTCCAACATAGGCAAAATAGTCTGGTCGGCGGCGTTGGCGATATGATAGCACCGCTTCGCTACCGCGTCGTGATCCAGCGCAGCATTTTCGACGCTTGAAGTGTACTCAAAGAGCTCGAGTAGGCTCTGACGCGCCCAATTCCAAGAAGAGTCATAGCTTCGAATTTTTTTAGCATCAAAGCGTGGTCGAATACCGTTTCCGTAGTCCGACCCATGCTCTGTATGCCAGACATCGAGATCAGCCTGCAATCCAGTAACGACATCTTCACGCAAAGTCTCTAGCGCCTGTCGATCTGCTTCCAGATCGATACCCAAATGCTTGGCATAAGTCTCGAGCAAGCGTTTTGATAGGTTTTCTTGGGACTCGGTAACGGCTCGGACCGCTTCCGGATCCATCATGACACCACTTCCTGTACCGACGACATCCGATGAACTGGGTTGGATCAGAGTCAACCCCTCTCTTTTCGCATATGTCTGAGCGGCATTGGAAATAAAATTACGCGCTTCGGACTCAGTGGAAATGCGACTTGTGGGTTGAGATGCGACCGCGCAGAGCAAACACGCATCTTGGCGACCTGATTGCAGTCCCCATTGCGCTTGCAGCTGTTCTCGTGCAGTCGCTGCAGTGAAGCTACTGGGCATTTTTGTGGTGAAGAGGCTGTTTATCATAGCAGTGGTTACCTTGCCCAGAGAACCCTTGTGGCTGGACTGGACTTCTGGTCCAACTTGGCCGAGAGGAAGGTCCTCTGCACGCTCCGGCAACGTACCGAATTCGGCGTGCAGGTCGCCGATAATTTCATTTTCTAGAGTCGATCTGCCTAGAAAAAAGAAGACATGTCATCAGCATGGAATTGTCACTCAAGGATAATTCACTACTAACCTTCGGCTAAAGCTTTGATGGACTTGCTCCCGTCGATTTCAGATGCCGCTCGCTTCAATGCCCTGCCAACAATGGCGAATATAATATCCCGGGCTTGAACATTCTGATCCTCAATGTTCACAACTTCAACATGCACCCTTGGTGTCGGCAAAGCTGTGGTTGTCACCTCCACAGTGACCTTGGGAGCTGAATCAGCAGGTGCTGGTTGCGATTGTGTCGTCGTTTGTGTCTGCGGCTCGGTCTGGAGTGACTCAGTCTGATCAGGCACACCCCTGTAGTATATATCGTCTGTGTTCTTCTCGGAATGGAGGAGCTGTCGCGGAGCCGGCAAAGCGCATTCTTGCGTTGGATAAATCGTGTCGATGGTTTTGCGAAACATACCCAGCAGCGTTGCACTGGGGCCAACCTCAATGATGCGCTCGCCTTCCGTACGAGACAAAATCACATCTTGGGTTTCGATCCATCGCACAGGAGAGGCAAACTGATACCTAACGTAGAATTACTGATTAGCCAAATTTTGCGTTGGTGATAAGTTTCTACTCACACCATCAACTCCATCAGCAGCGTGCGAGCGAGCTTTCGCTCCGTCTCGACGTCAATCATCGTGGCGGATCTTCTTTGATCTTGGTTCTACAGCGCGGACTGGAACTACACCATGGAGGGAACCTGTCGTCAGAGCGCGTCGGGAGAGCCTCTTCTTTTTGCTGCAAGGTCTCTGCGGCTTACACGTGGATGACCGGCTCAGGTTCTACTAAGAGCTGTTTATTAATCTATAATTCATGCAAAGCTATTCCACTCGAGAACACCCCGTGGACCTTCAGGTGTGTATATCAACGGTGTATTGAGGTTGGAGTAAGCGTGTATGGTAACTTTGGAATTGTGTACATGTAAGCTCGTACGAAACGTGGTATTAGTGTTTGTTACGACGTCTCGTATTGCGAGCGATACGGCCCCCAATACCTGAATGACTCGTGGCGTCTTACCACCGCTTTAGCGCTTAAGCCACAATAAGCTCGTCGGGGATCAGGAGTGATCCGGGATAATCCCGGAGCGTTAGGCCCTAAAGTCAAAAGAAGCGCTAGCGGGCCGCCCGCAAGTTTCGTCTGACTCCGCCCTTACGGAGTATTTTCTTGAACGTGGTGCTGAGTTTCATAGGGAGAAGCAAACAAAGGGTCCACTTATGTCAGATCTATTATGAGCTCCGGAGAAGTTCTATGGATCATATGATACTTCTCGCAATTGCCTCGATTTTTCAAGGGAGGAAGAGAACTACTTGCTCCCACATATGCTGATATTCGGTCTTGACTTCGCACTAAAACCTGCAGAATGCAGATTTTGCAGCGTGCGTGACGGACTGAAGAAGTATAAACGCATAAATTATTTTTTAAACTAATCTTTCACAAGTACGGAGTATGTAAGCGAGCGCCTGGTGTGCTGTTACCTCCAATCTCATTCCTCGGCGTCGGCCACCGGCGCCACAGGCCAGAGCCAGTCCTCATTATTGGCCCCCAATCCCTTTTGTTCTGCCAACAACGCCTTTGAGAGACGCTGGCACGCCTCGCCCGGGCCGTCCTCAGAAAAGGTAAAGACATCTCCGGTAGATCTCCGGGTGATCGATCTGATTGGTACCACCATCGCCGCTGTTCCTGCAGCCAAAATCTCCACGAAATGCGGCAACTCGAGGTACGGAATCTAAATAGAGGACACGTGTTAGCGGAGAATTATCAGGGTCAAAGAAAGTACATACCGGGCGCAACTCTACTGCCCATCCGAACGAGCGTGCCAGTTCCACACATGATGTGCTGGTCACACTCTTCAGAATAGATGGAGAGCTGGGGACAACGAGGGTGTACGAGTCCCCGGTCTTCTTCAATCCCAGGAATCCAGCAGTACTGAATTCATCAATCTGCGACTGTGTTCGGCTGTCGAGGTGTAGTGTGATATGGAACCCTTCCGCGCGGGCTTGATCACTCCACTTCAGCACAGGCGCATAGTTGCCTCCGACTTTGACATGGCCCACACCTCGGGGTGCAGCACGATCAAGGTCTTCAAGCACCAGGGCAGGCAAAGGTTGAACTCCATGGTACGCCTTGTAGGGTTGCGCATACACGCAGAATCGGTAGCCTGTACCGGCAGACACAGCAAAGAATGCGTCGGAGCCAAACACTAGAGGTCGGATGTACAATGCGGCGTCAGAGTCATGAGGAGGAACATACTCGGCATTGCGGACAACTGCTAGGTTGATACTGGCCAAGAAGATATCTTCTGGGATAGTGGGAATGGCAATAGTCGAGCAAGAAAGAGCAAGACGAGCCGCGTGGACCTTTGGTCTAAAGACTTGAATCTGACCCTGAGGATCACGGTAGGCTAAAGGAAGAGAAAAACCTTGGGTCAGTAATTGATTCAAGAATCATGGGATGGAAAATCAAACCTTTCATGCCTTCAAATGCTTGTTGGCCTACATAGAAGGTATCAGATACTCAAGTCATGGCCACATGTCTAGGGACTTTAGAATTACCATAGTTAAGACCAGGTGCAAGGCCGTGAATCTTGATGAATGGATCCTCCACAAAGCGAGGCTTTGACCATTCTCCAGTTGCAATCGAATACTCTGACTCAACATGGCCATTCACTGAGCTCTATGGTCAGTCAAGATACAAGAGCAAATAGGAGGGGGGGACGGACCATCCATGGGAGCAAGGCCCAGCTTGTTCCATTCTGCAACACGTGGACAAGTTAGTACCAGAAGCAACAGCAATCAGACTTGCATCAACTGAACACGTACCCAGGGACGCGAGACGGGGTGGGGGGAAAGCAGCCATTGGAACGATATTCGAGTCAAGCAGGATTCAGGATTGAGATGATGGAATTGAACAGACCCAAGAGGATGGCCGACGAAGGAGTTGCTGATTATAGTTCTAGCTCGCAACATAGACGCAACATCTTACGTACACTTCTTTGCTACTTGTTCATTATCCTATTCCGGGACCTTGGGACTAGCTGCGCATATTCGCGTATGTTCACCTGCTCGGCATTTGCTCGGGTTCTGGAACTCATGGATCTATTCGCGTCCATTCATCTATAATGTTTACCGGTCTAACAATGCACAGCCCCGGTCAGTGTTACATCGCTGCATCGGAATCTAAGAACTAGCGGACAAAATTTGTCCAGTCGACTGATTAAGATTACATGGCGTGCGAGTGCGCTTTTTGGTGGACTTTTACCATTGGTTTATGTTTAATTCCACCACCCTGGTGGCTTTGTGCTTGGCAGCGTGAGGCTCAGAAGACTGTACGGAGTAAATGATTTGAATCAGCCCAAAAGAGCTAAGGATACAACCACAGAACGCCCGGTATCGAACACAATTTTGGAAAAAAAAACTAAAACAAATATGGATGAGGTATATCCTGTATCGTTATGATTTTCGTAAGCACCATACATGTTCTGAATACAGGCCTTCTGACCGTAATTCGTATATTACACTGTACGGGGACACATACACGAGAGATAGATACAGGTACACAGGTTCGTACACAGGATATTGGACATGCGAACGGACAGAAACAGCATCAGACTGGCGCAAGGTCCCCATGTGATGTGAGGGCCAAAAATTTAATCTAGAATTTCCAGCCCTGTTCCAGCGTACAGGGTGAGCAATCAGGCTGGGGGAACCGGAGACCCATGCACAGTCAGACATATCCAGGCCCAGGTGCCCATTCCGCCCTGCTGCTGTAGTCCACGAGATCTCTCCTGTATATCACTTCCTTGGGCCATTCTCTCTTTTCAATCTCATAGCCCTAATTCATACCTTCAATGGATACACCACAGATCGAGACCATGCAGTACCAGTGGTCTGCATCAGCCTCGGTTTCACCGGCATCCACTCCTCCAACCCCATGGGAAGAGGTTGAGCCATGCTCCCCCGTGTTTGAGGATGTCGTTCTCCGCGTGGATAGCATCAAATGCACCTTAAAAATGCCACGAGGCGTTGCTCGCAGGGGTCAGGAGCTCGTGCAGCAGTTCGTTTCAACGGCAGCCGTTCTGGAGCCCTTGTCGGCAGTGGAATTGTGCTGCCTGTTCATGCAACACATCATGCAGGGAAAAACGGAGGGCAGACATGGAGATCTGGATGTCCCCGTTCTCCACCAAGTTTTAAATACACTGCATGTCGATCTCATCCATAATGAGAATATCCACACTTTCCTGGCGTCGATGAACCAGGACAAGAGCCGAGATCGCCCAATCTTGAAGGCTTATTTTGAAGCCTGCAAGGAAACACGAACACCTTGCGCTGTGGGGACTAGTAGTCTCGTTGCCGACATCGGTAACGGTCGTGCGCAGATCTTTGCTTTGTTCAACGGACAGGGCGTCGAGTCTTATTTTGACGAGCTGCTGGCGGCTTACGATGTCTACCATCCCCAGTTAGCTTCTTTTATCCAAGCCATTTCCAATACCCTTACACATCTGGCAAAGGATGACCAGTTCAAAGCATTGTTCCCTCACGGACTGGATGCATACCAGTGGTTGCAGGTGCCCGAGTCACGCCCAAGTGCCTCATATATCAACAGTGCCTCCGTGAGCTTTTCCACTTATTGGACTCTCCCAATTTGTGCAATATGCTATTGCATGTATCAACTTGAATCAGTCACCAGCAGAGTCACGCCATGTATTTGCTGGTGCTATTGGTCACTCCCAGGGTATCGTGGTGGCGTCTTTCATCGCCGCTGCCGATTCCTGGGATTCGCTCTGCAACGCAGCCCAACAGGCGGTCGAGTTACTATTCTGGATTGGCTGTCGATGCCAGCAGCAGGTGCAGTTGTTAAGCCCTGGCTCAACTCCCTCAAGTTGCATGCTCAGCGTCAAGGGCCTGCCTCAGGCTGATCTCCAGCATCACTTGGATCAGCTCAACGTTCACTTGCCAACCGAAGAGGCAGTTTATCTGGCCTTGGTCAACGGACCAGAACAGCTTGTCGTCGCTGGAATGCCTCATTCATTGCGAGCGCTGGACCAGGTAATTACCAAAGCATACAGCCAAGCCAAGTCTGCGAAGCCAGTTTCTTTCAGCAAACGTCGGCCGACCGTACATACCCGACTTTTGGCCATCACAGCACCATTCCATTCACCATATCTCCAGGATGCGGAGGCCCAACTTCAGAATGATCTTGCTGCGTTGTCTTTGCCTGGTTCACGACTAGCGTTCCCTGTGTTCCACACAGAGACCGCTGAGAACTTGCAACAATTTGAAAATGTTGTTCCCCACTTGATCGAAATGATTTGTACTCAGCGGGTGCAATTCGAGAAAGTCGTCAACACCACCCTGACTGGAATTACGCATGTTCTTGACTTCGGGCCTGGTGGTGAGGTCGGCATGGGGAGCTTGGTCAATCACCAGCGTGAGGGCAGAGGACTGCGTACTCTGATCCTGGGCGCCGCTAAGGGTGGCACCCATAGTAGCTCTTCCGCTCTGGGATTCGCAAGTGAGCTGTATGCCCACAACGAGCCAGCCACCTTCAACTCTGTCTGGAGTGACGAGTTTTCTCCGCGCCTTTCGCAGTTGACCAACGAGTCTCACTTGGTCGACACCGCATTCAGTCGTCTATTAGGAGTTCCTCCTGTCATGGTCGCCGGAATGACTCCGACGACAACTTCCCCAGCATTCGCGGCGGCTGTCATGAACGCTGGATATCATGTCGAGTTAGCCTGTGGAGGATTCCCGGACCGCGAAAGCATGTGCCGGGGTATTCTGGAGACAGCCGCTGCCATCGCCCCCGGTCGTGGTATCACATGCAACGTCATATACGCTAACCCTCGAGCTATGGCCTGGCAGATCCCCCTCCTGGTCGAGCTCTCCAATTCCGGTGTTCCTATCACCGGCCTGACCATTGGCGCCGGTATCCCTTCATTGGAGGTCATCGCAGGCTACTTGGCTGATTTGTCGTTGAAGCACATCGCTCTCAAACCGGGCTCCAAAGAAGGCATCGATGGTGTCTTGGCTATTGCCCGGGCCTACCCCACGTTCCCCATCATCCTTCAGTGGACAGGCGGCCGAGGAGGCGGCCATCATTCATCAGAAGACTTCCATGAGCCCTTGTTGGATCGATACGCACAGATTCGCTCTCATGGCAACGTGATTCTGGTTGTAGGAAGTGGATTCGGAGAGGCCGATGACACTTACCCCTACCTTACGGGCTCCTGGTCCCATATCTTTGGACGTGCGTCCATGCCTGTCGACGGAATCCTGCTGGGCAGCCGTGTCATGACAGCGAAAGAAGCACACACCAGCGCAGCAGTGAAGGAGGCCATCGCAAGCACCCCAGGCATTTCAAACGAAAACTGGGAACAGACCTGTGAGCGCTCTTCCGGTGCCGGAGGAATCATCAGCGTGCGCTCCGAAATGGGCGAACCCATTCACAAGGTTGCCACCCGCGGCGTCATGTTGTGGGCCGAATTGGACAAGGTGGTATTCTCTCTGCCGCGAAATGAGCAGAAGGATGCTCTCCTTGCCCGCAAGGCATACTACGTCAAACGACTCAATGACGATTTCCAAAAAGTTTGGTTTGGACGAAACGCCCACGGTGAAGTAGTCGATCTCCACGAGATGACTTACTCCGAAGTGTGGGACCGCATGATCGAGTTGCTGTACCTGAAGGCACCCCAGCAGTATATCGATCCCTCTTGGAGAACCCTGGTATGGGACTACACCCACCGGTTGGAAGAGAGGCTTGGCGGGCCAAAGACCCAGTCTGTCGTCCTCGGAAACGTGCAGCAGCTCAACGAGCCGGAGCACCTCCGGGAAGCCCTCATCGCCCAGTACCCACAGGCGTGTGTCGACGTACTGACGACGGCTGATGTGGAGTACATTCACTTACTCTCACGTCGGAGAGGGCAGAAACCAGTCCCATTCATCACACTTTTCGACGAAGATTTCGAATACTGGTTCAAGAAAGACTCTCTTTGGCAGTCGGAGCGCTTGGAAGCTGTCTTGGGACAGGATGTCGGCCGTGTGTGCATATTGCATGGACCAGTGGCAGCTCAATACACACAGCGTGTCGATGAGCCAGTGCAAGAAATCCTCGATGGCATTCACGAGAAACACGTCGGGTGGGTGCTGCGCGACAAGTACGCGGGGAACCGTGCACGGATCCCCTCGGCTGAAGACCGCCAACTCCACAACAACAACAGCATCAACATCAACAACTCCCCACGTTGGCCTGTTCAGGGTGTCCATGTCATCGCCGAGCCTAGTGGAACGACACTGAAGTATATCGTCTCTCAAAATCCGCCGTCACTGGAAAGTTGGCTGGGATTACTGGCCAATACCACCGCTGCACCATGGTGTCGCGCTATCTTCACCGAGCAGAACATCGTCCAAGGCAGGACGGTGGTGCAGAATCCGCTTTTGGGTCTGTTTTCTGCGAAGCCAGGCCTGGTCGTTGAATTTTGCAACATACAAGATGGATACGGCACGGAGATTGTACTCAAGGAGATCGAAAGGGATGGGAAAGGGGCAGAGCATCTGCTGGCAGTTGCCTCACTGCGCTCTAACCGCGAAGGCCTCGTCATTTTGACTCTGTCCGATCGAACTGTGCCCGGACGGTCACCAGCCAACCTTAATTTCTTGTTTGACTACCAGCCATGCGGTGGTGCTCTCAGCATCCGCGAGGTGATGAACGATAGAAACCGACGCATCAATCAATTCTATCAGTCCATCTGGATCGGCAAACAGGAACTGCCGGTAACTTCTGACTACGTGTTCCGTGGTCAAGAGGTTGTTCTGGACCGCAAGACAATCCGTCAATTTGCACAAAGCATATCGAATCGGAACCCGGTTTATTACAACTCCCGCTCTGATGGGACGCTGGTGGCTCCGTTGGATCTCGCTATCGCGGTCGCTTGGAAGCCCCTCATGAGTACAGTATTCCCCGATGTTGCTTCGGGGGACATCCTGCGATTGCTTCACTTGGGTGCCGACATTGAGCTTTGTGATGGGGCCACGCCATTGCAAGAGGGAGATCGTCTCTTGTCCGATGGACGTCTCGTGTCTGTGATGGTTAAACCAGGCTCTGGAAAGGTTGTAGAGGCTGAAGCAACCATCTATCGCGAGTGCACACCGGTGGTCCGCTTGAAGAGCAAATTTATCATGATTGGCTCCGATTACGACAATGAACCAACCTTCGAGATCAAGGAAGAGAAGTGGCGTCTACCTTTGGATTCGAAGAAGCATGTGGCCCTTCTCCAATCCAGATCATGGTTCCACCCTGAAGGAAAAGTCGAGTTGCTCGATCATATCCACCACACGCTGGATATTCACACAACGAGCCGCACATACTCCGTGGGTGGCGAATCTGTTCCTCAGCTTGAGGTTGAAGGCCAAGTTATCTGGCAGTCAGCTTCAACGTCAGAATCTGTGATCCTTGGGTCGATTAGCTTCTCTAATTCGGCCGTTGGTTCTCGAAACCCGGTCACGGACTACATGGAGCGACATGGATCCCCAAGATCCAGTGATTACCGTCCTCTTGATGCTCCTCGAACTCTCGTTGAAGACCTTTTGATTACTGTCCCTGATGCCGGCAGCGAATATGCTCACACGTCTGGTGATTGCAATCCCATTCATTTGTCTAGTCTGTTTGCTAGCTATGCCGGTCATGACGCACGAGTCACCCACGGTATGTTTACTAGCGGATTCGTGCGTGGTCTTGTTGAATTCCACCTGGCGCGCAACGATGTAGCGCGCATGCGATCTTGGTCTTGCACATTTGATAGCAAGGTTTGTGCCGGTGACGAATTGGCCATCAAGATCGACCACACTGGAATGTCGGGAGGAAAGATGCTCGTGGCTGTCCAGGTGCACAACGTGCTCACTGGGACCAAGGTTCTTTCTGCGCAGGCCAGCATCGAGCAGCCGAAAACGGCATATATCTTCACAGGACAAGGCAGTCAACAGCAAAGTATGGGCATGTCTTTGTCCGATGGCAGTCCAGCGGCGAAGGAGATTTGGAAAGCAGCCGATGACTTCTTTGAGAACACATATGGTAAGATTGCATACAAGCTGGTTTCACCTGGGCAAATTCGATTACTGACAACTTCTCAGGCTTTTCTATCACGCAAATTGTTCGCAACAACCCCAAGGAACTGACCGTGCACTTTGGTGGAGCGAGAGGGCGTGCCATTCGAGAAAACTACATTGCTCTCACTTTCGACGCGGTGGATGACGAAGGGAAGACGATTTGCAAACCCATTTTCCCCAACATCACCCCTTCCACTCGCTATCATCGCTTCCGGTCCGTTGATGGTCTCCTCCATGAAACCCAGTTCACACAGCCAGCGCTTGCGCTTATGGAGATTGCACGTTTCGAGGACATGCGAAGCCGAGGAGTGGTTGAAGAAGCCAGCCAGTTTGCCGGGCATTCTCTCGGTGAATATGTTGCCCTCACAGCTATGGGACGCATTTTCTCCGTCCAAAGGGTAGCTGGCTTAGTCTTCTACCGCGGTCTCAGCATGCAGAACGCAGTTCAGCAGGACGCACAGGGGGCCACTCAATACTCAATGTGTGCTGTCAACCCCACTCGCGTGTCCAAGGCATTTACCCAGGACGATCTGAGTTGGTGTGTAGCAGAAGTTGCGCGACAGACTGGAGGCTTATTGGAGATTGTGAATTACAATGTCATTCACCTCCAGTATGTTTGTGCTGGTGATGTAAGTCTTTCTTTTTTTTCTACCCAGTCATCTTTTCACCTCCACAGTTGCTAACCGATCAATAGCTTCGTGGACTGGCAACATTAACAGAACTGTTGAATGCTCTGGCCTCGCGCTCACTCAGCTGGCAATCAAAATCGGATATGCAGCACTTCATTCAGGAATCCCTGGCAAGGCTCGCCGTTCAGTCAGGACCGGTCGTTCTACAACGCGGCCGGGCGACTATTCCTCTCAAAGTGAACGTACCATTCCACAGTAGCCTTCTTCGCCCTGGAGTGCAGTCCTTCCGCCAGTTCTTGAGCCGCAATCTGGCGGAGTCTTCTATCCAGCCTGAGCGACTGGTGGACAAGTATATCCCCAACCTCACTGCAAAGCCGTTTGCGCTTTCCAAAACGTATGTTGAAGGCGTTCTTGCCCTTACTGACAGTCCTGTTCTCGAGAACCTCCTCTGCAATGTAAGTTTTCCCCATGCTAGCCCAGCTATAGCTCATCCTAACCGGTTCTGTTTACAGTGGGAATCTATGGAGAATGGTGGATATGATGAAAAAGTTCTGTTTCCTTGGTAGACGCTGAGCTATGTACTCTTGATTTTGTTCTTAACTGCACTTACGGCATAATAATCTGGAAAATCTGATATACAACCCATTGGACTCCTTTCGTAGGAAAATTACACCTGGGCAGTCAGGTGGATGGCGATTTCGTTCCTCTAGCCAGGATTTAAAACTGACTACAGAACTTGAATTTCATTCTTATTGTTCAAATGGTTTTGAGGGAGTGAAGCCTGGACATGCAGTCTTTGTGTGAATTCTATGGCATGGGACTGGTTGTGACTTGTATTGTGTTTTCTCTCGGGTTTTTTGTTTCGGCCTGTTGCTTCCTAGACACAGATGAAAATGCCATGGTGCTCTTTCCATTTCCGAAGATCAAGTATGGCAGTTCGCACCAGCAGACCTCTATGCTCCCTAATCCAGTCACCGAAAACAACCTTTTGATACTCACTCACAGTTCACGTGCTTGTCTCGCGAAATTGATTCCTTGACACATCATCTTCTCCCAATCTAATATGCTACGGCCCCCAAAGTTCAACGGCTCGAGGCCTGTTACTCGAAGAGATCCATAATTCTCCTAAGGACTACTCGGTTCTAGTTCTTACATTCTTGCATACTCCGACAAAGTCCGGGCCGAGACATCTGGGATGCAGATGGCTCATGGGACAATTGCGCGGCTCTCACAGCACTCCGCCGTTTAGTGTTCCCCACTTGGGACACGAGGTAGTTCGTCTAGGTGACATCCGTATAGTGGTTTCAATGGACCAGCTCGTGGTCAGACGGTAGGGTTTGATTACATCCTGGACCCCATGTGGCATTGCATGATCCGGTTCCAGAAAATGGATAGACTCCATTCATGCAGGACAGTGGATGAGTGAAATGACTCACGCTAAGTATGGAACCTATTGGCAAACAGAAGTGAGTCGCTTCAATCCCATAACGTTTAGTTCAAGCGAGAAGAGCGGACTAAAGCTGCTAAGCACCCGTGTACGCCTGATTGAAGAATTAGTGCTTATACCATGGCGAAGTTGATTGGAGTTTGAATATATTCGCCATTTACATACTTGTCTCACAGTGCCAACTATATTGCTCTTTCTGATATGTTTCAGCCCCGTAATCTCGGCTACTATGGCTTTGTTACCGGAATACCTAATTTGTATGGGATGTTTTTTACAATGGACAAGGTGTATGACACATATTATCGTATGTTCCAGTATTATATACCAAATACAATACAGTCGATACACGATACCTTGCGTATTCGCTTACCGCGAGCCCAGAAGAACCCGGTGGGTATTCACCATTTGCCTGATACGTAAAACCGACCGGGTAGAAAAAAGAAAAAGCAAGTGTACTGATTGGAAGTAATTGTCGGTTAGACCGATGCATGTGGAGTGGAAGGCATGGTGAGATCCATTTCTAACGGACCTGCTTGGGTGCGCATGAACCAAGTAGAGGCCCGCGTGCATTCGATCTTTCCTTTGTTTTTATTTATTCTCCGAGATCTTGACCAGAGAGGCGACTAACTGTCTCTACTGATCCTCATGATGATCTTTCCTCAATGGGTCCTTCCTCTGGCCGCCAGGGTGCTGATCCTGGGGCTCGCGGCACTGATAGTCTATGTAAACAAACCTCCCCCGAATCGCTTCTGTGCAATTTCTGTTGATCATCGCTAATCAATTGCTAAAGACCATTGCTGTTGTGACTTATCGAATTTTCTTTCATCCTCTCGCGAAGTATCCAGGGCCATGGCTGGGTAAGATCACCAACCTTTACGCTGGATATCATTCCTGGCGAGGTGATCTTCATGTGGATATGCTGAGGTGCCATGAGGAATATGGTGATTTTGTCCGATATGCACCGAACGGTCTTTTGGTGAATACGGCAAAGGGTCTTCACGGTAAGTGTTTTCCCCTCGCAAATTTCGAATAGTATCCTAACGAAATTTGATTTCTCTAGATGTTTACGCCCACGGCAAAAATTTCCAAAAATCCCAAAAATATGCTGCCATGGTTCATCGAGCACCCAACACTTTAACGGTGATTGATAAGAAGAAACACGGCAAGAAGAGACGAGTCATTAGTCAAGCCTTCTCGGATAACACCCTCAAATCGTATGAAAGCGTGATCCTTGAGCAAGTTCAACATTTGTGCAACGCGTTGCGAAAGGGTGATGACAGCCAACCTGTTCCAGTCGGGTCGTTTTCACCTGTTAAAGATCTTGGACACCTCAGTGACTACTTCACTTTTGATGTGATGAGCAACGTGATTTTCGGAGTGCCTTGGAGTACACAAAGAGATCCAAGATATCGATTTGTCCCGGATGTGATCGAGAAGTCTAACGTGCGCGTCGGCGCATTGTCTCAAGCGCCCGAGCTAGCTATCTTCAGACTCGATAAGTACCTGTTCCCCGAGGCCATCAGGGCTCGGGATAAGTTTATTCATTTTGTGGAGGAAATGCTCCGCCAGGGAATTCAATCCGCAACCAAGTCTGGGAAGGGCGCTTTCGCAACCTTGAGTAAGGCGATAGACCCTGAGACTGGTCTGCCTCTTCGCATGGCGGAATTGGCAGGAGAGAGTGCAACTCTCATCGTTGCTGGCACTGATACGACTTCGACTGCCCTGGCTGCTTGCTTTTTCTACCTCACACATCACCCTGAGGCACTTATGCGGGCCACAGCCGAGGTCCGCGGTGTCTTTGACGCTCCAAATGAGATCATCATGGGTCAAAAGATGCACCAATGTGTCTTCTTGCGTGCTTGTATTGAAGAGAGCATGCGCCTCTCTCCCTCTGCAGCCAGCGCATTGTGGCGAGAGGTGACTGATGCAGGCGCCGACGTTGATGGTGAATTTGTTCCACCCGGAGTGGACGTCGGAACTTGTATCTATAGTATCCACCACAATCCCGCCTATTACCCCCAGCCATTCAACTTCCGTCCTGAAAGATGGATTCCCAAGGAAGCGGAGCTCATTCAGAGTGATGTTGAGCTAGCCAGATCTGCCTTCAATCCTTTCTCGATTGGACCCCGAAGCTGCATTGGCAAGGGTCTGGCGTATGTGGAGCTTCACCTTGTTCTCTCACATGTCTTGTGGACATTTGATTTGCATCGTCCATCCGGAGAGCTGAGTCAAATTGGCGAAGGCAAACCAGATGGTCCATTTGGGCGGCAACGCGTCAATGAGTTCCAGCTTTTCGACCATCTTACAGCTGCTAAAACGGGCCCATACTTGCACTTCAAGCCACGTCTATAATCTCGAGGTGGATATCAACATAATCGCTGGTGCAATCGCGCGAGTGCTGCAATGTTACCAGAACTCTGGATTTGCGCTGGGCGGTCCACGGTTCCAACCTTCTAAGGTTGGAATGATAGTCTAATTTCACATCAGAGTTTCGTCTAAAATAATGATAACACAAATATATTTCCACTTCTTATTCTAATTCCAATGCGGAGTATTGGCCTTCGCCTCATCCGATGGGAAACTTCATCAAAACCTATGAACGTAATCATCTCAACCTTGGAACCCACCGGGTGTGAACCGAAATATATAGAGGCAACAACAACGGCCCCGGGGCAAAAATGCGTCAAAATCACTATACCTTGAAGCTACTAAATGAACAATCTGATAAAAACATACACATAAAAGTCAGTACTGGCCCAAAGGTACTTTTGAAAATCTGGCGTGTTTGAAGTATGCAAGATGAGAACAAGGAGAGGAATAATCCCCGGGCCCTAATCCCCGAGACTACTAAACTGAAGCGGGGCGGAGCCTGATCCCCCTCGCTAGGACACAGGTTTTCCAATGTTCCCACCACCCACAAGGGATATATTGAATGTCAGCATTCGTGATATGGGCTTCCACGCGGTCAGCCTTGCGGTGCCGACTGTCCCAGCTGCTGCAGTCTATTAGGGCTGGGTCATGCCATTTCCGAGTAAGCCGCGTAATTAAAACACCCCCGGGCGGATACCACGAAACTTGGTAAATTACGGTACCGGGTGAGCTGAGCTCTACTCCGTAATGTCCGTAAGCTCCACCAGGTACGGAAAATTTACCACTCGCATTGGCGTAATGCACGGTGGTACTAGCGCCGTTAGCAGTATTTGGTTAAATACAGAAATGAAACGTGAGCCAATACATGTATCAAGACTCATCCCAGTAGTTACCGGTCTTCATACATGACAGCCACAATGACTGTATCAAGTTGACCATCGTGTCGGGACAAGATGGGGGCGGTTCATTTCGGTCACGGCGAGTTTCAATCACACTAATGCAAGGTAAATGGAACTAAGGAAAAGTAATACCGGAAGGCATGGAAGAACAAGCGACCACGAGGTTGGAGATAGACTGATTGATGCTTACGAAACTTAATCAATGCTTTTTTTTTTTTTTTTATACATCGCGTGCCGAGACAGACCAGACTTTACACCGGCCAAACCAGTGACAAAATCTGTTGCTGTTTCCGAACATTCTGAGGCCGACCGAAATCACGAACTCAGTAACCATGAGCAACATGGACGAACTCGAGGCAATGGAGTGCAAGTTTCCTGCCTTGCTTCCGGAGCAGGGCGAAGAATTAAACATCGCCAATGCGCAAGTTTCGATTGAATTGCCATCAACAGACTTTCAGTCATGGCTACACGACTTCTGTGGCACTGAGGATGTTTCTGTGCCCGACGTTTTCCTTGCCTTATGGGGCCTAATTTTGAAAACATTCACGGGACATGGAGCTGTCTGCGCAGGCTCGGTGTTCAAAAATGAACTCCTTGAGCTGGTATCCGCAGAGGTAGATGAACAAGCTACAATGATCGAATTGATTCGGTCATTGGCGAAAGGAAAGAGAACTATTCAAGACATCACATTGGAGTTGCCCTGCAATTCGGCCGTCTCCTTTGCGAATACCAAGGAAGAAATTCCCGATATTTTGAATAAGGTAAGCGAAGTTAAAAAATCATGTGTTATGTTGTATACTGATTGTGTGTTAGTTTCAAATTTCATTGTTAGTTGTGGATGGACAGGATGAGATGGAAATTTCTCTCCTTCACCAAAAAAGTCACATTGCACCATCTTTTGCAAAGCATGTTGCAAACACAGTCAGCGAGCTACTTTCTCAGCTCAAATTTGACCCTAAGCGAGAAATCTCGCAGTTCAACCTCATTCACGTTGAAACCGAGAGACAACTACAGACCTGGGGTACTAATCTTCCAAAGCCAGTGGAAGATTGTGTGGGTCCTCTCTTTGAAGAGACAATTCGACAGAGACCACTGAATGAGGCAGTGCGGACAGCTGAAGTTGTCTTGACGTATCAAGATCTGGATCGTCTGACTAAACTACTCGCCATCCACCTACAGAGCCTTGGGGTAGGCCCCGAAAAAGTGGTGATTTTGTGCTTCCCAAAATGTGCTTGGGCTATTGTGGCCATGATGGCCGTTATTCGTGCTGGTGGTGCCATATTGTTCTTGGATCCTTCGCATCCGACAGCGCGACACCAGGAGATCGCGGACCAAGTGAAGACCAAATGGATTCTTACCACGTCAGAGCACGCTCCTAACATGGAATGGTTCGACGGAGAGGTTCTGTGTATCAATCCTGCTTTCTTGGAGTCACTGGAATCGAGTACTCAAGAAAGCCATCTGGCATCAACAGCCACCCCTTCAAACACACTGTACATTATTTTCACCTCTGGATCGACGGGCAAGCCGAAAGGCTGCGTGATCGAGCATCAACAATTCCTCACCGGGTCTCGCGCGCAGCAGAAAGCATCAGGAATGGATTCCACAGATCGAGTGATGCAACTGGCATCATTCACATTCGACGTCAGTATCCTGGAGATAATAACCTCACTCATCTCGGGTGCTTGTGTGTGCATTCCAAACGACCAGGAGCGATCGCAAGGGCCTGCCTTCTGCATCCAGAGTTTCGAAATCACCTGGGCATTCCTTACACCCTCTTTGGTAAAGTCAATGAATCCAAGTCAAGTTCCTACCCTCAAATTTCTGGTTCTGGGTGGCGAGGCAGTCTTGGAAGAGAACATCAAGGTCTGGGCACCCCACGTGCGTCTGGCGAACGGTTATGGTCCTTCCGAGGCATCTATTGCAGCTACAGCCAATGTTCCCCTGTCTCTGAACACAAACCCAATGAACATTGGCCACCCACTGGGAGGATCGTGCTGGATTGTGAAAGCCGATGACCACGATGCGCTCGTTCCGGTGGGAGCGCCTGGCGAGTTAGTGATCCAGGGCCCAATTGTTGCTAGGGGGTATTTCCACGAGCCTGAAAAGACCAAGGCGGTTTTCCTGGACACCGCCAAGTGGTCGAAAGTCACTCCTACGCCGTTCTCACGAATGTATAAGACGGGTGATCTGGCCCGCTTCAATGAAGACGGTAGCGTGCACTTCATTGGACGAAAGGACAATCAGGTCAAGCTACGTGGTCTTCGAATCGAATTGGGGGAGATCGAACACCGCATTGCCGCTCATCCAATTGTTAGACAAGTCTCCGTTATACTCGCGAGGACTGGCCCTTGTCAGGCCAAGCTGACGGCTGTGGTTTCCCTGAAAGAGCTCGAACGCGACGGACGCGCGCTTCAGTTGCTCACGGACGATGACTACCGCATCGCGAAAGAACATCTTGATGCCGTGGAGGAAGTTGTCTCGAAGCAGCTACCAGGTTACATGATGCCAACGGTCTGGGTACCAGTTTGGTCGATCCCATTGACCGTCTCCGGAAAGCAGAACGGAGTGGCGGTAGCCAGATTCGTCCAAGATATGTTTGTGGAGACACACGACCTTCTCATGGGCAAGAACAGTGGAGTTGAGAGAGTTGGCCCGTCCAACGATCGCGAGCGTCAAATTGAAGAACTTGGCTGCGAGCTTCTGGGTCTGGAAAAGCCCGAAGACCTCTGGTTGAACAAATCCTGGATTCAGAATGGTGGTGACTCAATCAAGGCGACGCAACTACTCGACAGATTGCGTCGCCAGGGACTTTCTGTTGTCTTCGAAGATATCATGCAAAGCGAAACCTTGATCGAAATCGCCGAAACGATTGAGAGCCGAGGTCTAGTTATCCCTCTTACCACTGAGGCAGTCCGAACGTATTCGCCTGCTTTGGACCAAGAGCGCCTGTCGAAGGTCGGCCTGGATGTCCACTCAGTCCAGGATGTGTATGGACTATCGTCTGTACAGCGAGGAATCCTCCTTAGCCAGGAGCAAGACCCCGAAAGCTACCAGCTTCGCATCACCTGTGAGGTGCTCTCCCGCCAAGGAGTTGAGATTGACGATCAGCGCTTGTTCGATGCCTGGAGACATGTCACTGGCCGCCATCCCGCACTGCGCACGATCATGGTCGAGACTGAGACTGAAGATGGACTCTTCGACCAGCTCGTTCTCAAACAGAGCAAGCCACAAGTGATAGAATGGAACGTCGACAACGAAGAGGCCTTCTGGCAGGCGCATGATAAGTTCACTCGAACAGACACTGCCCTCGAACCGCCAGTAGTGTTTGTGGTCTCCACCACAGGCGACGGCAAACGGTTTATCACCATTGACATCAGTCATGCCCTTGTCGACGGAGTGTCCATTCTGATCTTGCTTCGCGACCTCTGTCAAGCATATGAGGGCAATCTACCCAAAGACCGCGAGGTCAAGTACTCCTCATACATCGACTACATCCAGCAGCTTTCTGTTGATTCTTCATTGGAGTATTGGACCAAGCATCTGGAAGCCGCGTCCCCCTGTCACATGCCTATTCTCAACGACGATGTGGCCCTTGGAGGTCAGCCAGGCGAGGTCAAAATGGATATTGAGGGTGTGGATGCGCTGTACGAGCTATGCGCTGCCCACAACTTCACACCCGCCACCGTGTTCCAGGCAGCATGGGCATTGGTCCTTCAGGCCTACACAGGACAAGACGATGTCTCGTTCGGATACCTCACTGCAGGACGTGAGATGCCTGTGTCCGAGATCAGTGAGGCAGTCGGTGTTTTCATCAACATGATGATCTACCGGATGCAGCTGTCACCTGAAGCAACAATCGCCTCGATCGCAAAGAAAACTCAGCAAAGCTTCTTAAGAGGTCTTCCCCACCAGCACTGCTCCGTTGCGGAGATTCAACATGCGCTTGGCACTTCGAAACCATTGTTCAACACAATTATGTCACTCCAGAGTGCCCTGGGTGAAGATATCTTTAGTGGCGAAGGCAAAAACGACATAGGATTCAGAGTTGTCGGAGAACAGGATCCCACAGAAGTAAGACTGGATTTTTGGGTGCACTCATCTTGGTGGATCAGTTTTGCTAACTTGTTTCAGTATGATGTTTCCGTCAACATTTTCGTCTCCCAGGCACGGGTTTCAGTGACACTTCGCCATTCCCGCGCAACTCTCAGCGAGGGCATGGCCGAGAATGTTTTGGCCACATTCCGCCAATCTATCAATACTGTGATCCATAGCCATACTTCCAAGCTGGCTGATTTGACCATGCTGAGTGAGCGTGATCAAACTCAAATTGCAGGTTGGAACAGCAAGGAATGGGATGACCTTGAAGTCTGCGTACATGACTTGATTTCGAAACAAGTCGCCATACGCCCACAAGCAGTTGCCATTGATGCCTGGGATGGAAGCTTCACTTACCAGGAACTGGACGCTATCACCAACCGTCTGGCGGCACTGCTGATTGGAAAAGGCGTTGGGCCAGAGGTCTTTGTGCCGATCGGCTTTTCTAAATCGCGTTGGACAGTCGTTGCTCAGTTGGCCACATTGAAGGCAGGCGGAGCATGTGTTGCCTTTGACCCCGAGCACCCGCGCAGCAGACGTGAGCAGATGGTTGAGCAATGTGAGGCCATCACGGCTATTGTTGCAGAGGGCTACGAATCGCTGTTTGAAGGACTGGTACAGAATGTGTTCGTTCTTGGGCCGAATACAATCGATGCATTGCTCCAGGGCCAGTCCACGCATGAAGGTCAATCCCCTGCCTCTGCAGTCACGCCCTCCAATCCTGCCTTCGTTGTGTTCACGTCCGGATCAACTGGGCGACCCAAGGGTATCTGCTTGGAGCATCACGCAGTCTGCAGCAGTGCCATGGCTCACGGCCCTGCGATGAACTATCCGGAATCTCGGGTTTTGCAGTTCGCATCGTACACTTTCGATGTCAGTATTGGTGAGACCTTTACTTGCTTGATGAGCGGTGGCACGTTGTGTATTCCTAGCGAGGAAGAGCGGATGAACGATCTGGCGGGTGTCATCAACCGAATGAACGCAAAGGTCGTGTACTTGACCCCCTCCGTCGTGAGCCTGCTGCATCCCTCCGAAGTTCCTGGAATCTCCACCTTGGCGTTGGGCGGTGAGGCCGTGCGAGAAGACAACATCACCACCTGGGCCAATCACACCAACCTTGTCAATATCTATGGCCCGGCCGAATGCTCAGTTTGGAGTACTGGACTACAGAATGTCCCAGCGTCTGCTTCGCCCCGCAACATTGGATATGGACTTGGTGCGCGGATGTGGATCACCGAGGCCGAAAATCCGAACAAGCTTTGCTCCGTGGGTGCAGTCGGCGAGCTTTTGATTGAAGGCCCAATCGTTGCCAGAGGTTATCTGAAAGACGAGGAAAAGACCAAGGCGGCATTCATTGATCCCCCTGCGTGGTTGTCGCGTTATCAAACACGCGACGTGTCCGGAGAAACCTCGGCCCGACAGGTTAAGCTTTACCGGACGGGCGATCTTGCCCGCTACAACTCCGATGGATCCTGCCATTTCATTGGTCGTCGTGATCACCAAGTCAAGCTCCATGGCCAACGCGTGGAGATGGGCGAGATTGACCGGACCATGCTCATGCATGAGCTGGTCCAGAATGCCTTGGCTTTGGTCCCCACGAAGGGCAAATTGGCTGGCAAGCTAGTTGCAGTTCTAAGCTTGAATGACCAAGTTCATGCCCTAGGTAAGACTGGGATCGAGTTGCGAGTGGATTCGCAACTCGATATATCGCCATTGCAAGAATGGCTTGCAACACGTCTACCTTCCTACATGATACCCCACACCTGGCTTGTCGTGCACTCCATTCCTGTGACCCGAAACGGTAAGTCAGACCGCACGTCGGTTGTTGAATGGGTTCAAGAGTTGGAGCAGGTAGTGGGCAACGTGGAGCAAACCGAGTCCTCCAATGTCGACAACTTGCCAGTCAACAAGATGGAAACAGACGTGAGGGAGATTGTTAGCTCGGTGCTCAACATCCCCGAGGCACAAGTATTGATGACCGCGTCGTTCCTGTCTTTGGGAGGAGACAGTATCACTGCTATGCAAACTGCATCCCGATCCAGGGCTCGTGGCATTCAATGTCCCGTGAAGAGCATCTTGAAAAGCAAGTCTATCCGCCAGATTGCGAAAGAAGCAACAGTCATCACAAACTCCGCCCATTTGTCCAAGACCGGTGGACAAGCTTTCCGTCTCTTGCCCAACATGCTTCCGTCCGACCTTGATTCACATGTGAAGACTCTGGGATACGCAGGCGTGTCCGACATCGAGGACGCGTACTTTTGCTCGCCAATGCAAGAGGGTATCCTGATAAGTCAGGCCCAGGCCCCGGAGACATACAAATTCTCCGCTGTTTGTGCCATCCGTGCTGTGGATGCATCACAGCCACTCAGTCTCGATAAGCTCATCCAAGCATGGGCTCGTGTCGTGGCGAGCCATCCCGTTTTGCGTACTTTCTTCGTTGAAGGACTTTCAGGGGATGCTTTGTACAGTCAGATTGTACTGAAAGAGTATGCGCCACGGGTCGAAAAAGCGGCGAGCCTCGAGAGCTTGCTTCGATATGATCAGGAATACCCCGTCGGCTACAACCAGCCCATTCCCCCGCACCGCATCACTGTTTTCGAGGACAAAGATGCTTTGTACTTCAATCTGGAGCTCAGTCATACTTTGATTGACGGCGCATCGATGCCCATCCTCCTCGGTGACATCAGAGCAGCTTACGATAATACCATTCCCGCGGGGCCCTTGTACAGTGACTATATCGCTTTCTGGCAACGTCAGTCGCGCGAGCAAACCACCTCATTCTGGACGAAGTACTTGAACAACATGCAGCCAGCCATGTTCCCCGCGCTTTTGGACAACGCGGCCCCCGAAAAGGAGCTGCGGGTGGTCAAGCTGCCAGTAACCGACATGATCTCCAAACTTCAGTCATTCTGCAAAGATAATGAGTTAACCATTGCCAATGTGTTCCAGGCCGCATGGGCACTCGTGTTGCGGTTATACACCAGGAACACAGATGTTTCCTTCGGTTATCTTTCATCTGGGCGCGATGCTGATGACCTTGATTTGGACCATGCCGTGGGTCCATTCATTAACATGCTTCCCTGTCGCATCGAAGTCAATGACTCTTCGAGGCTAATCGACATTGTCCGCAAAATTAACGATGATTTCCTCGAGTCTTTGCCGTACCAGCATACTTCTTTGGCAGAGGTCCAGCATCACTTGCGCCTCTCCGGAGAACGTCTCTTTAACACCACTCTGTCTTTGCAACGATCCATGATTGAATCAGATGAAAGGAGTAGCAGTATCTCCGTGGAGTATTTGGCGGGCGCTGACCCCACGGAATACGATCTCAGTGTGAGCATCACCGTTGGCGAAGCTGATATTGATGTCGACATCAACTACTGGACCACTTTCCTGTCCGACGAGAAAGCCGAAATGCTGGGGTCGACATTCAAGTCCATTCTTGCCAACTTGCTTGCTTCACCGACCAAAGAACTCCGAGACTTTGACTTGCTTGGAGACCAGCAACACCACCACCTGATGTCTTTGAACAATCATGGTGTCGTTCCCGAGGCTATTTCCAGTTGCATTCATGATGAAGTGGGCCGGCAAGCCTTGGAAAATCCATCCGCACCGGCTGTCGAGTCGTGGGATGCGTCATTCACATACTCGGAGTTGAATGAACTATCCGAAAGACTCGCATGCAGACTTGCCAACATCGGTATCGGGCCGGAGAAAGTAGTTGCTCTTTGCTTCGACAAATCTGCATGGACTGTCGTGGCAATGTTGGCAGTACTCAAAGCTGGCGGTGCCTATACTTCGATGGGTCCGACTCACCCAAGGTCGCATCTCGAACAAGTCATCCTGGCCACCAATTGCCGTGTCATTCTTGCTGGATCTGAAGCATATGGAGCTTTGGTTGGAGACTTGGTGGACCATGTCATAGTCGTCGCACCCGAACTCTTTTCTACGTTGCCTGTAGGTGACCTGGGGGTCGTTGAAAAGGCAAGCCCAGACAACGCTGCCATGATCAACTTTACGTCCGGCAGTACAGGGAAACCAAAGGGTATAGTTGTTCGGCACAGTGGTGTTTGCTCACTGGTGCATCACAATTCTGACATGGGAATCGACAACTCCTCGCGTGTGCTTCAGTTCTCTGCTTACACATTCGATACCAGCAACGGTGAGATATTCTTGGCCTTGTGTGTTGGAGGATGTGTTTGTATCCCCTCAGATGACGAACGTCTCAACGACCTGGCCGGTGCAATGACTCGAATGAGCGTTACGTTTGCCTTCCTCACCCCTTCCCTGACACTCACGCTCTCACCAAAGGCAGTTCCAACACTGAGGACATTGGGTCTTGTCGGTGAGGCTGTGCCTAACGACCTTCCCGGTAAATGGACGGAACATCTGCGTGTGATCAATTCATACGGACCGGCTGAGACCACTGTGAGCCACCGATCTCCTGACCATATTGTGATATGCTACTAACGAGTTCTAGGTCATGGCCTCCTTTGCGAACTCGGCAGGCTCCATGCCGGCAAATAGTATTGGACTGGCCCATGGGTGCCTCTTCTGGGTCACCGACCCTGCAGACAGTCAACGGCTAGTCCCGGCGGGCTGCGCCGGCGAGTTATTGATCGAGGGCCCTATCGTGACGCGCGGATATTTAGATCCAAAGCTGACTTCCAAGGCCTTTATTGAACCTCCAAGGTGGAGGGGCGCAGTCAACGAGGGAACGCGATTATACAGAACCGGAGATCTTGTCAGGCTTTTGGAGGATGGCAACATGTTGTTCCTCGGACGTGCTGACGGACAGATCAAGCTTAACGGACAACGTGTGCCCACCTGGGACATTGAAGAAGAGATCGGCCGACACCCCTCTGTCCTTCAGACGACGCTTGTTTTCCCCAGCCATGGTCCGTGCAAGAAGAAGCTTGTGGCTTTGGTAGCACCGAAGAATGAGATCGCCAATCAGTCCATCTCTCTCGAGGGTATCATTCCATTCAGAAAAGACACCGACAAGGATCAGGCTATCGAGCAAATCGCATCCATCCGTCAGCGACTCGCAGAAATCTTCCCAGGTTACATGGTACCTTCTGTTTGGTTACTGTGTCACAGCCTTCCATTGACACTGTCACGAAAGCTTGACAGGCGTCAGATCAAGGGATGGGTCGAAGAAATGAATCAGGAAATTTACTTTGAAGCACTGGCTGAGAAGGAAGAAGAGGCCGATTCCACAGAAGCTCCCAAATCCGATGCCGCAGAGCACCTGCAGGCGATCGTTGGACGAGTTCTGAATTTACCTTCCAGCAAGGTCTCTCTCCAATCATCTTTCTTCAAGCTCGGAGGTGACTCGATCACTGCGATGCAGCTGGTCGTCAAATGCCGAAATGAGGGCCTCAAGCTTCTCTTCAAGGATGTGATGCGCAGTACTAGCATTGCATCTTTGGTCGACCTTCTGCAAACCGTCGATGGCAGCAATATATACCAACAGTCCGATCGATTCGACGTTCCATTTGACCTTACTCCAATTCAGCAGTTCTACTTCCAAAACATCTCTCAGGGAAGCCAGGATGCTGCGGCAAATCAGTTCAATCAGAGTTTCCTCTTCCGCCTGTCCGGTGACTTGCCAGTGGCCCAGTTAAGAGACGCAGTCGATAAAGTCGTCCAGCGTCACTCAATGCTTCGCGCTCGATTCCGCCAGTCGCGCGATTCCCAATGGAAGCAAATACTGATTGCTCACAGCACCTCAGCGTATCGTTTCAGAGAACATGCGGTTGAGAGTGAAGAAAACGCTCTGATCTTGGCACAGCACGCGCAAGAGGAGCTTGATATTCAGATGGGCCCTGTGTTCTCCGCCGAGCACTTTACCATCCCAGGACAGAAACCTCTCTTCTTCCTCGTCGCTCATCACCTGGTCATTGATCTGGTTTCTTGGAGAATTATTTTCCAAGAACTAGAAGACTCCATCGCCGGGGAAATCTCTCAAGCCCCTCCATTCTCCTTCCAACAGTGGCAGCAATTGCAACGACAATACGCTGCGGAGAATCTTCCACCAAACAAAGCTCTGCCTTATACTATTCCCAAAGCGGACTATGGCTACTGGGGAATGGAAGATGTTCCCAACTTTGCTGGTGACACGCAACAACTCAATACTGTTCTGCCATCACAGGAGAGTGAAGCCTTGCTCACCGGTTGTCATCAGGCAATGAAAACAGAGCCTTTGGATATCCTCATCGCTGCTTTGTTCACATCCTATGCGAAAACATTCCAGAGAGCACCACCTGCAGTGTTCAACGAAGGCCATGGCCGCGAGCCGTGGACTAGTGAGATTGATCTGTCCGACTCGGTCGGTTGGTTTACCACCGTTTTCCCCTTCCATGTATCCGGAATGGACGCAAGCACAGCTCCCGCAGATGTTGTTCGTGGCGTCAAAGACCAGAGGCGCAACCTTCCAGCAAATGGTTGGTCGTATTTCACATCGCGGTTCCTCAACGAGCAAGGTATCAAAACCTTCGCCGACCACATGCCCGTTGAAATCGTGTTCAACTATCTCGGACTGTACCAAGGTCTCGAGCGATCTGACGGCATCTTCAATCTCGTTCCGTTCAACAAGGGAGATGTGGGACCATCCGTGCGACGCTATGCTCTGTTTGAGATCAATGTCTACGTGATCAATGGATGTACCCATATTTCTTTCACATTCAATCGCCAAATGCAGCATGTCAATCGTATCCACCAGTGGATCGAGAATTACACTGCTGCTCTCAAGGACATCTCAACGAGCCTGACTCGCACGGAAGTGACACTCACTCGGAGTGACTATCCTCTTCTCGACATCTCTTACCCGGAGTTGGACAAGCTGCAGAGCTCGAGACTACCAGACCTCAAGTTGAGCCTCGATGACATTGAGGATCTCTACCCCTGCTCGCCACTTCAAGAGGGTATCTTACTCAGCCAGCTTCGTCTTGAAGATGCTTATCTCTACCACGCTATAATGCGAATCGACCCATGCGAAGGTCGTCCTCTCGACGCTGCACGCCTTTCTTCAGCATGGCAAGATGTGGTTGATCGCCACACAATTCTGCGGACTGTGTTCCTCAAGGGAATCTCACAGCGACCATTTGATCAGATGGTTCTCCGGAACCATCGCCCAACTACGCGAATTGTTCAGGCCGAGTCCGCGGCTGAGGCTTTGAGCCTGCTCCAGTCCTATGAGCCCTTGTCATCCTCGACTTCGAAGCCCCCTCATCGCCTGGTCGTGGTGCAATGTGCTGAAGGATCACTCTATTTCCGGCTCGATATCAGTCATGCCTTGATGGATGGAACTGCGATGTCTGTCTTGATCAACGATCTCGTCTCTGCATATGGCAACCAGCTCTCATCCTCGCCGGCCATTCCATACAGTGACTACATTGCTTATATCCAATCCCAGCCAGCTGCGGAAGGGTTGGATTTCTGGTCCAATCACCTGCACGATGTGCGACCCTGTCACTTCCCTGCGCTAGGAGTCTCAGGCGAGGTGAAAGAGGAGATGAAGACTGTTGATGTTATTGTCCCTGACAATAAGCAAGTTCGTGCGTTCTGTCAAGAGAACAATATCACGCTGGCAAATGTCATTCGTTTGGCATGGTCCTTGGTCCTTCAGGCATACTCGGGCGAAGACCAGGTCAGCTTTGGATATCTTACGGCAGGAAGAGAAATCCCTATCGAAGGATTGGAGACTGCAGTTGGTCCGTTCATCAATATGCTGGTTTGTACGACCAACCTGGCGCAAGTCGGCAGCAAAACTATCACCTCTGAGTTGCATGATCTACACCATGAATATATTAACATGCTTCCACACCAACATGTCGGCTTGGCGGAAGTCCACCATGCCTTGGGAGTGACAGGAAAGCCATTATTCAACACAGTTGTCAGTTTCCAGCGCCGGGATCTCGCAAGTCTGGTGATGGGTGATTTACAGATGACATATCTTGAAGGACAAGATCCTACAGAGGTAAGTTTTTTTTTTTTTGACAATGCGGAGTGTTTGCATGACTAACAAATTATTTTCTTCATAGTATGATATCACTGTGAATGTCGCAGACACCGACTCCAACGGATTTACGGTCGATCTAGGCTATCTCACTTCTCGACTGTCTCCAGAATATGCAGTCCAGGTCTCTGGAGCTTTGTCCGCTGCATTTGATTGGATCATTTCCAATTCCTCTACCACTGTGAACTCTGTTAACCTTTTCAGCGAATCGGCCAAAGACCAGGTCCTCAAGTGGAATTCTTCCATGCCCCCAGCAGTCAATGAGCCTTTGCACGCGCTCTTTGAAAGAAATGCAAAGGCCTTGCCAAACGCACCAGCGATTACTTCCTGGGATGGAGTGATGACTTATTCGCAACTAGAACGCAAAGTTGCTCAGCTCGCCCAAGTTCTTGTCGACATGGGTGTCAAACACAATGATCTAGTTCCAATCTGCTTTGACAAGTCATCTTGGGCAATCATCTCCATGCTTGCGATTATGAAGGCCGGTGCCGGATTTATTCCCTTGGATCCTTCTAGCCCGGCAACTCGCCTGGAGTTGATCATTCAGCAGACATCGTCTTCCTTGGTGCTGGTTGCTCAAGAAAAGGTGCATTTGATTACTGGGTTGGTACCAAATGTCCTCGTGGTTTCTGAATCTATCGATGCATGGAATCATGAGGTGTCAAGTATATCCTCTAGCCCCGTTTCTCCCGACAGCGTGGCATACGTGTTGTTTACCTCAGGTTCAACTGGTACCCCGAAGGGCGTCGTAATGGAACATGCAGCTGTCAGCACCAGTGTCACTCATCATGGACAACTGATCGGGTGTAGCTCTGCCACTCGGATGTTCCAATTCGCAGCATTCACCTTCGATGCTTGTATTCTCGAGATCTTCACAACTCTGACTTACGGCGGCTGCATCTGTCTTCCATCTGATGGCGAACGAATGAGTGATATTGCTGGCTCAATCAATCGAATGGAAGCCAATACCTCTTTCCTGACCCCGTCGGTGGTGCGTCTTCTTCAACCAAAGCAGGTTCCTACTCTCAAGACTCTCATTCTTGGTGGAGAAGCCTTGCATGAAGATAACATTCACGCTTGGGCCGACAGCCTACGTCTCATGAATGGATACGGGCCTACTGAGACATGTGTGGTAAGTAACCTTTCACTCTACTATTGCAAATATATACTGATAGTACACTTAGTTCGCGGTTATGAAAACTTTCGAAGGCAACAATGACCAGTGTGATAATCTGGGTCATGCTGTGAGCTCCGTTGCCTGGATTGCTCGCCCGAACAACCACGATCAGTTAGCCCCTGTTGGTGCTATAGGTGAGCTTTTGATTCAGGGCCATACTTTGGCGAGGGGATATCTCCACGACCAAGAAAAGACCGATCAAGCTTTCATTCGCAATCCTGGCTTCTATCCCACAGTGGATGGCTCTGTTCAACGATTCTACAAGACCGGCGATTTAGTTCGTTACAAAATCGATGGCTCGATTACATACTTGGGCCGAAGAGACACACAGATCAAGCTCCGTGGTCAAAGAATTGAGTTGTCGGAGATCGAGCATCAAATTCAGCGTCATCTGAGCGCTGATCAACAGATTGCAGTTGAAGTTGTGCTCCCCCACGGAGAAAAAGAGCAAGCTCTTCTCGCTGTGTTTATTTTCAAGCCTTTGAGGCTGGCGGGCACCGAGCTCCTGGCGGAAATCAGCTTGGAGACGAAAGACTTGATCAAAGACCTCAAGGCTCATCTTGCGAAGGTCCTGCCGTCATACATGCAACCGTCACTCTACATTCCCACGAACTGGATGCCGACAACTTCTGCTCAAAAGCTTGATAGAAAGCTGCTCCGAGACGCAGTGTCTGCTTTGAGTGACGCGAAATTGAAGAGCTATTCGCTGCGTGAAGACAGTCGCCGGCTACCGCACACTGTTCTGGAGAAGAAGGTTCAAGAACAATGGCATCGCATCCTGAATGTCCCCATGGAAGGTATCCGAGCCGATGACAACTTCTTCAGGATTGGTGGTGATTCTCTCTCGGCAATGAAAATGGCTGCTACCTCGCCCGAGAACTTCCCTGTCACCGTCGTCGATATCTTCCAGCATCCCGTGCTCTCCGATTTGGCCGCCGCATTGGCCGCCAAAGCACCCAAAGACGACCAAGCTATTGTCTCTCTCCAGCCCTTTGAGTTGCTGAACTCCACTCCAGACATCTCTGAATTCTTAAGTGATATCAGCAGCCAATATTCACTTCCAAAGGACGCGATTGAAGACGTGTTCCCCGCAAGTCCCCTCCAAGAGGGCATGATTGCCATCTCGATGATCAATCCCAAGGCTTACATGCTGCGAAAGGTTTTCAAAATGGGTCCAGCTCTTGATGCTCATCGCTTCCAATCAGCCTGGGAAATGGTCATCCAGAAGAACCAGACGTTGCGCACGCGCTTTGTGCCAACATCTGATGCAGGATTTGTACAAGTTGTCCTGAAAGACAGTATCAAGTGGAGGAATGCAGTGAATTTAGAGAAATACCTGGAGCAGGACTTGAATGAAGGACTAGTCTACGGAGCCCCGCCTTTGCGCTTTGCTCTTACTGAAGACCGTCACTTCATTTTCTCCGCGCACCATGCCACTTACGATGGTTGGTCTCTTCCACTGATCCTGAATCAGGTCAATTCCGCCTACAAACATGGTCACTGCCCCGATACTGCTCCATTCAACACATTCATCAAGCATTTGCAGTCCACAGATGCCCAGTCGTCGCAATCTTACTGGGCAGACCAACTTTCTGGTCCCAGACCTACCACATTCCCTGAATTGCCTTCGCCATCCTACCGCCCGTCCGTTCGAGGCACAGTGCAGCATCAAATCTCTATGTCCAATGTCGCAAATTCCGACATTCTGAAGGCCACCATTCTCCGAGCTGCCTGGGGACTTCTTCTCGCCCGGTACACAGATAGCGAGGATGTTCTGTTTGGAATGACCCTTTCTGGTCGCAACAGTGCGGTCTCTGGTATTGACGCCATGATCGGTCCGACTATTACAACTGTGCCTGTGAGAATGACTATGACACCGAAACTCTCAATCAGTGAGTTCTTGGCTCAGGTTCAGCAACAATCGACAAACATGATCCCACATGAGCACTTTGGGTTGCAGAATATTGCTGGCATCAACTTGGATTGCTCCCGAGCAGTGGAATTCCAAAATCTGTTTGTCATTCAACCCGTCTCAGACACCTCGTCAACGGGTGATCTCCTGCCCGGATTGGAGGAGGTTGAGCTGCCGCTCGAAGACTTCGATAGCTACCCCTTGGTTGTCGAGTGCTTTGTAGCGGACGACAAAGTTATCATTGAAGCCCGCCATGACGAAAATGTCCTCTCAAGCTGGCGGTTGAAGGCCATGATGCACCACTTCGAGCATATTTTGGAACAGTTCACCGAACCCACCAATCTCGAGTCTCAGGTGGCTTCCGTTGAGCTCTTCGGTGATAAAGACATGGACCAAATCATTGAATGGAACCGCGAGTTCCCAGAAACCGTTGAGTCGACTGTGCCAGTTATCTTTGCTGACCAAGTCTCTCAGCGGCCGGACGCGTTGGCTATCGACGCTTGGGACGGCCAGCTGACCTACGGTGAACTCGATCAGCTCTCGACAACTCTCGCTCGCCACCTCGTCTCCCTTGGGGTAGTCCCCGAGGCTCTGGTTCCTATGTGTTTTGACAAATCCAGATGGGCTGTTGTCGCACAAATGGCCGTCATGAAGGCCGGTGGTGCTTGTGTCAATCTTGACCCTGCCCATCCTCAAGCTCGTCTCGAGACCATTGTCAAAGATGCCCAGGCGACAGTCCTTCTTACAAATCCCCGTCACTCGGCAATTCTCGCAAATTCTGTTTCTTTGAAGACTGTGACGGTGACAGAGGACTTCATATCCAGTCTCCAAAACTTAGACTTTGACCTACCATCGCTCCACCCTCGGAACGCGGCATATGTTCTCTTTACATCCGGGTCAACCGGCAAGCCCAAGGGTATTGTCATTTCCCATGGCTCTCTTTGCTCAAGCTCAAAGGCCCATGGAACGCGTTGGGAGATTGGTCCAGGAACCCGACTTTTGCAGTTTGCTGCATACACGTTCGATGTTAGCTGTGCAGACATCTTCACAACATTGCAACGCGGCGGATGCATCTGTGTGCCGTCTGATGAACAGCGCCTGAATGATCTGTCTGGTGCAATCAACGATTTCCAGTGTAATTGGGCGTTTATGACACCCACTGTCGCCGCTCTACTGCCAACAAATATTCCCTCCTTGAAGAAGCTTGTTCTTGGAGGTGAGGCATCCACACGCGACATCATTTCCAAATGGCACAATGTTCTTGATCTCATTGTATGCTACGGCCCAGCTGAGACAACCGTCTATTGCAGCGGTGCACCACCGGCTACTGCAACGAGTGACCCAGCGAACCTTGGTCCATCAATCGGAGCCCTCTATTGGATCGCTGATCCTCAGGACCCCAACCGCCTGACGCCCTTAGGATGTGTTGGAGAGCTCCTTCTGGAGGGACCAACTCTCGCGCGTGAATATCTTCACGATGCTGAAAAGACAGCGAAATCATTTGTGTCGAACCCTGTCTGGGCGATCCGCCCTGACTCCCGGTTCTACCGCACGGGCGATCTAGTACGCTGGAATTCCGATGGCACAATCCGATTTGTCGGGCGCAAAGACACTCAGGTCAAGGTCCGTGGTCAGCGTGTGGAGCTAGGTGAAATCGAACATGCTGTTCGACTGGCAATGCCTACCCTCGCCCACGTAAGTGTAGATGCAGTACAGGATCCAACCCACTCCCGGCAGATTGTGGTAGCCTACCTACACTACAGCAACCGCAGTGGTCCTGTTGAAATCAAGGACATGTCTGATGACCTCCGCGAGGAGCTGGCAGTGTTGCAACAGACCCTCAGTCAGCAACTCCCCTCGTATATGGTCCCGTCCATGTTCATTCCTCTCTCTCGCGTGCCCCTGACTATGAATGGCAAGTCTGACCGTCGCCAACTGCGCGAGCTTGTAACATCCCTTTCGAGAGAGGATTTCTTGACTTTTTCGCTGGCCAGCAGTCTCAAGGTCGAACCCACCACACCCATGGAACTGCAACTCCGTGGTTTATGGGCCAAGGTTCTGCATGTTGAAGAAGATACTTTGGGCAAGAACCACCACTTCCTCCGCTCTGGAGGTGATTCTATCAGCGCCATGAAGCTGACCAGCCATGCCCGATCTGCTGGTCTGACTTTGACAGTCCAGGACATCTTCCAATCCCCAGTCCTAGAGGACATGGCCGCTGCTATCTTCAAGAAATCAGTGAAAGCGGCCACTCAGAGCTCGCTGCTGCCTTATGCTCCCTTCTCCTTCGTCGAAGGAATCAATAACATTCTTCCATCGGTAGCCGCAGCTACAAGAACACCCATTGACAACATTGAGGATGTGCTTCCGGCATCAGACTTCCAGTCCTCTGCAATTGCCCACTCTATGCTGAAGACCCATGGCATGGTCAATTACCTCTTCCTTGACGGCGAAGGCGAGGTCCCATGGACTCTTGCCTATGTTCAAACAGCATGGAATCTCTTCCTCCAAACCCATGCAATCCTCCGGACTGTGTTTGCTGCCTACGGAAAGGACTTCTACCAGGTGGTACTCAAAGATACCGCTAGTCAGGTTGCATGGCATCAGATAGACGAGGATGTCGAAACATTCTCTCTTGCGCTGTGCAAACAAGACGTCAGCTCGGACCTCCCACTGGGTAGTGTACTCACCCAGCTGTCAGTCGTCAGCAACGAAAGCCGACACCGACTCATTCTTCGAGTCTCACATGCTCAATATGATGGTGTCTGCCTGCCGCGCATCTGGCAGAGCTTCCAAGACGTGTTTTCTGGTCGCACGCCTGCCCCAGAGGTTCCATTCTCTCACTTCATCGCTGGTATCCACCCCACTAGCCCAGAGTCTGAAACATATTGGCGCGATGTCCTGTCAAACTCTACGATGACTGACATTGTGGCTCACCCCGCGCCGCAACACCAGAATGTGTATGATCTGCACTTGACCCGAACCATTCAAATCGCTTCCCAGGCTGGCTCTGGAACCACTTTCGCCACCATCTTGAAGGCCGCTTGGGCTCTAGTCCTCTCCTCGTGCTCCGACAGCTCTGATGTTGTCTTTGGACATGTCGTTTCAGGTCGCAACCTACCACAAGCCAACATAGAGCAGGTCGTTGGCCCTTGTCTGAACATCCTTCCAACTCGTGTCATTGTCGATTCGAGCGCGGCTCTGAGCCATCTTCTTGACACTGTTCAATCTCAACACATCTCTCACATGGCCCATGAATCGTTGGGTACCCGCACCATTGTTAAAGAATGCAGCCCTTGGCACCCGTCCACTCGCATGAGCAGTATTGTTCAACATCAGAATATCGATCAAGATGCGACGGTCACTCTCAACAACCAAAGCTACACCATCGGCGACTTCTGTCCTGCGGCTGATGAGGCAGACATTGCAATCAAGACAACCCCATTGGATAACAACGAGATCGAGGTCCTTTTCATCACCTCTTCGCGCTCTGTTGGCCAGCCCATGGCAACCGCCCTTTTGGACCGTCTCTCTGACACCATTCGGGCTATCTCTGACTCCACACACGCACACGCCCCTGTCTCAGAGTTCATTCACTCCAAGTCTCTCCTCCCCCTGTCGAGTCCATCCAAACCCAACGGCGTGAATGGACATTCTGCCGTCAAGAGCATTGACGCAACCAGACCAGCAGACTCAGCACTCCTCTCTGCAATCCGTGACAGCTGGCGACGGGTTATTGGAAATCCCGATCTATCCTTGGACTTGGAGTCCGACTTCTTCGATGTCGGTGGTGACCTAGTCTCCATCGCATTACTGACCGCGTTTTGGCAAGGCCAAGACCACCAGATTGCGGTGGAAGATCTCTGGGATCATTCATCCCTCGGTGGAATGCTGGATATTTTGATCCAGGCGCGTCGTTGATCTTGCCCTCCTGTTTGTTTTTCATGATTATTTGTAGGCGTTAAAATGGCGCTTTGGGGCACTTGATTTCTATTTCTCTACTTTTTTCGTGTTTACTCAATCTAATTCAAAATCAAAGTACATTTTTCAAATCTACATTCCGAGCCTCTCCCACTTGCCGATCTTAATTACATCTGTGTCTACGCTCATGACTGGTTTGATTTGTTTGTCTGATTTGGTTGGTTTGTCCGGTCTGTCTGGTTTGCACTGTTTGGCGTGTTTGTTCTACTCATGCCCAAGTTAGCCCGAGGTTTTCCCAGCACATTGAGACCATTCTGTTCAACGCGCTCTGGTGTCACACTTGCATACCTTCAGACAAGTCTTCAACTCTCGTAATGATTCTAAACAGTTTTTCGTGTTAAACCAGTATATAAGTCAGTCACCAGTTGTGTTTGTGCCTCTGGAGATAGTTGCCTAGCCCTCAGGCGTTGATTTGAGGGCTCCTCTCCTCTCCTCCTTTTTCTTTTTTTCCTCTCCCAGAAATATCCCAATTTTGAAAGTCTCGCCTCATTGATTTTTTTCCCTGGTGATACTTGACACTTTGTCGAGGGGAATGGTGTCGCTTTTTCGAGGTTTGATTTTGGTTATCTGATGTGACGCCAAGCTTTTCTCGCGAAGATAAACATCCGACGCAATGCAACTTTGATTGTATACCTCCATCAACAATCACCATCCATAAGGGGTTCAACATCTAACTTCGTTATTCCTGTTTTGGGTCTGCACCATGCAAAGTAACCTTGAAAGAGCAGTCTGAAACACATCTACCTAGAGCGAATACACTGATCCTTGTTGGCGTGGTGTATGAAGACACTAAAATTCGACTGCCTAAAGAGTTCCGAGTCTAATGCTCTATGTTACCTAGTTCGACCAATTTCAAAGCGCCATGTCTTTGAGTATATATAGCATAGGAGACATTAGAATGAAGCCATTGTGACAAAGGATCTTCATTTTCCACTTGTTTCAAGTTGACTGAAGTTGACCATGGATCTCCCTTTGGATCCTCAGTTGACTGTCCCGGATCTTCTGGTGGCAAAGGAGCTACTTGCACAGAATGATTGCGACAATGAGCCCAGAAACAGCAATGATACTATGAGAAAGCTGAAGGCCCTGAACGATGCTAGCGATCCAGAGTTTGATCCTACAGTCTTTCAATTCTGGGAAACAAACTACCTTCGACGAAAGCTGCCCCATCCCATTCGACAGTATCTGTTGGAGCCATATGTTCGCTGGGCTCAGAAGGTCGCACGTTTTCCTACAGACGTTGTGATGATCACACATCTCCTGCTCTACTTGACGACTTCAATCCCAAGCGCGCTTTTTCTCTATTATTATCACTTTACCTGGATTCATGGCCTTCTCCACTGGATCGTGCATGTATGGTATGCTGGCAGCTACACGCTCATGAAGCATCAATATGTCCACATGAAAGGCGTGCTCTCTTCTCAATACCAGTTGATCGACACGCTCTTCCCGTATCTCGTTGATCCCTTCGTGGGCCACACCTGGAATTCTTACCATTACCATCATGTCAAGATGCATCATGTTGAAGGCAATGGCCTCCGAGATCTCAATTCAACAATGTGGTATGATCGAGACTCGATCGCTGATTTTTCACGCTATGTTGCGCGATTTTTCTTCCTGGTATGGTTAGATCTCCCACTATATTTTCTCAGAAAGGGGCAATACTCCACTGCATTCAAGACTGCATTCTGGGATATCGGCAACTACGCTGCCATCGCCTTATTGTTTCGAAATGGCCATGCCCAGGCCACGTTTTGTGTCTTCGTTTTGCCACTCGTGACGCTTCGCGCGGGATTGATGGCCGGCAACTGGGGTCAACACGCATTTGTGGACCCGAGCGATCCTTCGTCCGATTTTCGATCCAGTGTAACCCTGATCGATGTAGCGGTACATTGTCCAGCCCACCAAAATGTGTGTTCGAAACTTACTGACTGTCTCCAGAGTAATCGGTTCTGCTTCAACGACGGATACCACACTTCTCACCATCTCCATCCGCGCCGCCATTGGAGAGAGCACCCACTAGCACTGTTGCGCGATCAAGATCGCTATGCGGACGAGCGGGCGCTAGTCTTTCGAAATGTGGATTACATGATGCTGACTGTGAAATTGCTTCAGAAGGACTACCTGCACCTGGCCAGGTGCATGGTCCCAATTGGTTGGGAACAGAGAAAGATGAGTCTGGAACAACGCGCAGATATGCTGCGGAGTCGGACCCGACGGTTGCCCGATGCGTATTTGAAAAGACACAAGTCCAAAAACCGATGAGGCTTAGCAGTGGATCGGACCGGTGTGGAGTAGGTGTTTCTTTGTCTTCAATGTGTGTTGTCTCGGGGTATCCGGTCATTTCAAGTTTAGTTTACGCCACAGTATGGGTAATTTCGAAAGTGCTTAAAATACATCGAGAGATACGGAATACGCAGTACTCCGTACACGTACATCAATACACACCAGTTTTGGAATACGCTCCGTACAATTTTGGAAAACTTGGATTATTATACTTTGTAAGAGTGTATATTTCATGCAAACAATAATTTTTCTGGTAAAATACAAGCATACCTAGTGAGTGTTTCAGAATACGTACATTACCCCTGTATTCATGGATGTGATACCGGTGGACACGGGCTTTGATCCGGGCCCGGGGGTGTATCGGGAGATCCCTGCACACCTGCATTAGCGCGGACTTAGCGCGAATCTTAGTGCTGACATCCCTTTGTTAGCTCAATTGACCGTGCAATGGTATCATCGGCTAGATCATTAGCTCCTGATTTCTTCACAACCAATATATCCTCTCTGGCCATACAGAAGGAGCTTCGTCAAACGTTTCGATTGATGACCTGTCTTCTGGATACCACCATTCTAACGGTTCGGTTCTCCAATAGAATCTAAGTGGGCACCTGGACATCAGTGCGCAGGTGCTGCATGCGTGAACCAGACTTGGAAATACTTCCTAACCTTGGAGGAGCATATTGGTACTCCGTACCTGTTGGATGGGGGCCAAAATTTTGGAATAGTCTCACCCTAGCATTAAGAGGTCGTAATACTTTTAGATTAATTTAAATATATTTTGAGAACCTTGGGATGTATGTATTAAATTATTGGGGTCCGAAAATGACATATGATATAGGAAACATGTAAGATAGTTTTCGGTGACACACAAACGTGCAACCAGCCGAGATGCATAGAAAGCGGAGTTCGCCAATTCTCACATCGCCTATGCCTCGATCAGTGTCTCGCAAGATTGGTTGGAGGCTGTAGTAGCCTCATAAAGGCCACGGAACAGGCTTCGAGGCTCACGAGCCAATAGGCTTGTAGGAGAGCCCAACTCAACAATGACACCGTCCGAGACCACGGCGACGCGGTCCGCATCCAGAATGGTGGAAATGCGATGCGCAATTGTAATGACTGTACGCGAGGCAAAGTGCCGACGAATAATCTCTTGCATTTGGCGGTCAGTCTCCCGATCCACACTGGCTGTGACTTCGTCCAACACTACCACTGAGCCCGGACGAATCATGGCACGGGCTAGGCATAGTAGCTGCTGCTGCCCAACACTGAATAAGCCTTCGGAGAGCTGGGCATGGATTCCACCCCTCGAGGACACTGTGTCCCAGAGATGGACTTCCTTGAGTGCTACTTCAATTGCTTGGTCATCACTTGTTGCATTGAAGGGGTCGACGTTCTCCCGAATAGAGCCGGAAATCAAGTGAGGTGATTGTGTGACGCAGATGAGGCGGGTGTAGAGTGTGTCGCGAGACACTGTAGAGATGTCGACATCATCAATGGTAATTGTACCCTCGCTTGGAGTCAGAAGACGGAAGAGACTGGAAGCGATAGATGATTTGCCACTATAGAACAAGCAGTCAATTAGCCAAATGAATCAATTAAGAAAACTGAGCTGTTCTCTTACCTTCCACTCGGTCCACAAAGGGCAATCTTCCCCCCCGGCGAAATTGAGAGATCAAGGTTTCGAATCACTGGCTGGGGAGAGCCCTCATATTGCGCAGTAAGATTCTTGAATTCAATTTGGCCCCTCTCAGGCCACTCGGGAGAGATTGAACTCTCTGTTTCATCTGAGTCCGTCGATGGTGCATCCAGAACAAACGCTCGAATACGAGAGACTGCACCAATGGAGATTTCAAGTTGAGTCCAGTTGGAAAGGAAAGCTTTGATACTGATACTCAGCTGCACGATGTTGACCAGAGCAATTCCCATAAACCCAGCATCAACTTGTCCTTGAGTTTGCACTCCGATAGTCACGACCATCACGGCTACTGCTGCAACTACCAGATCGAGAACAAGGTTCAACCAGCGTTGCACGCAGTAGAGTAGATAGAACGGCTTTTGAGATCGGTCAAACACCTCGCGATTGCGGTTGTCGAACTCGGTCTGCCAACCAAACGCTCGGATGGTTGTTAGACCAGCGATAAGCTCCATGAAAGTAGAAAACAAGGGTGCTTTGGCTTCGATGTCGAGAAGACGAAGCTGCCGGGCTGTTCGCAGGTAGAACTTCTGAATCAAGTAAAAAACCGCCATCAGGGCTGGGAGTGCAATACCAATCCACTTGGACGAGATTGCGATGATGATCAATTGGGCCGTGCAGAGCAAGAGTTCCACGGAAGTGTTGAACAGTGCAAGTGGAAGCTCCATGTCAGATAACTGAAGATCTTGAGCAAATCGATTCAAGGTAGTGCCGACATCGGTTGTTGAGAAAAATTGCAAGGATGCTTGAAGGATGGTGCTGAGAAGAGACGAGTGGAATTGCATGGAGGCCCGTGGCAACATTCGCTCAGTGAGATGCCTATCAACACACGTTAGTGTCAGTAATCTTATGACCAGGTGGAAGTTATCGTAAGTCTCGTACCAGACAGCGAAAGGGAGTGAGATAATTGCCACCGCAGAGAGACCCGCGTAGGCACCCAAGTACGTGCTCATATGGGACACGGTGTATTCATCGCTTCGAGCCAGCCACCACCTCACCAGGAACTCTGTAACACTCGTTAACAACAGACCATCTTCAACAGGGGAAGTTATACTCACGGGGAAGCGTTAGTCCGACAACAAAGACGGAGCATGCAAGGAAGAATATCGCTGTTCTGAAGGGACCAACTGTCTGGATATAGTATTTATAGACAGCTGTGTCGCCAGTTCTGCGGTCCGCCCCCGTTGGTGCTTCTTCGATAGAAAGTATCCTTGCAAGTTCCTCATCTTGTTCAGATGGCTCACCACGCTTCTTTCCTGTCGGTGGGCTATATGCCATCTCTTTTGCAGTTGCAAGAACCTCGTTAGTAGTGCCTTCATCTGCAAGGTGCCCTTCTGAGTCCAGGATAATGACGTTATCCGCATAGACAAGACGTTGAACTGTATATATCAGCATATTGCGCCTTTTGGTGATGGTGGTTTAATCTTCACTTACCGGCATGGGTGGCGAGGATTACAGTGACTTCTGCCTCCTTCAATAGTCCATCCGGTCCAAACAGGTTGTGGAACAAGCTTTCTTCTGTGTTTCCGTCCAGTCCACTGAAGACGTCATCAAGCAGCAGGACCCTTTCTTTGGCGTAAACAGCGCGTGCAATAGCCTGTGGTGAGATTAATAAACAATGAAGGTATCCATTTGGGGGCTCGCACATACCAGTCGAGCCTTTTGACCACCGCTCAAGGTCATACCGCTGTTTCCGACCCATTCTTGGTGTCCACGAGGGAAACCTGAGATGTCTTCCTTGAGCAAACACATTTCCACAACCTTGTCATACCACTTTTGCTCATACAAGCTTGTACCCAGAATGTTGCGTTGAATGGTACCATTTGTTATCCAAGGCGTTTGACTGCAGTAGCCCACCCGCGACGCCCCCACTTCCAGCCGGCCTTCTTTATGGTTGACCTCGCCGAGAATGGCCAGCAACAGAGTTGTCTTACCACAAGCAACTGGCCCAATGACAAAATTGATACTTGACGGCCGGATATCGAAACTGAGGTCCTTGATCACCATCGGCTTTGCGGGATCCCAGCCAGCACTGAAGTCTTGGGCCATCACCATGTTGGGAGATTTCTTCTCATCGAAAGCGGAATGACTGAGCACTGTGGATACCGACGGGTGGGCTAGTTTGCCCTTTTCGCTGTAGGAGACCGTGGGCTTTGACAAGTAGGCTCCTATGCGTGTCAGTGCACCCAAGGCAGATACCAGTCCCGCAATGGCATCCAGGATCAGGGCCATGGGCGCTTGAAGCAGGGCAAAGAGCGAGAGAGCGGTATAAGCTTTATCGTAGTTGAGCATGGTGGATCCATTTCGCTTCGCCAACAAACTGTACATGGTGAATGCGAGGAGCGGACCCGTTGACGTGGTGGTGTAAGCTATCCATCGTTAGTTGGAAATACAATGAAAGGGGGTTTCAAAGAAAACTTACAAAAGGTAACGATCAGTGTCAACGCTCGCTTGAACGGCGTCGACTCCGAAACCTCTACTATGCGGAGTCCTCGGAGCTTCTCGGCCATCAAATTTTGCAAGCCGCCTAGTCTCACTTCCTTCATGCTTTTCAGCATTTCAGATGTGGCTTGAACTCGGTTTTGAATGGCCTGAAGCCACCTTTGCTGTCGACCACCCATAGTAGTGGCCACCCCCAGACCGAGAAGGGTGCAGACTACAGTGCTCACTATCAGTATTCCATGCCAGGGTCCAAAATAGTCTCGGAGGAAACTTACAGAGAAATACAGACGCAAACGCGACAACAGCAAGACCTAGCTGGCGCTCCAACAACCATAGGGCAAGCCCAATATCGATCGGACTGGCCCACACTTCATGAACATATTGAAGACCTGAGCTGATACGCTCAACATCCACACTCATGAGGGTCAATGCAGCTGAGTCCCGTGCAACTCCGGCATCCAACTGCATAGTGTGTCGATATATAAGCGGCACGACACTACCACGGATCATGGTAATGAGGCGGAACGTCTTGTGCTGGCTTTTCGCAGTTGTCACAGCTAGCCCCAGATAGATCAACACCGAGGCGACAATAAGACCGTATCCATAGTTCCGGCTGGTGCTATCATTGCTCTCAGACACAAAGCTGACCACGCGGGTAAGAAGGAATGGCTGCGCGAAGGTGAAACCCGTCATACAAAGCCGAGGAATAAATGCCGAAGCTATGGCCCACCGATGGTGAACGATCAACAGCATCTTTAAAGCAAAGGAAGACTTTGTTTGCACTGTATCGTGCGACCAGAGAATTAGCATCGATTGCACAAGAGGATTAAATGAGGATCAGATGAGCGACGTACCTGCGTCCCATTTCCGTGCAAATAGGTCTCCACGCGATGCATCGTTGACTCGCTCATCGATGGATAAAAGCTTGTCAGCCTCAAGTACATCTTTGAACCCTTGGAGCAAAAGTGGATTCAACCACCAGAACAAGCTACGGTTAAACACATTTGCGGTGGTCTCTTTTGGTAGTTTCTGGGCTTCATCAGCGATGAATGGTTTTTGTTCAACCGATTCCAGCGCGAGCTTCACGAAGTCCAACCCCAAGCCGGCGATATAGACGGCACAGAACAAATGAGTCTGTGCCGCCCACATGGTACGGGCCCGAACGCCATTCAGGGGCAGTGATATGCCCAAGAAAAGCAGCAATAATGTTGATGGCCGCGGTGATCGGAAGTGCTGGCTGTATGATATACTAACCATCAACAGCGCGGTAACTGCATCCAAAGCCACGGCTGCCACTGTAGTACGTGTCTTTGGGATCTGCATCTGGGGAAGAAGCACCAACACCAATAGCGTAATTTTCACGCAGATCGATAACACATGGGCGATCTAGATGCCAGTCAGCTCTGCACGATCGAAAAACGGGAGGTTGGTATACCAGTTTCCCGGGGAACAGAACCCCCCGGCGAGTTAGTGGAGCGCTGCGACTCCGGAACAGCTGCAGAGGTAGGCATAGCAAAAGTAGCGAACAAGGAAGGATAGTAAAGAATGACTCCTCGAACAGCAGAGTAAAATCAAAGCCATTATGGCACTCGGCGCCAACTGTAGGACCAAAAACGTCCTGCGCAACAATATCACACATTGTTGCTGCCTTCTTTTCCTCTTTGTTGAACAAAGAAAGTGGGCGAGTAAGCCGGTTTTAGTTCACTTGCAGCTATAGCGTATTATTTCTTGGCCCGCGAGTGGACTGAACGTGATTGCGGATGTAAGCGTGTATTTGGCGTATTACTGGAAATACCCAATTAGGGCTAGTTCATCTTTACGGCGTCGAGAGACTGTACACATCCGTTTCATCTAGCCTTCTTTTCGCTATTTTTAACCAAAATTTAATCTGTCGCTACACCTCAAATACAGGCAGCCGCAATAGCAGGGATGTTGGTTAGGCGCCAGACTTGGATTTAAACTCACTCGATCGCCTGTATTTTGTGGCTATCCTTCCTTTTTAGTAAACAGTCTATCTTTTTCACATTCTGACTATCGGTGTGACTTGATACATTCTTTTCTCGTTCCAATTGCGCTCCTTTTGCGAATATGAGATTCTCACCATTGCTCTTGGTGCTCGTGTCGGGCTTACTGGCCGGGGCAACTCCCGTCCAAACGGCTGTTCCTCAGGCTGTGGTACAGCGCCGAGAAGCCACTACGACCTCGGCGACCAGCGCAGAGACCACCACTACAGCTACAACCACGACAAACACGGAATTTGAACTGAGCTTGAGTCTTGACTTGCCTACCAACACATGTACGCCAACGATTGCGCCCGACAAAAATGGCTATGTGCCGCCATCGGAGTGTGACGCCTTATACCTCTATTATCCTTCGTTTAAAGCTGCCATTGCGGCTTCGGTGATCTTTGGACTCATCCTAGTGACCCATTTCATTCAAGCGACCATTTACAAAGCTGGCTTTGTTTGGGTGGTCCTCATGGGAGCCGCGTGGGAGTTTGTAGGATACGCAACCCGCGCATTGAGTACTCGCAAACAACAAGACAACACGATTGCGACCGTCACACAGATGTTCATTCTTTTGGCCCCATTGTGGGTCAATGCATTTGATTATATTGTTTTGGCTCGGATGATCAATTTCTTCGTTCCCGATCGTCGCATCGGTATTTTCAAACCGTCCCTCCTGGCCAAGATCTTTGTTCTTCTCGACTTCGGTTCCTTCATTATTCAAATGATTGGAGGTTTTATGGCAACCGGTACCTCCGAGCAGCAAATGAACGGTATCCACGTTTACATGGCCGGTATCGGCATTCAACAATTCTTCATCGTCTGCTTCTTGGTGCTAGCCGTCCAATTCCATCGACAGATGCTGAAACTCGATCGGAATGGTCGGTTATTCGGCGACAAGCAGAAATGGCGCAAACTTCTCTACGTTCTGTACGCCAGTTTACTATTCATCACTGTCCGTATCTTCTACCGCTTGGTCGAGTTCTCGTCCGGCTACGGGGAGAACAACCCCATTCCGTACCACGAATGGTACATGTATGTCTTTGATGGCATTCCCATGGCTTTGGCCATCCTTGTTTGGAACTTTGCACCACCCGGCGCTGTCTTGAAGGGCCCAGATGCCGAAATGCCTTCCAGTGGCATTGGAAGGCTTCTTTGCTGTAACGGCTGTGGCTGCTGCGGAGGATGTTGCTGCCGAACCTGCCGAAAGCGCGGCAAGGGAAAGAAGGACATGCAGAGGCTGCCCGATCGTGATTTCTACGGAGATGAGGTTCCGCTGCACCAACGAGACTCGTCGCCTTATAGAGACACGGGATACTCCGGTCGCTAAAATCTATTGCTTTTTTGATTCATTTTGGTGATGATTTTTGTTTTTCATGACTGCTTTTTTCATTTGTATATACCATTTTCTTTTACTTCGTCATTTTCCAGGTGCCATTTGTTGGTCATATACCAAGGTTGCTTTTAGGGAAAAAGCATGAGGAACGAACATGCGGTGGAAACATCCATGGATGTTTAGGTTATTTAGAGGTGTCACGGATCTTCTGTGTTGAGCTGGCAATCATACCATAAATAGATCTTTTGGAATCCATTTTTTGTTTTGATAAGTCTAAATTACGCCAAGAGAGATTATCTCGAAGCCCCGAACTCTAAACGCACCTCCTATAGATCGCTGTAATGTCCCAGAATCGACGAGCTCGCATCGGCGAAATGCGACGGCAGCGAATCCAAAGACCCAAAGTGGCCGACAACATCTTTACCCGGCTCTCTCAAGCTAGAATAAATATCACTGCTATCACCACCTGTGGTGGCGGACGGGTAGAGGCCCATGGTCCTCAACACTTCCTCGGGGGGGTGTCGTCCGCCGTCCATCCTTAAACACATAGCGAGTAACACCCACAGCGAGGATTGCCTTCTCAAGCTCCGATCCCTCCTTGGGCTTTTCTCCTTTCCGTAGACCGCGCATCACATTCCGATGAGTTCCAGCTTTAACAAAGTAGCTAACCACCACAAGCCACTTCGCATCCCAGGATAGCACTCGCGACCAAACCTCGTACCTCTGCAGTGGTTTGATCTCGCGCTTGAAGACACAAGAAGTTCCACCAAGCGCAATGCTGACAATCTTTTCCGCTTTCTTAGAGTCGGGAGTATCGGCCGCAGTCTCCGGTGCCCATCGTGGTAGGCGAGGAAACAGGTTCAAGAGGAGTTGGGCGCGGTTGATATCCATATCAGAGAAGAAAGTGCTGTTTGACTTGTGGATGTTGTAATCGCATTCCATGAGAGCATTCTGGTGCGAAGTCACCATGTAGGAAAAGACGAGGGGAATTCCCCCAGATCGATCGTCGACGAGTACTCCATTGGCGGCGATTTGGCGGGGAGAAGACAGTCGAGCACCGAGGAATTGGGTGGAGAGACCTTTCATCACTCGCAACTAGAGGCACGAAAAAGTACGTATCAGCCAATGACAACCTTGGAAAGAAACCCGGTATCAACTGTTTACTTACATGCCACACAAATGGAAGTGACTTAAAGTTGATCAACAGGACTCCTGCAATGGCAGCGAGGAGGGCATACTGCACGTAGCCATCGCCTACTCCAAGCGTGCTCAAGACAGTCATTTGGATTTCACTGGCGTAGAAGCTGAAACTGAGAAAATTGCTGGATCACACGCAACTAGCAACCCCTCGGAGGGGATTGGGTAAGGTAGGCGCTTAGCTTATTAACCTGGCCAACCTCCGGTTGTAATATTGCGACGCTGAGGGTTGGTATAGTGGTTTTGGTTTTGAGACGTCGGTAATGTATACAGAGTACGGCCGGTAATATGGGGGCGGTTTTTGAGAATGGTATTTATGACATTACATACACTTCTGTAATGGTAATCTTGACACCGGTACGGAGTAAGCGACATCGTATCAAATGTATGGACGTCCAGTCTATGTCTTGTCTGGATTTTTGTTGCCCGACATAACTACTCCGTACAGACAAAGAGATAGAGTTACCTGAGAGTTCAAGGATCAGCTCGAGCTTCAAGACTTTTCTCCCCTCTCTCTTTTTTTTCTCTCGCTGGTCTTTCATCCTTCAGCCAAACGCCTCGTTTTCCTTGTCATTGTGAATTTTAACAATTTCCCATTGCAAAAAATAAAGGCATCGAGTGGCGCAGAACTTTCCTGGGCCGGGCTAGACTTTCGTCAAGAAATCACTCACCAAGTCAGGCACCCTGCCAAGCTTGCAATTGGTCCTTGGGTTGCACCCGCTGATCATGCTGTGGGGTTCATGTAATGAAGAGCTCCGGCGAGGTCAGTGATCTGACTGTATCAGATCTAACTATTCAGAGTCTAACATTTTTAGCTCAGCTGAAAGCACAGCCTCCAGCCCGCCCATCATTTCGGGCAATGTTGTCGCCGCTGCTCACTATCGAAGTTCTGTGGGGCTCCCGCTTGGAAGGCTAAGCCAGTTGATTCACGAGGCTCTGCCTCAAGTGGCGTTACAGTATCCTTCACTGGGTCCAGCAAATGAAAGCAAGGTTTATTTCTTACAGCTGCAGGATGACCCAGAAAACGCAGTGGACGCGCTAGTAGAGCAACAGCAGAATTTGGGAAGTTGGCAGAGCCATGAGCAAGATTGGCGGGTTGTGATTGCATACAAACCCAACGAAGGTGCCGTGTCGGACGTGATTGTTTGCTTTGTGCTGCACGGGGATTCCAAAGATCCATTTTGTGGCGGTTTGTCCTTTCATCGATCATTCTTGGCTGCACTCTCACTTGCCGACGAGGCAAAGCCATCAACTCGGCAAGCCAACCACTACAGCAACCTCACCACAATACGAACGCTGTTAAAGATGCCCACATCTCATACCAACACCCCAGCAAGCCGGTCACAAATCAAAACTTTAACAATCGGGGCTGAGGAAACAACTCGTCTTCTGACTGTTCCTCTCCGCAACAAGACCAATCTTACCGGTGTCATTCAAGCCGCTCTTGTGGCAGCATTGTTTGCTAATCTGCCCTCGGAGATCACCACCATCCACGCCGAGGGCCGTATATCACCCCAAGAGCTCCAGTCTCTTGGCGGAGCTATGCCAGATCTCAACAGCATGATGTGCTTTACACATCATATGACACATACCAGGCAGGACCTAACGACAAGTGCTGTCTGGTACGAAGCTCGACACATACACTCTACTCTGAAGACAGAGCTGGCTCGAAAGAAAAGTAGCAATAGACATGATCTTTTCCGGGGCGAAAAAGACCACATCGTGGATGATATGAAAGACTCTGCTGAAGAATTTGAGAAAATCAGCATCACGGTGTCTAACATGGGTGATTTCCGAAATCACAAGCAGTTTGATTCCCAACAACAGCAATGCTGGCAATTGGGGAAGGTTGTCTGCGGAAGTGATGGCACTCTTCAAGGTGCTGATTTGTCAGTCTCACTGGTTGTCGGAGGTGACGGGTGTTTGACTATAGCATTTGCTTGGTCGAGTAGTATTGTCGAGGGGGCGTGGATTGACCATGTGATCGCAACCTTGAGGAAGGTGATCGGGAGCCTCATTCACTCCAACGATGCAGTGAAGGCGAAACAGGTGTCTGATGTACTTCCTTGGGGAGGATCAATGTCACGTCTTGTATATCTGGTGAGGGATCTCATGCTGGCGTGAGCTCTCTAAAAACAGAACCTTGGAACCGCCGGATTCTCAGCAACCTTGACTCGGGTTCGGTGGTCGCTTTTCGCCAAACGGGAATATGTTCACATTGTTGTGAAAGTTTAACTCAATAAAGACCACTCAAAAGACCTCATATAATTCAGAAAGTTGTAAAAGAAATGAATTCAGGAAGCCGAAGGACGAATTAAAGAAGACTTCGCTTCTGGGCCCGGGTAACTGTTCTAGATTCGTGGTGATAGATCCACCGTTAGCTATGATTTAACAAGGCGCGATATCTTCATTCGACGTTCCATATAGTACGGAAGATCAATGCCAGACTATCGTTCCAACGTTCTTCCAGGTTTAGTCGTACCCTAACAGTGACACAAATCCCGCAAGCGAGATTAGGTTGAATAGGGGGCGATGGAGGCATGGGGGAGACGCACAGACCACATTGAGAAGCATTGAGATTAGTCAGGTAGCTTCATGTCACATGACAAGGGTTCACCGTCCTGGTCACCGCTATCTGAACTGCCGGCACTAAGAGGGGGCGTCGTTCCACGGTTCCTTAAACCTTGCTGCATCCTGTTGATCACCCGAAACGATCTTGCTGTCAACCATGCACATATCCATCTAGGTCACTTGAAGGCCCTCACGCGCCAAACGAAACACGCCAAGGATTGCGATTGTCGCCATTCGCAAATGGCCTAATTCTGGCCGATGCCCAGCCTTGGCGCTTTGTTCGACTGCGTAAGGTGCGCGCGACATTGGCACTGGGCATCCCCTGGTGATGCGACTCTGTCCACTCCTGTCGATTCTTGGATGACTGGGGTCTCGGAACTACACAGCCTATAAGTCTCGAGCCAAGGTGCTATGGGTCCCTTTCATTTCTGATGGCTGAGCTTGTGAATACTCCTTTTTCTTTGGAAAATGGGACAGCTTTGTTCTCTTTCCTCTGTCGCTCCTTAGCAAACTACGTTCTATATGAATCAAACACGCGTCTCTTGATTATAGCACACATGTTGCACTTCCATTCTTCATTCTCACGATCTTCATGGCTTTTCATTTTCTTGGTTGGTGTCTTCGGGCCCCTGACCACTGCAGCAGGCGTTTCTTTGGACATCAGTAGTGCTGGTATGGAGACTTGAGCTGTTTGAGAGGAGACATTTGGTTATACGCATCCTAACATTGACAGCTAGACTCCATCAAATCAGCAGCAAGCCGGATAGCCTTCGATCTAGTCACCTTCTACACGGGCAACAATACCGGCGACACACCAGGGAATCTACCGGATCCATACTACTGGTGGGAGGCGGGTGCCTTCTTCGGCGCTCTCGTGAACTACTGGTCTTACACCGGGGACTCGGTCTACAATGACATCACCAAACAAGCTATGATCCATCAAGCGGGCACAAAAGGCGATTTCATGCCCGAGAATCAAACCTACACGGAAGGAAATGATGATCAGTGTTTTTGGGCTTTGAGCGCGATGATCGCCGCCGAACGAAATTTTCCAGCCCCCGCCTCTCCAACCCCTGGCTGGCTAGCGATGGTCCAGGCAGTTTTCAATGAGCAGGCTCACAGATGGGACACATCTGCCTGTGGTGGAGGCCTGAGATGGCAGATCTACACCTGGAACAGTGGATATCTCTACCGCAACAGTATCGCAAATGGGTGTTTCTTTGATATTGCCTCTCGTTTGGCGAGATACACGGGCAACGACACATACGCCAAGTGGGCGACAAAGGCGTGGGACTGGACACACGTTATTGGGCTGATCGGAAACGAATATGAGGTCTTCGACGGGGTCACTGATGTTGGAGGTCTTCGACGGGGTCACTGATGTTGACAATTGCACTTCTCATGACCATAACAGGTGGTCGTACAATGCAGGCGTTTGGCTACACGGTGCCTCTGTGATGTATAACTACACCGCAGAACACGGGTCTAGTGTATCTTCGACCTGGCGGGAACGCACCGACTCTCTCCTCAAAGCGGCAGATCACTTCTTTCCGAAGGATAATATCATGTTCGAGCATAACTGTGAGGCTTCCGGGAAGTGCAATGTCGACCAGTTGTCTTTCAAAGCGTACCTGAGCCGCTGGCTGGCTGAGGTTACACAGTATGCGCCTTATACATATGACGCTATCATGTCGGAAAAACTTCGACCCACGGCTGTTGCCGCCGTTGCACAGTGTCAGGGTGGTGATACCGGTACATTTTGCGGGCACAAGTGGAGCGTTGGGGAATATGATGGCACAACAGGGGTTGGGCAGCAAATGGGTGTTCTTGAGGTACTCCAGGGTCTTCTGGCTGCTGATGTTGGCGGTGCCTTGACTTCTTCGACTGGTGGTGAAAGTGAAGGCAATAGTGCTGCTGGTACAGGTGATGATGAGACAAAGGCCGAATTGCCCACCATGCATATTGATAATGGCGATCGAGTCGGTGCAGCTATACTGACCTCGCTATTTGTTTCTTTTGTTGCTTGGGCAGTTTATGGGATGGTGTCTTGACTTGTAACTTATCCCCAATCCCTAATTCTCTGTTCACGGCTTAGCCAAGACTTCCATTTCTCGACCAATCATGATGACTTGACATTTAGTTGGAACCTTGGATGGGCAGCCAAAAAGACAGTTTAAAAGACAGTCAGAAAGACAGTCAGAAAGACAGTCAGAAAGACAGTCAGAAAGACAGTCAGAAAGACAGTCAGAAAGACAGTCAGAAAGACAGTCAGAAAGACAGTCAGAAAGACAGTCAGAAAGACAGTCAGAAAGACAGTCAGAAAGACAGTTAGAAAAAGGTCCCGAAGTTGATGATAGTTCTCTTTCTTTACCAATCGAAAAATGAGACTAAGCGAATACATAACTACACCTGTTTATAAGCAACTATCGTCGTCTATTTGGCCGCGCCTGAGCGCGGCCCTGTGGCTTGTCTTTGTGTGTCCCGAGGTCATTTTTGCATGCTAAATACTATACCCACTCGAAATCAAATTTATCTTTTTGAAGATTGGAATCATGAGCGACATGAGATACTGGGACACTTGGAAGAAAAGGATAAAATATAGAATCTATGGAAATTTCGCATTGTTCGCCGTTGTGGCACACCTAGGCATCCCTTGAAGAGATTCTAAAAGAGATTGAACGGTTGCTCATTGGAGTCTACGAGGGACCAATGAGCTGTTCTTCCTTCGGCCAAGTTGCAACAGTAGTAGCACTTCCAGTCAAAGTGAACTTCACAACAGCAGAGCGCTCATTATTCAGCGCAAGTTCATACTTGCCAGGGTATATGACCCGATTTCCGTCCACATCGGTACGCGCGACATTGTCCAGCGAGATGGGAATATTCAAAGTCTGAGACTCCCGTGGCTTCAGATCACCAAGACGATCAAAGCCAACTAGCCACTTGATTGGATGGGGGCTGGGTCCGGCTGTAGTGTTGACAAATGCCATCGCAGTGTAGTCCGATTTGACAGAGCCGGTGTTCTTAATATCTGCCGTATAATTCAGGAAAGGCCGCTGCTCGACAGCATTGTAGCCTGTGTGAGGGCGAGCGAGAAGCTCGGCTATGTCGAAGCTCGATTTGGTGGTCTCCTTCGCCGAGGCTTTGAATGTTGTGTAGAAGAGACCGTGGCCAAATTCATAGACGGCCTTGCCAGTGTACCACATGTAAGTCTGGCCGGGGTTGCTTCCGTTGGGTCGAAGGCTCATGTCAGTTGCCGGGAACTGGTGGGCGTACTTGGCAGGGTACTGGGTCGCGGTCAGTCTGCCAGCTGGAGCGCGCTTGCCAGTCAAGATATCCAGAATTGCGAGACCGCCAGATTGTCCGGGGTATCCACCCCAGACAATGGCGTTGACATTCTTGCTTGCTTTGAGTGCTGAGGAGTCGACTTGGCCACCGCCCATCTGGAGGACGATGAGGGGCTTTCCAAGTTGGCTGAGTTTCTTAATCAAGTCCAATTGGTTTCCAGGCCATGTGATCTCTTGTCTGTCCATGGCTTCTGCTTCGACTGTGTTGTCGATGCCACCAGCGAAGACAATCACGTCAGACTTCTTGGCGGCTTCGACAGCAGCATCGAAATCGTCTGTCGACTTGGAGGAAATGTTGGTTCCAAAGGCATAGTTGACGTCGATATTGGAACCCTCGAAGGCGGCGAGCGGGCTTGTGAGATATGGTGAGTTTCCAAGGGGCAGATAATTTCCCTTCATTTGCGTAGTGGCATTTGCCCAGGGGCCAATCAGTGCAACACTGCTAGTGTTTTTAGACAGCGGTAGGACGCCATCATTCTTCAGAAGCACGATGCCTTCCACGGCAGCCTGGTAAGAGACGTTCAACGCATCAGTCGCAACAACATCGGACCAATCGAGGTCACGATATTTGCTATCTTCTCCATCGAAGTATCCCAAACTAGCAAGGTTGGAGTACAAGCGAATGACACCACGCTCGATCTCACTGCGAGATATATCGCCCTTTGTAAACGAGCCATTGAGATACATTTGGTACGTCGCGCCGCAATCGATATCAGTGCCAGCCAGCATACTCTTTGAAGCAGCAAGCTCAGTATCGGAAGCATATCCATGAGGATTGAACACGTTGTAGACAGCGTCACAGTCAGAAGAAACGTAACCGTCTTCAACAAAGTTCCAGGTATCTCGCAACAGTGTTTGCAACAAGAAAGTGCTGGCCGAAGAAGGAACACCATTCACGGCATTGTAAGATGACATGACACTGTGAACTCTGGCATCTAGGACAGCTGCCTTGAATTGCGGAGAGTAGTATTCAGACAAGTCTTGCTGGGAGATGATCATATCATTACCCAATCGTGAATGATTGTTCCAGTTTTCGATATCGTAGCCGACGAAGTGCTTCGCGTTGGCAACAAGCTTCAGAGGGAAGGGGTCCACTCCTCCTTGGATACCAGTGATATATTCGTATGCGTAGACGGAACAGAGGATGTTGGCGTCCTCGCCTGGAGTCTCCTGTCCGCGACCCCACACTGGGTGACGGAAAGAGTTGATATTCGGCGAATACACATCCAATCCGTAACGGCCAAAGTTATTGAATGCCCTTCCTTGTGTCGAGATGATGTCACCGATTTGATTGATCAAAGTGCGGTTCAACGAGGCCATCGTCAGGATGGGCGATGGGAAGGCGGTTGTCCAACTGAAGTCTCCAGACTCTGTCCAGTTGGCACGATCGATACCGTGTAAGGCCTCACTCCAGACCTGGTACGGGGGAAGTCCGAGTCGCGGAATGGCCGGAATAAGATTTCCGGTACTGTTGACGAGCTCTTCGAATGTGAACATGGAAACGAGAGCTGCGGCTCGATCATGAGGCCGTGCCGATTTGTCGCAAACTATCGTGTCCTTCAGCGGCCCGTTGGAGCAGTCTGGGAATGCCCAATCCACAACATTCATAGTAAATGGGTAAAGCCCTGGCTCGGGATCAGTGTTGTAGTCGACATAGCTGGAGTTATCTTGTGCCAGTGCAGCCGGCGCGAAGGCCGCCAGCAAGGCGAGTATTGAAGTAACAGCCATTGTAGGAATGCGTGGAGGCCATTTGAACCGGTTCCTGGGACTTGAACTTATACCATTTTCCAGTCAAGAAGTTGTATGGGGAGCTTTCCCCACGCCAGCCGATTCGGGCAAGTTATGCGGTCGATCCGATGTCGAGGCCGGGGAATTCACGCGGGGTTTTGCCGAAACACCACCGCGATGTCGGATGTAAACCATTTAGCCTAAAGTTGCCGTTGCCGATTGCTAAAATGGTGAAGTATGGGTGTGCGGATGCTCCCTCGCAGGACAGGGGGTGATTAACGTTCACGCCCAGCAAAGCCCAGCGAAAGCCACTTCAGCCACTTCAGCCATCCGAAAGACAATCATAGCTTGATTATTTAGCCTGAAGGGATACATCGAGGGGTTTGTGTAAATAATGTCTCAACAGAAACTCAGGCAAGGGGTTGCTGCACATAGGCTGATCAGCGCAATTTCCCCTCTTTCACCCGCCGATGTGGATAAATTATACCTCGCATGGATCGTTGAGGTACAGAGTAGAACATGCTGATTTTATTTGTGGCCTAATCTCTAGAACTCTTAGACCAGGAAACTGTTTGGGATGTCTGGCTTTAGCCTGGTAAAACTTCTAGATATTCATTCAGGGCTAGGGTTGGACTGTTTAGCTTGACACCCGTGGACCTGCCCAGGTGTCACGTATGCAACTTATAGGTACAATACCAAGAGTCTTCTTCACGGCCTGTCTTTTTTCCTGTCTTTTTTCCACTCTTATTTACTCTATTTGTTTTTTAAGTTGTTTTGAACCCAGAATTAAATTTCCGAAATTTCATGATTTCCGAGGTTGCAGGTCAAAATATAGCTTGGACATCCCGAGGTCTGAAGGCCTGGAGAGCTTCCATCGTTAAATTGGAAATTTGAAACTTAGTACAGGCTTGGAACTTAGATATTCTCAGCGCTGACAGTATCCCAAGCAGTTTCTGACCCTTGAGAGCTACACATCTCCGACACCTACATCACCAACCTTGGAAGAGCTCTCTCCCTTCAGTACGTGATCTTGAAAACCCACGCGAATAGATCCGCATTCGCAACCTGTTTGTTCACCGACAAAATCATTGTGCCATTCTCAGTCATCCTCGAGGGTACGACAGTGCCGTTCATATTCCCACCTACCACGCGTACTTCGTCGCCTTCGATCCAAGGCACGGGACTGGATATAGCCAAAGTAGCATTCGGTTTGGCCAAACAGTGAATGTAAAACGCATCGTCCGACTTTGTGAAACGGATGTAATCACCTTCCTCAGGCGTCACAAACCAATACGTAGTATCGAAGATAGCTTCAGCATGGTCCTTGATCCACGCCCCAGCTTCCCGCAAGTGTCGTTTCTCGACATCGACAATCGTTCCATTCGCCATCGGCCCGATATCGAGGAGGAAATTTCCGTTCTTGGAAACGATGTCAATGAGACCAGTGACGATTGAGCTGGCATTCATGTAGCTTGCGGCTGGGGTTGCCCGATTGAATCCATAACTGTATGGATCCATTCCCTGACTGGTCTCCCACTTGCGTCTTTGGACGCCACTGTATTTCGCATACTCCGGTGTATCAAAATCTCCGGGTAGCCCGCATCGAGCGTTCATCACCACTTGGCGATTCTGCTCGGCGGCTTTATTGAACCATGTTGATGCGAACTCGGCTGTTTTGTTCTTGCCGCCGATGTCGCACCACATTATCTCAGTTCCCATTCCTGCCAATATGTTCATCTCGGGCAGAATTTTATCTTCGACGTAGTCATCCAACGGGATGTAGCCTGTGTAGGGCAGCGTCTCGTTCGTGAATGGGTTGGTTGCATTCCCTTCTTTTTGTTAGCGGTGTTATGCTCAATACACAAAAGAACACTACCTCCAGGCCATTGCCCAAAACCATATTTCTCATAGTCTGGATGAAACCATTCTGGAAGTGAATAATACACAGAGCGGTGCAAATGTGGCTGATACTCTTTGGCTGCATCAAATAATTCCTATGACTATTAGATTTAACAGTCAAAATATGATGTAGCTCATACTCACCTGCACTATATTTCGATGTGGAGAAAGGGCAACAGAAGTCCTGGTGGAAATATTTGCTGGCTGATCAAACAGAGCATAACCATCGTGATGTTTGCTCGTGAGAACAAAATAGTTGGCCCCAGCATCGGCGAACAGATCTACCCAGTCTTTTGGGTCCCAGGCTGAAGCTGTAAAGTCCTGGATAAAATCATCATAAACAAAGTCTGCACCGTATTTGTCCAGGTGATAGCCATATGTGTTGGTCTTGTCAGTAGGGCCCGAGTTCATTGTCCACCAGTACCTAATATCGTTAGCACATGCTAAAATTTGGATGCCTTTTGAATCGTACCATTCGGCGTAGTTCTCCTTGGACCCTTTGTTACCCCAGCCCGGAACCGAGTAGACTCCCCAATGAATGAAGATCCCAAATTTAGCATTGTTGTACCAAGTTGGCGATTCGTGAGTGTAGATCGACTCGTACGTGGCTTGATATGGCGAGATACCATAGGTTGCGTTGAATTGATATGGAGCAGAGTTCACACCCACACTTTCGATGACTACGGTCGCTGGACCTGAGCTACCGGACTGGATGCCATTCTTGTTTCGTACGCCAACCTCAACAATAACCTGGTCTCCAGGCCGCAATCTCTTGATGGTAGCATTTTGCACGGTTTCAAGGCCGGTCGATTGAATTCTCACCGTGACTTGATGGCTTTTGTCAACAAAAGACGAACCTTTGTTGTTGATGATGACTTCGACGATTTGGATTTTGTCTGAGCCCTCGACCCATTTTTGTGTGGATCTAGCATACTGGATCTCCAGACTTGGATGACTCGATGGGACCGTTGCTGATAGCAGGGACAACGCAAAGATATGCAACTTTGTCTCCAATGCGGCGCCACCAGGTTCAGTCGAGGATCCGGTCGAGGAGTTCGGCCAAGTGAACGAAACAAGCTCTTTCGATGAGTCCAGCCAATTGACAGTTTGGAATATGTTGGTCTTGTTGTAGTTGGTCGCATTTTCCGTCAAATAGGACGAAAACACCAAATCGCCGCCGGCTGGATACGGCCAGCTCCAAAAAGCAGGAACTAACAATGCTGCACTCGAACTGCTCCCATCTGCATAATTTGCCTTAACAGAGGCAGCTGCCATGCCAGATTCAGAAGCGGCAAGCATTTGGAAGCTGAAGTACCGCTGTCTCGGCACGCTGATCTCTTGCCCTCTCACCAATACATTGTCGAACCCAGTCTTGTTGTAAGAGGCGAACGAATAATTGAAACCCCCGTAATGAAACTGTTCAGGTGGAATTTCGGTCGCGGGATACGCGTCTAGTAAACATGTTAAGGCGGTCGAATACCTGGGTGGTTAGTAGCTTACTCCCAGAACCATCGAAGTCCGCATCATTTGGCTTGAGTCCGAATGCCCGATTGTTGAACCAGGGTTTCAAATTCACCGGCACCGTGGAAGCTTGCCCAGACAGTCCTTGGAAGTGATTTTGAGGCTGAAAAATCACGGCTTGGATGGGACACACCAAGCATAAACACAGGACTTGAGACAAAAACATGTTTTGTGATGACACTCACGTTGAGTGGGCCCTGGAGATGGCGCCACGGCTTCTCTATTGATATAACCCATCCCATAGTTACTGTGCCATTTCCCCGCAGATTATCCAGAAAGCTTGCCGGATAAACAGAGCATGGTGATCGGCGTGCGGGGAATATGCCCGTTGCCCGAGAATCTGCCGATGAGGTGTGAGGGTTCACGGACCCGGCTGGAGTTTCAGTGGAAGTGGCGGATTTTGGGTGCCCGCATAGAAGGAGGGTGTGTGGGATTTGAGAGATTCTACAGAACAGTTGGACCGGCAATCTGCAGAATATCGAGCACCGGAACGGGCGCAACTCTTTATAAAGTAGAAGATACTTGTCAACATAGTATGATACAAGAATATGGCCGCTATTAAATGCAGACAGCACGTGAAAAATCATAAGATACACCCAGATGACCCAATTCAACCACTCTTGACCTCCTTCTCGAGCTTGTCCAACGCCTTGGTATACTTCGGCTTCAAAGAAGTGAGTGATTCTGACTTGATGTTGACACGATCGATGAGCGATGCTCGAGTAATGAGACCAGTGGCAATTTGGTTAGCGAACCAGTAGCCTTCACGGTGAGCGACCAGGGTCCAAGCAGATCCCTCACGGCCAGCACGGGCAGTACGACCAACACGGTGAACGTAGGTTGTGACACTAGTGGGGACATCATAGTTGACAACATGAGTCAAAGAGGGAAGATCAAGACCACGAGATGCACGATCGGTGGCGACAATAATTGAGATGCGACCTTGGTTGTAAGCGCGTAGAGTCTTGCGAGAAGCAGATGAGTTGTTTGATTTGACGATGGTACCGACACGCTTGGCGAGAGCAGGGTGGAGGAGCGCAATGAGGCGCGAGAGACGTGATGCTGACTCGGATGATTTGGTGAAGACAAGGACAGTCTTGCGTGATGGGGTCGGGACAATATCCATGGCATCTGAGTCCGAGGAGTCAGAAGAGTCGGAGTCAGAGTCAGATTCAGACGATGAATCGGAATCGGAATCGGAATCTGAGTCGGAGTCTGACTCGGAGTCTGAGCCAGAGGATGATGTGTCGTCGTCGTCGTCGTCGGATGATGATGAGGATTCATCGGAGCTAGTATCGTCATCGCTGCTTGTGTCATCGTCCGAACTGGTGTCATCGGAGTCAGATGTGCTAGAAGCGCGGTCATCTCCCTTGAGCTCGATGTGTGAAAGAAGAAGGCGTAAGAGGTAAAGGGGCTTGAGTGATCCATCGCCGACAGGAACCATACGCTCTGTGAGAGTTGATGGGAGTGTGAAGTTGGAATCATTGTGACCCTCAGTTGTGTCATCTTCATCAGCACCCTTCTCAGACCCGATGATGACCATCTTGGGGTTGGCAAGACGAAGCGAATTGAGTTTGGAGATGTCACGAGTCATGGTTGCACTGAGAACCACCTTTCTGGGTGGCTTGGCATCAATTGGCAGTCCAAGTTCTGATAAAAGCTTACCTCCGGGACCAAAGGTCTCCGGGGCCTGGCGACTGTCCAGGGAATTCATCACAACGTCAACCCACTCTTGGAAACTTTCATTCAAGAGACGATCAGCTTCGTCGATTACCAACCACTCAAGGTACTTCAGGGTAAATCCCTTGGTGTAACGGATGTGGTCAACCAGACGACCAGGCGTACAAATCAGGATGTCGACATTGGGCTCGGGTCGCTGAACGTGTTCAGGAAGAGATCCGCTTGAGCTTACTGCTTCGCTGACACAATCCTCAAGGTTTAGGTTCATCCAATCGTTGCCCTTGATACCCTCGCGCTGTTGCTGTTGAACGGCCGGGTTGTAGACTTGATCCACACGCATCAATAACTTTTGCTCTTCTTTGATGGCAACGTTACCAACCGCGCTTCCGATATGAAGTTTGGAGCCGGAGGCACATAGTTCACAAGCCTCTCGAGCTTGCTTCACCAGCTCTCGCGTGGGGACAACGATCAACCCCCGAAGTCGTGAAGCAGGTCTTGGGGGAAGGGCGGTCACAAGAGGGAGCACGTAAGAAAGTGTTTTACCAGAACCGGTGGCAGCAGAGACACAAAGATCTCCAGGGTGGTTCTCCTTGCCCTGAAGGAGGAGAGGAATGACGGCGGATTGCACAGCGAAGGCTTCCTTGTAGTTTTGCTTTTCCAGAGTCTTGAGTAGATCAGGTTTGATTCCTAGCTCAGAGAACTTCTGTGTATCTTCGGTGGATTTGCGCAAAGGGTTGGCCAGCCAAGGGGGTAGAGAGGAGTAGGTCGGAAGTTGCTCTAGCTCGGGTGGGTTGACTGGCTGAGGAAGGCGTTCCAAGCCTTGGGCGTAAATAGGCTCTGCAGCAGGCGTCTCGTCCTCGATGACCTCGGCTTGTGGCTTCTTGGCTTGAGCGCTTGCAACAGACTTGGTACGCTCGAACTTTGACATGATGCTGGAGTGCTTGTTCTTCGTTTTGCCCTCGTCATCTTTCGTAGGAGCTTCGTCCTCGTCCTTTGATGAGATCACAGGTGCAGGCGCATCATCCAGCTCGTCATGTTTTTCAGCGCTCTTTCGTTTGCTGCTCTTCTCCTTCTTTGGCTTCTCGCTGTCCATGTCGCCTGAGTCTGCAGATGTCTTTTTGCGGCGTTCTTTCGGGATAGTACTTTCTTTCCGGGTCGTCTCCGGGGAGCTCTCTCCTTGAAGAGCGTCCTTAAGACGCTTTCGCTTCTTGGAGCTGCCATCATCCGCGCCCTCTGCGCTTGGCGAGCTTTCGCGTTTCTTGGTCTTCTTCGTCGGGGTGGGAGTGGTAGCGGATTGGGTGGTCTGGACATCTCGCTTGCGCTTGTGAGACTGGGACTTGGGAGTTACATCAACTCGGTTGGAGGACTCTGGGTCCGATTTTTTGCCGGCCATCCTGCGGAATTCTGTGAACGTCGCAATGGTTGCTGGTTGGCTCAAGCAAATTCCTTTTTTTCGGGATGTTATTTGCCGGCAGAAAGTAGAATATCACGACCGCCCTGCGTACCGCCCTCCTTATCGCGGTACCACGAGGCGTCTCCTGTGCTTGTTGATGAACGGCAGTAGACTGGGTGTGCAAAACAGATGTGTTCGTCATGGAAAGAGAGTGGACACAGCTAGCACCATTGTCATCTCGGAGCTCTCACCCCGAGACATACCGCCACGATGCCTTACAACATTGCGTCCGTACCCCGTACTCCCTATCTACAGGTTGCGATCACTTGCTAATATGCTAGCTATAGTATGGTCAGTGACTTCTTCTTTCCTCAATCAGGTATGCTACCATTATCTCTCCCTTTCCATTGCAAAATTGACCCTTCTAGGTGGAATCGAAAGTCACATCTACCAATTGTCCTCCGTAAGCGCCCAATGTCCACCGCTGCGCCGCTCCTCCTAATCGTTTCCAGAAACTCATAGACCGAGGCCACAAAGTCATTGTCATTACACATGCATACAAAGGACGGACCGGGGTTCGCTACCTCACTAATGGTCTCAAGATCTATCATGTCCCATTCTTCGTCATTTATCGCGAAACGACCTTCCCCACCGTCTTCTCTTTCTTCCCCATATTCCGCAATATTGTGATCCGGGAGAACATCGATATTGTACACGGCCATGCAAGTTTGAGTAGCTTCTGTGGAGAAGCAATCCTCCATGCGCGCACCATGGGCCTACGGACTGTGTTTACAGATCATTCGCTGTTTGGATTTGCCGATGCAGCGTCAATCCTCACAAACAAGCTACTTAAGTTCACTCTCAGTGATGTGGACCACGCAATTTGCGTCAGCCATACCTGGTAAGTCGGTTCTGTGTGCGTTGTGGACCCTGGCTAATTCTGTGTAGCAAGGAAAACACCGTGCTTCGTGCTTCGCTCGATCCGTTGATGGTGTCCGTTATCCCGAATGCAGTAGTTGCGGAGAATTTCTGTCCCTTGTCCCATACCACTTCCCGCGCACCCGATCAATCACTGAGCTCACCTGTCGATCCTCCAATGTCTCCGAGGATAATTGGACCCGACGACCCGATTACAATTGTGGTCATCTCCCGCCTTTTCTACAACAAGGGTACTGATCTTTTGATTGCATCCATCCCGCGGATTCTCGCCTCGAATCCTAATACTCGATTTATCATCGCCGGATCAGGGCCAAAAGCAATTGATCTGGAGCAGATGCTGGAACGCAATGTGCTCCAAGACAAAGTCGAGCTACTGGGATCAGTCCGGCACGAGGAGGTCCGTGATGTAATGGTGCGAGGTGACATCTATCTCCACCCCAGTTTGACAGAAGCATTTGGAACTGTCATTGTTGAGGCTGCTAGCTGTGGTCTCTACGTTGTGTGCACTCGCGTGGGTGGTATCCCAGAAGTTTTGCCCCAGCATATGACCACATTTGCCAAACCGGAAGAAGACGACATCGTCCTCGCGACTAGCAAGGCCATCGCAGCCCTGCGCTCAAATAAAGTCCGCACAGACCGCTTCCACGACCAGGTGAAAATGATGTACTCATGGCGTGATGTCGCCGCACGCACAGAGCGTGTATATGAGGGCATCATCGGCGACATCAGTCCCGAAGAGTTTTATGGATATTATCCTGGCCAAGGTTGGGATGCCAGCGGCGATCGTGTACGCAGCTTTGCACTCGTTGACAGACTCAAACGGTACTACGGATGTGGTGTCTGGGCTGGCAAACTGTTTTGCCTTTGTGTTGTGATCGACTTTTTGATCTATGTTTTCCTTGAGATGTGGTTCCCACGTGCCAACATTGACATCGCTCGAAGTTGGCCGAGAAAGCCACCTGCCAGGAAATCCATTGACAACCAGTGAGGTGACGAGGAGTCAGGTCCACATGGTCATTGCTTCGCCGCCCTTATCTCTATTTCTTTTACTAGTTCAACTTTTCTGGCCTGAACCCGCTGTACATATATTCTTACTCATCTGGCATTAGGTCCACATTTACGACAGCCATACATACTAATATCACAAGTGGCAAAGGCTATCCCTCCGGGGTGGCCTTTCCCAAGAGTACTATTATTTTTGCTGTCTTTTTTGCTGGTTTTTTTTTTTTTTTTTTTTTGCTGTCTTTTTTACCTGCTGTTTTTTGTTAATAGACTACACGCAAGCGGTGACAAACCTTGGAAGGCTCATACAGTATTTACAACCCTGGAGTCACATTAACATGTATACAGAAATGACCTTGGGATAATTGAACGAAGAGCTTCGTCATATTCATGCTCGATTCCATATAAAATTCGCTGATATTATTTACAGGGGCAAACATTGTTTTTGATCATGTTGTTCGTGAACACATAAGGGATGACCAGCTCCCAAATCATAACTTAGTGCTTGTTCTGCTGACCCTTGTCACGCTTGGTGCGAGAGTCATAAGCCCACTCCTTATCCAAAGTCTCAGCAGATTCAGGCTCAAGCTCCTCAGCAGCAGCGCGAGCGGCCTTATTGCCGCGAGTGCCGCTCGAGACAGCCTCTTCTCTCTCCAAACCACGCTGCTCGGGGAATTGGCGCTCAATACCACGATCCTGCACCGAGGCACCGACTCCCTCTAAACCAGCAGTCTGCTTCTTGCGACCGTGTTGGCCGTCGTGGCGGACTTCGGTGTTCGTCTGACCCTGCAGCGGCTTACCGAAGCCTTGATCGACTTGGCCGGATGTTGCGCCCACAAGGGTGTCGGCTGCGGAAGTGAAAGTGGACTCCTTGCCATGGGCGCGATGAACATCGGGGTTGTTTGCTTGGCCGCCGACCTCAGAGACGGTGTTGGGAGTATAAGAGTTGCTTGCGGGGGCAGTTCCCTTGGGAAAGGCCTCCATGTGATATTCGGGGCGGTGGTCGGCTTCGTTAACCTTGACACCTGGCTTGTGCTATTGTTTGTCAGTAAAGGTTCGGCTGATTTTAACCTTGGAATAAACTTACACCCTGGGTGGTGATTGGGCCTTCCGGAGCAACAGAGGGCTTGAACTCGCCCTGCTTGGGGTTGGCCACGGAGTCGACGTTTGATAGAGTGCTCATTTTGGATATTGTATATGTATCAGAAATAACTTTTCAGTTTGACTAGATCTTTCTGAGCTCTGTCGACTACCTTTTTATATGCAGCATGAGGTGATATCAAACGCCTCAAGCATATGACGTCAAGCTGCTGGTTTCATCATTTACCATCAGTATCAAGATACCAACCCCACTCTAGATCTCATCATGGAGAATGATTGCACCTAGACTGAAGTCATGAGGCGATTGACCTGTTTCAAGAAGTGGCAAGCTCTTTGTTAGTTGTCGATCATCACTGTCCGTGACATCAAAGAAGTGGGTCATCACATCCCAAAGTGTTCATGCTGCCATCATATTGGTGGGTTCTGTGCCGGCCATGGTTTTTCTTGATAGAGTTCCAATAGTGGCCACGAGGTAAAGAAGTGTAGAGAAGCTATGCAGTAGACCCTCAGGGATGATTGCTTGGAATTATGGGGGTGGTCTTCTAAACACCGAGCTGTTAGTTTTCCATTATTTCCAATTTTTGAAGCTTCCTTTGCACCCTTGCCTTCTGACAAGTGTTCTACCTGGGCAATTATCAAAATAGTATGAATTCAAACATTATTGAAGGGAATTATACCACGGCCATGTGAGACCATCATATTAAACACCATATCGTTACAAGCCGGGATGTTGAATGGTTTCTTAGCAACGCGACTTCAACGCGATCGCGATATCCACAAAGCGAGGGATAAATTTGGTGGGCAGACTTGTCGGCCCAGTATTGGACACTCTAGGCCACTGGGGTACGCTTATGTCTGACCGGGCTATATCGCATCCGGCAGTCCTCCTGCGGCTAATGAGCCGTCACCTCGCATTCGCGCTTGCAAGCCCTTCGATCTCCTGGATCTACTCACCAGACCGACCTGATTCTGGTTGATTATTGGGATCTGTCGAAACAGAAACCTCCCAGTCACATCAGACACCTTTTGCAGAGAAATCAAAGAAGACAAGAGGATGACATCGGGAGGGGGTCTTCGGGGTGAAGATAGCGGCACGTGCGCCCGTACTCAAGGCCGTCTCCCCCGACCTCCTCTATCACTCATCAACCATCAATACATGAAATGGATGGAATGAGGGAGGTGAATAATACTTCGGCCGCGGGAAGCAATGGCGTTGATCAACAACGTCCATTTCCCTGTGACCAATGCTCGAAATTATTTACGCGGAGTGTAATGACACCACAACTTCCTATCTTCTTTGCCGAGCTCTAACGCGGATCTGCAGGAGAACCTTCAACGGCATAAGCGCGCACGTATGTCTGCATAGGCTTCTATGCGTGGGAAGCAATTACTTATGTTTACAAGGTCATAGTGGCGCCTCGCGAAAGAACTTCACGTGTAGCCGATGTCATGCCCAATTCTCTCGAAGGTCTTGTTTTCATCCACCCGCGCATTGCAATCGCACTGACATTTTTGCAGCGACGTCTACAAGCGACATGGTAATCGCTGTCGTGAGACAGGGGGTACACCTGCAGCCCGGGAGTCTCAGCCGCAGGTGCCCTGGGAGCCCATGCAGGGTATGCAGACCCCCGAGGCAATGGCGGGCATACCATCGCCAATGACCACCAGCCGCAATCAAGCCGAACGTGTTGTGACCGACGAAGCTTTTTGGGAAGAGCACAGTGCGTTCGCTACTGATATACCCCATAGTTACTCTTCTCCCTCGCCGAGGTATGCTCACTTGAACCTAATGTGGTTTAATCACCCTCGATGCCGTTCTCGAGTCAGAGGGCTGGCTTATCTATCTCCAAAATATGTCTGATAATCGAAAAATGATTCACAGCACCCACGCTAATGCCGAAGAAACATACGTGAAACACTACTTCGAGCATTTCCACCCGTCCTTTCCTTTATTGCATCGGCCAACTTTCGCAGTGTCCTCGACACCGAAATTACTACTGAAAGCCGTTACTGTCATTGGGAGTTTGTTTTCCCCCAATTCGTTCAACCGTGGGGAGACGCAAGCTATCCTACACTGGCGTCAAGATATATGGCACAGTGGACAAGAAGAGCTTCACCAAATGGTACATGACGGAACCCTACTATTCTGTCTCGGCAGCGGAAATCTAATAACGATTCATCCAGGTTTCCTCAAATTACAGTGAGATCAGACAGCCTTGGGCAATGCAAGCGTGGCTTCTCTATATAATATATGGGGCATACGCCAGCGAAGCAGGCCAATTCCAAACCGCGCAAAAGAGGCTTCGGCAACTTGTTGATGTTTGTATCGTCTCTTGAAAGTTTGTATCTCCTGTGGACTCAGCTTATCTTTGATACAGGCTGTGCACGAAATTGGCCTGTTGCAACAGGGCATCGCGATGCCAGATGCCCAGTCCTGGATGCATCAAGTTGACTTCAATTCACCCAGAGATGAGTCGCAAACACTATATACAAGGTGGATGTCCTATATCAACGCTGAATCGATAAGGCTGTCGCTTTATACTCTAGTCTTCCTAGACTCGCACGCCTTTTCTCCTTGCAATTCTCGATCTTTGATGTCACCGATGGAGCTTGGCTGGGAACTTCCCTTTCCCATCAGTCTATGGGAAGCCAGAAACCCTCACATATGGCTTTTGAGATTCAATGAGAACTTCGGGCTTTCAACCTTTTCATTAGCCAACAATCTTTTACACGTGCCACGTGGCCTGGGGACGGCGTCTCTGACCATTGCCACTCAGCAGCTCATGACTGAAACACCAGACTCGGAACTCTTAACGGCGTTAGATGCATCCCCTTTTGCCGCATTTTGCGTATTGACAAACATCGGTGTTCTAATTCGAGACTTTACGCGATGTTACTATCAAATGCCGCCAAGTCCGTCAGATCCCAATCCGTTCCATATACTGACCCAAGCTCAGAACAAGCAAGTGCACGCCGCAATAGAAGCGATCGCCAAGATTGTCAAAAAGCAGGCTTACAATGGTGATAGCCCTCAGTTTTTGCTATGGAGAACGAATGAGCTCTTTATCTCTTCTATCAAGATCAGCCTTTGTCGCCCAGATCAACTCTTGGTAGCTGGCATTGTGGACAATAGTCTGATAGCTGGGATGGCTGCATCTACTCATTTAAGCCAAGGCAACCTTGTCGCAATTCGGCGATCAGCACCCCTTGTTTCTCACCATGTTGGTGGCGACGAAGGGATCGTGGCTCTTCTGAGAGATCTATCGGTCGCATTTTCCAGCATCTTCGGAGAAGAACAGGATAAAGTGGCACGCGAAGCTCCATGGGTTACCGTGACCAGTTATGGGGTTCTGCTATGCATATGGGGAGCGCTCAAACGCGCAAGCAGTGATATCCGCCGCCACTTGGATACCTTCAACGAACTTCCGATCACCTCAGAATCATGCATACTGATTTTCAACACCCTCATGGAGTCAGTCCTTCTTCATTCTACAACCGAGAAAGATCGAGCGACACGAGACCCCCGCCTGTGGACCATGGATCGAGAAGCTTTCATTAGTCTGCTCGATGAAGGCGAGTCACTATTCGTTAATTTGATCAAGACATTCTGTCAGCGGCGGTCCTTGTGGGGCATTGGACCTTCAATGTTGGCTGTATTGGGCGAGATTCCCGGTACTGGGGTCGAGTGAAGTGCGGGGGTGCCAAGGTTGCTATCAGACAGTGGACGATCAGCCTTTGGGAAGAAAGTGGACGGCGCAGATACCGAGTGGAGCTCCACATGCCCAGCTCGTGTTCCTTATCGTTATAAACTTGCAGCACAGTGAACTACAAACGGCAAGCTACCTATTGAGACTAAAGCTTTCGGCAATTTTCCAATTCGACTGCAATCAAACGAGTCAAAATGACATCACCGTCGCTGAAAGTTGGCTGGGTATGTTATACTTCCAAAGTTGACTGCTGATTCGCTAATTGGTATAGTATGGCCTCGGATCAATGGGACTAGGAATGTCGCTCAACCTCCAAAAACATTTCAAGAGCAACAACGCATCGCCACTTCTTTACTCTAATCGCACTTTGTCAAAGGGTGATGTCCTCCGTGATGAAGGCGCGATACCCGAACAGAAGTTCGAAGATCTCGTTCAAAAGTCGGACGTTATTTTTACAATGGTAGGGAGGGGCTTTGGTTGCGAAGTTACATGCAGGTTATTGATGAACAAAAATAGATCTCCATGGACGACGTCCTGATCGAACTTTTGAATAAAGTATTGGTCGCAGGCGACACATTGAAAGGCAAAATATTCGTGGATACTTCTACTATCCATCTAGACACTTCGGAATGGGCCGCATCACACCTCAGTGCACATGGCGCAGTATTCATTTCAGCTCCTGTGTTCGGTGCTAGTGCTGTGGCAGCTGCCGGGAAGCTCATATTCGCGGTTTCCGGACCTACCAAGGCAGTTCAGACAATCAAGCCACTTATCATAGACGTTATGGGACGCAGTATCATCGATATGGGAGAAGACGTGCGGAAATCCAGCCTTCTCAAAATATCCGGGTAGGTAATCACGCGACTTTTGGAACGACCATCACCACTGACCCAGCCTCCCCCTTTTTAGAAACATTCTTGTCATCAGTTTCATGGAGGTCATTGCCGAAGCGCAGGTCTTTGCAGAAGTCACAGGCATTGGCAACCAACAATTGGAGGAGTTCATTGGCAATATGTTTGGTCCTGTTCTCGAAAGCTACTCAAAGCGTATCACAACTGGCACGTATGCACCGTCACTGGACACATCCCCAGGCTTTGCAGCGGCTCTTGCAAGCAAAGATATGAAACACGCTCTCTCAATTGCTGCCGGTCATGGAACTCGACTTCCAACCCTCGAAGTTGCATCGAGTCGTCTTACGGCAGCACGAGAATATGCTGGTGAGTGCTTGGATAGCTCGGCCATTTATGGAACAGGGCGATTAGAAGCGGGTTTGTCCTTTTGGAGAGAAAATAGCCGACAGGGAAATTGAGGCTTACTGTCTTGATCCAATTTGTGAGTGTAAAGTTGATTTTCTTGTTCTTCATTCACGAATTCACCTAGACATTCGCTCCGCGCGTTTAAGTTTGTGTCGCCACACAAAAGCCTTCGCTGTTTCATTGATTAAGTTTTTGATTTGAAAGAAATTGTAGTTGTCTAATAGTTCTTTTCTCCGGGTAGCTAAAACTCCGTGTTTTTCTGGTTGGGTTGTTGGGATACAACAGCTAACTGTGCAGATAAGAAAGAACGAAGAGCTAAATAAGTAGAGTAATAAGGTGATGACAGGGATTTCCACTTTAGGGGACATGAAAGATACCTAGGTATGATTGACTTCATAACACCCTCGGGAGCTCGGATTTTCTTTGACAACTGGCCAAGCATGATCCCTGCAAATTCATAGCGGTGCTGTGGCGGGCTTTTACTTGAATACTGGATCGGGAAACCAGCCAAAGAGAGCTTGCAATGATCGCCCAAAATTGACGAGTATGTTGGTTGACGGTTCTCTGAATGGATCGTGCCAGGTATGCCACCCATATGCATAACGCATGATCTTTTTGAACTCATTATCTCTCAGATATGAGAAATTACGAAGGCGAAGGTCCATGAGTGATTGAGGCGCTGTTTCTTCAAAGCGACGCTTGGGGCAGTATTCTCCCACGGGATATCCTGGGTCAAATCCATAGTATTGACGTCTGTTGCAGGGAACGTAGGTGTGAGTTCTCCATTTCGGGTCCTTTTCGTCTAGACCAGGACCCAAGTTAAACCATTTTGTAATAACAAGAGATTTTCTGCCGTCGATCTCGTATAATTCATAATCACAGATTGTGTGACACTTAGTGCACCTGGCGGGTCGAATTTCCACAAAGTTCTTCTCTTCATTGGCGTGCAACTTCAAGATGGGATCAAGTTTTCGGCGAACGAACTTATCGTGAATACATATTGCCAATGGGTCGTCGGAAGAAAAGGTATGCTCGATCAAATCACGCCACATCGAAACAAGCAGTATATCCTGTGTCCTGAGATAAAGGCCGAGAGGCTTGGTGCATATTTGTGCTTCCCGGGAGAATAGCCAAGTAACAGTTCTGAACGTACACGGCATACTGCATTCTTTCACTTGTACATGTGACAAGGAATCCGTGCTAATTCCACATTCGGGACCGTATTTGAACCTTCTCATAGCAAGCTTCAAGTGAAGGAACGACAGCTTCTGTATACAGGTACTGCTCGGTACATGATGAACTAGAGTCTCCCGTTCGTCGAACCAATAACTCAGCTGATCTTTACGGTGGACACACGGGAGTGGACAAGTTCTTTTGGGGAAAAATCCACTAAGTCCAAAACTTTCTGATCCATCGTAGCGATGGAGCAAGTTGCAACCTTCGCACGCGAAGTACTGTGGAGTATCTCGTTCCATCCGGATCAATATCGAGGATTTCTCTTTTGGTGTGAGAGGCGGCAAAAGTTCCATCATCATCGAAAGCAAACAGTAATGCCGATGGTTGCAAACAGCAAAGCAACAAAGATCGGCAGGTGGAAGAAAGTCTGATATTTCTAGCAATAACTCCGGGGCGAGTTCGGCGAGCGTCGTCATATCGAGAACTTCAGAAAAGGAACTGGTCTCTGTGTGTGGGTGGTGGAGGAAGGACTTTTCCAGAGTTATCAGATGATGGCAGTTGACCGATGCTCAGGTGGAGGATGAGAGAAAAATCTAAAAGTGTGAGAAAGAGAAGAGAGAGATGGTTGGTGAAGTACGGTTAATGATGACGAACGTTCCGGCGTAAAGAGGTTATCGCTCGCTTGAGTGAGTTTTTTTTGAGTGAAATACCTTATATACATATCAAAGAGTGAGGCTACATCTATATGGCCGAAAACTGATATGGCCGAAAACTGAAAGGTAGTAAAATCTATCGCGCGGCTTGACAGGTCCAACATTCAATATTTGGTCGAGGGCATTAATGTATCATTGCAGCGATAAGATGCATCGTTTTGTCGGATAAGACAGGTGCCATATACAAGCACGGTCCAGAGTTGGAGATTTCAGATATTGATCAGCTTGACAGATGAAGACCATGCACCGGCAACGAAAACGCCCAATTGGGGACATCGAGCTTGTTTGTCTAGATTGAGCAAACATGTTAAACAGGTCAAACACATCAAACATAGCAAACATGCCAAACATGCCAAACAGTGTCAAAAATGCCTATCTTTACCCGCGAGCTCGGACCCCATCACACGCATTGATAAAACTGATAAACCCGTCCACTCGCCTCAAAATGGAGCTCCACCGGGTCCGGGGTACAGCTTGAAGCTTGGCCACCTTCCCCATAGGTTGTATGCCTTTTCGATAACCTAATATCAGGGAGATTTAAAGAGAAAGACATGGCTGGGTGATTCCTTTGGAGCTCGGTTGCACTGTGCTGCATCCATTGAGACAATATGACCGCGCCAAATGATATGAAGTTGTCCGAGTTTGCTTCGAAGCATGATACAGAGCAAGCGGTGATGGATGTCCAGGATGGACACTTGAAGCATCACGAGATACGTGACCTTGACCCTGCTCTCCAGTTCATGAACGCAGAGGAGATTGAATATACCCCCGACGAGGCCAAACATGTTTTGTCCAAGATCGATCGAGTGCTCATGCCCTTGCTCTGTTGGGTCTATTTGATTCAGTTTGCGGACAAAACGTCTTTAAACTATGCTTCCCTCATGGGAATTCGTGAAGATACCCATTTGGACGCCAACTCGCAGCAGTATAGCTGGGTTTCCAGTATCTTCTATGCTGGGTACATCTTTTGGGAGTAAGTCTATTATCCGTTTACTGTACGTCTTCCAGATTCTGACACAACAACTTAGATTCCCCACCACCTATCTGCTTCGTCGTCTGCCCTTGGGCAAGTACACCTCGGTCAATATCCTACTATGGGGCATTGCGCTGGTCTGCCACGCCGTCGCTCATAATTATGCAACCTTACTATGCGTCCGTTTCTTCTTGGGCGCCTTTGAAGCCACAGTGACACCAGCCTTTGTCTTATTTACTTCTTGTTGGTATAAGCAAGAGGAACAAGCCAAACGCATGGGCCTGTGGCTCAGCTGTAACGGGCTGGCTCAGTTGCTTATTGGACCTATTGCTTACGGCTTAGCCGGTGTGCAAGGAACCACCATTGCCGTGTGGAAAATCCTCTTCTTGATTTTGGGCCTACCCACCGTCTTAACTGGTGTGGTATATCTCTGGTGCATGCCCGACAACCAAGTACAAGCCCGGTTCTTGAACCACCGCGAGAAGCTTATTGCCATTGATCGAATCCGCGGCAACTTCCAAGGCATCGGCAATCAAACATGGAAATGGCCTCAATTCTTCGAAGCATTCCGCGATCCACGCACTTATCTTTACGTTCTATTCTCGCTACTGATGAACATCCCCAACGGAGGAATCACCACCTTTGGCTCTATCATCATCAGCTCTTTTGGATTTTCCAACCGAATGTCCCTCATTTTGAACATGCCAATGGGAATCGTGGATATAGCCTGTAAACTGGGCCTGACCTATCTCTCCGATCGATTCTTCGATCGAACCCTCTTCGCCATAATCGCTATCCTGATTCCCATGATCGGCGGTATCATGATGATCGTGATCCCCTTGGACGCCAAAGCCGGCTTGCTCATTGGATACTACTTCATCGGTGCAGCCGGAACCGCCTGGTGTCTCGTGATGGTGATGATCTCCAACAATACTCTAGGATATACCAAGAAAGCAACAGTGAATGGTCTTCAGATTGTGGCCTATGCAGCCGGAAACTGGATCGGTCCTCAGACATTCCGCTCAACCCAAGCACCCGAATACTTTGATGGCAAACTGATGGTTGCTATCATGTATGCTATGGCATCGGCTACCTTGGTAGCAATTCGTGTCGTCAATATCATAGAGAATAAGAGGCGCGACCGCAAGGCGATCGCGGAGCCTGACACTGCCCATGCTACCCCTGGGTCTGAATTCTTGGATTTGACGGATTTTGAGCAGCCAGCCTTCCGCTACGTTCTCTGATTTTCCACACTTGAGTGCGATTTGTATTTTGGCGATCTTCACTCAATTTTAGTTGGTTGAGCTAGGCTTTCCATCCCTGGAAAGTGGAATTGTTTTGTTTGTCCAAACCTTGAAATATAGTCTCATAGTCTTTGTGTTTCTATGACATTTCGCACATCAATACTCATGGCTAATAATTGAACTTCCAGCCTAAATGTAAATCTAGCAAAGACCTCAAGTCAGACTATTTACACTTAAGTGAAGAATTGGTGTAAGTTACAAGGGCGCAAAGTGCCTGAGATCCCTGAGAATGCCTCCGTGTGTATTCAGATCCCCGGCTTTGAACTACCAAGAGTTTCGCTCGACTCAGAGGGAGTGGCGAAAGGCTGGCTGCTCAAAAGCATTCAAGTCTAGCTAGGCGTTCCTCCATGCCTGTCCTTTCTTCTATCTTCCTGCTCCTCTTTTTTTTTCTATCCTTTTTTCTCCACTCACTACCTACCTTGAAGTTACTTTAAAGATTCTTCTAGAGAGGAAAGGTTAAGGAAAGCTTTCGAATGCCCTGGCATGACTCCAAGTCTGTGAATTGATCTCTCACTCTTGTCCTATCGTCCTATTTCAAGGTTCATCCTTTATATACAACCAATGTCTTTCTTTTCTTTCGGCCCTATTCTCATGCTTTCATTATAGGTATGTCAAGCCACATATGCTCCTAAACCTCCTCTGCCAAACTCCGATTAGCGGCCAAACTGCCGTTGGCGATAGGAACAAACGACGGCATAATCGTTGATTGATCCACGATGTGACTCTCCATCTCCCCAGGGGCTCCGTATCCACCGCCACCAGGAGTCTCAATGACGAACCTGTCCCCAGGCTGAACACGGATTGAGTTTTTTCCACCAACGGAGATATGCCGGCCAGCCTTGGTGACCCAAGTATTCTTCCCACGCTTGCCGTCCGCACCTCCTGCCATTCCGTACGGCGAAAAGCTACGGCGCTCGGAAAGAATAGACACAGACATCGGCAGCCGCAGCTCAACATCTCTGATCACACCTTCTCCTCCCGGATACATGCCAGCGCCGCCACTACCATCGCGAAGACAGAAACGACGCAGAATAACAGGGTAGCGACGCTCGAGTGATTCAGGGTCGGTGATGCGAGTATTGGTCATGTTGGTATGGACGCCGCTTGTACCAGCCCAGGTGGGGCCTCCGCCACTCCCACCAGCGATGGTTTCGTAGTATCCGAAGCCGTTCTCTCCGTCGTTTCCAAAGGTGAAGTTATTCATGCACCCTTGGCTAGCAGCACAAATCTTGAAGCTCTTGAAGATAATGTCGACTATCCGTTGCGAGGTCAATACATTACCCGCACATACTGCAGCTTCGAAGCTTGGTCGCAACAGTGACCTGTCGGGGATGATGAGCTGTACGGGTTTGATACAACCTTGGTTGAGAGGAATGTCAGAGTTGACCATACAGCGCAAAGCGAAGATCACCGCTGAATTGCAAATCGCGATTGGGGCATTCCAATTTCCTAGGTTCAATCAGTGATTTTGGTCTTCGAGATGACTTGTCGGTGCCAACATACCATAAACTTCTGGGCCAGTTCCTGTGAAGTCAAAGATGGCGGAACCATCTGATGGGTCAATGGTCACTTTGAGCATGATCGGAGTTCCGTCATCCATGTAGTCGACCGCTGATATCTCCTCTCCGTTGTGATCTTGAGAAATACGCTTCAGAAGATTTCGCACTGCCAGTTCTGCTGAGTCTTGAATTGCGCGCATATACATCTGATTTCGTTAGTACAGCAGGTTTTTCTGACGTGCATATTCGGAAATACTTACTTGAACGACGTCCATGGAATACTCCTCAATGAGCTGCCGCACAAGTCGGATACCACAGTGGTTTGCAGCAACCTGTGCTTTGAGATCTGTGACATTATCCTGGAAGCATCGGGATCCACTGGATCCTGGGAACTCTGCAGGAACAACGCACAGCATGCGATGGAGCTCTTCCTCATCGAAATGACCAGCACGCACCAGCAAATATGAGTCGAAGACTGCGCCCTCTTCGGAGAGAAGCTTTGACAAGGGTGGCATTGAGCCAGGGAGTATGCCCCCGACCTATGGAGGATATGTCAGTTATTTCATCCATACATCTTGGCAAAAAATCAACTTACGTCGGCGTGGTGACCGCGAGAAGCAGCCCAGAATATGATATCTTTTCCATCAGAGTCAAAGACAGGTGTAATGACTGTGAGATCCGGAAGATGTACACCCCCAAAAGCTTCATCATGTCAAATCAGCGGCTGAATCGTTTTGAATTGCGATTTCGATTCAGAGCACTTACCAGGTGTATTAGAGAGCAAGACATCACCATCCTGTAGCTTGCCCTGCCACTCGGCAATTTGAGATCTGACTGCAAAAGCCATACTACCAATCATGGCGGGTACATGGGGTGCGTTGGCAACCAGATCTCCTTCAGGTGTGAATATCGCGCACGTGAAATCAAGTCGCTCTTTGATATTGGCACTTATGCTGACATTTTGAAGAACGCGTCCCATTTGCTCTGCAACGCCCATGAACCGATGGCGGAAAATGGAAAGCTGAACTGGGTCGATGACATCTGCGCTCGCCACTTTGGGGCCTGAGGAACTCACGTCCAGGACCAGTACATCCTTCACCAATGTCGCCTTCGAGTGTGGGCTAACCAAGATTGTCTGGGTCTTATCGATCACAAGGGCAGGTCCTGAGATATCAAGTCCATCCGTCAAATTTTCAAAATGGTATACCGGTGTGTCTACCCATCCAATTGGGTTGAAGTAAGTCGAATTCCATGATTTTGGAACTGGGGCCATTGGTTCAGAGGTCAACTTGGGGTGAAGATTCAAAGACGGGGCCGAGGTCTCAGAGAAAACACTGGACCCAATTGCTCGAGCGCGAATAGTGTCAACATAGACAGCGCGTTTGGTAGGAGTGAATCCAAATTGCTGATGATGGGCTGCGATAAAGTCTTCACGAGGATCTTTGGAGGTATGCAGGGAGACCATTATTGCAGTCTCGCTGCCATCGTATCTCATATTCATGAAACGACGGATCTGAACATTGTTGAATGGTTGCATCGACTCATTGCTTCGAACAACCTCTGAAAGAATTTCTATATCGTCGTATATTGTTTGAGACGTAGTGTGGTCAAAGGCTTTTGAGCACACCCGCTCTTCCTCGTGCACGAGATCTGCCAATCCAATTCCATAAGCGGATAGGATGGAAGAGTACTTGTGAATCAAGACTTTCTTTATACCCAGGGCTTCGGCGATAGCACAGGCATGTTGACCACCTGCGCCACCAAATGATGCAAGGTGATGCTTTGCAACATCATGACCTTTGGCCTCAGTCAGACTCCGAATGGGCCCGCACATTGCGGAATTGGCGACTTGAAGGAAACTGTAGTAAGATATTAGTAGCCGAATCAGATGCTTGTGTCGCTTGGTTCCACTTACCCATCTGCAACCTCAGCCCAAGTCAACGATTTGCCTGTCTCTGCGTTTATACTCTGGGTGAGATCCTTGAACTTTGCAAGAACAATCTCCCTGTCCAACGGTTCGTCTTCATTGACACCAAATACCGAAGGAAATTCTTCTGGGAGTAACCGTCCCAGCGCTAGGTTGGCATCGGTCACAGTCAAAGGGCCTCCTTGACGGTAACAGGCCGGCCCAGGATTGGAGGTGGCACTCTCCGGGCCAACAGCCATGAGACCGTCTTTCCAAGCCAGTATGCTTCCTCCGCCCGCTGCTATGGTATTCACGTTGAGTTGTGGCGCTTGGATCGCGATGCCCGCAGTCGTTGTTTCGAATATGTGATCGAGGTCACCGTTGTATCGACTGACGTCGGTGCTAGTACCTCCCATATCAAATCCAATCACAGGGGTCTGCTCTTGTGTGTCGAAAGATGTTTGTGAGAATCCTATGACACCTCCCGCCGGACCAGAGAGGATGGAGTGCAACCCCGAGAGCTTGGAGGAGGGTACCAGCCCACCGTCAGACTGCATGAACTCCAGTCGAGTTCCAGACTGTTCGATGTTGGGGAAATTCTTCAAGAATTGCGCTAGGTATTGTTCAATATTCGGAGTCAGGTATGCGTCGACGACTGTCGAATTTCCACGGGGCACTAGCTTTGGCCGAGGAGATGTTTGATGTGAAAGAGAGATGTATTTGAATCCAATCTCCGATGCCAATTCACCGATCTGCAACTCATGCGCTGGGAAGATATAGGAATGCATCAGGCACACTGCCAACGAGCGGAAACCCTTGTTATAGATATCTTGCAGATAATCCCGAGTACTTGTCAAGTCGATGGACTGAAGTACATGAACAACTTCGCCAGAAGCAGTAACGATCGACTCGGCTGGCTCGGGAGAAAGCAGCTTCACAGCGCGGAGGTTTGAGTCGCTGCATGCCCCAACCGTAACGCGCTCTTTTACTTCAAAGACATCTGAGTATAGCGGTTTTGATCGGCGGATTGACAAATCGAACATATATGGTCGGCTTTGGTTTCCAATATACAAGATATCTTTGAAACCTTCCGTGACGAGCAAGGCTGTGCGCTCACCTTTGCGCTCGAGTAGCGCATTGGTTGCAACCGTAGTACCCATGCGTATCCATTCTATTCCATTAGCAAATGGTTTTCGTCACTCGTTTTGAATTATGGCTCTCACCAACGTCCTTGAGGTCTAATTCAGAGCCCCGTGGAAGTGCAATTTTATAGTGTATCTCCAAAACGCGTCGAATCGCCTCGGTCGGCGCGTCATCGTAGTTCTTTGGGTCAACGGATAAGATCTTCACCAAGATGTCTTCTCCATTTGTCACTTTGCAAATACAATCGGTGAAGGTTCCTCCGCGATCTGATCACACCAGTCTGTTAATACAATGCATGATTGACCACATCGAGGTTCGAGACTCACCAATGGAGATGCGCAGAGGTTTGTTGTTGGTAACTTCCGGCATATTGAATTTATGAGAAGCTTAGTAGAATACAGGTGAATTGGCGAATCGATCAACACCGGGGTAGAAGGGGGTTAGCGTATCTATTTGAGTCATTGGGTGGCTTATCATTCAAACCCCGACAATGGACATGATTACTTTCAACACCGGAAGGGCATGTTGATTGACTATGCGCCCTATCTTTCCCCGCTTCGCGCATGTCTCCGTTGTGGAGCTGGTGGAGAAGGGGAGAAGCACAGTTAGAAACACGGTGATAAGACGTGCGGTGGAGCTCCACCACTCCACCGAGACAGACCTGCGGTTTGGATGAGCACGACACGACCTATGCTCCACCCTCTTTTCTGAAAGTCAAAGGCAAAGATGTAGCTCGGAGTGCGCTAATGGGGATGTGTCTCATAAATGCATCGATCCCGCGCTCTTTTGTGTCCATGGTCTGATAAACGAAGGAATTCTATCCTTTTTCAACACTTTAACTCCGAGTTTTCTTTTCCCCATCCAATATGGGATCTATTGGTGACTACTATGAGCTCAAAGCGACTAACGGGGTTGGGAACCGGCTCAAGCCCTACGAAATCGTGGAACAACCAAGTCGGCACCGTCGCAAAATCCGCATCATCGTGATCGGAGCGGGAGCGAGTGCATTGAATTTTGCACATGACATTGACACAAGCTCATTAGATACCGAGCTGGTTCTCTACGAGAAGAATCCTGAGATTGGTGGTACTTGGTATGAAAACCGCTACCCTGGGTGTGGATGCGATATACCCTCGGTCAACTATCAATTCTCATGGGCTCCCTCTCCTGACTGGACCTCCTTGTAAGTGCAGCTCACTCATTTTATTTTAAATAAATCAAACACTAAACTCACTGCTTGAAAGTTACTCCGGTGCACCTGAAATCTTGAAATATTTCAAAAGTGTTGCTGACAAGTACGGGCTTCGGAAATATATTCGCTTGGAGCATCGAGTGGTAGGTGCATCCTGGGATGATCAAATCCAACAGTGGCGTGTGAAAATCCAGAGAGGAGACAACCCGGAAGATGTTTTCGAGGATCAAGGTCATATATTGATCAACGCAAGCGGCGTGCTCAAGTGAGTATCTTTTCCTCTCCAGAGATGTTGAATTCCAAGGTTACAACGCTGACTTACTTCAGCAAATGGAAATGGCCCGCAATCAAGGGGTTGGAATCCTTCCAGGGCCACAAACTTCACAGTGCAAACTGGGACGACAACGTTGAATTGCAAGGGAAGCGTGTGGCTGTTATTGGCTCGGGTTCCTCTGCTGTGCAAATTGTTCCAAGCATTCAGCCAAGTAAGTTCAGCAAACCAAGGGGCAAGAGATAACTTATTGATGATGAAAACAGAGGTTTCCCAGCTCAAATGCTTCATTCGCAGTGCCTCATGGGTAACTGCTGGATTTGGTCAACGATTCGCAGGGAAAGGGGGATCCAATTTCAAATGTAAAGCTTCCACGTAGCAGGCCGTCTGAAATACTGACAAGAGCAGACAATGAGAAGCAAAGGCAAATACTGCAAAACGACCCTCAGAAATATCTGGCATACCGCAAGAAGATCGAGTCTGAGCTCAACTCTCGCTTCCGATTTATCCTCAACGGATCCGAAGAACAAGCCAATGCACGAGCTGTAAGATTCTCCTCCTGATCCAGTACACCTTGATTTGCAATATCTCTGACATTGAGATTGTTTTAGTATGCGGAGAAGGATATGCGCACAAAGCTTGCTGATCGTCCAGAAATTGCCGACTCAATTGTTCCGAAGGACTTTGCAGTGGGCTGTCGTAGACCTACACCAGGAAACGGATACCTGGAGGCACTTTGCAGCGAGAATACTGAGGTTGTCAGTCAATCGATTGAGGAAATCACCCCCAAGGGTATCAAGACTGCAGATGGCGTCGAGCACGAAGTCGATGTCATCGTGTGTGCTACCGGCTTCGATGTCAGTTGGCGGCCATCGTACCCGACAATCGGCCGGGAGTCTCGCAGCCTGAGTGAGGAATGGAAGAATATTCCGCGCACTTACCTTTCGATCACAGCCCAGCACTTCCCCAATTACCTCAGTGAGTCTCTCCACATTTTCGATTTCAAATTGCCAGAATGCTCATTTTGGCATGAACAGTTTTCAATGGTCCCTTCGGGCCCTATGGCCACGGAAGCTTCCTTCCGATCACGGAGACCATATCGAGACACTTCCTCCAAATGCTTGAGAAAATGTCATCCGAAGGTGTGACATCCTTTGAGCCCAAGGCCGAGGCAGTGGCGGATTTCTTTGAACACCACCGGAACTTCATGCCTCGAACTGCTTGGACATCACCCTGTCGCTCATGGTTTAAGCAAGGAACGGTAGATGGTGAGGTTATGATGTGGCCAGGCTCGAGGATTCATTTCTTTGAGACTATGAAGCAACCTCGATGGGAAGATTACAATCTCAACTATACGACCTGCAACCGGTTTGGTTATCTCGGTAACGGCTTTGCCGCACGCGAGTTTGATGGAAGCGACCTGTCATGGTATCTCGGTACCATTGATGGAAATGAGGAGGCGCATCTTCCAGACGAGGACTTTGAGGCTTTTATGACCTACTAAACTTGGATGAGCTCCCCAAACAGAGTTAACGCATGCACATATATGGACATCTGATATCATTGAGTAGCTTAGAATGCCAAATGATTCCTAGAGATCAAGAGTCGGAGGCCTCGCAGCTGGCCCAATCCTTTCTCCATCAGCGCACAACGGGATTTTGCGTAGCTTTGCTTTTCAATTTTTCCAAATGTCGGAGTGTTGATGTGAAATGAACGATGCTAGCCAAGAAAATTGACAATTAAACCAGCACAGAATACGTGAAAAGGCGGGCAAAGATGATGAATGTGGTATCTGAGTATACCTGAAAATAAAAAAAGCTTTTACGACCACTTTCCTTTAGATATTTTTTGTTTTTTTGTTTTTTTTTGCCATCTCGGCCGAGCACCTTTTATTAAAGTCTGTACGAAAGCGGCCACGGTTGCAAAAATAGCATTAATATTCACATTCACGTATACAAATGGGTTATCGATCATGCTGCCCAGTTTTCAACCAAGTCAGCCAAGGCATCTTCATCTCCAACGTTGCCAGGGAAAATAATCAATGGCAGTCCAGTCAGCTTAACCTCCCTCCCTCCCTGATCCAGGTTTTTGAGGTCCTCCTCTCTCTTGCACCACCAAACCGGAACTCCAGGCGCAGCTTGCCCCAGTATTGTCGCACGCTTGATGGCTATACCGGCTGTGGCCGCATCGGAGGAAGTCACACCCCCTTTGGCTAACAGGTACCGAGGGCAAACTTTCAAATGCCGCACAACATGAACCAGCGCATTTGCGGCTATGTTGTTGATGTCCAGGTTCGTGATTTCTTTTGATGTTTTAGATGACCAAATATTGCTGGAATCCAGAGTCACAAGATCGCGACTGGTCATGACCAACACATCTTTGCCACCAAGTAGATCTTCAGAAGCCTGAGCCACAATTCCTTTCAACAAGATTGATTGACGAAGCATTGCTGGGATGTCGGAATATTTTTGGAGCTCGCTCAACAGGGCGGGCACTTCCACAACGAGGGTAGTCAGATTATCGCCTGACCTTTGAATCAACGACTGGATTTGTTTGGTAGACTTGGGAACATAGGATCCCGCCACAATAAGTCCTCCTGTGCGTCTCACTTCGGAGGCTGAGATTTCGCTCGGTACAATTACTGGCTTCTCCGAAATACCGAGGCGACTGGACACAAAGCTCGCCCCCGTTCGATACGCAAATCGTAGCTGATGCTTCTTGCGCACTGTATAATATATGTTAGTTGACATCGACAATATGAAGTGATTACAAAAAGGTAAGAATACGTACCTTCCAACAAATCCAAGCTGAACTTAAACATGTCTTCCACCTGGATTGCATTAACGATGAGGATCCCACCTTTGGGTATCATGAGCAACTTTCGCTCGATTGCAGCAGTTCCCCCTGCCTGATCTCATCCAAGGTAACAGAGAGTATATCTTTGCTAGAAAATCGTGATCCTGCCTTTTCACGAACCCACTCTCTGAGGTTGGAGGATTTGTAGCCAAAGGTTCTATCTTTGGCATATGGTGTGTTTGCAGCTGGAAACAAGATGCCTTGGTCACCAACATACTGCACATCGTTGATAGTGTATCGAGCACCCGGCCCGAAGAACGGGGCCAGAATCCATGCATCTGGAGATCCGATTGTATCAATGTATGACTCGACCTCTTCCAGAAAATGGCCACGCAGTGTGGAGTCTCCTCGAAGGACAACTTCAAACTTTTGACCAGTTGTATCAGCTGCCTGGGAGACATTTCGCAGTATTTCCTTGACTAGAGCTCGGGCTTCATTGGAAGGCAAAGCGCGACTATTCGTCAATTAAAGAAGCCACTTTTGTGTGATCGAAACTCCGAGGCCAGAAGATCGACATCCCACATAGTGAGAACATGAATATCGTGGCATGTCTGTGTTCCAGTTGGATCATCATCAAGAACAACTAGCTTGCAATTATTCTCGGCTCGCAAATGGCTCCGAATACTGCACATAAGGCCTTCGGTATTTTCTTTAGATTGAGGCGGACTTAAATTCAATTCAGAAAGCGGAATTGAGTCATATTTGGTGATATGCAAGGGTTCGGCGGAAAGGTCAGATGTTGTCCACAGCTTGAGGAGTGCTGTTTGGCCCTCCCCACCCAGGCCATAAGTCACAGCCTGTTGTAAAAGCTGAAATGTGGTAGCTGCGAGTTGCAGGGGATAGTTATGCGTCTGGGCAAGGGTCATCACTTCTTTCTGTCGATTCGATTAGTCCGGTCAACCTGGGCTTCGAAGAGGATAGACCTACCAACATGTCCCGGGTCTGAGTAATTGTATATCCCGATGAAAAATCACCAGCAACGATCCTCGGCGCAATCTTTCTGAAAGAGTCGCTAGCACCTGCGGCATTTGAAATGATCGGTGCGAGGGTGGCGCTGGAAATGCCGAGTTTATTTCCGAGCGCTAGAGCCTCAACTGCTGCTAATGTATGAACAGTCTCAAGTAGCCGACATAACAACTCATATAGCCGCGAACTATCGGGATTCTGGTTCGTTGTCGCTTCCGAAACCAGAGATGGGGTTTGTGCTAGAAAAATTCGAACTAGACTTGCATCGTCGTCCTTTTCATATCCCATGCTTGCGGCATATTGATAAAGTCGTTCCGTCGCCGATGCAATATAGAGAGGAAAATCTTGAATGAGGCCCTCCGAGGTCACAATTCGCTGAGGTAGATGTCAGTGGGAAGTTTAGAAACGGGGTTCCACTTGGGCTTGGGTAGCCCTAGGGGGGCCGAGCACTTACCATATCCTTGACGAAGATGCTGATAGCAGAGTGCGGTGTCCAGTCATTGGAGAGCATATGAGGTACACGGTTTTCAAACATCCAACTCCACGCTGGACCTTTGAGAACAGTCTCATAGAATTCTTTCGTACTCACCCCCAATGTTGCAGCTAGCCCCATTGCCTCTGCAGAAACCGCGATATGAACACCAGCAAGGTGCTGATTGATGAGTTTGACCTTATTTGCACTACCCAGCCCGCCCTCGATGTCATATAAATTTTCACTCATTGACTTCAAGATTGGTTGGGCGGTCTTCAAAACATCCGTTCGGCCCGATGACAGGATGGTCAACATTCCTTGGCCCGCACGAATGGTTCCACCAGAGACAGGACAATCCAGTAACTGAATGTCTGGTCTTTGGAATTCTTGTTTAATACGATTCAAAAGTTTGACCGGGAATCCCGGAGCAACAGTTGAGCACAAAATGACAATCGCGTTCTGTGTCAGGCCAAGTACTGCGCCCGTTGAGTCGGCGAAAAATGCGTCCTCAGTCTGCGTAGAATTTGCAACCATGCAAATGACGAATGATGCGTCTCGGACGCATTCTTTTGGACTAGAAGCAGCAGCACCACCCATGGCGAGCAGTCTCTCAAGGGCCATGGGATTGACGTCGAATCCTGTCACAGCGAAACCGTCACTGAGCAGGTGTATCGCCATCCCAATTCCCATAGCACCTAGCCCAATGAAGGCAACATTGGGTTTAGAAGCCATTTTCTCGTGGGTCCTTTTGGTTGGACTTTGTTGATTCGGCGTGAATAATGGGTAAACACGGGTCCATGCGAGATCCACGAATTCAATTTGGATCCGATGCAGTGGGGAAGCGAGTCTCTTTCCGCCAGAAAGTGCGGAGATGAGAGACTAATAGTACTCAGCCTTCCATTTTCGCGCTCATGTCTAAGTGACTAAATCCAAATGAGTTAATCGGAAGGGTGTTGAAAATGAGCTCCACCACTCCACCGCGCACTCCACCACTCCACCAAACATTCATCCCCACTAGTCCTCACCAGATACTACTAGATCGCATTTGGTATAGCGTTCTCAGGGATCAAAATAAAGCCTTGAACTACACATTGAACCAATACATCCTTGGGGCATGTTTGAGTATTGTTGGCCCATTGGGAGGTCGTTGACACAACCTCTCGCGTTTCCGGGCCGGACAATTAACCCTATTTTGACAACGTCCCAAATATGCCATATGGTATATCCTTAGAACGAACCCTACAAATTCTTTTGAGCAAAATCAAGGCAATGAATGTTCTAAAGCTCTTCTGACTTGTAGGAAAATCAAAGTTATAGAATCTCAATCATCCTGGGCCAAGTCAGCCATCGCTTCCAAGGTTTTCCGGCCCGCCTGATACCTGCTGGCATCAAAGCTGGAATCTAAGGGGTAGAGAATTGGCCATATTGTCTCCAGCTCTATATCAATATTCATCATTTAACCATATGTATTTTGCTCGTTTGTCTGGTTTACATATTTTCGGCCGACAAGGAAGGGGGCTATTTCTCTTCTGAGGTAGGACTGCTGTATGTCCCGATGCTGTGGGCATTTCAACTATACTTCACCTCACTCCAAGTTCCTTTGTTTTTTTGTCTCAATGTCTTTCTCCCTGCTTTGTTTCTCAGCATGCCTCCCAACTTCTTCATTTCACTACCCTCTGTTCCTCTCCCATCTACTCCGTTTTACCGGATCCAGGCTTCCTTGTCTAGATGCGACTTTGCTCAGACATCGCGATGTCCTCAAACCCATCTGATATCTCATTCAACGTTTACAAGGTCGAATATGTCGGTACACCGAACCACCAAGCCATCTACGTTGAAACCAATCCCACAGCGTCCCAGACTCGAGGAGGTAACCTCTATCACGTTTCTGGAAATCTCCTCCATGGCATGAAGTACGAGATCAAAACCTCATACAATCTGGAGTGCTCGAAAATTTACATACCCAGATTGACACGAAAGATCGGGATCATTGCCCAAGCAGACCTACCGAGATTTGTGGCAGAGTGTTGCGAAGAAGTGAGACCACCACCAGCTCAGCTTTCTCCCGATAAGAAGCGTCTTGGCTTAAATCACGCTTTCTATCGCTGTGGACAGTGGCTTGAAGATGTCGTTGACCTGGCATTTGCGAAAGGAATCTTCAAAAATCCCCAGACGGTACGCCGAAGAGCTCAGCGTGAGATGTGTTTGAAGCTCTAACGGTCACTTCAATTTGCAGGACCCTGAAGAATCCCCTACCGAGGAGACATCTTTAGCCGGAAATGTGCTGCTGGAGTCGCGAAACCGGTCCCATGTTCAGCTTCACAGAAGACGCCGTTCACATTCCCTTTGAGCTTACCAAAATCGAGTCAACGGCCCGCAGGACGAGGCTTTGATGTGAGTACGAAATGGACAAGACCGGAGGAAGACAGAACTCGGAAGGATCGCATTGGAGATTGGTCTCTGGTCAGAGTTGGCCTTGAGATAGTGGACATGTGTGTATCGCAGAGAATTAGCGGGAATCAACTGGGCGTTTCAAATGTTATATTGCTTAGTCCGTTATTCATGACAAGCCTCAATGCAGTCTTTTGAACTGTCTTTCTGGCTGTCCTTCCAAGGTTCCAACCAATTGTCGAGTCATCATGATTGGCGGAGAAGAGGAATCTTTGGCTAAGCCGTGAACAGAAAATTAGGGATTGGGGATAAACAGACCAGAGGGGACATTGGTTCTGCGAGAATGTGATCTTTCAATGTGCACTTAATCGGTTTCGCGTGCTGTTCACAACAGCAAAGTCTGCGGTAAGCCTGGTATGTAAACAAGATGTAATTATCATTAACAAACGCCATTATGTATAATATGCTGCGCTCAACATGGCATGTACTGAAAGGTGACCTCGGGATCGAATCAACGCATCACAGGAGGCCGTCCCTCTTTATTCCACTTTACACGACTTTGTACCCACTCCACCGCTGCCTGTACTCCAGATCCAAGAAGCGCACTGACCGGCAGCACACGACTGTCCCGAACGCCGCCGCCCGATTCTCCCTCGAACACCTTGCGGACAAGGCCCTCTTTGATTCGGACGACTTCCACGCAGTCCTCCCGGTCTTGTTTGTTGGCCAGCACGAGAATGGGAACTCCGGCCACGTCTGCGTTTTGTAACACGGACTCGAGAACCTGTCGGCACTCGTCTAACCGCCCAAACTCACTGCTGGCTGCGCCTATCCCGACGTTATCTTCTGTGAATGCTTCTGTGCTGGAGTTTCCGCGCGTGGTACGCGTTCCGGCCGCAGAGCTCCCGCGTCTTGATATGAGTCGGGCGATATCAGGGTCTTGTCCAACATCTGCGCTGTCAACCACGAAGATGATCGCGTGACAGCTAGTATAGTAGCTCTGCCAGAGGCCTCGCATAGAGATCTGACCCCCCACATCCCAGATCTTCAGGTTCATATCGTGCAAGGGTATCGTTGCGACATTTTGGCCGACGGTAGGGACGGTTTTTCCGGGATTGGGGGCGGGGGCGCCCTCCGGACGGGGCTGATAGAGCGCCTTGATCTGGGAGAGGAGAGTTGTTTTACCAGCATTGTCTAGCCCGAGTAGAATCACTGAGTATTCTGCGCGACAAGTCAGTACCGAGTAGAAGCAATGCGACCAAAGGTCGCGATCGGGAATGGGGTGTACCTTCTTTGCTCGTGGCGGCTAAGTACAGCGACTTGGCTAGGTGATACATGGCACCGGAGCTCAAGGCCACGCGCGATTCGGAATGAAGAGAGGAACGAGATTAGAAAAGGCAATCATGGCATTGCCGCTGCTCTGCTTGCGGAGTGAAGCTCAAGGCTGGCCCGCGCGGCCGCGGCCGTTCCAGCCGCATCCGCATTAGGAAATAGGGCTTGGCGCTCGGAGCCCTACTATTCCGATCTTAACTTTGCATTGCTTCTGTGCAATTGTTTCTCCCCCGACGAACCCTAAGTTTTGGTGGAACCAACAGCTCCTTTCATCTTACGGGGAAGCTGTGTCCCTGTGAATGGCCCAAGAAACCGGTTGTCGGAAAAAGTCGAGGGTCGCAAATGTCGTACCATTGCTGTCGGCGAATGAATGATGTGGAGATGTCTCCCCCACTTCCGGTTTGTCAGCTTGATTATTGATCGCTTTGGGGCGATACGAAGGCTTCCCCCGGTTCCCGGGGCTTCTCTCGTCTGAATATCAGACGCTCTATGGCAGACTCGCCTTTCAGTCCGTGAAAGAAGGCTCAGCTTCCATCGGAAAGCGTTTCCGCGGTCCGTTCACTCACCATCGCATGCCGCTCTCCTCGTCGCATGCCTCAACCAGTATGCTCCAAGCTGGAATACTACTTTGAGATATGCCGCCGTCAATGGAGATTGACACTGTCATCGTCGGTATGTGTGCTTCGACTTTGTCGTGGGCTCTCTTTTGCTGGGCCCCCGCATTGAACCCCGCCGTCTCCGCGTTATCTATGAAATTGCGCTAACCAGTTTATCACCAGGCAATGGGCCGTCGGCCATGATCCTTTCGTACATTCTCCACGGTCATATCCCTTATTACAAGTCCAATCCGCCACACCCTGATCATCTTTTGGACTCCAAGTTGAAGGATGCACCAGATCTTTTGAACGCAGACGTCGATGCTCTGACAGCTCACTTCGACGCTTCACGGTTGTCCTACTCAACGCAGGCCCTACCCGTCAACGTTTTACTGGATACACTTGTCCGACCAAGCGTAGATGTGGACGAGCCTGGCTGTATCTCAAATGTCGAGTGGCGCCATCAGCCCGAAAAGGCTGTATCACACATGGTTTTTGGGAAGTCCTTGAAGCCTGGAGGCCAATGGACAGAAGACCCTTTGGGCGCGAGTTGGGACATCCAAACTTTGAGCTATGCAGCGATGCTCTCCTTGCCCGGGTACTCCTTTGCCGACCACCACATGGCGACCACGGGTAAGGATTTACCATCATACACAAGACCCACGCGGCGCCAAATCGCGGACTACTTCGCTGCTTATCCGAGCGCTGCAGGTGTCGTCAACTCCTTCAAGTGTGGTGAGGAATTGAGCGGAATCTCACGAACCACGGGTGGGTTTTTCATACGTTCCCATGATATACATTGCAAGCGGCTCGTTTTGGCAAGTGGGATCTTCTCCGAAGTTCTTGCACCGGAGCCTTCGTTGCGCCCGCTTCTACAAATGAAGTGTGTACCCGAGATTCCCATCCTCGTTGTCGGTTCCGGCTTTTCCGCGGCCGATGCAATCATCTCCGCCTCCCCTGACCAAAAGATCTTACACTTATTCAAATGGTCTCCAAACGAAAGACCTTCTCCTCTCCGGGCTTGTCACCAACAGGCATACCCCGAGTATGCCGGTGTCTACCGATTCATGAAGCGCGCCGCACTCAGTGCCGAATCGAAGACGAAAGAGCGACCAAAGGCCCGTCGCGCCACTTCGACTCCATTCCTTGAAAGCAGGAATTGGGATGATATTTATCAAGGCCTGCCTAATGTTGAGATCATCTCCACAGAACTCGATGGCACCAATGCGACAGTGACTTTCCGCCGCCCGGATGGAACCACGTTCGCTCATACTGTGCGAGGCCTTGTCTATGCCGCTGGCCGGCGGGGCACACTAGATTACCTTGATCCTGAACTCAGCTGTGAAGTGCTGGGGCAACCAGATCAGGGAAACACCGTGGTTACCGGACAAAGTCTTCGCGCAAAGGCCGTTGAGAATCTCGAGATCGCCCCGGGTGTCTTTATCATCGGAAGTTTGACCGGAGACTCTCTGGTTCGTTTCTCTTATGGCGGATGCGTCGCTACAGCTGGCCATTTGATGGATAGCGAGCGCGACACCCGCAGCATGTGCAGTAGTCTTGTCTCGTCGGCTAAACTGCATGGGTCTTCGCTGTCCGTCATGAACGGAATGGACGGGCATCTGGTCTATCCGAGTGATACAGATCTCACCCGTGAAGACACCTTCAGCAAGATATCGACCGTCACAGATCAACCCATTGTGCGTGGCTGGTGGAAAACAATATCCCGCATGTGGAACGGCCTCACGCGATGATTTACACAACAATATTTTCTCTTGTACACATACAACCAAATACAACAAATAGATACACGCCAGTTTTGTTAGCACATATGGAAGATCTCCACAAGGACAGTGGAAAAGACAACGGGATTTATGTCTTTAACCTGGTTAACACTCGTCATGAAATGGCACACACCACATAAAAAGCGTAAGCCAGGGGTTGAGCACACAGACGCCACACATTCGTCATAAAAGGGAATTCCGGATCAACTGAGATGCTGAACGAGGCCAAAAAGAACATAGCCCAATTGATGCTCTGCAACACAACGCGACCAATTCGGAACCCCTTGGAGCCAAGACTCCCGATCATCAAGGAGAACAGAATCACTCCGTAAGTTCCGGTGAATGCCAGGATGAGATACATCCAAATGAATTGGAATTCGGCAATCACCGTGGATCTGTCCAGTTTGTTGAATGTGCCTTGACTTGCGACAACGATGACCAAAAGAGAGTACGCTGAGAAGATGGTGACGCAGTATATGGCGCGAAACCTTTCAGGATATTCGTACCAGTTACCCTCTGGGCTGTCCGGGTCATCAGTGCTATCAAGATCATCAAAGATTTGATCATTCGAAGCAATGACACAAGTCGAGGGCTTTGATTTGAGATTGGGCTCTTTGGGTCTGTTTGAGATGGTAAATCATTGTATGAGGCAGCTTTTCATTGGCAAATGGTCCGTTTTACCACTTACCATGGTCAAAATAGCCAATTATAGTTACTAGAGGCGCAGCTAGCAGCATGACAGATATTACTTGACCAAAAGTCCAGGCACTCCTTATTTCCCATCCTGACTGTTAAGTATGCATCCTGAGATACTGAGCAATATACATGTGTATACAGGCACTGCGGAGGCAAGAGATATAAGTACTACCTATATACAGGCTACTCGTTTAGCCCAGCGGAATATGGCACACACGGTGGCTGTATATCTTCTAGCACAACGCTTAAGACTTATAGAAATCTCACCAGCTTGGTGCGATCGAATATTCATTCCAGGCACCCCTATCCGCATCTCCGAATTTATCGATCCCTCCCTCCACCCCATCTTCACTCACTGTCCACACACCACTTTCAACCAGCACTATCCACCGTTCAAACAGTCTCTCCAATCTCTGTGATCGCCGTTCACCCCCAAATGGATGGAAGTAGCCATGTTGAAAGAGTTCCGTGAATGAGCCCGAGGGAACTGGTCTCCCGTCACTCATCCTAGCCCCGTCCTCATCTCGGAAGAAACCAGGTCGTAATGCAAATGGAAGCACGAGACGGAAACCTGCCTCCTCCATATCATAATCCCTTCGGCGTACAGGTTCACTGTAGAGTCCAGTGGGAACAGGATCGTTGTCGTTTATACTCACATTGTCATGTGCGGTGGAGAACAAGCGGCGAATCTCGAGGTTGAGATCCACTAACCGGTCTGGAGATGCGAATAGTAGGATCCCTGGGATGCTATCCTCTTCATGGGGTATATAGGTAAACCTCTGGCGCCTCGCAAACGCCTCCTTATCATGCGGGACCTCTAGCCCAGGTGCAATGAATTTGAAACGCGGAGTTTTAACTCGTGTTAAAAGCGACCGAATAAAGCAATCCTGCGGCACGGCTGCTGCGTCCAGTTCTGCACCGGTAAAAAGTGGTGCAGAGATAGGCAGAAGTGAGTCAGGAGGCATTCGAGATTCGACTACAGCCGAGTAGCGCTCTATCGCAGCTACAGTGCTGTCGATTTGGGAATCGCAGTAAGGGAGCCACGACCACAGATTAAATTGCGATCTATTCGTCGGGGGATCACCAGAAGGGAGTTCTTCAGGAAGCCCAGGAACAGCTTTACCAATCCGAGTCATATAGATCCACTGGGTGAGAATAGTCTCCAGCGAGAACCACATTTCCTCGTGCTCATCAATAGGCTCCACACTTTCCATATTGTCTGTAGTCATTGGGAACGAGGCCCGATTGAGCTGCTGGTCATAGACAACACCGAGGTTATGCCCACCCAGATCCGCAATAGTGCGATAAATTAAAACAAATCGCTCCTTGTTCTCCTCCATCTCATTATCATCGATAAAATACTCGTCGCTGAGCTCCATCACAAGTCCGTCAATCCAATAGAAGAAGGGCGGCCTAGGATCATAGATTAAATCCAGAAACTTGTTAAGCGGCGTATTAAGACGCTCCCGAATAGCTTCGACCTCCTGTTTGCTTCATGGAAAAACCACTTTTCGCTAGCTAGCACATCAAGGTCGGGCGTGTCTCTTCCGTTGCGGGCCATCCAGCCATATGCGACCAGGTAATTGTGTAGTCGGGCGCAGCGCTCATAGTCGAGAGTGCCGTCATCACGGGCCGGGTTGTCGTCGGACACTAGAGCGTCTTCGATATCTAGGATATATTGTGGGGTGGCGTTCATGGTCAAAGTGATAGCGAGTAATCGGTCTACGATAGAGCGTATGTGTAGCAGTAAATCGATTCTAGCTAGGCAAAAGAGGACGGGGAAAAGGAAGAAGAGAAGAGAGAGAGCGAGCTATCTATGCCCTGACAACCGGGTCACCTGACCACCCAACACAAAGTGATGTCGAAGGGCAGGTCTATCAGTAGAAGAAAGTATGAAACGTTGGAAGTCACTGGACGAGAAAGGTTGCCACGGCACTAGAGCAGCTAGAAGCAGCTAGACGAGTATTATTGGAGAATCTTGGAACGCACCAATCAAGATGGCGTGCGGCAGACCCTGGACTGGTTTCAGATCAGGGTGTATTTTACGAGCATAGTTCACGTTCGAAAGGGTTATGTCTCCGACTTATGGAACTGTACAGTGACATGATTTATTTGTCCGCCCTATGTGAGAGGGATAAATGCTGTCAAAGTTACAATAAAAGTGGTGAGGGGTATCGAGAGTATTGATTGTATGAGAATTTCAGGTAAATTACACATAAGCTTATCATGTGAATTTAATCACAATACATTTTGAGATAACTTATTGAATTACGCTAAGTCATACGAAGACTTAGCTAGGGTGTTTCAGGTTTGAGTTTGGGAAAGAATAAAAGAGAGTATACCAGGGAAACTGATTTCGAGGGGGTCTGTACCAATCGACTATGGAGGAGATAGAGCAGCAATCAGCGGCCAAGTCATGGAAGGCGCCCGGTAAAGACAGCCTACCGGCGATCGTATGGAAGATGACCTGGCCCACAGTCAAGCACAGGATCCTCGACATCTTTCAAGCCTCACTGCAAGAGGGCACACTGCCAAGACAGTGGAGACACGCGAAGATCATACCGCTCAAGAAGCCGATTAAAGGTGACTACACCATTGTAAAGGCATGGAGGCCCATCTCACTCCTTGCGACCTTACGACACTCGGAAAGGTACTGGAATCAGTGATTACAGAAAGGATCTCACACGCGGTAGAGACACATAGACTGCTCCCGACGAGCCATTTTAGGGCCCGGAAGCAGCGTTCCGCAGAGCAAGCCCTACTATTCCTGCAGAAACAAATCTATACGACATAACACAACCAGCAAATGCTAAACTTAATCAGCTTCGACATCAAAGAAGTTTATAATATAGTATATAAAGAACGAATGATCCAGAGGATAAAAGCCCAAGGCATACCAGAGGTATTACTTCGTTAGGTCGAAACCTTCTATTCAGAACGAACAGCAAATATACTGATCAACGGGCAGAATCGCCTCCAAGCTAGTCTACTAACCGCATTACTAACCCACGAGCATCCGCTGCGATACTGCATGCTAAGAATGACAAATACGCCAAGGTCTTGTGTATAAGCTCCAATGAGTCACATAATTGTATATACTATGACATGTGTAGTAGTTTAGCGACAGTTGCCCTTTCGGCTCAGCCGCCGGGCGTTAATGAATTTTGTGTGTGTGTGTGTGTGTGTGTGTGTAGCCCGTATATCGCTTTGCGAGTTGAATTCTAAACCACAACCTACTAGGCTGGGTACCCGAGACAAAAAGCCAAGGACAATCAGCAGTATAGAGAAAATCATAGATCCTAGAGCCAATTGCGTTCATGTCTGACGTACGGCAATGCAAAATCCAGTGGTGATCGTGTCATATAGCAGATGGCTGGATCACTCATCTGGGGCTTGTTTGTATAGCTGTTTGAGGCTTCATATCTCTCTTCCTGGTGCTGGTGCTTATATACAAAAGCCGTAGATGCCCACCTGTAATCGCTGGTAAATCGAGCCCCGTGGTTAGCATAATCACCAGGATTGCCATACCAGCTACTCTCCAAACGCGCTCCGTGGTATACCACCGGATGGGATAAGGACGAAGCATTGTCAGACAAGATAGATGTGTCAGGCTCGGGAACCAGGCTAGGGAGACAACTAGAAGTCAATCATAGGTCGATAAGCAGCTGTATGTATCCGCTGGAAAGAATTCCGATTCCGGTGATAATTTGAGATCGCTCATTGCAAGAATGCACTAGGGAGTGTGAGCGTCGGACTTTCGTCCCAGCTGCTTCACCACATACTTTGAGAAATGTGGTCTCGAATTGGGCGCTGAAGCGATCTCTCCGTGGTTTAATTCCAAAGAGAATCTTTGAAGTATGTCGTATCCATTGGAGCAGAATTTGATCTACTTGATTGGGCGTAAACCCCATGGATGGTTTGCCCGCCTTAGCGAACGGATCTCGCGTTGGATCAAAGGCTGTGATGTAGTAGATCACAATGGTCAGTACAGCAATGCCCACAGTCCCGAGAAAACAAAGTTTTCTACCTTAACCCAGGCTCTGTTATGTCGTTGTCCGGGTCTATATCCAGGTAGCTCTCAATGTTGTTGTTGTTAGAACAATCATAACTGCAGGACGAAGACATGATAGGCTGTGACTCGAAAAGGCTCAGTACCGGGGTTCATCAAGTTTTTTTTGACAATGCGATACCCCTTGGGGATGCTTAGGCCTGTTGCGCCCGGTCGCCTGCGCACTACATCACTCACCTGTAGGCATCTGGATGATCTATGCCTATCTAGGCTGAGGCTGAGGATCAGCACGCAAAAGTCCACTCCTAGCGAACTACGCGAACTACAATAAATTTGGAACAAATGAATGGAGGAGGAAAGGATTCTGTGTTATATGAAAACATACAAGTGGTTCCTCGACAATTGCTCAGGCTCTATGTTTCCAAGGGTTTAGGAGGCGAGACAGGCCGATGTACTTCACCCCGTTCGGTCGATCTCAGATACTGAGAGCTGGTGTGTATTTACTTGTACTGTAGTCTGATGAGCACATGCAACACCTGGGGCCGTTGATGGATGAGAAGACTCATCTACGTCACGTTTAAAGCTCAGTTGCAGCTAAGGAAAATGACGCCCGATCAATATCAACACGACCTACTGTGCTAAGCCTACTCGTGTGAATATTGTAGCTACACAAGCTCTATTTGGTTAGAAACTACTTTTGTAGCTGTAGGCGACTTTCAAGTTGCCTGAAAACGCCAAATGAATCGCCAAAATCAATGAATGACTACCTCAAACCATGAATGTAGAGAATTAACCTACACTGCATTTGCAATCCAAGCCTCTATCCACAAGTGTATGGATCATGCTCGTCGCTCCAAGCTTGCCGGTATCGCACATAGCAAGAAACAGTATAAATACCAATTCCACTCATTGGAATGAACCTGGGATAAAGAATACAAGTAAGCTTTCCCAGACTTCCGGTTCTAAGGAGACATTCTCTGACTTTAGTTCCGGCGAATTGAAACCCCTGACTGATTCGGAACTATGAAAGGCCAAGATCCGCTAAACAGACCCCTGTCAAGATTGAAAACTAGCTATTGAAAAGCGGGTCGACTCGGGGTTTGCTTTGTGAGGTCCCCCCACGTGTCACCCACGTGTAGGCCACGTGCAGCTCGCGTGGCTTTTACCACTAGTCGGCCTGGTGGGTTCATGCGGGCTTCTGGGGGATGAGCTAGGATAGTGTGAAGAATGGTGGGTTGGGTATTGGATTTCAGGTTGAGGGGGTGGGGGTGGTTATGGAGAAGGGGCACGCCGCACCCGCAGTTTGCGTTGTGCCGGTGTCTCTCACGGCAGAGAGGGGCGCCGAGAGGCCAAACAATCGTCTATGGATTTATGGGATTTGTAATCGAGTTACTCTTTGTTATTGCTTCATTCACTCTTGCATTGTTATATGTACTTAGCACAAGAATATCACAACCGCTACTTAAAAAAAGTGGTTAGGGCGAAGGCTCGATCTTGATCTTAGTCTGCCTCGCTCTCTCTTCCTCCAGGGTGGGCTTTCTAGCCCAAACGCGGTTCCTTGAAAATTGTCAGTATAAATCGCTCCAGCTAAATCATCCCAGGGTGAACTTACGCAGGCTCATAGGCGTGGATGTGCGGGTTCTTCAGCTCGGCGCGAACCTTGGCCAAGTAAACCTGGACCTCCTCCTTAGTCCAAGGCTCCGGCTCACCAAAGTGAGTCAAGAGCCACATAGCCCATCCCTCGAGAGCAGCATTCCAGTGAGCATACTGAAGGTGGCCTGCCTCCTTCAACAGCTTGTCCTTGGGCCAAGGTCCCATGGGGATCTTGTACTTTTCCTCGTGGACGTCCACGAAGCCTGCTTTCTCAATTGCGCTGCGCATCTTCTCGTGGGTTCGGAGGGAGCGTCCAGCTCGCTCGGAGCATGCGACGAAAATGTTACCCCATCCGTGTAACATGTGTTCGGGCTTCAGGGTACCGTCATCGCTGTAGACTCGCACGTCGAGTTCCATCTGCTCGATCCAACCACCGGGCTCCAGGGCGCTGTAATTGATGTCAGCAGCTGCCACCACTTGATAATACAGATTTAACAGTATGAAAACTCACTCATATGCCTGTTTGTAAACTTGGTCCCATCCCTCATCTGTGAATGCGCCGTACATCAGGCGCATGTGGATGAAGTCGAATGAGTCTTTCCATGTCCACTCGCGAAGAACATCGTCTACTTCGAAGACGCAGTTAGGAGGCATCCATAATGTTGGTGGAGGGAAGACATCCACGCCGTGGACGGTAGCTAGTCTTTGTCAGCCGAGAAATACGTCACTTCCGAATTGGGCGAAGACATACCCTCGGGATAGTAATCGGCAACATCACTAAAGAAAATGTTAGAAGTATTCGTGCCTGGAGTGATTTGTGAATTTACATTGCCCAACTACCTTGGCCGGTTCCAATGTCCAAGATTTTCTGTTGCTGTCAGCGGGACGCTCGGGCCAGACCAGCCTCGGTATGAGCTCACCTTAGGCGAGGGGCCAATAGGGGCTCGGAAAAGGGGATTCGGCTGATTGTGGTCTAGGACCAGGAAGACCATATGACTGCCTTGGTTAGCATCGTAGCCTTTCTCGCTCATTCCAGAGCTACTTGGGGACAAAAAATGCGCCTTACCCAATCTCAAATGCCTCGAATTGCTGCTCGTCGGAAGGGCCCCTGTGATTATTTAGTCTTAGCCCAAACAGGTTTGCGCGGCATGGACCGACCAGTAGTCATCTTCTTTAGTGGCCTGATATCTGCGGTTTGGGTCAGTGTCGGTGTCAGGGAAGCAAATGGGCACGGGGAGTTAACGCACCTTCGGCCATTCTCAAATCGTCCCCTTGCGATCGTTGATGCAAGAGAAGTGGTTTCCCTAGAAACAAGGTCAGAATGCGACCGCAACCATGGTCCGGAGTAACACTCACGAGTGAAAGTCCTGCGGTTCGGTCCCGTAGGACATAGTATAGAAATCGGGGTCCTACACGAGAGGTCAGAACAATCCTCCCTTGACAGGTCACAGCACGGAGTACCTACCACAGCGATTTGCTCCATGATTGCGATCTGTGTGAGTTGACAGAATGTTGCAAGATCCAAAATCGAGAAAATTAAGAAAGGGGGGAAATGAGTGGGGTGTTAGGTTGGGTACGGGACTCTCCGTGTATCCGCCAGGACCGTTGCCTTCATTTGAAGTCGGGATATGATGGAGCCCGGACAGGGTGGGGTACTTTGCAATATGCACAAAAAATCGAAAAAAGGAAAGGCAAAAAAAAATAAGTACGGCTGGGCAACTCGGTCAAAAGGTCAGACCCACCTCATCCACCGCATCCAACGATCGCCCATTGTGTGACATGAAGAAATCGCCCCCTGCCGAACACGCAGTGGGGCCAAACTCCTCAGAAGAACACGAGAAAACATTTGCCAGCCAGTAACTAGTGATCATCCGAGGCCCTTGCGTCAGACCCGGTGTGATATCCTGCGCCAAAGCACAACAAGGTTCATTATTTGACAATGCCTCCATAAACTATCGTATCACGACCTTTCATCTCCCGTTCGCCTCCTTTAGGCTTTCGTGCTAACAAAGAAGCTAACTCGAACTGGAAACCTACTGGATCCGGTTAGCGCATACCTGTCAGAATATCTGTCAAAACTGTCAGCACACTGCGTCATCTGCAGGATTACCCCGTGGGAGATCATGGTATCGCCTCGGAAAGCTTGAAAATCACAGGTTCAGATCATGAAAGCAGGGGGAGATCCGATCATGGATGATTGTCGAAATTGGAAGCTCGCGGATCTTGTTTCCGAAGCTAACACCGAATTGGTTATGGCACCGCCCCATCACTGGCTGCTGTCGGTTATCTGATATGCCGGTCTGCCCCAATCGGGACTCAAGAGATTCTCAGATTTTTTGCTTCCATCACATCGTCCAGTGAGCTTTTCAAAGTGAAAATTTCACATGACAGGAACCGTGAAGCTACCATCAGCTCGTCAGCTGTCGGACACAGTTCTCGTCTTCCCACCCAGGAGTTTGCTCTTTGACCAGAGGAGAATATCTCGGGCTCCGTGATCTTTTTCAAAGCCCGTTGCCTTCCACCTGATGGATTTCTTACAACTCACAAGTCACAAAGTTTGTATCCAGTTCATACCACATAGTTGTGGCTAGTGTCCATCGGTTCCAGCCCTTTCGCAGGCATATGGTGAAAGGATCAGAAGTCTTTGCTTTTTCTTTCGCTCATCCAATCAAGCTCTGCGCAGTGTGTGACAATCACACTTTGCAAATAAAGGAGAATCTGCCAATACAGTGTCAGGAATGGCATGGTAATTTTGGAAATCCTTCCAGGGTACGCAAGTTGTGAACACAGACTGCCTTTTAGGGCTGACTCGCTTCCCCCATCATACCTGAGCAACAGGTGGTATCGAGACTTTGATCTCGCATAATTTGCACCAGCATCGCATCGCAACTTCTCGTTTTATCTATTTTTTCCTGGTCACATGTGCTGAGCAACCTTGGAAGCATGCCTAGCTTACAAAGCGCGATTGCTTCCAAGGTTGCTTGTTGTTTGCTCCATTAGGGCATAAATAGCCCCAGGGTCCTTCTTCCAGAAATTCCCTTCTTTCTTCTCTCAATTCCCCTCAATTAGTATACTCCCCATGCCATGAGGCCTTGCGGCTTTTCCATCAAAATTCGATCATCGACATCATCATTCATCAGAAAGATCACTTTTGATTCATTCTAGCATGTTATTTTTGGGTCCTCCTCGTCCTTGTGCTGGAATGACGGAGAAAAGGGACATTTTTGGCCCTAATGATGAGGCAGAAAGGGCGTTGCAACGCAACTTCCGCGGTTGTATACAGCAGCCACCCAAGCCAATGGTATCCCTGGTGGAGCTCATTTTCAGCTCTTCAGGATGACGCCACCTTTGACTTCGAAAAACCGGTCGTGCTTCCATGCTAGTTGCTCCAAAGTACGAGGTTCACCCGTCTTCGCGCCTGAAGCTCTGCCACGCGAAGCACCCCGATCTGGGTCACCCGACGAAGGTGGACGAAGACGACCAATGGAAGGTATTATCGCATACATGACGCGCGTCTACGGAATAATAAACGGCAGTACAAAGCTCAGTGGGAAGATGGGGGCTCTGATGATATGTGATATCCCGCGAAAAGCGTCAAGCATGTGAACGGAAAATTGGCACGCCATGCTTTTGCGTGATCCATTTGCTTGAGCAGCTCTGACAAAGAGAGACATTCCTTTGTTGATATGTCTCATGCGACGTACTCTACTATTGTGGGACTCGACGCAAGAGCCGCCTGCCTCTTTGGTACTGCCGAGCTTGCACCGGCATGAAAACAGATGAAGGCCTCGGTGCTCTTACCGTTCTCGCAACCTTGGTGCGGCGAGGAGCTGGAAGAGGCCTTCATCTGGTTTTACGCCACAGGGCCAGCTTCCGTGTCATCAAAGAAGCAGGCGGTTGCTGGGTCGAGCTTCACGATAAGGAAGTATGTTCCACCGGGCACAGCAACAAAGAAATTTATTTATTTGTCGAAGCTGCTCGATCAAATGGTTCATGCAGAAGCGAACACGCTGCTGTTGTATACCGACAACAAAAGTGCATATCAGGTCCTCCGGGAAGGTGGATACGTCACGTCTAAGAAATGGCATGATGATCCATACGACTTGATACGCCATTGTTTTGAAAAGGGGAGATCAACCTCAAATTGACTGAGAGTCCTGAAAACCTCGTCGACGGCTTCACGAAGATATTGGATTTGACGCTTTTCCTGACTTTCATGAAGATGAATGTTGCCACATGGGCCAATCACGGAGAAGGGGTGCATACGAGCCCAAAGCGCTACAAATATGTGAATATTGAGGCTTTTTGATGGGCATTTGGTCATTCTTGCTGTGTTAGTAGGAAGATGTTGTTTCTCGGGGTTTTCTGCTTTTTGTGTCAAGCTATCGCTGCTTCTCCGGCTTGCTATTATTGCGCATTGATTGTGCGGCATGAATAGCCCCAGATACCCTTTTCGAAATCCTCGTTTTCTTGATCTCTTCCTCGAGTAGTATGTTTCCTAAGACTAACCAGAGGTCCAGAGCATCTTTAACCTCGAGAAACCACTAGAAGCAGACTTAACTTTTGTCAAGAACTTGATGCCTTTCGGTCTCCAGTATAGTCCACAGATCATTTCACCAGCAGAGCTCTATGGCAGTATTTATCCGCAGCCTTTAGATCCATGATATGGGTCACTCAAGCTCGGCTCAATGTTGCCTCCTCGATCAAACTACTCGTACAGGTATGTGCATTTTAATTAGAAAGCCGAGACCGATATACCCAACAGCTTTAGGAAGCAAATGGAAAGCATCGCCATGTAGGGAAGTGCAACCGATCACTGACTGGTGCGGGGAATGAGGGCACGATGCTGATTGGTCGAGCAAGCAGATCTGCCGATATCGAATCGGTCTCACTTTCTTCTTGTTTTTCTTCGCAGGCTCTACTTTCCTACGACGTATTGACGAGGTGGCCATTTCTGCTTAGCGAGTCTGTATTGCAGCACGCGATTTGCGAAAAGGATGAGGTTGACCTTTTTATAGGTGGACACCGGCCATCCACCCGACAAATACCCCACCGGGCGATGCACCCGGGGTCTTTTCCCCTCATGAGGATAAAGCACGCAGAGGTCATGTAGCTATGCCGGGTGCGCGTCCGATCATGAATCCTGGGAGGACCAATCTTGCATAAAGAGCGTCCTGCGCCTCGACTGGTGAAATTATTCAAAATCATACAATCAAACCAAAAGTGAGTTATTGCCTAATCAGTCTATTGCAATCACGGCAATTGATTACTTACGGACTCGATCTCAAAACACGTTACTAACCAATTTTCTACAGTGTCTAACCTCGTTCCTCTCACTGTTATCAAGGGCGCCGGTCACGAGTTCATCCCCCTTCCTCAGGGCGAGAACGCAACCACAGCCGACTTCCACTCCATCCGCACCAAGACCGACTCCCCCGCTCACTTCACATCCGGATTCTACAAGATCGAGGCTGGCCCTGCACGACCCGCTCACTACAACTTCGAGGAGACCAAGTATGTCTTGAACGGTCAAATCGATGTTTTGGTATGCTCCCTCAAACCCTTCATGTCTTGTGGCCAATGTTAACGGATTCTTGCTTGTAGGATGAGGCTACTGGAGTCACTCACCACTTGGTCCCTGGTGACTTTGCTTTCTTCCACGTCGGATCCAAGGTCAAGGTATGTCAATTACACCCGGCCTTGTCGGCATTTGTCGGCAGCTTCGTATGATCCATAACAAACTAATCAATTTTCTAGTTCTCCACCAAGTCCTCTGGCTTCGCCTTCTACGCCGTGACTCGTCCCGTTCGGGCTCCCCACCCTAACCTGGTTGGTCGCGAGGAGGACAAGGCTCGCCTGTAAATTTATGAAAAGACTATGACTATATCATGAATAAAACATCATAGAGAATTATGACTATACATCAATATGAATTGCCAAATATCCATGGATTTATCGATGTGGTTACAACTTACTAGTCATCCCTCCAGCTTCGAGGTATACACCAAGCATATTAGAGGGGAGAATCGTCTGTCATTTATGATCTGACTCGCTCAACACGCCAAAGAAAATTCCCCAAGATCACATATGGGGGAATTCCACAAAAGCCTCTCACTCAATGGCATTCTCGAGAAAGTCAATAACCAGCTTCCCCGCTCGGTCATAGTCCTCCACATATTTCTCTCCAAATTCACCAACAAAGTTATCATACGTTGTCTGCGGCTTCTTCTTACAAAGCGCACACATTAAACTCTTAATCCCCTCCTTGAAATCCTCCCTCGGAAACGCCTGAGTAATATCACTAAAAGCCTTCCAAGTCAAAGGACCATCCCCATCAGCAAACAGGTTCGGCCCCAGAAAATCCGCCGTGATACCAACATGCGCAAGCATAACCTCAGGCTGCTTATGCATCGCAATCGAAGACGTAGTATGCAGCGCGATAGCATCCCATATAAGCTGCACACGATGCTGAGGCCAGCTGGGATCATTCCCAATCTCAGTTTCTAGGAACTCTCGCGCGGCATTGGCACTGTCGACTTCGAACCTCTTGTCGGGTGTGCTTTTGTCGCTGTCTGCTGCCCAGGCTAGATCATGGAGAACTGTGCTTATGGCGATGGCCTCGTAGTCGATGGCGTAGTCGGGGGATTTGGCTGTTACTATTGGGATACAGGCGATGGCGAAGAGGAAGCTTCGGAGGACGTGGTTGTAGGTGAAGTCGTCGCCGTGTTGGCGGGCGTGTGCGATGGCTTTGGTTATGAGTGGGGTGTTGGGAATTGTGATTCCGGCTAATTGACGGGTTGGGAGGGATGAGAGAGGAGGCATTTTGGGAATGGTGTTTGATGAGTCTTGGAAGTTGGTATGCATGTAAAATTGCCAATAAAATGTCGCAGATACTAAAAGCTTCGAAGCCAGGTTGAGAGAAGATTCAGTCTTGCAACGTTGAGTCTGGGGTCTAGTGCTGGAAGGACACGGATCTCTTGACTCATCGGCTTACTCGAAAACGTAATCGTACTACGCTCGAAACCGCCATTTATACACTAGTTGTCTCAGGGTGAATTGGAAAGAGTCGAGTCTTCCTTGGCTAGAAGCTTGCTGAATGGGTCGTATGATCTACTACATTCCGATCACAGTGTGGTTATATGTACATGAAAAGATTGCCCAATGCTGATCAACGCAGCATTTCCCTCTGATTCTGAGGCAATCAAGCCCCGAAGACTTTCAATTCGACCAGTCTAGCCTTGACTCCATCTTTAGGCGTGAAGTATAACCGAATGCTCTCCGAGCTAACAGCATCCCAAGAGGCCTTCGTCACGCCGTTGGCCAAAGCCTCGTCGAACCGACCGTTCGAAACATCCACCCATTTCCCAGACTGGCTAGTCTGAATTCGATAATCACTTGGTACATCGAATTCCTGTGTCACGTTCGCAAAGAACGCGATCTCTGCACTTTTCAACTTAATCGAAGATCCGAAATCAATCTGATACCAGACTTCGCTTCCGTTGCCAACTGGAGTTTCCCATCCATTAGCAACATCAACTTCTGGGTAGAACCAGATGCGTCCGTCGATCGCGGCATGGATGCCGTCTGTGTTCGTGTCACCTGTTACTGAGACTTTACCACGCGGGTACTCTGTGTCTGAGCCTTGTTGGATAGACACGGAAATGGGGCGATCGACTGATGGTGGGTTCTGGCGAGAGATTTTGACAGTTAGGCGAGACAGGTTAGCTGAGCTTGCTACTTTCTTGCCATCGACTTCGACGATAAGGCCTTTCTTGCCATAGTGACTTCCCGTGGCGTCCCATTGGACAGCTACTTCGTGTCCATGGTAGAGAATTTTGTCGGCTCGGAAGTAGGAGATGGTCGCTGCGTCTGCAGCGGGGTTGATCTCGAGAGTGTCATCTGCGCGAGGACGGATACCAACAAGCCCGGAAAGAACGAGATCAATGAAGCCGGAGTGGAAGTAGTGTGGGGAGCGAGCGAGACCGACGATGGGGAGACCAGTGTCTGCATCGTAGTCTTCCTCAATGTCAAGAATACCACCTCTGTTCTGGTTGTAGTGCAGCTGGGCGTATTGTTTCAGCAGGTTTGTGTAATCCGCTTTGCTGATGACCTTGGCCGCTGCGGCCTTGGGATAGTGGTCAAGCAAGTTGGCGAGGGCGGCGAGGAGTTGGGTCGTCTGATACGGCCACGCAGGACCGTTCCACTGGCATTCCCGCTGGGTGCCCTCATATCGATACTGTCGCATATAGTACTCATAGCTAGGCTCGTTGGTACGAAGCCCATGTGTTCCAGCGAACTTCGTCGAATCGGTCAGGTGAGTCCATGCTTGGGCAAAAGCCTCGGTGTCATCCGGAAGGTCATGTGTCCAAGGAACATAACCAACAAGCTCTCGCCCTCGGATGAAATCCCAGTACTTGACGTTCGCGTTATCGACTTTGTACCTGTCGATGAAGTGCTCGAAGGTACTGTTCCAGAGTGAATCCTGGACATCGGCTTTGATGGCGGCCGCCTTGTCCTTATAAGCCTGTGCAAGGTCTTTGTTTCCAGCGAGAGAAGCAATGTTTGATATAGCGAGCGCATTCGCATATTGATAGCTGTTGATGCTGGGTCGGAATGCATTTCCACCAGTGAAACCATCAGATCCTCCTGAGGCATCGATACTGGCAATGGTGTATTCAGTTGCATCTGTCAGAGGCTGGATCCAGTACAAGCTTTTCGATACATCGTATCCACCAGTCGACATAGTAGTGGTGTTCCAGCCGTTGTAAACATCCTGCATGGAATCAAGATGCCCAGTAATAGATCCAGCAACGCCATCAACTAGATACCCTTGCCAAACGCCATCAGCCATACTTTCCGAGAATTGGTAAGGATTCTTGTTTGGCCCGAAAAGGAAGTTCCCGTAATCATCCTTGAAGCGACGATCTCTGCACCAGCGCCCTTCGCGAAGGTGCATATTTGCCGCATCAATGAGCAAAGCCGATGGCTGAGTCTGCCAGCTAACATCTTGAAGAAATTCAGTTGAGATGTACCCATCGGCGCCAAGATCGCGCTGGTGTGCGCGGAAGACGCTCCATCGGTAGTAGTACACGTCCTGGATATCGGAGGCGCTGGACTCAAATACAGGTATGCGATCCGCGTACCAAGGCGCATCGTTCCCAAAGTATCGCTGTATCAGCTCCGTTGCATTGAAGGCCAACGCTGGTGCGGCGAGCGATGCGATAACCAACAGCCCGTCGAGATGCATGATAGGCAACGATCAGATAAGGAATATCTGACGAATGTTCGTCCGTGTTATTGGACTCTGGCCGACGAGCGCACATCGTGACTGTAGTCCGAAGTATTTATAGTTGTGGTTCGGGGAAATATTGACGATCGACAGTTCCCCCCTTGACGAGTCGGTTAATTCTCCTGCGGGGTGTGCTTTTGATGGCACCATGCTCCACACAAGCTGACCTCAACCTTGTCGCTGAAGTGCACTCTCATCTCTGAACCTGGTAATTATCCCGCGAAATAAACATTCCAAGGCCGAGACAGTGCGGATATAATGACGTTGCTGGTCAGAAGCAGGCCTTGGGGTAGACTTGTGGAGAAGGTCTGAGACATCCAAAATTGAGAAAGGTCGATTAGTTTGCAGTCACCAGTATGAAGCTGGTTGAGCGGCGAGGTCTCCAATTTGGGGATATGACCTGGTTGATCTAGGAGTGTTTCTGTTTTCGACTTGCTGTATATCGTGGGTCTAGTGGTCCTGACCGGGAGCCATTGCCCAGGTACCAGTCGACATTAATCGGCTTAGCTCATTGCCATCTAGCGTTTGTAGTGGTGCCACACTCGTGTTCTTCGGAGATATCGTGGCCTCATAAGCCTAAAGCGTCAAGCTTGGCAATTGGGAAGCTTTTCAAAGGCATTGGGAAGGTTACGTGCGCGTGAGCAGCCTTCTGGGGCAATTTGGTGGCTCATGCCGGGATGTTTGTTATGAAACCACGGTGAGAGCAGAATTTGCAGCTTTTAAATGGTTCAAGGTGTCAAATTATCGACATTTGTCCAAGTGTAGAGTGATGGAGCTGAAGCCCTGAAGTCCGGTCATTAAAGATGCCAAGAACTGGGACGGCCGCGGTGCTTGATTTGTATACGAGCACGATGTATGACTCTGAGTCATTCGCTTCAATTCCTCCACCCCACTCTCTTCTTCTCTTCCCGGGCTAAATAAGTAGCATCACTGGACCTCTCTTCCAAGGTTGTTCCTGCATATACTCTTGGTCATTCCATCTCTCCATCACAATGCCTTCGCAAGCCCTACCAACCCCAACATCTTCGACAAAGCAGTTCTATGCGACGAACTCACCTTGGGAAAAAGCATATGGCCATTACCGCGCCATTCGAGTCGGACAACACATTTACACATCCGGTACAACAGCAGCCGACCCCGACAGTCCCCCTGAGAACCCACGCGTCCTGTGTCCTGGCGATGCCCGCGGACAGACACGGGCAACCTTGAATGAGATCATCAAAGCCATTCAAGCCGTGGGTGCAAGAGGTGCAGAGAGTATTGTCCGTACCCAACTGTTTATTCAACGTCATGAAGACGCCCCGGAAGTCATGGCGGGGTATACAGAAGTTCTTGGACGACAGAATGGTGGGGATATTGGATCTACTGCGATTCTGCTTGTCGTTTCCAACTTCTCAGATCCTGAGATGTTAGTGGAAATCATGGTGGATGCAATTGCAGATGCTGAATGAGGTTGGCTGAGCAACTCACATGCATCCCTGGGCTGCCCAGGTGTCGACATCCGATTACATGCAAGGGTGGTTCGCTGAGATCCTTTGCCTCACTTCAAGCACTCTGTGTCGGAGTGCAGATAATTAAACAGGCTCTTGCACCTTTTTGAACCACTTTCAAGGTCTCAGAATCAAATGGAATATGGGGGTTATAGATTGAGAGGAGAGTGTGATCACACCTCAGACATTAGACCTCAAGAAGCATATTTTTGGGACAAGTTTTGGAGTAGTCCTTTGAGTAGTCTTTCCAAAATACAGGTAGCAAATGAGACCCATAGTACCAGTACACGTGGTATCCGGATCAACGTAGATGAAGTTCTCAGGGCGTTCAGTCTTCTGAGGTCTATATCCTTGTTTGCGCAATCTGTGGAATTGAGGAAGCAGTCCGCAGCTCTACTTGTGAGACGGACGAAAGTAAAGCGAGGCACACATAATAATCTGCATCAGATTCAACTGCTCGACTGAAATAGTGACTGTGTCGGGGGGTAGAACCACGCCCACCATCGCGGTGGGTATACTTCGCAGCGATCAGCCCGATCCCTAACCTCACCACAAACAACCATCTTCAACCTGGGAACCACCGAGAATGTTTCGCGCCATCCTCACCACCTTCATTCTAATGGTTCCACTATACTACATATATAAACCCCCAAGTCTACTCATCCGCTACTTCGCCCATCGCTGGCCAGACGTGCTCTTCCACGTCCCAACGACCAAAAAGATCGTCGCGCTAACAATTGACGACGCGCCTTCGGCCCACACACCCGAGATTCTTCATTTACTACAAACGCACAATGCAACTGCTACCTTTTTCGTCATAGGGTCGCAGATTCCAGGCTACGAGCCTGTCCTATCTGATCTGGTTCGCGCGGGCTGTGAACTTGGGAATCATGCTATGTACGATGAGCCCTCGCGTTCCCTTGGTGATGACCTGTTAGCGGACCAGATTCAAGACGTGCATGTGAAGATCGCTGAAGCGTACGCTGCTGCTGATGTCAGGCATAAAAATTGGCTTTTTCGTCCTGGGTCCGGGTTCTTCAGCTCGAGGATGAGATCGTTGCTGAGCCGATTGGGGTATCGACTGGTGCTTGGCGACGTGTATCCGCATGATCCTCAGGTCCCTTTTTGGAGATTGAATGCTAGGCATATTTTGAGTATGGTTCAGCCTGGGAGTATCATCGTGTGTCATGATCGGAGGGAATGGACAGTGCCAATGCTACAGAAGGTCTTGCCAGAGTTGAGACATCGAGGATATCAAGTCGTCACGGTATCAGAATTGCTGAAAGAGATAGAATGAGTCTTTTCAGATGTGAAGGCCGAAATAGGCTGGTTTAATGTACATATATCAACTCTCGCTATGGGTATATTTGATTGGCAACACTAGCCCATGATCTGCAACTGGTCCTCGGGGGGGCCACCGGACCTGTGCAAAGCTCAGACAGCGCTTGATGCTCTGTAGATATTTGCGGGTTATCTCGTCACTCAAGATATGGGCTTGTTGATCGCTCTGGTGCAGCTTTTCTCGGGCAGAACGCTCGTGGATACCCACCATGGTTACACCAATAGGCCAGGCTCTATAAACACGTTAGCTTGGTTCTCGGACGGGAAGAGAGGGTGGACATACGCTTTTCCAATACTCACGCGGAGATAGGCATCGTTCGCATCAACATATCGCCGCTGCTGTGCCTTGTGCACAATCTCGACAATCGGTTCCAGCAATCCATCCTCCAAATCCTCCTTCTCGAAAAGGCGGAAGAGCGGCGTCATGTTCTCACGCGACTGAGTCATTGCGCCGTAAGCTTGCTTGCCCTGGAAACTCTCGCGCACTGTCACATCGCGCTTCGCCAATGCGAGCTCCCACTCTGACAACACCATGTTGAAGTATGATCCCAATTGCCGGAAAAGGAACAGCCTGTTTTCTTTGTCCTTCGGAATCTTCGAGGGTATGATCATCTGTCCACCGGACACGGGCTCCAAAGTCGTGGGAATAGGTCCGTCTGTGATCTTCTTCTTGGGAATGGCGGCCCGTTGGACGAGGCGGCGATATCTTCGGAGTCGTCCACGATAATCCTCTCCGAACAAACGTATAGGTGCCTCCATATCCCGTAATTTTTGAATGAGTTCTTCCTCCTCAATATCCTCTTCCTCGTCGCCTTCGGGTTTGTCCTCGACCAGTTCAGGCAGGCCGAGCTTTCGCCGCCGCTCACGTTCCTTGGCCGCTTCTTCCTGTTCTCGTTTCGCTTTCGATTCTTCGGCTAGTCGTCGTTTCTTTTCTTCCCGTTCGCGGTTTCGTTCGGCCTCTTCCTCGTCGAGCTTGCGCTTTTTCTGATTGCGCTCTTCGCGTTCGAGGGCTTGTCGCTCCTGCTCTTTATTGTAGGCTTCGACGCGGGCGGCTTCTTCCTCGCCTCGTCGTAGATATTTCTTGGTGGGCACGGCAGGGGATCCTTTGCCGGAATCTTTGGCGTCGCTCCCTTTGGCCTTGGAGATCTCCTTCGACATGAGCGCGGCGAAATCCATATTGGCGGCAAGTTCAATAAAGCACAAAATAGATTATGGATATCGCCTATTTTAGCCTGCAAAAGACTTGGTGCAGCAGGGGTAGTGATGTGACGACGTTGATGTGGGGAGTGAAGATGGAAGGAAAAGAATGTTCGATCATCCGAAGCTTCGACGCATTTGTCTTCGTTCACCTCCTCACTCAACATCTCCCAAACCTCCCTCCCTCTACACACTCCCTTTAGCTCGCATTAGCACCAATCCCCTCGAAGCTTTTTGCATCCTAGAGCAGCTCAAACGTTCCACCTCGCTTGCATCACCCGGACATCGGCATTGCAACCCGCATCACAGCAATGGCCGCATCACGAGAGGGCCCACGAGCCCCAATCAATCGCCAAACCACAGCGCCTTTTCACCTGAAGCTCTTCTACCGAGTGAACACCTACAACCCACTATCCGACTACAGCATTTCTGCGTCACCCCGTCGCGGCGGTCCAGTCAGCGGCCCAAACTCCATTCGCTCAACCTCACCCGCTCCCTCGACCCTCCCACAACACCTAGAGATCTACACCTGGCAATCATGCACACTGCGCGAGCTCTCACAGCTTCTAACCTCCGCGCTGCCACGTTTACTCCCCGACCCACCCATCGGCACCCGTCTCTGCTTCCGCCTGATCTACCCCGATGCGCGCGCCGCAGCGATCGGCGGTACCAATGCCCCAGGCGCATATTTGAGCCGTGACCTGGGAAGTGTGATTGTCGCACCCAAGGACACTTCTCTTCGCGCGGATGACGACGAGGAGAAAGAGGCTAGACCTCGTTTGCGCTTCCAGGGTAATGAGGCTGATAAACCCCTCCACGACGAACGCTTTATTGTCGGTGATTACATTGAGTGTGCTATTCTAGCTCCTTTGGAGGATGGATCTGTTGCACCGGTGTTGCATGGTGGCTCTGGTCCGTCTGGTCCTCGGGGCGGAGGCGGAGGTGGTGGTATGCGCGCGTTCCGGGAGAATGGATACGGCGGATATCCGCGTGGCCCTCGCGGTCCTGGTCGTGGTGGTCCCCGTGGTGGTGATCGTGGTCCTCCTCATATGCCCCATGGCGATTGGAATCGCGGAGAACGGTTGCCGGACGGGGGACGCCGGGGAGGTGGTGGAGGCGGACGTCGAGGATGGGCACCTTATTAGGAATGGGGATGTGGTCAGAGTTCACGAGTCGAGCTACAAAACAAGCTTTTTTTCACAAGGACGATGGGATACCCGATTGTACGATTAGTTAGTCCAAGGCAAATGGAACCTATTACGATCTACCAATTCCAACCCATCTGATTGATCCAGACGGTGTGTACAGATTGAATCAAGACAATCAATCAACAGTAACAAATCAATGCGGTATATGATGTAAAGTACACGGCCCATGAAACGGGCAGCGGCACACGAGAAAAATCACCAGCAGCTCCGCCGCGACACACGTCACCGCGTGTTCTCCAAGTCGTTTTATTGTCGCCGCTGGGTCATAACAAGACAAAGGGTGTTTTCATTCGCTAAATCGTCTACCACTCAGAGATGGTATCTCCCTTGCGCTTTCCGCGGAGCTCGAATTTGCCCTGTATATCGTCAGTCCGCGCACTCCGGCAAAACACAAGCAATTCCACCGCCTTGCAATTCATACCTCGTAGTTGTAAGCAAAGTAGGTCAGAACACCGGGAATCAGTCCCATGTAGACGAAAGAGATCATGGCATGGCGCGGGGTCCAGCGCCAGTACTTGTAGCGGTTGGCATTGAGTTCTGTGGTCTGTTAGTCATTGTTCGACGGTCGGAGGTTTTCGCCATCGTATCGTGCGGTCTCAGGACTCCCTTGAACAACACAGCGGGTTCTCGGGTGGGTGCGGCGTGCGATTGAGCCGAAATCCTGGATCTGAAGACATGGGGTTGAGGGGGCATGTACCGTAGTATTTCTGGTAGGCCGGGTCAAGGACCAGGGCTGCATCATTGTTAGCGGCGATTCAAGCAGTCTGCCAGGTAGTACTCACACTTGCTAGGACCAGCCATTGTTGCGGAGAGCTTTAGATCGTGGACACAAGAAGCACTTCGCCGGAGTTGATTTCACTGGGAGTTGGAGGTCACATGTTGCTGAATCAGCTGGATGATGTAATCATACTGTTTTCGCCTTGCAGAGCTCTTTTCTACAGGAATTTAGATGGGCAAATAATCTAGCCATTCAATTTCGATGTGCTTCTTGCATTCTGAACAATAAATATCTCATTATACATGTCTGTTGTTGCGAACTACCACGAGCTCATCCGAAACCATCCGCCAACCAGATCGCCTCCATATCTCAGCATCCGCAACGGGGTATAACCAGACTCGACGCATAGGGAAAACATCGCAAAATCCATTAATTACATAGAAGCAGAGAACTTTCCTTCGCTCTCCTCAATCTTCTTCACAGCACGCTTATATCCCTCAATTCCCTCAAGGCGCTTGGCATACGCGACGAGAAGAGGGAACTTATCCTGATTCTTCTTGTCCTTCAGCACGCGCATAGTCACAGCAATGACCGGGAAACTGAGCAGAATATCCGCAGCAGTCAATTCCTTTCCACAGATAAAATCACCACCCTCAGGAGAAGTGCGCAGCTGATCCTCCAGGAAAGCAAGGTTACCTTCCACATTGCGAGTCAAGAACTGGTTTTCAACCTGCGAAGCAACAATGCTAGTGATAGGTCGCACAAAGAAAGGCGGCGCATTGCGAATAGCTATTCATGTCAATATTTGTGCCTCACGTAGAGGGTTCGTGACTTACAATCGTTCACCAGAGTCATCACCAAGAAAGGCATCAGACTGCCCTCGGTGTAGTGCATGAAGTAGCGGTAGCGCATCCATTCTTCGGTCTCTCCGCCCACTTTGCCTTCACTCCCCGGTGTGTACCGCTGTGGTACTAGGGACGGGCGTGCGCTGCTGAAGTGGTCAACGAGGTATTCCACGATCGCACCGGACTCTGCCAGCACGAGCGGCTTTGCGGCGCCGGGCGCCTCGATGGTCACCACGGGTGATTTGCCTAGTGGATGAACCTCTTTCAGCTCAGCTGGCGCGAGCTTGTCGGCGCGACGCTTGTAGATTTTCAGCTCATATTTCAGGTTCAGCTCTTCCAGAAGCCAGAGGATTCGGTGGCTTCGGGATTGCTCGAGCCTGTGGTGAAATTAGTACGGCGATATTTGCGGGTTTGGAGATGATTTACCAGTAGAGCGTAATTTTACAGCCTTGGTTGTTGTCAGTCATTGTGTATGGAGTTGGAGTATGGAGGCAAAGCGAGGTTATCAAAAAGAGCCGATGATGTCAAATCGGCCGAGGGATTGATAAGTGCGATGGGCCGAGATTTTGCAGATCGCCCATGTGAAGAACCCTCCCCGTTGGGGACTCAACAGTTCGTTTTTGAGTGCTGGGTCTCTCGTTCTCGTTTTCGAGGCTGTGCCTTGGTTGTCGCCATTACTCTAGTCCATGTCACGGATTTAAAATCGAAACGAAGTCATTTCATATATCTTGCACACGCCTCAGAGCCGCGCGCTGGCCCAAGCTCAAATTGTATATTTCCACATTGACGGTAGATCAAGGCAGAAGAATTGGCCAGAAAAGACTTCAATATTCAATAACGTTATTAGAGAAATGTTACTATAAACAAAACATGACATGAAAACTCTCTCCTTTGGTCCCAATACAAATCAGATTGTATTCCAGGCACATAGTGGTATTGAACTGCACTCGGTTCCCTACATTCTCTTATAATTTGTTTTTATCGCTTTTGGGTTCCAAGGTTGGCTCTTGCGCCATGATTGTGTTGCCCAGGTGTCCTGAGCTGTGTACCAAGAGTCTCGACTCCAATCACTTTCTTTGCTGTTTTTGCTTTAGGTTTATGGTGGCCTAGGTTGACGTCCAGAAAGTTACTGAGATCACACAAATATGGAAATCGTGACCAACATCGGTAGATACCCATCAGAGAGCCTCTAGCCATAAATGAAAGGCAACCTTAGAGCCTTGAAAGTAGGACTAAATTGGAGGTTGAGTCTCAAACCATGATGGTACCCGTAGATGATTGTCACTATATACAATCGAGATCGGTTAGACATGATGAAGAGATAGTCTCTCTGCTTCAGCGCCAGTGGGATTTATTGTCACGAACTAGAAAAGACAGTGGAGTAGAACAATATATAAGTAGTTCTTGAAACACAAATGTCTGGAATAACCTGTGTATGGATAAAAGAGAGAGCTGTCTTTGCAGGGCAAGCGTAGAGCAACATTGAAAGGCAACTTACACGCAATGTGTACGAATTAGCATCTACCTAGGTACTGAACCACTGGAAACTTTTTGTTCATCATATTGAATGGGTAGATCTACCGAAAGAGATCCAGGAAGCTCCCGTGCATGTGTACATAGTGATATCGAGCCGTCGATCCCCCCGCATCTCCTGCCGAGGCATCCCTTGATATACAAACCTGCCACTAATTACACCAAAGCAAATCCAGTTTATCACTCTTGTTTACAAGCTCACACGAAATGGCACAATCACTGTCCATTCCTGACTCTTATGAGGGCCTGGATCTTACCCACATACATATCGCCCACCACCCACCACAGTCACCAACGGCAACACCTATTGTGATCATAAGACTCAACCGCCCAGAGAAAAACAATGCCTTTACGCCGCAGATGGCAAACAGCCTAGAGACTGCATATCACTTATTTCACCGTGATCCACGTGTCAAAGTTGTCGTCTTGACAGGCGTAGGTCGGATGTTTTGTGCAGGCTCGGACCTGGAAATTGGGTTTGGAAACGGAGAAGGTAGAGCCAGTGATTTTCGGGACATGTAAGTCAACCAGACCAAAAGTACGTTGTTCAGATTGACGCTGACGATCTAGTGGCGGTCGAGTGGCATTGGCCATGCATCGCTGTAGTAAGCCTACAATCGCCGCCCTCCAGGGCTCGGCCGTCGGCGTTGGAATGACAATGACACTGCCAGCGGCTATACGGTATGGTGATACTCTTTCATGTACTCGCGCCTACTAAACGTTCCAGAATCTGTCACGAGAGTAGTAAATACGGATTCGTCTTCACCAGACGCGGTCTCACGATCGAGTCCTGTGCTTCCTTCTTCTTACCTCGTTTGATTGGGCTTTCTAAAGCAATGGCTCTGATAACGACTGGTGGTGTACACCGCGGATCATCCAAGTACTTCGGCGACCTATTCACTGAGGTCTTGACTGATGCAGCTGCTGTTTTACCCCGAGCCCTGGATCTGGCACACGAAATGGTAGAAAATGTTAGTCCGCTCGCCTCCGCAATGAGTCGTGCTTTGATGTGGGAGGGATCTGAATCACCCGAAGGGGCACATCTTTTGGAATCGAAAGTGTTCCACCACATGACGGGTCAGAGGTTTGTTGGGTCGAGTTCCGCCAAAGCTGATCAGGGCTAACATGGAGTAGTGACTACAAGGAAGGTGTGAATTCGTTTTTGGAGAAGCGGAAGCCTCGCTTTCTCGCCGACCCGCACGGCATGGTTCCAGGGGATTATCCATGGTGGTCTGAGATTGACATCAGGGTTGACCGAGATAGTTCAAAGTCTAAGCTGTAGGATCTATGGATGTACCTACCATCTTCCATACTAGCCATATATGAATATGCTAAGCTAGCGTAAGATAACTATTATTTTCTTTAGATCTTCTTAGGCTGTGATTGCCATGGGTGGATTCCATGTCAAGTTGCTCCTGGTGATAAAGAAATGGATCTTTCTCGGGGCGGGCTTTTCCCCGAACAAGCCTCGTGGCAGAAGCAGCAGGGCAGCGCTCGCTCAACAATCGTGGTAATCGCAAGGCTGATGTGGTCAACGCCGGTTCTCAATACTGATTTTAGAGTGCTTCTATGGGCAATTTACGGTTACTCGACACCGAGTACCTGAGTGGTCAAGTTTTCAAAAGATTTATGATCCACTAAACTAACAAGAAACAGAGCTGAAACCGTATGTGTTGTGAGACCTGAGGAGAGAAGGAGAGAGAGTGTGTGAGAGAGAGCGAGTGAGTGAAAGCGAGAGATCTAGATCTATATAAGCCACCGGGGACCCGGCAAACCAGGCAAATACCGGCGCCGACGCCGACACAAACTGACGATGGATCTGACTTCATTTGATATAAATACAGCAAATCTCGATTCCAACAGCAACGAATGCGATTAAAACATTCCAGCCAACAGGGTGACTGTGGCACATCTCCAACATTCTACATCGACTTTCATATCTTTCACTGAGGGGGCATTCCTCAACTCTTCTCATTGAGTGCAATCAGGAAACATCAAATACCTGATTCAGGGCAACTTTCTCTGTTGCATCACCTATAGTGATGATTTGGACCTTACTTACCACTCAAAACTCTCCCACGAGTTCATGTAAGAGATCCTGGAGACCTCTCCTACCTGCAATCTGTGACTCTGTGGGCTAACTCATTCTAATTTTGCGTCTAGTTTTGACAAATGGTGATGGGCCTCATCACCTTGTCTGACATTTACGTACTGATATTGAATCACAAGCCCTACCACATAGATGGTATTGAGCTGATCCAAAAAAATGGATTCAAAGGAGTTTTGTGAGTGTTTTCCTCTTCCAGAATCATTCAAGCGCTGATTGAGTATGACATTTTCAGATTCGCAGGACTCACGACTGCTGAACCCGAAGTGAGAAAATCATTGAAGACGACACATTACGTCTCATACACGATATCTTCATTGCTGCAACTACCAAAGCCTATCAAAAATGCTGCAGCCTCCACCTTAAATCTGCGAGAGTGTAAGGCACGTCTGCCCACCTCGCAGAAAAACGCGCAGGCATACCTTGCCAGCGAGCTCGATGCTGCTCTTTTCTCTTACGTTCGCCTATGGCCTTATTTGCATTGATGAATTAGCACATCTGCTATCTGCAATCTGCTCTTCCATCCCCCCAGAAGCAGACTATGGGCATTTGACGTTCATTCTCAATACACCTTCCGCTTTCACATATTTCTTGTCCGGGAGGTGGCTAGGCAGGTGCCCGCGTGGCCTTGCTTAAAAGAATTCGCATTTCGAATGACTTGGTTGGAGGAAAAGGCACTACGTTCTCTTGCTACCTATAGGCAGATGAACTGAGAACCATGTGCGAGGATGGGTAGCAATGTACAACAAACACTGCTTGGTGGAGATTCTTCTCGACATGCCTCAATGCCCTTCCTTTGAGGTCTTGACACATAAGCCTTCGGATCATATGGGTGGAGGGAGTTCTTTTTACTATCTCGACACAACTACTTGTTGGTCGGTACAAGTTGGTGATGAGACAGGCCTACAAGGCACCCGGCAACAAGTCTTCGCGCCGTATTGAGACTCAATCAAAGGCGCACGATGATACAGGAACACAAATCACCAAAACTTTTGACGCCAACTCGAATCACATTGAGTCACTTTCCAAGTCGCAAGACATGAATCTACAATTTGGCGACTTTAAATGCCTCGGAGGCTCGTACGGGATGACAGTCAATATTATTGTCAACGACTGTCCGCAACCACCGGCCGATGGTGAGCCGAAGGTACCTTGGGTACATGAGCACAGTCTCGGCGAGTTCCATCACAGATATGAGGATGAGCTTCATGCTGCCTGAGAACAGCCAAAAACATGCACCACCATCATATTCATTTGATTTTAAGCAAATATGAAGAGAGCGTATCTCTCCACGCCCTAGCATATTCCGCGGGACTTGCGCTCGACGTTCAAACAGACACCCATCATACAGGAATTTTCAAAATTCGTGCTGCCTGAGCACAGTCAACAATATTCACCACCTTCAAACGCATTCCAGAAACCCCTTTACAAATCGCGATCGCTGCGTGTCCACAAAACATTTGACAAGCGCTGATATAATAAAATCGGAACCGCGACCCCAACCTCCAACACGCCGAAATGACAGGCACACACATGATGCCTTCTACCTACGGTTCTTGGGACTCGAAATTCAGTACTTTCGAGCTCTATCAGCTTCCATCCCCAGTGAAACAGTCGGCGCGCAAGGCGTTTTCGACCCAGTGGCGTGTTTCCCTCTGCTTTCGTCCCAACTTGATTACTTTGGGGCTCCATCCACTCTCCCTTCTATGGAGACACCTCAGACCGAGGGGCCATTGCAAAAGTGGACAAGGCTCTTCTCTTTTCGAATAGCTTCGATCATTCGGGCTTGCCTCTTGAAACTTTATCCCTGAAGAGTGGAAAAGGTATCTCCAAGTTAGAGAGAGACACAGATGAACACGAAAATCGATCAGGGGCTAGGGAAATCCATGGATAGAGAAGCCTTTTTTCTTTTCTTTTCACTTCATTTTCAACAGGAGATTGTACATGAATACCTACTATAGTACAGTAGCGAACATCCCTCGTAGCAAATGTAAGCATACCTCACATAGTACAGCAGTCCGCAGATCAAATCACCAAACCCAAGCCCCTCAGGCGCAAAACATTCATGACCTCCCCCTCTGACCTACATAGTCACATTTCCCAAAATTCAAATATCGAAACTCACCAGAGAACTCCCGCACGCGGCGCGGAACGAACTACGACTGGCCGCCAAGCAACGCTCCACGACGGGCAGTTAGGGCACGTGCATGGGATCGACATATATAGACTCTCAGCCAATCTCTCCATACTTCCCTACTTATATCATATACAAAACCACCTTTACACCTAAACCCTCACTATGCATTCTCATTCCCATTCTCACCCATGGCTCCCAACACCCTCGAATTCCAATTCCCCAATACCCTCAGAGGAAAGAAGATCCTCCTAGCAACCGAATCATGGGGCCCCGTCAACGGCGTCTCCCGCACAACAAGGAGTCTAGTCGAGTATCTACGCGCAAACGGCGCAGACCTAACTCTCGTCGCCCCCTTCTTCAAAGGAAAACACTCCTCATCCCCATCTGAGCTCCGTCTCCCAGGCTGTCCACTCCCTTACAATCCAGACCTAACAGTCGTCTACCCATTCCATCTACAAGATATCTTCTCAACATTCACACCAGACCTCATTTACCTCGCAAGCCCCGCCTCGCTGGGCTTCCAGATGTTATTGCAGATAAGACAACTGCGCAATCCCCCACCAGTCCTACTAAACTTCCAAACCGATCTCTCCGCCTACGCGGAGATAATGCTCCCGTCTCCACTGGATCGATTCGGTGTTTGGCTCTTGGGGACAGTACAGGGATTCCTTTTTCGAACACCCGCCGTACAAACCATCTTCTACCCTTGCTCTGATATCAAAGGGTATTTGGAAAGTGTACGGGCACCGAGCGATCGACTAGTGAGACTTGGACGAGGCGTCGACACGACATTATTCAGTCCGTCGCGCCGAGACGAGAATTTTCGAAAAATGATCGCGCCACAGGGCGAGATAATTCTCCTCACAGTATGTCGGATCGCGCCTGAGAAAGGATTCGAATTTCTAGCGCGGGTCGCAGAGAGACTCGTGCAAGAGAAAGTGGCGTTTAAGCTGGTTGTTGTTGGTGGGAATCGGAATCCAGTTGTTGAAGATAGGGTGCAGAGGTTATTTGACCCTGTCCGGGATCGAGTTATCTTCACCGGGTTCATGACTGGCGATGCGCTTTCGAGAGCTTACGCTTCAGCGGATTTGTTCTTGCATTGTTCTATCACTGAGACCTTTGGTCTGGTCGTTCTTGAAGCGATGGCGAGTGGAGTTCCGGTCATTGCGCGCGATCAAGGCGGGCCTTCGGATGTTATTCAGCATGGTCGGACGGGGTATTTGGTTCCGCCGCGGGATCTGGAGGGTTTCGTTCATTTGATTCGAGACGTGACGGGGGATCGAGCTTTGAGGGCGGATCTTGCGGTGGCGGCGAGGGGGTATGCGGATGATACGACGTGGGAGAAGATTAATTGTCGGGCTGCTAGGCATATGGCGGCGGTGCTGTCGCATGCGGATCAGGAGTCGCAGGTTCAGAGACGTGTGGCGAGGCCTGGTGTTATTGGGGGGTTCTTTGAGCAGCTTCGTTTGATGCTTGCGGTTGGATTGGTGTATTTCATGTGGCTGATCTCTGTTGTTCCGTTGATTGTTCATGGGAATCGGTTCTTGCCTCGTGCTTGGCAGGCTCTGCAGGGTCAGTTTCAGGGGACGCGGCCGTTGCGCAGTTGATGCAATTAATAGTTAGATTACTTACCTTGTTAATATGATGATTGATGTCTTCCATGGTTGAACGGGTTCGATCAAGCGAGTTGTCAAGCGAGTTTCAGAGCCGCGCTGCGGTACCACGTCCCCAGAGACCAGATGATATGAAGCAAAAGACAGAAAGGAGAAGAAACGACCAAAGATTTCAGAAATAGATGATATTAGTCTGCAAGAGTCTTGGCTAGCTTGCGCAAAGGGAAATAACAAGAGGGATATCACCCATCTCACAGTCTCACTGGCTCCGTGTCCCGACGGACGAGAACATGTCCCTCGGTCACCAAGGAGTTCTTGCACGAACGGCCAGCCGCAAAGTCAGACAGATTCCCAAGCGTAACACCCGAAATCTCCTCAAGAGCCTCCCGAGTAAAGAATCCCTGATGCCCACAAATCAAAACATTGTGAAAGGTCATCAACCGCATCAACACATCATCCTCAATAATCTCACCAGAGTGATCATTGTAAAAAAGCTCGCCTTCAGCCTCATACACATCCAGCGCCAGCCCACCAAGCTGCTTCGTCTTCAGCGCCTGGATCACAGCAGCGGTATCAATAAGCCCGCCCCTCGACGTATTAACCAGCAACGCACCCGGCCGAATCTTCCCCAACGTCTCCTCATTAATGAGATGCTTCGTCCCCTCCGTCAACGGACAATGCAAGCTCACAATATGACTCTCCCCCAACAACACATCCAGCTCAACAAGCTCTCCAAACTGCCGGAACTCATCCCCGGCAAACGGATCAAACGCCAACAACCGACATCCAAACCCATGAAAGATCCTCGCAGCCGCCATCCCAATCCTCCCCACACCAACGATGCCAACCGTCTTGCCGTACAGCGTATTCCCCAATAACCCCTCGATATTAAAATTACCTTCTCGCACACGGTTGTACGCGCGATGCGTCTTGCGATTCAGCGTCTGGATCAACGCGACTGCGAACTCCGCCACGGCTTCGGGTGAGTAGGCCGGGACATTTGCGACGAAGAGGCCTAGTTCTTCTGCTGTTGGGAGGTGGACATGATTGAAGCCTGCGCAGCGGAGGAGGATTGCGCGGACGCCGTAGGCGTGTAGGGCTTGCAGGACGGGCTTGTCTAGAGTGTCGTTTACGAAGACGCAGATTGCGTCGCAGCCTTGGGCGAGGGACACTGTTTCTTCGGATAGGGAGAAGGCGTGGAAGTCGATTTTGCAGAGGTCTTTGAAGTGCGCGTCGCGAACTTGCTCTAGATAGGTGCGATCGTAGGATTTGGCGCTAAAGACTGCTAGCTTCATGGTGTATAATCCGTAGTCCGTAGTTGATACCAGTTAGCTCTCAGTGTTTTCTTTTTCTTTTTCTTCTTTCCTTTTTCCTTTTGGCTTTCAGATTGAGTTTCTGATTTCTGGGTTAGCTGTTGTTCAAAACTCCGCGCTGTGATCTCAAGTCATGACGACATGAGATCCGGGGAATTCCTCCCGAGAGCTGCACGCGACCGGTTCTGGACGAAAGTGCCGTGCGTTCAAATGCCGTACTTCTGTTCCCCGGTTCAGATCGACTGCTACCACCCGCATTCTCAGGGAAACGACCATTGGTCCCCCGGGCAAGGGATCTTGCAGGGGGGTACAACCGGAATGAGCGTGAGGTTCTGAAACCGGACCCGATGGCAATGTTTCCTCGAACAGCCTCTTTCGCTCGAGCTCCGACCATCTGCAACGTGCGACCGGGGGTTTACTAGCGCCTCACACTTGTGTTCAGCCCAGAAGGGACTAATGGCCGAAGTTTCGCCTTCCACACGCCTCCCAGCCCTTCGAGCCGTTCTAGAGGATGGAGCCATCGAAGACAATATTGGCATTACCGGAGCGGTGATTGGTGGCGGAATGTTTTAGCGCGGAAGAAGAGAAGGAAGTGGAACTGCCGCGCGCAGACCGGAGTTGTGGAATCCCGGAGACCTCCCAGCGGATGAATGGCGGAAGATCAGTGGTGGAGGAGTCCTGTGGATGTCTGCAGTGGAGTGTCTCCGAGTCTTGACCCGAAAAGACAGGCCGGCCCGATGGCCAATGGTAGTCGGCCAATAGGACAATCCAGATCGAAGCGCACCAATCAGCCGTCGATGATAAGAGGTCAACGCCACAGCTTGCCTGATTGGTCACTAGCGGCGGACTAGTGAACCCTCGACAGGAAGGAGCGACTCTCTCACATTCCTCTTTTTGGGTTGCTTCACCGTTCTTTCCTTTTTTCTTTTTTTTTTTTTTTTTCTTTCGTCGCAGGTCAAGTCCGTTGGAGGCTGAGCAGACCACGGGAACACTTCCTACATACTGCATATCAGTAGGGTGGACGGAGTACTCCGTTCTCCATACTCCATACTCCATACTCTACCTCGGTTCCTCCAATATCGAACATAATGTAACTCCGACCCAAAACTAAATTATTATGGGGCAGTCCACTCATAAAAGTGGGGAGTAAAGCGTAGCAAGAAAGCCGTCATGGATGCCGGTAAGAATCCTAGTCGAACTCTTTTCGAATCCAACCAGATTCAAAATAGACAATAACTCACTAACTAGGGTTATCTATGACCTAAACGATCTTTCTCCAAACATACACATCACAACAAGCGGTCAATAGGCCGGGTATTTATGATCTCATGTCGTGAGGCACGGAAGTGATCCGGTGGAAAGGTACATGCGGAGGGACACGGGCCACTGTACATGAGGGTGACCTGGCCCCTGCAACGTGCAATATTGGGGATGGAAGTACTCGGATGTCACTTCAATACCTCTCTCTCTCCAGTCCATTCTACAGTTGTATCCCTTTTCTTCACCTCCTTTTTAAACCCATTTGGCACATGCGAATATTAAAGTACCTCTATGACCTGCGAGAGGTCCAGATCTATTCTATTCTACTCTCTCCTAAAAACTCCCACACTTAGCGATTTGTAAACAACACTGTTCACCCGTTCTCCAACTTTCTCCACTTAAACCGTTCCCGTCTCTCCTCGGCCACTTACCGTTCATCTGTTTGCCTCTTTCCTCCGGCTGAACGGCCTTTTCATGATCGCCGATAATTTAGTGCTCCTTATTTGCCCCTCTATACAATTAAAGCATGCCCGCTGGTATACTTCGTTCAACTTCACCTTGAACTCCCCGAGCTTACCTTCCGACTTTCCGATTTCTGACCTTGTTTTCCTCTCTACTCTACTCTCTACTCTCTACTCTCTACTCTCTACTCTCTACTCTCTACTCTCTACTCTCTACTCTCTCTCGCCTTATTACCTTTCTACTTCTTCCTCTTCTCTACTCCTCTCTCTCTCCTCTCTACAACTATTCAACATGGCCACTCACGTTATGACCTCAACCCCGAGTCAGATCTCTGTCTACGGACAGCCATCTCCCACCAACTCCGCCAATAATTCTGCCACCAATACGCCCTCCAATAATTCCCCCACCTCCCCACGCATGGCCACCGCCTCGCTGCACCAACTGCCCCTGCAGTCGCGCCAGCTGCGTCCTCTCAAGGGCCCGCTCTACGTCCCCGCCGCCCTGCGTCCAACCGAGCGTCCCCAGAAGTCGTCCCCCATCACGCCTCCCCGCAGCGTGCACGGCTCCCTCGACAGTCTGAACGAGGACGTCGAGCCCATCAGTCGTCGCTCCACCATGGAAAGCCAGTCCAGCGGTATCAGCCAGGTCGCTCAGCACGAGTTGATGAAGATCGAGGATCTGGGCGAAGTCACCGGTCAACCGACCCGCGAGCACTGGAAAGTGAGTATCTCGAATTCCTCTTCTCTTTTTTCCTTTTTTTCCAATGTCCAATTCCCGTCCTTGCACTACTTATAAGCATTGGAACTTGCGATTACGCAGTTCTCAATGCAAATGTCGTCTAAGCTCGTCATTTCATGGCGTGCTTGTCTTCTACTCTACACTACCCTACCCTACCCTCCTCATCCACTAGCTCCCATCACATCGCATCGCAACTCATTCTCTACAATTACAATACTAACAAAACCCCAGGCCGACTCCGCCTCTTCAAACTGCGACTCCCCAACCTGTCGCTCCTCTTTTGGAATCTTTCTCCGTCGCCACCACTGTCGTCACTGCGGCCACGTTTTCTGCGCCTCCCACACCCCGCACCTCGTCCCCCTGGATCAAAACGCCCGCTTCCACCCAGAAGGCGTCCCCTCACGTGCCTGTGATCTCTGCTGGAGCGCTCACCAGCGCTGGGAGGAAACTCGCTCCGACCGTCTGAATAAAATCCAGAATAACATGGACGCTCAAGTCGGTGTCTCCGTGCCTGACTCGGAACATATTGAGAACCAGGAGTCGAAGGCTCAGTCTACTGAGGTTGCTGCCTCGGTTCCTCGTGACTGGAACTGGAGTACTTTTTAAATTAAAAAGTGCTGAGGTTGTGGTCAGCGGGTTCTGATGCAGCTTGAATACGTTTTTTTTTTCGTTTCTGTCATGCTCGCGTGACTGTTTTTTTTTCTTTTCTCTTTCTTTTTTTGTCTCGTCTCTGGCGATTATGGGTTTGGCGTTTGCCCTGGTGGGCTGCTTGTTTCCTTTGTCTTGGTCACTACGGCGCATTATGTCTAGATGGTTTGTCGGCCCTTGGAGGCTATGCTTTTTTGCTTGCGTTGATCAGGATACCCCGTCGGTTCATGGTGTTTTCTTTTTATTTTTCTCTTTTTTCTTTTCTGCGCTATGTCTCCTGATCTCTATCGGTCGTGATTTCTATCTTGACGATTTCCTTCGATCTGAATCTGAATCAATGATATTGAATTTATGTCTATTCCCTTAGTTATACCGTACACGTAGTTTCCATTTCGTCAAGGTACTCAGTACTGAGTACTCCATAACGCTTGTTCAGGATGCATAGTCAATTCCCACTACATTAACCCAACTTCAATCCTCTTGTACATCCCCAAATGCTCAATCCCCTCCTCATCCCACCTCCCAAGCTCCTCATCAACCACAAACCCAAGCCTCCCATACATCCCCTCAACATCAACCTGAGCATGAACAAGCACCAAACCCCTCCAACAACCCCCTTTATTCTCAATCCCAGCCTCAACCTCCCTACAATGCCCAGCAGCCCACCCCAACGCAGTCTCCACTAACATCCTCCCAAGTCCCCGGCCACGGTACATCGGCACGATCGCCACACGAGTTAACTTAACGCACGGCTCCTCAACCCCTTTCTGCAGCGCTTCTTCAGGCGCGTGGGTCTGAGGCGGGGGCACAAGGCGGATCGTCCCCACCGCTGTGGTCCCGTCGTATAGGACCCAGTGCCAGCTGCGGGCGTCGTCGGTGTCGATCTCGGTTTCCGCGGAACAGCTTTGTTCGGTTATGAAGACGGAATAGCGGATTGCGAGGGCGTCGTTTAGGACCGGGGGGTTTTGAGGGGGGTTTGTGTTTGTGGGGGTTGGGAGGGTTAGGGGGGTTAGGCCTGGGGGTTGTTGGAGGCGGGTTGTGTACGAGTAGGTTGGGGTTGGCATTTTGGTTTGGATTGGAATTGGAGGGTGGATGTTGGGGTGCGTGTACAAAGTAAGTTCTGTATGGCTTTTTTTAAAATTAGTCGTGGAGATTAAGTATTGTTTCTATTATCGTTTTTCCCGTCGGTTAAACCTTGGGGAATATTGCCGCGGAGATTGGAAACGTAAAGATTGGCATACTCCAAGTAGACCCGAGGACGGGATATCTCTGGAGTATACGGATTACAATGCTATACGATTCGAAGATTGTATTTCAAGACAAATATCATTCCAATATTCACAATAAATGTACAGTCCAAGTCCACGTAGAGGCCTATATGTCCATGTCTAGTCCCCGATGTATACACAATGCAAACAAAACAAACACACCCGATATCACCGCGCAAATCCCAAATTTCACCCACCAACACGCGATGTCCCTCTACTTCGACGCAGTCGCAATCCTAACCGCCCCCTCCTCCGGCGGCTCCTTCAAATCCCGAATCTACAGCGCCAGAAACCTACGCGCCTCCCCAGCCCAAATCTATGCGCTAACCACCGAAGCCGCAAAATGGGACACCGTCCTCGCGGACGTGATTGACAAATCGGGAATCCTAACTCTCGAACGGAAGGTGAATTAACCCCATGCCCCAATTAAGCTTAAGCTCCACGAAAAACTAATAACTGACCAATCAGCTCTCTCCCCTTCTCGCCCTCCTCCTCGTTCACGACCATCTCCTTGCTAAAAAGGGCATTGCGGCGCCGGCTACGCATACGCTTCGCCAATGCGTTGAGCGACACAAGGCCAGACTGAAAGCTGAATTTACCAAAGCGCGCGTCCGCCGCGGCTGTGCGAATATCGAAGAATTCAAGCGCGCCGTTCTTCGCGAGAAGAGGGCTGCGGATGGAACGAGTCATTTCGTATACCCGCGGTGGGTGCGTGTGAATAATATTCGCACGACGCTGGAAGAGCAGCTCGCTACGACGTTCAAGGCTTATCGACGTGTAGAGAAATTGTCTGATCTTGCGACGGAGGAAGAGCGAAAGCCTGAGCCGAGATTATTCATTGATCCCAATATCCCTGATTTGGTAGCTGTGCCTTTTGGTGCGGATTTCACTTCTTCGTCTGCGTATAAGAATGGTGAGATCATTCTTCAGGATAAGGCTTCTTGTTTCCCTGCGTATTTGCTTTTGGGAGATCGGGGATCTGTCGATGCTTGGGAAGGTGATTTGGTGGATGGGTGTGCTGCGCCGGGGAACAAGACTACGCATTTGGCTTCGCTTCTAGCTAAGCAGCAAAAGGGGAAGAAGAAGAAGGGTGGTCAGAAGATCTTTTCTATGGATGCGTCGACGGTGCGATCGAAGACGTTGGCGAAGATGGTCGGGCTTGCTGGGGCGGACTCTGTTACCGTCTTACAAGGTCAAGACTTCCTTGCTCTGGATCATGAAGATGAGCGCTTCGCCAACGTCACTGGACTTCTTCTCGACCCCAGTTGTTCCGGTAGTGGTATCATTGGCCGCGACGAGGTTCCGCAGTTCACATTACCCGTGACGCAGCCGAAGGGTCCCAAGTCTCATGGAAAGAAGCGCAAGCGCGAGGACGACGACGAGGGTTCGAAAGCAACGCCTGGAGCCCCACAGGCGGAGCCAACGGATGAAAATGATATTCCCGATGGTACCATTGACCCGGAGCGTCTGACCAAGCTTTCCAGCATTCAAGCCAGGATCGTTGAGCATGCTCTGGGTTTCCCGAATGCTACTCACGTCACGTACAGTACGTGTTCGATCCATTTGATCGAGAATGAAGGTGTTGTGGCGCGGATTCTGGGAACTCGGGTTGCGAAGGAGCGTGGTTGGCGTCTCCTTCGGCGTGATGAACAGCCTGATGGATTGCGGAAGTGGAGTAAGCGTGGTGTTCGCGAGGAACATCCGGCTGAGGGTGAGACTGGGCCGTCGGGCTCGGTTGATCTTCCAGATGAGGCGTTGGAGGCATGTATTCGGTCGTGGCAGGGTGATGCAGAGGGTCTTGGTGGATTCTTCGTTGCTGGATTTGTCCGTGACTCTGCTCTCGCCACTGCGCCGGTTCAAGAGACTGAACAAAATGGTGAAACCGAGATGCTCGTCGAGGACGAAGCGAATGCCGAGGATGATGATGAAGAGGATGCAGATGAAGAGGACTGGGGAGGCTTCTCGGATTAGACAAAAAAAAATTAACACTGCGCAGGCTGGATCCTGCGACTGGCATTTGTTCATATATTCGTTCTAGTATAATTCTATGTCCCCCTACAAGAACTTCCGTGAGCGATTTCGGACTTTCAGGCTGGTGTAAACGTCCAGTTTGTCCGCGACCAGGACAACCTCGTATCCACCGCGAGCGTGCATTACCTGCACTCTCCATTGTCCTGTACGAACAATCCAAGGAGACCCGCCGAGCTCTGAAATTGATCGTGATCGTTTAGCCGGGGGCCCTGCAGCATCATCTCCGGCCGCATTCAGCTGGCCCGGTTCACCATCAATAGTCAGATCGACTTCGCTATTTAAGCGGATCTTGATCGGGGGTTTTTGGCCCTGAAGCTGCGAGTCCAAGTTCATCTTCTTGGATATGGTTCCCAATAGACTAGTGATCCGTTGTTTGGTGAGACCAATGAAATCAACATACATGCTCTCATGATGAATGACACTGGCCTCCTCTCCAATTTCAAGCACCAGATCTGCGGCGTTCTCGTCCACGAAGGGTCGCTTGTAGCTCACCCAACCGTTCGTAGTGAAAGAACCCTTGTCGTCAAAAACGGGTTGAATCCCAGACGGTCGCACATCTTCCAATCGAATGACGATCTCCGGTCGCTGCGTGAAGGGGTTCGTGGTGATCTGATGCGGAATCAACTTCTGCTCCAAGCCACGCAGATGGAAGTATCGACAGTCGCGCAAGAGTGCCGCCCGGTGTTCCTCATTCCTGATATGAAGTGTATATCCCCTGAGAAGATGTAGGAGCTCATCGAATACGTCCGCTGACCGATTCGGTACGCTCGGGGGTACGATGGCGGGTGGACGGAGGAGGCCCTGGCGATCGAGACCTGGGAAGACCTCGGTGGGCGAAGCGAAGAATGCGGCGAAACCGAGTGTGAAGAAGTTTGGGGAGTCGCCGGGGCTGGAGAAAATGTCGCGCGGGATTTGGAAGTGCCGGTCGCCGATTTGGATGAAGCATTCTGATTCGAATAGCTGGGACATCAATCGGGGGACTAGTTTGTTTGATCAGTTGAGGGATATCCCAGGGATTGAAGAGTAGCTCTTACGGGTGTAGAATTGGGCGTCGGCGAAGAGTTTCACGAATTGCGCGCCGTCTTGCGGTCGGACATGGTAGCCTGTGGGTTGTCAGTCTTTTGGCGCGACGAATTGGATGTGATGGCGCTACCCTGTAGATGTCTGGCGATCTCGCGAAAAGTGGTTGGATCGCGATCGATGTATAGTGTTCTTATATTAGAGGCATCTTGGGTTTGGAGCAATTGGTCCTCGAAGAAGCGCGAGAAGTAGGAGGGAGCTATTGAGGGTCAGCGTAGTTCGCGAGCAGTAGTACAGCACATACCATCAGAGGCAAGGGAAGCGCCGGAGAGACGAAAGAGCTCGGAACCGATTTGGATGGGAAAGACCTTTTCGGTGGGCAAAGTGCATTTCTCCATTTTGTTGCAGACGGGAAGTGTTGAAGTTGGTGTTACCAGCGGCAGTCACCTGCTTCCCTGCGACCACTCTTCTTTCTTCCTCTCCTTCTTCTCCCTCCACCTTGCGCCACTCTGCTTCCCTGTTCCCTACTGACTCGCACATATTGAGGCGAATTTATTCACACCTGTCAGCACCTTGCATACTTCCATATCAACTTTGACGATGTTGGGATGTTCACATGGAAGGGGAGCTCGGCTGTCCCCGCATTGAACGGAGCATCCACCGATCTTGACCGATCTTGACCGAAATCGGATGGAACCCTCTTGGCTGTACGGGGGAGCGACCAGCACGAGGCTTGCTGATCGGCCGAGCTATCATTTTACTTGAACTTGATTGGCCCTGCAGGGAAGTCTCACTGCGTGAAATCACAAACATGCACGTTCGCCCAACCGAGGTCTCCCCCAGCTATGTGTAGATTCGCATTTTTGGGTTCGGTGAGATGAAGATCGCAGAGAATGAAAGCCCATACCTCTGGGGTGGGCCCATAACCATGTCAGAGGGCCGGGATACTTCTCTCCACAATACCCCATCCAATCTTGCTTTTGTTTTTCTCCCATTCTTTCCAGAACTTCGCACTGAAGGGGTGGAAGATGCCCACTATGGATGTCTCCTCATACACTCCCAAGGATGTCCCTCTCCCCCCGGCACCCTCAACAGACTTCTTCACAGAGTTACAGTGGAAGACATTATTTGCATTGGCGGACGCCGTCGTGCCCTCTATTCACACCAGTGCGACAGCCCGCTCATCAAATGACAGGGTCGTCGCGGACGCTGAGTACAGTTCCGCCGTGAGCAGTCTGACAAGTCTGATCTCGGGGCCCGATGCAAACTCTATTGCAACTCAATATCTGCAGGAAGATGCTTCGTCTAACCCGCTGTTTCGATCTCTGATTCAGCGGCTGCTCGGTAATCATGTGCATAGCGAGGGGAAGAATGGCATGAGCCTCATTCTGAACGCACTCAACACCCGCGCCGGCTCACTGATTCTCACCGGATCGACCACTCCTATCCAAGACCAACCGGTGGAATTCCGGGAACGCGTCTTCAAGGGTTGGGAGACTTCGAGGCTGCCGCCCCTCCGCGTAGTCTATCGAGGACTGAGTGCCATGGTCAAAAACTGCTGGGTCCTCGGCAGTCCGACTATTAGTCCTGTTCTGGGATTCCCACGAGTACCAGTCCACGGCAAGCCCGCTGCCGGGTTTGACTATGAGTTCTTGCAAATACCCCCGGGCGACAAACCGGAGGTAATCGAAACCGACGTCGTCATTGTTGGAAGCGGCTGCGGTGGCAGCGTGGCGGCAAAGAATCTTGCCGAAGCAGGTCACCGCGTGCTGGTATTGGAGAAATCTTACTCCTACCCATCCGAAGTGTTCCCCATGGCCCAGAATGCCGGCTTCGCCAACCTGTTCGAGAACGGGGGTGCGATCTTCTCCGAGGACAGTTCCACGGGCGTCCTGGCGGGATCAACGTGGGGCGGCGGTGGCACTGTAAACTGGTCTGCATCTCTGCAGACTCAGGGCTATGTCCGACAGGAATGGGCAGATACTGGCTTGCCGCTCTTCACCTCTTTGGCCTTCCAAAGGAGTCTTGATCGCGTCTGTGATCGCATGGGTGTCAATTCTGAGAAGGTCGAGCACAACGCTCAAAACACCGTTATCTTAGAAGGTGCGCGCAAACTGGGATATGCCGCTAAGACTGTGCCTCAGAATACAGGTCATGGCGAGCACTACTGTGGTTATTGCACTCTGGGATGTGCTTCCGGGGGCAAGAAAGGCCCTACGGAGACCTTCCTGATGGACGCGGCCAAGGCGGGTGCCAAGTTTATGGAGGGATTTCACGCCGACAAGGTGATGTTCACCAAGGTCAACGGCAAACAGGTTGCTTCTGGGGTGAAAGGAACTTGGAGATCACGAGATTCATATCTCGGCCTTGGCAGTGCCGGTGTTGTGGAACGTAAGGTGATTGTCAAGGCAAAGAAAGTAGTTGTTTCTGCTGGTTCCCTGCATAGTCCCCTCCTGCTGCTGCGCAGCGGAATAAAAAACTCTCAGATCGGCCGTAATCTACACCTCCATCCAGGTAAGACACCCCCATCGACAGACACGATCACATACTAATGATCTGATCTACAGTTGTGGTCGCTGGTGCAATCTTCGACGAAGAGACGCGACCCTGGGAGGGTTCCGCACTGACAACCGTAGTCAACGAGTTCGAAGACCTCGACGGACACGGACACGGCGTGAAAATCGAGGCACTCTCAATGCTGCCCTCCGTCTTCCTTCCAATCTTCCCCTGGCGCGGCGCTTTAGACTACAAGCTATGGGCCGCCAACATGCGCCGAAGCACCAGCTTCATCACTCTCACCAAAGACCGCGACTCTGGCCGCGTATACCCAGACCCCGTCGACGGCCGATGCCGCATCGACTACACGGTCTCAGCCTTCGATCGCAAACACATTGTTGAAGGCATAATCGCCAGCGCGAAAATGGCGTATATCGCAGGCGCCAAGGAGTTCCACACTACATATCGGGATCTCCCGCCGTTCATTCGCTCAGAGGCTTCACGCCCGGATGCACCAGAGGGGACTAACGACGAAGCTCTGCAGAGCTGGATCGCCGAGCTGCGTCGGAAATCGCCTCTTAACCCGGAGCGCGGCTTGTTCGCCAGTGCCCATCAGATGGGTACGTGTCGCATGAGCAAGTCGCCTAAGCTGGGTGTCGTGAACCAGGACTGTCAAGTCTGGGGCTCGGAGGGTCTATACGTGGTGGATGCGTCTGTCTTCCCTAGCGCGAGCGGCGTAAATCCTATGGTGACCAACATGGCGATCGCCGATTGGGCCAGCCAGAATCTCGCCCGGACAATGATGGGCTCCCGTGGTGAAGGTGGTGTGATGGCCCGGCTGTGAGAGATATCCAGCAGAAGGTGGGCTACTGAGTTGTAATTTTTTTCTACTGATGATATCCATGGCATAGCAATATAACAACTTATCCATCTGATGGGTATGCATTGAACGTTCTATTTTCGATCCGCTATGCAATAACTATTTTATTCATATTTTTATGCACTCCCAATTAGGAAGGAGGAGCAGAGCGCTCGTCGATGTACTTCTTCTCACCGAACGCCTGCTTGACACCCTCAGCCTCGATAGTGCGCTCGTACCAAGCAACAACAGTTGCGTACTTCTCGCGCATCTCCTTATCAATAGCCATAGAGAAGCCCCAAACCAAAGCCGAGGCAACAGTGATATCAGCCAAGCTAAGCTTATCACCCGCGAACCAAGTACGGCCTTGAAGGTAAGTCTCCAAGCAAGCAAGCGAGCGGTTCAAACGCTCAAGGTTGGAAGTCTCAGTCTTCTCATCATAAGGACGAAGACCAAGACGCCACAAAGCGATCTGAGTCACTGGGTCGAGAATCTCACCCTGAGCATAGCAGATCCACTGACGGATAGTGGCGCGCTGAGCCGGGGTAGCGCCGACCAGCTGATCGGCAGCGGGACCGCTCTCGGCGATGTCCTGTGTGATAGCGTCGGACTCGAAGAGGGTTGTGCCATCAGCGGCTTCGAAGGCCGGGACCTTGCCGAGTGGGAACTTGGAGATGAAGTCTGGGGTTCGGTTGGTCTGGCCCATGGCGAAGGCTGGGACTGAGAGCTCCAGGCCGTTCAGGTTGGCTGCCGCTTGGGCCTAAGGGTCCGAGGTTAGATTGCAGGGGAGTGGTTTATTTTCTCGGGTGGCGTACCTTCATGACCCGAGGGCTGGGCTGGTAGGAGTAGATTGTGCCGAATGGTGCCATTGTGGATTTGGATGAGGTGTAGGTATGAATGAGGACTGGTTCAGGTACGCTTTTGAGGCTTTTATAGTGAGCGTGTTGGAGAATGGCGGGGTGGAATTGGGTGGAACCCGATTTATCAGCATCTGACATTTTCCGCATTGTTAAGCAGTGAGACACTACACCGTACTTTTGGGATTATCCAACTGCTACGTGTTCACTCATAAGTACCTCGTATGATTCTAGGATCATAAAAGTCAATGTGAATGACATAAAAGTCAATGTGAATGACAGGCCGTACGTGTGTAGTTGCAGGTAGCTGTCCATTGTTGCTAAAAATAAAACGGAAATAAAGTACCACCCGCGGGACTATTCCGCAGTTACACAAACACAAACAAAAACAAAGATCCTTGCCACATCTTACATCCTTTAAGCTTCTTTCAATTAAGCCTTAATTGGCTCACCCAGCCGCATATAGTTCCAGCAAACTGCCACATTATTAGTCAGGTCCATTTGGTGGTGGTGGTAGAAGGAGAACGTACTAGTGTGTCCCATATCCTTGCCGAACATGCTCTTCTGCAGCTCCTCGCCCTCGCGAGTCCCCTCATCAGGCGTATAGCTCACAGCATTCTTACCAATAGCCAGTCCCATCACCGATGGGAATGCCGATAGAGTCTGGTAATTTGGCTTTTGCCCGGTGCACTCCGCCAGCATATGCTCGTAAATGTTCATACCAGCATAGTGACCCATGTGCATGGCACCACCGCATCGCTTAATACCTTCCCAAGCAGTGAGATCTCCCACAGCCCAGTGGTTCTCCGCATTGGGAATTTCACCCGAGAATTGCAGTCTGGCCTGTTAACTTCGTTCATCAAGCCAAGGGGCCAGGGCGGTAAACTCACGCAGGGTTCACTTTGATGTATCCATCCTCATTCAACGCCTCCTTGGACAGGTATGTCGAGGTCGGGACAGACTGTGAGACCGCGTTCAGTACATGGCCCGTAGTGAGCTTTCTGCCATCGCTGAGCGTCAACTCCCAAGCCCGCGCGTTATCGTTGTCCGTATCTACAGCCGTGGTCTCAACGACGCGCTGTCCAAGAACAACCTCAACTCCCGTCTCGAGTAAGATGGAAAGAGCACGCGCGGCGAAGTCATCCGGCAATGGCTCTGACGAAAGGAGTCGATCCCGTGAGTGGATGAGAGTCACTTTCTGTGTAGGGTTTAGAATCTTCAATTCAGCCGCCATCTCCACGCCAACCGCGCCTATAATAATGTCAATTCATGTTCCAATCATTCTCACAGCGCAAACCTACCTCCACCAACCACAACAACGCCCCCTGGCGCATTCTCCACATCAGACGAATGTTCTTCCACTTCCTTGAGGAACTGCTCGCGCCTCAAAGACTGCGGCACAGTTGGGAATGTGCGTCGCAGGCCGGAGCCCGCAACTAGATAATCATACTCCTCGGACCGATTGGCCTTTGTCTCCGAATCCACGATATGAGCAACCTTGTTCTTGAAATCGACCGAGCTCACGCTGCCTTGGATAAAGCTCAGATCGGGACTCTTCAATCCAGGAATATCTTGGAATCGGGTCCAGGCCTCGGATGCAAATTTCTTGCTTGCAAGTGCCTTGGGTGACCCGATTAAATGGACTGGGCGTGTTAGCTGGCGCTGGAGCTGGCGCGGGGAAATCTAAATATGATGGTTTACATACAGTAGCCATCGCGCTTGTCCACGACTGTTATTTGAATGGGGATGCGATGTGTTGGGGGTTTGGCTTCGGGGTTATAGGTGAAGCGGGGTACGCGGGCGTTGGAGAGATCTATAAGACTCAGTGCTGCGGCGAGACCTCCGTAGGAACCACCGATCACCAGGACGCGGTAGCTGCGAGAGACGGTTCGGACGAAGTCGTTGGAAGGCATGGTGACAGGGGGCTTGAGAGGAGAGAAAGAGAAGAGAGAAAAAAAGAAAAAGAAGGAGGCAGAGAGCCAAGAAATCTAATAAGACAAATAAAATTATAGCGTCATATAACTTTCGTATTAGGCGGGTCCTGATCTTATCAGATTGACAGCGACATCGGATTCTTTGGGTTTCTTTTTCTTGGCTTCATTTGATCCGATGGAAGCCGTGCAACATGGGTACTACTGACGAGTACTATTATTCTCTGCTTGGCTGATGTCACGATGGGATTGGACCGGAATGGTCTGTGTCACAGCTTCATGGTGTCGCATTTCATCAAGTAGGGAAGGGATGGCTGGTCCATCGTTAGAGATTCATGCCCAATCTTGAATTCTTGCATGCCAGCAGAAGTTACCGGGGTGCCTCCAGGGGTGTCCGGTATGACGGTAAGACGTTTATGCAGGGACCGAGACATGTGGAAACAACCAGCCGTACGGAGCGGGCTGCACTACTTTGTGTCCGGAGATGTCTATTTAATACGGAGTACTGGGTGCATGGGTGGGTACTCTAGTGCTAGCATGTCAGTAGCACTGGAATATGTCCCCATGCAAGTCGCATTTCCCATCTGATAAAATCTCCCAGTGATCATCTGATAATCTGATAAGATTGAATTCGCGACTGTTTCCTCGGGTTGTTTTCCTCGGAATGTACGGTAAGGTATTACCAGACCCACGGTTTAATTACAGCCACACAGCCCAATCCGGCAAAGATCACCGATCAGACAAGATCGGATCTAATCTGATTCTGGGAAGTGGAGTCGCCGCGGTCGGAACCGCCCCAAGCTAGCGTGTATTGTACCGTATTCGCTAAGAAATGGCGCAATTCGCAGACTGACCCGCCATTATTACGTGAAAATCTGATAAGATACGCGTCTCAATTGTTTCAAATTTCACATTCTTCTCCGGTCAATCCGTGAGGGATCAGGGTATTATTCACATCTCGACTCTCCAGCATCAACAATCCATCTCACGTAATTTTAAAACCGTTTCCTTTTACTTCCGCTGCGCCAACACCGCAGTCGCCATATCTCTCAATTCCACCTTCCTCACTTTCCCACTCCCCGTAACAGGAACCTGACTAGAAGCGCCCTCCTCGCCAAAGACGAAAACATGCTGCGGCGCCTTGTGTCGACCAAGCGTCTCACGAGTCCAGTTCCGAAGTTCGTCATCAGTGGGGCGCTGCGCGCCCGACGCGACCGTAATAAACGCACCCACCACCTCACCGTACTTGGGATCCGGAATGCCAATCACGGAAGCGAGTTCAATCGCGGGATGCGCGGATAATCGTTCCTCGATCTCGAGCGGGTAGATGTTTTCGCCGCCTACTTGGGATCAGCGATCGTGTCGATCAAAACTTTGTTTCGTAGGGCGAACTTACCGCGGATAATGATGTCTTTGAATCGTCCGGTGATCGTGCAGTAACCCTCCGCGTTGAAGGATGCTTCGTCGCCGGTCTTCAGCCACTTGACGCCCTCGGCGTCCGTGATGAATGTTTCGGCCGTCTTTTCGGGGTTGTGCCAGTATCCCTTGGTCAATTGGTAGCCGGCCATGCATAGCTCGCCGCGCTGGCCGACGGGGACGATGTTGCCGTGTGCGTCGATGATCTTTGCGCGGGCGTGTGGGAGAACCTTTCCGACCGTTGTGAGGCGCGTGTGGATGCTGTCTGTCGTGAAGGCGTTGAAGCATGTGGGGGAGGCTTCCGTAAGGCCTGGGCTTATTAGTAAGAGGGAAAGAGTCAAGTAGGGGGAAACCTTACCGTAGCTACTTGTGTATTCTGTCATGTTAAGTTCTGCAAAGAGGCGCTTCATCAATGGGCGTGGGACAGGGGCTCCTGCAATGATACCGGTGCGCAGGTTCGAGGTGTCGAAGTTAGGAGGCTTCGGCACGCTGAGGATTGCCTCAAACATCGTCGGCACACCGTGCAATGCAGTGCACTTCTCGTCGGAGATAGCATGAAGCACCGCCTTGGGATCAAAGATCTCGCCAGGGAACACGATCTTGGCGCCGTGGGTCACGACTGCTAACATGCCCAGCACCAGGCCGAAGCAGTGGAACAAAGGTGGGGGGCAGCACAGGATATCGAAAGATGTCAGATTCATTCGATCACCGATGAATCGAGAATTGTTGACCAGATTGCTGTGCAAGATTAGCAATACGCCCAACGAAATCTACCAACCCGCCATTGACTTACTGGTGCGTCAACATAGCAGCCTTGGGATTTCCCGTAGAGCCACTGGTAAATTGCAAATTGCAAACATCATCCGGGCGCAATTCGCCCTCACGATCCTGCAGCAAGTGCGCATCTTGCTCCAAGCCCCGCTTCACGACATCCTGATAATTGGCAAAGTTCTTATAAGAGTCGCGCAGAATAACAATTTCCTCCAGCGATTCCGAAGTAGCCGCCTTTTTTAGGATTAGGCCCTAATTCGAATAAAACTTCCTCGAGATTATGGCGACCAATACGCGGGGTCATAAAGAGCATTCGGCATCCTAATCGCCCAGGGGCGCAAATTAATAAAAACGGAAATACGCGAAAAAAAGTGGATATCCGACTCACCACTATGATTCAAAGCGTAATACAGCTCCGAGGGGGTGTACGTGTTGTTCAAAACCACCAAAATAGCTCCGACCCGGGCGGCCGCAAAGAACACCGAGATGTATTGTTCACAATTGCCTGCCATGATGCCGATGCGATCGCCTTTTTGAATTCCCGAGGCTAACATGCCTCGGGCGAGACGGTCCGTCTCGTCTTTTAGTTGCCCGTATGTCCAACGGGCTCCCGTCCAGGGGAAGACCAGACATTCAATTCCTCCATATTGCAATGCTTGCAAGGTCAGTAATTCGCCTAGGGTAATGTCCAGCAGCGGTGGCTCTGTCGGACCAGCGACAATGGACAGCTGTGGGTTCGTTGGAGGCTGAACGTGCGACAGCGTCTGCTGCAATCGCTGTACACTTCTTGGGGCCGCCATGATTGTGAGGGTGAAGAGAGAACGTAAAGAAAGAAGAGGGAAAAAAGAGCGGGCTTATAGATGTAGCCGACAAAACCGCGAGTGATGGATTTTTTAATTCTTTTTTTGATTAATTTCAATCAGATATGCCGGTCCCCACTGGTAAATCAGCTGTATTGCAGCTGTTTGGTAATGAAGAAAGTTCTTGGCTTTGATGCTTCGTCGGGACTGGCTCTTGGCGACGAAACAAGACTCCACTGCTTCAAGCGAACCTTGGCATATTTCAAAAGCTCCGATTTTTTTCTCCGTTTCAATGGCTTTTCTCCAATATTACCGCCCTAACCACGTTCGCATGTGCCTTGCTATTGTGCTGAGAACCCCGCCGATCTTTCCTCAAACACCGTCAGCTCTGAGACATTTCGGCAGGTTAAATTTTTACCTCTTCAGGTGGACTGATGACGGAGGCTGCTTCGCCCGGAAGCCTTCGTATGAGCAATTACTCATTTGCTTACTTGTAGATCTGGAGTCTTCAATTCCTACGTTGTGTTTGTTGCACCTCGGCCATGAAAGATCGTCGACTATATTTCCCGTAACAGAAGTCCAGTCCGGTCAATCCGACATTACTTCACAGCTTTCGTTCAGAAAAGAAAATAGACACAAAGGAACAAAAGAGATTGTACTAGACCTCGTGGCATCCCCACCCATGATCAGATAATTTCTGCAGGACTTCTTACCGTTATCAATCAGTCGAGGTCTGTCGGGTGGAGTACCGGACGTGAAGGGTTTTCGTCTGGCAGCCCGGGCCATACTTCCGAGTTAGGGATGACTGCATACACCCAGATCCCGAACTTCCGAAATGACCTCGGAATAATGCCCTCTCAACTTTCTCTCAGATTGGTGGGCCGCGGGCTGCAGCCCGGATCATCTAGGGATCGTCTCTGTCAGGGCTCAGTTGCAGCCTTGGGTTCCATATTTCCTGACAGGGTTTTGCACTCCTCTGCATTCAATATCCTCGAATTTGAACCCCTGCCTCGTCGTTGAGGATGGCAATACTTGCATCTGTGTGATCTAATCAATCCTGATCTAATCAATCGTTCCCGACATCGGCTCGTGGGGTCTCCACTTCTATTTACGTGTATGTTTTTATACGAGCTCCGTACATATTACCGTATTTTTCGTAGAGTCGAGACCGTCCCCTGCATCAAAGGCGTTGTGCATATAGCCTAATTTTATCTCTGGGTCTGACGTTTCTGGAAGTTCGAAACTGTGGGCTACTCTTCATTCTGACACATCTGGACGATATTTTGATATATCTGTGTCGGAGGTCGGTCAATGGCAATTTCCTCTCTACCAGACTGCACGGCCTGGCTCTCTACATCGCTTGATTTCACGACCAAAGAAAAGATGTGTGAGAAAACTTCCAAGGTTGGAATTGAATAACATCAAGATTCGAATAATTAAGCAGTACCCTATGTCTATCAGGTAAAAGAGCCGACATCTCCTGTTTCGTAGCCATCGAAATATGCATCCCTTGAAAGATAACATCACCGTCTGGATAAAAAGACACCAGTATCAAAATCAAACACTCTTCGTCAGCCAATTTACAGATAAACAAGTTGATGCCCAGGCGTTAGCAAAAATTCTCTACTCGCCAAACTTCCCACCCTTCGGAATAGCCAAATGAGCACATCCCTTCCAATCACAAGTGTTCTACCACAGTCAGCACCAGTCATTCAAATAAAAATCCTGCAAAACATGAACATACCTTGTAAACTTCAGTTCCCCACCAATTAAAATGCTTACTCGCCCCAGTAAAGAAAACCGTCAAGAAGATCAAAACTCCCGCAATACCCACGGAAGAGTCCATCGCCGAGCTGAGAACAAAGTTATATTTGTTCCACCAGCCGCGCACACGGTTGCGAATCACAACTCCAAACACGAGGCCGACAATCGCCCAACTGCCATAATTCATTCCTGTCGCTGGGGGCAGGTAGTTCAAGCCTCCGATGAATAGAGGGATGTGGATCTTCTTCCACAGTGACTTCGGGTAGCGGCGGCTGAGATAGTGGATGGGGATGGGGAGGACGGCGCCGATGATGAAGAAGTATAGTAGGGCGGAGTATCCGATTTGGTTGGAGAAGTAGCGACGGGGGCCGATGGCACCCCAGATTAGGGAGGTGTTAAAATGCGTGCTGGAGAAGGGACAGCTGAAGCCGTTGACTGCGGAACTGGTGCAGACGCCGCTGATGTGGTTGAGAGCCCAGTTGAGGACCCCGAGGGAGGACAGTGTGCCGACGACCATGCCGACGCACTGCACTAGGAATAATTGGCGTTGGGGGATCTAAGAGTTTAGTATTGTGATTTTATCAGATTCTGGGGAAGCTTACATGACAGTAGTAGGCCAGCTTCATGTCTTGAGCGAAATAAAGACCCTTGATGGTGGTGATGTAGCCGATATCAAAGAACCAGATATTGGCCAGCACCTTGCCTTCGAAGACGAAACCAGCAACAATACGGCAGAAAATGTCGATGTTGATCTTCAGGTTGGAAGTTGCATAGACCAATGCAAGCTTTGTCTTATTAGCTTGGGAACTGGTCAAGTATGGGGAGTTCACTTACCGGAGGGTAGAACACAAGTGCAACAAGGCACGCCAGCAACACGCCATACCATCTCAGTTCGACATCCCACCACTCAACGGCAAAGATGGCCATGAAGAGGGCAATGACACAGCCTACCAAGTACCACCAGACAGGCACGTCGGGATCCCCGCGGTCATCTTCGCTGTATGCCCTCGAGCGACCGGGAAGCGATTCCATGACAAGGACGGGAACACGTCTGCATGCATCGGCAATGACATGGCGCTTCTCAAGAATGACCCAGACGAGGAGGGAGCTCAGTGTCGCAAATGAAAGACCGAACATGTTCAATGCGTAAGTCACGGGCATGTAGACCTACTCTTGTGTTAGCTTCTGTGATTTAGATTTGGGGGTGGGGGACATGGGCAACATACTGGTGAGTAGGCAAGGTACTTCTTCAGATCAAGTTTATAGCCAGAAGCCGCATTGACAATCTTCTTGACTTTATAAACATTTCCGGTGTTGTCAAAAACTGGTCTTTGTTAGTATTTGTCACGTTCAAATCTCAAATTCCACTTACCCTTGGAGCTTTGGAAGGGCAGATAACCAGTGTTCCAGACATTGGTGTAATAGCAAGCAACGGCGACGATCCAGATCCAAAAGACCAAGGAAACACTGACGTTGAGAATAGCCCACGCAGGAATCAGAAGAGGAGATCCAACGTAAGATATCTGACTCCCTGTGGAATTGTCAGTGTGGTCATGATGTGGTCAGATGGACATACTCACAGTCAAAGGTAATAGGAAGCAGTCCCATACCAGAGCTCATTCCGAAAACCTGGTTGACAACCTTGTTGTTCGGCTTGATCCAACAGGGGAAACTGAAGTAACTGAGCGCAGGGAAAATGAAGTCCGGGAACCAATACCAGCAGAAAGAAACACAGCAAACCATAGTGAAGAAGGCATAGCGAGACATTTTCCAAGTGTTGTAGCTGTCATTTGTCAGTAAGGAATAGAATTGATCTTGCTTTTCTCAGATCATACCGTGCTTGAACCTGGTTCTGGTTAATGTGATGAAGAGTGGTAGTCAAGGCAGTGACACTCAAAACACCTGGCCAGATCAGCTCCTTGGGGACGACAACAATGGATCTGAACAGGCCAGCCAGACAGAAACCGATCAAGAAGGTGGCGAGCGTGATGAGGATCTGGAACCCCCATCCCGCCTTGTACCCGTAGAACATTTGCTGTTCGGTCAGCACGTCGGCGCCGAGACGAACATAGATGCTAAGGTTGGACATGACATAGATCAAAGTGTGTTCCTGTAACTGTTAGATCGATGCTTATCTTCACCGGGGAGATAAGAACAAACCTTCGTGTTGAATGGACCTGGATTCAATCCAAAGGACCACGATCCCAGCGGAACAGTCCAGTCAGGAACAATCTTCTCCCATAACTTTCCCAGTGGATAGGCCAAGAGGAGGACCACCGAGCCCGAAATAGTCAATGATGGGGTACGGAGTGTGTATAGTGTATTGAGGCCGCAGACGATGATGCAGAAGAAAATTCCAATCACCCACATGCGGAGGGTGAGGATAGGCTCGGTGGGATCATTCTCGGCGATGCCTATACCGGCAGCGCGCAGGACATCGGTTTGAGAGTCTGTATCTGGAATGGGGATGAGAAGAGTTTTCCAATGAGCCAGATTGACCGAGATGGATAGGGGACACACCGGAATCCGAATTCTCACGGATCTCTTTATCACGGAGATCCTGTTCCTGGATGTTGCAATCCTTCGCGACGGTCGCCATGTTTGGACATTAAACTCGAAGTCGAAGGGGGAGATGATCAGATAAATACCATCAGATAAGATTGGGAGAAGGTGTCATCGCGACGTCGCACACACGCACCTTCCTCGATTTCGTTTTCCTTCGCTCTTTCCTCTCCGGTCTCAGCCCTACAGGGCGAAGTGGGGCGGAGACAAGCCTTTGCTCCACTCGTTTATTGCGTCTGCCTGCTGTTTTTCTTCCTTTTCTTCCTTTTCTTCTTCTTTATGTCTTACGCTACATTACTTCTACTCGCATCGTGTGAGATTTACGTATAAACTTTGTTTTACTTTCTATCTGTCCTTCAATAGCAATGTGTACCAGTAGAGGGCCAGAACATCCTGTGTGCAACTCGCCTGGTAAGCTTTTCAGGGACCCATAGCTCGGCTAGCCGACCAGTTTTGGCATTAATTCGCGCGTATGAGACCCGCATCGCGAGTTTTCCCGATATTCTCATCCATGGGTTCACATCGTCGGGAGCGGATGCAGCGGTAAGTTCTCGCCTCGGGCACATAGTCTAGAAGTCCTTACATTTTTGGAAATACTGTGCAGATTTGAACCTACAACCATAGTACAGAGTACTTTGGCACATTATACAAAAGCGAGAAACCTCTCATGCATATTTAATGACGATCTACAATGGCGAGGCCGTACCTTCATTAAATCACACTATCAAGTCTTCCTCCACAACTGAGACACGAACCTTAATGCCCCATCCATCACGTCCACCAATCCAGTTCTTCCGCTTTCCGACCTTCTCAATGCGCTGGACATCATGCTCAAGCTCCTCCTTCAAATGAGTCGGATCGTAAGCCACCTTTTGAACAGATATTGTCAAGTCGAGCCCTTCCTTTTTGCCCTTCTTGCCAAGCCCACTCCGCCACTCCGCCCTCGGAACAATCCGAGGCTTCGAATTGTCAACTGAACCGGTTGGATAAAGCTGGCTGAGCACTAGTCCCACCTTGCCCAGGTAACGAGTCCACCAGACTTCCTCCGGCGTGAGAATGCCCTGCAAGTGGGTCTTGAAATCTACATCTCGGGGCGGCAATTCTCCACCATATCGCTCCTGCAGCATGAGCGCGAGCAGAGCCCGATGAGAATGGGGGATTCCGTGTGTAGATGCTAGAATTCCAGTGCTGGTGCTGAACAGCGCGGCGCTAGAGGACAGCTCCTTGGACATGGTAGCGTGGTAATAGAGAACGTTGACAAACGCCTGGACCAGGTGGAGAGTGATCGAAGACGGGAAGGATCGTTTAGAAGACGGCCGGGGAAGCGCCGCCAGAATCAACCCGGCAAGAGCCTGAGCAGATTGAGGCGCGTGTCGGGCTGTGGCTACCTCCAGGGGATCCTGCTGTCGCACCACCGGGAGCATCTCCCGGAACAGCACACCTTCGCGCACTCCACCCTGGCAGAAATGGGCCTCTTTGATGCCATGCGGTAATGACTCGGCTAGAGTGTTGACTAAGAACGCGACCGAGGGCACTTGCTTGCGTCGACGATCAGAGACTCGGAAAATCTCATGCGCCGTCCGAGCGACTTCTTTGAGCGCCTCAGTGTCCTCGAAGTCCTTCTTCGGTGCTGTATACCCATTAATGATCGATATGGGGTAATTTCCCCCTTCGTCTGATGGAGATACAACAAAAGATATCCCCACCCCCGAAATCCGCCACCGGATAGGTATAGAGGAAACCCTCCTTGCTCCCGGGCTTTTTCCACCAGCCGTTCGGGAACCTCAATCCGGTCAAAAGCAGCCCGGAAGTTATCCGCCATCTCTTTACGAAACGCCTCCCGAGCTTTGTGGGCCTCCTCTTTACTCTTATCCCGCTTCAAGTCGGCCAATTTCTGTGATAGGGCAGCTGCTCCGTAGGGGAAACTGACCGACCCTTGTGGGCTCATGTGTACATTGCCAGCATGCGAAGCGATCCATGTCATCTGCATACTCCCACCACCCAGATCGAGAGCAAGTCCCTCTACATCTGAGAAGCTGCTGGCAATACCCCATGCGCCAATCACGCCCTCTTCTTCCTTCCGTAACGCTTCGACTGAGATCCCGGTCTTTTGCAGAATCGCGTCCATGAATACGGAGGCATTGATCGCGGTGCGGGTCGCCTCCGTTGCTATAATTCGAATGTTCTGCTGAGGTACGCCTATCTCAACGCAGACGATCTGGAAACGAACAATTGCGCTGACGACATGATCGATGACATGTTTCGGAATGGGAATTCGGGTGCCTGTCTTGGGGTCGACTTGGGCTTCGTATAAGGAGATGTTGACACGGCGGAAGTGCGCCGTGGGAAGGACTCGGGTGCTTGGTGGTGAGAGGTCGGAAATTGAACAGCGGATGCCATTGCTGTGATATTTAGTCAGTGCATGCAGTGGAGGGGTTGGGGGGGGGGCAGGAGTTCGAACTCACCTGCCTAGATCAACTACCGCGTGGAGGTAGATGTTCTGGCCTGGCTCGGATGATACTGCTTTGGTATTCATCGGAAGATTTTCTCCGCCTCCCATAATGATTCTATGCTGGTACAATTATGAGAGGAAAGGATCTCGGACAGGACGCCTGACATCATGTCCGACTGACCGCCCACTATTCTGTCATGACTTTCCGTCTGGTCTTCACCGCCTTTTGAGTGTCGTTTCCTTTTTTGGACTAGTGGCTGTCTCAAGTTGAAATCGAGATCTTGCCAGCTTCAGTCGAGGCATATCTGATTATTCTTTACAAGCCTCAGTCCCGCGCTCACGCGCGATCAAAGAGGACGATAATAGTTGCTTAGAAATTGGAGTAGCCATGTATTGGCCTAATCTCATATTTCGACCTCGGGATTGGTAACGGAAGAGCTATCATCACCTTCAGGGCCTCTTTTTAACTGTCTTTCCAAGTGTCTTTCCACCTGTCTTTTATCTTCACAATATTCCGTTGAACAGCCCTGAAATTGTCAAATTTTCCAAATTGGTCAAGATTTCATGACTCATGTATGCAGTCATCTAGACTTGTTCAAAAGCGCTATTAGGTCACCGTCCACTCGGATCTGATGGGTGGACATGGATTCGTCCACCAGTCAGATCACAGCTATTCATTGCTATGCATCAAGGGTAAAGATTGGAATTGCCAGCCACCCATGTTTACTACTGCCCAGGTGGGTCCTGAAAACCGAGAATGCTACCCCCGAGGAAAGCCACTGGCGCTGTCAAGCTTCCCCACGGCCCAGGTCTACTCCACTAGCGGCGCAAGCCGAATTGGACCCCCTTTGCACATTCCACACTAGTCCGGTTAAATGAGTCTGCAGGGTGCTGATCGCCCTTGCCTCGGGGCATTGGCTTCCGATCTATGCTGTCCGTGCTTCATACATCTACCACTACATGCGACCCCTCTCCGTTCTACCCGTCTGCTTCCGTCAACATGGTATCTATTGATGCAGATCCTCAGACGATGTGACGTCTATCGCGGGATCTCCGGACGTCGAGATGTGGCATTCAGCCTAAATATTTTGATATCCCTTGATTAAAGAGCCCCGGATGGCCAGAGGAGCGAGACTGCTACAATCGGCCCATTCACCCGAGAAAATGCGGCTCTTACTCTTGTCTTTGTGGGCTACCTGGGCTACCAGCTCTGTGGCTTCGCCAGTACAGTCAGATATATATCACAAGCCGACATCCAAAGGCTTTCGTATGCAGCATGGGTTTGAAACTGTGCTGGTACAGCCCTTTGGATACGATGGCTTCCGAGTGCGAGCATGGCCTTTCCGAGAGCCAACAGGCAAAGAGGTTGGGTTTGTTTATGACCCACCCCTGGACGGACCCGAAGAGGGAAATGCACATGGCATGACTTTCGACACGGCTTTCAACGGGAATCGATCCGAAGAATTGCGCAATGGCAACATGATCGCTCGTACATCTGGATGGGGTGGGAATCCCGGGGGATATCGACTTGCCTTTTACAGAGTCGAGACCAATGGCTCAGAGACTCTCCTCACCAACGAGTATGCACCACTCAAGTCGCTGAATCCAAGGTACTACTCTTGGACTGGCCCAGGAAGCGAATTCGCTGCCGAATTCTCTTTCAGCACTACCCCAGACGAGCAGATATATGGCACTGGAACCCAGCAGGATCATCTGGTCAACAAGAAGGGCCTCACAATTGATCTGATCAATTACAACACTCATATCCCGACCCCTGTTTTCATGAGCAATAAAGGCTACGGATTTATCTGGAACATGGCTTCAACCGGTCGCATGGAATTCGGTCCACTGCGAAATAGATTCACTGCGGATGCAGCATCTGTAGTTGACTATGTCATCGTCGCGTCGGACCCCAGTGACTACGACAAGCTTCAGCAACGATTATCTGCTCTAGTTGGTCGGGCACCCACCCCGCCCGACTGGTCTCTAGGTTATCTGCAATCCAAACTCCGATACGAGAATCAGAGCGAAGTTATACAGCTGGCACAGCAGTTCCATGACAAAAAGATCCCAGTGTCCATGATTGTCATTGATTATCAATCCTGGGCTCACCAGGGCGACTGGGGACTTGATCCGAACTTATGGCCTGATGTAGCAGAGATGGCCAAGAAAGTGAAAGACCTGACCAATGCCGAAATGATGGCTTCTCTTTGGCCCAGCGTGGCAGATGACAGCGTCAACTATCTGGAAATGATGGCCCAAGGATTCTTGTCTGCCACTAGATCTGGACCAGGCACGACTGACTCCTGGAACGGGTCCTACATTCGAAACTACGATGCCACCAACCCTGGAGCACGTCGCTTCTTATGGAACACATTGAAGAAGAACTATTTTGACAAAGGCATCAAGAATTTCTGGATCGATCAAGCAGATGGTGGTTCACTCGGCGAGGCCTACGAAAACAACGGCCAGAGCACCTATATTCAGTCCCTTCCCTTCCCCATGCCTGATGCATTGTACGCGGCCGGCACACAGCGCAGTGTGGGGAAGCTCTACCCGTGGGCCCACCAGCAAGCGATCGAGGAAGGATTCCGAAATGCCACCACCACAGAGGTAGGGACGCCCTGCGACTACCTATCGCTAAGCCGCTCTGGTTACATCGGCTCCCAGCGATTCTGCAGCATGATATGGTCGGGCGACACTACAGCAGTGTGGGAGACCCTCAGTGCGCAGATCGCCAGTGGATTGTCCGCCGCCGCGACCGGCTGGGGCTGGTGGACCCTCGACGCAGGCGGCTTCCAAGCGGACCCGACAGTTCCATGGAGTGCCAACATCGACACACCGGAGTATCGCGAGCTATATGTCCGTTGGTTCCAGTGGACGACGTTTGTACCGTTTATGCGCACCCATGGGTCTCGCGAGTGCGATTTCCAGAATGCCTACACTTGCGCGAATGAACCTTGGTCTTATGGATCAGAGAATACCCCGATTCTGGTCTCTTATATTCATCTCCGATACCAGCTCTCTGCTTATTTACGTGCGGTATTTGCGCAGCTGCATAAGAGTGGTCGGATGATCATGCGCCCATTGTATATGGACTTTGAAAAATCTGATCCTCATGTTGCTGCTTGGACTAGATTGAACACCAACTCCACTACCCAGCAATACATGTTCGGTCCACGACTTCTGGTGAGCCCGGTTACAACACCAAATGTGACGGAATGGTCTGTCTACCTGCCCCAGACAGGGGGAGGAGACTCTAAGCCCTGGACCTACTGGTGGTCGAACGAGACTTACTCCGGTGGTCAGACGGTGACTGTCCCAGCGCCGAAAGAGCACATCCCATTGTTCCATCTTGGGACCCGGGCGGACATTCTCGATGGGCACGTTTTTGCATGAGGGGATTCCTGCGTATCAGATGTTGGCCATGGTCGCCGGGCTTTGCATTAATAGGTACGACTGGGAGATGATTCTATTCACGTCAGAATTGATCAATATGTAATGTTTCGCTTGGCAACGGAAGAGAGGGGCTAGTTAGCATCGACTTTGGGGGTATTTATAACTTGGCTGTCTAGCTGTCTTTCTAGCTCTCCTTCCAACGATTTGCTACCTATTCAAACTCATCTTGACTGGTCGAGTAAAGAAAGACTTGGCTAAGCCGTGAACAGAGAATTAGGGATTGGTGATAAAGCATAATCAAGTTACGAAACTTTGGAAATTGTCCATTCTGTCCACTCGTGCTTTATATATTTGTTACGCGTCGATAACTATTGTGGACAAAATGCGGGAAAACCTTGGGACCTCGTGTTGTAGTTATATTCTTTCAACAGGCTTCCTAAATGATCATTTTTACCTTGGAAGAGAATGATAAAGGCCACAGATGTTCCCACAGACCTTCGGGTGAAGGGTAAAAGAGAAGGAATCCCGTGAACCAACGCGCTGCGCTGATAGGTTCACGTGGCAGAATTATCTAATCAATCCGATCAGATAAGATGTGAGCATCACAAGATTTTGGCCGAATGACCACCATTTCTGGCTCATTTTCGTCTCTTATTCTCTTCTCTCCAACCTCTCACGACCACCGAGTATTTCAAGTCTATAGATCACCCCTTACGACCCAGTTCCTCGCCACCATATCCCAACGAAGCCGATCCAGGGTTCAGAGACTTCCGATCCACATGGGCCCACACTGATTGCGATTATCGGCCTGCTGCCGGTGCTCCGCTCGTCCACAACCGTTTTTCTCAGACGGGCCACAACCTGGGGGTTTCACCATGTTGCTCGGTTTGCTGCTTGTTGCATGCGCCCAGGGTGTGTGGGCGAGTAACCCTCAAGACGGGCTGTGTGTCACCGCTGTCTTCTCTGCATACAACTACATCTCATTTGCCGGGATTCCACCCAAGCCTTTGTGGCAGTCGCGATGCCGCAACCCAATCAAGGTTACGTCAATATACGCCGCGACGGAGCTATACTGTACTGAGTACGAACGCGACAAGGGACTTTCTCAGCTGGCTGATGAGTGCCGGGAGTTCGGACACGTAGAGCTTATCCCCAGAGAGGAGGTTGCGGGGAATCTGACGGAAGATGCTGTTCGGAATATGAGGAGGGTGGATTATCTGGAGTTGTCCCGAGCTGATCCAGTTGATGTCCCTGTGCTTTTATCGGCGACTTACTTCGATCTGATGTTTAACACTCTGGTGAGATCGTCGGCCCCAAGAAATTGACCTCCTCTGACCGCTGATTCAGGATTCTTGGGAAAATGTATCCTGGGCACATCATGCATTTGGGTACGTCTTTGATACACGATGTCGTAAAACACAAAACTAACTGATCAGTTACCTCGGATATGTGTATTGGGGCATCATACTGGCACTCGGAATGATATCCCGAATCTGTGTTTGGGCATTTCATCGCCGACATCGCCAGACCGAACGTGCTGTCGAGTCAAATGCGTATCCCCTCATCAGGTCGCTGGAGAAAACGCCAATTGCAGGGACATGTCTTCACTGGATTCAAACCCACATCATGATTCCACCGCCCCTGCCAACACGGAAATGTGTGCTGGGATGCACGTTTTCAACCAGAGTTGAAGCGCTCATCGTTATGGGCTTCTGGGCTCTCAGCATCATCCTCAGTCTTGTGTACTACAAGACGTTTTCTGGCAACATCTAGTACGTACCAAGCCCACAAGTCCGTGGTTTGGAAATGGGCAGTACTGACAAACAAATAAGTTGGCCTGATATACCCAGCCAGCTTCTGCGATATTCTGCAGATCGGACCGGTATCATGGCATTTGCAAACTTCCCACTGATATGGCTTTTCGGCGGCCGAAACAACATCTTTCTGTGGGCGACTGGATGGAGCTTCGCTTCGTTCAACATATTTCATCGGCATGTTGCAAGGATCGCTACACTACAAGCGGTAGTGCACTCAGTACTATACATCGTCATGTACATTCAAGGTAAATTGTAAAAGACTTATCGCAAATGCATTTGCTGATCTTGATTTCACACAGCTGGCACATTGTGGAAAGGCTTATCCAAAGCCTATGTCCAGTGGGGCATACTGGTAAGAATCTCTGTGTTATACCCAAGCTCATTTAGGAAAGATATACTCATGGTAGATGGCAGGGCACGTTGGTGATGATTTTGCTGTTGATAACATCGTTGGATCGGATTCGAATTGCGACATATGAGCTCTTTCTGATAGCACATGTCGTGCTTTCAGTGCTGACCCTAGTCGGTTGCTTTTAGTGAGTGATCTCATCTGGTTCCCCCTTTTCTCTCACCTTGGATTCTCTTTCTAACAAACCACAGCCATACTCTAATCTTTGAAGGGCACGAATATTGGCAGTATCTATGGCCTTCAACAATAATTTGGGTCGTCGATCGCTTCTTGCGAATTGTGCGGCTATGCTACTGCAACATCCATGTGAGCTTCTCTAACAAGAGTTTGGTAAAGGCCTCTGCGACCCGGATGATCTACGACAAAGCATCTGATGTGGTTCGAATGGAGGTCACGCCAGCCACACCGCTACTGAGCCCTTCGCCGGGGCAGTACTACTTCTTGTACCAACCGTTTCGTTTGACTGGCTGGGAGAGTCACCCGTTCACCATTGGGGCATGGTCGTACGAACTAGGCGACAAACCACTATCATCACCAACATCCGCTGGAAACCTAAACGACTCTCTGGACGTATCCCATGTCCCCCTTCTCGCAGGTGGGCCCGCCAAAGCAGATTACCAGCGGAATTGGACAAGCGACCCAGCAAGAGAGTCCGATCCATTGAAACTGAAAATGATCTTCTGGGTCCGACCGTATGATGGCTGGACTCGCAAACTGCGTCAGCAGTGCTTACGATCGCCCAACTCAACGACCGAAACAACCGTGCTGCTTGAAGGCCCCTATGGCGATACTTTCCCTTTGTGGAGATACGAGTCAGTGTTGATCATTGTCGGGGGAACAGGGATCGCATCCGCAGTACCCTACATCCAAGACCACCTTCGACGCTCAGATGAGGGGTGGGAAGAGAACCCCGAAAATGAGAAAACTCGTGTTCGCGACATCGAATTGGTCTGGACCACCAAACAGGCGGCGTTCATCCACGACGTGTCTCGTCGCGAATTAAAACCTGCTTTGGAACGAAGTGATTTTAGCGCCTCATTCTACGCTACTCGTGATTCATCCGCATATGAAGATCTTAACAATTGCGGTTACGAAATTCAGGAAGGGCGTCCCCACCTTCAATCCCTGATCATGAGTCGTGCTTGCGATGCCTCTTCGGCTGACTCTAGTCTGGCAATTCTGGTCTGCGGTCCGGTTGGAATGGCCGATGAAGCCCGTGCTGCGACTCATCTAGCTATGCGACAAGGTCATCGTTCAATCAAGTTTGTTGAGGAGTCTTTTACTTGGTAAGCCTGGAGCCACATTTTGGCTTTGTGATTGATCTGCAAGATTAAGCCACTTGAGCTCAATGTTTGCCCACACCATTTCTTTTCTTTGGATAGAGCATGATCTATTTGTGAAATAGATTGAAGATAGACTCTGCCAAGAGGTACGGAGTACGACCTTGGCAGCCCCCATACAGGTTTTTGACGAGTTCTCATCCCTGCCACTGCGCCGGTTCCTGGCTCGATCAAAATGATCGCTAGGTTCTCATTCGATTTTCCAGTCTGGGGATCGGGGTTTGGCTTGTGGCTGACAGGGGTCTTATGCACAATGCAGGAGGTTCTTACACCGAACGCCACATCTCTCCTGATTTTAGATACACGAATTATGAATTTACCGCATTTTGAGAGTAGCGAAATACTCTTTGAGAGAAAAGCTTTCAATCTAAATTCGGTGTTCTGCAGATTTACTCTATGCAGCATTAATATCAACATGCGACTCATTTCACTTGAACGTGCCCAGGTGGATGTGACGGTTGACAGATCACATCGACTATTGATGATCCACCTACCCGAGATGTCACACGGACTGAATCACTATCTCGAAAGCGTATTAGTTGCCGAAGATCACAGTAAGCGTCCTTTTTTAGCGTCCGGGTGTCAAGTTTTCTCCAACCTACTTGTTGCATCCGGGGAACCATTGCAGCCCCCGCCCATAGGGTACCTGGATCGCCAGGGGAGCCCATTGGAGAAGTTCATGCAGGTCCAAAAGCCATTATGAAAATCCGAGCGCCCCGAACTCAAAGATCCCTGTCAGCCGAGCTACACATAGTGACCCAAAGCAGTATGGATTGTGCCTCATTGATGAGTTGGCTTGAGATCATCCACTGGGAAGCCATTTGGGATGCGACCAAAGTCAACCAGGGACTTTTTGCGCGAGGAACCAGGGGACGGAGATCCCAAGCCCAACAGAAAAAGAAAGCGAGAGCGTGAACAACAGACCGTGTACCACCTGGGCAACGACCTGACGAGATATAAAAGCCACGATGTTTCCTCGACATATGTCTTTTTCTATCCAGCATCCAGCATTCTCATCTTCGAAGTCTTCTCATTACTCTTCAGTCTAATCACTTAATCGCTCCACGCATCCCATCTATCAAAATGAAGTTCTTCGCCACTGCCCTTCTCTTCGCCGCTACTGCCATGGCATTGCCCGGCCACGGTGGCTCCAACACTGAAGTCAGCCCATCCTCCGACAACAAGGTCAAGAACGCTGTCAACCAGTGTGCCAACACCGGTGACTTGAAGTGTTGCAACAAGGTCAACCAGAACAAGGGTGTTACCCAGAACAACGTCGGTCTTCTGTCCAACGTCCTCGGCGCCGTCGGCAACGAGGGCCTTGGTCTCGGCGAGAACTGTCAATCCCTGAACATTCCCGTCAATGGTAACAGCCTCCCCATCATGACAATACAGTGCCCCGAAGCTAACACTTGATAAGTCATTGGCGCCGCCGGTCTGACCGACTTCTTGAAGAAGAACTGCCAGCAGCAAGTTGCCTGCTGCCAGAACAGCAACTCACAGGCCGTAAGACAATTCCCAAAAGCACATCTCGAATTTTCACTGACCCTGATAGAACAACAACCTCGTCGGTGTGGCTCTTCCCTGTGTCAGCTTCGGCAGCCTTCTCTAGACAAATCATCTGAGAAGCTTCACCCCCGTCATTATTACAAGCCACCGCTGCTGTTGATATAGGCTATAATTATGGAGCTAGTGGAATTATGTGACGCGGGCGGTATATAGGTGAAGTCTCATGACTGTCCTGGGGCCGTATGTTTTGACATTGGTAGATCGGGACATTCAGTTGTATTTAATCGTCGATACCTACTATCAATTGCAGACACTTTTCATTTGAACGCAACGGCTTCCAAGCCCCGGAGGTTGATCTGAGAGTCGCACAATCCCTAATCCCTAATTCTATCCACGGTTGTTCACAGCTTAGCCAAGACTTTCTTTGCTTAACCAATCATGATTAATCGACGACTACTTGGAAAGACGGTTCAAAAGACGTCCGGAAATTGATGATTGCTCTCTTCCGATACCAATCGAAATATCAGATTGAGTCAATACATGACTACTCCTGTTTACTACGCATAGGCAACTGATAGCGTCTTTTTGGCCGCGCGTGAGCCCGGCACTGAGGCTTGTTTCACTCAAGTGAGAATTGTCGGGATCTAGTCTACAACTTTGCTATCCGTCGGCGTGTGAGCTTGCCCTTCCGCGCCCCATTCGATGTGGCTATATCCGTGAGCAACCAAGTAGTCCTTCCACTCCTGATCTCCATGATCCAAAATAGTATCACTGTCCTGAAGAACAAACCAGGCCAGCAATGATCCGAGAACAGCGAACCCAGATCCAATCAAAAACACAGCCTGGGTGCCGTGAACACTGTCGTCGCCCCAGCTAGCCAAAATCGGCTTGAAGACTTGAGTCCCAATTGCCGCTCCGGCTTTACTCCAGGCTGCAGCCAGACCAACTCCGTGACCGCGGACTGCAGTTGGAAAGCTTTCACTGGCAGTGAGAACAATCGTAGATCCAGGACCGACCTCACCCAGAGTCAAAAAGATTCCGTAAAGCACAATGAATAAAGGAAGCTTGGTTTGGATTGGGCCAAGTGCACCTCCAAGAATGAATCCCAACATAGCCTGAAGCCCGAAACCTAGGGCCATAGTCCGACGGCGACCGATTTTATCAGACAGAAGACCGCCGATGAAGGCACCGGGGATATAAAAGCAATTGATGAGCGTTCCCCATGCCATTGTTAGTGCAAGAGAAGAGGTTGGATTGACGCGCCCAACAATGGTCGATGAAAATAGTCCAAACGGATATGAGATGTAGTTGTAGCTGATAAAGACACAAGATCAGACATGCCACAGACAGTTTTGTATGGAGGAATCTCACTCACATAAACCAAGAGCCACACACTCCAAGCAAAGGCCGCCAGTACTTCTTAAGTACTAGCCAGTATGGAATTCGCTGCTTCTTCATAGAGCTTTTGCGATAAGCCGAGCTCATCACCATTTTGTATCGGAACCAAAAGATCGACAAGGGCGGAATGGCACCCATGGCCAGTGAGATACGCCAAACAGCCTCATAATGCCTCACTTGTTGATGGAAACACAACAAAAGAATCAGTGGAACGAGCGCACCGAAAGCGAATCCAAGAGACGCAGACAAATCACCAATCATGGCAAAGATGAAGCCTCTTCGCTTGCGCATACCCGGTGCCTCGTCCGTGGCCTCAGCTGCGCCAGCGCCAGCAACGGGGTACTCTCTGCGAACGATCAGTAGGTTAAAGAGGAGAAATAACAGAAGTCTCAACTTACCCTCCCGCGCCAACACCCGCAACACCACGAGCAATGATCAGCATCCAGAACATGCCATTCTCTGTAATACCACTCGCACCAGCACTGAGGGCAATTCCCAAGACCAGAAGTATAGTGGTAAGGACCGCACCGGTCTTTCGTCCCAATTTGTCCGAGATATAGCCGAAGGATAACATTCCGATGATCATGCCGACCATGAACGCGTTCGAGAGTCGTGCGGCCACTGCCGTTGTGAGTGATTCGGGGTATATGACACCCATGATTAGTTCCAAATTGCCGATAATGGAGGCATTGAAGCCGTCGGATCCAATAGCAAGACCGCTGAAGATCACCATGAAAACCATAGACACTCGGGAATAACCCCGACCAGGCGTATTTTCCACATCGGAGGATTCCTGGATGGGAGAGATATTGGTTTGCGTATCTTCTTTAGTATCCTCAATCGAGGGTTTCGTATCTGCACTTTCGTGCATCTCGACCGAATTGGATTGACTCATGGCAAGGTGCTTCAATCCGGCAATTCAACATTGCGGGAACAGCCAGTATATAAGGAAACCAAGACACTTTTGAAAAAACCTCTTCGATAGGCTGTAGGCTCTATCGCACCAATCTGGATGCGGGGTTTAGAATGCCGGTGGAGGCTAACGGCAACGGGATGCATGAATTGACGCTAAAGCGACGAATGAGGAAAAAGAGCGACAAGGAGGCCACCAGGGAAGGCCTACGCGAGCAAAAAGGAATCGGAGAAAGATAACCTGCAGAGATACAAATGGTGCGCGGATTGGCCCGGCATTCCTCCATTTCCTATCTTCACGCCATGTCGAAACTGCCCTCAACTTGGGAAAAGCCCCCCAACGCGGCTTTTCGGGGCTTACATGCTCTATTGCTGCACTTATCTGTTTGGCCACTGGATATTACTACGGAAATCAGGCCACTCCACGGTCGCTCGATCATGGCTCTTTGACTCAAATCGAGACACCCCTCACTGCTGTTGGAAACCTTCAAAAATGTGCAATTGATAATTTACTTGGCACTGGTTTACCTTTCTTGGAAAAAGCTTCGCCAATTACTCTGGTTGATTTCGAGGAACGCCGAGATCGTCTGGCGAATGCCTTGGTCGCCGAGGGCGTGGACGCCTTTGTCGTCGAGCCAGGCTATACATTCAAGTACTACGGCAATGTAAGCCAGCCGGAATGGGAGGTCTGGGAGGTAAGATTTTCATGCCTAAAAGTTCACAGAGAAGGAAATATACTCAGCCCATATTTAGCCCGAGGAGCGCCCTTTCTTGATGGTTGTCCATCCACAGAAAAATGAGCAGGGTGCTATAACTGCCAATACGACTTTCCTGTGCCCATCGTTTGAAGCAGAGCGAGCGCGTCTACTAGGTATGCCATTTGATGGGCCTATCCAAATTGTCGCCTGGGAAGAGCACTGGGATCCCTACGCGACACTTCAGCAGGCGAATGTATTCAGTGGTCTCCAGCGACAGCCTCGCTTGATGGTGGACGAGGAGATGCGCGACTTCATCCAAAGAGGACTCGGCACCGCTGGGTTTGAGGTGGTTGGTCTCAAAGGTCAGGTTGAGGAGGTTAGGCAGATCAAGAGTAACAGCGAAGTTGAGATCTTGCGTGCGGTCAATACGGGCACTGTTGAGGCAGTGCGGCAAATCAGGAAATGTACTGAGGAAGTTATTCTTCGATTTCACAGGCCATCATGCTGATATACTGATATAGGCCTGACCCCCGGACTGACGGAGAATGATATCGCGGTCGCTCTCGATAATGCATTGCGTGCCGCAGGAATGGAGCCTTTCTTCGATATCGTGCTATTTGGTATGTCTACCTACTGTGGCTTTTGGCTGGCCAATCTCTAACAGCTCTAGATGAAAATGCCTCAAATCCCCATGGAGGGACAAACGGATCTAAAGTTCTGGAGCCTGAGACGTTTGTTCTCATTGACGTCGGGTAAGTCGCGTTGATCTGCCCCACAAAGATCTACACAGACTAACAGTGCAAAGAGCTCATCTCTATGGCTATTCATCGGACATCTGCCGCACATTCTTCCCGCCATTCCTTCAAAAACCAGCTGAGGGGGAACCATTATCAGCACGCATCGAGGAGAAGCTCAAGGTAAGTCGTTAATAATTTCAGGACGAACTCTCCGACTGACTGTTTTCCTTAGGTCTGGGGTATCGTCTTTGAGGCACAAACCAAGTCTATTCAGCAAATGCGAGAGAACTCGACCGCTGCCAGTGTAGATATCGCTGCTCGCGATGTCATTACTGAAGCTGGATACGGAGAGACCTTCACCCACCGAGTTGGTCATGGAATTGGTATCAAAGGTTCGTCGTACGATCCAAAGTTTCATGTATAAACTGCTAATTGCTTTATGCGCAGCCCATGAAAGCCCCTATCTCAACCAGGGCAACGTCAAGAGTTTGCTCAAGACCGGAATGACCTTTACCTCAGAGCCAGGTATATATTTGGTAGATAAGTTCGGTGTCAGACACGAGGATGTGTTGTTGGTCCAGGGTGACGAGGAGCCAGTGCTTTTGACAGGGACGCGCGCCGTCGGTCCATGGGACCCATAAGGCAGGGTTTTACAACCCTCGGGAGGCTTCGCATTTTAGGAGGTACTTTCGAATGATTAAGTACAAGCCTCAGTGCCGCGCTCACGCGCGGTCAAAAAGACGACCATAGTTGCTTATACACAGGCGTAGTTATGTATTCGCTTAATCTCATATTTTGATTGGTAATGAAAGAGAGCTATCATCAACTTCAGGACCTTTTTTTAACTGTCTTTTAAACTGTCTTTTAAACTGTCTTTTAAACTGTCTTTTAAACTGTCTTTTAAACTGTCTTTTAAACTGTCTTTTAAACTGTCTTTTAAACTGTCTTTTTGGCTGTCCATCCAAGGTTCCAACTAATTGTCAAATCATCATGATTGGTCGAGAAATGGAGGTCTTGGCTAAGCCGTGAACAGAGAATTAGAAATTGGGAATTTCATATAAGCAGAGACAAAAAGGTACGAAGAATCATGAAAGGTGTTGTTAAACAATACATGGTTATTTTGCTATGCCGAATGACGAGGAAGGCCTTCTGCCTTCGTGGAATCACGACGCATCCAAATCACTTCAACTCAAGCCTGATCGCGTCATATTGAACGTAAACGGTCGCTGGAAGAATCGCAGTCTCGGTATCCGTTGCATTGTGAGGTAAATGCAGACGGAGCACATTGTCGCCCGCCTTCAACCAGCTTGCTGGGAACTCCATCCTGGACCCAACCTGATAGCAGCTGACTGCAGAGCGAACAATACAGCTGCTGGACTGATTGAACCCAATAACAAACGTGAGGGGGTCTTTCTCATCGTTGATGTAGCTCTCCAAGGACAGATTGTTGTAAGGCTCCACAGGGTTCCACACATCCGTGTTCCCTGCTGCAGTCTTCGCGCCCGCCAACTGGATTGTTAAAGTTGCTGTCTTTTGTTTCTTAAGCTGCTTCGCGTCGAGCTTGAAATTGATGTTCCAGTCATTTGTAGTATCGTATTCGACATGCGAGTCCCCTGCTGTCGGTCCAAAGACTGACCAGTGGGCCGTGTTCAGGTCGACGGCAGGATCGCTGGTTCCGATTGTGTAGTTGACACCATCTGGGAAATCGGCGCGCCAGTCATAAGCGCCCCAGTAGATGAGATACTCGGGGGGATTCAACGGGTGTGTGGAGTCCCTCGCGTCACCACGTCTGAATTCACCGGAGGATTTGTCCGGCACTCCGATCCGCCACACTTCGGTGCCTGCAGACTCTTGCTTCCAAGTCTCACGTATATTGGTCTGCTTTCCTGCGCGGATGGTGATTCCATCTTGGACAAAGTCACCGAATATACCTTCGGCATAAACAGTGAGGCGGTATTTTCCCTCTGTGACGCGATCAATCTTGAAGCTTCCGTCTTGGCTGATATCTGTCCAGTACTGGTAGGAGCTTGGGACCACGCTGTTGTCTTGGAAGTACTGGCCGTCAACCGTGAGAATGGCAATTGGGCGAACTGCCCCCTTAGGAAGCTTGACGGTTCCCTTTACGCTGCCTCTTTTGCTGGAGGGCACATATCCGACAACGTGTTTGGCGATGGAGTCATAAAACGCAGAGTTCCATTGTGGATTTGCTAGAGCCTCTGCCTCGGATCGTAGCTCTTCTAGCGAGGCTGAGCCTTTGCCGCCATTGAAAAGATAGTATTGGGGCCCGAAGGTTCGATCAAATCCGTTGGTGATGTTTGGTGTTCCCTCGCCGTGGTGGTTTGATACAATGTAGTTGTAAACGATCCCGTCAACTGTCAGGTCGGAATGTAACGGTCCCTGGAGAAGGTCAGTAATTGTCAACAATTATCCAAAGGTTGACAAACGCCATAATATGTGTCCTGGTCATCATGTTAGCATGGGTTTGATCTGTGCGATTTTAATAAGATATGGGACTAACCTTGGTGTTCATCACCATCCAGGCTCCAAAAGTCGTTCCATCTGATGTGCTCCCATCGGCGTAAAGGCCATGCACGCTATTGTTTCGCCATTCTACCGAGAAACGCAACGTCAGTGAGTGCAAAAGGCAAGGAGTCAAGGCCAATCTCACGGTTAGAGAAAGTATATTTGGTGAAATAATCCGAGAATTGAGTGTAGTAAGCATCGGTAGGTGTGTTATTGAATGTCCATGTCGCATCCTGGACCACAATCTGTTTTGAAATAGCCTCCTTGCTCGGCAGTGGCGCGGTTTGAACATCACTCGACGTGAGATGCGTCCAGAGATCAGTGTTTGGCCGGAACAAAGTTCGGAATTCTTGCAGGTTTCGCAGGAAAGGAGTGGTCTCGTTATGATAAGCCAAGCGACTGAACATGTGCAATCCCGTCTCCCCGTCGCGGAGGAACCAATATTGTTGGAACTTCTGCCCCGTGGGTGTATATGTATCGGTCAAGATCATGCCCCCGTACTTGGTCCCGGTTGAGTCGGTACCTTGCACCACTTCCATGCTCGGGGTCGTGGCTCCGGCGGTATAGAAGCCTGACGGGATGCAGTAACAATCGAGGTAGGGGCCGATGCCGGTGGATCCGGACTGGGCGCCCAGCAAGTCCTGGCCATCGAGAGTGAGATCCACAATCTGGCCGGCACTCCTCTTGAGTACAGCAGTCAGGCGATCATTGCCGAGTGTGATGTAAGTTGAGTTCTCGACAACTTGCAGCGCCGCGGTCGCACCGGCGGACCAGGCTACCAGGGCTGCTAGAGATGTCCGCATGGTTATTCACTGGAGAGCTGGGCGCGATGGAGTGGATTCGGCGACACGGGTTTGCCATTTGAAGTGTATATATACCCAGCGAATTGTACCATTTTGGCGGGGATCAATACACCGAGGCAGCGAGTTGCCAGGAGTCAAGCGAGCTGGTAGCAGTTTACCCCTTGGGGTCAGCCACGGGGCCATCTAAATCCGCCAATGATCTGAGGTCATAAGCTCAAGGTCCAAGCCAGAGATCCAATCGGCGCTTTAACTGTTGAAGTGCCAAGGCATTTCTGAGAACGCTAAGCGAGCTACCTCCGCAAACTCCTAAGCCGCAGTCTGGGGATTTGCGGGGTTTCCACGGAGAAATTTCTCGGGCATCGCTCGCCCGACTTGAGTGACAATTTGAAGAGTTTTGTTGGACTGTTTTCTCTCCTGGTTTTCAACCGCTTCACGGGTGCTGAGAAAACCATCTTGGTGCGTTGGGGCCACCACTGGGGGGTTGGAAAAAGAGGAAAGTCGATAATGCCGCTTAGGCCGGAAAATGCCAGAATTCGCCAGTTGGCGGAGCAAACGCGACCAACATCCCGAACCTCCGACATAACCAACGCGTTGATCTATATTTCAACATGCCCTGCAATGCCTATCTCCTTGGCATATTATCCAGGCAAGTGATATTTTTAAGGTCGAGATCAACGCTTGGCAGGGACTAGCATCTGGGCAGTGCCATTAAGTTAAACCATTTCGGCATTCCGGGTGACATCCCGAACATCTTCCGGGTTGAGGTCCGCGACATGTCTAGCTAACCTCGGGATTCAACGTCGGCAAGTCTAGTGCGGAATCGAGTCAGTCTACCGATCACAAATTAGATACATGGTCGGCAAACCCTCCAATGGGACGTCTCCAGATTCTACAAGATATCACAGATGCGGGACCTCTCCGTCGCCAAACGCCCACACTACATCCGAACCCCGTCATGCTTTCCCCATGGGGTTCAAGATTGGAGCCCAGATTCACGGGATGGGACCCATCTGGGATTTAAGATGGCCCTTGCGTGCTGGCATTGTGGACATATCCCTTCCGACAATCCAAAGGATTCCAATCTCTTGTATCTACAACACTCCCCAGACATCAGTCTTCAGCCCCAGTATACGGTGGTGATCACTAGATTCATCACATTGAATTTAGCCGACCTGTCCTGGATTCCCCTGCATCTGGCTTATCATGACGGTCGCAAAAGCAGGGAGTGACTCCAGTCGTGGAGAACGATCTAGCCACGAGATCAAGAGGACAGGGTCCGAGTCGTCAGAACATCTGGAAAATATCGGCGTGGCCTCTCCAGTCACCATAGCAGACGATGGCATCTACGAGAATGAATCACCACAGAATCCACGAAATTGGCCTCATTGGAAGAAAAATGCTCAGATCCTGATGGTGGCATTCCATTCGATGATGGGAACTTTCATGGCAGCTGGTATCGTTCCGGCATATGATGCTTTTGCAGAGGAGTATAATGTCACGGTTCCAGCTGCTAGTTACTTGACCTCATTCCAGGTACGTACTGATGCTCGGCCAGCTTGCTCTCGTTGTGACACATTTGCTAATCAGATAGAAACACGATTCAGATTTTGCTTCTCGGCTTATCCCCCTCATATGGAACCCTGTCACTGCTGTATATGGTCGATACCACGTTACACTGCTTTCGGTGTTCGGAAGCATGCTTTGCAACATCGGTGGCGCACGATGCACATCATACGGTGCCCAAATGGCCACTCGAGTACTCACAGCTATCCTCATTTCCCCGCCGATCGGCAATGGCAGTGGTGTCATTACAGAGCTATGCGAGCCTGAGCATCGTGGCAAGAAGATCGGCTGGTGGACGTTGATGACCACCATCGGTACACCATCCGGCCCATTCTTCATGGGTTTCGTGATCAAGCACATCGGTGTCCAATGGATCTTCTGGATTTTCGCTATCATCAACTTCTGCCAGTTCTTGATGTACCTTGCCATCGGAGATGAAACGATCTACAATCCCAAGAACGAGCGAAAGACATCCGGGTTCTGGAGTAAGCTGGTTCCACGAAAGATCAGCTCCAGATCCCTTCGACCTCTGGACATTGTTGCGCCGTTCTCTTTGGCTTCGCATCCCCGCATTCTTATTGCGGCATTTGCTCATGCCATCACATTCTGCTATGCTAATATAGCCATCATTGTGGAAATGCCGATTGCCTTCGGAGAAAAGTTCCACTTCGACGCTCAGCAGATCGGACTGCAGTTCATCGCCATTATCATCGGATGTGTCTTGGGTGAACAAATCAGTGGACCCATGTGCGATTGGTTCATGGAACGTATTCGCAAGACCCGGGGTCATTCATGCCCAGCTGATCGTCTTTGGCTTTCTTACATTGCCTTTGCGACCATATTTGCCGGTCTGTTGACTTGGGGTTTCCAACTGCAGCATGCGACCACCTGGAATGTCACCCCGTGCGTCGGGGCTGCCATTGCGAGTTTTGGAAACCAAATGCAAACCACTATTCTCACTACTTTCGCGGTGGAGAGCAATAAGGAACGAGCAAGTCAGGTCGGTGTGTTTGTCAATGTTTGTCGACAAATTTACGGATTCGTAAGTCCAGTCTTTCCCTAAATCCTTTGACGATTCCCGTAAACTAACTCATTCTCCAGCTCGGTCCGTTCTATTTCCCAGACATGTTTAGCGCACTTGGATTTGGTGGAGCGGCTGGTGTGATGGTGGCGATCATCGGAGGATGCGCATTACTCCCGATGATCGCAGTGCAGTTTGTTTCAACACGAAGTGATACGCGTTAAGAATCTTGGGGGGTGCGACATATCATGCAACACTTGATGTTAGGCTTCATTCCCTCTTTGTACATTTCAACAATCTGCCCCGTACTCCGTAAATGCAACGATTAGATTATAGATCTCTATTTGCCAAGTCACACATGGGACCCATGTAAAATGGAACCTTTCAAGACACTGGCTGATTTCTTCCCCCCCCCAATTTTTGTCCCATGGATCCTAGTATAAATTGCTGGGCACGCTGTTCAGCCAAGACATGTCCTGAAAGTCAGGGAACTCAAAGCTGTCAAGGATAGAAGCATTCATGCCTTCTCCGAAGGACATGTCACCTATCGCAGGAGAGTCACCTTCTTCTAGACTGCTGCTGGCCCCGTGGTGTACAGGCACACCTTCAGATGCCACCTGCTCGTAAAGAATCTCGAGAGCCGCAACACACCGTCGGGCAGATGTGCTATAACTCTGATACTTCCGCAAAATTTCCAAAGCTTGATTCCAAGATTCAGTAATAGACTCAGCGGTCACTTCCGCCAATATCGCGGAACACAGACGTCCAGCTATTAACACAGTCGCAGACGTGTAAACATCTAATCTTGTTAGACTCGAAGGACAATGGTGTCAAGGCTTTTTATACGCACACAGAACATTATACCACCACGCAGGCAGAGGACCGCCCGTACCATCGGTAGGAACATTGTTGTAGATCAGTCGTATTGATTCTTGGGCGGCTTTGACACATATTACAGAGCACTGCAAGGCAACACGGTGGGGGAAAGAGTCGTTTATCGATATAAGCGAGTCAGGCGCGGTGTTGTCACGTAGAGTGCAATATTTTGAGAGGGTCGGCCGAAAGAGAAGAATCCGTACGTGAAGAAACCTGTGATCACGAATTCGTAAGCCTTTTTTTTTCAAACTTAAACAAAATTTTCTATTCACAGGTTTCGACTGACCTTGCACGCAAGACAATGCTTTGGCGACAGAATATTGGATTCGCTGACGCCATTGCTGCCTCTCCGCGTAGATGCACTGGAAGGCTCTTGGTCCACCTGGAAAGGCAATGATCCAATTCAAATATGCTGCGTTCGCCCTCGATGGTGGTATTATTGAAATAGAAGTCATGGATGTCCTCTCCGCTTGGATCTGTAGAGGGATTATAGAGGCTGAGTAGGACGTCATTCATTATGTCGTAAAGTTCCAATGTTTTGCCAAAGAAGGCCATTATTGAAGGTCGATTGGGAGGCTGCGAGACCTCCAAGCTTGAATTGGACGGAATAAATTCGTCGTCAACGGCGGCAGGCAGAGGCACGACTCCACTGGAAGTTTTGGTAATCATGGCAGGGCGACCGAACGTCATGGATATGACACTGTTTGGATTAATTTAACACAAGGGCCACCAGAAAGCGTTAAGAATGACATACCGATCCATTAACACACACCCATGCCATATCTTTCGGGCTAGCTGTTGTTCTTCAAAGCTCTGAAAACTAGCAATGGTTTCAGGAAGATGTAAGCCCAAACTCTGGGCGTTCCGAATCGCCAGTCCAGTGACGATCCAGCATTGGTGTGCGGAGTCAGTACTCTGTAGATACTGTGCCATTAAAAGCAGACATTGGATCAGACCCGCCGATCCTGTATCCCAGAGATTGAATTGAAACAACCCTTTCGCTCGTGAGAAAAAGGCATCAGCGGATGCTTCACGCTCACTTGGCGGAACAAAGTCAGCTAGCTGACTTGCCAAAGCGAACATTACATTCAGCGTGCACATGAGCATGTTCTCATCCGAATCTAGAGTATCGCCTGCCCAGATTTTTGCGTACTCGCTTTTCATCTGCGCAGATATGAGGAATGGGTAAAGTGGGAAAACGTAATCCCAATACACATCCATAAGGCTGTCCGCCATCTTGCGGGGTGGCAGCACGTAATTGGCGACTGGCTGTTGGGGAGCATCCCTTCGGGGAGGCAGTAGTGTTGAGTTCACAGGTGCACGAGGAGTTGAAGACTGTCGGTAAGGTGCATCCACCCTTTTGTCGACTGCTGTCCTGATCTGACGCATGAATCCAGCTGCACTTGAGGTTCCAAAGAAGCCTTGACTGGCGCGCTCTTGTTCCACGGCCCCCATCATCGCATTGACGCCATCCCGTTGGGGCCTGGCTGTGGGCGCATCCGCTTGACTTGGTATGCTTCGAAATGTCCCTGGCGTCTCGGGTAGCGTCCCACCGGGTGTTGGAGATGGCAAAGTTGGCCGCTACGGTTGGATCAGATGAGTGGAAAGATTCAACCTGAAGAGCAAGCTTACCGGTGTAGAGCTCGGTGTGGGGGCTTTTCTGGGCCCTTGGGGCCCGTCAAGGCCTTCAAGTTGTTTGATCCGACTTTCAAGGTTTGAAATGTACCTTTGATGTGCAGATTAGCTTTTGTATGTTCAGTATGGGGCTTCAGAGGAAGCATTACGATTGATTTGCTTTTCGCTTCTCCAGCTCACCGGTGTAGTTGCATTGGATTCCCGGGTCGTTTCTCTTGCTGCATGGGCCACATACTCTTTGGTGTTAGCACGGGTGTGGTTCCGGATAACGCAGACCAGTATCATACCAGGTTGGACGCCATCGCAGCGAACTTTCCTAGCGCGACAATCGTCACAAGCTACCGAAATCTTTCGGCGCTTGACTCTATTCTTGGATTGGGGGGTGTCATCCATGGCAATAGCAATATTTGCACATAGTGACCAGCAAAAGTAGAAGGGTTTCGGGATTGGACCCGAACATTCCGCATCTTACGGGGGACTGAAACGACCTTAATGGCAGTCACATGGGCTGATCGCTATCGATAAGCTGATGTGGAAACGAAAACAAAAAAAACAAAAAGAAATGCTCACACTCGGAGTCGAACCGAGGATCTCATCATTACTAGTGATGCGCTTTACCACTAAGCCATGCGAGCTGATTAATGATAGCGTCACCAGAGTTTTGCAATATGACACAAATGCTATTCTAATAAAATAAACTTGACGCCCAATACAAAATCATCGTAGCACCACAAAAATGTTATGCGTTCACATCCAAAACAACCTGTTCATTCAATGTTCAGCTCCTTTGGATCCAACAGGCTTAAATCCTTGAAACCGTCGATGTCATCACTATTCACGCGTAAGGAGGCTGTCGTGTCCATCTGTCGAGAAAACTTACTATATCGAGTCTGTTTGAGGTCAAGCTTGTCCAATCCATGCTGTTGTGTTTTCACAGGAGTACTGCTTGGCTCCGGTTTTGTTAAATGTCGGATTGACTCAGTATCATTGGAATTCTGTTGGATGGCGTCAGTTTTGTCAAACAATATTCATTCAAGGCTGTGATATATATCGGTACCTTGGCTCCACTCAGCTTCTCCCTCAAGGTTTTCATTATGGTAGATCGACCCATTGTGATGTAACTAAACTTCTGGAGATAAAATGGGAACTGTGAGGATCCGAGTCCGGCCCTGGAAGTGTGAGTCACTTATATAACCTCAAATGCACCAAATATGGTTGTCTGAAATGGCTACTGCCTCGATATTGTGATTCGGAGCTCGGAGTTGCGGGTCCACGGGTCCAAACTTTTGGAACCGTTTGGGCAGCTTGGAGCCTCACTGATCTCCCGTCATTTCCAAGGTTGTCGGAGCTTCCAAGGGTTCAATTAAGCTTCCGTCTGAATTCCAAGGTTGCGCTTGCAAACCGTTTTACTAGTGCTCATCGTGCAATTTCGGGTTTGCTGTATTCAATCATTGCGATTCTACTTTTTCTTACATTTAACCATGTGAGATAACAATCAAGTTTACGAGGACAGCAAAAAAAAAAAAAAAAAAAAAAAAAGCAAAGTTTCTAAAGTTCTATTTAGCAATGCAAAAATCCAAAGTGCACGATGGGCACTAGGCTACCAGTTGACCCGTGGACTGCCAACCGCGTTAGTCATCTAGCTCCGAGCTCCGCCTTTCGAGCTCCGAGCGCCGATAAGAGCACTAGCCACGCCATTTTGTGCCCGCTTTGAAAGAGATGACATGGCACTTCCGACAAGCTGCGTGCCTTCGGACTTGAGTGATGGCAACCCCTCGCCGAAATGGACAGCTATCCTCCTGTGAGCCGTGTCGGACATCAAAGCTACGGTGTGATCACACTAGCCCGAGATGTGGACGCTGCGAGCGCCGCGGCCTTCGTTGTGTTTATCACCCAGCACCCCTAACTCGCTCAGCCGACAGATTAACACCAGCAAGGAGAAGACCAGCCTATCGTCAATCGGACCAACTAGGCAGCGCCAGTAAATCGCTCAACAACGACGAGACTTGGACGCGAAAGAAGGTGTCTGTCTCGGCAGGGTTTCTAGGCCAGACTAGTTACTCGGACGTCTTCACAGACGCAACGAGCGGTTTGTCCACTGGAAGATTACACGTCGTCGACCAGGATACTATTCCTGTCGATTCAAGACGTATAAATCTTGGCGCTCAGGTGCTCGCGCTTTTGGAGAATCTTCCATTCTATAGAGAGGTGATCACTGCCAGATTCAAAGTCTGGAAAGGGTGGACGATTGGGTGGAAGGTCACTGATATGGTCCTCACTGTGGTGGAAGAAATGTGGAACTCCTATGAAAGGGAAGAGATGGACACGATGCCGCGTGCTGTGCTCATGTCCCGACGACTGTTTGAAACACACACCAGGAGTTTTGATATAACATCATCCACGACATGGGAGGAATTCCAGATCACTGCGTCTGGAAGGTGGGAGACGATTGGACTTCTCTTCACTCTTGTCGGTGTAGCCACAGACTTGGTTTCTCATGACCACCCACTTTTCACAGACCCCGATGCAATGGATGCAAGTACACTTGCCAACACAGCTAGCGCCGTGGGAGACATATGTCTTCAGTTCTGTGATAATTCTGGAATCATCAACGATATTGTAAGCTGGATGTTACTGCACCAGATTACACTGTTAGGAGTAGTCTACGGCGAAGGTGGTGAGTAGCCCGTACCCCAGCCGCACTGTAATGATCTGTCTGACTTTGCTCCCTGACTTCCGACCATGGAGAAAGCTAGGAGAGTTGTCGACGACAGTGTTTGCACTCGGCTTACACCAGGATTCGAGTTCAAATGCACCCTTCTTTCTTGCTGAGCTTCGAAGAAGAACAATGGTCGCAGCTTTTACCGTGGACAAAGTGCTTGCCACCTTTCTCGGTCGACCACCACTGATTAGCTGGCGCTTCTGTAACATCTCGATGCCCCTTGATCTGAGTATGGAAGAGGTATTCGCTGAGCCTGCTGTCCGCGATGCTGCGATAGCCCAATTGGATGCCAACACAGGATGGAATCAGGAAGGCACTTTGAAAAAGGTCCATGGGCTCGGACTGCTCTTATTACAAGTGTCCTGCGGGAAAAAGTTTTGGATTTATCGCTCAGCTGGCAGACGGATAAGTTAAGTGAAAGAGTCGAGTGAGCTTGCAGATCTCTGATGCTTTGAGCTTGAATATCGCTGACCTTGTCAGGGAGCTTGCTCAAGAATCCCGCCGATTGCGAAATGCGCTACCAGAGTTTCTCCGATGGAAACCCGATGGTGACGGCGTGGGCATTTCCAGAATTGAAGATGCGTTCCTTTTCGAATTGGACTTGGAATTTCTCCACAATGACTTCCTACTTTACCGCACTCTCGGACAGCGCACACAAACTAAGCCACAGGAGATTATAGAGACTTCCCGAGAAATTCTCAAGGCCTTGATCCTGATGGTTTCCAAAATAATCCGCTGGGGACAATCTGTCAGTGGTGCGGGCTGGGTTGTGAGTATTTCCTCTTCAACAAACCCCTTGCATCTTCCGAGTTGAATTTGAGCCCTAACACGTTGAAATATCCAAGTTTCAGCTCTGTCTACCAGGTCTACCTTGTGCCGGCGTGCTGTCTGCAGAATTACTACGCCAGTCTCGATCGACAATACCCGCAAGCTCCTCGAACTTTCCTCGGTCGGAAATCATCCAAAATCTCACACTATACGCTTCATATCTTGATACCATGATCAGGCCCGACGAAGGTAACCACCGTCTGGCGCAACAAGGCCAAAAAGCAATCCGCCACGTCTTGGATCAAGTCCTCTCAGCTGAGCAGCTTCCTCCTGCTATCGATGGAAATGACTGGAGCGATATAGTAGCCAGAAATGATGACAACATCTTTGACGGCATGAACGTCGATGATAATGGGTTGCTTTTCAGCTTGGTTGATGGAAGCATGCAGCAAATGTCCGATTCTTGGCTCACATGGGTCAATTTTACTTAAGGATTCCCTATCATAGCGCGGAATGCCCAGGTGATATATCGAAGGCTTCGGGGCATTCTTGTTGCGTCTTAATCTGCCGCCTTGGAAGTAATATTCAAAGAGTGTCTGGTCCTCGTCCTCGATTAAGACCTCGGAAGCTCATACTGATTCCTGAAATAGAAGGAAAGAAGGAAAAACGAGCGCACAATTACACAATTGAAATATAATTTGATTATACATCCAAAATGATGCTATCCACCTGCAGTGAAGTAAAAAAACCGGCTGTTTGGCCGAGAATACTACACCCCTGATCCTCTAATAGAGAGGAAGCTTGTAAGCATCAAAGTTGTATGTCCAGGTATCAATGGAAGCCTGGTGGTAGACACAATCCATGATGGTTCCGTTGTTCTTCCACAGAGGACGCAGCGGCCAGGTGCAAATCTCTTGCTTCTCGCCCTCGCGGTCACCCTGAAGAACAGTTGCATTTAGTCTCTGGGGAACAACATCGCTCTCAACCCATTGAATCAATGTTTCCAGCGTTGTCTGGGGGAAAGGACCATTGGGCTGGTATGAGTTCGTGTTGCAATGCGCAGCGCCGGGAATCAAATACAGACGGTACCAATCAGCGAGAGCGCGGTTACCGTCCTTGTAAGACATCTCAGGGTACATGGTCTTGCGGACTGAATCCTGGTAGTGGACGGAAGATCCAGGCGGGATGCTGTTATCGGACTCGCCGTGGAAGTGCAGAACCTTGCCGCCGGCGGAGTGGAAGGGGGTCAGATCAGGCATGGTGGTTTGCAAAACGTCTTCGTAGCGAGCCTGACCCAATTTCATCCAGTCAACCAATGTGTCGTAAGTCACATTTTGCAGAGTGGACATGTTATCGACATCCTCCAATTCCAAGAAACGCTTGACCCATTCGCCACCGAAGGAGGTGATGTCCAGCTCCCATTTTTTAGTCTCGCTATTGTATTGGGTTGCGGCATCATCGAATGATGCAGAAGGTTGGTACCAGACATAAGCACGCTTTCCGTCGAGGGTGTGCAGACCCTCTAGCATCTTGCTGGCGATAGCGACACCCTTGGCAGTGACCTTTCCACTTTGTTCAGGAGTGCTGCTCGAGATAAAGGCGCGCTTCTTCAGATTTCTGGTAGACGACGAGGCAGCGCAGTGGTAAGAAGCTCCAATAGTAGTGTTCAAGTTAAAGTGTAACTTGCACAAATCTGTTCGTGAGACGACTCCGTCTACACGACCATCAAGCTTGTCACAGCTGGAGATTGTCATGTTCATGATCTTCTCTAGCTCACAAGGAGGCGGGTAGTAGCCCATTGTATGCTCGACGATGTCGGGATACAGGTGATTAGGCTGCTGCTGGCCGTATCGCATAGCGGGAGCGCCAATAACAGCACCATCCCATTCATCTGCGTAGCGTTGGACCTGACTCCAGCCTTCGCGGCCACCTTCGGAGCATCCTTGGTAATAGGCATAGAGCTTGTCTTGTGTTCCGAAGAAGTTCTTGGTGAATGCCTTGCCAATCAAGGTCAACTCGTGATGGGCTTCGTAGCCGAACATGTACAGGGCATCGCGGTTGATGGTGCCGTTGGCAAGAAGGAACACCTCATCCAACTGTGCATCGAATCCACCAAATCCGCCATCAGTGATACCGGCGGCGGCGCCGTAAATGATTCCTCCGGGAAGAGAGTTCGAGCCTGAATTGATCGCGTAGCCTCCTCCACCAGTTGACAGCCAACGGTTCTGGAATTTATCGGGCGATGGCAGCCAGAGCTCTAGCTGAACTTGGTCATCGCGGCCTGTGTGGGAGTACGCGAAAGTGACATTGCAATAGTCGAATGTGGCGTCGGGAAAGAAGACCTGCCCCGATACAGAAGCGTTGTATACGGGGGATGCGGTGATAGTCGTTGACTTAATAGAGATACCATTCACAAAGCCACTCTTGGGCAAAGCGGATTTGGCGTGGGTGGTAGTGCAAACGTCTTTGAGGGTGCTTGCATATGCTGCCCCCACAAGACCCGCTCCGAGAGTGAGGGATTGGAACTTCATCTCTTCGCAAAGTCACTTCAAATGTTCCGAGTGGAGATGGAATGGAGAGGATGAAGAAGGGGGATAGAAGACAGGGCAGGACGCATAGAAATACCACCGGGGCATCATACGTAGGACCATCTTCTAAGAGAAATGATCGACATTGGCTTCCATAGACCGCAGTCACCTCGTTGCAGGTCTCCTTCCTTGAGACGGGTGGTACTCCGTACTCCCGGATCACCCCACATCTGATTGTGAAGAAATTCTCAAGAAATTAAAAGAAGGGGGAGAGTGGAGCATCTTCGTAACCACGCGTTGCCCTGAACTTGCTTTTACTAGTCCACTTCCAACCTCATCCAAAGCTTTGATATTCGGATTTAAGATTTTAAGGCTCGGGTAGCGAGGCTTGGCGTCCCAAATAGGCACTCGGGCCCGGAGAAACATAGCCGGGATAAAACTTTTCCCGCTGCTACTAGCAAAAACACAGGTACCTGCATTGAAAGGGCAGACTCTCAGACTGCAAATGTTAATACTCGGTACAAAAACTCACATGTGCTGACGCAGGTACAATCTACTTCGAACAGATGGCAAATGGCAGCCCTAGAGAGCCCTGAAATTTGAAATGGATATATTCAAAACCTATGATAAACCGGATATCTTAAAAACCCAAACCCCCCTGAGTTCCTTTCTACTTATGAGACGGGCTGAGCGACTGCGCCGTTAACCTTCTCCAAATGTTCCGCCTTAGATGTCTTGATAACATCGTCACTTACAGGAACATCTTTGGGATAAAAATCAATCTTGCCCCCATCCTGAATCACATTCATCCGGTCCAAGCAGAGACGAGCGCGAACATAGGGATCGAGCTTCCAGTGATTGACCCGTAGTCGCTCAACCAAATAGTCTCTCTCGCTCTCACTGGACTGAATCTTAGATGTGTCCTTGGATTTCGTCGCATCGATCCATGCAGATGTGGCTCCTAGGAACTCCTCGCCGATGTTCGATCGTTCTGCTTTGAGAGCATCTCGGGTTGTCGTATCTTCCATTCTAGAGTTTTCATCTTCGGTCGGCTCAATGTACTGGTATGACCAATCTTCAGCACCGCCCATTTCCTTCACGATTTGATCTTTGGGGATAAATTTCTCTAGGTCGGAAACGCTGTTGGTGAATTGGACCTTGGCGGCAATTTCGGGGTCCATCCAGCCTCGGATCAGTCGCCAGATTCCTGAGATTGGAATGTTAGCAGGTTGAAAGTGGGTAAGGTGCACCCCACAGGCTGCACCGCCGTTCGTGAAAGGGGTCAGAACCCACCTGAGAAGACCCACGGGGCATTGTGGATAAGCATGATGCCTAGTGATTCTGGGTAATTGGCCTCGAAGCACTTAAGGATGAATTTAACAGGCGGGTATTCCTAAATTGGAGATTGTCAATTAGCCGATGAGGTCCGACGCAAGGCCCGATGCAGTTAAACTCACCATGTTCGACAACCCGAAGCCAGTCATATCAAATAGAACCGCCTATTTGCCATCAGTTATGATTCAACAAAGCGCCAAATTTCCGATAACTCACTGCAGTCTCGACGGGCGACACCAGAGTCAATCGCACCGACTCAATAACATGAACAATGTATCGCTCCAAGGACTCTTCAGTCTGAGCACCGGGCTTGTGCAAGCGCACTCGTACAACGACAATCGGACGACCGACCCGATCAACGCCATGCACATAGCTCTTTCCCATCCGCATCTGAGACAAAAAGTCCGCCCCAGCTTTCTGGTCACTCGTGCTCGATTTATTCTTCGTCTGCTTGAGAGCATGCAGCTCGCCCTTCGACATCACATCATCGTCCACGCGCATTTCCTTTACTCGCCACACGATCGCTTCCATCATCATGGCAAAGGCCTTGGGCACATCCCATTTACGAGCGCGGAGGAATCGTAGCATCATTGCGTCGGGGTGGTCGTGCTTTAAAGTATCGAGGACTCCGGTCCGGAGCTCCGTGGGGGTTATTTCAGAGAGCGCTTTCTGGATTGCCTTTAGCTCGGGGGCGTCGGCGCCCATCGCGGTGAGGTATTTCATGATGTTTTGCTGGTAGGGTGTATTGGCGACCGGGATGGGTTCCGAGACGTTGCTTTGTGTGCGGCCGAGGAGGGAGGATCGTCTTTGCGGTTGGGTTGGTGTGACATTCTGCTCTGCGGCGCCTGTTGGCTCGTTACTGAGGGTTGTTTCGCCTGCTTTGAGGAGGACAGCCCAGAGCTTTTGCAGTTTGGCCTCCTGGTCTTTGTTGAGATTACCCAAGAAACCGGGCTTGGGTCCGTCGGCAGCCATGGTGAAATGGTAAAGTGTGAGGAGCTGTAAGAGACCAAGGGATCTTCGAAAGTGAAGGGTTGAAAAGCTGGCGATTCTGTGTCTGGAAAGGAATGCGACAGAATTGAGTACAAATAGTGAATTTCTCTCGCTTTGAGGAACTAGCAAGGTACACGATATAAATGTGGCCTAGTCGGCCAATGATCGTCGAAATCCACATGAAACCCCTCATCGCATCCCCCGGACTCTGCCTCGGTCCCCATAATATCTTGGGGGATGGGGCCAATGCGGTCCTGTTTTCCCAGTGCCGATCTATCGTTCCTGTCTTTCGCGATCAAAGCCATCACTGAGACAAATAAGCCAGATTGAAGATTGGCAAAATGCGAAAAACAACCTCGGGACGCCGGTCGCGCAATGTGATAATGCATGCAGGTTGCAGCAAGCGTGCGCACAAATCGAAAATTGAATCTGGTGGAGAGCCCCCACGTCATTACGAGCTGCAATTGAGGGACAGAATCGCGAAATTGGCACTCTCCGCGGAATACTCCGTACTCCGTACAAATTCTGGTGTTGGGAAACTCGACACTCGATAAGACTTGAAACCCGAGACTCGAGACCTCCTCAACTAATTATTCAATATGTCCAACTAATTCTGTTGTTGCCAATACCTCCCCCCCTGAATTGAAGATGTTCAGTGCCCCTGCTTTAGTGGGGAATGCGTCCCCAGACCCCGACCACGCCGATCATTTCCTTTACCCCAAGTTTGATCCAGAACAACGGTTTTAGATTCTCACTCGCACATTTAACTGGTAGATTTCCTCCAGGTGGCGTCATGCGCTCGGTAAAATGCCAGACAGCCCTCAGAGACGACGATCCGCCGCGCACATGGGGAAAGACTAGAAACCAAAACTGCCTAGGCTTCACACCTCAGGACGATCACATCTTGTGAAAACTGGGAAAACCCGAAAATTGGGTCAAAGCCGGTGCCCCAGTGGGGCTATCTTAGAATGGACTCGTTCTTATTGGCTCTTTGTCTTTGTTTCCCAGTTCGCGTCGGGTTTACTTCGTATAAGTACAACTATTGGGCAGATTGATACGCTAGCTGCCTTCTTCATTACAGCCAAAAATAGGGATCGTGTTTCAGCCGGAGCTGGTGCTCTTGGAGGTGTCCCTCGTGACTAAAATAAAGTAACGGGCGCAATATGGAGTACGGAGCACCAGATACGGAGTATTAACGGCCCAGGTGTGCGGTTCCAAGGCTCGTTTACTCGGTGCTCCTTACTGGGTCCTCATTAGTGCGGCTGGAGACTCGAAACTTTGGAAGTCCTTATCTGTGAGTACATGCAGTATTGATCTGGTTCTTCTCTCTCTATTTTGTTTTCTTTTCAGTTGTCGTATTATGGGGAAATCAAAAACTGAGGCCAAAAATCTAAATACATTCAATGATAACGAGTTGTTCCAAAAGGGGATGATGGGCCAAGGTATTGGGCCCGACAGTAGAGTTCGTACAAAACACACATGTTGCTGTGAAAACCGTTGTGAGGACTATACATATTTCACCCATCATGGCCCCTTTTTCTTTCCTTTCCCCGCTCCCTTCTTCCCAGGAACCTTCTTCACAGGAGCCGGAGGAGGAGGAGCGGGGGCAGGAGCAGGAGCCAGGGCAGCAGGAGGAGCCGGGCCAGGGGCCGGCACGTATAACACTCCCGGGACTGCAATGTGCACAAAAGCGGCATTTCCAAACAGGGCCCTGGGTACCGGACTCGCGACCTTTCCCGAAACTCCCGGTGCTGGGTAACGGAAATTGAAGCATTTGTAGAGATCTGAGAGAGCAGGTATTCTCAAAACCTTGGCCATTTCGAGCTGAAATATGTACTGTGATCTATTGATATTGTCAGTTGACGCCCAAAGGAAGAGAAACCAAGAGAACCTACATAAAATCTCTGCACCCGACGGCATCGGGGAGGACATAATCAAACGAACAGGGAAGCAATTTAGCACTTTCTAGCACCTTTAGAAAGTCGTTGACTCTCTTTTCACCCACAACAAGTATCTCGGCAGAGTGAGAAGCGTGTATATTCGGACCTATATAGGTGAAAGTCTTAACAGCAAGCTCACTTGCAATTGGGCCCGGTACTATTCGGCCATTGACTGCCAGATCGACCTTCACACCTGTTGTCCCAGCAGGTGCATGCTGAGATGCTACTGCTTGCGGGTGCCGGAACATCAGCCGAAGAATGGCGTGGTTGGCCCCCGGGCCATGATTCAGGATATCCAGATGACACTCAGAAACTATGCGGTTCAATATAGCAACCGGTATGCGCTCCAATGGGGGGTTGTGAACCCAAGCTTGATTGCTGACAACACCGGCCATATTGAAATTTTAGAGGGAAGTACCTAGGTACTCGATCTGAATAGGATGGCAGCTGGATTGAGCGTGATATACACTTTAGATAAACTATACGCACAGGGAATGATTCAATCTTAAATGTAAGTCGATGATGCAAGCTAATCTTGGTTTATAAGCCATTGAAAAAAGCCCGAAGCCTATGGAAGCAAGAATAGACACCAAAGATACCGAGTCTTTGTTGTTACAGAACTTGGCTGACTGGAACCTTGGAAAGGTTGGAACAAAGTGGTGTGTATAGGTACGGGTCGAGTTGAAAATTAAGGGACGAGTTTCATGGCTGAAAGCCTTTTGTGTTGCACCCTCAGGTCCGTTCAAAGAAGACCTTGGAGCTATAATTAAGTACATGACCAAACAAGAAAACCGAAAGGACTGATCTGTTTCACGTTTGGCTTTGTCTATGTCCGTGGACCTTGGCGGGAGCTTGACGGCGATCTCGGCGGGACCTCAGCCCCACATGTGGGAATTTCTATGGTCCTTGGAAATTGCGAGTGTATACTTCGCCAATAGCGGAATAAAGAGATCCATTGTGAATTGGAGAAGTCAAATGCTCGAGTAAAGCGAGAGTATTGATCGAATAGAAAGGTCCAGATTCATGCCTAGGTGGCTTGCACCGTGCTAGTCACTATGTTTTCGAGCCGTACTGGTGCTCTACAAGAGTCATTATCGATTTTGAGTACGACTGAGAATATACTGCTCTCGTTCTTTCCCCCACGTCGGCATTATTGTTGATAATGGTAAAGGTTGCGTTTCTCCACCTTGCCAGATATCTGGATCGAGAGTGCGAATTTTAGCGCAATGTGGCAGTTGGAGTCCAATGTCTTTTGGAACCCTTTCCTCTTCCAATCTATTGATAGCACAAAGCTGCTCAGGATTCGCTGCCTGACGTAGCAAGGTCCAAAATTCATCGTCGGACACTTGCCACAACACCATATCATCCACAGACCCTGCTTGTACCAATTCGCCTATTACCTGGCCCGTCCGCTGATATATGTCGATGTGGGCCGGACTTGACCAGACCTCTTTGTCGGCATTGATGTATGCGCGAGAAAGAATCAGCGCTACATGAGGATCATCCAGAACCAGTAGACGGCCGGTCGCTGTAGCACTGGGAAATGCCTTCAGTGAGCTGACAACCTTTCTGGCGTCTTCTATGGAAAGCTCGTTGAAGCTGACTGTGTCGCGTAAAGCGTAATCGAGGCGATCGGCACACAATTGAGGCGCTGGCATCTCCACCAGAGGGAACAATTCTTCTTCGAAAACGCTCTGACTGATTCCGTGTCTGGCGAGGATCTCCGGTAGCCGCGTCGTCGCAAGGTAACGTGTCTTGTGCACTTCATGATAACTTCCTTCCCCAGGCTTTGAGAGGGCGTAATCCATGACGTGACTGAGGGTCGTATGAGAGATGTCATGGAGAAGCGCAGCGACTTGTTCTTCGATAGTGGCACCGACTCTTCGGACCAGTATAAATGCGCCGACCGAATGTTCGAGTCGCGTGACTCGCGGTGTCAGGCCTAAGAATCCAGTGACTCCATGTTGAGAAATGCCTTGCAGTCGCTGCACTTCCGGGCTTTGGAGAAGCTCTACGAGAACTGGCTCATGGACCAGTTCCTCTCCGTATATTTCATCTCGGATCAAGATGCTATGATTCTCTATAAGTTCGTGTGTCTGGAATATGCCGGCACTGGTGGAAGGCGACATCTATTTTAGAACACTGTGAAGATGGTAGCAAAAAGCAGAATAAATGGAGTGAGGGGTCGAGGGAGGAACGAGGCACAGGTCAAGGAACCGCCTGCGTCATTAGTCATAGTGCGATCGAGCCCTCGAGAACATGGCTACAAGCGGATGGCCAATTAACGGCTTGATGTGCGATTGGCGATGGAGGATCTTCATAGGTGCATGTGTTCACGATACAGTGGATTCATTACTACATGGCGAATAACGTCCCGTAGCAGCGCGCTGTAGAGCAATGCGTCCATTCAGCTGTTTAAATTCATACGTCACAAGCTTTCGGATGGTCCTGAAACTGGAGGATGTTTCGATTTGTATTAGATAGAGTTGCTAAACGATAAAGAAAGAATCATGAAGCAAGCATCATGAAAGGAATGAGTTCGATGAGTCGCAGTGTTGTCCTGGGAAATTGATTAAAAATTGAAGTCTGCCCATGTCTGGAGGAGTGTATTCCGAGTTTTTGCACGCAGTTCTGTGCTTTCGTGAAACATTTCGCCCAAATTGGTGTGTACATGACCAATTTCCTCTAGGCATCGATTGTATCGAGCTTCTCCCCCTTTCCAACGCACTCATTGGGACTCTCAGTTGTTGTCGACCCCGCAGTTTCCTCCGCAGTTGCCGCGTCCGTAGTTGCCGCTTCCACATCTGCCTCCGCATTTGCCGCTTCCACGATTGCCTCCGCAGTCGCCGTGTCCACAAGTACCTCCGCTGGTGGTGCCTCCGCTGTTGCCGTTTCAGCTGGCGCCGCCTCATCACTGACATCGGCGGTTGCAGCCATTTCGGCCATCTGCTGTGCAGCCTTGCGACAAATCAACGCGGTTTCCTCTGTAAGCGTCCCAGTTTCCGCCAAAACACGGAGTCTCGCTTCCCAAGAGTCCCACCTTTCACGAGACAAACCCCCCTTACCGGCATAGAGTGAGCCGGGTCTCAGAGTGCGAAAGTTGGGCAAATTGTCAAGGGAGTGAAAGAGGATATCTCTGGAATACTCAATCCACTGGACGGCGGCGCGGAGTTGACATTCAAAATACTCCTGTCGTGGAGATGGCTCCTCTTCCAGTGCATCCATGAAGCACCAGGTTGGCAAAAAAAACAAGTCTGCCAAGCCAGCTTGCAGGAGACGGGCGGCAAATGCCTGACGATTTATCCATTTCCCAAATTTAGAGGGATGATCTCGGGCATTAGGGCCTGTTCAGTTGAGATTAGTCCAGCTGAAAACAAAGCTGCGTTGATGGTGGCAATTACCGATATCATACTCAGTCCAATCCTCAGTCAAGTATGGCATCTCAGACCAGAAAAGTAAGAATCCCTATATTGATGAACAACATGTCAGTCTTGTGATGCACCATCGCAAGGTGGAAGAAAATACCCCTTCGCTGATGGGGACTTTCACAACAGGCAAGGCTTGCAGCTCTTTCAGGATCTCAATCATCTTATCCTGTGAGGGATGGTCATGAGGAATTTGCCTTGCAAGCTTGCTGATTGTACCCCAGAACTCCAAGAGGAAGCTTGTCGGTTCCTCTGCCTTCTCGCCCTTTGCTTCTCGATTCATCGGAGTGAGCTCGTTGATCCCAGCAGCAGCTTCAGCAGCTGAAAGCTGGCTATCTGGCTGCAAGCAGTCGTTGATGATCGCGAAATATTTCTGCTCAATGATCCATGGGTCATCATCATCAAGAGATGGAAGGTGTAGATGAAGAGATGAGGCCATGATGGAGACTGCGAAACGAAGAAAGTGAAGATGATGAAGAAGAAGAATGAGAGAAGAAAAAAGGAATGAAGTTTGAAGAGAGGGTTGTCCATCGTAGACTTTAGCTGAGCTGGGGGCACTGGAGGGGGTGCCTGGGGCCCGCAAAGCGGCTTACCTAATTTTAACATTGCCCCGGGGCCGGCCACGAGGTTGATCAACGCGCGCGCTTACTTCCCCAGACCCTTTTATCCATGTTTCTTTTTTATAGATTTTTGTCACATCTACTCTGATTCCTTCGCCCCAAGCAGTCTGTCTACTTGAGGGCTGTGGATGTATTTGAAAAATCATTAATCCACGCGTGCGGTTACGCCCCAGAACCCTAATGCTTTCTTTTCTATTTTGCTATGATTCTTGTTTCGACCCATAGCCCCGGCCAGCATCATTTTGTAGAGCAGACCAAGGACCAACGTACTATCAGCCATCGGGTAATGCCCCATGTATCCCACATTTAGGCACTGATAAACTCTTAGATGAGACAATAAAAGATACGGAAAGAGAGGGAAAGGGAGGGAGAGCGGGGAAGAGATAGGGAGAGGGAGACTGAAAGTGAGAGTAAGAGTGATAAAGTGAGAAGTCGATGGTGAGAGTGAGGAAGGGGAGAGTGGGGAGAGAGAGAATACACCGAGTGTGCACTATTCATCTCCCACCTTCCCAGGTTGTGCATGCAACATCATTTTCCTCAAGACAACTGTGATGGTAGACACGCGGTTACCAACCTTGGAAATTATCCTAAGTGCTCACTGCGCTGAGTTTGCTAGCATCCCATTCTCATCTCTCTCATCATTTGGGAAGCCATTCGCGTTTGCCTGTCTCCCTGATATTGCGCCTACTTGCAGCCCCACAGGCAGCTACGATGCGGAAACCAGGAACCACCAATAAGGCCGAGAGGTCTAAGAAGACCGCAGCTCAAAAGGCGGCAGCCAAACCTGGCCAGGTATGAGTTCATGCCAATCATTGAATCACTGAGAAACCCAATTTGCTAACCATGACCCCGATGCAAAGACTTTCTGGCACACCAATAACAGCGTCCTGTCCAGAGAGAAAAACAAGATCTCTCAGGACACTGTACAGGAACAGCTGGAGAACGCCCCCGGGCCCAACGATGCCACAAAGTCAGGCTACCCCCACAGATTCAAGAACATACGGCAAGGTGAAAAGAACGAACGCCTCTTTGATACCGGCTCAAACAGCTCCACCACTTCATACCGCGAGTACCCCGTGATGTCAGACGGTTCGAATTATGACTTTGACGAACGCCCAAAGCCCAACCCGGGCCCTTTTCGGGCTATCACCAACCAGAATAAGACGTTTAAAGGAGTGATAGCGCACGATGGCAAGAATGGAAGAACCAATGCTGGGAATTTCCACCGTGCAGCACAGGATCCGATCTTCGATCAGGAGGAAGAAGCCTCTCCGAATGAGAGATATCATGGGAAAGGGAAAGGGAAGGAAGGAAGAAGAGAGAGATGGAGAAGAGACAGGTAGTCATACACGATTGTTTGACCTGAAACATCCCCAAGGCAAGGCCCAATCGATAGAGTTTCCATTTGAGGAGTGGAGGACTAACCAATACCTCGCAGACAAGACGGACGTCAGCTATTTCTTGTCGGAAGTCCGCGATTTTTACGGGGAGAAAGAACACACATGGACGCAGAAAATGCGGCGAGCGACCAAACACCAGCAAAGAATACCGATGACGCTCCGCGAGAGACCAATTCCCTAATACCCCATTCCCGAACGAGGTCATACCCCCTGTTGAACTTTGAGGTGACAAGATCACCAAGTAATGAATAATGGAGCCCTGAAGACTGTGATCGAGTTAGCTGAAACAATGAGTTATGATTGCGGAAACACCCGCCCGGCCTGTCCAGGTGCGGCTGCGTATTTGTATTTCTAAAACTGCTCTTCAAGACCTGTATACGGCAGTCAGTAGCTAATGGCCATAGTGTCGTTCTAGTTTTGCTTGTTTTCCTGCTCTTCCTTACATTTGACCGTAGAATTACAATCGAATTTCTATTAATGAAAAAGACAGCAAGAAGGACGTAGCTGTCTCCCCATCCCGAGGTCTGCCAGGAGCCTGACAAACCAGGCAGCTCAAAAGGCTCCGACGCAAACCTCCAACCAACCAATCAACTTGCTGTTTTAAGCGCTTTTTGATGAGCCCACTAGCTTGGAAAGACCAAGGTGCATTCTTTCTCAAACACTACGCACTCAAGGATCCCATACCCCCCCCTCCCCTTTCGACCTGCACCTGCTCTGCCATTCCTTGATGGCGCTCTGTTGATTTGGCCCACAGGAAGGATTCGCGCATTGTGTTACATTCGAAGGAGTCATTCATCATGGGTTCGCTGGCCAATCCGGTCTTCCCAGTCGGGGACCACGAGGCTTTCATGGAGTTCGCTCTCATTCAGGCGCAAAAGTCACCGCCAGCTGCCAACAAATTCTGCGTCGGAGCTATACTCGTCGATGCCGATAGCGGCGAGGTCCTATCGACAGGATTCTCACTGGAATATCCACAGGACTACAAGGGAGACCCAGGCACCACGCATGCAGAGCACTGTTGTTTTATCAAGATCGCCGACGAGCACAACCTCCCAGAGGAACGCATCCACGAAGTCCTCCCGGCCAACACGGCGCTGTATACAACGATGGAACCATGCAACGAGAGACTGAGTGGCAAAATGACCTGCGTGACCAGGATATTGAGACTCAAAAGCGCTATAAGGAATGTCTACGTGGGAATCAAAGAGCCAGGAACGTTCATCACGGACAACGACGGACAGGAGAGACTGGAGGCAAACGGCATTAAGGTCGTGTTCCCCGTCGAACATTGGCGTGATAGGATCACCAAGGTATCAACGTCAGGGCACTGAAGACAGTGATCAATTCAGCCGAGAAAAAGAGTTGGGAGTGCGGGAACACCCGAGCGGGCCGTCCGGTCACGCGTTTCTAATTTCGGAAAGGCTATTTCAGGGCTCTGCCACGATACATACTCGCCTGCATATCCGAGCAATGTGCGAGCTGCTATTTCCCCGGGAATGGGTTCTGTGTCACCTCATCGGTGAGTCGACACACCGCGAACAGGTGGACTACTGGTCAAGTCGGGTTTCGATGACTTGTAAATTCTTTGTCGGACCTCAGCACTGTCTTGTCGGATGGTATTATCTTTGTCATATACATGAAGGAGAAATCGACTTATTTCAAAAGAGCTTTTTCCGCCAGTGGACCTTGAGAAGTTTCCACGTGTAGCGTCGGAGCACACGATACGACGCGCGACTCTGTGATTGCTAACACCAGGAATCGAACATTGTTATATAAATGTGTTGATTTAGGCCAAGGTCAAACCTTGGTCCTGTCAGCATCTTCAAGCTGTTTCCCAGGTGGTGACTTGAGAACTGGGATATGAAATGGAGTGATTTCCATTTGTGCTTTTCCCGTGAGCCTGGATATCTTGATACTTATTGAGTCCACTCTCTAGAGATGCAAATCCAACCCCGCAATGCCGTGCTACATACAGACTCAATGGGGCCAAATCCAGCCGATCGGACTCAAGGTTAGCTCTCGCAGTTGTCGGTTATTCTATTGGTGATTACACCACGGTACGCCTCATTCCATGCCACCCAAAGCTTCGTGGAAAGCTTCGTTTATTTACATGCTTGGAGTTTACCGAAATAAGCACTTGGGATGCCAGTTCATAGTCCAAAAGCTTAGTTCGTTGGTCGCTTCCAATGCGGGTGATTCCGAAAAGATGCAATCATCGGCTTGATGGCGAATCTGAGCTGCAGCGTTTTGGCCATCCCCGTCAAGCCATGAACATGAAGCTCCCAATCAATCCCTTGAAGTGGACCATGGCAATGCGTAATCATTGTTTGCATAATTGCTCATGTCAATCAAGATCCTCACGATTTAAATAAATTTGCCGATGTGCAGGGCAATACATTGGCCATCAAATCACCGAGTTTGGCAATGCTCCTTGCTTATGACGTGCTAGAACAACCTCTTCGGCTTGAACACCGGTCAAAATCCTCCGATCCACCTGGATGCATTTATAAAGATGGGCAAGAAGAATAAGGTTCAATTGATTCGAAGCTTTTCTCAAAATCAAAATCCGAAGCTTACATGGTGGTCATAATTTTGAAGAACGCCCATTGTTATACCCCAGCACATGATGTCGCTGGAACATGATCACGAAAAGAATGGCGGTGTTGAAACTAGTCAAGTCGTGGTCTCTGAAGACCGCATTATTAAGGACGGTGGCCTTACTTTCACGGCAGCCGAGGGCATCAATTCCACTGCCGTCACCTACCAAGATGCAGCCGGTGCCCCCGTAGAAACGAATTCTCCGCTTGGATATTCAGTGAGCTTTTGGACCAGTTTGTGCTTGAATATTAACCAGATGATTGGAACTGGTATCTTTTCAACACGTGAGTCGGTCGAGTTACAGCCTCGGTTTTGCAGTTTACTGACATTGTTGAAAAGCCGCCTCAATTCTTGAGGGAGTCGGCTCGGTTGGACTCACTATGGTCTACTGGTTTATCGGATACCTTCTTTCAGAGAGCACCCTTGCACTCTACCTGGAGTTCACCTCTTACTTCCCCAGTCGATCCGGGGCCGAGGTCGTATACCTCGAACAGGCATTTCCATTCCCCAAATATTTCTTCCCGACAATATTTGCCGCAAAGCATGTGGTTTTCTCTTTCGGAAGCAGTAATGCTGTGGTACTGGCGGAGTATATATTCGGAATTGGTGGGCTGTCATACACAAATTGGCAGCTAAAGGGTGTTGCAGTGGCAGCCTACACAGTTGCATTTATCGGTGAGCACCCATGAGGTGTGGAAAGAAAGTCTGAGTACTAATGAGAACACAAGCTGTGAGTGTTAACACAAAATGGTCGATGCGACTTGTTGTTTTCTTCGGCTTCGTGAAGGTTTTGACATTGCTCTTGTACGTCTCCAAAAACGGAAAGTTTCCGTCGCATCGCTTCCCACTAACAAAACTTCCATACAGAATTTCAATCGCGGGACTGGTCGTACTCGGTGGCCATACAAGGGTCGTGGACCCCAAAGTCAATTGGCGCGATCCGTGGGAAGGTACATCAGGCGCAACAGCCTATGGCGCTACCAACGCAATGGTCAAGCTTGTATTTTCCTATGCCGGTTATACCAATGCGTTCAGTGTTGTAAATGAAATCAAAGTAATTCGTACCATGACTGTTCCTTGAGAGGACTCGACTGACTGACTCACGCAGAATCCCGTTAAAACACTCCGATGGAGCGCGCCAATCTCGCTTCTGAGCGTGACAATACTCTACATCCTTGTTAATGTCGCATATTTTTCAGCAGCATCGCGGGAAGAAATCCTCGCATCAAAGCAAATTGCAGCAGCCATTTTCTTCGAGAAGGTGTTTGGCTCTAACCAAGTCGCGCGTGGGTTGAATGTACTCATCTGTGCGGCCGCGTTCGGCAATTTGATGGTTGTCATGATCAACTATTCACGCATGCTTCGTGAGACAGGAAGGTAAGTTTTGGGTCCAGCCAAATTATCTACGCGCACATAGCTAAGAAACTGACAATTTCTTACAGAGAAGGCGTTCTCCCCTATCCTAAGTTTTGGACTTCCACAAAGCCATTTGGAACCCCGCTTGGGCCGTACATCGTACAATGGACAATCACTGTGATAATGATCATCGCGCCTCCAGCTGGTGACGCCTTCAACTTTAGTAAGTACTTTGATCGAAACGGAAGCGAGTCGGGTCTAACATGAAATTATTGCAGTTGTCGATCTTGCGGTCTATCCTGGCAATATCTTCAACTTTTTACTCGTCATCGGTCTTTTGATAATTCGCAGAAAACGCGCAAGACTTGGCTTGCCAAGGCCGGAATACCGAGCATGGAATATCGCGATTGCCTTTGCGCTCCTCACCAACGTGTATATGTTGATTGCGCCTTGGTACCCACCATCAACCGGCGCAAATGGCGGAGACGTCAGCTTTTGGTATGGCACATATCTGGTGGTGAGCATTGGACTGTAAGTGATTTATCTTGAGCGATTGCATTATCCGACGTTTCGAGCTAACCCCAAGAAAGATTGGTTGCGTGTGGTATTTACTACTATTTCTGGATTTGCTTGATCCCTCGTTGGAAAGGATATGAGCACCGGAAGGCTCTTGTCGAGCTCGATGATGGAACTGTTACTCATCAACTTACCAGAGTTCCGAAGAGCGATGTGGCGCAATGGGATGAAGCACACGACGCCACAGGTCGGCTCCATCGGCGAATCGGCTATAGTGGCACACTCTAAAGCCTTCTTACCCAGTAAGGGGCATTTTTACGGAGTACATTTGCTACAGATATTACATTTTGTCAATAATAAAGTGCTTAGAATGATAAAAGGAACGATCCACTCGACTTTAAATCTGAACCAGGGGCCAAGACGATAATTAGTAGCAACATGTGTGGGTGTGCCACACATCGCGACCGTTATCTTCGTCAAATTACTCCGGACTGACCCGATCCAGGGACAAATCCCCAGATTTAGTACCCCGTCGCCTCTGGGGAAAACATTCTTCCGTGTCTGTGTCAACGGTACTCATAATCTTTATTCTGAACTTAAGATATGCCGATTTCAGATAGGCAACGGGCTCGGCCAAGCTCCACCCAATCGACCCATAATTACCCCGAGCCGCGGTCGTTGAGGGTTATAATTGGCCTGTCTCTTATCTGTCAAGCCACGCCAAGAGAATGCTATCTTTTATCTTTTGTCACGAGGTTCAGTCGTTTGGACCATGGGGAGTATACGGGGTATGAAGAACTCTCATATAGAAATGGGGCCGCCGTAGGGTTCGAGAAGGAAAAAGAACAAGTCGGTAACATACTCGAGCCGAAAATGTCCAAAGAAGTCGAGACCGGGCCTTTGCCCGAGAAGCAAGACCTTCCTGTGACTATTGCAAGCGTGGACATCGACCCCGAAGCCGAGCGTGCCTTAGTATGGAAGTTTGACCTTCGCCTTCTCCCTGTGTTGGCAATTATGTATCTTTTCAACAGCCTGGATAAATCAAATCTAGGAAATGCTAAAACTGCTGGACTTGTTGGTGAGTGCAATCTCTTGTCGTTGCCGTGACAGGAGCGCCATTAACCTGTTTCGTCAAATTAGAAACACTCGGCCTAAAAGGCAATCAGTACAACTTACTTTTGAGCATCTTCTTCGTACCTTATGTCTTGACTGCGCCTTTCCTGGGCCTTCTGGGAAAGAAGTACGGTCCCAACCTCGTTCTTCCTTGTATGATGCTTGGATTCGGCATTTGCACCATCCTCGTGGTTGCCGCGTTCAACTTCAGCGGTCTCTTCGCGATTCGCTGGTTCTTGGGAATGGCAGAGAGCGCATTCTTCCCATTGGTGATTTACTACCAAACGACGTACGTTCCACCATTCTGATCCTCGAGGTCAAACTAACTTGATAAATAGCTTCTATCGTCGTGGCGAGCTGGCTCGCCGCCTCGCTATCTTCTACGCCGCCCAAACTATCGCATCTGCTTTCTCGGGCTTGTTAGCCTTCGGCATCTTCCGCATTGAATCAGGACCTTTGGCTCCGTGGCGCTATCTCTTTCTGATTGAAGGCTGTGGCACCGTCCTCTTCGCTTTGTTTGCTCTCTGGTACTTGCCTAAATCCGCTTCCGAGGCGACTTTCTTGACCCCCGCAGAGAAAGAACTGGCCTATCTGCGGTTGCAGATTGACAGTTCTTCCGTGGTGAATGAGAAGCTCGACATTCGTGATGCCTTCCGGGTATTCAAGCACTGGATGAGTTGGGCGATTCTGGCCATCCAGATCTGTCTCGGTGTGCCTTTGCAATCGGTGCAGCTCTTTCTGCCAGTCATCATCCAGCGTCTGGGCTACAGCACGGTCAAGACTAATCTCTACACTGTTGCCCCCAACATCTCGGGTGCTGTGGTCCTTCTTATCCTGGCCTTCGGCAGTGACTATACGAAATGGCGATTCCCGTTCATCGCAGCTGGCTTCTTGTTTACCTTCATTGGTTTTATCATTTACGCCACCATCGATGTTGAAAATGATCTTGGAGTGGCGTACTTTGCCTCGTTTTTGATGACATGGTGAGTTTGCATCGAAAAGATAATGTTTCTGAAACAACACTAACCATTTGTCACAGGGGTACCTCTGCACCATCAGTTCTGTTGGACGCTTGGTATAACAACAACACCGCCAACGAAGGTCGCCGAGTAGTGTTGACCAGTATTGCGGTCCCCATGGCCAACTTGATGGGTGTTGTCAGCTCCAACATCTTCCGCACACAGGATTCACCTGAATATCTTCCTGCGTTGATCACCACCGCTTCGTTCGGTGGCTGCGGTATCGTCTTGACCCTCTGTGTCGGGCTCTGGATGATGGCAGATAACCGACGACGAGATCGACTGCAAGGCGTCAAAATGAATGCAAGGGATGTGCCGACCGAGCTCCTCAATGATGGACCAGCCAGTGATGACTTCAGATGGTTCTATTAAACTCCATCTTGTTTCTCGAACCCATGTATATAATAAGAGAAATCAAGATTGTGCATTAATATTCAGGGGATTTTCTGATTTTCTGGGAGCGTAAGAGGCTGAACTGGGTGCTATGATGAGCATTTGAGGATCTTACTATGTATTTTCTGCCTGGATGTAAATCCACCGGTCTCCACCAGAATATTCCAAGCCGCATCGACGATGTGGCTGATTTAGGGTAAACCAGATGACATCATCAGCCACCGCCCGCTGGGGGCATCGATGGGCTGCTTCCTCAACGGGTACTTCGCCCTGATTGGTCAGTTCCTTGTCGCCATTGAGGATTCGAAAAACAGGATTGTAATGGAACACACCTTTCTTCTCTTCGATTTTTGCACTCTTCTTCTTCATTGCATTTGACATCTACAACGATGTCAGACACTGAAGACCCGTCCGAGCCAACGTACAGACTGGCGCAAGAACGGGAATTCTACCAGTATGGCACTTCCTTCGCCCCACTTGGCGGACATCGTTGACCCAGTCGCAGGTACATCCCGCGCCAGCATGCCGCAACACATTATGCCCCTTTCGACAACGCCAGCGAGAACACTTTCCATCCCCAACCGTCCCAGGACTCGGCCCTGACGGCGTTTGCCCAGCTAGGGGCCATCCGCCTGGGAACCGAGCGCGGCTTGATCTCTTTATTCGATCGCACCCACCAACACGTCATCGCGGAAGCGACCCCGACCTTGAGTCTCACCGGCGGCGGCATTCGAGATACCAACGATCGGTTAATTTTAGGATGCTGTGTCCTGCCCAAGGAGAGAGGCTTCTGTCACCGCGTGGAGCGACTACCATCAGCGAAATATAACAAGGCCGACGAGGTTGTCGGGGAGGATACTCTGATTGTTCCCGACATCCTAGAAAATGAACACTTCAACTCCCCGAAACGCCTCAAGGTATTTCAAAATGCGCGCTTCTACGCCGCAGTGCCAATCATCAGCCCCCGAGGTTACACGATCGGAGCCTACAGCGTGATGGATAGTAAACCGCGAGCGACGAATCTGGACCTGAACCATCTGCAATTCATGAAGGATATGGCCGCGACAGTGATGGAGCATCTGTCGTTGGAGCATGATACCCAGCAAAACCGGCAGGCTGAGCGCATGATTGTGGGACTGGGAAGTTTCGTTGAAGGTAGGACTACTTTGCGCGACTCTTGGCGCGAAGCCCATGCACAATACGCTGCTTCAGAGCAATCCGGCGAGACGAGAGAGGGACAGTTGAACATCGAGCAGCAGAACATACAGCAGGAACGCAAGTATCAGTTTGAGAAAACCCTCGCATTCCGTCATCCACCTACGAAATCTAGATCCCAATCGAGATCGAGATCATCCACCCCCAGGGCGCAAGGGAAGAAAAGCACAGAAAATCCCAAAGTGCAGACTACGCAAAACGGAAATTCCGTTTCCGTGCGAAGTGTGCTTGCGGGCGAAAGTCTTCAGGATAACAGCATGGCGACCAGTACCAAGCAGATTTTCTCGCGCGCCGCAAACCTGATTCGAGAATCACTCGGGGCGGAAGGTGTGATGTTCCTGGATGCCAATAGCCAACGCTTTGGTAGCCTCGTCAATAAGAACCGTCGTAGGGTCTCCGGCCCCATTTCGAAAGATGCTGGATCAAGTAGCGATGAGAGTACAGACTCTGCGGGGTCGCACAGGCGATATGATTCAAGTGCGGAATCGGACGATACTCTTGTCTCCGAGTGCTTGGGATTCTCGAGCTCAAGAGTATCGAGCATTGATGATGAAACCAGAGCAGGCCGAGCTGTGGTTGTGCCCGAGCCACTTTTTAGCTCTTTACTCAAGCGTTATCCTCGTGGCAAAATCTTCACCTATAATGCAAACGGCTCTGTGTCCGAGGACAGCGATAGCTCGCGGCAACAGTCTGAGCAGGAACTACACGAACACATGGCGGAATCACAGGCCGAGGAACGACGCCCAGCAAGCAAGAAACGGCGCAAACCAACCTTCCGGCAAGACGCCGATAGTTTGATAAAGATTTTCTCCGAGGCCAGAAACATCCTGTTGTTGCCGATCTGGGACTCCGACAAGAAGAGGTGGTTTGCCGGAGCATTGGTTTGGACTCGCAACCCGGAGCATGTTTTCACCTTTGAGAAGGAGACAATTTTTGTTTCTGCCTTTACCAACAGCATCATGGCCGAGGTTCGCCGTGTTGATGTGGAGATAGCCGAGAAGGCGAAGACGAACTTGGTTAGCAGCATCACGCATGAGCTGCGCAATCCATTGCACGGCATTCTTGGAACGGCAGATATCTTGAGTGACACGGCCATGAATGCGTTACAGCATGGCATGGTCCACACGATTGAATCTTGCGGTCGGACTCTTTTGGATACAATCAACAACCTCCTCGATCTTACATTCATCGACAAATATCAAAACAGAGCGCCGACAAACCGCAAAAGATTCAGAAAAGAAAGCGGCACCGCGAGTAACTCGAAACGTTCAAATCAAGGCCAATCCAAAGAAATCAATGAGTCTTTGTCATACGAGCACGTTCAACTGGATTCCGTGCTTGAGGAAGTGGCAGAGTGCGTCTTCGCTGGATACAGCTTTTATGCGAATCCACAAGCTCCGCCACCGGCCCTGAATGATTCTTCGTCTCGATGGGCGGGCCCTACTACTGAATCCGACCCTGTTGGTCCCCGTGCAAGCCAAGTAACCATCATCTTCGACATCCAACCAGACACAGAATGGGATTTCTGCACACACGCTGGTGCCTGGCGAAGAATTTTGATGAATGTGTTTGGCAATGCACTGAAGTACACATCGTCTGGATACATCTATCTCGGGCTAAGTTTTGCACCGCGTGACCCTAGTGGTTCCAAAGAATTGCATGGACAAAGGGATAACGAGTTCGAAGTTACATTGACCGTCAAGGATACTGGCAAGGGAATTGGGCCAGAGTTCCTCCAAGATGGCCTATTCACCCCGTTCTCGCAAGAAAATCCTCTTGCTTCTGGAAGCGGTTTAGGACTAAGTATCGTCAGACAGGCTGTTGGTTTCCTTGGTGGCTCAATCGAAATCGAGTCCACCAAGAATGTTGGAACCGCCCTTACAATACGCACACCGCTGACTCGGGCTCCCGAGCCATCGGAGACCTCATCCTCGATCGCCATGTTCAGCTCCCTTCAGAGTTATACCCAAGACAAGACCATCGGTTTCCTCGGGTTTGGTTCATCGCTGCAGTCTCACCGCGATACATCTCTTTACTCCTCACTGGAACGCTTGTGTCATCATTGGTTTGGCCTTCAATCGAGAAATGTCTCACCAGAGAAAGGTAAAACTCAAAATTATGACTTCTACTTGGCGGTGCAGACGGAATTGGACGATGAAAACACCGAGGGCAGAAATCTATTCGGGATGAGCCCGCACCTTTTGAATAAGGAAGGGCACTCCTCGCCTATTGTGGTTATCTGCCAATCACCCGAGGAAGCTCACAGGCTGTTTGTCTCTGCTAAAAACCGAAGCGAGGAAACATACTTTGAATTCATTAGTCAACCATGCGGACCGCGGAAGTTGGCCCGCGCACTGAATATTTGCATTCAGCGCCAAACCAACGACCGAGAAGGTCGCCCAAGCGTTGAGAAACCGACTCATTGGGTTGAAATGCCCGAATCGTCCCATCTGCCCGTGGATCTTGGCCCCAGTGACCCGCCGACTGATCGAATGAAAATAAGCAAGCGACCAACAGCAGATACTATGGGAAGTCCCAATCGTAGTTGCAGCGAAGGTTCGAGCGAACGAACCCCAGCGGCCAGTCCACGAGAAAAGCAGGTTACCCCAGAACCATCTCCCAAGCCCAGTCCAAGCACAGAGACTCCAGAGCTACATGCTTTACTTGTTGATGACAACCAACTTAATCTCCAAATGCTTTCTGCATATGCCAAAAAGGATGACTATCCTTACATGACAGCTATGAACGGAGCAGAGGCTGTGGAGGTTTATAAAGCTCATCCCGACAAAATCAAAGTTGTCATTATTGGTAAGTACATATGGCGAGACCACCTCTGCCTTTTTTCACAGCATACTGATGACAGCAGACATCTCAATGCCTGTAATGGACGGCTTCGAAGCCTCGAGGCAAATTCGACGAGCCGAGAGAGAGTATCGCGCCGAGAAAGGCATAGACCAAGAAGCTCCTCGCCTCGTCATTGCTGCATTGACTGGTCTTGACAGTGCAAATGCCCAAAAGGAGGCCTTTGGATCAGGCATAGACACTTTCTTGATCAAGCCTGTGAAACGACCTGATCTGCAGGCAATTCTCAAAAAAATGAGAGAATGATTTATGTATGATTAGAATTTGATTTACGAGCCCACATGACATGACCATCTTTTTTTTGACGAACTTTTGAGACTTGAAATCCCAAAATGCTTTAGCATGCCTCATGAGGCCATGTTTTGCACCTCCGGGTCAAAATGGCACTCACACTCCCAAGAAATGTATACAGGCCTTAAAATATGGATAGACCAGAGTACCTCTAGAGCTCTAACATTGCGACGACATTGGGAGGACTCAAAGGATAACCGCGTTGAACGAGAGTAGATCGAGGAGCTAGGCTTGCTAACTAGACTCATGAATACAACCTTGGAACCCATGTTATCACTTTGCCATAGCCACACTTTCTCCGTATGTTGGTGGACTTGTAGGAGAGACTTCCTTCGCCGTTGCGATGATCGCCGGAGGCTTGGGAATGTTCTGCCGGAACACATGTCTTCGGATAAACCAGGGAAGCCATACGGTCAATTCGTGACCAATGTATTTCTTTGTGGGAACCGAGAAAACCTCTGGAGTGATGTTAGAGAAGTAAAGTAATTTTAGTCTTGGGGCCACTCACGATCCAACTCTTCAAGCGTGAGCTGTTTGGTTTCTCTGACGAAACAGAATATCATGCCCCAAGCGATCAAATTGAGTCCTGCATAGAAACCGACTAAACAAGTGATTAGTAGTTTGATTCATTGATATGCAGGTCCCCACTTACAAGCGCCAGTTTGAGTCATGACACTGGTCATTCGAGGGAATGTTAAACCAAGTGCACCAGCTGCAGATTATTATTAGCAAGATATATCATAGCTTAAGTGGTCGGGACACTTACCAAATGTATTATTGATGCAAACTGCCCAGGCCATTCCCTGCTCTCGGTGGATTGTGGGGAAAACCTCGGCGGAGTATTGGAAAGCGACAGGTCCTTCGCCGAGGGAGTACGCGATAGTGAACAAGTAGACGAATCTAGGGGAATTAAAGGTCAAAACATGTCAGATAATTAAAACGGCTTGTTGGCACTTACAATGCAACAGGTCCAATCTTCTCACCCGCGGTTCCGTCGTGTTTCAGGAGTGACAAACCTGCCGCGAGTAGGAAAATACACATGAATGGGAATGTCTGAAATTAAACTTGAATTAGTAAGAGCCTTTCGTAAACATTTGACTCACTCACAATCAGAGTCAGGGTTCTTCTGCCCTTGGTATCGATGAGGAACAATGTTGGAATCGTCGATACAACCTGGATGGCACCGTATCCAAGTGATGCATACAAGGCCTGTACATCCGAATAGCCGGCCTTGACAAAGATCGTAGAGCTATAGAAGGATATGACTTTGAGAGGTTAGTGATTTTCTGCACGGCGTCACTTATTGAACAGGATGACTTACTGTTAATGCCGCACATTTGCTGTGCAATCATGACAGTGGAGGCTCCGTAGTTGGCGCGCCTGATTCTTGGGACGGCGAAAATATCCCACATGCGAGAGAAGTACCCTGCTCCTCTTGCTTCCTTGAGCTCCTCTTGATAAATAATGTAGGAGTAGTAAAAGTCTCGGGCTGCGATGATTGGATGAGCGCGCAGACGCACCATGGACCTGTACCCTTTGGCATATTTTCCATGCTTCATAAGCCAACGAGGAGACTCAGGGCAGAAAAAGACACCAATACCGAGGATAAGGGATGGGATGAAGGCCGAACCGAGTTGGAGACGCCAGGCGATGTCTCCGGTGTCCTTGACAATCACATTGGCAGCGAATCCGAGGAAGATGCCTAAATAGTACATCAGTATATATAGAAATAGTAGATTAAGATGACTTGCCGGCGACAACCCAAAGCTGCCAGAACATGACAAGGGCACCACGAGTTCGCGCCGGTGCCATTTCGGCGGAGTAGATGGGAACTGTGGCGTTCTTCGCGCCAATTCCGATACCCATAATAAATCTCGCAACAAATAGCTCTTGCCAGTTTCTAGCAAACGCAGATCCGATGGGAGTTGCTGTGAGACAACAAGCAGTGAGGAAGATCTCACCCCTTCGTCCCAGGTAATGATTCAGTGGATCGACAATAAACGCACCGCTGTTCCCAGAATTAGTCTTGAAGTTGCAGCTTCACGTTGCTCACTATGTACTCACATTAGGCCGGCGGTGAAAAAGATGATGGAGTTAACAATTCCGACGATCCATTCATCACTCGAATTTCCCTCGCGAGCAATGCCAAACTCTTGGGGGAATGACAGATTTGCTCCATTTGCGCCCGTTTGATCCCATCCTTGTGTCGCGGCGCCGACAGCACAAAGAGAAATCGAGTACCAAAGCATGAAGGAGCCGTGCCACTTGTGGTCTCTCTCGTAAATAAGGGCCGCGCGCTCTTCTTCGTCCAATTCTGGGACGGACTCGAATTCATCGGGGTTGCGTGCAACCAGAGCAGCCCGGCCAAAAAGGTCGGCGTGCTCGGTCATGTCATTTGACGCGGCGAAGTTTCGGGCATCGGCGATAGCTTGCTCTCTGGAACTACGCTAAGAGGATGGAGAGTATTAGTAAACACGACCGTTGGAAGATCTATCCCGCTGAAACACAGAATTAGTTCAGACATACCGTCAAAGGGTTCTCGACAATATTCAGAGCACCGGCTTGACGGCGCTCATGTGCGGCGGGATCAGTGGCCTCATCGATTTCTTTTTTAGAGGACTCTGCCACGATATCATTGTGAAAGGTCTCGATATCAGATGACTTGTCACCCATGATAGTTGAATGTCACTCTGCTTGACGCGAGTGAAAAATGCGCAATACGGAATTTCGGGGTTGGACACAAGACCTGACGACAAAGGAAAGAGTCAAGCCCCATATAAATGAAATCAGATCCCCGTGGGGTAAAACATGGTTGCAGATCTAAACCAAAAACAATTATGCTTTCTGGCTAAGGAATCCTACGGCACAGAGGGACCGCTGTCAGCACTAAGACTCTTGGAAGGGGTCATAACGTCTCGTGGCGCGGCGGCGAAACGCCATGGATTTTAGGGTTTTCAGTATCTGAGGCGCTGGGAGAATGAACCGAGACCGACAGTAGCATCGGAAATAACAGATCCAATACCGATTGATGTTGGTGCGATCAGGATGCTTAAAAAGAGGAGAAATTAGCTCCACGATGGCAATGGGACCAGTCATATTCCCAGAAATGTCAAAGCGTATGCGGGGAAAACACCATGTAGCAACCCCTAAGCAGGCGGACCAAGACTTGGCGGGTTGACTTTCTTGGTCATGTCAGTCATGCGATACGCTTGCCAAGGTCGAAAAACACATGGAAAAGTCAGAAAGTAAGGCAGGTCAGAAAGCCCCTAAGCCTCAAGGCTTCAAGGGATGCAAATTCGGCAACTCCTCCCCGGCGAAGCCGGCTCAATATTGTGGCAAGCTCAGGGGGAAAGAAAAAGAAATAGGATCAAACGTTTCGCCCGAGAGCCGGCAAGCCAAGAATGGCGGTCCGCGTGAGAACGATTTTCAAGTCGCCTTGAAGGATTTGACCGAGCCATTAGGATACGCCGTCGTTTCGCCGTGATTCCAATCCCGGGAAGTGGATCTCCACACTCTACCAGGATCTTACGTTAGGCCGTGGCGGTCTGCGGCTGAAAGCATGCACCATTACCCGTACGGAGTACTTCGTAGAAAGGGTTACATTGTGGCGGAAGGCGCAATTCCATGAAAGAAGAACTTCGACGGAATCTCATTGGCATGAAGTGAGATGCGGAAGATGGGTAATCAGATCAAGACCTCGAGGCGCCCATCTGTTGCACGGTGTTATGGTTCTGTACATCCGGAGATTCCCCAGCCCTGGAGACTGAGGGCACGAAGGAGATGGAGATGTAGCATTGTGAGGAACCTTGGAAACGGGCGAGCAGACAGATCCACAGTGGAGGAAGAAGAGTGTGGGGGAACCTCGGGAGAGCGGTGGCGGCCTGGGGCATCTAGATTGTGACGTCATACGAAGGTGTAGTTTTTTCTTTTTTGTAAGAGGCATTAACCCTGGAAGAGTTACAGCAAAAGTAAAAGGATAAAAAGTGACAAAGATGGGAAACGACCCATAGGCCTTTTATTGCCAAAGAAACGCCGTGGAGCTCGGGTTCACGGGTACCGCTAGGGATGGCCAAGCTCAACGGCTATAACTGGCAGCAATTAGATCGATCCATGAGGTCTGCCTAATGCACCTTTCTTACCACCAGAGTCAACATTCGCGGATCATACATCCATCCCACGACAGATGGCTTATGTGGACTTCCAAGGTTCGCGAATAAGAACAATACTGCAGCAAAGACCACCTGGGCGGGGCTCAGCTACAACTATCAAATATATTCTTTCACCGAACTTAGTTGACACGATGTATTCAATCAAGGGTATCACAAATCACATATCGGCCAGCCGTCAACCTCAGTCAAATCTATACTTGATCCATTCGCTGTGCCAATCCGTAAGATGTCGGCAATTATCATGGCACACGCGAGACATATGATACTGAACATGCAGTTTAGATTGCGCGGGCTTCACTTCAACATGAATGGCTCTGATACGAGCCTCGTTGGGAACATGCTCACCCGGGTAAAGCCCGGCGGCCTCAATATCGAAAGCCCGCTGCGCCACACGAGCGAAGATGTTCGTGGACCAGATTCCCTCCTGTCGCCGGGAGCGACGCAAGAGCGCAATCAGCTGGCTTCGAGTAGTCCAGTCCCGACATTTCAGAGCGATAAGACTCAGGGGAGGGATCACGCCCAAGTTAACGGAGAATGAGGGTGCTTCGATATTGTCGGACATCAAGACTGATTCGGCCATGGCAATGGCAACTTTGTAGTGTTCCAAATATTTATCGTATTGCATCTCTCTTGGTCCTGGCCCGGATTCAACCTCGCCTATGATGGGAAGCATTGAGCCCCAAACCTGAAGGACGTTTAATGCGTTCAAGTCCCGCTGCGCCAGATGATGTTGATGGAGTTCGCGGTATACTGTGAGCTCAGCCTGCACCGCTAAAATTTTACCCACAAATTCAGCCGGATCCCCAATGCATGCAACTGGATCCGCAGCAAGTGATGAGCTATCTTCGATGGCGGATGCGTGATGGATATTTTGATACGAGAGAACCCGTACAAACGTGACGATCATATCATTGGCGCGCTGGATCTCATCCATTGCATTATCGGGTGGAGCAATAATGAGAGGGATCAGCTTTTGGTCACCAGTTAGAGCCCCATTGCTGTTGAAGGAAGACCAGACCATGTGGACTCCACCAAAAGCCCTGGTGAGTGTACCGGCGACATCGCTTGCGGCTCCGTGCTCGAGCAAGTACTGTTCCAATAGTTTAAAACCAGATCGGAGATGCGTACCAGCTGCGACTGCATCTTCTTGGAAAAGCAGGGTCGAAACCAGCACGACACATGCAACCAGAACAGTTTCGACGCGTAACCGACCCATGTCAGGTTTGATTAAATTTTCTTGCAGAGATTCGATGGCTTTGTTGATTTGACGTAGAGAAAAGGCTTGACTGTAGGGACCAGGGCCGGCATTTGACCGGACGAAATGATAGTTCATAGAGCCCATGCCGATCACAGCATGGCGAATGGCGGGCTGGTCCTCGCTGGCCTGGTGGACCAGCCGTTGCCAAAACTCATCGTAAAAGTAACCCGCGCATTGAAAAGAGGTGCTTCTTCGAAAAAAGTCTAGGAAATATCGTTCCTCGATTGTGAGGTCCACTTGATGCGTGGGCGCTCGAGATATCAACATTGCCGAGCTCTCGGACAAGGCTTCCTTGGCCATACGAGCAGCTCGAGTCCGCCCATCGACGGTGTCGCGGTATTCGCATGTTCGATTGTTAATGATGCAAGTTTGACACTGTGGACGGGCCTCATCACATTTCTTGTGAAATTTCCTGAGCTATCAGCCCCGCACATAGACGATCAGGGGGCTGGTGGGTTACGAAAACCGGGGGGGCCATACTTGCAGTTGACGCAGCCTGTGCGCACTTTGGGCCGGCTGGCGCGTTTCTTCCTCTCTTTCCCTACCGCAACATACATCTCTTGAATTGTGAGGGGTACCCAAACAAACAAACGAGAAAAATTCAGGGCGATGATCTTGAGGTCCACCCAAAATCGCGATTATGTAAGGATCATCGATGGCCCTTGAAGCAAAACAAACGGCGTAGTGGATCCCGTACTTTTGCATCCATGCATTTCGCAAAAGATTTTCAAAGGGAAAACAGGATCTCTTGGATTGTCGACTCAAAAGTCCGCCGAGTATCGAATTGTGCCATCCTCTTTCCCCTTCGGGCCGATCCAACGGTGCCGTTTTTAGTGCCCGAACTCAAGCCACTGCACGGAGTAAATAAGGTCTCAAATCGTAGAATACGCTTGAGCAGCAATCGTCGCGTCAGCGAAACCGGTTGACAATGTTGGAAACAACAGCCTTTAAGGGATGAGCCATAGCTCTAAAAGTGAAGGTGATATTATGAAGGCCCTCAAGATTTTCTTTGCAAGGAGCACATGAGCAACCCGTTTGCACGCCGATCTCATACTGCGAAGTGCCCAAAAGCAAGTTGAATGCGTGCAACAAAATCCAATCAAATTAGGAACAACCCGCTTGCCCAAGAATTCAATAGAAGTGCTGTACCATCGGGCTGAAGGTAGAATTTCCATACGCGGATCCACCATACGTCAAATAGCCTCCTTCAACCGGGCCGGACTGCTCCTCGATAGCCGCTTCATCGCCAAAGACAAAGACAGTCTGCATCCCCATGACCATATGCTGCAGAATATGGCAATGCATCATCCAGACACCGGCGTTTGTGACTCGAACTCGCCAAGCCCTCCATCCCGACGGCGTCAGAGCCGTCGTTTTCTTCCTATACGAGTATAGCACGGATGTATCCCGGATTACAGGATGGGTTCCGTTCAAACGCTTCTCGTTTTCTTCGGGGTCGTAGAGACCATCACCACCTCCGATATCATAGAAATGTCTTCCGTGGCCGTGGAAGGGATGGTTCTCAAGACCACCGTTGTTTACGGCACCTTGGTTCTGCCAGACGATTTCGAGGACTTCGTTCATTTTCGCTGGGAAGAGGCGGGTTTCGTTGTCGAACCCGTATCCGCTCGCAATGGCGCGCTCGTATGAGGCTGCAAGGTCCAGTTTACCCGTGTAGATATCGACAAGGTATGGTGATTGGGGGAAGGTCTCCATCCAGTCGTACCCGCTTTGGAGCCAAATTGTATGAGTGCTGATATTCTGGTGAACGTCGATGACGATACGCCGGGTGACTTCTGCGGCGGTTGGGAAGTCGGAGCTGGGGCTGTATGGCTCTAGGGCGTAGTCCATCCAGCCATAGGTGACATTGGCTACGGGTAGAGGAGGAGGAGTAGGGACAGTCGTCAGATCAGCCGGGGTGGATGACGGATATTCCAAAACAGCAAAAGTCGTCAAGACAGTTGGTCGGCCGAGGGTAGTGATTTGGAAATAGAATTGTCGAGAGTTTGCCTCCTGCAACTCAGCCTCGGTCTTGGCTTTGAGAAGTATACTGTATCGTTGGCCAGAAGAAATTTGCAGATAGTCTGTCTTCACTGGCTTTGTATAATGGCCGTCCGCTTCGATGATCTCGAACGCGGTGTGGCCCTCGATAGCGAGTGAAACAAAAGACAACGCCGTGGCTCCAATAAATCGCAGTCGATAAGTCTTCCCAGGCTCGACGCTGATAGCAGCCAGTTTGCACTCTCCGGTGGCATTTGTAGCCAGTCGTCCTTGGCCGTTAACCAATACAGCGGCTGTCTCTCCACTCCATGTGAAGTTGCTTGAGAGGAGTCCATCTTCGACTTCTTGGTCGGTCTTTTCGAAGAAGTCCGTCAAAGCAATCACGCGCTCCTCGTCGTACTCGTACGGCGAGGGTTGAGCCGGATCCACAATGAGCGCACCCCCAGCGGTGACCGCCTGGAAACCTACATGCGAATGATAGAAGTAAGTTCCAGCATAGCCGACCTCCGGGCGAACTTCGTAATCAAAGAAACTTCCAGGAGAGATCGGCCATTGGCTGGCCATGGGTGAACCATCGGAGAAGGGTGCTGAGAAAGCGGATAGACCATGCCAATGCTATGTATGTGGTAAGCTTTTTTCATCCCGAAGTCTCAGGAAAAGAAAGAAAATAAGTACCATTGTGACATTCGCGTCTTCCATGTCATTGTAAACACGGATCCAGCTCACCTTGTCCTCCTGGAGACGTAATTCAGGACCAGGAGAAGACCCATTGACTAGGACAGAATACCGCTCTAAGCATGCTTGGCTATAGTCTTGAGCGGTCACTCGGAGAGTATAGTCGGGAACAAAAGTGGTGTCGTGACGCACAAGGTGCCCTTGAGCCGCAACCGCCAAGCCCACAATCAGGCAGAGGGCAGGCAAGATCCCACGGAGATTTGGCAAATACCCCATAGTGCAATTATCAGAAGTCACACCCGAGCTAATAACTTTGAAGGAACTTGAGTGAATTTGAGCAGATTAAATAATTAATTTACTGCATCGGTAATTGACAGCTCAAAAAAAAACAAAGACAACGACAGGGGTGCCAGCAAACTATGGTGTAAGCAAACCAAGGGACGATCTGGGTAAGCAATGTGACGGTGCAACAAAGCAATCCTACGCAGCAAATACGAGATTCCCGAGATCCGACCGTCTGATCCTAAGCATATGGCTGGGGTAATTACTAGTGCGCGTGGGATCTCTTTTGGCTATCTCGCTGGGTGCTTTTTTGCTTATTCCTCCAAAAAGCAAAACAAAAACAAAACATAATTGTGAAAGACACGCACCGAGACCACACAACTGAACCCTTAAACAAGGGCGGTCGGGTCCGGGCCCATTGCCAATCCTTCCTATTTCACATTTCAGGCGCGCCATCTGCCAAGATTGATGTTCATAATAGATCCCTATTCGAGTAGAGAGAATCTGGCAGATCTAATTTTACTAAAACGTGCAGGTCAAATGTCAAACCTTAGAAACGATGATGATCCAGCGCGCGGTAAGTCTATTTCAGGCCTAGTGCTTAGGATGACCATTTGACAACACCGATTTTTCAGACATTGTTCGCTAGTGAGACGCAGAGTTTTCGTGCTTGTTCGTAGTGATCGCAGATCGTCGCGGAATTTTCCGTACTGCACTCATCCGTACGAAGCACGCCCTCTCGGCTTTGAGAGCCTCTAGTCCAAACGCTAGTCCAAATCAGGCTTAGTATGTGGATACGACCGGGGCGGCACGCAGTCCTCGGGCCGGCAACCACAACACCCATCTCCCTTTGTTTGTACTCCGTACGATCGGACAAGAAATACAGCATGCTTTGCGGGGAGAAAACGTCCAACAGTTTATATTATGGATGAAACAAGTTTCTTGTAAGAACGAGCGACGGCACCTTCCGGCAAGAAAGTGTGGTTTGTGGCGTTGCCGAAGTGAGAGGTCGTTGTGGTTCATCGGAATGAGGGTTTTGTGGGCTCAGAGGTTTGCTTTCAGTACAGGTAGTAGACTGCCGGAGTCAGGGTGGAGTTAGTGAGACAGCAGAGGTATCGAGAGTGCGAGAGCGAAATGTATCGTATAACAGTAGAACCATGCATTTTCGGGAGAGCTAAGGAGAGAAGAAGAAGAAGAAGAGAGAGGGAGTGAGAGAAGATTTGAATCCATCTACCTGCGGGGACCATGAACAATCTGGCAGCCACGGACTCCCACAAGCCTCTCCTCCCCCACCCCCCTCCCGCCCAAAATCTGACAATCAAGATCGAATCGGCTGTTGTACTTCCAAATGAACCATTCCATTTGCCATGGAATGAAAACCCGTGGAATCCTGCATGGGAACAATATACTCCTTAAAGCTTGCTTTGTGAACACGGCCGTTGATGATAATCACATTCAGCCGATCATGATCCTGTAAGATGGAGATATCTTTCAGTGGACTTCCATCAACTACCAAACAGTCTGCATAATTTCCCTCTTTGATTTGGCCCATCTCGCGAGAACGCATGAATAGCTTAGCCATGCCATAGGTTGCGGCAATAATCGACTCATGTGGTGTGAAACCAAACCGATTGACGAAATGTGCAAGATCGCGTGCATAAGTGCCATGGGGCGTCCATGCAAACCCATAATCGCTGGGTGTAAGAGTTAAAAACTTTTTACTGTTAATTTTTATAACGCGATTTTGAGAACTTACCCCCGGGAAGGACCACAATTCCTCTTCGATGCATCTCACGCATAGCACGGTCAGCTGCAAAAAGCTCCTTTTGGTAGCCTACCTGCTCAGCCTTCTCTGTAGAGTAGCCAAACATAGCAGCGTCGTGCAGGGTAGCGATTAACCAATTGATAGCAGGCGCAACTATGTGCTTGGATTTATTCTTTTCAAGCATATCCATACCTAGCCATTTTTGTTAGATATTATTCAAACAGAATTCTACTAGATGGCTTACCTTTCTCGTCTATGTACGAGGCATGGTAGATTACATCTACTCCATAATCAACACTCTGTTGCACAGAGTCTCGAGCTCGTGCATGTGAGCAGACACGCTTTCCATTTTTGTGGGCCTCGTCAACACATGCTGATGTTTCCTCTGGCGTGAAATAGCAATCTTCTGCATCGCGAATCTCTGTAATCTGAGAGAACTTTGTTAAGACTAAGCTTTAATAAGGTCAAGTAATACTCTCACCGATTCTCCAGACATTGAAATTTTGATTTGGTCAACGCCGATATCAACATGTTCGCGGATACTAAGCCATTTATCATTCCACGGTTAGCAATTTTCAAAAATCCACAAAATGCACACATGAGATGTGTCAACTTACACTTCTCTCATTTCCTCAGGCCCATCTGCGTAGGCAGTGATGCCCCCAACGAGTTCTCCTCCCCTTCGTGCCATCTCTTGGCCATTAGCCAGAAAGCGAGGTCCAGGAATATCGCCTGAGTTGATCGCATCCCGAATGACAACATCTAAGCGTTTCTTAGCTGACGCAGCCCCAAAACACATAGTGTAGCCGGAGTCCAAGAAGCATTCCGCACTTCTCGCGGTAAGAAGCGTGTGTTCTTCAACGCCCAGACTGCCCAGACGATCCAAGTCGCCACCATTCCATGTGAAATGGGTGTGTGAGTCTCCCAAGCCCGGCATCAATGTGCGGCCTTTTCCATAGAACACACGTGTGCTGGAATCTGCCAGCAGCGCCGCTTTGTCAGGAACATTCCCAACGCAAGCAAATCTTTGGCCTATAGAGTATATTTGTTAGCCACGCCTTGCTATTTGTACATAGAGCAATTGAAGGCAAATAATGAGATAATGACACACCTAATATTAGGACATCTCCTCTATATGGCTCCCGGCCAGTGGCTTCCAATATCTCCACATCTAGGATGAGAATTTTGGAAGAGCCAGATGTCCCAGCAATCTCATAGTTTGCAGGTTGAAGAGCTGGGTCAAAATCCAGTTGATCGATATATGCAATGTTGCGTGGAGGTCCACTATAGTCGTCCGCAGGGTAGTCTGGCGACATCCAAGACATGTTTGTCATGTTGGAAAATATGAAGAATCAGAACGGTATTGGCAGAGCACTATTTGACAGAGAAGAATGGAGTCAAAAGTACCTATGGTATTTGGAATCCTTCATATTTGATACGTGTTACCCCGTAGCCTTGTCTCCGTAGCTGTCGGAGGTACGTGTCGGCCCCCTCTTCTCCGCTCTTCTCCGTAGTCCTCAGAGACGGCCCCAATATTGAGTTTAGGTTGATGCGGCACGGCACACTGCTTGATGATCCTACAGCCCCTCAACTGTTGAATATGGGCTGGCTGAATCTGTCAAGCAGGCCTCATGGGTCGACGTCTTTTGAACCCGTTCATAGAAATCCCACGGATTTCAAATCTACCATTGCAAACGTTGAACACGTTGAGAACGTACATGCATCACCTCCTTCTGAGTATCCACCACAGAATATATCTATCCGCGACGACGATTTACCATTTATCCCACCCGCAATTGTTCGGAACAAGCAGTCAGACCTCTCACAAGCCGGAGGTCTCGCTTGGATTGTCATTGACAATATTGTTTACGATTGTACCAACTTTATCAAAGAGCATCCCGGGGGCGACACTGTAATACGAAGTTTCATCGGGGAAGACTGCTCGTGGCAATTTTGGCGCTTTCATTCCAAGAGGACCATGGAGGAATGGGGACGACCTCTGCGTGTCGGGCGCACGGAGGGGGTAGCAAATCGATTTGAGGAGCCCCCGAGATATTTTGGATCGAGGAACAGATAGGATATAGTAGGACTACAGGGTTTGAGGCCGGTGAGAGACCGGACGTGGTAGCCTCCAGGGCTTGGAAATCCACGCTGTTTCGATCGATCGGAGATGTATATAATTGAAAGAATGATTCCACCATGTCGTTGCTATGATCATGTAAATCCGATCCAAACCTAGCATTCGATATCCGACAAATTCTAATGCAAGAAGTAAAATCCCCCGCAACTAATTCCCACACCATGTCAGATGTGCGATCGAGGCGGTTAGGGGTGGTCGCGGCGATGGGCGGGGATGCGCGGCGATGGGCGGTCAAAAATGACGAATTCACACCCGACCGGGTTCGGGGTTATCTCCGATGCGGGGAGCCTCATTAGCTCAACAATTTGCAATTTATAAGACGAGCTGGAAAAAGACCAATTGCTCACAAACTTCTCAGTTTGAATTGATTCAAAATGAGTGCCGAAGTGAATACCCTCACCAACTATGTGGCATACTTAGAGCCCAACAGCGGCCCCCGTATCGGCCATCTTGACTTCGAGAGCTCGACTGTCACCCCACTTTCCTTTAAGTCAGGCACTCCATTGACAGATCTTTACCAAGTGATCACCGTCGGCGAGCAAGGAATTACAGCATCCGGGGCGCAATCCTTTCCTCTTTCTAGCGTGAAACACCTCCCCCCGATTTCAGGTCGAGACGTGCTCGCTGTTGGGAAAAACTATGTCGAACATGCTCGCGAGTTCAATTCCTCTGGCTACGATGCTAGTGACAAGGCCGACCAACCTACGCATCCAGTGATTTTCACCAAGCGTGCCACTTCCATCATCGGGCCTGAAGACCCTATCCTGCTGCATTCAAACTTCACCAGCACGCCCGACTACGAGGGTGAGATCGGTGTGATTGTTGGCAAGCCGGGATTCCAAATTTCGGAGCAAAATGCTTTGGACCATGTTTGGGGTTATACTATTGTGAATGATTTGACTGCACGCGAACGCCAGCGCGACCACAAGCAATTCTTCCTCGGCAAATCCCCTGATACCTTTTGTCCAATGGGCCCCATTGCTGTCCCTAAGGAAAGCCTTCCGGAGAATTTGAAGATCCAGACCTTTGTCAACAAGGAAAAGCGCCAGGAGGCAACTATTGGCGACCTGATATTCAGTATTCCTACATTGATCGCGACAATAAGCGCCGGCCAGACCTTGCAGGCGGGTGATGTGATTGCCACCGGTACTCCGGCAGGCGTCGGCTTTGGGTTCAGACCTATGAAGTTTTTGCAAACTGGAGATGAAATCAGCATTTCTGTGACAGGACTCGGAACTTTGACAAACCAGGTGGCTGCTTCTGACGCCGTTAACACCACATCTGAGCGCGCGGAGTCTCACATTCCGATCGCGAATCAAAAGGCGCCAGCAAACGCGGGACTGACAGAGTTGAACGGCAAAAATCTCTTTTATCAACGACTCGGCCTTGAAAAAGGTCCTCCAGTCTTCTTCATTCACGGCCTGGGCGGGTCTACAAGCTACTTCTACCCCCTTGTCGCCAAGCTCCAGTCGACACATTCTTTGCATCTTCTAGATTTGGAAGGACATGGGCTCTCTCCAACCTCAGCGCAAAGTACACTTTCCATCACTTCATTTGCTCAGGACTTCTATCAACTGTCCAAATTTGCTGGGGTTACTGAGGGGGTGACCGTAATCGCTCACTCGATGGGTTCCCTCGTTGCCCTCAAACTTGCCTTGCAACATCCAAAGCTCGTGTCCAAGCTCATCTTGATGGGCCCTCCCCCGAACCCACTGCCCGAAGCTGGCGTCCAAGGATCCTATACCCGGGCTGCGGTTGTTCGAAAGGAGGGAATGTTGTCAGTCGTGGATGCGATCACACAAGCTGGAACTTCTGCATTTGTTCAACAGAACAATTTGCTGGCTGTTGCTGCAGTGCGCACTTCCCTTCTCAGTCAAGATGCTGAAGGATATGCCAAGGCTTGCGCTGCACTAGCTGGATCTGCCAGTGAGACATTGGACGTTGCGAGCCTCCGTATTCCGGTATCCTTCGTGACGGGCGAGGAGGACAAGGTCAGCCCTCCTGCTTTGTGTGAGAAGTATTCACAGGCAACAGGAGGTGGAAATGTTCAGGTGGTCAAGAACGTGGGACACTGGCATCTCTTTGAAGATGTAGACCAAACCGTGAGCGCGGTTCTGGCTCAGATTTGAAGTGTGTTCTGTCAATACTTGCCTCCAAAGTTGGAAGTGTAATTTGCTCAATTTATAGACATAAAAGATACAGAATCAAGAATCATAGATGAATACGAGTTGCTTGTGTGCTAAATCGGGCATCGATCTGCCCATGGAAATACTGCCGGAGAAAGCCATTGCTCGCAGGGTATTTTGGCCACTATTTCCTCAAAGGATTCCGGTAGTTCCCAGAAGCTCGGGTCAGGAGCTATGGAAAACCCGATGCTAGCCACACCCATGGAATCAGAAACCGATCCAAATCCACTTGTGCTTCCCATATTACTCACGCCATCGGAAACAGAGATGGGCGGGGCGGGGGGGGAAAGCTCCACAGTCATCAATGGGTCCAGTATCGAACAGGCACGTTGACATATCTCGCTGTAAGGTGCGGTTTCATGTAATCGCCTAAGACAACTTTGCACGGCTTGCAATATCACATGTTTGCGACTTTGTGAAGCTCGTGGCTTTCCCAGTAAGACAAGCAAAATCGATATCGCCAGAAAGGCGTGGAATGACCCAAGACCATTGATATACCATCTGTATGGTGTAAAATCCGCCCTCATATTGAGTGTTTCGTAGTTTGAGAGAATGGCAAGAGCAGCATCTTCGCATTTGTCGGAACTTGTGGTGAGACTCCCATCCTCAGCCCCCTCTGGTCTTAATAGACAAATTCTATGCAAGAGTAGAACCAAGTGATTAGTGTAGTTGTTCAAAATCAATGAATGGGCTTGATGGTATGTGGGCAGATCAAGCTGCTGATGGAACCGCATTGCCTGGGCTTGCATCTCATTCTGGAGCTTGCCATCCAATGCGTAAAGCTTCCCTAAGTTTGCCGTGAGGTCCCTAACTCTCAGACCACATATTTCCGATGCTAGTGAGTAAAGCCGAAATTTGAACAGGATGTAAGACATTTTTGTCGGTTTCTTCGGCCCTGGAGACGATTCGACTTCTTGGACAGCATGCTGAAATGGGTCCGAAACAACCTCCTCATCTTCCACATCTGCGGGAAGTTCAACATTGCTCCTGACTTGGAATGGAGCCATGTTGCCCAGACAGGTGTTCTGAATGGTGTAGAGCATCATTAATCCCGCCCAGGCTCTCCGCCTCTCTTGGATCTCAACTGGAGGCAAGTTCAAAAGCGCAGGATCAACGTGACATCCAATGGCAATGGCAATGTTGAGTGTTGTACCAAGCAGAGCCCAGGCTGGCCCTTGGGCATGGTTGATGGCATATATAAGTAGTATAAGGCATTGCAGAGTGTGCAAATTATGCTGCCACATGAAGTTGTCCGCCGCCAGGCACCTCATCGCCGCCTCTCGGTATTTTGTCGCCAATGATTTCACGCTCTCTGCCGTTGAAGCCCCTCGGCCCAAATCTGCTAGGATGGGACTTTCCTTGTCGATGGCGGTGACAGCCAGGCCCAAGCACACGAATATCAACCCAATGAAAGACGTGGGAGAGCTTTGAGGGTTTTGTTTGAACTTTGCGTAGTTTGATTGAAAAGTCCCGTCATGAAGAATGTGGAAAAGAGGAGAGAAAACATTCAGAAAGGTCGTGATGAGTTCGTCACAATGCCGGAATGGCGGTAGCATATCTATAAGGACCTGTGTGCTAGGAATTCCCTCGGTAGACAAAAACACACTGGACGACGATTCCACCTGAGAGCGACTTTGCAGTGAATGAAAAACATCAGAGTCGCAAGAGGTACTGTAAGGAACATATCGCACATGACCCGACGAGGATGTGACGATACTGCCGACTTCATCGCTTTCTGGTCCCATGTCACTGTTGTCGAAAACGTGGTCATCTGAGTAGCTTGAGGTGGGATTTTGAGATGGTCCGTCATGGGATGAGGGGATATCATGCTGGGAAATGGGCGAGCGGAGAGCGTGATCATGATTGCTTGAGTTCGAGGTCAACTCAATGTTTCGAATCAACAAACTTTCCAAGTCGGAAATCCGCTGAAGAAGGATGTCGCTATTTGTCTCGCGGGGCTGGGGATTTGGCTCAATATCGCGTTTAAACTGACATGAAGACGCCACTCCTCGCTTTCGACAGGTATCGCATGGCACTCCAGATCCTAGACAGCGGATCTTTCTTCGCCGGCAGTTTTCACAGCTGAGAGGTAGTCTTTTTGTCATTGCGCCAACTCAACATAGATTGAGATAAGAAGCTGCTCCGAGAGACAAAGGGGGTTTTCAATTTTCTTGAGAATTCCCCACAACTCGGGGTTGTGTTGATGCGGGGGAAAGGTTAATATCGGGGGAGCGGAGCGCTATTTAATCCGTGCTGAGTCGGGAATCATATGTCTGTATCCGTACAGGAATCGACTATGGTGTTTTTGGTGCCCGCTGGTAGAGCTTCGCCCAATAAATTTGATGGCATTAGTGTCCTTTTACCTGTCGGTCCATCTCGGCGGTGAGGCCCAGGTGCGGTTTGCCGGGGCTTTGCCGCGGGATGAGGGTGCGGGTCGGCGCAGCTCCGGGGCCGATTGTGGGGCCCTGGAGCCCAAGCGCGTATGCCTGGTACACCAGGAAATATAATTCCACGTGTACGTGCTCAAAATGAAGAGAGAGAGAGAGAGAGAGCGAGAATGGGAGAGAGGCTCGCATAAACTAAAGCGGGACCCAAATAACTATATCTCTCCCGGTGGGGCACCTATGTTACTCAACACAGTCTCTCCCGGGGCTCGGGCAATCTCAGGACACGACAACGTCTTCTCCTTTCCCGCCGGGTACTATAGAGCTCACAGTATAAGAGAAGTAGAGGCAAAACGAGGTTTTTTTTGGCACCGAGATCCGTCGGGAAGTGCTGGAGAAAACCCCCTTGTATTGCACCGTCAGCCCACGTTCATCCCTTCCTGGCAATACATCAAACCCGAATGCAGCCGGCCTACTCAAAGGGAGGTCAAGTGGGAATCGCACAAACTTGACGCCAAGTATTTCAAGTCCACCACAGGCTAATCTTGTAAGTAATGCAATTCTTCATATGAGTGTTGCCCAAAACGCGGCTTATCTTACCTGAAATGAGGGGTTAGTGAGGGTGTCATCTTGTTCATTCTTGATACAAATGATTGAGACTAGGGGATGCCTGTCGCATAGAGGAGCCTTTTAGAAAAGCTGATTCAGGTGTCAAGGGTCAATGCATTCAAACTGCGCCAGAGCCCGTGGGTGCCTGGTTTGTCAGGCTCCCAACAGAACTACAGCGTAGAGGGGGAAGATGAGAAGGTCTCTGGTAAGGCAGATCAGAGTGACCAAGCTTCGAGTCCTATGGAGGGAGGAGCGAGGCGTATGACCGATAACCAGAGAAAGAGAAAGGGAGGAAGCGGAGAGGAAAGAGAGGAAAGACCCTCGAGGGGCTTGAGATCACATGATCCCAGCCCTACCTTCGACAAACAAACACACTCTGCCCCTCTCCTTTCTCTCCTCCTCTCCCAATCTACTGTGAGATTGTACCTGTCTGCTCACTCCTCGGTGATGCATTCCTATGTAACGTGGCTTCAGCACTTCACAGACCCCCGAGGTCCCTCCAACTCCATCCCCTCGCCCTTCACCCCTTGTGCATCCATATTAAATCTCAAGGGTTTGCTCCTGGGTATACCCCTCTATAAATTCAGCCCAAAGCAGACCACTTAAGGTTACAATGGTCCTCAAGCCCTGGAAGGGCTTTCAGGGATGGTCATCTTGGACATGAATTAACCCATGACTATGTCGGAAGATACAGCACGTCTACTAACCCTAGTATAATTGAAGGCAGGCAATGTTACTCAATATTGAAATGGGACAAACGCCAGCCCGTGGCTCGTTGCACCCACTCAGATGACCCATATCGTATCGGCATAATATGACTAAATTGATTCCTATGATGCAGCGCGCGGTTTTTAGTCAAAGTGCATCACCAAATGACACCCTTCAATTATCGGACTAAGATAAGACCATCTCAAAGTTTCTAAAAGCCACGTACCGGTCATTGGAAGCTTCTATGTAGTCTCACGTGATTTGTTTAAGGTACAAGGTGTCAAGGAACGTGGTATGCAGGTCACCCGGTATACATTCCTGGTACCAAGGTGGAATTCTGTCAAGTAAAACACTTCCATAATTGATAAACAACATGTAGTGCGATGTTTGACAAATGATCCCATATCCTAATGACAATATTCTATTTTAGACTAATTGTAATACGAACCTTGAAATATTTGACCAATCTTACTACTTCCACAGCATCCTAAACTATCCGGGTGAGCAGCGGATAACTCTATGGTGTAACAATGTTTTCAATACCCCAGGGCTGGTTTTGTGGAGATATGCCTGCCTGCCTTAAGGTTTAGCTCCACATTGTTTACTCATTTTTTTATATAGCTTAAAGCTCTCTACCTCTCAGTCTTGTTTCCTTGATCCGAATATCTCAATCACTATATTCAAAAAGACATTCTGTCTGTACTCTTTATAACCTGAGCAATAATGTTGTGGACAAAATGGCTATTATTACTAGCCTCGACTCATGCTCAAAGCACACCCGATTGTCCTATCCTTGGAGCTGCATACCCTGCACCCAGAGCTCTGTCAAAAGATCCGACCTTCCTCGCAGCAACTCAAAAGATAAGCACAAGGCTTAACACAGCAATTGACAATGAAAATTTATCTTCCGTCTCTTTTGCACTGCAGATATTCAGCAGCCATGAATCCGATCCAGCATACGGGTTCTACCTCACAGACGACTTAATTAAGAATGGAAATGTCGGTGTTACTGAAGTTGATGAGAACACAATATTCCGCATTGGCAGCGTATCAAAGCTGTGGACAATGTTCCTTTACATGACTTTTGGCGGGATACGGTACTTTTACGAGCCTGTTTCGAAGTACGTACCCGAGCTACGGGTGAATCAAAGCTTGGCACAATCAACAAACGCCATTGATCATATAAAGTGGGATGGTGTGACCATTGGCGAGTTGGCAAGCCACCAGGCTGGTGTTTTGAGAGATTGTAAGTTGCCCAGGTGACACCAGTGCCCTAGTCTGAGTGTTTACATAAAAACCATCCTAACCATTCATCAGACGCATTTATGGATCTATCATTCCAGCAAAAAACTCTTCAAATTCAGGGATTTCCCGCGCTAGCTGAGTCTCAGCAGTTGACATGCGGAAACGCGCATCTGTGCGACAGGAAAGGTTGGTACCTTGGGCCGTTTGGTTTTCGCTGGGTTGTTCAGCTAATGATCGTCAATTTCCAGGTTTCTTTGACGGAATACTACAGAGTCGTAAGTGGTTCATACCTTTTTCCCTCAACCCGGCTAATGGTGCATCTTCTTTGAGATCCCGTAACGCCGACTTCGCACACTCCAGTATATTCTAATGCAGGCTACCAAATTCTCGGATACGCCATGGAAGCAATTCTCAATTCCAGTTACGAGAAAATATTAATGGATCGACTTATTGAGCCTCTCAATTTGACAAGATCCAGTCTTCACACCCCTGACCCAGCTTTAGCAGTGGTACCCTACAACGAGTCGTTCAGCTTTTTCAACTTCGAATTCGGCGATGAAGCAAGGTTGGTTTTATCACAGGGCTCTTACTCCAATGATTTGCTAACATACTATGCTAGTGCCGGTGCGATATATTCATCAGCAAAAGACATGTCGACTTTCGGCCGTGCAATTCTTTCAAACAAGCTGGTTGACCCTTCGGTCACCAGACAATGGATGAAGCCAATAACTCACACATCGTCCATACGACAGGCAGTGGGTGCTCCTTGGGAAATCTATAGTTTTTCAACACCTCGTCGGACCGATCTCTACACCAAAGCTGGTGATATCGGGATGTACTCCAGCTTCATAGGTCTCTCGCCAGACCATGACGCCGGCTTCAGCGTCTTGCTCGCGGGTAGCAACTCACATCAGTCTACAGCGATGATATCGGAAATCGTCTCAGATATATTATTACCAACACTCGACTTGGTTGCAAGGAACCAAGCACTGGAGCGATTCGGTGGAACATATCAGCTGGCAACCGACGGGTCCAACTCTTCCATCACCATAACCGCGGATGACAGCCCTGGGTTGAAGATCGAGAGCTGGATCAGCAACTCCGTCGACATGTACGCAACCCTGATGAGCATGCAAAAAGTGACCGATCGTTCTGCAATGAGTATACGCCTACAGCCGACTGGTCTTCAGACTGGGACTAGGATTGGATTTGCTGCTGTGATATATTCGCAACCCACGCCGCCTAACGCCGGCCCCATCACGGGCTCCTGCTTCTCGTGGCAATTACTCGAATCCTTTATATATGGAAACGTTGCTTTGTCTGAGTTTGAATTCGAGGTTAATGATGACGGGAATGCGACGAGCGTCTCGCCTCGGGCATTGCGCATAACTCTCCCAAGGCTGTGACGGGCTGGGATTTGAATATAGGAGTGGTACGATTGGCCTGGACCGGATGGAACGGCATGTTATTTAGCGAAAAATAATCTCATAGTCTAATTTTGCCCAAGGAATCTCTTTTATACTCAACCTCGGTATTCATGAAGCACACAATAATGAGACATTATCTGTGAGGGGGTTTTGAAAGGAGCAATAAGCCCCCGCTTATGCGCTATCTGACTGAGTCCCCGGCGCCCAATTTGCACTAGTGCTCGTTAGTCTCATATTGCGGCAGCCCGATCGGACCGTGTTTTTCTACCGAGCAAAATGATGTCATCCCGACCATGGGCGCGAAGTTTAACCCACAAATGACCGATGACTGGAAACGCCCCATTGCCCGTCGGCCGTGAGATTTCACTGTATGAGTGAAGTGGCTGACAACGCAAGGCAAAAGAAGACTCTTGTGGGGCTCTCCGTGGTGGAGCAAGGAGAGTGAGACCAACCGAAGCATTCACTGTCTTGAGAAGTTTGTGCGACGTTAGTCTAGACTCACATACGAACTATGTGCTTTGGAGTCTCGCTGTCTTCGGGTGTCTTAAGAATGTCTATCAATTGAAGATCCCGCGATCGACAAGAGTCAATACATACTCTATGTACATGTATGAATTCAACCTTAAAGAATTTCCGCAAGCACGCAAATTGGGTGCGACTTTTCGGTGGCTTACAGCGTAGAAATTGAACGTCGGATAAGAGCTTATGGGTCCTGGAATTCTTCTGCCTCGCGGATGGCTCCAATATTGTACTGGGACCACTAACGCTTTATTGCGAGATCCAGTTCCCTCAAACCGGGAATTGCCGATTCAGACCGACACCGAATTTTCGAATTATGTGCCGACTATGTAGTTTGAACAGAAACATAAAAGCAAATCCCTCAAGATTTTTTTTGCCAATGTGGTGGCTAGACGTTAAACCAAGAAACAACCCTTCACCGGCACGGCGGTTGGCTGGCTTGGCTGAGCGAATTGAGCCTTGGCTTTACTTTCTTTTTTTTATTAGGCTTTTGTGAAGAAAAAAAAATAAAGAAAGTTCCATCAGACCCTGGTTGAAGAACTTATGAGTCTCATGACACTGTTTGTACTGGCACGACTTCGAACATTGCAAACATTACAAAACAAAGAAACGTCTGGGGTGCAATGCTAGGGGAAATGCTGGGGTACGGGGTAAACTGGCCTACTGTGCGAGTAGATTTGAAAGCGACAGCCCATAGAGATTGCATGAATTATGCAAGCTGATCCAGATGATGTCATTAGGAATAATGAAAGCGGCCATTTAATGTACCTTGCACAGACTCAAGGGCCTCGAGGCTTTAGGCTCTTAACGGATTCGGTGTTATGGAGATCGCCCCACTCTGGGCATAGGCAGCATCTGATTGGTTCACCTTTGTTTGCTTAACTCTTTTTTTACTTTTATGTATGTCGCCTTAACTCCCAAGTATGCAGGGATGACTTCATTTTCTGTTCCCGTGTCTCAAGAAATTTGACTTCTTTGAACTATCGCTATCGGATTTGCGGTGCATTCTGCTTGTATGTATCGGCGTAATTCTGGCGAAAGCTTACGGGGGCTGACAATCGGCACCAAAACCTGATATGAAGCTCCGGTCAATTGCCGCTCCAAGCGGGGGTTTTGGACTACCCGAACCCTACATTTTGTGCACTTGGTGTACTGTGCTGAAGCGCGGAGAGAAGGAATGGCGAGTAGTTCGGCAATACTTCTCGTAAGGTCAAACCTGACGTCAGATCTACCGAGTGGAGAATGCCAAGCCCGTGCAGGGATCGCCGAGATATCAAGTTTTTCAACAGTCGCAAATACTGGACAGAGGAAAATGGACAGTTCGATGTTGAGAATGGACGAAATTGCCAGAGACCAATGCGTGAAGCCTTACCTCCGTATTCACCTTATTAGTCAAATCGATACTCACTCCCCGAGCACACTATGTACCATGCATGGTTACGCCAGGGATCTCCATTACCTTAAGCGGAAAGGTACCCACTGAAAATCCGGTTTGAAATCCAAGGTAAAAAAGACCGAACCCAAATTTCGAGCGCATGGTCTCCGAATCGCTCAGTTATAACAGCTGGGGAAGGTCCACATGAAATTTTTTTCTTTTCCTCAACCCCTTGTTTGCTCCCCCGCATACCATGTCTCCTCCTGAGCAACAAGAAGCTCAAGCTGAGCACAGCGAGAGCCGGCTCTCGTCGCATGGTGTCAGCAGTGACACCAGCGAGCCCGTTGATCTCTCCAACGAGCTTTCCGAGAAGAAAAGCCAGAAGAGTGAGCGCTCCGATGGAAAGCGCGAGCTTAAGGAGCAGGACTGCTACGAGATTCTTGGATACTCGTGGCCACGATGGAAGAAATGGACTTATCTGGCCGCGGTCGCATTCGTGCAGGTTTCCATGAACTTCAATACCTCCGTATACCCTGCTGCGGTCATTCCTTTGACCGAGCATTTCAAGATTAGTGAGCAGCATGCTCGCACTGGTCAGATGGCCTACTTGGTCACATACTCCATTGGTTGTGAATTGTGGGCTCCTTGGTCCGAGGAGTTCGGTCGCTGGCCTATCCTCCAGCTCTCTATGATGTTGATCAACATCTGGCAACTCCCTGCTGCTCTGGCCCCGAATTGGGGCTCCGTTGTTGTGGCTCGTGCTCTGGTAAGTTTCTATGCGACCCACTTGCCGCGATATGAGCTAATATAAAATACAGGGTGGTCTTTCTACTGCTGGTGGAAGTGTCACTCTCGGTTTGATTGCCGATATCTACGAACCTGAAACTCAACAATTCCCTCTCGCCTTCATTGTCTTGTCCTCTTGCATTGGTACCAGTATCGGTGGTGTGATTGGTGGACCTATCGCACGATGTAAGCATTTTTCCAAGGAATTTCCCTCAGTGACCGTTTGCTAATACATGCGCAATATAGTCCTCACTTGGAGATGGTTCTTCTGGATCCAGCTCATTTTCGGAGGTGTCACCCAGGCCATTATCTTCTTCATGCCCGAAAGTCGTTCCACCATCATCATGGACAAGGAAGCCAAGCGCCGCCGCAAGACCGGAGAGGATCCCAACATCTACGGACCCAACGAGCTTAAGAAACCCCGTGTCTCCCTCAAGGAAGCCGGCAAGATTTGGGCACGTCCATTCTACATGCTGTTCCGCGAGCCCATTGTGCTCTGTCTGTCTCTGTTGTCCGGTTTCTCCGATGCTCTGATTTTCACCTTCCTCGAGAGTTTCGCCATTGTCTACAAGCAAGGCTGGGGCTTCGGAACCCTTGCACAGGCCTGGGCTGTCATCCCCATCAACGCCGCATACTTCATCGCCTATTTCAGCTACTTCCCGTGGTTTTGGCGAGATCAGAAACTGCGTATCAGACACGGCGACGCGGCTATTCCTCCCGAACGCCGTCTGAAGTGGCTCTTGTTCCTTGCGCCCCTTGAGCCCATCGGTCTCTTCGGATTTGCCTGGACATCATTCGGCAACGAGCGCAACGTCCACTGGATTGGCTCCATGATATTCTCCGGCTGTGTTGGTATTGCCAATTTCGCCATCTACCTCTCATCCGTTGATTACATGGTCGCATCCTACGGTGTCTACTCTGCCTCCGCGACCGGTGGAAATGCCTTCGCTCGTGATCTGCTCGCCGGTATCTCGGCCATGTACGCCGCGCCTATGTACCAGAACATCGGCAACAAGTGGCATGTCGAATATGCCAGTACCATTCTGGCTTGTTTGTCTTGCTTGGTCGTGCTTCCCATCTATGTCTTCTACTGGAAGGGACCCGAGATCCGCGCTAGGAGTAAATTCGCCTCCACTCTGGCTGCTGACAGAGAGCAGAACGGTGGTCGCCGTGTCAGCAGGATTAGCATGGAGCCATGATTTGCTGAGCGGATGTACTCGAAGCTTCTGAGAATATGTATATTCGTCTCCCTCTTATGTATATATGACTCGTGATGAGTTGGGGGTTTACTTGATAGAGTCGTTATGAACTATCATGACTGCTATGTTACAATTAATCATATGTTCAATCTGTGAATGATACCTAAATATCCCGAGGTCCTTTTGCTGTAAACGCGAGATAGCCACCGAGTCACCGGTCCACCGATTGACATCTTACATATTCAAGCCGTTAACCCACGTCATGCACAGATATAATGTGAGCATCGGGCGTAAGCCGTACATCAACTGCATGCATGGAGTATACTCGTGGACATGTGAAAAGCAAAAGGCGCCATTGCCAAGAGCGTTGGGCTGATCTGCGGGGCTAAGACCGATGAAGAAAAGGATGTGCACATAATACTTCCACGCACCTTAATTTATACTCACCAGCCAACATCCCATCCCCTTTCTCAATCCTCCAACCAACACAATGATCACAAGCACAATCGAAATCGCCGCGCCGCCCGCCAAAGTGCGCGAGATCGTAGGTCTTGCTTCACTCCCGTTCGCGACCGCTCTAACTCATCCAGTTCCTCAACTTCTCAGCCTACCCGGAATGGCACACCGAGTGGCTGAAGGAGATCAAGACGCAGGACGGGAAGAACCCACATGATCTGACCGCGGGCGATAAGATCGACGTCAACATTGAAAACTTCAAATTCGTCGCTGAAGTGAAGGTAACTCAGATATACCTCAGCTCCGAAGCAATATGCTCATGGTAAACCTCTAGGAAAACACGGAGACAGTGTTCACTTGGCAAGGCCCGCCCGTGTTTACCATTGCTGGTCTTCACAAGTTCCACATTGAGCCTGCGAATGACGGCGCGTCTACAATTTTCACGCAGTCTGAGGATCTGAAGGGACTGCTTTCATTCATTATGAGTCCTTCGCTGCTTGGTAAGAAAATGCGTGCTCATTTCGATATTTTCCATCGGGATCTGAAGGCGCGGGCTGAGCAGGCTTAATTTGGGGGCCGAAACCTGCTTGTGCACGCACCTGCTGCCATTGGGGCACGCATCGTTGTCTAGTTTGGCTTTGAGCTGAGATCCCTTCTTGACATACATTTTGAATCTGAATACCATTTATTGACGCGAATGCCCGCTTTCCGGTCCTGGAGACCGGAATAAGTCAAGTCAAATCTTCTTTGTATCCAATGAGCCCCCGAGTCCCCTTCTGGTTGGTCTGGTGTATTGCTGGGTAGCTTGTGTATGGTGCAGTTCGTCTCTACGGTTCTCTCTCAGCTCTCCGTGCATGTGACTAACATAGTGCTTGAAGTGATGGAGAGTGAGCGCGAAGTGAAGTGGTATAGTGCACGTCTTGGCATGCCCTAGAAGCCTCGGCATAACTTATGTCCTCAGGTACTATCCAATTCTAGTTTCTTTGTTTCCTATCTATTCTTTCACTCACAAAGCAGCGTCGACGCCATTATGAATCTCTCAAAAGACCTATCACATCAGGAGCAGGGACAATTCCCGCGGTTCATCATGCTTGTTCCTCGCCCAGTCGCTTTGATCATCATCATTTTCTTTCTAGTCCCAATGGCCTTGTTGAGCGCAACCATGGCTTTCAGGTATGACAAAGCCGACGATACGCCTCTTCCTCAATCCTCGACTAGCCTGAAGCGCTTAAATACGACACGATATCTCACCATTTCTCTGACATTCTCACCACCAGTCTACTATCAAGCTAACCTTCCAACAGAAACATTACAACAATACCGAAGAATACAAGATTCAACCCACGGTACAAAAGACTACTATACGCCTTCAAAATGTTTGCTAAAGTCTGCCAGTGTATTGGACGCATCTGCACATGTGGCCGACATTCAGAAAGCCCACCCGGACGATCCACCCTGCGAGATGCGATTGAGCTTCGCGGAGGAGTCATGGGAACACACCGAAGACCCCACAGAGCCCGCGAGGCCGGCGAGCCCGTCAACACGGCCCCAAACGCAGTCGTTTCTATGCGTGTACCTGTGCCTACAGATGTAGCAGCCCAACAGTCGGACACATCCTCAGCAGACCGCATCTATGCACACCCAGCAACGGAACTCACGAGATTTAGAACCGAAGGAGCTCGTCTCCAGGCCTGGATTGAGGATGCTAACGTACCGGGTTGTAAAGTTCAACCCGTGACACTGACCTCACTGAAGTTTGACGAAAGATTCGACATCAGAGCTTACGACCTGGATGCGTGGCCTTCACAAATCATGGACGGAGGAGACGTTGCATCTGCGGGGATTCCGATGGATGCAACCAAGTACCGGGCAATAGAGGCTATACCTCATGATCTTGAGAATGATTTCGACCAGTACACCCACCTTCAAACGAAAGGCACCATCATTGCCCAGTGCGTGTACCACACAAGAGGCCCTCATTGGAACGAGGTCGCGACGGTTCTCTACGTGCGTACTATCAATGCGGACATCCAAACCCTCAGAAACATCGTGCTCACGAACGTTGTGAATGATGAAACCATGGCGCTGGTGAAGTTCAATCTGTACCCCAGACGAAACCTCTCATGGCAAATCCCAGAAGACGGTGAACCGTTTAGAGCTAACCCATGCGAGAAGTTTGAGCGTGGTACCCGTGAGTACGAAGAGCTCCTCGGAACACAGCTAATCAAAGCAACAGCCTGTCTTGTCATCTCGGCGTTCCCTAGGGGCACGATGATGATCAGTCGGATTGTCACCTGGAATGAGTTCGCCAAACTCAACATTCGACTGGAGATTGCGCCGCGCACCAATTAGCATTTTCCGATTTCCATTTCCGATAGTTACTGACTTTGTTACTTGCGATCTTTCATTGGTTAGTTTAGCAGTTCCCACTAAATTGTGAACCCAGGGATGATATAACTTATATAATGCAGTCTGCTTTTTTTAACATATCGTCTGGTTTGCGTAGTTGAACTAAATTTTTCTTCTCACTTCCTCTCCTGTGGTAGTTTGAATTGCGCCATTGTAGTTACCCAACGAAGGAACCTTGGAAGATGATCATAAACAAATAGAAAAGAAGCACATTACGCTTGACCTCAGAAACAAAGAGTGGAAAATGGGGGCCTTGTTAGTAAGGCTCAAATGTGTTATGGAATCGGGAGTGCTGATTGGCTGATAGAACTAAGCACCCGACGGGGCCGCGGATACCGCGGGCGACGCGGGCCCGAGATCTCCTTCTCTCTCCAGCCTACCTGCGACTTTTCTAGAAGCCAATCACCATGGACCAAGAAATACCAGAAGACCCGAAGAGCAATAAGCGACAGAAGATATCTACTGTGCCCAAAGCGGTATGTCCGGCCGAGTCTTGCTGAATATGTGCTAATCTTATTCCCACTCAGTGCAAGGGTTGCAAAACAAGAAAGGTAAAGGCCTCACAGCCATGTTATACCCGTGGTTATGAAGAAGCCTAACATTCGGGTATAGATACGATGTGATCGGAACATACCGTGCTCAAACTGTGAGATGACGAAGATTGCTTGTCAGCCCGCCGACCCCGCGGAGAAACGACCAAGCACCGTCCAAATCAATGACCTGTGAGAATTATTTCAACCGACAATAATGAAGAAATGCTCATAGTTTGATTAGACAAAACCACATCAATGCTTTGGAGAGTCGTCTTCAAATTCTCGAAGCCAACCCCAACACCCGCCATCATACCTCGCAGCATCTAGCTAACCGGCAGCTTCCTTCCGTACCGCAAGCTGACCAGAGCGTGGTATCAATTTCCGAGACACCATACTCCCTCTATGAGGGCGAATCCTCATTTACCAGCCAATCCCTTGGAGCGAGAGAAGCTGCTCAATCCCTAGCCAATCCGAATCGTCCTCAGACTGGTTCAAACCTCAATGTTGCATTCAATTCGCTGAATGGGCTCCTTCAGCCAAGCCAGAAAACTCGCCAGGGAGATGAGAGCCGCTCTTATGACCCCGTTCAAATTCCCCTTGCCTTGCCTGCTGAACTGGTCATTGCACTGCTGAGAAGGTTTCAAGGTATGATACCAAGTCGCGTGTCCTGGGAGTCCTCTCTAACATGCCTTTCCAGAGGAAAAGCCTTTATTCCTGAGTTCATATCCGATCAATGACTTGAGACTGGTGGAAAGACTGTGCCAAAAGGTCTATTTCCCTACACGAGATGTCTCAGCCGGCGATGTCGCTGCAATGCATGGGGTGCTTTATTGGCTCATCAGGGAATACTCATACCGAAATGACGCCTTTTGCAAGAAATTTGATCTCAAGACTCATTTCAAAAATTGCAAATCCCGCTTTGAGGCCGACATCAAGAATCACGATGTGATTGCGGTACCTAGCTTTGAGAATGTCATCGCATTGGCCATGGGTGTATGTGTCTCATCGAGGTGAATCATGTCTGTGCAACAAGAGTACTAACCAACACGGCATATAGATTTTGAAAGCGCAAGATGAAGCTAATCCACTGATGGGATGTCATCTGATATCCACAGCCGTGCGACACTGCCAAATGCTCGGTTATCATCGTGAGTCAGCATACAAGAACCCAAAAGATGAAGACGCAAGCAACAAGCGCCGGATATTCTGGACAATTTATGTGTTTGACAAGACGATGTCATTGCTGCTAGGGCGGGCATCATACCTTCAGGACTTTGATATGGACGTGAAAACACCAGCTGCATCGTCGGATCCAGCCATTAGTCCCTGGGATGAGGCTTTCTACTGGATGATCAAGCTTGCAGAAGTTCAAGGCAACACATACAACAAACTTTACTCACCCGCGGCTATCAAACACTCATCTCAAGAGCGATTGAATGACATCAACAATCTTAAAGCAGCGATTGAAGAATGCCGACATGGCAGAGATAATGTATTTCACCTAATTTTGTCTCTCACAGCAAGCGCTAACTAAATTCCATCGCATTGCAGATTGAGTTCACTAAAGCGAATCAGCAAATGATCTTTGAAATCAGCTCGAAGACATGGGAACTGTTGTATTATTCTGTCTTGACTTCGATCCTACGAGCGTCTACATCAACCGATGACAGTGAGATTGGACCAGAATGCTTCAGGGCAGCTCGAAAATGTCTACTCAGTCACCTGGAATGCTTCCCGAGCTACAATGAATCGGGCCTCTTTAGCGTTGCAGATTATGCCAACTGGTGAGTCACTTGACCATACCCTTGCTCTTTGTTCTATATGTAACTAACATCATGAAGGGTTCAATCGTACTCATCTTTCACACCCTTCATTGTCATATTTCTTCACTCTATTGCCGCGTCTAGTATGGAAGATGTGAAACTTCTCGAAGAGATTGTGAAGACACTCCAGCAAACTCGAGGGGTTTCGAGCGCATCAGAGCGCATGTACAACATCTGCGCTAACTTCGTTGCTGTGTCACGAGACTTGGTCGAAGCTCAGAAATCCTGCGTTGGAAAGTACGACGAACAAAGAGATGCGTTGGAGCTGTTCAATGACTCTCAATATGGACATTTGTTCTTTTCAGACTCCCAGCAAGAGGATCCAGGTTTTGACATGACGGCGTACCTCACTCACCCCGAAGTCCAAAACATGTCGGCTGTTCTAGAAGGATGGGATAGTGGGCAGCAATCTGCGATGGAGGTACTGGGTGTGGATCTTGGTAATTCAAGTTGATTAAAAATTATTCTATGACACAATGAAGGATTAAATAGTTGTCAAGTTTCACTCCGGGCCCAAATTTTAGTTAGCCTTACTGTCTGGCTTTCCATCTGCAGTATCCCCGACACTCTCAACAGAACTTTCATCATCTTCCATCTTTGCTTTGACTCCAGATTTGAGCGAAAGCCAATCCATGAAAATGGGCCCGAAGATCGAAAGTGCAGCCGCTGCAACACCAACGTAGAACGTTTGACAAAGAGCCTTGTTGTATGCTTCCAACGCCAAGGGCAATTCACCAGGTCTCAGGTGCTCTCGAAACCCAGTTGCACCACTGTGCATGATCTGAGAGATATCGACTCCGGGTAAACTGGAAATCAGGTTGGCTGACAGCTGGTTCTGAAACACACTCTGTCCCACTGGAAGGAGTATTGCACTGGACAAAGTTTGGACAAACGTTAGAATGGAAGTCGTCATAGCCATGTCGATGGGAGCAACAGCGACAGAAGCGACGAGTAGGGCATTCTGAGCACCAACACCTACGCCAGCACTCAACAGCACTTGATAGCCAAACCAGTAGCCTATCGTAGAGTTAACTTTCAGTGTAGTTAGAAGGCCAGCTCCGATAGCTGTGAGTACAGATGAAGCTATTAACAGCGGAGTGTAGTATCCGATATATGAAGCGAGGACACCGCCGATCATGGCGAATATGACAATACTGATAAGGCTTGGAAGATTTGCAATTCCAGAGTCAGTAGCCGATTTGTTTTTGATAGCTTGGAACCATATCGGGAGCTATGCATAAGTCAGTATTATTTCGTAATGATTAGAGAGACCACTCACGTAGTACGTGAAAACAAAGATCGCCGAGGAGATGCAAGCCCCATACCAGGCAGCTCCCCATACGTTTCGATTCTTCATCAAGCGAAGAGGAATTGTTGCTCGATCTTTCTGCCACGCTTGGATTCCGAGGAATACAATGAATGTCACACCGGAAACCACAAACAAAGCAATGATCCGGGCGCTGTCCCATGGGTACGATGACCCACCCCATTGCAAGGCAAATATAAGGCATATAATTGATGGAATCAAGAATACTGTGCCAGGTAGATCGAATTGTTTCAATTGTGCTTTCCAGCCAAGACTTTTGACGGAACCTGCATTCGATGGAAGGCAAAAGAATATGCAGAGGATGGCAAGCCCACCAAATGGAAGGTTGATGTAGAAACACCATCTCCAAGATAAGTGATCTGTAAACGCGCCTCCCATTCTGATAAAGAGACATTGGTTAGCTTTACCCAAGGTTGAAGGGAATGGAGTACCCACAGTGGTCCTGCAACACTAGCAACTGCGTGCATGCTGGATATTAATCCCATATAGATGGGACGAACTGGCAGTGGGACTGCCGTTGCCACAATGATCAAACACCCAGAGAACAGGCCTGCCGCCCCCAGTCCTGAAATGGCCCTTCCGACGATCAGAGCATCGGAGGTAGGTGCAACGCCGCAGATAAGAGACCCAATCTCAAAAATCAGGAGCGCCACCAAGAAAACCCATTTGGAGGGGTAGAATGTGTATAGTTTTCCAAAGACCAGCTGCATCGCGCATGTTGTAAATAGATAGGAGCTGCCGTACCAGGCGACATCGTCGAGCGAATCGAAGTATGTGGTGATCTTAGGGATGGCTGTCGCGAGAATCGTGGAGTCCTGGATAGCATGTTAGCTCAAACAGACCAGATCCATGAGATAAAGTATACATACCAAGGAAACACAAAAGAGTGTCGTGCACAACGCAACTGTCACAGGGACGAGTCTCCAAAGTGACGAGACGTCTGTAGATGTGTCGCCTGCTGCATTGCCTGTGCTGTTGGGCAATGAAGAATCTGCAGATTTTGCTTCCATTTTTCCTTTGTGATATCAGTTCCAAAAGCCTCTTGTCTTTTAAATCTTGAACAAGACAAACATCAAATCACAAAAATCCCGGCGAAGACGATTTATACTCCCCCATTTGGGGGTCTGAGAACACTTCTTATTGGTGAGTTCTGCCCCACATGTGTCGGCTCGATGGGTGCGCGGAAGCCGCGGGCCCGTGGAGTCCGAGATGCGATGCGGACTTTGCTCACTCTCTCGCACCTCCATGCAAGGGAGAAAAGGAAAAGGAGAGGAGAAATAACTCTTTTACGCGCCTCGGCGAACTTGCGACCAAGTGTAGGTACTCCGTACCTCATCTACAGGTTCAATTACGACCACGGAAATTTCAAGTCTTTTTGCGAACGGGGAAAAAACAATAACACATAGACAAACTTGTGTGGACCAGAGAATAAATCATGGCCGAAGGTAATGACATTCAATGTCTTCATAAGACTCCCCGAAAGAAACACTGGAAACCTTGGAAACTAATGTGCAAGACTCTTATTAGATATAGAAGTTAATTTCAAATTGACACACTCAAGCCGCGTCGGCAATGATGACCTCGGCGGCCTTCTCGCTGATCATGTAGATAGGCAAAGCGATATAATAACCTGGGATGTTGGGGAAGGACGATGCATCGACAACACGCAGACCATCAACGCCGCGAACACGGAAATCCGCGTCCAGCACGGCTTGAGGGTCGTCATCTTCTCCAATGGCCGCTGTGCAGCAAGCGTGGTGACCCCAAGCTTCCTTCTTGATGAAATCCTTCATCTCTGACTCGGTAGTCACATTCGGACCAGGCCAAACCTCTTCGAATGCTCCATCAAGAGGCACAAGATCTTCGTATATGGTACGGGAGAATTGCATGGCTTCGTAAACAGCCTGCAAGTCTTTCTCGTCGCCGTTGTCGTCAGTGACTCCGGAATCGAACGAGTTGAAGTTGATGATGGGCATGTCGCGGGGGTCGGTGGATCGCAGTTCAACTGTTCCAGCATTGTTGCGGCTGCGAGCCTTCAAGGTAATCCATGTCCAATGCTGGGCATCTTTCAATCCGTCATATGCGTAGTTGGGGTAGTACCCGGGGAAATTGACTGGTGCTCCCGTAATCAACAAGTCCGGCTCATCTTCAGCGACAGATGACTTGCGGACGACTGCAATTGCAATTCCGTTGGTGGTATAAGTGCCTTTGAACAAGGGGTCATTCTCCCACTGATCCAGACAAGGATCAGGCATGCTGTACATGAATGTGCACTTGGATGTGAGGACAAAGTCGGTCGGGGACTTTCCAATAGTACCCATCTCGTAGCGGTCTTGCATGTTGGAGCCAACACCGGGTGAATCCACGAGAGTCGAGATTCCAAACTTGGACAGCTCATTCTTCGGGCCGATACCGCTCAGCTTGAGCAACTGGGGGGTGTTGAAGGATCCGGCAGCCAGAATGACTTCACGAGCAGCACTGACGCTCCCTGGGGTGCCACCGGCGGATGTTCGTGAGGCTCGGGGGTCTGCTCGGTAGAGGCTCTGGCCCAATAGATAGTCGACTCCGGTAGCACGGGGCTTGGGTCCAGTGGTGTCGAAGCGGACGTTGGTGACCAAAGTGTTGAGCTGAATGTCGAGGTGGTACTTGCGTGAGCCATCCGGGTTAACAGCATTGGCAGTCTTGATGAGGAAGTCACGAGGACCGGTACGTTTGTATTCGGGGACATCGACGGCAAGAGGAACTTGGTATGGACCTTCATCGTAGTCACGCGTGGGGAGAGGGTTGTTCAAATCACGCAGCAGGACATCTGCAAGACCTGTAACAGTGTTTATCAGCTTACCCAACAAGCCTTGACCCGCAGCTGTTGCAGCGGCGAGAATCAAAGAAAGAAGCTTTTGGTCCTCGATCACAAGACGCAAGTCGGTCAAACTCGTGGTGAGCCATCCTTCGAACCCGTGACCCACCAAGCTGCTGGGCAAGTATCGGTTGCGCTCTAATCTCTCGAAGTACTGACGCATGTTGGCAGCTGACCAAGAGTCATTACCAGTCAGACCGGCCAGGTTCTCCCAGTCATTCTCGTATGGGTAGATAGTACTGAGGTAGTATAAATCAGCACATGGAACAGCAGGGCTACAATGAGTATTACAGACGGGGCGGAAGCTTGATACTCACATCATGGCATTATGAGCGGAACATCCTCCCAGAGTACCCGCTCTAGGGTATAAGATGCCCAAGGGCTCCGAATCAGCAGGAGCGTTGCTTCCGACGTGCAGATCACCTGCTGGGGTGCGGTAGGTCATTTTCGAGTCCTGCTCTTGGCGAGTCAAGTTGGAATAGTGGTTGACGAAATAATCCCATCTCATCGGCTCGTATTCAGTAGACTGCAGTTGCAGGGCAGGAACCATCTGTCTGGTAGCATTGCCCTGGTCGTCTCCTGCATCCAAGATGAGGACCTTGTATCCAGCAATAGCCAATCGAGCCGCTAGAGGACCACCTCCTGGACCCGATCCAACTACAACATAGTCATAGTTGGGAGCTGAAGCGGTGCTGTTTCCCTTCGGAGAAGCACGCTTGTGTGCACCATGCAGATGGCCATCTCCTGTATGGTCACTGAGTTGATGTGAGAATCACTGAAATCAAAGCAAGAGTGCAGTCAAAGTTCGAAGAGGACCACATACAGGGCAAACGCAGTTGAAAGAGTGGATAACAGCCCGAGTGCTGTTAAGAAGCGCATCGTGGAAAACAAAACAAGAGAAAGACCTCCAAAGCAAACAGGGGACCCAATCGCAGGGAAAGAAAGAGAATTCTAACTGAGAACAAAAGCCTCGCCTGCAAAGTGAGTCTCCATGTCTCCTGCCTTATTATAAGCTTAGCTCTGCTAAGCCTCGGATATCCCCTTTACCATGCCAGTCAACGTTACCCTAAACGATCTCATGGTATCTTCGGGAATGTGATCGACAGAGACATTGTCCTACTCGTTGTAAATTAGAGTGCCTCGTGCGACGGCTTGTATTCTGTAATACAAGAGCGATCTGGGCCTGGGGGAGGCTAGTTCAGGAGTTCAGTATTTATGGATGGGTCCTTCTCGTATTGACCCGTTTCAGGAAGCTTCGGATGTCAGAGAGAGACCAATACTTCTGGGCGAAGGATCAAGCCGGCCAATCATTAATTCTTTCTTCTATACTCCGTAAGAGGCATGGCAGAGCGCCGTGGGGACAAAATAGCACCCTAGCGCCCTCTTCCGCTCAACGTGCTGATCCAACGCCACTAATCTGAAGGTGGATCTAGTCTTTCTTGAAGGATTCAAAAATGGAGCAACTTAATTATGTAATTTAGAACATGCTTGAATAATTTAATTAATCTAGCTTTTTGTCTTTTCTACAGAGCATGCATAAGATAGGCAGGTATTGTGGCTGGCTTGTTGAAGTTTTTTTTCTCTAAAAGCTGAGCACGGAATACCTGAGTGAGTGGGTAGGGTTCAGGTTCCAGTGGCGGACAGCACAGAGATCCCACCTGGACATGTCTTGGTGATAAAAAGCCCCCTATTTTCCGAAGCAAGCTACCGAGTGGGCGTTGGAACATTCCTCCACCTAGTCTGTCTGTGCCCCCATAGGTGGGGATTTTCAAAGATGGACGTAACTCGATGGTACTGATGCACCAGGGACGTTTTCAATTCTCTCAAAAAATAAGCTAATTGGATCATCGATAAGGGGATGCTGTCGTTTTGAGTTGGAGCGACATTGTTGAATTTCTATAAAATGTAAAATATACAAGGGATGTGATTAAGACTTGTCTCTGTCACCAAAATGCTATATACAAGGAAAGGTAGAATAAGAGAATGAACATATGAAGTAAGAAGGGAATCACCTCGCCTTCCGTGTCGGGTGTGGGAATACTCGCATGTCGGCTAAGCTGGGTGATGCAGCCGAGATTCACTAGTGTTGTCTATGTCTTCCAAAGGGTAAAAATCCCGTTGGTCGTTTTTGCTTTGCACATTGACCCCTTCGAACCGAGACCCAGTGCCGCGGGAGTGGGAGTTCATGCCATATGACTGAGGGTGCTCGGTGTCTCCAAAGAGACCAGGAGCAACCCGGCGTAGCAAAGAGCGAATGGCTGGTAGACATGCGCAGATGACGCCAACATCGCATTCAATCGTGCTCCAGTATCCAATGCTCACGTAGTCCCCTTTTTTTAAGAGTTAGAGAATGTGCCATCAGAAATGTTCAATACCGAAAAAAGTACTCACATGTTAGGTTTGTAGTGGAAGCAAAATGGATGAGGGAGTTTAATCGCAAAATGCTGACCAAAGTCACACTTATTGAAATGTTAGTCTTTAGCCATAAGCTTCAAGGGGACTGGGAATACAAACAAGACTCCAAGACTGAACATGCAAATCACATAGGATTTCTTTTTGATGGAAAGGTTGAGGTGGTATAGTTGGCGTAGTGGAAGCACCATGACGATCAAGTCAAGGACCATGTTGATCACTGCTGCTGCCCATCCCTGGGCGTTGATGTGATTGCATTGGAAGCTTTCTTCTCCATCCCACCGTAGCCACGCGCCAGGCAGTGGTCTGCACTGGAAGATCGATATCAAGACAAATGCAATCAGATAGCCCACATTGAGACCGATTGCGATGTAGGTCGCGATTCGGAACGTGCGGTCAGGAAAGATTCGAAGGTAGAAACAGCATATAGATATCTTGGTGAGTGGTAGAATGCTGAGATATAATAATTCATCCCAAAAGTATATCTGAAGGGTTGAGACATGTCAGTCGGTGAAGGACACAATGCGCGGGTCTTGAGTAACTCACGTAAAGAATGTGGGTGATGTTGTCGAATGGAAGTGTCCACATGTCTTTGCCGAGACCGGTGTCTGCCACTATATTGAAATGTCAGAGCGCATTCATTTCTATCAACGTTTGGAGCCTTACAGACGACTGAGAGTGCTGAGAGTGGAATAAGGAGACCCTGCCGAGTGTGAGCGAGAAGAGCATTATCCGAATATGAAGCTGTCGATACCATTGTCAACATCATTGTCCAATCGTCCATCCCGAATACTCCGCCACAGCATCTGAGTCTAGCCACCATTCGAAGAATGAAAGCAACGAGAGCAATGATACCGCCTGCGAGTCCCGCACCAGACACAATCTTTGTTCGATCCCGGATCGGTGCTTGGCATAATGAAGTCGTAACGTTTTTCGTGGCTATCACACTCACATGAGTCGTCTTCCTCGCAACAAGAATATCGACTTACTCAGAGATTGCCGGATTGTGCAGCTAGTAACCACACATTCTTCGAGAACAGCAGTATAGTGGGCATCAACACAGAGACACTTCTGATCTGTGGGTGTGCAGGAGGATTGTGGCACCGCAGCCACCATGCATTTCAGCTTCAAAGAGTTAGTTTCCTCCGACTCGGATTCAAGCCTAGCCATTAGAAAGATAGTAGCACTCACAGCACATGAAGGTAATACTTCTGCCAGTTGATCCAATCCTGATGCTATCACCGTGGTTGCGCATAATGCGGCGGCGAGACCTGCTGCAATCGATACACGCATTATGACAGCCTCAGCGTGGTATGCATTCGGGGACAAAGGAGTGTCTGGGAAAATCCAAGCTGGACTTCGCCGGAAATATCGAAATTCAGGAGACAAAAACTTAAGAAGATCCTCGCGGATCTTCTAGTCTGAATGCAAGAGTGAGATTTACCACCCCGTTGGAGTTCTTAGCGCTATGCATCTCCAATTTCTTATTTCATTGTGAATTCTCACTAGTCAATTACCTTTCATTCCAAGCGTCCTTTGGACGTCTCAGGGCTGTCACGAAATCAGTCCTGCCGATCATCTTATCGAGAAAGTCCACCATGGACTTTTCCGCTCTATGACCCCCGAGATTTATTACAGTTGGAAGTGAAGAAACTCGATACCCCTGATCAGGAAGGAATGAAGTGGTTGGACACTCGGCTAATCTCTCTTCAAAACAGTGGCTTGAATCTAAATTAAGATCTACATCTGATACGAGACCTTCCCCAATTTTTGCTGATGCTCTCGACGCTCTAGCGTTTAAAGTCCTCATAAACCCAGCGGCAAAGGAGCACTAGCTGCGGCTCCACTTGCAGCCTAAGGATTTAAAGGGCTGGTGCGATCGACACTCGGGAAGCTGACACTTTTCTCCACTCTTAAGTAAATATTTCCTCCCAAGCCTTGGCTCAGACCCTCATTCAACCAATGCGTGCTAGTTATTTTCAAAGAACTCCACGGCAGATAAAAAAGATCCAATGATTCCCCTGAGACGTTGGAGCTAAAAAACCTTCCGGAATTCAACAATCTTCCCCCCGGGCGAGTGCTAACCATCCTGTCAGTCCGAGAAAATCGCATTGAGATTTTGAGAGCCTTTGGGCCAAGGCCTGGGGTGAATTCTAATGAGTGCACCACCGCTCCTCCTGTTTGCTTTCATTTTTCTCCCGCTAATACGGATATGCCAAGGTCGCCATTACCGTCACAACACCTCTTGCCTTGTGGCAAGAATCACGACTTCAAAGGATCACTGAAGACAATAACCCTGAATCCTGAATCATGAATGATCCGATCGACACTTTCGGCATTCTAAGTTCGATCTAAGCACACCAGGATGCCGGGATTCCCCCAACTAGACAAGATCAGCGCGTCTTGCAAATTTCCACATCGCGAGCGGCAAAACAACATACAGGAACTCCGTGCAACCAAATCGGCACGAATGTGTGGTTGCACGTTGGATCTCTGAAAAGGGGACCTGCGCATGGGCTCCCGAGTCATGAGCTCTTGAAGAATTGGAACCGGCACGTTGAGGAATTGCCGTTAAGTGGGGCATCTAATTTACGGAAGACAGCCGAGCGCAATACAGCGGCCGTACAGCGGTTTGCTATTTTAAATCAATTGGCAGTTATGTCGAGGCTTGCATGTGGGCTCGAGTTGTGCACTGACAAGCCTCGGGAGAACCATTCAGGGGTGGTTAATTTATCAGCGCATTGCCAACATGAACAATTCATCCAAGGAGAAACTGATCACTGTTTCCCACGCAGAACGCCTACGTGCTTTTGGAGAAGAATTATTCTTGGCATTGATTGTTCCACTTGGCTAAGGAAAGGCATACGCTCAACATGCGTGTCTTTACTCTAGGGCTATTGCTCTGGCCATCCCTGGTAATGGGATTCCCAGGCGCAGGCGATAACCATGGCCATGCAACACACCAAGCCTTGCACAAGCGCTGCCCATATGCCGATTCACAGGGTCATCCCGAGAACAAGCATGATAAGCGATTCCTTTTCGACTCCATGAAATCACCTGTTGATGGTAGGCACGCATCGTCAGCTGCATTCTGAGTTTGAATTAGTACTGAAAGAGTCTAGTCACTGGCGAACATGCATTCCAGCCGCCAAACTTCGAAAACGGTGATCAACGTGGACCCTGTCCCGGTCTCAATGCATTGGCAAACCATGCATACATTCCGCGTGATGGAGTAGTATCGGTGGGTCACTACACATGAGACCCCCATTGGCTCTTGATCTAACTAGACCAGTTCGGAAATGTTATCACAGCAATCAACAAAGGTATACTGTCGGTGAGGCATCGTGACTGGAAGCAAGAAACTAACCACACTTTTAGTATACGGCATGGGGGTTGATCTAGCTACGATCCTCGCCATCATGGGTACCGTGTGGACAGGTGATCCGATTTCACTCGATCCCAGGTTTTCCATCGGAGGTCGCGACACCGGTGTGAACAACTTGCTCAACAACTTGGGAGGAGTGCTGGGTAAGTCTATGACCCTGCATATTCAAAGTCGCCAGTGAGAATTCTATTAATAAGTCAACCAGGCGAGCCCCAGGGCCTCATTGGATCTCACAACTTCATTGAAGCAGACTCATCTAACACCCGCGATGATCTATATATGACGGGTAACAGCCATACGCTCAACATGGATAAGTTCATGGCCTGGTACAACATGTCTACTGACGGCACATTCGACATGGATCTCATGGCGAAACGCGCGAAGATTCGCTTCGACGAGAGCGTTGCAACTAATCCAGACTTTTACTACGGACCTGTCACAGGACTTATCGCCCGCAATGCTGGTTATATGTTCTCGGGTCGCTTGTTCCGGAACCATTCTCGCGAAAACCCAGAGGGAGTCTTGAGTACGTCGAAATTGCGATGCCGTTAGATTTTTTTCTTTGTATCCTTTACTCACGATCCACAGCGAAGAGCCATGTCCGAAGCTTCTATGGCATTTATGGCGATGAAGGCAATCTGACCTACCGGGAAGGATGGGAGAGAATTCCTGATAACTGGTACAAAACTCCTGTGGACTGGGGTCTCATTCAGCTCAACCTTGACACCATCGACTGGATTCTTAAGTACCCTGAGCTTGGAAGGTGAGTGACATCAAGTTGCGCGAACGGGACGCAATATCTAACGTGGGGCTTCATTTAGTATTGGAGGAAACACCGGAACAGTGAACTCTTTCACTGGAATTGACCCCGCGGATCTCACTGGAGGTGTTTTGAACTTGACCACTCTTCTTGAGGGCAACAACCTTCTGTGTTTCGTAATGGAGGTCCTCAAATTCGCCAGCCCCAACGCCCTCGGAGGATTATATTCGACTTTGGCCGGGCCTTTGGAGTTTGTCACGAACATTCTCTCCGTGCCGTTGCTGAACCTCACCTGTCCGGCATTTGGGGACTTGCAAATGGGAGGCAAGCCAATCTGGGAAGCGCTGAAGGATGATTTCCCAGGTGCTCTGAAGAGTGGTCGTTTCTTCTAAGCAGTGTGGACAAAAGTGGTTCCTGGTACGGCGAGCTAGGTCGAGCCCTTCCGAGCTAAGCCTTTACCCAGTCCTTCCTAATGATCTATTATGTACCATAATTGGAGATAGAATTGTTCTATTGTCAGCTCTGAAGCTCCCACAAGACCTCGGGAATGTCCTACTTGACCAATGAAATGATCACATTTTTCTTTATCCACGTATGCCTCGTATCTCCACTTTGTTCTGAGAGGCGCTGTTCCACCTAGCACCACGAGTCCAGAGGATTTATCTCCTTCAACGCCCATCCACCCGGGCAATTCATCTAGAACACGAACCTCATCGTCATCAGCGGATATTTTAAGAGGAATTCGATCGCCAATCGAACTACCCAGCCTCATCATACTGAACGCTTCCAGAGACCCCGTCCATCGTGGGAACCAACTGGAGTATAAAGCCGTTCCCAGCAAACCCAGCAGGTCAAGTCCAATCAACATGGACATGATTATTATCCCCGCCAGCGAAATGGTTGGCTTTTTCGAATCGGCACCCATGTCATACATCACCGAGAGAGAGCAATTGAAAGAGTCTTTATGTGATATCCAAGCCATATTTGCTAGATACGCTGATGCAGTAAAGGCATTAGACAAGATGTCATGGGTGCTTTCAGCTTCCTTAAGACCTTCTCCGGGTCGGCTGCGCGCTCGGAAATTCGACAGCCATTTTGCGGCAATTTCGTAGGTGTACCTTTCTGAGGCTTCCTTCGTCGAGAGACTCAATTGTGATGCATTTGTTGAATTCCACGAAAGCGGAGCTTTTGATGGCGAAGGCGGAATTGACGGTAGTCCAGCGGTTTAGTCTCCGAGTCAGAGGGGCTAGGTCAAGACATATCGAGTCGGATTGTTGGGTGTTGATGGTTCTGTCCCCGTACAGATCGGGATATCTTCTGACAAGGTCGATCCAAGAATTAGGACCAAACATAGCAAGTGTTGAGGTCAAAAGCGGGCCTTTATTGGAGACTGATTCAATGCTCGCATTAGAGTCAGCAGCGCCATTGTTGCTGCGTTTTGATTTTGGAGGATGGTGGTTGCTAATCATGCAAGTGGCTGTCAGCACTTTCATTGCCTTGTCACAGAGAAGTCAATACCACCCAAAGTAAATTCGAATGACTCACTATATAGCACCTCCTTGACTATAACAAGCATTGCCGCACTCAAGATTTGGGTCTTGTTTAAGAAGCGGTCCGGCTTTTTGACCATTCATGTAGTTCGGAAGCTCAAAGTATCCAGCCGTGGTCTCAACAGTGACGCGAAAATACTCAGAAAAAGGCGCTGGAAAATCCTCGGCCTGAGACCTGTCTGCTGATATTCGTAAGTCTGCAGAAATAGAAACATTGAGGTACAGGTGCTCTGTGAAGTTTTGCTGGCTGCGAGTGTTTTTCCACGGTGACACTCTCTGATCACTAGGCATACAGACATGAAGTGCCCAAGAGAGATCTGTCGTCGTGATGAGTGGCGGCGGACTATAGCTGATGCTTAGAGCGCCAGGGATTGTATCACAGTGTGCTGGAAACAGATCCTCTGTGATGCCTTCATAGTGCGCAGTCGAGTTAATTCGAGGCAGAAATTGTTGAAAGACACCGGTGTTGTAGTCCTTGGATTACTGTGCAAAAAATGGATCTGATTGCTCCGATAGGTGCGCCCAGGTCCTGCTTTCTAGGTGGCTGTCATTACCAGACCAAAGTTGAGATGATGTATCATCTGCAGATGTTGACGCAAGAGAGTTACTGATTAGGATGACGGTCGTATCGGACGTCGGAGGCTCTTCCTTGAACATGTCAGGTATATCAACGAAATTATCCAAGGAAGATGGAATCGTCGGTGTCTTGATGGTCGTTGGGGAGAGAAACAGTTGTTGCGCGGGGAGATTATGCCTCCGAGAACATGAAGCAAGACCGCCCAAAACAAAAGAACGCTTTTATATCGAGACCATCTCCCGGTAATCAAGTGGTAGTACGTTCCGATGTTGGTCCAGCCTTTGTCCGCCAACACGGTCATTTGGCGGAGTGTAAAAGTCGGAGGTTGCCCTTTGGTGCAGTGTTGAAGATATACCACCGCAGCGCTTGCGCAGACGGCGGAGGTCAGAGGGATGGTCAACACTGCGGCAATGGACTGAATCACCCGCGCAGCCCTGTGCCATTCCTCGTTCTGTGCATACATCTTCTGTAAATCTTCGGTCTCTGATGCCGAGGGATAGACTTTGCTAGGCAGTATCCAGGCATCGTAATGTTTCCCATTGATGGGATGGTATGTGATGATGCAATTGATCGTCCAAGAGGACAAGACCAACGCGGCATAGAATAACACCAGCCAAACAACGTAGGTGGAGCGATGAATTCGGCTTGTGGGAACTTTTGGTGGCTTATCACTTGCTGATTCCTGGCTCAAAGGCCTGTACACCATTTCGATATCCTGAGACTGCATTTTTGAGATTGTGAACAAGACTTTGGACCCCGTTCCATTATGAAGGACCCCTTCAGCTGCCCAGGAGGACAAACACCTGCAGGCGCCCAGGTTGGGCAGTGCTGTGAGGCTGGGTCATTATAGATCAGCGGTAGACTCACTGCTGACTTCGTATTTTTTTTGTTTGCTTTTTTTTTCACAACGACCAGGGTTTTCCAGGCGCCAAATCCTGCGGCCAGCCCTGCGCCCAGGCGCCGAGCGTGGCTAGGGATTCATGTGGCGTACAGAGTACTTCGAAGGTGCATAGCGCCCAGGCCCTGTTGATAGCTGGTTGAGACTGCTCTTCACACCGCTCTGCACCAACTGGCGTGACTGGTGGTTGGCAATAATGAAGCTATTCGACCTAGTCAAAATGCTCAGCTCGCATAGATCCCGGCGTTGAGGCCATGCTTAACAGCAAATAGCCGTTGATGGATTTCCACTCAAGGGTCAATATGATTGATGAACTAGATATGGGAAGACGAAGGGGAAAGATAGAGAGAGAGAGAGAGAGAGAGAGAGAGAGAGAGAAAGCGGTAGGCTTCTTTCTTCCCCCGAAGATCTATCTGTTGCCTGCCAGTTAAGACAACAACACCTTTCCCCCCTGCAACTTGACCCTGGACGCCCAGGAACTTATGTTCCCCTCACAAAAGCCACAGTCTCAGGCTATTTTATGACTATTCAGGATACCTCAAAAAAAAAAAAAAAAGTCCACTTACCCAAATCTAGGCGGTGGGCTCAGTTCTAAGCATGATTCTAAAGTCACAAGATCCACACTTCCCCGTTCCCCAACTAGCTAACTCCTTTTTAGACTCAAATTACAAGGAAGACTTCAAGGTTTCAAGGTTGGATCGAAAAGTTGTGAAAATTTGAAACATTGATAGGTTTGTTCTAATAGTTTCATCTATCGTGAGTCGAGGAAACCGTATCCATCGTCATCATAAAAAATATATACAGTATTCACCATTCAAGACATTAAGCCCAACATTTAGGCAATCTCCTTCTGCTCAATAGCACCCTTCTCCTCACCCCGCATCCAGACATCCACCTCAGCAGCCTCACCCTGAGGCAAGTTGCGAGCCATGGAAACAATGTCCCAAGTAGTAGGCGCATCGCGGAAGACGTGGTTGAGGGCCTCGAGGTTTCGGTTCATAGTCTCGGGGTAGAAGAGGTAAACCGAGATAGGAATACAGGCCGAGATAACGGTGTACACGATGTAGTACTTGTATCCGATGGTATCGAGGGCGACGGGGGTGATCATGACAACGACGAAGTTCCACAGCCAGTGGTTGGCGGTGGAAACGGCGGACATGGCGACACGGAGACGCATGGGAGCAACCTCGGTACAGTAGAGGAAGTTACCACCGAGGAAACCGACGGGGTAGAAGGAGTTGAAGAGGAAGATGAAGACGGCGGAAACGATCGAGGCGGTGTGGTTCTCGCCGAAGCTGGTGGTGATGGCGAGGACCATCATGCAGACGGACATACCGGTTCCGGAGATCATGAAGATCTTGCGGCGACCGAGGCGGTCGATGGCGAAGAAGGCAATGTTGCTGCAGAGGAACTTCCAGGTCATGGCGCATGAGGATAGGATGCGAGCGAGGTCGCTGTCCATGTGGAGGTTCTCCTCGAAGATGGTGGAGACGTAGGTGGAGATGAGGTTACCTCCGCACATCTGTTGGAAAAATTGGAGGGCGACGCAGAGACAGAAGCGGTAGAGGAGACGCTCATCGTCGGGCTTGTTGAAGTTGAAGATGTCCATCAGGGAAGCGCTGGCGACGGAGACCTCGAGGGAGGTTTCGATACCAGCGATCTCAATGCGGACGGACTCGTCGTCATCAGGAACACCCTTGAAGGCAGCCAGACTCTTGGTAGCTTCTTCAATACGACCCACACGAACCAGCCAACGAGGCGACTCGGGGAACAGGAAGACCGAGATCAAAACGACGAGGGAGAAGAACAGGGAGATGGCTAGCGGAATACGCCATTGCAAGTCTCCACTGACCTTGCTCAAACCAAAGTCGATCCAGTTACACAGGACATAACCGAAACAAATACAGATACCGTCGACGACAACGTGCTTTCCACGATTCTTGGCTGAGGTTGACTCTGATTGCCAGACGGGGACGGCGACACTGAACTGACCAACACCGAGACCGAGGATGACACGGCCAACGACGAACTGGGGCAGGCCATATGCTGCGGTTTGCAGGATTTGACCAATGACAGTAAGGATAGCACCCAAGAAGATGGTCTTGCGGCGACCAAACCATTCACCAATGTAAGAACAAGACAAAGCTCCAACAAGAGCACCGAGTTGGAAGGATCCAATAACGGTACCCTTTCCAGTAGAGTTGTGAGATTTTTGAGCACCTTCGGTGTTGATGGTGTCAATTTCCGGGAAGACCTTGACCCAGCTTTCCAAAGTTGCCAGGGGACCGAGACCTGACTGGTTGTAACCAAAGACGATGAAAGCCGGTGCAACAATAAGCAGGGCCTGCGCTAAGCGCAGGTTGCTTCCTCGAAACATTTTGACCGGGTGTGAGAAGGGTTGAGGGACAGTCACTCTGGAAGGGGAAGAGAAGCAAGGAGCAAGGTCGGCTTCCTGCTCAGTTTATACCCTTGGTCCCCTTGCTAGTCTCGCGGAGACCCCGCATCACACAGTGGTAAATTTCATTCTGTGGGCTGATAAATTCCGTAGTGGATAACGCTCATTCACCGCGATGGACAAAATTTGAAACAAGGACTGTGACTCGGCCACGACGCCGGACTCCACGCGGAGTGCTCACCATCCCGGTGAAAAACGAGAGAAGATCCCGCGCTTTCGCCACTCCCGAATGAGCTTGGATCCACGGGTTGGGCCCGCGTCCATCTGATCTCATTGGAAGGAATCCCGTCCCCGAGGATCGGAGGGGTCGCCGCTCAGGGCGCGCTCTTTAACATTCTTTGTGGCTGGCGATCAATTTTAACCCGAGTTAGGCTTAGAAAGAGGTAGGTGCTATGGGCGGATGGTGACATTGCGATAACGTCTCCCAAGGCTCGCGACCTTCCGAGCTTGCCGGTGACTCCGAATTTTGAAAATCGGAGTTGATTGCAGGACACGTCTGCTCGGCTGCTCAATTACCCTTTCGGGCCGGTCATATAGAGGCTCACAAGGCTTGTCCACCGCCAAGTGAGTGCCAAGACCAAACATGTTGTGTAGCCCAATCCGGGGTCTGTCTGGGGCGCCAGGCAAGTGGAGCCTTTTCGTGGGATTACTTTCATCAATTCTCCTGCACCCCACCATCTCGGTCACCTTCCGAAGATTGTCCCACGTTGGGGGCGAATTCGGGACTTCTCTCAGATCTCATGCGTAGACCGCGGGGCCCCGGAGCCATGGACTGTCAGGGTTGGGAATTGATCGGAATTCACACGAAAAAGAAAAGGAACAAGGGTCTGGAAGTTGAGCGGGTTGAGCCACATACCTCATCTTACTGTGATGGGTGTATTATTAAATCCGAGGGAATCCCGATTTGTTGAGACTCTTCTGGACGCCCGCTGGGTAAATTGGCCCATTCCGTTCACCTGGCAGAGATTTTTCGAACATCTGCGGGGAGCAGGCCCTGGCCCACTGGCCAATCAGTCGTGAAGGATATGGGCAATTTAGCCGGTCAGCTGGTGTGAGGAGAAAGAAGGGGAAGAATGCCGAATTCGGCATTAAACCGAGCTGTCGGCCTGATAATCCAGGCATTCTATTACCCGATTGGGGAGGACTAGTCAATCCTTACTCGTAATAACTACTCGTACGAGGTCGGAGTATGGCTATCTCTACTCCCACCGGTATATCTTTGGAGCCGTGGACTGATCGATTTTCATTTCTATGTGGTAGGAGTTTCTGCTTATCCTGACAGGAATGGTAGTGCGGTGAACGGAGTAAAAACCTCTCGTCTCAATATGAGGCATGAAACAGATCGGGTTTAGGATTCCAGACCAAAATTTGTGCATTTCAGCCCTAGAAATCGCTGACTTCCAAGGCTGCATGTGCTAAGATGTCCTGTCATTATTAAGCATTTCTGGGCGAGCCCGCATAAGTCTGCGTCCCAAGATGACCAGGCATAATGTCTAGCGCTAGAGATCTCCGAATACGCTCAGCTTCCCACTTTGTGTTCATATTGCTAATGCCATTGCTAATGCCAACCTCTGCTTCACCACTTCCGCTCAGACACCGAAAATGACTTCACTTCCGCGGCCCCAGGGGCCGGGCTTGGCATTTGCTAAGAGTTCAAAAGCTTTTGTGGGGGTGCAGGTTCAACCCTGTCAAAGTCTTAGCCAATCTGTCTGTGCATACGCTGTCCTCCGATTGGCTGCTCAGCTCGTGCCTTTGGCCTGATTGCCAAGGCTATCAAGCCTTCGCCCAGCTCTGTGTATGGCTGTCATCACCGAACATATACTTTGCAGGGAACAGCTTCCTGCTCGCTCCCCGGTATTCTCCGCACGATGATGAAGCCAACTACCGAATCACCCCGTTTTCTCCCCACGGGGTCTCATCCTTGCTGATCGCTCTGTGTTGGGTAACGATTCATCTCCCGAATGAAACACTATCGTCTGATACCCCGGCACTACGTGGAAGGTAGCCCGTTCAGGCTATACAGCCAGCACTGCATGCTCTAATCCTACAGGTTTCACGGGCGCTATCAGTTCTCATTGGCTATATCCGAACGCCATGTTGACAGGATTCCTTGGCAGTTTCAATGACATAGGGGGCCGTCGGTCATTTCCAGGTGACCCTGATCTATTGCCCCTTTTCTTGCCTGGATGCTTCCCTCCATATCCGAATTTCGGATTATTCGGAGTCTTCTATATAGCTGACTTGGAGCCTATGAGGTCCACACGTTTCGAACCACACTTCCAAGGTTGCTCGGACATTGCCCGGTCTTCGTGTTCGCTGATAGATCTCGAACCAGTTGAGATCTGGCTAAAGCCTAAACTTAACATTACGCAGGTCCCCGGGAGCTTACAATAAAACTTTGGAGTCTATTTAGATTCCATGCGGATTGCATGAGTGCGTTTGGCTGTTGAAATGACCGCAGCACAATCTGCGGAGTACTCCGTAGTCATGTTCAGGTTATGATCTCGGGCTCACAGGATTGACAAACTTTGTCTCTTTGTCTTCTTAGTTCGGGGCGACTCGGGAACCTAAATCCGGACGTAACATGAAATACTAATCACAGCTTTCTAAATGGACTCTCCGATAATATGACGCTGTGAACCCATCTAGACGATATGTACTCCGTACTAAACACTCCGCACGGAGAACTCATTTCATTCAAGATGGACACTTCGACCGAGAGGGGGAACCGGGTTTCTATGTATATCGAACCGAGGTGCGTCAGAAGCACCTACCCTATATCTTGATGTTTTCGGGGTTGATCCCAGGGTCGATTGTCCCTAGTCTTCTCCCTCTTTCAACGACGTTTCGCAGCACGGTGAGGGTAATGCAAAATTCTGGAATTTTGTAAGAATTTTTCTTTTCCCATCTCTTCAATGAGTATGAAGTTCACATCCACGCGGTCATCGGCTTCCATGGGTCTAGGCCCTGAGCTCATATTGCCGTCTCCGGCTGTTTCACGTGTAGAGAAATATACCCCACGCTATAGACGTGTTCCAAATTTTTACGAACATTATCTGCCTATGGACCTCTTGTACAAAATGGTGCACAGAACAGACAGAGCCGAGGAAACTTGGGAATCCTGTGTTCATTCGTTGTACAACTAGTCTGGAATCTAGGAATGCTCTTGGATAATTGCGCGGGAATCTCGGGGGCGCTTGCAGGGATCTTGGGGATGGTTGCAATTTGTGGACTCCAGAGCTTGAGAGCTATGGGATCTTTGGGGGTTTCCCAGTCGAGTACATACGGCGACTAAGTCAATTTGGAGTATGTGATTATCTCCCGCATAATATGACTTGTACAGCAACGTGTTACAAGGACCGATCCCTGCTAAGAAACGATGATTAGAATGGGTTGGTAAGGCAAGCATCGAGTCGCGGTGTAGAGTAGATGTGCAGTCGCTTCCCCAGAGGTCTTTGAGTAGCTCACTCTAGTTAACTCCCGAACATGGCTTTCTCGTCATCGACAGGTATGGAGAATATATCACTTCTGTAGTACGCGGTTGTTATCGCTCCAGCAACACTGAAATGCAAACATTGTGGACCATTCATGGTGGCAATTGAGCTATACTAATCCATGGTTACAGTGAGGTTACATTAGTGCATATCGAGGATGAGCTCGTCCTTGTTCTGACCAAGCCCTTTGGAAAGTGCCAAGAGGAAAAGTAAACAGAGCCGCTTCGCCTGAGGCGATTCCGCCCTCGTGCGCTCGTGACCGGTTTTCTGCCGGCAAAAACACCCAGGGTTCATTTTGCGACATGACCTCACTCTTAGCGTTCCCTCATTTCACCCACAAGCTTGTGTTGCAAAATACGATGACACCAGAAGTTGAGCACGATTTATCCGAAACCCTCTTCCGCCCCGCGAAGAAACGCAAGTTTGCGCGACGACGTGCGGATCATGACGCCGAAGATGCCGATGCCGATGCCGATCCTGCGCTTGTCGCAAACAACCAGAAAGACAATACCCCTTCAGCACCACCGTCAAGCAACCAGATAAGACGTCCGCGCACTGCGCGCAAAGGCGGAATCGGCTTCTCGGCCAAATCACAACTCGGAGAGGATCATAGCCAGCAACTTGCCTTGCGATCAACCGGAGACCTGGAGGAGGACAAGATACGCGCCATGCACGAGCGCTTTACCGGGTATACTGGCCAGTCGGACGATGTCGACAGACACATGTACGGACCCCTTTATGCAATCCAATCTCAACTGCGAGTGGCATGGACTAACAAGATAAGGATGGCTTATATAGATTCCGAAATGGCTAAACGCTACCAGCCTCACGCACAAGCGCAAACACCCGATTTCAACCAGTCACAACCAAAGGATGTCGCTGTGGGACAGCCTTTCCAACCGCAGCAACAACGTGAACCTGCATCTCTAGGGAGACTTCATGAAATTGATCTCGGCCAGGAAGCAACCTTGCGGAATATTGCGCGCACAGAAGCGGCGACGCGCAGACTAGCTGGTGACGAGGATGTGCCTGTTGGGGACATTACTCCGGAGGCAGGTCGCTCCGGCCCAGGTGGCAAGTCAAGGCGCAATCATAAACATCGGACCGATGCCGATATTGAGCGAGATCGTCTCGTGGAGGAGGTACTACGAGAAAGCAAACGTGAGTCACTATCGGAAAACATTTTATACAATGCACTTGCTAAACTCAACCTTTTAGTGGATGTTTATGACGACTACGAGGATGATGCGCAGGTGGATGACCCGCAAGCTGCTGATGATCGAGTTGCTGAGCAATTCCGACGAGACTTTATGGATGCGATGCAGTCTCGTCGTCGACTTCGCACTACCAAGCCAGCGGTGAAGGATGAAGGTCCTAAGGGCCCAAAGCTGGGTGGCAGTCGGAGTGCGAGAGCCGCCATGCGCGAAGCACAACCCGGCAAGAAATAATCTTATACGTGCTTTTGCTTGCCACGAGCAGGAGCACATCCCTTTGAATGATTGTACGCCACGTCTTTTCTTTCTTTTGAAAATGCATAAGATACCATAGTGATATTCCAAAAAAAATCATGCCATTATGAAAGACCCGCTTCCAAGGTTCTAGAATGCACAATAACCCGTGATATCTTTCCCCGAGCCGTGAAAAGAAAGGGTTGCAATAAATACTCCAGATTTTCGGATTCCTATCATTTCTTTGGTCCGAGAACAACATCCGCAACGATGTCTATAGCTGCGGGATTGACCACCGTCGATGTATCCCCGATGTTTTCCATGTCGTCACTGAGAATCTTCCTCATGATCCGTCGAGTGATCTTCCCAGATCGAGTTTTCGGAATATCACTGACCAAATGGATCGTGCGGGGAAGGGCTAAGGACCCTATACTTCGAGTGATTTGCTTTTTCAAATCTTTGCGAATGTCTCTTCCCTCGGGCTGTTGTTTGAGAGTCACAAAGGCGACCACAGACTGGCCAGTGATTTCGTCGTCTACACCAACAACCGCCACCTCCGCTACATACTCGTTTTCGAGAAGAGCCGCTTCGATCTCTGCAGTTGAGAGGCGATGACCAGAAACATTCACCACGTCATCAATCCGGCCCTTGATCCAGTAGTAGCCATCTGAATCTTTTCGAGCACCATCGCCGGTAAACTGGATCGAAAAAGGTTAGCCAATCAATGGGGGAGAGAGATCCATGGATCTAATCAAACATACATAGTAGCCGGGGTAGGGCCGGAAATACGTGTCCAGAAACCTTTCAGGATCGCCCCAAGCTGACCTCGCCATACTTGGCCATGGGTCCCTAAATGCCAAAATTCCTTCAGGACACGGCGATTCGATCTCTTTGCCTGTGACAGAGTCCAATATAACGGGATCGGCACCAAAGAATGGAAGGGTGCAGCTTCCCGGCTTGGTCGGAGTGACACCAGCCAGCGGTGTAAGGACGAGTGAGCCTGTCTCCGTTTGGAAATATGTATCAAGGACATGGGCCTTCCCCTTGCCTACAGCCTGGTGATACCATTTCCACACCTCGGGTGCAATGGGCTCGCCAATCGACCCGAGAACACGCAGGGAAGACAGCGACTGCGAGATTTCAGAGTCGCTGAACCTTTTCAGAAGACGGAGAGCTGTGGGCGCGACATAAAATTGGGTTACATCATGCTTCTCACAGATCTCCCAGTACCGCGATGGAGTTGGATAAAGCGGACTTCCCTCAAATATGACTGTCGTGCATCCTAAGAGAAGTGGTGCGTAAAACCCATATACCAGCCCGGTGATCCAACCAATGTCGCCTGCGCAGAAGAACGTATCAGACGGTTGGATATCGAAGACATATTTGCCGGTCGCCGCCGCGCCGGTCAGAAATCCGGCTGTTGAATGCACCAAGCCCTTTGGCTTTCCTGTGGAGCCGGAAGTGTATAGAATGAAAAGGGGATCCTCGGAATCCATGATTTCAGGCTCGACAAATTCAGCATCTGGTTTAACAGCTTCGTGCCACCAGACATCCCGACCCTCGGCCCAAGGTACTGGAGATTTGCAATGTTGGTAGACAAGCACTGTGCGCACATTGGGACACCTAGCAAGAGCCTCGTCGACACCCTTCTTCATGGGAGTCTCTCGTCCACTGCGTTTTGCCTGGTCAACCGTGACGACAATCTTGGCCTCTGCGTTTAGAATCCGATCGGCTATAGAGCTCGGCGAAAACCCATCAAAAATCAGAGTGTGAATTGCTCCCAACCTGGAAATAGCAAGCACAGCAATGAAAGCTTCTGGGATCATTGGCATATATACCACGACACGGTCACCCTTTTTGACACCGAGCGCCCGGAGAGCAGATGCAGTGCTAGATACCTGGGCTAGTAGTTCACCGTAGGTCACTGTTCGTCCCTGGTTTGGTTCATCGGCCTCGTAGACAATGGCATTGCGATCGGGATTGACCTTTGCGTGCCGATCGACACAATTGTATGTTGCATTTAGACGCCCGCCTAAAAACCAGGAGATGTCCCCTTGTAGGGGAGTACCTTCACGGACAGTATGAAAATCTTGATCGAATGTCAGGAGTTCTCGAGAGAGTCTGGCCCAAAAGGCATTTGGATCATCCAGGGACTCTTTGTACAATTTTTTGTATTCCTCCATTCCTCGGAGGCTTGCCCCATCCCGTTCCGGGTTGAAATGGGTTGGTGGCACTCTTTTATCGGAAGTTAGGGATTTTGTTCCAATGTGGACAATTGAATCTATTTACTCACGGGAAAACTTCTTGCTCTGTCATTTTCGCGTGTCCGGGTCAGAAAGAAAATGTGGAAGAGGTTGTGATTGTTGGTATGAGACAAGGCCCCCCATTTAAGCTATTATCCACATTGTCAGAAGTGACGCCTCCAAGGGTTCTATTTCTACAACCGTAAGATCGCGAAAGATCGACATGAAGATCGATTGACAAAAAGCTAGGGACCCATTTGCCAAGTTTCGGAATCGTAGGTGGGCCAGGCCCCTTGAGATCTACAGTACGGAGTACTTCGGAATCCACTGTTAAGCCTAACCCTCACGCAGTGGTTTTGGAACATTGAAACCATTCTTGTCCTTTTTTAAAGAAAATCTCATATTTTACAAGGTGGCTGATATCAATTGATGTCGACATTGAGGGTGGTATATTGTATTGTTCATTAGATCGGATTGAATCCAGGAGATCTCTCTGACGCAGTCTTGAGAAGTGGGGCTGAGGTCGAAGTACCTGAGCTCAAATACTTTTGACCCTCTACTTTACCTCTCATCATCCATACCAGCGGTGTATCGACGTGATCCCCAATCGCATCTCCCGAGATTTTGCGTGATGAGATAACCTTTTCTGCTATTTCTTGGCCGATCTGCAAGTAAGGTAGTTCTCACCGCTATACATGCTGTCTTCTCACTCAAGTGGTCACTCCATTTCGCCATGACTGATCCGCATCTGCACGGAGTACATGAAAGGTTCCACACTAGTCACTCCCCTTTGTAGGTATATGTATCAGCTATGACGTTGTACCCCAATTATTTCTCAGACCCAACACGATGGAAGATGATCTCTAGGTCGTGACTCGGAAGTTTTCCACCCAAGTCGAAACCGAACTATCCTTTTCAATTCAGGAGCACGCCGCAACCAAGAATCTGTCACCCTTGTTTTCAATGGAGTTGATGCTAAAGTCCCTATGGGCTGCCGTCTTGGCGATTGACGAGCGGTATATTGAAGATGACGACGATTTCTTCGAGGTCGGAGGCAACTCGATCACTGCTGTCCTCCTCGCAGCTGAAGCCGGGAAAAATGGAATGTCGATGCCTGTCACAGAAATATTTCGCTACCCCATGTTCTCCGACATGGCGGGTGTGGCCAAGATGTCAGAGTCAGGGGAGGAGACAGACCATGCAGCCCCTTTCAAGCTCATGAAACTTCCGGGGACAGAGGTCGCGGAGATTTTGGCCCAGATCAGCAATGCCCATCCCGGAATTGATCCTACAATGATCGAGGATCTGTACCCCTGTACTTCACTGCAAGCGGGACTGATGGCCATCTCCAACAAGCAACAAGGAAGCTATGTCTCTCAATTTGTTTACCAGATTCCTACTGGAACCGACGTCCAGTCTTTTCAAAAGGCTTGGGACCAGGTAGTAGAGACGGCTGATATCCTCCGGACCCGCATGGTAAACCTGTACAATCCTGCTGGTTGCTTCCAAGTTATCGTCAAGGAAGGTATTCACTGGCATAAATCGGTTGTTTTGCAGGACTATCTTCGGAAAGACAAGGCAACGCCTATGGAATTCGGCGATCCTCTTGTGCGATTTGCAATTATCTCAAACTCCGAAGGCAAAGATCTCAATTTTGTGTGGACGATTCATCACTGCATCTACGATCTGTGGTCGCTTGCGCTGATTTGGCAAAAGGTGGCTGCTGTGTACCATGGAGCCGACAAAGAGGAGATCAGGCCTCCCAAGTACAGCCAATTCATCGAGTATGTCCTCAACACAGATAAGGATGAGCATGAAAGGTTTTGGAAATCTCGGCTATCCAACATCAGTACCAAGACTTTCCCCCTCTGCCTTCCAAAACCTACCAACCAAGAACCAGCGCGTCTTTGCTGTATTCAACTACCATCGCTCCCCGGGGTGCCTCTGGGATCACGATCTCCTCCGTCATACAGGCAGCATGGGCTTTGACTGTTGGGAAACACTCGGACTCTGAAGACGTGGTATTCGGGACGGTTCTCATCGGCCGAGACACACCAGTCAAAGGCGTGACAGAGGTACTGGGGCCCACAGTTGCCACAGTTCCCATGAGAGTGCGTTTGGATTATACACGCAAGGCAGACGAGTACGTGAAGGAAGTCCAGGCCCATGCCACGGACGTGATTGCTTTTGAGCATATGGGGCTGCCGAATATTCGCAAGATCGATGAAGATACGGAGACTGCTTGTCAATTCCAAAACCTTCTCGTCATCCAGCCCCATAACGCCCAGGCTCATCCGCTCAACTGGACTCGACTGGATACTCACGAGGTCGAAACTCACCCATATGGAATAATTGTCGAATGTACTTTGGGGTCCAACGAGCAGTCACTTGATATCAAAGCCAATTTTGATCCCCAGGTGATCTCAAAAGTGGAAGTGGATAATCTGGCCCACCACTTCCAACAGGCTATCTCCTCCTTGAACAGTGATTCCACCACGCAGTCCCTTGCCGATATTGAGCTTTTCAGCTCGCACGATAATTCGAATATCGCGGTCTGGAACATGGGGTCAAACTCAGACTACGTCGATGCTTGTATTCATGAGATTTTCCAGCAGACTGTCCAACAACAACCAGACGCTCAGGCAATATGCTCCTGGGATGGTGAGCTTTCATATCGCAAACTTGACGAGCTCTCCACAGCCATGGCACATCACTTGAATAGCCTTGGAGTTGGCCCCGGAGCATGTGTGCCATTATGTTTCGAGAAGTCATACTGGTTTGTTGTTGCTATCATCGCAGTGCTGAAAGCAGGAGCTGCCTTTGTTCCACTCGACGCGTCCCATCCGCAATCTCGTCTGTGTGAGTTAGTTAAAGACGTCGATGCCCGAGTCGTTCTTTCCTCGCCGAGGTTCTCGGCTCTTTTCGCAGAGAGCGTGGCCGAAACTGTGCTCGAAATTGATCAGCAGCAGTTTGATCTGCTATGGTCCCCGCAGGATTATCCAAGCCCCAGTCAGGCCAACGCAAGGAATATCGCGTACATTGTCTACACCTCGGGGAGTACAGGAAAGCCCAAAGGAGCTGTGATTGAACATGGAGCTTTCCTCTCAAGCTGGACAGGATTCTCAAAGACAATGTGCATGAACAAATCGTCTCGCGTGCTTCAATTCAGCTCGCATAGCTTTGACGCGAGCTTGGCCGAGACTTTGAGCACCGTTCTCTGCGGAGGATGTATTTGCATCCCAAGCGATGATGAGAAGTTCAATTCTTTATCGGCAGCCATGACCCGCATGATGGTAAATTGGACTCTGCTGGTTCCATCCTATGCCCGAATCTTGGATCCTACCTCCATACCCTATCTGAAAACAATTGTTTTGGGAGGTGAGGCTGCTTCTAAGAGCGATGTTACGCGGTGGGCGGCCCAGGGAATCAATGTTATCAACGCGTACGGTCCAACCGAATGTGCCGTGATCTCAACTTCGAACATGAAGCTGGGGTCCGAGTCAGATCCTAGCAATATAGGAAAGGCAACCTGTGGAACGTGTTGGGTTGTTGACAAGGACAATCATAACCGTCTCGTTCCAATTGGATGTCCTGGTGAACTGATTCTAGAGGGTCCTCATCTTTCTTGTGGTTACATTCACAATGAAGCAGCTACATCTTCAGCCTTCATTCAGAGCCCTTCTTGGGCAAAAGACCGACGGTTCTACAAGACAGGTGACCTTGTTCGTCAAAAACCAGATGGCAGCCTGTCATTCCTCGGGCGAAAGGACATGCAAGTCAAACTCCGCGGTCAGCGTCTCGAGCTGCCAGAAATCGAGCATCAAATCAACCTTTACTTTGAAGGTGATGTGCATGTAGCTGTCGAAGTTGCTACTGTTGACTCCGCAGATAGTGACACCAAGAACCAGCACCTTGTCGCGTTTATCTGCCCCAGTGAAGGCTTGGTTGCCAGCTCGGTCGATACCAATGTTCTCTTCGAAATTTGGGAAGGGCTTCACGACCAGTTGATTGAGTTGCGACATTATCTTGAACAAGCTTTGCCGCCATACATGGTACCAACTGTGTATATACCCGTCAAGTATGCACCTGCGATGGTTTCTGGCAAACTTGACCGAAAGTTCTTCCGCAAGATTCTTCAAACTCTGTCGAATTCGCAACTCCAGAGCTTTGCGCTGACGGATTCTGAAAAAGGAGCGCCATCTTCGCAGTTGAATGCGGATTTTTCCGGAGGCTCACAACAGGCCGTGCTCATCACAGAACATTCCACGGCTATGGAGCGGAAACTCCAAGAGCTGTGGGCACAAGCATTGAGCATTGAGCCTTCACACATCAACAAGAATGACAGTTTCTTCAAGCTCGGTGGAGATTCTCTCGTGGCGATGCATCTCGTTGGTCTTGCTAGAGCTCAGGGAGTAGCCATTTCCGTGTCAGACGTCTTTGCTCATAAACAACTTGGCCCTCTGGCTAAAGCCCTGGTCGAGCAACAAGGTGCCGATGAAACATTCAACGCCGAGCCCTTCTCCCTCCTAAGTCCCGAGCAAAAGTCTCTGGTTTCATCTCAGGCTCTTGGCTTTTCAGCGGGCAATAGCAAGGCAATTGACGTACTTCCAGTCACAGAATCTCAGGCATATTTCCTCAGGCTGATGATGGGATCAACTTGCTTTTCCTACTCCATCAAAGGAAAGATATGTGCTAATCGAATGCGTTTGGCCTGTGAGTCTTTGGTACAAAGTCACTCCTCCTTGCGCACAGCTTTTGTCCGACACCAAGGAAGCTTCCTGCAAGCCATTTTCGAGTCCATTGATGTGCCGTTCAATCACATCGTCACGGAGAAGCCTCTGGAACCAATGTGCCAGTCTCTCTGTGATTCTTACATACTTGATGATGCCTTCTCAGGAAAGCCGGTTATCAAATTCACTTTGATCTCCCGATCCGATGATGATCATATGTTCATCATACGGCTCACACACGCCCAGTTTGATGGATATACCTATCCGCTCATTCTCAGTGAGTTGGCAAGAGCCTACAATGAAGCTGAAGCCCCACCTGCGGCTCGCACATCCTTTTCCACATATGCGTACTACTGTGCCAGTCGTCGATCAAAGTCAACGTTCGACTTCTGGAGAAACTATCTGCGCGGGTCAACAATGACAATGCCCCCGGGCGCAGATGCGGGTGCAGATCTATCTGCTGGTGACATCGATGAATCGGCCTTTGGGAAACTGCCCGCTGCCTTGGAAGATATCACAACTCCGACATTAGTAAACGCGGCCTTCGCCCTCCTTCTCGCAGATCTCGTCCAGAATGACGATGTGGTATTTTCGATGACCATGAGCACCCGGGACATTGACCTGCCCGGGGTTCAGCAGATTATCGGTCCTTGCGTGAACAAGAATCCACTTCGTGTCCAGCTGGACCGATCTCGCTCTGTTTTGGAGTTGTGTCAAACGCTGCGGGAGCAGTACACCAAGGTCTCCAAACACGGACATCTTGACCTGTCTGAAATTATCGCCAAGAGTACGGACTGGCCTTCAGATACTAAGGTCAGATTTAGCATCAACCATCTCGGTGGTGACGACAGAAAACCGCGGCCACTCGAGGGCGGAGCTCAAATCTCCAATTCGGGTGGAGCGCGGCGAAGGTATTTCCAAAGTCAGGTTTTGATTCGGTGTATCACTGAGGATGATGGACTGCAAGTGCAGATCGTGACGACCAGCGATACTATGAGCTCGACACAAGCTCAGACGTTCGCGAGGACCCTGGTCAATACTGTGAAGATATTTACAAAGCATCCCAGTGTGGCGTTGCATTCGCTTCCAATTTGTATGACGGAATAGGGCTTTTGTGTCACAGTGTTTCTCGATGGAAAGTCCCAATGGCAACGTGGGCTCTGGCGTCTGGCTGTCCTTGCTCAACTGCATAGCTCTTGCACTTCTTTTCCCTTCCAAGTATGCCGATTTACGTATTGTGCATGCTCGGGATATTACACCAAACGTAGTATAGAGTGTACATTATTCCAAATTCGCATGTTATATATGATTCTCAGTACTCTCAAGTGAACTTCCAAGCTGAAACATATAAATCAAACTTGGAATTGAGTAATACATCTACAGAAACAAAGGTTACTGGGCCACGTCCATGGTTGCCATCCGATCAAAACCTTGGGCATTGTAATAGTGATCCTATAATCTTGGAGCAAGATATTACAGAACATCATGTTCTGTCATATTCGCCTTTTGGCCTAGTGGGCAGCACACTACAACTTCCAAGGTGGTTTGTCTGGGGACCATCCACGATGCTTAGTCAGTCCTGACTAAGCATCATGTTCAGCGGTCCAACATCTGAACGGCCAAAGCTACTGCACCAAAAAGGTCCGCCCTTCTCCCTATCTTCCAGCCTCTCTGATCCTCTGTCAGAACCGCGTGGTCGCGTTCTGATTGCATCATTCTTAATTTGACCCTGTCGCATGATACCCCTACAGCTTCAATCCGCTTTTTAAACATCACGGCGCAACCCTCGCAATGAACCCTTCCAACCCACCTCAAGCTGCCGAGTATGGTGGAGGTACGTGATCCCTGACTATCCAATTGACTGACAACTATCGCTGGCCGTCTGGATTTCATTGTTCAAAATGCTCATCTCACGCGTTCACAGATGAGGTCTCCGCTATCGTCCTAGACCCCGGTTACTCAACCACTCGCGCTGGCTTTGCTGGTGAAGACGCTCCCAAGTCACTGATCCCCACATACTATGGAAAATACAATGCCGACGGGCAGGAGAAGATTGTGTACGGCGACGATGTCTTTGTTACCCCGCGACCAGGTCTGTCCGTTCACAACCCGCTCAACAAGGACGGTATCGTGGAGGATTGGGATATGGCAGAGAGAGTATGGGAACATTCATTCATGTCCCGGCTCACCGGCACGAAAGCGGGCAATCCTTTCCAGAACGGCTTGAACGATGTCGCGAGCGACGAGCTCCCCGCAGAGATGGAGGTTGAGTCAGATGAGAAGCCTCTGTCCGATAGCCCATTGTTGATGACAGAGCCTGGATGGAACCCGGCAAAGGCGCGTGAAAAGACCATTGAGATCGCGATGGAGAAGTGGGATACTCCGGCTTTCTATCTTGCGCGCACTGGTGTTCTTGCCTCGTGAGTATCATGTCCCGTCGCAACAATGTAACAGACTCCACTGACACGACGCAACTACAGATTTGCTTCTGGCAAGGCCTCCGCTCTTGTCATTGATATCGGCGCTTCCAACATCTCCGTTACCCCGGTCCACGATGGAATGATCCTGAAGCGAGGCGTGCAACACTCCCCACTCGGCGGTGATTACATCTCTTCGCAGATCAGCGCTTTGTTCAAAGCCAACTCCCCCCAACCGATCACAATCACACCTCACTACCTCATCAGCTCGAAGACTGCCGTTGAAGCCGGCCAACCGCCCCAAGCGAAATACAAGACCTTCCCAGCCGACAAGGCCCCCGACGCCTCATACCGCGCCCTCTTGGAGGAGCGCACGTTGACCGAATTCAAGGAATGTGTCGTGCAGGTGTGGCCCGGACCTACCAGACTCTCTGCCCCCGGTCCCAATGGCGTCCCCAACGAAGACATGGCCCGCACCTACCCCGGTCGCCCCTTCGAGTTCCCCGATGGATACAACCAAGTCTTTGGCGTTGACCGTTTCCGCGTCGTCGAATCTCTCTTCGATGCTAAGGCCGCCATCGCAGACCCCGAGTCCTCCTTCCCTCCTCCCACACCCGCCCAGACCATCCCCGAGCTCGTCAAGGCGTCTTTGGCTGGCGTTGACGTCGACATCCGCCCCCACCTGCTGGCCAACGTGGTTGTGACTGGTGGATCCAGTCTGCTTTACAGTTTCACCGAACGTCTGAACCACGAACTGATGCAGATGTTCCCGGGCCCCAGGGTTCGTGTCACTGCCGCTGGTAACACTTCCGAGCGACGCTTCGGTTCCTGGATTGGAGGAAGTATCCTGGCTAGTCTGGGTACCTTCCACCAGATGTGGATCTCTAAGAAGGAGTATGATGAGCATGGGCCGAACATTGTTGAGAAGCGCTGCAAATAATTTGGTTTTGCCATTCAGTGCTTTTTTCTTTCTCCCATTTGATTCGGTTTTTTTGGGTTGTTGTTTACGGGCGTTATTGCGCTCACTTGGGTTGCTTGAAAGGGGTCTTTGAGCCACTCTAGATCTGGCCTGTCTGCAAGGAAGGACCTACAAAACTGATCTTAGATATTTTGTGTACGACTAATGCCACTTTGAGTTCTCGATGTTCTTTGAGAATGATCTACACTGTCTGCGAGTGCTCCGTGACGTAGGGTACGATCTACATTGTACATCCATATAGATACAGCCCTGGGGATTAAGAAGACCAGAAGCCATGAACCTTGGAATATGCAGAAAACCCTCAGACTTCCCATTCTGAAACAATGCATATAACTATACCAAGACGATCCGAGAAGTCCATTGGCGGGCTTTTACTTTTGATGTGTTGGCTGCCAACGCATCACTGCAGGGTGGTCCGTGGTTCATTTATCTATGGCCGACTTATTCAATCCTCCCTATTCTCACAACTTCGGATTGTCGATGAAAATGCTGAACGACCGGGAAAACATGAGAAAACCTCGAAAATGCCCCCAAGGACATACTCATAAACGACTACCAAAAAGCACACATGACCATATACATACATCGTCAGCATGAATACCACCAATTGCACGAGCATAAAGGAAACAAACTACATCGTCAACGTCGTTACATCCAAGGCTAAACACGCTAGAGTCTACAGGACATGAGCACAATCAGAAAAAAAAACACGCGCGACCCAGTATCAAAGAGCGGGGGATGATCATGAGTCGCATGCATCACCAAGTTTCCTTCGATTCACCAATTCAAAATCACCGACTCGCTCGCGCAATCAGCCAGCGGAGGACGGCATCCAGGTTCGTCTCTTCCTTGGCACTGATACCATAGCAGCTCACCTCGCGGTGCGTAACGGATTTCAAATCCATGGACTCGATGATCTCGTCTACGGACAACTTGTCCGGAAGATCGGACTTGTTGCCCAGGACCAATAGGGGGATGCTTTCTAGCGTGGGCTTCTTCATCAGATCATGGAGTTCCTCTGTTGCTACTGGGAGGGCGGCGCGGTCTGCGGCGTCCACGATGTATCTGTCCGTGTTAGCAGGGTGGATGGCGGGGGGGGCATACTATGGATTCGAGGAGAACTTACACGATCGCATTCACGCCTCGACAATACCGTTCCCACATTGGGCGGAAACGAGGTTGGCCGCCCAGGTCCCAGCTGGGGTGGTGGATTAGCGAGGGAGTTCAGGTTGGCAGAATGGGAGGGGAAAGGAAAGGAAAGGAAAAGGAAAAGGGAGGAAAGACACATACCATTTCAGAGTGACATGGCCCTTTTGCACTCGTTTGGTATTGAAACCGATTGTCGGGATGGAGCTGGGAAGGTTGGTTAGAGAAGGAGAGAGAGGACGATGAGGTCATTTGCAACTTACTCGATAGTGAACTCCCCACCCTACACGCAGCGGTCAGCACGATACACGGAATTCGGATATACCAGACACGACAGACACAAGACAGAAAGACAGAAAGACAGAAAGAACCTACCGCCAACACCCGCAACAGGGATGACTTGCCCGCATTCTGGAGCCCGATCATGGTGACATCCATCTCGGTGGCCCTGCAGCGTTTAGCAAAAGGTCTGCGGGGACGGGCCGTCGACGGCCCACTTACCAGAACATCCGAAGGAGCCAGTCGTAGATGGTGCGGAAGATGCCGGCCATGATGGAATAGATTGTAAAACCCAGCCGAGCTGAGGCTGAGGAGGTTGAAGAGGCTGACAGAACGAATTTCCCCCAAAAAGCTCGGGTGGGGTCTAAACGGGACGATTTTCAAGATATCTCGCCCTTTCAATTTGGAAGAAAAGCAAAATATCCGCACACCGTGGAAATTTCGGGTTATTGTGTGGCTGGTGTTTTTTTATTTCCTTGCTTTTTTTTTTCTCCTTTATTTTTGAGAAACCATTTGTGCAAAGGCGTTTAAAGGGGCGGCAGATGTCAACTATATGGGAGATCTACGGTGTACACATGACCTCCTAGGGCGCTTAGGCTCCGACCTCATAGAGGGGTGTGGTGCAGCCGTGGCGTAGTGACATTTCCACGGAATTCCAGACCTGCACTCTGAATATTTGGAAGGAAGCAAAGTATCAGAGAAGCTCAAGACCGAGACTCAACTCATTTCCTACACCGCTTTGACAATGCGGTTTCGGCTACTTTCGTGAAAGCAGAGAGAACTGTCGCATTCCATACCGAGAGACATTTGAGAGCTCGGTGACTCAGAAAACCTCTGGGCAGGAACCATCGCCGCAGGGAGAATCCAACCTTGGAAGGGTTTCAGTGGTTCTTCCCATCCTATAGAAGCACGATCTCGGCACGAGCCTCACTACCCGAACAGGATATATCTTTACAAGATTTTTACAAGAACCGCCAAATTTGACAATTCAGATCACCCAGGCATATTGACTTATTAACCAATGAGTCCATAATGCGGTGCCCAGGTGTAACGATATCACTCGTTTGGACAGAGGCTATGTCTCAGATGTGCATGCAGCCTTGACTGCGCACTGCTGGAAGAATCCACTAAAATATCCGACTGAGCTCGGGGAGCCTCAAGTTTAGTTCGGAAAAACTTGGGGTCTGGCCTGCTTCAACATATTACAGGGCTCTAGGCAGCCTCCGGCGCTTGCACTGTTGGGACCTGTGGTAGAGGGTAGAGGACAATCGAAAGCCCTGGAGCTTCGTTAAATCGATTGGCCATGCAGACATCATAATATTCTGGCCCAGTAAGCTCCGGAAAGGGGTTATGTTTTTAAGAGGCTTCAATGATCACGGAAATAATAGAACAAACTGTGAGCTGACTTGGGTCGATGCCCGAAGAGGCTAGCCAAGGGGCTCTGTCGTGACATACCCTGGTAGATGACTGATTCATCGCCGTGAAGCGCATAGAGATTGCTCGCGACCGACTATATCTCCTTCATTTCATTGGTAGGTGCACCGCTAATCAGAACGAAGGGGCTTTGCCAGGTTGTTAGTGTCCTCCGGTGGAGGGAGGGCGCATAAACGACCTTTGCGGCTCTCACATCATAAATGCAGTCATCCCCCTCAAGGTCAACGGATCAACCTACATCAAGCTTCATCTATCGTTCCCGACTCTCCTCAAGAGTATTTCAGCATGGCCTATTTCATCAAGGGTCAGTTCTTTTATCGCTGCTATTCTTCAGCTAGTGCCGGTGCACTGAGATGTGGAAATTACAACCACGCCCCCAACACCCTCTCGGACGACGAACTACTAGATGAATTCGAAAACCACAGGGACCTAAGAAACAGAGTTCCCACTAAACTGGTCTCTGTGACTGTTCGACCTCTTGAAGCACTACACCGTGCCTTCACAAAATGCTATGCCTCCCAGGAACATCCGGAGGATGCAGAAGATATATGGATCGCGATATTGTTTGTTCCAGATGATGCCAGGATTAAGCCTCACTCGGCCCTCAAGCTTGCACAAAAGTCCAGGGAATGCGAGAATCCTGCCGTTTTTAAACACGAGTATCTGTTCGTACGAGAAATCCCGCCAAACTATGTGGAGCACATTGTTTCGCTGAAAGAGATGATGGAAAATGGACTAAGCATGGATGACTTTCTCGATGCTGAAGAAAATCCTCCACGTACTCTGAGTGAATTGAAGAACATCATGAGAGACAGTTTGATCTGGGACCCATACGACGCTGGTCGTTGGTTTGGTGGTATCGCGCGAGCCTTCGGGGCTGGGGCACCGATGTACACAATCGCCCACAAGATACTTTCAGATTGCCTTATAGGCCACAGCCGCATTGACGAGGAAGATCAGTATCTTTATTTTTATGAGGTGGATATTGCTGGAAATGTCGTTCATTCGCGCAATGGTTTTGACTTTGGGAGCATATGGGTTGTTGAAGAAGGAATTCGAGATGAACTGGATGCCTGGCTTGGCGTTTGAGAACAAATACATCGCCCGGAGTCTGTCATCAGCTGCCAGGTCTGCTTCGTGAGTCGTTTATTGGGTCTGGGTTTCCTCCTCCTAGATTCTTCATTGAGACGCGAATCAACACCTTATTGGAATTTCGTGTACTCCGTAGTTGTACGGAGTAAGAGATAGCCGTATTTCTCCCGAGGTCGGGTGGGTGATATTGAGATCGACACCTCAGGCATTAACTGATATCACCACGTGACGATAAGAGACGGACTCCACCCTCGAAAAATTTCCCCAAGCCGAAGAGTTGCTACTCATTCTCGTCTGGCAGCTGCCATTGTCGGTTCAATACCCTGGGTTTCGTGGCTGATATATTTCTGGGAGGCCAATATATTTACCAGGCAGATTGTGACCCTAAATTTCTAACGAGAACGGTATACCCTGCACCGTTCGACATCGCAATTTTCTTTTTTTCCCTATACCGCATCAGTCTTTGAGAGCTGCACGTTTCCACCATGGCGCCCGCAGCCACCGACACGCAGTGGTCGGTCGACTACGACACCTTGCGACGAGAGAATTTGTTCCAGAATCCTCCCACAGATCACACTGCCTACCCTTCGCTGGCCGAGTCCATCAAGCCGCATATCGATTCTTTCAATGCTCTCTTCGAAGATAGCAAGATCTTGGAGGCCGGATTGAGGGATATTGGTACCAAGACTTTCCTCGACGGTGAACTCGAGACCTTTGAGCAGAAGAAGGCTCGCCAAGCCGAAGGCATCCGCGCACCGAAGCGAAACCGCTTGAATGTTCGCGTCCGTGAAATCTTCCTCGAGAAGCCCATGCTCCCCCCCACCAATAAGCACGCCACCACCAACCGTGATATCTACCCATCAGAATGCCGAGAGCGCCATGCGACATACCGTGGAAAGCTCAAGGCTCGTCTTGAGTGGCAGGTCAACAACGGAGATTGGATGGAGTCCGTCCGCGAGCTGGGTAATGTTCCCATCATGGTGCGCACCAACCGGTGTCATCTTGAGAAGGCGACCCCCAACGAGCTTGTGCGACACAAGGAAGAGTCTGAGGAGCTGGGTGGTTTCTACATTGTGAACGGTAACGAGAAGCTCATTCGTATGCTGATCGTCGGAAAGCGCAACTTCCCCATGTCCATCATTCGTGGATCTTTCGTGAAGCGTGGTCACACCTATACCAAGTTCGGTGTGCAAATACGTTCCGTTCGTCCCGATCAGACATCACAGACCAACGTGCTGCACTATCTCTCCGATGGAAACGTCACCTTCCGTTTCTCATGGCGCAAGAACGAGTACCTCATTCCCGTTATGATGATCCTCAAGGCTCTCGCTGAGACCAACGATCGCGAGATCTTCGAAGCCATCGTTGGTGGTGTCTCTTCCAAGGGAATGAACAACACCTTTGTTACAGACCGTGTTGAGCTCCTCCTGAGAACCTACCACGCCTACCAGAAGCACAGCAAGTACGATTGCCGATCCCACTTGGGCAAGGCTTTCCGACCTGTGCTCGGTGTCCCCGCTGACATGCCCGACGAAGAAGTCGGTACTGAGTTCCTCCGCAAGGTTGTGCTCCCCCATCTCGGAAATGAGAATGTCACCGAGACCCAGGATTGGGACAAGTTCAAGTTGATCACCTTCATGATCCGCAAGCTGTACTCCACAGTCGCCGGAGACTGTGCCCCCGACAACCCCGATGCCGTCTCCAACCAGGAAATTCTGCTTGGTGGATTCCTTTACGGCATGATTCTTAAGGAACGTATTGAAGAATGGCTCCGGTCTCTTGGTCCCCTCGCCAGAGACTGGACCATGCGCACCAATGGTGGCAAGTTCACCGATGAGGCTTTCGATCGTGACTTCTTGTCTAGGATTGTCAAGAGATCCAACGAAAACATCGGTAACGCCCTTGAGTACTTCCTCTCCACCGGTAACTTGGTCAGTCCCACGGGTCTTGATTTGCAGCAAACCTCTGGTTACACCGTCATCGCCGAAAAGATCAACTTCTACCGATTCATCAGTCACTTCCGCATGATTCACCGTGGTAGTTTCTTCGCCCAGCTGAAGACTACTACTGTCCGTAAGCTGCTTCCAGAGAGTTGGGGTTTCCTTTGCCCCGTTCACACCCCTGATGGATCGCCTTGCGGTCTGCTCAACCACTTGTCACACAAGTGTCTGATCTCCACGGATAACCTGGATGTCTCCCACCTCCCTCGAATTCTGGTTCAACTCGGTGTCCGCTCTGAGTCTTCCGTGGCGCTTGATGAGAGCGTAGTCGTCCAACTCGACGGCCGAATCATTGGTTACTGCTCACCGAAGCAGGCACAGAGAATCGCCGACACCATTCGCTACTGGAAGGTTGAGGGCAAGAACAACATCCCCCGTGAGTTGGAGGTCGGATATGTCCCCAACTCAAGCGGTGGTCAGTACCCCGGTGTCTACATGTTCTCCCAGTCTGCAAGAATGTACCGTCCAGTCAAGTACTTGGCCTCTGACAAGCTCGACTACGTTGGTCCCTTCGAGCAGCCCTTCATGGAGATTGCTTGTCTGGAATCTGACCTGATTCCTGGTCTTTCCACACACATCGAGTTCACCCCAACGAACATCCTCTCCATCGTCGCCAACATGACTCCCTTCTCCGACTACAACCAATCTCCACGTAACATGTACCAGTGCCAGATGAGCAAGCAGACTATGGGTACTCCCGGTACCTCGATCGCACACCGCACAGATAACAAGCTGTACCGCATCCAAACTGGTCAAACGCCTATTGTTCGCCCCCCCTCTCTACAACGCCTACGGTCTGGACAACTTCCCCAACGGTATGAACGCCGTGGTGGCCATTATCTCTTACACCGGTTACGACATGGACGACGCTATGATTATCAACAAGTCCGCCCACGAACGTGGCTTCGGTCACGGTACCGTCTACAAGACCAAGCAACACACCCTCGCAGAGAACGACTCCAAGCGCTCCAAGTCCAAGCGCGACGTCACCAAGCTGTTTGGATTCGCCCCCGGCGACGAGATCAAGGACCAGGTGCGCAACGTCATCGACGAAGATGGTATGCCGCACATTGGTGCCCGTGTCAAGGAAGGCGACAAGATTGCCGCCTGGCACAATGTCCGCTTCGATCCTGCCAGCGACTCTTTCGTCAACGTCGACGGCATCACCCACTACATGAAGTACAAGGATGCCGAAGAAGGTTACATTGAAAGTATTCGCATCATGGGTTCCGAGACTGGAAACGAGCCTGCTCAGTCACTCAGCATCAAGTACCGCATTCCCCGCAAGCCCGTTATCGGTGATAAGTTCTCTTCTCGTCACGGTCAAAAGGGTGTTTTGTCTCAGCTTTGGCCCGCAACTGATATGCCCTTCTCTGAGAGTGGCATGCAGCCCGATCTGATTATCAACCCTCACGCTTTCCCCTCCCGTAAGTTCCAACCCACTTCATTCAACATAGACAATTCCCTCTGACAACCCAAATAGGTATGACAATCGCCCAGATGATCGAATCCATGGCCGGAAAGGCAGGAGCCATGCACGGTCTCCCACAAGACTCCACGCCCTTCCAATTCTCCGAAGAAAACACCGCCACCGATTACTTCGGCGAGCAACTCAAGAAGGCCGGCTACAACTACTACGGCAACGAACCCCTATACTCCGGCATCACAGGCCGCGAGTTCTCCGCCGACATCTACATGGGTCTCGTCTACTACCAACGTCTCCGTCACATGGTAAACGACAAGTTCCAAGTGCGCACAACAGGTCCCGTCAACGCCCTAACCGGCCAACCCGTCAAGGGTCGTGCCAAGGGTGGTGGTATCCGTGTCGGAGAAATGGAACGTGATTCACTGATTGCCCACGGTGCCGCCTTCCTCCTGCAAGATCGTCTCATGAACTGTTCCGACGCCCAACATACCTGGATCTGTCGCTGCTGTGGCTCCTTCCTCTCGACCCAGGTTGCTGTTACGGGATCATCGCGCTCCCGTGCGGCCGTTAACCCCGGCGCTATCGCTGCTGCTGCTAAGGCTGCTCCCAACCAGCAGAGTGGTAATGCTCATGCGGCTGGTGCGGTTGGTGCTCTTGGTGGTGTTAATGGTATTGTGCGTTGTCGTCGCTGTGCTAGGGAGGCTGTCTTTGATGACTCCCGTGCTGAGGTTTGGGAGGATGGTAATGGAAGTCGCTTTGTTGGTGGTGATGATGTTACTATCGTTGCTGTGCCTGGTGTTCTTCGTTACCTCGATGTTGAGCTGGCTGCCATGGGTATCCGTATGAAGTTCTGGGTTGATAATTGATCTCCGTTGGGGGTCTGAAAAATTTGGTTTTTGTTGTTGCAATGTCATAGGTGGCGTATATTGGTTTAATGATTGACCTCAGCTGTTGTTTTTAGATTCCTTTTGCAGATATTCTTTCTTGTATGGACATTGTTCTTTAGCAGAATATAAGTGTTGAAAAAAAAAGCAGTTCCGAAGATAGGCATATCGTGTCTGGGCAGGCGTGAATACTAAGAAATGCTCAAATATAAGGGAGGAATAGCAGCAAGACCCGTGAGAAGGTCGTCTGCCTTCCAACGTTCAAGGTTGCTATGTCAAGATGAAGATACCGTAACAAAGATTATTCATTGAACTATTGATTGATTGTATTCTGCTGTTGCTTTCAACTATCAAACAGATCCATCACCCTTGAGTTCTTCCCGCACAAGACCCGTCTTCGCAGTAGGGAAGTCTCGAGTGCGCACCTTGTTCTCAAACAAGATGTCCAGCTCGGCGTAAGAGCGACCTTTCGGCTCAGGGAGTCTGAAGAAAGACCAAACAAGACAGAGAATGCAAAGCCCACCCCAGAAGAACCCGGACTTTCCTCTCCAATTCCACGCATCCACATTCAACATATAAGGAATGATAATGCCCGTCACCAAATTGAGCACATTATACACATTTCGCGCCAACACAACGGACTTGATCCGAAGCCTTGAAGAAGGAATCTCCGAAACCAGCGAGAAACAAACCGGTCCAACAGTCGAGTCGTATACAAAAGTATAAACCAGCAACATAGAGCCCGTAGCCCAAGAGATAGCCGATGTTGACGGTGCAATCGACACAAACCCAATAACAAGCAGTACAACAGTCAACAACATCAATCCACCAACGTACAGCGTCCTTCGTCCAAAGTACGTCATAAGCACCCACGAAGAAAGCGTCCCCACAACCCCAAGCGCATACTGCGCCAAAGACATCGTGAAAGATTGCGAAACAGCTAGTCCAGCACGCTGATAAAAGACTGTCGAATAACCCATAAGCCCGGCACCACAAAGACTCTGCGCCGCCCAGACACAGCATGCGATCTCCGTGCGACGCAGGTCCGTCCCCCCTGAAGCAATCCAGGTACGTGGTTCCAGTCTCGACGCGCTTTTCCAGCGAGTTCGTATATACAATCATGGAGACGGTTTCCTCGGGGTCGAAGCCCGGTGTTTCGCGAGTAAGGCGCTTCACGGCCTTAACGGCGTCTTCGCGTCTGTCTTTGCGAACGAGCCACCAGGGACTCTCGGGCGCGAAGTAGACGCCTATGAAAATTGGGATCGGCCAAGCCCATTGGATGGCGAAGGGGATCCGATAGGCCCATTGGTCTGAGCGCTCGGCTAGACCTTTCAGTACACCTGATGCGATGAGCTGTCCGAAGACCCAGCATAGGTTCACGTAGGTTGTTAGATAGGCGCGTAGCGCGACGGGACAGACTTCTGAGGCGTAGGTTACTGTGAGGGTCTGATAGACGCCTAGGGGGATACCCATGAGGAGCTCGCCGGCTATGAGGGTCTGGACATTTGGAGCGAAGAATAGGATGAAGATGAAGCCGACTGTTGCGGTGAGACAGACCATCAGGGTTCGACGGTATCCGAAGCGCTCGGAGACAAGACCGTTAATGAAGAGGCCGATGATCTGACCGCAGGACATGGCTTGGGTGAGGCCTGCTTGCCACGAGGCGGCTAAGCCGTATTTTCCGTCGGACATCAATTCTCCGTATTTCTCGTTGAAGGCTGGGAAGGCGAAGAAGGAGCCCATGAGGACGACATCGTAGCCTTCCATAATGATTGCGCATGAGAGGAGGAGGGACCAGGCCACTGCTTTGGGATACAGTTTGAGAGCCTGCCAGGGGGTCATGTTATGTTCTTTGTCAATTGCGGCGTGGGCTTCGGTGCTGGTCTTCAGGTCGGAATGGGCTGGTAGGACATGGCCCTCTGCTGAGGTGATTGAGTCATGTTTTTCAACATGCTCTGCCATGGCGAGTTTCTCTGTCATTGCTGTAGCGGAAGAGTCTGAGGGAACCTCTGCTCGATGTGAACTGACTGCATGGAGGCAGACTGATCATGATGTGGGCGAGGGAGATTATATACACATGTTTCCGGGATGAAGGGAGTATTAAAAGCGAGGATGAAGCCAGGGTTCCATTGGACGGCCCGTCCGTATTCCTTCAAGCGAGGCCGGTGGCGTGGAGAGAGTTTCCCCGGATTCTGAGTTGATCAGCCCGCAACCCCCGGATTGTCAGGGGGGCATAGTGATTGGACTGATGTCGGGCCATGAGATGACAGGATATATGACATGTGTTCTGCTGGCCAAGTGCCCTTCATCCCATCTCTGACCTTCTGGCTAGGGCTCTGCTTCTTCCCATTGCGGTTAGTGTGGTGTTGGAGGGGAAGGGGTGAGGTTATTGGCGAGAAGTCGGCCCGACATCGCCATTTCCCCTCATTCAGGGCCGTCCACGGATCCTTTTTGTTTCAACATACTTGCACGAAGTATTATTGACATGGATTGAACGAGAGGGTCTGCACATAGCAAGAATGTTTCAAGAATGTCTAATATGACCCCGCAGGAAAAGTGGAACAATTTGTCGCCAATACTTCTCGGTCCGACATTCGATCAATGAGCACTCCAGCCCACCTACATGAGTCGCGCAGGAATCTGGACTCGATCGTCAAAAGATAGCGCATGGATCGTGTACGATAGGTCACGTTGGGTATATAGTGAGCTTTTCTTTCCCCCAGTTCAGAATGTTCGCCTTCATCTTTCTTTTTTAACAATTCATACACCATGTCTCCCGCTACAGTGGGCGAAAAGTGGTGGAAAAATGCAATCATCTATCAAATATACCCTGCCAGTTTCAAAGACTCCAACGGTGATGGCATCGGAGACATCAAAGGCATCATCTCCTCGCTGGATTACATCACAAGTCTGGGCGTGGATGTGATCTGGCTATGTCCCATGTATGATAGCCCGCAGATTGACATGGGATACGATGTCGCCGATTACGAAAATGTATACCCTCCTTACGGCACCGTTCAGGATATGGAGGTCCTGATCGATGCCTGTCACAGGCGAGGGTTGCGCATCATCCTCGACCTGGTGGTCAACCATACCTCTGACCAGCACAAATGGTTCCAAGAATCTCGGTCCTCGAAGACCAACCCCAAGCGGGACTGGTATATATGGAAGCCGGCAAAATACGACGCAAATGGGAAACGCCAGCCGCCTAACAACTGGCGCAGTATCTTTGGAGGTAGCGCATGGGAGTGGGACGAGAAGACGGAGGAATATTACCTCCATCTGTTTTGCGTTGAACAACCCGATGTCAACTGGGAGAACGCTGAAACACGCAAGGCAATCTATGATTCTGCAATGGAGTTCTGGCTGCAGAAGGGCGTCGATGGCTTCCGTGTCGATACAGTGAACATGTACAGCAAACATCCCGAGTACGCCAACGCACCGATCTTGGATCCCAAGTCCGATACTCAACCTGCTTTCTCGTTATTCTGCAACGGTCCTCGAATCCACGAGTACTTGAGTGAGATGAACGAGGTTCTTTCAAAATACGATGCAATGACAGTTGGAGAACTGCCGAATACACACACTCTGGACGGTGTTCTCAAATATGTCTCCGCCGCAGAGAAGCAACTGAGCATGGTGTTCCAGTTCGATCTCGTGGACCTCGGCATGGGCAAAGACTACAAATTCCTGACAACGTTCCCAGGCTGGACCCTGCGGGATCTCAAAGCCGCCGTGAAGAGCACACAGGATATAATCAAGGGCACCGACGCCTGGACAACGGTCTTCATGGAGAATCACGACCAGGGCCGTTCGGTGACTCGATTTGGCTCTGACAAGACGCCCGAGCTGAGGGTTCGCTCAGCCAAAATGCTTGCTATGATGCAGAGCACGCTTTCAGGCACGCAGTTCATTTATCAAGGACAGGAAATCGGCATGGTGAATGCACCCAAGGATTGGACTATTGATGAGTATAAAGACATCGACAGTCTTAACTACTATCATATGACGAGCCAAGCCACAAACAAAGACCCGGTCGAGCTTGAAAAGGCTATGGCTTCGCTGCAGCATCTCGCTCGAGATCACTCTCGTCTGCCTATGCAGTGGAGTGCGGATGTTAATGCGGGCTTCTCGTCCTCGTCGGCGAAGCCGTGGATGCGCCCGCATGACAATTATCCTGACATCAATGTCAAATTGCAAGAGAAGGATCAGTCTTCTGTTTTGTCTTTTTGGAAGCAGATGAACCAGCTGCGCAAGGAGTATGCTGACCTGATGGTCTTTGGAGAGTTCGAGATCTTTGATGAAGCTAATCAAAGTGTGTTCACTTTCTCGAAGAAAAGCAAGAGCCAAACATTGCTTGTCATCCTGAACTTCTCGGACACAGAGCAGACATTTGAGAAACCGGATACAGGAAAGACAGATTGGAAATTGTTAGTTGGTAATGTAGAGGATTCCCAGGAGGCACTACAGGCGTTTGAGGGAAGAGTCTTTTTGGCTTAGGGACTATACAGCGATCATGATATATGTCATTCCAGGCAATTAGATGATAGTATTTGAGAACTTTGCACAATATACATATAGCTCTTGAATTAGATTGAAGTCATACTATACATTCCGACGTTACCACTCATTCTTCATCTCCTTTACATGGGGCTAATCGAGTTAGAATCCCTGTCAAGCCTTTACCCCACACTCCAAGTGCTATTTGGGCTCAGTTAAATTAATCTATTTCACCTCAAATAAATCATCACGCGCAGACGGAGGCTAACTCCGTGCCATACTCAAAGAACGCCGAATGCCAAGCCTCCGAACATCAAACGCGGGGGAACTACAGACCAACCTTGGAACTTCACTATTCTCACTCCCAAATGATCAGTCCAACGTCTGTATCGCGAGTGCCGAAAGCATGCGAGCCGTGTAATAGGCGCAAAGTCCGTTGCAATGGCCAGCAACGATGTCAGCAGTGCGAGCACCTCGATCTCCTCTGCACCTACAAGGAGAACCGCTCAGCGCGATCAAGGAAACACACACTGCGTCGCGGTGCCATCATCTCAAATTACAAAAGCGGCACTCCAAAGACAACCTCTTTGATGCCCCGTCTTGCGCCAACAACCCAACTCCCAACCTCATACTTCGAAAGCCTGCTCCCAGACTATATGTCCTTTGTATACCCATTCAGCCCCATAATCACCGGCGCAGAAGTCCACGCCTCCATCGAAAGAATGGCCGAAAGGGAACACGCTGCTTTCGTCTACGCCTTCACAGCAGTAACCCTCGACCTAACCCGCGCTTCAAAAAGCACCTCAACCCCCTCAACCTGCCAAATATCAGACCTAATGCGCCAATCCGTGGAAATTCAACAACCACTCACAATAGGCTTCCGACCATCTATCATTCGCACAATGACAAGTATCTTTATCCAGATGTGCGCCATGAGTCTAGGCCACTATGATCTAGGCTTCTTCTACCTCCGCGAAGCAATCAGCATGCTCCACATGCTCCGCATAACCGACAAAGCCGCACTATCAGATCTATCCGCCTCAGAACGAGCCCGTCGCCAGCGTCTCTATTGGCAATGTTTCATTCACGAGCGCTTTATGTCAATAGTTTATTTTTCGCCTGTGACGCTGCCCCCGGCAGAGTATCCAGAAGAGGATCCCACGGCGTCTGTGTCGCTGGAGATTCAGCGCGGGTGGATGCAAGTGATAAAGACATTCTGCATGCTCGACGCGAGTTTCATAAGTCATTGGATCGGGGATCGATCGCAGGTGACTGCCTCGTGGGTTGAGGGGAAACACCGCGAGTTAGACGATGAGTTATGGGAAGCTGAGGTGTCGATGCTGTCTGAGTTGCAGCAGGCGGACTTGGTGATTACGAGACAGTGGATGCGGACGTTGCTGTGGCAGATGGCGATGTCGAATTGTTTGCTGAGTTCGCATGCGTCGTGTCCTTCGTTGGAGTTGGAGATGCCTTTGACATTGTCTAGTCAGTTGAGGCAGTTTCTGACGAAGATTTCGCAGAATACGATTCGGGTGCATGGGTCGTCGATGATTAGCAAGTTGTTGGAGGTTATTAATACTATTGCAGATGTGGTGATTCATGTGCCGCAGGCGACGACGGAGGAGACGACGGAGAGGATTGATGATATTGTTTTCATGCAGAGTGTGGTGTTCTCATTTCATAATATGCAGGCTATGTCGAAGAATATTCTGCTGGATAAGTTTCGGTTGATTCAGGGGAGGTTTCCGCATATCGAAGTTGCTACACAGTTGGCGGTTTAATCAGGCTGCTTTCCCTTGGTGGTCATTTGTCCGGCTTAGTGAATGATATACAAACCCGAACAAAGGATGCGATTACTGCTACATCGGATGAATTCCTCAAGGGGGTTTCATCAAGCGAGTAGCTCCTACCAAAGAATATATCGGCTTTGCTGCCTTTTTGAACCCAAAACTCATTCCAGACATATCAATATGAATATTACACTTTCAATCCCCCGCGCCCATTTACAGGGCAGACGTCACGTTGGAGAACTCTCCCTTCTCCAGCTTAGTCTTCCAGAAGATCGGGTTCATGTCATCGAATCCGTGGTGCACCCATCCTTCTTCCTTGACGTGGTAGAGGTTAATGAAACCACCAGAGTAAGCATCACGGTGCATAGCAGCCAGAATAGCTCGGCGACCGAGGTTCAATGCCTCTTCCTCGGTCAGATCGTACTTGTACTCGGCGTCCAGCACACCGTAGGCGAATGTTTGACCGGATCCAACACAGAACAGGTTACCGGGGAGGCGGGTGCCGTCGGAATCGATGTAGTACAGGGCAGGTCCTTCTTGAGGCGTCATCTGGAATATTGTTAGTCTCTAGAATATGCAGTCACGAGATGCACAAGAAAACATACTCCTGCTAACATGGTACCCATGCTGAGTCCGTATCCCTTGTAGGCGTAGGTGAGGTTGGCAAGGATCTTCGAAGCAGCCGCAACAGTGATACGGCGCTTGTGTCGGATTTCTGAAGATTATCAGCAAAGGTCTCCCAAGTGAGCCGCTCGGCTAAGAAAAAAAGATCACATACCATGGAGAGTGCACTGCTGACTCAAATAACGCAGCCAATATTGACAATCCTGGATTCATTATCAGTAACCCGTCTCAATCACGTCGGCCTAAGCTAGTCCAAACTCACAGCTGCACCACCGGCCATCGTTCCCAAAAGACCTGGTGTGGGCTTATCCGACTTCTTGTCCTCACCGCGACTCAATCGCGACACGGGAATGACCTTCTTGACTGTCTGACTGGCAATCCAGTTGCCGGCTGTTGCTCGTGAATCGGTGCACACAATCTAACCCAATCAGCAAATATCCTCCAGTGTCGGCAGACTCGAAATGCGAGCAAAGAATCGATGAACGTACGATACCTCCCTGGAATCGGAAGGCGAGGGTTGTGGTTCCGTGAGCAAGCTTGATGGGACAGCTGGGGTTTGAGTGGTCATCGGTCATGGCACGCAGGAAGGCAGAGTGCTAAAATAATAGTCAATCAGCTCGGTTCTCTTTTGCATCGACTGGAATAAATCTCGAGCTAGCGGTCGCTGTTGAGTCTCTGAACTGGCGGCGCAAGTTGGGTTGACGTCAAGACAGATGCATCTCCCCTGGCGAGCCACCATCCAATTCAAAAGAACCCCCATTCCAGATATCACAAGAACTCACGTTGTCAACGGGAGGAAGGCTGAACTTCAGCGAGAGCGGAGGGACGCTCGCAGTGAGGTCCTGCTGCTCTTCCTCCGAGTACATCTCATTGTGCTGAGGGCGGGAATATTGGGCGACAAGCTTATCCATGTTGCGCTGGACAGAGATATAGCAAGAATCGAAAATTAAAAGTGCTGGAAAGACGGAAGAGGGATTGTGGTGAGATAGACAAGTGATGAGTGAAGCTCCGCTGGAGCTCGGGATTCCGCGTCACTCTGGCGCCTGCGGGTCACGTGCTGATTATGGACATTGAAAGGTTCTGAAGGAAGAAACACCACCCATTAAGACATTAATTCACTAACGACCTAAACGACTTATAGTACTAAATCTGCATATTTCCCGAGTATCAACTCCATTGCTGTTTCAGTACCAACGCCATTTGCAAAAGCGCATGCACCGAGCGGTGCCCAATCTGGATTGCAGGGAATCGAGTTCACATGAACAAGCTACGATATGTTCGTGTCGATCTGAATGGAATCCAGAGTCCTTGACGAAGACCGTGACGATTACGCAGCGGGCTCAACCAACATCTTAGCTGGGGGCGCACCACTCTCCACCGGGGCAGTGACGTTGTTGGTCTCGATCGCAGAGGCATCATCCAGAACATCGGAGTCGTGCTCTTCCACGTCGTTCAGTTCGTTGACATGACCGGAGTGGCTGATACCGTTGACACGAGTTGGAGAACCTCGGTCGGCAGCTGAGGTGATGGGCTCGACAGTGGACTCCCATCCGCGGAGATCGTTCTCGGCATCCTCGAGGACCTGGCGAGCCTCAAGCTCGTGGTCGTACGCTTGACGTGCATCACCGGGAACAACGGGGCTGTCATCAATAAAGTTGAGCAGGCGACGAGCATGACGAGCCAAGATGGTCTGCTTCTCAGCACGCTCAATAACAGCCGCCAAATGGAGATCATACGCCTCCTTCAGTTTTTGTCGCGTCTGCAGGAAAGGCCGTGTGTTAGCAAACCTGCATTGGAATTCTGTATGGTTTGGTTAGGATCAAAAGCCGACATGGGACACGTACGATGTTGGACAGCTGCGCCTCAGCAACCAAGTTCTGGGCCTCAGCCCTGACTAGCTCGTGCTCCAGAGTGACCAGGCGCGCACTAGACGGGTCCTTGTACTTGAGCTTGGCGATCTCATCTGTGACCTTCTGGCGCTGATCGCGCGACGGCTGAACCGAAGCTTCCATGTCGCGGATCTGCTTCAGGATACCGCGGTAGTCCTCGAGGTTCTGCGCAAAGACATCTTCCTGCTCACCCATCTCAGCGAGCATGACACCAAGCTTGTCGGAGATGTCAGAGACGTTGTCGTCATCTGTAGCTTCACCCCACTCGGACAGCTGAGCGGCGATGGAAGTGCGCTCACGACCCGCAGCTTCGTGGGCCCCGATGGCGGAGTTTTCGCTCTTGATCAGCTTGGTCATCTTCTTGCTCAGCTCGGGCGCCTGCATCCCCCGGAAGGTTGAAATGCTGAACCGGTGGCGGTTCGCGGGCGGCTCTTTGCGCGAGCGGAATGAGAGGTTTCGGTTCCTATAGATCGATGAGCCATGCTGATTTCTAGATACTGCGGGGGCTCGTACATTATGTAGATAGGGTATAGAGGGGTATTGAAGCTGTAGAATAAAACGGTAGAAAGTAGTTCAAAGAGAATTAACCCAAGAGCGAAGAGGAGAGATATGAGGAGAGCGCCTTCCTGTAGATGACGCTGGTCCAAACCCTATTCCCGCGAGGAACCGCTCGCCGGTTGACGTCATGACAGCTATAGCTACCTCGGTGAGATCACCTTTGCCCTTTCCGGCCATTATTCCAGGGTTTAAGTGTCGAGTATTACGAATTTTAGGGGATTTTTAAGTCTATGCTAATGCAAGTTTGGAGCTCATCATCCGACTTGCACGAGATATGGGTGGTCCACCCGAATATACCGCGGGCATAGATACCACCTCCAGGGTTCCTTCGACTCAACTGAACAGTAGAATAGAATACTACAGATAAACGTTTAATGTAGTTTATTTCTGGCGGAACGCACGCTCCAAACCTGCACTTTATGCAAATAATGTAGACGTAGAGCCGTCACGCTGGATCATACCTAGTAGCCCGCCAAAGTTTCATGGTGATTGATCAACCCCCTTCAAGATTGTGTCATATATCGCAGATATCACTTTAGTGTTCTTCCAAATCACGAAAAACACTGTGAATCCAAAGTCTGAGTTGTCTCAGACTGTCGATATCTGCGTCGTCAAGCTCCCGGGCTGTTCCAGAAGAATCAAAGGTCCGGCAACGACACTGTCCTCGGTCGGTGCATCTTTCTCTTCCGCGATGTTGACAATAATGATACCGGCATTCAAGTCGAATTGAGCTGGGATCTTGACGTGGCTGTTCTTCGGTTTAAATGCCACACTCTGCTTCTGCAAGCCATGATAGAAAACAGCCCAGTACTCTTTGTCATCCTGGTATGTGGGTACATTCTTAGGGTCCTTGTAGGTCAGATGCAGATCAGATCCAGGCCTGCCGGTTGTCTCATTCCCGTAGAATACAAGCTGGGGTAGGTTCTGGCTCGGACTGGGGTATGGCGGGTTCTTACTGGGGCAGCTGCCCGAGACGATGAAGTTGTTCGTCAGATCAAGGATCTGGTTTGCATAGGGGTAGACTGTGTCTGAAGGTCCAGCGAAAGGACTTGTGTCATACACATCAATCAAAGACCAGGTGTTGTGACGCGATTCCACCTGGCCGATCGCCATCAAGGCGGATTTGGAAACGTTCAGGTCGGCTTGGTTGGATAGCCCGGTAAGGAAGGCCATGCTAGAGACCTCGAGGTAGGTCTGGAGAGCAAGCCAGATTTGGGGATTTTTGTTGAAGTCGTAATCATATTTGCAAGGACCCGGCTTCACGGAGTTGTTGGAGATCTGCTCCTGAAAGATGCGGACGTGGCCAGCTTCGTTGTCTCGCATTTGAACTATGCGCTCGTAGGTTGAGTTGGGCAAGCCGAGGGTGGTGAAGTTTGAGGAGGTAAAAGCTTCTACTCCGGCCTGGTAAAAGGAGTAGATAGACCACTCAGCAGCCAGCAGATTTTGGAAAAGGAGGTCATCTTCACCAGCAGGACCTGACCCTGTTGCTGGAATGACTTTGAGATATTCACTGGCCAACGGTGTCTTCTTGCCGGGGTAGTTGAGGAACAGCGGGGATTCACCGGGGACTGCACTGATGGCATCTTGAAGACTGCCCGAGGAGGAGCCTTTAGGGAGGGCAACAGCCGCTGGAAGTATGGTTGCCAGAGAGGCAATGGCGGACTTAGAAAAATGCATCCTGGTAAATGCTTGAAAGAGAAAGCTTGTTGAATTAGAGACTCACGTTGGATCAAAAGACCTTTTTATACATGAGCGCCTCAAGAATATATCTTGATTTTCCGAGAGAACAACAAGCATTCAAGGCGAGGCTCCCAAAGCTTAGCTGAGGCGATGCATGCGTCACGGTTGCTTGCTTGGGGTAGATCTGAGCGCTCTAAGACACGCGTGGTGGACCATAGCCCACGCTTGACTCGACTCCACTAATAACTTCATGCATGGAGCAAGAAATGTACTGGTTCGGAAAAGTGAGGATGTATAATGCATGTAGAGCGGTCCGAAATCCAGATCGGGCAATCGAGTGGTTCCCCCGGGGTTGCAAACGCTAAGCCACAATGGATTTTAGCCTGCATCAGAAGTCGTATGCGTCCACAAGAAGGGAACAATTACTGCAAGGAATAAATCTGCGACGTATGCGTACAAAATTTGCCCAGGTGCCCAAGTGTGACGTGAGAATTATATTTCTATAGGTCGGTCGGCAACTGGCCTGGCCTTGCTGATAGATCGTTTGAAACGGCAAGCTACAAACCCTGCAAGCCTCCCTTTTGGCTCAAACACCCAAGCGTATTTTCTCTATAAGCCCTGAATCGTAGGAGTTCTGCTTAATGTGTCGAATCTCAGCCTTAGAATCCGTGACCATGTTGTTTCGGCATCCTGTCATCAGTAATTTGCCCGTCGTTTTGCCTCACCGCTGCCTACCACGGAGCTTTCCAACCAGTATCGACAGGGGCACTGGCAAGGTAAATTATCAGCAGACACGCAGCATGCTTGATGATCTTAGGTGTATTGATGCGTCACTCTCTGACAATTCTTCTTTAAAGCGAGATTTATGCTGGGGGTTTTTGATTTACTTGTTCTTATAAGGACGAGAGCGCGTGGAGTCGCCTACTTCAACACCTAAGAGAAGACGTCAAAAGCAATCTTGAATGCAACAAGAGGCTAGATCTTCTGTCGCGTCATAATCTGGTCGTCAATGACGATGTCGAGAAGTTCAATGGAGCTACATCTCACGATATCCGGGATCACTTCAACAAACGGGTTACAGACCAACTATCTCAGATTGCTTCCAGCACTGGGCACTAGAAAGAATTCTATCTGATAATAAGCACGGGATGGGCCCACAATATTTTCTTGGCCCGCGGTAGAACTTTTGCCCTTTCGTGGACGATTTCTGTCTGGAGTCGCTTGGGCTTTTCGAAGACTCTCTTGTTGGTCCTATTTTTAGGCATGATTAATATGTTAATCATGCAGAGATATGGGCCGCTTGCAATATACTGTACCCTGAAATACCATGACCTCGTATATACGCCGTCTTCTAGAAGGAATGAAGCATCGGTGCTCCACTGTTCGGGTGTGCTATACCGATACCTCGGATAATTCAGTGTCTATCTGACATTAGCTTTCTCCACTGGGGACCACTAGAACATCTTTACAGAGCTAATATACGATGTTGGAATAGTATAGAAAGTATTATCACAATTACCATGTTGTTTGATCTTCTCTGGATCAACCTTCACACGTACAAGGCATACAATACTCCTCTGGCAATGATATCATGCTGCATGAAGCCTAAACTCCATACGGTAACTCAGAAGTTGACCCACTAGTGGACCTCCAAGAGAGGCTCGGAGTTCACAGAACGCAGAAAATGTGCAAACAGAAGATATCAATGCACAGGGCTGTGTCTTTGAGAATCCCCTCATCGCCCCCAATCTCTCGCAGAAGATCAGCGAGGCACTGCATCTTTGCCACACCCATAGTCGACAGAAGCCTTATTTATTGCCCTTCGAATAGCCACTATGTTCTCTATCTTCACTACTCTTTCTTCCTATCAATCTGATTCTGAATCACACTAGTTTATTTACCATGGCACAATACAGCGACCCTGCGAAACAGTTTGGTGGTGACTTCTCCGGCCAAGCAGGCCCACAGGGTCAAGGCTTTTACCCCCAACAAGGCCCGGCTGGCCCCCTACCCCAAGGTCTTTATCCCACCATGGTAAGGAAAACAATGCCTCGAGTCCTTGGTCCACGTAAGACTTTCTTAAATGAAAAGAGAATAACGTTCAAAAGATGCAGCAGCCAGGTCATATGCAGTTTCCAGTCCAAGCTAGCCAGCAAGGCAGCCCTGCCCCATACGAGCAACAATATCCACAAAGCCAGGTGCCTGGTGGGGCATACTTGGGCACACCCCAGCCCAGCGCTGGGACCTTGCCCTATCCACAGCAGCAGAACATGCCGCTAGGCGAGAATGCCTCGTACTACGGCACAGTCCCTCAAGACCAGTATGGAAATCCAGTTGGTCCTGGCGGTCCAGAAGACGACAAAAGGGCTCGGCTCGACAGTGGTCGGTGGTGCTGCTGGCGGGTACGCTGGTCACAAGCTGGGAGGAGGGCTCCTAGGAAGCGCGGCTGGAGCGGTGCTCGGAGCTATTGGTATGAATGCAGCAACCCATCAAGTGTGAGTCACGAAATTTGTCCTATTATCTCTTTCGAGTCGACGACTGACGAAGAATTTTGCTCGGTAGAAATGGTAGCAACAGAAAGCACAAAAAGTCCAAGTGTTGGAAAAAACATCACGGATGCCATAGTCGTCGCAGGCGATATTCCAGCTCGAGTAGCTCGAGCGGTTGAAGATGGAGCTTGTAGTTACTCAGTGGGATCTCGATGATGACTTCTTGTTGGGAGATCAGATGACTGCCCATGGTAGATGGCTCTCTCTCTCCTCTCTCTCTCTCTTTTCTTTTTCTGCCTTCTTTCTTCTCCCCGGCCAGCTAGTCGATCTTTAATTTGACAGTCTGAATATACAGTTTTCTCAGCGTTTCCTTGCTTCTTCCAGTAAACCACCCTGCCGTCAACCATTCGTCGGGTTTCCTTTACGAAGCGTCTGCTCGAAGTCGAAACTGAACCAAAGGCCCCTCGCGCCCAGATGCTATCCACGCCTTTAGCTCGTACTCCGGACTCCTTTCACCACGATCATCGGAAACGCCACGCTCGGGCTTGTTTAAGACATGTTCTTCCGAAAGACGCATGTCATATCTGAATAATATGCGCGCGATGACCAAAGACAGCTCCGCCCAGGCCATATTCTTGGCAACACATGTTCTGGGTCCGATACTGAATGGGCAGAATGCAGCTTGTGCCAGCTTCATACTCGGTTGCTCGCTAGTTGAACTTTCACCACAGTTCTCTCCCTCTTGCCACCTCTCAGGCTCGAATTTGAATGGCCGAGGATAATACCGTTTGTCGTGGTGTATTGTGTAGATGGGGGTACCAACAATGGTTCCCTCGGGTATTTGGTGACCATCCACATTGATACCGCCAGCTAACACACGCCGTGTGGGCATGCCTGCAAATGGGGGAGACAGGCGTAGAGACTCGGCTATGCATGCACGCAGGAAGGTGCATGAGTTGAGTTGAGCTCCGATGCAGATGTCTTCCTCCCTCTCAAAGCAAGAGCGGATCTCTTCGGTGAGTGTTTTCAACGCTTGATGGTTGTGGATCAGATGGAAGATGGTGGCACTAATAGCGACCGCAACGGTGTCGGATCCTGGGAACATATCAGAGATGAGATTTCAAAACTTGTGGGCGCGAGGTTATCGTACCTGCCACAATCAACTGCAAGGACTCTGTCCACAGTTCCTTCTCAGTAAAGGGCTGACCTGTCTTGGGATCTTTGGCATTGAGCATGTAGTGAAAACAGTCTTTCTGAGAAACGCTGTTCCCTAATTTGGTGCGAGTCTTTGCCTGCTGTCTGATCCAAAGCCCGAAGCTCTTGATCGGAGAGAGGAGACTCGCGAAGAAGATGCGGTCAAGCTTATACCGCCACAGCTTTGGCTGAACAAAGCACTGCGGAATCATGTTAGTCCAATACAAAGAGCCGTTGATCATATGAGAACCTACTACTGCATTTCGGCGGCTCAGCGTGGTGGTTATCTTGGTGAAGGAACGAAACTTGTCTGATTGGAGCATGTCAAAACTCTTGCCATAGCATAGATCACTGATGATATCGAATGCGAGATAGTCAGAAAGAGTCGCAAGGTTTCTGACCGGTCCCCAACTGCTCTTCTGACCCATGGAACTGTTGCTTGGATTGGGATCCGAAGTGTTACTATCACCAAGAAGCATATCGCAAAATTTGATCGCGTGGGACAAAATTCGATCTTGAACTCCCTTTAAGGCAGAGTTTGTGAAAACCTGGGCCAATATCCTTTTCTTGAACGCGTGTGCTTTCTTGTCAATGCTGCTGATCGTGTTGGGCGCATGCAAACTGGCGTTCATGACCAAATAGGCATCATCCTTGCGAACATTCGCTGTCGTCGAATAGATGGTGGCCATTCCAGTATGAGTATTCACAGATATGGAATCTGGCCCGAACCGAACAATATTTCCTGTGATGAATCAATACCAATTATATCTTGTGCCACAACTGGCCCATAATCTACGGAGCATCTTACCATATTTTCGGTGCGCATCCCATAACATGATATGGGAATCACCTCGCCAGACATAGAAGGCAGCATACCAATTTGTAAGTGAAGCTTGCCACGGACCCGGATATTTGGCGAGCGGGTGCAAGTAAATTCTGAAGACAATTTTATAAATAATCTAATTTTTTCAATACATGCACAGCTTTTGGTTATGGATGGGATTGGACCTACGTATAGACTGGCCAGGAGACCAATGTTGAACAGCAACCACATTTTCAAAAAAATTTCAAATGACTGCTTCGGAGATTTTTCTTATTGACAGAAATCGATAAAAGAGCGCCCATAATTTATATTCACTTGAAATCCTTTCAAGGTTTGATCGCAGAGTGAGAGGGGCGATCGAAGGCATCGGAATTACGAGCTATAACCAATACCAGCCAATACCCGGTTATTTACGCTACGTGAGTTTATATTACGATAGAGCATTGGCCCTCAACGGCGATCTGAGACATCAAATCGTCGATCACTCCACGGAAACAAGATCATGTGGATCAACTCAAACTCCCAGCCAATGATGACTGGTAGGTTTACCTTCTAGGTATCTTGGCTGATCACGTACACGGGAACTTGCTTGGAGACTGCAGAAGATCACTACGGACTATTTATGCATGTGGTTCGTATTCAGGGGGAGAGGGGTGATTGATCCTGATTCCGTGTCACGATTCTCATGGAGGATGGAGCAGTTGGGCCCAGAATATGTACGGGCGAGGCTGATATTGATTGAGGCAAGGTGAACCGATAGTGCTAAGGGGTTTGGCGTGAAATGTGAAAGATTGTCTCAACAATGTCAATCCATCCCTGTATCTGCATGGATAACAAGTTGTTAGCCGTCTCCTTCTACTTTGTACCTCGCACTCTGTGCACTGTACACTGTAGCTCAAGAACTGTACGGGGATAGATACCCTATAGCTATGGTCATGAAATGGAGGAACATGTTCGAATTGCCAGACGATCGACGTTTTACTCTCACTATCGTCGCGCTCTCTACAATCTCCCTCACTGTATCTCTCAGCTCTACCTCTCTGAGTAACGCCATCCCTGTCATCACCAACCAGTTTCATGGCACAGACACTCAAGCTTTTTGGTCCGGCACGGCTTATCTTCTATGCTCGGCGGTCTTTCAGCCTGCCTTTGCGGTCGCGTCCCATAATTTTGGTCGAAAGCCACTGGTGAGTTATGGCTGGCTGTGATTCCCTCTACTTGACGCCGCTGCTAATTTGATCATCAAGTTCATTTCCGCAGTTATCTTCTTCTTAGCTGGCTCTGCCCTCGCTACAGGCTCAGGAAGCTTTGAAGTACTTCTTTCTGCCCGCTCTATCCAGGGCTTTGGAGGAGGTGGATTACTTACCCTATCGGAAATCCTGATTGCCGATTTGACACCGCTGAGAGAGCGCGGCAAATGGATTGGTCTTCTGAGCATGATGTGGGCGGTAGGTTGTGTCTGTGGGCCTATTGTGGGAGGCGCACTAGCACATGAGAGTACGTTTGAAGACTCTTTTGACGTGAAAGTTCTGACATCGATTATATAGACATATGGAGATGGATCTTTGCCATCAATCTCCCGCTTGCCAGCACCTCGCTGGCGCTTATCTGTATCTCTTTGAGACCGAGCGAGATCGGGGTTCTGAAAGCAGACAAAGGACGCATCGACTGGGTTGGGTTTGGCCTTTTCATTCCGTCAATGGCTTCTTTTCTGATACCTATAACATGGGGAGGTGAAATGTTTCCCTGGGCGAGCTGGCACACGTTGGTACCTCTGTTGACCGGGACAGCGGGTCTGATATCGTTTGTGAGCTATGAGATCTGGGTCGCAAGGGAGCCCTTCCTACTAGGAAGTATCTTTCGAGATGTGAACTCAAGATTGATTTATTTGCAGACATTCACGCATGGATTGGTGGTATGTTTTCATTTCTCGCAGTTAAACCTGCATACTAATTCTGAGTCTTAGGTCTGGTGTCTTTTATACTACCTTCCCCTCTACTACCAAGCCGTTCAATCGTACACGCCTCTCATGTCCGGTGTCGCCCTCCTTCCCGAAACATTCACTATCAGCCTCTCCGCCGGTCTAGTCGGTATGCTAATCACTGCCACCGGTCGTTATTACAGCGCTCTCTGGATTGGCTGGGCAACCGTCACAACGGGTGTCGGACTACTATATCTGCTCAACACCAACACGGCGGTTTATGAATGGGTACTGATTAATCTGGTAGTGGGCTTAGGAACGGGCTCACTTTTCACCAGCGCGAATCTGGCCATTCAAGCAAACAAATCCTCGGACGAGATGTCGCATGCTCTCGGCTTCTTTTCATTCTTTCGCACATTGGGGCAGTCTATTGGTGTCGCTATCGGCGGAACGACATTTGATAATTTGTTCAATCAAAAACTACGAGACAACCCTGCCCTGGATGCACTGGCAAAGAAACTCGGCACTGGGGCAGCAGCTTTGGTTCAGTCCCTGAAGGCCGTCCCCGAAGATGATCCTCGCAAACCGCAGCTGATACAAGCATACGCGGATTCGCTGAGAGTGATTTGGCTGGTGTTGTGTGGTTGCGCGGGAGTTGCCCTGCTGGCGAGTCTTTTTGTGAAGAGATATAGTTTGGGATCGAGTAAGTTCAAAACTGCAGTTGAAGTTTGAATATTGGCTAACAGGCAAAGGGAAATCGGAATCCAATGAAGACCTTGGATCTACGACGTCAGAAGAGAAAGCGGAAATCACATTGAATTTGCCTGATGATACTGAAAAATCCATGGATGGGCGCAAATAATCAATGTGTAGATTGCGACTGCCTCAGGTCGCTTCCAAGGTTCCAGTTTAATATATCACTCCCCAGGTGTGAGATCGAGGTTTTTGTGTCTGTCAATTTCAAGGTTATCTAGGATGAAATGATCCCGTGGATATGACTTCTCGGTGTAAAACAATCCCCTTTGGGCTTCTATGTGCTTATCACGGCTAGCCTCATTGTATCTAACAGATTTCTGGCCGCATTGGAATGGCCATATACATCACCCTCAAACATTTTGGTTGCGTCTTTCCCAATGGCGCCTGTTAACATTGAAGCCCCCCCCAGGGTGTATGGTCACAAATTCAGAGACATCGTACACAAACCCGTTGATGACGATCAAGTTACACCCTGTCCTGGCCTGTTGTTGGAATTCTTCCCATTGCATGGATGGCAATTCTCCAAGCGGTAATCCCCAATCCAACTTCTCACATTCTTTGCTCAAAGATTCTTGCTTTCTCTGTACTCTTCCCTTCTCAATTTCATTGTTTGGAAATTTTCTGAGATCAGAGGCAAATCCTAACTGGCTACATAGCCAGATCACCCACTTGGTTGGGTCGAAGTGATACCACCGATATCCATTCCGGTAGTCGATCGGGAACTCATGGTGGAAATTGTGATACCCCTCTCCAAGAGTCAAGACAGCAGTGAGAAGGTTGTCTCGTGGGGACTTGGTCGTTTGGTAAGGCTGTGAACCCATCCAGTGAGCAAGAGAGTTGATGCAGAAAGTACTTTGTTGTACTCCTGACGTCCCTAAACAGCCTGCGAGGACAAATCCGCCCAAGAAGTCACCCCAGCCTAGTCCACAGACTAAGGTAGGAAATACATAGGCCATCAGGAATAGCAATTGCCAGTAGTATCGCCGCTGCCATTCCACGATCGGGTCGGATTTCAAATCACTGATATCCACGCGACCAGTAGCCGTGGCACCGAGCGTGTTTCGTTCTTTTTTAAAGATAATCCATCCAATATGCGCATGGAAAAGTCCTTTCTGGACACTGTATGGATCTTGATCAGTATCAACATAACGATGGTGAGCACGGTGGTCGCGGCACCATGTTTTGATGGCGCCTTCTCCGGCGCCCGCACCAATTATCGCAAGTACAAGCTTCAAAGTCCAGTGGGCAGAATAGGATTTGTGAGCCCAGAGACGATGGTAACCTATATGGATATACTTGTCAGGATTGTTTGTTTTATATGGGGAAATCTTCTTACCAGTGGTGACGGAAAGGCCTCGCAGGAAGCCATATAGTACCATGAGGATGATTGTCTCCCTGTACACAGGGACCCAAAACAAATTGACTAATGCCACAATAGGAACCCCGAGTACAAAAATCACTAATGGCCATTCTAGCGAAAGACCATCATCGTTGGGAGAGTTCTTGGTGGTGTGAGTTGATTTCGGGAAATCGACTTGTCGATAGGCAGCGATGGCTCCCGGTGGTCTTTTTGAAAGATTCTTCATGTTGACTGGGCTTTCAGACATATGCCTGGATATTACGGAGTAGATGTGATGAACATGCAATTTTCCAAGAATGTACAACACTTCTGCGCCCACCTTCAGGGCTGGGCAGCGATATATATGCATGATTAATATAGTAGAAAGATACAGCTTTATTTATTGGGTCTATACTTTGTACGGGATACCTAGCAGCTGTTTGCTGTTTGTACTAGATAATAGAGTATTGATCGCCAACAGATAGAGTTTTTCTTCAGATCTGCTCAGCTGAAGGTGGAATATTGACACCCAAGTGGGCCTGTAGAAGAATGTATCTTACCCATACCGAACCTTTCGACGATCGTGTCTCCACATTTGGCTGTAACCTTGGAAGTTTTCGATCTACCGACTGACTTGGTGTAAAGCAAGGTGAAAGTTTGAATAAACAACACTCCGTACCAGGGGTAATACTAGTACAAAACCAGACCACAACATACACATAGAGAAGTATATACAGTAGATCATTTTCCACTGCCGAGTATTGTGACCAGTGGACCCTTTCATTATTTTCGAAATTGGCGGCACACATCGGTAGGCTTGCTTTTTGTGAGTTTAACGTATAGAAACATTCTTCTACGAGTACTCCGTACGGAGTAGATCAGAGCCCTGCTAGGGGGAACTAGGCTAATTTTCATCAATACATACGGAGTACCTCGATCTTGCATGTACTTTTCGCTTCCAGTTGTTGATATCTCCTTTTTGGATTGATTTTCACTACCTGCAGAAATATACTACGGTGCTACGGAGTACATCCTTTTTTCATATAAGGCCGCATACCCAGATTCCTGTTGACTTTTGACCTGCGTTCACATTGTCCACCGTCATGAATAATACCAATAGTTCAAGCTCTATTCAACTGGGCTTACCTCCGCTACATCTGTTCTATTTCCCTCCCACCCAGCCGCAAAAGACAGCAATACCCCTTCCTCCTACAGTTCCCACGACATCGAAATTCCTTCGTCCCGTCTCCATCAATTCAACCATTTTCGACATATCCCTCGATCTCCAGTTCCCTCTCACAATCGCCGTGATATATCTTTCCGCAGTCTTACTACTCAACCGGATCAATGCCAGCAGACAGTATAGACCATGGGGATTCAGCAAGAAACCAACATTCAGGGCTTTCGTAGTAGTCCACAATGCCTTGCTTGCATTGTTCTCCGCATGGACCTTTTTTGGGATATGCCATGCATTGAAAAATTGCTGGCCAGGCCAAGGACCGAATTACTACACGCATATAGCGGAGGTGATTTGCGAGACTGATTCCAAAGCAGCTAGTTGTGAGTCAAGCCAATATACCACCACTAACTATCCCATGATGACAAAGTTAACGGATTTTGTAGTTCTCCCATCGGCAAATGTCAATACCGTCTGGGAAGAAGGATCCGCTTATATCGGTTGGATCTTCTACATGTCCAAATTTTACGAAGTCTTGGACACGATGGTGATTCTGGCACGAGGGAAGAAAAGCTCTCTTTTACAAACCTATCATCATGCAGGTGTTATGCTTTGTGGATGGGCTTCCTTGAAATATGAGTCCCCCGCATTATTGGTGGGAATTGTACTCAACTCTGGCATTCATACTTTGATGGTACAGGCAGTCCTACCCTTGAAGCTTGAAATTGCTCTTGTATCAGATTTGCTAACATATTGCTCTTTGTTCTTTGCTTCTGGTATTCTTATTTTACTCTTCAGTCACTTGGGTTTGCCATTCCTATGACAATCAAACGCTCATTGACGAGTCTACAAATCGCTCAATTCCTGGCGGGCTTTGTTTGGGGCTATGCGTATTTTTTTGTGAAATACACCGTTCCCTTCGATGCTGCAGTCTCCCAAACCACGAGTGCGAACTCGCATGGAGACTATGGTGTTTCTGCGATTGATGGTGCCGAGGAAGTGGGCTATGGCCGCGTGGTCTCTTGTCTTAGTGACAGTGGGGAGGCGTTCACCATCTTGCTAACAACGGCTTATGTTCTGCCTTTGTTGTTGTTATTTGTGCGGTTCTTTATTGCCTCCTACAGCAAGTCAAAGACAGTATGATGGGTATCAGGAAGTGAGGATGATGATCTGTTTTAAATTAATACATCTGTGGATAAGCTTAGGTATCAGGTTTCACAAATATCACGAAGGTATTTCATTTTGCGCTATATGATTCAATGCTGGCCGAGTTCAAACCGATGCCTCTTCAGAGTTATAGCTTGGTCCCAGGGATGATTCCAAGGTTGGTATGCTTGAGTTGACCTTGAGAGTGTTGAGGATCTCATGCTTCCAAGGTCAGGTTGATGCAGCCCGCGGCCCTTTCGTGGTGGAAACTTCCAAGGTCTTTGAAAAGCTATATGCCTTCTAAGGTTGGGAAGTAATTGAGTCCATGGGTCTTGCCACGGGTCATTGAAGCTCATCAATTGAGGTTGCCACCTAAACCTTGGAACAACCCTATAGTCACTGCTAGATCTCCCAAGGTCCTCCAGTACTAATGCAAGAGCCTATTTCCGGGGGGTCCTCGGGGACTTCCGTGCCTAGAACCCCCCTCCCCGAGCAACCATTTCTACCTACCTCCCGAAGACCCTAGCGCAAACCGAGCCCCTAGAGCCTCTTTTCCTTTACTCGTGGCTGCTCATAGTTATGATTTCTTACTTTTATGCGTAATCCCGAGTAATGATTGATCATGCCAGTCCCAGGTTTGTCAGGAAGGTGCTTCAATTGCTACCTAGAGGACCGAGTGTGGATTATTTCAAATAATATGTCCCAGAGCGCCTTCGAACGGGTTGGAATTTATCCACAGGCGAGATGAAAATCATATAGACGAGATACCTGCTTCGTAGGGTTTGCAGTGCCATGCAAGATTCAACCAGATAACAATGACGCCAGAAATCAGAATGAACGCCCAGATCAAACGGAATGGGAGAAACGCAAATGTCCACAGCGGACGACACCAGACACCGGGGTATTTATTTCCTTGTCCCGAAAAGCAACCGCCCATGCAGAAAATAAAGAAATCGTTGTAGAAAACAAGGTAAATAGGCTCATGTCATCGTCACATCTTCGGCCGGGGTTCCGGCAGTAGAGGGCACAGCGGATGCATCGGCATCAGGGTCGGTCATAGCATTGTCGCCCTCGGCATCATGCATGGGAGTCTCGTCTTGCGAGCGGGCCTCGGGGACAGGCGTGGCATCGCCATCATCATCAACATCATCATCATTATTGAAATCAGAGCCGTCTTCGCCAACCTCTTCGAAGACACGAACGGTCTTGTCAAGTCCACAGCTCACAATCATGCGCTTGCCATTGAGATTGCCCGCGTGAACTGAAAGTACGGCGTCATCGTGGGCCTCAAGCCGCTGCAGAACTTGCTTGCTAACGATGTCCCAGAATAGGATGGCACCATCCTCGCTGCCACTAACGGCAAAACAAAGAGGTGCACCGAAGTTCAAATCCTGCGGCCCGTATAGTCCGAAGCATCCAGACAAACTATACTTGGTATTGACATGGCCCTGGAAGGTTTTGAGAACGCGACTTTCGACATAGTTCCACATTCTAACGCAGCCGTCCAAAGTCCAGGCCAACACATACTTGCCGTTCGGGGAGAACTTGACGCACGTCGCGGGTGGGTTGTCTTCCATAACCAGCGTACGCAAGCACTGGCCACTGTGCGTGTCCCAGATACGAATGAGGCCATCCAACGCACATGACGCAATGAGGGTCCCGTCGTGCACAACATCAATACCGGCAACCGGATCGGAGTGAGCTGGCAAGGAGCGCATCACCCGGGCTCGGCGTACATCCCACATAAATACGGCTTCGTCGTAGGAGCCACTGGCAAGGATGTTGCCCTTGGGAGCGAAAGCGATTTGGTATACGTAGTTGTGGTGGCCGTCGAAGATCTTCGTATGGGCTTTGAGCTATACGAGCGTTAGTAGGAGATTTTTAATAACAGTGGTAACACAATGTCAGAAATTCTTACAGTGTTGACATTCCAGAACCGGATTGTCTTGTCATCAGAACCAGTCGCGACCCATTTACCATTTGGCGCCCAAGCAAGTGTCGAGATACCAGCAAGATGTCCCTCAAATGTGTGAATCAGCCGGCCACTCGCCGTGTCCCAGATTTTGAGCGCCGCGTCGGCACCTGTAATGAGTGTTAGCTGGCAATTCCCTCCATTGTCCAACCCAATCGTCAAACATACCAGCACTGGCAATCATGGTACAATCCGGTGAGAACTGAACCTGAGAAACACCGCGCAGATGTCCACGCAACACAAACTTCTCCTTGTAGGTCACATGGTCCGGCTTGGGAGCAGGCGTGGGGGGATCGGGTTCAGAAGAGCGTGCGGTCCACTCATTTGCGTCCCGAGCCTGTGTGTCGGGGCCCGACATATCATCATCCGGAGGGCTGTGTGATCCACGCCGCGAACCATCGTGGCTACCAGAGCGGGTGATTGGCGAGGGGCTTCGGTGACGATTGTGTTTGCGCGATGAGCGCCAGTATTCGTCGGCGTCAACAGCTAGCTCGTCGGGGCTCTCTGACTCGCTATAGTGACGTCCGGACCCTTTTGGGCGTTGAGGGGTAAAGCCCTTTTGGGCTGTCCAGCTAGCGCGACGGCGCTCAGCTTCATCGTGATCGGAGCCCGCGGCCAATTCATCGGAGGAAGACTCGGTGGGGGATTGGGCACGGAATGACCGCCGGCGACCCTGGGTGTTTGAGTGACTCATTGGATATAACGAGCGCACTGAAACATCCAAACGAAGGAGGTAAAGATGCGTCGAGAGAGTGGGTAGAAAGTCCGAAGATGCGATGGGAAAATCATCAAACGCGTGCAATATCAAGGCGGTATTATTTGGGCGGTGAGCTGGGCGGTGAGGCCGGACTTCGTCATGTCAAACATCCTCGCCATCTTTTACCCAAAAAGGTAGAGAGATGAGGCTGTCCGAGAATAGCAGTTGTCGCCTAAATGTTCTGAAAAGGTAAAATCGACGCAAAGCGTATAAGGTGACGCGCTTCTGTTTTCCTAAAAGTTGTACCTGAATATGCAAGGTCACGTGACCCATATTTAGCTCGAAAATTACATCATCACAGCTCAACACTATCCATCCAAAACAGTGAAGTCCTTCTGGACGAAGAGCAGGCTCAATGACTTCCTCAATTCCAACCGAAGCCCCAAGCAATATCCGAATTCTTACCCTCAACTGCTGGGGTCTGAAATACATCGCCAAGTACCGCCATGAACGCATGTCGGAGATCGGACGGCAGCTGGCATTAGCTAGCCCGCCACCAGAGATTGTCGGACTACAAGAATGCTGGACACAACAAGACTTCGAAAGCATCCGCGATCAAACGCGCCACATACTCCCATACGGAAAATTCTACTACGGAGGCATATTCGGCGCAGGGCTAGCAATTCTATCCAAATGGCCGATCGAAGAAAGCAGCATGTACGGGTACCCGTTGAACGGGCGACCGACCGCGTTCTTCCGCGGCGACTGGTTCGTCGGCAAAGGCGTTGCCTGCGCAAGAGTCAGATTCGGCCCGGGCACAGCAGACGTGGCTGAGGTCTTCTGTACGCATTTGCACGCGCCGTACGAGCGCGAACCAAATGACTCCTATCTATGCCACCGCACCGCGCAGGCATGGGAGATCTCGAAACTAATGCGAGGTGCAGCAGAGCGTGGGCATCTGGTTCTCGGTCTTGGTGATTTCAATATGCTGCCTTCTTCGTTTGCCCACCGTCTCATCACGGCCCAGAGCCCTGTGCGTGATGCCTGGCGCGAGATTCATCCGGATTCCTCGCTGGCGGCGGCAATTGACCCCGTCGAAAAGGCGAGGAATAAGCCTGTGCCTACGGCGGAGTTCAATCTCTCTGAAAACGGAGCTACCTGTGATGGTTCTTTCAACACATGGCGCTGGTCGGAGAATATGCGCAAGCGCTTGACGAAGGGCGAGGATATCGTCATTGACAACGATACTCCGGACCCGCGTGGTAAGCGTCTGGACTATATTTTCGTGGGCGATGGCGGGTATCCGCCTGCGTTCCCGCCGTCTCGCTGGTCCGTTGAATCTGTTCAGGTCTCGATGACACAGCGCCATCCCACGCTCCTCTGCTCGTTAAGTGATCACTTCGCCGTTGAGGCTGTTATCACAAGGTCTTCTTCGAGGGAACATCCTCATCCGGACCCGGACTCTCCACCTAGCTCTCCGGAATCTCCTACTCTTCACAAAACATTCTCAAAACAAGTTTCCCCAAATGCCGCTCTGTCACCCGAGACCTACGACCATATTATCGAGATGACACACAAGTACGTTGCTCGTGAACGCTCACAGCGCCGCTGGCGTCTGGCACATTTCATCGCATCTATTGTCATTTCAATTGGTTGCATGGTTGGTGTGTGGTGGGTAGGAAACCGCACTTATATCGGGTTCCTGCTCATCCTGATCAGCACTTTAAACTTCGCCGCTGGAGTCTTGGATGGTTTGATTGGTGGACTGTTCATGTCGAGCGAGCTACGCGCTTTGAAGGAGTTTGAATGGGAGGTAAGAAATGCGCAGAGCCTCGTGGTGGCTGCAGAGGACCGCTCTTCTGCAAAAGCAGAGGGAGCGGGCCAGAATTGATCGACTCGAAAAGCTTTTTGCATTTGTTGGAATCGGTGCTTGACCTTAAGGGACTATGCTTATGAACCGTACCGTATCTTGTATATCAGCCAGTCCTATACTGTCTCAACATAGTAATTAATCATACATAATAATTGCGCTATAGTGATAACTAAATCCGAACAAAATGCCAAATTACGGCTCAAGATAAAGGATGCAGCATCTTAAGACAATGGTATGGTTGTACTGTGTTTATTGTCTTTTTTACTGTGTTCGGAATATGCAAACGTGCACGTAACGAGGGTAGTGCAATTGAACGATCATCATCATAAAACTAGGTTACTTGACACGACAGTGCGAATTTACTCAGCACACTCGCGCTTGCGGGTATCAAAGACAGCCAGAGTCTCCTCAGCAGCCTTGACACCGCTCATAACCATAGCGCCGAAAGTAGGGCCCATGCGGTTGAAGCCGTCGATTTCAGACAGCTCCATACCACCGATGATGAGACCCTTAGCGACCTCACGGGTGTTCTTGACGATAGCGTCTTCAGCAGCGTTCATGTCGAGACCGCGCATACCACCGAGCTTCTCGATGGAGTTCATGGAGACCAGACGCTTGGCGCAGAAAGCACCGAATGGCCCATCGTGGCCAGTGGTGCTGACGATGATGGGGGCGTTGATGGTGTTGGGGTCCATGCAGGAGTGGTCGTCGTGGTGGAGGGTGACGAGAGTCCAGTTGACGACGACACCGGCGAGGCGGATGCTGTCGCCGTCTGGGCGGGTGATCAGGTCCTCGACGCAAGTAGCGTTGAACAGCTTGACGTTGGGGAAGGAGAGGACCTTCGACAGAAGAGTCGAGGTGAACTGGGCCGCGTGCTTGACGACGACGAAGTTGGGGTTGTTGGGCTCCTCTTCGAAGGGGACACCGAGCTCAGTCAGGGAAGGCATCCGCGGGGCGGCGGAGAACCATGGCGCTGAAGAGCTGGCCACCCAGCCAGGCACCACCACCTGTATGGAATGTTAGTGGATGTCCGGTGAACTACAAAGTCTCTTTCTCTGAGGTTAGACTAACCGGGCGACACGGAGGCCTCCAGGATGGCAATCTTCAGGTCCGGACGGGCCTTGGCGAGCACGTAGGCAGTGCTCAGACCACAGGAGCCAGCGCCGACGATGACAACATCGCTCTCGGCGTAGTTGTCCAGGTCCTGGAAGTAGCGGCGAGTCATGGCACGAGAGACCTGGCTCTCGCGGATAGGGGCGAACTTGAACTCATCCCATTTGCCACCGAACTGTTCCAAGAGCTTAGACTGGCCCTGGCCGGTCAGAGTGGTAGTCGCGGTCTCAGGGACGTTGACCTTGCCCTTGATGCCGGTAGGGGCAACAGTCACGGGCTCGAACATGGCAGCAGGAGGAGACATAATGGGTTAGGGATCAAGTTATGGTAACTTGTGCTTGGTTAGTTTGGCAACTCGACAAATGGAATTGGGGGAAGGGGAGGGCATGATCCTTTCGCTGGTATTATCCAGATCAAGTTGAAAGCCGTATAATCTCAGAACGAACCCGTATCGATGATATCGTCTAGAGGGGATCTAGGAACACCATCGACACGAGAACGAACACCGGCTCACACCCAGAAGTTACCTGAGATACCTTGATCCCTGAGGGATAATGTGCCCAGCCAAAGAATATCCATGGCTCCCAAAGGAAGGGCAGTATGTACTTTTCCGTTTGGGATCTGTATGATGGTTAGCTCTGCCAGTGGGTTAAGACTTGGCATATAGTTACTGATGTATGAAGTAATCACAGTGTGAGATGTGAAAGAAGAAAAAAAGGAAGAAAAGGAAGTCGAGCGGTGGTCAACTTTATATGCAATGAAGTCAATCTAGACCCCTCAACTGCGATGTCATACTCCGACTCTCTCCGGTTTCCGGTGAGTTAATTTGCTCAGCGAGAGGTGCGTTGTACGAATTGAATTGCAGATCACCCACATTAAAGTGATTCGAGTGACGTTCTATGTGCATCTTAGCTTTGGTGTCGTTCTTTGGCTTCGCTCTGAGTGGTCCGGAGCCGTCTGGCCCGGTTGCTAACCTCCTGCCCCACGGAGAAAACCCTACGTCTCCCCAACACAGCTGTGACAACCTTGGAACTAGCATTGGAAGCTGTGAAAAATACGGCGAATAGTGCTAGGTGGTCAGTAAAGGTTCAATTGCTTGAACTTCGGGGTTGCGGTGGTGTCCGCATACACCACTCGGGGGTCCAGTGAGAAGAACTCCAGGTGATACAACAAAAAGTCGGAACAAGCTAGGCAGATCCACTCCAGACAGGGTTTGGTATCTTGAGATCATTAATTTTGTTGTATTCGGTATATTTAATCGGGCTGTGCGTGACTGGGGAGCTCCCCGGCCGCCGTGACATCATAACCCAAGCGAAGCCGGGGACATAACTTGTCCGCTCTCAATGCTCCTGCAAAGTAATCGTGGTATAAATAAAGCATCGCAGTTCAAATCACAAGACGTAACGGAAGTTGGCACCGTAATTGTCCTCCGCCACTGGGGCATCAGTAGATTTAGGATCATCAGTGCGGGGCCCGTACTTTTTCTCGAGGCCCCGGTTTTCAAAGATGAGCAACACACGCAGAGAAAGTGCAAGAAAGGCCGTGAAAAACATAAAAGCAGCACAAATGGACATGCCCTTAATATAGCGAGGGGCCTCGGCGTCGGGAAAGACATTGGTGCCCAGGAAAGGGCCACATTGCCCGATAATGTTGAGCAGAACAATGCCTCCACCCCGGCGGGTATCGGAGCCCTGATTGTCTGAAACGCACACAATTAGTAAAAAGATGCTAACGAGGACCAGAACGATGACTCACTCAGAACCCACGGCAGGATGTTGGCGATCGAGGGGAAGACTCCACATGCCGCCAAAAAGACACCAAAATACCGTGCACCCACTGATGTGCAGGTCGCGCACAGGATATACCCCACGCCGCCGACCACTGATAAGCCAGTGATCATCAGTCCACGTTGCTGTGTACGATCCGCCACCCATGTGGTCGCAATCGTTGCCAAAAACGAGGCAAAAAAGGGAGGGGCTGTGAGGCCCTGCGCATTGATTGCAGTGAATCCCATTTCCTTCAAAATGGTAGGCAGGAACACAGGAAGCGACGAGAAGCTGACGTTGCAGCTGAAATACATGAACTATCCGCCCAATTAGTACCAGCAAGCGGGATTTTCGCATATCTGGGGAAATCGAACATACCGCTGTAAGCCACGCTTTCACATCGAGAAGCGTTTCACCCAATTCCTTCCACTGGATCTTCCCTGCGCGTTCCGGCTCGCCAGACTGCTGTATAGCGCGAGCACGCGCAACCTCTCGCTCCTCTTCCGTCAGGAACTTCGCGCTCTCTGCGCTGTCTGGTACAAAGAACCAAGCCAAAAGAGCAGCCGCGCAGACCGGTAGTCCCTCGACGAGGAACAATACACGCCAATTCGCAATTGCAGCATGTCCCGACGTGATTCCGTAAGCCAAAGCGCCAGCAAAGGTGTTTGCCAGCGGCGCAGCGCCGGCATAGAATCCGCACCGGAGACCCAGCTCGTGGCGGCGGTAGAAAAATGACATCAGATAAACAACGCCGGGACCAAAGCCAGCCTCAAATGCGCCCATCAGAAAGCGCAGCGCCATCATGCCTTGCCAATTCGTCGTCGCTGCTTGACATGTTGAGACCAAGCCCCTGCCACTTGTTAGCCACAGCTGCCACACGTTGTATCCTGACCAATTTCGCATTTCGTTCGCATTGCATACCATGAGAATATCATGAAGGCGGCCCATTGATGCGGCTTTACCACCTTCCACATCAACCCGAAGACTTCAAAGACCGTGTACGAGATGTAGAAGATTGTCAGGAGCCAGGCGTAGCTCTTCGAATTGAGGCTGAGATCCTCTTGCATACCGGCGATTTTGGCATTTCTGCGATCGAAGCGGAGTTAGTTAGGTTTGCGCATTGGTCGATTGATGGAAAACGAACCCGATGTTGCTTCGGTCGAGGGCAGCGAGGAGATCTTGAAAGTGCAATGGTCAGCGCTAGCTCTGGCGTGGTAAAAATGCGCGTGCGAATTGGGCGTGGGGGCATACAGAAAAACGCCATTAACGTTGGAAGATGCCAATCCAATTTGCGCACGACTCGGCGTTCCATTTCGGGATCGATGGTCGATTGGATGGTGCTGGGCCGCTTCTCCTGATGTGCGGGTTGGGTGAACTTTTCGACATCTTCGTCTGGCGCGGGTTGTATTACATCCTCCGCCGGGTCGCTTTTGATGATGCCCATGCTGGCTGATTAGGGGTGGGAGGGGAGGAATGAAGAGAGAGACAGATCAAATGCATCGGAGGAAGCGAAACAACCCTAGCCATGATCGACGGTTCCAAATGCCAGCTCGGCTCGAGGTCACATTGCAATTGGCGGTGGAAGTGACTATTGATATCCATAATTGGGGGCCCTCCACAGACGGAGTTGGTGACGAATCTCCGAGATGCAAGTGGAGAGGTCATAGACCAATTGGCTGGTCACAGCGGGAATAAAGTGTGCGGGTTTGGCGAAGGTTAAGTGGAGCTTGTCTGGGCAGTTGCTTGGTGTTCGTCATTTGGTGAACAGTAGGCTGTACTTGCACATCAGATTTGAAGGATGTGAACCTGGTGCAAGTATGCCCAGGTTAGGCGAGGACGCTTACCAATGGCTCATTGCTCGAGTGTCTTCGACCCCATTCCGCGGTCATTTATTCAGAGTTGTTCTGAGAAATCAGAAGGCCCATCGGCGCAATGGCATATTTCATCGTGTATTTTGTATTGAACCATTGTACAAAATGGCCCATTTCCCATACCGCGTGTTTGAATGGAGTTATGTTCCAACGTGAGGGTTCGACTCCAAAAGTGCTGGACGAAGCAGATTGTCGCCTGAGAATAAAGGTGTCTAGCATATGTGGTCTGTATCCCCCGCCGTATCAAAAATCTCCCGCGTCGTTAGTGTCGCGTTCGACCAGACACCCCATCATTGCGCCCCATCCACCATTTGATCGCAATTGAGTTGCTTGCTTCCAACATAATCTACCATCTCCCATATTTGCTTGTACGAGGCAATCAGGCGCCCAATATGGACGACCCCGCCTCTCGCATCCCGCAGCAGCTGGTAAGCTCCCAGGTCACAGTCGCTATCGCATCATTCCATTGGTGACTGACATCTCGTTATTATAGCTGCCTCACATGCATTTGGTGTCGCGCAATCGATACCCTAGCATGCACATGATGCCAACAGAGACTGCCGTTGAATACCTGACTAGCGCCCCCCGGGTTTGCCAAAGCCAACCAATGCACTGGACCTTCCTCGACGGCCCCCCCGATGGCACAGTCATGCTCACTTGGCAGCCATTGAACCATCTCGGAAATAACTTTGCTAGCGACGGATATTTCTGGGCGGACCAGGAGCAGGTCTTCACCTTTGAAGCTCGCGGATATGTATGCTCTTTCGCCAGGACCTCGCAGTGAAGCTCCATTGTCATCTAACATGAGAACTCAGACCGTCGAAATGTACCTCCACCGCAGTGGATTCCACCCCCCAAATGAGCCCGTTGCGACTCACTGCCGCAAGCGCTATCGCATCACCTCCTGCAAAATCCCCAATGCTCCTCAACCAGACCCATCACTTTGGATCGTCCACTACTCTCGCGCATCGCCCCAAGATCACGCCCCCGCCAACCGCATTCCCATGACCGCTCAGATCCAAGGAATTATGGGCCAGCGTCGCTTCCTACAAAGCCAAGGACAATTGGCCCGCAAGGATTTCCTCCTTCACGACCGCAACAACTGGCCAGTCATCAACTTCCCCCAGATGGCCCCTCAAAACTTCGGACAGCCCGGACAGCCTGGACAATTCCCGAATGCACAGCCCCGGGCACCAGGCTTCTATCCTCCCCAGGGCCACCCCGGAGCTATCCCACCCAACGTGGCTGCAGCTAAAGGCCCACGTGGACATCGCGCACCATCGTCTGCGCTCGCTTCCGCGACTGCAGATTTCGCCACCGAGGATGAGGACGTTTCCAGCGGAGACACAATGGATTTGCTGACACCCCGTGACGTTAGCAAGATGCGCTACCAGCAGCATCACGAATGGATGGAGGAAATCTTCGCATCTCCCTATAGCATCACACAAATCACGCCTGTATCTTTGGGCCTCGGCCGAAAGGGAGAGCTTGAATCTTTGACTGCAGGCTTTTTTGATGCCCCCGTTGGGACCTCGGGCGGAGAGGGCCAGGAGGCAGGCGACGCTCCCAACGCCACCAAGATGGAACCCGCCAAGGCGGAAGAATTTGCAGAGCGTGTCTCTCAGAAGGTCGCGGACATGACCGCTGAAATCGAAAATCTCAAAAAGCAGCATGCGCGCCGTATGCAGCGGTTCAACCGCACTTCTCTGCTGAAGGACTCGGAGCTGCGTCTCCGCGAGGCTGCCGCGGACCCCACCGATAAGGGCCCCGAGGTCTGGCGACTCGAGGGTCGTGTTATCATTCCCACGGAAGACGAGGCACAACCGTTGGATTATATCGAGGATAACGCCAAATTCAGAGTCGACGATATTGTTCGGGAAGTGGAAGGTGCATGGAAGAAACAGATCGTCTCCGAGCCCAAGATCTCTTGTGTCGAGAAGGGTGGACTGCTGGAGAAAATCGAGCCCGAGCACAAAGACGAACCCGACTCCTTCACCAACGATATGGTGATGGACCACGATGACTCTCACCTGCTCAATCAATTCGGTAGCCCCGGCGTGGGCGGCGGTCTGCCTTCCAGCGTCTCTGTCAACGGCCAACCAATCCCCGGCGCCGATCTCGCCGGCGATGTTGAAATGGACATGGGTGACCAGCTCCACGGTGGCCCCAATGGTCAATCCAGCGACTGGGGTATGGTCAACACCGATAGCAAGGATCACAACGTCGGTGGGGAGTTCGACTTCACCAACATCGACAGCGCTGGAGATGCGCTGGCGGCCTACAGTGAGCAGCATGATGGGCTTGATCTGCCAGATCTGGAGAACTCGGCCTTTGGCGATGCCTTCCATGCCTCTGACAACGAACACTCTCACCACCCCGACGCCGACGACATTTCTTAGACCCTTGAGATGTTGACTACGAAGGCGCCTTGTTTTTTATGAATGATAGCGGACCGTTTGCTCTGCCATAGGAGTTTGGATTTTCATTGTGCTTTAGGAACCTGGAATTAACGCTAGATTTTAGCTGGGATGTACCATAAGATTAGCTATGAGGATTCTCTTTTTTCTTCGTGGTCTTCGACTTTTTATTATGTGCGGTCTAGTTCTTGGAGAGAGGAAGGAATACCTAATCAACCTGAACCTCCTGGGCTCGGAGGACCTGCGGACTCATCTTCACAACTGCGAACGGAAGTTCGCAGTCCAACCTGGGAAGTGATATATTTTTTTTACCATTTCCTTCCAAACGTACGTGGTTCTGTCTGCGGCTTCACAGTAGGAGATTGATGCTGCACCTGAGCGCCTTCTGAAGCAGTGTCGCCCCTGAGGTCCCTAGGTTATTATGAGCGTAGACTTCGAACAATATGAAGTGGCTTCAGCCTCCAGGGCTCTTGTGCCTAGCTAACTGCAGAGCCACATTCCGGCTGATTGAAATACCTACATCTGACAACGGTCACCTGGACATTAAACCTTGGAAGGGCGCCCTCTCCATGATCTTCGGCTGAGTTGTTTGTTTTGGTTTCCTTTCCTTTTCTTTCCCCAACTATAAATCGATCAACAATATATAATTCTTGACGTACGGCTACCGATTTCTTGTCCTTTTTGGGTCGTCGTCTTATTGGCCAACGGCTTCCCCCTTCACGTTGGTCTCTTACTTCTTACTTCTTCCTTCTCGCTCTCTTTTCCTACCTATTTTTGCTGAAATCTTCACTGTTCAGATGCTATTAAAGAAGTTTAAAGCGTGTACGAAGTATGGAGTACGGAGTCTTTAATCCCTAATTCTCTATTCACGGTTTAACCAAGACTTCCATTTCTCATGATGACTTGACAATTAGTTGGAACCTTGGATGGACAGCCCAAAAGACAATTAGAAAGACAGTTAAAAGACTGTTAAAAGACAGTTAAAAAGACAGTTAAAAAGACAGTAAAAAATGGTCCCGAAGTTGAAGATGGTTCTCTTTCTTTACCAATCGAAATATGAGATTAAGCTAATACATAACTACGCCTGTTTATAAGCAACTATCGTCGTCTTTTGTTTTGGCCGCGCTCGCGCGGCACTGAGGCTTGTCTTATCAATCCATGGATGGCCATTGGGCGCTCAAATCAACGGATGTAGTTTTTTCAATTTATTTCATATTTGTACCATCAAAAATGTACTCTTCACTGAGGTCCTGCTCTCTTTCCAGGTACTCTGAACTCCGAAAGAAAGAAATTCGCTACTCAGAGCACTCAATTTTCAATGTTGAAGGTGATAAAGCGTGGATTGTGCTCGCCACCCTTTGGTGTCACTTTGTATCCATCGACCACATCAGACACATCCAGGATATAATCAGCAGCAGGAACAGACGAGTTGGCATAGAAATAGACATGAGCTATCGTCTTCTGAATAGCCTCGTTGTAAATGTCTAGCGAACCCTCCACGCGTGCAACATATTGGTTGTAAGCGGGATAAACTGTCTTGTCGATAGAGATGGCATGTTGTTCGCCAGGGGGAAAGGCGTAATGGGCGATTTGTTCAGTTGTTAATGCGTCATTGACATGGTCGGCATGGAATTTGCCCCTATTTGTCACGTCAAGTTAGTTGAATCGTCGCTTGATGAGAGTCAGGTATGGTATAAGGGGCCATACGATTTTGCCTCTGCATTGGTTAATCTCAATTTGCCATCATTCAACTTGTTGGAGAACTCCAAATAAAGATCTGCATCCTACAATGAAAGGATCAGTTGCGATTGAACCATATGTAGCCAGGATAAGTATAATCTTACTCGTGTGTCGGCGCGTACAGCGAGTGAAGCAACGTTCATTGAGAATGTGGCCGCGGCCAAAATTAATTGGGAAAACAACATCTTGAAGGTGATCAGATTGGTAATTGCAATGATCCTCAAAAATGATCAAATCGCCTTGGTTCTGACAGCTCTTCTTATACGATATGAGTAGCATAGCACATGGTACATATAATCAAGCTGAAGTGTTGATCTACACGAACATGTCGTCACCAATAGCTCGCTCCACTGATCATCGTTTTTGATCCACGCCGTGCTTCCCCGAGACGCTGTATGCACAATATCGATTTACTGAACTCTGAATCATGTTTAAAAGACCGATCGATCGATCTCCCAACCTTGGAAGCTGGTACGGAACTCGGGAGTACTCCGTACTCCACACGGGGTTTGGAGAGGGTGTTGTGATGAGCATGATGTGTGATGCAATTCTAATTCTGATTTACATATATTGAACAAGTCACATTCTTTTCATTCGCTGGTTCCAACCTTGGAAGGCTATGCATGAGATGAGAGGGCAAACTATCAAACCTTGGAATCAATTCCGCAAATACACTCGAGAATAACATTTATTCCAAGGTTCCCTATGAGACAGCTCCCAAGCCTCCAGGGCCTTATAGGAGATATACTCCGTGTGTACTCCACACGGATGAGAGATCCTCTAGATCGACATCATCCATGGATACTGTAGGTTCCCTCTATCTTGCCCAGCCACTTGTGTTAAGTATTTCCATTGTCTCAACCCTGACTTGAGAATTCTCGACGGGGGCAAAATCAATCTGCAACCTTGAAAGTCGTTTTCAAAAATCCCAATTCTGTCGCTTCTATGAGCACAAAAGATCCCACTCAGGTTACTCCGTAATCCGTACCAGGTCGAGAAGATTTGCTATGCATCTGCCACGGCCATTGCAAAGCAGTAGCCCCACATCATGATTCATGAGGGCCACATGTATGATTCTTCCAAGGTTGCTGGCCACGGGTTGTTGGTCCCCTTTGTACAATGTATGTACTTCCCAGGGTGGACTGAGACACCGGAACATGATCTACAAATGCACGGAGTAGTTCGTACGAGTGTGAAAAAATTATGTACAAGAAGGATTTGATCTGATCCATTTTCTCCCCATCTTGCTGAAGCTAGGGTTACGATCTGCAGCTATTGGGGAGTTGCGGAGACATGACGTCGGCATTATACTGTAAGACAGACCATCCAGCATCAATACGGATTACTTCTTGGGGGTTATGGATATATTCTCCACGGCTTTATGTCCAACATTTTTAATAAAACTTAGCAAACAGAAAAGAACCTGGCATTATCAGGTTCGCCGCAGGTACTCCGCAGACAACGCAGATCGTGAAAGCCCTCTCTCTCTCTCTCTCTTCTTCCTCTTCTTGTCTTACAATACATTCATTTATCGCATATTTCTGCTCTCCTTGATACTTGACGACTTGTTTCAATGCTATTCGGCACTATATCCAACATAAGTTTTCTTTGGACCATGCCCAACCATGCATTCGCCGCCAAAAGACCCCGAGAGTCTGAGAATGATTGTTTTTACAAAAGCTCCCCAACCTTCAAGCGCCCTACTCTGAAGAGCACTCCATGGCTCCTCCATCGAACGTTCTTAGGCAGCGATGAATCGCCCAGGCTTTGATAGCCACACGTCCATGAAATCAAATGCCGTTTTGATCGTGTTGCCAAACTGGCCCGGGTATGCCTCGCACTCAGTACATACATTGATTGTATGCTGCGCACCCTCGACAAATGCAATGGATTTATCCTCAGTCTTTGCTGCAAGGTAGATTTTCTCAGCATTGAGATATTCATAATGCCCGGTATTGCCCATGGTAAGCAACGGCTTTGAAATTCCCGGAACGCTTCCAATTGGAGTAGTCTGAGACGAGGTCCAATCCACTCCAGTGATGTTGTCGGCAGTCACATTGAACATCTTTGCATCAACTCTTACAGCAAATGTCGAGAGGAAACGAGTGATCGTGGTTTTAAGTGCACCGTCATAAAAGCTGTCGGCGGCGCTTGGAATACCTGCACCGGCCACACGAACCGAGGGGACGACTTGGGTTGAGACACGATCTCCCTTATGTAACAGCGGCCACTTGTACACAGTATGCGCGAGATAACGAATGTCTTGGGTGATCAATTTGTTGTTGAAGCCAATATAATTGGCGTCGGGGATAACGAGACCTTCGTCATCTGTGTAGTCTCCATTGCCGGCTTGGATGAGGCGGTTTCGTTCCTCCGCCGATGAAAGAATTTTATTCCATCGCGAGGCTATGCCCCCTAGGAAACGATGGGCAAATGCCGATGTGTAATTTGCGCCATTTTCCGTCCACCCGTTTGCAGGGTTGTACAAATTCAGGGCGCTGTTGATTTCGGCGCCGGTGGATTCATTCTTGATGGCTGGATTCACAGACAAGAGAGTCATAGTCGATAGACCAAAGTTGGCATCGATCAGGAGAACGCCATCTGCAGCGGGCAGGCCGTCTACTGCTGAGGAGCAAGGGTAGATTTTCTCTGTGCCGTTGCAGGCAGATGCACCATTTTCTGCGACGTTTTGGTATGCGGCCATCATAGCACCACCGCCAGAATGACCCCACAGAACGACCTTATCGATACTAGGGAGGTTGTTCAGGTACTCGACACCGGTACCAACATCGGTCATCATGGTCTCAAAGTCAAGATCGTTCATAAGACCGGTTTTGCTTTGCGCATTGTTGAGGCAAAGAGTCGTATAGCCGCGGACAGGAAGCTCGCTGCAAGGGTAGAAGGTGGTGTAGTCTTGCTCAGCATGCATAACAAGAACGGCTATCTTTGCCTTGGCTGGATCCTGGTGCAACTCTGGACGAAACAAGCCGCCGATAACTCCCGTGCCAAAAGTCACAAGAGATGGAATCGGCAGGCTGTAGTTGCCCAAAGACGTGGACGTCATCTGGGTTCCAAGAAGACCAGACGAGACATTATGATGACTCGCTATAACAACGGAGTTGGCCGCCAGAAGGCTAGCGAAGAGCTTTAGATTCATGGTAGGTGTATGTCAACCTTGTGACTGGGATGATGAGTGGCTTGTGACACAACAGATGCTGGAAACTATTTGAACCGAAGCCAAAGGTCGACTTCGTGTTATATATACATCAATTGAGTAAATTCGGAATCCCCTGAACATTGATACTCACCAGTGTTCAGGTTGTCAGGTTATTGCTGCGTCAGCTGCGTGGGTCATGGCAGACGTCCTCCCATAGCAAGTATGCAGGCACAGAGCTAAAACAAAGATCTTCACCAGTTGCCGTCAAATGGGGGAAAGTCTCCGCAAGAAGACCACTACGGAGCTTCTCAAAATTAGTGGGCCTTTTGGAATATCTCGGACCTCGGGGCAGGCTTTGGCTTGAAATAGAAATTGAAACCGAGATCCACCCTTCCGCGACGGACCCGGGGACCCGTTGTTCGGCAAATTTCTTAATTTCTTAGATTCCGGGCAGATCCCGAGGCGACTGCCTAGTTGTTGACTTCGAATATTTGCCTTGCTTTCAAGGGATTTGCTCACTAGTTCAACTTCGTTAGGGTGGGTGGCTGAATTTGATTGGGACCAATGCTACCCCCGTTTCATAGCCTGCGAGTGATATGTGTTCCATGCGCAGAAGACCTGAAAAATACTAGTCGGGGCAACAATTCTTGGTGTTGGTATTTGATCAAAAAGCAGATTATCTCGAGTGCTTGGATTGAAATGATCAAATGGAGGAAGCACGATTACATTCTTAGATGAGCAAAGTCCAAACTGGGCAATATCATAGCTTCCAGGCAATTTGACTATAACTTTTCGGCCAAACACCCGATTTTCCAGGGGCTATGATCCCATTAGGATCTACCGCGTTCTTGAGAATCTCATTGAACTTGAGGAAACTGCCGTTGTTCCAGTTGTATGTTCCCATGATCTGATCCATGACAGCCAGATGAGTTCGATACTCGCCCCATCCGTTGGCGGCACAGTCTTCAATGAGCGTTCGGATCAGCCACTGAACCTTTTTCTTCTGAGCAGTGTCTTTTTTGTTGAACACAATGCAGACAATGTGGTCTAGAAAGTGATAAAGCTATTAGTCATATCTGGCGATAACCTTGGAATGGGAGGATATGTCGAGTGTAAAAACTCATGACGTACGCATTTCTCTCATGCCGACAGTAAATGTGCCAATGAAGTCCAAACCAGCCTCTTGACATCTCCTTTGGGTTAATCTATACTGCATCATGGCATCCTCCCCTGCCACCTTTGCAATGGGCGAGAAGAACAGATGGGCGCCATTGGGGAGCCAGTCAATCCATTTGAGTTCGTCGTATGTTGGGATGCCTTGCATCGTCTTGTCGCGGACACGAAGGACCGAGTTCTCGGGGGTATCCTCTGGGAAGTAAAACTTAACCCCTGGAATAACCGAGAATGCCTCTTTTATAGTTTCCCAGAGGGCATTACGGATCCGCTCGGGTCCCTATCCAATATTAGCCAATGGTAGTGTAGGGTATCCGATTAGAAACTCACATAAAGAGCTCCATAGAAGTTCCACCTTCCTAGGTTGAGTCGCTTTGTGATTTGGTTCAAGTCTTCATCAGACAAAGGCTCAGTCTTCGATGAATAGGATGCCTTGTTGCCCAGCACTGCTGCATCTAAGAGAATGTGGCGAATGGTGGGTACATTCTGAAGAGCCATATTCAAACGCAGGGGTCGAACGATGTCGACTGCTTGTTTTAAATCATCATCTTTGGGCAATGTGATCAAGTAGGATTGATATCCACCCGGATTTGGCATCAGCCACATGCCAAGCTTTGTGACGATTCCCATGTTAGATTGGCTGAATATTCCGTCAACATATGGGCCAAACCCATAGGGGAACAAATGAGCAGTCTTGTTCCAGGGCTGGTCTTCCGGCTTCAAGCCCATGGTCTCAGGGCGTTTGGGGTCCGGCAACGCACCCATGCCAGTCCGAAGAAGCTCCCCGTTTGGTAGCACGACCTCCATACCACAGTGCATCATCCAATGATCTGAAGCATTGTGAGTATGTGTTGATCAAGGCAAGAGGTTCAACTCGTATCATCGTGACTGACCTCCGTATGGCGTGTAGCCTACTCCTCGCTCAGTCGCATTGCCGAGAACCGAGCCACCACCAAGATCTGGTACATCAAGCCACAGTTTGTCCTGAAGGTTGTTGGCCACTAGGTAGTCGTACAAAGCGTGGAATGTCACACCTTCGGAACCCTGGATTAGAACCCCAACTTGTCGAGTATAAGTGAAGCCCTCGACACTTACCGGGTTCCACCAGGCAATATGCCCCTTCAACATTGACCTCTAGCACTTTGTTGAGGTTTTTCCCCATATCCACCACGATGCTGCCGCTGACCCGTGGCGCAGCACCTCCATATCCCGAATTCCTTCCGATAGAGATAGGCCAGAGTGGGAATGAGATCTTGTTGGCAAGTCTCACAATAGATCTGGGACAAGAAGTCAGCATTTCCTCTCAGCGCCCGATGAGAAGGCCCTGGGAATACATACTGTACATCCCCGACATTGCGAGGAGCAACGATTGCTGAGGCGAGAAAGAAGTCCTGCTCCAAGATATGATGGGGATCATGTGAGTGCTTTGGGCTCATGTATGTGCCGTCCTGAATCTGATTCTTGGAAGTAATGATTTCCACGTTCTCCACCCCCACTAGTTCGATAATATCTAGAATAAATTCATTGAAATCGCCGTTGGTCAACTTCGGTGGCAACACCAAGGGTTTGAATTTCAACGGTGGCGCAGATGATCCGGTGTTGGGCATGACGAAAAGTGTGAGTTGTGAGGGAAAGAGGTCGAGCGTACAAGACTGAGAAGACTATTTGAAGGCACTCATGGTACTTTTATCCCGCCACTAGTCCTCCCGGCAGTGGATGTCGTACGAGCCACATCCTACAGCCAACAGTTGGCTCTGTCGTCACTACAAATCATAGTGAAGTGGAGATCTTTCGTTGGGCTGTGGTCATTCTCCGCCTGGTGAAACAGGCTATGTTCTTCATAATCTATGAAGATGACCCCACCAGAGAGTAGGACCGGGCATTTGGCACGAATCAGAGCAAGCCTGAGTCCCCCCGGGCTCCCCCGGGCGGCAACCTACGGGAACCCCCACCCCCGCTCCCGCTCCGAGAGTGGAGATTCGTATCCATTCCCTTTCCACATGCCACGTTCCCGGCGCAAGCTATGCCCAGACTCCAACAGCTCTGTATAACCATTCTCAGCATCGATATGGACTGCCCGTCCGCACCGCCAAGCTCAGATCCCACAGCGGTAATCCGGCTCACGCCCTTATGACCTAGTATGGTTTGGCACTGGCCAAGGTAGCCACGGGCAGGTGAGATATCGGCCCCGCAGAGGCCGGTCACTTCAAATTCAACGAGAGCCTCTCCGGCCTTAAGGGAAGGGACGATCTTGTGCAATTCAAACGAGAAGTCGGGGCCTTGCTATGCAACGGTGTTGCTGTCAGAGACCTCCATATTCATGACGCGTAATGAAGGAACTTCTTCCTACATCCTGAAGAACAGCAGCCATCTTCTCGGTTTGTAGCTTTTCTCTAATGGAGCTCATTGCAAGCAACCTGGGACAACATATGTCGAGGGTAATGAGTTTGCAAACCATGGATCTTGTTTATCAAAGAACGGCAACCCTCTTTGGTATTGAAATGGCAAGAAGCTTGTGCTGTAAGGGGGTGGGATAGGGAAAAGGTTTGAAGATGAGCAGGACCTATGTGAGCAGTCAGTTTGCATAGTCTCCAAAATCTACCTCCCCCGCCGGCATTCCTCTACCCACGGCATGCATTTTACACTTGCTGTCCATCGCTACCGCTCACATGATTTCGCACTATTATTGTTGAGCAAGTATTTGCTGTTTCTTCTCGCAATATTGCTGATAGCTCATTGCTGGTTTGCGCGATCGCGATCGCTTCTTGTTTGCACGCTCAGTACGCAGGCTCAATTTTGGGGCATCTAATGACCCAAAGATCCTTCTAAAAAAAATTACCTTTGCTGGACTCTGCTTCCCCGTAGTCAGCTTTCTGCCTCTTCAAGAATCACCCTGTACATTGCGCTGGTGAACAAATAAAATGCCACAACACATGGATTCGGGCGAACATTGAAAACAATGAAAGGCTCTCTGTACCCCGATCTCCAGTAAACATGGGATTGTCTGCACAGTGAAGTCATTTAGGACGGTGAATTTTCTAGTTGAGGGAATATTCACCAGCTGTGCGGAAGCATCGGGTCGGCAGTTCCTCGTCTGCAAGGCTGAGCTGGCAAGATGATGTCGAAGCTTAAAATAAACCGACATGATTGGCCAACATCTGGATTGCCTCTTTGGGAAATGGTCATCTGTGGGGCAAGGCACGCCCAGGTGCATCCTCATGGAGGCTTTCTCAATCCACGATAGGCTCGTCGGGTTTACGCTTAGCATATTCACACCTACCATGACCATGTGCTCTGGATCTGCTCACGAATAACGCAGAGGTTGCTTTTCGGGCATGGGGCCAATCACTTGGTTACCTAAAATAGACTAAAAGCTAAGCCTTGGAGAGCTTGGCCCGCATCCGCCCGACATTAGTGTATTGAACAAGCTCCATCCTGCCCCATTTATTGCATGGATGGGCTTCTTCGGTTTTTGCAAGGTTGATGCGGCTGAGGGTTTGGGGCCACAGAGCGTAGGTATCCATAGGGCTCCACAGCTTCAACTTTGGAAATTGGGGGCCGTTCGCGGCCCCCGGACAGTCCGTGGTATATATAAACACCAGTCTCGCGCGGAATTTGGTTCTCACTTAATACAAACCTTGGAGATTCCACCTGAAGCCTCCGGAGGTTCTTCTCCTTTCCAGGGCTGTTGTTCTTTCTTTCAAAAGTTCTTCTCATTTATTAAACAATAACTGGACTTGGAACCTCTGCAACATCAATCATACCTACAAGATGCTCTTCCCGCTACTAGCTGCCTCGGCCTTATTGGCCATTGCCGATGCTCGTTCTGTTCCGACCGGCTCGTCTTTCTCCTCAGTTAAATGGTCAAATTGCACAATCGCCCTCCCGTCACCTGGCTTCGACTGCGGAACCCTCGAGGTACCAATTGACTGGGATATTCCATCTGGCGCAAAGGTCCAGCTTGGAATGTTGCGCCACAAAGCATCAAAGCCATCGCGAAGGATCGGCAGTCTGTTATTCAACCCCGGCGGCCCTGGAGATAGTGCGGCCGTCTACGTGGCAGCCGGAAGCACACTATTTGGCCAGGATATCACCGATCGATTCGACATTGTTGGACTCGATCCTCGAGGAGTCGGCCTCAGTTCTCCAATCCAATGTGACCCTGAACTATACAATCAGCGGGTCTCCAACTGGCCGTCAAATCAAACCGAGCTTGATTCGTTGGTCCAAAAGTACCAGAAACTCGGCGAGAGCTGTCTGAATATGACCGGGCCATTGGTTAAGCATATGGATTCGATCAGCGTTGCCAAGGATATGGAAGCCATTCGTCAGGGGCTGGGTGATGAGAAGCTCAACTACATTGGACTCTCATATGGAACATTGATCGGACAAACATACGCCGAACTCTTCCCCGAAAACATTCGCACAATGGTTTTCGATGGCAATATGGATCACAGCACGGATCCTATCTCTTACCTGACCGTCAAATCATTCACCTACGAGAGCGAATTAATCCGCTTCGCTGATTGGTGTAGCAAGAGCAAGGTGTGCCCGCTGAACGGTACCTCCTCTGACGTTCTGAAGGTCTTCGATGACCTTGTCAAACAAGCAAACAAAAGCCCTATCCCCGCGCCCTCATGCAAGACCAGTGGATGCCGCGAGAATGTGAACGGCGAAGAAATCCAGAACAACCTGAACTCACTACTGTTTGTCAAATCTGGTCTCCTTGCAACTTGGACAAAGCTTGGACAGTACCTTCTCGAAGCCAAACAAGGAAACGCCACAGGACTCTCCACCACAATCGCCACGAGCTCAAAGTCCGATTCGTTCGCGAGTGACGTGATCAGCTGCTCTGACTGGTATCACCCGGAAGCCTCCCTCGTGGACCTCAACGATAAGAGAGATCTTGCCCGCAGCCTGTGGCCGCATGTTGGTACAGGTGACTATGGGCTCAACCGTTGCATCGGATGGCCCTTCCCCCAGGTCAACAAGCAACGCAGAGCGAATATTCATGGAACGCCCCGCCTTCTGCTTGTCAATTCACAGTTCGATCCGTCGTGCTCGTATATCTGGGCGAACGGGCTCCAGGAGCAGATTGAAAACAGCACTCTACTCACGCGCCGAGGTGATGGCCACACGTCGTACGTGTTGCATGGTGAAACATGGGGTGCATTGAATGCCTATATTGCCAACCTGACGATTCCTGCCGACAACACTGTCCTCAACAGCTAAATTAATCTTCCCCGTGCCGTTTTATGTATACCCATTGGTAATTTTGCGTGCTCGGAATGCTATGTTGACGGGGATTTTGGGTGGCTGTCTTTCTAGGTGTCTTTCTGAGTTTTTTTCCAACTGGTTACTAGCTATTAAAACTTCCTCTCTTATTTAGCACCATCATCGAGTATTTATGGTTGGTAAAATAAAGATTCTCGGCTAAGCCGTGAACAGAGAATTAGGGATTCGGGATTTCGATCGCTCCTCAATTTCTCTCTCTCGCCCCTTCTCTCTCCAGGTTTCTCCAGGGCTGACAGTAGATGCTCTTGATGATAGCCTACACCCTTGCTCTTGTTCAATGTCAAACATAGCAGAGCCGTCTATGCTCGCTCTTGATTATGGAAATACCAATTATGTTTTGTATTTATTTACATGCCATGTAGTATCTCACTTGCAAAATCACCCAATCAAGTCGGAAGACTCAATTCAACGGATCCTCCCACCTTTTCCTGGATCGAAGCCAGGACATCAGGCATGCTTGAGGCAAGCCCAATGTTGTATTGTTGAAAGGACGTTCCTCCCCAAAGCAAACCACTGACCTCGCCCCATTGACTGAGGACAAATGAACCAGAGTCACCGTCCTTGCAGAATGCAGGATACGAATTGTCATTCCCATCAGGTTTTGCACCCAGAATAATGAACTCTTCAGTTGGACCAGAATATATATGCCCATTTCTTCCGCTCGGGGTGTTTCTGAGGGTTTCCCAGTTGCAATATGCCTTTGGTCCATTCACAACACCTGCCGCCAGGCCAGTAGAACGACCCTTCTTCAAGCAATAGTCTCCTTCTTTGAGTGAGACAAACTCTTTCAGGGGTTCTCCACTTGACAAGACTAGAGGAGGCAAGCGAGAAGGGTCCCAGTGATATGGTTCCCATTCATAAGGGACTGATGGCATGTAGTTCGGTCCGAAGAATTTCTCCGCATCTTTGGACAATTCGACAAACGCCCAATTCATGACTCGACCGTCACGAACCTCTTTTCCGGAGACAAACTTTACTTCTCCCAACGGGTATGGCATGCTTTGAACTGTCTTTTGCCGAAGTGACCATTCTTTAATCTGATGACCTGCCCTTGAAACCATCTCCAGATCCTGGGAATCTGGTTTCACTGGGCAATTTGGTGTTGCTCCGAGTAGTTCTCATTCCTGCTCTCTTGCACTGAACCCATTTCTGAAATCGCGCATTGCCGCCAAATATTTTGAAATATTGGTAGCGGTTGCATCTGTGTCAATGCGCGCTGGGGATTCCATTGTGATTCTTCTGACCAACCGTTCGGGAGATGAGCCGAAACGGTCGAGTCTTTCGAGGAAGTGGCTGTTGTCAGCTGGGCGCTCAGACGGTCTGACCACATGATAATCGGTCAAAAATCCTCTCCGAACGACATCCCCGTGAATGACATCCCGTTGGGTTAATGTAACAAACCCGCCAAGTGTGCCGGCACTTCTGCCTCCTTGGATTCCGATCGAGGATCCCATTCGGGGAACCTCTTCCTTAACTTTCTGCGTGAGAGGAATGCCACCGTTGAGGACTGAGAAGCCACCAGGCAAGAATTCGACGTCAAAGTTGTCCGCTTGCATGTGTGGTAGGACTTCAGACATGATTTGAAGTCGCAGCTCATACCAATTCGCAATTGTCCATGGCTCTATAAGTACCACAATTGTCGGTTGCGCCTTTGCCGCAGTGGGACCAACATTGAATGGGCATATCATGTTGAAGTCCGAGCCAGTTGATTGAGTAATAATGGCGACAATCCTGTCCTTGACCCGGTCGTATGCTTTGACGAGAGGGTGGTCTGAAGCGATATAGAAAAATGATGGTCGGTGGCAGAACTTGGGGTTCGCAATTTCGACATGCACATTGAGGTTGTGTCGGCGGAAGAGATTCAAGATTTGGTCTTTGATGGGGCCGAGAGGGGAGGTGTTGAGACTCGAACCATCAAGGAAGACACCAAAAATGTCGACGGGGATGTCTCCACGGGGATATTCCGGCTTCGTCATTCTCCAGCACCGATACATCTTCATGCCCGGTAGATGGTGTAGGTGCAGTATCGAACTGACTTCAGGGTAGAGTGGCCTGAGCACACTCTCAAGGAAAGGGAGATGCTCGAGTTTCACTGGTGAAGGAAACCGATTGGTGATACTAGTCGATCTGTAAACTTCCACGCACTGCAGATAGTGCTCAAGGCTCATTTCTCCTTCCGCGCCCTCGGAGTCGCGAAGGTGGCGGCGCCTTTCTATAGGTGACATGGGAGGAGGAAAAAGGGCCGGAAGGCCGAAGAGACGGTACCGAATCATTCATGGCGCAAGAAAGAGAAGTTGAGAACCGGAAAGGAGCAGGATGAAAAGGAAGAAGATGAAAAGAAGAGAACAACGAAATTGTAAAGAAAGGGCCGCTTCCGCTCTAGGAAACAGAGGCCATTCTCACAAATGGAAGTGGAAGGTTTGACGGTTGAGATGGCAGGGAAGACCCTCATATATTCAACCTCCCTCTTCTCTCTTCTCTCTTCTTTCTCCATTCTTCCCCAGTTTAGTTTCTCCGTGGCAATAATATTACCACAATCATTACTGGCCTTCACTATTGCACCCCAGAGGTTGACGGCTACGTACCATGGTTCACACTGTTTACATCATTATTCAAAACTTGGTCATATTGTTTGACCTATATTGCGGTCCTATCCCCGATTATGGAGGATTAGGAGAGACCGACTATGAACCCTGTCAAAATGACCGAGTCAAAAATATGACTGATCAAAGGACTATTGAAAAGACTGCTGAAAGGACTACTCAAAGGACCTCTCCAAAGACTTCACGAATTAACAAACAACTCTATCTCTTCAGCTGATCAGCAACAAAATCGCTCAAACCAGCCACCCTTGTGCAAATGTTCTCAATGCTGTCAGACCCAACGATATCCAGAACGGGTATATCTGCACCAATATCCTTTTTCATCCAGGATCGGAATTCGACTGCAACTAGAGAGTCAACTCCGTAGTCACTTAGCTTCTGATTGGCATCCACATCAGCAGATGGAATCGACAGCATGCTCGACAACTTCGCTTGAATGGCGTCCAAGACTATCTTCGTCGCTGCATCGAAAGATTCCGCTTGCTTCAACTTGTCCGACGTAGAGTCCTTGATATCTTGGTGGAGACCAGTCTGAGCACCACTACTCTCCTGGTCGTGGTGTGGTTTGGAACCGCCACGGACGTGGGTCCAAAGTGCGTGTCGCGCATAAGCAGGAACTTCGGTGTCGCTCTTCCGTGGCTGCAAGATCTCCACTGTGTCGAGCCCTAGCACGATCTGATGAGCACCTGGGCGGCCAACGGGGGAGTTCTCCGGGTGGAGACAGTACTCCAAGGCTTGGAAAATATCTTTTTCGTTGAGTCCGTCCGCCTTGGCAGACAGATGAGAGCCAAGGTTTCGCTTGGAGGTGAGATTCTCGGCCACATATCCCGCCGATGTGACTACGCCCAGATCGATGCTGAAAGTCGGCATTCCGAGGTCAGAGCGATAACGAGCAAGTTCATCCTGGTAAGTATTACCAGCAGCGTAGTTGCCTTGACCCATGTTTCCCATGATGCCGCAAACTGATGAGAGCATCACAAAAAAGTCCAGATCTTGGGGAAGGACGGAGTGAAGATTCCAGGACCCTTGTGCTTTGGGCGAGACAGCGGCATTGAAATCATTCAAGGTCATAGTGTTGAGACTTGCATCCTGTCGATTGATGAATGCCTGAGGCTTACTAGAAAGGGCAGGCAAAAGACATACCTTGAGTTGCATGGCAGCTTGAATACAGCCTCTGATGGGGGGTAATTGAGACAGAGATTGTACAGCCTCATGGAGACTTTGGAAATCCGTAATATCGCATTTTACTATCGTAGCGGTGCAGTCTACCGTGCTCAAGTGATCGATTAACTGCTGGGCCTCAGGGGTTTCACCACCGGATCGGGATAGGAATATCAAACTTTGAGCACCGATACTGGCCATCCATTTTGCTACAGAGCGCCCCAAACCGCCGAGGCCGCCTGCTATGACAAACGACGCATCAGCCGGAAGCTTGAGCTCTGACGGTACAAATGGAAGGGTCTAGGATTTGACATTAGTTCACGATCTATCGAAATGGAGGACCGCAGCCTAGCTTACCAAGACAATGTCGTCCTCAGAAGAGACCAAAACCATCTTCCCTGTTGATTTTCCGGTCTGTAAGCGCCTAAGAGCCTGTCCGGCCTCGGAGAATTTCAAAGTAGTGATGGGTGAAGGAGGGGAGATGATCCCTTCTAGATAGAACTGAAGAGTGTCTTCCAACAAAGTCTGAATCGCAGACGGCCGAAGTTTGATCATCTCGACAAGGTCGACTGCTGCAAATATAGAGCCTCCTGTAAACGGCTTCATGTCAAGTTTTCCGTTGCCAAATATATCGCGTTTCCCAAGCTCGATGAATCTTCCCAAAGGCGCAATGCAGCTCCATGAGTGACGTAGAAGTTCACCACCGAGGGAGTTCAAGACAACGTCGACCCCTCTTCCAGAAGTAACTCGCTTAATTTGCTTCGCGAAAGTTGCGTCTCTACTGTAGAACACATGGTCTTCCGGGATGCCGTAAAGATCCATCACAAGTTTCCTTTTTTCAGTGCTGGAGACAGTCGTGAAGACCTCAGCCCCGACCGACTGAGCATACTGGATGGCTGTTTGCCCCGTACCACCAGAGCCAGCATGTATGAGAACAGTCTCACCCTTACCGAGGCGAGCCACATCCCGAAGGGAGTAGATTACCGTGCAACCAAGGGCGGGCAGTGCACTGGCGGTCTCAAAGGACAGGGTATCTGGGATCTTGAGGGCGAGAGAGTCTCTGGTTCGACAAAACGTCCGAAGAGTTCCACTTTCACCAGGATCAGAGAAAACCATGACCCTATCGCCGACTGACAAGTTTTCCACCCGAGTTCCTACCTGGGTGACGACGCCAGCCCCTTCGACCCCAAATTCTGAGTTGGGGATATCACCCATGGCCACCAGAAGATCCATGAAATTGATTCCAACGGTCTTCATCTCGACCTCTATGTGGGATTCCCCGAGAGGGAATAGTGATGTCTGGTCGTCGACAAATGCGAGGCTATCAAGCTGCCTCATACTCTGAGCAATTAATTTCAACCCCCCGTTTGAATGGTCGACCAAAACTTCTTGTAGCCTTCTGGAGTGATTGATGATTGTCATCACTTCTACCAGTCAATGTGTTCATGATTCGGGACTCTTTCAACCGCGCAATCTCTAAGCGACCTCCCTCCAATCTATATTGCTCGTTTGGTTGGGCAGATCGAATAAGAAATTGGCGATAGAAGACATCACAGACAGTACTTTGGAAGAGATTTTGAGGGTTCGTTCGTGTGTTCATATCAAGCGTGGTCAGATTGCGATCACTCGACAGGCTTTCCGATCTTGCCGTTCGTAAGAGACCCGCACTCATTGCGAATTGAGGGGTTCCATCGTGAATCGATACCCACAACAAGTTGTTGGCTGTATTCAAGATTCGCTTGATATCTTCAAAGTTCTGTTCAGATGTAGCTTCCCAGAAGGAGAGCGAAATATCCGCTAGGACGACGTATACAGTATCTTGAACTTCGTCCTGCAGAGCCTCGGCGAGTGTGACCACGCGGCTGTCTCCAATGCCAAAAGACTGCACTAGATCATCACTGATGTACGCAGATCGGTCGCCGGTTGTCTGTTCCTGGCACAGATCAATGATGGATGTTGTAGTGAGAGGGAACTGGCCCTTTCGTTCTTCTGCTGCCCCAGCGACGATTATACTTGAAATGTGCGCATTTTTATCGCTGCTATCAGGCAGCACATGGTCGGCCCCGGTAAATCCATTTCGTCGGAGGATATGGTTCCACGATGTCTCATTCAGCAACGGCCCCATTGCCCTAAATGAATCCTTGGAGGACCACCATCCGGGAAGAAGTCCAAATGAGAATGGCAGGAAGCAAAACTGAGGTGAAACGAGCTCATGAAGAATCAATCGACCATGTGGCTTTAAAAGAGAACGAACATTTCGCAGCGTGGTGGAAAGTGATTTTGTCGCGTGCAGCACATTCCCGGCGACAACCAGATCAAAGGAACCCAGCTCCAGTCCCTGTTGGACTGGATTTCGCTCCACATCAAATGTCGTGTAATTCATGATCCCCTGCCAATCTTCGAAGAACCTTGATGCCTCTTCCATGAAACCGGCCGATATATCTGTGAAAACAAATTCTTCGACACTCCAAGGAAGACCACTCTTCAGTGGACACAGCGAATTCAGAATGTGAATGGTGGTTGACCCTGTTCCCGCTCCAATCTCCAAAACGCGGAGCCCATTCCGTTGATGCCCCAAGTAGCCGAGATATGTTGCAAGATGATTGGGAAGGTTACCAGCCTCAAATACCTCTCTGTAAACCGCGTTCATAAGATCATCATCACCAAACATTAGTTCCAGTGGATCTGCTTCTCGTTGAAGGATGCGAGGTAGATTGAGCCCCATTTTGACACAAAGACGTCCATTGGCACTAGTCGCACTTAGAGCTTCACACAATGAATGGAATGAATCGGGGGTTTGGTATTGATCCTGCAGAGCCTTGGGGGTGATCAAAGGATGCTCCCCAGACTCAACGGTGTCAAGAAATTGGCGCATCCAACCCATGTAGTCATTGAAATATGCCGGTAGATTGTTATTTGCGATACAGTCCTCGAGGTCAGGAAGAATGCCTTTGATGAAAAGGGTAGCTGTGAGCTCCAACCGCTCAAGTGAAGGGAACCTTCCCGAGGAATGATAGTCAAGATTCAAAAGTTCCTCTTGTTTTATGCTCTCCAGATCCTGCTTCCAGTCTACCCAGTGGCAGGCAGCGCTTCTATCAAGGGTTCGATGACTTGAATCCACATGGGTAAGATCGACGTTCGTGAATCGAACCTGCATTGTTGAAGTCGACTTATCCCATAATGTGATGTCGCTTTTCAACGTCGTCAAAGATTCTTGGTGCGTAGCATTGTGACACAGAAACTCGTGGCCAGGCTCGCTCCTGATATTTGACGAAATCCAAACTTCTCCAATATGTGTTGGAAGATACATGTCAAAGTCCGAGTCTTTGCCCTTGAAACTCGAAACAGAGCCGTAGACCGAGTGCATTAGCGAGTCTAACATTGCCGGATGCGCAATGTGTGGGTACACAGCTGCATGTGGCATACTTTTCGCGATGTCAGGAATAGTCACTGTCCCAAGGAAATCACCCACTTCGTTCGCGCCATGATGAATCTTAGCTTCGGAAAGATTACGGAACAATGGACCGAACCGAATGCCGACATCTTCGGCCTTTTGATAAATTTTATCAAAATCAATCGAGGCCCGACACAATCGTTGTTTCTCACACAGTAGTTGCTCTGATGTCATGGTCTCGACAGAAATCTCGCGCTGCGCGTCAAAAATCGTGCTCTCTCTCTCATATTCAACGGAAACTTGCCCGGTGCAGTGAAGATTCCATTCGTCGCGATCTTCATTGTAGGAGCGGATGAAGAACTGTCTCCGGGAATTTGACGCAGTGGTGCTGAGATCCATGATGGGCACGAACGAAAGCATGACCTCCACTCCAGCAGCTGTGTCAGGTATGATGAGGGCGGAGGATACATGCAAATCTTGCAGAGTGAACCCGCGCAGAATCTTCCCATTTGACGCAATCTGATTTTGAGCCTCTATTACCATGGCAATGTGACCGACGGCGGGATAAATCACTTTGCCTGAAACCTGCAGAATATTAGTATTCAAATACGGATCGATCTTTGTCTTAGCTTACCACATGATCCATCAACCATGGATTCTCCGAGATACGGAGAAAATGTCTCCATTTTGGCTCATCCTCATTCCAATCAGGAACAGGCGCACCCAAGATATCCTTCCTTGGTTGTTCCCGTAATCTATAATTTCGACTCAACCGGCTTTCAGTCCAGTATGACATGTGATGATCGAAAGAGTAGGGTGGAATAGAGGTTGAGAGTTGTGGCTTCCTCGATCCCGAGAGAGAGCAGCTTTGCGAGAAAGCAGGGAGGTCCACCGGATGACCCTTTTCCCAGAGTGAAGCAACAGCGCGTTGTAATACACTTGAGGACAGTGAATGGCGAGTCATAATGCTTGAGTAGCTGAATGCACTACACTCATCTTGGTTCAATGTTTCGCTGATTGCGCTCTTGAGTACAGAGTGAGGCCCTATTTCAAGAAGATTGACAGGCTGAGTCGTAGACCGCACCATTCCTCGTATCGCTTGCGCGAAATGGACAGGGAAGGCCAGGTTCGTCGTCCAATAGGCAGCTGTCCCTGCAAAATGCCGGTCGACCTTTCTGCCCGTGACGCTGGAAATCATGGTCACGGGAACATTGTATTCGAGCGTTTCGTGGTCATCTTCGATATTTCCGATGAGCCGAAGATAGTCTGCAACAACGGCTTCCATGTGGGATGAATGATATGCGTTATGCACGCTCAAATGTTTTGCCATCACGCCATCACGTTCCATAACCTCCTGCAACTTCATCAGAGCTGTCTCATCTCCAGAGACCGTGAAGTTCGATGGGGAGTTGACACATGCTATCGTCAGAGATCCCCCTGGGACTTCAGAATCAATGTATTGCCTGAGAGTCTGCTCGTCTGTTTTGACTGCCATCATGGACCCTTCTTTGCTCTCCTGTTCTTTGGAGACAACGCCTCGGTAGTAAGCAATTCGCCAGGCTGATTTGCGACTAATTAGACCGGCTGCATAGGCTGCTGGAATCTCGCCAGAGGAGTGCCCGACGACTAAAGTCGGAACAACATTCCAACTGCGCAAGAGGTCGACCGCAGCAATCTGAAGAATAGTGCAAAGTGGGTGAGCCAGTGTAGGGTCTTCTAGATGTAAAGAGTGGTCACGCGATATCAAGAGGTCTGCTAGAATTAGAAGACTGACAACCCAACATGAGGGTTTTCACGTACCAACAGCACTCCATTCTGCTCCTAAAGCGTCACAGAGATACCGACTTGCTGCGTCAAGACTATCTCTGTATGCAGCAAATCGATGGAGTGGAAGGCCCATTCCAAGCCACTGCGCACCTTGTCCGGTAAACACGAAGCCCAGAACGGGTGAAGAGCTATCACACTTTACTGCTTGTACATTAGAAATTGAATCAATCAGCTCTGCAATGCTGCTGGCTGAGCTCGATGCACGCCAGGAAAATTGGCTTCGTGTGCTTAAGCTGTATGACAAGTCGTTCAAGAAATCTGCATGGCTCAGATCCTCAGATGCAACTGGAAGTGAGGCTATGTGCTCAGCCAAGCGACATGTCACTCTCTCAATTCCATGCTCGTCCGAAGCACTGAAAATGAACGGCAAGGCTGGCTTGTCATTCTTGTCTCCAGAATCCTCAGCATCTCCCTGGTTGGGGTCATCATTGCCTTTATTGGGTTCAAGATCCAAGGGATGAGAAGGTAGCCCCGAAGCATGATCTACCATCGCGTTGACCTCGTTTAGATCAGGGGGGTCTCTTGTTGTTCTGTGGGGCGCATGCAGGTTTCTCATTTCCATAGAATGAAGGGCATCACCAAGCACAATGTGTCCATTGCTACCCCCAAAACCAAACGAATTGACCGACGCAAACCTGGGGCCTTTGGTTGGCCATGTTGTCGCTGACGTCGGAAATATAACATTCCATTCGGTGGAATTGATTGCCGGGTTAAGTTGTTCGAGGTTTACGTTTGGGGGTATCACACCGGATTCGAGGATGAGTATGGTTTTTATCACGCCCAAGATTCCCGCAGCACCCTCAGTATGACCCAGAACTGACTTTACAGCACCGATATATAAAGGATGATCTGCAGGACGACCTTTGAAGGCGGACACAAGAGCGCGGACTTCGGTCGGGTCCCCAACTGCAGTACCGGTACCGTGTGCCTCGACATAGGACGTGTATTTATATCCAAGATCCGCACATCTGTAGGTATCGCGCACAAGCTTTTCTTGGGCCTCAGACGATGGTGCAAAGATCCCTCTCGTACGCCCATCGTGGTTCGCTCCGCTGGCGTGAATGACTGCCCGAACAGTGTCGCCATCGCGGACCGCGTCGGACAGACGTTTGATCACAATCGATCCAAGTCCTTCGCCCCGGGAATATCCATTTGCTCTTGAGTCAAAGCTGTAGCTCAGACCATCCGGGGACAGGGCGCCTAGTTTGGTCAGGTCTTGACAGATGCGTGGGTCGCATATCAAATTGACACCCGATGCGATTGCCTAAATACAATTTCAGCGATGAAAATCGCCAATGAAAGTAACATCGCGGTGTGGAAACATACCGTGTCGCACTCATTCAATCGAAGGTTTTGACATGCCATGTGTAGCGCAACGAGACTACTAGAGCAGGCTGTGTCCACAACTACACTGTTGCCCTTAAAGTCGAAGAACCAGCTCACTCGATTTGCAAGAATGGTATCGTAGGTACCAGTGATCTTGTATTTGAGCTGTTGATCTGGATCAGTCGCAAGAATGGATCGATAATCATCACAAAACGAGCCAACGTAAATGGAGGTGTTAGACCCTCTGGCTTGCTCCAGCGTTATGCCACCTAGCGGGGGACCTGTCAGCAGCATTTATTTAGAGATGACCGGAGCCATTGCAAACGAACCATTTTCTAACGCGTGATAGACATTCTCGAGCAAGAGACGCTGCTGAGGATCCATGAGGACAGCTTCGGTCTGCGGAATTCCAAAAAAAGGTGCATCAAAACGGGATATATCTTCTTTGAGAAAATGACCACCAGAGGATTTGATCTAGATGACTGTCAAGTCACATCCATGTCCAGGTCTCGGAAAGTGGAGAGTAAGGAACTTACGGTTCCTCCGCGTTCTGGGTCACTGTGAAAATGAGCTTGAAGGTTCATCCTATCTGCAGGAAACGGTCTCATCTGAGACTTCCCCTGGAGCAGCGTAGTCCACAACTTCTCGGTGTCCGCTGCGTCGTTGGAAAAGTTGCTAGCAACGCCAATAACCGCAATGGGTTCCACAGAGCTGGTTTCGGCCATGGTGATGTTAAAGCACCTAAGACGCAAGAGTCAGAGGTAGAATACAAAGATCAAAAATGATGAACGATTCCGATTTTCGTAGTCACGGCACTAAGATGATGAGTCTGGTTAGGACTGGACTTCTCTTTCCCCCATGAATTTATACCTTTGGGGACCATCTGATCATGCCTAGCTGGAGACAATGGCGTAGCGGTCCAAGTACCGAAGAGAAGATCATCGGTATACAGACTCTGATCCCTTTCATGCAAGTCGCTCAATTCTGAGTCTCTGCTGTGCGTTGAGATGCAAAGCTTTGTTTGTCTCAGATAGAGCAAGAAACGAGTAGGACACCTCGTGGGGTTGATGCTCAACCTTTGGACGAGTGGCAACCCCTATGGCCACGCCCGCCTCATGACAAGATTGGCTGCGTTGTAGTTCCAAGGTTTTCATCATTCGAGCCAACTATATTTGTCAAAAAGTAGGATCGATATTGCATGGTTGATCTGATAGTGCATTTCAAAACGCGAACCGTGCAAAGAGCGATGGCTTCTGATGCACTCTTGACCGTCTTCTTCAGCAACCTTGGAAATGGTGCCCATTTGTGACGTTCCTAGTTCCCGGGAAGATTGTGAAATTTGAAGATTACCATCTGATCGTTAGAAGCTGAAGATGGTCTGCAAGAATGTGAAGGTTTCTTCAGGGAATGTGTTGTTTTTGCTGGGATACATGAAGCTTTCCGATGCAATCAAGTGGAGACAAAAGGAGAAGAGGCCAATCAATTCTAACCTTGAGAATGCATAAAGTTGGTCTCTCCGACTGGAAGCGCAGGAAATTTCCCAAAAAAAGGGTCAAAGCATACATTAAGTTTGTTGACGATATGTAACAGTTCCTCACCGCTGCATTCGGACTTAGCGCGGTGAAAAGGCCATTATGGGTAAACACGCGTCATCCGTGAAGATATTCAACCAGATTTCGAATACCGATATCGGATCCTTGACGAGAACCTTTGAGCCTGCAAGTTGAGGGCGCATAGATAGATCATGATCTGCAGGGTGGATCCGGTATCCTGGTTCATTATCTTGTCGGGATGAGATCACCTGGCGATTTGATTTCCTGTAATTTCGTTCACCGCGATGCGCTGATGACATGGACGCTCACCTGAGTCGATGAAGACGCATCGGGATCACAACATGTTTGATCATCATCTGTGTGTAGAGTATCTAAACGAGATGCAACTGCAAGCACCGGGTTTAGACACCGGGATAATGACGCCTGAAGCCACCCGGGCACGAGTCATATGTATCCAAGTCAGGCGATCTCAGATGAAATGCTAGAGATGGGGCGAGCCCCGGTGAATCACTGGGTGTCCAGGATTGTGGTGGAGCAGGTGCTGCATGGGTTTCTGGGGCATTATGGTCACTCTTGAAGTGTTGAAATGTAGTTAGTTTGGTTAGAGCTTGACAAAAGTGGAGATAGGCAAAAGTATAGAGTTCGTTGTACAGATGCTGGTGCTCTCACACATCCGATGAGGTTGGCCAAGTGTGTAATGGCACAGGATGTTGCTCACCAGCTGAGGCTCACAGTCGGTCAAAAGAGACAAAAACTTCCCAAATCTGCAGACTTGGCCGAGTGGTTTAAGGCGGTAGGCAAGTAATGCCGAATCTATTCACACCGTTAATCCACTAACCTTTCCCCCAGACTTAAGTTCTCCTCACGAAAGTGGCGTGGGTTCGAACCCCACAGTCTGCATTTTGTTTTTGTTTGTTTTTTGCTTTTTAGTAATGTTGATTCATTTCCAAGGTTGTGACTGTTGGCTGTGCAAGATTTACACGACTGTGTTGGACATCCGGTCATTGACCGCACGCACAGTTCGTCTAACGCATCCCTCTCCCACAGCACTGTTGTCGAATCGAGCCGCAATCCACCTCAGCCAATCCGGTTGTGCTGCCGTCGTTACTGTATCGTGATCCGTATCGGGGTACACGCTCAACTCTATCTTGGACGTGGGGAAGGCCTCGCAAGTTTTGTTGAAGTCAAGATCAGTCATATTGGCAAAGACCAAGATATCTTGATCACCCTGTACAACGAGCATCGGTGCCGCCAGAGCGCGCGGCCCAACCCAATTGAATCAATCGTTCCAGTCGCGAGTGACTTCATGTGTTAACCAACTGGTATTCTTGAACCAGGCAGCGGTACCGATATCTGCTACCAAAGTTCCTCCGGAATCCAAGCATCCAGAGTTGAGTAATGGGAGTCGCGCCATTCCCACATCCGAGAGGTAGTCTTCTACCTTCAGCTGTGATGGAAATAGCCGCGAGATAGATTGCAGCAAGTACACTGCGATGGCGCCGGCTCCGGAATTCTTTTGTCCGACTCGAATGTATTGTTCCATCAACGTCAAGGGACGAAGCGCAGGTGCCATGGAGACAGCACCGATGAGTCCACCTGTGGCGTTTTCGGTTGCTTCGTACTCAGCTGCTCGCCAGGCTGCCAAACCACCTTCACTGTGTCCAGCAACCACCCACTCATGAGTGATTTGAGCACCGAGCTCTTTGCGGGTGGCCTGGATAGCAAACCCAACATCCTTGGCGTGTAGTCGACCTGCCTCGTACGTGAACCCTGGTGGTATGTGACTACCCTGTCCCGCCCAGTCTGGTGCAATGACGAGATACCCTTGTTGGGCTAGAGCAAATGGACCGCTCCAAGAGTAGTAGAGGGTCTTGTGGTTGGATGGAGCACACTGGCCAGTTCCGCCAGCAGTGCCGTGTGTGAAAACGACTGTTCGCAAAGGTCTGTTGCCCCCAACTGGGCTCGAGTAGGGGAATAAGACGTACCCAGTGGCGGGTATGGGATTGCCATGGATATCCTCGCTCATGTAGAAGATGCGGGAGAGACTCATGCCCCCGGGGATATCCCACATGGCGGTAACTTCGGTTGAGGAGAGGTCTTGCCATTTCACGACATCTCCAGCGTGATATGAAGAGAGATTGGCGGGGTTGTCATAGAAAGGATCGGTGTTGATATTGAAGGTAACCCATGACGCGGCTTCGGCTACCAGCAAGGCACGATATTGCTTCTGACACGCTGGATCACAGGAACTGAAAGACGACGCCGCAGATAGTGCGGTATCACTCAGGAGAAGCAAGGCGAGAGAAAGAAAGAAAATTGTGAAGATTATCCACATCTTGGGCGGCAGAGTTGATGAGAGCGGAAACAGGAAACAAAAGACTATGTCCGCTCCATTGGGCTGTGGGACTATTGGAGAGGAAATGAATTGAGAGGAAGGGAGGGAGGGGGAGAAGAAATGAGGGCGACGAAAGTAAGATAAATTGATGATTGTGAGCCTGACTCCCGAAGAGGTACCCTTAAAATAAACCATCTTGCCAGTCTCTATATGGTGCTGGGCTCGGCAGCCAAGTACAATTTAGCTCGCCTTCCTCTGTGAGAAATCTATATTCATGTCCGACGCTCAGGTAGCTTCTTGACCTCTCGCAATCATCGACACACTCGACCCTGGAGCTGGCAAAACTTCAGGACGCACACTCCTGTTAAATCTCCAGCATGAGACGCCAATCTCACCTGGGAAAAGATTAGTATTAGAGGAATGCGACCTCTACATATCCGCTGGTAATGTACGTGAGTGTGAGTGTGAGTGTGAGTGTGAGTCTGACCTCGGGAGTCTGAGCCTGAGCCATTGTTACCGCTCGCATGTGGTCTGTTCATACAGACTCTATATCTACGTGATAAAGGCAGCAAAAAAGACATTGAGAAAGGCAGCAAAAACAATAGTAAAAACCTTCTTGTCATCTGGGCAATTACCTTTAACCTTGAAATTTTACCTTTTTGGACTTTAGCCTAGATGAAATTCACATATTTTTCCCATGTTAACCTTGGAAGTTCTCAATAGCCCTGGGGGCATAGCTCATATATCATGGTTATATATTACACCCAAGATACCAGACTTCTCCATTGTCTACAGTTCTTAAGAATATCAACATTGGAGAGTTTGAGTGGAGCTATATTCCCCACGGATGCCACGGGTAAGGTTCCAAGGTTGAGGGTCCCGGGCCGTTTCCAGGGATCTTTAAATCTTGATAGCTATACTCCACCTGGGCAATGGCTTGGAAGTCCCAAAATGGAATCCGCAGAGTTCATTGTAAATGCATTTGTTGAAGAAGTCTACATAGAACTACACAAGTGTCATCGGGCCATCATGATACATTAGGTTCCCAGATATGGGTTTAAACTTTAGTGACATTGGAATACAACCACCAAACTAAGAGCTAGCAAGCCAGACCAACCCTTTGCACTGATCATAGAAGATGCACTCTTCTTAACATTCTCATTAACAACATTATTTGACTCCAGGCCACTGAAGGCTTTGATTGGGTGGCCTTGGGCAAAACCGTCATCATCTGTGAAGTCTGCAGAGCTGTCTTCGCTGCTATCCGTGCTTCTTGCTTTGATTGACATGACGGTAAAAGTAGTGCTTGAGGTGATAGAAGTTGAACTTGGGACGGATAGTGCGACAGGCGTTGTTGATGATGTATACATCTTGGCTTTTGTGTGACTCTCTTGGTTTGTGGACTCGAGTCTGTGGTTGGAACTAGTTCGATGTCAGTATGATATACAAGGTTTGACGAGGGCTCCAACTTACTCCGCAGGAAGATTTGTGTTCGTTGTAGCGCTCGCGGGGGTAGTAGGAGACGCCATAGCGATTGTCGCTAATATTAAAAAAAGACTTTGTGAATAGTGCATTGTGGAGAACACCCTTGAGGCTGCGCCGGTGATCTATCTTCACTTTCAAAAGTAAAAAGTAAGGGTTAGATTCGCGGAATAGGATAGTGCTGCTGAGATTGAAATGGGGGTGGGCACTGTACAAGTAGAACACCACCACGGGGGCACATATCTTCTAAAGACACAACATTCCATCCCCGACGAGGTTGGTCCTTACCTACCGAAGTAGTCACATACTTGTCCAGCCTAAAGCAAGCATGTCGCTGAAAGAAAGCACAGATCAATCAGACCTCGAACATGATCATTGGTTGTAGTACGGAGTACTGCTCTCATTAAGCATTGGCCAAGGTCTTGAAGAGGAAAGCTCAGGGCTGTCAATCGAGTCCACATGATTTTGACTTGTCCAATCGGAATGCACCAGAATGCCTTCCTGTCCCTGAGTGGCCGCCCTGTCGGATCCCCAGCTCAGGCCTTTTCCGGGTTGCGCGCCAATAGGGAATCCCCCTGCTTCGAGCTCGAATGTATTAGCGGGTACCTGCATGGATTCTCTTATGGGATACGGAGTACGGAGTACTTGCGATGCAATGGGGCTAGGCAATGTGGGTGAAAACATTGTGTTTAAGGTGGGGGTTTCCATCCCTTGCTTGACAATGCAGAAGATTGTACGGAGTACTCCGTACAGTTAGGATTGTGCATTGGATACGTAGTCATCCATAAACAGCAAGCAGGCTTAAAAAGCCCGCATGGCTTTACGATCGGTCTCACAAGTAGGAAGATGTTTGTCTATGATCAATAATTCATTGCAGTAATTCTATCCAAAGATTGAACCAACATGGCTACTTCGGCCAATCATTCTGTTCCTATATACATCATGCATCCAAAGGGTTTACAGGCCCTTGGCCTGCTTAGCCTCAGCGAGAGCCTCCTTGAGGGACGCGATGGCATGGTCGATATCATTGCGCTTGGGGTCGGTGACACTGACACCCATGTGACCGAAACGAATGTACTTGGTGGCGATGTCCTTGTGCAGACCAGCTGCAAAGATGACACCACGCTTCAGCAGACCAGGCAGGACATCGGGAGGAGTCAGACCCTCGGGGAGGTAGATGGCAGTCATGCCGTGGGCCTGAGAATCAGGGCTGGCAGCGACCTGCTTGAGACCGAGGTCGGCAACGGCGGCCTTGACCTTGTCGGAGACCTGAGTGTGCTGGGCGAAGCGGCCGGGAACATCTGCGGTGATCTGGGTGAGGGTGGTGTGCAGGGCGTGGACGAGCTGAGTGGGAGGGGTGGCGAAGTAGGAGGGCTTGTTGTTCTCGTAGTTCACCATGATGGGGAGCCACTTGGCGATGGAGGCGTAGTAGGAGCTGGCGGGGGTCTTGCGGTTCTGAGAGACCTTGATGGCGCGGCCGGAGGTCATGACGATGCTGAGACCGGGAGGGCAGCCGATGGCCTTCTGGGAGGCGGTCACGACGGCATCGAGGTCCCACTCGTCGAAGGCGATCTCCTCTGAGCCGACGGAGCAGACACCGTCGACGATGACGAGGGTCTCGGGGCTGACGCGGCGGACCAACTGGGCGACGCCCTTGACGTCTGAGAGGACACCGGTGGAGGTGTCAACGTGGGTGAGTGTGATGAGCTTGTAGGGCTTCTGCTTGAGAGCCTGCTCGACCTCCTGCAGCGAGGGGCGCTGACCGACGGGGGTGGTGAGGTGTGTGACGTTGGCTCCGTAGGTCTCGAGGCACTGGCCGAAGGAATCGCCGAAGTAGCCGGTGTTGAGGACGAGGGCGTTCTCGCCACGCTCGATCAAGTTGGAGGAGACGAGATCCCATCCGAGGGTTCCGCTGCCGGAGATGATGAAGGGCTGCGCGGTAGGGTCGGTGGACTGGAAGAGCTTGCGGGTGAGAGTCAGGGTCTCGCCGAAGACCTTGACGAAGCCGGGAGCGACATGGCTCTCACTGCGGGGTGGTTAGTTGACCGGCATTGGATGATTGCGCAACTGTGTAGCGACTCACGCGTAGTGGGACATGGACTGGAGAACGGCATCGTCGAACTCGATGGGTCCTGGGATCAGGAGGGTGTTGTGAGGGGCTTGGATAGACATATTGGGAGTTGGTTCGGGAAGAGGGGCAGGAGGAATGGAGCGATCGATGGGTTTATATTCGACGTCGTCAGGAACTAGGGAGTCTCTCTCGGTCGAGAAGGGGGTATTGAGGTCAGGCAACGGAAGGCGCTGGTCCAGGTGTCTGGAGATCAGGCTCAAACGCTGCGTCGTCGACTTAGAAGCCAGCTTTCCGATTGCGGCGAGCCGCGGGGTACACTTTCGGGTGAATGGGATTGGACGAGAGAACGTTCCCGAGGGAAACTTGGCTTGTGATATCGGGGATGGCCGCCGATGGTTGGTGGAGTGCTCACGGATGCGCTGCCGAAGCTGTCGTGGTTATTTGCGTTCTCGGATGATAAGACCGAATGGATTGTGAGGAGCTGGGGTATTTATGGATTTGACAATCCCGTCGTGATGGTCTGTTTCTATTTGATTTTTCCTCGCGTCTCGGGCGAAAACGATGCGCGCGGGCGGACCCTACCGACAGTCTATTGCCTACGCTGTACACGCTGTTCTATGCATGTTCTGCACAGTCTGGGGTATCGGATTATACAAAATTCTCCGGGGCCACTTGGCCATGCGAGGATCAAGGCATTGAGTGTGGATGAGATCAATTGCTATATTTGTTGGTGTTGTGTGGTGGTACAGTACACTATCAACAATATACTCTATAGATCGAATGCCGACTACAATATCTCCCAATTACAGCACATACTATTTCCAATGCAGCGAGCAATCCACCTGCCTCATGTAGAATACAGCACAGAGTAGAATATGCCCGGAACTGCATACTCCATTCGTGGATGTGCCATTCTCGTGGACTGGAGAGTGCGCCGCATGGCGCATCCTGGTCGGACGGCGAGCTCCGCAAGCAATGTAGGAAACCTTCGAGTATTGGGGAATAGAAACACTGGATTCAACAACCCGAAGGAGATCAGAACGTTGAATGTCGGCCTGGCGAGCCAATTGCGAATGGAAATTGCATCGGGATGTTCGATCAGATGGCACTAACCGCATTGGGACATATAGTCTTGGCGGCTCCCCGCGAAGCTCCCAGGCGGAAGTCAACCAGCCGTTGTCCGTTAGCTTTGATCTCCGACCTTTCCCCCCCCACACATATCAAGATGACTGCCCGTTTGGTATTGGTCATCGGTGACCTGTTCATCCCTGACCGAGCTCCTGCAAGTTGTCTCCTCCCCTGCCTCACCCTATCTCCGCTAACCTCTTATCTAGGATCTACCAGCCAAGGTTGGTCGTCCATGGAGCTACTTCTGTTGGCTGGAGTATACTGACTCTCTCTTTTAGTTCCGCAAGCTTCTGACACCCGGCAAGATCGGCCAAACCCTCTGCTTGGGCAACCTCACCGATCGCGAGACCTATGACTTCCTCCGCGATGTAGCCCCAGACCTGCAAATGGTCAAGGGCGACTTTGACGTCGACTCTCCCAATCTACCTCTTTCCAAGATCGTTAACCATGGTAGCCTACGAATTGGTTTTACACATGGCCATACCATTGTTCCCCCCGCCGACGCCGACGCGCTGTTAATTGCGGCCCGCCAAATGGATGTCGATGTACTTCTGTGGGGTGGAACACATCGGTTCGAAGCATTTGAGATGGAAGGTCGCTTCTTCATCAACCCGGGAAGTGCGACTGGAGCTATGAGCTCGGGCTTTTGGCCAGACAACGAGGAGCCTACACCAAGCTTCTGCCTGATGGACGTAAGTTTATTCTTTGCCACACATGATACGTTACACATGCTCACAAAGACTAGATCCAAGGTGATGTTCTCGTGTTGTATGTCTACCAGCTGAAGACCGATGCCAATGGCGTGGAGAACGTGGCTGTTGAAAAGGTCTCCTTCCGGAAGAATCACCCTCCCGCCGAATGAGCATGACTTGCTTCCTTGCGCCTACTTCTCTACTATATTGATTCCCCTCCCCTTGTAAATAGTCCTCTTGATGTCCGCGTCAGTGCACGCCATGTTCTGCTTGTCATTGGCCCTTCCGCGTTTCTTTGCTCAATTCGATGCATGATACCTTAAATCGAGTCAATTATACTTGCATAGCATGCTAGACCTTTGCTCTCAACATTTGTCAGCCCAATTCGGACCCAGCATCGTCAGAAGTTCTGGCCATGTATAGTACCTCGTGCCTTGACAATCGATGATCATTTAGACTCACCGCCTGGCAGTATTGTTCGATGCGGGAAATAACGCTATACCAAATTGGGAATCTCTCAATCCCAGAACGAACTTCAATTCTGATCGAGCTGCTCCTTGTGTAAGGAAGTCTTCTCATTGTGTTTGAATACTTCTCGTCGGCTATCCCTATTGATCTTAAGCCTTCGTTTTCTTTGTCAAAGTTCGTTGGCGAGCATTCAAAGTGGTCCTCGGAGAGCTCTAGTGCTCCCCTCATCGATTTGCTCGGCGCTTTCACCCTTCGACCATCAACCCAAGACACATATTCACCTTGAGCGACAACATGGCTGCCGAAGGCCAGGAGATTCCGGAGGAGATCAAGGCGGACGAGGTTCCGGCCCAGGAAGGAGGAGATGATGAGGTAGGTGTGGTTGCCTTTCAGCTCACTCAAAGCCCTCTTTGTTCTGTGCTCTTAGCTCCGTTCTTTAATCCCTGCATCGCGTACTTTTTCTTTCTATCTGAGGCCTTTTACTAACTTATCCCACTTGCAGGAAGAAATTGCGGCAATGAAGCGACGAGTTGCTGAGATGGAATCCGAAGCTGCCAAACTGCGCGAGATGCAGGCCACCCTCGACCAGCAGTCCGAGAGTCTTCAGGAGAACAAGGAAGATATCGATGCGCGAAGCATCTTCGTCGGCAATGTCGACTACGGTGCTTCGCCAGAGGAGATTCAGGCTCATTTCCAGAGCTGTGGCTCCATCAACCGGGTCACCATCTTGCTGGACAAGTTCTCTGGCCAGCCTAAAGGGTGAGAATGGACAGCGGACTGTGCTGAATCTCGAATTTGATAGCTGACGGGCTTTGCAGATATGCCTACGTTGAGTTCTCGGAGCCTAGTCTCGTTGGTCAGGCTCTCGTGTTGAACGAGAGTGTGTTCCGCGGTCGCAACTTGAAGGTACGTTTCTGTGATGAGGCACCTTGTTTTCAGTTCCTGCGATGATCGACATTGCTAACGTGTGACAGGTCGTTCCCAAGCGTACCAACTTGCCTGGTATGCACCGTGGTCGCGGCCGCGGTGGTTTCCCCCGCGGTCGTGGGCGTGGGGCTCCTCGCGGCGGTGGCTACCGTGGTGGCTACCGTGGCCGCGGACGTGGTTTCTCGCCTTACTAGGGATCTCCCTAGGGGGAGATCTTGCTGAATCAGACGCTTCAAGACCCGGGTCAGGTGGATGTCGCTACCGAAGTGATCCCACGCTCTCGCTGTGGCTTTGGAGTGGAGGGATTTGGATTGTACAATAATTTCCGGGCATTGAGAGGACCATCACAAACACAGGAAGAAGCAAAACAAAAGATCCAAAAAAAAAAAGACAGGAATATGACTCGCAAGCAACCTCCCTATGTCCGTAGCCATATAGAAGTGATGATGCTTTCGTATACTATAATCTCATGGTAATATTAATCTTAAAGCAGTGTTCAATAGTCTTCAATAGTCTTCAATAAGCAGGAATGTCTTCAAACCCCCAACTAAATAGTATATTGGTATAGAAGTATACTCTATAGAAGTGTATAGTAGATGGTTACAATACGGTTGCCTAAAGAAGAACGAGGTCGCCACTCTTCCCGCCCGCACCCGTACGAGTTCTCTCTCTCTTACGTATGCCTAGAATCAGGTCGAACGACCACTTTTGTGGCTCAGTCAGAGTGGACGAAATAGAAACTTGAAGTCGAATAAACAAAAAAAATAAAAAATTGAAATAGTTGATCTCCCGTGCTCAGCCCCGTGAGGTACTGACCGGGTACCTAGTACATAGTGAATACGTAGTCCGAGTACCTGCGCCATACAACCGGGCGCACCTATCGCTCTAACCCTTCCTTTCTCTTCCCTCTCCTCTTTCTCAACACCTCATACACATCACCAAACGGCCGAATTCAACCGCTTTTTCTTTCTCCAGGCCGTGCCCCTGGACTTGGTTTGGCCTCACTGCTTAATGTGCGCGCCCGCGCTGTTTATTCGGCGTGATTGATCGGCAGGTAGCCATCATGGCGTCAAATCTCCCCGCGTAAGTCTCGCCCACCACCGTTACAGGATACCGATGTGAGGATCGTTCGCTGACCCATTGCAGTCAGCCCAACCTCCGGGTTACCAGTGAGAATCCCCTCAAATCGCCAGGATCGCTGGAGTCGTCTGGAGTCGACATGACACTCTGCGGGGTTCCGATTCCGCACGAGACTAACGCTTCTCTTTCTAGTTATCGCGGCTGATGGGCTGTACAAACGCGATGTCTTCCGTATGTTTGGCCTGGGGAAATACGATTTTTGCGTGACTGCGGGGTCGATTGGAATGAGTTGGACTGACCTGTGGCAGGATTCCCCGATCCGTTCGCCGTGGCTACTGTGGGAGGAGAGCAGACGCATACAACTTCCGTCATCAAGAAAACTTTGAACCCCTATTGGAATGAACCTTTCGACTTGTACGTGGACCTCTTTCTCGAATCTCTGGAGGTTTTCTCATGACGGGGGATTTTTCTAACGGCTTTTGATCGCTGCAGGAGGGTCAACGAGGACAGCATTCTCGCGATCCAGATTTTCGACCAAAAGAAGTTCAAGAAGAAGGACCAAGGTTTCCTTGGAGTAATCAACGTTCGGATTGGAGATGTTATTGACTTGTCGATGGGTGGTGATGGTATGTCCGAAGAACGCCGATCGCCTGTCACGCGTGGGCTGAGCTGACAGATTCATGCAGAGATGCTTACTCGGGATCTGAAAAAATCCAACGACAACCTCGTGGTGCACGGAAAGTTGATCATCAACCTGTCTTCTAACCTCAGTGCCCCGCATCCAAACCAGAATGGCGCCCAGCGTCAACAGCCCCAGACATCCACGTCGAGCGGCCTTGTGCCCCAAGTTGCAGCACCAGGTTCCCAGTCACAATCCGGTCCCAGCAACATCGACACAGCGCCCGCTGCGGCATCAAGTTCCTCGCTCAACCAGCGCACCCCGACGACCGGGCCGCCGACTGGTCCCCCGCCCCCTATGAACGGTGCCCCCGCCAACCCACCCGGACCGGGCGCCCCATCTCGTGCGAATTTGAGTTCTTTTGAGGATAGCCAGGGCCGACTCCCTGCAGGCTGGGAACGGCGAGAGGATAACCTGGGACGGACATACTATGTGGACCACAACACCCGAACCACGACGTGGTCAAGGCCCGCGGCCAACTACAACGAGCACGCTCAGCGTTCGCAGCGCGAAGCCAACATGCAGCTCGAACGTCGCGCCCACCAGAGCCGAATGCTCCCAGAGGACCGAACTGGCGCAAGTTCGCCGAACCTGCCAGACGCCCAGATACCTACGCCACCTCCTGGGCCGAGCGCGGGAACCTCCATCGCAAGTGGAGCGCCAGCGGGCTCAAACGCCGCTGCGGTTTCCATGATGGCGACGGGAGCCACCACTGCAGGCACAGGGGAACTTCCGCCAGGATGGGAACGACGCGTGACACCCGAGGGACGGCCTTACTTTGTGGACCACAACACCCGTACAACGACGTGGGTTGATCCTCGTCGACAGCAGTACATTCGCATGTATGGTCAAGGTCAGACTACTGGAGGCGCCAACAACACAACGATCCAGCAACAGCCCGTATCTCAGCTCGGCCCTCTGCCCAGCGGGTGGGAAATGCGTCTTACCAACACCGCTCGTGTATACTTCGTCGACCACAACACCAAGACGACCACTTGGGACGATCCTCGTCTGCCCTCGTCATTGGATCAGGGTGTACCTCAGTACAAGCGTGACTTCCGTCGCAAGCTGATCTACTTCCGATCTCAACCCGCGCTGCGCATCATGTCTGGCCAATGCCACGTCAAGGTTCGCCGTAATAACATCTTCGAGGACTCATACGCCGAGATCATGCGACAGAGCGCTTCCGACCTCAAGAAGCGTCTCATGATCAAGTTCGACGGCGAAGATGGTCTCGATTATGGCGGTCTTTCACGGTATGCTTCTCGCGATTCGGTACTTTGTTTCTCAGTACTGACTTTTCTAGTGAATTCTTCTTCCTCCTCTCCCACGAAATGTTCAATCCTTTCTACTGTCTCTTCGAATACTCCGCCCACGATAATTACACCTTGCAGATTAATCCCCACTCGGGCGTGAACCCCGAGCATCTCAATTACTTCAAGTTCATCGGCCGAGTGGTTGGTCTGGCTATCTTCCACCGTCGATTCCTTGATTCCTTCTTCATTGGAGCCTTCTATAAGATGATGCTACGGAAGAAGGTTACTCTTCAAGATATGGAGGGTGTGGACGAGGACTTGCACCGTAACTTGGCATGGACCCTGTGAGTATCTTGCAGATATTATAGCAATTTTGAAGGCGTCAGACTAACAACGCAACAGTGATAATGACATCGAAGGAATCGTGGAACTCACATTCTCTGTCGATGACGAGAAGTTTGGCGAGCGTACCACTGTCGATTTAATACCCGGTGGTCGGGATATTGCCGTCACCAACGAGAACAAGCCACAATACATTGAGTGAGTTTTCCCTGTTTGAAAATCCCCAGAGCATCATCTTACTGACATCTACAGGTTGGTTACTGAATGGAAGATTGTGAAGCGAGTGGAGGAACAGTTCAATGCTTTCATGTCCGGATTCAACGAGCTGATCCCACCTGATCTTGTCAACGTTTTCGATGAGCGCGAGCTTGAGCTTCTCATCGGTGGTATCGCTGATATCGACGTCGACGACTGGAAGAAGCACACCGACTACCGTGGTTACCAAGAGCAAGACGAGGTCATCCAGAACTTCTGGAAGATCGTCCGCACCTGGGATGCCGAGCAGAAGTCTCGTCTGCTCCAATTCACCACTGGTACCTCGCGTATCCCCGTCAACGGATTCAAGGATCTCCAAGGTTCCGACGGTCCCAGACGCTTCACCATCGAGAAATCGGGTGATCCCAACGCACTGCCCAAATCACATACCTGGTACGTATCGGAATTAGTCTTTCTAACTATTCAATCTGCTAACGCTCATATCCCAGCTTCAACCGTCTTGATCTCCCTCCATACAAGACGCACGACGCTCTCCAGCACAAAATGTCTATCGCGGTGGAGGAAACCCTTGGCTTTGGACAGGAGTAGAGTTGTTGTCTCTATGCCTATATTGTACTTTCCCTCATGCTACCTCTTGCAGCTTGCAATGCAGGATTTTATTCCCTCTCCTGTTCTGATTTAGTCTTTTCTTTTTTCAATGTAACCCACTACTCACGAAGCTCTCCCGGTGTCGTTCCTTTCTTCACGCCAACATCTGGCAATAACCTCCACGGCTTGCAATTCTTTAAAATTTTGCTGGGCCTGGAAGGATATGTCCCCCGCACAAAATGCTGCCTGCGTTGTAGAAATCTCATGCCCTGTCCGCCAGGGCGTGTTGCATGGCGATCGGTCTCTAGAAATCACAGGGTTGGTTTGTATCCATTCTTCCATTGCAATTGACCATGTCCCAAGGTTTTGCTTCATACTCCAGAGCTCCATCGCGATGTCACCCTCTCGTCTCTCAGAGGTGTTGCATATTCTTCATAATAATCGGGGTTGGTATATGTTTCTCTGGCTGTTTCTTTATATCCCAATTGCGCCCCGCGCTATATATCTGGGCAACACTGGAACGACATGGCTCGCTGTCGAGTCATTAGCATAGTATTCCAATGTTGTCGCAAACCTGTTCACTTCTGTGGTGATATATCTTTTTTGAAGGACTTCCAGGTTCAGCCACCAACTCGAGATCAACGCCTCGATCTTGCTCACGGCATGGAGTCAAGTCGCCACGACTAGACTCCAGAACACTATGATATGTAGAACAGGTTCGATATTCTCCACAAGTCCCAAGTAGTCCCCGGCGCCGATCATCTTGGGTACTGCCCAGGTGGAACTTCGCGCGGGGGTTACTCCAATATACACTACAGCTTGAGAATTCAATATGCCTGATGTTCGCGAGAAAGCCACCTGACCATACGCCTGTGCCGTCCGCTTTGGGTGAATCTGTTCATCAAGGGCCTGAAACTAGTGGGCGTTCTGGGCAAAGTCTGAAAATCCGATCCACCTGGGTTGGTTTGCATCTCACCCTCTTCAAAGCTCCACGCAGATCCCCACCACTCAGGACCGCTCCTTTTACGGAGCTCTTTGAATGATCTTCCGATCATGGATCGAGAGATGAAATCATTAGTCTTAGACCTTTGACCTACCATACCCCACACCCGGGGGTTTCACCACAGCTGGTGCCTCTGCTGGAAGAGCGCATCCTCCGCACTTGACTTGAGGATTAAGCAGCTCTGTGCTCTGTACACCTCCGAAATGCAATGTTGACACGTTCGATTTTCAAGGAAACAGCCAATCACAAACCCCGTGCTCTGCAAGCTCGTTGTCGCTCCGAACACCCAAAGCCCATGCGTAATCACCTACATTCCAGATTAGTTTGTGAGACATCATCACTGGTAAGTGGCGCCAAAATTGGAAACCAGCATTCAGGGGTACGTTGACAGTACGAATCTCGACACTGCCCAGCCTTATATCCACGAATATCGTCGATCCAGGGATGTCCAGGATAATTACAAGTGACAGATATATAGTTTGCCCCTGGCCTCGCCACGCGTCATGCCTCTTTTCTCGGCAGGTTTCGATCCTGGACACATAAGACAAACTAAAGCTAGTAGTCCCTGGCATGTGGATGCGCATGTGGATGCAAAGAGCCACGCCAGTGGCATTCTGCAAACTCTGATGGTCGATCGATGCAGATCGCCGAGATTAAAACCATGACGTGGTGCTCGGTCCAGATTGGAAGTTCATCGGATATTAAAAATTGTCCGGTCTTCTTGATTTCTGGTGATTATTTACATCTTTTGATTCAGAATACAATTGCTGAATAGTACATCATGGGTTTACCGTAAGTCTACCCGCGGACGTTTGTTATGGAAATCTAACCCGATCTATAGAGTGGAGGGTTCGTCGATTGGCTGGTCGCAGACAGAACAGGCTGCACCGATTATTCGAAAATGGGCCACTGAAGTAAGTTCCATCGAGATCAACCATATTGATTACGAACTGACATGTTATAGCAATTGCTTTGCATTTGGAATAAACAACGGGATCGAAGCGACAGCATCGCATCATGGGGCGACGAGGTATGTAGCAACACAACAACGAAACTAAACGGGGCTGACTTTGCGTTTGAATTTGCAGGTTGAGTACTGCTTAGTTGATTTAAGCCCCGAAACTAAACGGGCGACGTTGGTGCTCGACCATGAGCGGATCATTCGGCAATGGGAAAAGAACACAGCCAGCAAAAACGACTCGTCAGTATCTCCTGTTTGCGTCATGACTGATCTTCAATCTTGGAATCTTTAGAGAAATTAACAATTTAATAGTGTCACGCTACAATGGGAATGGGCCAAGTATATGGTTGAAGCAACCCCCGCAAAGCCATATACGGGGAAAATTGAGGACCTCATGGCAGTTGAACAAAACATGAAGCGAAGGTGGGTGCTCCGAGCATGATGAAAAGCCTATCTAACCGAACCAGACGTCAAGTCATCAACAACTATCTGTCTTCCAACCAACACACGCTTTCGTTATCATTCTTCCCCCGCGCAGGAGCAGATGGTCAATGGACGACACCATGTGCGCAAGACAAGAAAAATCATTCAATCTGCTCGCTTCCGCGGTATCGGATCGTTCCTGAAAATGTTCTCTGCCGAGGTGAAGGGTGCAAGAAAACAAACCTTCCCATTTTCCAGGATTCCCAGACACCGAATCCATTCTATGATATTTCGCAGTCAGGTCAGAAAGTCGAGGGACATCTTGGTTTAGATGATCCAGAGATTGGAATTGGCTGCTGCAGTCTTCAAGTCACCCTCCAAGCATCCGATCAGGCCAATGCTCGATGGCTGCATGATCAACTGATACCGCTCGCGCCCATCATGTTGGCCATGACTGCCGCGGTCCCAATCTGGAAAGGGTATCTGGTTGACAACGACGTCAGATGGCAGCGATTTGGAGACTTAGTGGATGACCGTCGTGAAGAGGAGATGGAAACAACTGTAAGTGATCTTTGCCCGAGACTTGACTGTTATGTTCGTTCGAATTAATGTATCACAGCCTCCCCGCTGGACTTGGAACCGAAACTACCTCTCTCTTGAAAAGCCACCAGGCTTTGACAGCGGCTCTTCACAGCCAATAGACCCGGCTATCAAGCAACGTCTGCTAGAAGGGGATATGGATGAATCTCTTGCAACCCACTTTGCTTCAATCCTCTCTCGGGATCCTCTCATCATGACCGAGGCAGATATGAACAGAGACAACACTTCTAATACAAAGCTCTTTGAGCTCCTTCACGGCTTCACATGGCATGCCGTCAAGTTCAAACCACCAACCACTGACAACGGGCCGGGATGGTGCGTCGAGTTCCGCACTATGGAGTCACAGCTTACAGATAGGGCGAATGCTGCCTTCGCGATATTCACATACCTACTGACCCGAGCTATCACCACACTACATTTGAACTTCTACATTCCGATCGACAAAGTCGGTGAATCGATGGACATTGCAAAGGATCGGGATGCCGTCCGCCAGTCCAAAATGTGGTTCCGTCGACGTGGTTGGCTTTCTGGACCAACACACACCGTTCGGCCTGTACGTTCAATGTGCAAGGAAAATGTCTGCTCGAAGGGGAGCGATGGGAAATCTGGCGATTTCGGTCTCATGACTGCGAATGAAATCTTCAACGGAGAGTCGGATGACAATGGGTTCCCTGGCCTGATTCCCATCGTGCGATACTATTTGGACTACAGCAAGATGCCTCTAGCGGAGCAAGAAAGGGTCGCCCCTTACCTTGATTTCATCAGCCAACGCGCAAGCGGCGAAGCTCCGACCCCAGCAACCTGGATGAGGGAATTTGTGCGCTCTCACAAAGATTATAAACACGACAGCTACGTGAGTGAGAGTATCTGTTATGATATGATGCAGGAGATTGTTGGTATGAACGAAGAGTGAGAGCTAGAGATAAGCATTTCCCTAAATTATATTTATCTGTTCACGGCTTAGCTTGCTCGACCGATCATGTTTCACAGCCTGGCTTGAATTGATAGTTCGATCAATTGCATGTTAACTGTATGTTAAGACTCAATGATGTATTTCTTTCGTTAGTAATAAGGTATCTTGATAAAATTCATAAAATAGAGCGTGTAGAGCTTCTATGAGTAGGGCATGTGTATACAGTTCCTATAAGTAGGGCTTGTTTATACAATTTATTGTGTACATATGTCACACGAGTACGGCGTCTCGATATAATTGATTTAAGGCATAGTGTCTGCTAAATATTATTTTAATTGCCTAAGTAGCTGTTTCCGGCCGCGCGTTAACACGCACTCCAGCCTTGTGTTCTATAACTCCTGATGCAAATTAAGGTTTCTACTTTGTTTGATCGGCAAAATTGCTGACGGCCCTCAACCTCTCCCCGTATCTCCAGAGAATGAAAGGGATAGGACATCCGATCAACAAGCCCAAGAATGCCAAAAGACTGTTCCCCCAACCATAACCCAGCTTGGCGTACATTTCTGGACTGAACAGCGGGAAGCCGAACCCTGTCAACCCGCGAACAATGTAGACAGCACCATTGGCGCTAGCTGCGTAGATCGGGAAGGTGTCGAGAAGATATGCACTAACACACTGGAAGATAATTGTTGCTCCCATGAGTGGCAGGGCGATGCCGATATCGGGTACAATCCAATGAGTCTTGTACTCGGCAGTCCAGCCGTAGATGAAAAGACCGATCGGGACCAGTAAAGAGGCCGGCACCATAATGGGGAGCCGGAATTCGGGCTTGCCGACGCCGTTGTTCTTGGCAACTTGGTACCGATAAACACGGTCTGTCAAGAAGGCGCAGATCTGAGCTCCGATAGCGTAGCCAATACAGGGCGCGATGTAGTTCAGACTGCCTGTGCTGATCCTCATGTGGTAGCGTTCTGTCCAAAGGTCCGAAAAGCTGGAAAGAAGAAGATAGACAATTCCGTAGAGATAGCCGTAGTAGCAGGCTAGAGCTTGGATAATTGGCTGGGTCCCGAGGAAGTAGAGAGACCGAGAGATTGTTCGACGGTAGAGCTGGCCAACTGTTTCGTCTTTTTCAAAAGGTGTTTTCCAGACACAGCCATAGTCTGATCCTTGGCTAATTGCCTCTGCGATAAGCAACTTCTTCTTGCGAAGCAGGAGGATAGGAGCATATGTCTCCCTCGCAGCGATCAGACATATCACAAGGAAGAAACCTGCCGCAATAGATGTTGACCAGAACGCCCAGCGCCAGGTAGTATAGTCCGCAATGAAGCCGCCGACCATAGGGCCGAGACATGATCCTAGAACAGGACCTAGACTCACAAGAGCAACGGGCAGTCCACGCTCCTCCTTGCGGAAAACGTCTCCGACCATGCTTGCACCAACCTGGTAATCTTTAGGGATGCCGAGAAGGAGAGAGGGCCTTTACTTACTGCCAGCGAAGCACTTGCTCCGATTCCACTCAAAAGCCGAAACACCAATAACTGTGTCATACTCGTGCAAAAGCCAGCACCAATATTGAAAGCGAGATAGAATACACTTCCAGCTTGTAACACCGGCCACCGACCATATAGCTCACTAAAAGGACCTAGTAGAATAGGTCCCATAGAGTACATGAGCAGGAAAAGCGACAATGCCAATGGTCCAGTCACGGAAGACGTGATGTGAAACTCATTGGCAATCGCGGCAACTGCGGGAGTTGTGATTGTGGATGACAGTGGCATCAAAAACAAAGGAATCGACACAGTAGCCATGACAGTCCATTTCCTTACGGCAGGCCAGTCTTGAGGATGGTCACCCTCAAAGTCGACCAGGACCACTTTCTCATCAGACTCATCGGCGGAGGTAGACATGATGTTGGTTAGACTCAATGAGGTTTAGAAGCTAACGTCAAAAGGTAAAAGCAGAACACGAACCTTGGATTTGAACAAATACAGCCTGGATTCGCTTAGCTGGACAGGTGCCCCATAGTTTGCCCCTGCATTGGGGACCGTGAAAAGACTTTGTGGAAAGCCACGGGATCGATAGATCGTCGGGATCGGCGCTGATCTGCCTTGATGATGATGATGAAGAAGGTGATCCACCTTGAGGAACCATTTTTCTAGCCTGTGGGGTCTCCGAATTGGGTGTTTCACCCTGGCCTGGAAATTCTGGACTCCTTGATTAGGCCACGATGTACTCCCGTATATCCCTTTTGCATATGCAAGTTTTGCTGCACTTGCGAACCTCTGCTTATCAACAACTCCACGAGCCGAGAGAATGAGGCGACATCGCGATACTCTCAGATTCAATTGCCTCGTGGCATGAATCATCAATCCACTGTCCAGATGGCTGTACGGAGTAGCTTTAGCACGAAAAGCTTTGCTGGCATATCTTGAGATCTATATCGCGGTTAGATTTCCGGATTGGGGTTCTATACTCGTAATATAGCATACCCGAACACATGCTCCACGCATTGAGTCGATCTAATGACATTCATCAACGTGAGTCAAGTACTGCATCAAGAAATGGTGGCAATGTTGTCATTTTTGACCAGAGTTGTGAAGGAATAGTCACCCAAAGAGTAGTCAGTGATGATGGCCCTGGATGCCTTAAAGGTCAGGCATTTTGTTCCTAGATTGTCATTCTGATGTCCCAGCTTCTCTCGGCTCCGTGCCCTTCTATCCTACGCCTTTCAATCTCTCCCTCTCTCTCACATTCTCACATATTACCGAATCTGCAGCAAGGTGCGTTTCAGGCATACAGGCACCGAGTGAGGATTTTGAGCCGCATCCCACCGTCACCGCACTTTGCGCCTGCATCTTCACCCTTTTGAATTTACTTTCCTTCGATCCTTTTCATCCCAAGACCTTGTTACTTCGTACCATCTTTGTTTGCCAGCCTGGAGAAACCCGCAAGATGGAAGCACTACCTGAGTCCTTGCGGCCCCCGCAGCTGCTCTTGGTAAGTACTCATCAACTCTCGAAGATCCCGAATCCGCTAATCCCAAGTCACAAGTTGGTCGCAAATGATGTCGCTCAGCCGAGTAAAGAAGAGCTCGATGAGGGACTGGCAAAAAAGTCGAAACTATTGGTACCTCCTAGGCTCAGTGGCTCATGCCATGCGAGACAATGGGCTTCTCCCTGAATACACAGACCCACACCTTTCCCTCCGCAGGGTCCCAAGATTCCAAGCACGCCCCAAACGGCCCGTTTGGCATCCAAGTGGAGCTAGCCGAGATGGTCTTGGTTCCCATGTCTGGTCCACTTGGAAGGTTTCTCACCATCAGGACTGCGATGGACTCAAAAAAGAAGTCACCAAATTCCTTAGAATGAGGCTCGCAAGCCGCAAGGCAGTTCCGGTTGAGCTCGACGGTCAGACATTTGACACTTGGATCGGAACTACAGAAGACACCTCCACTGACTCGAACTGCATTGGCATCCTCGCTCTTGGCTGGTGCTATGTGCTTTCCGCGCGCCTCATTGAGTTACGAGGAGAGGAAGCATATTTGAGCTACACCGACTCAGAAGCTGAATTTGAGGACGACATTACTGAGGATTGCTCTGCCGCTCACAATATTGATATCGGGGAGGTGAATGACGATGTCGCTCGGTGGTGGTCCGCGATACTGGCTCCAAATCAAGGCTGGGAGGCAATTGTGACACGCATCCAACACAGAGACAGGAGCGAAATTACACCTTATATCAGTCCATGGTCTGTGTCTCGCGAGTGTGCGACTTCGTTCTCCATTAAACACAAAAGGCCCGCCACCGCCTCTGTTTTCCCACTGTCTGCGCAAAAGGCATTTGAAGTACTGTCAGAATTTGCTCTATTGCACGACCTTGGAAGCCAATTTTCTATTTCCCTCGCGGTCGCCTTGATGGTTCCGTTACATGATTACTGGCAATTGACTGCTCACTTACCGCCACTCAGAATGAAGGAAAGGCAGGCGAAACCGTGCCCTTCGACTGACAGTATGCCGCAATCGTGGAAGAGATATATGGAAGATATCGATTACTACATGACCTTAAGCTCTAACCAGGAAACAATGTACGCTGCTCTATGCGGATGCTTCTGGGAGCCCGAAGTGCCTTGCAACCTCGTGAGCCCATGGCTACATCCGGTTGTCAATGAGGTTCTCAGCCCCTCGTCCATGATAACAGCTCGTGATCAAGAAATCTTTGCCTTGATTTGTGCGATTCGCCGTCCAAGTATTGGTGCACTATGTATAGGGGCTACCGTGACCGGCTTGGGTCCAAAGATACTTCGAAGAATTGAGGATGGCAACCCTCCAGTGGATGACAATACGTTTGCTTGGACAGGCACCCCGCAATGTTATTTGGACCTTGCCGGTGTTGGTTCATACACGCTCGAAGATTCTGAGTACATCTTGAGACAAGACATCTGGCGTCTACTTCACCTTCCGACAACTGATCCTGATGACGATAATTTCAACAGGAGGCCCTTTTCACCCTGGGCACCATGTGGGAAATCTCTGATCAAGCACTGTGCTCTCCGAGTCACTCCCCATCTCAAATGCCCAAGACATGAGTATCAGTATGATCATTTGAAATGGGATCTTGAAGATGGATGCACATTGGACGACTATGGTTACTCAAGGGAACTTTCCACCTCCCCGCCAAAAGCACTTTCTGATATTGTTGATGGAGTGGCCAACATATCATTTGAGCAGAAAGAGCTCGACAATGAACAGGAGGAATCTCAAACAGCATCGTTCCAAGCTTTCCTCTGGCTTGCCGTTAATGATGAGGGTGTCCCCACTGAGCCTGTTTATCAAGATGAGTGGGTGAAAGTGGCATGGTTTGACGACGAAGAAGAGGAAAATTCGGATGACGACGATGATCGGAGCTCGAAAGTTATGAAGGAGAAGATTAAGGTTCAAACAGAAGTTGAATCTTGGCTCGCCTCTAATTCTTGATACACTTATCACATATGTCAATGAATGATAGGTCAAAATAGCCAGGTAGCTGAACAAAATGTACGATTTTACGATTTCCCATAGAAAAAGGAATTAAGCGTAGACAAAACCTAGTCTTGAAATATGGAGTAGGGGGAGTCCGGTTGATTTTGACTTTGAAAAATGATGAAGGGCTTGATGTCCAAGCCGTAGACGAACCTTCACCTAACTAGACCGCAAAGAAACAGAAAACGCCATGTTACTCCCGCGAAATGTGCTCCCGAAATACCATGCCTATCCCAGCTACTTTGACTGTGAAATTCAACCTGCGGTTCTCCCTCCTGATTCTGCACTCTTCTTCTCGATGCCCGTAGTCTGAAACCTCGCATCTCGGTGTATTCAGTTCCTCTTTGCCTTTGATTAAGCAGACTTAGGCTTGGCGGACGTAGGCTTGTAGGACTTTGACTCTTGGCTCTTCCTCGCGTCATTTTGATTCCCTTAGGTGTTGTTATCGGCGGAACGAATATTGCTGCCATTCTCCCAGTGACTAGGGCCGGCACCTGGGTGGTTTGGACAGGTCTTGCAGATTCGCAGCTGCACGCCGGCACAGTCAGGAGCGACATTGCAGCGTTTCCACTGGATGGTGCACCTTCTCGCCCGACAAGTTTCAACTTCGTGCGAGTCATTGTGGTGGCGGCATTCTGGATTGACGCACCAGCCGCGCTTGCGAGAGGAGTGGGTCATATTGCTCAACGTCTCTGCAATCGAATCCGTAGTCAGTTCATATCCGTAGAGCTAACATATTCCTCAGGGAATTATTTACCTTGAATGGTTGGATGCTTCGTTGGACGTTGCGTGGAGACAAAAAGAGAGGCGACGGAAGAGACGGGGAAAGAGACGAAACAGAAGGAGAAAAAAGAGACGTCGAAAGATACCAAAGGAGAGACAAAGTGAAGATGTTGGAAGGCTAGGTGACCACCTGGGAGCAAGCAGCTCTCTCCCTCTCACTCCTTCTCCCTCTATTTCCTTTTACTTTCATTTATGTGTGCGGTAGCCAATAGATACCACATTACTATGTCCCATTCTAAGTTAAGTCGAGATTGATTGGCGTTATTGTGGGAGTAGTCACTAAGTATAGCTCCATTTGATCAGAAAGGACAATTTCAAAGGTCAAGACTCCATCTCATACATTGGAATAGGGTTAATGGACGGGAATACCCGTGCCCCGCCATCTATGGGCAATATTCAGTTCACAATTGCCATAGAATCCTCGATGTGTATTAAAACATGCTTCAATCTGAATCTACTATATTGCAAGGTTATGGCGAAGACATCGGGACTCAGCTACTACAAATAAACTCAGAATTTATCCAATGCCTGGCCAATCGATGCTTTCTTGGCAATTTCCAAAGTTCCAATAAACATCTGCTTATGACTAGATCTACGATCCCTATCCTAACATATTCAAACACAATAGTTCCTGCAAATGGTATCTCGGAACTTCCTGAGGCAAGGACTTATCCGATTACAGCCAATTGCTACGCTTTTACATCGGCCATTTGCCCAAGAGACTGCAAGAGTAGTTGGTCTTCCAAGGAAAGGTTGTTATGGATATTGGAGACGTTTTGGTTCGTGAGTATGCGCATGATGATTAGATTGCGATTCAAACCAGCCTGAGTCCTGAAAGCAAAACGTTAAATGAATTAATTCGGTATACTGAATTAAGTGGTCTTGATGATTGTTTAATCGACGGCCCTCGTCCCCAAAGTTGAATGGCCTCTGAGGTCGGCTGGACGTTGCTCGGATGCATCATCCGCGGAAGCCGCATCCGAGCCCCGATATCCAAGTGGATCGGCATGCCAAACCCCACGGGGCCTTATAAGGTCGAGAGGTACCCTTGCTCTTTTCCTCGATTTTCCAACTATCACTAAAACACCATGGATCTCGCGCGCCAATTCGAAGAGTCCCTCTCCGGGGAGGTCATCAAATGCATTGACATGCACACCACCGGAGAGCCCACCCGCATCATCTATTCTGGGTTCCCCGCACTCCAGGGCACTCTCCTCGAACAACGAGACCAAGCAAAGAGCCAATATGACCACATCCGAAAGCGCATCATGCTGGAACCGCGCGGTCACTTCGACATGTACGGTGCGATCATCATCCCCCAGACGGAGCTTGTCCAATCAGGTGAAGCGCACATCGGAGTTCTCTTTACGCATAATGGCGGTTTCTCGACGATGTGCGGGCACGCAACAATTGCCCTCGGTCGCTTCTTGGTTGACACCCATGACCTGGCGACTTTCCCACAGCGAAACGAACTGAAGCCCGACTTGGCCGTCCGGGAGGTCGATGTAAATATACACGCACCATGCGGACTGGTTCGAGTGGTGGTTCCTACCTCTGCCGATGGCCAGAAGTCGGATCCCTCCCGTTCGGTTCGTTTCCGGTCTACGCCAGCATATTGTGCTGCGACAGATTTGGAGATCCCCATCCCGCGGGAGCTAGCTTGGCCAGAGCTCGGTGATCGGACGTCGCTTCGTCTCGATGTATCGTACGGGGGTGCATTCTACGCCCTTGTTGATATCCGCGAGCTCGGATTCCAGACTGGGCTGCACAATTTCAGCCTTGAAGCTGTGTCTGTTGCTGTGAAGAGGCTGAAGAGACACTTGGTCACTCTCCCGAATGTCGTTGAGGCTCTGCAACACCCAGAGGACTCTAGACTCTCTTTCCTCTACTCGGTTATGGTTGTCGATCGCGAGATCGGCTCAAAGACAGATGGTGTTGATGGAGCAGAGACTGGTCTTTGCTTTTTCGCGGAGGACTCGATTGATCGATCTCCCACTGGTTCCTGTGTCGCTGCTCGTGTGGCTCTGGCGCATGCCAAGGGAGCTCGCAAGCAGGGTCAGAAGTGGGCATATAATTCCATTGTTACCAATCACTTTGATACCGGGGCCTTTGTTGCATCCCTCGTTGATGAGAATGTGAAGATTGAAGGACCAAATACCAAAGAAGGTAGAAATGGAGTCACCATCCTTGTCGAGGGAAAGGCTTACTACACTGGAACGGCGACTTTTGTTGTTGAGCAAGGCGATGTCACTAGCGAGAGTGGATTCACATTGAATGCTTGTACATAATACAGAACATATCGAATATCTCACTAGCATCATATCCACGAATCGCCCCCAATACCGAAGTTGATATCCCAGTCACTACCACTGAGCACGTCGAGTTGTTGAGCGAGACTCAGAATTTGGGTATGGTTCACTGTCATATCCTCCGTAGTCCCGACCCAGTCGCCCGTTGATGGGAGTGGAGAAAATGTAGGCATCGCACTGGGGGGCTCTGGCGTAAATTCGGGTATTCCAAGTGTCCCGGATTCCCTGCTGAGCGCGGCATGTTTCATCTGTTGTAGAAGACTCAGTTCCTTCTGTCGCAAGCGTGCCATTGTGTTTCCTTTCGCGGTCATATCGCTTAGCATACGAGTGACGCTTGTGACGTAGTGTTGCATATCCGGTACCAAGGACGGATCTATGAAATGTGCTATCACAACGATGAAAGCCGATGAGAAGAGGTTATCTAACCCGAAAGGAAACAAAGGTTCTGTTGGAAAATTAATATATTTCTTTCTCCGGGGGTTGCTTGAATAGGATTAGCTCACCAAGATGTGATTGTTCGTGCAACATGATAAGGGTTCGTAAGATAGATTTAGCGGACTGCAAAGAGACTTCAAGTAGCGGTCGCAATTGTGGTGGCGTTGATCCCTCTGCCTCTTCACCCGGCGTCGGACGGCCATCGAGCCTGTGAAGAAGGAAATAAAGAAACAGTGGGCGTGTCGCTAAAATGATGCACTTGAAGTTTCGCTTGTCAGCATCTGCAATCGCCTAGGGGCGTGCTGGGCTGGATGATTCTCACTTGATGGTATGTCAGATACAAATGGCAATTTATCGTCGAGACTGTAGCAAAAGACGAAGGTCCGCCTTGAGATGTGAGGTGTTCAATATCCTGTAGGACAGGTGCCAAGTCTCTGAGGACGGATTGCACTGTCGCAATGAACGTACTTTTTCTGGCGTCTTCTGTGGTATAGACGGCTGAAGATAGTCAGCTTTGCTCAATGATGTATTATCCAGCACTCCAATCTCCAAGTGCATGAGCATAGAATAACTCACTATCCAGGATTTGGCCCACTATCTTGGCAAGCTTAATGTGCATGGTCATAAATTGCACATCCTCTGATTTGTCGTATGAAGTCGGAAGGGCGCACGTAATTTGAGCATCTTGTATGGAGGTTGGACAACCGATCACTGCTGCTAGCTGGCGGTCAAGAATATAAGCAGACCACCAAATGTCTCGACAGTGACGAGCAAAACGGTCACCGAAAAGCTCACTCGGTGGCTCTCGGTGTAGACCTTCGATGATGCACAATCGGATAGACTGGCTGATCTGTGGTATTGTGAGCTCAGGGTCAAAGAATACAGTATGGAACACGACGCAACCATAAAAAGCTGGGGTAGTTCACAACATTTATGGGAGAGTACTCACGTATGCGTACGCAGCATCTTTCATGTCAACCGTCATCAAGAATAGCGCAGTAAGATACAGAATCTGCATTGCCAGATTTGGTTGTAGATGCAACCCAACAAAATCAGGCATCAAGGACATGGCGCGTTCGAAGAAAGCTGATCCGGGAGGTGACCCGGAATGACTGGATGTTCCAAGACAAGCTTTTGCCAACGACACAAGAAGCAAGTACTGAATGAACCACAGAGGCGATGATTTCACCTCCTCTATCCCATTTTGATAGAAAGATTTCAGATGCGGGAAGAATTCGTCTTCGTCAAGGAGCACAAGCATTCGGTGGGAGTGGAATTTGATGGTGTTTAGTAGATAGAGAAAGTCGGTGTAAGAAGGAAGACCCTCCAACAGTGAGATATCACTCTTGTCTGTTCGGTTCCAGCTGAGTGACCACGTGCTGCCATCGACATGGAAGGGCAAGTCTGGAGATGGGTATTCGGGCATCACGGTTTTGAACAACAGGAACACTCGCTGAGAAAATGCCCATGTTGAAGATGGTCCGCAGAATCCTACAGGATCAGCTATTATGCTTTTTCATGGTCACGACAGCATGAGCTTACTGTATCGGCCAGTGGTATCCTGGAGGTAAAAGGATTGAGGTGATACTAGTGGATTCGTGATCGGCGCCGCTGTAGGGGCCACTGTGGTCGAATTGCCTTGGGCATTGGCTAGAAATATGAGCAAAATTTGAAAGCGGACAAGGAAATGTAGTAGCATACAGTTTGATGTCAGGGACGGCGAGCGAGCAGGTGATGGGCCATCGTAATCCGATGCAGGCACTGGTGTGTCGTGAGATTGTCCCAATCTCCGTTTCTCAAGGGCCTCCAGATAACTAGTATCATCAGCCCGTGGTCCCAGAGACGAGGAATCTATGCTTTACCTTTGAGAGACCGTTACCTTCTTCGGTGTTGCCTTGACCACACAAGAGATGCTTCGTGCTACGCAGGACTCGCATGGGGACTTTCCCGAGCACTTCACCTTTCTTCGTTTGCATTCATCGCATCTAACTTGGGATCAGCAAGATGCAGCAAAATGGATCTCTTGTGACATTACGCATTAGACACGCGAGTGAAAGGTTGCCGGGCGGGCATTGTGAAATGTGTGTTCTGGATCCGGGCCGATGCCTCTCTCCCCGGTGCCTCGGAAGGCAGATCCGAGCGAATCCTGCCCTGCTTTTCGCGCTTTGGGGGCAGCTTTAGTTGACCTAGGAATTTACCAACAGGGATTCTTTCGGGTTGATCAATTGATTTTTCGAGTTTTATAAAGGTGAAGTCGTGTGGGGAAAGGCCATCCTAAACTCCACGTCGATGAGGTGCGTCGTGATAATCGCACGTCGCGTTTGGCTTCACGCACGTCAACACGTGACCACATTTGACCGTGCAAATTTGTGATCACCCCACAACCGAGCATTGCTGTGACAAAAAGGACGATTCGATTTTCATGGAAACAATAGGCCGTGTCATTCCAGAGCAGGTATCTAAACAGCTGATCTAAGTGCTGTGCTGATTATTCAGATCACCTTTCAGACGATATATTTAAAGTGTTCTGTATTGCTGCAACCTATAAGCCCCTCACAAAGTTCTTCAAATTCTCAGCCAATGGAGAGACAACTGTTTGGTATATCTCTTCTTGCATAGTTTCGTCTTCTATGTTGTTGCCGGACGTCCAGTGCCCGAAGAGACATTGCTCGACCGCATCACCATACAAATGGCCACTCGATGGTTCCACATATCGCAACAATCGGGTGGCTGTCTTAAGAGTCGCTGTTGCCTCGTTATCGTCATGATCTTCTGGTGAACGAAGCAGCTCTATTGGCTGGCAAAGTGAGAGCTCAATGAGGACAACGCCTAGAGGGAAGAGAATTTCGTTTCGGATTAGGGCCGAATTTGCCCCTTCCCTGCACATGGTTGAGGCTTCTACTCCACGCGCAACACTCAAAGAAAGTGCAGCATGGCCGAGTCCGCCGGTCGGCTTTCCAATGAACTTGATGTCGCGAGCTCGCCATTGAGATTTGAGCCAATTCCCATGTAGTCGAAGAACACTATACGCGAGCTCGACAGCCAAACTGAGACGATCTTTGGGGCTGAAGAAAAATGCACCCTTCATTTGGGCTTGGATGATTGTTGAGGATGATGCGAGGAGATCTTCCAGCGATTGTAGCTTCGGGATTTCGGCAAGGTCTCGCAAGTAATACATAGAGTGCATTTGAGCTCCGTCTGCAAGGTAGCCTAACAACTTTCTCTCCGTGGAACGAGATTGCTTTGTTGCAGTTGACAATGTCAGACAAATGTCAGAAATAGCAGACCTGGTAGGTCTTTGTTCAGAAAGCACAGCTGTACTTTCCGCTTTTATTGGGCATGCAACGTTCATCGCTCTATCCTCTGGTTGGGCATTGTCCCTGGTTAATCGTGCTCCCATAGGCTGATGTTCCAGGGCCATTGATGGCGACGGGACATAATTGGTTTCCGCTTCAAGCTCGTGTGCTTTTCCTAAGCTCCCATTTGACTCAAGAGCTCCAGGCAAAACAAAGACTAGTCGAAACCGAGTCGTCGGGTTCTCAATCATTTTGCTGACTTCCGGAGACTTCACATCAAGAAGAAAGTGGATCATATGTCTATCTCGACAAGAGCACCTCCAGCAGTTCTCTTTGAGGATGACATTGTGTAAACTTCTAGCAATTTGTCGATTGTTTTTCAACCATGTCAAGGAATGCTTTGATCTCTTTCGAGTTTGCAATCCGCGACGATAGTCCGATTGCTCCACCAAATTGGATAGCTGTTCGTTTGACGTGTTGATTTGATGGAATATCTTCTCGTAAATGCTCTTGGAGAATGTATCTTTAAACTTCTTAACCTCTCGATTAAAGGCACTCGAATCCGTCCAAAACCTCTTAAGATGAATGAAGTACGTGAGATGAAGTTCACATTAGAAAATCAAAGGGGGAAGGAAGTAAAGGACACATACCTCTATTGGCATTTTGTCCCAATTTAGCTTTCGGCGCAGTTCTTCGAGGAGCAATGAAAGTTGCTTCATGCTTTGGCAGAACGGAACGTAGTTTCGTCCTAATTTGTTCTCGAGAAGTGACTGTACACTTGCCTTCTCCCATAAAGCCTTGAGCTTCTCGGAATCAAGCCCGTCGATACCATCTTCAAACTCAACAATTCCCTCAAGGGATCTCTCCAAAGTATTGATAAACATCGCCTGCTGGGATCCGAGGTGTGAGGCATAGTGATCCAGCCTGCTACGATACCTCCTCGTTCGAAAGTCACATAGGGTTTCAATACCTTGCACATAGTTATCCAATTGATTGATTAACAATGGCAAGATAGCAAGAGCAATACCAGCCACCTCTATGCCTGACATCTGACCGAAATTTGATACCTCGAGTATCTGCGTCCAAACCCCGAGAGGGTAAAAGCTTGAGAAAATAGATGGGGTGCGGCTGAGAGCAGCTGAGGGTGATACACCTCATTTCGGGCCCCTCATTTTCCGTGATCGAATAATCCCTGTCTATTCCACGTAACATTTGACCTCCTCTGGCTTTATCTTGTATTCATCTGTCTCGACTCACCGAAGCCGCTTGTTACGTGCTTCTAGCACTAGAAACGGACAGATGGCGACCATAGCAACCGCCATCCAGGAGAGTCTCAAACATCTTGATCGTATCGTTGCTTCCCAGGCCCTGGAGAAATATCAAAATGAGGTCGTGCCAGACCTATGGTTTAATGAGCTGGGTCGTTTGCGTGTTTGGACAGCAAACCTAGGAGCGCACCAGACGGGTCAGTTCTCGCTGGAGTTCCGACTACGCGAAGCGTCCCATTTGAAAGATCAAACCATGCGAGCGCTAGGTCGACTTCAACGTACCATCCAAGACTTGGAAGATCTCCTACACGGGACAGGTTATGATCAAGAATATTCCAGCGACTCGGATGAAAGCGAAAAAGAGAGCCAGACCATGATCCATAGTGTATATCTTGCTCTACATGACACTATCAGCATACTTTTTGAGAACGCGATGGCTATTCGAAGACTAGCACTCCACGATATGCGGGTTGGGCTGAAAAGATCAGACACGGCGGAATTTGAACCATGGGATCGAAAGCACGTGGCGGACAAGTTCCCCAGCTTGGACCGTGAGATTAGTGATCGTCTGGGTCTTGCAATCACACAGCGCCGGGCCACACTCAAATATCGCGAACAGCGTCATCTCAAACTCGCACGGGGACTTTCAGAGACGGTTCCGATGGACCTCGATGTGAAGCCCACCGAAGATGATTCTGACCTTCAGTCTAGAATTTCGCAGACTTCTTACGCAGAAAGCATGGCGAATCGACAGGACGGAATGGGAATTCCACCTCCACCCAAAGAGTCTCTAAGCGGAGACCCTTTTCAGTGCCCGTATTGCTTCTTACTCATCAAAATCAGCGGTAGACAATCATGGACGCACCATGTCTTACGCGATCTGATGCCTTATATATGTGTTTTCCCACACTGTCGGATACCGTATCAACTTTATGAGACTCGTCGCGAATGGTATGCCCATCTTCAAAACGAGCATTCGGTCCCCGAAGAGACAGATAATTCGATATCATGCTCTCTTTGTAGCATCTCTGTCGGTTCAGCGACGGTTTTTCGAAGACATCTTGCACGACACCTTCAAGAGCTCGCGCTTTTTGCTTTACCACGATCTGAACCAGATGAAGGCCTGGAGACTTTGAGCTGTGAATGGAGGGGTTGCAGCGATGACTCCATTTTCAAAAGTGAACCCGACCTGTGGGCGCATCTAATGCGTCAGCACATCAGACCAAAGGTTCTCAAATGCCATTTGTGCGAGTATACCACAGATCGGCATGACATGAAAGCGCACATGCTAGCAGTTCATAAAGGAGAGAATGAGCAGCAACAAGGGGAAGATCAAACTCGGTGTGAGCCCATTGAATGCGAATGGGGTAGCTGCCATGGCCCTCTGTTCGCACATAGGAGTTCTTTAACTCGACATGTAAGGAATCATGTCTGGATGGTGGAAACAAGGTCCAAAACACCACGAGAGTTCAAACCGGAGGTAGAAAACACACCGGAAAGCATGAAATATCACAACTATGCAACGGGGCAGGACCTTTTTGGCTGCATGATTGCAGGTGAGACAATGACCCCCCTCAGGCTTTTTAGACCTCCTAAACAGCCCAAAACGCCCATAGCCCATCCTGGCCTAACCCACCAATGGCCTGGGCGTTAACCTTGGTCCTCGGGTTCATCGATTGGTTATGGGCCAAGGGTAGGGGGGCCAGTAGTCTCATTGAAATGTGTCTCCTGTAAACTTTTGTCAAACAGAGCTTTCGTAAAACAATTCAAATGGTCAACTTCTGGCTCGGGCTTCAAAAAGAGAAAGGAAATAAATTCAAAATGTTGCAGGTGGTGATTGTTGATATGACCCCCGGGGCCGTGGACCCGCCACCTTTATCCTAGCGGTTCTTATCGAACTAGAGCGTGCTTGGTTTTCAGGGAGTGCCTTGGATTTAAAAGGAATGGAGCAAAATGCGCAGGTTTGTCATGGATATAAAAATATTCAACCTTGGATGCCATCAAGTATGTCACATTGATATGAAATTTGATTCGCCGAACTACTCATCGACACCGTTTGACAAAAGAGAATTTACCATTTCAACCCCTGCTTCGGCCAGATCACTCTCTGCTCGATTAAATACGAGCCTTTCCATTTTATTTACGTAGTTCTTGTTCAAAGTTCAACTCCTGATAGTCACAGCCATCCGGTATAAGAAGGCTTCTTCCAAGACACAGGCACCTCCAACAAGTCATCAGCACTTACTGCACATGGCCATGGGGCATCAAAGACCATCCGTTGGTCTACTGTCAATTTACGTGCACGGATTCTGTCGACCCACCACGCCGCAACAGTTATAGCCTGTTCCAGAATGACACTGTCACCTTGTCGATAAGGCTTGTCATACCTGATGGGCAAGGAGATACATCGCAGACCTCGGCTATGCTGCGGCTCACTGTCCATGCTCACTCGGCCAGACTTGATCTTCTGGTAGACATAGCACATTAGCTCTTCGTCAGTGTGGGAGTTGGCCGACATATATCCTGGAAGAGTCGCGGTGACCCAGCAATGCTGTTTGCGACAATGATGAGGATCTGGAATCCACTTGCTGCAAGGGCTCAGAAAGATACTGGCCTGGTATCTGGGCCAGAGAGAGATGTTGGTCGAGGGGTCGGAATCCATGGTAACTGGAGAAATATTTATTAGCCTGCCCTGAAATGGAGTGGACGGTGTATATGCGTGGGTGTTTTCAATCTTTTTGGGCAATACTCTTTCGATCTTCGACAAAGTTGACCGGAAGACAGCAGGTATATATATTCAACCTCGCGAGTGGACTTCAACACGCCCCATTGTTTCCTTTGAGGGCAGAAACAAAGACATATTTCTTTCGATGCAGAGATATCCCTTGTTAGAGACACAAACGAATCCAAGCCGGGAACAAAGACAGGGAGAAAGTGACATCTCTCGAAATGCAAACAAACAGCAAGCGATAAGGCTGCAACTTCCCTGTCGATTCCCGTTGAGGTTAGCACGCCATCGGAGCTCGATAGTGAGCTCCGGACTCCGAGCGCAGGCATAAATACCCCCGACGCTGTCTCACAAATCTTTCGATCATCGACAAATATGCGGGTTCTCACTTGGGCGGCACTTTGCGCGGTGGGCTACGCCTCACAAACGGTCCTCCGACCGGAGTCCGACTTCACCACTTTCCAGAACCCCAACTCACCCCACTCAATTCGCATCCAGCGACAAAATGACTCACTGTGCGATGCGGGATCGGCGCAGTATACCGGATGGCTCGATATCGGACCTAAGCATTTATTCTTCTGGTTTTTCGAAAGCCAAAACGACCCGATCGGCGACCCACTTACGTTGTGGATGAATGGCGGGCCCGGAAGTTCGAGCATGTTGGGCTTGTTGATGGAGAATGGACCGTGCTTGATTAATGAGTATGGCAACGGGACGGTGCATAATCCTTGGGGCTGGTCGAGAAACTCATCGTTGCTTTACGTTGATCAGCCGGCTGCGGTGGGCTTCTCGTATGTTGACGAGGGCGTGGAGGTCCCGCGGGACTCTCCCGAGGCCGCGGTGGATATGCACCGGTTCCTGCAGATCTTCACTTCTGAGGTCTTCCCGTATCTTCACTCGGTGCCTTTCCACATTTCGGGAGAATCCTATGGGGTGAGTTGGGTTCTAATGTTCGCATTTCGGTGCTGACCATCTTAGGGACAATACATTCCTTATCTCGGAGCCGAAATTTTAACTCAGAACGCACTATTCCCATCAGAACCTCAGATCAATTTGAAGTCATGCTTGGTGGGAAATGGGTACATGTCGCCCAAGGACGTCGCATTTGGATACTGGGAAACCCTTTGCACCACCAATCCAGGGGTAGAAACACCCGTGTTCAACAAGACGCGATGTGATATCATTGCGGCGAACATGCCGCGCTGCATGAGTGTTCACGATACTTGCAGAAGCAACCCGGATGTAGACATTTGCAACGCCGCAGGCAAAGTCTGCTATGACGGAGTTGTGGGATTCTACGAGGATGAGAGTAGCTACGAAGGAGGCCGCAATCGTTACGACGGTAAGACATCGCTAATCTCATTACCTCTGATACAACTAACAAAGACATTCGCTTTAGTGACTGCACCGTGCGATGTCGAAGGCTTCTGCTACCAATCAGCAGCTTCCGTGAAGAAGTACCTCAATTCACCGGCAGTTCGGGAAGCGCTCTCCACACCAGCGCAAGTCAAGGAATTCACTCTTGAATCTCAGGCTGTGGTTGATGCGTTCGGCACCACCCCGGAAGCCATGACCACTTCGTCGAACGAAGTCCTAATGCTACTCGCGAGTGGCGTGCATTTCCTGGCCTACCAGGGAAATCTGGACCTAGCCTGCAACACGGCGGGAACCCTCCGCTGGGCCAACGCGCTTCCGTGGAAAGGGCAGACCGAGTTTGCGTCAAAGTCGCTGGTTCCCTGGAATTCCAATGTGGATGGGCAGAACAAGACGGTCGGAACGACAAAGGAAGTTCAGATCAAGTTAGATGGCCAAGCTGAGGCATCGCGCTTTGCATTTGTGACAATCGATGGTGCTGGTCATCTTGTGGGTCTCCAAGCTTCCCTGTGATTATTATAAGAGATGCTAACATCCGCTCGTCTTAGGTTCCTCAAGATCAACCTGAGGTCGCGTTCGATCTCTTGACGCGGTGGCTCACGGGCGCATCCTTTGCCAGCTCCTGATTCATTGGAAATCGGGCATAGGTGCGGTATTTCCCGAGTCTTGCACATCCTGACATAGATTTAGAGCCGTCGAATGAGAATCAGGGAGAAAGCACCATGGTATGCTCGATGGTATCTGGAAGCTGCAATGCCTCCCGGGCTGCTCTACAAACTACAAACTTGTCTGTCTGTTCAGCTACACCTTGTACATACTTGCTGTAGAGTGCACAAACGCTATAGAGTTTGGTCTTCTTTTCACTTACTTCATACAAGACCAGAGCACCCGAGCACCCGCAATGTGTTTCCTAACGAGCGGTATATCCACCATCGACCGGAACACACACACCTGTAACCCAACTTGCATCATCACTCGCTAGGACGACCGCCATACGAGCAACGTCCTCAGGCATCCCCAGTCCTTTCAGTGGATGAAGTTGACTTAGATCATCCATAGACGTCAAGTGTTGATGGGCATCAGCGAGAAGAGCAGTGTGAGTATCTAGAAAACCATCAGTCCCCACTCAGTGTCATACACGCGATAAACCAAGGAACTCACAGCCAGGACACAAGGCATTGACATGAATGTTGTGACCCGCATAATCTAGCGCCGCCTGTCTTGTGAGACTGCTGACGGCCCCCTTGGACGCACAATAACATGCCACACAGGGTTAGCAGTAATCTAAAGACCCGGTGCGCACTCACGATGCTTCAGCCCTCCTACAATCCCAAGGATCGAGGAGATATTGATAATCCAACCTCTGTCCCCAGACGAATGCGGCTCTTGTGCCAACATCTGGGTAAGAGCATACTTGCAACCCAAGAAAATGGATTTAGTGTTCACCCGCATTGTCGCGTCCCAGTTGGCCTCGTCCGTCAGATGCAGCACAGCCGGTGTATGAGATTCAATACCAATTCCAGCATTGTTGACCAAACTAACGTACCAATCAGATAATGGATCAAATCAAAGCTACCTCCGATAAAACTCACACATCCAACCGGCCGTACAGGGCAACCGCAGCAGCTACGAGATTCTCCATCGCCTTCGCGTCGCCAACATCGGTTTGCACAAAAATCGCCTGGCCCCCGGCTTGAACAATCGAGTCATGTGTGGTGATCGTGGCTTCGTCCTCGGATCTTGCGGTCGGCGTCAGATCCCCACATACTAATTTCGCCCCTTCTCTGGCATAGCGGAGTGAGATTGCGCGCCCGATGCCAGATGACGAGCCAGTCACTATGGCGACTTTATCTTGGAGCCGAGCTGAGCTGGTCATTCTGTCGGTATTCTATTGGCAATTCAATGCTTCTAAGGGGGCGGGGGGATGGGCGAGGCAGATTTCTTCATGTCGGTTGTCTCTTTTAGCCCCATGACGTCGAAACCTGTAGCTGGAAAGTAATTTGCAGCAGATGGTTTTTTTATTTGTGGATATTGATGATATCTCACATTTTTAGAGCGCAGTTGCATGTTGCGTCGAGTGCATGTTCCAATTGCAGTGAAGTATAGATCGGAGGGGTTGGCTGTGAAGGGAAGGTGGGCCGATGAGGGGGTCGGGTAGACTTCCCCTTTGGGATATACTGCAGCCGCAATACACAACTTTGTGCAACTTCACTTGGACTTGATGATATTTGAGCTTGTTCACGATATTAAATAAGCTATACATTATTCCCTCTAAAAAAAGGCTAAGAACTAATAAAATGCCAGATTTGTGTGTGGTTATTTGTTCCATGTGCGGAACTTCACTTCGACTTCCACGGCGCGGTATCCTGCACGACTCACCAACATTGGAAAAAGTGACAAACAGGCGTATGTTCTATTTCACTAGCTCCTCCATCGCGTAAAATTTAAAAAAAAGTGTGGTAACGTGGCAAGGCAGGGAAAGGCAGGGGCCGAAGGGGCTGAGTTCAGAAAAAGCCCATCGAAGGGCGAGGGAACATGGCTGTGGAACAAATCCACGAGGAGATCGGATCCGTTGGAACAGTCCATGCTAAGCCACCATTTCACGACGAGCGCATTAAATCCGCATGCTTTTCCTTGGCACCGGACGCCCGATGGACATTCCTGATCGACATCAAGCATTCCCCCGTTTCCAGCCCACCAGGAATGCAGATCAGCCACAGGGCTAGAGCTAGGCAGCAAGACAGCTACACCTGTGGACAGAAACAGAGATAGATGAAGCTAGAGAAGCTAAAAAAGGGGAACTAGAAGTAATTAGACATTATGTGAAAGGGAGTGGAGAGTACAATATTAAGCCCCCGCACATTGTTCGGAGTCCGATCATTGTCGTTGCGGTCAACCAATCAGAATCGCCAATTTCCCAAACAAAACAGTCAAACCACATGGCAAGACCCGTTGGTTTCGGGTGATCGGCGCCTGTTTTCATCGGCCCTCATCCGGCGAGTCAGATCGGGCGATCAGGTCCTGCCACTTTGGGGTTTAGTATAGGCACAGTGAGCCTTGGAACTAATGCAATGCACGTCGGAGCACATATGGCTGAGGGGTAAACTGGGTGAAAGTACTTTGGTATGGAGCAAAATAACCTCCAGTGTCTAATTAGCCTTGGAGTTTGTGAGGGGGTTACATCAAACATCAAACCCAATTTGGATTGTGTACGCCGCACGCGATGCCCAGGTGTCTCGGCCCCATCTACATGTCTGCGGCTGGATGCAACCATATGGCTGTTATCATTGTTCTCGGGGTAATGACCTAATGCCTCAATGTCTTCAATATCTACAATGTCTCGCCCACTTGCCATTTGTTTTCCTATACCATTTACTTGCCATTTCGGGCATCATTCATGCCAGGTTGCATATATACCTCGTAGTCTCATGGTGATCAGCTTCCTCATCCGCATCCGCATCTTTCAGTAACTCGCCATCATGCGTTTCTCTCCGACGCTGTTCCTTTACGCGCTGTCTGGCACAGCTGCGATGCTAACGCCTTCATCCTTTAAGCGAGACTTGAAGCTTTCTGCGGAGTTGGGTATTCACCCAGATGAGCTGCTTGCTTCCAAGAAATCTTTGCATGCTATTGCTAGTGCTCAGGCTGATAGGAATATCAAGGCCGAGTTTGTCTCGGTAGGTGAATGTTGTTCATTTGCGAGGGTACTATTCTGATAAACATAGCTCCCAATCGATCACGACAACTCCTCGGTGGGCGAGTACCTGAATCGCTATTGGGTCAGCGAGCAGTACTATAAGGAAGGTGGACCGGTCTTCGTCTATGACGTTGGTGAGTCAGAAGCTGAAGGGTCTGCCCAAGGACAGCTTGGCAACTCGAGCTCGTTCTTCTCTGGAATGCTCAAGGAGTTTAATGGACTTGGTATTGTCTGGGAACACCGGTAAGTATATATCAGTGTACGCACTTGCATGTGAACCATATTGACATCCGCAGCTACTATGGACACTCTCTGCCGTACAACGTTAGCAGGGACACTTTGCCCGAGCACTTCCAGTACTTGAACAACAGACAAGCTCTGGCCGATCTGCCTGTTTTTGCGGCCAACTTCACCCGCGCTAACCTGCCAAACTTAACCCTCACCCCCGATGCCACCCCCTGGGTGATGGTCGGCGGCTCTTACGCCGGAATGCGAGCAGCCTTCACTCGTAACGAGTACCCAGAGACCATCTATGCAGCATTTGCCTCTTCCGCACCTGTTGAAGCACGCATCGATATGAGCGTCTATTTCGACCAAGTGTATGACGGCACTGTCGCCAACGGATACTTGAACTGCACCCGCGACATCAAGGCGGCCTTGGAATACATCGACGACGAATTATCCAATGAGACCACCGCAGGCCCCATCAAGCAACAGTTCTTTGGCAAAGGTGCTGAGACTAACAGCAATGGTGACTTCACAGCTGCACTTTCTGGCATCTTCGGAATTTTCCAGGGGTACGGTCTCGGTGGCGGAATCGGGGGCCTCGGGGCATTCTGCGAGCACCTGGAGACCGACGAGACGGGCCGCCCGGCGCCCGCGGAGGGGCACGCCCCATCCCGCGGCAACAAGTACGTGGCTGATCGGTGGGCCTCCTGGCCGGTATTCACCCAGTTGATCAACATGAATTACGAGACAAATTGCAACGGGACAGAAATCAGTGAGGCGCTTTCGTGTGATTTGAACCCCGTCCCCTCGGACCCGGACACCCTCAGCTGGACTTGGCAGTACTGCACCGAGTGGGGATATTACCAAACCAACAATTTCGGCCCTCACTCGCTGCTGTCCAAGTACCAGAATCTGGAATTCGCGCAAGATTATTGCGATCGTTCGTTCCCCGAGGCATTGAAGCAGGGATACCTGCCGGCTCAGCCGCAAGTGGAGGAGACCAATGAAGAGACGGGCGGGTGGACGATTCGCCCATCGAATGTTTATTGGAGCGGAGGACAATTTGATCCATGGAGAACTCTTTCACCCCTTGCGACCGGGCCTTCGGATCCACAGGTGAAACTCACGACGGAGATCCCCCAGTGTGGTGTGCAGACTAGCGAGGACACGCTCTTTGGATATGTGATGCCCGGGGCTGAACATTGCTTCGACTTCCGCACATCATTTGCACCGGGTGCAGTGTCTCGGGGATATTTCTACCAGGCGCTCAAGGAGTGGTTGGGTTGCTTCAAGGTTGATCTGTAAATAATCGACTTGATTGGTCACATATTGGCTTTTCCCCCTTGCATACGGAGTATTGAATTTGCATAAGATCTGTGGCCTAATTTTCTGATGTATCGCAACGAGATCAACAATTTCCTTCAAGTATTTGTATTGCACAATTCCACTTCTAATGTTTTGACTCTTGCTTTTCGCCCTTTTTTAAGCCAACATGTTCCATGTCGCCGCCCTGCTGGGCTTTGGAGCCTTGGTCATAGTGTTAAAATACATAACGCAATCTATCCACCACCGGAAACAAGCCAAGGCGTGGGGATGCAAACCAGTTCGCCGTTCACCCGATATCCTGGGCATCTCAACATTTTTAAACCATAACAAAGCGCTCAGTGAGAACCGCTGGCCTGAATTTTTGCAACACGAGTATAACCTCCACGGGACGACCCACCAAGAGACCCTTCTGGGCCAGACTGTTCTCACTACGAGCGATCCAGAGAACCTGAAAGCTATTCTCTCCACTCAGTTCAAGGATTTTTGTGTCGGGCCGCGGTATGGTCAATTCTATCCCCTTGCTGGTGCCAGCGTCTTCACTCTCGATGGCGCGCCCTGGTCGCATGCCCGCGCCCAGCTACGTCCTCAATTCTCCCGCGATCAGGTCACCGATCTTTCTATACTGGAGGAACATGTTACCAACTTCGTGAATCTAGTCCCAAAGGATCGATCTGCCTTTGATATCCAGCCTCTTTTCTTTATGTTCACGTTGGACGCATCCTCCCATTTTCTCCTTGGCGAATCAATCGGCTGTATGCTTCCATCTTCCACGGAAACCGGCGTCCTGTCGAAATGCGCCGTTCGCAATGCCCAGGGTTTCGCACATGCTCTCGACGGCTCACTAGATTATCTGGCGAAGCGATCCCGAGCACATCACTTGTACTGGTTGATCAATCCCAAGGAATTCCGGGATATGTCGAAGCAGGTTCAGGAAGTTTTCGAATATTACGTGCATGCTGCACTGGAGGCAAAAGGAAATTCCGACAACAAGGATGGTCGGTATACCTTTCTACGTGGGCTGGTGGCAGATAGCGATGATCCCAAAAAGATCCGCGACGCCTTACTGAGCCTTATGGTCGCGGGCAGGGATACAACTGCAACCATGCTAGCTTCTACTTTCTTCTACTTGGCGAGATACCAGAGCGTCTGGAGTCGGCTGCGCAGGGAAATTTTAGAATTATTTGGCGATGTGAACTCCCCCAAGGTGGAAATTACACATGCAAGACTCAAGGATCTTCGTTACTTGCAATGTGTGTTAAATGAGGGTCAGTGAATCCACTCCTTTTCTCTCATCTCATGACTGACTGGTGTATAGTATTGCGAATGCAGCCAGCGGTGCCATTCAACACGCGCACTGCTACGAGGGACACCACCCTTCCGGTGGGTGGAGGGGTGGACGGTCGCTCCCCGATATATTTGAGAAAAGGGGAGAATCTCACTTATTGTGTCTACTCGATGCATCGTCGGAAAGATCTCTGGGGCCAGGACGCCAATGAATTCCGACCTGAACGTTGGGAGGAAAACCCGAAACGGGGGTGGGAGTTCCTCCCATTCAATGGAGGACCGCGTGTTTGCATCGGTCGTAAGTTGATTGCTAAAATAATTGATGTTGTTATTCCGGAATGGCTCACAATATGCAGAACAATATGCTATCACCGAGGTTGGATATGTTGTGGTCAGACTCTTGCAGCATTTCGATACTCTGGAAGGTGCCGACCCGCATCCGAGGATGGAGCCTGTCAAAGAGTGCACCATCACGTTGTCTCACGCTCTTGGTGTTCCAGTTCGACTTTATTCTTCCAAGGCTTGAATGAATCAATTTACAGGATTTAAGGCTTTTTTGAGTAGAACATGAAATAAAACGAAGACAGTGTTTTCCATTCACTTTGGCATTCATTTCGACAGTACACACATGAAGGCTTAGCTCACTTGTTAAGATGTCACAACGGCTACAAAAAGATCCTGCGAATATGCGTCCGGATATCGGTCCAGAATTCTTCAACTTCTGTGTCCATGTGCTCGGCGAGTCCCGCCTGGAAATTGGCAATACCTTTCTCCACGTACCGCAGGAGGTCGATGATGCGCTCTTCTCCGTGAATAAATTCAACCATGGGGTTGAAGTTTCCTGGCCCTTTGTCGATAACTGGAATGGCCAAGGGCCCTTGGCTAGGCCCCCAAGAGACTTTTATCTATTAGCTGCATTGTATAACCATGAGACTTGGGAATGTAATACTGGAGTCAGTGGAATCCGAACACGCGTAGCGGTATAAAGGTATCGTCTTACCAGTCAGTACGCTTGGCTCGACCTCTATGCCAGAGGACATGGCGATGAAAAGCTTCGCTTTGTCGGTGTCGAAGTAGATGGAAGGCTCACTTGCGGCGAGGCCCGCAAGGAGGAGATGATGAATCTGGTGATTGAGAGTATCAGAGACAGGCCCTCTCTGTGACTGTTGACGCTATTCGTGTGCGTCATGCTGTTTGGATGACGTCGTATTGAGAAAAGAGCAGATCTGTAAGATAGTTGGGTGTATTGTGAGGCGAGGAGAGGATGACGGAATATAGATACTCCTTAGATCTGCTCCTCGAGTTCCGCAGAGCTTCAATCCTGCGGATACGTGCCCGGATGTTGGCACGGGCTTCTTCAAATCCCGTGTCGGAGGTATTATGGGCGTGTCCCGCCTGGTGGAGGATGGGGAAGTTCTTCTCAACGTGCGGGAGAAGTTCCAAGATTCCTTGCTCCCTACGGATGATGTGCATAGCTCGTCCGATATTGTTTGCGTCTCTCGCAAATGACAGAATGATCAATGTCCCCTGATTGGGTCCCGGGGGCTGTTTTAATTAGCTCACATTTGCAGGTTTGAGATTATTGAAACTTACCCGTGCCCTTTCACATTGTTTGAACAAACAAAACGGAAGAATTTTCAGATTTATCGTTCTGCGTATTTGTGATCCGTATGTCCTTGCACTTCTCTCAGATCTGGCCATCCAGGTCCCGAAGGAGAGTCGAGACTCTCCTGAGATAGTATCAGATGTTGAAACGAACTCGGTCAGCCTCGGCCTGCGCTGCGTCGGAGGCATCCGAGGTAAGCAGCACCTCTCGAAGAGCGCCGAGCTCCTGCTCGACCATTCAGAGGACCTCCAAGACTCCTCCATCACCCCGAAGGGTCTCGGTACCGGCGTTCCCGCCGTAAGGCTCTCCGACAAAAGAGGGAATGGGGTTTGTCCCCTGGTCAGGTCCTGACGGGCTTTTATCCATTAGCTCGCATTTCACACAGGTGAGAGGCTGGTAAACTACCTGTGACTGTCCATGTTGCCCATGTCTGTCACTTTAGTTGAGATGAGCAGAGGAAGAGTAGTGGGAGAGTGAAAGAAAGAGCCTCTTGTGATCCACAACTATCAATCCCAACGACGGGACCCTGGTAGATCAGACAGCTACAGCTGGCTAGGGCACGCTCGGATAGCCTGCTTGTCAAGCTCGTTGTCAATTTCGGCAAACCAGTAGAAGCTTCGGAATAGGAGGAGCCAGAACCCGGGCCCTTATAAGCAAAATCAGAGAGATAAACTATCATGGTATTAGGCCTCACCCGTAGCAATCTATGACCTGAGATCTATAAAGGAAGCAATAGACAAAATGAAAGAGTGTTTAGATTCCTCTTTCTGCCAAGGTATCACACTCTAGATCTGGTTCTCTAGCTCGTGATGGAGGTCTCAAACCTCCTGATATTGGCTCGGATAGTAAACCAGATCTGGTCTGCTTCTTCCAGCGTTGCGCCTGAGGTTGACGACGCAAGTACTGCCTCGTGAAGAGCGCCAACTCGCTCTTCCACATCGTACAGAAGGTCCAGAATACCTTCTTGTCCTTGGAGGATCGCGACCGGGAGGTTTCCGTTGTCTTCCTCTCCGTTAAGGTTGGGATAAGGTTTGAACCCTGGTCAGGTCCCGATGGACTTTTGTTTATTAGCCTGTTCTTCCCCATCTGTGATGGTTGGGAATACAGTACCCATGACTGTTGGCACCGTTAATGTGGGCCATGACTTTGCATGTGTGTGCGGTGGAGGAGGCTTCAGAAGTCAGATATGATTTTCAGACCAACATCAAAATGACTTACTGGATTCTTGCACGGTTGTCCAGGTGGAGAAAAGAGATGGGCTCTGTTAGCCAGAATGGTTGAATAGTAGAATGGAAGGAAGAAAGAATAGAAAGTAAAGGAAGGTAGAGAAAAAAATAAGTTGGCGAGGCCTTATCCAGCCTTGGGGGTGGTGCACTTTGTCTATCATTGTGGGCGACACACTTGTGGACTTCTATTAGAAATGAAGCATCGCAGTGTTCCATCTCTCTCACTATCTCGTCTCATCTCTGTCACTCACAGCATCACTTATCAATAGAATTAGGCAATACTCCGCTAATATCTGATCTAGGAGTGACAGTAGTAATCCTTTAGCTTGTGCACTTCCAAGATGTGGCGCGGTTCCCGTCATACACTATCTGCGAGGCTTATATCTACAAATAAACCAACAAACACAACGAAAGACTGTTCAGTTTCATCGTTCTGCCTATTTTCTATCCTTGTGTCCTTGTATCTCTCTCAGAGCTGGCTATCCAGGTCCCGAAGGAGAGTCGAGACTCTCCTGAGAAAGTATCGAATGTTGGCACGGATTCGCTCAGCCTCCGCCTGCGCTGCATCAGAGGCATCTGAGGTGAGCAGGACCTCACGAAGAGCGCCGAGCTCCTGCTCGACCATCCACAGGAGCTCCAACACTCCTCCGTCACCCCGAAGGGTCTCGATCGCGGCGTCGCCGCCGTAGGGCTCTCCGACAAAGGAGGGAATGGGGCTTGCCCCCTGGTCAGGTCCCGGGGGACTTTTATGCATTAGCTCGCGTTTCTCACGTGTGACAGTTGGGAATGAAATACCCATGACCGTTGACACCATTAGTTTGGGCCATTTCGGTTGATATCTCTGCAATGGAGGAAGCTTCAGAAGTTAGATATGATTCGACAGCAACCTTGAAACTTGGAATGACTTACTCTGTTTTTGCAGGATGTGGAAAGATGTGGAAATATTTGGCGTGTCTGGTTGCCAGAATGGTTGAATGGTAGATGGAAGGAAAGGGAATGAAGGAGGGAAAGGAAGGAAAGGAAAGGATTTAAATAGGGTAGAGAAGAGGAGTTGGGGAGATCTTGGTGCGCGTGATCTATAGGGCTATCATTGTGGGCGATACACGTGTGGACTTCTATCAGAGGAAGGCTACAGCAGCGTCACACCCCTCTGACCATCTCATCACTTTTACTATCTCTTCTCTCTAACCAACAGCGTCACTTGTGAACACGAGTAGGCAATAGTCCGCTAGTATCTGATTTAAAAACGAGATACACATGGCAGTAATTTTCTAGCTTCCAAGGTTGTGGGTAGTTGGGATGCCACGCACAAGCTAAAGGTATTACTTCATGGATTCAATACACCTGGGCACTATCAGCTGTTATTTACTTCCAAGGTTGACTACCGAGTTTGGTTACTTCGGATACCTAAGTCAGTCAACAAGTGATCATGCCCTGGATGTAGCCTCCCCATCTCACAGAGTACGGAAACAGGCCCCGGGATGTGAGAAGCTCAGCATCCCTAGGGCCAGGCGTGGTAACCAGTACCTAAGCCAAAAGACATGATACCCCTGGACCAGGGTAGAGCATCTTGTTCTGTCGTCTCTGGACCGATATATATCCCACAACATGCTGCGTCGTAACAAACGCATTCTCTAAACTTACATTTCGCTCCGGTTGGTTACAGGGCTTAAGAAGTCGGGCACCCTCCAGTTATCGACGCCCAGTTACCAAAACCTTACCAAAACCTTGGAAGAGCAAACGCTTGAGGATATTACGACGAGAAAGAAGGTTTTCAGGACTGGTTCGGTTGACTCTGCGAGGAACAAGGAGAGGGTGGGAGATGACTTCCAGTGAGCCTTTACGGGCCAGGAAAAGAGAGTGGAGTTGTGCTCGCCACTGGTAGTAATCAGTGGCGCAACTTCGGTCCTTCAAACCCGGTCCAAGTTGATAGGTATGTCGTCTGCTGCGACCGAGGCATCTGATGCGAGCAACGCCTCACCAAGAATGTCGAGTTGCCCTTCAATGCACTGAAGGAATTTTCCAGCCCCTTCTCCGCCTCGAATGGTTCCGATGGCAATATTTCCTATTCCCCTCGTGGGGCTTTTCTGTTATCGGTGCTGGGGCTGAATTGATGTCTTGCAGCCCAAACTTGGTCAACTTCTTGATGACAAAGTGTTGCTGGGAGAGAAAAATGCCTCCAGAGCGTCATATCATGTTGGTGCCTAAGAAGTGTTCAACTTCTTCTTTGTCGGTAAAATCAAAATGCTTCGCAATCGGCCTTGTATTTTACTTCTAGGTTCCATCATGCCTGATCGTCCAGACCCGGGTCAGGGAAAGCGGGCGTCTTTGGCCTGGCTGGCGATCGACAACTCCCCATGTGCCGTTGGAACGGAAAGGGTCCTTTGCCGGGACCCGATGGACTTTGATTTATTCTCTCGCGTTCTGAGTATGGACGAGGTAGGAATGTATTGCCTATTGCTATACGGCAGGCCGTTCACATGGTTCTTGTTGGCCATCCTTTCCGTATTGGCTTGCTTCTGAAATTGGCCGAGCTTGTTCATTTGAGCAAGCCTGCAGCAGTCCTGAATGAGAAGCCCTGAAGCGGATCTTGGAAGTAGACCTGGGAGAGTATTTGATCTTCGTTATGAATATATCTCAATTAAATTCCGAGGAATAAGATCTACTGAATAGCAATATGCATGGAGTCAGGGATTGTATGATGGGTAACGATAGGATAAGCAGAGCGAGAGAGGAAGAGAGAACCAACCCAGGCCATAGGATCCAGACTGCATCCCATAACCACCTGATCTCTCACATGTCTAAACTTCCCGCTCGAGGTCTTGGAGTAAAACTTGTATCCATTGAATGTATGCCACAATATTCGCACGGGCAGCTTGAGTTCTTCGTCAGAGGAGTTTTCGGCGAGTGCCGCCTCGTGGAGGTTGCCAATTCCTTCCTCCACATATCGGAGGAGATTGACGATCCCCTCCTGTCCGTGAATGATTTCCGCGATGGGGTTGCCATCATGTGGCTCCCCAACAAAAGTTGGGATCGGCCTCGCTTCCCGGCCAGGTCCCGAGGGACTTTTATCCATTAGCTCGCGTATCTCATGTGTGAAAGTTGGGAATCAAATACCCATGGCCATTGACGCCATTTGGTTGGGCCATCTTCTTGAGAAGTTCTGGAGTAGAAAAAGCTTCAGAAGTCAGATATGATTCGCATGGCAACCTTAGAACTGACTTACTTGGTCTTTGTGGAGGGAGAAAAAGGGGTGGAGTGCCTGGAGGCCAGAAGAGTGGAATGGTGGAAGGAAAAGAAAGGAGGAAGGAAAGGAAAGAGTTTAAATAGGGCAGAGAAGAGAGGTTTGGGAGCATTGGTGGGTTTGGTGTATCATTGTGGGCGATATACCTGTGGACTTCTACCAGAGAAGAGCCACAGCAGCGTCTCACCTCTCTCATCTATCTCATCTATCTCATCTCTCATTCACAGCATCATTTATTGATAGGATCAGGCAATACTCCGCTAATATCTCACTTAAGAGTGAGATACGCATAGCAGTAATTTTCTAGCTTATAAAGTTGCTTCAACTGCTACGTACAAGCTAAATATATCACTACATAGAATTCCAATACTACCAGTTGTTATTCACTTGACCACCCAGTTTGATTACTTTGGATGGTCAATCGACAACGCGGGAAGTGATTGTGCCCTGGAAGAGCCTGTGAAGTATGTGGCTTCCCCATCTGACAGTGTACATCTACGGTCTCCGGGGTGTGAGGGGATTATGACGAGAAAGATGATTTTGGGAACTGGTTCATTTGATTGGCATTGTGAGGAAAAAGGAGAGGAAGATGACTCCCAGCGAACTTTCAAGAGCTGCCCAGGTGGCAGCAATCAGTGGTAAAATCTCAGTCCGTCAGAGTTGGATAGCCCTTGATATCTCGTCTGCGTTGCTACTGCAGCAGGCCGAGTGACTCCCTCAATTCTCCGTTAAAGTTCCGATTCGAACTGCTCTAGAAGGTTGTCAATTCGACGAAGTCGAGCCCGGATTTCAAATCGGATGGCTTCTAGCTCCGCCGTTGCGGCGTGCGAGCCGTCGTAGGCGATTCTCCCCTGTTGGAGGGTTTGGAACTTCCCCTCCACGTACAGGAGGAGTTGCAGAATGCCCTGCTCTCCGCGGATAATTTCGAGGGCTCGTCCAATGTCGTCGGGGTCTCCCGCAAATGAGGAAATTGGGAATGTACCCCCGTTGGATCCCGGGGGCTTTTGAACATTAGCTCACATTTCACACGTGGAAGTTTTGAGAATAGTATACCCAGAGCCGTCAGCATGGTTGGAGTTTGACATAGTGTGTCGAAGAGTCTTCAGATAAAGCGGGCTTCGGGAGTCAGATATAATTCGTAGAGCAATCTCAAAGTGACTTACCGGGTTTTTGTAGATTGAAGAATGCGCAATGTGGAATCTGGAACCCAGAGGCGTAGAAGTAAAAGAAGGAGAGAAAGTAAAAGAGGTTGGGGCGGTCTTGGGGCACTTGGTTAATCATTGTGGGCTACATGCCTGTGGGCTTCTACGCAGCGTCCCATCACGGCGACTGTCTCATCTCTCTCACTCATAGCATCACTTATAAATGGGATCAGGCAATGCTTGGCTAATATCCGATTTGAGAGTGATGTGCATAGCGGTGATCTTATAGCTTGCTCAGTTGTTTGGGCTACTACGTAGAAGCTACAGGTGTCACTGCTGGAATAGTAAACACGTGGTGAGCGAGATAGTAAGGCTGTAAAGTCAGATTATCCGGATCACCATTCACTATCATGCATCAAGTCTCCAGCACTTTCCATCTTCAAATCTCAGAGCTCAGTTGTTCCACCAGCGTTTCGATGCGATCAATTCGAAGCCGGATATCGAAGTGTATCGCTTCAGGTTCTGCCATCGCAGCATCGGAGCCATTCAGGGCAATAGTTGCCTGTTGGAGAGCTGGCAGGCTCTCCTCCACGTAGCGCAGGAGTTGGAGAATTGCCTGATGGCCACGGATAATTCCCGAGGCCCGGGAGATGTCGTTTGCATCTCCAGAAAACGACGGGATGGGCGATGGCTCTTGGTTTGGTCCCGGTGGTCTTTTATCCATTATCTCACATCTCATATATTGGAGACTTGGGGAATACAATACCCAGAACCGTTGACGTGGGTTGTTTGTGACATTTTCGTCAAATTAGTCTTCCTCAGGTGAAGCGGGCTGCAACAGTCAGATATAATACACAGAGCAACCTCAAACTGACGTACTGCTTGTGATATGGATGAAGCGGATGTAAAATCCTTTGATCTGAATTTATCTGAATGAACTCCTGATACCAAGGATAAACTATGATCAATCGAGTCATTGAAGCAGCTTGTTCCATTCTGCCAACCGAAAACAGGCATGTGAAAGAGGAAGGGAGATGGTACAAGCTCTCTATCCAGGCGTGTTAACCACATCACCTGATGTTCCATCCCAATATTCACTTGGGCTTTCCCTAAATCTCCTAATCCAACTCTTGCAACAGAGTTTCGATCCAACGAATTCTTGCCCGAACGTTCGGCCGGGCTTCATCCAGCTGCGCCATTGAGGCGTCAGAACCGTTTGAGGCAGTCTCCGCCTGACGGAGGGTAGCGATGTGGTTCTCCACGTAACGAAGTAGCCCTACGGATAAGGGCCTGGATGTTGAAGGCGGCTTACTGGAGCTTCGCCAATGCGGCGTCGGAGCCGTTCGAAGCAAGTTCCCCCGCGTGGAGTCTCGCAAGGCTTTCCTCCACGTATCGGAGGAGTTTGAGAATGCCCTCTTCTCCATGGATACCTAGGTAATCTCCCTGGCTCGGTTTGGTCCCGAGTGACTTTCATCCATTAGCTCGCGCTTCATATATGAGGGATTTAGGGATGCAATATCCATTTCCGTTCACTCCATTGGGCTGAGACATGGTTTCGATAATTGCGAAAGAAAGGTAGGTTTTGGAAGTTGGATAAAGTCCGTAGAGCAACCTCAAAATGACTTACTGTTTGTAGAGCTGGAAGGCTGCAGGAATGATGCGGGATCTGGTAGTGAGAAGAAGAGAAAGAAAGAAAAGAGAGGAAGTGAAAGGGACTATGGAGGAGAGGTGAGGGAGATGTGCATACACCAAGTCTATCATTGTAGGCAACCTGGAATATACCTCTTCCAAGATAAGCATTATCAGCGTCTCATCTTGTTCACTATCTCATCTTTGTCTCAAATGAGCCTCATTATTCATAAAATGCCGATATTATCCACTAATATCTGATTTGGTAGTGAGAGTCTTCAGATCTCACTGGTTATTTACTTGACCATCAAGTTTGATTACCTACTTTTGATAGTAAGTTGACAAGCGATCAAACCCTAAATGAGATCGATAGGATTATCATTATGGGTCAAAGTTATAGTGGAGTGAATGGCATGAGTTCGAAATATCATTTTTGGATGAGGGGGGCTCATAGCCTGTGGTTTAGAAAGCAATACTAGAACATGATGCCATCTGTTACAGAATTTGGTTGAATTTATTTGGCACTGCCCAGTGCCTCAAATTCGCAATTCCCCAGATTTACCAATGGGCAGAGGTGGCCAATTTAACATCAGACTGATCTACGGAGAAGAGGAGGAATGACTTCGAGAAAGTTCATTGAGTTGGGATTGTAAAGTAAAAAGCAGATGAAGGAACGGCAAGAGGATAGGCAAAGAGGAAAGCTTGGCAACAGCTCTGTCAAAACCAACAATGAACCATCAGTTGAGAGCAGTCTCGATTTGGCCGTCCAGCTCTTGCGCCAGGGTCTGGACCCGAGCTAAGCAGGCATGAAGATTGAAACGGAGCTCTTCAAGCTCTGCCGTGCCCGCGTTGATATCGGCTGCGGCGGCCGCCGCCTGGGGGAGCAGCTCCAGAAGGTGTTCTGCGTACATTACGCATTCGAGGAGCCCTCCATCACCCCGAATCATATCGATCGCGGGGAATCCCTCGTTGGGATCATCGTCAATCGTGGGAATAGGAAGGGGGCCTTCGCCCGGCCCTGCTTCGCTTCAATTTATTAGTCTGCATTTGATATGTATGGGAGATAGGGATATGTTACCTATTGGCGCTAGCCGCGCCGTTGACAGTCATGTCAACATCGCCATTGCTGAGGCCGTTGGGCAGGCCATCAGTATGACCATTGGGGAGGCCGTTTGGCAGGCCGTCAGTATGACCATTTGGGAGGTCGCCAGTATGGCCGTCGGCGGGTGCGTTTTCGGACATGATTGAAATCGTGTTCTAGAAGGCGCAAGCTGTTAGCCTCGGAAGTCAGGTATGACATGTAGAGCAGTCTCAATGTAACTTACCAGCTTGCTGAAGAGTTGTAGGTGTGAAAGAGAGATGCGGAATCTGGCAGTCAGAAGAGAAGAAGAAAAGGAAGGAAAGTAAAAGGACTAGAAAGTAGAGGTGAGGGAGGTCCACAAACAGTGTCTATCATCGTGGGCGACGTTCCTCCAGCAGAGATAAGCCACACCAGCGTCTGATCTCTCTCTCAGTCACTGCCAGCATCACATATTAATCAGATCAGGATATCAGGCACCAATATATTGTTCAGAAGTGAAATTATGTGAGCCTCACTGGTCCCTTACTTGACCGTTGACTTGGGTCACCTTGATGACGGGGTTGACAACTTATCACGCCTTCACGGAGATGGGGTAATGATTTTTTGGTACAGCCCCCAGTGTAGGGGGTAACATGAAGTTTGAGTAACGGTTTTTGGATCAGGGCGGTTTCGACCCTCGACTCTAGGAAGAAGCAGAACTCGAAATATGTGTAATCATCATGCTCCATATCATTTATCTCTGGTGGCCAGATCTTTGGTCCACGTTCACCTGGGATCCGCTCCTCTGGGTCACGTAGAAAGGCCTCAAGCCTCCTCAGGCGGCTTTGTATGTTGAATCCGAGCTGGTCCTGCTGACCTGGAAGAGCGCCGAGGGTCTCCCCGATGTAAAGGAGTCATTCAGAAATCCCTCTTTGCCATGGATTAGGCTGATAGTAGCTGAAACCCCTGGCTGGGAGCTTCATCGATAGTTTGGATTGGGAAGGGTCTTCACCCAGACCGAATGGACTTCGATTGATCAGTCTGTATTTGAAACATGTACTAAGAAGGAATGTATTGCCCGTTGCCGTCGCCGTTGCCGTCGCCGTTTTGCAGGCCATTGTGGTTTGGCATGCTTGCCATGGCTTCGGTAAACTTGATTCTAAGACGGGTTCTGGAAAGTGTAAAGAATCAGCTTCAGAGGTCAGGTATAACTTGTGGAGCAGCCTCAATATGACTTACCAGGCTTTTGTGAGGTTGGGGTGATGACCTCCGCACCGGTGCTGCTGTCGTTCCAGACGCGAGCCGCCTGAGGAAGGATGTGGAACATTGCCTCTACATATTCGAGGGATTCTGGGATCCCCCCCTTGGCGCGGATGAGGTCGATAAGAGAAGCCACCTCGTGGACCTGATCTATGGTGGGGATCGGGAGTGCGCCTTGGTCATGTCCTTTGAATTGTCAGTCTACATTCCAAATTTGTAGGAAGTAAGACTGTATTACCCATTGCCAGTGTTCTGGCCGTTGGTTAGGCCATTGGCCGACCCATTTGAATTATACCTGATTGCAGCTGGGATTTGTTATTAAGCTGGCTCTGGAAGGGGCAAGGTTTTAGCTTCAGGGTGCAGATATAACTTGCGGAGTAACACCAATATGACTCACTAGTTGGGCCTCTGCAGTGTTGTTGTCATGGCCTCCGCACCTGTCTTGTTTGAGGCGATAGTCGCCTGAGGAAGAAGGTTTGGTAGACCCTCGACATGGAATAAGCAATCAATGATCCCACCCTGGCCGCAAATTATATCAGCGGCTGCATTGGCTTCTCTGTGTTCGTCCATGGTGGGGATCGGGAATGGATTTTTCCCAGGTCCATCTTACCTTCGATTCATTGATTAGCGCGCGTTTGAAATATGTATGATGTAGGAGTGATACCCATGGCCGTTTGGAAGGCCATTTACATGGTTGTCTGCCATGTTTTTCCATTTTCTTTTGCGGCGAAAGCTTTGCTCCTGGATCTTATGTCGCATGAGGCAAGGTCGGAGATATGTAGGAAGTAGGAATGCAAAAACCCATGGCCATTTGGCAGGCCATTCAGATTTTTCTTATTGGCGCTTTTTCCTTGATAGGTTTGCTTGCGTGGTTGGTTTTGATGGCCGCGAAGTCTTGGGCTCAGAAGTCAGACGCACTTCGTTATGTATCCGGGGTATAACTTACTTGGCCATTTCGGGGTGGATCATGATTGATGTCGGATCTGGTAGTAATGGGGGAAGGGAAGGAAGGAAGTAAAGGAGAACAGGAGAGTAAAGCTCAAGGTTGAAGGATTTGAGAATTAGGATCGGGAATCGATGTCATCGGACTGTTGGAATTGATTCGTCGTATTCAAACCTTCAAATTCATGATGGTGCTGATTCGTCCGTCTCAGCTCATTTTAATCTGTGCATTTTAATCTGTGCCTCGAGATCGCGGAGGAGTGTTTCGGCGGGCAGTTCAGAATGTTGAGCCGGTGGCCTTCTAGCTCAGTCACCTCTATACCACTCTGTGAGCGGCGACGACAGCTGGCTGCGAATGCATGTTGAGCTGATGATTGACATAGAGGAGGCACTCGACGATGCCTCCGTCACAGCGAATGATTTCGGTGGGTCGGCTGCTATCGGTAGGCTCTTCCACGGTTGGAATTGAAACCGGGCCTTCAGCGGGTCCCGGTTGGCTTCGATTTATTAGCCTGCATCTCAAGCATGGAAGGTAGGAGCGCAATACCCATTGCCAGTACCATGGCCGTTTGTGAGGCCGTTTGTAACTCCATTTGTATGGCTTGTCTTTGGCTCATCGGCTGTCTGGTGGAGTTGTTTCTGCAGGACATAAAGTATTAGAGTCAGTGATCAGATAACGTTTCATGGGGCAGCCACACCAGTGCTTACCAGGTTTTTGTGAAGTGGTTGGGGAGGGATGTAGGATCTGGTATTGGGAAGAGGTAAGGAGATGAAGGGGTAAAGTAAAAGAAGTAAAGGAGACCAACGCTCAATGTTTGAGATCTTGGATGTAGAATCAGGAAGAAACTTTATTTAGCTGTGGCAATTTCTCTATTGCATGCAAAAAAGATTCAAATTCAAGGTTCCTGTCTATTATCAAAAGCCATCTCGAACTCCCCTTCAAGCTCTTGAGGGCGGGCCTCAATCCTCTGCAGATGGCTCAGGAGGTCGAAACTGAATTCCTCTTGTGCCGGTACCCCAGAGCTGTTCCAGACGATCCACAACATAGAGGAGGCATTCATTTGCCAATGCCGCCGTGGCCGCGAATGATTTCAGCGGCTGCGTTTCTCAGGTGTTCCGCGTTTCCCGCGCTCTCCGCGTCCGCCGCATTGTCTGTGTTGACCGCGTTAGACTCTTCAACGGTTGCTACGGGGCACGGGCCCTCGCCACGTCCGGTTTGCGTTCGATTCGTACTGAGAAGGCCAGGAAAGTCTGCACTGGCAGCAGTGGTAGATTTCGGAGGACGGCTAGAGACCCATGGCTTTGAGGAAAATCTGCGGAAGACAGCCATCACGGCGGGCACGGCGCAGTGCGGTTTCGCATGCTTGGTTGACCCAGATATACTCCGCAGCAATGTTTTTGAAGGGGTGTGCCTGAAGCCTGCTGGGCCGCCCAGAGGTCAAACACACCGTTGGTGAATCTGTTGGGGTCGCCGAGCCCAGGGAGACCTGGAGGCAGCCTGTCAATTACGTGTAGTCCAGTCGGTCTGGATCCTGCCTGCGATGGCGTGGAGAGGTTGAGGAAAGATCGGCAAAGCGCCGACGGTCATCTGTAGAACCTGAAGACAGCGAAGAAGGCGGCGAGTACCTGCATCTAAGCATTTATCGGGGTTTTGGGCGCCGAAGGTACAGTAGCTGGAGACGAGGCTGCAGCATTTTGGATATGTAAGAGGTGATAGTAGAGTATCCGTTTCAATTCAAATGGCCATTCAGTTGACCTTTGATTGATGTGAGACATCTGTGGGGGTCGGTTGGCTTCTGCTTCATCTGGAAAGCCCTCATTTCGGACAGCCATTTGGACATTTGTGGTCGCATCTATTGAGCGGTAGATGACACGCTTCGAGGCAGCCCAAAGTGTTAGCCTCAGAGGCCAAATATCACTTGTATAGCAAGTCCAAAATGACTTACCAGCAAGTTGTGACTTGGCTTGGCTTCTTCTGGATTGTTTGAAGAGAAATGAGAGATCCGGTTGTGAGAAAAAGAGACGTTGGAGGGTGTTTCACTTCCAAGGTTAGTCTATCATTGTAGTCAGCATGTGTCCATTAAGTTGAAGCCACACCGGCGTCCCATCTCATTCACTATCTCAACTCTCTCACTATCAGCATCACATATTATCGAGATCAGGCGATCATCTGCTGAAATCCGGGCTGGGAGTGAGATCTAAAGACTCTCAGTGGTGAATTACTTGACTGCTGAGTTTATATCACGCTGTAAATGAGATCTAGGGGTAGTGTAATAATTGTGAATAACAGATGTAGTCCAGTGGGTAGGACGGATTCGCAGTAATTGTTTTGGATCAGGAGGCCTCGGATCCTTGTTTTTCGAAAACAGAAATGGAAAAGCATCTCATCTCGTTGTGGCTCTTTGGATTTATCCTGAATCCAGACAGTTTATCATAACGCCCCATACGTAGTATTGCAACCCGTGTTTGGCGACAGTGAAGCTCTTCAAACCATCTCAGATAATCATCTCTCATGAATCCAAGCAATACGACTACAATTTGACTTACTCAGCGTACAACGTACTATTTTCGACTAGTCTGAAGGTATTCAGACAACCTTAAAGGGTAAGTAAGCAAGGGCCGAGGCGATGCGTCTATTTCCAGGTGTAATTTCAGAGCCATCCGGTCAACTATGTCAAGGTTGGCTCAGTGGCAGCTGCGGTGAAGTGATTCGACTCGACAACATTGACAGCGATGTGGTAATTCAGGGCTTCTCGCCGTAAAACTAGACCGCGGCGATGATGACGGAAAGACTGAGAGCGCAAGGATCGGGCTGACAGAAATCTCATCGAACTTTGGTGGAACACGCTTCTCGGAGCAGACCTCAGGATCCACCAGTGCTCCGCTCCATGAATCCGATTGGCTGCGAGACTTGAAACCTTTCTTTTATCGATCTTCAGTTATTAGAGCAAGGAACGTTTGATGGAATGACCATGAAAAGAGGATTTTTGCAACTTGGTTCATTATCTAAATGTGCTCAGAATGTTGAGATAGGGGGAGATGAATTGGATCAGGGTTTCGCAAACAAAAAAAGATGTAAAGCCCTGGAGACAATGATGGAAATTGTAGAACTCCCACGAGTCCTAGAACTCCCTCTACTCCAATTATGCATTGGCAATGCCTTATCATGTTAGACTTCTACATAGTATATATCTCGTCTCATGTTAACAGATTCCCATCCCTCTACAGTTCCCAATGCTGTCAGAACCCTTTGAGTTATTTCATCCAATCCGTGTATTTCATCTCGTCATTACATTATTCTGAACCTTCCAGATTGTCATTCCCGTTCCTCTCTCCCCCATCTATGATGTCATTCCCCTTTACTTCTGCACTCCCTGTTCAGCCGCCTCTCGCTTCACGGCCCGTTCCCGACTCCACTGATGTCGTTCCTCGTGCAACATCTCCGCATATCGAGCTCCCAGTAACTCCACTTGCCAGGTCACCGACCGGTGCACGGCCTGGATAAACGCAATTTCCCACTCACAAAACTCGAGGATTGCCCACGCCTCTTCTGTGAATAAGGGAGCTTCTAGCCCATACACCCAGTCAACACTGCGGCGCTCTCTCATCCACCACTCAGGCATTGGCTCTTTGGCGAGGTCCCGGCCCTCTCGCAGAGCAACGACGCTTCCTCCTCTTCAGGAGGTCTTCCCTCTCATCCAAGTTCTCTCGCATATTCGTGCCATTGATGAAGAGCCGATTAATCACAGCCCGGTTGCTGTATGCGGCACCGAGAAAAGCGAGGATATGCGAAACTTGTTGATCCAGGCAATAGATTGGCCCTTCCAGCAAAGATCGCTGGCCCTTCAACCCCGAATCATCCTTCCAAGGCTGTTTCGATGTGGGCTCGCAAAGCCTGTAGAAGCTGCTGCAACCTCCGTGGGTGGATCTGGAGGTTGAACTGGACTTCCTCCGCCTGTGCTGTCCCTGCACCGGTATTGGAGGCGGTAGCCGTCTGCGGAAGCAGGTTGAGAATACCCTCAACCTGGAATAGGCATTCGATAATGCCGTTTTGGCCATAGATTATGTCCATGGCCTCGCTGCCCTCGGTCGGTTCCCCGGCCGTCGGGATAGCCAATGGACCCTCGTCCGGTCCAGACTGGCTTCTATCCATAAGCCTGTGTTTCAAATGTGTGGAGGATAGAAATATTATACCTATGGCCATTTGGCAGGCCATTTGGGAGGCCGTTTGGAAGGCCTTCAGCATGGTTGTTTTCTGCCATTCTTTTTGATGGTTTCTTGTTGTGATAGGTTTGCGAAGTCGCAAGGTCTTGGGTATAGAAGTCAGATATCACCCCTAGAATAAGCCCGGCATGACTTACTTTGTGTTCGCGTGATGGATGAGAGATTTGTGATATGGTGGCGAGAAGAGGAGATGAGGAAAAGGAAATGAAGGAAGTAGAAAAGAGTGGGCAGAGGGATTGACGAGGTCTTGGTGCACTTGGTCTATTATGGTAGGCAACGTACTTGCGGACATCTCTACCAGACATAAACCACAGTAGCGTCCGATATTTTTCACCATCTTATCTCACTTACTAACTGTATTACATATCAACGAGATCAGAAAGTCCTCTGCTGATATCTGATTTGAGAGTGAGATACGAAGACTCTCAGTGGTTACTTAGTTGACTACTTAGTTTAATTGGTTTTGATAACGAGTTGACAGCTGAGGAGGCTCTAAATGAGATATATGGATGGGGCCTCATTGCGAATTCCATCGTTACAGTTACAGTGCAATGGGCAGTATGAATTTCAAGTGACGTTTTTGGAGCAGGGGAATTAAGAGGCTGGTCTTTGAAAAGAGAAACTGGAAAATTAATTTACCTACGAAGAGGAGCAAAAATTGCCGTGAAGCTGTTTTGTAGGAAATAGTCCACGTTTTCTTTGCTCAAGCAGATATGTTCCCAATCTGCTTGAGTACTGATAGATGTCGAAAGTGAAACGGCGAGGTGCTGTACTTGCCGAAGAATCGGTATCGCTGCCGCCTCTTCCGCGGCTGTCAAAAACAGGCCTTGTTCCACTACCATAGGTGCGGCAATGTGAAGTCTTGTGATTGTACGCCGCAATCAACCGCTTCAGGGCCAAGCTATTCCTTCGGGCGCTTTCCACGTGCTACTTGAGCTCTTATAGCAGCTCTTTGAGCATCCGCAGGCGGCTCTGGAGCTCAGAGCGCAGCTCCTCCACCTCTGCCACACCCGCGCTGGTGCTGGAGGCGGGTACTGCCTCCAGCAGAAGGTTGAATAGACCTTCTACGTTGAACAAACAGTCTATTATCCCCTCTTCGTCGCGAATGAGGGGTGCGGCGGTGTTTCCCACGACCGAGCTGTCGATCGTTGTGATCGGGAATGAACCATCCCCCGGTTCGTGTTGACTTCGATTCATTAGTTAGCCACATTTGAAACAAAGAAAAAGTAGGAATTCCATACCCATCGCCATTCGGCTGGCTACTCGCCTGGCCGTTTGCCTGGCCGTTCGTCTGACCATTTGGCCGGCCATTCGCTTGAGCATTCAGATGGCTTTCCGCCATCCTTTCAATTTTCGAGATGAAGGGTCGGGCTGCGATGTCAGATATGATCCGTATAGAAAGCTTAACATAACTCACTATCGCTTTTCTGTGGTGGATCAAGAGAGATCGATGATGTGGTGGCGAGAAGAGGAGAAGGAAGGAAGTAAAGGAAGAGAATAGGGCAGAGAGGTTGGGGAGGTCTTGGTGTATTTGGTTTATCATTGTGGGTGACAGACCTGTAGACCTCTACCAGAGATGACCAGAGCAGCATCCGATTGATGTTCACTGTCTCATCTCTCTCACTGGGAGTATCACATATTAACCACATGGGCAGATCGGGCCTTTATCTGCTATTATTTCATTCGGGAGTGAGATTCAAAGCCTCTCGGTGATGAATTACTGGACTACTTGGTTCGGTGAATTTGATAAAGATTTGACAACTGATCACGCTGTAAATGGGATCTTCGGATGGGGTAATCCTTATGAGTTACAGCTACAGTGCAATTTGCAGCAAAAGTTTCAAGAGGCTTTTTTGGAGCAGGAGGATTCAAAGCCTGGTCTTTGGAAAGTGAGACTGGAGAGGTACCTCTTCTTACTGTAAAGTTGGCATTTATTAGTCACTGTCTCAGACGAAAAGCAGCAAAGGAAGACAAACGGAGAGGGAGTGACATCAAGAGGACCAAACTATCCCTCCAAGACCGACTCGATGTGGGCCTCTAGCTGTTGTAAGAGGGATTGCAACCTCCGCAGGTGGCTCTGGAGGTCACGACGGAGCTCCTCCAGCTCCGCCACCTCCCTACCGCTGGTGGAAGCGGGAGCCGCCTGCGGAATCAGGTTGAGAAGACCCTCAACCTGAAAGAGGGATTCGATAATACCCTCTTGTCCACGAATTATCTCTCCAGCTGTGCGCCCTTCGGTGAGCTCGTCGAGGGTCGGGATGGGGAATGGCCCCTCCCCCGGCTCGTGGTAACTTCGATTCAATAATTAGCCCGTGTTTCAAACATGTACAAGGTGGGAATTTTGTACCTGTGACCATTTGGCTGGTCATTTGACAGCCCATTCGGCAGCCCATTCGGCAGCCCATTGGCTCGGTTGTTTGCCATGGTGCTTGATATTCTTCTTCAGTGACTTTGCTGATAGAGATAGTCTGGTGGGATGGAAGGTCTTCAGCTAGGAAGTCAGATATGATTCGTAGAGAAAGCTCAATAACTTACTTGAGTTGCTTCGTGATGGACGAAGAGAGATGCGTGATCTGGTGGGAAGAAGAGGAGAAGGAAAGGAAGGAGGGAAGGAAGTAAGAAGTAAAGTGAAGGCGAGTAGGGTAGCGAGGTGAGAGGGGTATCGATTTACTGGGTCTAGCATTGTGGGCGACATACCTGTGGACTTCCACCAGAGGTGAGCCGCAGCAGCGTCCCATATTTCACTTTTTCATCTCTCCCATTATCTCATCTCTCTCACTACCAGCATCACATATCAATGAGATCAGGATACCCTCCGCTAATACCATTTAATATCACAGATTGGTGTAAAAGAAGATAACGGATTTCTTTAAATCTGCTGATTCATACTGTAGAGCGGAAAGTGAACGGAAAATCCAAGAGAAGAAGAAAGAGCAAGCACAAGAGCATTGCCCTCCCAACTCGGGACGTCGGATATCCGAGCTCTGAGCACTGATTCACGTGTCTAACACCATTTGAATTTCCCCTTCAGGCTGCGGGAGTATCTTCACCCCCTGTGAACGGATCTGGATGTGGAACCGGACGTCCTCCAACTGCGCTACCCCCAAGCCGGCGATGGAGGCGACATCCGACTGCGAAAAAGTGTTGTTCATACCCTCGATGTGACAGAGACATTCAAATTTTGGCCGTGGATCATGTCTGCAGCTGTAGCCAGGTTGCCTTCGATGGGGCCTTCAGTCTTTTGTTAGGCCATTTGGAAGACCGTTTGCCTGGTTGTTTTCTGCTTTGTCGTTCGTTGGGTTCTTGTTGCGATATATTTGCCTTTAAAGCTCGGTTGAGAAGGCGCAAGGTCTTAGGCTCAGAAGTCAGATATCATCCGTAGAGTAAGCACAGCATAACTTACTTTGTTTTTGCGTGATGGCTCAGGGATCTGTGATCTGGTGATGAAAGGAGCATAAATCGCTATGAAATTGCCCATTTAGATACTAGAGCAGTCTCAGAAGACAAGACAAGGCTCAGGTCCACGAAGCAAGAATTACAACGGCAACAGAGAAAGCATACATAACCGGGCTTGGCCATAGTTTGCTGAAGTATGCGTGATGAACAGAGAGAGCCAGAGAGAAAGGGAACTTGGCGAGCAAATACGCGCGGTAGAAGCCCTACTTCCAGAATAGGCAGTATGGTAGGGCACCTCTCAACCAAGCACAAACCAGACAGAGAATGCAAAAGGAAAAGAGAGAGATATAAACACCAAGAGCAGCGAATGTGCTGTTCTGATGCAGGACGCCTCAATCCGCTGCTTCAACACCAGACTATCCGTCGATGTGTTCCTGAGCTCTTGCAGGAGGGTTTAGATTCTCCACACCCTACTCTGGCAGTCAGCACGTGGTTACCCTAGCTCCGTCAAATCCGTACCGGTGTTTTTTTGCTGTTGGTAGCCGCCTGCGGAAGAAGATTGAAAAGACCTTTCAAGTATGAGAGATTGCTGTGCTGGGGAGCAAAAAGTACGTATTTAAGTCCAAACGGGGTAGTATATTGTAACTGCCGCCAAAGTGGCTGAGCGGTATGCTCTCGGTCATCCGCTCTTCACCTACGCCTTATCCATGAAGTTGGTTTCGTGTGGTCGCTCTCAGGAAACTGAGGGAAACTGAAAATCATACAGCTGGAATGTCCCCGGTTCGATCCCAGGGGCTAGGCGAGTTTGGCAGTTGCCTTCCACTTTTTTTATTTTTTCCTACTTCTCTTTCCATCCAGTAATGATATGTGAATTGCGACTTGATGACCCTGCTTAGGAGAATAGAAAGCTAGAGAATGAACAGGCCATCTGCCTTTGTTTCAAGTAGCTACAAGATATCCCCAAGTAGAAGAGTGTAGCTTTACAGCCTGATATAGGCAGTCGATAATTCCATTTTGGCCGCGAATGAGTTATGCGGCTGTATTCTCTTCGGTGAGGTCACCGATCGTTATGATAACCAACGGACCTGGTCGAGCCTTTACCAGGTCCCGACTGCCTTCGACTCATCAGCCCACGTTTCAAATATAGAAGGGGTAAAAAGCACACGCCCGTTGCCGTTGATGCGGCCAAGGACGTGTCCGTTCATTGCCATTTTGCTGGTTTGCGTGTGCTGATTCTGGCGGGCAAAAGGTGTTAGCTTCAGAAGCCAGGTATAGCTTGTAGAGCAACTTCAACATGACTTACCGGCTTTTTTGGAGGGTGGGGGTGGCCTTGAGGCTTCGTCGAGGGGGGTGTGGAGTGTGGTAGTGAGAAGAGGAAAGAAGAAGAAGGATACGGAGCAGAGAAGAGAGGTTGAGCAGGTTATGTTTCATCTGTCACTGCGGGCGGCATATTCTAGTCAGGGACAAGCCACACACCAGCTTCCAACTTCGGTCACTACCTCACCTCTATTTGCGACCCTCACATGTTGATGAGATGACATCCCGTCCGATGTCATCTGGCTCGAGAGTGAGATACATTTACCAGCATTCATCCAGGTCTGGGTGCTACTTGGGCTGCAGGCATTACTGTCTGGGTTTTGGAGACTCGGTAGTCATTTGCTTGGCCACTGATTGATGACTTCTATTTGTTTGGCATCTGGAAAAGGAGTACAACGTGAAAGAACTAAATAGGCACAGTGGTATGGGACACGCGTACAGTGGAATGGGCGACATGGATTTGAAGTAAAGCTATTGTTGACTGATATCGATCTTTGGTAAAGCAAATGTTGTTGTATCTTCAATGAATCTGCGGCGGGCCGGGGGATTTCTGGTAAATGAACTCTCAAGACACGGACCAGAGACAACACTGAAACTCATCACTGATTGTAATCCTCAAGTCGCCCTCCACTCGTTGTTGACAGGCAAGGAAAATGGAATCCGATCCCGCGGGAAAAGGAGCTTTGACGATATCTCCTACATCTCATTCTTGTATGGGTTGTCCAGGTGGTACCGCAGTCTTCCCATGAGATTCTCGATTCTCTTCAACCGTCTCTCGACCCGATCATAAGCCGCCATGAGCTCCAGCTGCCCGATGAGAGAAGATTGGGCAGCCTCGAAAAGCTCCTCTCGCCTGTTGAAGTACCTCTCGATACGCCGAAGGAGATGCAAGATACCCCCATGGGCGTTGATAATATCATCCACATCATACATTTCGCCAATGGACACCGTATCTCCGTCCGAACTGTCAGAGCCGCGCTCGCCGTCTGCTGGGAGATCAGACGGGTTGGAGGGGGGTCGGAGCTTCCATTCATTAGCTTGGCAAGCACATAGATCGGACCAAGGGACATCATACTAAGAATCATCCGAGCTTGGATTGTCACTCATCTTGACCGGGCGAAGTTGATGTGGAGGTTAACGTGTGAATAAATCTGCGAAGGATGCAAAGTGTCAGTCTCAGATCCCACATGTAGCGGGCAAAATGGCAGTGCTACTTGATGAGAACTTACCAGAGTGTGGTTGCAGGCAACGAGAAAGATTGGTGGGTAAAGAAGTTGAAACAAAGCAAATTGGAAACAAAATTGGGCACTCCTCGTGATTATATGGGTGCTTTCATCTCAAAAGATCCACGTGAATCTTGTCGAAGTTCAAGGTAGATGGCTGTCGCTGACCCCGTTCACTAATCCACCTCAATCGACAGGCAAAGCCCTCTCTGTTAGGCGGCTCGACAACAGAGCCAAAACCCAACCCCCGGCCATATCGATGGTCCACCGACATACCCGTCTCCTCCGTCCCCGGTACTACGAATCGCCATCACACAAGACTCACAAGAGCACCGAAGGCCTCGCGGTATCATGTACACAGAGACCCACCAAATCACCTCAACGATGCAACTATTGCGAGGATATAGGTTTGGTCTGATTCTCCCTGTTCCCGCCTCGACTGGCACGAGTGTGCTGTCGGTCTGCCCACCAGGATGCAGACGAGGATATATACAGCAGCTCGCTATCGACCCCTTCTGTCTCATAGAAGCAGGAATAGTCATAGCCGGGCTTTATCATACTCGCACGCAACATCCAAAGCCATCACATGGGTGCCTTGGCAGGCTTGTCAAGTTGAGTGATATCTGCGAGACCGAATGCCGCGCGTCGCATGTCCCGCGCACCGAATATGCCGCGTATCGCTTCCGCTGTGTCTACCGCGCCAAGCTGCTGCGGACCTATGCGCAGCCCCAAAACACGAACAGACAAATCTCAGACAAATCTCCACATGGTTTGGAAGTTGTGAAAGACTTGGGAATGCTGGTTTCAAGTGGTGAGAAGGGAGATGGCGTGTCAATGGCAGGTAATGCCAAGAAAAGACAAGCATGCTAAGCTTCCGCCGCTCTGGCCGCACCCGAGAATGTGGGGTCTGGACTTTTTCTTCTGATCCGAGCCGCTTTCTCCTTTTAGCCGGCGACACAGACGTTGTGACTCTCTGGTGCTATCCTCATTGCCACACCTGGCTCACTGACGATACAGCATGGTTCAGGGTCCTGACGAAGAGAAGGGAGATGTGCCTTCCTCGGTCAGTCAGCCAGCAAGGGAGGAATCTCCACCCAGCTCGTCAAACATCCTCGGTCGCTTCAATGAGCGTCTCGTGTCATTCAAATTCTTCGAATCCCGGGGTATCGAGCGAGTGCAACTTCATGAGCGCCATGCTGTCGGAGCCGCCGACTACTTGCAGATGACACTGCTGTGGTTTAGCACCAATATTACAGCGAATAATATGGCCATTGGCATGCTGGGACCTCTGGGCTTTTCACTTGGTTTCGTCGACTCTGCTCTGTGCGCTACATTTGGTGCGCTGCTTGGAGCTGCGGGGGTCGGATACATGGGGACTTTTGGGCCTGCTAGTGGGAACCGCACCATGGTATGTCGGAAACTTTTTTCACTTTTCCCGGTGCCCTTGGCTGATCAGTAAACCTAGGTTGTCGCACGATATTTCATGGGTTATTATCCTAGCAAAATCGCCTGCTTGCTAAACATCATCATCATGCTTGGATATGGTATGATCGACTGCCTGGTCGGCGGACAGGTTTTGTCCGCTGTTGCCGGGGGCCGCATGACGGTTGCTGTTGGTATCGTTATTATAGCGCTCCTTACTTGGATAGTCGTCATGTGTGGTATGGGGCTGTTTCATATTTACGAGAGGTATGTTTGATTCCGATCTGATTTTCAGGCCTAAAACTGTACTGATATTTCAACTCTAGGTGGGCTTGGATCCCTCAACTCATAGCTGCCTTTGTGTTGGTGGGCAGCGCAGGTCCAAAGTTCAACACTTCAATCGTCTCCACAGGCTCAGCAGCGACGATAGCCGGAAATCGACTATCCTTCTTTTCGCTATGTTTGTCTGCCTCCGTTGCCTGGGCCCCAGCCGGCGCCGACTTCTTCGTCTACTTCCCGCCCACCACTTCTAAATGGAAAACGTTCCTGATGACCTTCCTAGGTGTCGGACTGGCGCTCACTTTTGCAAATTTACTTGGTGTAGGACTCGCTTCAGGAACCACTACCCATCCGTCGTGGAACGAGGCTTACGGAACATCCTCCGGGGCCCTTGTCGTCGCAGGCTTCGATGGCCTGGGTGGGTTCGGGAAATTCCTCAGCGTCCTCGTCGCCCTTGGCCTCGTGGCCAATAACATTCCCGGAACCTATGCTGCATCGCTTGGTTTCCAGATCATGGGTCGTTATCTTGCGTTGTTGCCGCGTTGGTTCTGGTCCTGTGTCGGCGTGGTTATCTACACGGCGTGTGCACTAGGTGGGAGAAATCATCTCTATGAGATCTTTGATAACTGGCTCTCGTTGATGGGGTACTGGGTCACCATCTACCTGACGATCGCGTTGGAAGAACATATGATCTTTCGCCGGAGTAGGGGTTTCAACTGGGACGCGTGGGCGGATCCCTCCAAGTTGCCGATCGGTCTTGCGGCCTTGGCTGCCTTTTTAGTCGGGTGGGCTGGGGCTATCGTATCTATGGATCAGGTTTGGTATGTCGGGCCTATTGCAAAGATGGTGAGTGCCGACGGGTCGGATTTGGGCATCTGGGTTGGCGTATCGTGGGCCATGCTCGTATTGCCGCCTCTTCGATGGTGGGAACTTCGAACCTTCGATCGTTGATGTGGCTCGAAGATTTACGCACCATACAGCTGGATTTTTCTTTGTCTCGATACGTCTGTTCTCTTGGTGTGCTCTGGTGTTCCATGTGTCCAGTGGGCATATGCCTGCTTGCCTGTTGAAAGGACTCTTTCGGGGCGATTTGTTGATAGAGACAACCCACCTGAAAGCTCTATAAGACAGTCTTGGAACAAACAACATGTGGTATATCCGGGGATGAGCGCCCACAGATTGGGTACGAACATCCCTGGGGTATTTATTGCCCCTGGCCACCTTGATAATTTTGAAACTGCTTCACATCTATAGATTTCTGTCGATGTGGGTAGATGCACATAATATATCGCTGGACATATTCGCTAGGGTCGACTTACGATTTCCAACATTGATCTATAAAAATTGATCACAGCGCGGCCCATCACCCCTCCAGGGCTGTCTACGGGTCCAGCTGGTGATTGAAGCAACGACCAGATACAACATTTGATTGACACATATTTTCCACATCCTTGGAAGGGTCGGGGAAATGGGGGACTATTAACAAACCCACTCACCAAATTAGGGAAAAAAACGAACGGCATCAACAAAATTTACTCACCAAATGACAAACTCATTATTCTAACCTTCCAAGCTTGGAGATTCCAATCTCCCTAGCTGGTAATGATAATTCTTGGCGCCTTCAAGGGGCGGACCCCCTAGGGATGGTTGTTTTGCTTCACATTCCAATGGTTCAAGGTCCACTTCATTGTTGAGTGCTTTCCGAATAACCCGAATCACGCCGATGAGACTAAACAAGGTCAAAATTATCTGCAGGATCGTGCTAGTCCAGGTACTAAACTATCAAGTCCACCCCGAAGTCTGCATACATCGGGGAAACTTGATCCGGAGATTCGCCGTGGTTTTGCCGCTCGGTCCTGGGAACTTCCGAATGCATCCAAAGAGGCAATGAACATCACTGGGGGATCCAGAACTGGGGAAACTATCCCTGTCATTGGATCCCCCTCCTTTAAATCCCCGTCAAAATCTCGGGCAAATATTTATGGGGCACTGGGGTTTGTATAAAAGTGAGATCCCCCACGTGTATAAGCCCATTCGGCACGGAATCTCTACAACATGAAGCCAACATTCGCGATTCCTCTTGCTTTGGCAAGCCACGCGGCATCTGCCGTGGTCGGCCGTGACGCACCTTCTATTGACTATAACTCGGCGCCGCCAAACCTGTCTACATTGGCGAATCATACATTGTTTAATACGTGGAGACCCAAAGCTCATGCGCTTCCTCCATCGGGAAAGATTGGCGATCCATGCATGCAATACACCGATCCTAAGACTGGACTCTTCCACGTCGGTTGGCTGCATGATGGCATTTCAGGTGCTACTACGGATGATCTCGCCACATACAAAGATGTCAACCCTGATGGAAACCCGTCAATCATTGCCGGTGGCAAGAATGATCCCCTTGCTGTCTTCGATGGCTCTGTGATCCCCAATGGAATCGATGGCATGCCCACTCTTCTCTACACATCTGTGTCATACCTTCCTATCCATTGGTCTATTCCCTACACTCGAGGCAGCGAGACCCAGTCCCTTGCTGTCTCATATGACGGTGGTCACAACTTCACCAAGCTCGATCAAGGCCCCGTCATCCCTAACCCTCCATTTGCCGTTAATGTCACTGCTTTCCGTGACCCTTACGTCTTCCAAAACTCCGCTCTGGATGCCAGCATCAACAGCACCAAGGGTACATGGTACACTGCAATCTCCGGTGGTGTTCATGACGTCGGACCTTGCCAGTTCCTTTACCGTCAGCACGACTCTGACTTCCAGTACTGGGAATATCTTGGCCAGTGGTGGAGTGAGCCCGTCAACTCGACCTGGGGCAATGGTGATTGGGCCGGTGGCTGGGGCTTCAACTTCGAAGTTGGCAACGTCGTCACCCTGGACAAGGATGGATATAGCGAGACTGGCGAGGTCTTCGTCACTCTCGGAACAGAGGGCTCGCTGGCCCCCATCACTCCTCAAGTGAGCTCAATTCATGACATGTTGTGGGTCGCTGGAAATGTCACGAACAACGGCTCGGTCGCCTTCAACCCAACCATGGCCGGTTTCCTTGACTGGGGTCTTTCAGGCTACGCCGCCGCCGGAAAGATCTTGCCCGCAAGCTCCCAAGCATCCAAGAAGAGCGGTGCTCCCGATCGTTTCATCTCCTATGTCTGGCTCACCGGAGATGAGTTCGAGCTTGCAAAGACCTTCCCAACTTCCCAGCAAAACTGGACCGGAACCATGATGTTCCCGCGTGAGTTGAATGTCCGCACTATTCCTGGTGTCGTTGACAACGAACTTGCTCGCGAGGCCCCATCCTCCTGGCGCGTCGCTCGCGAGAGCTCCGGTCAAGTCGATCTCGAGACCATGGGAATCTCGATCGCCAGAGAGACCTACAGTGCCCTGACATCCGGTGAATCATCTTCCGAAGCGGGTCGCACCATCTCCGAAGCCGGGTCTGTGGCCTTCGACAACGCCCCATCCAGCAAGTACTTCGTCTTGACCGCGAACATCTCCTTCCCAAGCTCCGCCCGTGACTCCGGCCTCCAATCCGGTTTCAAGATCTTGTCGTCGGATCTCGAGTCAACTAGTATCTACTACCAATTCTCCAATGAGTCTATTATCGTGGACCGCACCAACACAAGCGCCGCTTCGAAGACCACTGCCGGAATCACCAGCGAGAATGAGGCCGGTCGTCTGCGTCTGTTTGACGTTCTGCGGGACGGAAAGGAGCAGATCGAAACTTTGGAGCTCACCGTCGTTTTGGATAACGGTGTTCTTGAGGTTTATGCCAATGGACGGTTTGCACTCGGCACTTGGGCTCGCTCTTGGTACACCAACTCCACTGGTATTAGCTTCATCCACAATGGCGTTGGTGAGGCAACTTTCAGCGACGTGACGATCTTCGAGGGATTGTATGATGCTTGGCCTCAGCGGGATTAGGTCCGATCGGAGCGCGGCTTGATCAATGTTGTATTATAATTTATAACCTTGCAATGCGATGCGAGACCCCCTACATCAAAATATCTACACGGTTAATGAGATCGCTCAAAATTTTCTCCATCCAGTCCGTCTTCTTGAATATTATTACGGTTTTAAATTCCGTCATACCCCGTACGGGTTCTTCTGGTCTTGGTTGCTTCCTTCAAGGACCTTCTCTTTAAATGTAAACCTTTTGCCAGGCTCCCATTATCCTTGGGCCTTCTAGCACTGTACCCTGTTGCTATAACTGAACATGCACGTCTGCGCCAGAAAAAGAAAACCAAGAAAAACAAATAGATCATAATGAAAATAATTTCATACAATCGCACGCAAATTGCGATTCTGAACGAGACGCGCTGCGATCAGCAGAACACCTCCCACGAGCAGTGAAACACCCGAAAATATCGAAAGTGAAAGATATCCATATTTTTCAACGAGAGCGCCGCTTATGGGTACATTTGCCATTGCACTGTGAAGCTGTTAGCATTATGGAATATTTCGTCCGGGGGGGGTTTATCTTACGATAGAGCGGTTGAGCCTGATACACTGCCGATTGCCAGACCAAGGGTGCCGGGCATAGCAACCTGAGCAGCACACGCTTGTTGCAGTGATAGAATTCCCTGAATTCAATTAGTGTGGAGAAGTCAAGCAATTATGTGACACTTACTCCCGAAGCAAATCCATACGCAGCGGACCACAAAACAAGACCAGCCACAGATGTGACTTTAGTCCAGCACAGGGCGACAATACCTGCGGAGACGGTTGCAACAATGCAGCAGTTGAATTTCCCGTATCGATCGGCGACGATACCGGGGAGAATCCGGCCAAAGAATGAGGCACCATTCACAATGGAAACCGTATAAAATGCCAGAGTGGTTGAGAATCCCATCTCCACTGCGTAGGAAGTTGTGTAAAAGAACGGTGCAAACATGCCAAAGTATGTGATGAACATAGCGAGGCACAGCAGTTGCAAGGCAGGCTGTCGAACGAGAGCCAAAGCTTGTGCCTTCTGATCCTGACTTTTCTTATCTGCGCAGACTCTCTTCTCGTCATTGCTTTGCTCGGTTCCTGGATTTTCGACGCTTTTCAGAGGTGTTTCTGGAGACTTCGCCGCCACGCAGGAGAATATGAAGAGAGGGATCATGATAAAACCGACGATGCGCATGGTCCAAGGAAACCCAATTTTGGGGTTCTTGAGCAGTCTGTCGATGACAATGGGCCAAATCACTCCACCCAATGAAGATCCTGCAAGGACGATTCCCATTGCGGCGGCACGCTTGACTTTGATATACTGCCCAACCAATGCAAGCATGGGCCAGGTTGCGAGAGCCATGGAAATACCGAGTAGAACACCTTGCGCCAGCAAGAATTGGTAGAATTTGTGGCATAGAGAGATCATCATGATGGAGAACACCATGCCCAATGATCCCGAATATACCATCAGCTATCGGTGAACGTTGTTAGTTTAAATTTCAAAGCACCAGGGATGGGACTCACCTTTGGCCCAAAAATATCGAGCATCGCTCCTGCAACAACAGATATACCAAAGAGGAACAGGATTGAAATAGCTCCGAGCCACGCTATTGTAGAGGTGGAATCTGAGGAAAGTTGGTTCTTCGCGTAGTACTCTTGAAAAATGCCGAAAGAGTTCATAAATCCCACTGTGCAGAATGCACATGTAAATGCACCAAATATTACGAGCCATGCTCGTGGTCTGAGAGGGTCAGTAGGTTGTCATCTATACTCCGTACTTGGCCTTCACTCACGTATATTCCGTATCTTTTGACATTATGAAGTTGGTGCTGAAAGCAACCTTGGAAAGCAAAGCAATTAAAACTGTACCTGGTTAAACTACTAGGGGCAGCTGCCTTTATAAGAAACATTAATATGCCAAAAGCAGAAAATCCGTATCCTTTGAAATGCTCGGAGAGTCCGAGGCCAACAACTACAAGCAAGCCGTTGCCTAATCGGGTTAGTGCCGGAGGATCCGCGGAAGGTCCGGCCCTTCGACGATTTCTGCCCGCACACACCGCCCATTGGTCCGTGCTCTGCGCTTGTTGATGGGCGAGAAAGCCATCGAATTAAATGAAACACCCGTGGGCTGTGTTTTGATATATCATGATCAAATTGGGGGATTTGGTATGAAAGATACCATTAGACGTCCGAATCGAACGAAGCATGCAAAGTTGATTGCGGTTGGGCACATGCTTCAGAGCTACCCCAGGTCGGCTCTCCGATTCACCGATCTCTATGTCGCAGTGGAACCGCGTGGTTTGTGCTACCACATTGAAACAACGTCGTAATACCCCATCCGTGCCGTGTGTTTTGTCTATTGCGAACGATCGATTTGAAGGGAGTGAGGGTGTGTTATTACTGCACTCCGACTCCTTGCCATCATGAAGCGAAGTGCAGATTCCGATGTCGCTGCGGCAGAAGCCCCCAAAAGACATGCTCGACAGGATCCAGTTTCATGCGAATCATGTCGGAAAAAGAAACTCAAGTGTGACAGAACCCAACCGTGCAGCAGCTGCTCGGCGCGAAAAATAGACTGCACCTATGGGGGCTCCCTTCCGGGCCCGAGGCCCTCCATTCAGCCCAGCCAAACAGAAGGAAGGCCCGGGTCGGACAGCCTCCCCGCCCCGCCGCGGACCTTACGGTGGACCCCGCGACAGGACATGGGGACTCAAGTTCGGAATGGAGACGAGTCGCTCCAAACTGTGGACTGGCTCGAGACTATCGTTATGGGACATCGGGTCCCAAGCGCTGTACCTGTGACGCTGAGAGCTGAGCTCTCGCCTCGGAATAGCGACACATCACTGTCACAACAAGCTCCGGTTTTGGGGCAATCTGGTAAACCACCTGGAAGCAGAACTGCTTCTGCCGAAAACCCTTCAACTATCCACCTGCCGTCCTATCTGCCGCCACTTGCAGAAGCGCTTGGTCTATTTCGATACTATTGCAACTACCTTGACTTCCAATATCATATCATCATAACACGCCAAGTGGAAGAACAAATCAAGCACGTCTATGACTGTGTTGCTGGAAATCGGGCGATCAATTTGGCTCATACTGCATTGCTCTTTAGCATCACTGCTTCCGCCCTGTATTACCAACTTCTAGGGGAGGCGTCCGAACATGCAGAGCAAGTTAGTCAAGAAGCCACGTTTCTAACCGGTGCAGCATTGATACAAGGAAATTATATTGGATATCCCACCATCGAGGGACTTCAAGCGACCATGATCATCGGCCACCAACTGTCGAATCTGAGCCTGCCTTCTTCAGTCAGCTCATTGTTCCTGCATCGCTCATGTGTGGGTCAGGCGATTAGTATGAGACTCCATATCATTGATTCGTCTACGCAAGTTAGCGAGCGCTCATCGTCTGGGTTTCAAAAAACCAGCACTGAACTCAAGCGTCGACTGTGGTGGGATCTTGCATCGTACGACTGGTGAGTTGTGTCAAGATTCCCGCAGACCACGTGAACTCCTCACTGATAGAAAAATCAAGGCTCATAGGTTTTTTGAGCGGCCCCCAAGAATGGATCTATTCAATTCAGCCACAGCATATGGTTGTCAGCATACCCCTCAACGTCGAAGACGAAGATATTGAACTGACCCATCACGACCAACCAATTTCCATTCCAACAGTGATGTCATACAGTTTATGCCGAATGAAGCTGGCGGTTTGGTGTCGACAAGTCGTAGAGGAGACCTCGCACTATCATCTTCACGGCCGAGAAGTTCCTTATGAAACAATCCTCACACTCGACCGCAAGCTCCACAAAATGTGTGCTGAGATCCCATCGTTTTATCGCTTCGATCAAAACTCACGGCGTGAGTATTCACAACTATATCGCGACCGAAATACCATCGCTTGGCAAAGGGCAATGGTACAGCAGGGCTACTACTCTCGATTTTGTCGTTTGCATCGCGACTACTTCGTGCGTGGAGCAAAGGACCCCAGGTATTCGTATTCCCATGTGGTATCACTACAGTCTGCGCGCAAGATACTCGAAACCAAGCGCAAGATGGATGAGGAAGAGCCAGTTTTCAAACCTCATAGCTCTTGTGTATGGTCTATCATGCATCACGTCTTCATGGCAGCCGCGATTCTGCTGATAGACGTGTGTTTCAACTGGGATGACATCTTAGCTGAGAGGCGAAAGGAGGAGGTTCTTGATGCCTGTCGCATGCTTAGTCGAGCTCAGCAATCATCGCCTATCGCGCGCGAGGGTATTAATGCTATGATGGGTATACTGCGGAAGCACTGGAAACACGAACAACGACCGGTATCGCGGGGCTTGCAAAATGACCCTGTTCCTTCGACTTCGGGCACCTCGCAGATCTCGCGGCAAGATCGTTTGACTCCTGTTTCCATGGGCTCTGGCTCTGCTACTTCTGTGCAGCAGGCCTCTGTCAATCAGTCGGCTTTAGACCCGCCCGTGACTCTTTCCCATGATGTGGCTCCTCTGGAGGATGTGTGGGCTGAAATGCTAGAAGGCGGAGTCCATGCCGAGCTAGACACGCCGGATTGGACGGTCCTGTGGAATGAACTTACAAATGTCACGCTGTCAAATGAGTGAATCGCATCCTCGAATTTGAGCGAAATATCGACTTTCCAGGTCCTTCGATCGGCCTTCTGGTCACTCTCGCGAGATCCTGCTTCCACCCATCGACCTCGAGCTTTTCTTACCGAAAATCTGGCAATCTATACCCCGCGGGCATTTAGATTACACTATGATTGCCAAGGACGCTCGGTGTGGCAATCCAGTGCTTCAACATGATGCCACGATGATGTGACCGCAATCCCTCCCCTTATGGGGAGCAGAGAAGTCCCATCTTTCACAGCAACATCCCAATGCAATCATCAATCCAAGATGTCCCACAAAAAGAACCCCCTCCCCTACATCCGCCGCTACATCACAACTCACAACGCCGAAGGTGAAGCGGTGTTTCTGTCCCACGCGCAAGTCCCTGACTACCTCCCCTCCACACCAGCCGGAGACGACGGCGAGATAGCCCTCTTGTACGCTACAACCAGTGATCCGGCCGCAACAGACGCCGAAGCGGATGTCGCGATGTACGATGAGTTCTTGCACCAGCCACCGGGCATAACGGTCGACCAAGGAACTATCTTCCGGCTCATTGATCTTCGCCCAGGAAAGGCAATGCCGATGCATCGCACTATTAGTTTGGATTATGGGATTATCATTGAGGGGGATGTTGATTTGGTTTTGGATTCGGGTGAATGTCGCCGGATGCACCGCGGCGATGTGACGGTGCAGCGAGGGACGGCGCATTCCTTTCGCAATCGCAGTCATACAGAGTGGTGTCGAATGCTGTTTGTATTTCTGCCCATGCAGAAACTGACAGTTGAAGGCAAGGAGCTGGAGGCAGAAGTGTACGATGAAGGGTTTGATGCGGAGAGTGATAGCCAGGGTGAGAGTGCAGATTCATAGATCTCCTATGTTTATCGATCGCGCGGCTTGATTTTCTGCTCAATGGAGTCTACGACAGTCTCTCTGAAGTTTCTTGGCTTTTTTCATCGAGATCCGGGTACTGTCTTAGGGAGTGAAAGGAGAAGAAATGAAGTTCTCCAAAGGAGGGGAAGATTCTTGCTTGGCTCTGCATATTTTGACAGACCGACCGCCTGAGATATTATTTACTTAAACTATAGTTCGTATAGATCGATTCATTTTATCTCTATGCATAATATTTTGTCGCCTCCTGGGGTCCTTTCTTGCGCTATCACTTAGCGAAGACCTTGAATAAAAAGCCTCTTGTAGTATCTAGGCACTATAGAATCCTGCGAGCTTCACTGACACAAATATCTTGTCGACATGTCGAGATCGGATTTCTAAGCTCCCAGCCTCCAGGGCTTGTCTTGATTGTTTTTGGCCCCCAGCAGGATATGGATTAGCAATCCTCGCTGAACCAAATCGAACTTCCGAGAAACAGGCTGACAAAAAGCATTTGCAAGTTATTGGTGTGCTTTAGTCTTGGGGGGGGAGCTGAAGAACACATAAATAAAGGTGATCCGCAACTGTATACATATCCAACTCACCAAGTCCTATCTCACCTTTCAACTGCTACACCATCATACAATTCCGCTGCTTCAACTCGAGACAATATCACAGAGCCATCAAAATGGACAAACCAATCCGCCGCGTCATCGCCGCCCACGATCCCCAAGGCAAAGCGATCTTCGCCTCAGACGATGTCCTCACCCCCTACGATCCTACCACGGCTCCCGAATTCTCTGTACCAGGTCCAAAATCTGGCTTCGGGGTCATTCAGATCCACCGCTCACGAGGATTCCCCGCGGATAACATGCGTGAACTGCCCGATCCCCACAGGACTCTCGTCCCGCTGGCTGATACCAAAGGTCCTTCCTGTCGGATCTTGGATCTGCCCCCTGCCGAATCCGGCTGGTTCCATCGGACACTCAGTCTAGACTATGGCATCGTGCTCTCTGGCACTGTTGTATTGATCACTGATGGTGGGGAGGAGAAGATTCTCCATCCGCACGATGTGATTGTTTGTCGAGGCGCGAATCACGAATGGGTGAATCGGGGAACGGAAGTTGCCAGGATGTTTGTGGTTGTTGTTCCCAGTCAAGAGATTGTTGTGAATGGAGAGAGACTGGTTAAGACACCTGCTGGAGAGATTTACGATCCTGAGGAGGAATGAAGTAGGGAGGATGCGGAGGATGCGGAGTATAAACGGAGTTAAAATGCAAGATCCGAGATGCCAAGAAGTTGATGGCTCGGAATGATCGGAACCGTTCCGAGCGGAAAGAGAAAAGACGGAATTACTTCCAACGCGCCCTTTGATTGACATTTCTCCCCAAGGTAGACCTCGCATATCCTTAGCATCACTACCACTCTTGCACTCTTTTGAATTTAATCTTTGTGTCAGACTAGACCGCAGTGTATCAATATCTAGTGTGCTCTTCGGCTCAGCTATTCACAGCGCCGGTCACCTGCCCCGCACCATGGACCACGAACAATTCAAGCAAGCGGCTCATTCAGCTATTGATGACAGTACGTGATTCCAATAGATCCGAAAACATCAGAATCTTGAAGGCTGACCTCCGCAGTTATCAACTACTTTGATAGCGTCCCAGAGCGCAGAGTGATTCCAGACATTGAGCCAGGATATCTCCGCCCATTGATCCCAGAAAGCCCACCAGATGAGCCCGAAAACTGGGCTCAGATCCAAGAAGATGTCGACAAGAAGATCAAGCCAGGCATCACTCATTGGCAATCTCCCAACTTCATGGCCTATTTCCCCGCCTGCGTGACATACCCCAGTCTTTTGGGCGAGATGTACTCCGCAACTTTCACAGCCCCAGCCTTCAACTGGCTCTGCTCGCCCGCCTGCACAGAGCTGGAAACCATCGTCATGGACTGGGTTGCCAAAGCACTGGCTCTACCGGAGTGCTTCCACAGCGCATCCGAGACCCACGGTGGCGGCGTAATTCAAAACAGTGCCAGCGACGCAATTGCGACGGTCATCGTTGCTGCGCGCGAAAGGCGCGTGCGGGAAATCCTTCTCTCGGAAGGACTAGAGGATGGTTCCCCCGAGTATGAAGATCGCAAGTTCGATGTCCAGAGTAAGCTCGTGTCGATCGCGAGTGATCAAACGCACAGCAGTGCTGCCAAGGGTGCTTTGGTTGCCGGTACTCGGTTCCGAAGTGTCACTACTAGACTCGAAGATAACATGGAAATGACGGCCTCGGGGCTGCGAGAAGTTTTGGAGAAGTGTGACCGCAGCGGTCTCACCCCGTATCATCTGACAATGACTTTGGGAACGACCAACTGCTGCAGTGTAGATCGATTTGCGGAGATCAAGGCTGTGCTGCAGGAGAAGCCCGCGTGGCAACGCATCTGGGTCCACGTTGATGCGGCGTACGCGGGTGCGTCGCTTGTGGCGGATGAGTTGCAGTACATTACCAAGGACTTTGCGGAAGGTGTTGATAGTTTCAACACGAATATGCACAAGTGGCTTTTGGTGAATTTCGATGCTAGGTGGGTTGATCGACCTACACTCTTTCTTGCTTTTTGACGGTTCATTCTAACCCTCTCAGTGTTCTCTTCGTTCGGAATCGTCTAGATCTCACTGATGCACTGGATATCACACCGGTGTATCTACGGAACCCGTACTCGGACCTAGGCACCGTGATCGATTATCGCAATTGGTCCATTTCTCTCGGGCGACGATTCCGCGCACTGAAGATCTGGTTCGTGATGCGGACCTACGGTCTCAATGGCATGAAAGCACACATTCGCAAGACCATCGGTCTCGGTGATTTGTTCGCTGATCTCGTGCGCGGTCGCCCCGACTTGTTCGAGATTGTCACTAAGCCAGGCTTCGCGCTGACCGTCTTCCGCGTGAAAACCCCGGCCACCCCGGCAGCCGATGAATCTACTGGGTGTGTGTCTCGGGATGAGGCGGCGAACAGCGTGACCAAGAAGATTTATGAGCTCATCAACTCTCGCGGCGAGATCTTCATCACCGGAACAGTGGTTGACGGTGTCTATGTTATCCGCGTGGTCAGTGCCAACACTATGGCGGAAGAGAAGTATATCCGCAACGCATTTGACATTGTGGTTCGGACAACAGAGGAAGTGCTTAAAGAGCAATAGATGATCATGAGAGTCAATGTGTATAGTGTACATCTATAAAGATCAATTGAATGTATTTATTCGGACTATCTCGGAAACAAAAACAAATGAAGAGTGAAACGTCTCTTCGTTTCAGACTGGGCGATATCCGCTGACTAATCGGTTCAAACGGGGATGTGTGGGGATTTGATGAAATCACGACTCGCTAGCTCATTTCTTTTCTTCAAACTTGGCCGTTTTGGGGTCTCCCTTCCGTCTCAGGGGTCATTGAAGGGTGCTTCAACTTATCAATCTCGCTGCACACAGCATCCTGCACACCGAGCGTTCACCAAAGCCTACCGTCCAATCCCTGCATCTCTTCATCTCGATGTCTTGGGATTCCCGGGCTTCCGACGGCAAGAAGTAATGACGATCAACCCAGGTGGACCCGGGAGTGCGCAAGCACGAAACGGTCACTTCTGAATAAACGATGTCGATCCGGGTTTGCCGAGCTGCCTGTTAGGAGGTTCGCTCCGTGGCCAAGATCTTGATATCGAATTCCTTGGTTGAATGGACGTGGAGTGGAGAGGGCCCACGTTCATTTCGGTTCTTGAAGAACCCTACTTGGAACCTCTTGCACGGAATTTCCGAGTTCTCAGCTTGTATATAGAACCGGAAGCGCGCTTTCCGGAGAGATCATCGCCAAAATGTTGACCTCCGCTTTGTTCCTGCTTGCCTCGCTTGGCCTGGCCCAGTCGGCGACCCTCGAGGACCTCTACCTCGAGAACGCGCCCTCTGCGCCGCGCCCATATGTGATCCCGCATTACGCGAACTCGCATGCCGTGACCGTGGGCGATCAGCTGTATCGTTTCACGGTGACTGGTCCTTCATCTGACAACGCGTTCACGTTGATGAGCACCAATGCGCCCGGCAGCTCTTCGCTGGGTGTCTTGCCGCATGTTCATCAGAAGCATTATGAGAACTTCTTCAATTTCAAGGGTCGCTTTCAGCTGTGGGCCCAGAAGGACTCTGCCGAGCAGCAGGCTCGTCTTTTGACAGCGGGTGACTATGGATCAGTGCCCCGAAACACTACCCATACGTTCCAAATTCTGGATCCTGACACCGAGATGGTCGGTGTGATCGTCCCCGGTGGTTTCGAGTAAGTCGTCGCTAGCATTGATCGTCCACGTGGGTCTCTAACATGTTTCAGGGACCTCTTCTACGCCCTCGGAACCAACTATACCTCCGGCACCGACACCCCCTATGTCCCCGCGCACTCCAATAGCTCGTCATCGCCGGATGCTAGCGTCATTTCGTCGCTGCAGAAGTTCGACGTATACGCCAAGCTCGGTTTCGAGCCCCGTCGCGACCTGGTCAACGGCACCGCCCCTGTCGACAACTCTGAATGGCACACTGGCGACAATGCGCTCGGAAACCCTGGCAAGCCATACTTCCTGGCTAACGGCTATGGGCCCAAGTACTTGAGCTCCAAGTACGGCTATCAGGTTGTTCAGCCGTTTGTGACTTCCAAGCAGGCCCAGGATACCAACTACACTCTCTCGACCATCTCTCTCAGTCGCCAGACTAAGGATAATGCTCCCACCTATACATTGGCCGGTGCGACCGCTTTCGAGGTGATTGAGGGTGTTCTCAAGATCCAGATTGGGGATTACCCCGTCGCCACCCTATTCACGGGTGACGTTGCGTTTGTGCCCATTGGCGTGTCGTTCACTTACTACACCGAAGTGGCTTTCACCAAGGTGTTGTATGTTGCCAGCGGCAGCAACGGTGTGGACTCGCAACTGATCAAGGGCGGAAAGACCTGGAATTGGGTTACTTTCCCCACCTATTAGATTCTTTTGATTTGTTTTAAAACAATACCTTTGTATACATATAAGATCAGTCAGATTGAGAAATTCCATTCTCATCGATCCTTTTCCATGCAAGTCTCAGCTGACCGCTCCGACCGTACAATACCCACTTGAGCCTACCCCAACTATACTGCCCTCTTCTCCAACCTGAACACAGAATACAGACATCTCCCAAAATGGCTTTGAGAATCGAACCTGCTACGGTTGAGGATATCCCCGAAATTACTGAGCTATGGTTTACCGTATTCAATGACCCAGTGATGAGCCACATGATGCCCGACACCCTCGCGGTCCGCCAATGGTTCAGTGACACCAACACGACCGACATGCACACCAAGCCCTACCAAAAATACCTGAAAGTGATCGATCCCAGCAGGACGGAAGCAGGCCGTCCTCGGATAGCCGCTTATGCAAAATGGGATCTCAGCATGGCCAGCGAGCGCGGGCCTCGCTTTGCGCCTTGGCATCCTGAGCAACCTGGTCCCGATTGCGACGCTTTCTTCGGGGCTATGGAGGAGAAGCGCCAACGGCTCTACGGGGACCGTAAGAACTTCTGTACGTGTCTGGCCTCCCTGTATACGGAGTACGGAGTAGGATACTAATCAGGTAGATTTGGACATGCTCGCTACGCGTCCGGAGTACCGCCGTCGCGGGGCAGGCTCTATGCTTATCCGGTGGGGGTGCGAAGTGGCGGACCGTGAGGGCGCGGGGATTTATATCGATGCCAGCAAGGCTGGGGCTCCGCTCTATGCAAAGCATGGCTTTGTGGACCATAGTGATCCTGCGGTGGAGAGTGAGATTGCCTCGATGATGAGGAATTGAGGGTGTAGAGATATATTTAGATCTATACAGACCCCGGAATACTCTAAACAAAGCCCTCAAAGCACTCTCATCACATTTCATCACGTTAAAAATAGCTTCTGTAATTTGCCAAGTCCAAAAGGAAGTCGTCCATCGACTGCTCTTCCCGCGCCAAGCATCTCCCGCGAGGCCTCCAACTTCCAACTCCCCTCTGCGATGCGGCGATGCCCAATGGATCAACAGACACCTGGGCAGCATACAACCCCTTGGGGTCTTGGAAGTCCTCATCTAATTTTATTTCCCATGACTTGTCCACCATGTGCCTTCATGTCTTGGCTATCACCAACGGCGCGGTGCGCTAAAATTGGCATCCGGTACTCCATACAGCACCCAGGGCTGTATGTGCGACGTCAGATACCCCTGTCGTTGCTAAACTCGAGGCTCTTCTCCCGAATCCCTACGTCGTGCTCCATACCTACAGCGTACATCGGTCGGGAGTAGATGAACAGGATCAAGCTGAGACAATCTGCGATGTTTCAAACCATCCAGGATGAACCTAATTCCCCTTACCGAGTGGACATCCCTTACGTCAGGGTGCTTCTTCCGTCTGCAGACTCTAGTACTTACCGAGAGAGAGAGACAGGAGCCTCCAGACCGAAATCATGACAAACAAGCCACTGTGGAGAAATCAGGCCATTACCAAGCGTCATGGCCTCGGCCGTCTGCGCTTAACGACGCCAAGAAAGCCCACCTCCCTTCGATAATTGCGCCCATCACTCGACGGGAGGGTTTCTCCGACCCAAAACCGAGTTGCCAAGATCGCATAAATGCATCTGCACCATGCCTATCTCTTGCCAATTCCTGACTTAGCGCAAGGCCGCTTTTTGTCTGCGACAACCAATGACCCCGAGGCATTTGGATTTGGTCGCAAGCTAACGGTCCTGCGGGTTGAAGCATGCTGACTGTTGTCTCCACTGCGCCCTCTCCTGCGATCAATTGACCCACTAACTAAATGCTGCTATTGGAGTGCTTTGAATCTCGTCACACTTGGCCTGGACCTGCGTGCTGAAATAATCACTCTTCTGGTTGGAGGATGGCCAGCCCGTACTTGATCAATAATACGCCCATGTGGTAGGTTGCACTACACCTTCGCTGAGCTTCTCATTGGCTCGTTGCAAAAGTTCCCAATGGCTACGTCGATTCTGTCTTAATGTATAAATCAACTCGGGGGACCTGCGTTTCATGTGAACTTGTCCAACTCAATTGAATTTTTCTTTTTCCCTTTGGTGTCCCTTTTGCCATGCACGTGTTGGCCCTCGTTACCGGCCTGGTTGGCATTGCCAATGCCGCCTGTCCTTACATGACTGGTGAAGTGGACAGTCGTGTCGAGCGTCGTTCAGATGGTGATGCTGCTGCCGATACTGAGGAATTCCTGTCTGCCTTCTACCTCAAGGATCAAGATGTTTACTTGACTTCTGATGTCGGCGGTCCCATTGAGGACCAGAACAGTCTGAAGGCTGGTGAGCGAGGTCCGACCTTGCTCGAAGACTTCATTTTCCGTCAGAAAATCCAGCGATTTGATCATGAGCGTGTAAGTGATTTTTTTTAATCTATTCAATTGAAATAAAAAAAGGCGTATATTTACAAGTCTCCTCTTTAGGTCCCCGAACGCGCTGTTCACGCCCGAGGCGCCGGAGCTCACGGCACATTCACTTCCTACGGCGACTGGTCCAACATTACCGCCGCTTCGTTCCTTTCCAAAAAGGGAAAAGAGACACCCATGTACACGCGATTCTCTACTGTTGCTGGAAGTCGTGGAAGCGCCGATACCGCACGCGATGTGCACGGTTTCGCGACTCGATTCTATACCGACGAAGGAAACTTCGGTACGAACTATACCTCCCCTACAAATGCACACTGCTAATTTATGCATAGACATTGTTGGAAACAACATTCCCATTTTCTTCATCCAGGATGCCATCAAGTTTCCGGATCTGATCCACGCCGTTAAGCCGCGTGGCGACAGTGAGATCCCTCAGGCTGCTACCGCGCATGACTCCGCGTGGGACTTCTTCAGTCAACAGCCTAGCTCTCTGCATACCCTGCTGTGGGCTATGTCAGGCCATGGAATTCCTCGCTCTTTCCGCCATGTTGATGGTTTCGGTGTCCACACTTTCCGTCTGGTCACTGATGATGGAAAGACGAAGCTGGTCAAATTCCACTGGAAGAGCTTGCAGGGTAAGGCTAGTATGGTGTGGGAAGAGGCCCAGCAAGTCGCTGGTAAGAACCCGGACTATATTCGCCAGGATCTTTTCGAAGCTATCGAGGCTGAGCGTTTCCCTGAGTGGGAGGTGAGTGCTATATTTCTTTTCGCATGGTGTTTTCATTGCTGACAGTCTTTCAGCTTGGTGTTCAAATCATGGAAGAAGAGGACCAGCTTCGCTTTGGATTTGATCTTTTCGATCCTACCAAGATTGTTCCCGAGGAGCTCGTGCCTGTCACTCCTCTCGGAAAGATGCAATTGAACAGAAACCCTCTGAACTACTTCGCCGAGACTGAACAAATTATGGTATGTACCAGATTTTCCAAACAATGAACAAGTCGCTGATATCTTTCAGTTCCAACCTGGCCACATTGTCCGCGGTGTCGACTTCACAGAGGACCCCCTCCTCCAGGGCCGTCTCTTCTCCTACCTGGACACTCAGCTCAACCGCCACGGCGGCCCCAACTTCGAGCAGCTGCCCATCAACCGCCCCCGCGTCCCAATCCACAACAACAACCGCGACGGCGCAGGCCAGATGTACATCCCCCTCAACAAGGACGCCTATTCCCCCAACACCCAGAACGCCGGCTCCCCCAAGCAAGCCAACGAAACAGTCGGAAAGGGCTTCTTCACCTCCGACAGAAAGACCAGCGGCAAACTCCAGCGCAGCGTCAGCTCCACCTTCGAAGACGTCTGGTCCCAACCCCGACTCTTCTGGAACTCTCTCGTGCCCGCGGAACAGCAATTCGTCGTCGACGCAATCCGCTTCGAGACTTCAAACCTCAAATCCTCTGTCGTTCAAAACAACGTCATTATCCAACTCAACCGTATCAGTAACGATCTCGCTTCTCGTGTTGCGGAAGCTCTTGACATCTCCGCCCCGAAACCAGATGATTCCTTCTACCACGACAACACGACCGCACACATTGGTGCATTCGGTCAGAAGTTGAAGAAGCTTGATGGACTGAAGGTTGGAGTTCTGGCCTCTGTCTCGAACAAGACTTCCATCGCACAAGGCTCCAAGTTGCAAAGTCTTCTTAAGTCCGCCGGCGTTGACGTTGTCGTTGTCGCTGAGCGACTCATTGAAGATGTTAACCAGACTTACTCTGGCTCCGATGCTATTCAGTTCGACGCTATTGTTGTTGCCGATGGTGCGCAGGGTTTGTTCGGTGGAAAGAGCTTTACTGGGAAGCCTGCTAAGGGTGCTGCATCGCTTTACCCTGCTGGACGGCCTTTGGATATTCTCCTTGATGCGTTCAAGTTTGGAAAGCCTGTTGCTGCGCTTGGTGGTGGTAAGGCGGCTTTGCGTACTGGTCAGATCTCCACTGAGCGGGATGGTGTTTACGTTGCTGAATCTGTTGAAGATTCGTTCGCAAAGGATATTAAGGAGGGTCTGAGCACTTTCAAGTTCTTGGATCGCTTTGCTCTTGATTAAGTAAAGTATGTATTATGATGATGGTTTGCACAGAGTACAATTATGACACCCAATTTATGTTCATTTTGAAGATGTCTACGCGAATATCTGTTTTTTGCTCATGCTGGCTCGACTTGTTCCTTTGTAGGCTCCGAGTCATCTAGTTTCAAAGTTACCATGTTCTATTTGTTGTAGGTAGCCATAAGCGAAATTGATCAGCAAAGTAGCAATGAGCCCTGGATGGCAGAAGCAAGTTAGATTCTAAATGTACAAATGAACCCTATCCTCTGAAAAGAAAACATTCAACATCTAAAGGCGAGGAGTAGCACGCTTCACACGACGTGCAAAGGAGCCTGCACTAGAAATGGCACCTGCGGCACGAACATTCATAGTTCTCTTGGTGGACGCGGAGTCATCCTTCTTCTTCTCATGACCAATGATAGCCCACTCCGCGACAGTAGCTCCAGTTCCGTTCTTAGCCTCGACATCTGCGGAGCCCAGAGCCTGGTTGCCGACGATAAGCAGCGACGCATATCGGGCTGCAGGTACAGGCGAAGACAGAGTCACATTAGTTGTGTTGCCGGTGGGAATGGCAATAATGTCAAGATTTGTAGTGTCGGCGTCATATGGGTCTGACTGGGTGATGTGGGTCAGAGAATGGACAATCCTGTAATCGGAGCTCGGGGACGAGATGGCCTGAGCCGGATTTTGGAGGGTCTTGTTGTGGAAGATCACTGTGGCGTTGACGGGAGGCGCTTGGGCCCAGTCGAAGTAGAATCCTGAAACTAGGGCGCCGGCTTCATCTTCGAAGGACACTGTCACGGCGCTCACATCGGAGGCCAGTTCCGGCTGCCACTTTGTGGAGGTCGCGCCGTCCACTGCGGAGATGGGGAATTGACCTGGCTCGAATGCATCGGTGGAGACGACGGGCTGACATTGCACGAGATTGCCGGCGACGGTGTTTTCTGTGCCACTTTGGCGGTTGGGAATGATCACCGATCCCTTCAGGGGAAGGTGGTAAGTCACAGAATCGCTCTCGGGGCCGGAGTGAATTGTGATTGTCTTATTGGCGAATCTTTGGTCGGCAGTGTCGAGAGGTGGAGTTCCGGTTGCATGGCTAAACGTCGTGTGGGTGTAGTTAGACCACGCGGAGATGGGCCATCCACGCCAGTAGAAGGTGCGATACTTCAAGTATGGGATCTGGGGAGGCAGGTTGGGGTCAACATGGAGGATGTCATCTGGACGAAGTCGCAGTCCGAGGTAGCCGTAGATGGCAACTTGGTTGGCGCCTCCGTGGCCAGTAAGGAAGGGAAACGCGGGATGTGTGCCGCCGTTGATCGTGGTGTTGTCGACCAGCTGCTCCGACATTTGGAAGAAAGGAGCACGCGTGTATGGCGCAAAGGAATATTGGCCGTATGTGTATGATGAACAGCCGGAGGGTGACATTTCGTTCGCGACGACAGCGAAGATAGCCCACGTCATGGCTGGACCATCTGCAGACTGTTTGGCGGCATAGTAGTCCAGATCGTCCAAGGAGTTCTGTGTGGTATAGTTGGAGGTATAACCGAGTGGATATGTGACCATAACGACGTCGGCTTGCTTGACCACAGCACTTCCATTCATGGTAGTGTACTCGAGAGTGACGTCATTTTCGCGAAGGACGAGTACATTTTCGGCCATGTCATCCCAGGTCGAGTTCTCCTCAAGTCCAAACTGTTGACGGAATGAGTTGGCATGTCGAAGGGTTTCAGCAACCATCGGCATCGTGAAGCCGCCTGCGTCAATGTGGTTTGCATATTCGTCCTGATCATGTTAGCAAAATGTATAGTGAAGGCATTCAAACACAACTCACAGGGTCAGTCATGTTCTTCATTGTCCAATACGATCCGTTGCGAACTAGGAGGTCGGCGTAAAGTGTGGCGGCGGAATCATATATCGGGAAATGCTCTTCCTTGAAAAGCTGAGTGTTTCCACTAGCAACCCATTGGTTGACCAAAGAAATACCGATATCACCATTGAGGTGATACTGGTAGTCCCAGCAAGCACCAGTTGCAGTGCAGTTTCCAAAACGGCCACTTGTCCAGGGGAAGATGGCGGCCGAATCACTAAAGCGCGTCTGGTTCTGGGAGCCCGTGAAGGACGTTTGTATGTTCTCCTTTGCCTGAGCGTACTTCTCCACGCGGAAGTTGGTAAACCTCTGAGCTGCCTCGGGGTGAGAGGTAACAAGACCGGGCTGCATCCAAACGTCTGCATCCCAAAAGACCTGACCGCCGTATGATTGAGAAGTTAATCCACCGACTGAAATGCTGTCCACATTAACTGGGGCCCCATTCGTTTTATTGATTGCGTTCTTTCCAACAGTGTTCTGCAAGAGGTAATAGGTGTTTACCACAGAAATCACGGCATAATCAATGATGTTAGTGTCGGCCGGAAGGGTTCCATTGGGGAATGCGAAGCGGTCGACGGAGCTTTCGGGCATAACGCTTGCCCACTCCACAATGTGAGATCGAAGTGATTTAGCATAGCCGTTCTTCAGCGCTGTGGCAGCCGCAGTGCTGGCGGTCTTCTTTGGATCTTCGAAGGCGTCCGTTGAGGCACCACCGACAAATTTGGTCACACGAACCACTTGTCCTGGCTTGAAGTTGACGTTCACAGCCTGCGCAATGGACGATTCATTGGCATGGACATATGGCTTGTTCTGGACGATCTTGCGCGATGAGAGATCAACATTGGACGAAGCAGTGATGTTCGTGTAGATGTAAGCCGTGACGTTTGCGATTCCATTCGGTCGGACTGCTGAAAAGATAGCACCGTTGTCCTCCCCGGTCTCCACGAAGTCAGTGCGCGATGCGGAGGCTCCATCGATGACGTTCACAACAGTCGCATTTGCTTCCTTGGATGGAATGATCTCCAAGTCGACAACAGCCTGGTTGACATACAACTTGTGGGCAAACAGACGATAAGTGATCTGGTACGATCCCTTATCCCCCTCGGGAGTCCAAGTGTACGACCAAACCAAGACACCTGCTTGGAAGTCGTATGTTGTTCGGAAGTGAGAGATGGTCTTGTTGTCGACCGTCGCGTCCAGATAAGTATCGTCACCAAGATCCAAAATGAGTCCAGCCCAGTGGGGAACACCGCTGATCACACTGTCGTCTCCATACTGAGACAGCCATGGGAAGTTGCTCCCATTGGTAGTAGGCTGCGAGTCAAAGAAGCCACTGATTGTAGCAAATGACTGGCGCGTAGAGAACAATGGCCAACCCTCGGTTTCCGCGGGATCGTCGATCTCGAAGAATGGACCAACGCTGGCAACGTTAATACCCAAGTATCCATTGGCCACAGACCCGCGCGATTCGTAGCGACCCTGTTCCAGGTTGGTCGTGCTCAGCAGCCAGTTGTCATCGTCCCAGGTCACACCGTCGAACCCTGTTTGGTACAAGTTTCGGCTGAAATTAGCTGGAGAGTTTGGGCCCGTGTACTTCTTAATATTCTTGATAATTCGGCTATTAGGACCAGCGGTAGCCGAGCCAAGTTGTACGAGCAGCGGCAATACCGCACATGTCAATAACTAATGAGCATGTTAGCTGCAGCCAGATCGGAGATGAAGCGATCGTAGACTCACTGAGAACTGCATTTTGCAGTGACACCGTCTTGTTCACCAGTCTAGAACGATGTGCGTGATATGGTTTATCGACGAGGTTCAGACACGAAAAAGCGATGCAGGAAAGACAGAGAGTTAAATGAGTTGAATTCAGAATGCCGATCCAGGCACATGGCGATTGTTAAATGCTCAGACCCCCATGGCAAAACGTGGGGAACCGGCAGTGACGCGAGGGCCGTTCACGGGGTAATACGAGAGACTGACCACGGAAGCCAGTGACAGCCGTCAGCCAAGGGAACAACAGTGTCGTATGAGGCTGCCTAGTGGCTTCGACGCCTAAACGCTTCAACGGAAAGACCGGGAAATGCGGGGACGATCCGAACAAAGAGGCAGGAGCATTGGCTGTGGCAGCCGAAGGTTTTCCGCTCGGCATCCCCCACGGGCAGAACTTGCCCGAGTTGGGACGGTCTTCCCCAGATCATCGTCATCGATGTCCCGCAGAAGGTTTGGCGCGAGTGTCTTTTGTGGGGGTCTCGGAAAACCGACCTTTCCGAGCGTTGGATGTGAGGTAATGGCCCGATGAATGTCCGTTATTCACCTCACCGATATATGTGAATGGCAAATGGTATATAAATGTGCAGGATTGCGAGGAACTTGGCGAACTTGGCGATGGAAGTGTCGTTGACTTTTGGTTGTGATGGCCTGAATTCTGAGGTGTCCATTCTATCTCGATCCTGTCGGCTTCGGGCTCCCTACCTCATCCTCTAGCCTCATCTCCCAGCCTTTTGCACGGTCGGAGTTATACTACGAGGTTCCCAAACGCGCGAAGTCGAAAGGAATGTAAATATTACAAGACTCTTGGCGGCACTTGATTTATATTCAACGCAAGGGTTCGGACTTGCTCATGCCTCGCGTATATTGCCAGCGAACAAGTCGGCAGAGCTACATCAAATCAGCCGAAGACCGAGAGTCGAGTCAACTAGTGGGGGTTTTCAGAAAATTAACGGGTACATGAAAAGTGATCTTCAAGGTCTCGTCAGATATTATGCAAGGGTGCAGTTTTGATGGTCAAGGGCGAACGACGTGGCCAGCTATAGGAGCCTACATCGTTGGTTCCAAATTTCAAAGAGAATTTCCCATAATTTCGTTACTCCGAGCCCTGTCCTTGCGGTGTCACCGGAGGTGGTGAGAAAGGCCTGGGGCACAGAAATGCACTATTTTATGACGCTTTGCAAAATCTCAACGTCTTGGGTAGTGTGCAATCGCTAGATACCAAGTCTCTCGCGTGAGGGAATTGCACGTGGGTATGAAGGGTGTCGTCTCGTCGTAGTCATCCAACTGAACGTCCAGATCAGATGATGTCCAATATGGCAGACAATTCAATGGTCGCCAGTACCAAGCAGAGTCATGGACCATAATGCTAGTCAAAACACGATCTCTTCTAGTCGCTGTCCTCATCCATATCATCTTCGGGGATCAGTCGGCTAGGGGTGGATCGTGTTGAGGGTTCAACCGAGGGACGAGTTGAGACAGGCGTCCGTCTTGGGGCAGCGCCGCTCGGCCTCGCGCTGGATGTAAGGGCTCTTTCACCCACGAAGTAGTCCCCGGGCCAGTCCGCCTTACATACAGGACATTGCTCCGCCTGTTGCATCCGGAAGAAGTTGCGCATGCAGTGATCATGAAGTCTGCCACCACAGTGAATGTCGGCGCAGCGTTGGCCCTAGTTCCGCCGTCAGATCCGTCTGCCGTGCACGAGGTAAGGTAGGTCACTTACCACGGTGATGAGGTCTTTGCATGCAGCACAGAACTTGATTTTGGTCGCACCGTCGTCATTGTACTCATTTACCAGCCACCCCCGCAATTCCATCAAGGCTCGAGGCGTAAGGGTCAGGTACCCCTTGCGGCTCTTTTCGAACCAGCCCTCTTCGATCAGGTGTAGGATCATCTTTTCTGCTTGTGTCATGGTCAAGGATTGGGATGCTGCGCTCTGTGTTTGCGTTGGTTCATCGGTAGGCGGGTTCGCATTGGCGGGTGCTTTGTGGAGTCCCACGGCTTGTAGTTGTGCCGCGCACAATCCCTCGGTTCGAACTGTATTGTTTGTGTGGAACATGTAGTCCAGGAGACGCTTTAGGAAGGAAATCTCGTCCGCGGTATACGTTGTAGCGAGCTGGGTCAACGGATCACTGGTATTGTTGACGAGCGCCCATATCCGTTTCGGTGGAGCGTCCTCTTGGGCTGATTGAGGGTCCTGGGGCAGGGAGCTTCGGATCTCGAAATCAAATGGTGAAATGGCTTGATTGGCTGCGTTGAGATAGGCGTAAAATTGTTCATCGGTGACGTTTGAAGGATCAACTCTTTCACCTCCTGTTTCATTGTCAGCGACGGAGCCTCACCGAGTGACGCAGGGTGTTGTACCAACTGACATGATGGCAGCCAAGAGAGGCTGGGCATCTTCAAAGGTCATGGTGGAGCGGCCCATGAAGGCCTGCAAAAAGGCACGGTTCCGATCATCGTATCCCATCTTGCGACGGTTTCTCAAAGACCGGTGGACGCGAAGTGCTCAGACGCGATGCGCGAAAAAAGATAAGCGATAAGGATATTGGTTCCTGAGGCATCCACTGTCGTTTTTCTGGTTCTCATGCAATTAGACCCTCAGAAACATGTGAGCTGCATACCCTCGAGGTCTGAATGTACATCTGAACAGTTGGGAGTATGTTCGAACAAGAAATAATCCAGCTGTGTCTCTCCTGTTGAGACAAAGAAATGGCACATTTGCCGGGTTTGTCTGGTTTGCTTCAGCCGCGGTGGCACAAAGAACCCTGCCCAAACACAGTCTCTTGCGGAGAAGACCTTTCCCACCTGGGCACAATACGAGTTTACGACACATGGCGGTCCTCTCTCGATTCCGTGGAGAGTCTTGCAGCTTGGCGACCCTGCAATGTCTGATCTATTTGCCCCAGTACCACTGCCTCCGAGTACACGCTACAGTGTGAAAGGAAACAGTCCGTGATTGCATCCAAACCAAGGACGGCACTGTATAAGGGCGTGATATCATACGAGTATACACAAACCATGATCGACCCCATGAGATCACCTGTGTGACGATTATCGTCCAATTGAAGCCAACCCCAGCCTCGGCCATTCCTAGCCGATCGCACAGCGGTGAAAAGGCAGGCAGGGAGGCCAGACAAAAAATCTGCACAAGCTTCCCAGCTGACAATTGTGCTGAACCCCATTGCCCTCAGTGGTTGCACTACAGCCCGTAGCTCGCATGGGTTGGTTCCAGCGGACCCATCATGGCTGCAGATGGGACCCAGATAGTCTCATGCTTTCCCTATTGTGGTGCGATCGGCGCCCGCCAGTCTGCGCTATTACATCGCAATCGTGCTGATCTCTTCAGCTCGCCCCGAACCTATGGTGAACGATGGAGTCGAGCCCGAGCGCCACTCGATTGGATCTGTCGAGCTGCAAGCTGAAGAGATGTGCCTTTAGATCCAGTTTCCCCCGCCTCCCCCCCGTGTGTAGAGCTTTTTAGTTTCCTTCTCCCAGTTTCCTCCTCTTCTCTAGTGTTTTGTGTATTTTAGTTGATACCCTCCAGCGTCATGCCTTCTACTATTCCTAGCCCCGCCGGAGTTCCGATCTTGGGTAATGTTTTTGACGTTAACCCCAATGAGACATGGAACTCTCTAAACAAGCTCGCCAGAGAATTTGGTAGGTCGCCCACGACACTCGACCCTGACAATGAGGTCATTTGTGCTAAGTTGATGCAGGCTCTATTTTCAAAATCAACGTCCTTGGACACCAACTCGTCTTCATCGGTAGTGTCGCCCTGTTAGAGGAGATTTGCGACCAGACCCGCTTCCGCAAGTGCGTGACAGGACCTGTGGTGGAGATTAGATACGCTGTCAACGACAGTCTGTTTACCGCATACGATGATGAGGCCAGCTGGGGCATTGCCCATCGCATCATGATGCCTCACCTCACACAGTCTGCGACCGACAGCCTTTTCGGCGACATGGCCGAGGTCATCCCCGACCTCACCAACAAGTGGAGCAAGAGCCCCAAGCAGCGCACTTTGATCACTAAGGATCTCGACCGTCTCCTGCTTGCCTCGTGCAAGCAGTGCTTCTTTAACCAGCGCGTGCATGTTCTCGAGGGCGCCGAGCCCCCGATGATTAACGCCATGGAAGCCGCCACCATGGAAGCGATGAAGCGCCCTACTCGCCCCGCCCCGTTGAACTGGCTCTACCAGCGTCGCTTCGCAAAGGACACCAAGATCATGCGTGACTTCTCAGCCGAGGTCATCAAGATCAGAAGAACTCAGCCCGAGACCGTTCGCAAGGATATCCTCGATGCCATGATCAATAACAAAGACCCCCAGACCGGCGAGAAGCTCGCCGACTCCCAAATCATCGATGAGATCATCTCTTGCTTTATCGGTGCCGCCACCGCACCTAACCTCATCGCCTTTGCCCTATACTACCTAATGGAGAACCCCTCCGCCGTGGAGAAGGCCCATGAGGAGCTCGACCGTGTCGTCGGCGACGGCAAGATCGACCTCGAGCATCTGAAGGAACTCCACTACGTTGAAGCCATCCTTCGTGAATCCATCCGTCTCTCCGCCCCTGCCCCCGGCTTCAACATCGAGCCCATCCCATCCGATGACAAGAGCCCCATCCTGCTCGGTGGCGGCGAATACCAGATCCCCCACAACCAGCCCATGATCGCGGTCCTGGGCCAGGTCAACCGTGACCCGGCTGTCTTCGAAGACCCCGAGGCTTTCAAGCCTGAGCGCGTGCTCGGTGAGAAGTGGGATCAGCTTCCTGCTGCGGCTAAGAAGGGCTTCGGTAACGGTAAGCGCGAGTGCATTGGTAAGCTCTGGGCTTGGCGCTGGTCGTTCTTCACTCTCGCTAGTATCCTGAAGGAGACTAAGTTCGAGTTGGCGGATCCCAACTACAAGCTTGAGTCCAATGGTGCGTTCAGTGTGAAGCCGCTTAACTTCTATGGTCTTGTGAGCCCGCGCAAGTAGAGCGGATGAAATTGTCTATATATTAGCTTTTATGACTCCCAGAATGATATGATATTTTTACGTTGTTATTTATTACTTCGTTTTGTCAGCAAAAGTTTTGATTTATTTTCGGACTTGAAACGCAGTAGACTTGAAACACAGTAAGGCGATTAGGGTATGATGGCGTCGGGGCTACGTGGGTATTGCGTATGCCATGATGTGGTTGTGCCCGCCACGTTGACGCCACATGGCAAACTGAAACACGGAAGGCCCAAGAGTTTAAAAATCTAAATCTCACCTAGAAGATTCACAACAACAAAAGACGAGTAGAAAATTCAAGCGAATGGAGTATATTGGAATTCCAAAAAAAAAAAAAGTAACAGGACCAGCCTAAAGTCTCCCTATATTGACACAGAAGCAGAAACCATTCCAGCTGGGTGATAGATCATTCTTTCAAACCAGAATGACCCAAGTCTATCTTCAAAAATCATGAAACATAAAAAAATCAAAGAAAACATTTTTAAGCACTGTAGTCGATGGTGACAGCCAGACGGACAGGGCCGGAGGCAATGTTAGCACCGATACCACCGATATCAGTCTCGGCGGAGGTGTAAGCGTTGTCAACAACGGCGGCGTTCTCAGTGATAGAAGAGCAAGTGGAACCAAGGGCATCACAGATCTTCATACCAGAGACCGACATAGCGGCGTTCTGAGCAGCGATAGCCGAGACGTCAAAGCCAGACCAGCCGTTGTTGGTGGTGGAGCCGAAATCGAACTCACCCCAGGTGGAGGCGTAGCCACCAGCCGAGTCGGTGGGGATGGTTGAGCCAGAGGCGGCAGCCCAGCCACCCTGGGAGTCGTCATCAAAGGCAATGTACTTGGTCTCGCCGGCGGCAAGAGTGAAGGTGTTACAGGCCTGTCCGTACCAGCCGTCCATCTTGCCGTCGCTGCCGTACTTGTTGAAGATGGCGACGGTCCAGTCGTCGGTGTTGGATCCCGTGAACTGCGCAACGTACTTGTACTGGCTGGCGTCGGAGCTGGAGACCTCGATGATGTTGCTACCGTAGGGGTTGCCGACATTGCCGGCGTAGGTCACGCCGGTGCCGGAGGAGCTGGTGGAGCTGCCGAAGCCAGAAGTCGAGTACGAGCCGCTGGAGGGAGTGGAGGTCCAGTCAGAGTTGGAGCTGGCGCTGGTGCTGGTCGCCTGACGGCGCTCCACGCCGGTGGGACGGGCCAGGGTGCCGGTGGTGAGGGCTGCGAGCAGCATGAGAGACTTGGTGAACTGCATGATTGCTAGGTTGGTTTTTTGGAGTGGAAGGACTGTTGGAACAACAAGGAAGACAAATGTAAAAGAGTGTCTGTGTCTTAGATGAATTCCAAAGACTTGTAAAAAGAATGACAAGGTGACCGGTTACCAAAAAAGAGTGTGGTTGATTGACAGAAGAGGGAGTGGGAGGACGGGGTATATATAGCCTCTGTGAAAGATCTTTCCGCCACGCTCGCCTCAAAAGTCGAGACCCAAGGTGCCTGGTACCTGGTCCCATCCACGGGCAACGAAACACAGGTACGTCAGACCGTTGGAGGGCAGGACTCGTATGCCCATTCCACAAAGGTCGAGGCCGTGGGTTTGACAGATTCTTTGGGGCCAGTAGGCTTAAAGAACAGAGAACAAGCGATCCATGGGTCCCGGTGGGAGAAACAGTATGATTGGACTGGGTGACTGAATGTCAAGCCACAGTCCAATTCTAGATTCATCCCAGGTGTTCGAGCCAGTCGTCATTGGGTGGGGAACTGTGGTTCCTCTCCAGGGCTGGATAGAGTCCAGGGAACTCCTCACAATGGATGCCAGGGGCCGCAGTGTGCCGATGGGTGGCTGTCACGTAACCACGATCATATTTTTCTCCGCAGCCTCTATTCGGACAATCATTTCAGGCGAAATGAGCCAGTGACGACTCGCAAATTGAGTGGTACCGACTGGATCCATGGGGAACCACCTCCCAAACAAAGTTTGCGAACTAGATCGTCTGGGTCAACGGGTTTCCAGAAGGGTGGGCCATCGTCAGACCCTAGCCTCCGACTGAATGACGCGGAACGGTCTGGAACCAGGACTGCGCACATTTGACTGGTGAATCTGGCCCACTGCCTCAGACTTGTCAATACTTGTCCACATTCATTCAAGATGGAATGATTGAGGTGGTTAATCTTGGTGCTGTGAGTGCTGATTATTGACAGTCATAGAATTGTGTGAAACGCAAGGACCATTCTTGAGCCATCCGTTGGAGTTGAATGGATCAGGAGAGAAGCAGTATGATTGGCTCATGATTGCAAGGTACTGACCAATTACGATACAGTGTTGAGTCTTGGCAGGGCAAGGGCAAGAATGTAGCCAATCACGACACTTTCTCTCAAGCATTAAGAGCCCCGACCATGGATTCTGTGCACTCACCCACGGATCTTGATGAGTGGCTTTCTGTTCTTTGAAGTTTCTTTCTTAAAATATTCAAAACATTCAACCCAAACCCGAGGACACTCTCATTCAAACAAAGGTCATTCAGTACTTGGGAGAAGTCGAAATATTTAGTTCTATTGAGAATTAAGTCTGAACGGAAGACGAATAAATCATGAAAGGTAAAAATTCCAACTCAAAACTCGGCTATATTTCACATGATACCCATACAATGGGTCTCTTGGCGCTGAGTTCTCCATATTTCTCGTCATTACTCCGCTATGTTTCACAGGCCAACGTTCTGGCCATTTGGCTCAGAGGGATAAATCTCTTATTGCGCAGGGCATGGATTATTATTGTTAATGATACGCAGGACCATGTGTAACACCATATTGGGGGACAAAATATTCATATACTCCGAGGTGTCAATGGAGAAATTGGGTGGAACGCTACACAAGACAAAGACTGGGTAGAGTCCGATCTCGGGCACAGGCTTGGCTTACTTCAATAAGTGAACTGTCCAGGTGGGCGAGTCCAAAACGTCTGTAGCATCATTGATCATCAACTCCGCCCATTATATGCCTCATTTGCTTTGTCCTTTCTAGGTGAAAAAAATTAGGCGTCATCGGTTTATGGACTACTCACGGTTCTCGGGGCGTCCCAATTTTTGCCTTTTCAACCACCACACATCGGACGGATAATTAGATCTTGCGCGTACTCAGTGCTAGCATATGAAAGCTTGCTTCTTTCTCTGCACAGCTACATTTTACTTCAACCATACTTTTCGCAGGGACATTCTACAGAACTCTAACCAAAGAAGTTTGAGGTAGCCAGACCCGGTACGAATAGACACCATGCAACCCTGGGAGAGCTCTTGTATGCCTAAGCTACTAGATACAGGTTCAAAAATGCAATCAATACAGGAAACGAAGCAAACAAATACTCTCTTAAGTCGTGCTTCTGGCCAGATTAACAAGAATAACGAGGCCGACCCAACACGGCATGAACAGTTACAGAGAGCCTTGGAAGCTTAGACAGCCGCATCGGAGAGCCTGGACCTGGCTTCCCACTCTAGCAGAACCCGGGAAGTTGCTAAGGTATGGGGGTGAGTTGAACCTTGCGCTCGTTCCTGTCTGTTTAGACAATCTCTAAGCAAATCGATTGCTTCGGCACTTCGGCCCATGTGATACCAGGTGTAAGCAAGGATGACCATAATTGATAGCGTGTCGGGATGGTCCCTCCCTAGCCTTAACTTGCAAGCTTCCATCGCTTGTACCCCGAGCTTCTCTGCCTCATGGTACCGCCCTTGGTAGGCATATGTAACCGCCAAGTTGCCCATGCTTGTCAGCGTGTTTGGATGATCCATTCCAAGACTTTTCTTGTAAGCTTCGATCGCCTGTACCCCGAGCCTCTCTGCTTCATCATACCGTCCTTGGTAGATATATGTAACCGCCAAGTTAGCTATGATTCCTAACGTATCGGGATGATCCACTCCGAGCCTTGTCTGGCGACCCTCCAGAACCTGTAATTGGAGGTTCTCTGCTTCAATGTGCCGCCCTTGTTCGTAATACGTGGCCGCCAAGTCGCTCATGCTTTTCAGCGTGTCGGGATGATCAAGTCCAAGATTTTTCTTGTAAGCTTCGATCGCCTGTACCCCGAGCTTCTCTGCTTCAAGGTACTGCCCTTGGTGCGTATATGTAACCGCCAAGTTGTTTATGCTTTCTATCGTATCGAGATGGTCCATTCCGAGCCTTGTCTGGCGACCCTCCAGAACCTGGATTTTGAGCTTCTCTGCTTCATGGTGCCGCCCTTGATCGCTGTACGTGGTCGCCAAGTTGCCCATACTTTTCAGTGTGTCGGGATGATCCACACCGAGCTTCCTTGTACGGATCTGCAGAACCTTTTGAAAAAGCCTCTCTGCCTCCCCCGAATAACCCTTTTGCTAGGTATGCTTCTCCTAATCTCAGAGTACTATCCAGTGTATCTTGATCATCAGTACCACCAATTTTCATTCTTTCGTCTCTCGACATTGCTGCCATATCCGTGAATTCCGAAAGGTTGCCAGAAACATTCGCATAGCATGAACCTTTGTAGAGTAAGGTAGCCCAGGCTTTGAGTGAATCTCGTGATTCCGGTCGATAGGACTTGGCCGACCTCACGTGTGGAAAGAGTGAGCGGCATTTCTCCCAATTCTCATATTCACTAGTCGGGAATTCGTTGTTCAAGTTGCTGATAAAGCATTCTTTCCACTTCTCTTGCTCGCCGTATCCTTCCAGCCATGTGCGTACGATCTGCTGCACCAATCGATGCATTGTAAATACCATCGCATTCTCCCCAATGGCAATGAGGGAATAGTCCATCAAGATAGTAATATCGGTCTGGAAATCGTCGTTCATGTCGGATTCCATTGAGGAAACTAAGCCCTTAGCCGCGGATATGTCAGCAAAGTCTTGCACCTGGGCAGGGAATCCAATATGGCTCATTATCTCGTACACGTACAAGGCTCCTGGGGTTCATCTTTTCACCGAAAGCGCCTTTGGAAGACAGCAAATCAGCCGCAGTCTGCCCAAACCGTCGGACATAGTGGCGTAAATTTCGCCGAGTGGAAAAGACAATTTTTCTCCCCTCCCGATGATCGCTATTTTTATCTTGCGCCTTCAAAATGCTCTCGGGGATTCCCTGCCTGTCGAAAAAGCTCATGAGAGATAACAAATCAGCCGCAGACTGCCTTATCTCCCGGATATAGTCGAACGATATTTGCCAAGTCAACAATATAGAGTTTTTTGCCTCCCAGTCTCGGTGTGTGACATGGCTCTCGCGTCTAAGAAGTTTCATAGCCTGTGACTCACTACATCGAAGCATGTCCAGATATCGCAATACCGAGCATCGGGGTGAATGGTGACTTATGTAGCTAGCCGCCTGCACCATTGCGAGAGGCATGAACTCGAGTTCTTCGACAAGCTGACGTAGCCCGTCGCTCTCTGTGTCTGAATCAAGCTTCTTTTGCATTAACAGTAGAGAACTTTCCAGATCCATTGGTTGCACATGGATAACATATCTTTCGTGGCCAGCGATCTCCAATGCCACTGATTTATTACGGCTCGTAATGACGATAGAGCCAGTCGAGGTTTCGAGAAGGTATTTCAGTGGTGGCCGCGTCGGGATATGGTGTTGAGCCTCTCGTGCTTCTCCCCAAGTCCCTAGCGGTTTGCGAAGAAGTTCGTCATCATCGACATTGTCAATAACGAGGACCCATTTCTTGATATCCCCATCTTGCAACCAGTTGGCGAAGAGCTGGAAGATATTCGCGTTGTGGTCTTGTCGCCCGGGAATATTTGCACGATCGGCGAGGTTGCGTACACTCTCTTCATAGCGGGCCGCAGTACTGGCATGAACCCAAAACACCCAGGTCTCGGGCGATCGCTGTCGGACTTGGTAGCAATATTCGATGGCGAGTCGAGATTTTCTTTGGCATGATCATTAGTCATGAATCGACCAGCAAAGGTCTAGTTTGGCCTCACCCAACTCCCCCAAGGCCAACAAGAACCGTTCGAGAGCCCGGGATCGAGGATCTCTCGAGGAGTTGATCCAGTTCATCGCGGCCGACAAAATCGGGATCATGCGGGAATGGCACGGTCATCAGCGGCTTCGGGCGGGATTCTGGTTGCTCTGAAAGCGAGTGTCAATATTTGCCAACACCATATAGTGCTTGGGTCTGCCCAAAGGGCTGTTGAGAACTTACTTGCTGGAACATTGTAGTATATCGACCCGTTGCTGACCCCCACCTGCAATGCCGAATTCTCGCCTCCAAATGATACGGAGGTCATTGTGAAGATAGAACACAGACGATGGATAGAATGTAGGGAAAAAATGAGCTCTGGAGGGCGCCCGACCCTCGTTCGAAACTCATCCTCAGCTCGCTATCAGGTGACTGGGCGTTGGGCGTTAAGCGCTGGACTTAAACTAGTCGACCAAGTCAGTCTGGCGCTCTCTTCCCCTCACCAATCGAGGCTCGTGAATGGAGTCTCATGTTAAGCGCCACAGGAGGTTTCTATTTTGGTGAACGATCATCATTTACTCCGTACACTGACGCCAAATCGAGTGCATATGTTGTGCATGATACCGAAGGACAATGATGTTTGTGGGAAAGGTTGGCTGTAAACAGTTGCCAGTTTCGATTATGGCTCCACTATTTGCCCAAGGAGTGTGTTTGATTGGCCAGAATGTGTCGGAGCCTTTGTGGCTGCCAGATTGATCAGGCTCCAAAGATGAATATCTCAACTAGATCGAGAGCTTCTCCCTCCCTCCCTCCCTTTCTCTCTCTTCACTCCACTCTACTCTTCTCAGGACTGACACAATACATCCACGGATGATATCACAATACCCGCCTCGTCGCAGACTGACACCGCCCCGGTGTCAGTCTGCGACGAGGCGGGTACATTTCAGCTTCCATGCCTTCAATGAAAGATAAAGTGCGACGCAAAGAGAGTTGACTTGCGATGTTGATAATTTAGTCAAGCGCCCATCAACTGATACTCCGTATTTGTTCAGGGCATTCCAAGGTGAAATTCGTCAGAACTCCACGAGAAAGATTGTCAAATATGTACATGAAAAATTAAGGCTCGTCCTACTAAGCCAGATATGCAAAACGTCTTGAAATCACAAATTCTCATCGATATTGGACCTGTGAGGGTAGCTCGTGAAGCGTGCTCTTTTGCTGACTGTCAAGTTCGGTTGGCGGCTTAGGCTCTGTACTTCCGCCAGGGGTAACGAAATATCCACCGTTGGATCCAGGGTTGCTAGAGCTATAGGCCGTGCTGGATTGCGAGACCTCTGTTCCCGTCTCGACTGTCGCGCTCTTGCGAGATTTCTTTCGGAGGAAGAACCAAATGAGTGCAGCGATTATGGCCAACCCGGCGACACCTCCGACGACACCTCCTGCGATTGCGCCTGTATTCGATGATGTAGATGACTCCGCTGGGGCTGGATCTGTTGGAGTTGGCTCTGCTGTATTTGTGGTAGATGTGGTGGATCTCGTGGGTGTGCTGGATGATGTTGGGGATGTAGAAGCTGGGGTTGATGTGGTGGCTGTCGGCATGTGAGTATTCGTGCTTCATGTTGTCCTCATCTGGCACTCACCATGATACCGGATAGCTAAAAGGGACACGCTGTTGTCCAGGTCGGATATATCGTCCGTGCAACCAACAAAGGAAGTCTTCTTGTCCATGAAGGCTGACTCGCCATTCGCGCAACAAAAGTACCCAGCGGCTTTATAAACATTCGCGGTGCTGTTCGCGCAATGTGTATTGTCGACTAACTCGGTGCAGTCGGCATCTGAAGGACAACATTTCACATTGCCCTGCCCCTTAGGACACTTGGTGCCATTTGGGCAACACGCATGAAAAGGCGCCCATGTCTGTCCACAATCTGTTTCGGTGTTCAAACAGGAACCGTTCCTCCGGACCGAAAGGCCATATGGACTGCTCAGCGTGTCAGACATTATATAAAGATGGAGGCTCAAGACTAAGTTTGTGCGAAAGAGTGGAAATGGACCCTGAATCGCAGGGTTGAGGGGGTGTTCGAGGCTTATAATCGGCAAGGGCCCCCGGACATAGCCCCCAACATTCTTGCAGCTTTGCGGGATCTCTTCAAGCCTAACGGGAGGCGCTATGCACTAGCGTCTAGCTAATTCAAGCCACGAGAAGCTAATGCGGCCCTCGCTACGGAGTAACTATGGAGAAATCTCGTAACGCTTGGTCCCGAGGTCCATACAAGTACAATGAGATGGATATAATTGCACAAACATAACTTAAATAATTTAACTCCTTTCGCATATCTTTGAAAGTCAAGCATTTGTCCCCAGAATAATTCTCCTCTGGCTTCTTCCCTTTCTTATCCATCGAAGCATCATAATAACAAGAAGAACCACTGCTACAGCAGCCAGGTTGAACTTCATGGAACTATTCTGATGAGGATTATCCAGATATTGATCGCTCTGGGAATCAACAGAGGCATGTGTGCTCGGCAGGTTTATAAATGACCCGTATCGAGAACCAGAAGAGTGATTCTCGTCATCATGGTCAGCGACTCTGCTGTGCTCGTGTGAGGGATTGAGTTGCACGGCGGTCGGCTTTGGAATCAGCCCATAGTCAGGCTCTGCGGGCAGTTTATAACCCTCATCGTGGTCCAGGAGCCATTGCTCGTAGTCTGTAATCGGCCGATTGTTCATTTGTTCTTTCCAAGCGAATATTGGGGATTGAAGATTGAAGCTGGGGCCAAGAAATGGAAACGAAGAGGGGAGTTAGCGTCTTTATGCCACACGAGGCATATCAGCGGGATTGGCCCCATTGTGAGCTCCCCACTGGGGCCAAAAATCACAGGGACCCTTGATCTGCATATTGATCTCCTTTTTGGGAAATGGGCCAATTTGCTGAAGGACAATCCCATGCTGCCAAGACACTTGGTGTGTAGGGGTTTGATAAAGAATGCAGGACTCCGCACCACTATCAGAATTAGTTTCACTTTCGCCGTGGAACGCTGAGAGTGGCTAGGGAATTGAAGCTGATGGTTAGACCTTGAAGACGGAGAATTGGTTCGGGAGAGCCCGATGCAGATCATAAATTGGGTCTGTTTCAAGGCATGTTGACGTAGGTACCATCTTAGAAGCTGTGTGACGTATAATATGCCTTGATCATGCAACTGGGTAGGCCAAATGTCACGATAAGCAGAGAAGGTCTGCGCTCCCCAATACCCGAGCTTGGCATATTGCGGGCCCTTCTGCTTAGTGTCGTTTGTACTTCTTCACCATGCAGACTCGCAAGGCAGACACAGGAATTGCTTGGGTGTCAGTCAGTTAATACATTGGCCTTCGATTGCTCCATCCTTCGAAATTGACTCCTCTCATATCACCGGGGATATCCTTCGAAGTATGCTATTCGCGCCCTCGGACAAGGTCTTAACAAGACCAAAAACGAAAATAAAAAAGATTAATCCTTGCTCACACCGGGAATTGAACCGGGGATCTCATCATTTCTCATAGATTCGGAAGATGTACATAATAGCACGCGACTCGCTCGACTCACACGCGATTGACAAGTTCTGCTGTGTCTTTACAAATCATTTTGAATCACAGAGAGTTATAGTCTCGTTGCATAGATATTGCATTACGCTCTCCATTTCCTTCACAAGAGAAAGACTCCATCAATACCAGCTTCATCAAGATGCGCTCCCGATTTCAAACCTCGATAAGACAACGGTGCCCCTTGGGAGCCATCAAGAAGGTGGATGACATCTCCATGTCACTCGGTGACATGCCCTCTTTTGATGAGACCCGTGAATTGGGCAATGCTCGGAAAAACAGAGAAGTGGCCAAACGGAGCTCCATGCGTGCAAGGTGAATTCCCAGGCAAACTGCGACGGTCAGCATGGTGAATATGTCAGGGAAATATGCTTGACTGACCTCTTGAGCCCCCGCCAAACGCCAGCGAGGCATCTTTCATCTCTTTGGTAGTTGTTTCCCATCTCTCCGGATGGAAGCTGTATCTGTCAGCACAATTTGGGGGATTTAGGGACACTCAACTCACCTGTTAGGGTCGGGGAAGATTGCAGGATCACGGTGGAGACTATAAGACTGAGTCGCGATCGTGATTCCGCCAGGCACATGGAATCCATTGAACGAGGCGCCTCCCTCTGGCACGAGTCTGGGCAGCCCCGCGGGAACAGCCGAGTACAGACGCAAAGTTTCGCTGATGACTTGATTGAGATAGGGCAGATCTCGGAGGGTTCTGTCAGTGACGGGCTCGGGGACATTTGCCAACTCGGCAACAAGCTTTTCCTGCACGCGACGGTTCTTGCAAACCTGGTAGGTGAGATAAGTCAGTGACACGGCAGTGGTATCGCTTCCTGCAACAATGTAGGCCTGTGCCTCCTGTCGGATATCCGAGAACGACATTCCGCTCTTTTCCGTGTCAAACAGCTTGGTGAATAAGGTCGGTTTCGCACCAGATGGATTTTGGGCGAGACTTTCTTGATACTTTCGAACGCACTGCGCCGAATACATGCCCAGACGCTTCCCTGACTCTGCGGGTGCTTTGAAAATTGGCAGCGGCACATAGCTTGCGATCTTGATCAAACTTGGGAATGTGACTCGAATTGCGCCAGAGGATGACAGATTTTCCATGTCGAGACTGTATTGGTTCTTCTTTAATGGTGGTCAATATTGGAATTTTTTGCTTCCGTCATCCTTCACTCACCTTTCCAGACTCTAGCATTCCAAATGATTCTCCGAAGCTGAGCTCGCCAATGATATCAGTTGCCATGAAGAGCCACCACTTGAACACATCCGCTGCCCCGCGAGACTCTATCTCTGCAGCAATTTTGCTGACAGTCAGATGCACCCTACTGGCTATCAAAGGCTCAAGTCGACTGAGAGATGAGTCCGATATAGGGGTTGCCAACAGACGTCGGTGTTGAGCATGGAACTTGGGATCTGTCGTGCTGAAGACATTGTGCGCAGCACCCGCAACAAGTTTGCGGTAGAAATCTGTTTTGAGAAAGCGAGTGTTTGTTCTGTGAATTTCTTTCACAGCCTCGGTGTCGCAGACGTCAACATGGTCAGGGGCGACCCGTACAATAGGACCTTCTGGTAATTAGCATAAAACACCCCTTGATCTGACCACGGGAACCCATCCGTACCATATTCTTCATGAAGGCTATGGATATATTGTGGGATTCTCCCATTCAAATAATGATACGCGTACACCGCACTGGTCCATTTGGAGATTTCAGGGCCCGGTAAATGAGCCAAGGGGCTTGTAAGCCTTGAAAGCCCAACGGCCTGGGTATTGTTCAGCTTGGAGGTTTTTAATGAGGGGCACCGACTCTACGTACCAACAACACAGCCCCAATAAGACATGTCGACCAGTGGTTGACAAGAACGGAGAATAATGTCTGGTAGAGACTCTCCATGTTCGAAAATGGTTGATTATTTGAGCCTGGTCTGGGCAAAAGACCAGCCAGTTTATATTTCGTGATCTGTTCAAGTGGCACAGTATGAAGTCATCACAATGTCGGTCGGCATATAAGCCAGTCTCCGACCAACCAAGTGCTGTACCTTGTAATTGTCGATCGGCGATTGGCGAACACCCGAGAGCGAGGATCGACAGTCCCGAGCGGCTTTTGCGCGGCTTTGCTAAACCCTTTGGGTCGGAGAATTCTCCACCGATGGGCCTCTAGGGCCAGTAGTATAATGATATCTCCATTTCCTAACTCTCAGTTGTCCCTGATTTTTCTGTTTTTGTTAACTTGGAAAATTGGCGGAGCTCATCAGGTTCAACCTTGATGATCCCCGTCGTGTAGGGGCCTAAAGTACACATGTGCGGAGAATATGGGAGATCTACTCAACGTCCAAGATCCCATTTATTGGGTAGTATCTCAAGGCCATATGTGTAGGTATTCGGGGTTTCCAACATCTATGAAGCTTGCGTGAACATGCTGGGCCTTCAAGGTTGCTTCAATGACGAAAGGGATGGTCTACTGGCAAAGACACCTGGACAAGGAGTCACTGAGAGAATAGTAAATTCAGACTGTCAAAGCAAACAACCGACCGGGGAAAGAAAGAAGAAGGAAGAGAGAGAGAGAGAGCTATCTAGCCTGGGCGGCCATCTGACCCAACATTCAGACATCCATGGCCAGGCAGTAGCTTCCCGCGGCTGCTGGCGCACTACAGATGATTAACAGCGAAAAGAACCAAAGCTGAATTACTTTATAGAGTCATCGCGCTAGACCTGTTCCTGAAGATGAATTCTCTGGGTCACCATACGGGAATTCCGAGGTCATCCAAGATCCGGCGCTATATGTGGGGCTCCGATGTCCGTTTAAGCCGAATCTGAAAATCGAACGTATATCCGAATATGCCGATGTTCTCAGTACTCTGTGCATTGTGGATCTGATCTTGCAGCTAGGGATTTGCGGCAAATCCCGAATAAGTCCGAAACTCCATGATCTTCTTCAGCTGGAAACTAGCTTTACTGGAATTTCGTACAATGGCAATTTGGGCCAAATTTTAAATCCGTAGTAAAAATGCCGAGGCATTTATGACGTTGTATCTTTTCTCTCGAGGGTTAACGGAAATACAAGGAGTTAGCAATGGAAAAGGCTATGACAAGAAGTATACATCAGTCTGGGTTGTTCGTGCGCTTATAAAAGCTCACTCCCAGCGGAATGAGCCCATAGCATGAGTGTTTCAAAAATCCACAGAATGTCGACCGACCAAAAGTTTACAGGGTGGCTTGGCCTAGACTCTCGGGCTGCCGATGGAAAAATGGTTTGGGGGAGTTTACCCCGAAGCATTGGGAAGAGACGGATGTTGATATCCGAATTACACACTGTGGCGTGTGTGGCACGGATATGCACACTCTGCGAAGTGGATGGGTGAGTGGCCTTGCTTTGCATTGCATTGCTTTGACTTCCCTTGTAACTGGGGGGACTGGATACTTTGAGAGCAGGCACTGACTACTCTCATTCACAGAGCCCTACCAACTACCCTTGCTGTGGTAAGTACATCCTTGTGTCAACGAAGCTCTATCGTGTTTACTCCCTCCATTATCCATGTCTGACCTCTCAATTTTCGGCTTACAGTTGGTCATGAAATCGTTGGTACCGCAATTCGGGTTGGTTCCAAAGCTGTCGGAGATATTCAAGTCGGTGACCGCGTTGGAGTTGGTGCTCAAAGTGACGCATGTCTATCGCGAAAAGATCACTGCGAAGAATGCAGCACGGGCAAGGAAAAGTACTGCACCAAGCACTGGACGGGAACCTACAACAGCGTGTTCATGAACGGCGAAAAGTCCTATGGTGGATACGCCTTGTATAACCGCTGTCCTTCCCACTTCGTCATCAAGATCCCGGATGGAATATCGTCTGCTGCCGCTGCGCCAATGCTCTGTGCTGGTATCACGACTTATGCTCCATTGAAAGCACACGGTTGCGGACCGGGAAAAAGGGTGGGCGTGATCGGAGTAGGAGGACTGGGACATTTTGCTCTCTTGTTCGCCAAGGCCCTGGGCGCTGATCAAGTGGTTGCCATTTCTCGTGGCTCGAGTAAGAAAGAAGATGCCTTGAAGTTGGGGGCTGATCACTATATCTCGACCCAGGACCAGGTGGACTGGGCCAAGTCTAATGCGGCGACTTTGGATCTTATCATCTCAACTGTGGATTCTCCAAAGGTATGTCAAAGTCGCTCTTGGATCACCCAGTCTGCAAGCTAACCTGGATATGATACAAGATGCCTCTTGGAGATTACTTCACCATTCTCAAGGCAAATGGAGTTTTCGTCCAGCTTGGAGTACCTGACGGTGGCGCGCTACCAGTTCCTATTCCTGCACTCATTCACCGCGGCATCACTCTGGCAGGATCTCTCATCGGATCACCTCATGAGATCCGTGAAATGCTGCATCTCGCTGCCGAAAAGAACATCCAACCATGGATTGAGGAGCGCCCTATGGAAGATGCAAATCAGACTATCGCTGACATGGAAGGCGGACAAGCTCGGTATCGTTATGTGCTGGTAAACCACCAGCACCTGTGATTTTCACAGGCACCAGCCGCTCTTGAGAGGTGCAGGCAAATGTATTTGAAATACATGGCATTCTCTTACAAACATGAAAAAATTGCCTTAAATTACTGTTTGGCCAGCTGTCATATATCGCTCTAGGAGAGCCATGGTGGACAGACGACCGTGTTGCTCGGCGACCTCATATGCAGTGAGACCTGATTCAGAGGCACGGGCCTCTATATCAACTTTTCCAGTATTCAGAAGCAACTTCACGACCGCATCGTAGCCATCCTCAGCAGCACGATAAAGTGGAGTTTGGCCTACGGAGTCTTTTAAATCCGGGTCTACCTTGTTGGTATCGAGAAGTAGCTTTGTAATAGACTCATGGCGGTTCCGAGCAGCCCCATGAAGTGGAGTTGAGCCTACGGAGCTTTTTGAATCCGGGTCTACCTTGTCAGTCTCCAGAAGCAGCTTCACAGTAGAGGTATGGCCGTTCCAAGCAGCCCCATGAAATGGAGTTCGGCCCCTGGAGTCTTTTGGATCCGGGTCTACCTTGTTGGTCTCCAGAAGCAGCTTCACAGTAGACTCATAGCCGTTCCAAGCAGCCCCAAGAAGTGGAGTTTGGCCCCTGGAGTCTTTTGAATCCGGGTCTACCTTGTTGGTCTCCAGAAGCAGCTTCGCAGTAGACTCATAGCCGTTCCAAGAAGCCCCATGAAGTGGAGTTTGGCCCCTGGAGTCTTTTGAATCCGGGTCTAACTTATTAGTCTCCAGAAGTAGCTTTATAATTGCATCGTAGCCTTGTGAAGCAGCCCAATAAAGTGGAGTTCGGTCCATGGAGTCTTTGGAATCTACCTCAATGGACTCATTGCTCAGTAGCTGACGAACAACAGATTCTAGTCCAAGAGATGATGCAGCCATCAGAGTGTCAGGGTTTTGGGGAAAATCCAATCCCGCCTTCTCACCAAAGAACCTTGTCTGGAACTCGGAGTTGGGGGCACAGATACGGCATCCCATTGTTGACATATCATTTTCGTCACAAGGAAAAGCATCACGGAAATGATGATGCCAAAAGGATGTAGCGTAGTCCAAGAGAATGTCTAGGCCGATTTCCGTGCAATCACAATCGAGGTACCAGGTAAGGGTCTCTGCAAGAACTTTGTTTGATTGGGCCGGGGAAAGTGAGTTCCTCCATTTGCTTGGATATTCCGAGTTCAGTGAATCCGAAGGAAGGTTATCTGAAGTCCCCGGGACAAGAAACTCCTTAACAGTCTGATGGAGGGGGTAGACTTTGTCATCGACGACAACAAGAATTAACCCGCACATATCTCGCAGAGTCGATCTGAAACGTTGTGGAGGCTCCACGTTCTCACGAAAACTTTCACTGGACTTGATCTTCTTATCAACTGCAAGAGCTAGAGATAATTCTTCCACAGAGAGTGGTCGCTTTGCAGCCATAATGATATGGAGTAGGCGTTTTGCTTTGGCTGGATCTTTGCTTTTGTTCAGGATCTTACCGTATGCCTCATTGACTGTTTGAGGGATCTTGTCGTTGATTGTTTCACGCACTCTCCCTTTTGTGAACCCATCAAGACTCTCGATATAGTTGAGAGTCAAAGCAACCCATAGATAGGTTCGATTTTTGGCTTCAGTGAGTTTTTCACGCAAGAACTTCTCCTCGTCCTCCTCAAGCAGCTTTTGGATGGCGATCTCATGTGCTCTTTGCTGAATCACAAGAGCGATCTCTCCAGCAATCTTTTCAACTTCAGCATTAGCCTCCCCCTTCAGGTGTATTGTAGGTACTGCGACTTCAAGTTGTCGAAATCTTTCATGTATACTGCCGTAGGGTCTGCTGGTCAAGAAGAATTTGAACCCGGAGGTGTTGTTACTCGACTTAGAAGAAAGGTCTCTGACCGCTCCAATAAGTTGATATCGGTCTTCTTCAGCACACTCATCCAGTGCATCTATCACGAAAACAATTTCATCGCATTCAACACTTGCTGTGGCGGATACAAGGATTTCCCATAAATCAATGAATGATTGTAGTAAGGTTTCGCCACCAGCGGCAAATTGATGAAGCACCTTGTCTGAGAGAAGATGCGGGTAAGCGATAAAGAGCTGCCGGAGGATACTGGCAAGTGCGATGGATGATCTCTTCTGGTCCGGGAAGTCATCTCGAAAGAAAAAGTAGCAAACTGTCCTCTTCTGGAATCTTTGAAGTACTTCGTCAACAAGAAATTTGGACAGAACGGACTTCCCGCATCCTGGGTCTGCCGAAAGCCACAAGAGGCGGGAGTCATCACCCTTATCCCAGGTTTGGAAAAGGGGATGGCTGGTGAACCATTCGCATGTACCCGGAACACGATCACTGACTCTGTTTTTTCGATCTCGGTAAGGGCAAGTGTGCAGCGACTCAAGCAATTTGTTTACTTGTTTAATTCGAGCCGAACTGGCTTGCGCTCCTTGGAATTTCTTGAACCTTGCTTCAAAGTCACTCGAAATCGTATCTTTGAGCACGCCCATATCCGCTCTCCTCTCTTCCACTTCCATGAGACTGGTGAATTTCTGAGCTTCAGTCTCCTGGTCTGAGATGCTCTTTGTCAAAACATCCCATTGGTTTTGGTTGAGGATATTGCTTGAAAGTTGAATCAACCAGAATTCGCTCAAATAGCATAGTGCTCGGGCCTGGAATTCAAGGATTTTGGAGTACAATGAGACAAGCCCCGCTTTAAACTTGCTCACAAAGTCTCCTGAAAGATTCGTGTTCGGTTTCATGTAAAGCCTTTCTGTCAGATATAGGCGAGGGAGCAAATCCGAGGTCTTTTCGAGCCCTGTCAGAAGGCTGTCGTTCTGATCATGTGCTCGGATAATAAGCTGATGGAGGGTTATCATCTGCTCGTCGCAATGCAGTACAACAGCCCATGTAAAACTCACCATCAGGGATACTGTCACGCCAGCGCAAGCGATTGCCGCGGGAGGACACGCCGACGCAGCTGTGGTGATGACATCTTTCAACACCAAGATATTTTTCATGGCCCGATAAAGCTTCTCTTTGACGTTGATATAATGGCCATCTATCGAGATCTCCCATTCTTTCTCCTGCAGTTCATTGACCTTCTTATCGAGAGATTTGTGGAGTTGTTGGAGATCGAGGACTCCATTGGCTCCAACATGCAGGCCGGATTCACTGAGAATTATGGTCGCCTTTTTGAGAATAGGGCCGGTCTCTTTATCCTGGAGTAGCTTTTGATGAGCGATTGCTAACAGATCGTCAGATTCTCCGGCACCGGGCCCTTCCTCGGTGTCTTTCTCCTCCAAATCCGAGGACAGAGCATGATTGGTTGAGGCGGTAGACCCTTGGTCAGCGACCGAATTCGTTTTCTTTTGCTTGCTTTTGGATCGAAAGAGTCTCAAAGGGTTGCACTTCGAGCGTGAGAAAGGCATCGTGTAAAGCCCGCCTCGGGTCTGCCCGAAGTCTTTCAAATGGGTTTTCTGGAAACTCTCTGGGGGGTGAGATGAAATTGCTTGAAGGACTAGGTGAAGAGAGTTGAAGAGGGGACAGTACTGTGCTTTAGCCACAAGAAAAAGAAATGTGAATTCACTGACGTGGCTCAGCGCTTATTATGCAGAGCGTGCAGTAGGATCCAATCAGCGTGTACTGAAGATCTGCTGTCACTTTTGTGGGCGCGTATATTACGGGCGCAGCTTCCGGGCTGAATGAGCATGCTCCAACCGAAAGGATATGGAACGAATGCTGTTCATGGTGTCATTGCATCGTTGGATATGATATTTGTGAGAACATGCCCTCGAGGGGTAAGTGCAGGGGCGTGCCAACCATAGGGTGCGGTACTTTTTGTAAGTAATGATACAACCTCCCTGACAAAGGTGGGCCTGACTAGTTCACACAATCGAAGAACGTAGACAGAAGCTTCACAACTCTCATATTTATTATATCTTCATTTAGCCAATCGTAATAACATTGGCGGTGGGCTCTTAGTCGTGCTTCGTCGATTCAAGTGTTCTCATGATGCACATTCCACGGTTGGTTTTGCTGTTTGTTTCTGGTCACATACCCTTGTATCGAGGAGAGCAGAGATTTAGGATCATGTAGTGTACGGAGTATTGTGAGATGGAAGGAGAAGGAGAGAGGAAGGGAGAGAAATTCTAGTCAATTTTACCTTGGGAGCCTGACCAATCTGGCAGCCATGATCTGCATCCGCCTCGGATTTTCGGATATACAACCTCATGTGTCTTTCAGCCATCTTCCAAGCCGGAGTTGATGGACCAGGCCAGGATTTGAAAATTTTAGATTCGGCAGACCAAGCCGGAATCTTTGAACGGATTGACATCTCGGACACCGGTCAATCAGATCTCTGACAAACACAAAGCTGAGAGAAGGCCAGACGTTCGAGTTGAAGTCGGACTAAGACCCCTCGGGGACCGATAAAGCCGGGGCACCGACGAAGTCGGGCTCCGATGAAGCCGGGCACCGATCAAGCCGGCACCTCGTCATGATAACCTTCCTCGGGTCTTCAGCCTTGAGTGGTAATTCTCCAACGGGACAGTGTCATTGTGGGAGTACGGAGTATCCGTACAGGACAATTCCAAGCGCTTTACTAGTATCAAACCACCCGTGGACGTTCTGTTTGTTTAGCTTTCCTTTTCCATAAAGCCAACATTTGAATCTCCAAGGCCTTGCTCGAATTGAGTCTTACCAACTATCTATACCTAGTAATTCCGAGACATTTCTCTTCACTTGCAATTATTACAGACCTCGGGGGTTTCTTTAGGATTTGAGAATTTGTATAGATCCATTGCATATATGAAAAAGCCATCACTTTGAATTTATTCCAAGTTCTGGGCCTAATCTGTACTCTGTAGATCCTGAAGGCAATCGAATGCCGGGAACCGAGAATTCTTTGGGTCCCAAATCGTGTCTGACCAACCACTATTAAAGACTAACAGTACTGGCTAAAATTAAAAGAGACTTTGAGCATGTCATACTGGCTTCCTTTCGATCTTGGTATCCTGCCAGCTACAATTCAAAACTTGCTCACATGAGAGTAATTTGAACAAAGGGCCACAGATATGAGTCGGGGTCTCTTTCGGAGAGGTCAAAAGGTTTCTGCCTGCGATTCATGCTGGAAACGCAAGGTATAGTTATGATTTTTCAACTGCTTTTTTTACGAGACCCTCTAATTTTGCTCAGATCAAATGCGAGGGGGCCGTACCCTGTTGCTTCTGGTGTGAACACTACAAGACCAGATGCGCCTATGAAAGGCACAATTTGCACCCCTTCCCACCGCGCGCATCCAAATCGTCAGAACAGACACGTGAGCCAAGTGAAGATAGTGAGCTATATTGATCATTGAGACTTGAACTTTCTCTGACTAGTGACTCTCAGAAGCCTCAGAAGCCAGTGAAAGTCCTCGCAATGACGGCAGTCTTGCCACAAGGTATCACGACGATAGGGTATCCCCTGGTACTATCTCACCAATTCTGACTCTCCGTTCAATGATGCATTTGTATGGCTCCCCGGCAATAGATCAAGAATGGGCTCGTTTCAAGGCTGGAGAACTTTTCTCGGCGACCAGGCTATGTAGGGACCACTTTGATCAAAACTTGTCTTGTGGTGTCCCCTTGCAACCTGATGTTCCTACCACGCTGCAGGACATTGATGCCACAGTTCTACCAGATCGAGCGCTCGTGGAAGATTGTGCGTCGTTTTACATGAGATCCATCATGCGAGCAACATTTCCCATATTGCATCCATGTCTATTTGAACGAACACTCAAACTAGCCTACGAACCAGCTGGTCATCGCCATCCTCACAAAACAAACGCCAAGGCATGTGTGATGGCGCTTTGCATGTTTGCCCATCTGGTTCCTTTCGGCCATCGAGTCATTTCTACATCAGATTGCCGTCTTTACATCGCTGTGATTGGGCATTTACTGCCCTCGATGGCCGAGGTACCCACGATTGATGGCTTTCAGACTTGCATTCTTTTGGTCAGTCCTCGTCCGGCTTTCTGCTTTCTCCCCGGGGGCCCTTCCGTTGTCCTGCCACTTTCCTCTTTCATCGAATATCAAAACCGCTCTAGTATCAAGCTAATTACCCAACTATTCAGCTGTTGTCACAATTCTACACTGGCAAATTGAAATCCGCGGCCATGACAAATTCGATTGCAGCCCATTTTGTCTTCTACATGGGCGCCCATCACGAATGGCCTACCCAATCTTCCAATCAGCAAGATATTGAATTTGAATCAGATGGTGTGAGCACACATCTGCGAAACTTGTTCTGGGTTTGCTACACAGTTGATAAGGAGCTTTGTCTTCGAATACGCCAGCCATCTGCTCTGAATGACGATCACTGCGATCTCGCGGTCTCATTGCGATATCTCGAGACGATTTCGAGTGATTTTACAAGTAGCTTGCCACTCGAGAAACTTCATCCAACGTTCCTATTCCCAATTGACATCAAATTGAGCCAAATCAAGTCCCGAGCTTACGAGTCGCTCTACTCAAAAGCTGCATTCCGCAAATCCAATATGGAGCTTCTCATGAATATTCGGACACTAGATGCTTCTTTGGAGGCATGGCGCATCGCTGTTCCTGAAAATTGCCGCCCAAATGTTACATTCTACGAAATGAACATGGACCCGGTGGATCTCAGAATACGTGGTTTGCTCCTCCGACTTGATTATCTTTACTGCGTGGCGATCATTCATCAGGCTAGTAGCCGATGCTTACAGTCTAACATGATCTTTCAGGGAACGGGGCCTGCAGTTGGAAGTAGCATTGCTCTGGCTGTCGAAGCTAGTCGATGTTCTTTGAAGAGTTTGCGGTCTGCATGTCATATACTCACCAAGGGTGCTTGTTGGTGAGTTTCCCTTCCAGTAGATTTGGGTTGGACTTGAGCTAACACATCTTCCTTACCAATCAGGCTGGTGCTATTCAACCTGCTCGCTGCGTCAAGCCTCGTATGTAGCAATATCCTCGACAACCCTGCGTCCCCGTCAGCTGTCGATGATTATGAGCTTCTTGCCGATGTTCCTAGGCTTATAGGCATCATTTCTGCACATGTATCTGATTTTGAGGAGTCCTCTCATAGGGATCAGTTGGAATCCTTTGTTAAGGAGTTGATTGACGTTGCAGAGAGTGTCGTCTCAATCATGAGTACAACATGATAATTTAAGAAGAGTCAAAAAATGATGACCAATTCCAAGACAGAGAGTTCCTGTATCAGCAGCTTGAAGACGTTAGTCTCTGGCGATAATGGTGTTTCTGAGGTCTCGAGCAGCACATTGAATTTCAGATTCATTCTTCCAAGGTTTGTGACATCCATGAATGCTCCCGAGATCATCCATTTTAAGCCCTTGAATCGACGTATAATCACCAATGGTATTCTTTCCAGGCAGTTTCCCATATCTCTAAATGAACAAGTATGAAAAAAAAAAAATATATATATATATATATTGCGAGGGCTCTTTGTATTAGAAATGGAATCATAGTAATAAAGGATGGGAACTGAAATGAAAAATAAGTAGGAAGACCAAAACATGAATAGAAGTGATGAGAATGAGTTCCAGGAGAAGGACAAAAATGAAGAAAAACAGAATAATGAAGGACAGTCTGATAAAACCGTATCTAAAACAAAAGAGAATTCAAAATGAGGGAGGATCAGAAACAAAAACCCGACGGCAATGGCAGGTCTAAACCCTCTCCCGATATGAAGCAGCTCTGGGGCTATTCAGCCTTCTTGGACGCCTTTGTCCTCAACTTCATCATCAAGTAAACCATACCGTAGGAGCTGATGACAAAAATAACAACAATCGCCGCATCGCGCCAACCGTCGAGGTATTTGTTCAAGTTGAGGCCATACAAGTAGTCGTTTCCACTTCGGTACTCGCAGACTTGACAGCTTTGCGTGGCATTGGGGTTGATGAGGTTGGTTCGGGACCCTTCCCCTTGCATGAAGGAGGCAAGGTAAGATCCACAAGTTTGCCCACTGGGAGGGTCGAAAACTGCAAGTTCGTTCTCCTTACAATTGACTTCCACGTCGTGGATGCCAAAGACAAGTAGAGACCCTGTGACGTACGTGAACGGGTTGAGGTAGTAGAGCCAGTACCGCCAAAAGACCGTGATTTGCCTGTACGGGACAAGCATACCGCAGCAAGCGAAGATTGTACCGAGAATCAATGGATTCGCCAAAGCAGCAAACGTTGCATTCGGGGCGTAGGCAGCAATCGCCTGGCCCAAGCCGGTGTAAATGAATTCGTAGAGCCAGATCACGAAGAATGATGCTCCAGCACGGCTAGATGCGGTCGGGAAACCAACTGTGTAGTAACAACAGGCGAAGTAAAAAACGGCGCAGAGGCAGAGGTAAGGAAATTCCGAAACAATGAGGCCAGTGACGAATGCCTTCCATGAATACATACGACTCTTCTTCTCGCGAGCGTCATAAATTTCACGACGCTCAATAAAAAGCGGTTGCAATTGACTGATGACACCGGGTGAGATGAAAATCACGTTGTAAATGACGAAAAGCCGTTGTTGTAGATCGGAAACGGAATCACCTATCTTCCAAAAAGTGAATCCGTTGAAAAGACCCAAAATGATATGCAAAACAAACTTGTTGTTCACATAGTCGGTGTTTCTGTACATAGAAACGCTCATTCGTTGGGTGACTAGCTTTGTCTGTGTCCAAAGCGAGGTCGCAAATTCATTGTTGTCATCGTCGAACCCAGGAGGTTGAGCAGCTGCATCAGAAACGAGCTTGTCAAGTTGGTTGGCCATGAACTTGTGCTCTGGTGATTCGAGCCATTTTTGATGCCATTCGACTCCAGGGAGAATATTTCCCGAGACCACATCGATCATATATTCTGCGGGATTTGTCCCAGGGGGGGCATGGTGCTCCAAGATTACCGAAGTATTCTTTGATACGGGAGCCATCTTGACCAATCTCACCGAAGTACACCATTTTCCCACCTTTTGCCAGCAGGAGAAGGTTGTTGAACTGGGAAAAGAGCTGCGCGGAAGGCTGATGGATCGTCACCAAAACTGCTTGTCCGTGGTCGGCAAGTCTGCGCAAAAAGCGGACGGTATTGAACGCGGATTGACCGTCCAGTCCAGATGTCGGTTCGTCAAGGAAGATCAGGATCTTGGGTTTGGAGACCAATTCGACTCCAATGGTCACCCGCTTCCGCTGCTCGATGTTGAGACCACTACCAACTTGACCAATCAGGGTGTCCGAGATATCGTGAAGCTCAAGGAGGTTAATAATGGTTTCGACGTAGGCCAACTTCTCTGCTTTCGGAATATGACTCGGTTGTCGTAGAAGAGCAGAAAATTCAAGAGCTTCGCGGACAGTGGCATGTGGCTCGTGGACATCTAGTTGCTCGCAGTACCCAGAAGACCGTTGGAATGAGATAGGAAGGGGGCGACCGTCGACTAAAACAGATCCGTGAATTGTGCCGTCCGTCTTGCGCTGGGCGAGCACGTCCAACAGAGTAGTTTTTCCGGCTCCACTGGACCCCATCAATGCCGTCAGTGAGCCAGGTTGGACCCAGCCATACACTTTGTCGAGAAGGATCCGGTCTCCCGTGGGTGTTTTGACGGTATAGGTGAGATCTTTCCAGGTGAAAATCGAAGAATTGCGTGCCAAGTTCCCAGGGTTGTCGTTGTTTTCATCAAGTTTGGTGGCTCCTTGAGGTCCAGATTGTGACTCCTCGTCCGTAGATCGAGCATGGTGGTGTCGCTTTTCGTAGGGAATCAATAGTGAAGATCCTGATTCGGAGCTGTCGTTCCATGACATAGTGAAGGCCACAGTGATGATAACATTGAAAGCCCAGAATGCCCAGATGATACCGAAATTCCGCCATATGTGACCGTGGGAATAATCGAGGGCAGCAAGGTATTGGTCACCCGTGACAAAATTGGCCCCCATCGTGGCGCCCTGCACACCCGAACATGCTGAATGGCTGGAGTTCAGGTATGCTTCGCCATTCGGGATGAGGTTGTTGTCTGCGCAAGGAATGATTTTGCCGTGGAACTCGTTGGCAGCAAGAGCCTCGAAGGCATAAGCCATAGGATTTACGTAAAAGATCCATCCAAACCACATGTGCATTTCCGGTCTCGGGATCATGTATCCCGCGTAGACCACCAGCGCAGTGACAAGAAATCCCGAGATCTTTGAGGCGCCATCGAAAGTCGAGAAAAGAGCCCCAATTCCGCGGAACATTTGCGTTAAGCACATAGTGACAGCAAACAAAACAATCCAATAGGTGAAGAATTTGGCGGCATCCATATCAAGCCCTGTCATGAAGTACAGAACCAAGGAAAAAACAGAGACCTGGAACAGGATGATGGGAACATCAAGAACAATTTGAGATAAGCAGAATGTGGCTGGGTGGAACAGTGCAAAATGCTTATGCTTGATGAGCACAGGGCGACCAGTGAAAGAATCAACGACTTCAGACATTGGAGTCAAGATTCCGTTGTATAGGATTGCGAAGAAGATAGACCCGGATTTGAGGAAAAGTCCAGAGCTGCTTGCTGAGGCGTCATAGAATAGGGAGCCGACGATGAGCGATTGGATGAGGGCGGAGATCTGCTGAATCGCAAAAGTGGCTTTGTCGTTCCAAATGATCTGATATTGTCGAACAACACAGGCAAGCACTTGGTGGTATAGACTGACGGTGAAGACACTGTTGTTACCCAAAGATTTGTGCTTCTCCAGTGCAGCGGTTTTTTGGAAGGCTGCGGTATGTTCCTTGGCAGCGACAGTGGTCGGATACTCTTCTTCCTCTTGTACCATTTGCTTGAAAGTCGGTGATTGCTCATAGAGATTTCGAATCTCTTTGGCTGTGCGAGGAAACGAGTTCTCATGATTGGGTAGAATGGCGCGTTCGGTAGGCACTGTAACACCTGTGAGGTAGTCTGCCACATTTGCACCTTCACGACACATGAAACCAGCACCTTCGAGGAAAGGTCGAGCATCAGTCATAGGGCCATAGTAGATCTCCTCCCCTTCATCCAGCACCAAAACCTTGTCAAACAAGTCGTAAATGCCGTTTCCTGCTTGGTAGAGGGTAACAATAGATGCCAGGCCCAGGTTATCTGTTAATGATCGTATGCATTTTGTCCAGTCGAGTGCTGAGCTTGCATCTAGACCACGTGTGCTGTTATCCCAACAGAACACAGAACCGCGAGTGGCCAGACACTCAATGATCGAGACACGCTTTCTTTCGCCACCAGATACACCCCGAACATACTCATTTCCAACTTTGGTATTGGCTGTATGAGAGATGCCTAAAGCCTCGAGAAGAAACTCTTTCGAGTCTTCTCGGTATTTTCTCGCTGTGGGTAGATCGGATGGCCGGTGGGACAGGACTTTGTTCTTGGTTGCGAAGTCCATCGTGTCACCAACTGTCAAAGTCGGATAAAAGATTTCTTCTTCTGTATTCATCACAATTTGGCCTCGATACTGCTCGGCTTCTTTGTGGTCCATTGTCCCGAACAGCAAATCTCCGTCCACGGTATAGCCACCCCGACGGTTCGCCAGGAGTTTCAACAAAGTCGTGCAGCCAGATCCGGGACGGCCCAGAACCAACAGCATTTCGCCGGGTTTGACACATCCATGGCTGTCAGAGAGAATCTTCTTCAGTGGGGGCTTTTGGCGGAAGGTCCTCCAGTGATGCAGCAGGTCGAATTGGGACAGGGCGTTGTGATTGACAGCGGAATCGGCTGCAGGAACTTCGGCATTGAGACTTCGCCAGGTGACACCCAGTTCACGACCTTGGAGCCCGGCCTCGATCTCTCGCTCCTTCAAGCGGTGCACTCTGTGCGCGAATGCCCAGTCATCTGCATTCGGCTTTTCTGCAGGCACGCTCGAGGCTTTCTCATTGAAGTCGGGCTCAATGGTGGTGCTGTTGATGGTGGGCGTTGCACTTCCCTCGGTCTCATACTGAGAGACAGTAGCTGCACTTTCATCTATTTCTTGCTGAGATTGGAAAGAGAGGGAAGCATCTTCGGTTGATTGGGGCGAAGAAGCCATGGCGAGACAATGGTCAGCCAGAACAGTGAAATAGAGGATTGATACATTTTGACAGAGATAGAATAATTTCTTTAAGTATAGATACAGAGGCGTTCCACGCGGATGTCGGCAAAGTACTTGACGGATGTAAATGGAGCTAGCTCCAGATCTACTGAGCTGTGTAGATGCCCCGGAAGGACACACCCATTAGGCTCCGTGTCATGTGATACGGAGCCTTTTAGCCCTCTCCGGATATAAAAGAATCGGTATATATCCGGCTCCTTTGTCGAGCACGACCTCGGGACATTTGGACTTGTTGAATCCATACATCCATGGATCCTATTGGCTGGATGTAATATCACTGCCTCTGCCACCATCTTCTTCTTTTTTCCAAGTTGTTCCAGACCTACCAGGCCCTGATCGGGTATAGTGCCGCTATCTACTCCGTACTGATGGACCTGCCCAGGTGTCTGATGGATAGTCACCTCCCCCTTTTCGGCCAGAAGAAGAAAACGAACACAAAGAAACGAAATCCATGAGACTTGCAGGTGGAGTCAAAGCTGCCGATATTCCCACAAAGCTCTCTACTTTTGCAGCTCCCCCTGGTCATCATTTTTCTTCTTCTCTTCGCCGTACTACTGAATCTCTTTGCCTTTTCCATTCCAGTGTTGTATTTCTAACATGCTATTGTCTCTCTCTAGCCTTGTCACAGATTAGACCATGCAGCCATGTGCTCTATCATCATCATGATATGACTTTTTGGCTCAACGGCCACTTCAATCCCCAATATTCATTCCAGTAATCATACCAAGATCAAGGTGTAATCAATCAAACCCTGGAAACGTTTCGCACCCACTGCGGCTCGGTACGGAGATTGGACATAGAGTCAAGACAAGACCGGAAGGGTTTCAAAGCAATGCCCAGTGGCTTTCGAGGTCTCTGGTGGAGCGGGTGACTTTCCCTTAGGGCTGAGACGCTTCACCTTCCTAATCTACATTCCCACCATCTATTCCATTCGTGCCATTCATGCCAATCAGATCAAATGTACGTGGGAAACCACTTCTTTCCAACCTTCTAGGCGTCAGCATTCCTTGATTTACCTCTTGGGCTGAATACCCAGCCGGGCTTCTTCTTGGGACCAAGCATCCATGACGTTAGCCATGGCCACAATTCTCAATTCTCAAGCCACCCGACGGATACCAATATTATTCCATGGCGGGGAATCATCCAATATGAACACCAATCTCGGTTGAGGGTGCGAAATGTGACACACTCCTCTTCTCCTCCAAGTCCAAAGCAGAAAGGTTGAGATCCATCCAAAGTCTACCTGGACCCAAAAAATCACACATGCATTGCCATGGAAGGATCGGGTGCGTGAGCCTGGTCACCCGAGGAAATTCCCGGACGGTTCGTTGCAAGGTTCATATCACTCGGGCACGGCGACAACTGCTGAGCTCTCGGCATCCCCGCGCCCGATCATCTTAGTGGAGAATAACCCCCCCAGCCGACAAGCAGATCCCCTTGGCAAGTGCCTCGGCTTGCTCGAATTGCGAATTCCGCCCCTCGGAAGCAAGCCAAGTCCGCCGCGCCCCAGGCCTTGGCGAGACCATGGAGTCTCAGGCGACGAGCACAATCCTCGGGTTTTTGGTCATGGCCAAGGCTCGTCGCAAATGGTGAAATTGGGTGCTCTGTGTGAGGTATAAAGCAGTACTAGAATCTCCGCAAGTATGAGGTTCATATCACTCTTTCCCTCCGAGCCTGCCACAGTATGTCGACCTCGCCAGAAAAGGCTTCGCCTGAGAAGTCGCTCGAAGGGACTTCGGAGCATTTGAACATCGCTGAATCTGATTCATCTGTTGCACCCTCTTATCAAGGCTCTAAAGAAGAACGCATACAGTATGAGCGTCAACAAACCGCTTCCACTGGCAGATGGGCCTTCATCAGCAAGATGGGGGATCTCCCCGAGTGGAAGCTCGGAGGAACTCGCCTACACGGGACTGCTCTGAATTGGTCCATCGGGTTCGTAGCAAGCTGTGGTTTTCTGATGTTCGGCTATGACCAGGGTGTGCTGAGCGCCCTGTTGACTCTAGACGATTTCCAGAAGAACCAAATCCTCATGACACCGCGAGAACGGGCGAACGATCTATGTTGGCTTGATAGTCCCGCAAATACGGTTCCTGATCCTAACAACTGTACCGGTGATGCCAATACCCAGGCTGCCGGTGTTGCAATCTATCAGATTGGATGCTGGATGGGATCTCTGATAATTCTGTTCTATGGAGAGTCCTGGGGCCGCAAGTCCTCGACCTTCTGGGGCTCCTCTATTATGGTTATTGGTACTATTATGCAAGCTGCCTCCTTCGAGTATGGTTTGTTTGTTGGTGGTCGCATCGTTAGTGGTATCGGGAATGGAATGGTCACAGCATGTATGTGCATTGGAAGATCCTATCTTTGACCATCCTGGCTAACAATGCTTCTGAACAGCTATACCAACCTGGCAAAGCGAATGTGCCCGCCCTCATCAACGAGGTATTCTCATCATGCTTTCGGGTGCTCTGATTTCATGCGGTGTCATGATCGCCTACTGGGTGGACTACGGGTTCTACTTTCTGTCAGGATCGGTCCGCTGGCGATTCCCCCTCATGTTTCAATCTTTCTTTACAATCATCGTCATGATCGGAGTGCTTTTCCTTCCCGATTCACCAAGGTGGCTGGCTATGCAAGGTCGACGCACCGAGGCTCAAGATGTCCTATCCCGATTGCTTGACAAGGAAGAGAATGATCCCTTGGTACGAGAGGAGATGCGAAATATCACCGAAGCCCTCGAGGTCCAAAGCAGTGGTGGCGGGTTCAAGATGAAAGAGCTTCTCACCAATGGTCCTTCGCAAAATCTTCGCCGTTCAGTACTCGCGATGGTTTCTCAGTTCTTCCAGCAAATGTGTGGAATCAACTTGGTCACATACTATGCGACGATGATCTTCGAGAGCTCTCTTGGCTTTGCACCTGATATGGCGCGGCTTCTATCGGCCGCTAACGGTACCGAATACTTCCTCGCCTCTCTCGTCGCTCTTCCTCTGATCGAGCGAACGGGCCGTCGAAAACTCATGATGATCGGAGCCTTTGGGATGAGTGTCTCGATGGCGATCCTCGCTGGCACTGTCTCAACAGGGACAAAGCTTGAAAATGGTGCTCCAAAACTCGAGACACGCTACGGAGTAACAGCCACAGTCTTCTTGTTCGTCTTCAATTCGTTCTTCGCCATTGGATGGCTGGGCATGACTTGGCTATACCCGGCGGAGATCACCAATCTGCGTATTCGAATTCAGGCAAATGCACTGTCAACCAGCTCTAACTGGATGTCCAATTTCTTGATTGTGATGATCACTCCGCCGGCATTCAAGAACTTGGGCTATCAGACTTATATCATGTTCGCGGTCTTCAATGCTGCCCTCATTCCTGCCGTGTTCTTCTTTTTCCCCGAGACCAAGGGTCGCACGCTGGAAGAACTTGATATTGTGTTCGCAAGTGCCCATGCCAAGGGTATCTCCCCTGTTAAGCACAGCTGGGAGATGCCTCATCTTTCGGGCCCGGAGGTTGACCGCGAGCTGCTACGATACTTTGGACCGACAGCCATAGCCATCGAATCGCGGGGACAGAGGGCGAGTGATTGAGATATCAGCCGAGTGTGCTGTCTTGCTCACGGGATATAGGTGTCAATCATGTTGATTATAACGGTCACTTGTAGCATACATACTAGAATCAAATGGTGGGTCGGGTTCAGCGTGAACCCTAGACCTCGATCGTGGTAACGATTTGAAATCTATCTCACTACACAGAACATCAGTGTACACGAACTAGGAGTTAAGTTTTATTCATCTCGCAAGCCTGATATCATGACAAGAACGCAAATGCCAATCGGCAAAAGTCAAGACCGAGACCCCATGCCCTAGACGCTCCGCCGCGCAAAGGAAAGTGGAAACAATCCACCGACTGAGTCGCCGAACGCCAAAAAGAAAAGACCAGATGTGCAGAAACAAAAGATTAAGCAAGGTTGGTGAACATGTGCATGCTCCTAGTACCTCCGACGGGTGGGCTCGGGGCTAGGGCTGCGAGAAGCGCTGCGCGGATCCCTGCCACGCTCCTTGAGCCACTTCTTGGTGCTCAGTCGCAGTTCGCGGTCCAGCTCGTCTGACGGGTCTTTCCGGTGAATGAAATTGCAGAATCCTCCACGCACACAGCCTTCGCCACTATTCAGCCGACAACAGGCTTCTCGGAAATCCGTAACCGGTGATAGCTCGCAGTATATCGGTCGCGCTGAATACCAGCGGGAGTTTAACGCGTCGCACGCTGCCTGCGCATCTTCTTCGTATTTGAATCGGCCGTATACGTTGCCAATGAGGTCTATCGCGGCGCAGGATGTTAGTGATCTGTCAGGAAGCTTCAAAGGGATCAAAAGTATGGGTACTCACGGTCGTTGTTGTTGTCGCAGATAACCAGCTCTTCGAGCTCGCCGTACTTGCACATCTCACACCACACGTCCTCGTAGAAGGCGTCGAAGTGGTTTTGCATCTGGCTGGGGTTCATCTTGCTCTTGGGGTCGTAGGCCGGGTTCTGGTACATGTTCGGCATGAGGATGGTCTGCGAGTACGAAGGCTTGACGTGCTTGCGGGAGCAGCGGTCACCGTGTCTGCAGGCGCCGATCTTGTAGTAGAAGGAGCAATTGACCTTGTCCTGCTCGGTACCGAAAATGGATGCGAGATAGTTCGCCATGGTTGTAGACTGGGTTCGGAGTCGGTTTGAGGGTGTTTGAAGGGAGGATTTCGGGTAAAAGTCTCTCGTCGGGTGAGAGGTGAGAGGAACACGACGGGAGGGAGGAAGGAGAACCGGAGTTGCTTTGAGACGTGGATGATATCGGATGCCTGAAGTTTCTGGAGAGCTCCAGTGGCGCGCAGCTCGTTGCTGATTAAGCGCCAAGCAATTCAATATCGGACCGTTCACTTCGTCGCTTTTGGTTCTCCAATCCTCAGTCTATGAGACTCTGAATCTTTGGTGTCCATGTCAGTATTTGGTCTCTCCATGCGAGGCTTTTTAATGGATTCTATGACATTTTTGACAGTGCATAAATCGTTCAACACGGTGCCATACCACGGACGGATCCTTTGAAGGACTATCAAGCTACTAATACGATTTCGACATTGACCATATTCTCGAGTCGGTGCCGGTCGTGCTTGTAGTGTCATGATCTCTGGGATTTCTCCGGGCTCTCTGTGGATTTTCTTCTTGATTTGCTTGGATATCAGGATGCCCAAGGTCCCAACTGTGAACCTTGGAAGACACCCCAATGCAGGTTATTTGATCCACATGGCGATATATAACAGCCGACATAACACTACCACTTGCCGAGGGATAGTCTTATACTATCTGTCTCCAACCTGTAAATATAAACAATGTCGTAAGATGCCCCAGTGTTGATGGATGCCCACTCAAAAGTCGTGACCGATTAATAAGCCCCGCACCACTTCCATCGATCTCAGCCTGGCTGTGATCTTCAATACACACGGCAGAGCAGATATTTGCAAGAACTTATTCCAAAGTAAGTTGATGTGGTTGTTACTTTCTAGAGCAGGCCGCTTGGCACCATAGGGAAGGTTTCTGTCAATCCAAGAGACGCGTACTGGTCAAACTTGATTGGTACTATCGACTCTATATCCACGATCACCGTCATGATCTGCAATTTTTCTGGTGGTTTTGGTATTTCTCAGATTTCGCCGCTGACATCCACTACAGCATACAATGGCCGCTAAGACAATCATCGTCACAGGAGCCTCTCGAGGTAATAGCCACCAAATTTCATCGGCGGGGATATCACTAACATCCCACCTCCAGGCATTGGTCTCGCCGTGACCAAGTATCTCCTCTCGGCACCCCAATCCCACAATGTCGTGGTGGTCGCCCGCAGTGTTGAGCCCTTGCAGAAGCTCAAGGAGCAATATGGCGACCAAGTTGCCGTCGTGAACGGAGATCTTGCAGACTTTGCCATTGCCAAAAAGGCCGTTGATACGGCTACCGTGACGTTCGGCAAGCTCGACGGCATGGTCCTCAACCACGGCATTCTCGGCCAGGTTGGAAAAATCTCCGAGGCGGATCCACAGCAATGGAGAGAAGGCTTTGAGATCAACTTTATGAGCTTGGTTGCTTTTGTACGAGGTTCAACTTTCTAGTTCGCATTCAGTACTAACTCACATGTCACAGGCCAAAGCAGCTCTGCCGGCACTGCGCAAGTCTCAGGGCAAGATTATCTTCACATCTTCCGGTGCAGCAGTCACTGGTTACCGTGGCTGGGCTCTCTACGGTGCCACCAAGGCGGCGATGAACCACTTCGCCATGAGTCTGGGTGCAGAGGAGCCCGACGTCACTTCGGTGTCCATCAGACCTGGCATGGTCAACACCGAGATGCAGCGCGAGCTGCGGGAAGACCATGCTACCAACCTGGATGCCGAGATGCACTCCAAGTTTACCGGGGTCCACAAGGACGGCAAGCTCCTCGAGCCTGAGCAGCCTGGTCATGTTATGGCCAAGCTGGTCCTCGATGCGCCCAAGGAGATCAGTGGTCACTTCTACTCGTATGTTGGGTTCCACACAGGCTACACGGGTTGTACTAATACTTGGCAGGTGGAACGACAAAGAACTCGGAGCTTTCCAGGAATAGTAAATTTGATTGAAGATAGTATAAAATTTTTTCTTTCTCATCCATATACGGAGTCGATATCTGTAGATCTTTTATAGCAAGTCAGTATTGATCGCCATAAGAACAATGTGCAAGGATTGAGGCAGTGATTGATTACAAGTCAGTCGAAAGATGAAAAGCAATACATTTTAGAAGCATTAGGTGCATTGCACCTTCATGTTTAGCATGGAATGTAAAGGTGTGCATCATGTAATTGAAATTGAAAATGACAAAATCCTGCGCGTACCTTTTAAATACAAGATTGTAGTGTGTTCCAGTCCTCCCAAATTGTTCACGGCAAGTGGAATCAAGTTCCGAGCTACAAGCTGTGTCTGTGTCTGAATCTTCAAATAAAGTTAGCAACAGCTCGAAGAATTCGAAGTGTGATGCAATGAGGCAGATTTGAGATTTGTTTTCAGAAAGTCCGTTTGGTAAAGACAGGTAAGGTCACCATGGAATGTATGATAGGGGCGACAAGCAAAGTTCATCATGGTAAAAATAAAGAGGCAAAGCGAGATTCAAGCAAGAACTTACCATTAGTGCAGAGCTTTGGAAAGAGTCAATCTCATTTGAAAGCTTCTTTCCAAGGAAGGTTGAAGAGTGAATGAAGAAGAAGAGCTGCTGCAGAAAAAAATCGAGCTATAAGTGGACCAGGGCGGTGGGGGTGAGTTTTTTCTGCCGGCAAGAAAATGTACTTAACTCCGGCGCGCGCGACTGGCCTTGGAATCTTTGAGCCCCACGCAGAAAGACCAAAGAAATCAAAGGCTATCTCCCTCGAGCTTTTTCTCCCTTGACGGTCACCCTTGGAACCCTCTGTTCAGTTCTTCATCATGTCGGATCGTGAGTTCAACTGTAAGTGATGTGGACTCTTGGCGCGTGCGGCCTGCTGACCCTGTTTGACTAGCAAACGATGACCTGTCGCTACCCAAAGGTATGTTCCGATCTATCCTTGTCTTGTTTGAGGTGTTTGTGCTGCTGTGTGCACTGGCAGCCCCACATCCGCTGTTCGTGACTTGCTAACTTATCGTGCGATAGCAACCGTCCAAAAGATTATCACGGAGATCCTCCCACCCAGCTCCGGTCAGACCTTCTCCAAGGATGCGCGGGACCTGTTGATGGAGTGTTGTGTCGAGTTCATTACTCTGATCTCCTCCGAAGCAAATGATATCAGTGAGAAGGAGGCCAAGAAGACGATTGCCTGTGAACATGTGGAGAAGGCCCTTCGGGATCTCGGATTCAGTGATTACATCGCCGATGTCCTCGCCGTTGCCGAAGAACACAAACAGCAGTTGAAGGTATGTTTCCCGTGTCAGGTGTCTTCCAAACATAGGGGCAGAGTGCTGATTGTTTTCCCTCGTAGTCACGAGAGAAGAAGCAGAGCAAAATGGAACAAAGTGGACTGACTGAAGAGGAGCTTTTGCGACAGCAGCAGGAGCTGTTCCGATCGGCCACCGACAAATACAACTCGGTTCCGGAATAGATATGCTGAAGACTCATGCTGGCCATAGAGCGAAAAGGATGGGCGTTTTGTGTTACCCGGATTATTGGGGTCTGGTGTTTCTTTGTTTTTGTTTTTGTTTTTTTTTTTTACTTCTATGGTTTCTCATATTATTTTAAGAGTGGGCTGGGGTGGGATATATCGTTTAGCGCGACAGCGCAATGCATTACTGAAACGTCAATTGCACATTATACTTTGATTCATGATTTCACATTTATATTGGAATCAGAAATGAATAGAGACATTCAAGTCTCATGCTGGGTAATTCAGATAGCTTCACACTTAGCCCCGGAGCTCCTTCTACTACCAGTGATGTGTATATTAACTATTGGTAGTATATACCTGCTTCATCTATAGATATAGGCCTGTCAATGGTCTCCATGATTGTGACCTACAGCACAATGGGATACCAAAATCAGCAGAGTGCATGAATAGATATGAAAAATAAAGAAATATTGGCTTTAGAGAGTTTTGAAAGAATCGAGATGAGCACTTTGGAGGAAAACGGACGTTCCACCAGTCCCATCACTTACACACCGCCACTTCTGTGCCACACCCACCAGCCACACCCCTGGACCCCACGTGACATTAGTGCACTAAACCGCAATGAGACGAAAGCGCAACCCTCGTAAAGTGAGCGAACGCGTTCATACTCCTCGTAAGAAAGCTTCGTCGGCCCCGCAAACTTCCCCTCGAGGCACCAATATGCCCCCTTTCAAGGATGAGCACATCCTGGTATGTTCAATTGATACTCATATCGGATCAAATCTGACCTATCCCAGTTGATTGCGCCGGGATCGCAAATGACCCTGGCGCAGCTCGGTCTCCCCGAAACGTTTACGCCTGCGCAATTCCGCTTCCCAACTCGCATGTTTCCGGCTGAGAAGAAGGGAGAATTTGAACCGTACCGCGTCAATGAAAAACGTCAACAGGTCAAGGTCAATAATGGCCCAGCTGCTCCCAAGCCCGATGTGGAGATGAAAGACGCCGAAGCTACTGCGCCCTCCACCGACGCGGCTGTCAAGCCCGAGGGCGAAAAGGAAACTACCGGGGACACTGAGCAGTCGACCAAGACCGTCGAGGAGATTTACTACGAGGAGGACATGGCCTCCGACGAAGGCGCAACCTACCCAATCCAAAACGGGCGCATTGTCGATTGGCCCTGCTTCTTTGCTCTGCTCACCCACGTATACAACACTCTGAGCCCGCCATTCCACACCCCGATCTTGCTCATTGCACAGCCTGTCTGGTCAGCCCGCGATCGCGAGGCAATTGCCCAATTCATCTTTGAGAAGTTCAAGGCACCCGCCTTCAGCCTGATGGACGCGGCCCTCGCGGCTTGCTACGGCTATGGTACATCGACTGCCACCGTTGTCGACGTTGGAAAGGGCAAGGTCGATGTGACTGCTGTGACCGACTTCGCAGTCAACGAGCACGGCCGTGGAATCGCGCTCGAGGGCTGTGGTGGAGACGCCATGACTGATCGCTTGGTCGAGCTTCTTGGTGCTAAGGGATTCACTCGGGAAATGTGTGAGCAGCTGAAACGGAGCAACATTACCGAGATCCTTCCTCCGGGCACACCACTCCCCGGCGCGGCCGCTACCGCACGACAGGGCGCCAACCCCGCAGCCGCCGCTTCAACCGGTGGCCCAGATGCTAACGACTCCGCCCCTCGAGGTCCTGGTGATGGCACCCAAACTGGAACAGAGTCGAATAATGATGAGGAGGAGGGTGTTCTCGATGTTGCTGCCATCGTTAGCGGCAATACCACCGAATATCTGGCCAACATTGAGAAGGAAAAGACGTCTAATAAGAAGGGTGCAGCTGACCCCAAGGCCGCACGTCTGCCCAACTCAAAGAAAGAGAAGGCTTCCTTCCAGTTCGAGGGCTTTGCGCAGCTCGAGGGGGAGAAGGCAGCCGCCAGCGGCCCTCGTCAGTACGCCCGCCACACACGGGACATCGAAGTCAGTGTAGAGCGTTTCCTCCTGACAACCCCTCGTTCCAACGCTGGAAGCCGCTTGACCGGTGGAATCCTCGAGGACATTGCCACCCAGATCCACCACACCATTCTCGCCGTTCCGGATGCCACTAAGCGCAGCGAGCTCTGGGATTCCCTCATTATAGTCGGATGCGGAAGCAAGGTCAAGGGTAAGATGCCGTCCCCCATACTGTATACACTTGAAGAAATTAAACTGCTGACACTCGTGACTGTATAGGCTTCACCCAGGCTTTGCTTGGCGTCATTACTCAAAAGTTCATCCTCTCCCCCTCCGGCACCATATTTACATCTGAAATCCCCTCTACCTTCACCACCCCTCTCCCGACAGGCGGGACAAACACCCCCCGCACCCATGGGCCAACCTGGACCAATGTACCACCCAGCAGCTCATGGCGTAAACCCTCTGCTTGTGGCCGCCACCCACAACAACCCTGGAATGCCCGGCGCTATCCCCGGCACTCCTTCTATGGATCCTAACATGGCATCACACTACCGCTCCACCGGTCATTCTCAGACGCCCACCTCCACCAAGACCCTGAAGCTCCCTGAGTACTTCCCCGACTTCAAGGACCAGGGCAACAGCAACGCCCCTGGCGCCAGCGCAGGAAACACTGGGGTGAACCCCGGCGCGTCCCAAGGTGGCCACGGCTCAGAGGAGGCCGTCTTCCTTGGTGCTCAGATGGCTGCCAAGGTCTTCTTCGTTGTCGACCAGGGTCTCAGCAAGGGATATATGAGCCGGGCTGACTACAACGAGAGCGGACCGTCTGCTATCCACGAGTACGTTCTGTGATTCAGCGTCAGCGTTGCTAATTCAAAGTCTTTGCCTCTGGACAGACGAGGCTGTTCTATTTTTTTTTATGTATGCTACGATCCTTGAAAAGCCCAGGATACAGGCGTAGGACGGGAGTTCGGTTCAAGGTTTCCATAGTTCGATTATGCAATCATATTCCAGTCATGTGACTTGTTAATCGCATCCTTATCGGGATCGCCATCTTTTTATCTCCAACTCATTTCTCCAATAACCCCCCCCATCATTTGGATATTCTTATTCTCTGTACTTTCTCTTTACCCGAACTTTACACCAGCACACTCAATATGCCACGCGCCGAAGCAGGGAGTACCAAGGCTATCGGCAATAAGATCAAGTCGAAAGGACTGGGAAGATTGCGATGGTACTGCCAGGCGTGCGAGAGGTACATCCAATACCCCATTCATTCCGCGACGACAACAGCTGACACATATTCTGTAGACAGATGAGAGACGAGAATGGTACGTTTACCGAGCGAGGGTCGAGTCTCTTCGAGTCTCTTCCTGTTGCGGTCGAGCTTGACCTGTTATGGTCTGCAAGACTCTTCTTTTTTCCCGTCGCTAACACATCCTAGGCTTTAAATGTCATACCCAAACCGAAGCCCATGTTCGGCAGATGATGCTCATCGGCGAAGATCCGCGCAAACATATCGCAACTTACAGCCGCGAGTTTGAGAAAACCTTCATAGGTAAGATACCTCTCTGTGAACGCTGCGCATGGAATTCGAACCAATATCTAATATTTATAGACCTACTTCGAACTACACATGGTACCAAATCGATCAACGCGAATCATTTCTACCAACAGATTGTCTCCGACAAAGAACATATCCACATGAACAGTACGCAATGGAAGAGCTTGTCACAGTTCGTGGCGCATCTTGGAAGAGAAGGCAAATGTCGAGTGGAGGATACCGAGAAGGGTCTTTTCATCGCATGGATCGATAATAGTCCCGAGACCCTACGTCGCCGCGAAGCGGTGTTGAAGAAGGAACGGCAAGAAAAGGGCGACGAAGAGCGAGAACAGCGCCAGATCAAGGAACAGATCAAACGAGCTGCTGCCTCAGCCAAGGTGGAAGAGGAAGATCCCGAGGCGAAGCTTTTACAGAGGAAAGAAGGCGAGACGATAAAGTTGGACCTGGGTCTAGGCGCGAAGAAAGCTGAAACAAAGCCGGATTCGCCTCATAATACGACAGCGGATGTGACGACAGACGCGAAATCGTCAGAATCACCAGATGGCACTACTGAACCCCCTGCAACATCTGCCCCGGCGCCTGTCAAGCTATCAATGTCTATGGGAGCCCAGAAACCCAAGAATGTGTTTGCGGCGGTTAAAAAGAATCCTTTGGCAGGCAAAAAGGGTTCGGTTTTCGCGCCCCCTAAGAAAATGACTGAACAAGAACGCATCATGAAGGCTGAGATGGAAGCGATGGATCGGAAGCGGTCTCGTCCGGATTCTGGCTTCATGAACAAGCGCCCGAAAATGACCTGAAGTCTTTGTCCTTCATGGTCTGCATCATGTTTACATTTCATTTATTGCCCCGGAACCAAGAGATACCTCGACCTTGGAACGTGATCAATTCCGTCACTCAGCTCAATTTTCGCTGCACTCCATCGGTCGCTCGAAATTTATACATTAAATATTATTCTAGTTTTAGATATGCATGTAGTACATCGTTATATGCAGTGGTTCTCTCCATCACAACCAGGCCCCAATCATCGGGACCTGACTATACATCTCATTCCAGCCCTTAGCCTCCCAGCCAGCACCTTCGCCAGCACGTCCAACAATACCAAGTGCACCAGCAAGCCAGAAGGCCGCACCCGCAGCCGCAACACCATTCACCACCCACCACATCTTGCGCTGCCTCTTGGACCGGGTAGTGCTATCCGAGAATCCAAGCAAGCCATCAAGCGAAGGCTTCTGCCCACGTTCTTTGCGAGCCGTAGTAACCCGCCATCCCATCCAAGTCGCCCATCCACCCACAAAGTGCCACACACTCGCAGTCACAAAGAAGAAGTAGAACGCATTCCAAAACATAGGACTCCGAGCAATGCCATGCGCAACATACGCCAGTCCCACGCCGGAACTACCGCCCTCAACCGCCAGCGGCGTATACCGATTCACGAGCACATGGAGACCAATCAAAGGCACGACGAAGTACCCAGAGCGAGCCTGCAGAGATACGCGAGGCCAGAAGTATAGCGAATCACGCTGGGCGCGGGTCTCGGCGCCATATAGTCTTGCCCGGCGTGCTCCGCGGATGTTGCGAAGAGCTATTCCTGAGATGATGTGTGCTAGAACGGGGATGGTGAGGACGAGGTGCTCTAGGCCCGGGGCTTGGTAGATGGGTCGCGTGAGCAGTAGGTAGGACTCGCTTGCGGGCACGGAGCGAGTTACGAGTGGGATTAGAGATGTATTGGTGAAATGCAAGATGGTGAATACTGTCGGGGGATAGGTGGAGTATCTTTGGATTCGAGTCACTGGTGATTGTTAGATGTTGTTAAGCTGTTTTGTTTGGGGCTTTTTGGACGTACACCATGTATCCCAGCGATGGCCGCTTAGTCCCAGCTTCGGATAGCCGCCGTTCTGAGCAGTAGGCTCGGTTTGAGGGAAGTATTCGCCTTCCAAGCTTGGGGTATCTTCGACAGGCGAGGGGTCTAGTTCTTGCATAGAGATGATCGACTTGGTGTCGATTTCCTCCAGCTTTGGGAGGTCGGGGGAGGGCATTTTGGATTTTCCGGTAGTGCTAATGAATCAAAAAGAGAAAAGAGAAAAGAAAAGGAATTCGTCAGAGAGTCATCAATCAAATGCGTAGACCAGAATTCAAGGAAAAAGTTGGGGATGACGATCTTGCTGAGTCCCGAAAAACGCGGCGGCTGTGATAGGCCGCGCTCTCCTCCGCAACCTCATCTCAACATGGCTCCGGTATGGCTGATTTACGTGCAAGTCTCTAAGCTCCAAGCTGATGTATATATATATAGCGAGGACTGACAAACCCTGCGCCAAAGGTATGCTTCAGTCTCCCAAATACAGCAGCGCATAAAGCTAACCAAACCAGACGGAGTCCGCGCGGTCTGCGTTGAGCTCATTCACCTGCACACTATGCAACAAGTCTTACTCGCGTCATCCGGAATACGAAGCTCATATCGGCTCATATGATCATCAACACCGGAAGCGTATGCAAGACTTGAAGCAGATCTCGCGAGACCCCAATGCAGCAGAGAAAGCGCGCCGCGCAGAACGCAAAGCCGATGCGGAGGCCGGACTGAAAGTCATCGAGACGCCTGGTGATAGTGCGCCTCGGGCTAGCACCAGCACCGGCGGAGGTGGCTTCAAAAAGGGAGGGTTTAAGAGCTCTTTCGCTGCTGTGAAGGGCTCTGCGGCCCCCGCGGCTCCGGTGAAGAGAAACGTCCTCGGGGATGACGACGATACCCCTCAGCCTAAGAACGAACCTCTGCCAACTGCGAGGTCTCAGCAGAAGGAGACCTCTGGTGAGATTGAAAGTGATGATGATCAAGAGTACGGTCAAGGTGCGGAGGCATACTATGATCCCCGTCGACCAACGGATTGTTTTGCTGGATGCGTGGCTTTGAATCTACAAGCTACGGCGTGATGGCCGTCGCGGGGCATATTGCATAGAGAGGAAGGCGACTGGAGTATGGTGCACTTGGATCAATGAATTTATGAATATTACTTCTTTCAATTTCGCTTGATTATTTGGTCAAACACCAACAAAGCCTACCAGTGCATATTATGAGTAGAGCAATAGACTATCAATCTAAATTGTAGAGAAGGGTTCTACGCGGGCCCGGATCTGGATGTAATGTAATGGTACATGCTTTCCAAAAAATCTGTCTAAAAGCGTTGGACGACAAAAGCAGGGTGAAACAGAGACATGAAATGGAACAGATGAAGGGGTACTAGGCACATGGCTATATTATTAAAAGCTCCTCAAGCTTACACGCGCAGCAGCTTGGCGGCCTGGCTGACGATGGTGTCCTCCTGGGGGAAGGCCATGGCCTCAAGACCAGCGGCGTAAGGAGTGGGAACCTCAGCACCGGTGACACGGACACCGGGAGCGGTCAGGTAGTCGAAGCCGTACTCCATGGAGAGGGCGAGGATCTCGGAGGAGACACCGAACATGGGGTAGCCGGACTCAACGACCATGATGCGGCCGGTCTTCTTGAGGGAAGCGATGATGGTCTCAACATCGAGGGGCTTGACGGAGCGCAGGTTGATGACCTCGGCGTCAACACCGTACTTCTGCTTGAGCTCAGCGGCGGCGGTCATGGACTGGCCGACGCAGCGGGAGAGGGAGACGATGGTGAGGTCCTTTCCGGGGCGCTCAATCTTGGCCTTGCCAAGGGGGAGGACGAAGTCGTTCTTCTGGGCGGCCTCGCTCATGGGGAAAGCCTGTCCGTACATAAGCCTATTCTCGTTAGTCTATCCGCTTGTTCCGGTGGGGCTTCTAGCGATATACTCACTCGTTCTCGAGGAAGACAACGGGGTTGGGGTCACGGATAGCGGCCTTGAGCAGACCCTTGGCATCCTCGGAGCTCCAGGGAGAGACGACCTTGAGACCGGGAATGCTGCCGTACCAGGCGGAGTAGTCCTGGGAGTGCTGAGCGGCGACACCGGCGGCGAAACCGTTGGGACCACGGAAGGTGATGTTGCAAGGCTGGATACCTCCGGACATGTAGTGGGTCTTGGCGGCGGAGTTGATGATCTGATCGATAGACTGCATGGCGAAGTTGAAGGTCATGAACTCGCACTGGACGATTGATTAGCGCGTGTCCAGACAGGTCGATCTATCGCAGTGTATACTCACAATGGGGTGCAGACCAGCAAGAGCGGCACCGACGGCGAGACCAGTGAAACCGGCCTCTGTGATGGGGGTATCGATAACCCGCTTGGGGCCGAAACGGTCCAAAAGACCCCTCGTCACCTTGTAACTAGCAAAAGTCAATACCCATTTGATTGCGATTCGACACCATCATTCCCCGATGCGACTCACGCTCCGTTGTACTGTGCGACCTCCTCTCCGAGAATGAAGGTCTTCTGGTTGAGTTCGAGTTCCTCGGCCAGGGCCTCGTTCAAGGCATCACGGACGGTAACCTCCTTGGTGCCATTCTCAGTGGCGTATCCGCGACGCAGAGCCGGGGCGCAGGCGGACTGGCGCAGGTTGGAGCGCAGAGCGGTGGAAGCAAGGCGCGAAGAGAACAGACGAGCTGTTGGGCGGAAAAGTCGGGGAGCTGCCATTGTGGAAATGTGATCGATGTAATCGATTTAAGAAGAGGAGGAGAAACGAGGAAACAAGAAAGGCAGACCGGAACGGACCGCACAAGCAATTGAAGGGAAGGGAGGTGGGTGAATCGGGAAAACTGATCGCCGTAATAATCTTCGAAGGATGGATTTGCATCCAAAGATGTTGGGCCGCACGTGATCTCAAGGATCGCAACTCACCGGTATTGGTATTACCCCTTTAATGCCCTGTCTGGTATTGTGTATTTTACAAGGAGCTCTTATCGCCAATCTACACAATCTACTGGCCATTCGCAACTGACAGCTCCCAGGGTCCTTTCTCCTGCAGATGGTTAAAGCATCGCCTCTTCATGGGATTCAAGATGCTACAGAACTACAACATCCACCTATCAAAGGACATGGCCATGCTCTCCCTTCTTTGGCTACTCCCGTCGGCGCTCGCCGCTCAACCCTCCGCGCCCGACCCCATCTCCGCTCCGCTGCGCGCCCTTGATTTCGGGCAACTGAATTTCCTCCATACTACCGATACACATGGCTGGCTGGCGGGTCATTTGCAGGAGTAGGCTGTATCCTGCTCAGCACTGAGCCTGACTAACTTTGACAGACCATCTTACTCCGCAGACTGGGGAGACTATGTATCATTTGCAGCCCGTATGCGGGAAAAGGTCGAAGCCCAAGGGCAAGATCTGCTAGTCATAGACACCGGAGACCGAGTCGAAGGCAACGGCCTATACGACTCGTCCGAGCCGAAGGGTATCTACCTTTCGGATATCCTACGGCACCAACATATCGACTTGTTGACGTCGGGAAACCATGAACTATATAAGCAGAACACCTCGGAGGCCGAGCTCCTCACTACCGTTCCTAACTTCCGGGGCAACTACCTCGCATCTAATATTGATATTATTCACCCAACCACGAAAGAGCTGGTGCCGCTTGCTCCGCGGTACAAGAAATTCACTACCAAGAAACAGGGCATCCGTATAGTCGCCTTTGGCTTCCTGTTTGACTTCACCGGAAACTATAAGAACACAGTCGTCCAGAAAGTATCTTCCACAATAAAAGAGGACTGGTTCCAGGAAGCTATCCGGGACAAAGAGGTCGACTTATTCTTGGTGATCGGCCATGTACCAGTGCATTCGCCGGAATACCAGGCCATCTTCAAGGAGATTCGAGGAATCCGTTGGGACACCCCCATTCAGTTCTTCGGCGGACATCAGCACATCCGCGATTACGCGCGGTATGATTCCAAGGCCTACGGATTGGCGAGCGGTCGGTTCATGGAGACCATTGGGTTTGCGTCGATCGACGGTCTGAACACCCCCAAGAGCAACCATTTGTCCAGCGCAGTTGCCAGTCCCATTTTCAAGCGGAGGTACATTGATCAGAACTTGTTCTCTTATTACCACCACACGGGTCTTGATGAAAGTTCATTCCCTACCGAAAAGGGTCAGAACGTTTCCCGGCTGATCGCCAAAGCACGGACCGAGCTTAAGCTAGATCAAGTCCATGGCTGTGCTCCACAAGAATTCTGGATGTCTAGAGTCAAGTATCCAAGCCCTAACAGCTTATACTCATGGCTAGAGAATGTCTTGGTTGATTCGCTGAAAGACGAGAAACGTGCCGGTGTGCCGGCGCTCGCCGTGGTGAACACAGGTGCCATGAGGTTTGATATCTTCCAAGGGCCCTTCACTCAGGACTCGACTTTTATTGTGTCGCCATTTACCAGCGGTTTCCGATATGTGAAGGACGTGCCCCTTGCCAAAGCCCGGCTTATCGTCGAGGTCTTGAACAAGCAGCCTCAGGTTCTGCAGGCATTGCAAGAAGGAGACTCCCCCACCACACTGGCTCCTCCCGAGCAGCTTGCGTATAAAGAAGACGTGGTGGCTCACACATGGGCAGGTCCCTCTGACCAAACCACTTTGTCGGGCAAGGGCAAGCTTGTGCCCGGGTACACCACCGAAGATGATGCGGGCAAAGACGGCGATGATACCGTGCATGAACCCATCTCCTTTTACCGTGTACCCAACTGCCTCCAGGTGCTTTTGAACAATGCCACCGAGACATCGGAAACTGTGGATCTGGTCTACGTCGACTTTATCGAGAAATACATCATCCAGGCCGCTCAATTCGCTGGCCTTGGTGTGGATGTTGCCAAGGAAAGCGACATGTATATGCCCCAGAAGTCGCTGACGAACCTGATTCTGGACTGGGTCAAAGTGAACTGGAAGTGTTGATTACTTAGATTCATATATGACAACGTTAGAATGACTTTACAGACACACTAGTAGCATATGTTTGAAATTCGTATAGTACAGCCCTTACTCATCACCACCGGTGAAGGTGAACACACCCTTGCCGCTGCGGTAGCCACCCAGAGTGCCTTGTACACTCTCAGAGAGCACAGAGCCCTCGGTGTTCCAGTTCCACTCCACGTTATCCACCGGGATATCTTGGAATTTGCCAGCGCGAGTCAACTGGAGCACGTCCTTGATAGTGTTTTCCTTCAAATTCGGGTTCCGGTCTCCCCACTTGCTGACCCAGAATCCGTCAAACGTGAGATTCTTGAAGATCAAAAGACCCGAGGGCAGTGCAACGGGCTGCTTCGACATGGCTCCGTAGGTCACCATGTGCGAATCAGGAGCCAGCGTCTTCGCCAGAGCGGTAGCATTCTTTCCACCAACGCAGTTCAAAGCAAGACGAATGGGCTCTCGGCCCTGGCGTGTGTATTCATGAACCATATCCCGGAAGTTACCAGTCAACATCTCCTCCTCGGTGATGACGACCGTCGCACCAAGATCCTTAAGCTCCTTCTTCAGAGCATCGGTCTCCTCAGGCGTCTTCCGCTGGCGAATCACGTTCAGCGTCTTGATACCCCACTCGCGACCAAATTGAATCGCCGCACGGCCAACACCACTGTTCGCGCCGTTCTGAATCATCCACTCCTCACCCGCGCGCATCCAATCCCACTCGCAGAAGTCCCGCATCATGCGGTACGCTGTGACTGGGTTGACGCTGATGGTACCGACCTGCAGCGGCGTCAGACCGTCCTTGTTCTCGATCTTGATGAGCTGGGACTCGTCCAGCTGTGCGTGTGTCCGCCAGGTGCCTTGGCCGGTTTGCTTCATGATCACCCAGTCGCCTTTGCTGAGGTTCTTGACGCCCGCGCCGGTGGACAGCACCTCAAAGGCGCCTTCGTTTCCGCCGACAGCGGCGGGCTCGGCGTTGCCAAGGGCTGATTGGAAGGGCGGTTTGCTGGGGTAGACGCCTTGGATCTGGTTCACGTCTGCTGGGTTCATGGGCGCGGCCAACATGCGCAGATTGACCTGGGTCGCATGGGGCGCGGAGATAGAGTGCTTGTGGAGGCTGGTGGTTATTAGCTATATTCGAGCTTGGTGCAGTGCGTGTCATACCGGAGGACATCTTTGGGCTCGCCGTATTTGCCGTAGATGAGGGCCTTTGCCTGCGTATAGCCGTAGACTGAGATATGTCTACGGGCCAATGGGGCCTGGGAGATCTTTGCAGCTTGAGCTGCTGGGCGAAGGCCCGTTGATAATACACTGCGCGAGAACATCTTTTGGGTAAAGTGAAGGGAGGAGAGAGAGGAAAATGTCGGATGACGTCTGAGTCGGCGACTTCGGGCCGAAGGAAGTCTGAAGTCATCGCATGCTATATTTGTTTACGGCGGTTATTCGGCTATAGTATTCATGAGAGAGCTATCTAGAGTATCTAGACAGCTTCAGATATTCTCAGTCCTTCCATTGAAGCTCGCTGCCTTCATAAGAAGAGTAAGGAGAATGTATAGAAAGTAAAGCCAAGCAACGGACACGGGCCCACCGGGAAACCTCGTCTCTCTTCACACTCTCCAAATGTCCTTACTACGCGAGGCGAAGAAATGCCTCGTTAATCTATATTCACACAAATTCAATGCCTTCATAACACCGCTTGCGCGCGCTGGCCCATGGCAGGACCGCGTGAAGGAGGCCGACGAGCGCAAGGAACAAGGTACCACCGTCACAGCTGCTTTTCGCTCCAGCTACTAATGCGCTAGCAGGAACCCCAAAGTCAGCCATTGACGGCCGTCTGATATCAATAAAAGACAATATCTGCACACGCGATTTCCCAACCACCTGCGGGTCTGGCATTTTGAAAAATTACACCAGTCCTTTCAATGCCACCGTCGTCGACCAGCTAGAGGCCGCCGGGGCCGTCATCGCCGGAAAAACAAACCTGGATGAGTTTGGAATGGGCTCGAACTCGATCAATTCCCGCTTCGGACCTGTTAAGAACCCGCGCTACGACTCGAGTGGGGAATTTCTCTCGGCTGGTGGTAGCTCTGGTGGAAGTGCGGCGTCGGTGGCCGCTGATCAGTGCTTCGCCTCGCTGGGGACAGATACGGGAGGCTCGGTCAGACTGCCGGCCGCATACACGGGCACAGTGGGCTTCAAGCCCTCGTACGGGTTGATCTCGCGTTGGGGTGTGGTGGCATATGCCAATTCATTGGATACCGTGGGAATTCTGGGAAAGACCACTGCCAATGTGCGGGATATCTTTGACATCCTCAATAAGCACGACCACCGCGACCCAACCAGTCTTTCAATAGCCTCACGCGACCGAATTCAGCATTCTCTCCACAACCCCCAGCTAACGTCCCGGTTGCAATCCGCTCCGCTTCGGATTGGCGTGCCGGTCGAATATAACGTATCCGAGCTCACGTCCTCGGTGCGACGCGCTTGGGCGCATTCACTTGCACACTTGAAGAAACAAGGACATACCATACACTCGGTTTCTCTGCCCGATACAAAGCATGCGTTGTCCACATACTACGTCCTGGGGCCAGCAGAGGCATCCTCAAACCTGGCCAAGTACGACGGAGTACGGTACGGCACTCGAGCCGAGGGTCCAGATGGCGACGGCAAGCCGGATGGATATCTCTATGCGAATACTCGTGGAGAGGGTTTTGGGCAGGAAGTCAAGAGACGAATTACTCTGGGCACATTCAGTCTAAGTGCCAACGCTATGGATAACTACTTTATCCAGGCTCAGCGGGTGCGTCGTCTCGTCCAGAAGGATTTCGATGCTGTCTTCACGGCCAAGCACCCGCTCGCTGCGCACGGCACGGGAATTACAAAGGAGAACGACGTCGACGTTATTATCTGTCCAACGGCTCCTTCGTCTCCACCCCGATTGTCTGACTTGATGGACAAGTCGAAGCCAAAGTCACCGCTGGAAGGCTATGTCACCGATGTGTATACTGTCCCTGCCAGCTTGGCAGGTTTGCCAGCAATCTCGGTCCCTGTTACAGTCGCCGGGGAACAAGAAGCAGAGCTAGCGGGCATTCAGGTCATCGGCCAGTACGGAGATGACCAGCTCGTTATGAAAGTTGGCGAAATGCTCGAGGGGAAGCACTTGGACTGATCCTGGAGTAATAGTAATGTACGATTATATGGAAGTGTGTATATTCTAGAAGCAAAATCATGAATTGGTATCAATATCAACGCCTGTATCGCCGTTTTTCTAGCCCCGCGTTAGGTCATCTCAACATCGCCGTCGCCGTCGCCTTGTACTTCTATCGTAGGGGTATCCACTCCAATGCTCACGGCCTCTGCAGCAGGCTGGGTCCCAGCATCACCAGCAGCTGGTGTCTCGTGGTTGCTGTTGACTGCTGAATCAGAGGCCCCGGCAGTGCCTGGGGTGTTAGCAGCCATGGCATAGTCCATCGCCGCTCCAACGCCGCCCTTCAGCACTTCCGCTCCGCCTACCACGCCCGACTCATCGAGCTCTGTGCTGTTGTTGATGACATTGCCGTCAATGCCACCCCAGGTGAACATAGCTTCGACCTCGTCCACCATATCGGCGATCACGTCTTCCACGATTTGATCGTTGAAACGCTCGCCCATGGGCCGGACGGGTTCGCCGGTCTCGGTTTTCTCAGGTGGGCCAACCCACCACGGCCCCTCGAAGCGACATTCGACGGCGCCACCGCCATAGCAACTGACAGCGGGGTAGTAGCCGATCATACCATCATCTGCGTTTTCTCGCTCGCCAATACCGAGGTTATTAGTGCCATTGGCTAAACGGCTGGCAGGTGGCAGGAAGGCGTAGAGTTCCTTGAATGGAGTGCCCATTGGAACCCCGTTCTTCAGAATGGTAATGCTAGACCCGGGCAGCGTGCGAAGAGTGGCATCCTCGCTGTTTAACGGAGACGGAGGGCCAAAGGTCGGCGTTTCCTTCAGATTGAAGGCGTAGTCGCGAAGGTGCTTGGTCGAGAAGACATTGGATTGCTGCCAGCAAAAGTCGGACTTGTAATGGAAGGGAATCCGGTCACGAATGATATTTGTAGCCGTAGGAGGCTGCGTCGAGCCAGGTCCATCCGTGGCAGCGTCGTAGGTCCCTTCGACGATCTTTTTGTGAAGTGAGAGGGGAGGAAGTGTGATGAGCATGCCAATAACGTCTCCCTCATTGATGGCCTCTCCTTTGGGGAAGAAGAATTCACATCGCATGCGGTTGACAACTTCGCCATTGACATCCCGAATCCCGTACCCGTAGCAGTCCACCCCGACATTCGCGTCGAGGTCGGCCTCCCGGCGGGCAAAGCCAATGCGGACATGGCCGCGGGGTGAGGTGGTGGGCCTGCCATTCTGAGGGGCTTGTGGATCGTTAACAATTCCACTAATCACGCGAGCCTCGTAGTAGTAGGTCCCCTCCCGAGCACACACGTTTGCGCGAGCGGTATGCCATGCATCACTGGTGGTGACAGCCGTCGCATTCTCCGAGAACGAGATAGCAGCCGGCGAATCCTCAAAGCTAAAGCGAGCATGGTATGGGCGAACATCCGTCTGGCGATATTTGATGTGAGGGAAGCCTGCGTCCGAGATAGCATAGCTGTAGCGGAACCCATTCTTGTTGGTGAGCTTGTCAACCACCTCGTAGAAATCCCAGCTCCGGCCCAACACCTCTGATGACTTCCTACTCACTCGGTTCAGCTGCCGAGCTTGTGGAGGGAACCGATCTGAATCATGGGGTTCCGCGAGGAGCAATGGGCGCAGGATGCGCAGCTTTGAGCTGGGGAGGGCTGTGTTTGCTGCTGTTGTGGCGCGTTTCTTCGGTGGTGGAGGTGCACTTTCGGTATCTAAGCCCTTAGCTTCGCGCTTTTTACGACTGTCTCGCTTGTTGCGCTTGGCCCGGCCATCGCCTTGCGCAGAAGGAGCGGGAGAGGACCGGGGGTTCAGATCGGTGAATTGCGCATTGAGGTGAGGACCACCATTGGGTGGTAAAATTGGGGAGTTGATGTTGGATGACGGTGCAGATGACCCTGGAGCTTGGGATGCCATGTTTGAGTCGATTGACGGTGGCTATATAGGTCAATCAGTGAGCTGGTTGCATGGCTTGTGACCCTTACGTCCGATATCTTTGCCGTTGGACGTTGTTCCACGCGTGCAAACTGTGCAAACACTGCACTTGATGATCTCAAGGACGATAGTTCCTGATCACAAGCTTCAGCAACTCTTTTCTCTGGCGATGAATAGTACCGACGTCAAGCAGCCTCTCTTTGGATTGATAGGCGGTCAATCATCGCGGGCAGAAAAGTAATTGAAGCGGCTCAGGGCGGTGTGGGGTACAGGCGGTGTAGGCTGATTGGGGGGGGCACCGCCGGGCAGAAAAAAAAATATTACCACACATACTGTTCGCCGTGGACTTCGATAAGCCGAAACTGGTCGTTGGAATTATTTCTACAGATCTCCATATCCAGCAGGAATCACATCATGCCCAAGGCTTCCAACTCCCGCGCTGCCGCCATGGCACGCCGACACAACCCTCTCGCCGAAGATATCACATCGGCGGGGCACCTTCGGACCCAAAGCAGCAAGAAGGGCAAAGGCAAGGCCGCCGACGAGGAGGAGGGTGAGAATGGACAACGCTTCGTCGATGCGAAGATGTCCCGCAACATTCTCCAGCTTGGTCAGGAACTTGCCGACGAAGATGCGGCGGAACAAGCCAAGAATGCTCCCAAGCCCAAGTCAAACGGCGCATTCGAATTCGACACTCGGTTCGAGGAGGAGGAAGCTTTCTCTGACGACGAGGGCAAGTATGAGGGTGACGACTGGGTCGATGACGAAGTTGAGCAAGTGGTAGGCAGACCGGAATCTGGACATCGAATTGCTTTCTAACTGGTTTGTAGGAGGTCGACCCCAATGACCTAGATATGTTCAACAAGTTCATGCCCCACGAGGAAGACCCTATATTCCACCCCAAGGATCCCAGCTCCGCTGGCCCCACCAACCTCGCCGATCTGATTCTCGAGAAGATCGCCGAACACGAAGCCAAGCAGTCTGGCGATGGCACCTACGCCCCGTACGTTCAAGGTGGGGGCATCCCCGAGGACGCAGTCCAGATCCCCGCCAAGGCTGTGGAAGTATACGAGAAGTAAGTCAAGACTTTGTCGATCTATATGATCTCCGCTCATATCTCTAGGGTTGGCATGATCCTCTCTCGCTACAAGTCTGGCCCGCTGCCCAAGCCCGTCAAGATTCTCCCCTCCGTGCCAAACTGGCAGACTCTCCTCGATATCACCCGTCCAGAGTCATGGACCGGTAACGCCGTCTACGCCGTCACCCGTATCTTCATCTCATCCAAGCCTCACGTCGCTCAGGAGTTCATCAACATTGTGCTTTTGGACCGTGTGCGCGAGGAGATTCACGAGACCAAGAAGCTGAACGTCCACACCTACAACGCCCTCCGCAAGGCCCTCTACAAGCCAGCCTGCTTCTTCAAGGGTCTTCTGTTCCCCCTCGTCTCCACCGGTACCTGCACTCTGCGCGAGGCTCACATCGTCTCCTCCGTCATTGCCCGTGTCTCCGTCCCCTTGCTGCACTCCGCCGCAGCCCTGCTTCGCATGTGCGATCTGTCCGCCGAGCAATCCCTCACAGACATTGAGAGTACCGGTGCCGTGAACATGTTCATCCGAGTCTTCCTGGAGAAGAAGTACGCGCTGCCCTTCAAGGTCGTCGACGCCCTAGTCTTCCACTTCATGCGCTTCCGCGTCGTCAACCCGGAAGACCAGATGACCGACGGTCCCGGTCTCGGATCTAAGAACTACAAGCTGCCCGTCCTCTGGCACCAGTCTCTGCTGGTCTTTGCCCAGCGGTACCGTAACGATATCACGGAAGATCAGCGTGAGGCTCTCCTGGATCTGCTGCTGGTTCGCGGCCACAAGGATATCGGGCCTGAGGTCCGTCGTGAATTGCTCGCTGGTCGAGGACGTGGCGTGGTTGTTCCCGACCCGGAGGCCCAGAATGCGCTGGATGCCGGCGACGACACGATGGATGTCACCATGTAGAAATTCCAGCGCTGCATCTCGCTTACGATTTGGTCATGAGCACGTTTAGGACGGCGTTTTTGTTTCTTTCTCTCTTTTTCGATTATCTTCCGAGGGTCTGCATATAATTCCCCTGGTGTCAGGTTTATAAAATGGGATGATCTAGTTTTACATCAAGTACCCTGTTACATATGTCATGGACATTTGAAAGTATTGTATAAATTTGCCAACATAGCCTTTGTAGTCAGATACTTTTTTTTCTCTCGCCGCTGTAGGTGCGAATGAGCGGCCTGCTACTTACTCGCAGTGCTACTGGAACGACGTCAGGTCTTCTGAATCAGATCCATGCGCATTCAATGGAATCCCTGCCGGATATCTAGCTTCGTGAAGTATTGCCTTTGCCACCCGCTTGGCCTTGCTCTTTTCCATCCTTCCTTTTACCGTGTTCTGATTTGTCTCGGTCCGGTCCCTGGCGGAGTTCGCAAAGGCCTCCTTCAATTGTTGCAGCTCTTCAATAGCCCTGTCCTATTCATCACGTTCCCATTTGGCGAGGGTGACCTGCGTTCCAGACCATCAAGAGATTACCCTGCGTCTATTGCACTTGGATGAGAAAAAATTCAATCCGCGAGTGTGAATAATCAGCATGGCGCTTGTCGTTCGAAGGAGTTTGCGACTAGCTCATCATTGGAGCCAGCTCATGGCGTTTTGGAAGGGCAACCACACCGAAGAGTTTGAGGGTGATCTTGATCCGTGAGATGAGTGGATCGGAAGCATGCTGCTCTGTGGCCTCTTTACTCCGTATGGACAAATATCGTCGTCATGTTCGACCTTGCTCAAGGTGTTGGGGCAGCTAGCCGGTTGTCCGATGGTTTTAGTGAGCCCCGTTTTGGAAGTGGCCAGCTGCTTTGTCTTCACTGTACTGGGCTTTTGGAAGACCCGTGGAGTGTTTTCTGCGAGGTGGTTAGTTTGTTGTTAATTGAGGTCGGCGTACTAACTGAGTTGAGGTTGTTCAGTGGGATAAGAACAAATGGTAGAGTCGAGAAGTAGAGTTTAGAAAATGTGTCAGAGGGAAGATGCTATTAGATCAGAGTCAAAGATGGATGACCCTATATAGTAATAGAAGATATAGTTCAAGCGTTCGATAATCACTGTGTACTTATGTTCCAAGGCTATTGTCACTAGGCAAGCATGACACTGCAAGTCACCAGCGCTATACAGGATGAGAAAAGTTAGACAGGAACACTCAGGGCATATGTCAGGTCAATTTACTTTGGGTCAAGTTTAAGGCATTTAACCATCCATGGATATATGAGAGCGATCACTCGAGGTAGACCTTGGGGCCTGGACAGTCACCTAGGGCAAAGCTCCACCAGAAGGCCAATATGATAGCATGATCTCATCAAACAAGTGGTATCACAATTAGATATTAGAATTTACATACAGCGTAGACATTCTCCATAACTTTTTTTTCTCAATCGGCAAAAAAGCAACATCAACGAGCTTGACCGATCTCAGCATCCCGATGCTCATTCTGCGTCTCCGGCAGAGCACCCGAAGCCTGCGTCATTTCCGGCGCAGCCCTCTCAGATCCATCCCGTGAAGGAGCAGCAGTAGCAGGAGGTGTCTCGAGCAAGCGCGGGCCCGACTCCTTAGGCTTCTTATTACCTGCGACCCTCGCAGGGGCAGGACCCAACACCGTAGGATACTTAAAGCGGAAACCCCAGACAAAGTACAGACGCAACTTCGTACCGAAGCCCATGGCATCCCATCTCTGTTTCAGGATCTCTGCGTCCTCGCGACTGCGCGCGCGGAAACCCTTTCGGAAACAGAAGAGGAAGAAGAGGGAAATGGGGAAGCAGGAGAAGGCCCAGAAAAGAGGGAATCCGCGACGGGTTTGCCAGCCGGTCATGAGGCGGCGGAATCGGACCCAGGCTTCGATCATGCCGAGGAAGAAGAAGAGGCCTGCCCAGCCGAGGATGCAGATTAGGACGAGGGCTAGACCGGAGATTCCGATGCCCATGCCCCATTTGCTGGTGAACCAGTTGTCGTAGTCATAGTTGCCGTAATAGTAGCCGCCGTAATAGCCGCCGTAGCCATTGCTGCCGGTGTATTGACAGCCGGCGCCGTTGTAGCTGGCTGTGGGTTTGTTGTAGTAGCTTGCAGAGCTGAGGTCTGCACTCGGGACTTGGGTTGGGTCGACGAAGACAACGTCGTAGAGGTAGGTGGTTGGCTGGAAGGGCTCGGAGTTGTCGATGGAGGAGGAGCTGACGATGGTCTCCCTGGGGAGAAGATTGCGGATCGAAGCTGGGGGAGTGACCTCGACAGCCGAGGTCGTGGTCCATTGGGTTGAGCAGCCCGTAGGGGCGGAATAAGTCACGTTGACCTTGTAGACTGTGGTGTGGTAGTTACCCTCGTTGTCGAGGGAGTAGTAGCCAACATAACCATTGTTCTCAGGTACGACACCATAGCCAGTTGGGTAGAGTTTCTCCACAACGGTGTAGCTCTCATAGACATCAGTGGCAATGGAGGTGATAGTAGACAGAGCCTCGGCGGGGAGTGTGGCAGTCGGGCTGAAGCGAGTGATGGTTGTTATAGCCTCAGAGCCATAGTACTCGGTATAGACATCTTGTTGGTAGTAATCAGTCACGATCCAAGGAGCCGCGTGAACGAGAGTGAAAGCGAGTGACAGGAAGCAGATGAACGAATGGATGAGTGCCATATTGAAAGGCCCCTTGGGATTTGCGCTTGCCGATGCAAAGAGGCGCCGGTCATGGTTTTAATAGCAAAATTTAGGTAGCGCCTCCAGACCCTGGAATTTGCGGCTTTTGGGGGCTGTTTCCTAAAAGTCATAGTTCGGTGGAAATTGCCAGCATTAGAGTAGTCCCAGGCGAGGCCGTGATTGGTGATGTTTCGGGATTTGCGTCCCAAAGTGGAGGGCATTGTCTGTATTCGATCTAGCCCGACGCTAGTCATTTCGCCTCAAGCGAGGATATACTGTGAGTATTGTCGAATATGCCATTGAATGAGGTCTCTTTATATGCAGGAGAATATGGATGCGAGAGATAAAGAGACAAGAGACAGAACAGTAAGGGAGAGGGAGGAGTAAGAGCGAGGGAGAGGAAGAGGAAAAGAGAAGTTGAGTCCAAACCTTCAGTGTTCCGGCAATGGACCGAATCGGCACTAGCCTACTGGACGCCACTGCTAGCCATTGCTAATGATAGATTCCCTTTCGCTTCAGTCAAAACCCAAATTTGCAACCAAACAGCATAAGCGAAATAGAGAGAAAATACGGAGGCAAAAAAACAAACACAAGTCCAAACAAAAAAGGCTCGAATTGGAAGCATATACGGAGTACGCCAATGGAATTTATAAACACGCAGAACAAAGCCATAACGTCGTAGCCACTCCCCTCCAACTCAATTAGCAGCCCTAAGAGCCCTCAATCTCGCCCCAAGCCCATCCTCAACCTCTGCATCCTGCTGCGGCTGCTTAACCTCCTCCTTAGGCGCCGCATCCGCCTCCAAGTTCTTCCGCATATCCACACCCGCATCATCAGCCAACTGTTCCATCAACCGATCAACCTCCGTCTCCCCCTCAGCCCCATACTCCTGCATCGAAACACCCTGCGCAACATCCTCAATCGCCGAACTCGCAATCTTAAAGTCCTCCGATCGCGCAAGGAAATTGTTAGCGTGCGAGACTAGGTGTTCGAGGTTGACGCTGCGCGAGGCTGCGTCGAGACCCCGCGAGGCCATCGCGAGGGTTCGGGAGGTGTCGCGGGTGCTCTGGGCGGCTTTGAGTTCGTTGATGATTACGTCGGCGCGGGCGGCTTCGGATTTCAGGGTTACTTGGCGGCGCTTCTCGCGGACGGCGGAGGCGGCGTGGATGCGGGCGATTTGGAATTCGTGGTTTTTCATGGCTTTGTCGGCTTTGGCTTTTTCGGATTTGAAGGTCGCTTCAGCGCGGACGGCTTCTTTTTTGAGGCGGTTGGAGTGGAGCTGGTGAGGTTAGTCTCTGTGGGTGTTTGGAATCTGGTGCAGGTGTAGATGTGGATGTAGATGCTGTATGTAGATGGCGGGGTCAGGCGGGGTTCGGAACTCACCTTGACATTTGTGCGGGCTTCGAAGATGGGGTCTTTGCGAACCATGATGTGTGTGTGTAGATGGTAGTGTTTGTTTCTCAAAGGATGCGGAGAGGAAGTTTGGAGTTAGCGCGTGGCAACGTCACTGACCGCATTCAGCCGTTTTGGGGTCTGGCCGATTTAGGCAGATGTCTGCGATTAGTTACTCCCCCATTTAACTAGTCAATATGACCATGTTTACTGAGTACGAATATTCTCTACTATTTATGTTGACAATTACGATACTACTCCGTGCTGATGAAATTGATAGAGCAAGATGAGCCAGTCGATTTTGCGTCAAAAAAGTCATAATATAATAATACAAATAGAATCCCTCAGCGGTGCTTCCTCACAAGGGTGCTCACGCTAGAACTCCGGAAACTCCGTGCCCGATGCATCTTTCCATTACTGCGTTGCCGTCCAGGTTTGTTCCGCTGGTTGCGTGTCGACGAACTGAGACTATCGAGGGCCCAGGCCATGGTCAATAACAACTCCCAACTCGGTCGAGCCTCCGGGGCGCCAGCCGACCGTCTCGAAGAGAACCGCTCACTAACCGCTAGCTGCAATGCTCTGCCCGTCGCATCGCGAAGTGGACGCGCCATGGCTGGGCTGCACGCTAGCAGTCTGATGAGGAGTCTCATCCGAAAGACCGGGGACGCCTTCGAGGACGACAGACTCGGGGTCGAAATCAACCATAGAATCAAAGGGAAATGCCGATAGATCTCCTCCGTCGAGAACGTCAAAGGCAAACCCGTCTTCAGGGAAAGAAGGATTTGGCTCAGCGGGTGAATCACCGTGGAACAGGCGACGGAAGTCATCGTCAGAAAGAGGAGCTGCCACATCATTGGCAGGTTGAGGGTCGGAGAGGTCGAAGAGGGGGAGAGCACCGGCTCCTTCGAGGCCAGCGACGGACACGGCAGGTCGCACAACACCGCAGCAGGATGTTGTGTCACGTCGGAGGCCTCAGCCAGAGTGGAGGGCTTGAGGGTGGGGGAGTAGTCGGTCACAGAAGGGGTGGGGAAGGGGATGCGCTCCATGGGGAGCTCGTCGCCTTCTTGTTTGAAGAGGGTGGGGGTGAGAGTGGGAGATTCGACCGCAGGAGAGCTGGCCTTGGGAGTCGCGCTGCGAGAACCACGGACCTCGGCGGAGAGTTGAGCCACCTGCTGGTTGAGGCGGTTGTTCTCGGTCTCCATTTGAGAGAGACGCTGGATGAGGAACTGGTTCTGCTGCTCCATGCGGATCTTCTCGGTCTCGAGCTTCTCCATCTCGAGTCTCTTGCGCTCGCGGGATGTTTGAGCGGCAGCGCGGTTCCGGAGAACCCGTTCTATCCGCCGCTGCTCCTTCTCATCATCTGTTTTGGCGCGTTTGCTACAACCGTCAGCGGGGGCGAACCTCTTACGTATATTTTGGACATCAGGCACATACCGAGGAGGGAGGTTTGTTTTCGGGGTGGGAAGTTCTTGTCCCCATGACTTTCTCTTTTTTGTGGGTTTCTTCTCATCATCTTCTTCTTCTTCTTTGATGTCATCTTCAGGCTCGGGAGAGTCTAATGAGGTCTCCGCAGGGGAGACTGAGTAGAGATCCCGGTCTGGGGAGGTGGGGAGTGTATCCATGGGGTTGATGGTGTCCGCCATTGTTGACAAAGGTCTGGATAACCGGTGCCGGACGTGAAACTGCAACGAGTAGATATATCAAGTGTGTGATAAGAGAGACGTTATCATCACGATCGGCACCGGAAACCACCTGGGACCGGGAGATCAGAATGAGTCAGCGTGGGAATAATTTGGAAAGGCCAGCTGGTCAGAGGAGAGCGGAGGTTTAAGTAGAGGCCAGCGTGTCTTAAGGGATGGAACAAAGAGGAGTTAAGGAGGTATTGGTACGGACGGGGGGTATTGTCAGGGGGCGGTATGGACCTTGTATGATACCGCCCCCTCCCCGTCTCCAGAGGGGAGATAACACCCATTGGTGTGCTCTGGACTCTGTATTATGGGCTAAATGAGGAACAGGATACGGTAACATGTGGCGGAGCACCGGTATGCGATGGGTAAATTACCAGATTACGCTCATTTCCGCCCCTGCGCCCCTGCATGCCACGGTTCAGCTGGGCGTGGCCCTGCATTATGATTGGTGGTTGAATAGGCCTCCCATATTGTGGTACCTTTTATACTCTTCGCCTCCTATTTTCTATGCAACTCCGTCCTAAATATACTTCCCGGAGTGACGGGAGTTTCTATTCTGGTGTGTTTCGGGCCTGATAGACTTCCTCATTGGGAAGTATACTCTTACACTTTGCATGCTCTTCTCACAATGTAAGCAGTACTCCGTACATCATGCATAGTGCTGACGGAGGAATATGTATACATCAGACTGGTACATCAACCACATTTAGCTTTGGACATGTGTGATCTCACGGAGTAGGACGGAGTATCCCCCCGCCCTCCAAGGTTGGAGCGATTGCGTCCCACTATGATGCCTTCCGATGTCTCGACCAAAGTGGATCAACTTGACACACGTACCCCCTGAGTCGCATCTTCCAGAAACACTTCAATCAACTTGAGATTACTCCGTACCATTACGCACTGGGCAACGCCAACTCAATTCTCCGTGCCCCTGCCCCTGAACTCCCTCTCCACGGTTATCTCCATGCTCTCTTGACTATTGTTCTTTAATCTATAATCTATAGTCCATAATCTATTGCAAGTGAAATCTGAAGCATGTCAATTTGCCACAAATGGAGTAACTACCTTTCAATTTATTCAATTTCAGCACACAATGTTGAAAACCTCCGAGGCCAAGTACAAGTACAACCTTGGAGGTGTGCAGCGTGCGATGTTGGAAGGTGTGGCCCGTGCGATCGGAGTTTTGGGAATTTCCCCATGTGGTTTAGCGTGGATGGTGTCAGAGTCGAGTCGAACTATTGAAGCATCCAAGTCCTCCGTACTTCGTACTCCGTGTGGCTAGGGACGGAGTAGATTCACAAGGTTACTCTTTGCTGATTATTCATGAAATGTTTAAAAGAAAACATGTCTCTTAACGGGTAAGGTCGGCCGGTAGCATGCCTCCGAACATATACTTCACACACTACGAAGTATAAAACATTCCACCAACGCCCAATCTGAGCTTCCGAGGTTCTTTTCAAAAATCTCCTTGATCATGAATAATTCGATCGGAAGATGCTAGGTTCTCCATCAGACTACGGGGACTGTCCCATTCAAAGAACATGTCCCCCGAAATCAAACTGCGACTGATCACGTCCCGAGCATAGGGGAACATTTCCTGCTCGTAGGCAGTCACCGCCTCTCGCGTGATACCCAGCTCCTTGATTTTCCGAGCGAGAACTTGAGCGTTACGCATGGCACAGTTAACTCCATCTCCGACAAATGGCGTGGTGACATGCGCCGCATCGCCCACCAAGGTCACACCCGGCGAGGCCGGCCAGTTCAGATGTTCGACCGGGAGGTAATACAAAGGCCACACTCGGAAGGGCCCAGTGGAGTTTTGAATGATTTCGTGGATGAACGGTGCATGCCCGCCGAAGTATTCTTCCTGGAGGAGAAATTTTCTCACAGCGTCCTCGTCCGTCAAGTCCAGCTGGGCGGTCTCTGCAAAATCAACAGGTCCTCTCCACCCGAACTCTAGTCGATAATGAGAATCGCCTTGTCGTTGGATCCAGACCAACTTGCTTCGACCGCATATGGCGAGAGGTCCCTGGCCCGCGAGCTGCTCGAGGGTAGAGTGGTAAGGATTGGAAGGTAGGACAGACAACGTCAGGAAGAGGATACCAGAGTACTCCGGCTCTGCCGATGTGACCTATTGAATGTTATGGATGTCACTTTGCATTTCCAGTGAGTCGAGTGAGTTGAAAGCCTACCAGGTGTCGTATCTTGCTGCGTACGCCGTCAGTCCCGACGACAAGCTTGAACCCAGAGACAGTGGTGCCATCTTCAAATTCCAAAACAATATCTCCATTCTGAGCGCTAAAGGAGCTCTTCACAGAAGCCGACCAATGGACTTTCTCCTTTGGGACTGACGATAGCATCACCTTCCGCAGCTGTGTACGATCAATCTCGGGCGAATCGCGACCTTCACCAAATTCGGCGATCTTGTTTCCGTGATGATCCAACACAGAGTGGATTGTGGCATACCCTCCTCGGGCATACTTCTTGAACTCCTTGAAACAACCAGCCTCTTGGAGCGCGATCTGCCCACTGCTGCGGTGGATATCCAAGCATCCTCCTCGTGGAGGAGTGTCCTCTGCGCATCGCTCGTAGACCACGTAGTCGATTCCCTGCTGCTCGAGCATGCCGGCAAGAACAAGGCCGCAGGGGCCACCGCCGACGATCGCGATATCAGGTACCATGGTCTGTTTTCGCCAGGCTGGGATGATAGGATGTCGACATCACGGATTCCCAGGTTGGTGGAAGGGACTTGAGGTCAACGGGGATGCTCAACTCCAGCTATATAAAAGATGATCTTGTGAAACGCTGTCGTTGTTACCTTTTCCCCCATTCGGTGCGCACCCAAATTAAAGGTCAATACGCAAACAACTTCGAACGCAAGTGTGACAGTCTACAATACACAAACCCTGACAAACTGTTTGGCCAGCAGCATCCTAGCACTCGTCATGTACAAAAGTGTTCCTGTCGATAGTTCAGTTTCACTTTCCCCCCTCATCGAGAGGCTTGCTCTTTTGTAACCCCTTTTTTTGACATTGTTGATTTAGAAAACTTCGTACAACAGATGAGGCTCAAAGGGCTCGTTTTTTTCGAAATTTGACTTGGAGAGTATCAGCTAGGGGATTCTTCCCTGAGACGGGGTTCATCGTAGGTTGCTGCTTTTTCCGCAGGCTTATTGATTGATTTCCGAAGCCCGGGAGATCGTCCGCGGGGTGGGAGTTGTGGGGTTGTTTTGGACCGGCCTCGACTCTCGAGGTCCGAATAGCCTCAAAATTGTAGCAGACGTCTACACAGAGGTCACGGAAAAGGGCTCAGAGCCTATATGCGAGAGCACCACAGACAGAAATGTACGCTAATGTAGTATTAGAGAAGCTCTCTTCATCTGCGCTATCTGCACATGTGAGCAGTCTGGCAAACAAGACAAACACCGCCAAACATTGCTTCCAAACCCTCCCGTTTCTTTTCCTTCTCTCCCCTCTTCAGTTGAACCCTACCGACAATATCATTAGGCGCGAATCGAACGCGACTACGCGTGGGCACAATATCAAGCCTTGCGCGGCCCAAGAATTCATATTCAACCAAGAGTTCTGGCTCAGGCTCAGGCTCAGGCTCAAACTTGATGAGATATGTGACGGCTGCTGGTGTAGTTGGTATACCCAGCCTTTGGTGGTTAGCAAACACTCGCGACGATGCGACTCGCGAAGATGCGCCATATATTGAAGACCCTCCAGCTGAGCACTGGAGCGTTGAACCAGGTCCTTCTAGAGATCAAGTGACGCGTATTATATCACAAGGAGCATATTCATTTCTGGCTAGAGATGTTGCCGGCGTCAGCAGATATGATGGTGCTCAACTAGCTTCCAATAGCCCGTGCGAGGATCAGTTCACCTATGGTATACTTCCTTCACCATGGAAAGGAGGCAACAAGTGGATGGCCTGGGCTGTCTTTGACGGACATTCAGGCCTGCAAACATCAGAATTGCTAAAGAAGCAACTCCTGCCTTTCGTCCGACACAGCTTGAGTCAAATACAGCCAACTTCAACTGAAAGCCCCGTACCCGATGAGTTAGTGCAGCGCGCTATCATAAAGGGATTTCTGAATCTCGATGATTCGATTGTCAAAACAGCCTTGATTACGTCTCAGGGCCAAGAATCGTTGCAGGAGAAAGTAAAAAACTGGCCCCCGCTTATTCCGGCTCATGCGCCTTGCTCTCTATGTACGATTCTACAACCGGTACATTACATGTGGCGTGTACCGGTGATTCGAGGGCGGTTTTGGGGCAGCAAAAGCCAGACGGTAAATGGGAAGCAATGCCATTGTCAGTAGATCAGACTGGCAAAAATAAAAAGAAATTGCCAGGCTTCACAGAGAGCACCCTGGCGAGGAAGATATTATCCGAAACGGACGGGTACTAGGGATTGCGGTCTCACGAGCTTTTGGTGATGGCCAGTGGAAGTGGCCAATTCAATTCCAGAAGGAGCTGCAACGGAGATTTTATGGTCCACCCCCTCTGGTCCCAACATACAACATTCAAACGCCACCCTATCTAACGGCTGAACCGGTCGTGACAAGCGTCAAGGTCGACCCTGGAACCCCTTCTTTCCTGATAATGGCGACAGACGGCTTGTGGGATATGCTCTCCAGTCAGCAGGCAGTTGATCTAGTGGGGAAGTGGTTGGAATTGAAAGCAGCTGAGAAGAAGAACAGCACACTAGAGCCAACATATGAACCATTTGACTTCGGTCAATTCTGGAAAGGAGTAAGCTGGAAGTTTGTGGGGGGAGAACTACAGTCCAAGATGACAATGTCGCTGTGCATTTGGTGCGTAATTCACTGGGTGGGAACCATCACGAATTGATAGCAGGCCGACTTGCCTTCAGCTTTCCAAACTTCCGGCGTCTACGAGACGACGCGACTGTGCAGGTGGTTTTCTTTGGTGTCCCAGGTGTGGGAAAATAAGATACTTGAAAACACAGCATTCTGAGTGTCTAAGCATGGTCGAGGCTAATATACGTTTCTACCGTACCACCGCTTAGGTATTCCAAGGTTTTAATAGCTTTAGATATGACATTCAAAAAAAAATCGCCTAAACACTTCAATGACCCAGGAAGATTCATCACTAGTAGCCTCGAAAAACAAAACCCTCGAGCAGCAGTTGCAAGAGTTCCACAAATTGTGGCTATTCCAAGGTTGTGCATCTGGGTAAGCTTGGAAATATATACCAACCCTACAAGTGTCTTCCAAAATTGACTCTCCAGGACCAGGGCTGTCGCATTCCAGGAAAGCGTGTACCTAGGTAATATAATAGAACCTTCAATCTTTCAGTTTCATAGGCAACAAAAATTGAACAAGACCACATTTTTCCAGTGCAAAAACAGACAAGCAAAAATTTAAAAAAAAGGCAAAAAAGATAATCTTAAAGACCGTGTTGGTGTTTTAGGAAGAGCCGAACGCGGGGGTCGAACCCGCAGCCTTAAGATTAAGAGTCTTACGCTCTACCGATTGAGCTAGCCCGGCGAAAGGCTTGTTGAGGAAAGATCGATTTTTAATGCTACATAAACCAACGACAAATGAGCCTCCGACTTCCTCCTTATCCATCCCATGCCGAACACCCATCCACCGCCATGGAGGTCGAGTCGGGCCCCTCCCATGGAAAACAGGCTGCCTGCCTGAATTGCCGACGGAGTAAGATACGTTGCAACCGTCCCACAGAGGACTCTCAATGTGAGAAATGTAGGCAGTCCGACATGGAGTGCATAGTGCCCAGCCATCACCTCGGCAGACAAAAGGGTGTCAAAAAGTAAGTGGCTTCCAACACGAATCGCGGGGACAGGAAATGACTGGTAAATAGCAAACGTAAGGGCTTGGAAAAGGCAATTCATCAGATCGAACAGGCCATTAAGAGGCCTAAGGTTGACCCCTCGGAGAACGAGGATGCCCAAAAGGCCATTTCCGGGTTGCAAGAATTGCTCAGCCAGATGCAGGGGCAGATGATGCAAAGTGAGGAGGGTTCCCTCGAGACAGAGCAGCCGCGCAATTTACCGTCCCCTCGTGCGGCTCATGAGGAGAGCCTGACTCTGGATGATGCGGAAAATCCACTGCAGCTGCTTGCGAGGGCGTCGGATCTCCAACTCTCTCCGACAGGTATGCGGCATGTGCCGAAATCACCAATGCCCATGTCTCTTCCGACCTTGTTCCAGGAGAAAGTTCCCCCAGAACCAAGTGCCAAGTCGTTCTTTGTTCCAGCCCGCGCGAACCTGGACATCGGCCCCGAGGTTGACCCCGTCGATCTGGGGTTGGTAACATTCGACGAATCAGAGTCATTATTTTCATTGTAAGTGTGAAACCAGTGAATCAATATATCAAGTCTGACCATTAGTTTCTATCAAAATCTGGCGCACACCCGATGGGGTCTCGATCCACTGGTCCACGTTCCGTCTTTTGTGCGCGCTCAGTCGGCCTTTCTTTTCACTTCCATCATGGCGGGAGCCGCTTTATTCCTTCCATCGGCTGCCGCTCTCTCAACTAGGCTGTCCAGGCACTGCAAATGGCTTGCGAAACGCGTGATCGCCAATCGACACAGATCCGTCGAGATCGTTCTGGCTTTTATGGTGAATGTACCATGGATGTCCCCCGGCGATAGCTTGGGGGATGATGACACCTGCTCATATATTGCGATGGCATTGACTGTCGCTCTGGACCTATCATTGAATAAGATTGTCTCGCCGTCTTCCAGCTTTGATCAAGGGCTTTTAAGTCGCCTGGCGCGTGCAGACTGTATAGATGCGAAGCGGGCTTTGCATATGGATGGGTTCGACGATGTTGACCCATCATCGGAGTGGGGGGTTCGCTTGCTTCGAAGACGTGAAAGAGCATGGATTGCATTATATGTGGTTGAGAGGGGTGTATGTCTCGCACGCGGAAGAAGCTATACAGTTCCACCAACAACACTCATTGAGAACTGTGACCGTTGGCATTTGTCAAACGTTGCAGATCTGCGTGATGGACCCATGAACTCAATGGCAGTTCTCCGAAGAGATCTTGATGGTCTTTTCAAAAAAGTGAAATCAAGCTGTGACAGTCACCGAATCGTGGATACTGGTTCAGAAGTCGCTCAATCAATCAAGAAGACAATTGAAACCTTTTACGAACGGTGGTATGCTACCTGGGCTCCAGCGATTGGCGAAAGGGGGTCTCGCTCCCTCCCTCCATACGTCGAAATTCTGGTTACGCACACCCAGCTTTCCACCTACGGTGGTGTCATCAACCACCCAACAGCCCCGGTTGAAGTGAAACGATTCTTCCGAGCAGCTGGGTTATCTTCTGCCCTGAATGTTCTGCGAGCAGCAACCCAGGGCGAGTCCCGACTGAAGTCAATGCCCAACAACACGGTCATCATGATATCTTTTGCCGCCTGCTCTGCTCTAAGTCTCAGTGTGACACCTGGTGATAGTAGGTCCAGCCTGGCACCCAGTGTTCGAAACCTCATCGAAGAAACAGCCGGGGTCCTCGAAAGAATTGGTTCAACGCCAAGCCACCGGAGTGGTGCTTCAGTACTCTACGGCAGGTTTCTACGTGAGCTGATTAGAAGAGCACCGACGATATACTCCCAGCCTGAAGCACATCCCAGAGCCGAACCCACGCTCCACATGAACCAGATCCCACGGCTGCCAGAGGAGCTTTGGTCTGAGCCAATGCATTTCTCGGCCATGTCTGACAACCAAATTGTCGATGCGGTCAACCGTGCCGGCACGGCATTTGGTGCTTCGATTCCGGACGTTCCGCTGGATGACATGCTCGATTGGGATTGGCTTGATTTTGCCAATACGGATTTTAATCTTTGATGAGGATGACTACTTGATATACCCTTATGAATTACGTTCCGCCCGCTTCGCTTCGACATTCGCCTAATAAAGGCCGTTTGTTCAACATGAACACCATTATTTAAGCTGTATAGTTAGACACGTGATGTCATCCATTTGACCCCTCACGTCTTTGCGCTCTTCGCACCTTCAACCGCATATTTGCACTCGCCATGTCGATCACTCACATTGTTCTGTTTCAATTCAAAGCTGACCTGGCTGCGGAGGTCATCAATGATGTAAGACTTTTCAATCAGTAGCTCTCATAATTTTTGACTCGTATAGGCCTGCTCTCGCATGCTGTCTCTCCGAGACAATTGCCTCCACCCGACATCCCAGAAGCCCTATATCAAAACATCATCTGGTGGAGTAGACAACTCCCCTGAAGGTGCTCAAGTAAGGGAACACGATTCATTCTAGACTTCCAACTAATTGAGAAATTAGCACGAAATCACACATGCATTTGTTGTCGAATTCAGCAATGCTGCGGATCGAGACTACTATGTTAGCAAAGACCCCGTGCACCAGGAATTTGTCAAGAGTCTCGGCGGACTGCTCGAGAAGGCCCAAGTGATCGACTTTACAGATGGTGTCTTTGGAAAATAGGCAACAATCAAACAAATATCACCGTCCTAAGACGATCTCGCATCAAAGTTACTCAGCCCCGACAGCGGGGGCCGGGGGCCGGGGGCCACTCCTTCCAAGGCTCACAGCCTTCCTTTCTCAACTGTAATGAAACATCTTCGTAATGTCTCTAGGATCTCTACCACACTTTTCCACTGCCCTATTTGGCGCTCTTCGTTTTATCGATGGTGCGTCAGATGTGACGGACATTCCAGTGATCGTGACGGCCACATCCCTGATCTGTCTATGCGTATTCTTGCAGGTAAGATCAATCAATCTTCTGCAACTGTGACTTACTGGAGCTGATGGATCAAGTTTGAATATAATAATGGAATCATAGCCACTCACGTACTTTTGGAAGCTCCCTCTCGAGTCGAAAGCCTCGAAGCCGAGAAGAATGATCCTACTCAATACAATAATAAAGGAAGGACATACCTGCGCGAACGAGTCCTGAGTTATGCTAAGTCCGTTTTGCTTCCTACTCTCGCCTTTTTCACAGGATTGGAGCTTGCGTGGCGTGCTGGATTCATCAAAATGAACCCCCAAAGAGAACTGGGTGGCATCGTGGGAATTGTTGTATGCTCGGTTTCCAACATACTCAGACCCTCCAATTCTGTTGCTGCAACTGTCAAACAGAGTCTAGCGCGCCACCGATTGAGTCGAACTCGGTTCGTTTCCACCGGGCTCGATATCTTTATCCCATATGTGGCGACATCTCTGGCGGGCATGTATTTCATCTCAAATTTGAGTCTGCCGTATTATATGGTGTCCAAAATGATTTTGGGGCTGCTTCTGACCAGTGTCCATACTGCCTGGGTTCATACTGTCATCTCAAACAAAGACAAATCTGTTTGGCAGAGGATCCCAAGTGCAAGGGATTGGCTCGCTCTTATTCCCGCCGCTTCTCTGGACATTACACTGCCTGATGCTGTTTATCATCTGACAAAGGGTACTCTGGTGTACTTCCAGGACCCAGCCCAGGGTGGAGAGCTTTCTCCGACTGTGTCCTTCTTTTCCGCTATCGCTCCGGTAGCATTTAGCTGGTTAGCAGCGACTGTCACCAATGCTGTCTATACGAAGGTAGCGGCATCAATGTTACACGTCAATGACCAGGCTGCTGGATCCTCCGATCATGAAGGCCCAAAAAGACAGCTTAGCGTTGTTGAAGCCGCCAGTAGGATCACAGTGCAGGACTGGCATCGTTACCTGGGAATTGTGTATGAAGCAGTCCTATATGAGGGGATATGGGTGACTTTTTCCTGCATCGTCATTGCAACGGAGCTTCATTACCACGACCCATGCGCCGTTATGGATTTACTGGGTTGGATCTGTCGAGACTGGTGATTGTAGCCTTTCACTGGGCGACCATCACTTTCCTGTCCGGGCAAATGACATCAGTCTGCCCTTGTCGATCTGGGGCCAAACAGAATAGGGGCCGTTTGTTAGCACATAATATGATCATCGTGCAAGATATCTTCTGTAAAATCCAAATCAGAAAAGGCCCATAGCCACCAACAGACATGCCGCTAGACTGGAGTGCCCTGGCCCCCGGCCCCATGGGCACAGCCATGCTCGGTGAGAGCGGAATTGAAGGTGCTGCTCGACGTGGATGCGAGCGTATGCAGCGTGAAGAAGAGCAAAAAGCTCCTGGCAATAACACAGGCGACGAACAACATAGAGAATCCCAGCCAAAGTCAGCCAAATGCGATGCCACGGCTTCAGATGATACTGCAATCATTGAAGGAAAGCTAGCTCGGTTCAAAAGAAAGTTGAGCTTGTTCAAGAAGCATTAAATGCGCGTAAAATGCATTGGAATGGCCATCCGGGGTGTTTTGAGAAAAGAAGAGCCGACCGACGTCAACATCGGAGTCAACCGGTTCCGATCGGCCTCGGCATCCAAAAAGTAGCCCCGATCAGCCGATTTCAACGCTTTTATTAGAATGATCTAATCTCGCAAGTTTTCTCATTGTGTTAAACATGGCAGCCCTTCGAATCTCTACAGCGACATTGTCGCGTAATGCGCTGGCTACGTGCCGCTCGCCCTTCCTTAAAGCTCGCTATAGCGTGCGCCTTTCGCACCTGTTCAGCACCACCACAAGCACAAAATACTCCACAACAGCACCATTACTATCATTGGCACCGAAGATCGAGCGCGGAGGCTCAAAGGTGTTCAAAGATGCCGACGCGGCCGTGACGGACATCAAGAGCGGATCGACGATCCTTAGCTCAGGCTTCGGATTGTGCGGAGTAGCGGGTATGTGTTTGAGTGGGCGATGGTAAATATGCGCTAATAAATGCAGAGACACTGATCAATGCCATGCATCGCCGAGGAGCTGATCAGTTACACTCCCTGACGGCTGTTTCAAATAATGCAGGCGCGGCAGGCAAAGGAGGACTTTCAACGCTCTCGCAGAACGGTCAGATCAATCGTCTGGTCCTTTCCTACCTCGGCAACAATAAGGCGCTGGAGAAGAAATACTTGACGGGAAATATCGCTATTGAGCTCTGCCCGCAGGGTACATTGGCTGAGCGTCTTCGCGCTGGAGGTGCTGGTATTCCGGCATTCTTCACTCCAACCGGAGCCCGTATGTACAGAAATTCGATGTCATGTTCCTTGCTGACAAAAAGACACTTTCATCCAGGAAGGAAAGATCCCCGTCCGTATGGATGAATCCGGGAATGTCTTGGAGTCCGGAAAGCCACGCGAGACTCGCGAGTTCGATGGAAAGACCCATCTCATGGAGGAGGCTTTGACGGGAGATGTGGCTATCCTGCGGGCTTGGAAGGCTGATGAGGCTGGCAACTGTGTATTCAGGTAAGTAATCAATCTCTTCTGGAGGTGTTGTATGCTAACTGGGACAGATACACTACCAAAGCCTTTGGACCCATCATGGCCAAGGCCGCGACCCTCACTATCGTTGAAGCTGAGAACATCGTTCCGGTGGGATCGATTGATCCCAACGATGTAGACCTGCCTGGAATATTCGTTGATCGCATCGTTCCCGCGACTGACGACAAGCATATCGAGAACAAGAAGTTGCGCTCTGGCGAGGCTAGTGCTACCGGCTCCGCTAGAGATGCTGCTCAGATCCAACGAGAGCTCATCGGTCGTCGGGCTGCTAAGGAATTGAAGCCGGGCTACTATGTAAACCTGGGCGTTGGCATCCCCACACTGGCGCCTTCGTTCTTGCCCAAGGACGTCAAGGTCTGGATCCAGTCAGAGAACGGAATCCTTGGAATGGTAAGTAACTCTGAATCGAGTCTGGATGCAAACTAACATTTTCAGGGTGACTATCCAACTGAACAGGAGCTCGATGCGTAAGTACCCCGAGATTCCCAACGACATTCACTAATAGGAGTAGGGATATCATCAATGCCGGCAAAGAGACAGTGACACTCGTTCCTGGAGCTGCCACATTCGACAGCACCGAGTCTTTCGGCATGATCCGCGGAGGTCACGTCGACGTGTCTATCCTTGGAGCCTTACAGGTGAGCGCCAACGGTGATCTGGCAAACTATATGATCCCCGGCAAGGTGTTCAAGGGCATGGGAGGTGCCATGGACTTGATCTCCAACCCCGAAAAGACCAAGATTGTGGTGGCCACTAGCCATGTCGCCAAGGATGGATCGCCGAAGATCGTGCAGAAGTGCAGCCTGCCTCTGACAGGTGCCAACGTTGTCAGCACTATCATCACAGATCTGGTGAGCTCACACCCCACACTGATCGAATTCGAACCAAGCTGACTGAATAGTGCGTTTTCCAAGTGGACCGGAAGACCGGGGAGCTCACACTCACAGAGCTTGCCCCGGGCGTGGAGGTGGAAGAGGTGCAGAAGAAGACAGATGCGAAGTTCACGATTGCCGAGACTTTGGAGATCATGGAGTAAATATAGTTGCATTAAACACATATCTATGTACATTGAAATTTCCTCATATAGACACAATCGAGTTTCCAGTCGCGAAACAAAGCTCTTTCTATTTACAGCTTTGCCTTTCCAGGAGCAAAGTTCGACCCTTGACCCTGTCCAATAGCCTCAACGATAGAATCAACACTCTCCAAAATCCAAGTATTCCCTTCATCGCTCGCCAACCAACGAGCCCCTTGCTCCCCCCTCAACATCACTAGCCCAAGACCCATCTTCAAGCGCCTTTCTCAGACCGAAGAGATGCGATGTCACCTGAGGTCCCACACCAGACTGGGACCTCAGACACGCGACAGCAACAATGGAAGTCAAGATGCGTCCCGCAGACGCACCCGTACTACGCTCCGGGTCCGAGAGCAGAGCGCCGTAGTTGGCATGCAAGATATGCACGGGCAAATCCGGGTGCGACTCAGCAAGCTTATTGAACAGCTTCTTCTCAAAGGGCCGATAGATTGAGTCCCAGAGGGCGTGGCCGCGCTCACTGATACCAGAGATGTTCTCTGGGGTTGGGGCACGGGTAGGTGTGCGCGAGAGCTTGCTCTCGACTGAGTCTGGTAAGCTGGATTTGAAGGCTCCGAGGCAGTTGATTGTGCGGGGGATGCCATTGAAGCTGATACACTTCAGACCGACCTCTCGGATCAGCTCGGCGGTCTCGACTTGCTTATCCGCGGCGGCGAGATCGAACAGGGCTGTGAGGGAGTCTGGGGAGTTCATGGTCATGGTTGCTGCGGTCTATGTCTGTTAGGGGATTCGCAGTGCGGCAAATTTGGTACTGACCGATAGCGCGACCCATGATGGCTGCGAAACGTGGTTTGATTGCGCTGTTTGCTGGATCTTCTGGTAGACCGAGGTTATATTTGCCGGGGCGGGCACAGTGAACGGGCGGGCTGTAGGGGCATTGATCAATGCCTTGAGGCTACTAGAAAGCTTCGACATGTTTGGATTGTCGGAGGGAGGAAGTTGTCCTGGAGCCAGTCGTGCCATTAAGAATGGGTCGGAGACTCGGAGGGATGATTCGGAGGTCAGAAGTGGGCGCCGAAAATACCGGGAGGCATTACAATACGAGGTAACATTACCGTCGCATTACGTGCGAACGGGACTGAAATCCGGGGGAGATTCTGCGGGGAAAAAATCAAAGTGGCTTCGATTGGTTTGCACCGACGTGGATTGGTCAAAGAAACTGGATGATAATCCTTCGGGCCTAGAAATGGCAGCCGGTGGCTTTCTTGTGTGCTTATTTACTCGACCTTGTCCCCCTCGAGAGGCTCTGTCTTTCTATGCGCCTAGAAAACCAAGCTCACTCTTGCGCCGCCAAGCAATTCACCATGGACCCGCACAAATCGACGATCGACGAAATCGAGAAGGCAATGTTGTCTCCTCTCGACCGACATGGGGACCAGGAACACCAGCGGAAGTTAACGCGGAGGATCATGCTGAAGTTGGACACAAGGTTGGTAACCAGTCTTTGGGTAAATTGCGACGCTCACCCGGTCTAGGATCCTCCCAATGCTCGCCCTGTTGTTCCTCTGCTCATTCTTGGATCGGACAAATGTCGGAAATGCCAAAATTCTCGGATTGGAAGAGGATCTCTCCATCACAGACCACCAGTATGACATTGGATTGGCTGTGTTCTATCTCACCTATATTTGCAGGTGAGTTCTGCCCTCTGCAGTTGTGGCCCCGAACTAAATGTCCCCAAGCGAATTGCCCAGTAACCTAGTTCTCAAAAAGGCTTCCCCCAAGCTTTGGTTGCCATTCTTGACTGCTGTGTGGGGGATTATCACAATGTGCCTAGGATTCGTCCAAGGATATGCTGGATTTGTCGCCGTGCGAGCTTTGCTGGGTATTGCGGAAGGTGGTCTGCTCCCCGGAATGGTAGGTCTCAATTGCTAGTGACTTGAACGCGGACTGATCGACAGGTCTTGTACCTGTCTACATTCTATAGACGAGGGGATTTGGCCCTGCGAATTGGCTTGTTTTATACAGCGGCTTCCTTGTCAGGTGCCTTTGGAGGTGGGTATTTGCTTGATCTGATATGGGGTGAAACTAACCAATATAGGGCTTCTTGCTCGAGGGCTAGCTGAAATTGGACCTCGAGGCGGCATTGAAGGGTGGCGTTGGATTTTGATTATCGAAGGGCTCTTGGTAAGTTCCGCGTATGTATAATCAACTTTGTACTAACCGTGTAGACTTTTGTCTGTGGAGTTTTGAGTTACTTCGTTCTTCCGAACAGCCTGGAAACTGCCTCGTTTTTGACTGCCGAAGAAAAGGAATTTGGACGGGAAAGACTGATGTTGGATAATCCCAGATCAGTGGAGGGGTATGTTGTTTTCCTATCGCCCTCAGAAGCTCAGTATACTAACTTAGACAGAACGCTGGCCTCCGAGGCAGAATCGTTCAAATGGTCTGAAGTACGCCGAGGAGTTCTGGATGTCCAAGTGTGGCTTTCCGCCTCGGCGTACTTTGCTATTCTCTCTGGGCTGTACTCATTTGGATTATTTGTAGGATGGCCCCGTTTCTATGCACAGAACACACGACTAACAATAATAGCTTCCAACGATCATCAAAAATCTTGGCTTTGCCAAAGATGCCAACGAGGTTCAGCTGTGGTCCGTTATCCCCTATGCCGTAGCAGCTGTTATCACAGGTAAGTCGAGGCTGCATCATATCTTGCAATGTCTAATGTGTTCCAGTCATTGTGGCTTTCATCTCCGACCGTCTGCGCCTGCGAGGCGTGGTGATGCTGTTTACTCTCCCACTCGCCATTATTGGCTATGCAGCTATCGCCAACATCAATTCCCCGCGCGTGCAATATGGCATGACCTTCCTCATGGCAACTGGCCAATATGCCAGCGTGCCGTGTATTCTTGTGTGGCTGTCGAACAACTCTGCAGGTCATTATAAGCGTGCCACCACTTCGGCCATGCAGTTGGCTATTGCGAATGCCGGAGGGTTTGTAGCAAGTATGTCATTCCTTCTATCTATGCGGTCGTGCATGAGCTAACATGATTAGCCTTCAACTACCCAACTCGAGACGGACCTATGTTCCACCGTGGGCACACTATCATTCTAGGCTTGCTGGTGTTTGCCTGGTTCATGTGAGTATACCAAACCTGCTCCCGATGTCTAGAGCTTGACTAATCAACATAGGATTCTGCTGAACGTGCTATATTGCGCAAAAGTCAACCGCGACAAGAAGAATGGAAAGTATGATAAATATGCAGGATATAACGACGACCGCAATCCTGAGTTCATGATGGTCCTTTGATCTCAATCGATGTAACGTTTAAAGAAGACAAGTGATTATAATTGAACAAGGCTGGGGCCTATTTGTGACAAGAGAGACTCAAGGCGTGCATATGGACCCTTGACAAGACTCGATAAGTGAAGACAAACGTTGTGAGTAAATTATTTCGAGAGAGGAGGAGAGGAGGAGAATGCCGTCAGTGTCCAAGCCACACCAAGCAGCCTGGGTGGACTATCTCAACTCGCTCATCTCCCTTTCACCTCTGATCCTCACCTCTCTCACCTCTCTCACCTCTCTCACCTCTCTCACCTCTCTCACCTCTCTCACCTCTCTCACCTCTCTCACCTCTCTCACCTCTCTCACCTCTCTCACCTCTCTCACCTCTCTCACCTCTCTCACCTCTCTCCCTCCCTCTCTTATCCTCTCCTCTCATCGTCTGCCATCCTCTTCTATTCCATCTTTTCTCAACCTAACCCTTCGTCTTTTCATCGGCGAGTGAACGCCGCCACAATGTGGGAACCAAATCAAGCTCCGCAGCCCGATGGCGGAGGGCCTGAAGCTGCCGTTCCACCTGCCTCTGAGGCCATGCTTCCCACACTCCTCGAACAGCTAGAGGGACAAATCCCTAGCATGGAATGTGATCGTTTCGAAAAAGAGATGATGCGACTTGGTCTCCTGGCGGGTCACATCGAATATCGACATGTTGAAAAGCTTCACGTATTTGTGCGAAACATATCAAAGCTCCCTCCTTTTGCCCTCGATATTGGGCTAAAACAAATTTGCCAGCACCACCCATATTTCCGCAATGTTAACGATGCAGAGTCTGGAGAGCAGGCTCACGAGTCTGAAGAACAGTCCCAGAACCGGGAGACGGTTTGAATCAGTTTGGAACAGGACTATTTTGAGCGGTTGATGTATGATTTTGCCACTGCAATGGATATTCAACATGGGCTCGAAACCCTCTCCAAGGAGGAACTGCCAGACCTTCTCTACTTTTGGTTCCGAGACAAGGTAGAAGGAGAACAAGATGATGGAGACGCGTATCATCAGTACGACACTATGTGATAGTGCCCTCTTCTCAAATGGGGACAGGTGAGATCATCTGCTATAGTCTAGTCTCTCCTTGAGAGATGCATGGTAACCCGACTTGGAAATGCCACTAATACCAACATACAGGATCTTCATTGCAGTTCATGTTACATGGTGAGCCTTGCAGCGTCTTGGAGACGGCCGAATGTGTTTTCTTTACTTTTATTTTGCTCTTTACCTTTCTTTCAATCGGGATATCAGTGAATTGTGCCTCGGGTTTACGTTGCTTAGCGGGGTGGTTGACACAGAACCCCATCTCTCTGATTTTGGGATTTTTCCAGTTATTCACATAATAAGTCAGCTGTCAATACTACCATCCATGGATATTGCTCCAATAGCTGGATCCAAACTCTAAGATTGTGGGACACCTTTAATCAAGGATCATTGTCGTAGTAGATGTTCGCTGGCCTTGATTTCTGGCCAGATGAGCAGCCCCATAGTACAGAAAGCGTTGATGTAGATTGATTACTTGGGATAGAAATAAGGGAAGAGATGGGTTCCAAGGGTGCAATATGATACATCTTCTGAGATGGCTATCTTTTTGGCCGGCTCTACTCTATATGCAATACCCCCAAGTGTATGTACATTTACCCGATGATGATATACAAATCAAACCACGAGGATATCAAGCTTTGGATCCTGCGACTGTCTCCGAGCCATATCAATCCACGACGTGGATGTACCGGGCTCATTCCACCACCTCTCCAAAAAGGCCAACACGCGCGCTCGATCCAGAATCCGACTGATGCGCATCACATTATTGAAGCATTCTCGAATAACTTGTTGATTGGCTGGATCACCCCGCAATTCGGATCCGGAGGTGAAAAGCGGCCAGACAAGATCTTGCGCAAACATGCCGTCTTGAGTCTCAGAAAGGAACGGCACCCAGCGCAGAATTTCATCGCGAGACGTGCTGACATCATAAGTGGAAGATTCATCACCTAGTGCTTGGTAGCTGTAGATGATGGTTGCGTGGTAGTACATCCAGATCACCAACTCGAAGCCTCTCTGATCATCCTCTGATGGGAAATGGAGGGCTGCACTTAGCTGCATCATGTTATCCCTGGCAGCATCGATTTGCGAGTGGATGTCTTGGATCGGACCGCACTGCGACGGAGGCTGCTCGACTGGCCCGGGTTGGGATTTGCGACGCTCCAGTCTGGTGATTTGATCAATGATGCGAATGTAATCGGTGAAAACCGCGTTTTCGGCACCGGTAGGTGGAACCCTGGGTGTGTCGTTGTAGTTTTGGAAAGTGGTTAGGTCAGCCCATACCGAGGCCTCATAGAATTCCAACATCAGGAACTCTTCGATAGAGGCTAGCTGGTGAGCCCGGTACGGCCGCCCTTTGGCCGCTAAAATGATCTCTCTCGCGGCTGACAAGTGAACTCGCCACCCGGCACTTTCGGGTTTCATAAATTCGTTGTTACAGAGAATGATGACAGCAGCAAGGGTGTAGGCCGATGTTGTGCTCGTTTCCAACGCTGTATTGGAGGAAATCGAGAGGCCATTGAGCTCTTGCGCCAATAGGGCAAGTGATTTATTTTGGTAGTTCTTCGACATCTGTTGGAATGTACCATGACCGACGTCGGTCGGAGCATACTCAGTGGCCAGATCATGGGCGGCGATTGCCAGAATCGAAGACATGACTGTTTCGGAGCTTTCGGCCATAGGCAAAATCATGTGTCGCCATGCATTCTGTTGCGGAACCCATGCCAGTCGATGAGCGACTCGCTCGTTAAACCAAGATAGCAATCGCGAGACATGTAGTGGTCGGGCCTGCGACACGCCAAGCTCTGAAGTAGGTGACGGAAAAATTCCCGACGGAAAGTGCAAAGGCGCCGGGCGGCTTTTCCAATTAGCAAGACTTGAATCTCCGGGGAGATTGTGTATTTCGGTCACATCTTCCGGTGACGAGCTTGAGTTTGTGGGTGCATTTTGAGATGGAATGGCTCTACCCCGCAGATTACCGCGGCTGGCCACCCCTTGCACCCATTTGAGCCTAAGCCCGTACCCCGGGCATTCAAGATTTCGCTTGCCGCATTTGCGGCACGTTGGAAGACCCCGATCACACTTGATACGTCGCCTCTGGCACGTGGGACAATCTATCATAGTTAGCAGCTTTGCTCGGCGGGCCGGGGATCGAACACACCTTTGGCGGCTGTCTGTTCCGGAGAACGCGTGGACATTTGGCTATTCCATTCGAAGAAATTCAATATACAAGAGCCAAATGGATCGTGGAGGGGGTGCGGTGAAGTTGCAAAATTGAAGATTTTGATGTGAATCTTGGAAGTTGAGTTTAACTTAACGGAGGGGTTTGATTGGTCCGCACGGACGAAGTCGTTCCATGGATCGGAACGGAGCCGGGAACCTTGTTGCATAAAGTTGCCCGCATAATTCTGGTCTTTCTTCTTTCTCGTTGACCTCAAGGGTTTATACTTATTTCTTTGAATGGCTGGGAGCGGCTCGCAAGATAGGCTTCTCATTCACGCGTGGCGCTGACCGCGGCGCTGACCGCGGCGCTTGGAGATTAAGGAAGCGAACCCCTGCCAAGATTGTCTCACCTCGCAACACAATTCGGGATTTTTGTTGGGCTTTCCTGGACACCATCATCTCTACTCCGTACTCCGTACAATGCTCGGATGCTAAAGCTCTGAGAATGATCCGACGTTCGACCACAGCCCCGCTCGAAGACTCCCAGTTATTGACTCGGAGCTCGACAGCCACGCCCAAGCTAGAGTATCAGCCATACTGGCCAACCATTGGAAGTAAAGAACTAATTCCAGGATGGCTACGTGATAACGACTATATTTTGGAAGGCCACCCGATGCCCACATATTCGTACAAACGATCTTTGCGCCTGTGGCGTTGTTTACACATGGAAACAATGAACATCTGGACTCATCTTCTCGGCTCAACAGCCTTTGTTGCCGTCGGTTTCATGTTGAGCCACTCGGTATCACGGTCTCAAGATCCCAAAATTACCCGCGGCGATGTATTTGCTTTCGGTTCCTTTCTGATCTCGGCGACCATCTGCTTTGGCCTTAGTGCTGGGTTCCATACCCTAAGAAGCCACTCTTACAATATCCACCATCTCTGGGGAAGAATGGACATCCTTGGAATCTGCTTTCTCGCTTTTGGGGCTGGTACCTCGATGACCTGTTACGCATTCTATTGCAGGCCTATTGCCCAGAGAGTGTACTGGGGGCTAAACCTCTTCTCGGCAATTGGCGCTGCATTCACTTTGTTTGACACCGGCGGTGGAGGTAACAAGATGAGAACTCTGCGTGGAAGCGTCTTCTCCTTGCTCGCTATTTCTGCTATGCTGCCTATCCTTCAAAGTGTGATCGAGCTGGGATGGGCTCGTGCGAGTAAGGAGGTTGGAGCTGGGTGGTACTTGGCCGAAGCACTCTCCCTCTTGACCGGAGTGGTCATTTTCGTCGGTCGCTTCCCCGAGAGACTGAGTCCTGGGAGCTTTGATATCTGGGGCCATTCACATCAGCTTTGGCATATGTTTGCTGTGCTGGGCAGCGCTTTTCATGTAGTTGCTTTGGTGACTGCACAAAACCACCGTCGGATGCATGAAGCCTGCTGAAACACCTCAAAACACCATCTTATGGGGCTATTCATCATGCCAGCAAAAAGAGAAGTGAAAGGACTACAATACCACATGACTCCATAAATCAGATTCCAAGATCAATTTGGCCATTGTCTCGTACATAGACTACCTTCCAAGGTTCTAGTCAGACTATCCAGCTTTCGCAGTTCCCGGGTTGGTATCATTACTGCAGACAGCCTTCGTGCCTGAATATTGACTTGATGCTTGAATGTCGGCGGCTAGTTAGTTGATGTAACTCATAATATCGATCATAGCTCGCGTATCAAGTAAGCAGTATTAATTATTCCAAGTCTTAGTGAGCCCCCACAAATCTCAAATTACAGGGTCTTGGGCGGCATCTTTCCAGAGCACACACCACACCCCCGCGCTACCTACCCCGGAGCCCGGTAACTTGCGGCCGTGGGTTTAACCGCTCAACTACTGACTCAACTAGAACTAGATGATCCTTGTAGGCCATTGGCATCGACCCTAGACATCAAATCTTTTTCTGTTGTAACAGGGGTGCATTCTACAGTAGCATCTAATGAAATCTTAGGTCCATAATCCAGAAATATGCAGACTTGCGCCAAAAGTAGCCCAATAGAAAAGATCAAATTAGTCAAGTGTGGCACCGGCGCACTCCACAAAACGGCAAAGCGCTCAGCCGCGGGGCCGCGGGGCCGGAGTGCGGAGGCCGCAAAGAATATAACCGACCTGCCATGAAGTAAAAAAGGTGCATCGGCCACTCCCACCTCAACATACACACACACAAAACCAATTCAATTCAATTCTACACAAAATGGGCAAATCAATCCTCCTCATCAACGGCCCCAACCTCAACCTCCTGGGCACCCGCGAGCCCCACATCTATGGCCACACTACACTATCAGACGTGGAGAACAACAGCCGCGACGTCGCCGCCAGCCATGGCGCAACACTAGAATCCTTCCAGTCCAACCATGAAGGTGCCATCGTGGATCGCATCCAAGCTGCGCGCGGCAAGGTCGACGGTATCATTATCAACCCGGGCGCATACACCCACACATCCGTTGCGATCCGGGATGCGCTGCTCGGCGTGGCGATTCCTTTTATCGAGCTGCATGTGAGCAATGTCCATGCTCGGGAGCCCTGGAGACATCATTCGTACTTTAGTGATAAGGCTGCGGGAATCATTGTCGGCCTGGGTGTCTATGGATACAAGGTTGCTGTGGAACATGTCTGTGAGAACTTTGAGGAGAAAGAAAAGGCCAAGGCTGCGCTTTAGGTGGTGGGATATCCTTCATGTATATAGTTTTTAGGGAAGGTGATGAATTCATGTTTCAATTATGTATGAATGCATTGTCTTTGAGCAGTTAAGATACAGTGTGCGTGTCGTATAGTAAGCTCTTGAGACCTGTTGTGTCGGTCTCCTTTTGTCAATTTGACGTGCGCCAGTAGACTCCCATATGCAATGAAACTCCCCCAAAGGCAATCAAGAAACAGGCTCAGGCTCAAGCTCAAGGTAGGTAGAGCCTGTCTGTGAAAAAGGACCGACCAGCGGTCACCGAATGTTCTCAGATAATCTTGCTCGGAGGCAACTATTCAATAGTTCATCATCGTTTAGGAGTCCCCGACATGCCTAAAGACTGTGAATCGTGTCGTACACCAGGAGTAGTACCATCATTGGTCAGCTGCTGAGTCTGAGCTAGCAGGAAAGGCTCGACCTGACCCGAAAATGAGTAAAGTTCGGGGATGCCAGCATCGGAGACGAAGCCGAGATTCTGCATGAATTCCGGCTGGTTATCGGCCCTATGAAGGTTCGTGGTTAGCAAAGTCTCACGACGGAGCAAGAGCGGAGGTGCTTACTTCTCAGCGCCGTCCAAAGATGCCAATTCGTCGAATAAAGCATCTAGGTCTGGAGCAATTCGCTGTCGCCGGGTCGCGCCATATCCATCAACATCCACGAAAGAACCGGTGGCAAGTGACGGGTCTTGATACGCGCTTGGGTGATATGGTGCGTTGTGGTGGTACGTGGGTGAAAGCTGCGTGAGCATGCTTGTCCCATTGTGAGGTTTGCCAGGAGCGGACGTCGGATGGGCAAGACCACTACCGACAGGACCGCCCATGTGCCCCTGATGCGGGGGCATCTCCGACGGACCTCCAGTGGAGTTTATAGATGAAGGGGTGGGTAGAAGTGACACATCCTCGATGTGCTGTGTGGCCCGAAGCCATGGGGTAGAGAGAAATTGGTCTGTGGGAGGGGCTGTGGTATGTGAACTGCTCGGAGGTGGATTTCCATCCGACGGGGTGAGGTGTTGTGAGGCAGGAATTGAGATCCCTAGTGGAAGTGACATTTCACCACCGGTGGAACCATCCATTTGTGACATTGGAGAAGCACCCATGGGCATGGGCTGAGGTCTTTGAGACATACTGTGTCCAGGGGCATGTCGGTCTGCCATGGCCCACAGCGCAGAAAGATGGGATGAGAAGGTGTGAATTTTGTTTCGCAGCCCAATATCTAGGTCCGACGGAAGTTCCCGCGAGGAGGATCGCGGGAGACCAAATCGGAGCATCATGCCAAAGGTTGGTGGCGTGGCAGCGAAGCTGTATGTTTCCATGTAGACCTGCAGCAGCTGCAGGAGTCGTTTTGAGCTTTCTGTCGCGCGGTATTTGTGAGGCGGATCGAGTATGTTCTGGTCGCATTCACGGATTGCTATTTGAGAACTGAGAGCGATGGCAACGCTCTCGTATGTCATCTCCAAACCGAAGATGTGTGGTGAAGCGAGTCGCACAGGTCTACTGTGCAGATCAACCCGATAGCTTTTCGGTAGCGCTGCTACCCAGCGCTGTAACTGTAGCTCCAGCTGTTCCAGCTGTGACCGCGATATAGTTGGATCATGTTTGCAACAGCAAAGCTCGTTAAGGATAGACACCAGGCTAACTAGACGGTTGAAAGTGCTTAAAGCGTGAAGTGGCCCACGCTGCATAGAGGAGCGTGAGGACTGTGCAGGCCGCAAACCAGTTTGATCTTCCCAAGGATGCCACTCTTCCAGTCCATCCTCGTTGATGGACCCGACTCTTGATAAGTCTGCCCGTCGTAGCGACGGACATTGTGAAGTTTGCTCAGCGACAAGGGTTTCAAGAACAAAGCAACCCAGGAAGACATGTTTTGCTCTTGCAAGCTGTTTTTCTTGATCATTGGTCCTCGATGATGACGGATATGAAGGTTGATCAAGACCCAATGCGTTGGAAATTCGTGCGGCTTGACCGACCAACATCCAGGATGCAGTCCATTCTTGTTGTCCGAATTTGACCAGACCCAAGATCAGAAGTGCTTGCACGTGTCCAATCTCATGGGGGCCGCTTTCGGAGGGAATCAGTTGGCGTGCGATGTCATACATTTGCGATGGCGTGAGTTGGTCCTTGGGCTGCTCGTCCGTCTGCCGAGTGGCGGCGATTGAAGCGTCCTGGAGCGATGCAAGAGTTAACACAGCCCACAGGGCAGCGTGCTCACCAGAGCCGGGCGCAAAGCGTGGAATGTACACATCGCCCTCTGTATATTGGAAGGCGGTGCGTAGTATGTCATGCTTTTCCAATATAGGAAACCAGCATTGCGTGTACGAGAAGTAGACGTCAAAGAGTGGCCATGCATTATAGGGGAGTTGAAGGGGGTTTTCATTGATGATGATCGAGGGTCATCGAAATGTGATTGTGGGGCAAAAGTGGTCGAGGGCGATTCTTCAGACTCCGTTGTCTGAACACCGCACTCTCTAGTTGATCGTGGCGGATTCTTGAAGGGGGAAATGCCGACAGCCGTCCGAGTGGGCGATATTCCAGACATTGGTGTCTCGCGAGCCTCGATTCCATCCGGAAATTGCCATTCTTGTGCTTCAGCCGAGGAAAGAATAGTGTCGACATCAAGGGGTGTTTCTCCCTCCCCGTATGCTTGCAAGCTTCGATCTCTCTCCTCTTCTGGTTGTTCCAGCATCACCAGGATGCGCTCGATGTCTCGAAGCACTATGCTGTTCTTAAAAGAAGCCATCAAGGCATCGGACCCTTCTGCCTCCTTTCCCATTGCGGCCAGATGGCTGGGGAGGTTTATGGATCGCATCAAAGCTCGCATCACATCCTCACTGCCTTGGATCCGCTGGAACACCAGTCCCCAGAGTAACTCCAGAGACCGAATATAGCCCGTGGGCAGCCCACGCTTTTTCGGGTTGGCTTTGTAGGTACATGGTCGAGAAAGTGATGCACAGGTCGAGCATACTGGTTGTTTCCCGTCGCATTTGTCCTTCTTCGACCGGCAGCTATCACAGGCTCGTGAGACTCGTTGGCGTTTGGGTTCCCCGGCGGTCTTCCCATCCTCGTCTGGATCTGTCGCTCGTTTTTTGAATTTGGCGCTTGAGCCAGTGGCTTGGCGCTGTTCCGCGCCCATGGTGCTTTTCACAATCCACCTGTGAGAGCCCGGCGCATGTTTCGAAGCGAGAAATGAACCTTTTGCCGACTGGCGGCTGCACGGACGAGCCGGCGACTACGCCATAAACGACCCGCTAGTATCGATTAGGGACGTTGAGCGTATGGAGGGATCGAACTTCCGGCGTGGGAGGGTAAGTGCAGCGCGACGCAAGGTGCTCAGGTGCACAGGCGAGATTCTTCCGGGGAAGATGGATACCCGGCTAGCGGTGAGCCAGTCAGTGCCTCGCAATAGGTAATCTCGGATTTTGCCTGTTGTGAGTATTTTGCTGCACACTGGCTCGAATTGCTTGGAGATTTCAAGTCGTACAGGCGTCACAATCTCTCCTTCAACCACAGGGAATAAATTCAAAGTCGCGAGTGATGCAAATCGCAATGCAGGCAAAAAACTGACATTGCCGACCCCGCGGGGAAGGGGACAGCCGAGAAGTCCCGGGTGAGTGCTCGTCCGCCTTACGTAACAGTCGGTAGTAATTTCTTTCCCCCCGCAAACTCTTGGAACCGCTTACCACATCGGTGCTTCCTCCACACTTTCTCCATATCCCTCCCTTGCGGGCCTTTTGTTCTTCATATCACTTTGGGTGGTAATGGGTCCTCGACTCCCTTCGACCCCTTTGTTCCTACTGAAAGAACTTGCGCTATGTCCATGCTAGTACGCCCTGGGAAGAGAAAGCTCCAGCCCGAGACCCTCGACGATGGGCCTCGGAAGCACAGTGCCATACCCTCCCCCACCGCCCCATATATCTCACGACCCTCTTCACGCCGATTGAGCGAGTACCGAGAACCCTCTGGAGATTCCTCCTCACGGCCGCCCTCGCTAAGGGACTTGCACTCTAATCGCGGATCTCCCGTGCTGTTTGAAAATGGACATCTCCAGACACCGCGGACCTTCAGTCCGAAGGCTTCCATTGTCTTGATTGGAATTCGAGGTACTGGCAAATCAAGTTTAGCGGTGATTCTGGCGGCGACCTCCGGACGTCGCTTGATTGACGCCGACCGCTACTTTCACCAGAGTGTCGGATGTCCCCGCGCAGTTTTCAAAAAGGAGAATGATGGTCTGGTTTATCGTCAGCAGGAAGCGCGGGTCTTTGAATCAATGCTCGAGGACAATCAAGAAGGGTGCGTGATTGCGTGTGGGGCCGGTTCAATGGAGAGAAACGGCCAAAGACTGCTCAGGGAATATGCGCAAACTCATCCTGTCATCCATGTGATTCGGGATCCAGAGAGTATTCAACTATACTTAAAAGCGTGGGACACGCAGAAAGTTCGGCACTTTTTGGATTTGTCTGGTCCGATATACCGGAGCTGTTCCAATCTGGAATTCTTCAATCTATCGGAGGCCAGGAGTGATGTATCCGCCGAGAATGACGAGTCGCCGGCACATAGAACGGAGCCCAGATCACACACCCCGATTCCCTTTCTCACACTCAAGCGAGTTCAGCGAGATTTCCTTCGCTTCATTGCCTTCATCACGGGTGATATTGCTGAGCTCAATAGTCAGCATGCATCATTTCCGCTATCATTGCTGCCAGTCGAATCTCGAACGTATACATCAGCGGTTACAGTGCCTTTTTCGAAAGTGTGCGCAAACAGTGTGGACATTGAGGAGCTGGAATTCTCTGCCGATGCCTTTGAACTCGCTATTGATGTGACAGATCCCTCTGGCCAGCCAAGCCTTGACTCGAGTCTCGCAGACAGTATCAGCCAGGCGATTGCAACGATCCGCCGCAACATCATTGTACCATTGATCTACCACGTGGAAAGTTACACTACAGCGGGCTCTCTATCTCCCAGCCAAACCCCCGTACGCAGTTCAGATGAGGTTTATTTGAACTTTGTCCGTCACGGGCTGAGGCTGTCGACCGGATTTCTGACAGTGGATCTTACTCGCGATGATCACCTGCTCTCGCAGATCATATCATCAAGTGGACGAACAAGAATCATTGGCCATTTTGAGGCCTTCCAACCCCTTCCTGGTGGCTGGGATGGAGACGAGTACATGAAAGTCTATGAACAGGCCAAAAGGTTAGGTTGTGACATCGTTCGACTTTGTCAACCCGCCGAGACGCCAGAAGACAACGCTGCGGTGCAGAGATTCCGCCATCGAATCCACAGTCTGCCTGTCACCCCTCTTTCTTTAATAGCGTACAATACGGGCCCACTGGGCCGTATGTCTCGTTGTTTCAATCCCATCCTCTCCCCTGTCACACATCCATCTCTGGTGACAGAAAGCCGCACTCACCTAAGATCATGGATCACGGCGCGTGAGGTCCAGCAGTCGCTTTACAGCTCCTTCACGTTGGACCCCATGCAGTTCTTCGTGTTTGGCGCCAATACTACATACAGTATGTCTCCCGCAATGCACAACACAGCCTTCAAGATCTGCGGCTTGCCACACAAATATGCAATCCACCAATCGCCTACTCTACGGGGTCTGAACGACTTAGTGGAGAATGAGTACTTTGGTGGATCCAGTGTCAGTCTCCCATACAAAACCGAATGCATCCCTCTCCTCCACTCCATGTCCACCCACGCTCGCGCTATCGGCGCAATCAACACTCTCATCCCCATTCGCAATGTTCGAGATCTGGACAATGTTCAGCTACAAGAATCCTCTGTCTTCCTTGAAAAGTGTCGTGCAGGCCCTATCAAGGGTCTACACGGTGACAACACCGACTGGATAGGAATCTGCAATTGTATCCGCCGTGGCCTTTCCCCGGCCAACGCAGTCCGTTCATCAACAACCGGTCTCGTGATTGGCTCTGGTGGTATGGCCCGCGCTGCAATCTACTCCATGATCCACCTCGGCGTCCAACACATTTTCGTTTACAACCGCACAGTGGCCAACGCGGAAAGGCTGGCCCGCCACTACAACCGACAAGATCTTCACTCGAATGAGGCCAGCGGGTCTGGTCGTCCCACCGTTCGTATCTTGGAATCTTTATCCGACCCCTGGCCTGCCGACTTCAAACAACCCACCATTGTTGTCTCGGGTATCCCCGCTCACAGTATCGGCGGTGAGCCAGCTCCGAACTTCCAGGTGCCCAGTCAGTGGCAGGAAAGCCCTACAGGTGGTGTTGTAGTCGAGGTACGTTGGCATTACTTTTTTCCCCCACGTGGCGCTTGATTCTAACTATCCCTTTCTCTAGTTGGCATACAAACCTCTCAATACCCCTCTCATGAAACAAACTCGAGCCCTGTCTCATCGCGGTTGGGTGGCCTTGGATGGTCTCGACGTTCTCCCAGAGCAAGGATTTGCTCAATTTGAACTGTTTACTGGCCGTCGCGCTCCACGACGTGTAATGCGCAGTATTGTGCTTCAAGAGTACAGAGATGACGAAGGAAATGATGATCATGATGCGATACAAGATAGGCTGCAGCAGATGGATGGGCAGCCATCTTGAACTTCTGCAGGTTACTTGGCTCAAAGAGCTATGAGCCCTTTCTGAGCTAAGGGGATGATGATGCTAATAGCTCTCATTCCATGTATATAAAACAAATCGCTGTATGCCATATGGACAGCAAGCCTCAATGTGATGATACCTATGATTCTCCCAATTCTCATGTTTGTGTTCACGTAGTAAGTTGACCAGTTCATCATTTCGAGAGAAGTGCTACTCCAAATGCCAAGAGATATTTGGGGTCGATTTGGGGTAGCTATAAATTACCATTTTTCAATACACTATCTGCCGACAGCTTGCGGAAAAACAGCACTGGTTTACGCCAAAGACGGTCATGTACTGTAATATTTTATATCTTGATTGGAAGCATTTGGGGTCCTTGCAACTCGCTCTTATACTGCCATCATCTTGCGAGATAAAGCCTCCTTAGATCTCTTATTCCCTAAACACACTGTGAGAAACTACTCACGCTCTCTGTCATACCTATAATGTCCATCTCATACGACTTCTCCGACCAGTGCGTCCTGATAACAGGTGCCGCGAGTGGAATCGGGTAAGTCCCCGGGCATCCTTTCACCTACTAAACTGATCACCTTTAGACTTGCCACATTCAAACAACTATCATCAAGCAATGCTCGAGTAGCACTATGCGATATCAACATTGACCAGCTCACCTCCTTGGACCTGGGCCCCAGGCATCATGCATACAAGCTCGACGTGACATCTCCCACGGGCACTGCAGAGACCGTTGAATCTATCATCCGTGACTTCGGCCAGATCAACCATGTCTTCAACTGTGCGGGTGTCAACCCCACAGAACATGCACTGACCGACACCACGGATGAATACTGGAGCAAGATCGTCGACACGAATGTCAAAGGCACCTATCTTATGACGCGAACCGTCATTCCTCATCTCAAACGGGGCTCTTCGATTGTCAATGTATCGTCCATTGCTGGATCTCGTGCAATGGCTGGGTGGGCGATTTACAATGCGTCGAAGTTCGGCGTGGTTGGGTTCTCAAAGTCCATGGCGCTGGAGCTAGGTCCGAAGGGCGTGCGGGTTAATGTGGTTGCTCCGGGTCAGATTCATACTCCGACAAACATTGCTGTGAAGAAGGGCCCTGAGGCTATTGATAAGACTGCGGAGACGTCGAGTCTGGGGAGGTTTGGAACTGTGGAGGAGGTGGCTGGTGTGGTTCTGTTCTTGATGAGTGAGGCTGCGAGTTATATAAACGGGGCTGTGGTTGATGTTGATGGCGGAGCGAAGTGAAAATAGCAGCAAATTAAGTACGTCCAAAATGCCCAATCACCCAATATAGCTCGATGGAGTCTGTCGAGGTCATGTCATGTCATGCCGGGAACCACCAGTCCGTACAGTACCGTCGATCTTGAAAACTTGAACAGTTTTGGAATTCTGACCACAAAACAAGTTTCAAGACCGTGTAGGTAGTCCAAGAAGGTAAGCCTGACTACATTCAGCACTAAGCGACGAAGAAAACATCGCGGGAATTGCTTGGTGGATCCTTCGCGGACATCAACTACCCTTTTTGTCCACTTTGGGCAGGACATCCCGCTCCCCAGAGCTCGGGGCCCCATGTTTTTCTCGACTTCAGAGCGGACCATCGTCAACACGTTGGACAATGTGGATCGGTCCGTTCAGCGCCGCTTTTTTCGGCATCCCTTGTCCTCTCAGAGAAGGGTTGGATGCCGGAAAGTCCCCGCTACACGCCTGGGGATCCCACTTAGTCCCGTGTAGTTCGGCAGGCTGCTGTCTCAATGGTCATGGCTCTCGCAAATGTGTATTAGCCGATATCCTTGCGATTCAGCTGGCTTTACATGGCTGATATGGGGATACCCCGGGTAATTGTTCACTGTTATATCCCCGCGGGGTCCCTGTCATTCTCCAGATTTCGCTCTCAATTGAACAAATCACTATATTCCGTCATACCAGTGACTCTCATTTGAGAGCAGTAGCCTCAACCAAGACAATGGCAGTTACTTCCAACCCCAAAGCAGATATGAGAAGGGATGAATCTGATCTCTCATCCACCCACATCGATCGATGTGACCCCAGGCAAGAGAAGGTATGCGTCCAATACTCGGATCTGGAACACAAGAGCTGATATCATAGTCTTCATCTCCGGAACAGATCAAAGTCGAACTTACCGAGGCCGATTGCTATGCCGAGCTTGGCTACTCCTTCTCCGAGTCTAAGAAGTGGACTATCATTCTGGTCATCTTCTTTGTGCAGACCTCCATGAACTTCAACACAAGTCTCTATTCCAATGCATTGACGGGAATCTCAGAGGAGTTCAATGTCAGCAAGCAAGTAGGACGTTGTGGTGCAATGATCTTCCTCGTTCTTTATGCCTTTGGCTGTGAGCTTTGGGCCCCATGGAGTGAAGAACTCGGCCGAAAGCCAATCCTACAGCTGAGCCTTCTTCTAGTCAACATCTGGCAGATTCCTGTTGGCATTGCCCCGAATTTCGCCACAATTATGGTTGGCAGGGCTCTAGGGGGAATATGTACCGCTGGTGGCTCTGTCACACTTGGTATGATTGCCGATCTGTGGGAGGCAGAAGATCAACAATATGCCGTTGCATGCGTGGTCTTCTCATCCGTTGGAGGCTCCGTTTTAGGGCCAGTAGTTGGGGGCTTTGTTGAAGCCTACCTACCCTGGCGCTGGAATATTTGGATCCAGCTCATTTTTGGCGTATTCGTCCAAATCGCCCATCTTGTGCTCGTCCCCGAAACTCGAACAACGATCATGCTTGATCGCATTGCGAAAGAGCGAAGAAAGAATGGAGAAGACGTTTATGGCCCCAACGAGTTGATCTCGTTCAAGGATCGATTCTCGATGAAGGAGATATTGATCACTTGGATCCGACCTTTTCGCATGTTCCTTACAGAACCTATTGTCCTCACTCTGTCATTGCTCAGCGGTTTCACTGATGCATTGATCTTTATTTTCATCCAATCCTTCGGTCTGGTTTACGCGCAGTGGGACTTTGGCCCCGTCGCCCTCGGTCTCTCCTTTCTTCCCATCATGGTTGGGTATGTCATCGCATGGATCATCGCGATTCCTGTGATCAGACGAAATGTGAAAGAACGCCAGATGAAGCCCAATGATGAGCGTGCGCAATACGAGTCTCGGCTCTGGTGGCTTCTTTACACGGCATTGTGTCTCCCTATTGGCATGATCGGCTTCGCGTGGACCAGTCTCCCCCAATGTCATTGGATCGGCACTATGGTGTTTTCAGCGATTATTGGAATCGCAAACTTTACCATCTTCATGGGTACCATTGACTATATGATATGCGCTTATGGGCCTTACTCCGCTTCTGCAGCTGGCGGAAATGGCTGGTCTAGAGACTTTTTGGCGGGAGTTCTCACAGTACCTGCTACGCCCTTCTATGAAAGTATGATCCCAACGTGAACATTTCCAATGCTTTGAAAATTGCTGACATGGTGCAACCTCTGTTTAGACATTGGTGGCAAATATCATCTCGAATACGCATCTACCATTCTATGTAAGCTCCCCCAAATCATGCACTGGCCGCTTTCCGGGCTCTAATAATCAATCGACAGTCGCCATATCCGTCGTTTTGGTCATCACCGTCTACGTAATTTATTGGTATGGGCCTGTGCTGAGGAAACGCTCCCCCTTTGCACAGCAATTGATCGACGCCCGCGCGGAGACCCACAACCGTATCCTTGAGCAACACCCCGAGATTCCAATGGGAAGATCAAACCAACTCGCGAGATCGCAGCAGAGCTTGCGGATACGCCAGACCATGGGCAGTCGCACAGGCAGCTTTGTAGGGTCTCGCGCGAACTCTCGTGTGAATTCACGAGTCAACTCCCGTGCAAATTCACGACGCAACTCTTTGTCTTGAGAGTTTCGCCCAAAGATATGGCAGATGCATCGACGTGTTCGTAGATGAGGTATCAGCTTTGAATTGGCTGTTATCTTCGTCAGACTCTCGGCATTGGACAGGCACTGAGATTGGGGAAATGTACAATACATACTTGCAGCGCTTAGATGGGATCTTGACACCACTGGTTATCCCCGTTTTATAAAGTTTTTATTAGAATGAGGATTGAGAATGTTACCTTAGCGGTGGATTAAAATATAAATTTTCCAGACTGACTGAGCTTTACAGTAGACTTAGCTGCAAGTCTCTGCATGAGCTATCTCTTTTGCCCATCGCAGAACACGATTCCATTCTTCATCCTGTTCGGACTGCCCTAGAGCTCGCACAATCTTCTGGCCCGTGATTCTAGTCCACCACATCTCCTGCCGTGCCATCAGCGCTGCCCAGCAAGCGTAGATTAACAATGCCAAAGGCTCTCTGTTTTCAACCTGCTCCACAAAATCTTCACCAGCCATCACTATCCACGGAATCACCATTCCGTTCGCCATAGCACAGTATTCAAGCGTGTCAATGGCATTCTGATAGATAGTCGGCCATGAGGCGCTCGACTCGCAGAGTTTTCTTACTTCTGGCGGAAGAACGCGCTCTTCTGGGGACAGGAACGCTGCATCTGCACCTGAACAAGTTTGAATGATTATTTTGAACGGCCCATTTTCAAGAGACACACGTGCTTGATCAATGATCGAATGAATACCTCTTAGGAGGTGAAAAAGGGATTTGAGATCTTTCGGCAACCCGTTCCCGATCTCGAGCTCATTGTTGGCTTGCAAAGATGGAAACACAAAGGTACAGGCCATCAAGATGACTGAACAGGCAAAAAGTGCATTGCAATTTGCCGGTGTCACTTTTCCTAACTCCAAGCGAAAGACAGGCATTGCCCTGTTTTGATAATGAAGAGCATCACTTAAGAGTTCTGATCTTTCCAAATTATCGATTGGGAGTTCAGATGCCATATGCAGTGACGTAAGGGCTAGCAATGAGTCCATCAGGAAAGGGTACCGGAGAGCTTGTTCCACCACGTAGGTTTGGAAGATATCACTCAAAATGGCGGAAAAGCTCTGGCATGTTTTTAATGTCCAGTGATGCATCAACTGTAGTTCTCGGGTGCGTATAAGTGAAGCTGGAGCAACGCTTCGACTATCGTGAAATTGTCCAGTCGGCGAGGCCCGATGTGGTGCTTCAGGGGCCGCTGTCGTATCTTCCAATGGGCTATCTTGGCTGTTTTGCGTCCATTGAGAGGACCGAAAGATGTCATTCGCGTATTCACATTCCGCGTTGCGAGCCCTGCAGGTGGCACAAGGGGGTCCTTTCTCGTCGCATTTGATCCTCCGTCTCTTGCATCGATTGCAGCCACCCCGAGACTTGGTGTGATGGCGTCTTTGTGGCATGCCCAGGCGATGACGATCCTCTGCTTTTGTGTGACAAAAATAACTTTGATGAGAGTCGATTTCATTGCGAATGATCCGTCGGGGCGGTGAACCTGAGAAATAACCTCAAGTATACATAGCAGTTTAGGAAAAGAGACATTTCAAAATTGACCTCGGGACACTTGGAAGTACGAAAAGATAATTAAAGAGGAAAGCTAAGAGTGTACACCACAGGCGTAATACTGAATATAAATCCCAAGGTTGCACCGGAAATACTGAAATCGACCACAGCCGCTATTAACCTGCGTACATCCATGAATATATCGGCAAGCCTCAGTTGCTTATAAACAGGCGTAGTTATGTATTTAGGTATTAGCTTAATCTCATATTTTGATTGATAAAGAAAGAGAACTATCATCATCTTCGGGACCTTTTAGCTGTTTTCTAGCTGTCTTTTAAACTGTCTTTCTGGCTCTCCATCCAAGGTTCCAACTAATTGTCAACCCATCATGATTGTTCGAGAAATGGACGTCTTAGCTAAGTCTTGAACAGACAATTAGGGATTGGGGATATGTAAACTTCACTTGTTACAGATATAAGGCGCCTTTCCTGTCCATTTCCCCTCAACCGCCTCAGTCAACACCCATCTCGCCACACTAGCTCTGCTAATCCATGTCTTGTCCAATCCAGTTCCGGGATATGTTGCCTCGACCGGAGCTTCCACTCCGTTGGTAAGTCCACCAACCCGGAAGATTCCCCATTGGATATCCTCGCTAGAAGAGATTGCCTTTCCAACGCTCACCATCTCCTGGTAACCAGCCGAGAAAAACAGCTTTATGACCCATACTCCAGTACGCCATTTCCACGTCTCAATATCAAGTTGATCTCTGAAGGAAGGTGTGGAGAGGACGAGGACACGGCTGACGTTATGTGAGGCCAGTTTGGGGATGAGCAGCTTGTAGCCATTCGTTAAAGGCTGTGATCGTCGGTGAGCTCTTGGTCAAATAGTTGTAATGAGATTCATATGGCTTCATACCGTTCCTTGCGTCCCGTATGATGGTCCGGCAAGAGAGATAAAGATATCTGCTCCACACTTCGCCGCTTGGTCCAAGTCTGAGTCGACCTCAAGAGTGCCTTCGAGTATACTGGTTGATTCATGAAGACGGATGTCTTCGGGAACTTTGCTGGCTGTTCGAACGAACAGTGTCAGTCGATGACCTTCCTGGAGAGCAATATCACAGAAAATACGGCCAATAGCGCCTATGGTATGGATTCACGTTAGTATATGGAATGGCATGGGGTCACAACGCAGTGATTACCGGTGGCTCCTAAGACCAAAAAATGCATTCTCGCAAATGGATGAAGGTAAGCTGTCTTTTTCACGAATTTTCTCGATTTACCAAGGGTTGAGGACACTTTATAGCACACAAGATGGAAACTCCCAATGATGCCAAGAGCTGGCCCCACCCGAATACGCTTCAAATTCGCCCAAAACGGCAACTTGTACGCATCTTCTATCATTCCTAAATTTGCCTTCAATTTGGGAAATATCAATTGGAAAATGGAGTTTAGCATTCTTGAAATATTGTTTGCCTCTGATTCCGAAATTGGTAGATTCCCTATTTCACGTTGAGTGGTACCACACTGGAAGAGTGTTGCAGTCATAGTAGAACTAGACTTTGTATGCCAGAATGTACCGATCACTGTCATACTCGGTAACAGTATAGTACTCCTTCCGCACAGGATTGAAGCTCATATCCTCGTTCCCCGCCATGAACCATCCTTGGTGCTTTTTCGCAGTCTGACCTTGTTCCCAGGTGAAAAGATCACCCTTCTTAGGAGCTCTGCCGGTACTGCGCGAGATATAGAACTTCTTGTCGTATGAGACAGCTCCCTGAACATTGGGTATATTGACACAGTGCGCCCAGCTTGCGGTCGCAACACCGTCCTCAGTTTGCAGTCGGCGGGTCGAAGCATCCAGATTATACTTGACATAGCGGATGGGGACTGGAGTATCGGTGCCCTTGAACTTCTCCCCATCGCGTACAAACTCACCTACCATGAGAGTATCTGGTGAGTCACTGCGATCAAGGGATATCCAAGAAAAGCGGAACGGGGAGGTCTCGCCGGGGGTCCATTTGTAATACCTTTGAGTGGCGTTAGTCTTCGACCAGAGAAAAAGAGAAGGTCTACTCACCGGATTTGAGGAAGCACATATCGATATCCATCTGCAGAGTACGATTTGCCGTCTTTTGATTTCCCGACTCCGTCTGCGATCTCGACCTCCCAGATATTGTCCAGATCGAAGGCACGAATACCGTTCTTAGTGTCAACCACATACAGCAGGTTCCCGTACCACATGATGCCGCCGGCGTGAATGGTGATGGACTTGAAGTCATCATCCGCAGTCGGGTAGACAAGCATGACATGACGATACTTGTGGGTCTTGCGGTCGACAAAGCTGAGTCGCACGCTGTCTCCGTCACGATACCAACTCACAATCCACGCCTCGTGATCATTCCAGGTCCCCTTTCCAAGCGCATCTGCAGAGCTGGTGATTCCTTGTGGAATCCACTCTTTGGTCTTGTCATCACCTGCGTTCCACGCCCAGGCTTCCGCGGGGGATCCATTGCCAACTGGGGGCGAGCCCTTGCTTAGATCACGGTTCGCGGATTTAAGCACTGCCGTGACGCTGGCAATCTTTCCCTTCGACTTGAAGTGGTTTGAGAGGATGGGTAGATGGGCGTTGTCGGCAGACTCCTTGAGAGTGAAGTCTTTAGGATTGAGGGTGGGGCTTCCCTGGCAGTAACGAGAGTCTGCTGCAGTAACAATGGGGAGGCAGATGGAAAGAAGGGCAGTGAGGACAAATTTATACTGCATTTTTGCTGAATTGAGAATGAATTCGCCGAGCTCAATGCTTAGACCATGGAAAGAATGGCTACCAGATACTTGAGTGACTTATATACCAAGGCTTCAGCACGTACTACAATATCCAACAGGGGCAGCCAAAAGGTTACTATCAGCCGCATATGCAGTGTAACCATAAATAGGTTTCTCCTCTCCGCATTAGGGCTTTTCTCCTCGTATGGCTCGTGTTAGGACTGGGGATCGCCGCGGAATACGAGACTTGGCAGGCTTCGATCAACAAGGCAAGGGAGCAATGTACGAATTGACGGCTTGAGTTCGTAAAATAGTTATTACCTATATTCTACAGCACTACTAACGATGAGTGATTATCCCAGGCACTGCTTTATCTGCCTTTGGGGCTGCATGTAGCTCTTCGCTTCGGTTCCCGCGTTGAGCCTCTTCTCACGATGTGGACCTCGGGATATTTGTTTCGAATCCGAGAGGTTACAATCATGATATTGAGCTACAGAAAATGTCGTATCGCACCGCCTTCCTGGTGCCTGCCAAGCTCTACCCCGTCCTGATGTCCAAAGATTGACGCCCTGAGGGCCTAAGAATAGCATCGGCTCCCCACTCGAATCAATTCAGTATTGGACAATGAAGAACAGAGCGGAGTTGACCCTCTGTGCTTCTATCATCCCGGCCCTTAATCCCATTCCGAACAAGTTACAGTTCTCGAATGAGTCGTAGTATCAAGTTTAGACCTCGGGATAGACGAACTATACCAACTCCCCGGTGTTGGCGACTATTGATCCTACTTTTTGATCCACGCGGATACTGCAAAATGGCCTACTTAGAAATGTAAAGTCCTCTTCTATGAAAATACATGATTTAAAAGCAATTCCACGATGTGTCTATAGTTACAATCTAGGGCTATTCTGCTTACATACGATCGATAGCTCTCCGCAGTGGGGACCTCGTCGATAAGCAAATCGGTGGGTTTTCACCGAAAGTGACTCAATCGCCAACTTCCCCTCTTTCACTTGCCCTTTGCGCTGCATTTCCTCACTGTCCTCTTGCATATCCAGAACGACTCTCATTATGGCTGCACTTCCACAGGATGAGCTCGACGAGATTTATGCCTTCGCGATAGACTTGGGTCGCCAGGCCGGCAAGATGCTCATGGATCGAGTCGACCAGCGCGTCGCAGGTGGAGGCGCTAATGCCTTCGAGGAGAAGGAGAACTCAGTAGATATCGTGACGCAGACTGATGAGGGTGAGGAATCATAGCTCCCCGAGCTGGGGGAAATGATGTCACCGATCTGACCGTTGAACAGATGTCGAAGTATTTATCCGAAAGAATCTCGAAGCCAGATACCCATCTCACAAGTGAGTATAATATTTTGGACGTACTCTGGTAGCAGCGAATTGATAATTCCAGATTCCTCGGCGAAGAAACATATGCCAAAGGCCAATCGCGCGACTATCTCATCGATGAGCAACCAACATGGTGCATCGACCCATTAGACGGTAATCCAGCTCCTCAAGCAACGTGCCCGTGTCAATACCTCCCCATGTTGCTACCATGTTCTGCAGACTTTAACTAACCTCATCTCCCAGGAACTGTAAACTACACCCACATCTTCCCCATGTTCTGCGTCTCAATTGGTTTCATTGTCAACCACAAGCCCGTCATCGGTGTAATCTACGCTCCCTTCACAGACCAGCTGTGGTCCTCCTGCACCGGGCGCGGTGCTTGGCTCAACGAGACCCGTCGCCTTCCTCTCCTCCACAACCCGATCCCACCTATGCCTCCCAACGCGCCAGCACAATGTGTTTTCTCATGTGAGTGGGGCAAGGACCGCCGCGATATTCCCGACGGGAATATGCACCGCAAGATTGAAAGCTTCGTGAATATGGCTTCTGAGCTGGGGAGCCGATCTGGGAGGGGTGGAATGGTACACGGGATGCGTAGTTTAGGCAGTGCGACGCTGGATCTGGCATATGTCGCTATGGGTTCATTTGATATCTGGTGGGAAGGAGGTTGTTGGGAGTGGTAAGTTTGGATCTGCGACTTTGTGAGATTTGCGCTGACGGTTTTGCCCAGGGATATTGCTGCCGGAGCTGCGATCCTGCTCGAGGCGGGCGGACTGATGACCACGGCTAATCCCCCAGAGAACGAAGCAACGGCGCCGATCGAGGACGTCCGACTCGGCAGTCGGTTGTATTTAGCTATCAGGTAAGTTGCCGCATTTTTAGGGTGGTTGGCATGATACTGATCAACATTCCAGACCGGCTGGCCCGTCCGCTACGGAGACAGGTCGCGAAACACAGGAGCGCACGGTACGTGAAGTCTGGCGCCGTGTTCGTAACTTGGACTATTCGCGACCAGGTGCCTGAAGTGGCACCTTAAATTTTGAACTTTGGAAGATCTCACTGCAGAGACCCGCCCTCGGGCCTAGCCTACACATTACATATTGGCCATTTGGATAGATCCAGAGTAATAGAAATATATACATTTATATATTCTAGAGACGCCACCTATTCGTCTATAGACAATGCAAATTGGCAACTATTTTGCGCTCTATACAGTCATGAAAAAAAAAAAAAAAAAAAAAAAGGAAAATCGAACATGATCATCAAAATCAATCACAGGCTGGACTTGGAGCCAGATCGCTCAGCGATAGTCTTAGCAACCAGATCCTTGACCTCCTGCACAAGACCAGGAGTGCCAATGACATCCTTGCCAGTCCACAGGCGGGCCTGCTCCAGACCCTGCCAGATCAGAGCCTCGGAGCCGAGAATGACCTTCCAACCACCAGCGGAGGCAAGAGCGGCAATTTCGGTCCAGGGATTGGGGTGGTAGCACATCTCCAGAATGACACCTTCCTGCTTATCGGCGTCGGCCGCGGTGCCCAGGAAAGCCTGAATGATCGCACGGGAGCGCAGCTCCTCCTCGGTCTTCGGGGGTAGTTGGGGATACCAGAAACGATAGCAGCGGGGGACTCGAGACGAGCCGCCTCGGCCGGATCAGTGACGGCAATCAAAGGAGCCTGGGCATTGACATCTGGGTTGCGACGACGGTCCTCTTCGAGGATAGCGGCCACTTCGTCCGCATCACGGTTTACGATGTAGATGCGGCTGGAGCCGAGCCAGCGGCGCATCACGTAGATGGCAGTGCGGGCAGTGCCGCCGCCGCCGATGATCAGCGCGGGCCGGCCGCGGAATCGCGAGGCATCGGGGGCATTCTGCAGGAGGGCTTCGCGGATGCCGTCGCAGTCGGTGTTGGTGCCGACGTACTGGCGTTGGCCGTTGGCGTCGTCGCGCAGGAAGATGGTGTTGCAGGCGCCGGCTTGGCGGGCGTGCTCGGTCAGATCATCCAGGTGAGGCATGATGGCGACCTTGTGGGGCATCGTCACGGACGAGCCCACGAACTTGGGGTTGGACTTGATGGAGGCCAGGTACTTTTCGATTGGTGGAGACTTGGTGTATGGAGGGGGGTAGGTCTCTGAAGTGCCGGTCACGCTGGACAGCGGAATCTGAGTCCAGTTGAGACCGAGGGCATTGTAGACGGTCTGGTGAAGAGGGGGGAGAGGGAGTTGAGGAGAGGGTGGCCGTACAAGTAGGCGACGCCATCGAGGTGGGAGGGGATGGAGATAGGCTCCTCGGCCGTTTGGTTAATTTCTGTGATAGACATGATGTGAATTGTGTGTAATGTGTCGATCTCAGAAAGAGGGGGGAGGACTGTGTTATAATCATCTTCGAATTTGTCGGAAAACCCTTAGGCGATGAAAAAGCGATGAGCCGCGGGGCGGAGAAACACTTTTGCTCTCTCCACTTTCGATGAACTCATCGCCTTCACCCATGCCATTCCCATCTACAACAGCCTGGACATATCCGGTACTTCCTTCTGAGTTCAATGCAAAGTACTGACTACTCTCATCCTACAAAGATGATCCTCCCTCAGGACCACTGCACCAACGCTGCACAACATATGGGCTGAATGCTTTCCCACTGCACACCCCACGGGGAAACGTGGCTATGGCGCGCAGATACATGCAACACAGAGACCAATAGGAAGACTGTGCTTACAGAGATCCAAGAATGCCAATTCCTCAATTAAATGCCCCTCCGGGCCAGAAGGGGGGAACCGTCCAGGACTGTGGCTGCACCGGATGAACGGGCAAAGCGCTTATCCCCCACCAGCGAACAATTAGCCAACCGTCATTGGCTCACCCCCTCCTCGCTTCGTCGTGGATCCAATTTGAAACGACCAATCAGAAATGCGTCCATTCGCTATTTGACACCCTTCCGAGACTGGGGCGTGCACTGCATTGCCCCCCGGGGTACCCCAGATCGATCTCAAAGTGATAGACTCAACTGTCACGGGATGTGCAGATGTCCCCACTTCCGAAGCGGCATCGGAGCTGCTCCCCACAAAAGGCAAAAGTCTCGCTTCTGGCCTTTGCGGTTGGTCGGCTGGGGTTAGTCTCGTCTCTTGGCCATGGATTTGCAGTGTTCTCGTTGGTCGGACTGTCTCCCTCGCACCGAGTCAATCTGGTCAAGCCACTACGGGGGGCCAAGAGGCAAAAAACCTTGCACACGACGGACTCTTCGTACTTCTTCGCCCAGCCCTCAGAACTTAGAGTATTTGTTTTGCCGCGCCTTGGCTGTCGACGCAACAAACTTTTCCTGCTCGTCGTGTCTTATACCTTTCTCCGCCTCCACATCTCCACGTTTTCCTCCCCTATTCTCAACCCCAGATTCTCTCTTTCTCTCTTACCCCAGGGCAAATCGACGGGCCGGGACTAGAGTCTATTTAGAGCTCGTCTATCCTCGCTAGTTGGACCTTAAAAGACCTGGCGCCGTCCTTTTCTTTTTCACCTTCACCTTCTACTTCTACTTCTACTTCCACCTTCATCCCTGGTCTCTTCCTTCCCCCTGCACTTGGACTTTATACTTCAATTCCCACGTGGTGATCGTCCAACCCAGGACGCACCCCCTACTGCCTCTTTGCATCTAGCATTGGGGTTTGAGATCATTGAGACCTCTTCAATCCCCCTTAGATCCTCACCATGTCTATCCTCAAGCTGGTCGAGGACCGCCCGACCCCCAAAGCTGTCTACAATTGGAAGGTCTATCTCCTGGCAGCTGTGGCATCATGCACCTCTTGCATGATTGGTTATGACAGTGCCTTCATCGGTACCACTCTATCTCTTGACTCTTTCAAAAATGAATTCGGCTTCAATCACATGGGCGACGGTGAGAAGAACCTGATCAGTGCCAACATTGTCTCCTGCTACCAGGCCGGTGCCTTCTTCGGCGCCTTCTTCGCCTACCCGATCGGCCACTTCTGGGGTCGCAGGATCGGTTTGTTGGCTGCTGGTCTGGTTTTCACTCTCGGTGCTGGTCTCATGCTTGGTGCCAATGGCGACCGAGGACTGGGCCTCCTGTACGGTGGTCGTGTCCTCGCTGGCCTTGGTGTCGGTGCTGGCTCAAACATTACTCCTATCTATATCTCCGAGTTGGCTCCTCCAGCTATTCGTGGTAGACTTGTGGGTGTGTACGAGTTGGGCTGGCAAGTCGGTGGTCTAGTAGGATTCTGGATCAACGTGAGTTTATGTTATCTCGTCTTTGCTACCATGTATCAATATGCTAACTATCTGTTTCCCAGTTCGGTGTCGATGAAACTTTAGCCCCCAGTCACAAGCAATGGCTTATCCCCTTTGCTGTTCAGCTGATCCCCTCTGGCCTGTTGCTCATTGGTGCCGTCTTTATTCGGGAGTCCCCTCGCTGGCTCTTTGGCCGCGGTCGCCGTGAGGAGGCGATCAAGAACCTATGCTGGGTCCGCCAATTGCCCGAAGATGATATCTATATGATTGAAGAAATCGGTGCCATTGACCAGGCGCTGGACGAGCAGCGCCGTAGCATTGGCGTCGGCTTCTGGAAGCCTTTCCAGGCTGCCGGTACCAACAAGAAAGTCATGTGGCGCTTGTTCCTCGGAAGCGCCCTGTTCTTCTGGCAAAACGGCTCCGGCATCAACGCTATCAACTACTACAGCCCTACTGTCTTCAAGTCGGTAAGTCATAAAATTCATTCTTCAATGGCCATCATTCAAATGCTAATTATGTCTCCAGATTGGTGTCAAGGGTACCAACACTAGTCTGTTCACCACCGGAATTTTCGGTGTGGTCAAGACCGTAGTCACTTTCATCTGGCTTCTTTGGCTGATTGACCAGGTCGGTCGCCGTAACCTGTTGCTCATCGGTGCTGCCGGTGGCTCTGTCTGCCTGTGGATTGTCGGTGCCTACATCAAGATCGCCCAACCGGAGAAGAATAACAGCGACAGCTTGACCGGTGGTGGTATTGCCGCCATGTTCTTCTTCTACCTGTGGACGGTCTTCTACACTCCAACCTGGAACGGTACCCCATGGGTTCTTAACTCGGTAAGCATTCCCAAACCATGACAAGGTCAATACAATCGACCCTATACTAATACCCCTTTCAGGAGATGTTCGATCCCAACATGCGTTCTTTGGCCCAGGCTTGCGCTGCCGCCTCTAACTGGCTGTGGAACTTCCTCATCTCGCGCTTCACCCCGCAGATGTTCTCAGCCATGGGGTACGGCGTGTACTTCTTCTTTGCGTCTCTGATGATTTGCTCCATCGTTTTCGTGTACTTCCTCGTCCCTGAGACAAAGGGTATCCCTCTTGAGAGCATGGATGCGCTCTTTGATATCAAGCCCGTGTGGCGTGCCCACGGAAGAATGGTCGCTCAGCTGCGTGAGAATGAGGAGCAGTTCCGTCACGATGTCGAGGCTTCTGGTCTCGGTGCGGCCAAGCTTCACGATGAGCAGGTTGAGGATACTGCGGCTGAGCCGAAGTATGCTTGAGCACTGCGACTGCTTGAGTTATCTCGTTGATGTTTGCTGTTCGCTTTATAATCATGATATGATGCGCAGCTCTGCTGAATGAAGCCTTGTTAAAAATAAAATAAAGCTAAAGCTAAAGCTAAAACCTCCCTCCTTCCCTTTCATTTAATTGAATATCATTCCTCCTCAGGCATCTCGGATCTCTCGAGCTGCGCCATACTCTCAATCAACGCCTCAACATTGGTAGAGCGCGACTCCAACAAATCGGCCCCGATGATAGTCGCCGCTTGCTCACTGCGAGACTCGCCTTGTGAGTCCTCGAAGGTCTTGTTGGTGATAAATTGATCTGGGAGATCATGGCCCGAGACACACCGAGACAGAGATTTCAATGTTGATTTGTTTAAATACTCCCCGTTAGAAGGCCAGAACCTTCTAGTCTCGATTTTGTGAGTGATATCTCGCTGCTCCAAGCGTTTCGCGTTCATGTAAGATATCACAAACCGAAAGTAAAGGTAACGGCGACGTGGGCGGTTGTTGTTTAGGAATTTGAGGATACGGCCATCTAGATCCTGTGGAGATGTAAGTTAGCTTTTTGACTGTAAATCTGAAAATAGATGGATAAAACTGACTTTGACTTTGATGGATTTTCCATCACTGTCTTTCCAAACGAACTGCTCGAACTTTGACTCATCAAGCACGATGCATTGCCATGTAGTTGGAGAGGTGAGCGGACCTGGAGTAGGTATGACTGCAATCGTTCCCTGGTCGAAAAGTGACTCCACGGAATTCAATAGTGATAATGCTAGAAAAAGAGTTAGTTTATTCTTCTCTGAAATCAAAAACATGCACTCACAATTTTGTGGATCCGATCTTGCGTTAGTCTCAGCTCCAAACAGATGGGAAAGCTCCGCGTCGTTTAACGACTTCGGTACAATGTGAGCTGCTTTGACTGAAGAGGCAACGACAGAGAAGCCAAGGATATGGCAGCATGACTCGGGAGGCTCTCTCTTCGCCGGGAGACTGTAGTACTTAATGACTGCTTTCTTGAACGCTCTCTGATCAAATGGCTGGCGACGAATCTTTGCAGCCGCACTCATCACCCGTGCCATAATGGTATTTGCATAAGCTCTCTCAACAAGCCCTCCGTCCTCTGGCTCATCCATTCTCATGTACTTAACCTCCTCGTCCAGATCTTCTTCAATAAACCTTCGTTGCCGTTTGAGAACGGTAAGAGTGTGAGAAGCCGTTCGCATTTTGTGGAGCACAGGTTGAATCTGTCCCTGGTAGTCTTCACTACTCATGAGACCAGCTGTTTTGATATCAAAGAGACCATCTTTGACGCAAGCTATGTAGCTTCTTTCATCCTCCAGAGTAGAGATCTTCGCATCCAGAAAGTCAGACGCGACTGTGGAAACTGACTCTAGAGCAATTTGTGACAACATTGAGGAGTTGCTCACTGATCTTTGCTGGTGCTCTTTCAACTTGTGCTGGCGACTCGGAGGGAACAGAGAAGATATGCGGGCAGGGACGGAGAACGGAGAACGGTCAGCCATGATCAAGTAAAATAAAGGCGGGAACGAAGTAAGGCAAGGATAAAGTAAGGTGGAGATCAACCAAAGTAGAAGTGTGGGAACGAAGAAGTAAAGATTCAAAAAGGATGGAGGGTGGGTTCCATGGTTGTGTTTATGTTCCAAGGTTTCCTAATTAGGTTAGTCTACTTAGACGCCTATATTAGTATTGTTCTCTTAGCGTCCTTCTATTGTTTCTATAAATTTAAACGTATTCGTCATAAGCCACGTCAGTTCCTAATCCGACTTACTTAACAGATCAACATCAATCTCTACAGGTTGACCCGATCGCGTGGCCTTCTGAACAGCCTCACAAACAACCAAAGCACGTAGTCCTTCCTCGCCAGAACAACTGGGCTCCGCATGCCCATTAATAACATCGACAAAATGAGCGAGTTGCAGGTCAAAGGGCGCCTTGTCATCTGGAAGTGGAATGCGCTCAACACTCAGCGCGTGGTTCCAACTCTTCTCAGGGCTGGCGTCGTAGCTCCACCGCGTCAGATCAGGGACACTCAACGAAGCATCCGAGCCGAAAACCCGGTAAAAGTCCGAGTCGCCACCGGTCGTCGTTTTCGGGATAAGGGGGTTTTCACCAGTGCCGGTCTCGAAGTTGTGCGGGGAGGGTGTCGCGTCGCAGACCAGGAATGTGCCTACGACACCTGATGCAAAGCGCAGGGTGAGCGCGGCGCCTTCGTCGGCATTGTGTGGGCTCGGACGCTGGGGAAGAGTGGGTTCGGCGGTGACACGAACGATCGGTCCAAAGAAGTGGTGCATGAGGTCGATGTCGTGGACGAGGTTGATGGGGATGACGCCGCCACCGCGCTCATTCGAGGCGCGCCAGTCGGTTGGTGGGGCGAAGTAGGCATTTGGTTTGTACAGAGTCCAGATTCCGTTAATGGCGATGGGACGACCGAGGGAGCCACTGTCGAGAACGGACTTGGTAGCTCGCACGTAAGGATTGAAGCGGCGGTGGTGGCCGACGAGGAGTTTGAGGTGGGCCTGCTCTGGGGCTTTGGCGAACTCGAGTAGAGAGCGACCCGTCTCCAAGGTGTCACTCACTGGCTTCTCGAGGAGGACGTGCACCCCCCCTGCAAGAAGCTCTTTGGCGACGGGGACATGGGTGTGGTTCGGGGTGCAGACAATTGCTGCATCGGGCCGGTGAGTGGACGCCAGGAGTGAGGCCACAGAGGAGTAGTAGTTTGTCTTGAGTCCCAAGGCGGTTGCTTCGCCAGTTGGCATTGGGTCAACAAGAGCAACTAGCTCAGTGGATGGGTTGGTGATGACGGATTGGGCATGACGAGGGCCGATCAGGCCTGCGCCGACGATTGCAACCTTGATAGCCATGATTTCACTCGAGAAGATGAAGATTATATGGGCGAGCAATATAATTCATGCTGTTGAAGAAGCTGTTGAATGTAGGATTGAAACGAAAATTCAATTCGGCCTGGGTACGCCTTTTGATTGCGGAGAAAGCGACATTGCCCCGGATTTCGAACGGATTCTCACAGACTCGGGGCCGGTTGCTCCGGTCAGACCCATATGGAGAAAGCAATTTCTTGGTCGCAAAGTGGGAAAGGGATTTCTAATGAGAAGTGTGCAACAGCGTCCAAGTGGAGAGAGATGTGGAGAGGTCAACGGCTAAAAGAAACGAGGGAGAAACGCTTAGCCGGTCACGTGACCAGCGCCACCTATCAGGTTTGGCCTCGCGCGAATCAAAGTGCCTCGAAGCAGGCAGAACGTTTTTGGAATCAAAAGCCCTGGGGATGTGAGGGGAGGGGATAACGTTTTGTCGCAATGTTGGTGACTTTCTCTTATGGATCTCGGCAGTCCTAGTCCTCTCGCTGATTGAAAACATTCTCACTTCTCCTTTCCTTCTTATAAGTCCTTTTTGTTCAATATAACCGTGGAACATACCATACTTGCATATAACCCTACGTCAGGCCATTCTCACACTCTATTAGAAATGGCTTTCAACCGCCCCGGCATCGCCTCCATGTCCCTGGGTCGACCATGGGTACACGATCTTCCCGGCAAGCTCATGCAAGCCGCCGCCCACGGCTTCGAGGGCATTGAACTCTTCTTCGACGACCTAGACTGCTACGCCCAGCGAGTCTTTGCTGGCGACCACCATGAAGCTGCTCGCTCTACCCGGCGCATCTGTGACCGTCTCGGCATGACCATCATCTGCCTGCAGCCCTTTTCCATGTATGAAGGTCTCATCGACCGCAGCGAGTCAGACCGACTTGTCAACGAGAAGCTTCCCAAGTGGTTCACCCTGGCGCGGGCGCTAGGCACTGATATGATCCAGGTCCCGTCCAACTTCCTTGGACCGGACCCTGAGACCGGTGCCGCTCGTACCACCGGTGATCGCGCTGTGATCGTTCGTGACCTCCAGCGCTTGGCGGACCTTGGTGCCGGCGCCGGGTTCCGCTTCGTCTACGAGGCTCTGTGCTGGGGTGATCATGTCAACACCTGGGAGGCCTCGTGGGAAATTGTTCGTGATGTCAACCGTCCTAACTTTGGTCTTTGCCTCGACTCATTTAACATTGCTGGGCGTGTGTATGCGGATCCTGCATCGCCCTCTGGCTGCACACCGAATGCCGCTGCTGATCTGGCTGCCTCGCTGCAACGTTTGCGCACGGCGAACATCGACCCGGCCAAGATTTTCTATGTTCAGCTCGTCGACGGTGAGCGTCTCTCTGCTCCTCTGGACGAGAAGCACCCCTTCCACGTCGCTGGCCAGCCTACCCGCATGAACTGGTCCCGCAACGCCCGTCTGTTCCCCTTCGAAGAATCCCGTGGCGGATATCTTCCCATTGTGGACATTGCTCGCGTCTTCTTCGAGGACCTCGGTTTCCGCGGCTGGGTTTCCCTTGAATTGTTCAGTCGCACTCTTGGCGAAACCGATGCCTTTGTTCCCGCTGACCATGCCCGCCGCGGTATTGACTCATATAACAAAATGGCCCACGTTCTGGGCTGGGAGGAGCCCACGGAGAAGATCTCCGCGTGCATCCCAGCACCTGAATCGCCCGTTCAACACCGTCTTTAAAGACTGCTGTTGAGCACTTGCTCTGTATAGCACTGCACCTGTATATACACCTGCTTATGACCCTTGACGATTTTCATTGCACATATTGACCCCGGAGCACATGTGAGGATAGTGAGTCGCTAGATATTGTTTACATTACACTACATTGGCGAGCATCCCTTCATAATGCATTTGAATCAAGCTTCCTTACAGTATTCTAGTCAAATAAATTCTTCTCCAGAATCCAAGTCTTTCCAAGTCTCTCTTGATAAATGTCTCGAAGTGATTACTGGGTTGCTCCCGAGGTCAGAAGTTCCAAGGTCTCCAGGACTGTCCGCGGGTAAGTTGTGGCCCCAAACGCCCAAACGGGCAAACGGGCGTGCTTATGTGATGACTTACTTGATGGCGGTGTGATATAAACAAAGCCTCCTGCTCACGTCGCCTTCTTCTTTTTTCATTCCCATTTTCATTTCTACATCTTCTTGGCACTAATTTCTAGAATGGAACAATTTCTGCTCGACAACGCGGCTCGCCATCAATTGTTGATCTCGAGATTGAAGCCCCCAAAAAGACCAAAGTCACCTATGAAGCTTCCAATATTACCGTGGCGGCTCGCGTTCGCCCTATGCTGGAGCACGAAACATCCTCAGGTCAGGTAGTCGCTGTATACCCTCGTGTTGACGATAGTGGGGTGGTGGATCTCCATGATCTACGTCGGGTGGTAAGGGGGTTCCCACCTTTGAATGTTAGTATTTGAGGACATCATGTTCAATCCAACTCTTTTTCCACTCCGAAGTCAATGATATTATGGGTGGAACGTTGACAAAGACGATCTCGATGATGACAGTCTTCAACATACACACCAGGCAGAGTCTTTGGACCAAACGACCCGACAGAGTCCATCTATGAAAGCACTGTGTACCCACTCATCCCCTGGGCCTGGGAGGGTAATGTGGGAACATTCTTTGCCTATGGACAAACAGGATCTGGGAAAACCTTCTCAATTGGCGGAATTGAACGTCTTGTCGCGGAAGCCCTCTTCGACGGGACATTGCCGGGCGAGAGAACCATTCACGCCGCTTTCTTCGAGCTGGCTGGGAATTCTGCATTTGGTAGATCTCGCCATCGGATCCGAGACTCATTCCAAGCTAACATAAAACACAGACCTCTTGAGCTCCCGAGCATCGTTTCCAATCCTCGAAGACAACCTTGGGAGAACCCAACTCGTCGGTATACGAGAGCACAACGTCCGAAACAAAGAGGACCTACTTGCTTTCACTGAAGAGGCTAGCAAACTTCGACAAACCGCTCCAACAACCAAGAATGATGGCTCTTCGCGCTCGCATGGGATCTGCCGCATCAGGATTGAAGACCCATCGTCTGAAACGGCAGGTGATGGGGTTCTATATCTCATTGATCTAGCTGGCTCTGAAGCAGCGCGTGATCTGGCTTCACACTCCAGTGAGAGAATGAAGGAAACACGTGAGATCAACATCAGTCTCTCGGTGCTAAAAGACTGCATTCGAGGTATAGCTGATGCCGACTCGACGAAATCCTCAAAGAAGCCTTACATTCCGTTCAGGCAAAGCATGTTGACTAAAGTCCTCAAGCATGTATTTGATCCACTAGAGAGCCGCAAGTGCAAGACTACCGTTCTTGCATGCATCAACCCTAGTCTTCTTGATACGGGGGCAAGCAAGAACACTTTGCGGTATGCGGAAATGCTCTGTGGGCCAAAGTCAGCTCTATCTCGGTAATCATATTTTATTACGGCACTTGAACCCATATATTAAGGATATCGACCTCGGTCACCTGACAGCTGGGTGGTGAATACGCATGAAACCACAAATGGGTATTCGTAGGTCGAAGACTTGGACCAAGACACAGATAGAAACTAAGCCTAAAAAAGAGGGGGAAAAATTGCACAGATAGCCTGATGTATCATATTGCAAGTTTATTGACATATTGATGCCTGCGCGTCGCAACACGACTGGTTGTGTTAGGGCACATAACGCTGGAATGCTCGAGAACAAATCATTTGCAACAAAGAGGACCGGAAACCACCCATGGTAATAATTTTAGTCCCCAGGACGACACAATATCTGACACTTCCCAGAACATGGGAAGGAAGGGAGTGAGAGGGATGGGAATGAATCGGACCTGACCGTCAACCTGGTTCAGAATGAAGGGAAATATGAGCAAGTGGTATCTGTATAAACAAGGCTGAGACAGGGAAACAGAGAAACAGAGAAGAGAAGAGTAGGTCCAGGCATTGCACCAAAAATACCGGGAGAATTATGAATAGTGAAGTGAGGGAGTCTTTGGAACCAAAAGTTGCCAAAAATGAGGGGTGCAGGTTTAATTCTGCATGCCCGCGAAGATGTCCTGGCAGTTCTCCACCAGGAACTTGAGAACATCGTTCTTCTTCTGGACATCGGTCATTTCCCGAGCAAGGCTCTCCGGGCGCATGATAGTCGGCGCGAAGACCACAGCGACGTTCTGGAAGGTCATCAAGTTTTCAGTGTGGCGGTCAACCACGCGCCTCAAATGGAAGACGAGGAACTCCAAAACGTCGCGGTGCACTTGAGGAAGTTCAAGAAGACTCTTTTGCAGGAGCTCAATGCGCGCGGAGACAGGATTGACTTCACCAGAATCGATGACCAGCTCGTATACTTCATAGGTGATCAAGGGGTTAGGAAGCTTGCGGAAATACTGTTTGAGGGTAGATGTGACCGCGTGAATATCGAGGTCAGGGTCGGAGATGTCATATTCGAATGGAGAGCGCTCAAAGCCGTCACGAATGGTTTGAATGACGGAAGAAGCACCAGATTTACGGTAGATTCCTTCCATGTCAATGCCTGATTTTCTGTGTTAGAAAAAACTCCAGAACAGATGGGAGAACCTGTGACAAAACGTACCTCGCAGCTCAACCTCTTGGATACACCGCGTGACAATGAATGGAATAATGCTCTTTTCGTGTTCGATACGAACCTCGAGATCAGTACCGAAAAGAACTGGGCAATGTTAGTTCATCGAACCATACACTCATGTGTCAAGTGAAGAGGGGAAACTTGGGACATACCATCACCATTACCACCAGTACCAGAAGCGACTTCAGTCAGCACGGGAACACTGTCGGCGTGTGTCATCTTTCCACCCTGCTTGTTCCTTTGATTGCCGAAGAATCCAAATCCTTGACGGCTAGGATCTTGGGTCTGGGAACGTGGAAGACCGCCGCTAGCCTCTTGTCCTTCGGTGCCCATAAAGGCTCCCTTGAGGCCTTTGACACCTTTGGCGACGTTCTGACCACCCTTCTTCCAGTTGAACTTACGAGGTTGTCCTTTGCGGATACTGACAACTTGAGGGCCTGGGACGACAGTGGCAGTAGCAGGCTCCGAGTCCTCGTGCATGTGAGCACTTGACACGACCGATGGGTGAAGATCACCAGGTTTCATGGCTTCGATCGAAACCGTTGATTTTTCTTTGTTATGAGAAATGCCCAGGCCGTCTGATCGCGGTTGTCCGTCGATGGCTTTGTAGAGCTCCTGAATCTGGTGGACCAATTGGTTGTTCAGCTCAGCCAGCTGGGCATTCTTTGAAGAAAGTTGTTCAAACTCCTGGAAGCTCTTCTCCTTCTTGGTATTCATGTCCTCCAATTGATCGGACAGATCATTGCGCTTCTGAATCAGGCCCTCGATTTGCGGAGCATACGACTCCTTGAGCTTTTGGATAGACTCTGCAAGCTCGCGCAGGACATGATTCGAAAGCTTTCCAAGATCCAGTGGCCCGCTAGTTCCACCACGCTTCTCGGCTTCCATATGATCAGTGAGCACTGTGAGTTCGCGGAGGACAATCTCGCGTTGAGCGTCAAGCACAACCATAGTAGATCGCTTCTCGGAAAGCTCAGTGTTGACTTGCTTTACGTCTGCGGTGGTACGGGCAGCTGCTTCCAATTCCGCAACTCGCTGACGCTCTTTGCGCAGTTCATTTCGAAGCCAGGAAATCTCTTCGCTCTGAGAACTTGCGATTGGACTGCCAACATCCGTTCCGGCAATGCTTCCGCCGCCAGGAGATCGAGGGTTCCGTCCATCCTTGCTTGTACGTACGCTCTTTTCACTGTAGCTTCGACCATGACGGACAGAGTTTGAGACACGTTTCAGGAAAGATTCGTTACTTTGCCCGACAGCATCCTCTCCGCCGATGATGCGTGACAATTCTTCGTCCATGGAGAAGTCACCGCCACTGTTATAGCGAAGCAGAGATGGGGAGCCGCCTTCCGGTGCGTCTTGGTCGAGTTGGGTGGTCTTCAACGGAGTAGGCTGAGTCGGTTGCTCGAATGTGTCACTACGGAGCATGGGAGAATCACCGTACTGAGATGACGCAGGCGACGCTCCGACCTCCTTCCTTGGAATCTGGTGGTGCCTGCCTTCCAGTGAATCCCCACGCTTGGGCAGATTAGGGAAACCAGAAGGCTGAGAATACGTAGATTCTCTGGAGCCGTGGTCGTGGAGACGACGAAGTTCACTCGAGGGACGGGCTGGGGCCGAGGTAACACTGTCCTGTGGAATCGGGCGTTTCGTATCATTGACCAATTCCTTCGACCTGTTTTCGAGACTGGTGGTGCTGGAAGGGTTGTTCGTGTCTCTGAGGTGAGTGGGTATGTCAGAGGAACTGCGAGCAGAGCTCTCCCTGGTGTATTTGGATGAATCGAGGGTTTGAGGTGCTTTATCAGGCGAATTGGCCTCGTTTCGTTCCCAATTCTTTTCCTGGTAGGCAATGTGAGGTGAAGGGTTTTCGGAAGATGTCCGGGAAGAAGGTTCCTGCAGGTATTCACGTCCGTCCCGGGATGCCCGATGGGAAGAGTCCCCGGATCGAACCTGGTTGAAGTAATCACGAGGGGGCTCTTGCCGTGTCTGTGAATGACCACGGGAAGAACGACCTTCCGCGGAGGGATCAAACGCAAGAGGAATCAACAATTCACCGCCATCTGGCTCGGTATTCTGTGCCATTGAGTTCTGTGCCATTGAATGCCGACTGCTGCGGTAGGTGCTGGAGGGGAGAATGAGATTATCTGGGGAAAAGCGTAAGCATACTTGCCTCTCCGGGGGAGGGAATGAACAAGAGCATGCCCAATAGACCCGCTTGTGTGAGATAGTCGCATCGGAAGAAAGGGTCACGTTGAAAGTAATGAGAGAACGTGAAAAGCCCTCAATTGTCGTCAAAACGAACGTGACCTACAATGCAACACAACGCACACTATGCACAGTTCACGTAGATCTGACATTGAACATAGGGGAGGAAAGGAACGTACCGGTATCAGCGACCTGATTGGACGTGGAACTTGCTGGTCTCTCGTCCAGATCGGGCGTTTCAGCGATCTGTCCGAGGTCTGGGGTGCCTGTGTATTCACTCGGCGACTCGTCCACTACTTGCGCCTCCTCCAGCAGGTGAGGGGGCAACGAGGGCAGGGACTTATCCAGCTTCACATTGGGCCCCGCCGGCCTCTTTCCACTACTCCCTCCTGCTTTCCGTTTTCTTCGCCGGGCCATTAATGATTCATGACACTCCATGCAGAAGATTCCTTGTGACGTGCGCGCATAGCGGAGGTTCTCGATCTTTCTCTTGCAGTTTCGGCATCTGAAACACTGCGCGCAAAAAGCCTGGTCTCCTGTCAAGATGGCCAAGTCCTCAATCTTGTTGTTACAGGAGCTGCAGCTGTATGTGCAGTTGCTACAAATAAGGGAGCCATCACCTAGCAGGAGGAGATGCGCATCCGAGTCGAGAAGTGTGCTGCAGGTGCTGCATCGGAAACAATCGATATGCCATCGATTGCCAGCTGTGTGACGTTAGCGACCCCCCACGCGCGTGCATCACCTTTCTCTTCTTCCACTTACCCAACTCAAACGCCTTTCCTTCTTCGAGAGTCTGTCGCAGTCTCATTAGCCCAAGCTCCGATCTCACACTTCACATCGCACCAACCTCTCCACATCCTTTGCAGGGATAGGACTCGTCTTGCTCCATAGGAGACTCGGGGTACACCTGGGGTTCCATGTTGGGATCCACCGTCTTTCGCGCGCCGAACGGGCTACCGTGTTCTGTTTTCCGACCACTCTACCCTCTCGGTGGTATGCCCGACAGATGCAGGGCTGAACAGCAGCGATTCCTGATCGCAACGGAGAAGGTTCAACGGTTGTCACATGCGTGTTCGGAGCTCGTTCCGTGGCAATGCGCCTCGTAACTTTTGAGGGATCAAGCGAAACGGGGATGCGGGATTGGAGGGGGATATGCGACAGGGGTACTGAAAGAACGGCAGATGGTGGCTGGACCTGCAGAAGAGTGCGTCAACAACAAAACGTGATTCATGGTCGAGGGTCCGATTGAGTGCAAGGCATCCCCCAGCTCCGAGCTCAGAACCAGTGAGAAGGGGATCTGAATCCGGGTCCGCAGAGTTTGGGGATTGGGAATTGACCATGGATCACAGAGCTGGACGTACCACTTTGGTGCTACAGAGGCGTTTCAGATAAACAGCCCCGTGTGTGTGTATGTGTGGGTGGGTGTGTGCCTTAAGCGCGAGTGCCCCTCGCGTGGGAAATGAATAAGCGGAGAGGGAAATGAGATCCGGAGCCAGGCATAAAGAAAAAGAAAAGAAACAAGACCCCAACGAGCCTCCGAGGCAAATCGGCAGAGAGTGAAGGAGGTGGTTAGGGGCAAGGGGAGTTGAGTTTCTGCCCGGTCTGGAACCCCCCCACGTAACAAGTATACAACTCCTGAATCCCTAATTTTGACCTCTGTAGATTATTCTAGTTGGCGATATTACTGGAACCACCCAAATTCTCGAGGTTTCCCGAGTCCCAAAGATCTTAATATTTCCGAGTCCAGCCCCTGATCCTTTCTCATCTGCCTGCGTTTCATTAAGATTGTGAAACATATCACGTGTTTCTATAGCCTCTCCGTATTGAGTCGTGAATCAGAACAAGTGTAGTTAGTAGACGATAATATTATACGAATATTCACATCTAAATGCATTGAATGACTTGCTTGTCATACCTCATACTCCGTACCATGATCTACTTCAATGCCATTACAATGGAGATGAGTGGATGATTGATCCACTTGTTATCAATCACTTTGCTGTTCTATAGACATACTTGTCCTCTCTATACGCAGTACATACTCTCTCACATAATATCTTCGAGTCTCAATAACCCAATGTCCAGATCATACTATCCCCAAGTATCAGGCACAAATGCAAGGAGACGACATGCCACGTCGACAGTGACTCGTACTGCAGTCGGAGACGGGGCAGAGACGGGGCAGAGAGACCTTGGATCGGCGCCAAGAGTGGGGTTTATACGCGGCAACCCATAACATCCTCTCGAGAGATCCCTACGAGTACTCGTACTCCGTACGAAGTATATCGCAGAGCTGGATGATCCCGTACTCGTATGGCAGATAAAGGAAAGAGGTCGAAGCACGCCAAGGTGCGAACGGGGTGTATCACTTGCAAGTACGTGGTCTGCTCAACCATCGCACCATCATCGGTAACCCAAAGGTAGAATTCGACACAAAAAGTGTGACGAAGCCGAACCGGCCTGCAAGAACTGCACCAGCACCGGCCGAACGTGCGATGGATATGCACAGGCTCCCGATAAGCGAACCCGGCCTTGGCGTCAGTCGCGGGACGACGGTCAACAATGCACGCCTGCCAAGTGTGAATTCACCCTGATTCTTCGCGACTCGAGCCAGGTGGGTCTCTCCTGGAATGAAAGAGCGCACTTGGACTTTTTCCGAAGATGCACCACCTTGCAGTGTTCCGAGTATTTCGAAGATGAATTCTGGAGCCGATTGGTCCTGCAGATGTGCGAAGGACAAGCCGCGGTGCGACATGCCGCCATAGCAATGGGTGCCAGGCAACGCCAATATGAAGCCGTGGAAACGGAATCGGTCAAAGACCGTGAGAGCCTGCTGGCTTTGAGCCATGCCCACAAGTCCATCACCTGCCTGAGTCAAGATCTCGTCCGCCAGGAGTCAAGCCGGTCGCATAAAGAGACTGTTCTGGTCAGCTGTATTATCTTGACTATGCTCACGCTCTTCCAAGAAGATATCTTCGCGGCTCGGTGCCATCTTCAATCTGGGTACCAATTATTCCGAGATTGGATGGCCATCGACTCGGAAACGAGCCCGAATAAGGAAATTCTGGAACAGGCGTTCTCCCAACTCCACCTACACTTTTCAACATGCGTGAACCCAAGAGAATTCGTCAACGACCAGCGTTTGGTTCCTCCAACGCTGCCCAAGTTCAACGCCATGACTCCCAGCGGTGATTTAGACCTCACACGAGAGAGCCGGGGGCTGATGGTCATTGGCTGGCAGATAGTGCAAAGTCATTTGAGTGGAGGCTTCAGCATAGGCAACGCGAGCTCCCCTATCCGCCGAGGTGGAGTGGCAGTCTTGAGCAAGATGAGATTATGGCGAAGTCAACTGAAGCTGTCTTCTGTCAGTGGGCTCCCTTCGCAGCGTCATTACGACATGCTGAGTTTGCTTGAGATGTGGACCTTGGTCTTGGATGTGAAAATGGCCGTTGCGAATAGCCCAGAGTCAAGCGAAAGTCTGTATGATGACTACCTCCCGAGTTTCCAGCGGGCTGTTCAGTTAGCACAGGGACTTTTGCGCCTAGAAACAAGTGAAGTAGAGGCACCGGTCTACTATATCACTCCATCAGTGGTGACTGCGCTTTTGTGGTGCGGGACCAAGTGCCGTGACTGGAAGGTCCGTCATGATATTGTCTCTTTGCTGAGTGGGTGTAAACATCAGAGCCTGTGGGCCTCGATCGCCACGTCGTGTATTGAGAAATTGATTCACATCGAGTCGAATGGTATCACTCAGGGAGCTCGCGTCCCAGAATCAGCTCGGGTGCAAAGCGTAACTGCGAAACCATTGACCAGCTCCATCGTCCAGTTGTGGTATCAGAAACCCCAATCCGAACTAGACGGTGAACACAGCATGTGGAGATGCGAGACTTTAGCTTGTTAAGATGATCTTCACAATGGATCGAATCAAGCATAATTCAAGTTCTCCAACTATCCTGTCAAACAAAAGAAGTGAAGTGAAGGTCCGATTCTTTCGAAGTGGCACGTGTGCTTGTCCATGCCCTCTCCGCTGCTTTTCTCTTCCTCCCCTTTCCCCCATCTGATTTCTTCCCCATGCAACTACAACAAGGACACCAAGAGGGAAACCAAAATGGCGTTCCAGCCAAATGAGCGTGTTGATCATGCCACCGCCAGCTTGATGTTACAGACTATCAGGGCGGACATTGAAAGGGAACTGGCTGAAATGACTTCTCAGTCAGCCGGCGGGGTTCCGGACCCCCAAATGGAAGACAGACTAACAGCTCTGCTCCTATGGAAGAACGAACTGGAAGAACGCACACTGGGGCGCGGCCAAATCCACATGGCTCTCGGTCTGCCCACAGTGGAACCACCGGTACAACATGAGTGCGCAGCTTGCTTGGGACTGTTTTATGTGGTTGAGATGCTTACCACCACTTGCTCACACCGTTACTGTGATGGATGTGTAGTACGCCTTCTCGAGACCTCACTGGCAGATGAGAACTTCTTTCCTCCTCGATGCTGTCACCAACCCTTACCACTTGAAGAGGCACGATGCTTTATCGACGATGAAACGTGGGCACGATACACGGAGAAGCAGATCGAACACAATGACCAGTCACGCACGTATTGTTCGAATCCAACTTGCTCGCGGTACATCCTGCCCTCCGATGTCCGCGGAAATTCCGGGACCTGCAGGTCATGCTTTCGCCGAACATGCATAGGGTGCAAACTGGTTGCTCATACCGGCCAGTGTCCTGATCCAGACGAAGAGGTTCTTGTCCTCGCACGAGAGGAGGGATGGCGGCGCTGTCCGAACTGCGGCCATATGGTCGAGCTTCGCAGTGGATGTAACCACATCACGTAAGAACTCACTCCCATTTCGCTCCCTGCAAATGACTGACATGGATGTGTTTCTACAGATGCCGCTGTGGCTACGAGTACTGCTATTTGTGCTCTGCCAAATGGAAACAGTGTGATTGCGCAAGGTGGGATGAGGCCATGCTTGTAGAGCGGGCTGCAGCCGTCGCGGCTCGACGCCAGGCGCTTGCCGATGCGGAGGTGATTCCCGAAAGGGCTTTCGAGCTCGACTTTGAGGATTGTGATCATGAGGGGGATTGGGTCAGTATCGCGGGTGAGGCAGAGTGTGAAGAGTGTGAGGACGTCCTGCCGTACTATATCCTTGAGTGCCCAGACTGCGGGTACCAGGCTTGCGAGAGATGTGTATGGCACGTTCTTTGAAAGTTACTTGACGATGGATGGCAATATGGGGAACCACTTGGGAAGTTATCAGTTACATCTGTACTTTAATTATCTGGTCGGCTTATTGATGTCTAGTTTGGCAAGCCTCGGAGCTGGTACTGACAAGCAGCCAATATGTTATCAACCTATCAACATGAATTCAATTCGACATTGATTTTCTTGACAATAGAAAGATCTTCGTCTCCTGTTTCCTCTCTATATTCTTTAGTTTTGCACTATGCCATTACCTTGCCATTACCAATTTTTACATTTCTTTACATGATATTTTTAATTAAAAGACCACGAACAAGCGGTAACAAAAGCTCATAAAATATTCACACTCACATCCACACATACATCCACACATATACATGCATGTAGCTCGTAAAAGATCCAGATAGAACTCCGTGAAGACACTCGAGTCGAGGTTGAGTCCGTCAGTTGTGTACTAACGGGCCAGGTGGTCCAAGCACCCACCGCCTACGACACCCCCGAGCTCCAACGACTGAGCCTCGCCCCTCGTCAGTCCATACCTCATAGCCATGTCGAAACCAAGCAAGTACCTGCTTCTCTCTCTCCCAAACTCCATCGTCCCTTCGCACCACCGCGACGATGCGCTCGAAGCCGTCTCAACCACTGTCTCCCCAGAGACCGCCGCTCCGTTCCCGATCCCCGAATTCAAGATCGGCACGCTAGATGCCCTCGTTCAGCAAGCAGATGAACTAGCCAAGCTCGAGGCCTCCTGCCAGAGCGTGGTGGGGAAGGTCGGCGATGCGCTGAAGAACATCCTCGAAGGGGACGAGGCGCAAATCGAGCAGATGAAGGTCGTCAATGATAGTACGTTGTGGTCTTCTTGCCTGTGAGGGCCTTGGGTAGCTTGGTTCTGACTGTCCGATACAGAGCCTGTTGACCAGTACCTGCGAACTTTCCAATGGAATAAAGTCAAATACAGGGCTGATAAGCCCTTGGCGGAGCTGATTGATCTGCTGCAGAAGGTCCGTACCCCCCGCTTACAGCACCTAGCATAAGATCAATAGATCTGGAAAAAAATAGAGGGGCGCTCACTTGTGGAGTATATGCTAACCTCATGCTAGGAAGCCGCCAGTATCGACAGCGACATCAGGCAAAAGTACACTCAATATAACCAGGTCAAGAATACGCTATCTACACTGCAGCGGAAGCAAACGTACGTGGTTCTTCGTCTGAACAGATGAAAAGGAACTCAGCTGACCCTACCCTACAATAGCGGAAACCTCTCTACCAAGTCCCTCGCCTCGGTGGTCGACCCGAAATCTATCATCCAGAACTCCGATTACATTGAAACCCACCTCATCGCCGTGCCCGCACAACTAGTCAAAGACTTCCTCCAGAGCTATGAAACGGTTGCCCCCATGGTGGTTCCCCGGTCTGCGCAATTGGTTGCTCAGGATAGCGAGTTCACTCTCTACGCCGTGACTGCATTCAAAAAGCACAACGTGGAGTTCGTGCACAAGTGTCGCGAGCAGAAGTGGATTCCCCGTGACTTCAAGTACGTCGAGGGCGGGAAGGAGGAGGAGCGCAAGGAGGTCGAGCGCGTGGGTGGCGACGAGCGTAAGGTCTGGGGCGAGACATTACGACTTGGGCGCACTGCGTGGAGTGAGGCTGTCATGGTCTGGGTTCACATCCTGGTCTTGAGGGTCTTTGTTGAGACTGTCCTGCGGTATGGACTACCTTTGGACTTTGTCTGCGCTTTAGTCAGGGTATGTATCTGGGACTCACTTTTCAGCCTCTCTCGCATTCGGAAATCGCTAACTGGAGACTACAGACGCCCAACGCCAAGCAGGCAGACCGCGCGAAGCAGAACCTCGAAAATAAGTTTTCTTACCTGGCTGGCAATGCCTTTGGGCGCGACAAGAAGGGCCGCATGCAGCGCGATGATCCTGGGGAGATGCATGCTACTGGAGAGGGCAGCGCGGAGTACACGCCCTACGTCTTTTATGAATTCGAGTTCAACTGATCCGAGGCATTGCGGTCATATACCGGGAGTCCGAAGTACATTACAAGCTAGCATTGAACATTTTTTCCAATATTCCCAGCCCGAGCTTTAGATTTGCTGCAGTCGCATTCGCCTTTGTATACACCAAGTTAACATTCAATGTCTGGGATGGGGCGGTGATAGCCTCTCTCTAGATGTGTCTTTTATTGGGCCAGAGAAGAGAACATACTCTACGGGGTATAAGATGAATGGTATGCGGAGTACTCCGTAGCATTGGGGTCTATAGATCGGAGATATCAGATATGATTGGAGGCTGGACCCTCCAGAAAGGCCAAATCAGAGGAACTAAACCAAGTCGATTAATACAATTGCTGCTCTCTCAACATGTCAACTCGTTTATAAGTACAAAAAAGTCCAAATCAAAAGTACTACGTAAAATCTCAAACTCGCCGACTGCCAAGTAAAAAGTGAAGATGCCGAGGTAAAAACAACCTCAACCACTCTTTTGCCTCAACGCTTCTTCTAGAATTTGACGGCCTAGACATCCACTCTTTTAATAGCCTTTTTTTTTTTTTTTTTTTCTTGATCATGTTCCGTCTGCCTAAATCCTCTTCTCTCTCTCCTTTCTCTTTCCCCCGACTTCAGCGCCCAGCTTACCGATCATTCTCCGGTTCCCCGAAACGGCCTCAGTACAAAACCTACTTTTCAGGTCCGCCGTCCCTTTCTCAGTGAGATCCTTTTGATTCTAATCCGCCTGCAGAAAACCAGACTGCTTCCTCTTCGTCTCGGCCCCGTCCGTTCCGCTTCGTCCTCCGCATCTTAGGATTCGGCACCATCGCAGTATTCGCCTTCAGCGCCGGCCTTTCCTTCCAAAGTTTCCGCACCCTTAACCGCATCATGGCGGCTCCCATTCCTACCAACGAAGAGACCCTCACGGCCTTCCAGGCCCCGGACGCCTGGTCCGCAGAGATCGATGCGACCCTTCGCACCCACGCCGAGGCCGAGGCTCTCCGCGCCAACCCGGACTTCACAGAAGCGCGTCCCCATCACAAGATCCCCGAGACCTTGCGGGCTCGCAGTTTGACTGCGGGCACGCTGGCGGGACCCGGAAAGATCGTGGTTCCTCCCTACGTGTTTAGTGAACGCGACGGCAAGAGCATGGTGTCGCTGATGTATCTGGGCTCCGATGTCTGCGGGCACCCCGGCATCGTGCACGGCGGTCTACTGGCTACATTGTTGGACGAGGGCATGGCCCGGTGCTGTTTTCCAGCACTCCCTAATAAGGTCGCCGTGACGGCGAACCTGAATATTGATTACCGGGCTCCCGCGATGGCGGACCAGTACGTGGCCCTCCGTGCGGAGACTATCAAGGTGGATGGTCGCAAGGCGTGGGTGGAAGGACGCATTGAGACTCTACCGCTTGATGGCTCTGCGCCTGTGGTCTTGGTTGAGTCGAAGGCCTTGTTCATTGAGCCCAGGCAGGCTGCTGTAAGTGTCTACGGTCTATATGAAACGATATGGATCCAACTAACTAACTACTATAGGCATTGGCAAATCTGCACAAGGTGGCAAACTGAGTGGCGTCTGGTTCCTGGTTCCTGTTCTTTCTGTAAATATATTTCCAAGCCAATAATAGACCTTAATTCGAAGCAACGAAGTCCAAAAGGACCCAAAACAGCAGAAGCAGTCGACGTAAAAAAAGAGAAAAACGCGATTGCCAAGGAATGGCGCAACCCCCGCGGATCAGCGAAATCGCTCTGACGCGGCCCCGTTTTAACTTGCCCCTCCATACTCTTTCTACTTTTCCCTTTTCTCTTTCTTTTTCTATTCTATCTTTGACTCAATTCCTTACACAATGGCTACGTATTATCTTCACCCTTTTCTCTCACATATGGCGCAATGGAACTAACATCTACTAGCAACATCACCTTCCACGCCAGCGGCCTCACTCGTGCCGAGCGCACCGAGCTGCGCAAGCAGCAGGGTCTCACCATCTGGTTGACCGGTCTCTCCGCCTCCGGCAAGTCCACCATTGCCGTCGAGCTCGAGCACCAGCTCGTCCGTGACCGCGGTGTGCACGCCTACCGCCTGGACGGTGACAACATTCGTTTCGGCCTGAACAAGAACCTGGGCTTCAGCGAGGCCGACCGCAACGAGAACATCCGCCGCATCGGTGAGGTCTCCAAGCTGTTCGCCGACTCCAACTCCATCGCCATCACCTCGTTCATCTCCCCCTACCAGAAGGACCGTGACAGTGCCCGTCAATTGCACGAGGTGCCCACCCCCGGTGAGGAGACCGGTCTTCCTTTCGTTGAGGTCTACATCGACGTGCCCGTCGAGGTTGCCGAGCAGCGTGATCCTAAGGGTCTCTACAAGAAGGCTCGCGAGGGTGTCATCAAGGAGTTCACCGGTATCTCTGCTCCCTACGAGGCTCCTGCCAACCCCGAGGTTCACATCAAGAACGTGGACCTCCCCGTTGTCGATGCTGTTAAGCAGATCATTGAGTACCTTGACTCCAAGGGCTACCTTCCTGCCAAGCAGTAAGCGGCTTACTGTCTGACATTTTATGATTGTATTTATGATTGTATCTACCTTTTTTGCTTTTCATATACAAGAATCCTGTACAGCGGATTGGACATGGTGTTTTGTGATTTGATTCCCCTCCAGCTTTGCTCGGCTTTGCCCAGCTTCGCTGTACATGTTGGACCTTTAGATTGCTTTGACAGTTAAGATTGAACATCTTGAAAGGGCTATCCTCTCCAATGGTCTGTAGTGGCTGCCGAAGTCGGTATTCGTAGGTGTATGGCGCCCAACCAGTTATGATAATAACCTGGACTGGTTACCAACTTACCATTATGCCCATCATGTCAACATGGGAACATGTTATTGTTTTAGGGAATTGAAGGTCTTCTTCTTTGTATCCCTGACTTTATTCTCAAACATTTTGAACTACTTTCAAGGATATAATCAGACAGTGATAGTTAAGAAGGGGCTTAAACTATCTAATGGATAGCTTCGGAGGGTTGAAACTATGCGTAGACGTAAGATTGTATGGATTGTTACAAATTGATCTTGTTAGGTAACTTGAATCAATTGAGAATAGTCAGAAATTGTAGTTAATATAGTCAACAAATGGAAATATAGAATCAACATCTTGATCTATACGAGGCAGGTATTTTGGCGGGTGTGAATAGCTTCACTATCACCACACGCCGATTACAATACTTGGTACAGAGCGGTGTAAGAGACAGTCTAGCATGAGACAGTCTCAGGTATCCTCGAGTATCTTCAGGTATCCCGAACAGTTGACTCTTGGGTGCTATTGACCTTCGTATATTTGTCAGTGGTTGCGTTTCCAATTCCCCTCCGGGCCTGAGATCTCACAGCTACACGGCATTCCGAGCTTGAATACACGTAGCACAAGGCATGCAATGCAGTGACTCGTGAGATGCAAACTGTGAGAGAGCACCCCACGGGGGCAAACAAGGGCACATACCAGGCAGGCGCGCTGGGGAAGGGATAAAGCGCATTTCCCAACTCTCTCGACTCGTGTTTTTACCCATCGCTCGACAATGCACAAGCTGCTCTTCTTGTCAGCTGGCGTGCTGGCTCACGCAGCTCACGCGTATGATGTGCTTCAATATATCAACCCCTTGATCGGTAGCGCCAACGGAGGTACGCTCATAGAGCAATAGCAACAATGTGCAGGTAATAACATCTCCAGGAAATGTCTTCCCCGGCGCCTCACTGCCCTATGGCATGGCCAAGGCCGTGGCCGATACAGACTCTGGTAGCAACCAGGGAGGCTTCGCCTACGAAGGTGGCAGCGTTACCGGTTTCTCCAGCATGCACGACTCTGGCACTGGAGGAAATCCCTCACTGGGAAACTTCCCTCTCTTTGCTCATGCCAATTGCGTCAGCGATGATGTGAATGGTTGTGTTTACCCCAAGAACCAGCGGAAGATTAAATACAAGTCTGAATCCGTCCAGGCGCATCCAGGATACTTTAACATTGAGTTGGAATCCGGTGTCCAGGTCGATATGACCACTGCTCACCATACATCTCTATTCCGGTTCCACTTCCCAAAGGATAGCAAGCCTTTGGTCCTTTTGGATCTTACCGATTTGTCCAACTCTCGACAGGATAATGCAACGATCTCTGTGGACAAAGAGACAGGTCGTATGTCGGGCGATGCCCGATTCGCGCCTAGCTTTGGGTCGGGAACGTATACCTTGCACTTCTGTGCGGACTTCAAAAGCGCAACAGAACAGTGGGAGAACGGAATCTTCGTCAATTCGCGTGCCAGCTCTGACGTCCATGATCTGAAGATCTCGCGAAGCATCAATGGCTATCCGCTTCCAGTGAGTAAACAGAATGCCTCCAGCTAGAACGCTAACTAATCTTCGCTAGGGTGGTGGATTTGTTCATTTCAAGCAAGCAACGGACACAGTCTTAGCTCGGGTGGGCGTTAGTTTCATGAGCACCGAACAGGCGTGTGCTCATGCTGAGGCTGAAATCCCCGATTTCGACTTCAACTCAACTCATCAAACAGCAGTCGATCAATGGACCGAGAAGATGCAGCCAATTCGAGTCTCTCGAACCAATATTAATGACTCCGTGCTCACCAACTTCTACAGTGGAATCTATCGAACTATGATCAACCCCCAGAATTATACCGGGGAGAACCCGCTCTGGCAGAGCAGCGAGCCGTATTTTGATTCCTTCTATTGCCTATGGGACTCTTTCCGCTCTCAGATCCCATTCCTCACAATCTTCGACCCAAGCTCGGTGATCCAGATGGTTCGCTCGCTCATTGACACGCAGCGCCATTTGGGCTGGCTGCCAGACTGTCGCATGTCTCTCTGCAAAGGTTACACGCAGGGTGGCTCCAACGCTGATAACATCCTAGCAGATGTCTATCTGAAAGGTCTCCGGGATGGTATTGATTGGGGCGCCGGATATGCAGCCGTTCAGAAGGACGCTGAAGAGGAACCGTATGACTGGTCTAACGAAGGCCGCGGCGGCCTGCAAAGCTGGAAGAATCTCCACTATATCCCCGTGGAAGACTTTGACTATGAAGGGTTTGGCACGATGACTCGAAGCATCTCACGGACTCTGGAGTATTCATATAATGACTTTGCCATTTCGCAAATGGCCCATGGTCTCAACAAGACAGCCGACGCTCAGCGGTATGAGCAACGATCTCGGAATTGGCAAAATCTGTTCAAGAAGGACCAGAAATCATCTTGGAAGGGCAACGACACCGGCTTCACGGGCTTCTTTCAGCCAAAGTACTTGAATGGAACATGGGGATTCCAGGATCCCCTCGCGTGTTCCAATATCGACAACAGTGGCGCTGCATGCTCCCTGCAGAACACCGCTGGCGAGACATTTGAGTCCAGCATCTGGGAGTATCAATTGTGAGTTGTATTCCCCTGTAGAAAATCACCTCTTCTAACCCTCCAATCCAGTTTCGTCCCCCACGACATGTCAACCCTCATCACCCTCCTCGGCGGCCCGGACAACTTCGTCCGCCGCCTAGACCACCTTCACGACCAAAATATCACGTATATTGGTAACGAGCCGGCCTTCCTCACTGTCTTCCAATACCACTATGCAGGTCGCCCAGGAAAATCCACTTCTCGAGTGCGCACCTACATCCCAGACTACTTCTCACCCACGCCAGCGGGGCTTCCGGGCAATGACGACAGCGGTGCAATGGGCTCATTCGTCGCCATGGCCATGATGGGCCTATTCCCAAATCCTGGACAGGACGTCTATCTTCTCACTGTGCCTTTCTTCGAGTCCGTCAGCATCATCTCGCCTATCACAGGTAAGAACGCTACATTGAGTGTTTCCAACTGGGCGGAATACAATACCGCAAATGTCAGTGGTGCTGCAGTCGGTGGAGATGGGTTCATTCAGTCTGCAACCCTTAATGGAAAGCCGTATTCCCGAAACTGGGTCGGTCATGATTTCTTCACTGAGGGAGGGGAGCTGGTTCTTGTTCTTGGGAAAGAGGAAGGTGACTGGGGAACAAAGCCTGAAGACCTGCCGCCCTCTCTTTCCGGTGGCTCTTCTGGTGTTGACCAAGAATCACTTGCGGTTCGTGAGCGCAGATGGGATAGCTTGGACGGGGATATTGAAGGTTTTGTTTCTAAGCGCTCCTTGCATCTCGATGGTCACGCCCGTAGGGCTCATCTTGGTCAAGGCTAGTTGTAGTATTTGAGGACGGACAATCGAGGCACAGGTACTTTGCTCTTCATTTTATTGGTAAAATCCAAATTGTACAATTTACCCCTGTGGACTTGAGTTGTTCCTTCAAATCCCCTTGAAAGACTGAGGTATGGCACATGTGGAACCTTCCAATGTTGGAAGTTGAAGTGCGCATTTAGCCCTAAAAGCTATGAAATTGTACCAAAGCCACTCCACTCAAGGAATCATCCATCCTATGAGAGCATGACAAGTCCAAAATAAGAGCCATTAGGTTACTCTCATATCCATAGAAAGTTGAAGAATTGATTGTTTTTTGAAATTGATTCGTAAAATCGGATATATACAAGGGTAAATCACAAACGCTAGTCTTTCACCCAAACTTCTTTCTCTTTTAAAGAAGACCCAGAAAAGGGCAATTCAATTCAATGCAGTCACTCTTCTATGAAGGACGGTGGAACTTGCTCTCGACCCAAGGCATACCGCCAACAGTAGCCTTGCGCACCTTGTTGCGAACCTTGACACCAAGTTCAGTGCCCTTCTTGTGAAGGCCCTGCTTGACATATGCCATGGCAATGTTGGTGCCATTGAGAGACGGGCTGGGCAGACCGGAGGTAACAACGCCGACCTCGACAATGTTGGCAGGGTCCGAGATATCAACAACGGTGGCACCCTCGCGAGCCGGTGGGCCCTTCTCGACGGTCAAACCAACGCGGCGCTGGGGGATGGTCTTAGGGCTGGCGATCTGGGATAGAATGGTGGAAGCTCCATTGAAAGTGGCGTTTGCCGCATCACGGCGGTCACGGCCAACGACCCAGCCGAGCGCGGCGGCTGGGGGTGTCTGGGAAGTGGAGATGTCGTGGCCGTAGAGACACATGCCAGCCTCGAGACGCAGAGAATCACGGGCGGCAAGGCCAGCAAGACGGCTTTTGCTGCTGTCTGCCACAAGGAGTTCGGTGACTTGCTGGGGCAGGTTCGGGGCACCTGAGGTCGGAATGGAGATCTCGAAGCCGTCTTCACCGGTGTAGCCGGTGCGGGAAATGAGAAGAGGGTGAGCAGTTGCACTGCCATCGGGAAGAGTAAGGTAAAGCTCGCGGCAGTTGCCAAAATAGAGGGTGCTCAGATCGGTTTCGGATTGGGGGGTGTTGGCGGTGTTGATGAGCGGTTGAAGAACGGAGGCGGCGAGGGGTCCCTGCAGCGCGACAAGAGCGCGGTCGGAGAGAATGTCCCACTTGATGCTGTCGGCACCATTCTTGGCGCGGTAAGCTTCAATCTCAGCAGTAAGGAAGGCCAGATCCTCGGTGCGGCGGCCAGCGTTGGTCACGAAGTAGAAAGTGTCTTCGGTGCGGCGAGTGATCACGCAGTCGTCGACCATACCTCCGGTGCCTTCTTCGAGCAAGCAAGACAGAGTGGAGGTGTTAGGGGTGAGCTTATCGACAGATGAAGGAGTAATCTTTTTCAACAGCTCGGCAGCTCCAGGGCCGCTTAGGTGGTGTTGGACCCTGATGAAATAGGCTCCGGTCAGCCATTGCAAACGAATTGAGGGTTGGAATTAGTCAACTTACATGTGGCTGACGTCGAAAAGACTGGCTTTCTCGCGCGTCCAGAGATGACTCTCAACATGGCTCATGTCGGAGTATACGAGTGGCATATCAAAGCCCGCGAAGGGGACCATCTTAGCCCCACGCTCCACGTGCAAGTCAAACAGCTGGGTTTTGCTGAGAGGCTCGGTCGAGTTAGACGCATACCGCACGGCCTGAGACGCGGACTGCGAAGTCGCAGCTGCCACTGGCGCATTGGATCTCAATGGCCGAAGAGCAGTTGGCCGCACGATAGCCGCGGAGGAGAGCTCCCGCCGAAGCAGAGTGGAGCCGATAGAAGCGCGGGGAGCGTGTAGGGCGACCCTCGCGGCGGCGAGGTCAACACCTCGGGTGAGAATACGGACGCTGGACATAGTGTATAAAAACGAGAGCAACCAGATTGACAAAAGAGAGAAGGAAAAAAGAGAAGGAAATGGAGCATAAAAGAGGTCGCCAAACCACGGGGAAGGCATTGCGGGAAAGTCACGTGGTGATAGGCGGAGAGCTGCTTGTCCGAGCAGCGCAGCCGATCGTCGGGAAGCTCCACGGCTCTCGCTGGAGAGCTCGTTTGGTGGCTATCTTATAGAATGGCTTCTAAGGGACTCATTCTACATTGCGATGGTAGAACAGATTGCTCAGATGGTCCATAAAGTGCGGACTGACTCCATATACTATATAACGTCGAATAAATATAGAAACAAGCCCCGACCTTCAAACTCCCAACCTATACAGTAGGAACATTGGGATAGAACAAACTATTGCCGAAGCAAGTGTTACCCCAAGCGCAAAAGATGGGCTGTTCCAAGGCGAAGAGCAAGACTAGCTGCCTATCACTTGGTAGAACCCGGTCATCACGGTCATAAAAGTCCCTAGAGCCCAAGCCCCCGGGTAATGGTAATTAAACAAGAAACATGCAGAGTCTGAAATGCAAATGAAGTTCTGATCCCGCCCTGCGGAGATTTATAGGCCATTACTGGCACAGGTGAATACACCACCCACAGTGCCCTCGCGGTAACTGGTAACCACAGCCATAACGGAAGCCTGAGAAGGGTCAGTAACAGAGTCAAATCTGCAAGGCTTGTCATAGCCTGCTATGGTGGAAAAAGTGATAAAAACTTACGTATGTGCCAGGTCCCAAGAAGAAGAATCCAACAAGAATCAAGAAGACGTTAAAGATAGCACCGAGCCATCCACGAATGCCACGGACCATGTAGAAACGGGGTCCGTGGTCCTCAGCCCGCATGCGAAGATAGGCTGTACCCCAGAAGATGAAACCGAAGAAGGAATCGAACAGGGAACTCATAATGGACAACAGGTCAGAGAAGAAGGGGATAACCTCGGCAATGATCCAAGCAGCGATCCAGAGAGCTGCGAGGATGGCAGCCCAGGAAGCCCAACCAACCACAGTGTTGTTACTCTTGTGGCGGCTACCTTCAAACAAACGGAAGAAGATGAATCTAGCTGAGACCGAGGCGTACAGCACGCCCAGGAAAATGATGGTTGGAATCATGAATGAGAAGGAAACCTTCTTGAAAAGGTCATCGCCAATGGATCCGAACGCCGGAGCAACCATGTACTGGTTTCCGACATAAACATAGGTGACCGCACCGACCAGACTGAACACAATAATCTCCGCGACCGTCACAGCGGTCACGGCCTTCCAAAAGTCGCGTGGCTCCTTCATCTCCGCGATGAAGCTGGGAAGGGTGATTTGACCAATGAAGGTGTAGCTGATGTTCAAGAATGCGTTCATGCCCTGCACAAAGGTTGTTCCCTTGGCTGGGATAGCGAGAACAATTGGGTTTCCAGTGGCGGGGGTGTAACCTTTGGGGTGGTCTTCGATTCCGGCAAAGACGCATGCCAAGATGACAGAAATGAAGGTGAAGAATGCCGATAGTGTTGCAACTTTAGACAACGTGCTGAAAGTACGCGGCAGCGAAAAGAAGAATGAAATGATCGCAACGATAGCGGCAAATGCAACGGTGCACACTGCTCCGTTAGACATTGTGTTCAGATACTCAGCACCGACCACACAGTGTAGACCCTGGATGAAGGTGTTGTTGAGAAGGAACATGACTGCCGTGGCCCACCAAGCAATCTTGGAATCCCAGAAGAGGTATTGGCCAATATCGCAAACATCACGGACTTCCGGATGTCTTAAGCAGAATCTCCTATGAACTTGTTAGCACCTATTATCCAAGGAAGGCCACAGGAGAAATAGTGGAATAGTGAGGCCATACCAAGTAATCAATGAGGTGTACAAGACAATGCCGGCAATGACCACAGTGCAAATCAAACCTGGGACCAGACCCAGAATTGAATATGACCAAGGGAAGGACATGATAGCCAAGCAAATGTACTCAGAGAAGAGCAATGCAGCGGTCTGTGACCAAACAATTAAATTAGTAAATTGGCCATGGCTCTTCCTGCTCGAAAGCTCAATTTGGGCGCACCTTTTGCCAACTACAAGTGCGGTACTTGATTGTGTTCTCCGATTCCATCTCGATCTGGCGACCAACGCGTTCTGTCGTAGAGGAGCCATCGATGGCAGTGACATGATGGCGAGAGTCGCGGCGCCCCTGGCCCTCGACGTCGAAATCCTTGAGCTTGGGATCTTGCTCGGTTTTGTCGGAGAGCTCTGGGGACGTATTGGAAGTCCGGTCGTGGTCCCAGCCGGCGGGCTTTGTTGATTCATTTAACCCAGCCATGATCTGAGAGAGAGCGGATGAGTCCCGCTGGGGCAACTCTGTGGAGTTGAGACGAGATGTTTAAATCTGCGAATGCATGTAATCCTTTGGACTCTGCGGTAAAGAGTGAGACGAGCAACCTTTTTGGGGAGTGGTAGAAATGTCGATCATTTACCTTCAAGATTGAAACTTCGCCCAAAGATTGAGTGAAAGATCTGGCGAGAGAAAACTGGACGGATTAGGGCAAATGCGGGTACTCGAGGTATCGAGGTAGTATTCGCTGGGCAAGATCGCAATCCCAAGCTTGGGAGAGGAGAGAGGTCTGGTTTAAAGGGAAAAGAGGAAAACGAACTAAGACCCAAAAGATCCAAAGTCAAGAGAAGAAAGAGATTTGAGAAAATAAATTAAAATTAAAAAAAAAAAAAAAAAAAAAAGGATGAGCCAAGAAGGTCAGCGACAGTATCGAGTATTGTACGGAGTACGGAGTATGGAGTGCTCTGTACGGAGTACACAAGGTACCAGTAGATTGCGGTATGGAGCCATACGCCGCCAGTCGAACCGGAAAAAGAACGAGAAAAACCTGTCGATCGCATGTTGACAGTGACGTGATGGACCGCCGCCGCAATGGGCGGCGTCAGCCACGGCTTGAAGTTAAGCAGCGCCAAGGGACGTTCAAGATTTTGTGCCCAGAGAGCGATCAGACCTCGACATCCATGAATGGAAGCTGGATCCAGTCAGATTTGATCCGTCCTGAATAGTCAATGATCATCCCATTGCTCTTCTTGTGCAGCCAACTTCCGATCTGTCTCATTACTGGACTCGGACTCGGCAGCAAGGGGGGCTGCGCACGCGGTCACCGCGAGAGCTAAGATTGATTGGCGCTTCAGCCCCCACTGGGGCATGTCGGTTGCGCCCATCATATCACGTTCATTATGCTGTAGGGACAGTGGGTCCTGACGGCCCCGCATGCGGGCAAATGAAGGCCCCTTCTGTTCAGGGAGTGCCCCGGTCGGGATCGGAATCCATGCATACCGTGCACCGAAAACATGGAACGTGGAACTAGATTGGAAGGTCGAAGTTGGCGCCAGTTGGAAAGTTGAACAGGGCAAAAATGTCAATTGGCTGATGGTGAAATCCAAGGTCCGAAGTGTTTGAGTTGGGAAATCTCAAAAGTTGCTGATGTCAGCAGCCTTATCCGTCTTATCAGCCTATCGGTCTTATCGGTCTTATCAACTTTATCAACTCCCGAGGTCTACTCCTGGCCCTGGACTATTTCGAAGTACACAGCTTTGGTTTGGAACTACAAGATCATAGTGTATGAAATATATCTCAAGGTTATTATATTAAAGCCTCATAATCTGGTGACTTTTGAGACCACTTTCTCGCCCCAAAATGACTACTGGGTCAATCGGGTAAATAGCGGAATTGAATAATAGTACTTCGTACTTGACGCAACAATCAATTAGTCTTTATAGATCATACACCATACAATTTATACCTGAGCCTTGTTCATACACGAAGTATATTGCAGTGACTTGCGACTAGATCAATCTCATCTGGAAACTCCTTTACGATACCTTTCACCAGCCGTACATAAGCTAATACTAGCGGAACGGCCTGGCCTCATTGCGTGCGAACCCGCAGCGATGGCATCAACACTCCACAATTGCCACGGAGCTGACCGAACAAGCTTATTTAATTTGTGTGTAGCTCTCTGGCGTGCTTTGCCTCCTTGCCGAAAGCCGAGCTGCAGGTTCTTCCCTAAAATCGGGTCACCCTGCGCTTTACTCCGTACTAGTGCTCCTACTCCCTACTCCTAGCTCCGGGTCTGAATAGGGAAATCGTCTGGATATTGTATCAGTATTGGCCACGCACAGAGTCGCGCCAATTGAATGTAATAGATATCGGATATCTAGGTATAGATGACATTGAATAAAACATGAAGGGAAAAAAAAAGGGAAAAACATGGTAGCCCACAGCAACTCCAAATGCGAGATTGAAACTTTTTGGCCCCCAATGGAGGCTGCCAGAGTCAGAAAGATGGTCCAAGTCGATATACAGATTACATTCCGTCGTCGTCGTCGGCCAGGAGCGCCGCGTAGTCGTCCGCAGAGGCGAAAGTAGGCAGCTGCTTGAGCTTGCGGCGCTTCTTGCTGTTGGACTCTTCCGGAGCAGGGACCTCGGGCTCTGCGAGCGCCGCACCACCAATCTCCATGTCGGAGGGAAGATCTTCGTCGCTGTCCAGGAAGGCCCCGTCGTCCGAAACGTCCATGTCGAAGTCGTCGGAATCCTCCTCCTCGTCCTTGGACGGTTTCTTGGCGGCCTTCTTCGACTTGGCGGGAGCAGCTTCTTCGAGCTCGCTGAAGTCGGCCATCTCCTCGTCCTCGTCGGAGGGAACGTCGGACTCGTCGTTGAAGATGACACCGCCATCCGACTCGTCGTCGCCCTCTCCGTCCTCTGCATCGAATGCCGATTCCAAGTCGGACATATCCAGATCGTCGTCGCTCTCGTCGGCTTCCAACTCGGGGCGAGAATCGACCAGCGCTTTCCAAATTTCGTCCTCGTTGTCGCTGATACCCTCTTCGTCTCCATCTTCACGATCGGTATCCTTGCCCTTCTTGACGCGGGTCTTCTCCTTGTCCTTGTTGACACGGGTGAAGTACTCGTGGAAGAAGACGTCCTCGGCAGCAACGTCCTCGGCCTTCTTCTTCCAAAAGGCGTCGGTGTTGAGTGGCAGTTGGTTCTGAGCCTTCTTGCCGGCCTCCACCAATCGATCGACAGTATCACCGCCAGCGAGGGGCTGCATGATAGAAGCGCCACGAGCACCGGCATTGGCCTTGGGTGTGCGGTAGACGAAGCGGTCGAGGAAGTGAGTGAGCGTGTGCAAGGTCAGGTCTGGCTTGCCGCTCATGGGCTTGTGTTCGAGCAGATTGCTGGCATTGAGAGAAACGGAGGGATGGAAATGGTTGGTGAAGGGTAGCAATTCCCAGAGACAGCTTCGGTCAGCATTGCTGTGCTCGGGGTCTCGCTTGCGAGGATCGTATGCGTTGGATTGCTTAGGCTTGGTCTCAACAGCCGGGACTTCCTCGGGCTGCTCGTCATCCTCGTCAGGAACATCGCGGAAGATCTCTTCCTCGTCATCATCAAGTTCCTCGGGTTGATCGACCAGGGCGGTGAGACCTGTGAAGGTCTTCTCAAGCTCACGGATCATGTAGAAGATACCGCAGATGAACGAGGGCTGGTGCATGCCAAGGACCTGCACAAGACGCTTGACGAACGCCTTGACTCGTCGTACGTTGAGATCGTTCTTCAGGGCTTTGTAGAGGAGGTTGAGGTAAAGCGATTGCTTTGATGAGGTAGTCACACGTGGGTCAAGCAGAGATTCGTACAAAGTGCGGTAGAAACGATCACCGGAGACCTTGTTGGCCACCGTGAGTTGTTGAATGAGCATGAGAGCTTGAATGCTGGTGTTGAAGTTGGACGAGTGCGTGATGCGGAAGAGGGTATCAAGATGCTTTGACATGCTGTTCAAGGTTAGTATATAGCCCTCAAATGAATTGAAACACAGGAGAGCAAAAAACTTACCGATCGGAATCGGAGTCAGTGAAGGGATAAGCACGGTTGACACCAGTCAAGACTCCAGAGATCAACTTCTCCCGCATTTCCTCGTCTTGTGCTTGGCCCTTTGCTTCATCATCGCCCTTACCCTTGTGGCCCTTTCCGGGCTTGCCGCGCTTGGGTGGAGGGGCTGGCTTGCCTGCGGGCTTTAGGAGAACAAGGAAGAGACCAAAGTAGATGTCCAGCAATTGAGCAGCCACCTTCTCCTCCTTCTGTCTCAGGATGGTTTGGTTCAAAGTAATAATGGCATAGTACTTGGTGTGCGAGCTCTGACCAGGGCGGAACAACACCTCTTCCACTGACTTAATGATAATAGGCTTCATCATAGGATGCGACTGCATGAGTTGCAGAAGAAGGTAAGACGCTCGAGAGGCGATTTTCTTGCCCGGGTCACCAAGCTTGTTGACCAGCAGTCGCAGGAGGTTGTTCTCTTGCTCGGGCTTCTCCTTGAGCAGTTCGTAGACATAACTCACGGCTCGGGAGCGGGAGAACTCGATTTCGTCGTTACACCAAATTTCCAAAATCTTCAAGACCTCGAAGAATTGATCCTTCACAATGTTCTCAAAGGCCCAAACAATCAGCTGGCTCTTCTTCAGACCACCGGGAAGAGGGTCCTTCTCGTTCCATCGACCACCGGCGCCTTGGAATGCTGCCACAAGCCCGGGTTGGTTGGCGAACGCCCTCAGTCGTCGGTCGTTGGGCAAGAGAGTACCCTGGGCGAACATATCCTTCAATGATCGCAGAACTTCGACTGCTTGCGCACGACTGCGCTTCTTTCCAAGGCCAATTAGGGTTTCCAGCGCCTTGGTGTTGTGGAGGGGTGATTCTTGGACGTTCAAAGTCAATGCTGAAATCTTATCGCTCAGGGTACCGGATGTCATGATGGTCGAGTAGAACTTGTGTGATGAGGAAGCGGAGGTTCTTTGAGCTACCGCATATTCCTCGTTTTCCTCCTGGAGTAGGTTGTTGGCCAACTCGTGGACGCGGTCGATCAGGTGGCGCGGCAGTGCATTCATTTGTTTTGTGTCAGGGACAGAAGGCATGGGAATATTGTACCAATCGGAACGAGGAAGGACATTCTGTCAGGTAATACGTTAGCAGAGTTATCGTAGCGCTGAAATAAGCCGCAACTTACCAATTTTTGAAACTCCTTGGGCAGAGCAAGCTCGGGTTTGGCCTTGTGAGCAGGCTCTTCCTCAATGTCCGACTCTGGGCCGCTGCTCTCAGCATTGTCCTCGCTATCCTCGGCATCCACTTCCTCGTCGCTTTCTTCCTCGTCCTCAACATCTTCAACTTCATCGTCTGCAAGATCCTCGGGCACAACGTGGCCAGCAGCATCCAGCATACTTGCGAGTTGCTTTCGGAGGTCGTCATCTCCTTTGGCTGTTTCGCCTTCAACCTCCGACTCCGAGTCGACTCCGGCAAGAAGATCTAGATCTTCTTCTGTGCCTCCCATAGCAAGGATCTCCTGGCGCAGCGTTTCCTCACTGCTGAGCTTCTTTGATCCCTTCGGCTTATCCTGTTGATCCTTTCCACTCTTCTTTTCAACTCGGGCAATTGGCTCGCCATTGCGATCCCGCTTCTTGCTTTGAGCGGCGTCTTGGGGTCGGCTGGGCTTGGCGGGGGGTGGCTTTCCTTTCTTGTCGGAAGTATCTTTTGAAGGCACGGGAGCCTTGTTATTGTTGTTCTTCTTTCCCTTGCCAGAATTCTGGTTCTGGTTCTTCAAGCGCTGTTCGATTTTCTGTCGCAGACCTGCGAAAGCACTTTCGTCGGGCATCACGGTGCTCTCGGCAGCAGGAGCTGCAACCGCAGCTGCGGGCGCAGCCTCATTTGCGTCCGAGGAGCGCTTTCCTTGCCCTTTAGCCATGATGTGGTGTGTTTGGGGGTGGTGGAGGAAAGAAAATTGGACGGAGAAATCTTTTGCGGTTATCAGAACGCTCGGACCAGCCCGATAAGAAACATGGGAGACTCCCGGCTCCACGTATTTTTCTACTGCGCCAGCTGTTCCATCGTGAACGGAACATCTGCCTTTTTGCATTCATCATTTCGATGATCTCTAGACTGCAGCCTACTCTGGGGCGCTTACCCTCAAAAGGGTTAGCATTCAGTCTCCACGCTCAGCGGTGCAATCTTCATGTGCGCGCTCAGAACCTAGATCCAATCAAGTCAATCGCGAATACTGATATATTATAGATTGATGGGCGAACCCGAGTGTCCAATTTCTGGATTCCTACAGGGGGAATATCCAAAAAACCAATTGATGGTGAAAAGGGTGCGGCTTTTGATATCTCCAAGATGGTTCTCACCAACACTAACACCGCTTAGAGGATGCCAATGATTTGCTTGTACGCGGTGGCTTTCTTCGTCAGGTAAGAACATGTTTTCTTTGATATGTATCAATATGATTGACTGTTCTGCAGGCATATTCTGGGGTGTTTCATTTGCTTCCACTCGGACTGCGCGTTCAGGATAAGCTAGAACGACTAATTGACAAGCACATGCGCTCCCTGGGTAAGCGGTACTTTTTCGATGACAAGATGGCTTTGAATTCCAGCTTATCTCTGTCATTATAGGTGCTTCCAAAGTATCTCTATCGTCGCTATCGTCGCAGGAACTTTGGGAACAGTCAGGTCGACTAAGTGAAGGCTCAGAAGTAAGTTGACTATTCACACGTTTAGGGTATCCTGCTAACACTGTAGCCAGTTATTTCGATTCAAGGACAGGAAAGAAACTCCATTCCTCCTCGCGCCGACTCACGAGGAAGAAATCACCACTCTTGTTGGCAATCTGACAACTTCTTACAAGAGCTTGCCTTTGCGAGTATATCAAATCTGTGAGTCTTGGATTAAATTATATAGGGCCCCACATGTTGGCTAACATGCTTTCACCAAGCACGCAAATACAGAGATGAGGCCCGACCAAGGCAAGGCCTTCTTCGTGGGCGAGAATTCATCATGAAAGACCTGTACACATTTGACTACAGTGTGAGTGAGGCGCTCAAAACATACAACGCAGTCAAATTAGCCTACAAAAACCTATTTGATGAATTGAAGATCCCATATTTGGTCGCTGCTGCAGACTCGGGAAATATGGGCGGTTCATTGAGTCATGAGTATCACTTCATCAGTCCCAAGGGCGAGGATGAGGTGGTTAGCTGCTCCCACTGTGACCATGTCTATAACGAAGAGCTGGCAGATGGCAAGACGCATGGCTCGGATAACTCTGAATTATCTGGCACATCTGGCTTTAACACAGACAATGCACCTGTCGAAGGTGGGCCCACCATTTCAACAGGCATGTGGATGGCTATCTCTCACGATGGCAACACCATTGTGCGGGGCTGGTATCCCAAATTCTCAATGCAGAATGGCGCCCCAGAACCTGTTGAACGCCACGTCAATTCACATGCCGTCAAGGCCATCGCAACCGCTGCTGGCATTGACCTCGATCTCAGCGTGGAGAAGCCGCTCCAATTGTGGACAAAACATGTCAAAGCAAACAAATCCTCAGCGCAGAGGCCGCGTGTATTGGACTTGTATGACTCGCAAGTGCGAGTGTACCAGCGTCCACCACTCAGTGACCTCCTTGAAGAAGCGGGCTGCACGGCGTCAGACATCGAATACTCTAAACTGGACCACTTCCCCGGAACCTCGAACAAACTCAGTCTTGTTCGCGTGCACGATGGTGATCAGTGCTCGCAATGCGCGCACGGTTCATTGACTAGTCACTCGGCGGTCGAGTTGGGACACACTTTCTACCTCGGAACGCGGTACAGTGAGGTCTTGAATGCTTCGGTGTCTGTCAATTCAGCTCTTCTGGAGGAGTCCTCTGGACCTGACACTAAGCTATCTACCAAGGAACAAATTGTACCCATGCAAATGGGCTGTCATGGAATTGGAGTCTCACGTATGATCTCTGCAGTGGCGAACCGACTCGCCGATTCCAAGGGACTCAACTGGCCACGTGCTGTGGCGCCTTACGAAGTGGTGGTGGTTTCAGGAAAGGGTCTCGAGACCGTTGCTGATCAGGTCTACGACAATCTGACCGGTGACGCTGCGGCCCTGGTTGACGTGATTCTCGATGACCGGGACAAGGGCATGGGCTGGAAACTTGGCGATGCGGATCTGATTGGTTACCCTGTGATTGTGGTCGTTGGCAACGGGTGGAAGAAGAACCAGACGTTGGAGGTGCAATGCCGCCGACTGGGCATCAAGCAGGATGTTTCGTTGGATGAGCTGCGCACAACTATTCAGTCCTTGCTGGCACAACTCTGAGCCAAAAAAAATCAGGGACGCCGATCTCAGATCGTATGTAACTTTAGCGAGTTTTATCAACTTAAATTGTACAATATCTCATCTCGTGTGCTCAGGCCCTTGCAATTATCTTTCCTAATCCAGACAATATGTCCATTCAATCTGTCGCGGCAGACAAAACACATCATGACGCCGAGAATTCAGGCCTTGTGACCTCTTCTGTTCAATCTATTCCAGGGTCCCAACTTTGGGAAGACTCGGCAATTCGGACAATAATGCATTCACGATGTTCAGGGTCACCAGCCGGCCGCACTTCCGACCTTGGACATGCCATACATTAGTTTGATTAGGATACGTCAGGCATCTATGGATACTCCTTGGACATGGCGGTATCCACCTTTTTAGTTTTGAGCGAAGCCAGGGATATACCTAGATTCAACTGGGACTACGTATAACACAACTACAGCTTTGGAAGGTGATTAACAGAACGGGCAAATGATATTAATAACCATAAAATTTCATAAAATTACATATCTTGCATCAATACAGCATAATTATTCAATCCTCAAATCTCACTGAATGCGAATCTTCTTCGGCAAAGGAACAGCTTCCTTGGGCACGAAGACGGACAAAACACCATTCTTCAAGCTCGCGCGAACGGAATCCTGGTCGACACGAGCGGTAAAGCTGAAAGTGCGTTGGAAGTCACCTATGGAGCGCTCTTTCGCCCAGAAGTGAGGCTCTTCCTTATCTGTCGGCTCCGAAGCAGTGGTAGCAGTACTGGCAGAGGTGGTTGACTGTGCATCTTCGTCTTCATCCTCGACTGTGGCCTGGTGCCAGCCCGCCGAGCCCGCAGGCGAGGAACTGCGGTTGGTTGGTGCAAGAGTGGTAGATTCACGGTCGGTGTGGCCCTTGATGACCAGGGTGTGGGGGTCGGTAAATTCGATTTCAATGTTGCTTTGGTCTACACCTGGGAGTTCGCCATCCAGGTAGTAACCTTCGTCTAGTTCGCGGACATCAAATGCAGGGGCAAATGAGCGAGCAGTCTGTGGCTTGGGACATTGAACTGGAGCGCATGCAGCGGGGAGCTTGTATTCGGGTTGAGCCTCATAGTCATTGAGGAGTTGGAAGAGTGGCGAGAAGCCGGGCTGGGAGAAGAAGGCCATTGGAGATAGAAGCGATGAACTGGTTGTAGATTGAAGTTGAGATTGAGATTGAGATTGAGATTGAGATTGAGATTGAGATTGCTTGGAAGCTGTGGTGGAGATTGTGTCTGAAGATTGTGTCTGAACTAATTAGCTTGGAATTTCCAGCTCTTTTATATGTTGGTTTATGTGTTGGAGTGTCGATGTTGATGGATGGTTGCTTATAGTTCGGGCGGAAGGCTCCAGAAGCCGGTGGAGGTGACTAGACGCCACCAACAACTGCTCGAATCACAGTCAACCACACAACTATCCAACTATACAATACCATGTTGATTCCAAATCCAACGTTGCTAATCAACTCAGACTGCTTCCAGATATTTCTGTCGGTGGCAATTTCTCATGAGTCAACGCCAATCTCACTACAGAACCCGACAGAACCTCAATGACTAATGTGCATATATTGTAACAGATGTTGTAACAGCGGAAGAAACAAAGCTTCCTAGATCGCAGAGTATATGTACAACGCCTGGAGAATCCAGAACAGGGGCTCATAGCACGGCTGGTCATGCCTCTTTTTGCCTCGCGTCGGGTGAACCCGGCGCAGGAGACCTCCGAATCTGTTTGGAAATGAGTCCAGCGAAGATATGGAGGGAGGTGAGAAACGCACACGAGCTGTGTAGACCGCGAAGAGGCCTATGTAGCTGAGAGACCGCAGTCCCATCGCTCATCGGATGTTGCGGATCCCCGGGGACGCATACATCTCGAGCTGTCGCTGGCCTTTGCGCAGGAGATACTCAACGGTGCTAAAGTCTTTTTTGTTCACCGAGCGATGCTTTTGGAATTCTGATCTATCGCCCGTCTCAGCGGGGATTGCAACGGGAATGGAGAGCAACGTAAACATACCGGGCGTAGTTTTTGAAATTGGATCTTGCGTCCTGAGAGAGGAATTAGCTAGGGGGGCATTCACCGGGGCGAGATACCTACCACGGGCTTATTGCGCACTTCCCGCAGACATTTTCGATAGAGAGATAGGACGTCCCTTTGTAGACCGGAGAGCCGAGCCATCATGCGAAGAGAAAAGATTGCGACTCATTGGGTGGAGCTGACGTTTTCCGCCGTGGGGGAGACCCATTTCCCCGACTCGCCCGAGACTACTTCTATGTCCTCTCCGCTCCCCCATTCTTTCGAGCAACATCATGTCGACTTTTACAGTAAGTGACCTTCCGATGGTATTATCTACAGGGTTCTATCTATCTATATATGTCGCATTGATATAACATTAACTCCCCTCGTGGCATATGCTGATTCTCATTTAGAACCTAGTTCGCTTCCTGGCCAAGGATGGTCAGATCTACTATGGCGATGCCATTCTCCCATCGGGAGAGACCAACATTGCCAAAGCGACCAAAGCTCGGGTCATCCAGGGTGAGATCTTCGGACAGCACCGGGTCACCGAGCAGGTGGCAGAGGTGAAGCTGTTCCTCGCGCCACTGTCTCGCAAAGATATTGGAACCGTTCGCTGCTTGGGCTTGAACTATGAGCAACATGCCAAGGAGTCAAACCTGCCTATCCCCAAGTACCCAGTGTTGTTTTACAAGCCTGTCACTTCAATCTCTGGTCCTACGGATGACATACCTGTTCCCCAGATTGCTCAAGAAGGAGAGGGCCTGGATTATGAATGTGAACTGGTGATCGTCATCGGCAAAGAGGCTAATGAAGTTCCTGAGCACAAGGCTCTGGAGTATGTTCTGGGCTATGCCGTCGGCAACGACGTTTCCCACCGCGATTGGCAGATCAAGCGGGGCGGAGGCCAATGGGGACTGGGTAAGGGCTTTGACGGATGGGCGCCATTTGGCCCTGGAATTGTTTCTTCCAGTGTGATCAAGGACCCCAATGCTCTGCACATCTCGACCAAGTTGAACGGAAAGACGGTCCAATCTTCTTCCACCAAGGATATGATCTTCCATGTGGCCAAGACGGTATCATTCCTGTCCCAGGGCACAACACTCCAGCCGGGAGATCTGATCTTTACCGGAACGTGAGTACATCTGAACTGGCAAGCAATATATGGTTGAATTTTATAAACTAACTACGGATTATAGACCCCAAGGCGTGGGCATGGGCCGCAAGCCAGCTTTGTGGCTGAAGGATGGCGATGAAGTCGAAGTATCGCTTGAGGGTGTAGGATCATGCATCAACCGGGTGGTGTTTGACAAGCCCAGCTCTAAGCTTTGAATACGTTCCATACTGTCGAGCCCCTGATCAGGCTCAAAATATTATACCAGTTGTAGATAACTGCACATTTTGAGTTGCAATCGATTAGATCTTATATAACTGATTTCTGGTTTCTGGCTTCTGATCCATAATTCCGTGTGTATTTCATGTAACCGATCTAAACAACCTGGGCGCCATATCCCTTGATTCTCTCGGCAAAGGCCCAGCTTTGGCCCTGGATCTGCTCATCCTCCTTCAGATCGATGCCATCCTTGGTGATCACTGCTATCGAGTACTTGTCGATGCTGCGGGCATCACGGTAGAACAGCACCTTCATACACTCCTTCAATGCCTCCACGGCGGCTTCTTGTGTCACTTCCTCGAGAGGCAACTCCTCAGGGAACTTGCGGCGCAGGATTGGGACCGCAAGGTGAGCACCGAATCCTGTGGCGAGGTGTGGTGCGGAGAATGTGGTACCCAGAAGATCTGCTGAGCTCAAGAAGGGCTCTCCCTCTGCATCGAAACCGGCCACAAGAACGTGGTTCCACAGCGGGTTGAACTCGGAGCGCCGCTTGTAGAAGACCTTGGCGAGGTAGGTGTGTAGGTTCTTGGCATTGAGCATATTACCATGGGCTGAGTAGTTCTCCTTGATATCCATGGTGTCGAGGAGACGGTCGAGATATTGCATGTCAGAAACGTCGCCGCCGAATCCAACCATCGCCTTGTCGCCGAAAGACCGCAGACGCTTCACGTCGGAGAAACGAGCTAGAGATCCGTAGGAGGCTAAATAATGAAAAGAGTCCGGTCAGAGAACAGTGTTGCGAGATCGAGGCACGAAGGATAGCCTACCCAAGTTGTCGGTAGCAATGGCAACACCACCATTGAACTTAACACCCACCACCGATGTTCCGGTCACAGCGGGGGATGAAGTGTGAACTTTGGGACCGGTAGTCTGCAGATATGAAGCGTCGTATGCGCCGTAAACATCATTTCTGGGCTAGAGGATGGTTAGCCAAGAAGCGAAATTGGGAGATTTTGGTCACATACGCGACCCCAAGTTCCAGGGAAGTGGTCCATAGTGAAGTAAGATTGTTGTTGAAAAGTTTGGTAGACGGGGGAGATATTATTGAAGGAGAAGAAAATACACAGATGGATAAAAGCAGAGCGATGACGATTGAATGGGAGCTAGGCAGTCGAGCTCCCCGTCAGCTCTCAACTGCCTGGCCGGGCGGAGAGCTCTGCTTACTAAGGTCCATCAATTGCCCAGGTGCCCATGGGGGATCTCACAACGTTCTTGACACTTGAACTACCTCAGGAAATTGTTTCGAATATTGGAACTCTAGAGCACACATTGTCGGTGCCCGGAATTGAAATATTGTCTTTTGTGCCGCAAACCAGCAATAATGCTCGACCTTGCCGGATACGATAGCAGCGACGATGAGGTAGAGCAGCAGGCTCCTTCGCCTCGTTTGCAGGTATCTCCAGTGCCCTCTCTGAATACACTAGAGAATTAACAGATGCTAAAGCCACTTCAGACACAGGAGAAAGAGGTGACAGCCCCAACGCCACAGCCTGACCAGAGCAAAGGCGATCAGAGTACAGGTAACGCAAACCTTGAGATTTATACACTTCCGAATGTGGCTCTGATGCCCTCCACAGTTCAGCCTTCGACTGAGGTACCCAACGAGAGCACCAATATAGCCGCGGCGGCTACACCGGCTGGACCGGCTGGACCTGTGCTTGGGCCCGCATCTATAGACATGGCACCACTTCCAGAGGACTCGGATATGTCCAACGGACGCACATCCCCTTTCTCGGCAACACGGGCACTTGTTCAAGACCTTACTCTACCCCCGGTACCAAATCTCGAGATTCCACCTTCACCCCCGGATCTCCAAACCCAGCGGTCAACGCGAAATTTGAGCACTTCCTCTCGCTCAAGAAGCAAGGCGTACATTTCAACTCTAAACTTGCCAGCTCTACATCTCTCAAAAATCCAAGCTTGTTGGCAAACATGATGTCCCACGCCGGCATCACTGAACAATCTCAGTATGACACCTCATTGCCAGCCGATGTATGGAGTACTTCTACTTTGCCTCCGTGGGGATTTAAGGGTGAGCTTTTGAGAGCACAGCACGAGTTGCGACGAAACATGGAGGCGCAAAAGACATCGGGCCAGCGAACTTCGGTAGATTTTGTGTCCGGTTCTACGTGAGGGACTCGTCCGCCATCGACCAAACCAAACTCCATGGTGTGCCACGCCCCAAATGACCGGAAGCCATGACTTGACTACGAGTGGTCCTGGATTAGCCCTGGCTCTATGCCAGCCTCGGAACAACAACATTGATCATCCAAGGATCCTCGAGTAGGAATTGTATTGGACAAAAGAATCCAAAAACTAATTACATTCTCGTGCTTGGGGTCTAGGAAATCGAAGCAGTAATGCTCTCGGTTCAGCCACCACCTCCACCTCCGCCTGCCGCCCCTCTATGGCTGCGCCGCCTCGCTTTCTCATACAGACTCAAACAAGATATCAAAACCATATGATCAAAGTCTTGCCCGTATTCCACTCTGATCTCGATCTTCCCTCCTCGCCCGGGTCTTTTGCCGCCTGAAAAGACGGCCAGAACCTGCCCATTGCGTTCATCCACTAGTTTATAATTCCGAATGGTCAATCGAGATGGTGTTTCGCCTTCCACCCCAATGCTGCGGGTGCGTTTCCACAGCAGCGTCCGCCTCTCCCCGTGAACTTGATCAGAGTCACTCGGAATTGTCGTCTCCAGGCGGTACTTTGGTTTGTGGAGAAGCTCTTTGGTCATGTCCTCCCACTGGACGTTGCTCATGTCGTCGGGATTTCCGACTCCAAGCTTGTAGTTCCCGGAAAGCTTCAAGAAATTGGACACCGCCACCACCGGTCCTCGGGTGCTACCGCCCGCATGGAGTGTGAGATCGGGCTTGCTTGGAGTGAAGAGTGAGATATCACCATAGAATAGAGTGGTACCATCTGATGCGTTTATATCGTAGTGCCGCTCCATGAGCCGCTTGGTGATTTGGAACACCCGCGCGGGAACATTGTAATCGGGTGGCGCAGAGGCTGCTGACCCAGTGCGACTGGACGTTGGTGAAGACATGTCTCAAGGCTTGGGTATTGGAAGATTGAGGCAGGATCCCATGCTTCAAGGGCAATTCATGAACTACCAGTTACGCTGTTCGAGGGTTATATAGTGGGATCGTCATTGGGAAGCGAATACGACGTCGATTCAAAGTTAAAGGTGGAATTCAACTACCAAGGTAAAGCAGTGAAGCTTAAGCTGGAATGCTTGTCTAGAAATCAAAAAATCTAGAGAATGTATACAAGATATAGTTTAGATATGCTAATGCTGCTCCGCACGGAGTACATTTGACGTAGTTGGAACAGTCGTTGGGTAGTGAGCTACCCTGACTAAGCAACGAAAGGCAGCTACATCGCGCGTAATCCAGCTTCTTTGCTCTCCATCTCGAACTCACAATCCCGCTCTCCATTACTTTCAACCTCTAATTTCGTCTATCTCGAATCTCCGGTCTCCTCTTTGTACCTGACTTAGCTTCATTTCCGCCAAAATGACGTCGCTCATCGGCCAGTCCGAAACCATTGGATACTCCTTCTCCGAGCCAACATCCGCTAATGTCAAACAACACTCGTTCTACCCGTGAGTAACCTGCTGGAGATGATCTGACATGATGGATAAGCTGACCCGGATATCCAGTTACACCGACAACGGTGGTTCCACACTCGGCATCACTGGCTCTGACTTCGCTATCCTCGCCGGTGACACTCGTTCCACATCCGGCTACAATATCAACTCTCGCATGGTCCCCAAGGTCTTCAAGATTGGCGGAGACGATGAAACCGGTGCCGGAGCTCAGATCATCCTCTCCGTGGTCGGATTCGCCGCAGATGGAAACGCCCTCAAGGAAAAGCTGGACACCGTGGTGAAGATGTACAAATACCAGCACGGCAAATCCATGTCAGTCAGCGCATGTGCGCAGCGACTGTCAACCATCCTCTACGAGAAGCGTTTCTTCCCTTACTATGTACACGCGATTCTGGCTGGTCTGGATGAGGACGGTGTGGGTGCGTTGTACAGCTACGACCCGGTGGGCTCATACGAGCGGGAACAGTGCCGTGCGGCGGGTGCAGCTTCAAGCTTGATCATGCCCTTCCTGGACAACCAGGTCAGCTTCAAGAATCAGTACGTGCCCGGGAGCGGAGAGGGCCATGCCCTGGAGTCCAAGAAGGCCGAGGCTTTGCCTAAAGAGCATGTTAAGCAGCTTGTCCGGGATGCCTTTACGAGTGCCGTGGAGAGACATATCGAGGTTGGTGATGGTCTACAAGTCATGATCGTCACCCGGGAGGGTATCGAGGAGATTTACCACCCTTTGAAGAAGGATTAGAGTGCCCGCAATCTAAGACCATGACCTTGTCTCTCGGTGCTGGACTCTCTCATCGAGCGCTTGATCACCGATATAATTGAAATGACTGAAATTTCCATGAATTGATATCTTTACGTTGTACGTCATCATGTCTCTAGTATCATAAAAAAGAAGACAGTGTAAAAGCTGATAATCCCGAACGCCCACCCCATGCCGAATGAGTTCAAATGATTGATAACGGAATCAGAACCGCTCCTTCATGCGAGAAGCAACGGTACGAAGGTTGCCGTAAACCTTGCCCTATTTCGTTGTTAGAATACATCCTCGTAGCCGTGTGATGATCAAAACTTACCGGAGGGCTACCCAAGATCAAGCTAACAATTGCCTCACGGGCAATGTGAATGTTCTTGAATCCACCCAAAATGTGGATCTTTTGGTCGGCCAGAACCACTCGTGTGCGGCTGGCGTTTTCAATAGCGAACTTGGTCTTTCCATCCTTTCCAGCGATACGTCCAATAGCACGTCCAAGGTGCTCTCCGTTCAATGTCTTCACATCCTTGACCTCGAATGTCTGAATGTACAAGTCGTCGAGACGGAGAAGAGCAATCGCATCGTCGAGATCAAAGCCAAGAGTGAATGCCTTGATGAAATCAGCGCCCTTCTGCAGGGCTCCCACGTCGTTGGTGAATTTGGATGTTCGCAGTTCGACGGAGCGGCTCTTCAGGTTCATGCGAACCTGCAACTTCAGGTGTTCGACAATTGGGGGACAGATCTTAGCCCAGTTTGCCTTGAGCGGGGTCATACGGTGCGGTGGGACGGGGACCTTTCGCGATTCGATGCGGTATGCGGTGGCAACGTCCTTGGCCGGGGTGAAGACAGGACGGCCTTCTTCGTCGATGCGCATTTCACCCTCGGCGGACTCCTCGACGGGGTTGGCGGGCACACCCTCGGTGGAGGCTTGGGCGTCAATCAAAATCTCATCGTCGTGATCTGGAGATTTCTGTTAGTTCGAGCGGGGAATTTGGAAAAAACAAAAGGAAAACCAACCGTAAGAAGCCTGAGGTTGAGACTGAGGCTGAGCCTCCTGGCGAAGTGCTGTAGGGGCAGACATGATGTGTAGAGAGCAGTTGTATTTTTTTGGAATCTGTTATCGCAAAAATTATCAGTCCCCTCCGACGGAAAAATGAAATTGTGGGAACACAATGCAAACAGGACAAACTCATGATTTCATCTTCAACTTGCTCCCGTCAACACTGCCTTGCTTATCACTCTCGGTTTCGTTCTGCAATTTCATAAGTTCCAGGATGTAATGACAAATATGTCTGCCAATCTGGGACGCCGGCTGTATGCCCACATCTGGGAAACAGCAAATCCACTTTTTGGTCGCATACGAAGCCATCGCATACCCGATGTCTCGAGCTCAAGGACATTGCTGGACGGGCGCCTGGCGAATCCTTCACGACCCTTCTCAACTTTACCCAAAAAACCGACTTCACTAACCAGGAGACTCGCCTCCGGAGGCTTCCTCGTCCTCGGTGTCTCGCCCACCTCGACTGCTGCAGAATCTACGGCAGCATGTATCGTCCCATCCCGAAAGATCGCCACCCAGTACCTCTGGAAACGAACTGTATATACCTCTCCTCATGACCGACACGAGAAGGAAGCATCGCAAAATGCTCATACACGCAATGAAAATGACCCTACACCAAAAGTCAGCAAACCGCACCCACAACCCGGTTCGAACAAACCACAGGATCCTCAGCACTTCACAATGTCTAATCTCCACTTGAGGGATCGTCTACCACATATGCCTCATATTCACCGGCCGACCAAGGAGGAGCTACTGGCTGCAGCTACTGGGTTCTGGTCACGCTTAAAAGTGCGATTCAAGTGGTTCTCTATCAGAAGTGTTCGTCCGTACAACCTGGATGAGATAACTGCCCTTTTCTCATGGGTTTTGCTGGGTCATGTTGTGTGGGTTGTCGCTGGAACTACAACTTTCTTCTCGCTTTTAATTCTGGCCATCAACACGGTCTTTGCTCAAGGTGAGTGGTACATTTGATCAGTCAGATCTGTATGCTAACAAGTCTCAACAGAGACCCTAGCGGGATGGGTTGGCAACTACCTCACTAAATCCTCCGGGGTCAAGGTTGTTTTCGAATCGGCAATCGTGCCCAAATGGAGAAATGGCGTCATCACCTTCAAAAATGTCTTCGTATCAAAACGACCAGGCCAAGGCACAGGCCATGTCAGCAAAGGCTCGCCCAAGACGGCGGCAGAAGCGGCAGCGGCTCGGGGGGACCCCGGATATGACGAATCGCTGGTCGTATCGGATGAAGAGGAAGATACTAATTACACACAATTTGACCTGTCGATAGAGACGGTCAACGTCACACTATCATTCACCAAATGGCTGAATGGTAAAGGGCCTCTACATGATGTTGAGGTGAAAGGGATCCGAGGTGTCGTGGACCGCCGGCACGTCTTTTGGCCCGAGGAAGATTTGGATCCCAAGTCTTACCGACATGAGCACAATCCCGGCGACTTTGAGATTGACTCGTTCAAGATGCATGATCTGCTGGTCACCATTTATCAACCCGACAATTTCCGCCCCTTCTCCGTCAGCATCTTCTCGTGCGATCTACCGCAATTACGGAAACAGTGGCTTTTCTATGACTTCCTCTCAGCCAATATGATGTCGGGGTCTTATGACAACTCTCTATTCACCATCCATGCCCGTCAGACCCATGGCTTTGGCAATTCCCGCCTGAACAGCGGGGCCGAAGAAGACGGCAAACCCAACCCGTGGAAGAAGCACAACAGGATACGAGTGGATGGACTCAATATCGACCATCTCAACCGCGGTGTTCAGGGACCTTTCTCCTGGATCCACGAGGGGACCGTGGATATTGTGGCAGACATCATGCTACCCTCCGAAAACGACGAGAGCCTGGCCAAGGTCATGGCTGATTTCTATGATCGACTGGAGGCCACCGTCACTTCCAACCGATACCCGGAGCCTCCGTCCCCCAGCTCCAGCCCAGAATCCGGACCCGAAGATCGACGTTTCCTCGTCATGGACCTACGCGTCCACCTCAACAACGTGCGTGCCATTGTGCCCATCTTCACTCGAGATCTATCCTACATCAACAACGCTCTGATTCGACCTATCGTGGCGTACATCAACTCGAAGCGGACCTTTATCCCTATCAATTGCCGCTTGGTGAAGCGAGTCAGTGACTTTGACGGCAGTTGGACTATCTTTGATAGTAGCTTGATGGATGATCTCTCGGCCTCGGTAAGTTGTCTCCAATTCATTTCACCCGATGCATGCTCACCAATTAGACGTACGATGCTTTCGCCCGAGATGTCGTGGACGACGAAGCCCGGAAAAGGCGGTTCAAGAAAGTTGGGTTCTGGTCCCTTCAGCTGGCCGCCCAGGCGATTTTCATGGGCATGGCTGGTAACATCGCCTGAGTCCGCTGAGCGGTTGTGCCTCTGTTTTATTAATTTTATCATTTCTCGTGTTCCATGTATCATAGTGCATTCCCAGGAGTCCTCGATTTTGATAGAGTGTGTGAAATTCCAGCGTGGTCTTGGTTCGATTCCAAATGACCAGATTGGTTTGATATCGAGTTTCAGTTTCACAGCATTAGTTGCGCCGAATACCTTGTAGCACGACAGTAGTGCGTTCGAGTACAGAGAGTATGGGAATCTTATATAGAGTCTGATTGACCTCGGTATATCTGCAGTGCTACCGCTTGAGCTCTCTACTCCGTACTTATAGGATAATTCCCGTAAAAACCAAAAAGAAGGACTCGAGAACTCGATATATAGAAGTTCGAGGTCATTTACGACTTTAATTCAACCTCGTAGATCACTTGATCAGAGCCTGTCAGCCAACAATCAAGGCATCTTACTAGCCCCTTTTCCTTCCCCCCCCACTTCACTTTCTCCAACTTTTACATAGTTCCTTTTTTTTTTTTTCTTTAATGGTGGTCTTTGATGATATGCTTTGACCTGTACCAATCGGTTGTCAGAGCCCCCTTGATTATCTCCCTCGGCGCTTAAGCTTCAGCTTCCGGGGTTCCGCGCCATCTGGACCCTCGCCTCGTGTTGCCCCCCCGAACTGTGACCCCTCGAATGAATTTCACTCCCTGTAATGTCGCAACTCCCGCGGCGAGGCAGTGATGAAAGCTCGCCAACCTCTGTGAAGCAACCTTTTATCAACGGCTTGATCCCTCGGGATTATCTAGCCCGGTCAGATCGCTCCATGCCTGCTCCTGGCCGCCATATCACCCCGTCTCCATTGCATACGAGCTCCTTACCCCAGTCGCACCCAACCGACGGCTCGACACCATCACATAGTCCATTGTCTCCAGGATCGAGCGCCAACCCGTCCCCTGCTAAAACCCAGTCGCCAATCGCTCGCGTGGCCCATGCAACATTCCCCGCGCCCCCCTACGGCACTGGTCATAGCTTGTCGCAATCACCAGAAATGGTAGGCTCAGAACCAACCGAGAGCAACAACTCATCCGGCGAGACAAATTCCCCCAAGCCATCCCGCGCGCCGGAGCCCGACCGATCTGCCTCATCCTCTGTGAGCTCGATACACTCCATGCCGGGAGATCGCTCAACCCATCGCGTCATGCCTCGTACCTCCTCCATTGATTCGGCTATCTCCTCCCTGTCTTCCGCCTCCCAGCGATCAGCCTTCGATGTCAACTCCTTGAGCCCCGCCGACATCAGTAATCTAATCAACGCTGCTGGGTCGGCGGAGGCTGTCATCGTCCACCTTTTGAAGGAAAAACATCAAGCAGCCTCCCAGAACTCGCAATTATGGAAGCTCGTGGACAAACAAAGGACCCTCATCCTCGGTCTGAACAAGGATCTTGAGCGTTCTTTGCAGGAGAAGGAAAAATACCGGAAGAAGCTCAAAGACCTGCAAGAGGCTCCACCGGCCGCTGCTGGGGTTGCTGGTAGATCCGGCGATGACAAGCAAGAGAGGGCGCAGATGCCGAACAGACCATCTATAATCCCCCCTTCGGAGCCATCGCGGAGAGGGCCTGATAGCACTGCCAGCCCGGTCTCTGCCACTGACTTCCCATCCCCCGTCGGAGAAGACAGAAGCAGGTTCCCACATCCAAGCCGCAAAGCGCCGCCTGCGCCGCTGAACCTGCGTCAGGCCGAGCCCAAGCCCACGGTGACATCCGCATCGGATTCGGATTCGGATTATGGCGATGAATCAGGCGGCCCCCCTAGCGTGGACCGTGGGAGGCGAAAGACGCGGGAGCAAGACGACCAAGACCGGGAGTTCACACTCCAGAAAGAGACCCGCAGCTCCCAATCAGCAGCCAAAACAAGCACTTCTCAGGACTCGCGGGGTATGGCGAGTACTGCTAGCCCGGAGACGGTTCCGCGTGAGCTCTCCTCCAGATCCCCGCCGACTGTCGGTGGCTCCAAGTCCTTGGGCTCCATGTTGCATTCTCGACCTCCCCCTCCGTCATCCTTCAATGGGCGCTCGGTTGCCGCTATGCCCATGAGCCCGGGTCTTCCTCTGAGTCCGCGACCAGAAGATCGGCCCATGAATTCTCCAATGCCTCGCATGCCGCGTGAGATGCCTGGTGCTGCAGGCCCTGGCTTGCCTCTTTCTCCCAGGATGGCTAATAACCCCATGGGTTTTGCACCTCCCCCCTCAACTGGAAGGCTTAATGGCCCCATTCCATCCATTGATCCCAACGTCATGATAGACAGCCCGAAATCTGCACACTTTGCAGAGAGCGGCATATACCAGGGACTGATATCGGATGAGTACCCTGGGCTGCTTTTGTCACCCAACGCTCTTCCTTTGGTTCTAGTCAAGGTATCGTCGTCGCGACTCCGACCTTCGAGAAACAGTTACATGGTGTCCAAGCCGTTGGACGAGGAGCCAGTCTTTACCCTCAGCGTGATTTCTCGATCTGAGATGTCAGAGCTATGGCGAGTAGAGAAAATTATCGGGGCTCTACCCCAGCTGGACCAGAAAATCAGACAGACATCCTCGTTCGCTGGAAGGTTGCCCGACAGGAACATCTTCAATGGTCATTCGCCCGCTAAGGTTGATCTGAGGCGTGCCGCATTAAACGCATACTTTGACGGCCTTCTGGACACCCCAATGGACGAGCAAGCCGCTATGGCCATCTGTCGATTCCTGTCCAGTGATGCCATTGAGCCTCGGGATGACGAGACCAACTTGCTGAAGGGCCTCGCACAAGCGAAACCTGATGTCTCCCGTGGACCAGACGGAAAACCTCAAAAGCAAGGATACTTGACTAAGCGAGGCAAAAGTTTTGGCGGGTGGAAAGAAAGATACTTTGTGCTTGATGGGCCTGAACTCAAGTACTTTGAATCTCCTGGTGGTCAGCACATGGGCACCATCAGGCTTCACCACGCCCAGATAGGAAAACAATCCCCCAAAGCAGCTGAAAGTTCTTCGTCGCCTCCAGGAGGTGAGGACGATGCTGATAATCAATATCGCCACGCATTCTTGATTCTAGAACCCAAGAAGAAGGATTCTTCAGCACTTGTACGTCATGTTTTATGTTCTGAGAGCGATGATGAGCGTGATACTTGGGTCGACGCTCTGATGGAATACGTTGAGAGTGCCTCTTCCGAAAATGAAGGGCATGGAAGCGTATCCTCCAAAGGCCAATCCCAGTCTCACGAGACGCAGAAACAGAACTCCACCGAGGCCAAGGCGAAACTGTTCGGCAGTGGAGGCAAGAAATCTGGTCGGGGTGTCGAAAGTCCCGATCAGGGCCTGGGAAGCTCAGTCCAGGGATTTAGCTTTGATGACGCAGTGCCAGCCGACCCCCCGACGATCGGATCTACTCTTGAGCAGGCACCTCGATCCCCAAGGTTGCCGGGATCCCTGTCAACCGAATTCAGGGAAATGAACACGTCCTCTCCTGATCAGGGAATGCACTCGCCCAGGTTGATATCCAGGCCCACCAACGGCGCGATCATCCAAGACGTGGAAGCTTGGGGCAACAAAGCAAAAACATCCACCAAGGAGAAGAAACGAAGCATTTGGGGTTTCCGCACCAGATCCTCTTTCGATCTTGCCACCCAGGCTCAGGCCAGTAGCGACACACTAGTCGCAACCCAAAATGTCGAACGAACGGGGCCGGTCAGGCCCGTATTTGGCATACCCCTAGCGGAGGCTGTTCAAGACTGTGGACCGCCGGGCATCGATGTGGAGCTCCCAGCGGTGGTTTACCGGTGTATCGAATACCTTCATGCCAAGGAAGCAGCTCTTGAAGAAGGAATCTTCCGCTTGAGCGGCTCAAATGTGGTCATCAAAGCTTTGAAGGAAAGATTCAACACCGAGGGTGATGTTGATTTCGTATCTGGGGATCAGTACTACGACATTCATGCTGTCGCCTCTCTGTTCAAGCAATATCTCCGAGAGCTTCCCACTACAGTGTTGACTCGAGAACTTCACTTGGACTTCCTTCGCGTTCTTGAACTTGACGATCGCCAAAAGAAGGTTGCTGCCTTCAACTCTCTCGTGCACAAGCTGCCCAGCCCTAACTTGGCATTGCTACGGGCTCTTTCGCAGTTCCTGATCGAGATTGTCAACAACTCGGACGTGAACAAAATGACTGTCAGAAACGTGGGCATCGTGTTCGCCCCGACTCTCAATATCCCAGCGCCTGTCTTTTCCATGTTCCTCACGGACTATGACAGCATCTTTGGTGAAACCGACAAGAGCTTTGCGACTACATCGAACGAATTGACAGTTGACAACTCTCTGTCGGCCGATGATATTCGGTCCCCGCGCCACCAAATGTTCTCCGACATTCCTACACCTTCCTACCACCAAACCTCGTTCCGGACTCCTGCTGGGGGCAATGGCCCGTCTGACGGCCCCAGGACACCCTACAACACTGGCTTTATCCCGATGCAGCCCAGTTATGACCAGCCGACTTCCAGACACGACCAACACAATCAATCTTCCAGTGCCTCTGCTCAATATTCTTCTTTGAACGGCATGCTGTTGCCCAACAATTCCGAGGATACTCGGTCCGCGAAGACAAAGCGACGAGAGAGTTCAATGCTCTTTATGGATGGTAAGTTTTCAACAGCCGATGCCTGCAGCAAGATCTAACAGTTCTTCTCTAGATCCTTCTTTCTACCAGGGCAACTAAACCCTTCTTTTACTTGGTTTATTTCTTTTCTTTTCATTCTGGATATCCCAAATGTCCCTCTCGACCAATTACGAATTGCACGACCGCCGAATGATGACTTTACCCACTTGGCAATCTCGGTGTCGCAAGGGAATGTTTAATGATAATGGTAATCAATTGATGCGGTTGTCCGTTCATCTGGGAGTTGAGATCTCGTGCCGTGGGAGGCCCGTCGTTATACCCCTTTTCTTCTTTTCTTCTTTCTTCTTTTCTCTACTTTTCTTCTCTTCTTCTTCTTCTTCTTCTTCTCTTTTTGCCTTGCTGTTGTGTTATTCTCTCTTGTTCTCTTCTGTCTTGTTTTCTTGTTTTCAGCGTTTCTCATGTGGCGCTCTGTCCATACATTTTCCCCATGTCCTCTTTTCTGTTATTATCCAGTCGACAATTTGTTGGGGGGAAAGGTTACGCGATACGGTGGCACATTATGGATAGTCAATACAAGTAGATCGGCCCAAGTATTCAGGCTTATGAAGGAATTCACCTTGGAAATTATGTTCAAGCAAGTAACTGATACGCTCAGCGTATAGCAGTACAAAACCATGTTCGTGGCTTACCCCGGTCTTCTCTTCCTGGGCCATTGTCTATCCTGAGGTTTACTATTCAAATATCCCGAGGTCTTTCAAGTACCTATCTTTTCTTATGCTACTATATATACCTGTCTCCAGAGGGCCTGTATAAATCTACCTCAGGCCGAAACGGTACCTAGACTGAAATTGACCCTGTCTGCTAGACTTGCATATATAGCACAGAGAGGACAGAGGTATACACAACTTATTAGAGTGGTATTTAAGCTTCATTATATCAATTACAAATTATATCATCTCTATCGTCTCAGAATCGTCTTGTTTGCTCTCCCCTCCAAAATCCCATCAGCTCTCCATTCTCCCGGGCCCAGTCGCGGACGCCATCGACCAGGGCCTTGGCCATTCCCTTGTTCTTGGATTTGCCGTCGGACGGGCCACGACTGTGACCCAGGCCATTGGCCCGGTCCCCGGTGGCATACTCGGAGCCCATAGTTGGGAGAACGTTATCTCCCGCACTCAGACTGACAAACAAGGCAAACGGAACGAGCCAAACGCAGAGTCCAAAGTAGGAGGCCACCTCCGAGAATGATGGCATCTCCTCATAATTGACTCCATATGGCTGGCGCCAGTTGTTCGACGGAGGAGGGGGTTTCGAGAAATGACGGAACCATAGCCAATGGTTGAGGCCCACAAGGAAACAGGAGAGGACGAAGAGAGGGTCGGATAGTTTCACGATGGGGAAGCGACGCAGGTTGCTGGCGTAGACCAAGTGCGAGACAATGCTCAGCAAAGACAATGACACGGGGAATCGGTCAATTATCATCAAGAGGACTTGAACCGCGATGATGCCGTAAATCAGGCGGGTCAATAGTCGGCGGGCGAGCACTGTATGTTCTTCAACGAGTTCGGATAGATAGTAGAGTCCCGAAGCTATTTCGAGTCAGTGTTTGTTGTCATGGGCTTTATAGATGCATCATACCAATCGACAGCGTGAGGAAGGCAAAGCCGACCACCACGCCGAAGTATCCCACTAGCGGTAATATCCACATGACGGGTGTTGTAGGAAGAAGAAAAGCAATCGAGCAAGAGACCAATGCCGGAAAACAAGAAGCTGAGAGGCCCCGAAAGACGAAAACGACGACGGACGACGTGGACGTTTTGGGGGTGCGGCCTCAGGCGCCAACTGCCCCACATAAATAATTTATTTCCAAACTTCAACTTTTTGCGACGTCCAAGTCCATTCTCGTTCTCGCATTCTTCACCATGTCGCGCCCTGAGGATATCCTGTATGATCTCTGCCATATCTTTGTCGGCTGAAAACTAATTCACCCCATTCTAGGCCCCCAGACCTGTTCTACAACGACAATGAGTCGCGCAAGTATACAAAGTCTTCGCGAATTCGCAACATTCAGGCGAGCATGACCGACCGTGCCCTGGAACTCCTCGATCTCAAGTCTCCGTCTTTGATTCTTGACCTGGGATGTGGCTCTGGTCTTTCCGGCGAAATGCTGTCAGAAGTATCACCGGATGAAGGTGGCCCGCACATGTGGATCGGCATGGATATTTCACCCAGCATGCTGGACGTGGCCCTCCAGCGTGAGGTGGACGGAGATCTCTTCCTCGCCGACATTGGCCAAGGTGTGCCGTTCCGCCCCGGTGCGTTCGATGCCGCAATCAGTATCAGTGCCATCCAGTGGCTCTGCAACGCGGAAACCAGCGATGTGACCGCCGAAGGTCGTCTCCGTCGCTTCTTCGAGGGCCTCTACGCCAGTCTCCGCCGAGGTGGCCGTGCGGTCTGCCAGTTCTATCCCAAAAACGATACCCAGCGGAGTATGATCAGTGGAGCCGCAATTAAGGCTGGCTTTGGCGCCGGTATTCTCGAAGACGACCCAGGTACCAAGAGCAGCAAGTTATATCTGGTTTTGACAGTGGGAGGTGGTGGTCTTCCAGGCGATATCACCGGCGTGGTGAACGGCATGGACGACGTGAGTGTTTTGGACGCACGACGAAAGGCCCAGGAGATCAATAATGCCCGGGGTCCCCCTCGCAAAGGTGACAAAGCCTGGATTATGAACAAAAAGGAACAGATGCAGAAGAAGGGCAAGGTTGTGAAGTCCAACTCCAAGTTCACCGGCCGTAAGCGCCGCATCGCTTTCTGAGTGGCTTGCAATTCAGCCAACAAACAGAAGATCAGGGCTAGATTGCAAGCTTGCCCGAGTCTTTGGTTGCAAAGCATCAATTCGCCATCACTAGTGGATGTGCACAATTCTCCAGCAAGCTGCTCACCTACACACGAGCACACGAAGAACATCGGAAGTCTCAGTCTTGTTTTGGGGTTAGAACCAGCAATTCAAGCCTGGCCTAGTCAACCTGCTGGAAAGGAAAAGTTGCTTGTTTGGGCCTCGGTACGCCGAGAATTGGCCCTCTTGAGATGTCATCTTTGAATGTCATTACCATCTTTATGTTAATACCCAACTACTCAAGGTAGTTATTATGCAATGAATGTCCACGTTATGATTACAAAAGGGAAAAAGGGTGTCTATTGCTATAAGTTGCCAGGACGTTTCGAGCTAAATTGAAAGATAATACATCAATGAGGACCGTACCAGCCGATTCAATCATGCAAATTCAACTACATGCCCAAGAATCGGCTGGTAGTTTTCCTCAATCGTAGCAGGGACATTGGACGACGGATTCCAAAATTTACAGAGATGCCTCCATCTTGTCCAGAACGGCACGGGTGAACTCGTGGGTAGTAGCCTGACCACCCATGTCGCGAGTGCGGGTTTGACTAGAAGAAAAGATAAATTAGCATATGGGTGATGAGAAAATCGAAGTTCGTGGGTACTTACCCCTCGCCGATGACATCGTAGACAGCCTTGGAGATACGGTTGGCGTGGGAGTCAAGACCAAGGTGACGCAGGAGCATGGAGCCAGACAGGATCATGGCACTGGGGTTGGCCTGGTCCTTGCCCTTGATGTCGAGACCGACGTGACGGCAACCGGGCTCGAAGACGGCGACGTCACGGCCCATGTTGCAACCGGGGACAAGACCGGGTCCACCAACGAGGGCAGCACCGACGTTGGACAGGATACCTCCGTAAAGGTTAGGCATGACCATGACGTCGAACTGCTGGGGGCGGGAGACAGCCTGCATGGAGGCGTTGTCGACAATCATGTCGTTCACCTCGAGGGTGGGGTAGTTCTCCGCGACCTTGTGGAATGTGCTGCGGAAGAGACCATCGGCCAGCTTCATGATGTTGGCCTTGTGAATACAGGTGACCTTCTTGCGGTTGTTGGCCAGAGCGAAGCTGAAGGCGAACTTGGCGATGCGCTCGGACTTGGCGCGGGTGATGATCTTCAGGGACTCGACGACACCGGGGACGGACTGGTGCTCGAGACCGGAGTACTCACCCTCGGTGTTCTCACGGATGATGCACAGGTCGACATCCTTGTGGCGGGTGTCGTAACCGGGGATGTTCTTGATCAGGGAGATGGAGGCGTAGATGTCCAACTCCTGACGGAGGGCGACGTTGAAGGACTGGTGGCCGGAGCGCTCGACGGGAGTGTGAAGGATACCCTTCAGACCGAGCTTGTTGCGCTTGAGAGAAGCGAGGGACTCGCGGAAAAGCTCCTCGGAGTGCTTGTTACCGGTGACAACACCGGTCACGTCGACCTGCTCCCACTCAATGGGAACGTTGTCGGCCTTGAAGATGGTCTTCACGGACTCGGCGACCTCGGCACCGATACCATCACCTAGTCAAGTTTTAGTCCTCGGGCGCAATGCGAAGAAAGAAATCGCGTGGACCTACCGGGAATCAGGGTGACGGTGTACTTGCCACCATACTTGGTAGGCTTGAAGGTGTCGGACTGGAGGCTGGCGAAAGCTGAGGCGCAATTGTTAGTGACGGTGTAGTAGAGAGATCAATTGGGACGTACATCTCGCAGGAACGGAGCGACCGAGAGAAGAAGCTGCGGAAGCACTGCGGAGCAGGGTCTAAAGAGAGTAGCGCACGTTAGCGGAAAAAAAGCAAAAACAGGAGCCACCACCAGGGGGAAGCAGCCAAGAGTTCACCTACCCGAGCAGGTTGGGCCGTTCGGGAGAACATGATGCAGACCAAAGAAATGGAGGGATCTATGGGATTGGAGAAGAGACGGACTGAAGGGGGGAAAGGATCAGAAAGGGAAAACGGAAAAAAGGCTCCGGATGGGCTCGGCATCGCGCGACTTTGGGTTAGCGCCGGCCCGATCTTATCAAAGAGAAACCCCATTCCTCCGCTTTTCGCCTTTTGACTCTCTCCTCTCTCTCTCTTCTCTTATTCATTCTCTTGGCTCTCTATACACCTTCTTTGGCGACTCTTATTCAGACCTACTTTGGGTTATTACCGCGTGAATATCCTCTCTCCGCCATGAAAGACAGTTGAAAAGCCATTGGAGGCAATGGGGAGGTTTCCATCCCCCCATCCCCGAATTACCCTCCCCGGTCTCTTATTGATCTCTTTGAGTCTCGCTGCTATTGAGCATCTCTGGATCGGGGACTCGAATACACGAACACACGGGATGGTTCGACCTTATTCACGGTGATTGAGGCATACCTGTTCTTTGATCCCATCCAGCGCCCTCGTTATTCACCTCGAGGCAATCTATAAGACCTCATGGGTATATAAACCCAGTCAGTCTGCGTCTCCAGATTCTGTTCTCCAGACATCTCTCGAGCTCTCATCGTCTCTGTCTTTCGCTCTTACAAACCAACTTGCCAATCTCTACTTCGGTTTCCACCTTTTCAAGTCAAAATGAAGCTCACCACCATCGTCGTTGCCGCTCTCGGTGCCGCCTCCGTCCAGGCCGCCTACACCAAGCTTCCCAAGTGGTGTGCCCACCCCGGTCAGGGCTGCTACATGATGAAGCGCTCTGCCGATGCCTCTTGGGACATCAAGCGTTCCGCCGACGCCCTCGCCGAGGCTATGGCCGAGGCTCTTCCCCAGGAACTCCCCAAGTGGTGCGCCCACCGCGGTCAGGGCTGCGCCAAGGCCAAGCGTGCTGCCACCGCCGCCGAAGAAGTCCAGCGCTCTGCTGATGCCCTTGCTGAGGCCATGGCTGCCCTCGACGCTCACGTCGACGAGGAGTAAATGTATTTGATGACTCTTCTCTCTTCTGTGTTTGAAGCTGCTAACCCACGTCTCCAGCTCTCTCATCTCTCAAACTTGGTCGTGTCGGAATTTGATCCACTCATTTTCCCTTAACATGGACCTTTGAAAGCCCGGATGGCTTGGATCGACCTGCTTGATGGGAATGCCAGTGGCGGACACTCTTTGATCTTGACCCTTGGCCATGGCATGGGATTTCAACTTATCAGCTTATGAATTACGGGCGATGGACCTTTTACAAGAATAACTATCAACAATCAATGGAATTCAAATCCCTTTGCTTTGAGAAAAATAAACAAAACAATGTAGAAAAATAAATTGTAGGCACTGCACCAGAAAGACCCCTAGAGACACATTTTAAGAGGGCAATGCAATGCAAAAACTAAGAAAAGAAAGGCCGTATTGCGCCAGCAGCCAGTTAAACCCAGAATTAACAACGATATACGCCACAGCTGGGATAATATCGTCTCGTCTCTTCAAACGCCCCATAGCCTGATTCAATAGGACCGCCCTTGGTCAACTCCCACCACTGTTGACTCTGATAAGCAGGGTCTTTGGAACCAGCATATGGCTCCCCAGTGGTGGGTTCTGTGGGAAGGGAGCTGTGTTGGTAGCCGGATATCATGTACGGTTCGGCAGACGTATTCTCATCGCCTTCGTCCATAGTTGAATCCTCCATGGCGAAGTCCTTGGAATGGTCGGTGGCACCAATCTGCGAATACAGTTGCCAGGTTTGAATTAAACGTTCTTTCTGCTCAGCGTCGGCGTTCTCAAACAGCTCCAGCTGGCTTGCGGTCAGGCTGTGGGGATCTAGGCCATGGTACCTCAGAACGTCAACGCTCGAATGAGGGATCGGGTTTTGGTCCAGCTGCGGGGACTGATAATGTTGCTCGATGCTGTGTGGATAGTCTAATGATCCGACAGAATCTGAGACCGGTGGAACAAACTGCGTCATGCTCATTTGCCTCTCAAACAACGAGGCGAGCTCATCTTGCACTTTCTGGTTACTTTCAGACGCAGACAAGCCACACTTTGTCGAAGAACTGTCAGTCCGGCATCCGGTAGGAGGAGTGGGGGGAGGGAGAAGAGAGGATCTACCTGTGTACAGTGGGGGTTTTCAATAAATGCTGCTAGTGCATTGGAGATGTCGGAGACATGGCCGCACTGAGGGCACTGATGCAAGATTGAAGAAGACATGGTTATATACAAGAACTGCCGGGACTGCTGGAACTGTTAGTTAAGAAAAGAAGCGTGAAATGCATTATAAACGGAGGGGCAGAAGATGCCCAAATGGTTGTTGGGCTGCACTCGAATCGTCTTCTAAAAAGGTTATACTATGGTCCAATAGCAAGGTACCTTGATGGTACCCACCACTGACACTGGGGGGACATACATTTCAGAGGTATCGCCCAGGTAGGGGTCATGTGATCCAGAGCTGCAAGGCAGCCCCGTGACGCGACATCACTGCTTAGCATCAGAGCTACCAACCTCACCTTTCTTCATTTTTTCGCTTGTCCCTTCAATACTCCCCCTCGCTCACTTGAGACTATCTCGGTCGCTTTCTTTATCTGTGATCCCTGAACACCGGATCGATTTCTTGCCATCATGGTGAGTTGACCCAGACATGCGGTGTCCGGTATCACAGCTGATAGGTTCCATCTCTAGACGTCAATTGGCACAGGCTACGATCTTTCCAACTCGGTGTTCTCACCAGACGGCCGCAATTTCCAGGTACGCGAGGCCTCGATCACAAGCTCCCACAAGTTTGATTCGTGCTCACTATCGTGTTTAGGTCGAATATGCCGTCAAGGCTGTGGAAAACGGCGGTACTGCCGTGGGTATCAGATGCAAGGACGGTGTGGTGTTGGCAGTGGAAAAGATCATCACTAGCAAGCTTCTAAAGCCCGGCGCCAACAAGAGAATTGCATCGGTGGATCGTCATGTTGGCATTGTATGGCACTCCACGCCTTGTCTTTGCGAATTTGCTAACCGCCCATATATCTAGGTCTCCTCCGGACTGGTCCCTGATGGCCGCCACTTCGTTTCCAGAGCTCGCGATGAAGCCTCCGCGTGGAGAGGCACCTACAAGGGCCCGATCCCCACCAACGCCCTCGCCAATCGTCTGGGTGGCTATGTGCAAGCGTACACTCTCTACTCAAGTGTACGGCCGTTTGGTGTGACCGCTATCGTTGGTGGCTGGGATACCGAGGCGGAGCTCCCAGTGGACGGACAGGTCGGCAATGGACCCAAATCAGGCGCCGGCGGCAAGGTTGAGGGCGCGAAGGCCGGCGGTCCTGGTCTATACATGATTGAACCCAGTGGTCTCTACTGGGTATGTTACGACTCGTGCTTGTGTGTCTGCGGCTGGATTTACTGATGTGATCGATAGGGATACTACGGTGCCGCAACTGGCAAGGGCCGACAGGCCGCCAAGGCTGAACTGGAGAAGCTAGATCTGACCTCAGGCAACCTGTCTTTGGCAGACGGTGTGAAGGAAGCCGCTCGCATTATCTACGTTGCCCACGAAGACAGTAAGGACAAGGAATTCGAACTGGAAATGACGTGGATTAGCTCGGTCGATGGACCGACCAAGGGCCGTCATGAGGAAGTGCCTAAGGAACTTCTTGAGGAGGCCGAGAAAGCAGCGAAGCGATCCTTGGAGGGCGATGACGAGGAAGAGGAAGATAAGGGCCAAGGTGAACAGATGCAAGAGTGAACATGTAATAGATTATGCTCCCAAAGAATTATGATTCTGTGAAGCTGTTCCTTCTACTCGCACCCGAATCGGGGGCATCAAAAACAACAAGAAACACCTATTAGGATCAATGTACTGATTTAGGTTCCAGATAGTCCTAACGAGAGGGGTGGAATCGTAGCCCCGGAGAGATCTAGCTATTTGCAACACCTTTACAGAATCTTGCCCTCAGCCCACTCACGTCGCTTCAGACCAAGCTCCACGGCAGCGCTTCCCCAATCTTCTCCGTGGTTGTGCATTCCATTGCTACCGAGACCAGCTCGTTCCAGGCCCTGTTCCTCGGTCAGAACCGTCAACAGGCCGAAGATCACGGGGACACCCGAGTCAAGCTGGACGCGCATCAGTCCATGGCTCACGGCGTCAGCGATGTATTCAAAGTGCATGGTAGCACCCTTGATCAAAACACCAATGGCGATAATAGCATCGAAGGGCTTCTTGGGGCTCGAGGGAGCCGCGGTTCCGGAGGTCTCGGTGGTGGGGGAAGCCAGAAGGTCAGTGGCGCTGATACCTTCGCCAGAGGAGTTAGCCTGCAGTTGAGAAGCAGCGTAGAGTCTATATGATGTTAGAAATCACACATGAGCCAAAGATGTCTAACATCAACGATTGCAAAGCTTACCGCTGCACTCCGAGGGGCAACTCGTAGCTGCCGGGCACTGTCTGGACAGTGATGTTGTCCTCCGTCACGCCAGCTGCGAGCAGGTTCTTCTTAGCACCGGCGACAAGCTGGTCAATGATTTTGGTGTTCCATCTGGCGTGGATGATAGCGACACGAAGTCCAGAGCCTACACAGCGCATGATCAGCCAGGGTCTTTGATAGAGGGTGGGCGAACGCACCATCGTGGGTCTGAGCAGCACCGGGGCCTTTAATAGATGTCATGGTGAATAAAAATGTGAAATGAAAGAGTAGCAGGGAACAATTGAGGGAGGAGGTTGAAGCAAAAGGGCTTAGACGAAAAACATCCCGCATTTGGCGGGGGAGGCGGAATGGCATCACCGCATACGGCGCAATACCCCCCGCGCTCCCAACGTCGTCACAACTTCTCTTTTGACTACATACCTTGCTTTCAATGTTACTACGCAGTACATGATCTGAGCATATCTTCCTGATCTGAATTTACAAGGCACCGAAAAACAGGAGTTAGAGAAAATCACGAGATTCCATTGTCCCGAAGCTAAAAACACCTAAAAAATAAACAGATGACCGGATCATAAGAGTCGTCTAAGCTTGCAACCGAAAACACACGAAGATTTACTCGACTGTGACCGACTTGGCCAAGTTGCGAGGGAAGTCAACATTGAGTCCCTCGCCGACGGCAAGCCAGTAGGAGATCAGCTGCAAAGGAATGACGTTGAGCAGGCCCTGGAGACAGTCCACGGTCTTGGGGACACCGATCTTCTCGGTCTCGGCAGCAGAGAAATCGGGGTCGTCATTGTTGCAGATCACAATGGGGCGACCACCGCGAGCAATGACCTGTTGGTAAGCGTTCAGGGACTTGGTGAACAGATCATCACGGGTGAGGATCATGATGATGGGAAGGTTCTCATCCACGAGAGCCAGGACACCGTGCTTCAATTCACCGGACATGACAGCCTCGCAGTGAAGGTAGGAGATTTCCTTGATCTTGAGGGCACCTGTTTTCAAACGTTAGCATGATATTCACTAAAACAAAAGAAATATCGGGGGGGGAGGAATTGACTTACCCTCGAGGGCAGTGGGGAATTGAGCACCGCGACCCAACAGCAGCAAACTCTTTTGGTTCTTGAAGGATTTGACACACAGCTCCTTGATGGGATCGTTGAGCTTCAGGATCTGCTTGAACTGCTCGGAGATTTGGCCGAGACCCTCCATGATCTCCTCGCGTCTCTTCTGCTTGGAGGCACGGTCCTCACTGAGCGACAAAGCGAACATGACCATGGCCACGAACTGAGAGGTGTAAGCCTTGGTGGAGGCCACACCAATCTCAGGACCAGCGTTGATGTGCACACCGCAGTGGGTGAGGAGGGAAATGGAAGATCCAACGACGTTGACAACACCAACGGTCAGGGCACCGCGCTCCAGGCAGTAGCGAAGAGCCATCAGGGAGTCAGCGGTCTCTCCGGACTGAGAAACAAAGACACAGGTGTCATCACGGAAGACAGGGGCCTGACGATCCAGGAAATCGGAGGCGAGCTCGACCGCGATGGGGATCTCGGTCAATTCTTCGAAGATACCACGCACAGCCATGCAGGAGTGGTAACTGGTACCACAGGCAATGAAAATGATACGACGGCAGCGACGAATGGTCGAAATGTATTGGCGGAGACCACCCAGGGTGACCTTCTTGTTGGCAACGTCCAGACGACCTCTCATGGTGTTGACGATGGACTCGGGCTGCTCGAAGATCTCCTTCTGCATGAAGTGGTCGAACTTACCCTTCATGATCTCCTGCAGCTCGAGCTCAATGGTCTGGATGGCACGGACGTTGGAGGTACCGTCGTCCTTGGTCAGGCGGTGGATGTTGAGCTGTCCCTCGTGGATGTGGGCAATGTCATCATCCTCCAGGTAGAGGACCTTCTTGGTGTGCTCCACGATGGCCGAGGGGTCAGAGGAGAGGAAGAACTCGGCGGGCTGGGGGATGCCATCGTCGGACAGGAATGCACGGGACTGGGAGCGGTGCAAGAGAGACTTGTCCGGGGGAGCGAGGAGGCTAGTGGCGGACTTCTTGGCGGCAACGTTCTGGGAGGCCTGCTCCGCAGAAAGGACACCGTCCTCGGAATATTCGACGTCGACGAAATCGACCTTCATCTTCTTGGAGGTCTTCACACCAATGACCAGGGGGAACCCTTACGGGCAGCGATCACTTCATGGGGGTAGTGAACGGACTTCATCAGCAAACCAAAGGCACCCTCGAGCTCCTTGATGACGGCCTTGGCCAGGACTGTGAATTCAATGTCGGGGTGTTGGTCATAGAGGTACTTGGCCAGCTTGGCAATGCACTCGGTATCGGTCTCGGTCTCGAATCGGAAACCCTTGGTCTCCAGCAGAGCCTTCAATTCCTTATAGTTGGTGATAATACCATTGTGAACGACGGAGAACTCCCAGTTGGGGTCCGAGCTATCCCAGACCAGTCAGCAAAGAGGGATTTGGAGGGGGGTCCGACTGATTGAGATATCACGACTCACCGGTGGGGGTGGCAGTTCTGACGGGAGGGGGTTCCGTGGGTGGCCCAGCGAGTGTGGGAGATACCGGCGTGGGACTCGAAGGTCTTGCTCATGTCGGCCTCACTCTGCTCAATGAGCTCCTTGAGCTTGGCCACCTTGCCCACTTCCTTGAATGCAAAGACTTCATTTTTCTTGTTGCCGTCGACGGCCATACCGGCGGAATCATAGCCACGGTACTCGAGTCGGGAGAGACCTGGAAATGACGGTGAGCGGGGAGGAACGAGCGTGGCCAGCCCCCGATTGCACACCACTTACCATTGAGGAGGGTTGTGATGATGAACTTGCGGTCCTTCTCGACCAGGTAATTGATGTAACCAAAGATTCCACTGGGTGGTGTCAGTAAGTCGGTCAAGAGGAGGGGAGGGGAGAAAAGAGCTTACCACATGATGGGCAATAACAAAGGGAGATATTAGGAGGAATAGCAGAGTCGGGAGGAAGGTAGTAGCAGGGGGAGAGGGTATCAGAAAGCGAGAGAGGGGAGAAAGGGAGAGATGAATAACGAGACGAAGCAGACGTTTCGTATTTATAGAGGGGGAAGAAGGGGAGGGGCGATATTATTAGCTCTTTCTTGTGCAAGCTCACCACCAATGAGGCGGCCTGAATGCTCGGGCCAACTTGGTTCCTAGGGGAATGTCTCACTTGGCATACTTTACTAATAATAATATTATACTATGAGACTAGCACTAGTGAGCTATTAGTAGAAGAATAACTAGAAACTAGAATAACTAGAATAACTAGGTGATCTGTTCGACTGTAGTATGTAAATAGTGGTCAGGACTCAGTTATAGTTCCTTGTATAGGTCTCATTTGGGACATATTCTTAATAATGTATACAATCCAGAATACTATGCCCTAGGGAGTGCGAAGTATATACTGTTTAAACTACCATTGCTCTCTATTCCGTCGAGTTCCTCTTTTTTTTTTTCTTTCTTTTTCTTTTTCCAGCAGCTAGCGTGGAGAAATGCATCTTTCTCGGCATCGATTCCCTCGGCAGTCAGGTCAAACCACAATGAGGCGGAGCCCCCAAGATCCCACTTTTTTTTTTCTTTTTCTAAATTTATCAATTTGCTCCGGACAAATTCCCCTGAAATCTCAGTTCCAAGGTTCTGACATCCTGACGTGCCAACCTCCTGCAGCTGCATATTTTCGCCCCTGGCCGGCATCGCCGTATACGAAGCGATGTACTCTCTACTCTCTATTCTCTATACGACCGGGCTATATGGGAGTACGGGAATCTCCGGAGTAGAGAGATCATATGAGAGGATCTCCATTGGTTCTGACCGGTCTTTCTGGTCTACTGTACATATATCCTCACTGCAGTGCAGGTAATAGTGGTTTATATACTTCCGTACACTGTACTCCATACTAGGAGACACCTCGCTGGTTTCGTGGACCTGCCATCTGAGGGTTGTGACGGGTAGAGGGAATTCAATTTCTATACTGTAATATATATTCTATACAGCCTAGGTTGCTCGTTGCGTGTACGGAGTACGGAGTATAAAGTGTATAGTTCAATTGTTCCTTTATAGTTATGGACACCTGATAAAAAGACGGGGGATACTTGCTGGGTACTTCCAGTTGGGTGGACGACCCATCATGTGAACTGGTAGCGGTGAGGTCACCATTATCAACGGACATGGAAGAAGGGAAAAAAAAAAAAAAAAAAAAAAAAAAACCAAAAAAAAAGAGATTCAAGATTGACAAAATAAAAACATCAGTACTCCGTACTCCGTAGAATCTCGTACTATGTGTAGACTGTACTGTGTAGAGAAGAGTTGACAAGGCCAAAGGGTGTCGTTCACATCCCTTTGGTCCCCACCGTTTTCCACTTCCTTCCGCTCGATCGCGTCTTGGCCTCCTGCAAAATCTTGAATTCGCGTCAAGCTCCTTGAATCGACCTTTAAACTAGAACCTCTCTGTCTTTCACGCCTACTCTTCTTTTCTGTCTTTTCCGCTCGGGTTTCTTCTGAATTTGGACCTTCCCTGGGTCGCATCTGTTCGCAATAGCCGATACGTCAAGGATGCTGCCTTCTGATCGCGCGGTCTCTGGCGTGTAGCCAACCTCTCACCATGTCACGCGCTTCGGCCGGATTTGCAGACTTCTTCCCCACCGCCCCCTCAGTGCTGCAGCAAAAGCGCTATAAGACCACCCAGGGACGGCGAAAAGTACAGGTCGATGAACTCTCCGAAGGTTCCCCGGATGGATCAGTGCCGGCCACCAAAGCCGCTGGGAACGGCGAGACGCCAGCCCGGGCAGATGAAATAGACCCTCACACGCCGTCGGGCTCGCGGGAATCTGAATTGACCATCGGCACCAACGCGCCGACCACAGAGGCCGCGCTCCCTCCACCGGCAAATCCCCTTCTATCCCAACTGGATACCCTGACCCCAGTCACCCATGCGGAGTCCTCACCCCCGGGCAAGGTCACGAGCCCTGCGCAGCTGAAACCCGCAGGCGAAGCCGTCATCAAGGTCTCGCAACGCGAACCGTCTCCCCCAAAATCTTCTATCACCCCCGTCCACACCCCTCCGACGCCCCAGTCGCAAATTCGCAACCCCGAGCCTCGGGTCATCGGCTGCAAGGTGGTATATGACCCTGATCTAGACAAGCGAACGCCCTCCAAGGAAAAACGGAGGAAGCTTGAGTATGCTGATATTGTCAATACCAACCAAGGGGATCCTCCCACCGATCCGCGTCTCGCGATTCCCAATTACAATCGGGGATCGGGCTGCAAGCAAAAGACCAAATACCGCCCGGCGCCGTATACACTGAAACCATGGGCATACGACGTGGCGACCAGCATTGGCCCCGGACCTCCAGTGCAAGTGGTGATCACTGGGTTTGATCCGCTCACCCCGATTGCCCCGATCAGCGCACTCTTCTCGAGCTTTGGAGACGTGGCCGAAATCAAGAACCGCACGGACCCCATCACCGGTCGCTTTCTCGGAATCTGCTCTGTCAAATACAAGGATAGCGCCACGGGCCGAGGCACCGGATCGGTCTCAGCGACCAGCGCTGCCAGGCGGGCATACTTTGAATGCAAGAAGGAACAGCGCATTGGAACCCGCAGAATCAGAGTTGAGCTGGACCGCGACGGCATTGTCTCCGATCGAATGACCGCTAAGGCTGTGGAGTCGCAACGTCTCGCATCCAAGAACAACCCACCCCCGACCAGCAATTTCGCGACCAACGAATTGCCTAAGAAAAGCGAACCTCCCCCTACCGCCCCCAAAGGCCCTTCCGGTCGATCGTCAATACGCCCCGGGGTTGCAATCCCAGAAGGACCCCGGGCCGCAGTCCGACCTCCCGTGGCGCAATCCCTGGTTGAAGAGACTGCAGTGCTCAGCCAACTCAAAAGGGAGCCGTATATCTTCATTGCCCACTGTTACGTCCCAGTCCTCAGCACGACGGTTCCACATCTCAGAAAGCGACTCCGGCTTTTCGCATACAAGCATATTCGTTGCGACAAAACCGGATACTATATCATTTTCGAGAATTCGCGTCGAGGCGAGGAGGAAACGGAACGTTGCCACCGACTATGCCACATGCAACCGTTGTTTACGTATATCATGAACATGGAAAGCCAGCCTTACGGAAACCCGAATTACGAACGAAGCCCAAGTCCAGAGCGTCTGCGGGCCGAACGACGAGACAAGGCCGTGAAAGATCGAACCAAACGGGAGGCTGAATTAGACATAGAAGAGGAGAAGAAGCAGCGTGCACTGAACCTGGATCCTTGCCGGGAGGTGCTGTCAATCATCATTCGCGATCTGAGAGACAAACTGCTTGAAGATGTCAAGTCGCGCATTGCTGCCCCGGCCCTCTATGATTATCTGGAGCCAAGCAAGCATGTGGCCAAAAGGGAGAAATTGGGCATTGCGGACCCCGAAGGTACCAAGCGGCCCGCTTTCCGGATTGACAGTACTCTTGGTACCCCTGAATCGCGAGGCGACCTGACCGCCGGACGAGATCCTTCTCAATCATCAAGTCTGAATGTCCTTGCTCTTCCACGCATCCGCAAGGCCCACGGCCTTGACCGTGCGGGTGCAGCTTTCTTGGATGAACGGCGCAGACAGCCGCTGCGGAGAAAGGAAGTGCGTCCTTTGTACCACCGTTTGCAGCAACTCCACGACGATGAAGACTCAGATGATGACCAACACACCCCCGTTGCCCGGGATGCGGACGAACCCGATAGCAGACCCCCTAGTCGCGCAAGTTCCACTTCATCTGATAATGGGCGAGATCAGGGCTATCAATCTGATGAGCTGGGCTCATCGCAAGGAAGCGATGAGCAGGCCCCAGCCGCTGATGACGATGATGCTCCAGGCAGTCTTATCACCGACCTACAGGAAGACCTCTCTCCAAGGTCACACAAGCGAAAGCGATTGACCGAGGACCTGGAGGCCCGGAAAAGACAACGTCAGGAGGATGAGTTGTTTGGCATGGACTCCCAGACTGCCGATGCGGAGACTGCTGATACAACCCATAAACCCTCTGCAACTATTGGCGGCGAAGGTGTCGCGGGAGACGATATCAAATTGCCCACGCTTGATCAATCCGCCGATCGGGAGATCTCAGTTGAAGAATCGGATGACGACGGCTCTGTCGATGAGCCCATCGATGAGCCGAGAACAGAGATTGAATGGGGCGTCTCCAGGGACAAGCCACGGGCCACTGTGGCCGATGATGAAAATATCGTACTCGACTTGGACGGCTGGCAAAACCTGATCAAGGATGATGAAGACTTGCGATTCCTCCGAGAAGTCTTATTGGACCAACCTAAATCCAACATCGGAAGCCTGGGTGCATGGGGTTGGAAACAAAAGGAGATCAAGGCTCTCAACGGCCTGGAGACCGGCGCAACCGCAAACCCCATCAGTATCCCTGGATACTATGTTCCTAACGCCACAGGAGCTGCTCGAACGGAAGGCCGCAAGAGGATCCTTGAGGCGGAGAAATCCAAATACCTCCCCCATCGTATTAAGGTCCAGAAGGCTCGCGAGGAGCGCGAAGCGAATGCTACGGCAGATCCCCAGGCTGCTGCTGCCGAAGCTGCCAGGATTGCAGCTGCCAAGACCATATCCAAGTCGACATCGCGGTCGACACGAGTCAACAATCGACGCCTCATTGCGGACATCAATGCACAGAAGCAAGCTCTTCCCACTGCAAGTGGCGAAGGAGACGTTCTCCGTTTCAATCAGCTCAAAAAACGCAAGAAGCCTGTGCGCTTTGCTCGCTCTGCCATTCATAACTGGGGATTGTATGCTGAAGAGAACATTACCGCCAACGACATGATTATCGAGTACGTGGGAGAAAAAGTACGACAACAGGTCGCCGATATGAGAGAACGGCGGTACTTGAAGAGTGGAATCGGCAGCAGTTATCTCTTCCGAATTGATGAGAACACTGTCATCGATGCCACAAAAAGAGGAGGCATTGCCCGTTTCATCAATCACAGCTGTACTCCGAACTGCACTGCCAAAATCATCAAGGTTGACGGTAGTAAACGAATTGTGATTTATGCGCTCAGGGACATCGAACGAGGTATGTTCAAAGCAGCTACGACGCAGACCGGTAGAACAAATGCTAACTTTTGCTTCAGATGAGGAGTTGACTTATGATTACAAGTTCGAAAGAGAGTGGGACAGCGATGACCGTATTCCCTGCCTCTGCGGGTCGACCGGCTGCAAGGGATTCCTCAATTAAGAGAAACCTCGTCCAGTCGCTGTTGTCTTCGTCTCGTCGATTCTTTGAGGGAGGCATGGGAGCACTTTTCACCTATATCATCTACTGGCGTTGTATCAGGTTGGCGTTCAAAGGAGAGCATTGTGTCGATGGCGATCGTGATGTCATAAAACTACAACTTTCTTGTACAATACACCAATTCCAAATTTCCACTGGCTTCTTGATGCCTGCAGGGCAACATGCCCTGGATTGAAAGTATCACGTCAATTGCATTTTCCAGCTCTTTGTATTTTAACTCGGGGAAGCCCATGTCTTCTGAAATGACAACGGCACCCTTTCTCTCATCAAGAATGCCTTTGGATGGCTGGTGGCTTTTTGGGGTATCGGTTTGGCATAGTAACGGTCAAAAAGTGCGGGGATTGCTCAAACTGTATAGAAATATTAGCAGAGGCTTTAGTCAAGCATGGAGTAAGGTGCCTCACCTAGATGACTTGGAAGGAGGAAATTTGCGATTCCCTCTTTGATCATATATGCGTGACTGCAGTTTCCACAGACCAGTTTCCCTTCCGAGACGTGCGTCTCGAGTAACAGCCGGTGCAGATCTTTCAGGGTCTGTTCATTGTCGAGTGCCTCGCCTTCTGGCTTAATGTCTGGGAGGCTTGGAAAACCCAACTAGTTTCCGCAGATGTCAGCCTGATTTGCCTCTTTATACGTGTGGAACTTGGTCTAGCTCTGCCTTACCTCGGTGGCAGTTGCTCGGAGGGCCTCCCAGTCGATGCGGGGAATGATGTTGCGGATAAACTCCGGTTGAAATTCCAATTCCTGCTGCTCCAGTTCGGCATCATGGAAATGTAATGGGAATGATGCTGGTGACGTCTTGCATTCCTTCACGGCGCATGTCACGAAGTTGGCGGTGATCACCTTCATTGCGGGGAGGACGACGGGTGTCGGGGCGACTTGGCAATGCAAACACAGTGACAGCAGGTTGCAAGTAAGTAGACCTGAGAGCGAATCCTGGTGGACAAGAGCGTACGTTTGGTGTTTAGTGTTCTGAGAGGACAATGTCGTTGCCAAAAAAAAATAGCCGTGCCCCACGGCTTATCGATATCATGTGATCGATATCGAATTCTCAACTGTAGTCAATTCACTCTGTACTCCAAAGTATTAAAAGAATAAATTGCTCTGCTCTCTGGACAAAATTATTTCTTGTTTCCTATAAGTAGATTTGATTACGTGGTTCAATTCTGCTTCATCCAGTGTCTTGGGATTGTATTAGAACTGTAGGCGACTTATCGGATCTGAACATCTACCAGATCTAGATCGTCAATGTCATGATCGCCCAGACAAGAATCCGGAGAAAGTTTGTCGCCGTCAAATACTAAGGCAATGGAGCGGTCCATGGAGATGTCCTGCTTGTCTCGAAAGGCAGAGATGAGCCGTGAGATCAGGGTTTTCTGTCTTGCTTTGATCTTGAAGTCTTCAAATCCAGGACTCCGCAAGATCAGTTTCAATGGCTCGCCCTGGTCATCATCAGTGGGAGCTGCTCCCTGGCCAGATTTGCTGTCAGATTCAAGGGGTCGACTGGTCAATAATGGCGCATCAGTAACTGCTTCTAGGTGTATGCGCAATTTGTCCTGTTCGGCAAAAGGGTCGTCGTCAATACTGGGAATGGCCGTAGACCGTTCGGCAGAGAGTCCAAGACTCCTGCAAGTGGTTACATCGAACAACCGACGACCTTTCCAGGTCAAATAAATGGATGAACGGGCCTCTGGTGCAAAGTTCTGGCGGTTACACCACGCCAAACGCACCTCTCTGAGTCCCTGTGACATTTTTCGATGAATGAGGAGTGGTTTTGTGTTCTCAATCTCCGAGGATATCATGATCTGGACGATCGGGTCATAGGCTGGGGGACTTGGTTGAGCCGGAGGGCTTGGGGTTTCTGTGGCATTTGAAACATTTAATGGTTGAGGGTGTAGAGGGGCCGATGACTCGGGAAATCCAGGTTCCTCCCGCGGCAGCGGAGGAATCTCTGGGCTATGGCTTTGAACAGCCTCACGATCACTTGGTTCAGGTGAGGATGGGATTGGAGAGCTCGAGAGCCGCGGGTTCGGTGTGAGCTCCGCATCATCTAACTTCTCTCGAGCGAGGTCAACTTTTTCCTCTGGGTCAGAGATGCGACGCCGCTTCTTTGGTTCCTCTGGAGCCTCTGGGATGCTTTTTGTTGTCTTTTTCGGGTTCTGATGTGCTTCTCGGTGTGCAGCAATGATGTCGGAATAGGTCTGTTCTGAGCGTCGATAGAACTCAGTACCATTTTCTTCCACCTGCTTGGCCCACGAAGGCCTTTTGAAAAAGGAGCTCATCACAGAGGTGGGGTAAATAGATAGTGAAGATTGATTTCTGGATGTAGGGCCTGCAATTCTGCACAGAGTACAGAGTGCTCTCCGTCAAGATGAGGAACTTAGCAAGATTGTCAAAACTACCCCATTGGGAGTAGCGCACCCCCGCGCCAGTTTATCGGGCTCACCGCCTTCATGTCTGCCTCTGGACTTTCAACTTCCCGTCACTCCCACTTGCATATTAACCACTGAAACCTCGGTATGTCTCGTCCTAGCTTTGATCCTCTCCTACTTACTGATGATGATTGATACCAGGTACCCATACAAGCTGTCATCATGGAGAACGGCCCATCCTCCGAAGGAAAAGATCCGTCGGTCTTCTTGAGTGAGATCACAGGTGCGCCTGTGATTGTGAAGCTCAACTCCGGTGTTGTTTACAAGGGTGAATGGTCCCTTTTGGTCTCTGAGAGGAATTTGTCGTTAATGGCTATATAGGCGAGCTGCAATCGGTTGATGGCTATATGAACATCGCCCTCGAAAAGACCGAGGAGTACGTCAATGGAAAGCTACGACGGAATTATGGAGATGCCTTTGTGCGTGGAAACAACGGTGCGTCACCTTATTACCCTCCATTGATCAAACATCTTGCTTATTGGAATTCAAGTTCTCTACATCTCTGCCAGTTGATTCGGATCAACACCTGTGTTTCAATGCCACCGATGACCACACATGGCTCCGGTACCAGTTCCTGGTTTCATTGTAACAGCAACCTTTTTGATTTTGGGCGGGCCAGATTATGAATAATGATTGAGAGTCCTCCCGGGCTGGGTATCTGAACAGACGAGCTTTTGGCGTTGATAGACCAACACCTCACGAGATCATGATCAACTGTGTTTAGGGGACTCAGCAAGTATTCCGCTTCTATGTCTGTCGTGTTGCTTACCGTGCTATTTCGTTCTGGTCTTCGACGGGATATCTCAGTTGTTGCTTCGGAATCTATGTACAAGGATGGACCGCCATCGGCCTGCTCACAGATCCAAGTGATACTCACATAGTAATACAACAACCTCCCTCTGTGACCCCATCCGACATTTGAAAACATACTATCTGGCCAGGCTTGATGACACGCCAAGGTATACATAGACCTAAATCTCTACGGGGGTACACATGCGTCAACATTGGGGCTACCCAATGTGATTAGATAAGCGCCCCAAGCCCCCGGGCGGGAGGTTTCCTGGCGGTTTATCTTTTTTGATCTTCCCCCCGCACCCAACAGCAGAGTTAACCACGCCAGCGCAAGGATGTTACAGGCAATCAAATACAGCAAGGGACAACTTGAGATCCTTGATCAACTACAACTTCCTTTCATCGAAACATTCATTCCCATTCGGTCAACAGAAGATGGATGGCATGCTATTAAGGACATGAAAGTCCGCGGGGCACCGGCGATCGCTATCGTTGCAATGCTTGCACTCGCCTCCGAGCTGACCTCGGCCGTCGAATCTGGCAAGGTTGATCGACCAGTGGAGGAAATGTGTCAATTCATTTCCGACAAACTCGCATACCTGGTGACGAGTAGACCAACCGCGGTCAACCTAAGTGATGCTGCGCGCAAACTGGAGACACTAGTCCTGAATCGCGCCAAAGTGCCGGGATCTCTGGGAATCGAAATTGCGGATACCTTCATACAGGCGGCAGAAGCAATGCTGGGAGATGACTTGAATGACAATCAAAGGATCGGGCACAACGGCGCGGAGTGGATCGCGAAGTACGCCACCAAATCCGGAAATTCTCAAGTAGCCGTATTGACTCACTGCAATACCGGGTAGGGTTTTCTGAGTATCCCATCTGCATGTTACAAGCTAACACAGATCATTGGTAGATCCCTGGCCACTTCAGGGTATGGTACAGCATTGGGCGTGGTTCGTTCACTGGCGGCGAAGAACATTCTACGACATGCCTATTGCACCGAGACTCGACCATACAATCAAGGATCTCGCTTGACAGCCTTTGAATTAGTGCACGATAAGATCCCAGCTACCCTCATCACGGATTCTATGGCAGCCGCATTGCTTGCGGACACTCATGTGGGCGTGGGGGCTATCGTTGTCGGAGCTGATAGGGTGGCAGCGAACGGAGATACGGCCAACAAGATTGGCACGTATGCTTTGGCTGTTTTGGCGAGGCACCATGGCGTCAAGTTTTTGGTTGCTGCACCGCGTACCACTATTGACCTAGCCACGAAATCAGGACAGGATATTATCATTGAGCAAAGACCAGCATCCGAGGTCACCAGTATCAAGGGGCCTCGTGCGGGCACTGGGGGCACCGACGGTGTTTCCATCGAGACCGTACACATTGCGGCACCCGGGATCAATGTCTGGAACCCTGCGTTTGACATCACCCCTTCGGCTCTCATTGATGGAATTGTCACAGAGATCGGCGTGGTAGAGAAGGGACCCGATGGGGAGTATCATTTGGATGGGCTGTTTGACGATTCAACGCGCTGATCTGAACTCTGTCCATGTTGGCCGCCAGTGCATTGGGTAGCAGTGATATCTTCGTCTGCTTGAGAAATGTCCTTCTCTTCAAATGCTGCCAAGAGTTCGTCGACTCTGCCTTCAATCGCACTGAGACTTGTTTCTAAGGCCGACGCTGTCATTTCGCCCCTATCACCAGAACCATCAGATAGGGAAGGGGGACATATAGAGGTGGCTTTGCTTGAATGTCTTACTTTGCGATATCTGCAAGTGCCTATTGCACAAATGATTGATTGTTAGCTTGTTGGATCCCATTGGTGTAAATATAGATTGAGTGGTGGAAGAGGCAATGGCAGGATACTCCGTAAGGTGGTTTGGATTGAGTCCTTGGCATTGGCAGATCTGACATATAACAAAGTGACTCACCTGTGAAATATCGAAACCTGCACCTGAGCTGGACATGACTGCTGCAGAGCCTAACTCGGCTTTAAAGTGTGGGGGTGTTGGGGAAGAAGAGGATGATTTGGTATTTGGAGGTGTCCAGGGTGCCGATCGTCTTACCGCCTACGGAGTCTTCAATCCCTAATCCGCTTGTAAAAGGGTTCCACAAGCTCTCTTTTCTTGTTGTTGTTATCTTCTCCACGTCTACGATTTCGCTAGCTGCTACTAGTAAGCTGGAGCTACTATTTTGGCGTGCTCTTATTGATGTTAACGATCTATAGTCTTTTGAATTCCTGCTGCCGACCTCCCTATCTAATATCTCGTTTTATGATATATCTATTAAATCTTTTTAATATTTTTTAAATTTTTCTAGATAATTAAGAAAAAGAAATTTTATTATTTTTTATTAATATTATTTTTGAAATTAGATTATATCTCATTATTTTTATTTAATAAACTATTTCTTTATTTTTTTTAAAAAAAAAATAGTATTTAAGGATTATTGTTAAGATTACTAGACTAGACCTTGACAAGTCTTATAGAAGTCATCCCATGGGACTATCCTATAGGATCATATAAGAGTCCTATTAGGTCCTATAGGGTTGCTAAGTATGGGACTAAAATCTCTGGTCTGCTTTTATGAGACTTTGATGGGAGTCTTATAGGACTAAGATTACTTTAAGAGATAGTGATTTAATAAAACTAATCCTAAATAAATTGAAAATTATATTTTAAATATTTAATATTAATTATATTTAAAATACTTTATATTTAAATTTTATCTTTAAATCCTATATTTATATAAATTATTATCTTTTTAATATTTAATTGTTTTTTATAACTATGTTTAATTTAATTTAATTATAAAAAGAGATGTCTAATTAAATTTAGATCTTTTTATCTAGATTAATATAATTACTATTTTTATTATTATTAATAGGATTTAAGATATTTTCTAATAGAATTATTTCTTTTTATTTCTTTCTTTTTATTTATTTCTTTTTATTTATTTCTTTTAATATATTTATTTATATTTAATAAAAATTTATTTTAAATCTTTTTATTAGGTTTTATTTTGACATTAAACTATAATAAATGATAAAGTATTATTAGATTTTAAATTATTATTTTATTTAATAAGCTTTAATAATAATAATAAATACTATATATATGAAGGTTACGAGGAAAATGAGGAAAAATGATGAAAAGAGGAAAGAGGATGAATAGAGATGATTTGCATTGATGATGGTGAATTTATTTACCTTGGGGGTGGAGATGATATTTATGTTAAAATCATCTTATGATTTTAATAAATTTAATGAAATATTAAATGGTAACTGAGTTATTAAAATTTTAATGAATTATAGAAATATTAATGAATCATCGCCGTTTTCGGCGATTTCCGCTTTTGGAATTTAAGAATTAATTTTTCCTATTTGGGAAAAATATTTTAATTTTTATAGTTTTCAAAATTTATAAAAATATTTATTTGTTGATTTATTTCCTATTTAGGAAGTCAGATAAATCATTTTAATAGTCTCATATTATAAAGTTTATGAGATAGTATATATATAAAATATCATATTAGATAATATAATTATGTTTAGGGTATTAATGAATTAATTATAGATTGTAAAAATATTATGCTCCAATTTTGGTGATTTGAAAAATTTTAATAAAGTTTTCTAAATTAATTATCATAGTATCAATATAAACCTTACGTTGATCTTTTAACATATGTTAATTGAGAGTAATATAACAATTAATTTCTAAATAATAAATATTTTATAACTAATTATATTATCTAATAAATCTGATTTAAAACTAGTATATCTAGATATTATTAAATTTGGTAATAATAATTTGAAACAGTATTTTTTTTATCTTTTATATAAATTTAAAAACTAAGTTAATAATAGATAACTATTATTATTTAATCTCTCAGAGAAAGATCTATTATATCTTTAAGAGACTTAAAAAAGATTATAAGTTAATATATTTATATTTAGATCACTATTAAAAAGGAAATAATAGAATCTTAAATAATTTTATATTATTATAGATCTCTATTTTCAAGATTCCAATATTAAGTTAGATATGTTGATATAATTATATATATATACAAGTTTCGAAAAAAGATCTTTGTTAGCTTTATAAATTTAAATAATGGATACTTATTATTAGAAATCTTAATTAGCTTATAAAATAAAAGATTTTATATCTATTAATAAAGATTCTAGAATATATTAGTCTTAATTTATAAAGCTAGATTGAATTTTTTATGATAATTATTAAAACTAATTATTAAATAGTAATATTAATATAATATATATAAAGATCTTTTACTTATATCAAATATTTACTAATTTTAAATCTTGTGTTTTCTAGACTAATAATATTAATAAGATAGACTAATAATCTATCTAGATAACTTTTTTAAAAATATACTTACAAGTTTATAAAATATGTATTACTATTTTTAATAAGAAGTCTTTTTATATAAATCTAGAAATAAAAAAACAAGTTATTCGGATTATTTGAAGCGGAATTAACTAATATTCTAAAAATGATAATTATCTTTATTATAGTTGAATAGGTTATATTATCTATAAATGTAATCTATAATCTATAGTCTACTATATTACTATTATTAAAACTTTACTAAAGTTTTTCAAATTAATGAAATTGGAGTATAATATTTTTAGAAAGAAAGTCTAAAATAATTAATTATTATTTATCTACCATAAGAAAAATTAATTTAATATTATACATATATATTTTCATATATATATAATTTCTTTTGATACTTTAAATAGGAATAAAAATTATTTTTGTTAGAATTTATAACTCCAAACTTGGAGTATAAGATTTTTACAATCTATAATTCATTTATTAATACCTTAAATATGATTATATTATCTAATATGATATTCTATATATATACTATCTTATATACTCTATAAGATGAGACTATAAAAGTATTTTAATTTTTTTCTTAAATAGGAAATAGTTTAATAAATAAATATTTTTAGTGATTATTTATTATTACTTTAATGATTTATTAAAAATTTAATATTTTATTAATTTTATTGAAACCATAAGATAATTTAAATATAAATATTATCTCAATCCCTAGGGTAAATTAATTTATTATTGTCAATAAAAATTATCTCTATTTATCCTTTCTCCTCTTTTTATCATTTATTATCATTTTTATTATAACCTTAATAAAATCTATATATATTCTTAGAAATATAATTATATTAAATATTTAGCTTTAAAAATATATTATTTATAAACTGAAATAAAGAATATTAAATGAAATAAGATTATATATTTTATAATAAATACTTGTATTTTTAGTTTATTATTTATAAATATTTTATATATTGTAGTTAGTCTTCTTTCTTTTTTATTATTAATAGATTATTAAAGAAAGGAACTATATTACTTAAGATATTATAAATTTCTCTAAAGATATAAGATTATATTAAATAATGTAACTTTTTTATTAATAAATAGTATATATCTTATCTTATAGACTAAATGAATAGAGAGAGAAATTAAAAAAACCTTGTTATAAAAAGATATAGAAAGTATTAATTGAAATATTATAAGAGATTATAAATATATTATTTATATATAACTAATATATAAAGGTAATCTAATTAATAAGTATTTATATAATAAATTAAATAAAAGCAAATTTAAAATTTATTTACTCTTTATTTATTATTAGCTTTTTGTTTTTTTAAAAAAGATAACAAACTTATAAGATAATTATATCTAGATTTCTTATTATAGAAAAATAATATATTTGTTTATAATAATATCTTATTATTTTATATTAGTTAGTTTATATAAAAGAATTATATATATTCTTTACTTATTCAGGCTATAAGATAAATATAAAAATAAAATATATTATTAGCTTTATATAAACTAATAATATTAAAAAGATGATTTAAGAAAAAAGCTTTAGATAAAAGATAATAGAATTAAAGAATAAATTTATTTATTTTAATAAAAATAAAAAAAAGAATTGAGGAAAGTTTCTAGAAGGAAAATATTCTTTTTATATATTCTAAGATGAATAGATATATAATTATTGATTATATCGTTGTTTAATTTATATATATAAGTTCATATAAAGACGATTATCAAAATTTAAAATATAGAGGTATTGTTATAAGATCTTCCTTTATAGGAGATCTTTTTAAAGTCCTTGTTATACTGTATTTAATTATCTTTATTTATAACCGATTTCCCTATATTTATGTTTAGTCTAGTTTGCTCTGAGGTTTCCTTTTTTATCGAATATTTCTTAATCTTTAAGAATCTTATTTATTATTATATAACTAGAGTAGATCTCTAATATTTATAATTAAGATATATCTTAATCTTATAAAACCTTTATTAAATATCTAATTTAATCAAACAGTATATTTTTAATATCTATTATTATAGTTTTTTATTTTATTATCTAATTTATCAAAATTAAAATAAAATTTTAGCCCTCCTTTAGATTTCTTTATTATGAGAATTAATAAGAAATAAGATATTATATTTAAAATAATAAATTTTCTTTA